TATTTTTTAGCAGTATAACTAGGCTTATAATAAAGAAAATAGTTTCTAGCATCTTTATCCTTCTTAGCTTAAATTACTTAAAAAGGATTCTACTTTATAAGAATAATATATAATTCTCTTTTAATAAATAGCTTTAAAAAATTAACTACTAGTCTAGAAGGGCAATTATAAAATATAAGTTTTTATAATAATAAAGTATAAGTCTTAACTAAAAAGTATTTATTATACTTATATATTTTATTATCTATTTTTTAAAAAAAGATTGCTATTTCTTTAAGTAAATTTAAATAATTAATAATTAATATATTTATAAGTTATAGTAATAAATACTTTTTTAAATTATTTTTTTACTAATTTAGTATTTTTTTTATTTTTTATACTATTTATTTAAATTCTATATAGAAGGTTTAGAAAAGATAAGTATTTAATTTAAAAGTAGTATACTTTTATTTTATAATGTTAATATAGTTATAGTTATAATATAAATTATTAAAATACTTAAATAGTTTTATTTATATAATAAAAGAAGTAAAACTATTATATTTATTATTTAAAAGAATAATAGTATAATTAAGTATATTACTGCTTAACTAACTCTTAATATATTTAATCTAATTATTTATATTAAGGTAATTATCTATATTATAAATAAGCTTATTTAGTAATAAGCTTTTTTATAATTAATAAATAACTTTGTTATCTAATATTACTATAAAATATTTAAAATTAGCAATTTTTCTATAATAGCTTAGTATAACTTTAGCTACTATTACTTTATATTTTAATTTTTACTTAAATATAGTTCTATATTAAGGATTTAACTTAAGTTTTAGAAGACTTCCTTTATTTTAAATAAAAGTTTATAAATTATTAATTTCTTATTTTACTTTTTCTAGCTTTTTTTAAATTTTTTCTAACTATTTAATAATTTCTATAATATTAAATATTGCTTTTTTATACTTTTTAAAGAGAGGATATTCCAGATTATAATGAGAGTAGGATAGGGATGTCCTAATTAGGCTTAGCTCAGCCCTACCCGGCTTAGTATAAGGCCCTACTTCTATTAGAATCTTTAGATAGTTTATAATTAATCTATTATTAACTAACTATATTATATATATTGCTTATTAAGGCTTGTACCTACTGCGTTTCCTTATAAATAGTAGCAATACTAAAAGATTAAATGTTGTTATATTTATCTAAACATTGAAAATCTATATTTATAGCCCTAATACTTAGCTAGTAATAACTATTAAAAGCTATTATTAAAAATCTTTAAAATATTATTATTAAAATCTTTGACAATTTTTTAGCTAGACATTGTTATGCTACTATATTTTCTTCTATTACTTATAAACTTATCTTATATTAAGCTCGTCTTAAGACCTTTAATCTTTAGCCCTAAAATAGTTTAATTATAGTAGCTAATATAGCAAAAGTAGGCTTTATTTAGATATATATATATACTAATAATACTGACATTATATGTAACGATAGCGCTATCTGTTTATTATATAGTTTATATTAATATAATTTGTTATAGGACCTAGCTATTTACTATAAAAAGATAGACCTAAACTATTTATTTATTAAAGTTTATTTTATAACTACTTCTTTAGCTATATTATTAAAACTAATATATATAGAAATAGCAGCTACTATACTAACTAAATTAGCTTCTATTATATTATCGCTTCTAGCTATACCTTCTCTAGCCTATTAAAATTAAGCTCCTATATATTTAGCTTTTAAACCAATATTATACTTTACAATTTCTAACCTCTATATACGCTACGCTCCTCTCAAAACAATTAAGCCCCTATAGCCAATTGTTTTACCTACCCTTATATAGAATGACCTTAAAAAATAGTTTATAAATAAGCCTCCTTTAACTCCTCCTTTAACTCCTTTAATTACGGCTTAAAAAGACAAGCTAACAAAGAACTAACCAATTAAAGAGCTTAAATATAATATAAAGAGAAAACAGAAATAGGCTCCCTGTTTAAAAAAGGCTTCCAAGGCTAAAACCTATATAAAATAGCTTGAGAAATAGGCTATTCCTATTCCTATTTTTATTCCTATCTATAGTTTATGCAGCTTAAAGCTTATTAACAGCTTTTAAGTTAGTTCTAGACGATTTAAGTTACGGTTTTTTAGCTATATAGTTATTTTGTAATCTTATATCTCTAAATTTTAAATTTAATTTCAAATAACCTCCGATTTTCAATACTCCTTTCAACTAATTAGCTTCCGCTTACTATCGCTCCTTCTATGTATTTAGACTCCCCTCCGACGTAATCCTTAGCCTAATTGGCTTAACCTTGCTATCGCTGCAGCCTTTAATAAAATAAGCTTTTCCTCTAATAAAATAAGCTTTCCCTAGTATAATAAGGCTAAAACTCGACTAAATTTTAATAAAATTAAGCTAAAATAGTTTCTTTTAAGAGCTAGGATATAAATAGATAATAATGAGGCTATATATATAATAAGGACGTTATTTTTTATTGTTTTTAGTAGTATACTATTATAGATTATAATAAGAGCAAAATAGGGATATCCTAAATAGGCTTAGCTTAGCCCTACCTAGCTTAGTATAAGGCCCTACTTCTACTATAATCCTTAGATAGTTTATAATTAATCTATTATTAACTAACTATATTATATATATTGCTTATTAAGGCTTGTACCTACTATATTTCCTTATAGAGGATTAACTAATATAAATACTTTTTAAAAAGATTTATACTTAGTATAAAGCTTAATATTATATCCTATATTTTTAATAAAATTATTTTATTTTTTAAAAGTATTAATACTCTAAATATTAAGTTCCTTTAATTCCTTTTAGATTATACTTTAATAAAGAATATTTTTAACTTCTTCTTATTTAGTTTAAATATTTTATATACTTATTTATAAATAATACTAGCTTTTTACCTTTTATAGGTTATCTTTTTATTTAACTATTTTACTTATTTAGTTTCTTTATTAGTTAATATATTAAGTATTTATTAAGCTTAAGAACTTTATCTACTTTTATTTAAGTTTATTATTTAGTTACTATTTTTTTAAATATAGCTATAATCTTTTTTTATTACTTTTTTTAAATATATAGAAATTATTTATAACTATTTCTTTATTTAGCTATATAGTAGCAACTAAAGTTAAAAGTAAGAACTAATTATTGTTTAGCCTTTAGTAAAGTTTAATTTTATAATATTATTACTTAAATATTATAGTAATTGTAATAATTTTAATTCTAATATTAAGAGTTTATTTAAGGGTAAAAACTAGCTCCTAAAGCGTAGGAAAGACAAAGAGAACTAAGATAAAGAACTAGCTTTATTTTAGGTAGAAACCCTACTTATATACCTAATAAATATTACTATATATTAACCCTCTAGTCTATATATATTTACCTTTATATAAGAGTAGTTTGCGATACTTGCTAAGCCTTGAACACTGCTATTTCCGTGTGATTAGAAGGGACGTAATCTAGATTATAATAATTTATAACTAGTATAATTAAAAAAACTAAATACTTAGCGAAGATTATTTAAAAATATATAAAAAAGTATAGTTTTAATAAGTTAAAGTTTATAGAAAAAGAAAATATAATAATTATAAATAAGAATTATATAGAACTAACTATAAAAAATTGCAAGGGAATATAATAAACTATCTTAATGGAAGTTAAGTTAAATCTTATAATATAAGCTAGGTATAAGTAATAAATATACTAATAGAGTCTCCTAACCCTAATCCTATTAATATTGAGTTAATACATAGTGGGTCGCCTATGGGTTTCAGCCGTTTTAGGGTATCCTACCCATTAATACCCTTAGTTTAAGACCTGTGGGAAGCTTGAAAACCCTATATAGCCTTGATATCCCAATTCAAGGGTTTTGAACTCGCGTGTTCAGATGCGAAGATTACTCTAAATAGGGCAAAAAAGTCCTATTATTTATCGAAGGCGTTAATGAAGTGGGCATTGACAATGGTAGCTCTTATACCTTGTAGCTTACTAAATTCAAAGACATCTTGATTGGAGGTGAACTATCTAAGGCTTTGACCCTCACTCAAGACCACCGTAGACATAACTTACTAGAAGTGTCGAATAGCTAAAGGCAATTAAGAAAGGTTAAAACAATCGAAAGCATCAAACATTGAGCGATCAAACTGTCTGTGGGAGTTCCAGCCTTAACCTAATCTATAAACAATCTCAACTGCATACAATTCCCTTTCAATCATACAACGCACACCCTTAGCCCTCAAAATCCTCACCCCACAAACGCCCTCGCAAATCTCTCCCCCGCGGCCGGCGGCGTCTTCCCATTTAGACCACCCACCAACCCTAGCAGTCCCTCTCCACTCCCTCCAGTACCTGCATTATTCCCTCCATGCACAGCACTCCCCGCACTCTCCGTCTTATTCGCCACAAACCCCACCCCAACCCCCTTTCCGCCGGGCCCAAACTCAAACGTCGCCTCCAACGTCCAAATAAACGGGCTCTCGTAACTCAGCGTCCTCAACTTGGTAGTCACATCAGTCAACAACCCCGGATCAATTTTCCCCTTCAGCCCCCCATTTTCATCGGCAGGCACGATGTGTAGTTGCACACACCCAGTGGTCGGAGGGAGAGCGGCGGAGCAGTAGTCAGTCCAGCCTTGCTCGGAGGCGTTGTAGGTTTCGTGTGCGGCGAGATGGGGGATGGCGAGTTGGAAGTCGTAGGCTGTTTTTCCGTAGAGGGCGTAGGGGTCTATGGGTTTGTTGCCCCAGGTTACGGTGAGGGTGTCAGGGTGGTTGTAGAGGGTGTAGGATGTTGTTGTGCCTGCGACGGCGGGGGCTTCGTTAGCGTTGGCGCCTTGGGCGAGGGTGCTGGGGAGGAGGGTGGTGGTTAGGATGAGGAAGAGGGGGAGGAGGGTGGACATGGTGGGCGTTGGGTAGGCTTTGTGTTGGTGGAAGGGATCTAAGATGCTCTGGATTTATTGATGTCTCTGTGGATGAGAAAAGCTGTGACGAGATTGTTTGGATTTATACGGTGCAAGTGTAGCCTTTATATGCAGAGTACGAGAGAAAGTGCCCTGAGCTGCACTTCGTGATTTGTCTTTCATACCAACGTCTCGAATAAGAGGGTGAGGCACACTTTTCCACTATATTAGGAAGGCTTAGCAATTATCATAGGACAATACGTCGCTTGTATGCTTCAAATTTTAAACATTTGCAAAGCCTCAGGATGATGCTCATGGAGTGTTTTGGATACACGGCTGGGAGGCAAGAATTGACGCGACACGCTGAGCTGCAGGCGAGGCAGCCTTGCGCAACCCGAAGCGATGAAACGTGAGCCTTAGATAGCCGCCTTAGCATGGTTTATTTTGATCCTCGTGGATAGAAGAGTTGCGACTATGGTTTAATTGAAGTCAACTTGCCACAGAGAGAGCTGTGCGCAGGCTTCGACTGACTCAGCCTTAATTCTCATGAGGCTTTGATGTAATTTGAGTCGGAGAGTAAACGTAAGGCTGATGCAGACCGCTATTACGCGCTACACTTACAGAGCTCGAGGGAGGAACCACCAACAGCAAGTCTCAAGGAAGGAGGCTTGAATTATGACGTTGAGAGCAACGAGTCGGATCTCGTTTTGGGTCCAGGTGGCAGACGATTGCTCTATCCTTCCACAATCTACTTCACTGACCACCTCTTTCTACCATTAATCCCTGCCGGAATTATCGGACCCACGTACTCCGGCGTCGTCGAGCCAAAGACAGTCTCCGCCCCGCTCGGCTCTCTCTGCGTAACAAACCCTTGACCCAGCGGGGCGCCATCTTTCGGCCCAAAAGTAAACCAGGCCTCCAGTGTCCAAATATCCCGCCATACCATATGCCGAATCTCCTGAATCACATATAGCAAGAGATCCTCGTTGAGGTCCGTGTTTGGTTTCGTTGGCACAATGTGCAAGTGTACGCAGCCGGGCCTGTCGTGCTTTTTGAGGGTGCAGTAATCTGTCCATGAGCTGCTGTGGCTGTCGTATTGATATTCTGGTGAGTGGCTATAGACAAAGGATGCGAAGTCGGCTGCTGTTTTCCCGGCGAGGTTTACTGTGTCGATTTTTTTGTATGCCCAGTGGACGGTGAGGATGTCGGTGGAATCTGTGATGGTGTAGTCATTGGTTGCGCCTGGGCTTGCGGGGGGTCGGAGGGATCTTCGGCAAAGATTGGGGAGGGAAGAAATGCGACGGCGAGGAATAGGGCGGTGAGAGCACAGTAGTGCATTGTCATTGAGTGGACTGGTGCGTAGAGAGTTGTTGGGACCGGGGATCGGGCTTGTAGGACATGCGGATTTAGGATATGTGATTGCGATACTGTTTACAGGCTAATACCGGTACAAATAGTCTTCGTTGTACGAAAGCTGATCTCAAGTATCAAGTTCGAAAGTCCTAGAGTATGCTGATTTGAATGCGATGGGTGAAGATGCGCTGAGAAATCTGCTAGCGCTTGCCACGTACATGCGACCCGGCGATTTATTTTTGTAACTGGCATAGGCTTCTAGAGAAATGTAAGACGCTGTTCCAGATTCAATCAAAGCCTGTGTCTGAACGCAAACATCTAAGAGGAAGTCTCACATTGTGAAAATTGGAATAGCACTATGACGACCAAAGGCACAACATACTGATTAGCGGGCTCTATACGTACCACCATTGATGTTCATATAGCCTGATGTTCTTTTTCCTCGCAAGGTCTACTTACCTGAAATCGTGTGTTCTGACCTGCGGTAAGCCTTTTATCCAAGGATTGAGCACATCCTTACTTTGCACCGCGCTCGTTGGCCTCACGAAAAGGCTCCGATAACCGTGACATCGCAACCTGCTGTAAGACATCTTCGCTCGGGATGCTCTCCGCCAGGTAGAGCATCGAAAGCTTCGACTTAGCTATTCTACTCATGCTTCACTCTTCTTTTCAATAAGAATCGTATCGTTGGAGACATCTTTCTCACCTTGTTCCAAAGGAGGGAGATTGAGACCCGAAAAATATTTGTCGCAAGATAATGATTGACAAGTCGAGCCCGCACTCTGCAATGAGAATCTGGTTCGCAGGCCTTTGTACCGTAGATAGCTTCTGTATAACCTATTCTCATGCGCTGGAGGAAATGATGTCATTCGTGATTTGACTGATTTCTTTTTTGGGCTCCTTACATAAGGACATTTTTGACAACATGCTGCCAATCTTACTCTCTCACGCTTCTGCAAATCACCTCGTACGCATCAATACAATATGCCAATCAATTCAGTCGACTGGGTCGACCAAATCGTTGATACCACCGCTCCAGTAGAAGCCACCGACCACCTATCGGACCTAACAGCCTCAGATCACGACATTCTTACCCGCGCGATCAGGAAAGAGAACGACTATACCTTCGGAGCGGTTCTGATCTACGGCTTATTCATTCATGAGCTCTGCCCTTTGCAAGTTCAATACAAACCCAGACTACGACTGGTTTCCCTGGTTCCCTCGGTTCCCGCCACATTCCTCGTCAACATAGGCGTCGTCGTGAGCGCGGGATTCATCCCGACATGGTATCTGGGCAGATGTTTTGGTGTGAACGCTGGACAGCGAATGATTCAGAGGAAGTATAGGGCAAGTGAAGGGAGGACCGAGTGGGCGTTCAGAAAGCAGCAAGCGGCGGGGTTGAGAGCGCGGCAGGGAGTGACGGAGCGGGTTGCAAGGCTAGAGGGGCGCGTTGTGTTGGGGAGGCGTGAGAGGTTCTTATTGTATTGGAATGGTCTGGAGGATTACAATGAAAGAATGAAGCAAGAGAAGCGAAGGGCAGGAAAGTAATTGAAGAATTGGGAAGACTGAGGATTGATATTGGCTGCGTATGTCAGCGAGCACGGATTCTTAAACCCGAGAGATCGGCTTTAAGAGAGGTGACGATATTGTTGCTGCGGCAACCATTTTACGCGTTTTCACTCACATGTTTCTCTCACATGGCGAGACATTCATCGATCTCCATTATGAGCCATCGCTACATAAAAACGTTAAGACAGTCTGAATTCTGCAAGTGTGCAATATACTCAACACACGACATGACCACTAATCCATTCCCATCGCAGACTTTTCAAGAACCTACAGGAGATCTCTTTGTGCGCGCTTTCCTTGACAATCTCAACCTGATTTGCGTAATTGGATGCTTTGGCTTAGGCAGCAGGATACCCGTTGCATAGTCTGTTGTTTGTGAGCTCGATAGGCCACGCTGGAATGGCAAAGAGCAAAACTTAGTGGGAGGGGAATCGCGGCGGGATTGGGGAGGTTGAAGTGGGAGTAGAAGTGCTCGCTGATCGATAGGGACTGATTGGATGTTGTGGAATTGAATTGGTGGATTCGGAGATGCATGCAAGGGGATAAGTCTCAGGGTTTTGAGGTATGCAAGGGAAGAATGTGCAACGTACCCCAATTTCCTTCTTTTTGCATCTCTCATGATTGCAGAGTTTGTACTTCCACCATTCATCAAGCACTGTGTACAAACTTCTTCCGCCGTGATTGGGTATTCTGCATGAGTCCATGCTGAGCTGCAGACCTGTGCACATAATAAAAGGGCGTTATACACAATTTGGCCGAGCAGTGAGCAACCTATCCACACCTCCTTTAAACAGTAATCTGGCGCTCGACTTGAAATGGCCGAGCAAATCAGCCGCATTCTCATGCATCACTTGACCAGCGCTCGAGATAGGTTGTGAGCCGTTGCCGCCTTCGGTTTCCTTGTCCTATAAAGTGTCATACGCTTCGTAGTTGTCGTCAGCTCCCTCATCAATCTGCGTTGCGAAGTAGATGCCCTCGTGCTACAGGGCACTCGTTGCCGTTATCTGCCAAAGGCCACGTCTGACTCCGTCTTCCAACTACGCAGTCCAGCAAGCTATTAAGGGTCTTCCGTTGTTGGAAGACACTCTCTTTCTTATGATCGACAATTCAGAATCCCATGCTTTGCATATGGGAGCTTCTCAAAACTTTGGTCGTAGTGGCGCGGGTACTCCGGGCAATGTTTGTTTCGTACACGTAGCAACAAGCCATCTCTGATGACACCGCGAATGATGAGACGCCAGTTGCTATTCTCTTACAAGGGACTTAGGCTTGCTTGGGAATTCGTTACTTGCTGAGATTGGCCAGTCGGAGACTGAAACCGCTAGCGACCCGTGCTGATTCTGCGGCTGTTGAGTTTCATGTACAGGTTTTGTGAAGCGCCTCAATCACTCCTATGATCGAATTTCCCATGAACGGGCCGTATCTCCAATCCGAACTCCGCAACTAAACAAGCTTCTTCTTTGATGTTGGTGACGTACCTTCAAAGTCACAATTGGATGGAGGTAATGTAGCGATAGTTGACAATCTTGATTTTGAGGAGGCACTTCGCGCCTTGGATCACACACCAACATCAGGAATCTTATCCATGCGATATAGGATCGACGAGATACTTTAGTGCCGCCATAATATATGACTATGATTAGCTCTGCCTACCAAGTATTACGTATCTGTGTGTCATTTCTAGCATCTAGTAGCACCATCTTCGTCCCGTTCCTTCCACGTGGGATCAACCCCGCGGGGTTTATTTCTAAATCATGTAAATACTTATTAGATCCTGCAAGGCCATTTGGTGGAATGTCTGACTTCATGGGGTGGGCACTTCTGCTTAAGATGGGAGTTGCAATTCGCCTTGCTATACTATTATCTCTGGCTGCGCGCTGCTGTTGGGCCAGTCCACTGGACACCAGACAGATCTCAGCCTGCACCGATAGTGCTGCGACGTACTCAGAGTCATGCTGGGCTGTTCTTGGAGTGTCGGACTACATCTTGAAATGGGCACCCCCCAAATGCGACGGCAGCGAAAGCCCTGGAATGGACGGCTCAGCTTGTTGTGAGCCAGACGAAGCGTGGTCAAGATGCTTCCTCCGCCTCGCGAGAGGAGATTCGACGCAGGGTTGCGATGTTATCAATGATCAGAAGTGTCATGATGACGGCAAATTAAGTGCGGGCCTAGATCCAAGTATTTATCATCAGGTGCGCTATGTCGCAAAGAATATTTACGACATTAACAATTTCTTTTCGACGTACTGGAGTGGTGGGTAGAAATGAAATAACGAGGCCCTCCACGTCATTGCATCCGCTAATTGCCTGCCAGCAATCGACTCGGCGGCAGGGCACACTGGCCTAGTCATTTCTCAGCTTGTTCAGTACTTCGATCCACTGAAGAAGGCGGGTGTTGATATCTTCAACATACTGTCAACCCTGTCGTTAGGGCTAGCTTTTCTTGGTGTGAGTGGAAATTCAGGCTGCACCATTTACGAGCGAGCAAGCTTTTGACCTAGCACCTGATCGCTGACGCATATCAGGCACCTAGTATAGGCGCTGCAGTCGCTAAAGAAGCTCTGGGGCTGGCGGAAAAGTTGATCGCTCAAAGTTTCATAGTCAGTCTTTCCCAGACTCCCGGACTTGTCAAGAATCTTCTTCCAACTGGCACTCCCGAATCGCAAATAAATCAAATTGGAGACCTGTCTGCCGATCTCGGCAACCTTGCCACATCACTTCAAACACAGTTCAACAACGCCTTAGAATCTATCATGAATGACATTCCTACATTCAATGCTTTTGCTATCTCTGGTAATTGGTCGGGATCTAATGACATGTCTCTGCCAGAAACCACGCAAGGGCTCGATTACATGCTCAAGACATATATCACATCCGAAGCGATGAAAGCAAACTCGTGGTTAGGTATTCCAGGAAAAATAGTCAATGAATCAGCGTGGGCAGCCGGAAAATGGGATGGGCAGTGGCCAGGAGGGGCTGCTGGATGGGGAAAACCCGATGGATCGCTGAATAGTGGCACTTTTCGGAGTACAGTGACGGGTCGACTCTACGTTCTGTACTATAAGCAAGGTGACAGTCCTGGTCACGGGGTCACTCCAACGACTGCGGTGCAAAGAATCAATGCTTATGGCTGGGCCAACCTAGAAACCCTGTTTGACGGATCCTACAACTGTACAGCTTCTGGGAAGGCGGGAGGTAGCGACATCATTCAGGTCAATACTGATGGTACCTTGGAGACTGGATGCGTGTCCCGGCTACCAATATATCATCGCTGTTATGAAGCTTGCCCGCAAAGTATGCCTGATGGAAGCTGCCCTTTTGGGCAATCAGACTCATGTGACTAATAAAGTGATCAATCTCAATGACTTTTACATGCTTTAAAAAAAGAGATTGAGAGTAACACCGGACTCATCGCACGTCGACATCGATATGCTTGAAAAGGTTTTCCCGAGTGCTCATTTAGAGACTGTTCGAACGGCTAGAGCACGCAGTCTGGTGCACAAGACGGGTCATGCGTGACTGTGCAACGATGATAGACTTTCACGCCAACTTACATATGCTAGAGACTGTGATGGGAGCTAAGAAATGGCCTTACCCGTAGCCACAAGTTGGCGACTGTCGCAAGATCAAACGGTATTGTCATTGTAGATCACGAGAGATTGCCGCTTGGTTTGGTGCAACATCGTTCCACATACGCGAAGAAGCAGCGTCAATGTGCACTTAAAGTCAGACTAAGAACCCAAGTCGACGATCCTGATATTGTTGCCGAGTCCAGGAAGAAAGGAGACAATGTGAAGGCGCTAATTGCCTACTTTGACGTCGAGTCAAGAATTGAGCCGTCCTCAAACGGTCGTGTGAGGTCATTACATTGGTAGGATATAAGTGATCTCGTCCACGATACAACTTACTTCCCGAAGTCGACGCTCACATACATATTGTCATGTTCAATTAGAAAGTCTTTAGGAGCACCTTCTTTTATGACTCCGAGAATCTGCAGTCATATTTAGCTGAGCAAACTACATAACCTAAGCCAACTCAACGCCGAGGCAGATTAGGGAGCCTCTTGTAGCACCTAGAACGCCGCAAGGATGAAGTCGTGCCCCACAAAGGACGTTGAATATTTGAAGTTGTTCGAAGTGTTGTATAAATAGGAGAGTATTGTCATCGACTCAATTATGAGTGACTGTATAGTGTAAGAGGCAACGAGCGTTTAGAGTCAAAGAGTCCCTAGATGTAGCGAGTCGCTTATAAAAGGCTTAGGAGACTGCAAGAAGTGCGAAGTCGATCATTTTCGTAATAAATAAATTACTGGGAGAATGGAGATAGCCCTAAGTACGAGTTTGATGAAGGGCAGGGTGGTAGTTGAACTTTTGGATAAAGTTGCTTGTATACCAAGTCGTTTGATATGAGGCTTACAAAGTAGCTAGTTGGCAGCGTGTCAGAGTAATTATGTGGTGCAAAAAACATGTAGGACATGTACTCCATTAGTAGTCAAGACTATTCACTAGCCATGATCAGGCAGTCAACTATGACCCTATCCTCCATTACTTGGTTCAATGGGCAAGTCTGACACACCTACAGGCAGGATCTTTGACATACTAAAGACATCAATCGAGCCATGGACCGCGTTTGGATTCTGCTCCACCACGGACTGAATATCGTAATCTGCGACACCAGACTCAAGCAACTTCCTCTGCGTCGCAGCCGTTCCCTCCGGTTGGGGAAAATCCTGACATTGGGCGTGGAGTGCTACACATCAGTCAACAAACAGCTTATGACAACGATGCCAAAGTTGAGATATCGATGCAAATCACGTACAAGCAGCATAGAGCGCATAATTCTGAGCATTTCTCAACTGGTCACTAGGAAAGAGATCTGCCGCGTCCTGATCGTAATATACCTCTACATCAGTTGACTCGTCCACAGCGCCATGAGCATGAGCTAGCTCGTGTACAACCGCCCCCAGCCGATTCAGAGATAGGTTAGCATTGTTCTCCATAGTATTGTTTCGAATTCTCGGGCATTCGTTGTGCGGTCTCGGAAACAGTGGCAGATCGAAAAAAGCTGGACAGAGCAAGACATTTCCGCCTTGATCGTTCGGTATGTCTGAGGAGTAGGCAGCCTCCGTGTCCTCATATACGGTGCACGCCTCCTGATACGCATACACGAGCACAGGATCCGGAGCATCCTCTGTAAGACAATAAATCCTGAATTTGTTTGTTTCCAGGTTTTGTTGCTCAGGTCGTTGGACGTCGACCATGTCTGAGAATAGTTTTGCTACAGGCACCTTGAGGCGTATGCCTTTGAAGTATGTAAGGAAGGCGTCGCGTGGTTGCGTCTTGGAGCGGACTTTCTTGACATCCTCGAGAACATTGCTTTCGACGAAGTAGAGCGCTTCTTCGAATGACTCTATGACTTGGTCGGTTTTGTTGCCGCAGTAATTTATTGGGTAGCCGTATACTGAACCTAGTGCGTGGACGAGTGGGCCCTGGATAGCGATGATGCAGAAAACGGCGAAGATTTTGAACGCTACCGTAGCGCATGGTGAGCTCATGCCGACTCGGAGAATATAATATTGATTTGCGAATGGCTGATTCTCGCTTTAATTGTTCCCTGGACGTTCAAAGGTAGCTGCTGGTGACTTCAGGATCCCCACTCGACAGGACGGCTCGTCGATGGCCCGTTGGAAGCCTTTTTAGGACCACTGCCATTTTGTCATGTCTCTGAGAGCAATACTTCGCTGTTCACAGCTCGAAACGGCGGGAAGCCAAAATAGAAACATCAGTCATCTGAAGGTCGCACTTCGGGTGTCATCCCGCGGGCGTCGCGTAAGAGAATGAAACGTTGTGAAGAATTGGCTATTGGTCACCATGCGCTTCAATGACTAGCCTTAGTTAGGCAGTCGCGATCAAATAAAGTAGAGGGCGCAAGCAGTGGGATCTGCTGCAAATCTGGGGACCACACGCTAGGAAATTGGGCAATATGCCAGATCAATTTCATTCGACATATTTCTCTCCAACAAAATCGACGCAATCGATGTCTGCCCTTGGCTCAGAGGTAGCTTCACACAACTACATGCCTTATGCCGATTAAAACAAAGAGCGAGATTTGCAAAGAACCGATGAATCTCATCCAAAGTGCACAAAGGCTGCGAACTTTTCCCTTTTAACAAGACTACGTCAAGAAAAGTCGAGGACTCCTTCGAAGGGCTCAGATTTCTGTCTAGATCAGCCCGCTCTCTACGTCCATAGGTGTAGGATGGTTAATTTTCAACCTTGTTGGCCGACGAAAATGCCGCAGCTCGCGTCACGAGGTACAGCATGCTAAAATACCACATGGATCACAATTCTCCGAGCACCAAGGGAGAACCCCCGCTTTTTCAATGGTGGCATTCAAATTTGCCACGAGCTCCCATATTCGCCAGACAACTCAGATAGGTACATCGTCATGCAGAAATCGAGTCGCAACTGTGTGCCGACCATGCCATCAAACATACCGAAGGCGAGATGAGGCATTATGATGACTCATGAGATTCACCGATTTTGACTGATTGCGTTTCCTTATTTTAGCTAGGAAGGGCATTCGCTTAGCGAATTCCATAAATTCTGCACAGGAGGATTGTAGCACACAAATGGACGGATACTAGGGTTTCAGGACACCGACTGCGTTGACTGTAGTTCAGCGCATACTCATAGATACTAGTAGATTCAATGAATGAAGCCACCTTTTATCTTGGAAATCCCACCTAGTGCACAGATGAACTAGTCGGTAAGTTGCTAGCCAACTCGCCTTTTCACCTAACGAGGGCAATAGTATTTCGCGTACTATCATAGTAGCAGATTTCGAGTCGTATGCATACGTCGGACGTTGGAGTCTTTCATGATCACCGTAATACTCCAAGACCCCCAAGGATATGAAACAACGGTTGTGATTTATGATGTCCGCGGAGACAGCTGAAGCCTGTTCGCATCTCGTATGATGAGCTTTAGGTTGCACGGACATCAAGTGTAGTCAAAATGGTCAAGTCACCCCCTTAAAGCTTTCCACATTCTCAAGTACTCGGAATGCAATAGCAAGCTGGCCAACTACAAAACCCTCGTTGCAACATAGCAATCTGCCATACGTATTCGCGTCACAACATCGCATAGGTATTCATACAGCCTACGACACTGCAACCGACGAGACGCTAGGCGCCGCCTGCGCCTGATCATCCAACCCCGGACACCTGCCTCCCGGACTCTGACTCTGCAAACACCAGGCCAGTCTTCCAAACTCCAAAAGCGTTGTCCGCACGGTAAAGATAGACGTCGTGCTCTGCCACTTCCCCTCCCCCTCCATAATCGGCCCAATCAAACTCAACCGAATCCCACTAATAATATCCAACCACGTAACTGTGTTCTGCTCAGTCCCGAGATTCCCCAGCTTGAGGATAATGGTGCCGCCGGTATCGGGATCGTTGCCCAAGAGTTCTTGCCCGGTGCGGAAGGAGCGGCTGACGGCTTGACGGGCGTCGAATTTGTAGAGGGAGGAGAGGAGGGAAGTAATGAGTTCTAGAATTACCTTCTGGCTCATGAGCTGGCCGGTGTAAGTCGGGCCAACATGGATCGGGTCAGCGTTCTCGCCGCCAGGCGCGTTGGGATCGAATACTGCGGCTTGGGCTTGAAGAAGGTCTGTCTCGAACGCACCGATGATGTGTTGGTCGGAGAAGATTTTGTATGTAGGGACGTTCCAATTGGGCTTTGCGGGGACAGCCGGATCGTCCGCGGGCTCGTTTGCTATGATGTCGTCCATTGCAGTTAAGACTGCCCAGCCGGCCGTGTGGCCAGTGAAATCTTCGCGTTTGTCGGGAGAGGGGGAGAGGGACATTTCGCAGTGATGGACGGGGAAGAGAATATCCTCGTGGTATTTGACTTCTTCAGTGATGCTTTGAGATCTGGTATCCGCCCATTGCGAGGAGATGAATGAGGTCCACGTGTAGATTAGTAGGCCACCGGGGATTGAGGTAGTTCCTTTTTCAGTCCATGGCTCGATGATGATGTCGGGTGTCTCGGCAGGATCGAAGGGGAGACCGAGCGAGTCTTGGTGGCTGCATAGAATATCAGATTTATGATGGTCAGGTAAGATATATCAGTAAGATGGCCTACGGGATAATTGCAGTAGCTGGAGGCGCAGAGACTGGAAATACAGCAGCTGAAAGAGCCCTATCGAGGTAGAAGAGTAGGATGATAATCGCGAGTTCCTTCATATTTGCTGGTTGTTTCTCTCGGTATGGTCGTCTGGGAACTTGATGGAATATTTGAGTGTTGAGGGTGCTTTCATAGCCTGCATAAGCCTTAACATGAGCTTTTGGCTATGTGTAAGATCGTGTTAGCGTAGCGTAATAGGAACATTATCTTATTTGACTCAATGTGGCCACTGTGGTTAGGGTCGGAAGACGGCATTGTCTGGCGCTTTATGTGTGAATATTCCAAGAATAGGTGTTTGGCTAAAACCAAGGGCTAGTGCTGTCTTGTTTGCGCGTAATAGTCCCCGCCGATACCTATAATTGCTCTGCTGTATGCGATCCGCTATTGCCAAGTAGGCAAAACTATTATTTGTGACATGCCTAGAGAGTATTGAGTCACCGGTTATATAGTCAAGGGTGAAGAATGGCGAGATTTCAAATATGTGACTCCATAAAAATGCACCTAAATTTAGCACATAAAGTCACAAAACTGACTGATTCTCACTTAGCGTTCATTTCGACACTTGAAGTTGCTCATAGTTCGCAGAAAATGGTACGTGTTCGAATTATCTTAATGTATAGCATATGGCAGTCGCACAAGTCGAATAATAAATAATGTCGTCGGCCCAATATCGTGCCCCTGCAATAGAGAAAATGTACTTTGCGGACAAGCCGATGGCTTCCACATCCGACCATGTCACTAAGCCGAAATTCCTTCTAGTCAAGAATTGAACAAAGATGTATACTATGTCCGCCGACTTGAATATACAATCTCTTAGATCTGAGATTTTTTTAAACATAGAGGGCGCATTCATGCTTCTTCCTAGAACAATGATATCGTAACCTAAGTACAGTGGCTCCGCGAAGATTTCCGCTAAGGGCACGAGAACGAACAATCACCCTCCCTCTTTCCCCCATCATAAGCTCCCATCTTACACTTATCGCCATTATCCGTACTCCATTTCTCCTTCCCATACGTAACAGTAATCGGATCATCATCGACCGCGCCAGTCCTCAGATAAATCGTATGCGGCAGCGGACTCGTCACCCACAACGGCTTATCCATCTCAACCGCGGGATACCTCCACCCAATATCATGCGAATTAGCATCTTTGACCCACACCTCACACGAATAATTGTCTTTACTCGGATCGGGCTTCTGATGCTGCACGATGTGCATCCAACACGTGCCGTGCGCGTATCCATCTTTCCCGACTTTGAAATCGTTGCCTAAGGGGACGTCACCCACGTTGCTGGCTTTGCCCAGCTTCGGTATTCCACAAGTCCACGTCTTGGTCTCGTGATCGTCTTCTTCCTTGCAAACGTCTCCGCTGTCATCGCAGTGGAGGTTTGGATCACAGTCCTTCTGACCGAGGCTGTTGACGTCGATATCTTGCCAATTTCCAATGCCCTTGAAACGAAGAACCGGCGCGGTTAGGCCGTCGGTATCGCTGTTGATCCCGCCCGCTTTCGTGTACTCAACGGAGAAGTCACCAATTCTGTCGTCATGCCACTTCTGCTGCTTGCCGATCTCGCAGACTTGGAAATTGTTGTATTCCTTTTTTCCATCGGTGCATTCAACGGACATTTTGCAGCCGCCGCTAGCGTGTGTGCTCATCTGTACGGCGCAGAGGTCGGGTAACTTGTCAAATTCCTGTAACGTGAGAGTGTCAGCGGGCTATATGCGTTGAAGGGTGAAGAGGATTACCCATGCTCTGACGTCGGGATCATCACCGCCAGTTGCTGCCTGGATGGCCTCGGCGATGCTCTTTGCGATATCTGCGCGCTGGCGAGGGATCAAGATGGTAGGCGATGCTTCGCCGTATGTAATCCAGCTACCTGTCAGTAATGCAAGAAGAGCCGTTGCATGGATCGTTTTCATGTTTGAGAGATGTATAGCACAACTTATGCTTGATTACACGGTATTTGGTTGCTAATGATATTGGAGAATGATAAATCTATGTCTTTGAAAGTGGCCTTGATCATGGACAGAGTAGAGGATAATCATTGCAGCTTATAAAGACTCATGAAAACTCTCTAATCATCTTTCAAGAGATAGCTCGATGGATTCAATGGCGGAGCACTGATGTGCCAACATGCCCAGCACTTTGGCGAGATTGCTCAGTACCGATTCGCACGCACGTATAATCTTAGCAGCGTGTCTGTTTCATTACCATCATAGTACTAGATTATTCAAGGAACCGAGCAAGGCCGTAAGAAGGCGTAGGATCGAAGGAATGTGTTGTAATTGTAACTTCCCTTGTCTGCAAATACTCGAGTAGCCTATGTCTTCCACGATGAAAGTGAGACTGAAATCTAGGCGCAGCCTCAGGGGTCCGCATTGGCGCTATTTCGAGTGATCCATCAACTCGCTCTTTGTCATGTGGCACAATGCGGGTAGATTCATCAGATGGCAGCCTTCGCTAAGAGTGAAGATTGCATGATATAAGCCACAGTGACAGCAAGGCCAGATAGAACATCTTAATTTAAGCCCTTGGTACTGCGGCTTACAGCCACTAAACCACCAAGTGAAGAGTATGGTGCCAAGAGATATTAATGGCATTCAGCGGCAGGAGCACACGCCTTCTCTCAGTGCGCTCGACAATAGATCTCCTGGAACGTTGCATGCCTGTATCTACTCCACTGCGTACGGCCGATGACAGTACAATACTTGGCCTGAAGAAACCAACGTGCTTATCATAACGTGCCGTCCCGCCAAGCTTGCTTCATGTTTCGTGGCGTACATGCCCAGACCCGTGCCACTCTGGACAAGCGAGAAGCCAATATTGAACGATTCAATGCCAAGTAAAAGGAAATTTCAAGTACAGCTGAGGATCTAGAAAAAATATGTCTCAAGATCCGAACCGTTCAGACCCGGTACTCAAATTGCGTACATGCCAGGCCTGGCGCCTCGAGGATATTTAACCCATATCAGCACATAGTCATGTAGCAATGGGCTGATATGACAGACAGCATATATATGTAGAGAGATAATGTTACAGCGCCGTCGACATGGAAGGGGAGAGAGGTGCCAAATTCATGGCCAGCGTGACCACCTAGTGCTCTGGCTCGCCGGCTTTGTGTCGCGAAAGGTACTGGCTCCCAGCCTCGACAGCTATGAAGTAAGTGATAGCAATTCCACCATCTTCCCTTCGGTCAAGTTTCGCTACTCGCACTGAATAAACGTCACATGCAGGCAGCCTTTAAAATTCTGTCATTTAGTTTTTCTGGCCACCTTGCGTATCAAGAATGAGCATGCTGAAGTACGATGTGGCATTGAGCGATTGGAAACACTCTCGCGGAACGGAAAGTGGAGAAAAGGGCTTGGGACTTTTCCATGTTCTTCACGCTAAGAATACTTTAAATGGTCTTAATGTAAGTTCGATTTTGCAACAGAAAATTGTTCTTCAGTCGTCAATTAACACTCAAGGCTGACGACGGTCGATCGATAATGTGTAGGGGAAAAAGCTGAATGTACCATCTATTTCTACCACCCCAATCAACTTTCAACGAAGAGAGACATGCGCACTTTTTCAATCGTCCACCCATCCACTATTTCTACAATCCTCAGGGTCCCTCGGCAATTGCGGCTCCGTTCCCGGAATCGTGTAAGAATCCGGCCATCCATGCTGCTGATAACACGTGCACAGACCCCAGAAGACAATGGGATCGATGACCGTATCATCGACATCCCTCTCCGTGGCATCAGCAAGATGCTTCCCGGCACCCATAGTGAAATCGAAATCGCAAACCGGCAGATTGAAGAACATGATATCTTTAGCCGCCACATCGGTGGGGTAGGTCGTCAGATGCTGGATGGTGGCGCCATTCTGGTCCGTGAACGGGAAGCCGTGTTCATCCCACGTCTTCTCCACCGCGAGCGCAATGTCCGGCAGCTCCAGTCCGTAGTCTTTGAGATGATTCGCGTTCTTCGTCCCGTCGCCTGCGGTTCCGGTCGGGCCGATGCCGAACACAAACCAGGACCGCCTTTCGAAGCGGCTGTAGTCGTCCGGTTGGTCGCCGTTCACGACCGTGACTTGGAAGCGCGCGAAGATGTACGCGACTCCATTGATGCAGGCGGTTTGGTCCGGGAACGCTTTGCAGGCTGCACCAGCGCCTTTACCGTAGGCTTTGTCGGTGATTTTTATCACAAAGACTTGGTCTTGGGCCCAGAGGGCGTTGATGGCGGAGGCGGCGAGCGCACCGTAGACGCCTGGGTTGATGGTGCCGACTTCGACGTTTGTGGCAAAGACGCCGTGAGAAAGTTGGGAGACTATGAGGGAAGGGTCATCGACGTAGCTACGGCCTTGTTGTCCAGAGTTGTGCGCCGATGGAAGGGTGTGGAAGGTATCTTTGAAATAAGTGTCCAGTGCGTCTGAGATCTGCGTGAATGCCTGGCCCACGGCAGATTGCACTTCACCCCATTGCTTAATAGGGCTGGTTTTGGTCAGTGTTATTTGGATATGTTTGGATGTGTTGGCGACTTACTCTGGTCTTGTAAGGCCTGCTTCCGTGAGAGCTCCATTGATGATTGATCCTGCACCTGCAACAACAGCTGCTGGTGGATAAGCTGCAGATATAGCAGCCGCAATCCCACTGAGGAACGAGATAGGGAAAACCAGATCCGAGAGGTCTTCACGCGCCACATAGAATTGAGAAACCAGGTCGCTGGTCTGGAGACCAGCAGCGACTGTGCTAGTGGTGAAGGTACTCTGCAGTTTGCCCAGGAATCGTGCAAAGTGTGTCATTGCGAACCAAGCGAAATGAGCTTTCGGATGTTCTTTGCAGAGATTATAGTCAAGACCAGTCCCAGAGCATCCGGGGTCGGAGATCTCGTCGCACTTTTCTCCACCGTCATTGCCCATCAAGTGCAAGATGAGTGATTGATAGTCTCCGACAGGCTGAGTCTTCGCCGCGTCATAGTGCCAGTCGTTGTCTTCAACAGCTTTCGTACTTCTTCCGTTAGCACAGTCCAATGTCTGGAGATGGGGACCATACGCTTCAATCATCCAATCGACCATGTCATATTGGTTCCACGAGTCTGCGTTGCGCGTATCTGCACCCACTTGATTGCCGCTAGGCTGCCCACAGATGACTCCGACCATGTCCTCGGCTGCTTTAATCGCCGCGACTTGCTCGACGGCCTTTAGTAAAACTGTGATATTTGGCGAGTCTGCCGGCTCTGGAAATGGAGCTGGAACCGCAAGCGCTCGGCACGCTGGAAATCTTAGTACGGAAATGGCGAGTGGAGTAAGGCCTCGTACCGTATACCCCACATAGGAGCAAAGAATACATTCTTGAACGCATCCTCATTTTCCAGAATCTGTAATCATGCAAACATTCATGGATGGGCACGCTCGAGCGATACCAAGATGCACGGAAGCGCTTGGTAGATAAAACGAAGAATAGGCCCTAGGCTTCACTGAGCAGATACGATCAAGAAGGGATAAAGATATGACAAGGAGATTGAGGCCTTTTATATGCATATGCCAACATGTTGGTCGTTGCCAAGCCAAATTTGATCACGAGATATCGTTCTTGTTGCAAGAGAGAATATCGCAAGACTAGGACCTTGACGCGAGAGAATGGTTAGACATTGGCGTCAAACATATCAACAACAGATTGAACATTGCAAGCAACGGACGAATCAACAGGGCAGCCCAACTGTAGAATCAGTAATGTCATAAGCCTCCTGCATGATGGCATGCTTTGAGTTGGAACGGGCAAGGGTACGTCACCTCATTTCGCAACGGTCATGACTCGTTCAGAAATGGTTGCCTATGGTAATTTTGATGCACTACATGATTGTGGGGAAGTAAGCCTCAATCTCCAGGCTATTATGTTGGAAAGCCAACCTTCGCCAAGCTTGCCAACGGCGGGGATGTTATGACAGGGTGATTGATTTGCTTAAGGACCTGGAGAACTCTTGCGATTGAGCCAATGAGGAGCACAGAGAACATGCATCTTTATGAAGCTCGACTGGTGTTTCAAGGATACCCGATGATCCAGACTTGGCATCCAATTTCAGATGATATTCTGCTTGCAACAATGACGTGGAGGTCTTTGAGGCTGATGAAGGCTCCTGATAAGGTTTCAAATAGTCTTTTACCAGCGAGCAGTCATGGTCTGCCCATCGTGGCCCTAGAGGAGCAAGAAGAGATGGGTCGCCACACGCCTAACCTAAAGATCGCGTCGTTTGTTTCGCATCGGGGAGACAGGCAGGTAGTACCGTATGACGTCGATGGAAGTGGCTATCCCACAGGATCTTCTGGAAAGCTGATCCCGAATTTTCATTGTCGACCAGACTTGTTAAGACCAAGTAAACGAATTACAAAATTTGCGCCGTTACGTCCTCAAGGTCATGCCTCGAGGGTCTCTACTGTGGACAGAGAGGGGCAGCAATCCGGCCCGATGATTTTGTTGTAATTAGATGACGTTAGTAAGGATATCACGGATAGAGGGAGGCTCCGCGCCCAACACCAACATACTAGCATATCCGGGGGCGGATAGACCTATCGATGATTAGGACTAGCCTAGCTTATCCTTTGTTTCAGCTTTCCTGCGGTTCTTCATGTCCTGGGGAGAAAGCCAGAATCACGTCTCTTGAAAGGAAGACGACTTGCGATAAAAAGCTAATTGTCACTCTTGAGTCTCGGTAATAATGAAAGTGAGGAAGAGTTCGATGAGCTGCGGTTGGTGAACCCAGTAGTAGTCTTTGATGATAATGATCGTCCTGAGGCTAAGCTAGTGTGCCGAGACCTGGGGAACTACAAACCAAACATCAAACACAGTTTGGGGCTAAATTTGGCAAGCACGTGACTTATATCGTGAAAAGGAGGAGATTGCGGCGTGGGTCGGAGACTCCGTTGACTGTGCCATATGTTTGTTGTTGTACTAGCAGGGTCCGTACTCACTCCACTGTTGGTAGAGGCAATCTTGAGCGACAGGAGCCTGATATATTGTTGCAGAGAGTCTTCCAAGGCCATCGACATTGCGCTGTTACGAGAGGAGATCCCAACCTATAGACAACATGTGTGCACCATGTCAGCAATGCAACAATCAGTGGATATGATCCAAATAACAAGCCTTGACCAAATGTGGGCTGTTCAGCACTACAATCGTTCATCTAGTTCGTGCGAGGGGTTGTCCTCCAAGCTGCACTTCAGCACGTCATTCCCCAGGCCATTTGGGTGGACACAACACATCTGACAAGCAGGTCCCTCGCTCTTGAGATTTCAACAATGCGTGGAGATAGACTTCTCAAGCCCAAAACATTTCCTACCATGTCGTGTGCAGAGATAGTAAAGATGATAAAAAATGACTGCCGATTATCTCCTAGAAATGCCGGGTGTCGGAACAACAGAGATGCCGGACCGTCGCGTCCACATGGATCGCGTCCTTATGCGTCGTGTCCATATGCCTCATCATTCTTACCGCGCGACCTTCTCTCTCCCATAATCACACAGCAATCCCCCTTTCGCGATCCAAAACCGTACACACCCACCCCGGCATCATAGTAAAAGTCTTCTTCTCCGTGAACCGCTCCTCATCTGGCACCAGACGCGCTAAATACTCAGGATCCTCAAACAACTCTTTGATTTTCTCCTCGCTCTCCGCTTCCAGCACCACGATACCGTCGTAGTCGGAGACGGATTTGCCATCTGTGATGTACTGGGAGCGGGCTTGGGGGTTTACGTGGATCTGGAGTGTTGGGACTTGTCTTTGCGTGGAGGATGGGAAGCGGCGGAGGGGAGGGAAGGGCATACTTGTTCATATCTCAAGATATTCCTCTTAAAGATTGGGATGGATAGCGCGTTTTTGGAGTGCTCGTCTCGCCAGTACGCGTCGAAGTCTTCGAAGGACATGCCTTCTTTGCGGTAGAAGAATATGAGGAGGAGTGCGCGGTTTGGAGATGCCATCGTTGTTGTTTGGTTTGAAATGAGGGGCTTTGCTGATTGGGATTGTTGATTAAGCTACGGCTTTTGAGGGGGACTGGGTTGTCGTCGACATTAACAGTGGTTGCTAATAGTGCAAATCCGGGGAAGAACAGTAGGTCTCGCTATGGAAAGTGGATTGGTGAGAGAAGGGTGTTATATCGTGGTGATGTCATGCCGAGGTCATAGCTGATCCTGACTCCTTCGCTCATCAGCGAGTCTACAGAATACAAAGCATGATTGAAACGTCAAATGCCCGGCGCCTACTGACCTGATGAAACAAATGAGGAGTCGCTGGCTCTCGCGAAAGACGTGCCTACTGATGGAACATGCTGATGCAAGAGAGACTGTCGATGATCGGGAAGACGAGAAGAGAAACATGGAGAACGACCTGACGAGGAATTCTTGCATGAGCATTCATTTTTGGAGTCTGGCGCTGGGCAGAAACCTTTCTCGAGTGCTGCGAGCGAGATTACCTCAGGTAAAAGAGAAATATCTTGCACTATCCCAAACTTCAATGGACCACCTCACCGCCCACCACCGCCCCATCACCTTCTCTCCTCCATCGCAAACTCCTTCCCCCCTTTCCCCCCTTCCTCCCCAACCCAAACGGCAGCCTCTTCTCCACCATCCCCGTCAACTTATCGCTCCCCTTCCCCACGACCCTCCCAACCGCCACATCCAGCAGCGCGCACAGCACCACGATCCCCATAAACACCGTGCCCGCAATACTACACCCCATCCAATTCTCCCCCTTCTCGCCTGCACCCCCAATCCCTTATGCGCCTCAAAGAAGCCGCACAGCTTCTTGCACAAGAAATGCACCAATATCGTGCCGAGCAGTAGACTCAGGAAGGCGCCGAGCGCGCTCGCGAGCGTGGCGTAGCGCAGCATGTTACTTTTGGAGGTGGGCGGGATGGTGAGGGCGGAAGTCAGCAAAGAGAGGAAGACGAGGATCAAGGCCACGATGTACAGCGCGGCGATGATCTTGGAGAGGAGGGTTATAGCTTTCATAGCGAAATCGACGGGGTCGGGGAAATGGAGGTTGGTGATGAAGGCGAAAGGGTCGTCGGCGGTGTGGCTGGAGTTGGCGGTGGTGGTGCTGGTGGAGACGTTGTATTTGTGGTTGGGCTTGTGGTTGGAGCAGAAGGTGATGTTTTGGCTGCTGGTCTTGGTGTAGCGACCGGAGCAGTACGTCATCAGGTGCGCGAGGTAGAAGTCTTCGATGTTCAGGGTGGAAATGGTTTCGTTGATGAAGGTGCTGACGATTTCGGCGGTCGCGTTCTTTAGTCCGTCCTTCAGCTTTGTGCCTGCGTCTTCGATTGCTTTCTTGCCGTCGTTGACCGTGTCGGTGATGTTGGCTTTGAGATTCTTGATGGCTGCGGAGGGGTCTTTGATGGCGTCCGCGGCGTTGGAGGCGAGATTGTCGCCTTTATCCTCGACTTTCTTGCCTGCGTTGGTGATGTCGTCGCCGATGTCTCGCGGGAGCATGGTGCTGAAGTTGAAGGATGGGTCTGGGGGAGGGAGGCCTAAGTCTTTTTGGAAGGTTTCGCTAATACGGGATGTGTTGAGGGTGTAGAGCTGCATGTTTGGGAGCGTGCTGGGGTTCGTGCCGGCGAGCAAGCAGCACATCGCCAGGATGAATGCTACGGTACTGCAGAATAGAGCTGCCGCTGGAAGGGCGGCGCGGTAGGCGGCGAGCATAATGGCGAGTCTGAAGAGTTATGCCTAACGAAGGTTTGATTAGGATTAAGTCTGGCCAGCAGACGATGTATATGAAAATGAGGTGAAAAGAAAGATTGCAGGAAAATAACAATGCTCGCCGAGAGAAATTGGATGTTCAAGAGTACAATGAGAAGAGAGACGAACGGTTCTTGTACAAAGAAGCACAATGGCTTGGTGTTTCAGCCTGTCCAAAACAAAGAAGAGACATGAAGGACAGTGGAAGCTTGAGGTGACACCAGGTCACAGGACATCAAGCTTGATTTGAGCTCTGAAGATATGGCAGGCTTGCAAGACCTGGCATTCTTCACTGTTGCCGCAGTGCAGTGGTAGTGCAGTCGGTTGATTGGCTGTTGTTGTTAGCTGGTCGTGCCTTGGCCGGGGTAGCGCCTGATGCTATTTTTGACCCCAATTGCTGCACGACTTCATCTCTCGTCCAGTCTTCACGTTGCGCATGCGAGCAATGAGACGGATGCTGATTTGATGATTGTTCTGTTGTGGTCGTGACGGTGGAAAGTATTGTGGTCGCCCCAGCTGTTCATTCCACACCTGAATTTATGGGTGCGCTCCGGGGCTGGAGTGCCAAGAAAGTCCGCCTAAAGCTGGTCGTCGGGGGGCGTCTCCTAGGCCTCGACGGCGTTCTTAGAGTCTTCATGGCCTTGTTTCCGGAAAATGCTCACCGCCATCGCCCAGCTTGACATTAAGCATTTACAGGTTTCCCATGAGGATCTCTCTCGCAAGTGCCTTGATATGCCGCCCTAAGTCATAGCTAGAATCACCTGATCCCCTTCATCAGGACTTTGGCGTCGGTCAAGAATTGCCTCGGAAATCGCGACGTACTACTGCGTGGATCATACTGCACAGTGCGACATCAGTGATGCTGCAGGGCGCGATGGCATCAAAGCTGGAGCCGCTCATCCAGAAGGCGCTTTCGGAAGCACAGTCAAGCATTGAAGGTAAGGGGGAAAGAGGCTGACCAGACGTCCCTTTTCATTGAGGGGTATCGCACTTTTGCCTCCTTCTCTTAGAATCTTTAAAGGTTATTATTGAGCTCTGTGGTCAACACTTCCTAACGTAAAGAACAATCCGATCATAACTACTTAATGAGACTGTCAGAAACCACTGTCATTGACCCAGATCATGGCCCTCCATTATACATTATTACTTGGTCAAAGGTTTCAAGGAACCACCAGCCCTGTAGCGAAACCTGTACCTGTCAGGCTCCGCACCTCGCACCGCCATAGTATCCCACACCCTTCTTACTCCATGACCGCCGCGCACTGCGTCACATTCCCCGCCGTCCCTGCCGTCCCCGGCGACGCCGCCGCACCCCCCTGCCCCTGCCCCTGCCCCCCACCAACAGCATCCGTCAACGTCTTCAAATTGCCCGCATCGAATGTCTTATAACACCCGGTCGGCTTCCCCCACCATCACAATACCCATAGTCAAAGTAAACAGCGCCGAGGCCCTTCCCCTGCATGACCGCCACCGCGCCCGCCACATCCGTCTCGGGCGCAGAATTATAAACCCACACGGCGGACTTCCCCAACCGCGCCTGCGGGAACGTCGCAATAGTATCCGCGCCATGCCACTCACCGACCGCATTCTCAAACTCCACCATGAAGTCCGCGACATCGAATAACTGCTCGGGCCCCAAGGTGCCAGGGTTGAAAGCCACATGCCCCGCCAACCCGGGCTTCTGTCTCGCATAATTCGCGACATCGGTATAGTACTGGATTTTTGAAGCATCGGCCTGCGCGTCCCACATACTACTCACCTCGTCGAAGAAGATGCCCGCTATGCTGATGTTCTCGGGCACGTGCGTCGCCCATGATGCGTAGGTGTCGACTTCGGCGTGGACGTCCGCTTGCGCGCGGCCGGCTTTGCCTGTCTTGACGTACCCGTAAGTGAGGGCGTTGGCGTAGGTGTTGAGTTTTGCGACGCCGTCGGTGTAGACTTGCGCGGATGGCGCGCTGCCGGTGGTGCCAGGGCCCGAGTTGGGGTTGATCACGATGTGCCAGGTTGTTGAAGGCGAGGAGCTGATTGCGGTGTAGACGTTTTGCCAGGAGGCGTCGGGCCAGGCCCAGAGGGGCAAGAGGATTGAGAGGGCGGCTACGTGGGGTGTGAAGAGGAGGAGGAGTGTGGGGATGAGGGAGCGGAGAAACATGGTATGGTCAGGTTGGGTGGAGATGTGGAATAGCGAGGATCTGACTCAGTCTGCTGCACGAGTAGACAGCGGAGTGTCAGATGTTACCGGAATGTCTTGGGGTATCGTTGCGTATTTGAGCCTCGTGGGGGGTCTCATAGCCTTTTTCGGTAATGAGGGTGTGACACGGGACGGGATATGGTTGTTTTGCAATGTTGACAGGAAGCGATATGAGAAGTTCCCCACGCGAAGCCACAAACCGCCTGACGTACATAGCAGCCGCATGTTCATAGGGGAGTAGTGCGTGACATTGTAGCAGATTTCGCCGATGATGCTAGATCAGCTGGTTTTGGTGTCGTCTCACCAGCGTGATATAAAACACATCGGGTTCGGGAGATTTACCCGCCAGGGGTACGTTCCTGTTGCGCACAGTGAAACATACGATTACTTCCCTAAGACCATGAAGACCGACGTTCCTGTACCGAGGTCACATACTTCATAGCAAAACTCTTTGATAGCACTCAATAGCTAGTTGCACGCAGCACCAGGGTGCTTTACTCTGAGTAACCTGCTGAGCTAATGGTTGCCCACGTCGACGACATATGCTTGCTACTCGAGTTGTGTTCTGATATTTCATCAGTTGACTTGGCCTACTAACGATGAAATGTGCTTCCTTCGCCAGCCTTGAGACTGCCCCGTTCGCTTTGGAAAGAGGCAAAGTTCTTGAACGACGCATCACCTTTAAGTCGCTCCATACTTTCGGTCTTCAAGCCCATCAAGACTTCTACGGCGTCGGGCTTGTGAGACGTCCGAGGCAGCACAACGCATAAGCCATGAAAGCGCGCCGATGGAATCCTCACGAAGTCCACTTTCCCACCACAAATACCACTACCCCAATCCAGGTCACAGATACCCATCTCCCTCCAAGTAGTGATTGCCAGATCATTGCCCCACACTTTGAAGGAAGGGGTGATGAGACTAAGGTCAGGCAGCTGGTTGACTTTGTGGATTAGATGACGGATGTATTCATCGTTCACAGAGAGAACGGAGCGACGTATTGCGACTGCGATTTCGGCCAGCGACTCGGTGGCATCTGAAAAGAGTGGGGGCATGTCTATTTCAGTAGCAGTGTAGATGTTCACATTACCCACGTACTCGTCCGATAGAGGTGGTTGCATCCTTGACCGGCCATTGACAGCCATTCCTACGCGAGAAGTGGTACCGAAGTGTGCGTCTGGGGACTCGAGTCGTGCTTTTGTGATAGCGCGCCATAGCCCGGCGCAAAGTATGTCGTTGGTTGATACCCATTCATTCTTGCCTCGCTGCGATAGGTAGGTATTCACGTCGACCTTCAATCTTTGCAATGTCTCGTTTTGTATCGTAAAGGTTGCTGTTGTCATCTCGGTTACCGCCACAGTGGGTGCACTCTGCTCTTCCGTCGTGCTATCCTTTGAAGGAGTAGTAATCTCATATCCTGCCAATATGTCAAGACTCGTGCTTGGCTTGCCGCTCTCTAATAGGACATTGCGGTCTGTCGCTACGGGAGATAAAAGCTTCGGCCCATCGGCTGGGTTTTGCAGAAAGTTACAGCATTCACTCCATACTTTCAAGATCACACCAGCACCAGGACCATCAAAGACAGAATGATGGAAACATGCACAAAGTATCAGGCCGCCAGCTATGAAGTTGGCTTGGGCGGCAAAAACAGGCGCAGGGTTGCTGAGGAAGGTTGGCAATGGTGCCAGATCTTCCCCATCAAGCTCAGTCATTGGCATATCGCGTGCATACAGCTCCAAATAGGATTTCATGGGCTTCCCATCTTTCAAGGTGTAGTCTCTAACCTGGAACAGAGGCGGGTTCTTGATATCAGTGCGCGGCTGCACAGCGACTTCGCCAGCACGTTGGCCTGTGGTGAATACTTCACCTTTGAGCACAGGTACTGTCTCCACTAGGCGAGAGAGCCCTTCCCTGAGTATGGTATCAATTGAGGACACTTCATCCTCGCCTTTCCTTCCAAATGTTAGCAGTAGGCGAGTGTAGGCTGGGGGCATTAATAGATCAAGAGCGGTCAATCTTGTGGAAGCCATGACAGGCAGTTGTGACAAGATCCTGATGAAAATTGGAGGAGCCAGAGCACTTCAATTTAAAGCTATACGAATTTCGTCGGCATGCAAACTGTGACTCATCTTTTAGCTGCATGGAAAACAGCGCGGTAGGCGTTCCGTGAAGCCACCGATGAGCTGGTTGAGCCACACAGTATCACCTCTTTCGGCCAATCAAGGGAGAGTCCCGGAATGTGAGAGAAAAGCTGTTTTACGGCGGGCTATTCACGCTGGAAATGGGCGAGATGTCCCTGGGCTGGAGTCTTGGAAGCGATTTTTTGGTCGAGAACTCCTTGCAACAGTCCAGATTGCATGCATGTTTGCGATGCGCAGACTGTTCCTCTATGAACTAACCTAGGTCTCGAGCTCACGGGGCAGTTCAAACGGGAGGTGAGCTATGGCTTTGCTGACGCGAGGGACACGATCATCGTAATTAGTCACGACTCGAGAGAGATGCTTTTCTGTACGAAAGTATAAGAGAACTCGGAGGTACCAATATTGTGTGAACTGATAACGCTGTCGTTTACGCGGAGCGCAACATTTATTGATCCTTAAGGGCGGAAAGTCTTAGGCACTGGCACTTCCGAAATTGATTCCAAAAGAAGTCGTCAGACTCCCAGAAAAAAACGCAGAGCACGTCACTCTCTCGCCTGAATCTCGGCGGAAGGTGCACTTGTCCGCAGCTTGCAGCCATCGCAAGAGGCGCTGTCATGTCATCAGTCAAGATATTATAATACTGTCCTGCAAGCTCCTTCAGGCTCTTGCAACTATGCCCCTTGAGAGCGCCAGACTCTGACTGCCAGTGGACGCCTTTTCCTAGGCCAAAGGCACTCGGAGGGTTGGACGAAATTACTCCATATTGGGACGCGATTTGAGCCTCCCTTGTAGCCACGTAGACGGGTTTGCGGCTGCGGTCCTTTTGGTTTCTCTTCATCTGGTATAGTATTCTCCCAAAGATCATCCGAGATTGATCTTGGCCTACCAAAAGAAGACTTGCTCCTCGGTTCAATCCATGCAGCAGCAAGCACGTCTTGTGGCTTCGCACCCTCATCTTTCGCCTCTTGCTTTCATTGCGACGCTCCAGCGCCTTATCACCAAACGCGTTGCCAACTCTCTTCAGAAGGTCTTCCCCATCTACCAGCTGTTTTTCATTGTATACTCCTCTTCGCAAAAGTCTTCAAGACTTCGTCTATGAAGGCATTCGGGCTACGAGAAGTTCGTGCCAAGGTTGTGCCTGCTGGTATTTGGGTCATTGCCCCTTGTACGAGCTTTCATGTAATGCCTGAGGTCCGCCCTGTCCCATCGCATCACTGTAGCGTAGGCTTTGAGCTTTGGAGACTAGCGGCGAGAAGGGCTCTCGTTGGATCTTTCTGAACACCGTCTCTCCGGATTTAGGCTGTCACTTTGCGATGTCGCAGTACCCTCGTAGCGACAAGGTTTGTATGGGTTGAAAAGAGGAGGACCTTTCATCTCAGAAGGATGAGCATACTCTTTACCATGCTCTTTACCATGCTCTTTCTGCCCATTCGCAAGGTTCACTTATGTAGGGTGGACGCCGCCTCGTAGGCTCCGAGCTCATATAGGGTGAAGGGGAGGGTATCCTTATTCTTAAGCTCAGCCGAAGCTTCCGTTCCAAGCTTTGATTCAGCTCAAGTCAGGCTGCCTATGAACACCCAGGATTCTGTGCGGAGGCGATCATTCTTCCAGCCATGACTCTTTGTACCGCCTTCGCGAACGTAGAAGGGAGCGAGCTGTATCACTGCCTGGTATGTCAACTGTTTGCCAGCAATTCTATGGCCCTGCTTCGACGGTAGTGTATCAACAAACACATGGCGCACCTTCTGGGAATGAGAGAAACCTGGATTCTGGAGGCTGGACGACCCTCGCGGCTGCGCTTAGTTGGCCTTTCGGGTAGTCAACCAATTAAATACTTTTCTGAACGCTTTGCAGGCAAGACTTCAGGATTCTGTTTGAGAGTATCGACACGGGAAGATCAAAAGATACAGTGAATCTGGATAGCCGACTGGCGACCACGCGAGGATCCCCAAATGTATTAAAGGTCGAGTATTCCACATTCCGTGCCTGGCTCTCGGAATTAGCGGCCGCGCTTTTATCTGGCTTGTGTTGGTTCTTCTTTTCCCTTTTAACACTTTGTGTACATACCCCCTCATCAAGCATACGCTCGCCACTACGGCGAAGTATCGATACGTCTTGAAAGCGGCCCTGTTCCAGCGTTCCAAAACAACGGTTGTGCATTTGAAAACTTTGAATGCGCATGAAGAGGGATGACCCGCATCACACACGAGCAATACGGGCTTTTGTCGACCCATAGGACCATACCTTTCGGCTACTCACCATCCTTCGCGTGGGTTAGGGATGAGTAGACGCAAAACTTGGTCCTGGTAGGGTACAGCAATCTTAGAGATCCTGGTTGAGAACACTCGTTCCACGCCCTGTTCTTGATATGGAGCACGACGAAGCTATCGAGTTCGATAGATTATGTGAGTCTTGTACCAAGCTCTTCGATCATGAAGCACAATGGAAAGACAATATTCTTTATCAAGAACTGGAGGATGATCGCCATTACCACCATCACCTGGATATACATGCGCTGGAGTCTTCAGCGAACGCAGGATGCCACCTTTGTAACCTGATTTTTGGCCAGATCGACTCGCTACACCTGGAACAAATGCACAAAGATATTGATGAGGCATTTGTTTCGTCATCCCGGCAGATAGGGATACTGATCCAATCATTCGGAACCTACTACAAGGCGCAAATATATGCCTGGATGCGTATCCCGCCTGCAGAGTCTGATTTGGAGTGTGATAACTGGACTTCGAATAGGAATCATCTTTCTTGGTCCCGAATTGCAGTGCTTGATCTTGACCATGAGGAGGACGACTATACCAATATCAAGCGTTCAACTTCTTCCTTCAACTGCGCTAACGCCACCCTTTGGCAGATTGCACAGTGGATGAGGGAGTGTGTAACATCTCACTATGAATGTTTCGACGTTCAAACTCTCGCTGCCACGAGGGACATCCTGCCGCTCAGACTACTAGATCTTTCCTCCACTTTGCCCCCGGATTTCATCAAATTGATTACCTGCGAAGAGCTCCCACCCCACACGGTGTACGCGACCTTGAGCCACTGCTGGGGTGGTGATTGCAAGACTACATTGACAACCAACAGCCTTTCTCTCTTCCAAGCCGGCTTTCACTTGAATGCCCTTCCCAACACATTTCAACATGCGGTGATAATGACTCGTAATCTCGGGATTCGTTATTTATGGATTGATGCTCTGTGCATTCTACAGAACTCAACGCAGGAATGGTTTCATGAAGCCTCGATAATGGGAGACATCTATGCAAATTCGACTCTTACCATTTCAGCAACAAACTCTATCAATTCCGATGGAGGCCTGTATTATTCGAGAACCCCTTTATCAGTGTGGCCGTGCCGTATTGAAGCAACGTGGACCTGTTTCCCAAGCAAAAAGATGGTGATGAAAACTCGTGGCTGGGCAGCTGAAAAAGCCATGAAGCCTTTGGGTGATCGAGGATGGGCATTCCAAGAATGGCTACTGTCAAAACGAACAATACATTTTTCAAAAGATCAAGTTCGGTGGCAATGTCATTGTTTGGCTGCTTCTGAGGTGTATCCTGAGGGTGTAGACTCCGAACTTTACGGAGTACCAACAAAGAACTTAATCAGGCTACTCAAAGAGAGTGACAATCCGAAAATCCTGTGGTTACGGATCAGACAAGAATTTTCCAAGAAGAGTCTGACAGTCGCCTCTGATAGACTTGCCGCATTTTCTGGCATTGCTCGCATGGTTTTCAAAGTAATGAATTGGCCCGAAGAAAACTTTGTTGCTGGTTTGTCGAGACCTGAGCTGCTGATTGAATTGCTCTGGGTAAAATCAGAATACCCAACCAAAATGAACAGTCCCCAGTCAGCTCAGTACATCGCGCCGTCATGGTCTTGGATCTCTGTCGACGGCCCATACTGGGACTATAGACAAAGACGAGCCAGATCAGATCAGCTGCACGCTTACGTCAATATACTCGAGGCAAGGACGTTCCTCTGTGATGATGCTTTTGGCCCTGTCACTGGTGGCCATCTCAATGTCCGGTGCACGCTATGGTCCGTCGAGCTCATGTACTTCCCGCGTGCGGACGGCGACGCCGCTAATCGCAAATGGAAGGCTATCTTTCAGGACGCCATCTCCTTAACGCACGAATGGAGCAACGCGAGTTTAGATAATGTTCCGCATACGCGCTCATCGCCCCCCATTCGGAGGACTTTCTATTACATGCCAATAATGAGTAGAGTGCAAGGCTTGGAGGAACGCAACTGTGACTTAGTTGGCCTTCTACTGGAGAAAGACGCTGATCATCATCATCAATACCGTCGAACAGGAATGCTGGAACTCTTTGAGATAGAACAGAAGACCTTACTCGCGTCTTCTGTTGGCTTAGTGAACATGGATTCGGCTGAAGCCCGCTCCATGGATGCTTCCAGGCTTTGCACTATCGACATAATCTAGCAGAACGGCAAGTATTGAATATGCTCAGGCAAGCCTACATCATCATTGGTAAACACAACGTAGCCTTGGTGCTTGTGAAAACGTCGCAGGCCATCGTAAAGAAGTACAAGCAAGGTCTACGTATGTCCGAATGTTCGACTCGAGGCCGACAGAAACGACAGATCACCCAATCTAACCAACACCGGCACAATTCCATTCAAAAATGTCGTCTGAGTGGCGGACACGGCAATGTTACACATACATCACTTCTCTGAGGCGGACTTTTCGATCTGCGTCGAGTCCTGAGGTACGAGACTGGCGCCTCTACTTCCCCTCAATTTCATACCGGTCTCCGGGTCCACGACACTGTTGCCTCTCTGCGCTGCTTGTACCAGCTCGGGATTCTGCTCGCGCAGCATAGCGTAGGTCTTCTCCGCCTCCCAATTGAACCAGCTGTTAGACGCAAAGAGAAGGTCCATTTCCTCGAGTGTACGCTGGTTAGACTCGGGATAGAACGCCCATACAACGGGAAGCGTGAAGAAATTGACAGCGCCGAAGATGTAGAAAGTCTTTTCGGCGAGGTTTGCGAAGATTATAGGCAGTAGGAGAACCGTCCATCCGTTTCCAATGGACCAACCTACGACACCCCATGCGTTGCCCTTGGCTCGGACTTGCAGGGGGAAAATCTCGGCAGGGTAGAGCCAGGGAATTGTGAGCCACGTGGCGCCAAAACCAATACTGAAGATGAAGGTGAAGGTGAAGGACGCAGCAGCGGCTCCAAACTGAGAAGCCTCGGAACTTCCCTTCGGATGGGTGCTTGCGGCTGCTGAGAGACCACCCGAAAGAAACATGGAAATGCCCATTACGATCGCTCCAAGGTAGAGCGAGGTCCGCCGACCGAGCTTGTCCAGAGTGAAGACGGCAAAAAGGGTTGAAAACTGACACATTAGCAATCATTCCCGGTAGGATGACGTTGTTCTAGTGCCGTACCATGTAAGTGATGTCGTTGACGCCAGCCAGCCAGCGCGCCTTCTGGCCAGAATAACCTGCCTGTCGGAAAATATCGTTTGCATCTATTCACGCGATCATCAGCATTGGGATGGAGCTGGTTTCATCAAGACTTACAGATGGTGACCCCTGCAATGCCAATCCATTCTTGTAGTATCTGAAGCCAGATAACCAATTGAACACGCCTGCCGAGGTGAAGAGAGCCAGAAGACCCACCGCCCACAGCCTTCGGCATGACGTCCCAAAGCATATGAAAATAGCTATTGGTCTTGCCGGACTTCCGCTCTAGTTCTGCAATATTGCGGATATCCTGGAATTCTGCTTCTGCGAGTTCGGCTTCATCCTCACCTCGGAGCCTAAGAAGAATGTAGCGCGCTTCGTCTTCGCGTCCCACCTTCACCAGCCAACGAGGTGACTCGGGGAAGAACCAAACAATGGCAGCCAGGAACAACAGAGGTATGATTTGGAATGCGACGGGGAAACGCCACACGAACTCGCTGTACCCGCCGCCAACGTACGAGCATCCACTGCATTATCAATGAGTATGAACCTGGACCTCTTATGGCTTTTGTATCCACTCACAATCCAAGCCAGTATGCAACAACGACTCCAAAGATATTCAAGAAGAATTCAATGGAAACGAACATTCCGCGAGAAGTGTGCGGAGCAGTTTCAGTAGACCAGACGGGGACGATGACGTTCAGCATTCCAGTGCCGATTCCATTGGCGACACGAGCTTGTAAATCATGTCAGCAACGAACTCAATGCCTTTCAAACATTCATACACCGGCACGTACCACAGATCATCCAGTCAGCATTCATAGCTGAGCACTGTAGACAAGCACCGAAGACTCCCCAAATCGCACCGATCCCGATGACCTTGATTCGACCGATCTTCTCAGCAATCCATCCGCCCCACAAGCTGCCCACTAGACAGCCGAGGTAGTACGCCGAGTTCTGCGACGATCTTAGTTGTCATTAGATTTCGTCATCCGACGAGGACTCACAATGCCACCTTGAAGTAGACTATTGTCTACTACGACTTGGGTCGTCCCGGGCTCAACATGGCCATATTTCATTTTGTGAACGGCAAAGTCGATCGAAACCATGACGCTACCCATCATGCCTTGATCGTAGCCAAAGAAGAAGATTGCCAAGCTACCTAGGCAGTTGATGGCGATAAGTAGAGAGCGCTTTTGGTACTGATGCACCACGTTCCATCTTCCGATACGATCCATACTGGCTGATGTCGTGCTATAGGGGAACGTAAAGGTGGATATCCAGCTGAAAATTTACAATAGTATGCTTGTGAGGAGATCTTGTGTGCCTGTCTTCCAGTGACTACGACTCACCGGAAGACCGGGCTCGCAGCCCTTCTTAACATGCTCTGCCAAAATTCACGCACTTCCACCAAGGCGATCAGACGACTTGATCCATGCGACCGCTTGTAAACGGTGTTCGCGGCATCCAGTATCTCCGTGGTTCTCTACTATGAGAAATGCAAACATGACGCAGACCACGGGCTGTTGCGAGCTGTTGCGAGCTCGACCCACTAAACTCGCAGTTGACTGCAAGGCTCTCTCACTGCTGCTAAAACCTATATGCAGGCTAATGCAGGGCTCGCAAAATATGTGTGGGCGGACCTGTCATATTGGAGCGCTTAGAGGCACGCCCCTGCTGGTGCTGCCGTACTTTATCCCCGAGAAACGTGATCGTGGAAGCTGACGTGAGCTTCATGCACGCTTCGCAAAATATGCTAGGAGCTGTATCTCAGCGAGAGACATATCAAAGTAGAAGTCGACGCTTCTAGTGATGGAGTTCTGGTGTCAGGCTATCACGGTGTTGTCGAACGCTTGATCGGCGGATCCGGGTTTCCTCTTACAACAAGCATCAGGGACCATCAGGATACTGGATGTCGCTAGAGAAGAATCAAGCTACATTGAGGCTTCCTTGATCGAGTCTACCCTACTCCTCATGGACCCATCAAACGATCTTGAGGTTCAATCCTTGATTCGTCAGAGCATGAGGTTGGGAATGATGTGAATCTTATTTGCGACGTGCATATTGTGGAGGCTCAGCAGGACGTGTAGCAGCAATACGCGCAAACCAGCTTCGTCTCCCGGTCTCCCGTGGGTCTGCTCAAGAGCCCAGCGACTTTTGATATGCCACGGTAAGAACAATGCACAGAACTTGTTCTGAACAAGCCTGTCAGGGCAGGCTTTGTCATGAATTGTCCATGACACGGCTGTCACACCTCTTTGAACAATTGATGTACTTGACCAAATGCCCGATTTAATGACCAATCAGTCAGCTTGATGATCCGCTCAGCTAATTGATCATTAAGCGATCTTGTCGACCAATCTATTGCTGCTCTTGGTCGAGCAGGGGTATTCCGTAGTTCTGGGCAGTCTTACCTTATTAGTCTTTAAAGGGTTTTACCGTCAATATACTACACTTGCTTTGAAGCTGACCACAGCCTCAATGTCGATTTGGTCAATTGCACCAACTGGTCTAAGAGGTGTGACAAATGCAGATTCTCGAGACCATTGGTATCGTTATCTGGGCTGTGTTGAATCATGAGTGATTTCAACGAGCAAAGCCCCGATAAGTATGAATTATGCACGTCAGCTGGAAGCCAACAAATGAGGAGGAGACATTACTCTCAGCTGTTGATTCATGTGGCATGGACTCTCGATGCTTCAGCGGAGCGCAGCCACGCTTAACCTGTCATTGCCTCACTTTTCTGTGTTTGTGCTTGTGCATCAGGTTGAATCGAAAGTGCTATGCATATTGAGGCGGAGGCGGACGGCGCATTTGCCATAAAGGGTCGACGACATTGCAACTTACATGTCCGTCGCATCACAAGGCTTTCTTGAAAATGCTTTTTTCCGCCCTATTCATAGGTACATAGCATGCGTTTGGGCTCCGATCAGCCTGCAGGGGTCCGTCCCTGCCAGTCAAATGCACCCAGCCACAGGGCAGGGTTATGCAGCAGAGGTACTGCTACCTAACGCGCCAGAGCCCGCAATCTTCATTTCATGACACAGAACATGTGGGACATGCGATGCAAAATAAGATTTTTGCAAAGTTAATTGGAGTCGGTATCGCATGCATTTCCACAACGATACAGTCGAACTTCTAACAAGGACGAGATGTCTCATGAAAATACCTCCCCCAACGGAGATGACTCAGCTGCCCAGAACCAACCTCATGCAATCAATGAGACCGTCCGATCCTCTGCTCCAAATGCGGAGAAAGAAGATCCGATTCCTGACCCGGATAGGAGGTTCTCATCGTATCCACGCATCATTGGAAAGACTCTCCTCGGTCTACTGCGCCCATCCTGTGGCCTTCCTGTTGCTCTCGCATTACTAGTCTTACCAGTTCTAAGTCTCGCGATCTGGATCCCCCTCGACCTACGGCGAGGAGAGAAAATTGGCCTGTCTTCTATTATCATCGGTGGAAGCCTCACCCAAACCCAAGCGAAAGCAATAGACGTGATGTCAACTGCTATCTTTGCACCGAGCCTGGTTTTCTGTCTTGATTTCTACTGGTTTTCGGCGGCTCGAGTCACAGTGAACAATGAAGAAACAAAGAATAGCGTTCCGTTAGGGAGTCTGGTCGAGGCTGGTAAGGTGGAATCTGGCACCTATAACCCAAGGGTCCTGTTCAGACTGCTCAATAAAGAAAATCCTAAGAGTTTTTTGCTGGCCCTTCTCGTCTTGGTATCAGCTGCAGCATTTTCCGCATTGCAAAATGTCATCGCCTACGAAGCTTTTCCCACACATGCTGGGACTTCTACGGTCAAAGTCTGTCAGATGAATGATTTTGCACGCGTCTCGAAGTTGGATTCAATTCCAAGCTACTCGTTTGACAATACGAATTTTACTACCTATGTGGAAAACGATTACAACTACACGCAACGACAACAATCGGACTTTCTGCCGCAAATCAGTGAAGTGCTAACCAAGGTTGCATTTGAGAACGCACTGAAGAAGCTAGATGATGGTAAGTACGTTGGAATCAACGCAACGCAAGCCTCGAGAAACGCACTACCGCCCGAGTTCATCAGCCTGACTAATGTACCTGGGTACCGATTGGGAACAGAATGTCAAGCCCGTCCTCCGGATAATGTTACGATCAATACAGCAGGAACGTACAATGTCGCCATCGATATGAAGCTAGAGAATGAGAAGAGCAATGATACCGTATTTCGGGCTGAATATCCGGGCAGAATGGATGTGTATACAAATGTGAACACTACTAAATTTGCCTTTGCTGGTTTCTTGACGAATCAAGCTCAAGCTCTGCAAGTCTACCTCGGAAGGTTCGTCGACTCGAAAATGACCCTAGATGCCATGCCATCTCCTTATGGTGATGTTATCTATAAGTCCTACAACATGACAGCTTTTGGATTCAATGGAACGAAAGCAACTATGTCAGCCTGGGGAATCATATGCAATATGACCCGACAGACCGGTCTACACAACCTCACACGCAAGGCTGATCTTTCGTGGGAGATTAAGGAAAGTACCTGGTCGGACGATCAGGAGATGACGTCCACTATGGTCGAAGATTGGCAGAAGGTACTGAACTTCCAAACACCGACAACTAATATGCCCGGCTGGGCACCTGCACTTCTTTCAAGCGCAGTGCGTTGTCCTGTGCCTCTGCTTTCAGACGGACAGTGCGGTACAAAAAAGGTCATAGACTATCAGACATACGCAATGAACTTCCTCTACGTCGCTGGAGAGATAGAGCGCATTCTTTACGAGATCAAAAATGCAGAAGCAACAGTAAATGTCAAGACTTATCTTCAAGTTACCGCCACCCAAAAAGTACTGCGATATCGAATGACATACGTGCCCCTGATTCTCCTCGGTGGAATTCTTAGCATTCTCTTCGCGGCAGTAATAACCCTGAGTCTAATACTTTTATGTCGCCAGACAATAAGCTATGCCACGTGGCGGGAGGTAGATATTCTCCGCATCGTGGTCGATACTATCGATGGCGTACAGCGCGGCCGCATTTTCAGAGACTTACACGACCTTAGCAACGACGAAATGAAAGCCCAGGCTAAGCTCTACAGAGTACGATACTTTCCAGACACAAGCGAAACAATACCAGTCGTCAGGTTATGTGGCACTGAGACTACCGAGAGCAAATAGTAAGCCCTGTTATTTGCTCTAGATCTCTGTTGATTTGGATCATAAGACCAGGAACCCCATCATTAAAGAGAAGGACACTTGACACAACGGAAAGTCTTGGACATGATGTCGTCTTTGGCAAGTAACATGGGATAGTTTGATAGCGAAGGGACACACATAGGTCCGTCAAATCGGGCGTCCGCATGATGTCAAAACCCGATATCGTCCTGGTTAAGACGTAGGTCTGAGATGAAATACAACAAGCGAATGAGCACACACTCGGCAGTAATCACTAACTAAGCAAAAGTGGTTATTATTTTCGTGAATCAAATCACGCATACAGGCTGCATCCGGCCTGGTCGGACTTCGCATGGTATTGATACAATGCCAAAAGCATGGTTTACATCTTGCAAAGTATGACCTAGTCTCTCAAAGTGGTGCCAACGTCTCATGAAAGCGGCTTATATAGATCTCCCTTCCAGCCTTCCGGCGCGATGCTATATTCTGCTTTCCATCGCAAAGAATCAATGTTCACTGTACCAGAGTCAGGGGTGTTATAATTGAAAGTGAATGTAGAGGCTTTAATTAAAGTTCCGTTAGGTGGACGGTCAATACTAAGTGATAGCACATTAGCGTTAGTTGCCGTCCTCAAAGGCATCACACAGGTCAAGGAACGATTTTGGTTCGTAGTTAGGATTTGAAGAAGGGGAAACAGAACGCCATCTCAAGAATGCGACTTACGTATGGGTCACCAAGAGTGTGAAATGATAAGCCGTGTCCCACCACGCAAATTTGGTCTGGTACGTCGCAGGCTTACAAGGTACAAAGACTCCTATCGAAGGAATCGTCGCGTTGCCACCTTTTAACTTCGAAAAATCGCACTTTCCGACTTTTACAGTCGACTCATCGTCGTGGATGTCAAAGCCTGCCCTGAGACGTTTGTTGTAGTAGCCAAGCCCAGTAATCATTAAAGTGTCGGCTACCGGGTCTGCCCCAAGAGATGATTGAGTTTGAATGAAAGGACATAAGAGGAGATGGCAAAACATCAGCTTGAGATATAAGGAGTGCATCGTGATGAGGTGGTTGGACTATTTAGCAAGTGTGCTGATCGTCGCTCGTTGCTTTCCAACAAGCAGGCAAGATGTCGATACAGAAGAGAAGTACGTCCTAGAGAACGAAACATATATCGCCACAAACGCAGAAAATGACGCAAAGCACAACACGATCAGAACACTGTTATAAGATCACAGTCATTGCGCTGAGTATGGCGCGACAGTATTGGGCAACCCGTATCCATCATGCTTGGTCTTCAGCTGCGGACTCTAAGCGCCAATTGGACAAAGGCGGATCGAAGTGCGGTAGTTGGGACTCTGGGCTCCAGCGAATCCATGTCTTAACCATATATATGCTGAAACGAAATGTTCCACTCTCGCATCCCTAGACACACGTGAGATGTCTTGCTTTTCATTGCTCAACTCGAGTAATATCTGAGAAATCTATGATTTGGTCTTCGTAAGCCTTTCTTCACTATGACACAACAAGTCAACTTATTCGTGGGTAATTTGATCGGTATCGTGCTCGTTTCGTCCCAGACGTATGACATGATCTCTACCTTTGCAAATCGCTTTCTTTGTGCGACGTCGAGATTCTCAAGGTGCAAACCAAGTCCACTTGCATCAAGCACTGATACAGATAGACCAGAAGCAGGGTAGGATAGCTTTGCCGTTTCAGAACTGAGGTTTGGGAATTCTTGACATTACTTACTAGGGCCATGATGGCAAACCCGTCGTCTGTCCCTATACTCTTTGAGACTGCTAACTTTGTTGCGAATCGTGCAAGGAGAGCCAAGGCGGTTGTGACAAGAAAGAAACCACGTTAAAATACTAACACGATTTTGGCATCCCTTGCAACGACGCCCGCAGCCAGGTGAGAGAGTACTGAATACCTTAGGAGGATGTAGGAATGATATCACATTATTTAGGTGTATCTCGAAAGGCTCTACTCAGCGCTTCTAGGATAAATATCTGGGATAACGACCGTTATCATATTCATTATGTCGTGAATTTATTCCTATCGCGGCGCTCTCATAAGAATTCCACGCCGCGCAGACACGTGAGGCAAGGTACAAGTCCAATAGGTTTTAAATCCTTAAGAGGAATCATGATACGAAAATGAGTAACCGCACAACGTCGACAAGATGCCGTTCAAGCTGCATATGTTCGGGGTATTTAGAGAATTCTGGGGATCGGGAGGGGATGGGGATAGATAGATGGGAAAAACGACTATCTTTTTCTTAGGGTTGAGGCAATGAATGCACTAGGGCGGTGAGTATACTGCCAGGATTGCTAAAGCTGAGCATGTGGACCTGTCGTAGAGGGGAGTGCTGCCTAATAGCTATGCTAATTAGAAGATTGAAATTAGATAGCTTCGTTCCCCATTTTTGAAATCAAGGCCTTCCCGGCCTATACCTGTGGCTATCTGCCGGTAGTGCCTATGATAGCTAAGGTCGGAAACTTTTGATTCTACTAGCTCAAAGCATGGTGCACTACTCTCAACGTTTTGCTAGCGAATGATCAATAGATGAGATTCGGGTCAATTCCCACAGCAGGGCCTAGAGTCGTTTCATATTGTGTCTTCCACCATTCCACCACAGCACGATCATTCTCAAAATATCGGAATCCCTGTGTCTGGGTTTTGTTGTTGGTATAGATCTCATTGCCTGATAGTGCGTTCAAGTGGTTGAGAGGTGTGGTAATCGTCTTCGACAAGGGCGCCTGCCATTCATCGCTCAAAATCCACGAGACGAAGAGTTTTGAGGATTCGGGGCATTTGGTTGAGCGGAAGATGGCCATGGTTTGGAACCAGGAGAAATATTCCTCTTTCGACGGAATCGTGGACTTGACCGCGGGGTTGAAGCCGTCAAGGTGAGTGGTGCTGAAAGTTATAGCGCGCTCGGACGAAGTGTTGTCGGCTCCCTGGGATAGCAGGATGAAAGGAGTAGCGCTGCCGCGCACCCATTGGACATCCTGCTGAGCTAGGCGCTCGAACCATTCAAAGCCATACTTGGCAATTTGGAGGGAGAACAGGTAAGCAATTGCATCGTCATCGTTAGGATAGGTTGAGATCAACTTTCCCTTCCATTTGGGGTCCAGTAGGTCCAGGTAATTGTCGGGTATCTCTGACTCCTTGATTTTGTTGCTGTCGTAGAAGAATTGTCCAAAACCAACTATGTCATGAGTCAGCGTTGGAAAAGAGAGAAATTTAACACAGTGTGCCTACATAAGTACACGGGGAGCCAGGCGCCATCGAAGTCTTTCTCGCCATTCACAAGGTCCGAGAAATTCTGCGGCTTGTAGAACATGAGACGATTCTGTGCCTTCCAGCGCGGGAAATCTTGAAGCGTCTGAAGGGCGGCAATGTCGATGTCCTCGTTACCGGCGTAAAAAGCACGGTCGATGCGTGAATCATGGTATTTAGAGAAGTCGGTGGTCAGATTCAGATCGATCAAAGGGAATCTTTTTTGGAAGCCTTCGATAGTGCCGGACCAGTAGCCTTTGGCTGTCGTACCTTAGTTAGCACTTGTGCGATCACCTGAAGGTAAAGATCTTATACCATCTCCTCCTGCTGCGACTCGGAGTTGGCTACATTTCTCAGCTTGTGCCGCCTGGTATATCTCGTCAAGAGTGCGATTTTCGACCGCGACGTTTGGTTGCCACTGCGCGTGAACAGCGGTCAATATCAACAAGACGGCCGAGGTAGCTATGAGCGTCAAACGAGCCATGTTGTCTGAGTGAGAATCGTGCTAAGATCGAGGGTATGGCTGCTATGTATGAGATGAAATGTGAGGAGAGCAAGGAGGCATTTTTATATATGATCTCAATCGGGGAAACATTGTCGAACGTCATGGCCGCCGAGGAGATTATTCAGGCTTATGCTACTTACCTCAGTTCTGTCGATTGATGCTATCACTAGTTTCCGTTTACTCAGAAATTGGAAATCTTGACAGTGAGTCGAGTATGTTGTCTAATTAGAACTACGGATCTGGAATTTGTCAGCAACGCAGTAGGTCACCCACTAATACCATTGGTGTGGCCTTCCCCATCTAGTTCTAGTGCCATGCGCCCTGCTTATCTCGCTACGACCGTAGCACCCAAGAAGCACCTAAGAAGCACCTAAGATCCCCCCAACTCGCGCGAGCCTCGGGGGACGTCCTCGCACCAGATTTTGGTCTTCTTGGCAATCCTGACGTCATCCATCGATGCAGTGGCTCATGATTCTCGGTCGAGAATTGCCTGCCAGACCCCCGACTAGACTAGAGGCCAAGAGCCAATTCGAACCAGAGCTTACCGATCGTTGTGGAAGGATGACAGCAGTAAAACTTCAGATCTTGGCAACAAGCGATAGGGGTGCACTTAGGTGTACATCACAGGCAGCACTCGCAGTACATTTGATCATACCTGCGTATTTAAGTACTCTATGACGTCATGAGGCGAGGCCCCTCACTCGAATTGATATTGTTTGCCTGCGACTCTTAGATTAGAAAGACTCTTTGATATCTGGGATCGGTACGCAACAAAAGAAGCGCAAAAAGTGAAATATGATGGCGATGCCCGGAATCGAACCGAGATTGTTTCGGGCATTGTAGGCCTTGAAGGTTCCACAACGAAATGTCTAGAGGAATGAGTCATGAATAATGTAATGTGGGACTTTGGCAATTCTTACGCTGCCATTACACCACATCACCAACTGAGATAGAGTGGCAACTTATTATAATTTATATACATATACCCACCGCGCGCTGGACTGGTGGTCGCGCGTTGAGCGCATGCCGACATACATTCACACACCATCTCTTACCTCATGAGTCATATTCTTTGATGGCACATCTTAGACTCAACTTTCGACAGAGCCTGTCCTAGTCTTACGCTTTGCAGTCTCTTTCGCGATAGAAACACCATAGACTATCTCTGATTCAAATGTTTGCCGCCGAAGCAGCAGGTGGTGACGGCCATCACCGCAAAGGCATTACAACACGCATCAATGGTCTCAGTTACGAAATATGCGACTGTCAGGAAAAGCCATAAACAACAGGCAGATACTAGACAAGCAATCGAAGCACTATACTCTGAATAACACAAGACACCTTCAGACACCTCGCGACAGGCCGCTCACAGTTTCAGGCTCAACAATCGCCAGAAATTCGACATCAACACCTGTTCATCTCTTAATATGAAGAGGATAGAAGTCCATACCTCTCCAGAAGAAGAATCAAAACGCACCCCTCACAATCCCAGCTTCCCGCTCTGCCACAACCACCCCCCCACCGCAACCGCCACCGCAACTCCCGTCCCCACCACACGAAGAAAAAAGGTCTGACTACAAGGATTACAAGTCAAGACCTCCAGATTATTACCAACCGGATCAATCACATAAGCCGCATAATAAGTCGGCATATACTGCGGCCTGAGGCCCGGGGCACCATTCCCCTTCCCGCCCGCCTTGATCGCAGCGTCAAAAAATTCGTGAACTTTGGACCTCCCTGTTTCTCCTATCATCGTTAGACTTGCCCAAACAAACAGTGTTAGAGGGGGTGGGGGCGACACGCACATCTCGTATACAAAGCAATATGCGCATACCCCGTCGGCGCCGCCTTCTCATTCTCCACCGCAATCCAGAGGCAAGGGATAGGATTGCCAAGCCCCACGACTTTCTCGTTTGGGTTGTAGATCTTGGTGAAGCCGAGGGGTGCGAGCGCTTTTTTGTAGAAATCTACTGTCTCGTTGAAGTTTGCGTGGGGCACGCTGATGCCGATGTGGTTCAGTGACATCTTCAAGAGATATGAGGATTGAGGATCAGTGGGGTAGAAGAAAGAGGAAAAACAATTACAATTGAATGAAATGAGGCTACGTTGAAGAATAGGGGGAAAGGGATGATCGACGATCACGTGGTTTGGCGATGAGTCACATTTGACGCGTTTGGACGCGTCCAGGCCCTTCTCATCGTCGATTGTCTCGGCGGCGGGAGGCTTTCCGACCTTGCTTCATACAGGCTTAGCTTTGGAGACTCCTTCAAGCTGCTTTGCCAGCAGTCTTCTTCGTCTGTGATGAAGAAGAGGGCCTTTTGAACCCAGCTTCATTAGTCTCACTCGCGGCATCGAGCAGGACGAAGCTCGACGTGGGTGCCTTTAGCCTTTGATATACCGCGCATGACAGGGCTAGAGATATTGACGGCTTACTGTGGGGAGGGTCACAGCCTTTTAATGGTCGTTTGGTTTCAGTCCACTCAAAGCAGAGGAGAGCCTGCGGCTATCGCCAGGCAAATGTTTGAGACAATGTTGTTTCGCCGATCGACCTTGTTGGGGCTTGGAAATACCTCTTTGTCCTCTATCCTTCCTGCATCCCTTCTCTTGTGGAGTCTTGACTGGAGGTCAAAGAGTTCGCACCATTCTCATCATGCAATCCGTTTGGCCATTGCCTTTTATAGCACTCATCGGTCTCATGGTTCAAAGTTACGCCCTTGCCATTCAAAATTGCTCTAGTACCTTACTTAGAGGACTCAATATTGATGTCGAGTAAGATGAGGTCTTCGTTGATACGCATATTGCTGACAGGCCTGAAGCCCCTATTTCATCAAGAATTCCAACCTGGCGCTCGGGTTCATCAACCTCTTGGACGCGAGAACGTTAGATCCCGTGTACGCTCGGAGCCGGGTGGTGCTTGCTGCAGGTGAAATCTGTGCATACGACAATCTGACATCCCGATTTCCGCCGAAGAATAAATGGGACAGCCATGGCTTCTTCCTTGAGCTGGACAATGGCAATCCAGAGTCTTATCTCCCCATGTCTTACTATGATGCGTGCAATGCTATGCGCGGCTTGCTTGAATACTCTGAGAAAAACCAGAAAGGAATCTACATGGAAAAGGCCTTCCTCGTCATCAGGTATCCTCGGCGCCAGAAACAGACCCTCGGAGCAGGTGATATGCTGTATGATGAGAGCGTCACTACACCTGCACTTGCTGCCCCTACGATGTTGACTCAGCGAGATAATCAAGAGCTAAGGAGACAAGAGGTCAAGAATGCCCTTCAAAATGTTCTCAATGGAGGCTATGCGGATTGTCTACCTCAAAGTCTTTAGCGCTCATACCTACTCTCACCACATAGTATGGATACGCTTAGGGGGAATGGATGGAGTAAGTTCGGTCTAAATTGAGCAATAGACGAGCATCCAGGTTCTGTATGATCAGTGCCCTAAACGTTCAAAATCTGAAAATCCTAATGGCCACTTTACAACAAGCGAATCTCGGCGAGCTGAAGAGAAGTAGGTAAGAAAATTTCAAGTGTCACACAGCCGCAACGACTCATCTTGGGCTCTCGGATAGAATTGATGTCCTTAGAAGTGTTGGGGATACCTAAGTTCTCAGAATCGCAGTAGTGGGCTCTGGTCTGTATTATCTTTTGGGTGTAGAAGTGACGAAGTATCCCATCGACCAAGGGTTACGATGGATGAATACTGAACACGACATCTCAAAAGAGCAATCGACCTGCCAAATGTGGATCCAATCTCCAGAAGCAGACTAGGTCGACCCTATGGAACTAATAGGTGGGTGCAAGTCTGTGGCAGGTTCCCACAGCAACTTAAGTACACCAAAATCGTCGAATGACTTTGAGGGAAATTGAGACTAGTGAAAAGGATCTCTTTAGCCAATAGCAGAACTTTACGATTCCACTTCTCCTGTCTAAAGCTGCTCGCCCGCGGTCTCTCAGACGTCCGTCGATTGTCTCGTATCAATCTGCTTCCTACAGCGAGCAAGACAATTTCCATAGGCGCCGTGAGCTAAACTTCAACCAATACAGCGTATGACCTCGTGGCCACGACGTCAAGTTTCTTGATTCAATGAAATGTTGAGCTGCACAGCAACACGCCACTTCGTTCTTTGCACCACTCGCATCACCCGCCGCCTTGTCATCAACACAACCCAATCTAAGCAACCCTCAATAGAAAGACCATTTCAGCATGACCGTCGTACCGGGCTCAGAGGATCTCAACAACACAGATGTCTACTTGACAAGCAAGCATTCATACTCTCGGCAACCTAGCTGTAGAGGATCGGGATGGACATGATATAGCGCGAATTCACTACCTTCACCTGACAACTATCGCATAAGGGGGCCGGGGAAGGCAGAGTCTGGATGAGATAGTTATGACGCCGAGTCAGGGGGTGAGGAGGAGTGTGGTGGATTAAGAGTCAGGGTGTGGGATTTGTGGTCTTCTGCACATGAAATACATAACCCATCTTCATTCATGACTACTTCTCCTCACCAATTGTCGCGTGTATATGGGGACGTTCCGGTGTGCAAAATATAACAGGACTTCGCTCGCCTGAGCTTATGTGTCTTTGGTTCTCCGACAGAGATACAAGTCCTTGGGAAATTGTGGATGGACTGGTACACCATTACAGCTAACGCGTCAATCCTAAAGCCATCCCTCTTCTGGAAAGACAGTCTTCTCCGGCCTAGACGAATGATCCTTTTGTGCCAATGGGTTTTTACGTTGGTGAAAATGCAGAGTTAGGGTCGAGTCAACGAAATCACTTATAAACTGATCGCAGAAAATCTCAGCTCGAACATACGTTCACAAGGTTTCTTCTTTCCCCTAATCGTATGGACTAGCAAATGTACTTATCACCCGCGCCCGAGACAGTGACATCCGAATGACTTTACCTTCAAAAGAGCGACTTTCCTTATACACGAAAGACACACGTGCTCGTCAGAGCCCTGTCTGGCGGTTCATATAGCGGCGCACTGCATCTCACCCGTCACCTGCAGCCATATTTCCACTCTCATCAGTAGAGTCTGAACATCTCCCCCCCCCTCTCCCTCCCCTTCCCCTCTCTCCTTCCAGAGTTATCACGGAACAGTAAGAAACATCGAGGAAAGCCAACACAACTTCTCTGCATACCAACCACACTCTGCGCTCAAACCCTTCCTCTAACCCACAAAGATCCACCATACTTTCCAGTCTGCTTCAAGATATACGAAAACCTCTCCAGCCATGTGACAAACGCGTACTCTTCAAGCGCTTCCCTCATCATCGCCCGCCAAGGGACATAAGCTGGCTTGATCCCGATGATAATCAATGCCCCCCACCCGCTTCTAAGACCCAGTTGCTGTGGTCTTCTGACCAGTTCCGGGCCGCTCATACCCCTCTCTCCCCACCCCATGATCGCGAAGCCAAGAGCGCAGGGAGCGGACTGAGATCTTCGAAACGCCCCTAGGGGTAATAAGATACACTGCAGTGAGTCAACACCCTCATTTCCTAGATGTAGTCGAATCACGCTGCCAATCTCCCATATTCACAAGGAATAGCCATCAAGGGGCACTGAGTACAGCTCTTCTCTGGGGAGGGAAGCCCATGCTGAGATGTTCCAGACTATGAACAAGAGCGTCGTCAACGTCCCCTCGGCCGCTTCTTGGGCTTTTCCCATTCAATCAACGAAACAGCTAAAACCTTGTTTTGGCTGATTTCTCAACGGCGCTCGCTGCCCTCCTTCACTCCAAGTCGCTGACTCTGCCAATGCCCCGAGTGGCGCCTTCAACGCTCCTTCATCTTCATCTTCATCTTCTCCACGAATAGGACGGACAGCGTTGCATCTTGACTAGGAATGGCGCGAGATGATCAGGTCGGAAGTATGCTGAGAGCGTGGCCGAGCTCTGTGTTGAGACAGCGGCTATTGTTTGTGGTTTATATATATTTAGATAGTTCTCAAGTCGAGACCTGAGGAAGATGATATTCTCGGCAAGAAGTTTGAGGTGCCAGTTCGTACGTTCGCATTGTCCTTGGCGTCTAGACTTTTTAGTGAATGGTGGGTATGGGCTTTCTGTAGCCTCTCCAATATGACACAGCCAGATCCTGCATATTCGAAAGATTGACTGATCGGTGAGAAGTTGTTGCGTTTTCAATCGTTTCTGCAAGCTGGAAATCCAAAAAGGGATGCAATAATGGGGCAACGCAGCCACATTCCTATATACTGAGACCGATATCGCGTCGCCAATCCCACGTCATTCCATTCGCAGACAAAGCCTTTCGAGTTATACAGAATTCTCTTCTCGTTGCACTTGCACTCGACCGCGTTCTTCGCGAACCGCCTTCTAGCAGCGATAATGCGGGGTTTTTGGGTCAATTGGGACAGGTCCAGTTCATAGATCAGGCCGTTGTATTGTCCTCCATAAGGATTAGCTCTGTTGTCTGATTACTGTACGTCCTCTTTGAAAGCATGCCTGCTCGCTGTCGCTTCACCTCCATCGATATCTGCGTTCAAATTCGCGTTGACTCTCATCGCTTCGGGCTTACGCTCTTTCCGATTGATCACATTTGCCTGGCGTTGTATGATGCAGCCGGCGCTTGATAGACAATTGAAGTGCCCAAATCGGTTATATCGGTAGCTGAAGCAGCGTCGCGGAATCACTCCAAGCTTGTCAAGGTTCAATACTACCAAAACGAGGCCCGTGTCTTCTGCATAGACTTGAACCCACTTTCCTCGTTCTGGAACGATCTCCCATCGGTAAGCTGAGTGTCAATTTCGTGGAATCGATTAACATCGTCTCCAATTGGGGTAACTTGGTTGTTTATAGGAGGATTCGAAAGTCTCTGAAAGAGTTTCGAACTTGAGCCGATCAATCTCTTGTCTGGCCTTGCCAAGTGCCCTTCTATCTTTTCTCCAGAACCCCCCTATGATTCGTCTTTTAGGGAGAAGTTCGTGTGGACAAGACCGACACAGGAGAAAACCCCTAATGTGGGCCGACGTGGCTATTGTAATGGAAGGAATAGCAGGTGAGAATTGAAAGACAACGCCACCAATCAAGAAGGTATTTATAAGTCAGGCGGACCAATAGGACCCATCATGAATGTCTGGTAGAGATGGCTACCGTTGGCGGTCAGGGCGTGCGCTCATTTCGTTTTGAGCAAATGTGGAGACCCAGGATGCGGGGATCGTTGTTGTCGGCATGGGGCCGGAAGGATTGGGCATATTGTCAGAGGGACTGTACTCGTAATAGAAACAGCCACCGCTGTTCTCACTTGGTCGCCGCTGCACTAGTAGCCGCCACAGCACATTGATCGGCTGTTGTTCAAGCCGTCAGACCAGAGACCACATCCAGCCTTTCTCTGCCACCAGTTGTCTTCCCTCGCCAACAGCGACTGGAACGCCTGTGAGATGTCGTGTTTCCAGCTCTCTCAGCAATATGTGTAAGAGATATGCGAGATTTTTATGGCCTTGGTCAGGACCGATATGAGAAGAGATTGGGAGTTATAGATCACCATAGGATTTGGTGCCGTAACTCGCTTTCGTCGGCCTCAAATCAGAGACTTTTATCTTATTGTGAAGAGCGTTTGAGATGGTCGAATCAGAGGCCAGAATTGGTCGATCGACGGTGAATCGCTAAAAGCAATTTTCTCAAGCACGATTCCGGAACAAGGCTACGGGGCTCGTGATGCCTGTTCTCATGTTGCGACCCCGGTCCGTGTCTCCGTTGGTCTATCAATCACGTCTTTAGTCTTGCAGAGAGCATCGTCCATGAACACTGTTTCCTTTATTTGGGAGCTGCAAAGGATATAAGCCCGCATACGGCTCCGTTTCACCACTCGGCTCCATTTCCCTTGACTATTCTCCTTTTCCGCCTTCCTTGCTTCGGCCAATCTGCTCCGGTAGCCTGACCCACAAGTCTGCTGAACATCAAGCGCCTGATCCGTGCTTACGTCGAAGTGTATGTATTTCACTCATCAATTTCAATGCGATACACGTCGCTGATGCTGACGAAGTGGCCTTGGTCTCTAGTGAGAGCCTAGGGCCATCGACCCGGGGTCTTTGGCGGCTTTCCCCTAAGCTTGGTATTGGATCGGTCTTTCTAAGCCAACGTGAGGCATGCTCGCTTCCGTACTTTGCAGACATGGGTCTCCAGGGCCCTGTGACCAGTAAGACAGCGCAGGTCGACCGTAATTTATATATATTTAGAGGGTGGCGTTGTCATCAGTAAAGCTACCCCAACATCGAGCGTGAGAAGACCCGAGCAATGACACTTTCTGCAAATTGTTTGCTGAGACCGTAAAAGAACTGTCATTCATGATTGCTGAAGTCCGATTGAATGCTCAACGTCAGCAGGGTCCGGTTTTCCTCCGTCTTCTTCATTACGATGGCGCTAGACTCCGCGTCGTCGAAGTAATAGTCCATCATGGACAGACAGCTTGAAAGTGTCCTCAGCTCTGCGAGTCAGAAGACTTAATCCATTGAAGATGTAGAAACCTTTGTTTGTCATAACTCTGTACAGCTTATTCATGAAAGTTAGCTGTACATGATGGTCGAAGCATGTCCCATACTTGGCTTAGTACACATGTCGTATATCTGTTGAATCAGGTCTCTTCCACAGTCCTGACTTTGTTGATCGGTTGATGGTAACCTATGATACTGTCTGCGCTGAAGGATTTTATGAACTTCAAAAGATATTCTGACATCTTCGACCTTGTTAGTTGATCCATACGTTGATAGTTGATGTAGACTTGAGAGTGGCCATACTGGGTGATCGCCCAGTGATTATATTTATATAGTTCGAGCCCCTTTGAGGCGATGCAATATCGATGAGCCTTATACTTGACGCGAGACGGCACAGATGTCATCCCAGAGACGTTTTGTTCGCAAGTATGGCCAAATTGCAGAATCGTCGCTGCTGGTTGGCGTGAAATGCGAAACCCGATACAAAGGTTTTTCTGCACGACCAAAGGCATCGGGCTTCTGATCCGCCTCTTGCAGCCCTTTTTGCACCCAAACCGCCTTTCCAACGGATACTTATAGATAATCGCGTCTCCAAATTGGCCTCTAGTTAAGGAAGCCCCTTGACCACGGGTCGTTTCACTTCTAGTTGGGCCGGGAGGAGGAGGCTGGTGCGGAGGAGGTCAGCGAGGCGGGTGGTGTTGTCAGCCTGCGGCCACATCCCGACTCTCTGGATCCGTACTCTTCATTGCATCCTCCCTCTCGCAGGACGGAGATGCGGTTGGACATGGTAGATGGCTGATGAGTTGACAGGGAGCCGTCGATATGGACACGTGTCTGTGCCGATGTGTTCATAGCCGTTCTATCAAGTGTGCTCTTTGTGTCGACACTTGGACACGTATCCGTATGAATGCTTGAAGTGCTTTCGTCCCAGAAAATTAGACTGCTCATCAACACTCGTGCTATCAAGATCCGCGCGAGAAGAACAAATCGAGATTTGCCGTGATGGTAAAATGTTGACGTACGAGGAAATCGTCTGACGTGACATTGTATGTCATCCTTGGAACAGTGTACGCACTTTTTAGAGTTTCTCGTGACGATGCAGTGCCGCTGTTTGTTGATACATAGTAAGCACCGATGTATCTCTTTCGTCCAGAACGTCCTCGCCTGTCTTGTTGATGGCGGAGGCTCTAAAGGTGCTTCCTGGTTGGGAGACCGGGGGCTCTCCACAAGGACCACGTAGACGTCTGGCTTGTTTTGCTTTGGGCCCATCAGCTGACGGAATCGTTTTACTCCGTCGATCTCATCATTAGAAGTTTTCTGGGCAGCTGAGTCATTACTCGAGGATGAACACGACACCACAACGTGATGCCCAATGAGCGTACATGCCGGCACCTCGACCCCACGCTCGGCCCATTCAGCATGGCTAGCGACTCCATTCTGCTCTCACACTTTCTTTCCGGCTTATTTTTGCCTCCTGGCCGGCGACTTGAGACCTGGTCGGTGTCGTAGATGCTCAGCCTCAAAGATGCATGTCTGAAGTGCCATGGAGACCCTTAAATTGCAAATCGAGGCAAGATATGGCCGCAGCATATGGACCGTACAGCCTCGCATCATACACCAGTATATGAACATGATGATAAACGGAGAACACCACAAGACTATGGCTAGAATCAGTAGCCATTGGAACAACGGCTTGTCGCAAAACGTTTGCATCCCCCACGTTCGACCTTTTGGTTTTCTTGGAAAGGCTCTGGGTCTCTCTCGACCAAGGGTCCTCTGACTTGGTGATCGAGGTGCCTGGTGCCGTAGTGATGGCGAGGAAATTTCTGCACGAGACACAGTCTCCTCACGATCATCCAATCTGTTTGATTGAGAAATCGTGACTTGGAAATAGTCAAGACTTGCAGCTGTCTCTTCATGGGTGTCTCCATGTCGAGGCCCAGTGGGGGAGGCTTCGGTTGAAAGAATCTGACAAGTCTCCGAGCGCGATGGCCACGACCAGAAAGGTCCTGAGAGGGTTCATTGACCAGAAATCCATGAACCGATGCAATATCTGCCGCGGGCATTTTCTGCTTTGTATTGATCCTAGCAGAACAGGTGGACCGTCATCTGGACCTTCCTTCGACGAGCCGTGTACGGCGAGCACATCACGAGAAGCCTATACTTCTAGCAAGTCAAAAGCCAGACGAGCCATGAGCCTGAATTATATATATATTTAGAGATCTTGACAGGCAAGTTACTGATACTGTATGAAGATGGAAGATGGAGGACAGATGTCTACGGATATTGTAAGAAAGAAGAAATAGAGAGGAGAGGAGGGCAGCTTCTATACCTGGGCAGGGTTCACACTCTAAGGTGAATATGGGTGTCTTATCAAAGCCGCCACTTGTCTCAAGGGTCACGCAGAACTCAACGTGTTGGTGCGTGAAACAGCGTGAATTGAACGTGTGCAGATATTTCACTGTCAAGCAGCTAGCCTCAGGCGACATGGCCTGGAACACATAGACATTCTTGACGTAAAGTCTTGAAAAGCGAACATTCACACATGCGGTGCCTGACTCACGCAGGGCCATTGTGATTTGCCACGGAGCGCTTCACTCGTGGTGGGACACCTATGTGTAATGCTCAAGGAATGTGCTCAACCATTGTGTCTGACAGCAGCTTGCTCTGGCTACTAAAGGGGGTCCTTTCAAAGGATAAGTTAATTTGCACACGAAGAATACTCCCGTCACATGTATAATTTGAGCTTTGAATTCACGTAATACGACATGTATAGGTCGACTAAGATGATTAGACACGTTCAGTAAACAGGACCGCCAGATCATCAAAGGAGACGCAGACCCTAACACATGTGTATAGACTTCTGTAACAGCGTCGAAAGCACACAAATACACTTCTCCCCAGCCTTACATACTCAGCCCACCTTGAAATGTGAGTCATCTCGACGCAATTCATCTGCGGCTTGAATTTCCACATCTTGCAGTCATTGCTATAGCACTTAGGCCCGTATGAGCACCAGCCGTGGCGCCTGAAACGGAATTTGTCTCGTGAGTGTCTGGTGTGGTGAGCGTGTTTGCAGTCCGCCACGTCGCATAGCAGGTCTTTGCTACATCTCTCGAGGATTGGACCGGGTGCGTGTGTTGCGTTGAGGCTTGCAGAAGCGATCGGGGCCGGTGGTACTGGGGCTGGTAATTTTGGTCTGTCCTGGAGCATTGGATCTTTGGGTTTGAGGAGCTTCGTTCGGCGGATTTTGGCGCTTTCGACCACTAAAGCTGTCATCGTCACGTCGAAGCTTGTACGTTGTGATGAACACATCTTCCCTTAGACTTTTAGGTGGATCGCCTCGCTGTTCCTGTTCCGCTTTCCGTTTCACGTATTCCGCTTGTTCCTTGATAGCCTCATCTCTCTCGAGTTGGGGAGTTACGCTTGAAAACGTGATCCATTTTTGCGTTGCGGACATAGGCTGTTTTGACGGCGTGTTGGAGGATGGGTTTGCTTCAGAGACGTCTGTTGTCTCTGTCAAGGTAGCATTCTGAATTTCTAAGGCTTTTTGGTCCTCGGCATTTTCGACAGCTAACTTTACGATGCGGTTGATCACGAGGTCTGTTGATCCTGTGCAGAGCATCAATGCTGTGTTGTCACTGCCATAGTTTGCAGTGCGGGCTTGCGGAACATGGGTGATGGGCATAATAATCGTCACGTTGGGAATCGCCAAACGCGGAGGACCAGAGTCGGATTGGTGCACGGGCGCGTATAAGCCTTCTCAAGAAGGCTGGTCAGGAGACTCAGTATATATATTTATATAAGAGCAAGGAACACTGGTTGTGGCAACCGTTATGCTGCTCACAACTAGGGACCCCTACATGGCGGCCAAAGGTATCATTACATTCGTAATGGCTATAACGTATTGCTCAGTCTTTATAAAGGGTTTCGGTGAGGAGCCATGACGAAGAGTGCTTAAATGGTGAAAGGTTTTCGACACGTCTCACATGAATGTGTTCGACAAAGCAAGTGTGAGACATGGAAAAAATGTACCGTTGAATAGAAAGAATATTCACGTGTCAGGCTCACTTCATCAGGCCATTCACTTATTGCAACAGGGTGGCAACATGATGGCGTTGTCCTCTGTGTCGTCGTTGGTTCTTGACACGGAGGTTGAGGATCATCTGACTCCTGGCATTCAGCACTTCACCATGCACCTTTATTAAAGGAAACCCTGCAGGAGTATGACGAGGCTATCGTGGATGTTGTAGATTAGCTCTGCAGTGAAGAATTGATGGAACGGTCTGAGCATGGTGGCATTCACACCATGCTACGACGAACCCAGGATATCGACTTCCCCGCTGGGCTGGAAAAATGAGTGAATCAAGTTTTGTTCCTAGATGAGCGCTGTAGCGCCCTGCAACTGTGATATCTGTACAGCGCGTGATGTTTTTAGCTTTTGCTTTGCTAGCCAAAGGGTGGTCTTGGTTTGCGAGGAAGAAAATATTCATGAGCATTGGACTGACATGATTGTTTTAAAGCGGCGACAAAAAACGAGCGGGATCTTTCCGCCCTTCCACCAGAAAGTTTTTTCCAGCATCTTGATATCGCGCAATGCCTGCCTCCAAGGTGCGAAAGCCTAAGACTTGGGCGGAAGAGCTTGCAGATCTAGAGGATCCTGCGCCTAGAGGTTCATCTTACTCTCTGACTTCTCTCAATCAAGCCACGCTCACACTTTCGCAGACTTTGATCCAGAAGAGCATGACCCGGCCGTAACGTTTTCAGCAGAGAGCGATGACGGTAGTGATGGAGACAATGCAAGAGCACATTATGAGAAGCAAGAGTACATCATACGAAACCTAATATTTTATCACAGCTGAAAGGGGACAGGCAGAGCGCCCTGCGCAAATCGGAGAAAATCGATCTCGGCCCAAAGTACACAGGTGTGAGTGTGGGCAGGGACGACTTCGGTCTTGGTGATGCAAGCGATGCTTCTGAAGATTCGGGGACCGGTGATGGAGATGAGCTTTCGGGAGACGAAGCCTCTTACAATGGCCTCGACGCTCCTGGCAATGCCGCTCAGGCCAATAGGAATGGCAGGTCTCAGATCAACGAAGAGCCTGACAGCGGATCAGACGTGGACGCAGAGGAAGAAATGAATGACATCGACTTTGAGTCCGAAAGCGAGGAAGATGACATGAATACTGGCGACGATGAAAGCGCAGGAACCTCCCCTCCTTCCTCCCCGTCCTCCGACCGCGCTGCGATCCGCAAAATGATGGCCCAAGAGCAGACAGTCGTTGCCTCCAGCCTAGCAAAAGCAGCTCAATCCGATGTCAACAAAGGCCGTGCTTTGAAACGCCAGCGACAGACCTTCAATTCGCTCCTGAACATGCGCATCAAGCTCCAAAAAGCTCTCATATCTACCAACTCCCTGCCTCCACCTTCCTCTGACCAAGAAATACCCCCCGATCACACAGCCGCTATTGAAGCCGCAGAAACCGCAGCCATTCACCTCTGGACCTCTCTCAACACCCTCCGTTCCTCCCTCCACCCCTCCTCCTCAACCTCCAAAAAGCGCCCTCTCAGCGCAACGACTACCACATCCTCATCAGCCCTCTGGTCCTCAATGCAAGACCACGAAAAACACTCCACCCCCCTCCGGCGCGCCACATTGGCAAAATGGTCCGAGAAAACCGCCCCGATACCCACCATCTCTCGTGGCAGCAAGTTCTCCCAAGCACCCACCCAACAACCACTCATGAGCATGCTAGACCAACAACTCTCCGGCTCGAATCTAGACCGCCACATCGCACGCACAAGAGTCGCGCGGAGTTGTGCGCCCGTACAAGCTGCCCGACAAGCCGAAAAAGGTCGGAGTCGGCGTGTAGACGAACAAGAGGAAGAGCGCACCGCCATCTACGACGACGCAGATTTCTACACCCTCCTCCTCCGCGAGCTCGTGGATCAGCGCATGGGCGAGCAGAGCAACACGCACACCGGTACTGGTGCTAGTGGTACGATCAAGATACCGAGTCAGCGGGACTTGAGGGCGAAGAAAACAGTGGACACCAAAGCGAGTAAGGGGCGGAAGATGCGGTATAATGTGCACGAGAAGCTGTTGAATTTCATGGCGCCGGAGGATCTGGGGGTATGGGGGGAGCGGCAGAGGAGGGAGTTGTTTGCGGGGTTGTTGGGGCAGAAAGCACGGGTCGATATGATGGCTGAGGAGGAGGGAGATGGGGACGAGATGGATGTGGATAGTGCCGAGGAGGAACAGGAAGGAGAGGGTGGTTTGAGGCTGTTTGGGTGATAGGGTAGAAAGAGCTGTGACGTCGTTCACCGTCTCTAGATACAAACGAACGGGAACATCCATCGACTTGCGTTGTCAGTACGAGGAAGGACTTGGGAAATCAGCTTCATATATTCATCACTTCAATATATACCTCGACATCCACCTCCCTCCCCACACTCCCCTCACCCAAATCTTCTAAACCCCACCACCCCCCTTCCGCCCTCATCTCCTCACTAACCCTCGGCAACCGTTCCTCCCTCGCCACCAGTCTCTGCGGCAAATCCGGCAAGGTCTTATTCCACCTCGCCTGCTCCGGCACCACATTCCCACCCGACCCAACCCGCTCCACCTCCTCCAACCCCTCCACACCCTCCACACTCGGCCGTCCAAACAGCCGTCCCCTAGGCTACCCCGTCAAATTACTAGTCTTATACCTCTCAATATCGATTTCTTCCACGACATCCCTGACGGGGGGCAACCGATCCCCTCTCCCCCTTTTTCCCCTTCCCCCCAATCACACCCCCGTACCCTCCACCACTCCTCCCCTCACCCCCTCCCCCATACGGCCCACCAACCCTCCCCCCTCCGTAAAGCCCCTATGCGCCAGATTCATCAACTGATTGAGCACAGCAAACTCCAACTTCAACTTAACCGCATAGATAAGCGCCTTAACACTCGTCTCAGCGACATAATCATTGCGATACTCGAGCGCGACCAAGACGGCGTCCATAGCGACACAAGCGACATTGGCCGTAACGAGCAGGCGCATAACGGCGCGGGTTTTCGTGTGGGACGTCGAGCGCAGCAGGCGCAGCGTGCAGATGATGTAGATGGTGGAGATGAGGGCTTCTTGCAGGGTGAAGAGGGGGAGTTGGATGCGTTCCATGATTGCGAGGCGGGGTTTGTAGGGGTTCGGTTGGTGGGAGTGGGGCGGGGGGAGTTGGTGCCGATTGTGAGGGCGATGGTGGGGATGTGCATGCAGAGGCCGTTTGTGATGATGAGGGCGAGGATGGAGCGGAGGAGGATCGGGCGGCGGGTTATGAGGTGCAGGCGCGAGTAGAGGACTATGGATTGGCCGGTTACCATTGAGACCCAGCCTGTGAAGGGAAGGTGAAGGTTAGCTTGGTGGGCTTGGGCTTGGGCTTGGGGTGCTGGGTAGTGGAGTGGTTAGGAGTCGTACCGATTTCAACGATGATGAGGAAGAGAACGTTGGGGGTTGTTGTCAGGTATTTCAGCGTCCAGCCGATGGCGTGGAGGACGCAGCCCCAGGCGCTGATGAGGATGGAGTAGAAGTAGAGACCTGACCATCGTCGGAAGGTGTAGAAGACGAGGTATGTGAGTTCGAGGCAGAGGACCCAGGCAACGCAGGAAGCACCGATTAAGATGCAGAAATCGACTGAGCTTGAGAGGAGACTGCCATCGTTGGCGCCTTTCTTAAGCTCATCTTTCCGCATTGCGCCCTCGTTAAAGGCTACGAGTGGTGCAGGTCGACGGCATCAAGCAGGAAGATGTGGATATACCAAGAGAGGGCCAGATACTTCTTGGATACTGGCAAAAACAGTTCAGGCTCAAGCTGGGACGCCATCACGATATGCTTCGCTTAGCGCACAATTGCTTCATCCCCGGCAGCTTCTCCTGCCTTGTGGTACCATGAAACTTCCCGCCACCGTCTCAATGAGGAATTCCGTAGCCATCATGGCTGGTGGGAGACACCCGAACAGCGGTTCAGTGATCTGTCTGCACGTCAATGATGCCAGCTAGCTCGGTAAGTGACCAATGATGGTGAGACAGCATGCTTCTCTAATCTTCCCCGCCCAAAAGCCCAGGCCGTTGCGAAATCAGTGCCAGTATGGACATGGATGTGTGACGTGGGAGGTGTGTGCCATAAGGCATGAAGGGTACTGTCCCGCGATCGACGGTAGGCTAACACGCCTACTGTACCATCTGTGAAGGCATGCGAGCGCTGTCATGCAGCAGAATGTTCTGAAAGGGGAATTCCATGACAATGTGAGGCATGTTTCAGAAGAAGCGCTCAGTTGATGCAGCGGTGGAATGATTGCTGATTAGCTGCTGCTTGCATATGGGACGCCTCTTCTTGTAAATTCTCCTCTTTCACCCCTTCATAAGCTTTCGAAGCTAGACGACCAAACGTAAGTGGAGAAATCCCAGAAGCAAAAAGTGACCAAATTGCGTACAGGCGCGCCAATATGATTTTGATATCATCGAACGGCATGTAGCGTGCATTAGTGTGCTGCAAACGGGGCGACGCACAAGGAACCCGCCTTTAGCAGTAAGGTTATTGTGCACGGTGAGGTGCCATCGAGATGTTACTGCTCATGACGAAGGTTCATGAAGTACCAAAAGGAAGATTTGTTGTGGTGGAATTCCCCCAAGAGTACTCGTGCCCCCGGCCCGGCTTTACTGACGGTGCTAAATTATGTTATCGCTCTCTGTGTCTGCATCACTTAAGCTATCCTCTATCATAGTCTTCCAATCTTCAGGTGGTCCAATGAGGCTGTCGTTCATCAAACTTTCGGGGAGGAGCTGGCTGTCTGTCACTCGATCCTCGGCATTCCATTCGTACTGGCGCTGAACGTCTTCTGCATAAGGACGATTAGCTGCAGGTGAAGACATGGGTGGTGGCACCGAGGGTTGGGATGACGGTATGTTTTGCAAAGAATTCTTGAGGTAAGGTTGCGTCCCTGCAACGGTGGTTGCCTGCGACGAGGGTACCAATATTTTAGGCTCCGGCTCAGGACAAGAAAGATGGTCGGACCCGAATGGGGATTTTATAGCCTGAATTGGCGACCTTCCGTTGTGCTCGCTAGATGGATTTGAGGAGGCAGTATGCAGGGAGGATGCAGCTGGTTGCGTTGAGCCAAGCTGCGGTTTGTAAGTATGCCAGTCATTCTCATATTGTGTCTCTGTTAGGACGCCTAGAGGCATAGGAGCCTGCATGGAGCGTCGAAAGTCGTCTAGACTTTGGTGAGAGGCCCGTTGACCCTCTGTCGGGAAGATGTCCTTCTCTTCACCTTGGCTGAAGCTATCCGCGATCATAAGTAGAGTAGACTTATCTTCTGATGCTTGATCGAACGCGAGATAACTTGAGGTCTTTGACGGTGAGGCCGGATGTTTGCGTGGTCTAAAGTCTTCAACTCTATCTTCGTTAGAGCACTGCACAAGTTGTATACTATCGGGCGCAATATCCGTATGCTTCATATCTTCAACGTCATGATTTGAAATAGTCCTTTCGATCCTCTTCAACGGGCTATCTCCATACTCATTTTCCAGACTGTCTGGTATTTCCCCACCTTTCTTGTGCGTCCATGCTTTGGCTGAGATTGGTGATTGCATAATCATGATGTTGTTAGATATATCTTTCAGCGGAGATCTTGAAGTGTTTCTCGCAGTCTTTTGACTCCGTGTAGATAAAGGCGTACCAACTGACGATTGGGACGATGGTATGATGGTCTTTTTGCGGCGTTTTGGCGTGGTGATTGGTGGCGGCATCTCTTTCGTACAAGGCACAGCTGTCGGTTCTATAGCTTCTTTTTTGACATTCATGGTGTCTTTCGAGTCCTTTCTGGCAGGTGCTGACGCAGCAGCTTTTTTCTGCGCACTTCTTGTGACCCTCCGTACTGGCGTTTCCTCCGGACTGATCTTCCGCCGCTTAGATCTTCTTGCAGGCTCTTCGTAGGGCTCATTGCCGTCATGGTCGTATTCCATATCTTCTTGTACGCTTTCGGGATGGTAGATGGCATGGAAAGGGTTCATTTGAGTAATCGTTTGTTGCCTCTTGCTTGGAGCAGACCATGACAGGCAAGACGGTCGTATTATTTGCTTCTGGGTGAGGAAGGTGATTTGTCGGGAATCAGGCGTAGTGTTCAGGGCTTTTCGTGGCTTACGGCCACTACTCCCGCGATCAGGCATCTCTTAATTGCAATCCTTTCCGTAGGAATGACACAAGTTGTTGAAGACTGAAGAACGCGAGACGCGTCAAGTCTTGGCAGACGTCATCTCGACCTCGCTGCCCTTTCATGACTCTAAATTGCTTCATCCCAACTTTCACCAGCTAATTCTTGATCGCATTGCATCGCACTTGCTTAAGTCTTGCCATTTTGCTTTGCTCCTGGTACGGTGACTTTGCGGCTTTTAAATGAGTCATGTTGAGTGACAAAACGGATATATGCACACCAATTCGGCGGTCACCTAACATAGGTTCGTGACCACGATGTGAAGTCCATCGACAGACGAGATGGTTCGTCGCAGAGGACGGCAGGCTGGTCGGCTCGCCGCGTCATCAGAAGTCCCAAATGTATACCGGGAAATGCTTGCCGAAGCTTCTGTATCACCAACCCGTAGTGATCAAGATGGCCGTTCCGTCAAAAAACGGCGTGTCGCCGGTCGAGTTGTTGCTACCGTGAATAACACAGTTGTGAATGACGAGACAAAGATAGAGGATATCAAGCCTCAAGAATCGAACGATTCTGACTTGGAAGACCAATTTGAAGATGTAGACTTGGCGCGACAAACATTCGTCCGAAGTGAATCCGAAGACTCGGCAGACAGCGACACTAATTGGGAGGAGGTCGATGATGAGGAGAAGAATCAAGCGCTGCCAGAGAAAGACGGACCTCAAGCTCTCAACTTGACACTTGAGGCTAGTGGGAGACCTGAAAGGCCGAAACGAAAGACAGTTGGCGCGACTGAAAAGAAATTACGGCTTGAGATTCACAAGATGTATCTATGCAGTTTATTCGCTCACCTGCACCTTCGCAACCATTGGTGTAATGATGACGACGTCCACGCAAGTAATCGCTAAGATTGCATTGCACTGAAAAATGCTGATACTGATCAGAGTGTACTTCTTCAGATTCTTCCACGGAAGGCTCTTTCCTATCTAAATGATGACACTACAGCGACTCAATTCCAGCGATCGAGATCTTTCATGGACGGGCTTGAGCAAGCCAGTGAAGCATTCCGAGGCCGGTTCAGGATCACAGCGAGAGGCTTGGCCAGACCTTCTTGGTCTGACCCCGATGCATTGCCGAATGTAGGCTACAGTCCTTTTGCCAGTGGTATCAAGATATGTGCTGATACCGTTGAGCTGACAGCTACATATACCTGACGATATTGGCCTCCCGATGGAAAAAGCAGATTTTGACGATGCAGCCAAGGCGGTGGAGGGATCTCGCGACCTTGGTGCTCAGTTGTTCTGTGCGTTGTTGCGAGCCACGGGCATAGATGCTAGACTTGTTTGCTCCCTGCAGCCATTACAGTTTCGAGCCGTTGAAAAGAAACAAACACCTCAGCGACAATACGCTACAATCATGCCTGACACGGCTAGCGTCCGAGGCAGCTCACCTGATACTGAAGATGGGAGTGTGAAAGCTCGAATGAAAGTACCAACGAAAAGTAGGTAGCCACGCAAGTCACTAGATAGTGTGAAAAGCTAAGACCATAAGGTACTCCCAAAAAGCCCATCCGCGAATCCAAATACCCAGTCTTCTGGGTCGAAGCCTTCAACACCGCCGTCCAGAAATGGATTCCCATCGACCCACTCGTAACACGCACGATTGCCAAACCCTCAAAACTGGAACCTCCAATCGGCGAGAGAGAGAACAACCTAACCTACGCAATCGCCTTCGAAGACGACGGCTCAGCTCGCGACGTAACCCGTCGCTACGTAAAAGCCTACAATGCCAAAACCCGCCTTGACCGCGTCGAATCGACCAAGGACGGAGAAAAGTGGTGGAAACGGGTGATGAAGCTGTTTAGACGAAAGCAACGACTCGACCGCGACCTCGTCGAAGACGCCGAACTAATTGCCAAAGAAGCCGCAGAACCCATGCCACGCAACGTGCAAGACTTCAAAACCCACCCATACTACGCCCTAGAGCGCCATCTACGTCGCCACGAAGTGATTCACCCGAAGCGCGAAGTTGGCAAAGTGGAGCCGCAGGCCGAGACGCTCTCGAACCCATCTACCGGCGCCGCGACGTCCTTCACGTGCAGAGCGCAGACAAGTGGTATCGGCAGGGCCGATGTATCAAAACTGGTGAGCAGCCACTCAAGCGCGTGGTTTCCCGTAAACGACGCGAGGTCTCCAACTTAGAAGACGATGACGAGGAAGTGGCGGCAGGGACGCCACTCTATGCCCACCACCAGACCACCTTGTACACTCCCGCCCCGGTAATTAATGGCAAAGTACACAAGAATGCGTATGGTAATCTCGACATCTACGTCGCCAGCATGATCCCCGCGGGCGGGGCGCACATCCAACACGCCTCCACCGTCCGCGTAGCCAAGCTCCTAGGCATCGATTTCGCGGAAGCGGTGGTGGGTTTCACATTCAAGGGACGGCATGGGACCGCAAACATTCTGGGGGCGGTGGTGGCCGCTGAGTGCGTCGATGCTGTCAAAGATGTCATTACCGTGCTAGAGGACGAGCGGGCGTTGCTTGAGCAGGAGAAGAAGAGTGCGGAGGCGTTGGCGATGTGGAAGCGTTTATTGGTGGGATGTAGGATCAGGGAGAGGATATCGGGGTACGCAATCGAGGGCGAGGGGGACCAGACTGATGAGGAGAGGGACGAGGACGAGGGGATGGTAGTGGAGGAAGGCGGGTTCATGCCAGACGCCGATGCTGGACCTGTTGCTGAACCTACCGCTAACCCAACCCATACCTCCCACAACAAGTCCGCGAACACCCCCACCAGTAACAACATCAGCTTGATACCAAACACCCGACCCCCACCCACGATCCCAGTAATCTTCGGCCCTCCCCTCCTCCCAGACCCTCAACCCTCAGCCTCCCGCCACGACACCCCTACCCCCACCCCAACCCCCAGTCCACCCCATGAAGAAGATCTCTTCGCCGAACCCCTCCCGCTCGACGATGGCGGCGGCGGTTTCCTCGCACCCAAAGACAGCGACACCGACGACACTGACGCCATACAAATCACCCATTCCCCTGCCCAACCCCTCACCCAACCCCCCTCACCAATCCCCTCTGCGCCTCCCATCCACCCCATCCACCCCACCCTATTGACAAGCACCAGCACTCACAAGCCCAGCAATCACGATGGAGACGATATCGATGACGCCGACGAAGAGAGTGGAGAAGAGCAAAGTGAGAAGGGCTCGCTCCTCTCGCAGGACCCAGATGACGAAGAAGAGGAGGTCGAGGATTTAGAGGGGGAGATGGAGGTTGTGGAGGAGGAGTATTGAGTGTTGATGTTCTTGAATAACGGGGGTTCGATGTAGGAGAGCTCAAGATCAAAGGAGAGGGGGGTGGGGGGATTTCTCCACCTGATGGACATGAAAACTCAAATAGTTGGTTGGTTATTCAAGCACGTCTGTCTGTAAGTAGAGGATCAAAGCTCAAAGCAATGGTGACTGGTGCTCCCGCGCTGTATCGCGCGCGAAAACAGAAGTGTTTGACGCAAAATATGCTAGGATAGGATAAGATGGGCATGAGATGGGGATGTCATTTCCTACAATACAGTACAGTACACCTACCAGTCGCACTTAGTATACCCAAGCGTAAATTCATAGCAGGCGGGAGTATGTCATGCCAGCATCCATCATCCATTCATGCATCTCTAGAAGCCTTACCAATTGCCCCCCTTACTCCTTGCCCTACTCCTCCAAAACTGACCATCAGAGAAATAACCCCCCGGCTAGCATGACTCCAGAGCTACTATCTCCTGAGGATCTCTCAGTCTAACCTCTCTCTCCTCTCTCCGCACCTTCTGACTTCTCACCCCTGTCCCTGTCCCTGTCCCTCTCCCTCTCTCTATCCCTCTCATCTTCCTTACCCCCTCCTCCTCCTCCACCTCCTCCACCACCACTCCCCCCTCCCCCCCCCCTCCACCTCCAAACCACGAACTAGTCCACCCCCCCAAACCCTTCGGAACCCTCGATTTCCTCCCCATGGGCTCATCCAGGCTAACCAACAACACCGGCTTGACCAAAACCTGCGGAGTTTCCCTTCCCCCCGCCCCTCCCCTCACCATCCCGGGACTAACCACAAACAACTCCTCACCAATCCTCCCATCCTCTCTCACGCTCAAATTACTGTCCATTTTTATGGGTTTGGAAGTCGCGTTGTCGACCATGCCGTAGTGCTGGATTTCGTTGCGGTGGACGGAGTAGGCGGCGTTGGGGGAGCGGGCGAAGGCGTGGGAGAAGAGGTTGTAGTCTGTTGTTGAGGTGCGGAGGGTGTTTGAGAGTTTGACGGTGGGGGCGAGGAGGCGGGCGTGGAGGTCGGAGGGGTCGATGGGGTGGGTGGGGGAGAGGATTGTAGAGAGCGCGGTGGAGAGGGTGGTAGCGAGGAGGTGGGATTGGTGGGTTTGTTCTGTGGCGAAGGCGGACATTTTTATTAGGCCACGGAGGGTTTCGGAGCGGTGGCGTCGGAGTGTAAGGGCGTCTGTTTTGGGGTCAGTGGGATCTATGTGGGCGAGGGAGGGGAGGGGAGGGGAGGGAAGTAGTGAGATGATATTTCGGTTGGACGAGGAGCGGAGGAAATAGGGGCGCGGGAATGGGATGTAGAGGATAGTGGACTGAGGGGAGATGGAGTGAGATTCTCACCTCGTTTCGGTTCCAGCTCTGACATGCCTTCCTCAATACCTTGTAAGAGAAGGGTGTTGTTCTCATCGAGACCGTAGACGAAGACTTTGGGGCTGAGGATCTCCACTAGGATCTTGGAGTGGATGAGATGTTGCATCAGTGATGGCAGACACTCGGGATGCTGCTTTGCGATCTTGTACAGTCGCTGAGGAAGATCATTCCGGAAATCTTGCGGTATCTCGCTGGGAGTCTTGAGGTTGTCGAACCAAGCTTCCAGTTTCTCCGGATCTTCGGTCTTCTCATCTACCCAGCCGGAGATCTGGCCTACGAGATTCGAGTACATTTCTGCTACCTCGCTGTCGCTGGCTTGTGGTGGCGGCTGTAGGCGGAGCAGATCATCTCGGCATTCTGTCAAGCTGGCGCTGAGATCGCGGATCTTGCGTTGCAGCTTGCGAGATTCTTCTTCGGCGGCTTCTTTCTCGCCGTTGGCATCTCTGGTTTGTTTGGTCAGGTAGGATAGGTGGGCATCGCGTTTCCGATATTCTTGCTGGAAGTAGGCGGCTTGCTCCTCCAGCATCTGGAAGTGCTCCATGTACTTGGAACGTTCTGTGTTGGTGAGCTTGCCTTTGCCGGAGGAAACAGCCTGGAGCTCCTTCTGGATGGCACTGTATGCCTCCATGAGCGAAGCATTCTGGCGCTTGATGTCTCGAAGCTCGAGTGATTGCTCTCGGACATCGCGGTTTGCGAGCTTGTACTCCCGCTTCAGCTCGCTGTATTTCTCTTTGAGATCATGATAGTCGTCTATTCTCTCCTCTACAGTCATTGCATCTATCCGTTGCCTTGACACTTCTACGTCGCGACTACTCGATTGCCTGTTGTTTGGCGACCCATCCAGAGACCTTCTCCTCGTTGGTAGAGATTTTGACAAATTTTCGGCATGAATTGGGGCTGGTTTCGTGAGTACCTGCGAGCTTCTCCTCAATGGCCTCATTTGCACTTCTTTCATTTCGCGTGCTTCGTCCATCTTGAATTTCGCATATCCCACGCCGTCCTCCAGACTCGATCTCTCCATGAAGGACGAAGGCACAACGCTTGGACTTCCAGCTTTCGATGCAGAAGTAGGTGACCCCCGCACTATGGCAGACTTAGCTGCACACAGCCTCAGCCTGCTGTCTGGTGTTCTCGTGCTGCCAATTGAAAGGCAACAATGCCTGTGGAAAAGGAAAGGTCGGAACGCGCAATCTGGCTGGCGGTCTGCCTGGGGGCTTGGCACTGGAGCTGCAGTTCACCCGCCAATAAGGCCGCTTGGACCCGCCCCTAGAGCACGCTTAAGACGCGCTCTTGCGCCCAAAGCGTCAGTGACTCTTAGGGCATAGCGGGGCAGGACAATTGCCCCTCACTACTTGAACTGTAAATGGGATACTTCTGCCTTATGACAAGCTACATACTAATATTATAGAGTACACGAACAACCAACAGTCGGAAGTCTACTTGAACAGCCACACTGAACACCGAGAGGTTTGCTGATAGACGTGAAAGCAACGTGTCACCGCTTGTCCTGTGCCTATAGTCGGTTATCTGCGGTGGTCGTTGCCTGGGGAGCTTGACACCGCATTGCATCCAATACCATGGTCGATCTAGGCTAGACCTGGCCATATCACCACAAGGCTGCAGTCATACCAACACTTGCATGCCTGATATTCCCCATTCTTCCTCTTTCATCATCTCTTCACGCTCAAGAGAATCTTTCAATTCCGTTCCTTCTCTCTGTACAGCCGTCTAAACAACTTCCCTTCCCACTGTAAGCTATCATGGAAGAGGTAGCAACAGATCTATCAGGCCTCCAGCTGGGTGATGATGTTGCATCCGACCGCAAGATCCTCATCGCTGTAGATTTCGGTACTACATTCAGCGGCGTCGCATGGGCACAGACGCGTCGAGTAAGTCTCTTCAGCTATCCAATGCAGCCTGACAACAATTGATGAAATACAGTCGGATGTCCAAACAATCATCCAACAATGGCCAGACCCATCAAGCGGTGGCTTGGAAGGTGTAAGCAGCGATAAAGTGCCAACGTAAGTCCCCGCAAATGCCAATGGCTTTCCCACTGACGAAGTCAGTGAACTCCGCTACGATGGCAACTCCTGCAAGTGGGGCTTCCAAGTCGATGACTTCGGTCCACGCCATCAATGGTTCAAACTCGACCTCGATCCATCTCAGTCACGTGGGGTCAGTGATCTCGCTCAGCAATATCCGGATCAACATGCCCTTCCCCCAGACTATGACGCCTCAGCAGAGAAACTTTGCACAGACTATCTCTCTGCTCTTCGTACCCACACGGAGAAGTTGCTACAACACAAGCTGCCTGCTTCTATCATCAAGTCTACGCCACTGGAGTACATCATCACCGTCCCAGCTGTCTGGTCCGACAACGCCCAAGCCAAGACTCGCTTTTGTGCCTTCGAAGCTGGTATGGGCAAGGACCTGCAGATCATTTCCGAGCCAGAGGCTGCAGCTATCTATGCCCTCCACGCCATGGACCCTCACAGCATCAAAGAGGGCGACACTTTTGTTCTTTGTGACGCTGGGGGTGGAACAGTAGATCTCATCTCCTACACAGTCACAGCTTTGAAGCCCATCTTGAAGGTCCAGGAAGCAGCCACTGGCTCTGGTAGACTCTGCGGCAGCACCTTCCTCAACCGTATCTTTCAAAAATATCTCGTCGACAAGCTATCCCTGAACGAGGAATGGGATGAAGAGGTCGTCGAAGACGCAATGAAACGTTTTGACCTAGTCACAAAGAAAGCCTTCCGCGGCGACGTCAACGAAGAGTTCATTATACCAGGTACCTCCTCCCTGTCCCTCCTTTCCTTCCCCTTCCATAACCCTCGTCCTCCCTCTCCCTTCCTCCACTAAAACTCCACAGTCCCCGGCCTAGCCGACGACCCCGCCAACTCTGTCCGGCGCGGGAAATTCAAACTCCCGGGCACCGTCGTCAAAAACACCATCTTCGACCCCGTCGTCTCCGAAGTGCTCGCCCTCGTGAATGGCCAAATCGCCGCCACAAAAGCCGCTTCCCTCTCAGTAAAAGCCGTCCTCCTAGTCGGCGGCTTCGGCCAATCGCCCTACCTACGCGAAACCCTCCGCTCCACCCTCGGGCCCTCAATCGAAGTAATGCAACCCCCGAACGGCTGGACCGCCGTCGTGCGCGGTGCCCTAATGAAAGGCCTCGCGGCACTCTCCCCGTCGACAGAGCGCGTGAAAGTCGCCGCACGCGTAGCACGCAAGCACTACGGGACGGAAATCATGAGTAAATACGACCCGTCTGGGCGCGGGCACTCGCGGACCACGGCGTGGTGGGACGACTACGATGGCGAGCTCAAGGTGTTCGATATGAGCTGGTTTATCACCAAGGGCAGTGAAGTCACGGAGGACCAGAGCTTCACGCGCAAGTATCATAAGGTGTGGAAAGTGAGTGAGGGGCCGCGACAGACGGTCGCGCAGGACATCATGATGTTTGAGGATTTGGAGGGCAAGGGGGCGCCGGTGTATAAGGACGGGGCGGACGTGAGACAGTTGGCACGCCTGAGGGCGGATTTGAGCTGTATTCCTGTGGGGGAACTGATGCAGAGGGCGGGCAAGGATGGGAAGGTGTGTTGATTTCTACCCTCCCCCTTTCTTCCCCACTCCCCCTTTCATCTTTCGGTTTGAGGAGTGGCGCTGATATGGTCGGTGGCAGATGTACTACGTCGTCTACTACGAAATCGAAATGACGTACTATTCCGCCCACACCAAGTACGCGCTCGTATACAAAGGGGTGAGATACGATAGTGTGACGGCGGAGTACGTATGACACCCCACCACCGCACCCCTAACCCACCCCTACCCACGCCCTACCATAACCCCTACACCGCCATCTACACATACACACCCAACCGTCGGTATAAACGAGATACATGCATTTTCCACGAGGGAGTTAAGCAAGTAGGCCGGGGTAAAGGGGGGCATAGCGAAAGGAAGGAAACGGGATGGCGAGTTGCATGTCTGCGATTGTGAGGTCTCTAGCTTTCCCGAGGAAGGTGGACAAGACACGTAGGGTAGAGTAGTAGGATAAATGACAGACAGATATTGTCTTTATTTGCCCCCCTAACTTTCCCCCATGCATCTACTCACATCATTATACCCACACATTCTGAAGGACAAAATCCTTTCCATTCCATCAGTCGTGTTCATCTACATCGAAGCAAGAAGAAGAAGAAGGATAAATCGAAAATTCAAGAAGTATGAAGCTAGATCAGTGCCAGTGGAAAAGACGCGGTTAGAAGAATTGAAAGATTCTCCATAAGTATATCCGGTGAGCTGAAGTAAGGAAGGGGGAGAGCAGATCGCTCTAGCTATCCTACCTACCCTATCCTATTCCTGCGGGAGTACAAAAATTGGGGGGAGAGAGAGAACTGGCTCATTCATATACATCCCCATCCCCATCCCTCATGCATCAACCAACCAGCCAACCAGCCGGGCAAAACAAACAATCCTCCATTTCCAACCCTCCACACCCTTCCCCCCCCCTTATCCCCCTCACTCACAAAGTCCCCGCACAACCAAAATCAGCAATAGCCTCCTCGACCCTCTTAGCCATAGTAACCTCACCCGCGCGCAACCAAACCCTGGGATCAAAAAACTTCTTATTCGGCTTATCCTCGCCCTCGGGATTGCCGACGGGGCCATTCAAATAATCCTTCTTCCCCCTCACGAAATCCCTCACGCCGGTGAGGAACGCATACTGCATATCCGTGTCCACATTAACCTTCACAACGCCATAGCTGATCGCCTGGGTATACTCCTCTTTCGTGCTGCCACTGCCGCCATGGAAAACCAAAGCAAGCGGTTTCTTATCCTTGCCGCCGATGCTGTCCGCGACGGCTTTCTGGTGGTGCGCGAGCAGTTCGGGGTGCAGGACGACGTTTCCCGGTTTGTAGACGCCGTGGACGTTGCCGAAGCCAGCCGCGATGGAGAAGTAGGGGGAGATGGGCGACAGGAGGTTGTAGATCTCGAGCACGGTCTCGGGTTGCGTGTAGAGGGCGGAGTTGTCGACGCTTTCGTTGTTGACGCCGTCTTCTTCCCCGCCGGTGATGCCGATTTCCATCTCCAGCCATTGTTTCATCGGCGCGGCGCGCTTGAGGTATTTTGCTGTGGTTTGGAGGTTGAACTGAGGGGTGGGGATGTTAGTTAGGTGATGGAGCGTATGTAGATGGGTTGAGTGGTGGATGAGGAGGGAGGCAGGGGGCTGTATGCCTTATTTCTGTAATACCATTGCACCGCAGCTCCAAGACACAATAGGTATAAAAGACAAAGAAAAGCGAGCGCGACGTACCTCGACCTCCTCAGCCGACAAATCAATCATATGGCTACTAAACAGCGGCTCGCCCTGCTCCTTAAAATATTTCTCATCCGCATCCAACATACCATCCAACCACTCCAGAAGCGGCCGCGAGCAATGATCCGTATGCAGCACGACCGGAATATCATAACTGGGCGCAATCCCCCTGATATAGTGCGCAGCGGCAACCGCACCAGCTATGGAGGACGCCTGCTTTGCATTCGACACGCCTTTGCCGGTGAAGTACGCGGCGCCACCTTGCGAGAGCTGGAGGATCACCGGCGAGGATTTCTTCTGGGCGGCTTCGAGGGCGGCGACGACGGCGGAGGAGGAGGCGACGTTGATGGCGGGGATGGCGAAGCTGTGTTCTTGGGCATATTTGAAGAGCTGAGGTACAGCAGTGTTAGCTAGCTGCATGCAATGCATCCCCAATACCCCAAGAGGAAAGAGTGAGAGAGGGGAGTATACTGACAGTGATGATATCTTCCCCCACGATAACGCCCACAGGTCTCTTGAGCACGTCTTTCACGCCCATCTTCTCGTACAACTCTTAGGGTCTGGAATAAGAATATCGTGTGTGGCGATAAAATACAGAAGAGAGAGAGTAGTGTTTGTTGTGGAAGGTTGAAAGGAATGGCCGGAAGTTACTCGGAGTAATTGAGTGAACTGGATGGCGGGGATCCGGGATTTAAACGAGTTTGTGTGTTGATGGCCAAGATGGCTTGATGGCGGGGCAGTAACGCCGATGACTAAGCAAATGGCGCACGCCCCTCCCCTTGCCCCTCAAGGGTCTCGACCATTCCAATGAGAGGTGCCAAGAGTGTAAATGCCCGGGGTATGCTCCCTATAAGTCTCCCCTGGAATTCATATTCGGGGCTACCTATCGTCCTCTCCAAGGGGCCTCTAGGGACAAGTGCTCCCTGGACATTGGTCGCCAATGATCATCATACTCTACTGAAGATGTTAAGTGCAGAAACAGGCGATATATATACTATATAGGCTGCTTCTAGTAGTATTAAGAGCTGATTGATTACAGACCATAGCGGTCGTCCCTGCTAACGTAGTATGCCTACACATGTTTGTATATACACTTCCCCATTAATCATCCAACATATAGTCATATATACACTGCCATCACCACCCCTACGTGACAGTCTTCACCTCCGCACCCTTTCACCCTCGCCCCGCACAGCTTTCTCCTTCCTTTCTATCTCTCCGCCCCTCCTGCTTGCTTCGCCCTTTTCGCCCTTTCTTTCTGCTCTCTGACCCACTCCTCCATTGGACGTCACCACGCCCCCCCTTTAGCAGCACCCGCACCTCCTCTCCCTCTAGCCCTCCTAACCCTTCCCCTTCCACCCGCCTTGCCTGCACCGTTCTTACTACCCTGTTCCTCAAGCTGCACCTTCCTACTCTCAGCATCCCACCACTCTTGGAACGCCTGCTCCTCCTGAATTTCCTGCAGTGACCGCTTTGCCACTGCGTCCCTGATGACATCCTTCTCCGTCTGTTGCTGGGAAAGAATGTCAGACATGGAAAGTTGAAGGGAAGGTTCTGCCGCTGAGGCCGGAGTCGAATGGCGGATAGAATGGATCTGAGGCTGTGTGGGAACGGGCGGTGTATACGTTGAAAGCGAGCGAGGTGGTGATAGCGGGCTTTGGTGAGCTTGAACGGGTGCGGTGCTGGTGGGTGAAGAGACACTTCGTTGTGCAGGCGCTGCAGGAGTCTGGGAAGAGTCGCTAAAAGGGTGGCGAGAAGGTGGTTTGCCAGCCACGGTCTGACGGAGTGTCATGGATGGAGAGCTAGGGTGTGGGACCTTGTCTTTAGGTGATGGCGACTTCGTTTCCTCGCCAAGGATGTCTTTCAAAGATATTCTTGAGCCTGAGGATGCTCTCTGCCACGGTGAAATTGGCTTTGCTTGCGAGTCAGGCTTGGCCTTAGGGGCCGGAGTCGCTACCTGAACTGGCGGTGACGACGCTTGTGCAAGTTGCTCTTGCTGTTGTCTTTTACGTTCTTTTTGGGACACCTTCTGCGGCACGCTTGACTTTCTAGGCGTTTGAGGGGACTGCGGCTGTTTCTCCCGCGTAGCAAGTGCAGTGGAAATAGAAGACGTTCCAAGACTTGAGGCTTGAGCCATGATTTCTTTCATGTTGAGCTTTGATGCCGAGAAGCCTGGTGCTGCCCAAGGTCGGCTGTTGTCTAGAGCAATTGAATGATCTTGAAAATGATCAAGATCAATACCTGGTGATCTTATCAAGTCATTATGGGAGTATGGGCTTGTGGAAGCCGCTAGGTCTGATTCAAGGGAGGTAGGTAATGCGTCGAACTCTGTATTGTTAAGCTGGCTTGGACGATGTAGATACGAATCAGATCTGGGTCCTGCTGATGATGATCGCTTCTCTTGCTGGTCATCAAGACCATCCATGTCAAACATCAAGTCATGTGTAGACGGTTGAGGTGCAAATTTTGGGCTCTTCGAGACTTCCTTGGGCATAATTTTCGGGGACTTGCGCGAAGGGGCATTCTGCTCAAAATCTTCAGGTAGGTCTTTACGCCCTTTGAGAGTGCCAGTGCCTTTATTTTCATCTCTCAATTTGGCTTGCAGGCGTACTCGGTCGATTTTCACCTGCTTGCTACGCTCAAAACGTTCGAGAAGTCTAGGGTATTGTTCTACTATGTCAGCCTCTGCTTTTCCGCTTTTGGCGAAAGGCATGCAGTTGAGTTGATTCTGCTGGACAGTCTCGTCAAGTTCTAACATGATGTCGGCTTCGAGTTCTTCGAGAAGACTACGAACACATTAGTAGAGCTTTTCGTCAAGGTTACCGAAGGACTTACTGATTCTCGAGCATGCCTTCAAGATTCAAGCAGATGTATTCGAGCGCAGCATCTTTGAATCCAGTCACTGAGCATGGAGCCACAGCGTTCAGAAGAGAACAAATGTTCCTCGTATTGACTATCCAGTCGATTAGCTTGGAGACCAGCAGTCTTCAACTTTCTACAACGTACCATGTTTGCCGAGCAGCTTTTGACAGCTCTGTGTAAGCCGATCTAGCATCAATTCATTTGCAACTGACATGACTTCAATAATCAGATCTAAATAAGCGTCGAGATCCGCTGTTATAACATCTTCGAACATTGTCTCATCTGTGTCTGCATAAATGTGTCTCAAGACATACTTGAAGACGTCAGGGCTGACATGCGTTAGATCGACCTGAATTGGTTCTGGCGCATCTTGGTCGTCATCACGCCGCGAGGAGAGCCAGCGGCCGGCTGCACGGCCTTGGAATAAACCTTCGAAGAACGGGCAGCGTCGACAGACAAGGGCTCCGTGTACCATTTGTGTAGCTCCGTCAAGCTCGACCTTTATGTCACCATTTTCGAAAAAGGCTGGGAAGGTGATAGCATGGTCGAAGTCTTCACGCAGTGTCTTTGGTGGTTCGGTCATCAACCTTACAGCATGCTCCAATCTGCGCATTTCCAAGGCGGACGCAACTTTCATCAGCTCTACGCGAACCTGCCGGTAGCGGAGGGCCATGTCTGGCGGGCGCCGAAATTGCCATACGCTGACTACCGAGTCGGTGTACACGTACAGTACAAGGTTGATCAATGTGATGAAATCAATGCCCTGGAAGAGGATGATTGGCTTTCCCTCACTATCGTACTCAATGTTGAAAACATCTTGAACGGAGTAGAAGTACTCTTTTTGGAAGACAGTCAGAGCTTTGTTCAAGATGTGGCTTCGACCTGCGAACATGAAAGTGTGGACAGGGATGCGAGCGTCGCAAATAGTACTGCCGACTTGTAAGTCGAAATCGTGGTCTCGTGTTGTCCGATCTACCAGGAACTCGGCGATATCGGTCTCCAGCGTCCGGGTCCGTAAGACGGCTTGACGAATTGTTGCAACATCATCAGGCTGACTCGAGACCCAGAATCGAGGTCTTGGATCCTCTGTATCAGAGTCCTCAGCTCCAAATCCATGAAATGGTAATAGAGGATATAGATCCTTCCACAAAGAAACGGCGTCTACATCGATTTGCGTTTGCAGAACGTCACAGTCTCGACGCATAGCAGCGTAAGCGCCGAAGGTATTGCTTCGCACAGCGGCAATACGTGTTAATCCTGGTACACGAGAGAATTTGTAGTCCTTGGCTTTGTAGTCAGATGCTTTGGATATAGTTGCGTCTTTGATCGTAGCTCGTTTGACGCGTCTCCATACCGATCCAGCTTCCGTGCAAATGATGATAGACCCATCTTGACCAACATCGACGTCTCTGACAGCCATATGGGATTTCCGAAGAGCCCAGACTTGCTGGGGCGGCGACAGAGCCCCCTGATTTTTGACGGATTGGTAGTCGAAGAAGACGCTGTCGACGTATCAGTGTTTTGGCTGACTTGCATTGTGAATACGTCGCCCAAGGCTGTCATAGCACATATAGTGTCACCTCCTGAGGTAATTTTGCAAACTTGATTGCCTCTGAGGACCGGTCTAGTCTCCGTGAACCTATCGTTACCACGTCCTAAGTCTTGCAAAAACTTTGTGTTTTCGACTGGAAAAACAATTTTCGTATAGCCATAGTTGGCAAAGACTAGAACTTCATGGCTTTCCAACAGGCAGATAGTTGCTTTGTCTATGGCTGAGACTGACTTGATTGACGATGTAAAGAGAGAAGCACCGACCTTCCGAGGGGTATTTTGTGAGATGAGAGAGCGTGCATCAGAATCAACCAAGCCCATTTGCCCTTCGTTCTTGCCAAACGTGTAGAGAGATGTAGATGTGATCACGGCGCTATGAATTCGTGAGGCAGCCGCACCGATTACTACTTCACGCTTCAGTGGTCCAAAGACCTGGCGTGGAAGAAGTTGGACGGGATCTTCGTCTTTCGCACCAGCTGCGTTGGCATTAGGCGCGTATCCCAGTTGACCAAAAGCATTATTTCCCCATGTGTATGTTTCGCCTTCATTAGTGATGGCAATAGTATGGTTCTGGCCGAGAGCGATGTGTATAACCCTCTTTGCTCCAAGTCCTCCTCCTTGAATATTGACATAGCTGAAACGTGTCGATTCGTCACCTGTACCGAGCCGACCCCCAGACCCAAAGCCGCACATGTACAGATTCGCCTGTGGATCATTTGTCAGGATTGTTGAGGACAGCTTGGATAATTGAACGTCTTGAACGGTCAATGGCCGATAGCGAACAGCCGCTGGGAGTTCGAAGATTCCGAAAGGTCTGGACCGCTTCTCGTCGGAAGTGCTTCTTGGTCTATTCATTGATGAAGACTTGAAACCTTCATAGAAGGAGTACATTAGCCGATCTGGTCGGTTCAGGTAGACTCGCTCTGGAAATTGACGATCGTCCTCGTCGCCGAGGCCAAGGGTCAAATTTTTGTTGCTTCCGAAGGCAAACATTTCATCACCATTGACTTGCGTCTGTGGTTGCAATCGCGGAACTTGGGAGTCTTCAGGATCTCCGCTGACGCCTTGGGCCATATCATTCTCTTCGTCATCAGAATAGCCTGCTCCTATTGTCTGTGCATGATTGAAAGTGTGTATATTGCGGTTTCCTATGGTTGTGCCATACACGTCAAATGGGCTATGACCTTCATGGTCTTTGATCTTGATGAGCCCTCCACTTGTATGAGCAAAGCCGACAGATGTGTGCTGCATGGCATCTTGAATATCTCGGCTCAGCAGTGCGGCTGCGATTGTAGCGTTGCCGTGATAAAGAGCACGATGGAGGGCTGTCCATCCGCTCTCCTCGTCTTGGATGTAGAGATCCAACAACGGGAGTTGGAGCAGGGCTACTGCAAATTGAGAAGCACCGGCGACAGAGGATGACGCAATATAGTGTAGGAGTGTACATCCATAGGTATCTTTCCAATTGATGTCTGCCCTGCTCAGTGTAATTGATTCTCCATGCTGTGGAGGCTTCAAGCTCTGGGCACCCTTTGATTGTGGCCCACTTGGCTTCCTACTCTTGGTCACCGTGGGTGAGGTAGATAGAGTGGCGCCTGGGCTGGTGGAGAGACCAGAGTGTCCGCTCTTTCCTTTACTCTGGGTATTGGCGTTGAAGGTGGCTCTCGCCAGTGTATGTTTGAATCGATCGACATCATTTTCGAGAAAGTGCTTCCACAGAAGATAGCTCATAAGATACGTGACGGAGCACTTGGTTTTGCCCCGGCTGCTCCAAAGGACGCGCCTCGCTGTAATCTCCGAGGATCACGGCTTATTTAAAGGCACTGGGAGGAGGACGGAAGGTGAGGAACAGAAGAGGACGAGAAGCTTGCTGCCTAGTACGTAGGCTTCTGCAAGGTGCGCTTGGTCGCGAATATAGGTGTCGACAGGTAGGTGTTTCCAGGCCACGTCGGAGGAATGCGGCTCTTGGGACTCTGATCGAGTGGGTCGCGCTTTCTGTTCTGGGGTGGGTAAGAATGTTGTCAGGAGGAGAGGAAGATGGCTATATCACAAAGAATAAGAAAAGGATGGGGAGGAGAGAATAAGAAGAACGATGAGTCGACTGTGCAGGTACTTGGGACTGTAGGAGGAGGGGTCTTGGGAGTTCGCGATGACTCGCAGTAGGGATCGGCAAGCTATGGCGTCGCCGTATCGTGCATACAGGGGTCAACCAATCAAACGTCATGAATATACCAGGTGCTTACGGTCTGAATGCAGGAGAGTCCGCATCGATTTGTGGCTCCGGTCTCTGAAAAGGCCTGGGCAGAAGACGTCTATTCACGCGTTCAGAGAGTACCTCAGCCTGCTTTTAGACTCGCACAATTCAGGGGAAGACGGTTATTTGATTCGTCTGGACATCGTTGTCCTTAATACAATCTATATGATCAGACACCTCCTCCACGGCGCGAACATTCCTTTCCCTCAACCCCCAACCAACGCCGTTCCCTCCCAATCCAATCTATTTCCCTCTTCCCTTTTTGCCTTAGATGCGTCACGAGCCAAGCAAATATATATACCAAAACATTGTCCGATTCGTGTAAATGAAGATAGAAAAATCTCCCTGCGCCGAGCGCTATGCGAGCTGCACTGAACCGGCAGCAAACATGACATGTAACTATACTTTTGGGGGGGTTAGACACACTTTAGTTCCCACCCCTGCGGCTCCCTCTCCTGCTCGAGCCTGCTGAGTCTCCGCCGCTGTGCAAGCCGCCCCGTAAGTTTTCTCGGCTCCGGCGAGATTGCTCTCCGGACTCAAATGCAAAAGGAAGTGTCTCTTCGTCCTCGACTGCGCTTGTCGGTCGAGAGAAGCTGTATCGTCCTCCTCGCTGGTCGGAGCTCCCACTGTGACTCCCTCGTTCCATTAGGCTTGAAGACGACTCCTGGGGCCCAATGTCTCCCCTGCCGCGGCCTACTTGCGGCCTATACGGGTAGCCTCGTCGCGAATAGGGACCACTGCTTTCTTGGCCGTCAGAAGAGCGCTGACGCTCCATTGACGGACTCTCATGCTCCGGAAGACTGAGAGGAGGACCAAAAGTTGGCCGGTTGTCCACACTTGGATTGCCTACGGCACATTCGTCTTTATTGACATCACACTGTAGCCCGACGAGAGCGCTGCGGCTTGGCGGAGGTCGATCGTCGAAGCCAAGGCTCGCGCTTCGCATGGCAAATGGAAAGATCTCGTCTTCGTCATCCAGAGGCAAATTTCTATGCCCTTGCCTTGCTGAGCTCGAACGCCTGTAACTTGGCTGGCGGATACGGGGAGATGAAGGGATATTAATTGCTCCTCGGGGTGCTGGCTCTTCTGGTTCTTGGGGTTCTTCCTGCTCCGGAGCAGTCATTTCGTGGGTTTGTTCTGAGGTAGAAGAGGTAGGGTATTGCGCACTGAGCCGAGATGGGATCGCTGGAGTATGTGGTGTATGGGGTGAAATCGGTTTGCCAGGCGAAGACGAAGTTGATATAGACGTACCAGCGATCATGGGAGGTACGCTGGCGAGCTGGCGGCTTGAAGAGCTGGATGATCGGTGTAGCATGAGAGATGAGGACATTGACTCCGACAGAGCTGCGTTCGCGTCCCGCATGCGCTGGAATTTCGAAAGAGCCGCGACAGTTCTGCGAGAGGAAGCTTCGGATGGCGCGTGCTGCTGATTTGGTCGAAAACTTCGGAGATCTTTCTTCTGATCTAGCATCTTCAAGAAATCTGAGATGTTGTCGTCATCTGTCTGGAGCGATCCAGAGCTATTACCTCCCTCGGCCAAAACGCCAGAGCCTGGCTGGGCTGCTGCAGAAGATGAGGCACTTGCTTTCCCACTGCTTGCATCGTCCTCAGTCTTACTCCCTCCAGTAGAGAGCTTGGCTTTCCGATGGCCAAAGCTGCTGCTGAACCTTTGAGGAGCAGGGGGTTTAGGTGAATTTTGCGAGGGCGTCCTCGAGTGCTCAGTTGCCTTTGGTGAGCCTCGCTGTGGAATCGGGCCAGAGGGATGACGTGCTTCGGCCAAAACAGCCAACGGGGAAGATTTTCCTACTGATGACCCTCGAGGCAAGGACCCTAAAACAGGCTCAGCTTGCGATGGCGAGGCAGATAGGGACGGTGTCTTGAATGGCGTGAAAGAGACTGATGGTCGTCTATCAGCTCTAGGTGCAGCATCTGATCGAAGGGACGATCTTGAACCTTGACTCGATCGGGTGCTGGGTCTCTCTTTTCTAAGGGCAGAGTCTTCGGGGGACTCACTCCCAGCAATACGCGCGGCTCGGAGCGCTGAAAGTGGGCTCGTACCAGCCGGGGGCCCGTCTGATGAAATGTTGACATACTCCCGTAGGCTTGTCCTTGATCTGCTAATGACGGTCGATTCTGTTTTCGCCGATCGTATGTGTCTTCGGAACCCATATACTGTCTACGTGTTGGTGCTGACTCTTGCCTGCGAGCTACGGGGCGAGTCTGAAAAGGTTCGTCCATCCCCATGAATCGGGAACTCAGAAGAGCTTCCGAATCTGCAAAGGCGAAGTCGCAGGACGTACGATATGTGACATGAACGGAGAGAGGGCCTGCGGGCGTATGGATGGGATCAAAGGCAAACTGGTCGATCAAGTCTCTTTGATTGGGGCACAGAGGGATTGTCAGAGTGTCTCGTTGAGATCGCTGGCCCAAGCTTAGATCCTGAGAAATGCGAAACCTCAGTTTGGGCGTGTTTGTAGATGTTCGTGATGCTAGTAGTTTTTTGCTGATCCTCCACGCTGGAATGACCTTTGTAAGTGTGAAGAGCGACCTGAACATGAGAACACAGCTCTTGTAGAGTCTTGCCAGGGGATATTCCTCAGGTGATTTTCCCGGTGCTGGCCCTCCTATTTGTATAACCCAACGCTCGAGTATAACCTCTGGTCTGGCGGCTTCATCAAGGCCTCCAGCAGAGCTTGACGACGCCTCAAGAGCTTCTTCCACATCCCATCTCTTTCCATTATCATCTATGAAGACTAGGCTTTGACTGCTTGTAGAATCTTGCACATTTAGAAAGGTTTCGATGATCATCGGTGGAGGGCGCGCGTCCACTGCGTCACATGTTCTCCAGGTACGGACATAGTCACGTAAAGAGTCTGTCTCGGGAAGTTGAAGAGCAAACTACGATAATTCGTCAGCCCATGCCGACAGCAGGAGCCAAGCGCTCAAAGAAATCATAGATTATGGCTTACCCAGTTGGTTGGATTGCGAAGTTGATTGTCTCTGTTGAAGGCAGGAGCTAGCGCAACTCGCGCATGGAGTACTACCAACGCTACCCTGGCGAAAAACATCTACATGTATGTCAGCAATGATCTCTTCGATCGTCTGGAGTACGAACTTGGACAATTTGATTCAGCTTGCCCTTGTTAATCTCAGCCTTCTCAGCATCAGAAAGCTCCGGCGCTTGGAGCAAGCTGTCGTCGCTCTCTCGTGGGCCATAGGGTTGCTCGATAAAGACATCTCTATATGATCCCACTCTTGGTGAAGGCTTATCGCGTTCTCTGGGATTGTTTGTCCGTGTGGGATTAGTCGAAGGCGAATTTGCGGGTGAGGAGGTAGTGGGAGCTCGACGAGGATGTTGATGCATGTTGACAGCTAAAGAAGAATAGTGATGATGTGTAGGGCTCGAAAAGGTCTATAGATGATCAAGCGGTCACATTGTCGTAGCTACTTCGGGGTTCATCCCCCTTCCCCCAAGAATTCAATTGGCAACGTCGAAGCCGGTGACCGCCTTTATGACTCTTTCAGATTGTCTAGTGACAGGGCTCCATGTTGACGGATGTAGACACAGGACGGTTCTCGGTCACGCCTTGAGGTGGGTGGTGCGGGGTCACGCTGATGCCTTGGTGGTGTTGGGGGAATCGACACCAAGCTAGCGCTAGGCAGGTCAGGCTGCAAGCTGCGATGAGCAACTGCTTAAATTTTGATTCGACGATGTTGGGAAACCTGGCTGCTCAGACCTCCATTGTGCGAAGACCGATCGCGGTGTGAGTTCCACAGTTGTGCATAAGAGTCATCAATTGAGCCCTAGAGTCAAGGTACGGAAGCTTAAGCTAGGCTTTCAGGACGGGAGAATCTGGGCAAACGATATCGCTGTCGATGCAGGTCTGAGGGGCTCTTGAAGGCGGTACCGTGCAGCAAAGGAATGGCAGGGATGATATATGCAGCGGACTTGCAGCTGCTTGTGACCTGTGGATGCAGCTGATGGAGCATTCTTTGGGGGAGGTCTAGGTCTAGAGGTCTGGGGAAATCTGTAGATCAACGCGCCGCTTAGCCGCATTTGCATTAGTGGCCGTTCCTTATCGCCCTGCTCCGCTTATCGGGTCTCACCTTCTTTCTCGCCATATCACCTCACACCTCGTGAGCATCCCGCCGTGCTGCCCCACGCTGCCGCAGTGGCGGATACTGCTGAGACCAGTCCACGGCAGTATTGGTTGGACCTCAGAGTGGAAGGAAAGGACGCTTGGAGGTCCTCGCCTTGCATACGATGGGGAAATATGGCTTCATTAAATGATACTACGCCCTCTGATCTGGAGACAATTTCTACGTACATCAGCTCCCTTTACCGATCGCACCGCCGGGATGATTCTTGCGGAACGCCGCTTGTGGGTCCATATGTAAGATCCTGGAAGTTGCCAGTGCCAGTGCATCTGTCAAAACAAGGGCCACCGTGGTCGAAATAGTTGGAGCTGCGATGCCGAAGGACTGGGTCTCAGAGACCGGTATCGGCGCGGGCAAGAAAATACATTCGCCAGCACTGGGAGCTTGACGGAGAGGGCAGTCTTTCGAGTCAAGATAGCCGGATATGACGATGCGCAGAAGGTGTTGAGGAATATGAGGCAACATTGATACAAGCTCAGGGGTCCGCCCGGAATAGGTGATGATCAAGACTATGTCCTGCGGCCCAATCATTCCAAGATCTCCATGCATTGCCTCGACTGGATGCAAAAAGCTGCTTCGAACGCCCAAGCTGTTCATGGTGGCAACGCATTTTTCGGCAATTTTCCCTCTCTTCCCGACTCCTGTCACTATCAATCTTCCACCGTCGCCAGGTAACTTGGCAACGGCATTGATCGCGTCAGCGAGGCCTTTGCGCGCAGACTCTTCGAAACGATAGATGTGGCTCAGGTTTGCAACGGCGTCTCGCTCAGCATCTAGGACATGCAAAGCTGTGCTCACTGTGTCCGCCTCGAACCTCGCAGATGGCTGGACGGCAGTGAGCCTTTGGGACTTGTCACCAAGTTTTGCTGCCTCGCGGTCAATGTCCGATGGTAAAATTTCCGTAACAATTGGCACGATCTGGCTCTTCTCCAGGATTCCCGTCATTTGTGGCAAGTTGACACAGGCTTGACACGTCAGAGGATGAGCTTCTCGGAAAGCAGACCACAGCTTCCATTTATGTCTCACTTCTGCGCGACATCCGGATTACAAAGACAACAAGCAAACATCCGCAGAGTCTAACCTCAAGTAGAGGATAGAGTACGTCATCGAGTCTAGCAATTACCTTGCAAGAAATACATCTGTCCTGCTCCCTGTTGCTCAGGAAGATGAGCTTGAAGTGAGAAGTGTAAGCGGCGGAATCTGTAAGGCAATTTTTTTCAAAATTACCATCCGATCTTTGAAACAAAGGCAGTCGAGTAAAGATATTGCCGCTAGTGCATGATCATCTCGGGGAATAAGATAGGATCATTACGGAGCGTGTGGGTACAAGTGAAAATCATTGGAACATTATCTTCTCATCGTATCCTGATCTATCCTGTCCAAGCATAGAAGAGAGGTCTCCCGATTGGCTTGTTACCGTGCCTTCGTTCTCGTTGCCCTGCTCGCCATATTCGTCAACCGCAGAATGACCGATAGAGAGATCGAAGAGAATCTGGCAGATGCCATTGATATGATATCCTTCTGGAGGACCGGATGTGTTTGGCCTTCTTTTCGCACCAGCAGGTGTTCTACAGCTTGTATGCGTAGCTTCTCGGTAGTAAACCCTCCCTAATAGCCCCTAGAGTTCCAGGTCTCCTAAGGCCTCCACTAGCGCTGGTCAGAGCCCTAGCACTACTAGCATGAGCACAAGAACTCCACCAGTCTCCAACTACATCCCTTCACGGCGTGCGGTCAATTGAGAACACAGCTCAACCTTCATCTATCCATGACCTTCGCCATGGCCGAAGCCAACAGCATCCCCGACGCCCGCAGCTCCCTCACCTCTCGCGCCATCCCACACATGACCTTCTCCACCGGCACCAGCGCCTCCATGACCGGTCCTCCCCCTCCAATGCCCCACTACCTCAACGCGGAAGGCAGGGCACTCAACAGGTTCTCTGTGGAAGGCAACGCAATCTGTACGTGAAGCGGCCAAATGTTCGTACTGGATCCTAGTCCCCACCTCCCCCGCTCACGACCAACCCGCTCACATCTCCATCTTCCCACAGTCACCGGCGGCGGCGGCACCCTAGCCCTCACCTCTGCCCGCGCCCTCCTCGAGCACGGCCTCACAGGCCTCGCCCTCCTAGACCTTTCCTTCTCCGACACCGCCATCTCCCAGATATCCTCACTTTCGCAAGACTTCCCCGAAGCTAGAATCATAAGGCGCACCGTCGACGTAACGGACGAAAACGCCGTCAACACCAGCACGCAAAGCGTAGCCTCCGAGCTCGGCAGCATCGACATCCTATGCACCTTCGCGGGCGTAGTCGGCTGCACGCACGCAACACAAATGTCAGCTTCGGAATGGCGGCGTACTCTCGACATCAACACGACGGGCTCTTTCCTCTGCGCACAAGCCGCCGCAAAAACCATGATCGCCCAGAAGACCGGCGGCTCGATCGTCTTCATCGCCTCCATCAGCGCGCAGAAGACGAATTTCCCGCAGCCGCAGGCCGCGTATAATGCGAGTAAGGCGGCGCTGGTGAGCTTGAAGCGCAGTCTAGCGGCCGAGTGGGCCGTGCATGGCATCAGGGTCAATAGTCTGAGTCCGGGGTATATGGATACCGTGTTAAATGAGGGGGAAGGGTTGGAGGAGGCGAGGGCGGTGTGGAGGGAACGGTGTCCGATGGGGAGGATGGGGAGTCCGGAGGAGTTGGCGGGGCCGTTGGTGCTGCTTTGTAGTGGCGCGGGGGGTATGTGACTGGATTGGTGAGTTAGAATTTTCTTTTGAGTTCTCTTGATTGGGTGCAGATGGGTCGAGTGGGGTAATTAGAGGATTAAGGGCTAACGAGTTGGTGTTAACAGGATTTGAGAGTCGATGGGGGACAGTGCTGTATTTAGCACTGTGGACACGGACAATATTGATAGATAGGATCTCAGAGATTAAGATTGTTCATAGCAACGTCGGGCAAAGGAGCTGCTGGCACCACCCATAATTACTAACATATAAATACAACCAACTCCACACAACGTACCCCTTATTCAAAGTAACACTCGAATCCCATTGCAATCTCAGCTATTTCTCTGTCATATAAGTCATTCTCCCCATTCCCCAACCCTCAACCCCCGACCCTCACCCCCCGACATCAGGTACCTCCCTACCGCGTCGCAGCAAAAATGGAACCAGACGTGGTACTGATTACACTATATGCTAGGCTGGGCCGGGCTAGGTCAGGATGTTACAACAATAAGTGCAATACAATATAAACAGATAAGCGGAAAGGTGAAGAATGCCAGGGTACGATGAGTAGGTTGGATGGGCTTACTTGCAGAATTCATGCTATGCCAGGGCGGGGGTGGGGTAACAGCATTCTACGTTCCCTGGTGGGTGATGAGTCTAGGAGAGGAGGAAAATGTTTCGAGAGTGTTGGATATCTCAAGTCATGTAGGTATATGCGTCACATATCATCTGCATTAATGAGGATGTCGTGATTGGGTTGAGATGGGCTGATTAGGAAACATGGAAGCATTGACGCGTGTGCGGAGGGTTGGCCGGGGGGGGCACTGTTTCTTGGATGTTTCTGTTTGTGGAGGGTTTTGGTGTGCGTGAGACTTGTGAACGAGAAGGTGCTTCAAAGGGGGTTGGTAAGTTTAAGACACGGGTGAGAGATGGTTTGATCTTTGGTTTTATTGGGGGAAGGGGAGAATTGGGGGGGTTGGTGTTCAAAGTGGTGGAATCATGTGATTATATTGGGAGGAAGGAGTACATTGTAAGATGCTGCTGGAAGTGTCTTGTGCTCGTCGTAGACGGGCTTGCTGTTCGTGATGTATTCAATTCGCAAAGTAAAGAGCCCAGGCTTGGATGTATCAGAAACACCTATTCCACCTTGGCTGGTCATTTTGAGGCGTCGCAAGCTTTCGGGATCAATTTTCTTCGTTGAAAAGCAGGGACATGATATCGCGTGGCAGAAACTTGTTCGTGAAAGCTGTGAATTTGAGTCTTATGGTTCAGAGACGCTTGATGAACGTTGGTTGAAGTGGGATCGAGAGAAAAGTAGCAGGGAGCAGAAGAATGCTAGATCAAACCCTCTATCAAGGCCTATCCACAGGAATGCGAAAGTATATCAAAGGATGAAGATATGAGTCTGCAGCCAATCGTTGATCTTCTGTTTCTACCCCAAGCGCCATGCCCATTCGCCAACGGCTATGCAACAATGAGAACGAACAGAATACTCTATTGACGGTTGGTTCAAATATCTTGGTCTAACCCTCAAGAGGTTCCCACTGGTAAAGCTGTGGATGGAATCGTCGGCGGTTTCCAACCCGGTGGTGGATTTTGGTGGCACGCAAAATTTCCGGGATCTTCTGCCTCAGCAGTGGAATTCCCTTGATCGACGATCTGCCTCTTCGCGGATGCAGCTTCCGTGTTGTGCGGCAAATCCACGATATAGCACCAGGTATTGTAGCTTTTGAAGAAGGCTTTACCATTAAGATGGACGTAGAGCTGAGACTTGTTGATGATATAAATGTCCAATTCACCGCTGAAGGGTATCCCGTAGTCAATGTCGCAGACTAACGGAACGTTGCTGTCCTTGTCGAGTGTTCCTTGACAATGGCCTGCGTGTCCGACATGGAGAAGAAGAAAGACATCCAAACAGGCTGCCTTGCGGCGTGGTGAATACCACCCTGCCGTCTAGATGACAGGTCATGTAAGCTCTCATTGGTCTTGGATATTGAGTCAGCTTGAATTCGAGCGGCTGGCTTACCTCAACAATAATTTCGGTGGAATTTAGAGATATCACATCGGGGTCATCTTCTGGTGCAGGACCACAAAACGCATCATTTAGCGACTGTCCAGTTGTGTTCGTAATCGCCAGGTCTTCGGTTTGCTCGGCTTGCTGCAGTGGCTTTGCGAAGCTGTAGGAAGACAGCGAGCAGAGTATTGAGATAAGAGAGAGAAATCGCGATGCCATGCTGCTGTGCGAGTATAACCTCAGTCTCTGTGACATTCACCAAATTGTCGAGCTGACACGAGAGGAGGTAAATAACAGCAAGCAGAAAGAACCGGACCTGAGGTGGACCCAGCTCACTCTACCCACTTCAGAATTAGGAGCTTGTCTTTCGCCAAAGCTCGGGTGTGCGTTGGTGGAAATGTGTAGAAGCTGAGTCACTTGCCCAATTATGGGCATTTCATTGGCTGGCATTCCAGATTGATGCACGCACAAGCGCCTGTCGAAGAGGCTGAGTGGAGTGCGCATGTTCTGAAGACCCAAAAGTAGGGTTAAGAGTCGGAAGCTATGCGCTTATCAGATGTCTCTGAATGCGCTAATATTTGGTACCTGGTTGAGCACGAAAGCACGTGCTAATCCTGAAAAGACACGGCATGCTAACTCAGTCTGAGCTTCTTCAACTGGTGCCCGTGTCTCCCAAGCATGACCGGTATCATGAGATGAGATGTGAGCACTCTGAGCAATCGTTGACATAATTGGCGTCTCTGAAGAGCGTGATAAATCTTGCAGCCCGTCCGCGCGGTATCATCTGCAAGGTCACAGTCTCGGGAATCATGTCGCGTTGAGCAGGTACTACTCCGGTTCCTTCACGCGAATGCGGGATAAGAGATCTCTCTCATTTTCAGCGTGTGAATCCCATTTTTTCGAGATAGGAAAGTTTTCAGGAATGACATGAGACGTCATGCAGAAGCTGGAGATGCCCATGTGGGTTCGGCTCGACAAGTGTCCTGCAGCTAAATCGGATGTAGCGTTTCAATATGGGGTACTCGAAATGTCGATCTGCCAATGTAGAATACATGGGTTTTCGAGGAATGACTGGATGGCCAGACACGCAGGTTTTGACTTGAGACAAGTCAGCGTGGGAGTCTTCCCCATAGCCGAGACTATGCGGCAATAATGTGGGGAGAGAAATACCTTTGAGATTAGAGAAACAGCCTCGAAGATCTGTATGGAGCGTGGGATGTGGTTCAAGCATGTTCATATCGCTGTTAAATGAGTGGCCTTGGGAAGATTTCGTACAGGGTTTGAGACCCCCAGTCATTAGCCATGGGATTTCTGGACTAGTTCTTGTCTCGGAAGATGCAAGACATGTTGTTCTTGGGGTAGTCATTTGTGATACTGTGTGCCATGGTATCAAGAGAGCACCAGATGTACCGACCTAAAGGATGATCATCGTATGGAACACGGATGAAGTTGACAGTGAAAACAGAAAGCCCAATATACAATGCCAAGACCCCGCTCTTGGCACTGTCAGCCAAGCCGGCGATTGGACCCCTTTTGTCCTCTTATCTCCGAATTAATGTACATCATTCGAGGCACAAGATGTTGCTGTCTACTTCCTACTATATTCGTAGAGTACCATCATGAGCATGGATTTAGGGCCATCATGAGCTCACCATATTCTGCAGATATATACATTAAATAGAGCTATTCCAGCGGAAAAGCCATGTGACTTCTTGGCCTTTATGAAATGGAGTGGTAGTCTTTAATCTCTAGCTACTCTATTCCCACGCTCTCCGTTGGAAACGACAGCCTTCGAAGGGTCTATCTTCCAGTGAGACTGACCAATAAGAGTCGGCAATTAGAGTGGAATCATCAGTATGCATAAGATCCATCCCTTCGTCCAACTTCTGCATAATTTTCCATATCTACAACTTTTTGATCAATTGACTATCAACGTTTCATTGCCATTCCCACCACCTCCTTTCCCCTCTTCCGCATGCTCACTTAAATATATACACTCCGTCCCCGGTACCTCTTTTGGAGTACTGACAGTCGCGAGCAATACTCCAAACCGCCCCACTTCCGCCAACCCCGCTGAATTGAGGCCCTCCAGCGCATCGTCGAAACAAGCCACGGTGACCAAATGGGTCTGGATAGCGATTTCTGCTAAGCTCGAGATGTCGGCATTTTGTGGCGCGTGGAAATCGAGGGTGATTTGGCAGAGGATATTTGTCCAGCAGTAGGGTACCGGGAAGGGGAGTGGATGTACAGGAGCTTTAGTGGCTGAAGCGAAGACTTGCTGGATTTTGGCGCCATGCAGGAGGCCAATGCGGTAGGCGAGGTTTTCGCAAGAGGAGGGTACGGGAGGAATAGGAATGAGTGCGGTGGCTTTCTTGATGCAGGTAACTCGGCGGTCTGTGAGATTGGTTGTTGATGGAGATGGGAGGGTAAGTTGGGCGCTGAAGGCGATGATGTGTAGGAGTAAGATGATTGTGAGTTTCATTATGGGAAAAGTCGTCGCCGTGCTCGGCGATTCTGACTCTATCGCATTCAACCTGTGGATATTCCGGTGAGTGGATACCCTATGTGATATCATTGGAAGAGGTTAGCGGATGTGGAGAATCTTCACCGACGACCTAGAATGTGAATGGCTAAAAGAAAGTCCACACGATGGGTCAACAGAAGAGAGGCTTACTCATCACATGTACAGATCTGGATCACCATATTCTCCGGAGTCACTGAAGCGCCTAAGGTCCAGCAGCGCTTTACGGGCCAATGAAGCGCGAAATTGTCTTGTTTCCGCAATCAAGGTCTCCGGATTGTCTTACATTATCCGCGTTTGGGTCGCGAGGTGACGGCCCAAAGGCAGCTTTGAGGAACACATAAGTTGCTTAAGGGAAGACTGAAGAGGGCTTGAGAGACGACAACTAAAGCCCTTATCTCTAAAAAGATGTTTCGATCTGATCACATCGTCACAACACCTCTGATTCTCTCACAATGGTACTTCGGACAGACTACCATCTGTATGAAGCCCACCTCGAATATTTTGGTCAAAAATAGCACAGAGTCTCACAGTCTGGTGGACCGGTCGGGCGACCACTCAGGTTCAGTCCCCCAAAACAGATCCACTTTCTCATATGCAGGCATAAACTTTCATCTACTGGCAAGACATCCTTCTCTCATTTCGCCACCTACCTCCTCGTCCCCACAATACCTCCCCGTTCACACAATGAAACCCCACGCCTTCATCATCACCTTCCCCTTCCTTCCCTCCACCTTCTCAAACCCCCTTCCCAGCGCCCTCCCCACCACAACACCCCTCACACCCTTGACTCTCCCTCTCACCAATCCACCACCTCATCCCCCAGCCTGGCCCCCCGCCCCGCTCACCCTTCCCATCCCCATCTCGCCCCTCCCCTCCCGTCCACCATACACCTACGGCACGCTCATCTTCACGACCCCCGGTGCCCCCTCCACTTCCCTCGAAGTGTCGCAACAAGCCGTGCAATTAATGAGGCAAGAGATCACCTACCTGCGCGCGCACCCTCTGAGGAACCCAGATGGCTTTCAGGTGTTTAGGAAGTTTACTGATGTGAGTGCATACCCAGCGGTGAAGGAGGCTATTGGAGTGCGGGATAGGGGGAAAATTGGGAAGAAGGAAATGGAGGCTGAAGAAAAGAATAGGTCTTTCTGAGGTGTGGTCAGCATGGCGGGATGATGATTGGGTGGAGCTTTGAGGAGGTTTTGGCTGTGATTGGGGAGCTGGGGGATGCTGTGAGTCTGACCCCACCCTTCTTTTGTCTCATTCATTTTGAGGTCTGGATTTGATGGGCGAGGGCGAAAGGTGGATCTTGGGGGTAAGGAAAGAGTTGACCAAGATGCGTGTTTTTTTCTTTATTGTTCTTCTTGTCATCGCTCGAGGGTATCAGAGGGAGGCTACTGACTGGGAGTTAGATTGAGAAATACGGGATGCAAGAGTGGAGCTTTCATGTTGAGAAGGATGATCTCCATGTCATTGCGGATTGTGTTTTGTTGCTGCATAATCCGTATGATGTGATTGAGTACGAGGGAGAAGAAGAGATCTTGCAGGGAGCTGAAGTGTCGTGAGCAAGTCACAGGCATCACAAATTACGAAAATCCGAATTTCGGACGCTTGTGGCAGTCGAGCTGTGTCGCTTCAGTTCGCGATTGCTATGAAAGAATCAAGATTTCCTATGTGGCTGATCTAAGACATTCCACAGTTCTCGATAGACAGGCACCGAGTAACGTGATACTTGACTGGCTCATACTACTACAACTCCAGTCCTGATCTAGCAATCTAGGATTGATTTACATCATCTGAATAATCTGTCTGCTTGTCTATTGTTTCGATCCTCCGACACATACAAGCACCTCACCGACCTTATCATCAACACTGACAGCTACTCCCTGCTTCATCTCACGTTCATTGCACCAACCCGAACCGCAATGTTACTCTCAACCCATTTCCACCTTCTCACCACTACCACCATCTTACCCCTTCCCCTCGCCCTCCCATCTCCACGCTTGCAACCGGCACCCACTACCCCCCACCCCGCAATTGAACCTCTCAATCCCAACGCCGGTATATTCTGCTGCCCCCGCCCTCTCCCCTCCTACCTAACATCCTCCAACGCCCTCTCTGCCGCGCTCTCCCGTATCAACCCGCTCTTCTTACGCCAATGATGCTAATTTGTCCTCAATACGCTAATTCCCAAGGAACCTGCACGTAGGGGTAAATGTGTTTGAGACATCCAAGCATCTAGATTTGAAAACATCTATCGTGGCCATACACTAGAACGAGGCATGCATAAATAACGATAATCATGTTCACTATATGCCCAGGCCTCCAACCCAATCGTCAATATGATTCTATACAACTAAGTTGAAACTTCTTATGCAATAACACCCAGTGGCGAAGAATTCGCTCAGTGCCGGCATCAGCTGGTGCCTAGACTAATATGACCGGAACAGCTTGGGAACTTGTTGTTATCCCCTCATTCTTGGGCTTCGCTACTTCTATGTGTGATTTGCCAAGTACTCCTTCACAAAGCTACCTTTGCGTCGCGTATGAAGGACGGCTGCGATAGAAGCTGCGCCTTCTCTGCACGGATTTTCATATGCAAGTCTCTATAAATAGAAAGCATTGAACTTCAGTCAGGAGAAATTTGTCGCCCATCATCTGCAAACATTTTGGTCTTTGTTACCCTATACTTCGTTCTGTAAACTCAGTCACCATGGTCCTTCACAATCGTCTTGTTTGTACAGATAGCCATCAGCGACTTCCACAACTTTGTATTCTTGTACAGGCACTTCTTGTACACGCTATGGCCTTTTCCAAGGTCGTTCCTTCTACAACCGTCACCGGCTTCTTGTGGCATAATCGAACGAAAGGAGGCTTTGACTCAATCTCGACACCTCATGGGACTGGAGTGCTCTCGGAAGAGCTGGTTGAAGAAGACGTAGATCCGGATTGCCCAGCTAGTTTAATTAGCAGCATCTCCCACTCAAGACGTATAGAGCTCTCTATGTCCAGAGTGATAAACCACACCATGACACCGATGTATCACTTCAATTACGAAAGCTGTTGTGAAGCCTGCACCATTCAGCCAACGAGCGTACATGCATTGTTCTTCGAAGACGGTCCCTCGGACAAATGGTGTAGCAATTATCTAGATACAGCCCCTACCACTTTTCATGAGGATGGCATAGGCTTCCCTACTGCCTCTGTTATTACTAGAGCTGCTCCAAAAGCCAGTGACCCGACCATCACATCAAGTTATCGGACTGCAAGCAACGCCGCGTATCCAGCCACAACATCTGGCCCGACCTTACTAAATCGTGAAGTAGATAATTTCGCCATTCATGTGTCATCAACTAGTGAGTCGAAAAAGCAAGAGGGGTCGATGAGCCTCACAATTTCCCTTGACTTGTCATCTATCTACTTAGCTTTCGACGTGGTACAAGCAAGAGACAAATGTGGCAAAACAGGTCCCAAATACACATCATTGACTGTTGCTTATGACAAAGATGAGCTATCAACTGTCTACATTTTGTCAGAGACACTACCCTACAGATTTAACGATGTTCCCTGTCCGCCAGCTACAGTGGGAGGCCACCCACTTTCACAGGCGGTCAGAAATGTGTATGGTGGAATTGATATTTCTAAAGTTTATGTCAACGTTTATAAGCCAGGTGTTGTCGGCTACGAGGATCGGTTGAAAAGGTTGCTTGATCCTTCTCTTGCAAATTGTACTTTTCTCATTATCTCGGATCCTCCGAAGAGACTCCTCCAGGCGAACGCTCTGGCTCCCACATCTGGTGATCCCTATGTATCTGATGATCCCAATGTAGTCGATCCGAGCTCATACGAATCGACTCCCTTAGTCCTAAATCCAGCATCTCTTGAGGAGTCTCAAGATGCTGGTCGAGTCCTGAGACATCCCAAAGATTCGCTAAGCCCACCAAACGACGAGAAGATTACTCAGAACAGCAAAGGGTCAAACACAGACCCATCCCATGACAAAAATAGTAGTGTTCGAAACGAGGCTGGCTCGCCATTGCAAGGACCAGGGACCATTTCCAAAGGCCACGGCGAAGAGCCAAATGACAGACGGGTTCTGACCGCAGCCCAGGGTCCAGTCCCTCTCCAAAAGTAAATCCAACGTATCCTGCCGCCTATACGAACAACGAAAGTCGGCCCCCGCAAGATGCTGCGTCAAGAGGCCTTACAGAAGGAAACCCTGAAAACCCCAAGGAAAATGAACCTACTGATGACAGTGAAAGCGGTGAGTCACCACAAAATGGCGCCCCATTAGTGACAGATGGGCTCGTATACACGCCCATTGGCGTCTTTCCAACACCTCCAGAAAACACGGTAAATGCCCAAAACGGCGGAAAAGATGCAGCAAAACACGACAAACCACGGTTTCGGGACTCATCCATTCCCACTGACCATACAAACGAACAAAACGTGGATATCACTCGGCAACAAAGTCCAGCTATCAGACCTCAAGATCCAAAAGCACAAGAATCGAACGACGTACTTGACCGAGTACGAAGCAACGAAGCCACAATCAACAATCAACCCAGCCTATTACCCAACCAACCCATCTCCTATCCCAACATTCTACCATCACAAGCATCCAGAACCCTCGTGGTCGGCTCCACAACCTACCAATACGCCTACCCCTTGTCCCTTTCGCAAACCCTCTCCGTCGAAAGTACAGCCTATCAAGGCACCACACCAACACTACTCAGCAGTGCTATAAACGCCTTTCCCCCTCTCCCTCCTTCCTACTACTCGTCCTCGTTGCCGTCTCTACAAAAAACCTCACTAGCAGAAAATAAGGAGAATACAAACGCAATATCTGCGGACCGAATGGAGCAGAGCAATGGTACGCAAGCGTACCGCCACGATCCGCAATGTGCTGTTTCCGGGAGTGCGAGTGCTTCGATTTTGGGGCATGAGAGTTGCGGCGGAAAGCAGTTGATGGGGAGAATCAGCATATGGGCGCTGGCAGGCTCTCTGTCTATCTATCTCCAAGTATTTCGCTGATTTCATATGCGATTGAGAGGAGGCACGAGTGCGTGATGAGATGGTACTTCCACAAGAAAGAAAGGGGGCCGAAAGTGGGAAGGTGAGACCTTGATTGCAAAAGCTCGCGAATAATGATCTTATAATGGTGGGAGTTGAAACATTATTTCGTAAGGCGTATGGCAATTAGAGATTCCCGCTAAATGACAGGACTCGATTGATGTGAACGATTCAAGCATAAGTTGACCTTTCCCGCCAGTCTTCTTCGTCAGAGTTGCAACACCCGCGAGAACATCCTCAATCCCGTACCGACCTCCTAGACAGGCGCTTCTCTTGCGCTTCCCATCTCCTCGAGCGGCGTTTCTCCTCCGTGCTCCACGTCGCAAAGTCGATATGCAAAGACTCGAACGAGATTTTCTGATGCAGCATCGGCGGCAGCTGCAGCTCATCCACCGAATCACCCGTGAGCGTCAAGCTAGTATGAGATTCCATAGGCCTGATCTTATATATCGCATCCTCGCCATCCCTACCCACCAAACTCAAACGAACACGATCATCCTCCCATCCTTTCGAATAGTCGCCCGGCCCACTGCTTCCATTAGGCACCCAAAACCTTCTGTCCATGCGGAGTAAAAGATAACTCCATATCACGACGACATCCATTGTGAAATAGAAGACATAGAACGCCCCCTTAGCCTGATAAAGCGCAGGATGCGCTCTGGGGTGCGGATTCGCGTAGGTGGTGCCCGTGCGATACCATTGCCCACACGCCATGGTCATCGTGCCGAAGAGCACAATGACCACCTTTGAGAGAAGACTGCCATGACCGAAATTCTCTTCATGGGCTCGTGTGCGCACAGCTAATATGGCTGGGAGAATAAACAACGGGAGAACGGACGTCGTGGCAAAAACCGTACTGCCATAAATCGAAATATCGCGTGAGGCTTTGAGGAATTCCTTGTCCAGTGTATAATACGCTCCTACGGTGAAGCCAACGAGCAGAGAAGCGCTGAGGAACAAGAGTCCATAAACGAAAATGAATGCAAAACTAGGTACTCTGCGCCATCCGAAATACGGGATGGCAGCTCTCAGGATTCTCTGTGTGAAGATGAGGTTGATCACATAGCCGAAGATGTCTCCGAGGGAAGCGAACAGCTGCGCGGCAATGACAACGGAGACATTACTTGGTTCTGCGGCCCACACGATCCGTAGAATGCAGGCGAGATTTCGGGCCATGCAGAAGCCAAACATGGCTCCTGAGATCAGGAATTTGTGGCCTCGCTTCTTGTTCCGTATGAAGATCGTCATGTGCCCGACGGCGGCGAGGAGGAAGAGGAGCATGAAGACCGCGCTGATTGGGACATCTTCTTCGACGGTGGGGTAACCTCCCAAGACTGCTATTTTGGGCGTATACGGAGGACTGTCGGTGGGTGGCCGTGGGGTACTAGCGGGCGACGCCATGGTAGCCTGTACGAGATAATCTGATAAGTCAAGGAATTTCGTGCCAATATTGGCAGTCTGCCTCTGGTGAAAAATGAACGATTGAGGCTACTCGTGGCCTACGCCTTGGCGTGGAGATATCAAAATAAGAAGGCATTAATTTCTAGTGAAACGTTAGTGAAGAAAGCGAGAAAGTGCGAAGGAACTTGATATTCTGGCATGGAGAAGACGGGGGGGCCTGGCGAGAACGTCATGGTCGGTACTATGGGAAACCGACGAGTGGACCACATTGAAGCCATTGCAGGGTTCGACGGATACTAAAAATTCCGTGAACGTATCATTTGGCAGTCATACAGCAAGTGTATGGCTGATCCACTAGTGCCGTTGCTGTAGGGGGAAGGCCATGATGTCGGTTCCCGAGAATGTCGTGGATGCCAAGATGATTGAGGATGACTGCATGGTGTCAGCGCTAGATATGCAGGCCTCTTGCCATCCTTGAGACGAGGGCTTTCATCCTTCTGAAAAGATCCTTAAACATATTAGATGAGCAGGAGGACCCACCTGTGAGCGAGTTGCGAGGGAGCCCACTCGTCATGAATAGCTGCCGGTAGCATTTGGTTGCCTGTGCTCTAAGCCTACGCCTCAATACCTAGAGCTGAATCGATCCTTCGCTACTACTTCAGCTTGCCCTACCCTTACTCGGTTGCTGCTTAAGTTCCAATAGAGACATGATAATTTGTTACTATTTTGAGGTCAATCTGGCAAACCCTGCCTGGTAGCTGGAGGCCAGTGTATACAGATCATTCAACCAAGAACAAACGATAAAGAGACCGAAGAAGGGCCATCCTGACGAGTATTCCGGCTTTCGTGAGTGACGCGTATATCGTCTTTTTCCATCTATTGCGATTTGCAACAGTCGAATTTGTCCTGGTGAATAAGTTCTCACCCATGATGCATGCAACATTAAGCATCAACTGAAGGGCAAAAATCAGTACTACATCGCAACAGCAATCTACAGTCTGTAGTTCCATCCAATATTAAATTTCCCAGGTCCCATGTTGTCCGCAATCTCCTGTATACCACTCGTGCGTTCGCAAGTCAGAGGGAAACAGCCCGAATACCAGTCAGCGCTCCACGCCAAACATGGCTCGATCGTACGAATTACCCCAGATGAGCTGATCGTGAACACGACGAGCGGGTGAAGGGACATCTATGAGAGAAAGCCTCAACTACCCAAAAATCCTTTCAGTCAAAACCCACCACCATTTGGCGCAGCAACACTCTTCACAACCGAAGGCGAGATGCATACCCGATTTCGATGCACAATTCTCGACAGCTTTCTCTCCTGCCCCACACCCCCCTTTTCTACGCGAGCAGTCCTCCATCAAAAAACTCGCACTCCAGCCAGCTCTCAACCGCATTCTGACAGATCTTCGCAAAATCCCCAGACGGCGCCGTCGACATGGCTGAACCTTTCGGGGACGACCCTCGACATAACGGGCGAGTCAGCCCATGAAGACTCCTCCCACAATCATCATCGCACTAACAATCTCATCTTTGCGGTAAAAAGACAACTAAGACAGTACCAATGCAACCAACCCATCACTTCGTCAACTGCGACAACTTCCGGTCAGAGCCCGACTCCGACCTTTGTTCCAGCGCCATCTTCAAGCGCGATGATAGGGATGGATTTCACCCGTTCTCGGCTCGGACGCAGTCCATAAATCAGTTGCCCCTTCTTGAACCTACCTTCTTCCCCTACCGCCGTTTCCAGCCATCACACTTTCTCTCTCCATCTTGTCACTGGGGAAAATTTTCTGATATGTGCGGGGAACAATTGGGGTAATTCAAAGTTGAAGCTTGGACGATACTGTCGAAACTCCTCTTCACATTTAAACTACAGCTCGTCTGTGAGAAAGGCGATTGGACATGGACGGATCAGAGGCTATATCTTGCGTAAGAGCCGAAACGGTTGTGTCTGAGGGTCACTGAGCGTGTGTTCTCATAACGATTGGGATAGGAGATAGATGATGTTGGAAGCACGTAGCCGTATGGAGGGGTTTAGAAAGTAGAACGTGAAAGTGAAAGAGGTGGTGGGGAAAGAGTGACAATAGATGCACTGCGCAAGCAGGGCAATCGAGCGGCATACTGTTGCTCACCAAATCTGTGAGGCTTGTATGTAAAAATGAGAAAGAGAAGGTAAGGTGTGCATGTGGTGGTGCAGGGCAATGATGAAAGCAGGGTTACGTCGGTCACCGAGATCTTCCATGCAACCTTTGAGAGCCAAGACCAGAGTTCGTGCATCTCATCTGACAATTATATTTGAATGTGGATACGTCAGTGTGCATGTCATTTCTTGCCTGATTGTTGTTGTCGTCGTCGTCGTCGTTGCCGTGGGCGTATGTTGTTGTGCTGAATACGCACGCTGGACGTGGCTGTCCAAACCCAGTCATAGCACATCAAATTGATGATTCTTTCCCATCATTCCAGCGAGTCAATTGGGTCAGGGAATGACCTGCTCTAGGTTCTTACTTGCTGCATAGGTTGCCAAGTTGACCACACTTTCAATCTCCAGCTTCAATCATTTCAGTGATTGCCTCTTTGCGCAATTGCCATCTCATCACGTTCTTAGGAAGATGAATAGCAGTCGTCGAACTTTCAACACTGTCGGACCCTCAAGATACCAACATCCACACATCATTTTCCCCCTAACACCTCCCTGACAGCCTTCAATACCCTTCCATGAACCTCCCTCGGCGCCGCCACAACCCCCTTATTCCCCCTCAACGTCCTCCCCAGCGAAAAGTCCAACGGCCTCCCATCCACATCACTGACCACGCCGCCAGCCTCCCTGACAATCAAATCCCCCGCCGCATGATCCCAGATCTTCTCCTGATAATCCTTATTCACAGGCAGCCTGAGGTACAAATCCCCCGCGCCGCGTGCAATACTGCCATACTTAGCCTGACTATCCATCCTGACACTCTCCCTCGTAATGCCCAAGGCATCCGCAATCGTCTTCTGATCACCGTGATTCGAATGGCCACTTTCCACACTCTCGCAGAACGTGGCGTCTTTGATATCCTTCAGATCCTTCATCCTGATAACTTTACCCTCCGCAAGCCCATCCTTCCCCACACCACTTTTTGGGGAAACAAAGGCCGACTCTCGGCCCCTTGCCCTTTAACCGCAGAAAACAGCACCCCGCGTTCCCCTCCCCCTCCACCTTGCCCACCCCCGACATCCGCACTCAACGGCGCCGAATCATCAACCACCAGATTCGGACACCCCAAAACCCCCACCTTGATATCCCCATCCACCATCAGCGCAAGACAAACCGCATACTGCCCGCCCCTCAAAAAGCCCTTCGTTCCATCGATCGGATCAATCGCCCACACCCTCCCCTTTCCTCCGCCCTGACTGCCCCCCGCATCAATTAAATCCATCATTTCCTCCTGCCCTGCCACTGCGCCGCCGAGCTCCCTTTCCCCTCCTCCCCCTCCCCCTCCCCCTTCCCCATCCCCATCACTCAGCTTCGTACTCCTCACCAACTCCCAAACCTGCCCCCTCAGCCCCGCCCCATCGTTTCCCCTCAAACCCTCCGCCTCCTCCTCAGCCACGATCTCATCCTCGGGAAAATTATGTCGTAGCGCAGCGATAATGAGCGCCTGGGCGCCATAATCGCCGATGGTGACGGGCGAAGCGTCGGATTTCGCCTGCGTGGATTTCTGGGTGGAGGGGAAGACGCGGTGGGTGAGGAGCGCGGCGCGGGTTACGGCCAGGAGGGCAATGTTGAGTTCGCGGGAGTATTGGGGTGGCGGGTGGGGGTGGGGAGTCATACTGGATTGAGGGAGGGAAGATGGAAGAGGGGGATAAGGGAGAATGGGGGTGGGGGTGGGGGTGGGGATGGGAGAGGAGAAGGGACGGAGGTGGTGGGTGAGAAGTCTGAGGCGGGGGAGAAATGAAGATAGTATGGGGGTGGTGATGGTGATAGATGCCAGGATTAGAAGTGAAGTGAGACAGACTTTTTGGGGGAACGTGAAGCTATGGGTATGTTGGGGAAGGGGCTTGGGCAGTTGGTCTCTTTGATGGTGTAAATGAAGAGGATTTGAATGTACGTCATTGGGTCACATTTTCTGCAGGCACGGCTGCCGAGTCTTGGCATTACTCAATTCTGATTTAATGGGTAGCAGTGATGATGTTCTGGTTCATTCGTAGGTCAATCCAATGGCTGAGGCGAAGCCATGGTAGCGTTACACTACATTACGATATGCCTGATTCGAATCTCGCTGAGAGATCATTCTAAGCGTAGGAGAACCATACTGCCTGGAATCCTGTAGACCTTCTGGTCAGGGTCATACGATGGCAGTATTTGCTCGTCTCAGTCCCAAATGAGTACAGATCATTCTCAAAACCACAGCCCTCCAAAGTTTGAGTATTCTCTCCTAGATCCATTGTCTAACCCGCCCAACCTACACACCCTTCCCCCGCACCAGGAAATAACTCGACACAATGGTCCCATAAAACGTCATTTCCGGCATCAAAGTCTCCAAATCCTCCTCCCAAATCTGCACCTCCGCTCTGGTAAGGGATTCCTCCCTCCTCTAATCCAGCCACCCCTGATACCCAAATGCCGCCGTCTCCAACTGATTGTACGTAAAATTCGGAACCAGCTTGCCATCCGCAGGATCAACCCGGATGGAATGGCACTTCCCAGGTATATAAAAGCCTCGCACTGGGATTGGTGATTCTTTTCTTTTTGTTGTGAACTTGCGAAGCTCGGTGAGGAGGATGATGATAAGGTAGGTGACTTCGGATTTATTGATGACGGAGTGGGATGGGGGCGAGGGAAATTTGAGCGTCATACGGGAGTAGCTTATTGGGACGGGGTAGTCGGGGTAGTCTTTGTGCGTGCTAGTGGTGACATATGGGTATGTGGTGATATTTGTGGCGCAATCGAAGCTGTCTGTGGCGCTGGAAGATAAGTCCAGAATTTCGGAATCGGACATGTCCAGGTGAAGGTCAAGAATGGGATCATTCTGTGCTATTGGCGTTGATGATACGAGGATCAAGGTACACTGGGCTATCAACATGGCACTGACGTAGGCAAAGATCATGTTGGCGGTGATGAAGGATTACCGTGTTGATGGAGCTGTAGTAGGACCTTGATGTTGCTGTAGTTGGGCGTTTGGTGAATGCTACCACCATGTTTGAGTCTGGATTTGGGTTCCAGCAAGTTGCAGGAGCTGAGTCGCAACGTCTTTAGATTTCCGCTAATTTTACAACGCCTTCAGGTATTATATTGCCTTGAAGCTGCCAAGAAGACCATATCCGTTCGCGCGTGCGAACGCCATTCTCCACAGTCGAGCAAAGATAAAAGAAACACTGTTGCGGGAGAAAACCTTCCAGGGTTCTGAAGGTATTTAATTTGCTTAAAATGAAGATGTTGGCTGTTGGGAAATGTTCCAGCTATCGCTTAGTGCGGGCTATGGTGGTAAGGATGTCTCAAACCGTTCCAGCCAAGTCGATTTCAAGTACCTGACCTTTAACAATTTCAATTTCATTAACGTTAAGAGGAGTTGCGTACCTCCCCACCGTCGTCATTAGAATAATCTTTTGCACAATTCCCTTCTTAAAAGGCACCAAAGTTGCTTGTGCAATCTCTGTACTATTCACATTACCAGCAATTATTGCCTGCGCTCCAGTCTCAAACTCGACCTTATTGGCCGGATTTCCCTCGTAGAATCGCCAGATACGTTTTCTCGCAACTCTTATAGATGATGAAATCATCACATGACTGTATCAGAGGCCAGCCCGGAACTTGATGTGAATGAGATACAACTGAATCTATCAAGTGGCGAGGCCGCTATGACATATCAGTGAGAGGCCTTATGTTGCTGCCTTCAAGAATGCCTGCCACCTCCCATGACATCGTATCATGAAATGTATGAATTTTGCTGAAGATACGACGGAAAGTTGCAACCCCTATGATTATCGAGAACAGTAATGATGCTCGATTTGAGTTAGACTTGAATGGCGAAAATGGGAGTCGCTCTTGATCCAAAGCCAGCCACGTCGATGGCGGGAGCGCTTACATAGTCAAACACTTGCGATTCTTAACTTGTAGGGAGGAAAAAATTGATCGTGGAAAGTGAGCTTAAGACAGAGCAATTGAACAACTGATTTCTTTGACAGGAAATTCCGTCGGCTTGATCGTGTTAGGTCACAAAGCGATGGTTTTTTGCGTGACCATGCCGTGAGCATAGCAACAAAAATTTACGGCCAGAGTCCAAAGCTCATGAGACTGGCTTCAAGAGTGATTTTGCATTTCTTGATGGGAAAGGTTCAAACGTCGAGTTCGGCGAGGTCTCAAGGCGATATTAGAAGCTCACCACTACCTCGCAACTAAGGAGCCTTGGCAGACTCGGACTCATCAAGCTGCACTTGCTAACAAATCTATCCATACGTTCAACTAACGAACGAAGTCTTCCCTTATGGAAGAGGGGAGGTAAATTATAAAGAAACCTCAATGAATTTTCAAGGAGAGGCATGCCAAGCCGGAGCGGAATAACAGCTCTCCCGAGCTCTCGACCTCCAGGTCCAAGGTCAGCCACTTTCTCATTCTTTTCGAAACAATTCAACATCTTTGCCGCCCAACCCTTCTCGGTCTCTTCACAATGGCAAAGAAGCGTACGTTTTCTCCCAGTCTTGCTCCTCTCGCACCCAAGCTAACATCCACGGAAAGCCAAATCACGCACCATATCCGTCCGCCTCCTCTCAATGGCCTTGACAGGCTTCTACCGCACGATGCGGCGCCCGCGTACGAGCCGACCTTTGAGTATGATGAAATATGATCCAGTCGGTACGTTGAACGTCCCACCTCCCCTACCTCCACGTGAAATCCTGCAAGCCTAAGAAATGGGGTGGAGAGTCTTCGCTATCAGAGACGCAAGAGTTGTTACAACTATTTCTGAAAAGCATCGGGAGGTGTATTCGGCTTCGCAGCAGACGGACCGGCGTACGTGGTGCAATCGATACTAACAGGGTGAGGGTGGTAGTCCGCAAACAAGTCCTGTTCCTCGAGAAGAAGCGGAAGGGTGGGAAATGAACGCCAACTTCCCTCCTCCCTCCTCCTCCTCCTCCTCCTCCTCCACGCCATATCCTCCCCAATCAAGAGGTGCACGATCGACCATCTACCAGCGACCATCATCCAACGTCCACCTCTCTCACGACCTACAAGGCCCTTCTCGCTCCTACTACCACCGCATCCGGCCTTCTCTATATCCACCCGACCTCACCCTATCAACAAACATACCAGCACCAACTCTCCCGACCACAACCTCACAACAACCTCAACCCCCCTCCTACTCCTCTCTCCTCTCCTCCCACAACCTCCTCAGACCAGCAATACCCTCGCAGCCAATCACTCCAACCACTCCAACGCTCTCACAGCCAAACCCCAGCCAAACCCCACCACGCTCCCACCACACTCCCGGCATCTTTCCCACGAAACCAGACACAAGAGGGAAGCGCGATCACTTTAGTCGCGACGCGCAAGCGCTGCAACTTCAATGCGGCATCAGCGGACATTCCTACTATATGCTCTTCCAAAGCGCAAAATATCTCTCAACTGCCGGACGGAAGACCTCAGGCAGACGAACGACGCGGAGGAGAAGAGTATACAGCTGCAAGCGGAGCCAAGCGCAGACTTAAGGAGGGAATAGTAGAAGCAGCGATGAGCTGCGCTTGATGAGATTGACGGGTGCAGGGATTGAAGACGTAAAGGGTACAGTGGATGCACGCAATAACTGGATTGGCAATAACGAGGTGTCATCTGATTGGAGGTTGTCTAAAGAAGAATGGCAACTACTTGAAACGCTATCTACCAACATCAGCTTTCTTTAGCAAAGCTACCTCAATACCCTCAAAAGAACCTTCATATATCTAGTACAACAAGCTATCTCCTACCTTGCGCTGCCAATCCATCCTTTGTTGTATATCTGACAAGCAAAAAGCAACTAGAAGTCTATTCGCGTGTACATGTGCAATTCCCCAAATTGTCAGTCTGCAGCATCGCAGCAGCTTTGTAAAAGCAAGAATCCTTCAGTACATCATATTTCAACGCCAATCCTGTATGATACAGCCAGCAATCAACAACGTCCTTTCGATCGCTCTTGCTTGAAGCGAACACTCATCTGTTGTTCTACACGCAACATCAGCCTCTGTTCTGGACTCCACTCTTATTCTTAGACCTACCTTTCCGAGCCTTAGGCTGAGACTGTGACTTGCGAGAAGTCGAGACCTTACGGCCGCGGCCCCCAAGCAGATGATCTGGGGATTGCGAGTCGATCATAGGTCCCAAGTCGGAAAGCTGAGAATCTTGTCGCTGCTTCTTGGGTGGAACTATGTTGCCAGCGCCGAACTCCGCGATGGATGCGGAACGTTTGGTCTGACTCGTAGCTCCAGATCGTTGAGAAGAAGCAGCACGTGGGATCTGAGATCCTGCATTGAGCCTAGCAGGAGAGCTTGGTGCTAGGTGTCTAGATTGGTTTGCTGCCACTTCCTTGCGCTGTGGTTGAGATTCTTGTGAATCCTCCGCAATGATACGGCCGCGAGTTCTAGATCTAGGTTGTGGCGTGTCACTTTCTCGAGATATCACCCTTGTGCTCGAAGTCGATGTGTCTGTTCGCTCCACTGTGAAATCATTGAATACCTGATCTTTGGGGAACAGCATCGAGAAATCCTCATCTGAGAGCAAAGGAGGATCGCTAAACGATTCATGGGCCTCGATGAGGTCACCCAACTCGCGCGGTTGAGAGTCTTCAAGCACTCTCGATGGTAAACCATTGAAGTACTGGGACTTCGCTGGCGAGTTCTCTACCGGACCTTTCTCCTCAGCAAGCCGCCTTTTGAGGCCATCGAGCTTGCGACTCTTGAATTCTAGTTCCTGGCTAGTTCGATTGACTTTTGCTTGGAGCTCGGAGTGTCTCAAATTCACATCCTCCACGTTGGCACTCATACGGCGGAATGATGCATCAGCCAACTGCCGCTGCTTTTCTTTCTCATCCAGGTCGACTTGTAAAGCCATGACCTTCTGTTGTAGCTCGCTCGTTTTGCACATCTTTGAAGGTCGATAAGCTTTGTAATCATTCGAAAATTGGATGCTTACCTCATCCTGCTTTTCCTTTTCAAGTCTCTGCACCTGCTCCATAACCTTCTCCTCCAAGCCATCCACTCGAGCCGGGAGTGCTGCCCGCTGTTGCTGCAATTCTTGGATCATGCTCCCAGCCTTCTGAAGCTCACTTTCAAGGATCTGCTTCTCGTCGTCAAATTCTTGTTGCTGGCGGGCAAGCAGGGCGTCGTTGAAGTTCGTCATCCTCAGCTCATCCACGGATTTCTGGGCTGTCAACTGGCTTTGTAGGTCAGATCGCTCAGCCTGAAGCATATTTTGTGCAGCTTGCGACTCCTCAAGCTGAACTTGAATGCTTGCGAGTTGGCTCAAGACTTTGTTAAGCTCGGCCTCTTTCTGATGACATTCTTTGGAGAGCACCTGCGTCTGCTTCTCCATTTCAATCTTCGAATTTGAAAGGTCTCTCTTCTCCAACTCAAGATCATGTAAGCGAAGCATGATGACAGGTGGCGTCCGTTGTTGCTCTCGTGCTTTGACAACCTCAGTCTGAAGTGAATGGATTTTTTGCATCTGGCCTTGCTCATGTGCACGAAGGTGAGAAAGTTCACATCGAGCCTCAGTCAGCTGAAGCCTTGTTCCATTCAGCTGTTCGTTAATGCAAGCTTTGGTCTCGCGATGTTCGATTATTTGGTCTTGTAGTAGCTTGGCATTAGGGGAACTTCGAGAAAGCTCCTCGAGCTGATTCTGGACAGAGAGAGCTAGCTTTTGAGCACAAGTAGTATTCTCTTCGGACTTCTTCTCGAACAGCTGTACGGAGTCTTTTACGCTATAAATGGAGTCAGTATGTTATGATCAGCAGAATAGAAAGCTCGGTATTGCATATAAATGACTTCAATGGACCTCGACTACTTACCTCATGTTGTATGTCTGCATCGCCAGCTCAAGATTTTTGACGTCACTTGGCTGTACATGGTCGCGATCAAGCATCTGCCGTACTACTGCTAAGCATTCGTCGAGTATTGGTTTGAGCTCAGGGTCGGCGACGTACTGTACAGGAACAGGCACCGCATCTGGTTTGTCAATTAGGGAATCTATCTTCTCGCTCAACTATCTCACGTCAATGATATGTGTTGTGTTTAAGTCACTTAATGTTACCTGATTGTTGCTATCGAAGTATCCCTGCCTCCAGTCTTGGTTGTCAGTGGTGATCTGAGCAAGGGCTGACTCGAGTTTGGAGAAGTCAGCGTGCTGAATTGGAGGCTGAGACATTCTATCTTGAATTCGATGCTGTAGGCTGCCGATTGTGTCATGAAGAGACTTGATTTCCGTACGATATCCTGACACAAGACTTTGAGACTTCTCTGCATTGATCGTCTGTTTGTCTTGGATTTCAATCAGAGAACCTCGAATGGATCGCTCTTCTGAATTGAGATCATGGCGCTGTTTTGCCATTTCTTGCTCTTTATTACGAAGAGCATTGTGATCGTTGCATAAGCCTTGAACAAAATCGGTCAGATTCTTAAGCTTCTTTCTCCATTGCTTTTTCGTCTGCTCGACCTCATTCAGCTCAGACTCTTTCTTGGTCATCTTTGCTTGAAGCTCTTGATAAGCTTTAGAGATTGTTGTCAGATGACCATCGAGCACCATGACTTCTTGCTCTTTCTGATTTAGTGCATCGAATGCGTCTTGAAGACTTTGCTGGAAGCTCATCTCGTTCTGGGCTTGCATTTGTCTTTGCTTCTCAAGGTAGTCAGCCATAACCCTTTCGGCAGTCTTCTGGCTCTTCGGGCGCTTAGCCACGATGGCAGGGCCACGTGATGGCTGCCTTGAGGCATGGCGACTGGGAGTTCCGGCAGGGTGATTTTGGGCTGACCGCTGACTCTGAGCAAAGCGGTCATTGTCAAGCTCGACCAGCGTAGTGTCAGCAGAAGTTGTAGTGTCGCCGGTTTCAAGTTGTGGATGCTGAGGTGAAGGAGCCGGTGGGGTGGATGTGTTATTTTGTGATTGCATTGGTCGGACTCCTTCTTCCACGACAGGAGACGATCGATTTGATACATTGAGATCTAGTTTGGACCCGTCAAATAGAGTTGGGAATGGAATGTACGTTTGACCTATCAAAGATCAGGACAGACTGAGCACAACGTTCTACACTAACCTTGTTGATGACTAGTCTGGTTCTCTGCAGGCGATACGGCTTTACGAATATCTGGTTGTTGTTGTGCTAATGGTGTAGTGGCATCTCGAGTTCGTTCAGGATTGACTTGTTGCTTTGGCGCGAAAGAGAAGTTCATTTGAGGCTTCCCAGCTTGCGCGAAGGTGAAACCACTAGCTATATCACTATGACTTGTCTCTGGGCGTTTGATAAAATTTGATGTCTTAGGCGGGCGCTGAATTGTGTTCGACTCCTTTGGTGGTGTCGATCCTGCTCTCGTAAGTGCAGGTACCGAGACTTTTGTCTTGTCCCGCTCCATTGCCGGAGATACAAGTCCTATCAATGGTCAGAATAGGAAGCTACAAGGTGTTGCTTGGTGGGCATTCAACATTACCTGCAACGTTTGGACTCGTAATGCTGTCCACAAGGACATCTCCGTCACCATCAGACAATACAAAATCAGCATCCTTGACTGGACTTGGATCGACGCTTTCATCATGAACTGGCGATTTACGATTGGTCTTACTGCTCTCCATATTAGAAGTCATAGATGCAACACTTGAATCCACCGCAGGTAACAATGGCGCTGGGTGGTTGTCGTGCCCTCGCGATGATCACAGGCGAGCACGCGACCAGTCAACGTTCGGTCCAGAAGTAAAATGAGGTTGACATTGCGGGAAAGAGGAAATATGCTGATGAAGAATGGATAATGCAGGCTCACGAGAGATGGAAGGAGGTTGGTTTTGAAATAGCCTTACCGTCTTCAATGATGATTAGGGCAAGGCCGTTTGTGGTAAGCGCGATGTGGTGACAGCCTCATAACCCATCCAGAAGACTGCATACGGCACACACAACCATCCCAGCAGAGCACGTAGCTTCTCAAAATGCATCAAAACGACAAGTAATAACTCGCGCTAGTGCTGCTCAGACATCGAAAGGTCTCAGATGACCACCACGTGCAACAAGAACCCAAAGACTCCCATAGTTCGCCGCAATCGTAACGCATTAATGCATTACCCATTAAATTTCAGGAAATGGTGCAAGATTCCCCAATCCGATCAAGCAGTCTTCTTCCAAGCCGACCACACCCCGATCAAACTACTCACCGTCCCTGCGAGACCCACGAAGCCATCATCGAAGTTGACATAGCCCACAGCAGCACTCGGTATGGTCAGATCACATAGATCCGAGATGAGCTGCAAGTTGGTGACGTTGCGCTCCCTGTAAAGCGTCAGCATTCGAGAACTCTCAGACCAAAAGGCCCAAGTAAGCGCACTTGACAATCTTCTTTCCCTCCACCACGCCCTCTCCTTCATTCTTGTCAATCTTGCTCTCCCGTTCTTTCAACCGCCATAGCGTATAGAATCCGGCGATGGTATTGAACATCAGGCCCGCGAACCATGCCTTGTACGCCTCTCTTTGCAATCTCTTTGCGCTTTCCATTGGCCTGATGCCCGTAGCGTCCAACTATGATCTCAATCAGCACCTGAAGCCCTCACCGAAGAGCTCCAAACCCATCTAGCATGTCACGCACATATGTCAGAGCATCCAAGCTCAAATAAGCCGCATACCCTAGCTGCCTCCCCACGGCACAATACCTCAGCACAGGATCCATGCCCTTTGTATCCATAGCCGTTGCAGCCAATTTGAAGTGCTCGATATTCTTCCCCAACCGCATTGCTTTCCTTGTGATACCGAATTGCTTCTTCATGGCTTCGAAGGGCGCGATCAATCGCTGAGGCTTGTTGGTGCGTAGGAGGTACCAGGCGTAGAAGCGGGAGAAATATTGCAGAGTGCGGAGGAATTTGTCGCGACCGACTGTTGAGGTGATATGTTAGCTGTGAATTCGTAGTCGGAAATTGGAAAAGCGAAGAGAGGGGGAAAAGAGGGACGGACTTGTTGTCGCGACATAGCGGAGGTAGTGAGAGATTGTTGGGTGATAGATTAGAGCGTCGGTGACCATGATTGATGGCGCACAGTCCCAAATGAATCAGATTGTCTGTTAAAGATGTGCATCAAGCCCCTTCATACTGTTATCGGATGAGAGGGGACTGACGCGCGGGACTCAACCGCAGAACCTCGGTTCCCAATCAGGTTAGATCCTCGAATCGTTTGGACCAATCACATATCAGACGAATCACTAGATAGTGCATCTCGTCGAACCCTCGATGTCAAGCATTCAGACCCTCACAAGCACAACGGAAAACAGACAAGAGCATCTGTAACTTTCGTGTGTTCATATTTATATTGCACAGTTCCGAGGTAAGTCCGGGAAAATTTGACTTGATTATGCCTTTTTCCAGGCCTTTGTAGGCACTTTTCCAAGAAATCGGCAATGCTTTGACGCAAATTTGGGCACTATTGCAATGGTGATGCTTTAGATCGTCAAATTGAAAGCCAAAAAGAGAGGATGGTGGGACTCGGGATATCCTTTAGATCTTTTCGGATTCTGTGGGGCCTGTCCCAAATTGGCAATCTTTACATCAACCCTCAAATGAATAGCGGAACCCATTAGGAACCCCTCAAGCCTCTTAATTTTTATGGTGGCACCAGAAGCGAGCTGTGGCGTCGACTTGGCCGGCAACAACTCGTTGTGATATCCTTTTGAGTCTTGTTTATTATGATTTGCAGCACTGAATGTACCTCTAAGTGCGTGAGAAGCTTTGTTTAAAGCCCCTAAATCTCCGAGACTCCGTTGTGGCATCCGATTTCAGGCTATGGCGTATATACAACTGGTTAGATGGCTTTATTACTCGTTGTTTTGAGACATTTGCAGCGTCTTTTTACGCCTTCGAAAGTCAGACTTATATATTAGCTTTTCTCAAAGCTCCACCTTTCAATAGCACAAAGAAAACTAGAGATCCACTTGCGAGCTTAGGTAAGAAAGTATACTACCTGTTGTCTATAAATACAATGAATTCTCCGGTCCTCTCTTCCTTCTTCAGTATCCTCAATAGTCTCCTCTAAGTATAGGTATATAATTAGCAACCACTTTAAAGTATATCGTTCACTTCTAACGCTTATATATAGCCTTATCATTCACTATCAACCTCTACTCACAACAACTACATCCTACACGCCCGCCTCTTCTCAACATGCAGCTCCTCAGCAACAGCCTCCTTTTCCTCCAGCTCCTTGTCCTCACGGCAGCAATGCCTGCTTGGAACCTATTCTCGGCCCCTCGCAACACCTCGGAGGCTCTTTATCTGGCTCAGGACACCGACAACACCTTGGACAAGCGGTACGTGTGGGACAGGGTAGAATGCCTCAATTGTTGTATGACATACAAGAACAACAACAAACTCTATTGCCAGTGGGGGACAGATACTCGGATGGGCATTTGCAAAAATGTCAAAGGCTTTTTTGGCGAAAAGTATATCTGTGATGCAGCATGCAACTGCAAGAATGGAATACCAATCAAAGATCCGAATGAGCACGAGGCCGGTATCGACAAATGAGCATGGTCTGGGCTGGTCTGAGCTGAGGAGGGCCATGGAGTGACGGAGGAATGGCTTATAGATTCGGTGGGCATGGGGGAATTCATATACTTCTTTATATCTCGTTGCGGCGGGTAATACAGTCATTTTCAAGTCTTTTGTTCGTTGATGTTGCATGGATGAGTATTGCCTGCCTTGATACCCTGCTCTGATACAGTACGATATTGCATTTTCCCTCAAGATCTCATTCCATTGTCAAGGAAATCATTCAAGAATGTACGGTGACTCTTACGTCTTGCTTTTCAACCAAAACATCCCGTAAGCGAAGCCACGACACCAAAAAGATGTCTCAAGCTTTTCAAAAGTGCCACCAGCAACACAAGAACTCAATCTTTCTTCTCCATCCTTCGCTTAACTACGCACCAAACGCATGTGGAGTATGGCACACACAAGCCTCCACAATCCAGGATTTGTCTCTTTGAAAAATACTAAAAGATTTTCACACCCTTCTCCCTCAAAAGTCCCACATTTCACAACCACATTCGCCCACACCAAAACCCATGAACGACCTCGTCTGCGGTCTCCTCATCATTCTAATCGCCTGGCTCATCGCCCTCTTCCACGGCTGATCGCCAGTAGCAACCTCTTTCACAGCATCCACAAGTCACACCAACCCTCACCGCTACCTACTGGACCCCTACCACTCTCATCACCCCCAACTTCCCCCTCTCCCAACTTCTCCCATCTGCCTCACCAACCACAACCCTCTCCACTCTCCACATCCCCACCAGCAATGGCCCGAGAAAACTCCCCAATCTGGACCTTGCTAACTGCGATCCTCCTCCCCCTAACCCGCGGTCCCACAATCCCCTACCCCCCCGAAGGCGCCTTCGCGAACTGCAAACACCACCCACACCTGCACCCCAACGTCTCCTTTCCCAACACCTCCCCCTCCCCCACCTCCCCCACCTCCCCGACCAACACCACCCTCCCCCGCCCCTCCCCCTCAACTCCCACCGACATACCCCCCTACATCTTCGCCCTCATAATCGCCTTCCTCCTTTTACTAGGCATCCTCCTCGACATCCTTTACCCTCCTCCCAAGCCAAAAGTCGTGTATCCGATCTGGCATCCGATATGGTGGGCGGAGCGGAACGAGTGTATATTGGTGGCGCATAGGCGGAGGATGAGGAGGGAGGAGAACTGGGACAAACAGAGCCTGGGAAAAGGGGAAAGGCGGGAGGAAGCGAAGAGATGACAAGAGGGGAAATAAAAGGAGGGGAAGGAGAGCGGGCTGCACGGAAGCAGGAAGAGGAAGTGGGATTATGCTGAATTGGAGCCGGCGTGTAGTTACCTAACCGTATAGGCTCAGTGTCGTCAATACGACTAGCGCATTCGTATATATGCCTCTTGCGAATATAAAGTGGAGTTATTCGTGACAGCAATGAAAAAATCCTATGAGAAAAAAGGGCCGAACGAGTTCATGGTGCAGGTACTTTTCAGTCAGAAGGAAAACGCGTGCGTACGAATTGTGACGTTTCGCATTTATGTAACACATTAAGAATGCCTACCCTTGTCGTCTCTGAACTCCCCCTTCATCTCTTTGAAGAGAAAGAGTGCGTTACACATAGCGAAAGAAAATACAAAATATATTGTACACATACCCGAAAATACTCGTCAATCAGCTCAAGGGAAGGGCACTCGCGCCACCACACCCCTACTCAAACAGGCTTGAGTACCCTCCCTCCATGACCACCGACCACTCTCCCTTTGTTCCGCTCCCATTACCTGGCACCGCCGCATCCGCTAGGCCTAGGAGACCATCTCTTCCTCCTGCCCCTTGTTCTCTAGCCGGCAACCCACCTTTCGCCAGTACATGGTTGATGGCACCTACGATCATCTCTCTCCAACCAGGCGCCACATGTGCCTGGCCATTCTCGCACCACGACCGCAAATCCGCTAGCGTGTCTTTAACGGGCTTGCCATGTGACGGCAGCGCATGCGCCAATACAGCAGTTGCTAAAGCCAGGATGTGATGCTCAAGAGGCGAAGGCGAGACTTGGGACAGTGCTTTGCCACTAAGAAGGGTTATGGCGGCAATAGCGGCTTCAATGGATGCTTGCTCGCCCGAAGCAGACATCGACTCGACAGCCTTATCGCTAAGCATACGCAGATGGAGGTGAGCTAGATGGATGAGTGGTAAAGATTCGAAAAGCGGGCTGATGGATTCATCGAGGCGGGCGACTTCACCACGCATTACTGGTTTGAGCCAAAGGGGGACATTCTTTGGCGTCGGGGAATAAGGCGCGTCGAGGAAGGCGTCAGATAGGTGACCGAGGGCTAAAGATATGCCTGCGGCCAACATTAGTAATGACAATGCTAATCTGGAAGGAGTACTGACGGAGAACATGGTACGAAGAGCTTCCGAGAAGAGTATGGTCAGACTGCTCAAGTTGCACATCGGCATCAGGAATGTTGGGTGACCCGCAGATCGCGGCGGCATGCCAACGGTCGAGGACGACTAGACTGAACCAGGATCTTCGGAGAAGATTGCCGAGCTCGGATCTACTAGTCATCTCTTGCTGTTTTCGTCTGCGAATTGGTAAAGATTTGGCGAGAGTTACAGCTGCGCCAAGCCATTTACCGGTGCGACTAGGACCAGGGCCAGCATATTCTTCAGCGATGGCAAGGAAGATCAGCGTCTGAAGGCGAATGAGGCTATAAGAAGCTGTGGAAGAGCCGTGGCCTTTTTCTGGTAGTGCGAGATAGAGGTCTGCAGCGCCTTTGATTTCAAGATCACCCACTAGGGTTGATGTTCCTCTCACAGCAGTCGTCAAAGCCGCTGCAAATGCTGAGCGCAACTCTGGCGAAGTGGCATTCAATGTTGACGTCAGCTCAGCACCATTTTCGGGAAGTATTGGTAGACTGCTGTGAATGTGTGTGAAATAGCTACCTGGTATTAGCATTGAAGACTTAAATCACAGATATAGCAAAACATACCCGCCTAAGATTGCTGGGTCTACGTAGGACCCAGTCGATGTCGAAGGACCAGGACCAGAGGGTTGCGGCAGATCATGGACCGGCGCAGACATCACCGGAGGGGGGCGGGCCATACCCTCTCGCATATGTATGTAACTGTTCAGGGCCTTCGGAGTATCGTGATGTCCCTTCGGCCATCGAATGCGTTCGTTTGCGCTGAACAGGCGTTGAAAAGTCTAGATGTGGAGAGTATGCCTGTGGCTCCGGATTTGGAAATCCATGATTGACAGCACCATATGGTGTATCAGGTTGGCCTGGCGTGCCAGTTTCGAGTCTATTCACGCGTTCTGCTAGTTCCTTGATATAGCTTGTAGCAGGTCAGCATGGGTATTGAAGAATGTTGGACACTTTATTACCCTTTGCTTGGACCTCTCTTCTGTGGCTGACGGCTGAATTGGCACGTCATGTTCGTACGCTTGCAGTTACTGCACTGTGTACCTGGCTGGTCTGACTCGGCATCACAGCGGACCTATAATGTGAGTTATGGCAACAACTTTCTTTTCGAGTTTCCTTACTTTCTTTCTCCTGCATTCGTCGCATGCTCTAGATACCTTTTTATTCTTCTTGTCGGTCGAGGTGCCATTCGCATCTAGAGTCTGCTGGGCGAGCGCCTGTGGAGTACTCGGTGCTTGCGGTACTGTATACTGTGCGACTGCGTAAAAGCCCGGTGGAACATGGGTCTCATCGCCGCGCGATTCTGACATCATTGCTGTAGGTGCGGGTTGCGTTTGCTGCTCCCCATCCTGAGCAAGTGAATGCTGGTTGTTTGGGTAAGGGTGACTTGAAGATGCTGGCTCAGGCGACGGATATTTGTTTTCTTGTGCCATATTCGTAATAGGAAGCTCGAATAGGAAGGTGCACGTCAATGCGCGATAGATGGGTGGCTGCACTGATGGATGAAGGAGGTGGAAGGGGCATGGGGTTGGAAGGTAGTGAGCAGCCTTTCGAGGCTAGCGTCAAATCTCGGCTAGGCCTGCTGCAGAGATCCGATGCCATCGTTGAAGGTCGTAGGGAAGTATCTCTACGTCAAATACTTCGATTTGGAGTCATTCATGATGTTCGCGATTACAGATAGCAATCCTCGTGCTATATTCGGATTCTACGGAGAGGGAGCTTCATTTATCCTAGTGAACGGGTCGGAAGAACCTGTCACCATGAAGATTTGCTTGAGGCGGCCGTAATGCAAGAGTATTTGATAACGAATATCAATGGGTGTACGTTGACATGTACTCTGATAATAGCTTCAAGCCAGTCGATGTGATTGTACAAGATATCATTGTCATACTCAAATGTCTGAATGCGACAAGGTTTAACATGTGCTCTTCTTTTCCATCGATTTTCAATGGTCCTCAATAGCCAGCTCTCCTCTTTCAAAAGCTTAGAATGACATTTCCAAATTCGTCTACTCCTCCAATGCGTACATGAGGGAGCCTGTCACGCGTATTACGCGCAGCAGGTAGCGTGCTGGCTGTGACTTGTTCGTGTTTGCAATTTGCTACTGCCCGGTGTCCCGAAGCAGGCTTCCAGTAGCACCGTACGTCTTGTGCTGTAACTTCCATTACGCAGTATAGCCTATCACCTTCTCTTCTTCCCTATAATTTCTGTGAAGCCTTCCTCGTCGACCTTCGGCATGATTCTTTCCTTAGGGGTTTTGACGAGTTGTGGCGCATCCTCCATGTTCGCGTCATCTTCATCTTCCATGTCTTCACTGTCCCAATCTGTGTCTTCGTCTTCATTGCCCTCCACTTGCTTCGCCAATATTTTCTTTTCTCCACCTGTTGCCTGCTTTTCTTGCCATTTGGCATACATGTCGTCCACCAATTTGAAGTCCCCTTCTAACGTCATCTTCCTCAAACCTCTAATTCTTGATGCTACTTCCGTTGTTGATCCATCGTCGAAATGAACGTCAAAATTATCATTGACCGCCCTAGCGAGGAATTCCTCCAAGTACTCGACGTCAGCATCAGGCGTCTCCGCCATGAGCTCCGAGACCTGACCAGCCAGCCAATCACGTTTCTCTGCAGAGTCAGGACCACCCCATGAGTTTTGTACAGCAATACTCAGAGACGTCCACGCATATAGCACGAGGGAAATAGCGAGGTCAAACTTTGCCTGTATCCTCTCTGAAGAAAGTCAGCCCCCGTCGAGAGTTTAGAAGCACTGCAATGATACCGGCTGAGGGGGGCAGAGCCACACCTCCACTATTTAGAATCCCTTGTGGCCCTTGCCCAGCATTACTTGTTGACATCGAAATAATGGTGAAGCGAAAGTGGCTTTGCGATACTCCGTAAGTTGCAACAATTCCATTTCTCCACTGCTTGGCGCCGCAAGTGCGGAAGCAGCCGAATGACCTCAAAATGACGACGGAAATTCATTCTCACCATTGCTCATTGACCATTCCCCCGGCTCTCATATATTTGGAATTATATCTATCGCACTTTCTTGTGCCAGTATGAATTTCGACAACACGTCTTCATTAGGCGACGAAGCCTGATGAACCCCCAACAATTGGGCTATGATCTCAAATCGCCGCTGTTTTGATCAGCTCAGTCTTGTACTCTACTGCCCATTTAACCCATTGATTTGATACCTTGTATTTCTATCCTTAATCTTGTGCAACTTCAAAGTAGCGATGGTACTCAGCACGATTTCAGTCAGCGCCGCTGTCACCCCTACAGTAATTGACACATACTTCTCACATGTGAGTCGGTATAGCTGTGGCAAAGAATCCGCTGACGATCAAAGTACCTCAAAAGGAAATCGTTACATCAAAAGCCCACAGCCCACATCTCCTACCACGAAGGTCTACAGCTCATACGCCAGTTTCTATCCTATGCCTCCCACCATACCGTTGAAGAGCTACAGGGTTTCACATCTCAGTGGGTGCCATCTCCTCGGTGGGTGAAGGTGGATCGTGTCGTAATATCGGAGGATGTCGTCACCAAAGCCGCAGATACCCTGCGTTCACACCTCGGTAACCATGGCATTGATAAGATCGGTGGAGAGAATTGGTGGCAATGGAGAACAGGCAGGCTTGAGGCAGAGTGGATAGAGATGCGTAGAGACCACGCGAAAAGAAAACATTCCGGCACAAAAGGAAATAGGGTCATGCTTTATGTGCACGGTGGCGCATATTTTTTTGGCAGCGTGGACGAGCACAGATATCAATTACAGCGACACGCACGCAAGTTGGAGGCTCGTGTATTCGCACGGTGGGAATATCTCCCTCAGAGCTTTCAGAGGCATCACTGACATGTTCTAGTGAGCACCATCTCCAGATTGACACTGTTCATTGTTGATAAACATTAGCTCGTTACAGATTGGCACCGCAATTCCCGTTTCCCTGTGGTCTCTTTGACTGCTTGGCGGCTTATTTATATATTTTGACAATACAGTCACCTACTGAAGTAATCTTGGCTGGCGACTCTGCCGGGGCAGGCATGATTGTCAGGTAGGTTTGCCTCCATTGAATGGCGGAGAGATTTCTGACTCCCGCAGTATACTGGTAATACTACGTGACCAGGGGCTCCCTTTGCCCGCAGGTGCGATTCTAATTTCGCCTTGGGTCGACTTGACCCATTCGTTTCCGAGCGTTGCTGGCGACGCCTCACTAGATTACATACCAGCTCATGGCTTCATGCAAAAGCCGTCGGCATCTTGGCCACCTCCTAATACAGACGATATACAACAGATAGCGATGAATGCCGTCAGAGAAAAGGTCGATGAAGGTCTTCCACGAAAGTCAACTCAGCAGGAGAGGAAGATTGCCGAAGATGAAGCGGTTAAAGGCTTTTCCGTTGGTCGCATTGATTCGAAATCGATTGGGAACCAAAATGCCAGTACAGGTGCTGCTTCTGACCAGCCTGGCCAAAATCGACCAGGCCAAGGTCACGATCTATCCTTAATACTTGACGACAAGCTAGTCACTATCAAAGACCAAATACAAATGTATACTACTAATCAGCTATTGTCGTACCCGCTGGTTTCGCCTGTCATTGAGACATCTCTGGGTGGCCTTCCACCACTATTGATAATGGTTGGTGGAGGTGAGATCCTGCGCGATGAGCAGATCTACCTTGCTCATAAAGCTGCTAATCCAGTAAAATATCCACCTGGTGACGCATTTCTTGAAGATGTACCTAACGCTAAAGAAATTTTGGAGAAGTACCGACCCACTGACGTACAGCTTCAAGTATGGGATGACTTATGCCACGTTGGCCCAACTCTGAGCTTCACGCGACCTGCTAAATTCATGTATCGGTCGATCGCTCAATTTGGCGCATGGTCTCTCGCGAAAGCACAAAAGACCGAGATCGACATTCAAGACGATGATGACATGTCAATCATCTCATCAGGCTCAGATACTGACGGCGAAGACAGCCTAAAAAAGCCATCCCAAACCAAAACGACTATGAAAAATGGGGTAGCCCAAGGTGGCACATTAGCAAGTGATCAAGTCGGCAAGGCAGGCGACCAACTCCCACCCTTCAAGAATCATATGATCCGTCAACGAGTAGATAGACACGGCAATATTTTCCCGCTAGACCCAGCATCTTCACTTCCTGCTCTGAACGTACCCGCCAATGACATCTGCGTGATCAAGTCAGGTCCAGTACGCAAATGGCTCAAGGCGAAAGCCAAGTGGGACGGGAAGTACGCTCGCGAGAAACGAAAGGTACAGAAGCAACGCGCCAAGGAGATGGCAGAGGGCTTTCAAACTTTTGACGAGGACGATGTACCCCCGCCTTCAGCATTGGCAGGTCGCAGGGGTCTGAAAATGCAAGTGGCGGAGCAGAAGAACAAACGAAGTTGGGGCATGAGCCTATGGTCACGCTGGGGCAGCTCACACGACGAGAACACAATCGAGCGGGAAGAGAAAGCTGACAAAGAGGTGGAGAAGGCAGCAGTGTCCGAAGACAAGACAAGTAATACGAACCCTACTAGGCCATCAACTTCGCGTTCTAAGTCACGCAGGAGGACAGTCACTTACACAGCCCAAGATGACGTTGATGAGAAAATGGGGCTTAAGGAATTACGCCAGAAACAGCAAGAGACCAATGATGTCCCAACCATCACCACGACTTCCACAGAGCCCGTAGTCAATGCCGCAGACCAACCCCGTCCTTCAGCAGGAGGTAAAGCCTTTCCCTTCAAGCTAGGCACCCAGCTCCTTGACGACGGGCGCAACGCAAGCACTCTGACGCTGATGAGCCAAGCACCTGTCGGAACGCCAAAAGGCGATGAAAAGGGAAAACAATTAGGCGAAAACATGCCTCTTGGCGCTGGTGTAGAAGACCGAAGGATGACCATGGAGGACGCAGGAGGTGTGTTGCACAAAGGTCCTGCACCACCACCGGCTCCTCCCCCAGCCGCAACGTCCACACCAGTAGAGAACGACCCAAGTCAAGCAAAGGGCGTAGATATCGACAACTCTCCCGCTGCCGCTGCCGCAGAGGATAGGAGAATGACCCTCGAAGACGCAACCGGCGTGCTGCATCATGGCGCTGCACCCCCATCCCCACCACAGCAAGCACCCTCTCAGCCTGCCCCATCTCACATTTCCTCCTCACCCCCCACCTCTTCTCCAGTTATGAATGAGCAAGCACCACCCAGACGTATGACTCTCGAAGACTCCAGCGGCGTCTTACACCAAGGCCCCGCCCCCGCTCCTGCTCCGTCTCCACCTTCACGACCAGCTGTAGAGCAGGAAGGTGCGGGAGAGGTGGGAGATGGGGATGGGGAGGGCTCAGGCGAGACGACTCCCATCGCGGAGGCGGTGGGGGGGAGGAGGATGACGGTCGAGGACGCGAGTGGTGTATTACATAAAACAGCCGAAGCAGTGGAAAGGCCTGGTCTCGAGAGGTTCGAGACGGCTAGAGAGGACTAGAGTGGGGTTGTGGGATTGATTGGGATGGGATGAAATGGTAGTTGGTGCCAGGTAAGGGGTAGATGACGTTTCTTTGCGTCTTTACTGGGGAAGTAGCAAAGTATGAGTAGTAAAGGCGGCTAGACATGTGTGAATAGTGCCTTCTCCATCCATTCAATCTCTCTGGTCTGGGTAGTATCACTATATCTAATGCACACATAACCCGTACTCGCAAACATTCCGTTCCCATCAACGCCTTTCCTAAACACCTTTGTCGTTTCTATCCTCGCCATTTACAGTACAAGCGTCGATCGACCTCACACTCACTCCCAATCCTCTTCCTCATCCTCCCTCTTCTCCCGCGGACTCCCGGGCGTGCGACTGGTAGCCCCGCTGACAAGATCATAGCTCGCGTCTGAGTCCGCCTGGGATTTCTCATCCTGTGACCGTCTTGGCTCTGAAGGCTTTAGATGGGAATCTGAGTCTGGTGCCGGATGGATTGTCTTTAGGGAGGCGGGAGAGGCGTTGCGAGCGGGTTGTTGTGGGGTCTCTGAGGAGGCGTTGGGGTCTGTAGACGTAGTGGGAGGGGTAGACGGGAGCTGTGAAGGTTGTTGGGGGGTAGGTGAAGAGTCGGAGTCGGAGTCGTCGTCCCAGGAGGGTTCTTCGGAGGTGGGGAGGGTGGCGCCTGTAGGGGTGTTAGCGATGGGAATAATGTAGATGGGTGATGGGCAAGGTCGAGTGGGTTGGAGTACCTTTTAACACCTCCCTCCTCCGCAGCTCCTCCCTCTCCAACAACATCCTCAGAAAGTAATACCGCCGCCAAAAGTCCGCGTACTCGACCTTTTCCGGCACAATCTTCGAGTGCGTGACCTTCAGCTCCTGATACCTCTCCAAGTCCCTCGCAATCTCATTGGTTTTCTTTTCTACGCTAAATTCCTCTTTCCACTTCGCCCACTCCCCATCATTCACCTCCTCTGGATCTGCGAGGAACTTCTCTGCTGAGGAATGAATCGCGTGTAACTGTGCCTCGAGGCGCGTGGAGTGAATGACTCTCTTCCCATCCGCACCTTTACTCTCGAAGAGAACTTTGGATTTGCCAGAGTCTTCGTCTGAGGGGGCAGAGATAGTGACGGCGTCTTTGAGGAAGGAGCCGAGGTTTTTGCCAAAGCGAAAGATGGCGGCGTCGGCTGCTTCTTCGGCTTTTTCAAGGTCTTTGAGCCGTTTGGCTGCTTCAGAGCGGAAACGTTGCCAATTAAGGCCTTCTTCGGTTGTGTCTTTTGGGGTATCGCCGTCTTCTGCGCCTGTGCTCTCGGCAGTTCCTTGATCTTGCTCTCCTTCTTTGGGGGCACTCTTAGTAGCGTTGAGGGTGTTGTCGGCCCCACTGAGGCTACGTGCCCGGACGGCTAGTGTGGAGCGGAGGTCTTGGAAGCCTTTCACTGCTTCTCCTGAGACGGCGGTGGCTTCTTGTCGTGCTTCTTCGTAGAATGTAGAGCTCTGCTTCCTGACATCGCTGAAGAAGCCACCGAGCTTTGCTCCCCAGGGCGTGCTTGATATGGATTTGTAGGCTTCTTGGAACTCGGAATTCAATGTTGGCTTGGGCACGGTGGCCTCATCAGGATGGTCGGGATCTGTGGTCTTCTCGCCTTTATCACTCTTCTTAGCATCTTCTGGGAAATTCTTCTCTTGAACGTGATCGTAGGCTACATCCATGATGGGCCAGCGGGGTATATGCGTTGTAGAAAAGTGGGGCTAGCTTTGCATGTGCAGCTGGTAAGTGCAGCGATCGATATTGGATCGTTTCTTGGTGTGTAAATACGAGGAGAACTAGTAGCTGGAGACGTTGTCGGGTCTGATGGAGGTGGAGATGTTGAGTATGAAGCTGTATTTGTCTGTGAACTGCATCAGCAAGACTAAAGACTCGCAATTCCTCGAGTGTTGCGGCGGAAACTCAATCATCTCTTGGCTTGGGCGGCCCGCTGCCGGAGATGGTCTAGGGGAGTTTTCACCGCTCTCGTCCCTAAACACCACTCCATCTCCTATATCCATCGCCGTCGAGAGGGTATCGAACGGCAAGAACGAGCATCAAGGTCTGCTGTCAAGGAGAGCTATCAATGCACCTTGTTTTCTTTGAATCTCAGCTTCTATCCTGGACAAGGTGGCTAAGCTGCAGCTGACGAAGACCACTTCAAATCGCTCGATGCCTCGTCCGCAAAGCTTGAAATGGTCCATTACTTTGACTCGTTTGCTCTAAAGTTTCAGTGAAGTCTATTCTGCAGCATTCGATGGTGTCAATAAAGCTATCTCTCGCATTGGTGTGCAGGAATCATTCGAATCAGTCAATTTCTCGTGCACATTGCTGCTGCTGGTGCAGGGTCGGGTAGCTACTGCTAAGTCAAGTCGATTGATTTGCATTCTCAAAAGCCTACTACGTGTTTCTAACGAAATACGATGCCGGTCGCTTTTCTTAAAGCCTAATGATGCTGCAAGCCTAACTCGTACCGTGGCTCATCCTTCTAAAGATAGTCGCTGGCTCAGCATATCGATATTGCAGCAAGGCAAACTTCTAGGCACAGCCGTAAAGACACTTGGCTAGTGCGGGGCAAATAACAAGAGGCGGCGAGGAGTGATGGAAGGCTTGTGCATTGACATATCCTTGGAACCTGGCTTAAGACGTTAGCTATTTGGGCTTCCAACTTCCTGCGCATGCCAGACATCTCTAGTGCTGTGCAGGTTCATGCACAGCATGCATAAATCTCCGAGTATCAGCGTACTCGCATGTTGACAGGCTGGTGAGTTATCATGTGGCTGTCGACGATAATTGACATGGACGATTGCCGGCAACGTACATTGAGTGGCGAGGCTGTGAAACATGGCGATATGAACACCGATAAGACGTCTCAATTCTTTTCGTGCTTCATTGCAATCACAAGTGTTCATGAGTAATTGCCTCTACCCACACAAAAAATTTACTCAGAAATCTCAAAAATGACACCATATTTACCAACAATCTGCATATTGACATGTATGTTCAGTATTATAGTGATTAAAGTACTCGCTCAGGACGATGAAGACGATTACGAAACAACGAATCCTTCGCTCATATCCTTGAGCAATGGCACTTATGATGCCATCTGTGTCTATCCAACAAGCGTAGGTGCTAATTGACCTGGTGTGATAATGAGGGCTAAACAAACAAGGGCAACTACTCATTTTTGAATCGCTTACTTTACTACTGTACTTTGGTCTTCTCATTCTTCTCGAGACATCATCCCTGGCTTGTCGCAGGCTCTTTGGCTACTGCACTCACTTACTCAGGAGCTGCAGCTGTACATGCGTGTCTCTTGGTATGGAGAGGTCCGGCGCCGTTTTTCGAAAATGATACCTCCGCGCTACTAACAATCCTGGGTTCTGCTTGTCTCATTGCGGTTCCACTGATCACGTGGAGCGACACGCTTAGAAAGCTTGGTGAAAGGTTCAAAAGTTCAAAGGATCAAACCAGTAAAGATGACGAATCTGATAATGATACCGCCGGACACACAATAGTTATTTACTGGTCTTTCCTTGTACTCATTGGATATTTTTGCGTGTGGCATCATACTGTCTGGGGACAAAATAAGGAAACAAAGGAAACAGACGTGTTCAGGCCTAACATGAGCCAGGTGACATGCTCCAAGAGCCCAAGTGCGCAGAAAGATGGCAAATATAGCGCGATAGATGATGCTTTCATCAATGAGTATGGATGCAGTAACCCTTGCGATCAAATCCACGCTCCATCGATATTTCGTGAAGAAAAGGACTTGCAGCTTCTATCGAATTCACAATGTCATCTTTGGATGGATGAGAGCCAAATTCCCAACAAGAATACAAGACCAAAGATGCGGACACCGGTCAGGATAGAAGTTTGGATGCATCAAAGCTCCCTTATCGTACTTCCAATTGTCGTTTTTCAAGGCATCATCGCTGCGCTATCTAATCGTCGATCCCCACGCGAGATCAGAGACTACATATATCTCACTCTCGCCCGAAAGTCTTCTTCAAATGTCAATCTTTCTCCAAACAAATGGCTCTTGATGATTCTTGAATGGGATGCTGTAATACTGGCCGGAGGAACCTATCTCCTCGCGGTCTTGACGGTGATAGTATGCCCTCTACTTTTGGTAGCACACATTATCACATTCGAAGTGGCTCGATGGACAACCATACCGGATGCTGACTCCATGAGTGCTGTTGGGCAGTGGGCACCTTGGGTGATCGTTGGACAGGCAATGTTGGTAGCTCTACTATCAAAGCGTGATCTGGTCATCCAACAGCTTGAAAAGGAGAGTACTTATTCCAAACTGGGGAGTGGCACTCAATCAACCGTGGACTCGCCCTCAACAGACGCAGAGGAATTTGAAGGAAAGAATCAAACCACGTACTCCACATCCCAAGAGTTGCGCCCTAACCAGTCGGAACATTCACATGAAGAGTCTAAGGCCAATCAATCCGGAGTCTTGAAGAAGACATTGATAGATCCGATCATTGAGTTTTATCGCCATGTCCTCGACGAATATAAGAACTTTGCGCGGTGGTGCAAAGATCCGGAAACCACATCTCTCGAGAAAAGCAAAGATTCTTCGTTGGAACCACTCTCACGTGTTGAGGCCCACGAAGGTCATGAATGATGACACAATATTGCATCAGCCCGCCAGAGCTCAAGGAAACTGGTTCGGTGTTTACTAATGTTGCAACGGAGGAGCTCTTGAAACTTAATTAGTCTCAGGAATCAGTCGATGAATTACTCCGTTGTCGACAGATTCAGCAGACTCAAAAAACGTTCTCAAATTCCAAATCGGAGGATTCTTGTCATACAAAGCTGGGAAACACGGTACCGCAAGATATGGAAGCCCCCACGAATCTAATGCCACGACCTGGGCGAGCCAATCTTTGGGCAATCTCGGAGTCAGTGCTGTCCCTCTTGCAGCGGGCCTACATCATGAGCCGGTAGCAATGCTATAGCGGATTCTATACGATGGACGACGATTTTGGAGAACACCGTCAGGCGCTGGAAAATTTTTGACATCGCAACCATGCTTAACGTGGAAAGTACTTTCCTTCATAGCCAGCACAATCTCTTGAATCACATCATTTCCTCCCAAATCTACGCTAACCCCATCCATCAATTCCCTCCCTCTCCCATCCAAACACTGTCCATATCTGCCACGGCATCTAATCCCCTCTAGTCCTATCTCATCAATTACCCTTTCTTTCCGTCGAAGCAAGTGTCAGATCGCACAGAACCAATCGTTTTCTTTCCTTCCCCCTTCCCCCTCCCCCTCCCCCTCACCCCTCGCTGCTGCGCGCACTAATCCATTTCCATCAATTCCCCTTTCTCCCATCGAACCAGGGTCCAAACACGGGCATCCTCGCATCTGCCTACATCTTACCGCACTATCCCCTATCCATATTTTCCCCCCTTCTTACGTTGAATTGGGTGTCACATACCGCACCCACCCCCCAGGGCTTCTCAGCCAAGCAAATTACCGAGTAGCCACTATCCCCTTCCCATCAAATCCCGCCCATCTACCATCGAAGTAGGTACCTGCAGCATTATGGGGTTGCTCGGAGGTAAAGCATAGCCCCCCACCCCTCCATCTGAGCCGGTGCCCAACGAACTTGAGGATTCTGCCCGCGCACTCAGCCTTACCCATCCCCTTCCCAAAGCCTCCTTTCCATCAGCGGGATTGCACGGACAGACACGTGTCTACGATATTCTACGACACGGTTTCGCATCCTTCGCGTCTCCACTAGATCCTGATCGTTGGTTGGGAGGGAGTGCGTGGATTGTTCATGCGGCCCGGTTGAGGCCCGGCGGTTACGGGAGGGGAGGGGAGAGATCTTCAGGCTGTATTCTGGCGTGGAATAATAGGGAGGATTCCTACAGTTTCGTTTGGACGAGGGAGAAGGGGAAAGGGAAAAGGGGTGGGCGAGAGGTTGGTTAAGTTGTATGTTTTGTGTGTGTGCGTGCGTGGGTGTGCGTGTGCGTGGCAGGAGGGGGACTTGAAGCAAGGGAGAGGAAAGCTGCAAGAAGCACAAACACGGATTGGGGAAAGGGTTGTGTGAAAAGAGTTTCATTTTTCGATATGGTGGGGAAAGCTATGGATGAGCGTGCATGTGCAAACAAAGCAAGCGAATACCATCTCCGACCCCACTCTATCCATTTCTTCAGCTTCATCGTCTTCCCCTTCACACTTCTTCAGGATTCATAAATAGATACCCTTCTTCCTCCCCCCAACGAGGGCCAAGTCCAATCCATTAGCCAACCATCCACCACCCATCTTCCGCGACCTGCTCGTCCAGTCCAAAACAGAAATCTGAAACGGCATAACAGCAAGAAGTGTTGTATGAAAGGGCCGAAAAGCATCCCTATCCCTCCCTCTCCCCCCCTATGTCACGCCAAGATCGAAAGCTTCGTCCGTGTTTCAGGGCCGTGCTCATTCCTCATCGTCTTGTGCGTGGCATGACAATTACTTTGTCGTGGATAGGCGCCGAGTCCTCTCGTGCTGCTGCCTCACGTGCGTTTTGAGTCATTGATCATTGCTTCATATTGCATTAAAGAGATTGTGTCATTCATTCAGTACCAATAGCCATAACTAGGCTGCGCATAAGAATAGGCAGGCACAGGAGCCACACCCTGCGGCGCAATGGTGTAGTAATTCGGCTGCCGGTGGTGGTTGCTGGGGATGTGAGTCGACTGTGGGCGCTGGTGGTGTCGTGTGCTTTGAGAACGAGCTGGGGCCTTTCCCTTGGATTTCGGCGCAATTGGCTCATAGTCATCGTCGTGATGTCGCCGCGGGCTAGATGAGTGTGATGATTCGAGCTCGTGCTCTAAGTCGTTCTCCTTGTGCTGCCGCCGTGATGGGACGTAATAATGCTTATCGTAGCTCTCGATTGGCTTCGAAGACTGGAGGCGCAGACCACGCTCCATAGCTTTCAGTAAGTCTCGCACGGCGCTGCAGTCGGCTGGGATCTCGACCTGGATTCGCTTATGTTTCTGCTCGAGGTCGACCACAGAGAAGGCGAGGCCAGCTTTGTTGATCACATAGTCGGCGACGTCCTGGGCGCGACGAGTCCCTTTGGCGCATAGGCTGCCGCCTTTGAGATGGGTTTTGTATGGGTCAGAGCATTGGGTGCAATGGGCGGAATGTTTGGCAAAGGCTTTCATCACGTAGGCTTCATCGTCGCGTGGAAGGCGGGAGTAAGTCGCCTCCACCGGCGCGAAGCCCACTTGCCTTGAACTGGTTCGTCTGCCAGGCATTGTGGGAGAGCTGGGGGATTTCAATGCAGGTTTGATCTCGGCAACGGAGTACTTGGGCGATGCTGGTATGTACTCGTATGTTGCCGGCGGGGATGTTGGGATTGTATAATATTTGGTAGTCTTGTATGGAGACACTGTGGAAGATGATGAGGATTTATATGGAAAAGTGTTCGAGGCTGTATTTGCTTTTATCTGATGTAGTGTTTGATCTCGCGCCAGCAATGGGGTTGGTATTTTGGGTATGTCTCAGTGTTGTTGGTTTGGGTGGTGAGGCTTGATCGTTGAGGGAATGTTTCAAGAATGTTTGATGGCGAAGTCACCTGAAGCGCCAAGTGTAAAGGATTGAGGCAGTCAGAGACCAGTCGCAGTTGTAACAGATTCTTGAATGTTAAGGAGAGAAGGAAGCAATTGAGGAATGATGGAGTTAAGTAGAATGCGCAGTTGAGGATTGTTCACTTGCAAGCCTGATGCCTGTTGATCGAGAGCTGCCTAGCGTCGACTCATAGGCATCAATTGAGACGGCTTGACCTTTTAGTGTCCACGATGCACACCATTGCCGACTGGGGCTGCATACCCGTCCTGCTACTAAACCCATCCGAGAAGGCCTTTCACTCGTCAATTGCTGCCTGGCGGTGCCGCACTTTGTGGCTAGTTGCCAGGTGACATAAACGGCTCCTCTTCTAGTGTGGCTTTGCACTCAAACCCAGCAGTAAGACTGAAAACATCCCGGTAGACACAAGGGATGGGGGTCATTTTACGCGAGTGCTGCGGCCAGGAGTTCGAACTGCTTACCGTGGGCTCTGGTACTGACCTGCAGCCCCCCCAAAGCACGCGACGGGGGGAAATGAAAACGCCGCGATTATGACTCTGCCTCAGGATGGTTCCACAGTCGCGAAGTTCGTCCTGCATGAGGCTTATCCTGATGAGGGAATCGTGACTGATTATGTGGAGGCAGTGAGCCATTGAGGGTGGGGTAGACATCCATCGCGTCAGGCTAACTGCTAGGCGCAGCAGCGAAGTGGCTTTGCCGACATGGGTCTCTATTGGTCGTTCGGTAATTGACCGTGAGAGAGCAGATGCTCAAGCATATATCGTTGGTAGTATTCGCTTCTTTCGCGGGAAGGAACAATTGCTGATTTGATTTGCCGTGACGTAGCGAAAGGACTGTAGACCTTCAAGCTTGTGCACCGTCGTCGCCGACGATGCCAAGCCTCGGACGGAGATAAGCTAGCGTCAGTAAGTACGCTAGAGCCAGGTGAGCTTAGTGCATTTGGACTCGCTCTTTAGGATGGACGACCGACAGTCTATCTCGTGCAACTCTGCCTCTTCGAAGAGTCATTCTAGCCATGGCCACCGTGGCCTCCCTGTACGATCTTCTTATGAGGGTGTATCGTGACCTGTGACTGTTTGCATTGCAAGGCTCTACCTTGGCCAATCCGACCGATTGCTGACATCATGCCACGCTTACTCCCAGCTTGCAAGTGACAGCAGGCTGAAGGGTAGCACAGACCCCTTTCAGAATTGTCACAACGGGTTGTTGCATCGATGATAATGGAATACGTTGACACTACGAGGGGATACCTTCCGCCCTCTTAAACAGTCCCGCGATGCTGGAACATCAAGGCAGCAACAGGGTACAATCGCTCGCCAGCAGCCGCGCTCCGCAGTCACTGCACGTGGCAGGCGGCTACCACAACACTAAAGGGTATATTTCTCGGTGATAAATCTAACGACGCCTTGAATCACCAGAGGCCTCGTCTCGTCACCGATCGTATTCGTCAAGATTTCTCTATTCAGCAGGTAGATGCACTATGCTTAACCCCGAACGTCGGACATAAAGACTATTATCTCAGCAGGCTTCACCGCCAGGTTTGATGTGCAGATGTAAGTCGTATATGCAAGTAATAACAAGCCTTATATAATCCCTATACGCGACGTTCTACTAAACAGCTACTCCTTGAACTATCTTCCCCCTCCTTCACTGCCCTTTCAGCCTCATCTTCCTCCTCGCTTTCTCGCCACCACGATCTTACCTTTAAGAAAACCAATCAGGCATGCCCCAAAACAGAGCAGCCTGGCAGAACGCCCTCGCCACACCTCTTGTCATCCAACCAGCTCCCTACACCTCCCCCCATGCCTCCGAACTCGTGATCGCCAATCACGCAATCGCCGTCAACCCCGCCGACCACGTCCTCCAGACGGCCGGGCTGGACGCATTCGCCTACATCAGCTACCCCTTCATCTTCGGTGAGGACGTCGCAGGCACCGTGACCGAAGTCGGCAGTGCAGTCACGCGCTTCAAAGTCGGTGACCGCGTGCTCGCCATTTGCCTCGGCACCGTCACGAACAGAGCCTCAGAGGGCGCTTTTCAGGCGTATTCGATAGTCGCGGAACACATGACCTCCCCTATCCCAGAGTCTATGAAGTTTGAAGAAGCAGCTATCTTTCCCCTGGGGTTGACGACGGCCGCTTCTGGCCTTTTCCAGAAGGATAGGTTGGCACTGCAATATCCATCTGCCCATGCCGAACCAACGGGTCAGGCTTTGCTTATCTGGGGTGGCGCGAGTAGTGTAGGCTGCAACGCCATTCAATTAGCCGTCGCGGCAGGCTATGAGGTCTTTGTCACCGCTTCCCCATCCAACTTCGACCTGGTCGAAAGGCTTGGCGCAAGTCAGGTCTTCGACTATCACAGCTCTAGCGTCGTCGACGACATCGTTGCCACTCTCAAGGACAAGATGATCGCTGGCGCTCTCAACGCCGCTCCCGGCGGCACCGAACCCTGTCTGACCATTCTCGAGAGATCTAAAGGCAATAAATTCCTGGCAACGGCTTCTCTGCCCAAGCCTGAGATTTTGCCAGAGGGTGTGAAGGTGGAATTCGTCCAGTCTACGAATATCAGGGACACGGAGGTGAGTAAAGTCGTCTTTGAGGATTTCCTGCCCGAGGCGCTGGCGCAAGGGAAATTCGTGGCGGCGCCGGAACCGAGGGTTGTTGGTCATGGCCTCGAGTTCGTGCAAGAGGCGCTGGATGTTTTGAAGAAGGGTGTCTCTGCCAGTAAGCTGGTCGTCACCCTCTAAGATCTAGAATACAGCATGGCTGTCACATGAGCTACAAAGCGTGGCTCTAAAGGGCAAGAAATGTTCTCATCAAAATAGTCTCCGTATTCGCGAGACATGATATATCATCGGATTCATACACCTCTGCTCCAGAATCTTCATTTTTTCCACAGAAGGCCAACATCGCAGACCCCAACAGCTCATGATGATGGTTCAAACAATGGAATACCTGCAGTCGCGCGAAACGCTCTTTAAAGCCCAGCCCCAACTTACTCCCTCCCTCCATCTTCTCTTCTCCCGTACTCACAACGATTACGAAATCATCACGAATCGTATTTCACTAATCGAAGATAAGTGATCTAAAACGCTGCGATCCTCTCCTCCATGGCGTAGCACCCGCTCTCTCCTCTCTCCCCCTTCCCTCCCCTTGCCTATCGCAAACTAAGCGATAAAGAATCAATCTTTCTTTTAAAACGCAACACGTCTGCTCGTGTGTGTTTTAGCAGCGTTAGAGGGCTGTGGGTGTTGTTTTGTGAAACTTGGGTTGGAAGTTGATGGATGGGAGGGTTAGGGAGGGGAATGTTGGTGCTGAAGGATGCGGGAGGGGCGTAGAATTGATGGATGGATGGATGGAACGAGGCTTTGATGGAGGATTGACACTTGCAAGTAGGAAGGACAACAATGTGGAATAGATATAACATTGTTGCAAGTATGCGGCTCGCTTGGATAGAGGCATACTTGTCCTATCTCACTGAACGGATTTCGCAGCCGCCGACCTGCCCACCACCACCCTCCCTCCTCCAACCCCTCAGACCTTATAAAAGCAAAACCCCTGATAAAACCCCACAGCCTCCCACTCCTCCTCGCTCAGCAACAACTCCCCCCATCTTTGCCCCTCACCCCCATCCGTTCGCTCAGCGGCCCAAAGACCCGACTGTGGCTCTCATCCTCCCAGATCTGATGGAAGCCCCTCCTCCATTGTAGTTCGAGGTTGTAGTCTTCGGCGATGTGGCGGAAGGCTTCCCAGGGCACGACGTATTCTGGCACCGTGTCAACCGCCTCTGCGAGGAAGAAGCTGTATTTCCACCCGTAGGTGCCCCGGAAGAGCCCGTCGGAAGGCGGAAAATTGGAGAAGTGGACGCGGTAGAGGGGGTTGGACCATTCGGGCGTTGGAGAGGGAGTGAGGTTGGAGTCGTCTGTTGATGGTTGCTCGGGTGGTACCTCTTTTGTGGAAGTGGGTTGGGGAGGGGGATCTTCGGTGGAAGGGAGAGGTTGAGAGCTCGAAGGATCGGTGCCGTTTGGGGCTAAGGAGTCCGGTGGGGGCATGTCGGGGGCGGGCTCTGTGATGTTGTTGAGTGCTTGTGAGGCCACTGTAGGATCGTCTGGTGGTTCTTTGGTAGTGTGATGGCCGTTCACTGCAGGCTCTTTCTTCTCGTTTCTCTCCTGTGTTTCGCCAGACTGTTTTTTATCGCTCTGCTTCTTGTACCAATCCACGACCCCCTTCTTCAACTCATCACTGTTCGGTATGACCCCAACAAATCTTCCTCCCTTCTTCAGCGAACTAGCCACGTTTGCGAGCATACCCCTCGCCTTCGCCTCATTCTCAAACGCGTAATGCATGCAGAACATCATGCTCACCACGTCGAATCCGCCTGAAGGTCCCCATCGCGAGCCTGGCCCAAACCCAATTTGCTGGATGATAGGTAGATCGCCCAGAGAATTTGTAAAAGCGTCATCAACGATGAAGAAAGCATCAAACGTTCTCTTCCTGTCCCCACCGTGATAGCCCCCTCTGCCTCCTCTCCCACCTCTCCCTCCACCTCCACCTCGCATCTGTGCATACCGTTCTCTTGCCTGCTCGATTGAAACCTCCGCTGGATCGACGCCAACATAACATCCAACCGGCTGAGGCGACTGAGCCCATTTCCCCAGGTCCCCACCTTTTCCACACCCCACATCAAGAACATTCAAGGGAGCTTCTCTCCCATGATCACGGCCATCATCGTCTTCTTCACGAGGCGCGAATTTGTGTATGATCGTGCTCTTTACCCAATTGTTGAAGCTCCGCAATCCTTTGATCGTGCTCTCTGTCTTTCTCCATTCTCTGCCTCTCTGTGGAACAGCATTGTAATGCTGACGAACGACCTCTTCATTGCCTCGGGCGGTTTTGGCGAAGGAATTGGCTTCGGCTTCTCGCGCTGCTTGGCGGGCCTGGATCTGGTTTGCTTGGGACTGAGGAACACGAGAGGAAGCTCCGGGGCGCTTGCGAGGGTGGGATACAGGAGTTTCGTTCTTGATGTCTCTGAGTGGACGTTTGAGGGGTGGTTGAGATGTGGTAGGAGACGGGGAACGAGGACGTTTCGGGGGGCGGGGAGAGGACATTGTTGTTGTTACTTGAGGCGATTGATGGAGAGGTAAGGGTACAGCGATATACTTAATAGATGTTTTGATTGTGGACTGTTCGATCTCGCTGCAAGTCGTTCATGATGTTGGGAAGAGTAGGACGGACATGTAAGAACGACCTACCAAGGCCACGTGATATTCAAAGGGCCCGGGATCTTCCGCCCAGGGACGAAGCGCCTACAACGGCAACCTTAACTTGTCATCCTTTAGGGCTGGGTCTAATGACCACTTGCCTCTATCACACCATTGCTTCACGGCGCCATTACTTTCCGGGCAGGAGTCACAATTCTGACTTTGCCTAGTTGTGTTTGTCTCTATGGCCTGAAATCCCCAGTCGTCGACGATTCCACACCTAGAAGCTTGACAATCTCACGACAAGCTCGAATTTCATGGCAATAAATCCGGCAAATAGAAGTGGCAAGACCGTTTTTGAGCTGAGTTTTACTTCACTTTCTAATCTCCTGCGAGGTCAATTGAAGCACTAAGATTGGGCTACATTCTATGGCATGATAGGGAAATCTGTCCCTCCATGTGACGAGGCATCAGTAGAGGTAAATTTCGTATCTTGAATCTTTGAACTTTGCCGGGCCATTTATTAGTAGGTCTATGCGTCTGAAATCTACGGAACTTGGAGAACAATGGCATCCCCAGAAAAATGATCATTCGACACTGCTTGCTGCCGCTTGCGGCGATGGCGAGATAGCAGCTGAAGATGCAAGTTAAGTGCAGCCGATAAAATTCACTCTTTCAAGTGTGACCACACCCATTAGCTAGCCTTTCCTGGCAGCGATGCGCGGACCATTGCTACAAGATCTTCACAATCCTTGTCATTCTTGAAATGAGGCGCTGCTACTTTACAGTCAAATCGTGTTACATACGAATTCGAGGAATATGGCATCCATAAGTTGCTTCTTGGCCTGTGTGTAAGATGACATTCAGAAGTCAATCAGAATGTTGTATTTCACACTTTTTTGCAATCTCGTCTCTTGCAAAGACCTATGGCTCCTACCGCAGATGTCGGGCTTCTGCTTCGGACACGACCCTTCGTGTCAGCATATTCCTTGCTGCAGTTTTGGAAGAAGACGTCAGACACAAGAGCGCTCGCAGCGACCTGTTGTGGCTATCTTGATATTTCCCGGGAAGTGTAATTACACCAAGAACCGTGCCAAGCCAACCTATCACGCGAACGTGTTGATTCACTCTCTTGGCTTACGTGAAAATTCCTAATGAAAGAGGCAAAAGCGGGGAATTACACCACCCTTCACCCAAATGTCGGAAAGTGATTGGATTCCTTATCATCGTGTTCCCATCCGATCGCACCCACGGCTACCTCTAATGAGGGAGGTGTTGCCGGGCTAGAGCTCCATCCCTCATCTTAACACCTGATGGGATACCAGCCCCCCCATCCCTCAAAAAATGCTCTGGTGTCTTCTTTTCTCGTTCAATCATCTCATCCAAAGGTCATCGACAAAATGATTGAGGGCACGACAAAGGCATTGGTCATTGCGCTTGGTGCAGTATTTGCTACAATCCCGATCGTAGGGGCTTCACTGCGCTTCTATGCTCGTCACTTAATCCGCGCCCGCTGCGCACCGGATGATTTCCTGGTCATACCTGCAGCTGTAAGTCGACAGAACAGAGATCGAGCTATACGATTGACTGACAGCTCGAAGCTTTCTGCCTTTGCAAGCGCGATATGCCTCCTGATTAGTACTTTCATTTATCGTCTGGCTTGCAACATTCACTAATAAGCACAGTTGGCGCGTGTGTGAGCGAGCTTGACAGGCATCATCGTCAAGTCAAAGATGCTAACGGCAATTTCCATCACGATCATGGACTGATCATCTACGAAAAGGTGCGAAGAGAATCATGGACGGAAGTTTCTGACTGACACGCTTCAATAGTGCAGGGTGGCCATCCAAATCTGCTCAGTCACCGCCGTGGGCCTCTCAAAGCTTAGTGTCGTGGTCCTTTTTGGACGCATATTCAGCGCAAGGCAATGGTTTCGTTTCACGGTTTACGGCTTCACAGCTCTTCTTGCATCTTGGACGGTCGCATTCTTTTTCGCACTACTCCTCCAGTGCATACCAATATCAATCTTTTGGACACGCTTCGAGTGGGAATACAAACCTTACTGTGTGGATAGCATCTCGCTTTACTACGCCTACACAGTCACGGATGCTATCACAGATTGTTTCGTTTGGATACTCCCTCTTCCAATCCTTTGGCACCTTCAATTGCCTAACAAACAGAAAATTGCTGTAGCAGGAATGTTCTTACTTGGAGCTACGTACGCGCCATGTCCTTTGCTTGTTGTCAACGAATTGCTGATGGCAAAGCTAGGATCATTGCAATATCCTGGACTCGCTTGGCCATCTTTTTCAGTGTCGGACATGCACTTCAGCTGCATCCGTATGACTATGTTTGTAAGTGACCTGCGACCCCAGCATTTGGTTTAGTCAACAGACTCCATATGACAGGACGTGCACAATGCTGACGAGGCTCAGACTACAACACCTCAGCGATCTACTGGTCGGTGATCGAGTCCTCACTCTCCGTCCTCTGCGCCTGCCTCCCAGTGTTACGACCTATATTCAACCCCAAAGCGGTCCGCGCTCGCTCGAACAGGCACACAAACACCTATCTTTCAGAACCAGAAAGCCCAGCTGTTCCAGGGTGGAGACGTCTTTCCAGAAAATTCGAGATCCCGGAGGAAGATTCTGTACACTCAGGGACTAAGTTGGGGATGCAAGATGCCTTGATTGGCGTTGGTGTCAACGGACTATTCGACGGTAGGAGGAGCATGGGCGACGAGATTGAAAATAGGACAGGGTGTCCGAGGATGGGTGTTGATACAAAAGTTGAGGCCATTCCGCTGCACGACATCGTGCATGAGCAGGTCAGGAGGCCAGATGGGATCTGGGTGCGAAGTGAGGTTGTGAGAAGCGAGAGCCAGAGGCGTATTGGAGATTGCCCCGTGGGCATCGCTGTCTAACTTGGATACAGCGGTTACGAGGGAACTTTTGAGTAAGGAGTAAAAGCGGAGGTTGGCCTCAGAAAAGTATGAAAGCGTGCCGAAGGATCTGCACGTGGTTAAACAGAGGGTATACGGATGACATCTGGCCTCTTTTGAATACATAATGTCTATACGGTGATGACGAAGTTGGTACTAGCATCATATAGGAAATTGGCACCACGAATGTGCATTAAGAATTATATCATAAAGAGAGCTGTTTCAGAGACATGGACAATTTCAACAACATGGCTTCGCTCAAAATGCATACCATATCCAATCCAAACCCAACAAGCTCCACGCTTAGATCAACTCCAAGTCAAATCAAGATTCCTATCCAGCACTTCTCACGACGCTCTGCTCCGCGCCCCGCTTCTTCATACCCTTCACGTTAAAGACCTGCTTCAGCCTCTTCAACCTAGCCCATCTCTCCTCATCCCTCTTCTTCTCCTCCTCGACACTCACACCCTGACTCATCACGCTCGCGCCATCAACATCCCCACTCTCCTCCCTACCCACCCCATTCACCCCTGCTCTAGCCTCCCCTCGTTCACTTTCTCGCTCACTCGCCTCCTCCCTCCACCTCTTCGCCGAATTCCTCACCGCTCTGACAAGTATCTCCCACCCGGCCAACGAATCCAACGATGTCCTCCTCCCTCCTCCATTCTGCGAGATAGCATTGACCCAAGGACAGTAATCTCTGTGCTCATCAACCACATCAAGGCGTGCCATGCTTGCTTCTCTCCCCACATCACCCTCCCCGCCCCCGCCGTCAGCGGGACCTTTGAACAGCCACAGTCCAAGCCGGCGGAAACAAGCCGTACATGTCGCCAGGCCGGAGATGTGGCCGTCTTCCTCTGCCTGCCATCCACACAAAGCGAGCGTGAGCGCTGATGTATTGACTTGCTCCGCTTCTGCAGCTGCACCGTCCACCGCCGTAGCGTTAGTATTGGATGATGGGAGTACGGCTGGTCTGCACCACTCCCCCAGCTTAGCCAGATCAAGGCTGTCCGGCGTAGACATCATCTCTGGCAACTCGGCCGCCATCTTGATCAGCGACTGATACCTCGTCCGCAGCCCCTCGAGCGCAATGGTGGGGTTGATGACCGGTAACCTGTGGATCGTATCATCGCACCCGCGTCGCCTCCAGAGACAACTTCCTTCGTGCGCTGTAGCCATCATCTCCGCATATTTCTCAACAAGCACTTTCTGCGCGTCTTCTCTCCACGTCTCCTCATCTTCCTCCCCCTCCCTTCCTTCATCCTCCCCATCCTCCCCCTTCCCCTCACCTACATCCCCCTCTTCTCGCCCACCCCTCACCGCCCCCTCAAGACTAACAACAACCTCCCCCTCACAACCCCCTAAACACCTCACCCTCTCCCTCCCCACACAACTCCACCCCCGCTTCGCCCACTCCACCTCCCCAACCCCCTCAGGTTTCGCCGCCCATTTGTCCACGAACCTGAACGTTTTCAATCGCTGCAGGAACTGCTCGCGATCCCAGGGCGCGAAGTTTGGTTTTCCCCTCCCCTCCTTCCCCTCCTTTCCTTCCCTTTCGAACTTTTCACCGACTCCGTTGACCCGAGGCGCAGTTGGTGGTAGAACAATAACAGAGGATGGACGCGTCGGCGACGAGCGCGATATGATGGTGCGCTGGCTTGGAGGGATGTAAGAGGAGCGAGGACGGGTGAAGTCGAGACGGGCGCGTTTGGAGGGTTGGGAGGGTAGGGTGGTGGTGGAGTTGTTTGTTGTGTTTGTGGTGGTAGTGGTGGAGGAGGGGAGCGGGGAGGACGCGGCGGAGGAGATAGAGTCAAGGAGTTTGTGGAATTTGCGCTTTGTGGTTGCTAGGGCGGGTGTGGGCATGGTGGTTGCGCTCGTCCTGGGGTGAAGATGGGTAGAATACCCTCCAACATCAAGCTCTCGGTAAAATAGTTTTTCCGCTCCGATATTTCACGAGGCTACGATATTTTGGCAACTCGAAAACATCAGCTACGCCTGAAAGCTACTTCGCATAGTTCATCATATGTAGGACTCTGAGAGTCATCTCACCTATGTGAGTAGGAGATCGGAAAAAAGCTTGACTATAGGAGACATTCAAAAGGCACCCTCAGGATCCACCACTTTTGTCTTCAGCTAAGCGTACGAAAACAATCAGTCTTTCGATTTTCCCAGGGATCTCATGTCTGTCCACTGATTATACTCGATTTTATGTTAATCTGCCACCGAATCCTTGCAATGAGACAGGTTTGACAGAATCATGGCACCGTATGTGTATGAACCAGTAGGCGATGTACGTATTTTCTACCGCATCCTGGGGAGAAATTGACGATTTGACCAAATAGCCCAAAAATATCCGTCTTCTGAAATTGTCGTCCGGGCGGCATTCTGATCCGATCCAATGTTCCCTTATCGAGACCCCCTATCCGATTGCCCTTACTACGAGGCCCTTTCTTATGTTTGGGGAGACGCCAAGGACAAGCGAATAATTTATTGTGATGGAAGAGAAATCTGCATTACAGTAAATCTCTACATGTTTCTTGAGACCATAAGGCTTCCTGGGAATTCCCAGCTGGTTTGGGCGGATGCTGTCTGCATTGACCAGCAGAATCTTGGCGAACGCGATCAGCAAGTCAAACTTATGGGAAGTATATATTCCCAAGCTCAGATGGTGTTAATTTGGCTAGGTCCAAATGATCATGAGGATACTGAGCGAGCAAGAGCTTTGATAGATCATATGACCACCTACAGGATGCGCGATCAAGAGACGCCTCCTACACTTCAAGAGGCCCGTGATTATTTCACGATGATTGAGCGCCCCTTGTGGAATGCCTTTGCCGGAATCCTTCGTCGGCCTTGGTTTGAACGAGTGTGGGTGATTCAGGAGGCCGCAAATGCTTCGAAGGGTCTGTTCATTGTCGGTGATCAAACGTTTTTGCTTGATGAGTTTTACTTGGCCGCAGACACTCTCTTACATTATCACCTGGGAGGGCTTCTTCAATTTGAAGGGCCAATTCAAGGCCCAGAATCACTGGTCTGCATGAACCACATTAAAAGGCATATCTTGACTGAAAGCGAGCATGAATTACTCGGAGCACTAATTCTCACACGACCATTCAATGCTACAAACCCAAAGGACAAATTATTCGGTATCTTGGGGCTTATCCACGATGGGTCTGTTCCAGGACTGCAGGTCGACAATTCGATGAGTGTTACACAGATCTATCAAAATATAAGTCTATATTTTCTCTTTTCGGTTGGCAGCCTGAGGATCTTATCAAGCGTGTGTACCGTGCCGCAAAACCATCCCATTCAGACTCCAAGTTGGGTCCCCAATTGGAGCTTCAAAGGGGAAGGAGGCTCATACACACGGAACAAACATTACTACCGTGCAACGAGAAACACTAAACCAGAAATTTGGGCCTCCTCCGCCGACAACAACCTGGTGTTGAAAGGAAATTTCGTTGACAAAGTCAATCGTTTCAGTCTCTTTCAGAACCTCACCCCACCCACACTCACCGCCGAAGATGGAAACATAGATTTTGCCGGGCCTCTCATACTACAAAAGGCCCAACGAATAAATCAATATTATGTCTTAGCGTTGGGAAACACAGATGGACTGTCGGAGATCTCGTCGGGAGCCTATGACAATTTTTTACGTACTCTGATCTGCAATAGAACAATGGAAGGAATAGAGCCGACTCCGGCTTTCATAGCTCGGGTGCAATCATTTGTACAGAACACTCAATCCCTCCTGCTTCTCGACGACTGGACAGAATGGTATCGATATCTCTAAAAAGAGGAAGCAGAGGCAATATCAGAAGTAGAGCGCTTGATCGATGGTCTTGTTGGTATGAAAAGCTTCTGTGTTACAGACTCTGGACATTTTGGTTGGATACCAGGCTCTGCTCGGGCGGGAGACGAGATTGTTTTATTTCATGGATCGGATGTCCCCTTTGTTGTTCGAGCCATGGATGAATGTGCTACTGACTGTCTTGGTAAAACCACGCGCTATCAAGTTCTTGGAGAATGCTATGTTCATGGAATCATGAAGGGCGAAGCAATGCAACAGGGCCGGTCGGAAATGATTGTACTCTGCTGAAAGAAAGCTGATGAATACAAAGACAGAAGGAGGCATGCTGCCTCGACTTTCTTACCTCATCAGATTTTGAGCTCTGCTAAATGGGCGGGATATAAAGGCGAATTAGGCGACGATCAATCGCTTATTGAGTCGATCAAGGACAATCAGGAGTAAAAATCTAGTACGCGAAGACATGCTGCTATCAAATGCCTTTTGTTGTCGATAATTCTAGGAAGCCGAATGTCAAGACTTCGACCCACAGCAACATAATGATCAAAGGTTTCACGTACCTCATCAACACTACACGTAGAAAGGTCTACAATTGGCACACTTTTGAAAAGGCTTACCGCTGCTTTTCAAAGCAGAGTTGAAACATTTGCGCAAGCTACCAGCGGATGATAGTCGATAGACCAACTTCGACTTACTTCTTATACCCTGTACAAAAACGTGGAGGAAGAGCTCGATTCCCTTTGACCTGACCGGTCAATTTTTTTCATTTTCGATTTCCCAGCTACAAAGCCGGCGTGATAGCAATGGAGATGATTACTTGCAGCCGAGAACCTATGTGAAGCAGCATATTGATGGCGGTAGAAGGTAGAAATGATGTGCCTTGTCCCACTTTCCTTGGCATTATATAACATTCGAAGCAAAACACTACCAAAACTCTCGATATAGTTTGTGATTTATGGTAGAATGATTACGTCAATAAGAAATTCGCCGCAAATTTTATGCACTATAATGGTTGAACCTTTTGGCTATCTGTACAAGTACCAAAACTCCAATCTGTGTGCCGGCTGGGAATGAAGTTGATTGTATATTGTATATGCACAGAACATGAACACTTCATAGTAGCGCACAGCTAGGTGAAGAACGATGCTCTAATTCTCTTTTTGCTGTTGCATTGCTTTTCGGTGTCATAATCCCACCGTGAGCTAATCTCGTTCTGATCACTTTGGTCCTTGCGAATAAGCTTGATGTTTATCAAGTCTTCTCTTCTTCATTGGTGCCAAGATGGGCGATATGGATGGGGTTGGTGGGAAGGTTTCTATTCCCATCGGGTCGAGTGGGGCTAGGTCATATTGGAAAGCAGATTGGTTTAAGAATGCTGAGGGTTTATAGGGTTCCAATCTAACGAATTATCAATAGTCAGTATTTGGTAGAGTTCCATCGAATGAGTAGCATCAAGAGCTTTCGATCATATGGATAGCCCTACCTCCAAATGTGGACACTGCCATCTTCGTGCCCAGAAGCAAAGTGTCCACCGTCGCTACTAGCCGCAACATCGGTAACTGTTTGAGTGCAGCAGGTCAGTCACATGAGTGGTGTCATTTTTTAGAGCCACGGCTGAGCGTGCCCAGGGTGAGCGAAGACTATAGCTTACCTCTCTCTGTCTCACATTGTACGAGCGTAATAACTTTGCCGGTCCGTGCTTTCCAAAGCTGGGTTGTGCCGTCAATTGAACCACTTAGTACTAGCTCTTCGTGTAATGGAACGACAGAAGTAACTGAATCCTGTTTATTTTTGAATGGTGTTATGATTTTTCGGGTGAAAGTGTAGATTCTCAATGACATACCTTGTGTCCTCTGAAAGTCAGCTTACTTTTTTCAGAGAAATTACTTCCTTTGGGGGAACAATTCCAAACCTCGACCGTCCCGTCCGAACACGCGGCAAGAATCTCTTTCCCTGTGATGCTGAATGATACTTTATTGATGACACGTTGTGGGATACGCCAAAGCCCTGAAATCTTGATGTCTTCAGCAGTTGCAATTTTTGCGGACAATATCCCATTTTCAACACCCCACACGTAGATGCCGCATTCACTTCCCCCAGCAATGACATGTTGACCGTCGGGAGCGAAAGCAACAGAGACTAATGGTCCATCTGCGACCAGTATATGCTTCACATATCTCATGCTCTTAGTCCAGATGCGAACTGTCCAGTCATTGCTTGCGCTAGCCACTATATCATCAGCAGCATACCATTGCAGAGCCTGTACGCGCCTCTTGTGTCCTTTGAATTGGTCGGACAATTCCAAAAGGGTACTCCATTTGAATCCCACTGCTATAATAATCTCAGTATCTCTTCAAACGAGTTAAGAAGCACTTGTTACCTCAATTGAACTACTGTCTCCCCCAGTCGGTAGTCTATCAGAGTACGACACGAAACACACAGCCCTCACACAGTCTGTCAAGCTTGAATCCTTATGCTTATATTGGACAAAATGCTTTAGCGATCCATTCATGGTATTGAGAACAGCAAGTCTGTCAGTGGTCGCAACGGCAAGCAGGGTGCCAACTGGATTAAAACATATTGAGGTCACTTCTTCACCAGGTTTCGAAAATATTGGACTTGATTCAAGCGAGATTGCTAGTGATCGAGGAACCGTAGGATTATGCACAGCTTTCCACGTGAGGCCGTCGCTCATTCCTATCTGTTTATGACTTGGGTCGATATCCTCTATAGCTAAGCCTGCCAAGTTCCATCCTAATCTGATAGTATCCTCGATCTCTGGTTGGATAATTGAAGTCAGTGCCAGTAAGTCTTCATGCGTATGGTATCGTTTAGAATGCGCCTTGAGCTGCGCTCGTGTCTTGAAGACCCATCCACTCAAGCCGCACTCTGATTCTGTGCACCGAAACCGTGGATTGTGGCTTTCTTCGTGCTGCTGCCGAAGCTGTACAGAATCAAACCCCTGTTTCGAACGTTGGCAGCCTTGATATCTACAAAGGAAGGAGCCCGTGCGATGGCGCACTTGAAATTTTTGTAGTGCTGAATCCGATAGACCATGTGTACTCATCAGATCCTCTACATAGCGTTGATAATGCTCTCGCATTCTGGAAAATAGCGTAGGATCCTCCACGTCAGCGACATTGGCGGATGAATGATTCTTTGAGACAGCCTCGCGATAATTTGCCAAAGCCTGGAGAAGGTAGATTGAGGTCGCGGATAGATTAAGTGAGACTAATGAGCTGTGGTTCAAAGCCAACCCTTCGTAATCATTTACTTCTGAGCAGTCTGTGCACGCCCTTTGCATCTGCAGGTGTATGCGACAGAGGTCGTCAGTAAAACGCGCGAGAGTAGAATGCCCTTGTGCATGAGCACTGTTTTGACATAGACCATGAGCTATTCCCATCAGATGCACAAGGAAATAGTCATTAGCATAGAGGTGAAGCTCATGAAATCCGTTGAGGACGTTTGCTCGTATGTCTTTGTCCGGTAATCGAGGATCCACAAGCTCAAAGCTCGAAATCAACGACAAGACACATGAAACAGATATGGATATCTCAGCGTGAATCGGCTGCAAGGGAGATTGTGAGGGAAAGGCTCTTAAGTATCTAGTATGCCAGTCAGCGAACGGGTTGTCTTGTTTGGGAGACTAGAGAGACATACTCTAGAACTGTAAAATGAACGAAGCTCACAAGGCCAGAACGGTCGTCTTCGACCTCAATCAGAGGCTGACACAAGCTCAGAACATCGCCACGAGCTTTGGAAGATGATGACAAGGATGGTCTGTGCTCGTCAAGCGCGATCCCACTTTCTAATTCCGCCCTTCTCAACGGACGGCGAGCAACTAGAAGCCACTGAAGGATGCGAGTCGCAACTTTTTGCTGAGGGTTTCTGCCGATGCCACAAATTCGTGTGATTATTCTTTCATATCTGGAGTATTATCAACTCTGCTAAGGGGTACCAAGTGTGACTCGAGATTTACATTGCCTCTAATCCTTCAGGGAAATGCTCCACTATATCCTGTAGATCCTGATCGAAGTGCAGGCTTTCAACGGTAAACAAGATCAATTTCACCCAAAGAAACATGAGATTGGCTTTGTCCAGGATTTGCCGCTGTAGCTCATCAACAAGACTACCATTAAATCTCTCACGTAGTTGACCCAGGCTCGAGCCAACGAACGCCGAGATCGACGCGTTCACATCATCGGCGTGGTCTTCTAAGCGCATCGCCTCTTTGACGCCCAGCTTGGCTGATATCATAGAGAGTCTCCTACTTGCGATGAGTATTTTGAATCGAGTGGTAGTTTTCAAACTCAATAATTCGTCAATGACTTCCGCTGCCTCGTCTTGAGGCCATTCATCAACGCCATCAACAATAAGACGAACTGACTCAAGAGAATCTAACAATGTGCTAATAATCTCTTTCAGTGCTTTCCTTGATGGCTTTAAGCCATTGCTTGCAAATGTCTCCAACACAAAGGGTGCCAGGTTGGTGTTTGCGGCCAATAGTTGAGTACTGATGCTTCCCAAGACTTCCGTAATTGCATTGGGAGGTGGGTTGTGGTGGCAGAAGTAGAAAGCGACCGTCATACCTGCCTTAGCCTGAATGTTCTCAATGACTTTGGCACATAATACGCTTTTGCCTATAAATATGTCAATCATGGTCATGTAGAGATTTCTGAAGGTTGAGGACACTTTAAAAAGCTGGTGCGACTCTCTAGTGGAAGTCCTAGGTATGTGTGCTGCTTACCAAGTCCTGGTTTTCCATTGATCCAGAGAAAAGGGCAACCTCTGCTCGATCCGATCCACTGTAAAATCTTTGGGTCATGGAGAGCCCAATGAGCCTCGCATGTACCTTTACCAATTCTTGTTAACACGTCTTCAGGTATCTCTGTGGCCCCAAGCCAAGCCATCGTTTCTCGTATGTGCGTATTTAATCGATTCCTCTCCTCTTTGTCAATCTCATCTGCGCGCTGAGCGCGCCAAGATGATATTATATCAAGTTGCGAAGTCCTGAAAGCTCTGCTTTCAGCAATGTTGATCGCATTGGCTTCGGAATCAATGAGATTTCGATGTTTTCGAAGATTTTCAAGGATTCCCAAAAATCTGAAATTGAACGTCTTCCAAAGCGAACCGAAGACCATGGTCCAAGCACGTCTACGGAAGAACTTGTATGCTCGTCGATGGAATTCCAGAATGTCGGCGTAGAAAAGCCCAATCACGTGCTGGAATGCGGGCTCATCTCTCAACGCTGCAGACAATCTATCAAAGCGAGGCATAGCATCTCCAATCATGGCATAAGCGTCAATCAGACTTTCGAGCGCTGATATATACCCAAGTGCTACCTGCAGAAACAATTTTATCGGCGCCCACAGAAAGGGAAGATATGGTGTCTGGTTGCAAAGAACTGCTACTACATTTGAGTACTGCTCAATCCCAGTAAGGAAGGGCCGAATCCGGTTGAATCCTCTCAAAGACCTTCGTTGTTCGAGCTGACGCTCAATGTGCTTGGCCGCATCCCAGACATCTTTCATCGTCGTTGAGTGAAAGGTGCGTGCATCATCTTCATCGATCTGATCCTTCAACCTTCTGAATGCGAGCTCAAAAGATGCCGGAAGGTGCATCTGTTGAGCCATGAGGTCTCAACTTTACTCGAACACTCAATCTCTTCATCAGTGATCAAACCAAACGCTCTGGTGTGATAGTCTCCTCGGTAGTCAAAAATCGGTTTGAAATCAGAAAACCTCTGTTTACTCATGTATGACATGTACTTCCCCAAGATGAAGCGATACGCATCGCCTACATCCTAAGCCACTCATGCACTCAGCCTCCACTAGGGCTTGGGCCCTACAGAGGCTGTGCGTAGCCTATCGCACGACATGTTCGCGAATCCAGCCCCATGAAAAGTCTTTCTGACCTGTAGATCTTGTAAGTCAACATTCAATTCAATAATCAAAGTAACGCCAAATCATGACTCGACTTGTATGGGCAATTATTGGTCTCCTTGCTTCGGACTCAAGACTTCATTATCAACCCACAAGCGGAGATCTCCACAAGTTATCGGAAGCGATCCGCGTGCCACGAAGAGACTCTTATGAAACAATGTACCAAGACTTTCGGCCTGGGAACGCGATTGAAAGTTGAAATAAACCTGTTCAGAACCCAATTTTCCAATTAGTAAGGTAGAGGCTTATGCTTCTGGGCGGGAAATAGGCGCCAATGCCCGGGTCCCCAATCGATAAGGTAGAGAGAGCTTTGGGGAGCTCCCGGGCCGATATTCGCGTCTGATGAAAAAGGCGTCGAGGACAGAAACATCATCCCGGCTCAGAGCGTTACGCAGTGAAGATTCTTACCCTATCAGTAGAGGCTTATATAGGGAGTCGCGGAACCTCAGATATTATCTGCACTTTCTAATAATCGATGAAGATCGATGAAGATACCAGCACTCCTGGCAGATATTGGCTGTGTAAGCTCGTTCTTTGGCTTTACGCATCTCATTTCGCGCTCGTGAACGGCATGAAAAAGATTCAAGCAAATGGACGGTTGGGAAAGAGCTTCTGATCTATACCACTTGTGTCTCGCAGTTTCTCCTCATCGTCGTAATCGTCCCTAAAGGCGACTGTCGCTATGGGAGAGCAGTATGACCCCATACTGATCAATGATGACCATGGTCCTCGATCTCCAAGCGCGAATTCCGAGATCTGCTTCGGCATGGTAAGCACCTGCGTCTTGAACCTTATGCATGTGAATGACGAAGACTTTGCAGCTGGAGAACATCCCCGTGACTCACGTACAGCTTACGACAACGACAATCTCATTACGCCGCTTTCCGGTGTCACTGACTCATTGCCCTGACTTGACCGAGTCCACAAATAGCGTAGAACGTCAGAAGACTGTGATTGGCAAAGTCAGTGCCCGATACTCACAACTTTTTGAATTGATCAAAATGAAATGGTCGGTTGATTTGCAGGCCTACTTGACTACCAGTGCGCCTCAAGTTCTTGAAAGACAACGGCGTAAACGGAAGAGAGAGCTCGGGTGCAGCAGTGAGATTTGCCTCTCAGTGATACTCTACGGTTCAATATCGATTTTTGACGAACTTGGGGATTGTCTCTTACGACTTTCTGAGTGGCTCCAAGCTCCAGTTGGCTGCGATAGAAATGTACGGTACCGAAATCCACAGAGCCTCTGCGGGAAGGATCCAAACGCCCCCAAAACACTCGAAATATGCCATAGTGACCGCAGTGGCCACATCACGACACTTGAAGCTGGTAGAGATCCGTCTTCCCTCCTAGAATCATGCGAACTCCTTAGTGAGGCAACAGTTCCGAGACCCATTCGAACGAATATGTATAGGCGAGTCTGGAAGTCATTCTAATGCAACGTTCATAGTTACTGACGCCACGAAGCCATCAAAAACAAGCTCTTCATTTTATGCAGAGGCTCGAGAAAGGCGGAGTCAACAATCATGGTAGTATCAAATCCCAGCCTTCATTCCTAGGTACATTCAATGATGCCACAAAGTGAGTGGCTACCCCTGGGCCCACCGAAAGAAAGCACAAATACTCAAGCGGAATATAGCTACGAGAAACCAGAGCAAGGACAATCGGCTCATAGCTATACCGCAGAGCCAGTAGGTGGAATCCTCGCTGATCCGATGGGCCTTGGCAAAAGCCTCAGTATGATCTCCTTAATGGCTGCAGATTGGTGTAAAGAGGCGCATGCGGCATCGGCTCGCAAGGTGACGCTTGTTGTTGTACCATCCGCACTTATAGAAGAATGGTCATCTGAGCTTTCTAGACATATTGAGCCGAATACACTCAGCTGGATTGTGTATCATGGCCCGAATCGATATAGTAAAGCAGACAGGTTCCCACAGCTGAACATCGTACTCACGACCTACAATGTCGTAGCTGCGGAATGGGCAGGAGGTACGAGCAGACCGAGCCCTCTATTCAAGACACAGTGGCATCGTATTGTGTTGGATGAAGGTGAAAGCATAAATCACCGAGATATCTGATGCAGCTCACTGATCTTATGCCAGGCCATGAAATACGGGTGGGCACGACCTTACGTGCTAAGTCGGTTTACTCTTTGAAAGCAGGTTCTCGTTGGATAATGACAGGGACTCCGATCCAAAATCGATGGGAGGATCTTGCAAGCCAGCTTTGTTTCCTCAAAATCCTTCCGGATCAAGACGCCAAATCGCTCGCCAGAATGCTAAAATCAAGTCAACCACACTCAGATATTAGACACTTGCTCGGATCAATCTGTCTTCGTCGCTCAAGAAAAGCAGTCGATCTACCTGAACGCACGGACAGAATTCATGAAGTTGGTTTTAACGAAGAAGAGGCTATCGTATACGACCAAGCGAAAGCTCGAGTCGTTAGCTGTTTGAGGGAAGAAAGCGTCTCACCAAATCCTAAAAGGTACATTAATGCTCTTACTAGAATAAACACGCTCCGTCAAGTCTGTAATCTAGGGACTCACTGTCGCACGGGAAGTTTCATTTCTGGAGGCTCGAAGTCGGAAAAAGAAATGTTGCAAGAACTCTTCGACAATTTTATGTCGACTGGAGAAGCAATATGCTCGTCATGTAAAGATGACTTGTCTGCAGATCTTGACTGCAGCGCAAGTTGTACGATGGATTCGGACAAGCAAGAACCAAAGATGTTCTCATGTGGATTGATACTGTGCGCTGACTGTCACCAAGCAACGAGAGATAAAGAAAACTCAGGAATACTATCTTGTCAGCATCAACCCGGCTGTCAGTCATCTTTAGTACAAATAGATGGACATTCGGAACACTTTGCAAACTCAACCGAAGACTCTCTTCCCGTCAAAGTGCGAGCCTTGAAAGAAGACATGCTTGAGCTGCCCGCCAACGACAAAAGGTCTGGCAATACAAGTAAGCTCATGCAAAGCTGACAGGAATTGCAGCGTCATATTCTCTTTCTGGACATCGACATTGGACCTTGTTGGCCAAGCCTTTGACGAGATCGCAATTTCCTATGTTCGAATAGATGGCACTGTGCCAGCAAAGCAACGCTTCAAAGCCCTCGAATCTTTACGAACCGACCAAGATACGCGTGCACTGCTCATATCACTTCGATGCGGCGCCAATGGGTTGATACTACCCCACCTTGACCTAGGCAGACTTTTGCTGACTGTGCATCTCAGTCTCAATCTGACTTCCGCAAACAATGTTTTCCTCATGGAACCGCAATGGAACCCCATGTGAGTCTTTCCCGCATAGCAGATGCCTGATGATTATGTCATTGCAATCTTTGGGGGTAGTAGATATGCGGCCTTGGAGACTCCGATGAAGTACCTCGATTTTTGATATGAGATATACATTTGTCGACTAACTCTTTTGTCCCAAAGGCTAGAAGACCAGGCTCTTGATCGAGTCTACCGCATCGGACAGACAAAAACAGTCACCACAACTCGATACATGGTGAAGGGAACCTTGGAACAGGTACAGCACTATCTCAAGCACTTAAATTGACACGCAGAAACTAGGAATGGCTAATCGCTGCGTTACAGAACATTCGTCACCAGCAGACCGAGAAAAGAGAGATCGCCGAGCAAGCATTCGACACTACAGAGCGCGCAAATCACTGGATTCAGGTATGTCAATACTCGATGACGACTTTCTTCAAAATTAATCATTTGCACAGCGTTTGCAGACCGTGCTATCCGAACCCGCTTAGATATTTCCTTTCATCAGCTTCGAATGACATCGTTCACGCTAGGCATGTGCAGCGTTTTTCCATGAATTTCTACTTTCGAAGTTGATCCACTCACAAGCTAGCGATGCACAGCATCAGTAGATATTGACTGACACGGCAACGTCAATTGCGAACGCCATGCAGGAAGGTGAACAGAGAAGTAATGGCCTAACCCTATCAATTCTAGAAACCTAAGCACTAAGCTCGCATAGGTCTAGATCTATGCCAATTTGCCCGTTAGTCTACCAGTTCCTGCCGCTGGCCGACTCCAAAGCCAAGTTCTTGATTGGCTAGGTCGTGAAGTTACACGGGCTCTCGTCTTTTGCATGTTCAGCTCCTCAAGTTCATTCGCATATATGATAATCGACATGACTTATCAGACTTGCCTTCCCTATGAACGAAATGTTGCGTTTGGCTACTGCGGAACCTTCAACAGCTGTTTCACATTATTCCTAGAGTGCAGTCGCCATTCGAGAAGCGATTACTGGGCATATCACTGCTGCCTACCCAGCACAGGATCAGGCCTTCAACCTGGCTTTTCGTGAACTAGAAGAGCAAGAAGAGCCTTAGAGCCATGCAGAAAAGGAAAGCGGTTGGCTCCCAGTCAGATCCTGCGATTGTCCCAGAACTGTCTGGGCTTGATGCAATCGTGGATGCTGAGCCACCACCGCCGCCATATTCAGAAACATGGTCCTCCGTCATGGGGGAGACGCCAGATGTGAACGGTACGATCGACCTTCTTCCAGCTGTCTTTGTAAGCCAAGGATCCGACTGCTGATCTTGACTTGGCAGATGGACGCGTCAACGTCGACCTTAGCTCGAAGTTCGCCGAAGCCTTTGGGCGACTCATACCCGCACCCGTCGAAGAAGACCCCATATCTGTCGTCGAAGATACTGGATCCGACCCTGCCGTAATTCAATGGGACCTTCCACTCAACATTGTGATTCAAGTCGTCGGCAGTCGTGGAGATGTACAGCCCTTTGTCGCCTTAGGCTGTGAGCTTCGAAAGCATGGCCACAGAGTTCGGCTAGCTACCCACGGCGTCTTTGAGCAATTTGTACATCAAGCAAAACTCGAATTTTTTCCCATAGGAGGAGACCCGACCCAATTGATGGCTGTACGCACAGATTATCACGGGCAATTTGAAGGAATGCTGACAATCGACTAGTACATGGTCAAGAATCCAGGATTGATACCCGGCATGAAGACCTTGCGCGAAGGTGAGATCCAACGCAAGCGAGCCATGATGGCAGAAATGCTTGATGGGTGTTGGAAATCCTGTGTCGAGCCTGATCCGAAGACTTATCGCCCATTTGTCGCGCAGGCTATCATTGCGAATCCTGTCAGCTTCGCACACATCCATTGTGCACAAGCGTTGAGCATTCCTGTGCACCTCATGTTCACAATGCCTTGGACGAGCACACGAGCATTTCCCCATCCGCTGGCAAACATCAAGAGTGCGGGTCAAGAGCCGCGATTGGCTAATTATCTTTCCGACGCTATGGTCGAATGGATGACTTGGCAGGGGTGCGTAGGCGATGATGCTGATAGGGGCCGTGCTGATGTCCTTGTAGCATTGGTGGTGTCGTTAACAAATTTCGAAAATCCATAGACTTGGAACCTGTGCCCACATCCGAAGGGCCGTTCTTGGCCTCCACTTTGAGGATTTCTCATACATATTGCTGGTCGACTGCTTTGGTGCCAAGACCGAAAGACTGGCCCAGTCATATTGGTAGGTCATGGTCTTATCGATGGTAATGAATTTCAAGGCTGACGCGTAGTAGATGTTTGTGGTTTCTTCTTTCGCGAGACACCCGCGTATACACCTCCACCAGAGCTTGCGGCCTTCCTCTCTTCTGGACCGCCTCCTATATACATAGGGTTTGGCAGTATCGTCATCGATGATCCTGCGAGTCTCACCAGTATCATTCTGGAAGCTGTGGAAATGAGCGGAGTTCGTGCCATCATATCCCGTGGCTGGAGCAACATTGGCGACTCTTCGGCCAGAAAAGATATCTTCTACCTTGACGACTGCCCTCACGAGTGGCTGTTTCAAAAGGTGTCCGCGGTAGTCCATCACGGAGGTGCCGGAACAACTGCTTGCGGACTCCTCAATGCTCGGCCGACGGTCATCGTACCTTTCTTTGGAGACCAACCATTCTGGGGGCAGATGATTGCAAATGCAAAAGCTGGCCCGCAACCAATCCCACATAAAGCGCTAAACAGCCATAACCTTGCGGAGGCCATAACGTTCTGCGAGTCTGAGGAGACCGTCAATGTAGCCAGCGAGATTGCTTATAAAATGCGTGACGAAAGCGGAGTCAGACAAGCCGTCGCGTCTTTCCTTCGCCAGCTACCGCGTGATCGTCTGGGCTGTGAACTTGTGCCAGGGCAGTCCGCAAATTGGATCTACACGAATTGCAAACGCCCAATCAGGATTTCGAATTTAGCAGTCGAGAACCTCTGCCTATCCAAAGACGTGAAGTTCAAGCGAAAGCATCTGAAGCAGTACACTTGCCCCACCCTACATTCAGGAATTTCACTAACAATGCCACAGCTACGGACCAACCCCAATCCTTATAACAAACAAACGCTGGGACCCCTTCACGAGCGCCGGCTCCTCCGGAATGCGAGTAGCCACGGACCTCACAAGCTCCTTCGTCGGCATCGTCGCCGACCCAGTAAAAGTGTACCTCGACAACAACAAGCCTGGATCCGCAGATAAAAGCCAATTAAAACTACACGGTCAGGCAGCCCTCGCGTCGGCAAGAAACATAGATCACCTCGCCGTCGGCGCTTTCAAAGGTGGTGTCGTCGACATCCCTCTCGCCCTCGCCGAAGGATTTCGCAACGCGCCAAAACTGTGGGGACAAAGCGTGAAAGACCATGGAGAGATCACGGGCTGGCAGAGCGGTGTGGCGGTTGCTGGCAAGGTTCGTATTTATTGATCGTCAAGTACCCACGAATAGAATCCCAGCTGAACGGTGAGCCCTAGATATTAGCCTACGGTTTCTACGACGGCCTAGGCGGTCTCTTCTATAAACCTTACATCGGCGCACGAAATGAAGGCGCGCTTGGTTTCGCCAAGGGGTTCGGAAAGGGGTTTTCTGGCTTTATTGTTGAGCCTGTCAGTGGTGAGTCCCTATCCAGCGAGCCCCTCAGTATGATTTATTAAGGTTCACACTGATCTGGCGATAGGTACGATGGGTATCCTAGGATATACTGGTGACGGTATTTCCAAGAGCATTAATCGTACTATCAATTTCAAAACATTGAAACACGTACTGGCCGCTAAAAGGAATGAAGGGAGATTGCTAGTTCGGGAGGAACAGATCACTAGTGCTAGGAAAGATGTTGTGGAGGCTTTCGAGCGGCGGCGAGCAATGAAAGCCGAAGTGCTTTAGTAAGTTCTCCGTTGCTTTTGAGTTCTGTAATGTGAGTCGTGATATACCCATCTGTTCTAGACAGCAATGATTGCAGACAGCAGGGCTGGGGCTCAGTCTATGACTCATGTATAGTCAGCCCTTTAATTATTCAGGGTTCCATCGCCTTACTTCCACGGTCTTCCAAAAATTGAATAATCGCAGGACAAAGTGGGACATCGCTAGCACTATAGATCATTCTCATCCAACCGAACTTCTCTGGCCTCCAAGATTGGACTTGTTTCACAAAATAGTAGAGACGTGAACTCGCGTCTACTTCCGCCGCACAGTTCCCGAAGAATACAAGTACTCTTGTGAGGGGCTCCCGAGCAGACCAGAAATGTTTGGAACGATTTACAAACGAGAAAATGACTCCGATAAACAATTGAGGTACTATTCAGGCTAATCTCGTCAATGACTTTTCTTGGTGGGAGCCATTCTTCTGTATGGCTCTTTCTTGGAAGATAGCTCAGTAAGCGGCGTTCTCGGAGGATCAATGGTTGAGGTAGTAACCATTGAGCGTTCTTAGTTACTTAATTATCGTGATATATAAGAGCTTAAGACATTCCTGGAAGCAATGATGCTTAGGAATCTGAGATACTGAAATTTTGCGTTGCATACTGCTCCCATCCTTCTGCCTTCTGAAGCAAAGAAGCCTATTTCATGAAATACAGACACGGCCAAGTCATTCGCCGCCGACGGGCGCAATACCAAGATACAACGTGATTCTCTACTGGACTGCCGAAGATGGCTCATGCAATTCCCAATGTGCGGTTGAAGCCACTTACGATGAAGGTCCCATGGGTATCAATTTGTCCTACCTACCTACCCTCCCCTCCCCTCCCCAGCCCACTTTCCAGGTCTAAAGTGTGATACAAAGAAATCTATAGACAATGAAAAGGACGTATAATCATCGTACAAACACCGCATAGACCTCATGATCCTTCAAATTCACCCTTTGTTCCGTCGTCCAGGTCATTTACGGCCAATTAAACAAGTGCTGCCAGCCCCTCATACTTCCTCACCTCACCAGGGTGCTTGCCTGCCACAAACTTGACGAGCTGGACGATCTTCTCTCTCGTCTCGTCTTTCAGCTGGTTCTCTGGTTCTGGCGCGAGGACCTCTGCTAAAATTGGTAGCAGCTGTGGCGTGAGGCCCACGATTGTTCGTTCGCCTTTTGAGTCTGCGGAGTGAACAGTGTTAGCAGCCCAAACATTCATTGTGAAGCCAGAATTGCACTTACACAGGCCGACAATCATATCGTAAACTGGCTCATTCTCATCGTAATCCTCCCTCAAAGGGAGAATCTCCAACAGCGCCTGCACGACCTGAGGAATGGGCACTTGGCCCGGATGCTTCATGATCATTCGACTGACGCATCCCGCAGCATTGTCTTTGCACCTAGCCTCGTCCATTTGCAAGAGGGGCTCCAGCTTCGAGAATATTGTAGGAAATTGCTTCAGTATCCGTCCTTCCTCACTACTAGCTTCCACCAGCACGCCCACTGCAAAAGCAGCGTTCGATTTCGTATCTGGATCCTCATCTGTCAACCGTTTCATTAGTAGCGGTAATAGCTTCTCTGTATACGGGGAGACATCATCGCTCATCGCTCGCGTGCATTCAGAGATGACGCCAACAGCGGTTGCACGCTCGATGGGCTCTGAGCTGGACGCGTACTTCAGGACTGGCTTCTCGAACATCTTCCACAGTTGGCTGAAACTTGTGCCGAGAGCTTGAGCCACGCCTGCGACGGCGTCCATGGCGGTGTCAATGGTGAGCCAGTCATACTCGGAGTTTTCGTCTAACATGCCGAAATCTTCGGCTTCGGTACCCATGAAGTCTTTCTGGCAAGGGTGCTCTTTGGTGAGAATGGCAATGAGGATTTCGGTCACTTCCTTAAGGACTTTTGGCTCCGAAATTAGAGAAGGTCCAGAGGCTTTGAGGGTTTGTGCTAGGTTGCGATTGATATCTGTGATTGTGGCTCTGCAAGAAGTCAGTATATGATGCTGACAGCAAATGCGTGGTAAGAACAGAAGAACAAATTGGAAAGTCAGAAGCAGATTCGCTTTCTCAGCAACTGCAAATTAATGCATCTGAGTGAGCTGGGTATCGCGATATGCGTATCATCATTCAAACAAGGATTGCACGAACTTCGTGAAGCCTGATGAAAATTAAAGACGAGAGAGCCACATACCTATCGACCTCATCCTTCCACAGGACTAGCATGGCAGTCATGACGATCTCTCCTAGCTTCTTGACCTGTGCAGATGGCTCCTGCTCAACTGGTATGCCAGCTGTCCATTTTCGGATTTCTTCAGGTTGAAGGTCCCAAACGGCCGCATATGCCCTGAATAAGGTCGAAAGGGAGGCTTTCTGCACTCCTTCGTATGAGTGTTCAGTCAGTGGTAGTATCGTCTCAACTGTCTTCTCCAAGTAAGGTAGGTAGTCTTTTGTAGCATGCGTCAGGATATCACCCATTACTTCGACCGCTATCTCTTTCTCTTGCGCAACGGCAGATACAACATCAATGTCGTCGTCATCCCAGTCATCGTCACTCGTGTCTGCAATCAAGTCATCTAGATCCTCAATCTCATCCGCTGAGACGAAGTCGTCTTCAGCAAGCGCAGCAACCTTGATCTTTTTACCACCAATCGTGACCTCTTTGCCCGCTAGATCTTTGGCATCATCCCCGAAATCGACCTCAAGGTCTGACTCCTCGGTCTCCAAGCATTCAAAGAGCGCTTTGACGACCCCCGGCATGAAAGGCTTGAAATCCTCCTCGTAAACTTTCGCCATCGTCGCCCAGAACATGAAGCTCGTCTCTTTGAGCTTTGGATGCTCGAGGTGCAGACCCTCATCTGTCGCCTGCATTAATGGTCGCACATATCGCTGGAAGGCTTTTGAGCCTACTGCTCGCGCAATGCTGCCCATTGCGTCGATTGTCCTAGCGCGTAGGTCGAGCTCCTCGGGACTAGATTTCATCTCAACATATTCCTGCATGGAGTCCATGGTATCTTCGAAGTATGGCAGAAAGTCCTCCTTAGCAGTTACGGCTATCGATCCGACCGCCCCAATGGCCCCGCTCTTTATCCTCAGATCCGGATGAGTGAATAGCCTGCTAAGCCGTGGCATGAGTTGGGGGAGGTACTGTTTCATATCCTTCTTGTCAAGGCCGTCGACCACAGTTTCGACACTGTTGCAGGTCGCACTGATGATTCCAAGATTGATCTTGTCATCCATCCCCTTCAAGCTCTTCATCGCAACCTCCATATGCTTGACTAAGCTCGGCATGAGCTTCTCATGCTCCTTGCCCAGTTCCTCTGGCAACTCCTCCGCAATTCTCATCACCCCATCGAGCGCTGCCCTTCTCACTTTGATATCCTCATCTTCAAGCAACCTCAACACGAGCGGAAATATTTGATGCAGTTGCGTAGCGATAAAATCCGGTGCGCCCTCCACCACCATACCCAATGCCATAATCCCCCCTTGCCTCCTGTCCGGATCCGGACTGTTCACATACGGCCCCAGCGCATGCAACAACGGCACCACAACCTGACTGGGCGGCAGACACTCCGCCATCTCATCCAACAACGCCAGCGCGCTCCTCGGTGTCGTCACGTCCTCCTCATCCAACTCGACCGCCTCCCTTGGAATCTCCGTCGCAATCTCCAAGCACATAAGCGTAATTTGCTCCCCAACCTTCAGGCTCTGCATCTTCAGCTTTCTATACCGCATACACTGCATCAGAAAGCTAATAGCCTGCGTCCTCGTATCCTCCTCCACCTCCTTCCCGCCCGCAATCCCACACATAAACTGCACCAAGTCCCCAAAATGCCTATTCAGCACTTGAGAGTCACACCCCAGCAGCGTCTGAAAGACCTCAAACCCCTGCGTAACCCTGGCCTCATCCCCTTCATCAATAACGCCCTTCAATACGCCCACCATCTGCGGCACAGCCTCCTGCATCGCCTCCAACGCCTTCCTATCCCCCTTCTCCTCACTATCCAACAGCATCGCCAGCCTACTCAGCCCCAGCAGGGTATTCATCCTAACCTCCGTACTCTCCTGATCCGCAATCGTGCGGCCAAAGACCCTCAACAACTGGCCCTTCCGGTCCCCACCCGCCAGCTCCTCCCCCAGCGCCTCCAGCCCCGTGAACAACAAATAAGTGCCGACCTCCCTCTGCGCCGCCTCCCCCGCCATGGCAGCCCTCATACATTCCTCCCCAAAAGCAGCCCACTCCCCATCCTCAAGATCCAATTTCGCAACACTCGTCACCGTCCTCGCAATGCCATTTCTGATCTTACGATCCTCCTCTCCCACGGCAGCAGCCAGTAGCCGTTCTCGATACGAGGCCTTTTCGTTGGCGGGGAGACCACGCCAGTGTTTCGAGATGAGGGCGCGGGACTGGGAGGCAGCGAGCTGACGGAGGGGGGAAGGCTGGGAGGAAGTGAGGAGGAGCTCGAGGAGGGTGGTGAGGGAGGCGGGGTTGGGATAGAAGTCTGATTTGAGGAGGGCGGTTGCGGATTTTACGCGGGAGGTGTCCGGGGCGAGGATCTCGGAGAAGATGGAGAGGAATTTTTGGGGGTCGATAGATGTCATGATGAGAGGGTTTGTGTATTGCTTGTGGGAATATGGGTAGTGCGTGGCCTCGAGGAGGTGGATTTGTTGTGATTGTTAGGAAATTTAGCGAGGCAATTTTTTCTGGTGGGACACGCGCGAGTGGGCCCTGTGTGGGGCGACGTCATAGTCACGAATGTGTAAAGAACTGTATGGGGATTCGCATACACTCTCTGCATCAGATGAAGCATAGGATTACACGCAAAGAAAAGCAGAACTGATAGCCACTGCGGTGTCTAGGGACTGTCAATGATGGCATGCGCCGCAAACGCACTCTTATTACAAACGAGCTACAAAAGCGCTATCCACAGCTAAGGAACGTCTCCAGCTTTCATGATATCTTTACTCATGCATCATTTTCAATCCCACGACCAGACGGAGGTCCGTTTCCTGTGGTATCATAATTGTCCCATAATACCCTCTGATTCTGCGCCTTTTCCACCTGCAAGTTTTAGCATGCCGCAACAGCCTCATATAGCTTCGAAAGCTTCGACAACCCCGAAGCCCAATCGCTGGGCATCAAGTCTTCATCCTTCTTCAGCCTTGAGATCTCATGCAAAACCACCGAACATGTCATTCTGCTTCTTGGCCGGACCCAGAATGCTGTCAACATCCTTCTTTTCGATCACAGCACCCTTGCCGGAGCACTTAGCCTTCGATTTGAGTTCAGTGCACAGATGATCCATCTCCGCTTCACCGGATGTAAACTTCTCAGAAAGCTTGACGCGATCCCTGAGTAGGCTTTAGCAAAGGTTTTACGATTCTGCAACTTGGATACTGACCAAAGAGTATCGTAGCCCACGTACTCTTTGTTCTGTTCCCTTGGCGCAACCTCATCTTCAGTGCCACTCTGCTTGACCTCAATTTCCTTCATGAGATCTCTTTTGGGTTCTGATGCCAGCGCATCCCCCGTGTTGTATGGTGAAGCAAAGTCCTGCGCCGGGAATGCATCATTGAAGAAGTCATCTCCAATACTATTGAGTATGTTGTCCTGAGGATCACGGTAGTCACCGTACAGGACTGGATCAAACTGTCCACCGTTCTGCTGAGCAAACCAATCAATCCCGTTGATTTCGGAAGCATATGACTGCTGCCCAGTCAAAGGCGCTGAAGCCGCGTTAGAACCAGACATCATCGGTGGGATTGGGTTGGGAGAATTGCCACAGGCAGTAGCTAGCGAATTGCAAAGCTTCTTCTTACCTAAATTTTGTAAAGAATTTTCCTCACTAATGGTATTCAAATTGCCAGCTGTTTTGTCAACATTGCTGTAATCCTTATTGTCTGGGGAGTCCACAGTTGCTTCTGGTGTTGTCCCGACAGAAGAATCAAACCCAACATGCGACATTGATGAAGCTGGAGAGTTGGTGGCAGAGGCAGATGGCTGGCGTGGCAGTTTTGGAGGCTGATTGACTGCGTGATTGCTCCCAAAAGTACCTGGTCTAGCAGCGATGCCGTTATTAGCACCACCACCGTTGAACGATAAATAGTCTGTCGAGCTCGTGCTGCTTGCTGTTCCTAGTACTGAAGGACTAAACAGGCCTGTGAGATCGTCAAGGCTGTTTTCAGTGAAGTTGGTGAAACTCGTCGTTGGAGTCGGAACGGTATTGTTCGGTGGAGATGGGATACTATTTTGTGGCGAGGTATAGTTCGTAGTAGGATAAGCTCCATTTATGCTTGAAGGTGAGTAGCTATTGGCTGATGTTGACGATGCTTTACGCACACTAGCGGCAGTGGCTGGCATTTGTGTCTGTGAAGCGGAACTTGTCCTGGCCAGAGAGCCATTGTTGAGGAAACTGGCTCCAGGTAAATCTCCAAACTTGGGAAATGCAAACGTGAAGTCATTATTCTGACTGGAGTTACGTTTCGGTGGCGCTGGTGGAGACTGGCTAACGCCTGTACTGTTGAGTGACAGCCTTTTGCGGTATTCTGTCAGCTCCACATTAAGCTTATCCACCTGGCCACGTAATCGTCCATTTTCGTGATTTGTAGCTTCAGAAGCTTTTTCTAGATCTTCAACCTTTGTCTCGAGATCTTTTAGATGACGCTCTTTGCGTTCGCGGAATGCTCGTTGCGCGGCTCGGTTTTGCGCTTTGCGCTTCTAGAGCGGAACAATCAGCAGCGCATTGTGATTGACTTGCAAGATCAGCTTACCGTTGTTGGTTCAGCCGTAAGCGGCTTTCGACCGGGCTTCTTGGGTGTCTTTGAATCACCCTCTTGCTTCTTATTGGAACCTTGTTCCTCGTCCTCTGAGTCTATGGAGGCTTTTCGCTTATCGTGAAGTTCCCCATCATCATTGAAGTCATTGTCTTGTAAGTCGCCGAAGAGCTGGTCGGCGTTACCATCCCACTCAAAGTTCCCATCGTCAAGATCATCGAATAGAGGGCTGTCCGTAAGTCCAGATGCCTGGTAAGATGTACCATTGTCCTCGGGTGGGGAAGGATATAGGGCAGAGCCGTTGGCCATCGTGCTGCCACCCTTTTGATTGTACGTCTGGTTATTGAGACTTGTTTGATTGATTTGAGCACTCTTGGGTGAGCCACGTGGATTTGAGGAAAGTGCAGTACGGAGAAGGGTGGCCTGATCGGCAGAGAGGGAAAGGTCAGGACTGTTGGAGGTAGAGGTATGGTTCATAGTATGGTCAGCTGTGGGTGAATGGAGATGTAAATTGATTGATTCGACCGATGACGACTGTTGTTCCACGGGTCACGACAGTCCCTCGTGGAACCTGAATAAGCCTAGGATCCTAGGCCAGTGTCAATGCCTTGTACCTCACGGGTACTAGCACGAAAGTGCCGGGTACAATGACAGAAGATCTGATAACAGAACAATGGTAATCAGAGGCTCAAGATCACTGAAGGGATGGAAGATGGGTGAAGAAGGGATGTTGACAAGGTTCAACCGATGAGTTTTTGGCGACAGATGATGGAGGTGGGGCTTAGCGCAGGGTGGAGGTACGAGTGACGCCAATTGAGAAAGATCCCGTACCTGGACTGTCGGTGTGCACCTGCGACGTATGGCCCCAGACTCGACCGGGCTAGGGTAGCGGCGCCCAGGGGAGATATGGATTTAGAAGGACGAGGAAGGAGATAGATATCGCAAGACAACAGAAACGATATCGGAACGATGACGTCTGCTCTCTCGTTGGTACTTCCTGTCATAAGGTATTCTGATTCACAATGATGCCGCGTGTCCTCTGCAACGGAGCTGATGGGAGAATCTAGCCCTTGGTCTTTCGCTGATATGGTTTAGAACACCAAGGGATTGTTGCGTCGTGGTGGGTGAGCGTTGCATTTGTAAGCTTGGGGGTACTAGAGTCTATAATTGCCTAGAGTGCCAGGCTAGTTACATAATATTCGAATGAAGTCATTTGGGCGGATTCGAGCGATCTCACAATGGTCACAGCAGCGATAGGGAGATGGAAGTAGAGTCATTGTCAAGCATGAAGTTACTGACGTCTGAGACGCTAGAAATGTCGCCGGCAGCTCAATGGTACCAAGACGTCTGGGGCTTGATATACCCCTGATACCCCATGATATCAGCAGGAGCTCGGATGAACATTTCCCCGCCGCTTACTGACGGCCGTTGGCGGCAACTTCCACCCCCAACCATGTGCCTCGATGACTGCGAGCATAAAAATAGGTGGTACCAACTCAAGCATAATCAGCCCCAGTATCAGCAGCTTGGAGTCTATGTTGGGATATATCCCTGCTTCCTTAAGCACGTCTTTATCACTAGCCCCTTCGAACTTTGAACCACAAAAATGAGCAATGAGGTAGCCTCGCTAGAGGCAGAGGCAAAGGAATACAAGCTACAAGTATGTTCTCCCCCACCTCATGATTTCACCATGCTCACCCGTCTCCACCTCCGTCTAGCTCGAAACAGTCCAATCAGGTCTCCTCGTGGAACCCGAAAACAGCGAACTCCAGAATCTCAAACAAGAGCTTGAAGAAGTCATAACCCTTACCGAAAGCGCGATCGCAGAGCTAAAGCCTGCTTCAGCAGCACCTCCAGTTTCCAAATCGTCATTCCAACAACCAGGATCCACCGAAAAATGGTCAAAGGAGAAGCACCCCGCATACCAAGCAGGATATCGACCGCCGGCAACTCCACAATCTCCCACCGTAGAAGAAGCACCACAGACGCTATCCGTTAACGACAATGTGCTTGCGAAATGGAGATCAGGCGACAAGTCCTTCTATCCAGCACGCATCACATCTATCACTGGCTCGTCCGCAAAGCCTGTTTACATCGTCACCTTCAAAAGTTACTCCACCACTGAGACTCTCTCAGCACATGAAATCAAGCCTCTAGCGAGCAGCAACCCACAAAAGCGAAAAGCTGAACCAACGCCTGCGCCAGCGCCTTCAAATCCTTCTTCGGGAGTCATATCAGCTGCTGCGTCGATTGATCCCAATCTAGCGTCGCAGGCAAAGAAAGAGCCTAGCAAGGTGTCTGATGGACCGACAAGGCCGGCAAAGATCCCGAGGAAGGTGAAGGCGAACAAGGAGTTGGAGGCAGGTAAGAGTAAGTGGCAGGAGTTTGCGATGAAAGGAAAGGCAGGGAAAGGTACGGGTAAGAAGGATAGTATGTTCAGGACTGGGGAAGGAGTGAATGCTAGAGGTACGTCAGCTCTTCTTCTGCCGATTGAGAAATAAGTGCTAATGATTCGAAATAGTTGGCTTCACCGGCTCTGGGAAAGAGATGAGGAAGGATCCGACTCGGAGCAAGCATAAATATGAGACTGGTGCTGGAGAGGATGAGTATTGAATGGTCGGATCGTGGCGGGAGAGATCAACATCACATTAATGAGGCAGGCGAGAACCTGGACTTGCGATAGGGGCTAACGACTGTTGAACCTTCTTAGGTATACACACGAGGTCGCACTTGGCTATCGCATCGCGGTTGTAGAAAGAATTCGTCAGAATATAAAATTGGGTCATGGTTTGCATCAAACTACGAAATTGGGTCACTTGCTAAGCAATATGTTCTGGCATTACAGGTCTCCACAAAAAATACATCATTGGCTTTTCACGACACGTTTTGGAACCACAAACGATACCGACGGCCGTCTGTATTGGGGTTCTTTTTCATTCAAAGACAGAGCAGACTCTGACTCGCTCCGTAAGCCACCGAGAGGAGATCTATCCTTGCTATGTACAATCTAAACAGAGTGACGATCCCACTTCCATATACAAGACCAATTCTTTTACCTTCAATCTCCATCAAATGAACCATGATACTCCTCTGCTGTCTCCCACATCCTAGCTTCTGATAAAGTCTACTCCCGACTAGCCTTTGAATTCCTCCATAAAGCCTCGATGAAACTTCTCAATCCTGCCCGTCCAATCCGTGCCCGGCGCCAGGAATGTAGTCCTAATATGCAGCGTCCCCTCCTTCTGCCCGAACCCAGAGCCAGGCACAAGACAAATTCCCGTAGCATCAAGGAGGCGCGAGCAGTAGAACTCATCCGGCTTCCTCCCTTCTTTCTGTGCAGCGGAGACAGCCGCGGCGGGGAGCTGGATGGTGGGAAAGAGATACATAGAGCCCTACTCATCCATCAGCACGCCAGTCAAAGCACAGGAGAAGAAGAACATACCTGCGGCTCCTTCAACTCTACCCCCTCCATTTTCTTAAACACCTCATACAACGCCGTCGCCCGTTCCTTCAACCCGCGCTTGATCCCCTCATACTCCTCAAAATACGTTTGATAGCTAGGCTCCCCCTCTTTCGGCGGATTGACCACGCAATCCAGCACACACTGGCCCACAACAGGCGCACAAAGCCCAATACTGACGAACTTGTAGATCTGCGCCACGACCTCGGGGTCGAAGCCGGTGAGCTCAAAATACCCGCCGCGATGGCCACACTCGCCAATCATGCCCTTACTCACACTGTTCAAACTGACGAGCTCCACATCTCCGTACTTCTCCTTCCCGCCCTCCTCCGCCTGCATCTGCCTCAGCATCTTCTTGAAACTCGTGAACTCGCCCACGAAGACATTGGTCTGATAGACCTCGTCCGCCACAACAACCACCCCTTTCTCCGCCGCAAACTCGATGACCCCTCTTACATCTTTCTCCCCGAGACATGCACCCGTCGGATTCCCCGGATTAATCACCACCAACGCCCTGACCTCCGTGCCCTCTTTAATCGCATTCTCATAACTCTCTTTTATCCCTTGTAAATCTGTCCCCCACCCCGTCCCCTCGTCCAGAAAATACGGCACACACTTCGCCCCCAGCACAGACAGCGTAGCCGTGTAGAGCGGATACTGCGGTATCGGCACCAACACGCCACTCTTCCCATCCTTACACATCACATTCATCATAGTATTAACGCCCGAGCTGGCGCCAGCGCACAAAAAGACATCTCCCTCGTTCGCAGGATACCCGTCTCTGCGCTCGATGAATGCAGCGACGCTCTTGCGGATGGCGGGCACACCTTGAGACGCTGAGTACGCGCCCACGGACTTGCATTCAGAGAGGAGATGCCGCGCGCGCGCGATCACATCGGTCGGATAGCGAAAGTAGAGCTGTAGAATGTCGGGATTGTCGAGCAAAGCGGGATTCTCGACGAGCGAGCAGACTTGGCGGATGAAAGTCAAGGGTTTTTGGTCTAGTTGTTGCGGGTTGCCGATGTTGGCGGAGATGACGGTGTCGAAGGGGAGGGAAGCTTCTTGGGGCTTGTGGTCGCTGGACGGGGTGGAGGTGGATGTGGGCGTGCCGTGATCTGAGGAGGGAGGGGTGGGTGGCGCTTCCCTTTTTCGTAGCTGGGCACGGTAGGTTTCTGAGCGGACGGCTAGTTCGCCTCGTACGGCGTATTGGGCGCTGCGGATGTTTTGGTTGATGTTGTTGATGTTGAGGGCTTTGCGGGGGTGGGTGGTGGACATTGTGCGGGAGGAGGGTGATTGTGGGTGTTTTCTGGGTTGAAGGGGGCGGGAAAGTCGGTGGTTGGTGGTTGTAGAGGACTGGTGACGGTGGATGGTCTGTGAGAGAGCAAGGCAGGAGTTGTGAAGGCGTGTAGATAGGAGGGAGGCGCTGTTGATATATGACGCAGAGACTGGCGAGGCCATTGCGGTCGAGGCTGCCGTATTGCCCTAGCGGGATCGGCCTAAGGCAATTGGGTGGGCGGGCAGGAGAATTCTTCCCGTAGGTACCCTGTTTAGGGAGAGGTCACGATATCGGATGTGTTACGGGTTGCAATTGGCGGAGCATCGCAATGGTTGACGTGGGTGAATGTCGCCGGTCTGTAGGTGAGCAGATGGAATCGTGTGACTGTTGAAATCCGTAAGGAATTCGGTAGGCCCCGCCCCTCTCCACCCCCACCTGTCACACCGCGAACGCTATTTCCACCTGTAAAACTGTTGTCAGATGCAGGAACCGGAAGAATGTTGACCGGTGTCATTATTATGAAAGAATTTAGGATTCTGTTGCTCTATGCTCGCTGCTCTATGACGACCACACCCGCCCATGCTCCTCCTACCAAGTCTCAACCCCTCTCACTCCCCCTGAGTCTGACAGCTTGCCCATATTTCTGTAGCTTCGTGATAAGTGCATCTCCATGTTTGACCACATCTGCATATTGCTTGTTCTTGTCATCCGGTCTATTGGTTTCAATAATACCATTGACCCGATCAATCGTGCATGGGATGCGGTCTGCGGCGATGAATTTGGCCAGGTCACTGAATAAGGTGAAGTCAGTCGCGGGAAGAAGAGCGTACATGGATGTAAGAATTGAAAAACGTACCGATCAAGGAAGTCAACCGAGACGCCAAACTCCCTGGCCATACTTTGCAGCCCCACAACCCTGTAGCTCTGCAACAATTGCTGATACGCCCTTAACCTCATCTCCCTCACAAACCAATTCCGATGCTCATAAAGATACCGATCCTGACTCACAAAGTTCTCCTCCACCGCCGCCAGCGCCTGGAAGAAAACCTGATAATTTCCCACATACAAGCTCCTCACCAGCCCAGCCAAGGGCGTGAAATCCACCTGCTTCTCCGCCTCCTGAGGCGCTGTAGAACTCCCCAGCGTCGTCAAGTTGACCGCCGCCCCTGTTCCCGGCGTCGCTGACTTCTGTACCACATCCTCCATCTCCTCATCCCCTGCCCCAGGCCCCGAACTCGCGGCTCCAGATAATGCACTTAACTTCTCCTCCCCATCCCCAAGAATAGCCCTGATCTCCGGCGCATCCACAACCTTGCTCTTGAAATCCAACCTCTTCAGACTAATACTTCCTGTGAGCACTGAGTAGACGACAAGACTCGAGTAAGAGCAGAGCTCATAACTCGTGAACGTGCTCAGACTATCCAGCAGCAATGGGGCCGCAAGATTGTAGCTCCTTATATCCAGTAGATACAGTCCCTGGTAAGCCTTCAATCGATTCCTGCGGTCCCAGTCACCTCCACTTTCAACCAGTGTTTTCGCGCGGTCCACATTCTTTTTCACGCCCAGCCGGTCGTTGAAGAACATATGCAGCCTCACCATCGCAAGTACGAGATCGATTTTCGTGCCCAAGGGGCCCGTCTCTTCGAACTGTTTCTCGTAGGCAGCGATAGCTTTCTCTTTGTCCCCCACGCGCGCGAAGAACTCCGCTCTCTTCCCCTTCGCAGCCAGAACCTCAGAGTCCCCGGCCTTCTCGACCGCCTCTTCCTCCTCCTTCTGAATAGCCTCCAGCTCCTCTTCGTTTTCCTTCTTCAGCTTTTCGTAGAATGCCTCGTCCCAAGGGTAATCGAACGTGCCGCTCCCCCGTCTCCGTTTTAGGAGAATTGTAGCTGCGTTTTTGGGCGGTGGAGGTTTTCGTCCCGAGGACGTTGATTCGCCGGAGGCGTTGAGAACGCCTTCGGCTGGATGCGCGAGGTAGCGGTATAAGGGGGCCATTTTGTGTTCGGTGATGGCATTTTGGAGGTTTTGGAGGGACGTTTTCTTAGAGGGAGCGGAGGCGGAGCGGTTGGTGAGGACGAAGATGTCTTGGGCTAGGGAGAGGTTGGGGTAAAGGGAGTATTGGGGGTCGGAGCCCATGACGATAACTTTTGCTACCGGTAGTCCAGATTTGGTGGGCCTAAGGTGAGTGAATTTTATAGTTGAAATTGGACAGTGGGAATGTGATTGTGTCTTTGAATTGGAGGAGCTTGCGATTTCATGTTTTGCCTAGCTCGAAAGTGCCCCCAGTCCAGTAGGCCAAACAGTGTCATGTGTCAAAACTAAGACTGCTCCTTGAGTCTGGCGGTAGAAGGATCTCTGATGCGCCGCATCTTGAATCACATCTGCGTATAATATAATTCTGGCTCAAAGAATGATTTAGCCCGCTGGATAGAACTCCACTCTTGCTGGCTGCTGGCTGTTTGTTGACCGAAGGTTCAACAAAATGCATTATTATGAAGCTTCGCCTCATGCAAAACGTCTTCACAGAGAGAGCTTCTAGGAGATGAAGTATATATATGAACGCTAATCATGAGGGCTTTACCCCGCGAAACGGGGTTTGCACAGCCGACGGAAGCGTCAGCCTTTCAGCCTTGTGTTGCCAGTAGAGAAATAAAATGAGGATCAGGCCATCATTCATCTTCTTCCACTATTAACAGAGATTCTGAAAAAAGGTTCACGTCAGATGTAGCTACATCGAGCCATTTCCTGGTCATGGCGGCTTCTTCAGAAGCACAACATAAGCAGATTAAACATCATTGCCAAGGACCACCTGGTACAAAGCCATATTGTATACGTGAGGGTAGTGTACTCCATGTCACAGCTAGCTATCCCTACATGAAGCTAGAGAAGACCAGATTTCGGCTTTTGAAGCTTTTTCCTAAATCGTACAAGCACCCTACGTCTGAAGTTCTTGGTATTCCTAAGTCAAGATACTTGCATGCAACAATCTCAGAGCACGACATTGATGAAGATGTCTCTTACGATTGCTTATCATATGTGTGGGAAAAAATTCATACACGGAAGCTACTTTGGCTCGATACTTTCTACCTGATCACCATCAGTGAGAACTTAGACATGGCCTTGAGATGCTTGCAATTAAAAGACAAGGACCGACTCATTTGGGTCGATTTCTTATGCATTAATCAAGATGATTTTGAGGAACGTAGACAGCAGGTCGGCTTAATGTATCAGATATTCTCCAACGCGACCACTGTCGTCGCTTACCTGGGTCATGAGGCAGACGGCAGCGAAGATATCCCACAAGCGTTGCAAGTCATCCAAGACGTTCATTTTGAGCAAAAGAGCAAACTCCCTGTCGACGAAAACAGGGACATTATGCCATGGACTGAAGACGAATACACTTCTCTTGGGCTGCCTCCTTCTAATGATGCATTCTGGAGTAAGCTTGAAAAGTTTCTCAGCCGATCCTGGTTTGGGCGGGCCTGGATTATGCAAGAAGCGCTTGCGGCAAAACAACTAGATGTCATCTGTGGGCTATGGCAAATCAACGGTACAGCCCTTTTCTCGACCCTTGGAATTGGGTTTGCACGGCGTTTGCCATTTCATAGTCGTTGGCGTGCAAATTGCGATCCGAACATAGACCCTGCAACTTGCAATTTTCGACTGGTTTTTCTTATGCTAGAGCTCGGCTTGTGTGGATTGGCTGATGAAAATGAAAAGTTGAAAAAAGGACGCTGGCCTTTAATTGACATACTAGAGAGGTCGAAGAAGGCTAAATCCACAAATCCTCAAGACAAAGTATTTGCTCTACTCAATCTATGCGCTGATCAGGAGGCTTTGTCCATTCAACCGGACTACTCCGAGACTTGTACAATGACGTACAAGCGTGTGGCACAAGCTTTAATAATGGCAGGACATGGACCGAAAGTCATATGTAATGCTTCCGCTACTGAATATGAGAGACTAGAGCTTCCTTCCTGGGTACCTGACTGGTCAGTAGAAGATGGCCCACATGATCAAATCGCGTCCGAAGCAAGCACTATTGACTTTGGAGAACACTTTGACGCATCCGGCACAGATGTTTGCATCTCGCTAGCAGATAATTCTGAGGCTCTGTTTGTTGAAGCTTGCGTCGTTGATACGATTGGTGTTCTTGGAGACGTCAGAAGATATAATGAACCACCGCCAATGTTGCATGGAAGAACAGAAAACGGACACGAAAGATCTGAATCGCAATTGCCACTGTTGCGTAATCACGAATCCTCCCCGGACCAAAAGCCCAGATCCGTGCCAAGCGAAAAGATAGACACCACGCAGTCGGATTCTGGAGAGTCAGATTTATCACCATTGCAGACAGGCAAGGACGCTGAAGCCGAATGGGCGCAGTATCCTATCTTGTTCCGATATGTCACTGATGTTTCTACCTGGATTGAGCAATCTCCTCGTTATTCGCCGGATGAACATCTCGAGGTCCTCTGGAGGACAATGGTTTGTGATCGTGAGCTTGGCACACAACGCAAAGCTCCAGATGAGTACTACGAGAACTTCCACTGTTGGTGGGAGAATCTAAAATTCTGCTACGTAAGCACCATGGACGAGAGAGAAAACCGCATCGGGAAGGTCCAACAAGGTATCATAGCCACTCGAGCGGAGGCTAACCTCACCACAACCAGGGACCAGTTATTTGTCTTGACGAGAATGTGCATGGAGGCTGAAGCCGAGAAGGCAGCGCTCTTCGATCGAGCAGCACGTCGCTTTTGCTTTCAGCTACGCGCAAGTGTAACCAGAACAGGATTTGTGGGACTAGTACCTCAACCCACAGAGCCAGAAGATGTTTTGGCATTGATCAAAGGCGTCAAGGTACCAATAATTTTACGTCCACGAAAAGCCGCCGCGACCGGTGAATTACCAACTGAGGGCGAAGGAGCAGCAGCTCAGAAGCTTCCTCAGTACACAGTGGTGGGCCAAGCATATTTCTATGGTATGATGAATGGCGAAATTCCCAAAACGAAAGGCTATCACTGGGACAAAATATTGCTCTACTAAATGCTTTGACCTGAAGTACTCGTCAAGCTTAGGGGAAATTGTATCACCTTCATTGCGATGTTTGAACTGTTTTGGGAGATGAATGCTGTCGCTCTACCCAGAGCACTTCAGCGCAAGTGGAACCCCCCGGACTCTGAGGTCAATGCTCAGACTCCGTAAAATCTTTTCCCTCTTCCTCTCAGAGGTTGACCTAGAGCAACTTTTGCAGAAGTTCTCAACAAGTCTTCTAGTCTGGGCTTAAGAAATGCTAGCAGCATCGACAGAAGCAGGCAGTCCAACTAGTACAATATGGAACGCGCATCATAATATGGATTCCAAAGCTGGGAGCCTTACTTATGCTCTGGTAACCGCGATGCATTGAATTGAGACAAAGGTTGTTGGTCACTGGTTACGGAGTGGAAGAGACAGCCGTTTCCAGATTTCAGAGTCAGAAGCAGAAAGGTATTAGTCCGCAGTTTGTATTGGCTGACCGTAGGATGGTTCCGCAGCTGACATGGTCAACCCGCAGCGAGATTTAAGTTCGCAATATGGGGTAGCCAACGAGCGAGAAAGCTGCATTGACGTCAGAGCGAGAGCTTCATGAGCATGAAAAATGACTGGAAATTCCCGTCTTCCGGATTGCTGTCTAGAATTCAGCTGCGATCGCCGTCGGACACAGACACGTGCACGAATGGTAGTACAGAGAATCAGCCACGATTCGGCTTAGCCGAGAGATATTACCGCATTCGTCGATCGGCTTCTACAAATAAGGTTAGAGCGTTCGCGCGGATGCAATCAACCTGATTTCAAAAGATGAATCGGGGAATTAATACTTGAGATTTCTGGCAAGACGGGATCTGGCCGTGCGTCTAGATCTGATTCTAGATCTAGTGTTCATAAGGCCTGGCCTGTAGCTTCCGCGTGGTGAGGAGTGCTTTCACTCTCTGCAGCGTACGAACGCGGGTACACGAGTCTCCGTATTGCTCTACATCACTTACCAAAGCTTGACGCTCTCTTACCTGTTGCCCATTCATGTACAGAATGCAAAAGCCATTGCAACGGCCACTGCGTCATAGCGTGCGGCCGCTTTTTGGCCTTAATAGATTCGGCGATGCTCGGGAAACACTAAAGCCTCTTTAGTGTCCGACCTAGCAGTTAGGGCTAGCTGACCGGAGCGAGCCACCACTGCAACAGGACCTGACTCTCAAAGAACTCTGCATTAGAAGAATGTGGCTTCACTTTTATGCTAAGATGCAAATCTTTTACCAGATGGCGGTGGAGCTGCAGGCACCCTCGAGGCGCCATGTATGACCCTGTATGCAGAACATCAAGCTTCTATGGACCGTCACAGCTTCAGAGCTTGGTTCCTGCTCAGCTTTTCCATTAGTGGAGATTTCGCGCAGGTACCAAAAGCTGGTATATGAAGAGCTGTGTCCCCTGCATCGAAGTGAATTGGTCATTGTTTCAATTGTATTTTCCCTTCACGTTCAAATTACACATACACCATGGCGCCTTTACGTAGCTTCACACACGCAATCCTCGCTCTCCAGGCCTTGACAAGCTGTGTCACGTCTTCCGCAATATTGCAGAGGCGTGATCAGTCTTCGGATCCTGTTGAGGCTCGAAACAACAAGATCGCCCCGAAGGTGTTCATCCTCAACGCGGTAAATGTCTTCCTTTGCAATCGCAGCAAAATTAAAACTCACAACGCACCCCTTCCAGTTTTCACCCGAAGCTGGCTCATTCTACGCGGCCAAAGAATTCAATCTGCTTGCTCAGAATATCACCGTCCCCGGCATCTCACCAAGATTCCCCGATGCACATTGCACAGCGAATGGAGAGATCTGTCAGGTGACTACGGGTGAAGGAGGTTTGCTTTTCCTCAACACTATTTAGACTCATTCTGACGACACCTTGTAGAGATTAACGCAGCAGGAACCTCCGCAGCCCTCGTATATAGCGGTCTTTTCGATCTTAAGAAAACCTACTTCCTCATTGCCGGCATTGCCGGAATCGACCCGAATGTCGGGTCCACCGGCTCCGTGACCTTCGCGCGCTTCGAAATCCAAGTCGCCCTGCAATACGAATTCGACATCCGCGAGATCGGCAACAATTTCTCCACAGGTTACATTCCCTATGGCGCCAAGGAACCTCTCGAATACCCATCCTTCATCTACGGCACCGAAGTATTCGAAGTCAATGATGCACTAAGATCAAAGGTCAGCATTCCCCCTTTCCCATCCCCGTTCCCTCTCCCTTTTCCCATAGGCCATACACACTAACATCAACTCAGGCCATCACCTTCGCCAAAACCGGCGCCCTAAACGACACCGACACCGCCAAGAAGTTCCGCCAACAATACAAATCCCCCGGCAACAAGCCCCCCTCCGTCATCCCCTGCGACGGCGCCACCTCCGACGTTTTCTACAACGGCAACATCCTCGGCACCCAATTCGGCAAATACGCCTCCGTCATCACGAACGGCAGCGCCCTCTACTGCGCCACTGCCCAAGAAGACACCGCCATCATGTCCTCCCTCCTTCGAGCCGCCAAGGCCGGCCTCGTCTGTTTCGACCGCATCATCGCTATGCGCACGGCTGCCAACTTCGATCGCCCGCCGCCGGGCGTGAGCACTTATCAAAATTTCTTTTATGGGAATAGTGGTGGGTTTGGGCCTAGTGTGGCCAATTTGGCCATTGCGGGTGTTCCGGTTGTGGAAGGCATTGTTAAAGGATGGGAGAAGACGTTCAAGGGCGGTGTTAAGGCGACGAATTACGTTGGTGATATCTTCGGCAGTCTTGGGGGAACGCCGGATTTTGGACCTTATCCTTACTTTGGTGAGGGCTAGATTGATGATTGACGAGAAAACTGTACAGAATCATAATAATATTGTATATACGCGGTGAAGTCTGGGAGTTGGCTTTGATTTTTTGGCCTCTGATGTTTCTTTCTCACTTCGCACCCGCGGAACTCCAAATATACCTGCTCTATCTCAATTGTCCTAAGTTCTCCCACTTTCCGATTTCCCAATCCATCAGAGTACATATAACAATAGACCCCCCCTTTCCTCTCCCCCTCTTCCCTCCCCCCAATCAAACCCCCGCGAAGCCCTTTTAAGTGTCATCAACGCACTAACCACTCCATCCCATCCAATCCCACCATCTCCCATTCTCACCAACACATCCTCCGCCCCCCCTCCCCAATCATCGACGAAGCCCTCACAGCATTTAACCCGCCACCGCCACCACAACCGCGAAGTAACCATAACGAAAGAAAAGACTCCGGAGCAACGAGTCAGGATGTGGGAACTTGGCGCTAGAGAGTATGATGATGGGTGGTGGGGGGTGGGGGGTGCTCTGAAGATCCGCAACTCCGTAGAGGAGGGGATAGGGGAAGGGAAGGGGGAGGGAAAGGGAGCGGGAAAGGGAGCGGGCTAAGGGGAATGAGAAGATGTAGTCGGACGAGGTGAGGATGAAAAAGGTGATGGAGGAGGGGTAGCTGTGATAGTGCTGGTGGTGCTGGTGGTGGCGAGGCGGAGCGTAAGGAGGCAGATCTCGTTTGAGAGGGTGATAGATTGCACGCCGGACTTTGCTGAACTTTGCGGCTCGTTGTTCTCCAAACGATTGGTGAGATTCGTCGACGCGAGTCCTAGATGTGGGCGGTGGCTCTGTCGGCGAACGTACCATCCATATAGCAGGCTTGGATGTCTGGCTGTCTTACTACCATTGGAGAATATGTACGCCCTCTCTGATGCAACGAGTTTAGGAGTCGACATGGTCATAGACAGGATCGATCTACGTCAACCACCTGCATCTCCCGTTCATCTGGCCCGGCAACATGCTCGCGTAACATCTCTGCGATTGGGGCCGCTAGATACCCTTGCTTCTTACTATCAGGTGCATTATTGAATTCAGCCAGGTCTACGGCCGTCATACCGGAGTGTTTCTCGGGGATGTTCACGGCTGCATTGTGCTCCAGTAGTACCTTGACTGCAGCAAGCCCATCATGATCGATGGCAATGTGGAGTGCAGTATTCCCGTCGTCATTTGTTTGGTTAATGTCCTCGCCATGTTCCAGGAGTAAGGTAATGCCCTCGTAGAAATTGCTTTGCGCAGCAAGGTGAAAAGCCGTGCTTCCATTGATCAGTGTCTTCTTTAAATCAGCGTGATGCTCCTCAATCAGGCAGCGCGTGGAAGTGTTTTGATGATTTTTAGTTGCGTCGATGAGAGCCGTCCAGCCATCGCGATTGGAGAGATTCACATCAGCACCGTGGGACAGGAGAAAGTCTATAACAATGGTCTGCCTGGTCCTCGCTGCCACCATCAAGGGAAAATCCAAGGTATTCGGATCGATATAGTTTGGATCTGCACCCAGACTTAAAAGATATTCTAGGTTCGCCATTTGGTTTTCATTCTTACTTAAGCCAGATGTAGTAAGAAGCAAATAGTCTTTTGCATCTATGTCAATATTGCGAGCGATTGCCGCCGATATGATTTTCGTCTGCTGAGCTTGTGCAGCGTATTGAAGAGCGGTCAACGGGATATAAACGTTGGTATGGTCAACCAATGCACCAGCATCCAGAATTTGAATAAAAACACTCTCCCAACCATTGAAAGCGGCAGCGCCCAATGCACCTTTGCTTTCTTTGCCTCCTTCATGACGTGCTTTGCGGTGCACTTCTATTTCTGCTCCATGTTGAAGTAAGAGACTAACGATTTCAGAGTGGCCATCACTTGCAGCTGTTTCAAGGGCGGTCACCGAGTCACCGGCCAGCGCGTTGGGATCGATCCCATTTTTGAGCAATTCTTGCACCACTGCAGGATTGCCCGAAGCAACAGCGGCATGCAGAGCCGTCCCAAGCTCTGGATCATCGGGCTTGATGTCGGCGCCGTTTTTGAGTAATAGTCGCACCATATCGAGATCTCCTAGCGATGATGCTATTATAGTTGGAGTGCCTACCCCCTCGATATGAGCATTTATATCCGCGCCTGCCTGTATCAAAGACTCCACGATTTCAGGCTTCGCAGATCTAATACCATTCTGAAGGACAGTACCTTTGCAATTTATAATATTGCCGCGGACAATCCCCTGAGCATTGACTTTTGCAGGCGGATCTTGTGTCAAAAGCAATCGAACGATAGATGTGTGTCCCCTGCGCGCAGCAATGTGGAGAGCAGTTCCCCAGCACTCACCTTCCGCATTGATGTCTGCTCCATTCTGCAACAGTAACTTTATGATTGACTCATGGCCTTTGTCAGCAGCTAATGCCAATGGCGAGTAGTCAATTCTGTTGTAACTGTTGACATTCACGCCCGAACGAAGGGACTGTTCAACAACATCAAAAGATCCCTGAAGCACCGCTGACCGAAACAATTTGTCAATATTTGCGCTGAGGCTTTCGGAATCGTTACTTGCGCTCTCCATAGCTTTGAACCAATCGTGGAGCTTGACGGACTCAAGCACCTCCTCACTGAGCTTCGATTTTTTCCCCAACAAGAATCGCACAATGTTAGGGTATCCACTTTCAACTGCCACTCTGAGGGCGTTCTGGCCACCTCTCTTGTCAACGTTTGCGCCCCGCGCCACGAGCAGTCTGCAAATTGCCTCATGACCTTGATATGCTGCCGTAGATAGTGCGGTGGCCCTGCTTTTACCGACACAGGCATTGACGTCTGCCCCTAAATCGAGCAAAAGACGAATCACAGATTCATGCCCGTAGTCTGCGGTGCAGTTCAGAGCATTGCCTTGCGACCACGTGGCGTTTGAGATCCTTGCTCCACTGCCAACTAGAAGTGACACCATATCGCAGTTGCCTTGGACACAAGCAGTTATCAAAGGACAACGAAACTTCCCACCCGAACTGTTTGGGTCGCTACCATGTTCAATCAATGTACGCACTACGCGAAGATGGCCTTTGTATACTGCGGCTTGTAGTGCACCCCCCAAAACGCCGCACTTTTCATTCGGGTCATGACCCTGAGACAGCAAATGGAGCACCATGTTTTCCATACCGAGTACTGACGCACAATAAAGCGCAGAAACTTTACTTTCTCCATATCCATATCGACTATACGAGTGCTTCCAAGGCTGATCTATGTTGTGGAGCTGCTGCCAATTTGAGAAGCAACTATTCGCCTTTGAGTCAAAGAGCTGCATGAGGAGCTGTAGAGAACTTCCCTCAGATTGTGAAATTTGAGAATGCTGGAACCAACATTGCGCGGCATAATGTGCGAGGGGATACCTATCTATTTTCTCGCCGTCATCGGGAAAGGCTTGGGGGTACTGAAGCTCCCTAAGTATGCTAAGCAGGTGGAATGTATTAGACGGTCGGCTTCATCCTGAGTAAACACTATCATAGAGTGTACCTCGTTTACGGGTTTGCTGGTAAGATATTCTTTGACGGTGGCGTGTGACAGCCTGACTTCTTGATGTTCAATTGCGGCCGCTTTATTCACAACGGTAACAAATCCTGAGCAGATCTCCAGCGTGTCTCGAACGTCCAGCAAGCGGTTACCAGGATCGTACATGGGCTCGCCAGCAAGATCCACGGCCAAAGTCTCCGCCAGCTCCGTAAGCCGGAGCGGACGCTTGGAGAATGCCAGGAATTGTAGGAGCTTTTTGGTGTCCTCTACATATTCTTCGGGTAGATTCGCCAGGATATTATCATAGGTCTCACTCAGTGTTTTGGGTAGAGAACGCAAGGTCTTCTGTACGGCCTGAGGCTTCATACATTTACGTAGTACTTCAAGCTGGCAGTCAACCCAACGAAACCTAGCAAACTTCAGTCGTCAAACTCGGAGCTTGCGAATAAATCACAATGATAACTTACATTCCATGGGCTCCACAGTCTAATGCATGCTGTATATCCGCTTTTAGGTTTTGATTCCATCGCTTTAACCGCCGATCGTGCTCTAAAGTCTGCTCAATGTAGATTGAGATATCTGAATCTACCATTGGACAATATAGGTCGATGTTAACAGCATCCATAGCTAGCATCGCATCGGCAATAGACCTGTCCTCGCGACTTGTTAGGATGAGATTGACGCTCTCACGTTTGATTTTGCGAAATTTTAGGATGGTTTCGAGAAGCTGATCAATGTTTTCGCCTTCATCTAGAGCATCGAGCACAACGAAAAGTCGTTCAACGTGATCAAGAACGACTGTCAATATCTTGATCAGATCACTCAATGTCGGCCCCTGACTTTTCCTCTCAAGTCGGAGATATCGACCGTGAGAATTATCCAAGTGGAATTCAGAGAGGATCTTTCGAGCTCGGAAAGACCTGGATGCTAGTTGAGCAATAATGGCTTTAAGAAAGCTTTCTGCGGATCTCTGTAGTTGATTGCCTATGTCAAAGTGAAAGTAGACTGTAAACACTCTGTCTGGCCGGTCGCATGAGGCATAGAGATGCTCAATGATGTGTGAGCTGAGATGCAATCAGCGGCTTCCGTAGGGGAGATCAGTCGACCTACCTCAAGACGCTTTTGCCTGACCCAGCTAAAACATGAGTTAACGATATGGCACCAGACCGCGTCTCTACTTACCAATCCCATGGATCCAAAGACATGAGCCTGCGTTCAATTTCCATTCACAGAATTGGTGGCTCTTCAATAACCACTCACCGGTCCCTTCTTGCACTTTCTGCCTTGCATGTTCATAAATATGGGAAGAATCTGGAGGCGCAAGCCAGGTCATGAAGTCCTCATGTTGGTATGTGGACTCCAAAGTTTCCATCTGTTGAGTCAATCGCGTTGTATCAGCTTTGATATCTTGGTTCAAGCTTCGAAGTTTCATCGTTGCAGAACTGTGTATATGTCAGATCTAAGCTACAAAAGATGTTCTACGTACGTCTGATCTGCAGCTAGCGCCAGCAGCATTGTAGTCTTGAATCTGTTGAGTTGCGTGAGGCTCTTGACGACTTCTGGCTCGCTGAGAGGCCATTTCAAGGCCTTGCTAATTGCTCTCCATCCACTAGAAGGCGCCAATTTTGCTTCAAGGCCGTCCAATTCGACTTTACATTGATCCAAAGTGCCATTCTTTCGACTCAGTGCATCAACAGCCGGCAAGCTTGTCTGCCCATGACCGTCCACTTCAGCCAGGCTTACCAGGCTTTCAAGCGCATCTCGTAAGTTCTTGACTTCATTTGTGAGGTGAACCTGCTGCTCAGTAGCTTTTTTCGTGGTAGAGCGATATTCATAGCATAATGAAACGATCTTGCCACTGATCTGGGCAATGGCAATCAGGCTGGCAAGCGTGCTCAAAGGTTCCGCCATGTCGCATCTTGTAATGGGACAGAATTGCAAGAGAATGGAACAAGCATCATAGAAACTATATATGTAAGACTACATTGTCAACGAGGCTGTGGCTGACCAGTAGCTTATGGAAAGCAGGAAGCTCAGCTCCCGTCGAGGCAGCAGTATTAAATACCGCGCTAAATTTTTCAGCTCGCCGTAATATATTGGCTCCGTACAATTCGACTGGCGCCCGAGGGACCACACCACACCTGCGTCACCTGCATCGTTCTCACGACATGTAACATCGTGGTAAGCGGCGGAAGACTTCCGACTTATTAATCTCACTCAGAATCTCGGTCTTTTGTAAAATTCCACGGAGGCCCCCAATTGACTTTCTCTCATTAATGTACAGACTCAGGGAATTCCCTCCTAAAAGATCTACTTCGTTCAAGATAATCTAGTCGCGTCAGGCCGTACACAATATGGTCGTCTATTTTAGATACTCAGTATGCTACATGAAGTGTCTGTGAAGCACCTTATTCTCACAGCTCCATCAAAAAGCGGGCGTATCAACAAGAGTCTGTAAAATGAAGTGAATTGAGCAGAGAAGGCTCAAATGTGCATAAAAATCTATGACAATGAGATAAGGGTGCCTCGGATCGACATTACGATGTCTTCGTACCCAATATCAGGTCGAGATATCAAAAGTCTCGCATTTCCGACGAGTCAGACGTGAAAAAGACTGTGAGACTTTCGTGCCGAAGACTTGCCGTCTATGCGTGTCGGCTGGCTCTTTCAAATCAGGAAGAGCCAAGTCATTCCGCTGCTTCTCTTCTCGTTAGACACAGGATTTCTTCGGAAAGACATTATGTACGAAGGCATATCCGACACAAGCAGCAGTATGATCGCTATGCGCAAGACATGGTTTAAGTTTCCCTCCACCCTTATTAGCCACACCATATGTTTATAAGTGTACACATTCTCCGATCCGAAGAACGGGACAAAGTTCAAGATGCTGTGATGATCAAAATTTCACGTACCGTGATAGTTTTAGGGCTTTGGCAGCTTCTGGCGACTGCTGCCATGTCAAATCGCTCGGATGCCGGTGTTCGCAAAGTAGATATCCCCAACGTTGACGATGATATGTACGTTGACTTCAGCCATAGTAGTGGCGGTCTCTAAAGTGACAATGTGGTAGACCCCCGCCATTCTTAACAAACGCAAGCTCTGGTGGCAACATCTCCGCTGATGGTGGCTACTCGATCACTGTTGAGTTTGATCACGCTAGGCGAAGCCTGTTGAGAAGAAAATCGGTCTTCCTCGAATTTGCCGCGGCAATGGAATTTATACAAGGAAAGCAGGTCACGCAACCTCTGATCTGGAGCTTTCCTTTGAGACATAAAATCCAGATTGTGGCATCCTCCTCTTACTCGTTCCCTCTCACCGTAGCCGAAATATCCACTTTCCTTTATTTGATAGTGTACCAGATGGGGGAACAGAATCTTTTTGCGGAATGTAAGGCAATCTTGTATCATGACGATTCAGTCCCAGTGGGTACGCTTGAGATCAGGAGTGCTGCCACGACGCCCACTAGCCCCACCTTTGTCGTCAATGACACTGAAGCGTCAGACACATCAGCAATCCAGATGGAAACGGCAAAGCGAAGCTATCCTGGAAATATAACCCTCTCAGAAGATGCACGAAAGTGGAGATTCGCCGTTCAAAAGCCACCTTTTCGTATCGAGGAATGGCGACTCATGACGGGCCTCATTGCTGCCGCGCAATACACCCTGACCTTGGAGCAGGCCCGCTTCCAAAGCTTTGTATGGGATGACGACGGGAGGAATCTTGACCTTTTGTTGCAGAGCACGCTGAAATTCGAAGACGCCGATAAAAGAGCTCTGACTCAGCTCACAATTCTCAAGACAATCAGTGCGATCATAGAAGAAGAATATTCACTGGCGATCAAAAATCGTGAATTTCGTGTGGTCAATTTCAAGATAATGTGGTTAGGCATTGTCATAGCGACCGGCGAGTTCAGTCTACATGATGCAGTGGAATCATTGCAGATCTCTTAACCCTACAATGTACGATAGTCAATGCATGTGATTGTAAAATATATATGGACGCTTCAAGGATTGCACAAAACCCATCTCCAAAGATTTGAGTCTTTCTGAGCGAAGATACCAGTCGACGCAGGTAGATGGATACGATGACAGTCTTAGCGTGAATCGAACGCATCACGACTATGGAAGCCCACTTGAGCAGACTGCTATGCTAAGTATATAAACTACAAAGAAGACCTGCAATGAATGATGGGTCGTCAATCACATTACAAAAGCTGAAGGCTCAGCTGAAGAGGCGAAGCGAGGATAGCGGTAAGAAAAAGCTGGGTTCTTACGCTAGTCGTAATTTACCATACGTGCCCATTACGTCATCAGAAATATCAAATTACCTCTGTATAGCCTCAGTCATGTCAAGTGCCTACCCAGAGCATGAGCAAGCGGCTGCTCTCCACATTCCGCGCGCTCCAGCATGAGAATCCACTGGTACCCAGCTCCCCCACTCCCTCCATCTTCCCCACTAACCACCCCACCAGGGTCTCCCACGCGCCTCCCGCAACCCACCCCCCTCCATCCCCCGCGCCCAACGCGGCCTACCCACCCGCCGTCCCATCCCCTCCGTGAAAAACGTAATAGCCGTCTCCTCTGCCAAAGGCGGCGTAGGCAAATCCACGATCGCGACGAACCTAGCCCTCGCATTCGCGCGCCAGGGGCACCGCTCCGGGATCCTCGACACCGACATCTTCGGCCCCTCAATCCCGACCCTGCTAAACCTCTCCGGCGAGCCAAGATTGACGGCAGACGGAAAGAGGTTGGTGCCGCTATCGAACTATGGCGTGAAGTCCATGTCGATGGGGTATCTAATGGGGGACGGGCCGGTGGTATGGAGGGGCTTGATGGTCATGAAGGCTCTGCAGCAGTTATTGCATGAAGTGGAGTGGAGCGGGTTGGATGTGCTGGTGCTAGATCTGCCGCCGGGGACGGGGGATACGCAGTTGACGATTACGCAGCAAGTGGAGCTTGCGGGGGCGGTGGTGGTGAGTACGCCGCAGGACGTGGCGTTGAAGGATGCGGTGAAGGGGGTGGAGATGTTTGGGAAGGTGGGGGTGAAAGTGCTGGGGATGGTGCAGAATATGAGTACGTTTGTGTGCGAGGGGTGTGGGAAGGAGACGCATGTTTTTGGACGGAGGGGGAAGGTGGAGGAGGCGTGTGCGAGGTTGGGGGTCGAGGTTATTGGGGATGTGCCGCTTGATGCGAGGATTTGTGAAGATGCTGATAGAGGGGCGCCGACGGTTGTGAGTGAGTTAGACAGTCCGAGGGGGAGGGCTTTTATGGAGCTTGCGGAGAAGGTGGGTAGGAAGATCGGGCTGGGGGTTGGTGATGGGACGTGATGGTAGACTTTTTGTCGCTGCAAGCAGAAAGCTATCTAAAATCTAGATTGGGTATCTTGCCATTCTCCGTGCTTCTTCAAGCCCAAGAACGCCTCGCTCAACATATCAAAGCACATGGGACCTCATAACATTCTTACCGTGGTGGGACTGCCGGAGTATTTGGACTCGTGCCTAAGCCTTCATCAGTATTACCAGCGTCAGACCTGCTCAGTGGGCTCGAGATCTTGCTAGATACGTTTCGCAACCGTTCACTGTATCGTTTCACCGGCTGCGGTCGCTCTCTAGAATATTGTGATGGGGTCTGTGGGGTTCCACCATACGAGCGACTTTTCAACAATGACGGTGTCTGCGGCGTCATACTCCTAGACACCGAGCCCTGACGCCTGTCGGTAACCTCTCGCCATTCGGATGTTCCATAACCCTCGTCATCATATCTCGATGGCCTTGAGGTTCCACTTTCTGAGAAGCTCTGGCCTTCGTCATCCCAGTTATTCTGTTCGCCACCACGGTACTGGTACTCCTCTCCTCGTCGTTTCACAGGACTTTCATCGTATGGGTCAAAGCCAACATGCCTTCGAGCCTCCTCCCGAAGACGCCTTCGTTCTTGCACGTCATTTGATGCAGCACCTGTAGATGCAGCTTCGGACAGAAAGAATGTCAGAAGTTCGTCGGGTATTGACAGATGAGGCGATTGCTGGAATTGCTGCAACGACAGAAGGCGAAGGAGCATTTCCAGTAGTGACAGTGATGTCCTAATGGGAGGTAATCTCGGCTGGTGATTTTGTGTCTGGGATTTGGGTGTAGACAGAGCTGATGTCGTTTGGCTGCTGGGGCTATTCATGCTCAGCTGCGAAAGCCTTGACGTGACAGAAGGGTTGGCAGGCAGGTGTTTTTGTGAAGAGCGGTGTAGGGGCTCGGACTCGGCCTCTATCTCTGTATCCGAGTCATCTGCTTCTGTGTAGACTTCAAAAGCGACCCACTCGGGGTCAAGATCCTGTGGTAATTGCCATTTATTGCGGGGCAGGGTGGCTCTTTTGTCAGCTCCTGGACTCATTGAAGCAATCGGGTTTTCTGGAACTACCAGGGCCTGGTGGCTGAAATCCTCATTTCTCGCGTCTCTACGGCCTTGTCTAGTCGGCACAGTATCCAGATCACCATCCATTTGGCCATAGTCATCGTACTCATCAGTCCTACGTCTTGGTGGGATTGCATTGATATCACGTTTAAGTAGCAGAATTGGGCTGTTGGTCTCTCCTTCTGAACCAATGTTCAGTATTTTGCCCGTGTCCGCATAGAATATTCGTGAAATCTCATGTATTGGCATAACTTCTCGTAGTCCGGCAAGTGGTATGTCTGCATAAGGCTCAGGCTGCACATCATCTTCCTCGAATGTATGAACTCTATCATCTTCAAGATCTTCTACAATCACGATCTGATAAGCATACTCGTCTAGTGTCACTTCGCCGTCCAAGTCTGGCTGTACATCACCTGAGCTGGGCAACTGATGCAGTGCATCGATAGGAACGCGCATTAACCGCACATCAGCTTTATGAATAACTTCCTTCCACGTGGTCTGCCTGACATCCTCTTCTGTTTGTGGCCTGAAATGCCCTTGGAAGAGCATATACACTGACAATGTGAAAGTAGGTCCAACTTGGACAGATTTTGAACGAGACGAGCCATATTGAGAATCACCAGCTGTTACGAAGGTGCTAGCTTGTAAAAGTCTTGATGGTGAGATCGTTGACGGCAGGCTGGACGACAGATTTGCCCCGGAGGCGGTAATTGCTAGATTGATCAACGGGACAGCGTCTTCGATCCGAGTCAGTAGCTTTTTAATGGCCTGGGCTATCTGCTTCAACTCTCTTTCATGCCGAGCTCGGTCGTCTAGCTTAGATCCTCGCTTATGATGTTGCTCCTCAATGCCGGCAGCAGTTGCAAGTCTTTGACCCAAAGATTGTATCTCTAAACGAATAGTTTTGGTCAAGCTCACAGCAGACTCAAGGGAGGTGTTGCCACGAGCTGAGCTGTGCTGATTATTAGAGAGAATAGCCTGAATTGGCCGTGAATAAGCCTACATGAGTTCGATCATATCGATAGCTGGGGATATTATCTGAGCCCAAGTCAGGCTAACGTTGTACATGGATAATAGCTTGTTAATCGCCCCAACGCAAACGAAATACGAATTGCAATCCAGCCAGACCATCTGGAGGCAGAAACGGAAAGTCTTGAAAGAGCCCTATGTACCTACCTTGATCTTGCTTTCGAGGCGCTCCTGCAATTCCAACAGTTCATCTCTCTCAGTTCCTACGGCAGTCTACCGGGGGTTTCAGCAAGTCACGAGCTACAGCACGTATTTCGGAACGCTTGACCTTTAGAAGTCGCGACGTCTGACTAATTGCGTAGCTAGCAGTGATAGTAATTCCAGATCGAATAGCGTAATTCATCGCCTGCTGGGTGACTTTCCCCAGAAAGATATCCATGATAATACAGATGTGAGCCGACGGCCTGTCTACATACCACTATGATATTGGAGTCTTTGATGAAAGGAGTGTATATTTCTGAAAGGAGACGCGGTCGTGTGTAGCCATCCGTATGACTAAAAACGAATGCACGTGACCTCTTATCGATAAGAAGTCTAGAGCGTTCGCCAAGGGCAAATTGACGTTCGACTTCGTTGTGTAGATCTATATTTCACATGATTCATTTTCGACCTTACAACCGGTGTGTCTCGTTCTCTCAAAGGTCTCTGGCAAATATAAAAGCCACCTCATTCGCCGCTTGTTGTTGTCTGTAGATTCATTGCAGGGTGGTGAATCCTCAGCCGCACCCCACTTCGATCTTTTGCGGCGGCAGACGCATCGTTCCTGCAGCGCCCACGCGCCTGGTTTGCTATTATGTCGGGACTCGACTCTTGGGAGGACGACCCCTCCGCTCAGGATGAAGGTCTTGCGCATCAAGCCCAACAAAACCTCAACATAAATGGGCAACCCAGAGGACCACCCGGCTTCTCTGCAAATGCTCACACGTTTCAACCTGGCGCCTCTTCCTTCCAGCCAGGCCAGCCATACCAACAATATGGCGGGTACAATCCTTCACAGCAATACAATCAAGCATACGATCAGCAATCACAGCTATATGGCGGGCAATACAAACAATATGGCCAACAGAGCCTTGGTCAGTACAACCAAAGCTACTCCCAGCAAGGGCAATTACCCCAGCAAAGTGTACCACAAAGAACGCCAATAATAGCAAAAAGGCCAACCAACGACAATGCATCAGCTGCTGCTGCTGCCCCACCCTCGCAATCTGCCCAGTCCGGCCCACCACCAGTCAAAAGCCTCTCAATCGGCAAAGAGGAAGCAACAACCGCACCGAAAACTAAAGTGTTGTCCATAGGTGTACCGACTCCTGCGGTGCCTGCATCAAAACCAGATGCGACTGCTGAAGAGGGAGCGAAGACAACCGCAGCTAAAGCCCTGGATAAGACCCAAAAACAAGGGACTACAAGCGATGGCAAGACTTCTCCTTCACCTTCTTCAGGCCGATCAAGCCCGTCAGCTGCAGAAGCAAAAGAAGTAAAAGATAGTAAAGAATCTAAAGACGCCAGGAGAGAAGCGGACGCTGTTGCCAAGGAGCAAGCTGCTGCTGTTGATGAGGAGATGCTGGAGGAAGTATATGGCAAGGAGCACGTAAATGTCATCTTCATTGGCCATGTTGATGCTGGCAAGAGTACTTTGGGCGGGAGCATACTGCAAGCTACTGGAATGGTGGACGAGCGAACGATGGACAAATATAAGCGAGACGCAAAAGATGCTGGAAAAGAGTCGTGGTACCTCTCGTGGGTAATGGACTTGAATAAAGAGGAGAGATCGAAAGGAAAGACGATAGAAGTTGGTAAAGGGTTTTTTGAGACGGATAAGCGACGATACTCAATTTTGGATGCACCTGGGCACAAGAATTACGTCCCAAACATGTTGTTGGGGGCTTCTCAAGCGGACGTGGGAATTCTAGTGATCTCAGCGAGAAAGGGCGAGTACGAAACAGGGTTTGAAAGAGGTGGGCAAACACGAGAGCATGCTATTCTGGCAAAAACCCAGGGCGTCAACAAACTCCTGATCGTTGTCAACAAGATGGACGATCCCACGGTCGAATGGAGCCAAGATCGATACAAAGAGTGTACCGAGAAGCTAACTACTTTCCTGAACCGACAAGTCGGTTTTTCCAAAGGCGACCTCACCTTCATGCCCATCTCTGCCCAATCCACCATTGGCATCAAAGACCGCATCCCCAAAAAGACTGCTCCATGGTGGGACGGCCCCTCCCTCCTCGAGTACCTCGACAATCTCAAGTCGCTAGAGCGAAAAGTGCAAGCTCCATTCATGATGCCGATCAACGGCAAGTATCGCGACCTAGGCACCATGATCGAAGGCAAGATCGAAGCCGGCCAGCTCAAAAAAGACAGCAAATACCTCATGATGCCCAACCGCGAAGAAATCTCCATCTCAGCGCTGTACGGCGAAACCGAAGACGAAATCCCCGCCGCGACCTGCGGCGATCAAGTTCGCCTCCGCGTCCGCGGCGTCGAAGAAGAAGATATCCTCCCCGGCTTCGTGCTCTGCGCACCCAAACGCCCTGTCCACTGCGTCAACGCTTTCGAGGCCCAGATCGCCCTGCTGGAGCTCAAGAGTATTCTTAGCGCTGGCTTCAATTGCGTGTTGCATGTGCATTCTGCGATCGAGGAGGTGACGTTTGCGGCATTGCTGCATAAGCTGGAGAAGGGCACAGGGAGGAAGAGTAAGAAGCCGCCGCCGTTCGGGAAGCAGGGGATGAATATTATCGCGAGGTTGGAGGTGACGTCTGGGGCGGGGAAGATCTGTGTGGAGCGGTATGAGGATTATGCGCAGATGGGACGGTTTACGTTGAGAGATCAGGTGAGCTTGCTTTCTTTCGTGTGCGATATGAGTGGAGTTGGATGGAGAGCTAATCTGTTGGTAGGGTCAAACGATTGCGATTGGCAAGATCACGAAACTTATCACTGACACCGCCTAAATGATTATCCTGGGGGAAATGGAAGGAATGCATAAGCAGGGGAAGTTGTGAGGATTGTCGCACATCATCCTCATGGCTTGTGAGCCAGCCATCAACCTGCAGGGTCCGTTTTGGAAGTAAGGTAGCTTTGACATATAAATCCAATAGACAAAAATCATTTAAATCATACGCAACAACAACAACAACAGGGACTACGCGGCAGAATGATCTCATATCTCACTTTTGATAGCAGATGGTCGCTCCCCGTCTGTTTACAAGGACCGTCCACTACACTAACCACGCTCGGAAAGAAAGTAAAGAGATTCATAACCATTCATAACCTCAAAGCCCTTTCCCCCCTCCATTTTCAAACCCATCCATGCATCCTACTTCAACGGACTCCCAAAATACCCTTCCTCCTTCCTCCTCACCCCCTGCGGCTGGGGCGTCCCCACCGCACTACTGACCGCACTCGCGGGCCTCGTCTCCGGCGTCATCCTCCCTCCCAACAAGCTACTCTCCCCCGTCTGTTCCCTTGCCCTCCTCCTCCCACCCGCACCACCACGACTCCCCAACTTCCCCCTGAAGCCTCAAACTCCGCCGGAGGTTTAAACGCCGTATTAGGCCCATCGCGATAAATCTCCATGAGTTTCTGATCCAGAACCCCTTGTTCTTCGAACTCCTGGTATTTGCGCCACAAGCGCAGGGCGGTGTGCGCGTCGACGATGGAATCGTGATTGCCGGTCTGGATCTCTTCGTTGAGGAAGTACCAAGCTAGGAAACGCAGGCTGAGGCGGCGTTTCTCGTTCGGGGGCCGGAAGAGGGAGACCGTGTCCACGATCTGGGATTTCGGAATGTGGATGTTTATGGTGCGGAAGTCTGAGGCGAGGCCGTGGCCGACGAAAGTGCAGCCTAGGTTGAGGAGGAGCCAGAGCTTTTTGTAAGCAACTTTGAGGGTTTGGAGAGCGTGCGTGGAGTGGTGTGGGTCGAGATCGCCGGCTGAGAGGCCGGAATACTGCGTTAGGTGGTCGACGATGGGTTCGTTGATTTTGATGTAGTCGTCTATGAAGGGGACGCCTTCTTTGGGGCCACTGCCGCGCAGGGCGGAAATGCGGCCTGTGCCTTGTCTGACGGGTCGGATGATTTCGGTACTGCCGTCTATGTTGATGAGGATTTGTTCACGTTCGAGGGAGACGAACTCGGCGTCGATGCCGAGGTGGAAGCCGGGTTGGGGGATTTCGATGTTAGGTTGGAGGGCGAAGCCGATGACTGATTCGTGGGCGAGAGAGCCTTGGTTGTAAAGGCAGCTGATATCGGGGTTGGTCGTCCATGAGTTGTCTATGCCGTGGCGATAGACTTTCATTTGGTAGGCCAATACAATAGGCGTCTTCCAGGGTGGCGCAAAGTCTAGCGCTTCTTGTTTCTCGACGCTCTTCACAAGAAAGTCATTGAAAAGATGCCAATCAGGGCTGTCAGCCCCATCTACAGGATGAGACTCAGATATAGCCACGTCAATGAAAGACACGAGATGCGATTTCTGTCCCTGTGTGCTGTTGATGTCGGCAGTAAAGCCTACTAGCTCGTACAGTATGACATGAGAATGATTTCGCAATTGTTTCAGGCTTTCTCCTTCGTGGCAGATCACATCTCCGCCAGGTCCAATGATTACACCAATTTCGTCTGGAAGCCAACCAGGGTTTGTCCAAAGCTGTCTACCCTTTGCGTGCCGTTCTAGGCAGGAGTCCATGACTAATACAGTGGGCAATCCTATGACAGTGCGTCGATGGCTCTGCTCTGGATGACGTCGACAGCTTTTGCAGAACCCTCTTTTGTGGTCTGAGGCTGCGAAGCTCATTCTGATCACATCTGAGAAACGAGGGTGCAGTAGGCGACCCCTGTTGGCCAAGAGCGTTTCTGGGTATGCCAAATCGAGCATCATAGACGGAACGCGTGCGTATGTCTCATTCCTACAGTTCAAGCAAGTCATGGTAGCTTGCGCATTTATGGTCAGCATCCTATCTAGCGCAAAGTCTGGATGATCCCATTTTCGAGAGTCCTGCGAAAACTTATTGAGTAAAAAGCTGTTCGCATGAGATAGCCGCTGCGCCAGATTTGGTTGTGGTTGGTGCTCATCTAAGATTGCCTTGCTCGCAGCGGAAGGACTATTGCTGAAGGCTTTGAGGAAATTCGTGGCTTGACAGACTTCACCAGTCGCCTTCTCAAGCATGTCAAACAGAAAGCCCAGTTCGCAGAATAGACAATTCTCATCTAAACAACGCCCTGAAACATGGTGTAAGGCTTGGTTTCGAACAATAGGAACATATTTAAATAGTTGAAGAAGCGGATTGAGATAGAAATTGGAGATATCTGTTTCGAGCCCTGAGAATACGGTACTGTTGTATGCTCTGAAGTCAAAGTCTGCTACTCCATATCTGCCGTACTTTATCTTGACATTCATGTAATACCAGGGGACGTCGGTTCGCGTTGCACCCGAGAATGATAGATCAGCGAGTGTTTCTGCTGCTTGAGTCAATGCTGCCTCATCACCATGGCTATTTTCAATCTCTTTTGCCTTCTCACTCAGGAGCTTTGGCCCTAGGAAAGCTGGGGCCATCGCATCGCTCAGTCTTTGCTTGTGGGCCTGGTTCCGCCAACCGGTCTTGTGATTAGGTGCAATTTGGCCGAAGGTTGCGGCACGCATATACTTCTCGATCTCAGGATCAATAGTCTGAGGCAGACAGCCGACTTCCCATGGCTGCTCGCCTCCCCATGCCGATGCTAATCTGTCTCGGTAGAACGGCATCCCAATGGTGTTTAGCGGTCTAGGAGATGTCAGCAAGCCCTTAATGCCTTACTGCTACCGTAGGAACTTACATGTCATCATCCAAGCTCAACTGCTGAACAGGCTCTGGTTCATCAGCATACTCGGGAAGCTGGACAATATCATTGAAACTGAAAGGTTTACTAGGAGAGCCCCATAGATGTAACACGTTGTTCTCGTCGGCCAAAGCCCAGATGTTGCCTGATGGGGACATGATGAAGTGAGTGATGGAACATCCAAGCATGACTATGTTTGACATGTTGTGGTTGTTAAGGTCTATGACTTGAAGCTGACCGTTTGGCGCTCCAAGTACGCTTGTAGTCGACATTTTCGGATGGATCTGAACGTAAGCTGCGCCAGTCGGAAAGGGTATCGGAGCTATTTGTTGCATCGACTTCAGATCGTACACTTTAGCCAGGCTTTCAAGCATCGCGGGGCCATGCGGCCTATGAGCACGACCACACGTCACAAGCGAGTTGCCTGATAAAGCTATGTCACTTGTACTTGCCGTATGTGCTGACCAAGATTTGATCACTTCAAGACTCTTTGGGTCGAGAAAGTCCACGGAGCCTGTGGTAGTTGCTGCGCATATGTAGCGGCCAGACTTCATCATAGTGTACTCTGCACTTGTTACAATATCCTCAATGAATTCACCCTTTGAAGTGTCAATTTTCAGCATGACTCGTTGACCTCCAGCAACCAGCAGTGAAGCACCTTTATCAACGAAGACCATGCAGCTTAGTTGAGTCATCAATTCATGCTCCACGTTCCATTGCGTAAGACCTCGACGTATCATGAAGTGAACACTTCGGGAGGCGAGAGATACAACACCCCTCTCGTTGAAGAGAAATTGCAGCACAGGACCCTCATCTTCTGCGTGGGCTCCAATAGATGTGTATCGTTCCAGTTGTAGGCCTGCGAACGAGGTGATTCTGCCATGACAATCCCCAACCCAGAGAAGCTCCTCTTCGGAGTCGAATGCAATGGTGCCAATATTCGGCGAAGGCCCAAAGCCATTGACGTCAGATGATGGTAGCTGGAGGCTTTGCAACTGGTAGCAGATAGTTAGTCCCCTCAAATCAAGTTAAAGCTATGAAACCTGTGCAAGAAATGCTCTAGCAATCAGCTGAATGACTCATCCGTCTTGTGACACCATTGCACCATCCGAATAAAGAATTCGACTGAATCGCCATAGATGTGGACTTTATCTCGATTCCGGACTTGATGGGGGAGACTTCTACTGAAGTATCACGAGAATGCGGAACAGCTGCAGGTAGCCGATTTGGAAAGCGCGGAGACTTACAGCTTGCCAGTCGCTTTCCATGTCGACTGCCTACTCACCCAGAAAGTATGACTGATAGGTCAGAATCGCAGGTGTATGATCGTGTACGGGTTCCTGGAGAGCGGCCCTCGAGGCTTAGAGCGAACACGGAAGTCATCATGCCTGGAACATAGACTTCCAACGCCTATCTCGATATCCGTGAAAGCTACATTCGTGAGACTACAGAGACCCAAGTTGGAGCATGCTTTGGTTGCGTGACGCGTATTAGGAGAATCACATCATTGGGTGTTGTCAAAATGGATGCGGCTCTGATGTCTGACGCATGCCAAGACAACGGCTTTACGTGGCCAATCTCCGGGGAGCTTCCAAGCGGTCCAGCCTCCAATCTTTAGGGGTGCTTAATATATATTTTTATTTATATGGATACTTATTAGAATCGAAAAGCTTAGGAGCAGCGAATCATTCTTATAATCTAAAAGACTTGCTATTTGTCAATCCTCCTATAGTTGATTTAGGTCAGTACCTTTGTCCAGTGTTTGGCCAATCCTTCGACAAACTACCGTCCTCCACACAAACTCCATACACCCTTGGTCACAACAATACAGACAACAACGTCCGGAGTGGACTGTTGATAAAACTTGGAATTCTCGGCAGCCTCGACAGGGTCTAGGGTTCCCAGCTTTTCGCCTGAAGTCACAAGGTTTTGCCTTACAAATTTGATCTCAATAGGATTGCGAACCTCCCTTTCCTTGAAACTACGCTCCCAGTTTTCAGAACATAATTTTTGCAATTGAGAAAAGGGCAGGAGCGACATTACTCGCAAGGAAGTCTGACGCTTGCATGAGCTTGTCTTGATTTGAAGCCAGTGGGGAAGAGTATCTGATCTTTCTTTGTAATGATGATTTTGAAAATGTTCGTCCTATATAGTCATTGTTCCACCCTCTGCTGTAATACACTAGCGAATTATTCTAATTCAAATAATCCGAAGAGCCTTAAGAATAGACACCGATGTTTTTTGAAACATTCCGTCTATTTTCGATGCTTTTGACGTCAGACATTTGTTGAACATCTCCAAATTGAGGCGGGGAATCACGGACTACCTTATGACACACATTCGGTACTTTGAAAATGGCTCCGTAAGTGGGAAGGTGGAAAGGTATGATGTTCCAATACTTGAGTCCCAGGACTCATTTTTTAGAGCCGCTCCAAGTCGTCACTCGGTTTATTTCCGACCGAGAAGACTCGAGTTCCGATACCCAACGAAGGATTTTCAAGCTCAGAGAGGTCAGAGCTGTTGTAAGCGCTAGAATGTGAACCGATATGGGTGCTTGCTTCGGCTCGATCAGCTTGTTGACTGGATGGCCATCCTCATCATGAGTCGGCTTATGTGGCTTCGAAGCAAGATCCGCAGCGATTGGATTGGATTGTCAGAAAGCAGGTTCGAATATTGTGGGGTGATCAATCGTTCACCAATCATACATTGCTAATCCCTATTCCTCTTGTAAGCTCGAAATGTCAATTGAATAGTCTTATATGGAGAGAGCCTGAAGTGAATGGTGTGGTTGATTCAAAGTGAATGATACGCTTATTTCCTACTTATCATCATTCCCCCATGATCATATTTAGACTCTATCATCCACCGCTAGCATGATCCTACCATACAATACGCAAATTCAAATATCAAACATAGACTCCAATTGATTCGAAACAGCTTTTCAATTCCATCAAGGTGGCTAGAGAGATTCTGAGTCTATGGTCAGCGCGCCTATTCTACGTCTCACATTGTTTCGTGATTGACAATTTTGCAGTAGGCTTGAAGACGTGATATCCCCGTCTTCTTGATGCCCCCGGCAAATTTCACAGATCTTCCTCTAGAGATACGTGTGATGATCTACGAATTGATCCTTCCAAGCTCCGGAAAACCACCATCGTCAATCATTGTTGGGCCCGCGAAACACGCAGGCGTACCTTTACGAACCACCGGCCAACATGCTCTACTCGCTAAAAAGGCATCCACTGCAGACATTGCGTTTGAATTCCGATCAATATTCTTCAAGAGGTTTTCTTTCAAAGTCCAAGCAGGTGAATTAGGTGATTTTCTGCGCGGAAGATGCGCTATCGATGGTTTCTACGGTGCCTTTCCCGTCAAAACTGTAGTGGAGCATCTCGTGGTTATCCTCAACTCGAGCAGTCGAGGGGAGCACCATCTGTATTCTGTAATGCACCTTCTCAACGACTGTAAAAAACTGAAGACAATTTCGTTTGGTTTTCAATCAGTATTTGTGGAAAGCATCAGGATGATGTCATTCCTACCAGACTTCAAATTTTCAGTCAAAGTACTTGATGAGCGGCTAAGGAGACTTTGTCGCTTTTCGGAGAATCTCATCATTCGCAGTGGAGAGCTCTGTCATGGTGTTGCGTTCAAAGGCACACGGGTGCAGGATTTGGCAGCCACTTTAAGCAAAGCTGCGCATATCGACCCAATCGTTATGATAGATTTGACCGACGAGCCAGAGGACTCATAAATTGCGCGTGGGACAGTCGCGGCGGGAATGGGAATGGCTGGTTAGGTGGATCTTGAATCATTTCTGCTGTTCAATTTCAGAGGTGAGGGAGCAAGAGAGGGAGTACTCTGACTGCGATTGAATAAGGCATAGGCAAGAACTGGAGGGCATTCGGACCATGGCGATGGTTCAGCGTACTCTGCACTGTTGTTAGAGCGCTGATCTCGGACCAGCATCATCAGCATATATATCAGCAAAGTCGGTATGGACATGAGGTTCCTAGAGTCTCGGTGAACCTAGCCCATATCTATTTGATCTTCTTAGCCTTCAGCTTTATGGTCTCCCCATTAACAAATATGCCTTTGCCCTTATACGGTTCCGGCACTCTCCACCTCCTAATCTTAGCCGCAAACTCATTGACCACTTCTTTATCGCACCCCTCAAGCAATATCCTTGTAGGCTGTGGCACAGTAGCTTTCATTCCTAAAGGTACTGGCAGCTCAATAGGATGGTTGAAGCCGACCTTCAGCGAGACGAATTGTTGACCCGGGTATTCAGGCTTGATCGTGACGGCTGAGGATTCAACCGATTCCATCGTCGCACGGTAGCCAACGCCCACAAGGCGCAAGACAGCAGCATGACCTTCTGAGACGCCCAAGATGTAGTTTTGGATATATGATCGTGTTGTGCCTAGACCAATCAACTGGAGTGACCAACGAACAGGCTGGGTCCACAAACCCCACATCTCCCTCTGCTTTCGCTCAGTACGATCCGCGATCTTCAATAAAGCTCTTCGTTTTGCCTCGTCAATGTTCAAGGTCATATAGGGTTTCAATGGATGGGACGCTTTGCCTGATGACTGTCAATCGTGTATTTTCTTGTAGCGTAGCAGGAGGCCTTTTACCTAATGGGCCTTCTATTTCCACCATCGTCATCGGCGCAGCACGTCTAGTCAGGATCTTCGTAGTAGCTGGTGGCTGTATGATCCGAAGATTCACTTCTTCTGGCAGTGACAACGGCTCACCACCGACTCGAGAGCTGAATGGACAAGTGCTTGAAAAGGGGCGGTGACCCTTTGGAGTCGCTAAGGCAGGTACGAGGAAGTCTGGTAGCAGTGAAGTAGCTGCTTGAGCCTGCTCGAAGCTGCGCAATGCGCTTCGTGATCGTAGTATCATGGTGAATGCTGTTTCTCCACTGAAATCGCTTGATCAAGATTGAGAAGTCGAAGTCCAAAACGTGATGACTAAGCTGTCTCGAGGCTTGGCGCATGTGATTTGGTGGCGGGCTCGCGATCTTTGCCGAACCTCAAATTGCACGACGTCGATGCGCCTTTGACAAACACCAAGTCGCCTTTTGGTGGTGTATGAAGCTATTGCCGATCACGCGAGCTAACAGTGAAGCTTTTGAAGGTGTTCCTTTGTCTTGAGTACAACAGCTGGCTGGTCCATGCGTCGATGTGCGTGACGAAGGATTCTGAGCGAGAACGGAAAGTAAATACAGACCATTGACAAGTGAAAAGTGTTGTTTCGTCATTCGCTATTCCATTCTGTTCATTAGCTTGTTGTCTTTACTCATTCGAATCTTCCTGCTTTGTCGCACTCTTTCATTCTACAACCATTAAGCCCACTAAGGAAACTTAGCATGGCTCCTCCGTCATTAGGAATATGTTGGCTTGTATATGTCTACGTGATCCTTAATACACTTTCTGACACTGCTGCTTTCGGAATACTATCGAGATCGAGAGGTAAGCTAAGTCTGGTCATGGAATAAGCTATTGTCACCAAGTGATTAAGCAAGGGCTGATCTGTGCAGCCCCGAATCCTGAATCAATAAATACCTCCGATTTACAGGCTCTTCTGCGGCCAGACTCTATTGACAGCAATGAGGTATACAAAGAGGCCATCCATGTACTTGCTTCCATGCAATCATCGCCAACATGCATTCGGTACGCAACTTCCACATTGCTCTATTCATGTCAAGCAATCGAGGCCTCGAATCAAGACGCCGAAAACGATCTAGAAGATCTGAAATCAGTCTATGCCACCCAGCTCGCAATCTGTGAGCTCTCTGATGCGGGCTCATCAGTACCCCAGTCATGCAAAGGGCTAGCAGTGACGCCAGGCATGAAGTCGACCGAGCACCTCAAATGGATACGCAAGTCCAAGATCAGCGAATGTTTGAAGGCTTTAGAGTCAAGGCCGCAGTCATGGACTAGCTATAGTAACAGCAAACAGAATGCAGTGACGCTTTGTCGAGCAACACGCATTGACATTGAAAAGGGTAAGCAGCAAGCCTGATCAATGCTGTCACTAATAGTCATCAGACGATACGATCAAGCTTCACCAAGAAATGGTAAAGACGCAATCGAATGCTAATCAAGCTCTGCAAGAAGCAGCGCAGGTTGTTCAACAAGGCTTACAAAAGCTTCAAAGCGATTTCGACAGTGCAAGGGAGGCCTTCAACAACCAATTGTTGCGTGAAATAAAAGAATCTACGGCTCAAACTCAGACTTTGATCGCAACGATGACCACTAGCTTCAGTTCTGCCCTCGACAGCTCGCTCCGTAAAGTACGATCATACTCAGGTACTCTGGAGTCACATTTAGCCGCCTTGACCAAGGTAAGTTCCAGAACTCTACGCTGTAGTATTCTTGCCAATACGCAACAGAATATCAAAAGCGCTAGCTCATCAACTACTAATCTTGAGCACAATGTTGGCAAAGTCTTCCAGAAAGTTGTCGAAGGAAGCTCCGAGCTTGCCCACGTGCAGACAAAGCAGTGGGAAACTAGCCGAAGAGTTGCGACAGAATTGCAAGCTTCCCTGAAGGGCATGCAGCAGGGAGACCTGGCTTCTTTGATCCGTTCGCTTAACGATATGGGAGTCCGACTAGATGCATCGAATGAGCTCATCAGCCGGATATACGAGCGACAGAACAATTTCGAGCAGCGGATGGACAACCTGGGTCACTCCTTCTCAAGACTTGAGTCGAAGGCTGAGGCAATTGGGGTTGCACAGCAGCGTCAAGGTGAGACTCAAGAGAAGCTCTCACAGCAGATGGAGGTCGACATGCAAGTGGCCCAGGGCTTTCTTACGGACGTCGCCTCAAGTGCGATGCACCTGCAAGCAACTGTCTCGGAGACCTCATCCAAGATCCAGTCTATGGCTGCTTTCGCGAAGGTCTTCAGTACCATTCTCAATTGGACCTACTTCTTCGGTTGTGTCGTGCTCTTGTCGATTATCGTAACAGCAGTGGCCATCGGATGGCAGTACAATTCGAGACTGACTTTCTATCTCTTAATATTACTTGGTGAGATGAAACACATAACATTCAACTGCTTGTCTGACATGCTCTAGGGGTTGCCCTTCTTACTACATACCTTGCCATCATGATTTCCTCAGGTGATCATCGACTTCAAGCAATGTCAAAGCTAGCTGACTTCGACGACGTATTTGCAAAAGTGACCTTTGCCTTCGGTCTCCTACTCGGGGCCTGTGTAGCGGGCTACTACATATACGTACGGAGGCGTTCATCCGAAGTATTCTTTGACTCACGTTATGTTGGGGCAAGATCACGATTCGGCTTCAAATGACCCCCAAGCTTCCTCAATCATCTCTCTCTTACTTTCACACGCAAACCTCAGCATTCCTCAACATTGAGAACATCACAGTAGAGGCGTACTCTAGACTCTGGGAACCCAGCAAACAATTTTGGCAACACGACATTACGAACACTTATTTTGCAGTATTTGCTACACACCAACATCTTTGGCATCATATTAATGATCAGCTCTTGCATCTCACAGCTCATGCATCTTACTGGCTTTACAACAGCACACATGACGATTTTGGCAGGCTCATGGGCTTCTATGCATTTCATGGCTTTCCAGGACGGGGGCCGTCATGGCAATGTTGGCGCATGCCCTAGGATTTGCTCAACGGCGATAGATTAGCGATGATACCCACGAATGCATATATATGCTCATTGCTCCCATTGGAAAGTCCCGCTATACCTCATGCATCTTTCTGCAGGTCTATCATCGACGCATCATCACTTGCAATGCATCTCCCCCCTCGGCACCACACCCTGTGACCCTGTATTTCTGCAAATCTATGCTGCTCTCCGCCCGGCATCGCACATCCATAATCCTGCTCCACGTTCCTCCCCAGACCCCTTGCATGCATACCCAAAAGCCGCCTTTCCAAATCCATCATTTTCAAAGTCCACCATTCGAACAACTGGCCAGTCCAAGACACATCACTCATGCACTGACCCGCTTTCGCAAGATTGAGAACTTTTTACCCCCCTCGCCTGGCCTTACATATCGTGTTGCAGGCCGCTATCCCTCATGCAGCATTCTCCCAATCTACCGTTGAACGACTGTCGGAATGCTGTGGAAGAATCACCAAACCCCTTTCGCAATTCCACAAGTCCAGGATTGAAGCCGGGAAGATATGTGCTGAAGGTTGCATGCATAGAACAGTGCATTAGCGAAATACACCATTCTTGATATGGGATTTTTAGAGTCTAGCATTGAATAGTATGTGCGACCTGCCTACTTTCTGACCTCGCCTCGTCACCCTCTTTCTGTCCCATTTTCCCCCTCTCTTGGCTAGCCAAATCGATTCTTCATCTCCCTTCACCAACCCATCCTCATCTCCTAAGCGCCTCAATATCCTCAACCTCCTTCACAGCCTCGGTACTAAAAACCACAGGCCCCTCCTCCCCAACTCCCACCGAATCCTCAACCCTGACCCCCATCCCCCTAAACTGCGGCGGAAACTCCTCCTCATCAGGCACATACACCCCCGGCTCCACAGTAACGCACATACCCTCCTCCAGCCTCTTCTTCCTACTCAGCCCAGGCGTATCATGCACGTCCAACCCCACATAATGTCCCACATGGTGCGGGAATAATCGAATGAAATTCCTAATCTTGCCCGTATAATCGCGCTCGAAGCCTATATCAGACAGATTTTGCTGGAGGAGGGACTCAGCGATCTTGTGCAGATCGTCCAGAGATGTTCCGGCGTTGGCGCGGCAGAGGGACACGCAATGTCTCTGCACGGCGAGAACGGCATTGTATAGATCTTTCTGCGCCGTGGTGAACTTTCCAGACACAGGCCACGTTCGCGTGATATCGGCTACATAGCCCCCATATTGTCCCCCCGCATCTACGAGCACCATGTCATCGCACTTGAGGAGGGCGTTGTTCGAGGTATAGTGGATTATGCTTGCGTTTCTGCCGCCGGCTACGACGGGGATGTAGGCGTCCTTGTCGCAGCCGCTGGCGCGGAATTGGTAGGAGAGGTGGTTGTGGAGGGATGATTCCGAGGGCCAGGACTGGGCGATGGCGGAGGTGAGGGCGCGGCCGGAGCGTTGGCCAACGGTACGGAGGAGAGATAATTCGGCGGGGGACTTGATGGCGCGGAGATTGTTGAGGAGAGGGTTCAGAGGTGAGGTTTTGGTGGTGCCGAGGAGAGAAGCGAAGGGTGTTGAGGCTGTGGAAGGGGAGATGAAGCGGGAGAGGAAGGAGGAGTCGGGCTTTTTTGTTGTAGGGATATCGGTGTAGACTTTTGAGGCTGAGCTGAGTATGGATTTCAAGTGTGTTGAGAGACTAGTGATATCACCAGTCTAAAGAAGTTAGGTATTTTCGAAAGCAATTGACCATTTTGTGGAAGTACCTCATCGGCGTTGAATATGTCGACGGCTGCCTGCGTCCCGGAGCGAACACCTTCCCATTGCTCCGCTTTTGCATCCTTTTCCCGCACATAGAGATAGAATGTGTGGTCTTTGCCTGTTGCGTCTTTCCCTAACAACGATCAATCGTGTCCTGATCTTGGATATTCAAAGGCCTACCAATCACTGCCAATGCATCGGGCTCATTGAAGCCTGTTCATCTTCAGCCTATGTTCATTTTCCCTTATCTCTGCGCGCACCCGTCAGGTAGAAGAAGTTCGAGTTCTGATGAAAGTCGTAGAAGACATCATGACTTTTCCACTTGACGTCTGTAGCTTCAAGGATTGCAATTGCTCCATTTGGGAGTTCACTTGCTAATTTTGACCTGCGCTGAGCATATTCGAGAGCGGTAATGCCAGGCGTCACTGTGATCGTTTCAATCGAAGATTCCTGATCCGCACCAATGGATAGATAGACCTACATTCTCCTGGCTTCAGCAAATGTGGGTGCGTCTCGTGTACGGGCTGTCCAAATTGAAGCTCTGCAGCGGGAACGGAACTGTATGTACGGCGCTGGAAAAAAAACTGACGCCTTGATTGACTCGACCTACAAAGGCGCACAGCTGACTGACGATATGCCATACATCTTGTGAATGTGTTGGCACATCGCTGCATGCTTGTTAAGAGATTGATCGCCGGAGCGACGCCAGCAGAGGAAATCCTCGGCCAGGCGCGGTCCTCCCTGTGACATCACAGGCTGGTGCAGGCAGTGACACTTTGCTGCCTGGTAGAGCAATACAATTACGATGTTGCTTTTAGGGCATGAGCATCTCTGCAATAAGCATCTCAAGGAGTCTACGAATTCAGCAGTTCAAAGTCCATTTCCTCGCAAGGATGGCTAGTACTGCGCCTACAATCAATCAAGCCGACCTCGAGTCCTTCTCTAAACACCTCAAGGCTTCGACCCGTATCCTTGCATTATGTGGCGCTGGACTCTCGGCAGCCTCAGGTCTGCCTACGTTTCGAGGAGCAGGTGGTTTATGGCGAAAGCACGATGCGACACGCCTTGCTACGCCTGACGCATTCTCCTTGAACCCTAGCCTTGTATGGCACTTTTACAGCTACAGGAGGCATATGGCGTTGGAAGCAAAACCCAATGCTGCACATTATGCTCTTGCTGAGCTGGCGAGGCACAAGAACGAATTCCTCACGTTGACCCAAAACGTTGACGGTAGGCTGAATTTTGCCAAACATCTCAATTGTGCGCTTATACAATACTAGGACTGAGCCCACGCGCTGGACATAAGGCGGAACAGATCAAGTATGTCCACGGATCACTCTTCGACGTCAAATGTACGAGTTGCGATTACAAAGAAACGGACAATTTCATCGACCCTATCGTTCCTGCTCTTGCAATCCCCAAAGCTGGCCCCGAGCCCACACCCGCCGCCACAGCCACGTCCGGGGCGGCCGCGACAGACTCATTGACAGACGCCTTGAACCAGAAAGAGCTCGATATCTCTGACGAGACGGTAAAGATAGCGGATATTCCTACCCAAGATTTACCACAATGCCCAAAATGCGGCACGGGCCTTCTCCGACCAGGGGTGGTCTGGTTCACTGAAATGCTTCCTCGCAAGGTCATTCGAGAGATCGACGACTACATCGAATTCAGCTCCAAAATAGACTTGATGATCGTCATCGGTACGAGCGCGGCTGTCTACCCAGCGGCGGGATACATAGACGAAGCGAGGGAGAAGGGTGCACGGGTAGCTGTCATCAACATGGACAAGGACACGTCAGAAGGTCTGTGGCATGGAGACTGGTTCTTTGAGGGAGACGCAAGTGTCCTCTTGCCGGTGCTTTTCAAGGATGTGATTGGCGACATTGATCACATGGTGAACAGCCAGGCGTGATTATTGAACACAGGGACGAGGACCAAGCTGAACCAGTCCTTTTCCTCCGTACATCTCTATCCCTCTTCTAGTTACTCCACAGGCACCGCAATCACTGGAAGCCAATAGAGGAGCTGAAGGTTACCTAACCCGTACAAGCGAAAGGCGGGGTCCTAGCGTTGGTCTGGACTCTCCGGCTGGCACAAGCTGCATACGTCAGTTATGCAGAACAAAGACTTAAGCTAAAGAATATCCACAGTTCAACATCATTTTGCCTACGCTACCTTGGTTGTGTACAGCCTCACCCTTCTGCCTAGTTCATCGATACTTGGGTCTGGCCACGTGAGTCTGTTTCTGCCCCACCTTGCGAATCAAAGCTTGGCCTGATCCTTCATTGGATCGCACTGCCCTCGTCCATCATTTCAACCTCTTCCATTCGTCCACTCGGCGCCTCCGATATGACCCGACTCTGCAGGCAGGGACGCTAACGTAGAGACCACGAAACAATTCAAAAGCAAGCAGTATGCCTTCTCGAGAACTCGTCAATGGAATCACTTCCCCATCTCCACTCTCCTCCGACTTTGCACACCAGCAGCAACAGAAACAACTCGGCAACAACTTTCACTCAACTTCGCTCAGGATGATCAACCCAGCCAGCGTCAATCGCACCAACTTGCATCCGACTGGTGTTGAGTGAGTCAGAGCCCATGTTGACGAACTGGATGATCTCTGCTGATACTCAATTGACAGACCGCAGCAAGAGCGAGAGCATACGGAAATAGAAGAGGAACTCCATGAAAAGGCCCATATTGATTACGATCGCGTTGCCATCGTACGAGTAGCCTTGAACTGCCCTTGATGACTTTTCTGATCAAAGCCAGATCGCCAATCCCTCAGTAGCATCTCTATACGAAGATGCACTCGTCTACGAGACTGGTTCTGCAATCACGGCCTCAGGAGCATTGACTGCGTATTCAGGATCTAAAACAGGCCGCTCGCCTCTTGACAAGCGAATCGTCAAAGAAGAAAGCTCGGAGAAGGATGTATGGTGGGGGCCGGTCAACAAGCCAATGTCACCTCAGGTACGACGCCCTTTCTTCACGATCTGAATCATGTGCAGGCTTTCGGGCGCAACGCTCTGTGATAAGGGATGAGGTCGCGGGGCGACGGTTGTTTGCCTCGGCAGTCACCCCCTCGGTCCGCAGTCCGCCCCACTTGCCTTATCCCTTATCTGAACCTCACGTGCCTGCAGCCACATTGCTAACATTTTTTCATCGCAGGTCTGGAAAATCAATCGAGAACGAGCGGTCGACTATCTGAATACGCGGAATCGTATCTACGTCATCGATGGCTTTGCTGGCTGGGATGAGCGGTATCGAATCAGTGTACGGATCATCTGCGCCAGAGCCTATCATGCCTTGTTCATGCGAAACATGCTCATTCGACCATCGAGGAAGGAACTTGAGCATTTCCATCCAGATTATGTAGTTTACAATGCGGGCTCGTTCCCCGCCAATCGTTATACCAGTGGAATGAGCTCTTCTACATCCGTTGCCATCAATTTCCAAGAAAAGGAGATGGTCATTCTAGGTACTGAATATGCTGGAGAAATGAAAAAGGGCATCTTCACTGTCCTATTCTACGAAATGCCGGTCAAGCATAATGTGTTGACTCTGCATTCCTCGGCAAACCAGGGCAAGGATGGTGATGTGACAGTATTCTTCGGGCTCTCTGGCACAGGCAAGACGACCCTCTCAGCAGACCACAACCGTGCGCTGATTGGCGATGACGAACATTGCTGGAGCGATACAGGCGTCTTCAATATTGAGGGCGGTTGCTACGCCAAATGCATCAATCTCTCGGAAGAGAAGGAGCCCGATATCTTCCATGCTATCCGCTTTGGTTCCATTCTAGAGAACGTCGTGTTTGACCCTGTTACAAGAGCCGTGGACTACGACGACTCGACATTGACGGAAAACACTCGTTGTGCATATCCGATAGAATACATTGAGAATACCAAGATCCCGTGCTTGACAGATAGACACCCCACAAACATCATCCTCCTTACTTGTGATGCTCGAGGCGTACTACCACCGATATCGAAACTGACTAGAGAACAAGTCATGTTCCACTTCATCTCAGGTTATACGTCAAAGATGGCTGGCACAGAGGATGGTGTGACGGAGCCACAAGCCACCTTCTCGTCTTGCTTTGCCCAACCCTTCTTGGCGCTACATCCCATGCGGTATGCAGAGATGCTAGCAGAAAAGATCGCGCATCACAATGCCAATGCCTGGCTCTTGAATACTGGATGGGTCGGTGCTGGTGCTACCACGGGTGGCAAACGGTGCCCGTAAGAATTCCAATGTCATCCACCCATGGCCTTGATACTAATGATCCTGCAGCCTCAAATATACACGTGCAATCCTAGACTCAATCCACTCCGGTGAACTCGCAAAAGCCGACTTTGAGACCTACGAAACATTCAACTTGCCCGTCCCAAAGAAATGCAGAGGCGTACCTGACGAATTGCTGAACCCAGCGAGGTCTTGGCATGGTCATACGGAGTTCAAAGATGAGGTTACAAAGTTGGGATTGCTGTTTGTTGAGAATTTCAAGAAATATGAGGACAAGGCCACTGCGGAGGTGATAAAAGCTGGTAAGTTAGATTCTTATCAAAGGTAATGCACATGATATTGACCAGTGGTAGGCCCGGAGATAACGAGATGCACGACTTGCTCACGCGAGATTGCGAAGTAGCAGCTGATTAATGAGCTGATGTGATGAAACACTGTACATTGACAACGGCGAGATTGTACATCAAAAAGCCAATTTGGACAGAGCATGAAAACAAAGATATCCGCACTACCGTGCTTTTCAAGTATTTTTACCAATTACTTGTCCATTCGAGCTCCCAAATGAACATCTACCTATGATATGGAAATGCCCTCTGATCTATTGAGATTGCTGCTAATGGTATACATTACCCCCAACCTCGACCCAGCCCCGGGAGGTCTGAGGAGGCGTCGGAGTGTAAAACTAATCCCTACCAAATGCCGAAACCTGGACAGGTCTACTCTCCTCAAACGAAAGCGGAGATGGTGATTCCGTAAGTCATTGAAACAGCTTGAGGAGATAGTGAACACGTCCGCTCTCTCCGTCATTGCCAACCTGCGGTCGACTAATGCATCGCTTGCCCTGAATAACAGCGGCACGTTCACCCCAAAATAAACTGCACACCCAAGTGATCGATTTTGAACACTTGATATTGCTTTATGAAGGTAAGTCCAGGTAATGCTTGATACTCTGGACAGACCTAGTGCAATGTTGAGGCACAATAGGTACGTTTCATTCGCAACAATGGTATGTTTGACTGGTTGTTTCGGGGTAAGACTCCAACAGTAATACCCGACCCGAACCTTCAATGGGGGAATGGACCTGTTTCGATACGCGAGGCTAGAGCCTCATCGGTTACTTGACTGTTGATGCGGTTGCGATCCGTGCCGAAGCTGTATGAAGTCAGCGTTGTGACCAGAAGTATTCGATCCAAGATCTAAAAATAGGATCGTACTCAGGGGTATCACTGAGTCCCGTTTGGAAACGTTCTTGAAACCAGCCGCATTTGAGCACGCTTCTCCGGTACTTCTAGGATAGAGAAGAGTATTTCCGAAGTTGAAGGACTGTCGGGATTGAGGTAAGTCTACGCCTCATTCGGTCACAAAATCAGCCTCCTCTTCGCTTGCACCCATGTGTTATTGACTGAGACTGGGACATATATGATCCAATACTCAGCTTGATCGTCGAGCACGGGCTTCTGAAGGGCTATCTCTAGGAGACAGCTTTCAAAATTTAAGACAATGCGTTGATGTACTCGATCAAATTTTGCCTCAAGTGGCATACGGTAGGCATTGATGGAGGTCCGAGGGGGGGGGAAGGGGGGGGGGGGGGGGCAGGGAAAGAGCCTGGAGGAAGGGAAATTTGTAGGGATGGTGATGGCAAAGCGGTCTTAGTTTTGAGGGGGCAGTGTGTAGGCTTTGATGGGTGGCGATCTCTCGATCTCTTATTCAGGGTTTGGGGCAGTAGCATAGCAGGCAAAAGACGTGGAAACGTTTAGGTATTAGGAAAGAAGCAGACATGTTTTATTGAACGTGTTGCTTTCCGTCTAGTACAGCGTGAAATCAGCAGTATTTTCACTGGTGTTGAATGACTCTTCTATCATAGTCTTGTCTCGCCCAACCTGCAACTCATTGGAGCCATCAATATACCAATCAGCCGAGATGTGAGTGATGGCACTCTTATTGCGTTGCTGAGAAGTTCCGGTTTGATGACATCCAGTATCAGCGATATAATGAGCGGTTGTATTGGCTGATTCAGGCTGGTTTTGATCATTGCCCTTCTGCTTCCTAGCTTTCGTTTGACGCTTTGGCGTGTCTCTGGCCTCGTGGTTACTGCAGTCTGGCTTCTGCTTGCGACCCTTGTTGTGAGTCTGGCCTTGATGTTGGCCATGTTCTGCAGGATTGATGTGTGTCTCGATATCCAGCAGTTCTGCAAAGGAGGGGATTTCTTGTGGGTATGGTGGACCCATATTGGGGTCGTTGTCGAAAGGCTTCTCTAAAGTTATAAGGTCGGTCTTGTGACAAGTAATGGACTCTTGGTGGTAGGAGTCATAATCACTCATAGTCCATGCCTGATAGGTCGACGTGAGGGACGCATTGCCGGCCTGGGACTCTTTGGTGCTTCCGTTACGTGAGTGAGTACGGTCTCTAAGAGCACTCATCTTGCTGTGATTGATTTTGGATTTTGAGACTGATGACGATGTTGCGAGGTGGTATGATCTCTTTGTGGGAGAAGAACGTGGGCTTTATAGCCATCTTCAACAGACGTTAAGCCACGAAGTAGGATCAGGGTGGTCAAGCAGAGATCCTTATGCTGGGGGACTTTTTATTACCGCGGGAGACACTCATGTGGTTTCACATCCAGTAATCGTCAGATGTGGATACTGATCGCACCATCGTACCACAGGTTAGTCCAATGAGACAAGTATGCCCGATACCTTTTGAAATTTTCCATTCGCTTGTACAGCACACGGATTCTGCTCAAGTAGACTTTTGGCATGAGCCATCATCATGAGATCGCGGCTGAGACATGGGGATCCTCCAATTGATCGAATTAGAGAGCCAGCCTTTAAATTCTGTGGTTGAATGTGAGGGACCCTTTGTCGAGTGTGAAAATTGAAGTCCCTGCTGAGCCCACCAAGACGCCACGGGTACTTTTTGTTCGGGCCTGAGATTGGAACCTCTTGTGATTCTACGTAGCCTTGGCGACTTCAGTCTCCAACCATGTCATATTGGTCGGCAAGTGTCCATCTGGTCTTTGGGATTCGCGTAACGGATGGACGAGTGGTGGCCAGCATGTCGCCCCACGCACGGCGGTGAGATGCCTACCAAGACTGACGGGCAAGTTTGCTGCTGAGTCAATGTACGGTACCTTTCGCAAGAGAAGTAGAAAAAGTAAACAGGATTTCATATGCACGAGACTTTCTGTTCAAATGGTGAGGCGTCAACCCGTGCGATTGATGTCGAAATCAACATACTACTTTCGGAATAGTGCTATGTTCTAGATTTCGTTGCAACCCTTCAAGCACAGCGGCCTTATGCTTCTTCCCATGTCTGGGACTTTTTGTCAGGCACAAGGTCATACCGCCCGATGATTTTCATCAAGGCTAGCCTAGGTAATCTCGCTTTCGAGACTCGGTAGGACGAGCCGACAAGCACACCCACAATTGAACCAAGACTAAGCTCGAATCAGGTCTTGTCATTGACAAGGGCGGGAATAGGAGACTGAGTACCTTCCCATCGACCCATCACGGCCATATGCATGCCAAGAAGTCTAGGTTTCATCGGGGATAGGCCTCATGCGAGGGGACTTCTGTTCAGGCACTAATGTATACTATGACAAGCCTATTGATTCGTCATCCTGATCGATTGGCTGATGAGAAAGGGCGCCCCAGACCGAGGAAAAGTGGCGTAGACCTCACAGCAGACACCCCCGTCCCAATGTGCGAGGTACCTTCTGTAGCTCGGCCTCAGCCTATCGGGTGCAGAGATCTCAGCCGTGGCTGAGGGCGCTGTTTGATGAGCACTGGTAAGGCTGAGATGTGCGTCAGAAGGTATGGTGTTAAAGCTGGCTCGGATGCCCCTTGAGGGCTGAAAGTCATTCGATCATCAAATTCCTGTACTCAACTCTACGACAGTTCCACTGCGTACTCTGTATATTGTTATAACGCGTTTTTGCCTGTAAACCAGTGTAGAAAGACGCTCCTCGAGTTCGTGCAAGGTACGTCAGCAGCGTAAAGCAGGACTACAGAAGTTAGTCTAGAGCAAATGGAAAACTTTGATCCAGTCATGGGCGAACGACATGAGCAGATGGCGATAGACCAAGGTCTCCTCCCACAGCCCAATCTCAACGACCCTGAGCTAAGTTTCGATCATGCGCTCCGGTGCTCGAATGGGAACCACGTGGAAGACCCTTCGTCCGCATCAGCAAAGCAAGGTGAATGGTGTGCAGAGCCCACCGAGAAGGACTGGGAACGTTTGAAACCGACAATCGCCGAACTCTATGCCAAAAACACTCTGGAAGAGGTTCGAAAGACGATGAAGCACGATCACGGCTTGAAAGTAAGGTGGGTCGTTCCTCTACTTCTCCTCCAAATCGACGATATTCACGATCTTGCAGCACGAAGATGCTCAAAGACCGACGGCGCAAATGGAACCTCGACAAGAACATTAAAAGCCACGAAATGAGAGCTATCATTCGCATACAAGCGCAGTTGGAGCGTGCAGGCAAGACACCAGTATTCACTCTTCGTGGCTCGCACGTATCTCGAGAAAAAATTGCGCGATTTCGAAGATCCATGCGGGCTCTTTCTGACGATAAGATACTGAGGCTCCAAGACCCCACGCCGCCGGGACTGGTTTGCCAGACGCCAGTAGATACTCCAATCGTTGCTCCAGTCTTAATACAGCTTGCTGAGCGTATTGGGAGGTTGCTAAAAGATTATATTCACGGCTCGTTCGACGCAGGCACTTGGTATTTGACAGACAGTGGTGAATGCGGGAGCACTAAGGGATCCTGGAAGATTAGCTATGACTTCCACGGGGACTGTAATCGAGCCCTTCAATTTCTGGATCGCAATGATCTTGGTAGTGCACGTCGATACTTGGATATTGCTCTGGCGCGGGTAACTTATTCTGCTTATTCGTGGACATCTGGCGCTCTGAACACTACTCCACCTTTATTCTTTTACTTCTGAAGCAACTGGCAGCCATGTGCAAAATAAAGCTGGATCCGAGCCATCCTTTCCGAAGAATCTTTCTTAGTTTGACGCAATTGAACAAGTCCGAAATAACCCAGACTCTTCGCGTGGCTCAAGAAGTCGAGATTGACTGCTTCATTCAACGTGCAGGCCGCTGGAGCTGGGAAACTCTGCACTTTGAATATCAGCGACTATTCTATTGCCTTAAGAATGATAGGGCGGGGGCGACGAAACGACTTGCTTCACTTCTCAGTGATGTCGGAAATATTTTTGGAGCTACAGATTTGCGAACACTCAATATTTGTCTGAAACTCGCAAGGTTTCACATTCTTACTGGCGAGTTCAAGGAAGCATTCGAGGTTGCTCAAAAAGTCATATCAATAGAAGAGACTAGGCGGAAAACACACCCGTGGTACCTTGCGGAGGGATACTTTACTTTAGCTACTGCTCAAGCCAGTTGGTCACGGGAAATCCTGGCCGAGGAGAACTTCCGTCGCGCAATTTACATTGCCGCTGGTGAATTTGGATGGGAAGACACTGTTGTGATTCGTTATATGTTACATTTTGAGCATTGGTTGGACAGCTGCGGCAGGCGGGAAGAAGCAGCTAGAGTCCGTGGAGACGGAGAGATGTTGGTGAGTCGGAGACACCAAAAACTTGCTGAAGAAGAGAGAGAGCGGTGGGAAGCTTATCAAGTAGCCCGTGGATCTGTCAAAGACAATGCTGACTCTGTTGAGTCTGTGGTAGAGTAGCAGGAATAGGGGCTCATACAGCTATTTCTGTCACCTCGGTAGTCAATGCACCATAAATCGCTCTTGCAACTAGCAATTACTCAAAGTATGAGGTCTCCCAAACTACTTCGTAATAGTACTGCCGTGATGACACCAATTTGGTGGGCCGCTAGCAATTTGAGCGTATAAACTGGTTTCCTTGATAGTGAGTGGTGAACTGACTACTAGACTGTCAGTCTGGCAACTAAAGATCCAATTCAGGCCTAGCAGTAGTCCATTGAAGCGGGCGCCAATGTTGTAGTAGGGTCAAGTCGCCTTCTCCAAGGAGCTCAAGTATCACATTGCAAGTCCAGATCTCAAAGACTCTCCAACATGCCAATGAAATCCACAATCAGACCAAAGCCAGAAAGACTTTGATCGGCTTTGAAACCCCAAAATATGGAGGAAGCTGATCGGAAACGGCTCTGAAAGCCATAAACCACCGCGTGCAAACTCGTCAGCGAGCAATGGGAAGCTCCCCATCAACCAAATAGCTGAAAAGAGGGCCCTTAGAAACCCTCGCACCCGGTAATGTGGTTTCACAGCTACCCTACAACGGCTCACAATCCAGTCTAGTAAAATTTCAATGGCGATACCAAGGGGCTGCAAAGCGAAGAATAGAAAGGAACAAATTGGTCTCGTGTCTCCCCATAGAGTGTGGCTTCCGCTTGCGTGGACGGCGCCACTAATCAAAAAGGGTACCACCAATCGAAGTACCATAACTGAAAACCTTGGCCTCTGGAGCGAAAGCAAACGTAGCACACCGTTTGCCGGCGAGACCAATTGGAAACGAAACATCTGATGCCACCAGGTTCCCCAAAAACCCAGCAGGCCACGTTCGAAGATTGAGCTCAGCGCGCCATACTGCGGTTGCCACGCCCAGGCATGTCCCCAAGTCCCCGCCACTCTTGGCCCAAGGATATTGAGGAATAGAAGCTCTCCACTCGTTGAGATCAATGTAATAGCAACATAGATGACAGCGAAAGCAATCGCTGACCTGTACAAACGCACCAAGGCCTCAAATGGCAGAAGATGCTCCAAATATCCCGGAGGGGCCGAGTCGATATCACCCCAGAAATACGGATCCTGAACAACGATCTCCTTCAATACATCCACAGCTAACCACACGAGGAACATTTTGCACAAGTTTCTCCTCAGCGAGGGATCATACTTAACGACCCCCAGTTGCTTAGCCTTCCCATCGTTCCCGTCGAAAGCCCAATGTAAGCCCCTCAGACTTCCCAAAAGGTCCAGCGTCCAGAAGAGCCTGTCGAGAAGCGGATCAGGCATTCCTTGCCATTCCACCGCTCCACCACCTTCACAAATAACAAGTCTTTTGAATTCCTTCCCCGGAGTGTGCACGAACATAAAATTGAAAGAAACAAGCACACACCAGGCACTAGCAATACCAATGAGCACGCCTCGCGCGAGTCCCAATGAGCGAGCGTGCTGCATTGCAGAAACCGAAACGGCGATGATGAGGGCGAAGAGGGCGGGTTTTGACCATCGTGGTAAGCTTTTCGCAAAAATTAAGTATACGATTAGTAGAGCATAGTTGAACAAGTCGTGGGGTAGAAGGAAAGGTCTGATACGGCCGACTACCATGGATTGACTGAAATCGAGAGCATGTTGATTTAGGGTTTCTGGGTATGAAGAGAATGTCATAGCTCAAGGGGTCCTCGTCTCGGTTACGACAGGCAGGACCCTCAACATCATTGCAAGGGAGGCCACATGGCAGGGTCAGATACCCGTGGGTTGTAAATCGTCGAAGAGTCGAAAGTCTTTTTTTTTTTTTTTTTTTAAATCCTACGCCGTTTCAGCCTTATAGGCTATGCCGGGTGCTATCTACGCAGACGAGCTACTTTACATCAATAAAATAGATACTTACTAACTCTTTAAACGATTAAAATCAAAATTAAAAGAATAGATATTAAAAATTAAAAATCTAACTAAATACTGTAGACCTAGATTACTAAAACTATTAATAGCCTTAATAATTATTACCCCCTAAAAACTAATACAAAACAAGCCTTTATACTTTTTTTTTTCTTATAATATATATTATTATAAGCTGTAGGTACTTATTTTTTGCTGCTAACTATATTTATACCAGTTTAGAAAGTTATTTTTAGCTTTAAAACTTTCTATAATATAAGGTTAGCTTTTGTTTATAGCTCTACCTTTCTTAGGTGCTTAAAGGTTTTAGTTTAAAATAAAAACTATATAATTATTATAACTTTTTAAATATCTTTTAGCTAGTTATTAATATTTATAGCTAAAGTATTCTAGCTTTAGTATTCCTTTTTTAAATTAATATATAATAAATAATTAAATATTAAATACTTAACTATTTTTTAGTTTTACTTATAGTTATATATAGCTAAGTTAGCTAGTTTCTTTAAATATAAATAGCTATAAAGCTTAATAGCCTTTATCCTAGTTCTAATTATAATTAATATAATAATTTATAACTTATTTATATACTTAAGAACGTTTTTTTTAAAAAGTTTCTTTACTAGCTTATAAAGATTATAGCTTATTAGTAAATACTTCTAATTATTTTTCTATATCTTTAAAACTATATCTTTTATCTTCTAATTTGCAGCTAATTTAAGCTTATAAATCAATAGGTATTAAGGAGCAGTAATTTTAAATAGCTTATTATTGCTTATTTAGCTTATAGTTTTCTTAGCTAGGTTATTAACTAGCTTATTTCTATAAATTTTTTTATAGCTTAATATCTAATAAAGCTTAATTATAGCTCCTATATTTTTAAGCTAATTAAAGAATTTTATTATATCTTATATATAATACTAGCTAGATTTATTCTTAGGATTTTAAAGTATTTAAAAAGTTTTTTAATTACTAATAAATAGTATTATTTATTGCCTAAAAGTATTCAATAGTATAAAAACTAGCAATTAAGTAATCCTAACTATTTTAGCTATAAAAATAATATTAATAAAGTTTAAGCCTAAATAAGAATTATAGATAATAAGCTTTTAATAGTATATTAGATTAATTAGGGCTGTTACTGCCCTAATTTTTTTGTTAATATTATTGCTATTAAAGTAGTAAATAGCTTACTTTTCTAGCTTTTTTTTTGCTTTTTTTAGAATCTTATTATAGGCTATAATCCCTAAATTATTGTTTTTAGCTATATTTATTATTAATAAGACCTATTAAAAATAGACTATAAAAGGAATATTTCTTTTAATTAGTATGTTTTCGTTTTTAGTTTAGTTATTAAAAATATTTTTAATCTTATATAGGGGACTATTCTAATTCCTTTAGCTTTTAGTATTAGCTTTTTTATATATTTAGAAAATCTTTTAATAAACTAGTAAATAGCGGATTCTATCTATAGTATAATAGATTATTTTTATTAATTATAAATTTATAAGTTTAATACTTATTTCTATATTTAGTATAGTACTAGCAGTATATTAGAAAGCTTTTATAGCTGCTATAATAGCTTCCCTTAAAAAGCTCTAAGTCTTTAAATAATTTTTTAATAATAGCCCTTATAGCCCTACCTATATTAGAGTAATACCTATATTAAATAGCTATAAAGTAGCTTTAGAAAAACAGTAGCTTAGAATAGCTTTATTATTTCTAGTAAAGTAATTCCTTAAGTAGTTTAAGCTAGACTTTTTAAAGTTTCCTTATAAGCTTTAGCCTTCTTTAAAGCGATTTCTAAGTAAGATTATTTATTTAATATTAAGTTAAACTAAATATTTAAGTAGCAAATACTTTTAGAAAAGTAGACCTCCTAAATATATACTCCTCTTTAGAGTTCTAGCTTTATTAGCCTTTTTTATTCCTTTTCCTTTACTTATTTTAGTTGCTAAAAAAATATAAATTAAGTTATACTTTTAAAATATAAAAATAGCTTTATATTTATCTACCTATATTTTGAGTTTAGTATAAATATTAGCTAGTTTTTAATAAGTTTTTTTAATATTCTTTCTAACTATAAAAACGTAAATATTATTAATATATCTTATTAATAAGCTTTTACTTTTAGCTACCCTAAGAATCTTATAATTATAGAATAGCTAAAAGATTAATAATAATAATAATTTTTAAAAAATTCTAGTCTCTATATTAAAAAAAGGTATAAGCTTTTCTATAATTTTAATTTAGCTAGATTAACTTATTAAAAAGCTTTATAATTAGCTTACTAAGTTAAAATTAAATTTAAACTTATAAATATTTTAAAGAAATTATTTATAATTAATATTATTAAATACTTTAAATATATTTAAAAGTATTAAACTTACTATTAATTTGTCTTTACTTTTCTAAGCTATATATATTTATTTTATAAATAAATAAATAATATATTTATAGAAAATAGCTTTCTTTCCTTTATAATAAATAACTAGGAATAAATAATTAATTTCTATTATAGCTAAGATTCTTTTAGCTAAGATATATTCTATTATTTTACTTAATATTTTTAATAAAGAAATTAGCTTATAAGATTTTAAATCTAAGTAGTTTTTCTTTATAGGTTTTTAAATTACTATTACTATAGCTTTTTTTAGTATTGCTAGCTAATATTATAGCTTAAAACTTATATTAAATATATTAATAAAAAAGCTACTAATTACTAGGAAAGCTATTTTTAAAACTTAGTTAATAATTATATTTAGCCTAAAGGCATTATTAGCTTTAGACTTTTTAATAGCTTTAATAACTTTTTATTTTATAATATCTAGAAAAGAAAGCAGTTATAGAAAGTATTCTAAGCTATAGTATATATTAGAAAGATTTATTAGTAGTAGTTTTAGAAAGAAAAAGGCTTAGAAAGCTTTAGTTTTCTTTATATTATTTGTTTATAAAGTTCTATCTTAGCTCCTAATCTATAGAAGAAAAGTAAAGCAAAAAGCTCCTTATATTTTTAGTTATTTATTTAAAGTAAATAGTTGATTTATATTAATAGCTTTAAAGACTTTCTATCTATAATTATTAGCTTAAGCTTTTTAAATAATTTTCTTTCTTTAGCTATTAGCTATCTTTTTTACTACTTAGTCTTTAGAATTATATATAATTATATATTTATACTTAGCTTTCTTTTAGTTATTAATAGCTTTTATATATTCTTTATTCTAGCTTAGTTTTATCTTTATAAATTATTTAATCTTTAAAATAAAAGCTTCTAAAGCTTAAGTAATAAACTTAATTAAATATTTAGCAATAGTATCTAGATTAGCTTATATTCTAAAAGTTTTTTAGTTCTAAATAGTATTTATTAAGTAGTTTAAGAATTTTTCTATATTTATCTCTTTAAAATTCTAGTAGTTAGGGACTATTATTAATAAAGTTTTATATTTAAAAACTATCCTAATTAGATTATAATTAGAGCTAAAAGCAAGCTATTCTAAGGACTTGCAATATAGAATATATTATACTATATCTTAAATACCTTAAGCTAAATTAATTATAGATTTTTTTAAATTAAAATTATTTAAAAGTTTTATTACTATTCTAGGCAATATAACTAGCTAAAGGTTATATACTATTATAATTTCCTAAAGGTATTAAACTTGTCTTTTAATTATAGTTAGCTTTTTAAACTAGTTTAAGTGCTAGGCGTTAAAGTTTTTTATAATAAGCTATTAGCAATTATTATAAAGAGATAGTTTTTTTTTAATTAGTATTAAAGTATTATTATTAGTTATTACTTTTTTAGCTATATATAATAGGGCTAAATAAATATTATAAATAGTAATATAATCCTCCTTTTTTTATTTAAAAATTTTAAAATTAATATCTAAAATATATTAAAATAGTTAATAATTTATATAAAGTTAAGGTTAATATTTTTACTTATATATATATAGACTTAGGCTAGCTTTTAGCTTATTTTATTTAGAACTTTATTTATAGGCTAGAAAAGATAGTATTTTTATTTTTATAAATAATAAGTAATTATTTAAAATAAATTACTTTAAAGCTCTAATATATAAATAATATAGTAGGCTAATACTTATTTATTCCTAAGTATTTTAGCTATAACTTTAGTTTTATTTTTCTTTATATTATATTATAATATTAATAAATATTAAATATAACTTATTTTTATATAGCTAAGTTTTTATAGATCTGCTTTCTAGTAAAAAGCTAAGGCTTTTTTAGAGTATAGCTTAATTGCTATAGTTCTAAGCTATTAGAAGATAAGTTTAAGCTTTTTTTTTTATTATTAATTTTATTTTCTTTATTAGTTTTAAGTTTTTTATAAGTAAAGTTAATAGTAAGCCTACTAATTAGTTTCTATTTAGTTAGTAGTTTTTTTACTTTATTTTTCTTTACTATATTTAGCTAATTATTAGTTTTTAATTTAAAAGCTATAGTTACTTTTTTTTATAGCTTTTTTTAAAGTTAATTTATTAAAAGTAAATATAGAAGTAGATAAAAGCCCTAAACTAATTAACTTAGCTAATATAAGCTTTAATTAAAACTTTTCTATAATAGTAACTTTTTATTTAATATATTTTATCTTTTTTTTTTATTATTTATAATTATTAGACTAAAACTTATATAGTCTTCTATACTATATATATTTAAACTTAGAAGTATCTTTTAAGTAAAAATAATCTTTTAAAAAATAATCTCCTAAGTATATATTATATTTAATTAAATTCCTATATAAAGTAGCTTTATATTATATTTATAGTATTTATAATATTAGTTTATTATATATTAGCTAATATATTAATATATCCTATAGCTTTAATTGTCTTAAAATATATTATAAGTATTAATTACTATATTATAGTTTATAGGGGACGTAAATTCGAATATTAAAGGTATATATATCTATAGCTTTTAAAGCTTCTAAAGCTAATAAATTCTTTAAATTTATTATTTTCCTAAAATAGCTATATTCTAGTACTATAGCTTTTTAATTATAATTATAAAGTTAATTATATTTATACTTTTAATATAGATTCTATTAATAATTATATTATATATAAAGATTGCAACTATAGCTTTACCTTTAGATATAAAGGTTTTTAGCTACTTTATATTCTTTTTTATAATTTTACTATTTTTAGTAATATATATTATTAAGTATATATTACTACTAAAAAGTAGCTTAACTAGCTTAAAATTAATTAATATTAATATTTAGATTATAGCTAAGCTAAATATATACTTTAGCTTATCTTTTAATAAGTATTCTTCTATATAAATATTAATACTAGTTTTTTTTTCTAAGCGCTTAATATACTTTTATCTATATATATAACTAGGCTTTTTATAAGCAAAATATACTAATTAGTCTATAGAGTTTTTTATATTAATTATAATTTCTTACTTTTAATAGCATTCTTTAAAGGAAGCTATAGCCGTTATATTTATATTAGAAGGGAATTTAGCTATAATAGTTATATATATAAGTAAAAAAAGAATAAGCAGTATAATAGCTATAATAGCAGTTATAGCTTATATTTTTATAGCTTATAGTTTATTAATATATTTAATAATTTTAATATACTATGCTTTTTACTAAAAAAAAGCTTTAATAATTAAAAACTATAATAAAGATTCGATATTGCTAAGTATATTAAATATATTATAGGTATTAGCTATTTAACTAGTAAAAGTAATAATCTTTTCTATAGTTTTTTAGTATATTTATAAGCTTTTTAAAGCTTTATTTTTTAGATATTTTTATATAATATTAATAATCTATTAAGCTAGTTTAAGCTTTATAGGTTTATTGCTATTAGCTATTATTATTATTATAGTTATTATTTTTATAATAGTTAGCTAGCTATCCTATAATAATTTCTATTTATTAAGCTAGTAAAAAGCAACTATAATAGGCTAGGCCCTAAAATAGGTACTATTTAAATACTTATAATAAGCTAGTTAAAATGCAGCTATACTAATAATAATTACTATTATAGTTATTAAGTAGTTAGATCTAATAAATGTTTTTTTAGATCTCCTCTAGGAATAGTTAAAGTAAATTACTTTATATAAGAGCTAGATAGTTATTATATATATTGTGAAGAGTTGAAAGTCAAAAGCAAAGAGTCTGCAAATTATATCTTAACGGAGCAAAGAAATTACGACGCCGATCAACTATTCCCGAAATAGATGACTTTAGGCCTAACTGAGCTAGCGGCTGCCGATTCCCCAAATACCTTAAACACAAAATGCATACGCATACACGGTCTCAACAGTTCAGAGAATTGAATGAATAGACACGTGCAATGCCGAATCTGATGTGCCAAGAGGTTCGATATGGCGAGTATTGGCCCCTATGACTTCTTCATTCACGCCAAAATCAAGCATAGAATTAACGATCTCAATTGAACCACAAACGAGTTTGCATGATCACTAGGATAAAGAGCAAGATGGCCTATGTCAGCTTCATCGGAATCATTGTGAGGTAGTAGTCGTCTCAAGATTGAGCGGTCGATGTAGAGTTTGTGAGGAACACAAGACAACAGACCAACCAGGCCGATTGGCGAAAGAAATGCGACAATTCGGACAAGAAACACCACTCTCTGCGCCAGGCCCGCCTTTCTGTCATCGATGGTGAGGTAGCAAGAAGCATCTCCATTTAATCTAAACAAAATATCAACCTCCACCCCTATCTATCTCTCACAACACAGCCTGCCAACTAACCTTCTTCCCCCTCAAAAGCGTCATGACCCCCAACGGCAACAACGCCTTATCCACCATCTCCAACCCCCCAAAAGTCCTCAAGACACTCTCGGAATACAGCTGCAGAATCCATTTCCGCTCCGAATCCAAATCCCACCACTTCAAATTCGGAAACTTGGCCACCAACGAGCTCAATTCCGCGCGCACCTCGTCCGAAGCGCAAATGTCGCTCTTACTCGGCACCTCCATAAGACTCGTGTAGGCCGTGACCAGCGGAGTGGAAACTTGCTCCTGATTCTTCACGTATTCCTCAAACGTGCAGAACTGGGATATGGGTTCGCCGCCATAGGTGTGACGAGCGCGCGTCTTCCTCTCATGGGGCGTAAGCGCTGCAAAAAGGGCGGCAGCGCGCTCATACTCGACGTGCTGCTCCGCGAAACACATCTCCATGCGATCCCAGGGATTCTCATAAAGTTGCTCGCGACTGACGAGCAGATCGATGAAGGGGTTGCGCAGACCCAACCCGCCCAACTCTTCGGGGAAGAAGAAGAACGCGTCAGGTAAGTCTGTGACGCCGAACTTAGCGGCCACGAGATCGCGCAGGTGGTCAGTGACTTTGCGGTCGCCGAAGATGGAGTGGTGGATGTCTTTGTGGGTTTGGAGGATGCTGTTGACGTGGGGGCGGCCGAAGCAGTTTGCGGGCGCGCCGAAGGTGCGGTTGAAGAAGCGGCCGATGCAACTGTTCCAGGTTTGCACCCAGGAGAAGATGCTGGTGCAGTTGTCGAGCTGTTTTTTTAGTTGGGCGGCGTGCATGCTTACTTGGTGCTTGTCGATGACCCATTGCTTGATCTCGGGCTCGAGACGGAGGAAGCCTACGCGGATGTCGCCTTTGGGGAGGTTGATTTGCTTCGGTGATGTGTCGTTGTGCAGGTATGCTGCTCCAGTCTTGCTCATGTTGAATTCCAGACCCATGAGAGTGCAGAAGTCGTTCATCACTTCCCATGCTTTCCCGATGCTGACAGGCTGTCCGCATAGCCAGATGTCATCATGGATGCGGTACAGCAGCAAGCCGTCAGCTTTTCTGTTGACGGCGATGTCCAGTGGAAATAGAACAATCTCGCCGAACAGTTGCTCGAAAGCAGTGGACATCTGCACTCCTCTCTTGCGAACACGTACGGGCTCTGGGTTCTCAGGATCCTCTGACATCTGGATTGGTGGTTCCAAGAATTTGCGAAAGAAGTCCATCCAAAAGTCTGAAAGCCCAAAGAACTTCCAGACAGCGAAAATTGTACTGTGTCCGAGACTAGTGGCATACCACTTCAAATCCGTCTGAATCAATGCCGCTTCGCCATGTAGAGCTTGTTGAATGATTGCTTCCGTGGCTAGTTGACGCAGAAGCATCTGCTTCAGTTCGACGGGCGAAATACCGATTCCCTCTTCGTAGGGATTGTCCTCCTCATATCCCCGGCAACCTTCTTCCACAGAATTTGGCAGATGCGTCAAGAAGAAAGTACTATCGTAATTATTCTGCCTTTGCGCTGCAAGTCCTGCATAACTCGGGGGCTTCCTGTTGGTGAAATAATGCATACGTTGCTGATCCTCGCGCGACATTGGTGGAGTGATATGCTTCCACACATTTGGGCTGCGAACAAAGTCTCTAAACGCATCCTTGATTTCGACACACCAGGCGACAGCAACGTAGTGCAATAGTAGCGCCTGGAGAATGTCTTCATCCATCATCACTCTCCACTTACCATTCAGCTGCGGCCGTGCCTGGATGACCATGCCGTCGTCAGCATCCCACGACCAGTGGGCTAGGTTCCTGAACCTCATATTCAGAACATCAGATATCTCAGTCAGCACGGTCGGATTGTTGTGAAACTCTTCTAGAATCATTCGCTTCTCTTCACTCAGAAGTTCCTCCTTCAGAAGGCCCTTGATCGCCCACTTAAGCGAATATTGATCGAATGGATTCGGTCTGTTAGCGAGCGTTCTGCCGAACTCCTGAACGCGTGCCCTCAAAGCCGCAAGAGGCTTGACAGTATCGTCATCGCCAAAGACGTCTTCGAGGTACTCAGTGATTTTGGAATCATCAGTGGTCAGAGGCGTGAAGACGACTTCGGCAAACTTATCGCGAAGTTGCTGAAGTCTGTCCTTCTCTACCATGGCAAAGGAGCCATCCATGGATGAGCTATCATCAGGTGTCATGTCATTTGCAGGACCAGATGAACCAGCACCGGCGGTCAGCCATTCGGTGAGAAGTCTCGAGTAGAGATCCGCGAATTCAAATTTCGTTGTCTGCTGGCCCAGCTTCTGGCGAAGATCAGCCTCATACTCGCCTAGCAGTTGATTGTCCACAAGGGAATCGTATTCAGACTGGTCGAGAAAGCGTCGCACTCGTTCAAATGAAGGATCATCGCCGACTTGAAATTTCAAGAGATTGCCTGCATCGCCTTCGACCAATGCCTTGAGGAGCAGCTTGACCTTCGTACGTTGCTGTGGCGAGCTATCAACTTGTCTGATGACTTCGGATTTCTTGTCTTCGAAAGCTTCCTTCTGCTTGCGAAGCTCTTTGACTTTGGTGGTGGTTAGTGACTGCAACGTCTTCGAGAGGACAGCAGAAGATGTAGCCATGACGTATTAGAGTAGTCCAGACGTGAGAGAAAAGCCGACTTTATCAAATGCGAACTATGAATCTCAAAGAATCGTAAGTAATCATGTCTGGAGAGGCGAGACCAATGGTCTTTTATGTTCAAAATCATGGTTGGTGATTTGCGACGACTTGAACAATCAGGAGGCCGAAGTCCAATTGATGCCTATCTATGTGAGTCAAATATGGAGCATCTCGCCAATTGATCGTCAATGGCAGGCCACACTGTATCGCTAATGCGTGATTTCATGATACTTTCAAGGATTGAGCATCTGTAAACATGCAGTCGAGAACTGTAGCGCGACCTGCTGCCTGGGACGCGATCTGAGGTGGGACGCCTTAACCACGCGCACTCACGTGTTCAGCACTGTGAAAATCATTATTTAGGCTGCAATGAGATGACATGGAGATGCTGTCTTCGAGTAGTAAAGCGTGGAGGGAGGTTGCATTGCAGGGTCCAGAGTGATGCACCAACGCCGAGATGAATCTCATACGCAATCCTGTTTGGTAGCTGAGCAATCTATGGAATATTAATGCTAATTAAAATACATGAGCAGAGGCCGTGCAACTATGATACATACGTCCACATTGGTTCTTCAAAGCAAAGAAATGCAAGCCACCGCACTTGGCATCCCATGATTGATCGTATCCTGCCACACGACGGTCATGCCGCCCCAACCACTCTGAAAGTCCCGATGGCCTTTCTAGCTGTGCTTTCGGTTTCATCCACTGTACACTGTTCCAGTCCCAATATCTTTCGCCGTAAGAATTCTGCCGCCTCCCTTTTCTGTTGCAAAGTTGATCGAAAATCTCTCGCATCGTCATTTTCGTCATCATCGTAGTCAAACCAGTTGAAACCAAGGGCCGGTTTCATGAAGTCCACGTCGTCAATGACGACGTAGACGTTTTGGAGGAGCGGACATTTACGCAGCTCTGCTGCAGCGGCGGTGAATGCCGTGATTTCTTTCATGTACGCGCCCTCGACACCTTCATCGCTTCCTATCCAGCAGGCGCAGTAGATTTCGTGAATATCGATGTAGAGGTCTCTCAATTTGGGGAGTTTTGTCGGTAAAAGGTTGAGAGAGGTCACCCAACGGGTGGCGTCGTAGGGATGGTGAATTGGAATGTCAAGATGGATTGCGCGGATTTGTTCCAGGTAGAATGGCTTTAAGCCGGCTTTGGCGTCTATTTCAGGGTCGAGAAGTGTATTCAGAACATGACAGGAGCGGAAAGAGAAGACGTGTGCATTGTAGGGAATGAGTCGTGCTTCGAGATAAATTTGCCTGCAGGTTTGGAGCAGAGCACAGCTAAGCTTTTCATCACTAACTCGCTTCGATTTGGGAAGCCGGAGATTCTCATGGCATTTATCGTGCGCATGAGCTACTCGAGTAACAGTGTGTTCATTGTGGTGGCGGTTATTCTCTGCTTTCGTGAATTCTGCGTACGTCTCCCTTGGATGCCTGAAGTGAGAGAAGCAAAAAAGTTGTCGAACAGGGCCGGTTTGATTATGTACACAAGCTAGGTCACTGTGACCCTTCTTGTGCTCCCTATCGATATGCAGCATCCTTCGACCAAAGAAAGCCTTGTAAATAAGGACCCGTATTTCCGGTGGGAGACGTAGCAGGAGCGTGGTAGCGTTATGCACCTCCCTGCACCAGTCATCAGCGAGCTGCTCACCATCAACTTCGTTACCGGCTATGGGAACCACATACTTGGCTTGTTTTCGTTGAGCAACAGTCTGTCCATAATCGTCTCCACTACGTAGCTTCATTTTGATGAAAGCAAGCCGGAGATGATGAATCATGAAAAGGTTGATGGGTTTGGAGGAGCAGTCGTGGAGAGGAGATGCAGTTGTAAGACGGTCAAGATAAGCTTATCCAACACGTGGCGGCAGCTTCCTTTGTTGAGAGTGTTGAAGAGGCAAACAAGCGCGATGTGTGACTAATGTTGTCGTGGCAAGTGTCTTGTGAATAAGGTCAGCCGTGTTGCCGACGCGCAGCGCATTGGAGTATCTTACGGTAGCATTCAATTTGCTAAATGGGTAGTATCGGGCAAAAGTTCACCTGCTGTGAGAAGAGAAGTTCAGTGCGATTTGAGAAGGCTGGGAATAGTGGGGCACATACTTTGTGGGGATAATACACCTCAAGAACAAAAGTGGCGGTCAGTACCCATCATAAGGAGCCTCAGCGGTACTTCGTGCATGAAATATCACCGTGAATACGAAGCGCCTTCGGATCGAAGTGTGTTGCGGTGTGAAAGCATTTCAGTGCCTCCATTCACTTCCCTCTGACCCATTCATCACCAAACAACCACGTCAGCCGCTCTACAGCCTCTGCTCCCTTCCCTTCTTTCTGGCGTTCCAGGCCCATGATGCCTCCTCTACTTTGCCTCTTCAATCTGTCCTCTTCAAAAATATCGACCTCTCCTTTCCCCAACTCTTCCACTATCGCAGCAATAGCTCTCTTCGCATTCTGCGAATTAGCAGCCATATGTCCCATGACCATCTCAACGCTGACGCCTTCATTCGTCTCATGCCATGAGTCGTAGTCTGTCGACATGCATACCAGCGCGTATGCGATCTCGGCTTCTCGGTATAGCTTGCACTCTGGGACCGAGGTCATACCAATACATGAGATTGGAGGGTGGGTTGGGAGATTTCTGTAGAGGATGGATTCGGCGCGAGTAGAGAATTGAGGTCCTTCTGCAGCTCGCAAAGTCAGTCTCAATATCCAGGTATGCCAGGACCTTGTCGGATAGAGGCGCGACCGCACCTATACAAATAGTTGTAGCGTCCCCGTGCACTCTAATAGCATCGCCCTCATTGCCCTCAAGCACCCTTGGCGCACTAATAGCCTTAGTTATGATCTTACTTAGCGGTTTGTCGAATGGATCAGCCATAGAGACGTGTCCAACAATGCCATTCTCAAAGAATGTCGAGGGCCTGAACTATATTGTTAATCAGCATCCGTCTCTCCTGAGTAAAGAGCTGCGCTTGATCTCGTCCTCGTAACCGCCACTGCTTTCCCTGTAATGCTCTTCGCCTGCTGCTCATTCTCTTTCACCTCAAATCCTCCGTTTCGTCGTCCTTCACCCATCATCACCTGTTGTCCCAATCATCGGGCTTGCCAAAATGGCCATTTTACCCGGAACGACTTCTTCCCTCTCCCTCCCCTTCTCCCCCAAAACACGAAAAACCCAACAGAAAAGAAACCATCAACTCACGCCCTTAGTCCAATCCACTACTCCCCCTAACACCAAAAAATCCCTCGGCCTGACTTCCTCCCTCAAACTGCCCACAGCACTCCATCCAATCGCGGCCTTAACCCCCAATTTCTTGAGCGCCGCCACGTTCGCCCTCTGTGGAATCTCCGTGGGCGTGAGATTGTGATGTTCGCCATGCCTTGCCAGAAATGCGACTAGCAGCGCCCCCTCACCCTCCCCCTTCCCTTCCAAGGACTGATCGGAGGTAGTGGTAGGGGAAGAATATTTCAAGATCGTGATGGGGGAAGAGGGTATGCCCCATGGTGTCTCGAGGGCAGAAAGCGGGATTTTAGCGACAGGTGTGAAGGGCGGGGAGGGCAGTGAGGAGAGGCCTGTGCCGCCTATTATTGCGAGGGGGACGGGGCCAGGGGGGATGGTGGGGAGGGACATTTTGGTGGAGGAGAATGGGCGGGATTGGGTGAGGTGAGGTGGGCAGGGTAGGTCGAGAGGGTGGAGAGGATGATTGGGGGTACAATGGAGACGAGAGAGTTGGGTGCTGGTGATACGGCGGCAAAGGAGGGTTAGAGCATGTTGGTCATGGAGTCGTGGGGGAAAGATGGTCGAGGGAACAGGGGATTGAGTAGAATTGCTGAGAGGCTAAGCCTGATTGGGCCAGCTCCTTTTTTGTGGGGCATTGTAAGCATTATTCAGATAGGCCGTTGCTTTCAGGTCTACCCTGCTAATTTGCGTGAGATTATGCAGTCAAGGTCACAATAGCTTATTTGAGAATTTCCAAGCTCGTCCTAATAGTTTGTACAGGTTATATAGCGATGCAATTATATTAAATCCAAGCTATGTACCAAGCCCTTCATACCGTTTCTTCAGCCTCAACGGCCTTCTGCCCCATCGTCTGATCGACTGAACTCGAGCTGCGGCCCTGATATTCTTTACTCCCCATCTGACTCGTATCCCAACCATGTTGTTCCAAATAGGCTCTGAATTTCAAATCCTCTGATGTGATCGTATCTTGGCCAATATTTGGCAAGAGGAAGAAAGCTAGGAAAGCACTAAAGATGCACAGGCTGCTTGAGACAAAGAACGGATCTTGACCTCCTCTCACACTATCTTCACCGCCAGGCGCATTGGATTGAATGATGGGGAAGAGGTAGGTGCCCACGAAAGCGCCAATCTTGCCACTCGCAGCAGCAATAGCATAGTATTGTCCTCGAATCGCCGTCGCTGATGTCTTTGACGCTACAAGACCGATATTGTCGCCAGGTCCAGCTTCGCCAAGGGACAAGAAGACGCCGTAGACGACGACGAAACCGGCGATGTGAGCGGAAGTTTTAAGCTCGGCGTAGCAGCCGGCCATAATGAAGCCTACAATTCCTTGCGCAGCGACAAAAGTGCCGAGAGCCATTTTAGGCCCCATCCAGTCGCTGATGAAAGCGCCTGCAATAGCACCAGGCAAGTAAAAGACGTAGACGATGGTGTTCCAGCCGAAAGATTTCCAGATCGTTGTGTCATCGCCGAGAATCACGTCGATCCAGGCAGAGGAGTAGATGCTGAAACTGTAGGCAGAGAAGTCGTAGATGAACCAGATTAGAGACACAACGGCCAGACGGAACCAATAGAACCTATAGGCCGTCAGTATTGTAGTCCGCAAAATCGAAGGTCATCGCCAAATCGAGAGGAGATTCGTGGGGCATACTTCAAGACTAGCAGCCAGGGGGTGCGCGTATTCTTCATAGACTCGCGATTAAACTCTTCTGGTTCATTGAGCTTGAGTCGTAGATAAAGCAGGCTCAAAGGTGGGATGACACCCAGCCCGAGGCATATGCGCCACGCAGCTCGTAAATGATTCTCGGTTGTAGCGAGGACGACGATCATCGGCACAAAAGACGACATAACGAACCCAATGTCGATCTGCACGTTTGTAAACATGATAAACCAGCGATTTCGATGGCCCTCTTTGAGCTCGCCTGTGCTCTCAGCACAGGCGACACTGCCTGCCGGGTATTCGCCTCTGTGGCTCCTATTCAGCGTGCGCTTTCAAGATTGCCCAAGTCCTGGTGTACTGACCCAATGCCAATACCCAACAAGAAGCGCCACGCAGTCAGCGCCTGTAGCATGCCGTTGATCGACCCCCCTCCGTACGCTCCTGCGCTGAGAGCTGCGAAGATGAACAATACGACCGTCGAAGCCATAAGACTCCATTTCCGCGAGTAGTGATCGCTTGTGTACCCGAAGAACAGTTGACCAACAACGGTACCAGCAAAGGCGATTGCATTGACATTTGATTGAGCAGAGGAATGGCTGTATTGGTCCTTGTAGAGGGATTTGAGGATGGTATTGACTTGGCCAATGACACTGCGATCAGGTCAGTCAATCGGGCTTCAATGCGAAAGGTATTATCTATTACCCATTCAGATAGCCATCAGAAAACAGTCCGGCGCCGCAAGCGATTGTAGGCCAGCTTCGTTCCCAGCGGCTCTTCTCGTGGTTCTCAAGAGGGCTGCCATGAACGACAGACTCGTTTCGTTCTGGCGAATCATCGACGATTTTTGTCGGACTTGAGAAGAAACCCATCTCGAAAGTAAGGAAACGCCTCGATATTGCAGAGTTTATGCGGGCGACAGTGCTTTATCTTGTCGCAAAAACGCAGACCAAGAGCTATAACGGGGGGCGAACCCCGCCTTAAAGGTGTGAGGTGGGCGGTGGCGGGGATGCAACCTTCGAGCAGCTTAGGTAGGCAGGTGATAGCGGCTTTTCGGGGCGGGCACGTGGCGCTAAAGCTTGGTGCATCGCTGGGTTTGGCCCCTAAACTCTGTCTGCTATATTCCGTAGGTGAGCATCACAATCGCCACCACAAGACAAATTGTTAGTGATGGAAGATATAAACCTTTCCTGGAAGCTAATACTGAAATGAAAGCCTACTTGTATCCTCCAAGAATATCAGCTCGTGTAGCAACAACTTTGGAATGTCGTCATTTAAAGATCTGCTCATGGCCTTAGGTCACTTGCCGCAAAAGCTTCATTCAAAATGAGCCAATCGCCGCATTTGTAGCCCGCTCGATAAGACCCGGGATTGAGTGTGGCTGACGTATATTGGCCAGATCCATCTAGAGGATATAAGGTAGAGATCAAACAGCTTGGCACATGGTGTGAAGGATTGGCTGGTGGCTGCTCTTCATTCTTCATTTGCGTAATGATGGCGCCTTAGAAGGTTGGAGTGGAGCTGACGCGGCGATTGACTTTTAGGTAGGTCCCCGGCGGTGATGTTGGTTCCATCATCACAACATCGTTACGAGATCTGATTTCGTATATCAATCGAAGGTTATCTTCTTGCCCTGAAAAGGCAACGTCTTCTTCTCTTCTTTCGCCTTCTTTGCCGCTTCCCATGAAGGATGTATGCTTTTATCACTGTTCGTCTTTGCTCGAGCCTTCAGGGGCTCTTCGTTTGCTCCGCTGCGTTGAGGATTGGTGCGAGCCTTCCGAAACCCGTTGGTCTTCGCACCTTTCCTGAGGTCACGTCCGAAACGATCTTTGCTTATCTTTCGATCATCACTTGCTGTCGCACCTTTACGAGCGTCCCAGCCAGTGTCGCGACTCTGCGCCGCCGCCTTCTTCAAATGATTTGCACCCTGCCCATACTTCTTCTCGTTGATCGCGCGTCGCTCCCGCTGACCGCGCTTGTTTTTACGCACTTTGGGAATATTGGCAGTCCCATCGAGATCAGACGCAGATTCACTGCCCGACCAGTAGCCACCCATCGAGAGCGTCGGTAGGAATATTGTAGTGGAGGGCTTTGCTGGAGGTACAGCTGCGCTTTTCTTCCGTTTCAAGCTAATAGAACCTTGTCCAAGTCCCACAGTGTCACTTCTCAACTTGCTGTCTAACGAGACATCATCTTCGAAGCCGAGCCACTCTGCACTCACACTTTTTTCCTCATCTGTTGAGCGTATTATTTCGTCATCCGAATCGGCAAGACGTTGATCGTACGCTCGCAGCGTGTCGTCCAAGCTTTCGCTACCATCGGACTGCGAGCGGATTTTTGAGATGACATTATTCTCTATGATCATATCATCCGCACCTTCAAGGTCCATTTCTGTTCTCCGTCCTTCATTTGTGCCACGTTCCCTAGTTCCTCCGTTGACCGAGTCATGATCCTTTTCTGCTACCCTAGGGCCTTCATCTGTCTCAATTGCACCCAAAGCATGCCTCACACTCTGCATGACGTCTAGCATTGCCGTCTTTACAGGCATCGAGTTGAACAGGCGTGCTTGGACATTTGCCATCGCCGTAGACTGAGCCTGCTTAGCTGTCTTGACCATTTCCCCCACGTATGAAGGTAGACTTTCTGAGCTTCCGATGGATTTAGTCTTGAGACACGTCTTATATAAATGCATTTCAGCAACTTTTTCTAGATCTAGACTCTGCCCAATGTAAGTCGTTTGCCGCGGAGGAAAGCGAAGTCCATAACCTTCAGCACAGAAACTTCTTCTACTATACGCGTCACCTCTGCGTCCTTCTTCTCCTGGCTGGCAGTTTTCTGTCGCCGGCCCAGCTTCTGCCGCTCAAAGCCCCGTGCAACTTTGAGGGCTCGAAATAACGAGGTCTTTCCATTGTCGAGGATGTCTCGTACGTATCGCTGCCGTTCTGGCAGGGATTTGCGTCGAGCGTTATGTCTTTCCTGCGACTGAAAGCCATCACGTTTTCTTTTAGGCATGGCGAGCGACGTCAGAGCTGGGCACGAGCTGTTCTTCTATGATGTTTGAGCATGCACGAAAACATGTCGGCCTTAAGTGGATTGTGCGGATATAATATTAATGTCTTGGCAGCACAGAGTTTCCGGCACCCTTTTTTTTTGGCAAAAGCTTGGCGTTTTGGAAATGCCCACCCGAGGGTTGGTGTGTTTGAACATTGCCGCGCCAAATCCAAATTTTAGGGGGCGTTTTAGGGGGTGGCTGCCCGGAAAAGCTGCCTACAGGCGGGCTGCATAAGGCTGCCCTACCCCTAATTAGCGCCTATAATTTAGCGCGGCAATGTTCAAACACACCAACCCTCGACCCCCTCGACCCACTACCTTTCGTGCTATTATGATTTTGATAACATTTAGAAGCTCCGTCCTCAAAAGATACCAAGGTCTTTCAAATTAAGATAAGATGGTATCATGTCAAGTTTATTCATATTGCTGGTCATACCATGTGAAGCCAGAAAGACGATACACATAAGACGAAAATACAGCTCAACCTATGTGGCAGCGTCTTAGGAGCTGACAGAAATTCCATTAAAGGAGATGAGAGCATTGGTGGGGAGAATTCCTGTAGGGATTGCATGCGCAGGCGAAACTTGATCGCATGAAATAGTGATATGATCTGAGACGAGCTCTAGAGACCCATATTGCCCCCAGGCCTTTCGACAGAAATGGCGCAGAGTTACACTTATCAGCCTTTGTCTCATCATCGTCACATACGCCTACTCAAGCTTCACCCAGCATCAGAGGCTCCACCTGACAATACAATCACTTGCGACATTTTCCATGCGTCTCTGGATACAGAACTTTATTTTGAAGCTTTATCATATACGTGGAAGACGCCGACGATCATTGATACTCAGGAGGAGAGCCCCGCGATCAGTTTATGTGAGCGCAGGTTCGTTGTTACAGAGAACCTTCTTGCAGCGTTGAGACGGCTTCGTTTGCAATCGGAGTGCTGCGTACTTTGGGTGGATGCAATATGTATTAACCAAGTCGATGTCCAAGAAAAGGGGCGCCAGGTATCGTATATGAGTGAAATATATGCTAAGGCGCAAGAAGTCATTATATGGCTTGGGGAAGAAACGGCGACGGATGTACTCGCTTTCGAAACAGTATCGCGTCTGAGGAACTATTTCCAGCGCCACAATAGCAAGGCCAACTTATTGACAGATGTGTGGAGGTCAAAGGGAGATCCCACCGAGCTGCCTGTGTTTGGCAGCGCAGCATGGGCTGCTCTTGCTGCGCTACTAAGTAGGGAGTGGTTCGAGAGAGTTTGGGTTGTACAAGAAATGATTATGGCTAAAAGAGCTACGATTCTCTGTGGGGGATCTTCGCTTCCTTGGCCAGAGTTTAGCAAGCTGATAGGTGACCTTACATCGTCTCATTTGCGGTCAATGCTCATTCAATTTGCCGCTTGTCAAGCTTTCATGATGACACAGGTAATCGGACACATCGAGACCGCGATAAAGAACAATGAGGAGTGGGAAATGATGAACTTGCTTATTTTGACACGGAAACTACAGGCAACAGATCCAAGAGATAAGGTGTACTCCTTGTTCGGCATTGTGGATTCTCTTGCGAAATACAGTATCGAGCCACCTGACTACGCGACCCCTGCTGATACTCTGTTCCGAATTGTGGCCGTCGCATATTTAATAGAGGAAAAGTCTCTCAATATCTTAAGCTTCGTAGACCACGGTTTGTGTCTTGATCAGCCTGATTCGCCGTCATGGGTCCCTAATTGGACAAATGTGTCTCTTTATGCAAATTCTTTCGCACTTTGCGATCCTCACTTCAGATCTACACGTAGTTCAAAGACAAGCTGCCGGGTGGGCGATAAAGCCCACGAGCTAGTTATATCTGGTATTCCCTGGGATCATGTTGCAGTGTAGGGTCAGTGTTTCCCTTATGGAGGAAGCCTTGTTCTGGGTGGAGACCATAACATAGATCTCGATCAGTACTGGCAGAATAATCATGAAGGTCTTCTCTGGCTCGAAAAATGCGAACGCATGTTCAATGAGATGGGTCATTTTTATAATGAAGGTCAAGGGACTTCAGATGTATTTTGGCGCACATTAATCTGCAACATGACTCCCACAGGCGAGATACCTGGCAGCGATTATCGAGCAAGCTACGAAGTATATCATGAGTTCAGTAAGGCTGCATATACCACACGTGTCTACGCCAACGCATCAGCTGCATCGAAATATACCCGGACGCAGACAGAGACCATGGCAACGCAAGGCAGCCTCTTTGAGTTTGCGATGAGTTCGTGGACTGGAGGACGCGTCTTCTGCACCACAACTGGGGGACGCATAGGGATGTTTCCAATAGCAGTGAAGGAAGGAGATATCATCTGTCTCTTCATGGGAGGGCGAACGCCTTTCGTGATCAGACCTGATGGTCGAGGGGCTTATCGCCTAATTGGGGAGTGCTATGTCGATGGAATGATGGATGGCGCCTTTATGGACGAGCCAGATTGGCCACGTATGATTGAGGAATTTCTGCTGATTTAGAAGCTCGAGCCAATCAAAGACCTTTTTGATTATAGATCCAAGCAGCTACGAGACGAGCCAGAGGTGCAATGCAGACAAGAACGTCTCAGGCTCGAAAGCTCCGTTGAGTGAGTCTGAGCTCGCATCAGCTTGCCTTGAGGAGAACAAATCGATAAGTGTCACTAGTGAAGAAGACGTCCGAGTGGCCCTGTACAAGAGAAGACTTCGAGATTGAGCTAAATTCTAGTTCAACGGGAGCACGAAGAACGGGAAGAATAAGAAGAGCCGGAACAGAAGCTCAATTCTGTTATGAGAATAGTCATAAAGGGACTGTGGCTGCCAATAAGCAACCTAGTGGAGTCTATCCTGTTCTTCTACACACTTATGAGAGAAGATTTCCTCCGAGAATCGGGTCAAAGCATCCTACAGTAATTCACAAGATTCGACAGGAAATCCTAGGCTAAGGCTTATAGAACATTTGATCTCGGCAGGAGTTCTTCGGGCTCTGGCGTGTAGACAACAGATGATGGAAGGTAGTATGAAAAAGAACAAAAAAACCCTGGAAACCACATGAGCTAATATCCTTATTGCCATACTGACTCTAATCGTCTAGGCGGTCTTGACTTTCCACCCTCTCTTGCCTCCTATACCCAGTCCAGCATTCGGCGCAATAATCACCTTCTCCTCTCCTACCAAATCATTAGTATGACAACGCCGAAACACAGTAGCTCATACCCTCTCTCCTAATGTCCAAGCAACAAGAAGCTTCCCTATGCACCTCGAGATGCCTGGTCTGATACGTCAAAGCCTTTAAGCTGCCTAGTGGGGATGCGAAGGTAAGGCCCAAGCCTCGTACCCGTGCCGCGACGCAGCCCTATTGTCAGCCTCATGCAGGGTCCGTCTTCTAACAATGAGCGCCTTGGATGACGTCATTGGCGTGCAGCTTGATTGCTGCCTTGTCTTAAGGCTGCCCTTTGAAATGTTTTCCCTTCTTTAGATTATCTCACTAGGCTCCGATTGACATGCTGAGTGGGCTATTCAACGCTAGATGAGTCAACGAATATACATGAAATATTGTATTTCAGGACGGATCACCGCTCAATACGAAAGCGACCTATTTCAGCTATGCTAGGACTAGCAGGAGCTTTCGTCAGCATACCTGACGAGATATTGGACGCAATCCTTGTGAACATAAGGTCCGGCTCGGAATTGAAAAAGCTGGCATTGGTTTGTCGACGCTTCAACCGCTTAGTTCAGCGTCGGCTATGGACAGTAGTACATTTGGACCTTGATAGGCTTGCTGCGTTCTCTGTCTTCTCGCCGAAAAGCTATGATGAGATGATGGATACCGGCGACAAAGCCAGATCTTTGACGTATGATGAAGACTTTGCGGGCGCCTTGACACCGAAACAGGCTATCATTGCAAGCAAAGTCAACATATCCATCGACAAAGCTCGAGGGGTGGCGGACAAGTTTGACATGGCCGCCTTCTTCTCCTGTTTTCCGCAAATGAACGCGGTGAGCTTCGATTTGGCAAACTTAAGGCTCTGCGTCCCACCAGACATGAACATTCGCTCTGTGGCCATCCGTCTGATGAGGGATCGAGATGATGAATGCCCACCCGGTGATCGAGCTGTTCTTTCATTTCCCAATATTCGGAATCTGCATTTAAGCGCCATTGGACGCTGTTCTGGCTGGGAGAATCTTGAGCAGCAACTGCGCCAGAGTGGCGCACTACCAAAACTTAAGAGCATCGCTTTCGTGGGTAGTGTACCCATGACGCGGCGTACCATTGAAGAATCAGTCAATCTAGATTCTCTGCGTCTGGAACAGGAATTCATCGAATCAAGCGTTTTGGATCCCAATCGCCATACCCTGCGGTATCTTGCCCTCATACAGCCACTAAGACAAAGTAACAATTTTAGTAGCAAACTTGTATACATGCGCCAGTGGACTTTCAGCTCCTTCGTCTCTCTGAGAACTTTGGTCATACCTGAAGACCCCTTTCTTCTTCATTGCCGGCTTTTCGAAGTCCTTCCTACCCAATTAGAGACATTGCAGCTTCAGTCTCCGCAGTGGATGCGAGTGCCTCAATTCTCGTCGCAGCAATTCGCGCTGCGGCAGCGAAAGCTCCGTCAGCTCATCACGGACAAGTCACTGAGCCCTGGGTCGCAATTGAAAGTTATCATATTTTGGTTTCATATACTAGAAAGGCAAATGAAACGGAATGAGGCGAGTACGGGTGTGAGAGATCTTGAGGATGAGTTTAGAAGGGCTGGTATGAGTTTCAAGTGGACCAACGCTCTCTTCTTCGAAGAATCACCGGCTGGCTGGAGACATGGTACTTGACAACAAGCTATGGGCTTCACAACTACCGTCACAGTCTTCAAACGAATGTCAAGTTAATGTTGGCGAAGACGGCTGCGCCTCACTCAAGGATGTCAGCCGGAGAACGGGATCGGTAGAGCATCGACACGAACGTACAGCTCAAATGCGTTTCATATGGAAACACGCTACGCCACAGCCAACTCGTGTCAAACATAGGTAGCAAAACACCAGATCAGGAGAAGGAGGATGGTGCTGATGATATCGGTAGCTTCGTACGTCATGTCGAGTTTCGCCCACTGGTGCTCTAGTCTACTTCAAGAACGTCAGGATTCTTGGTCCCGAACAGCGATTGACTGCAGATATAAAGAGCCAGAAAAATCCTCGACAATGTCATGCAGTCATTCAGAAAGATTGCACGCCCTCAAATTTTGTATCATTCCTTTGTAGTCGATTGAAGTCGTGATTATGCACCATTAGGCCCGCTAGATTTCTTCAGCAGTAAATTGATCAAAGGACTGCGCTGGAGATACCATCTCAACAATGCACATACTATTCATCTTCCTTCTTGCGGAAAGCCGTAGCTTGGCTGCTCCCTTCGAAGACGCACGGCTTGCGAACCGTGATGTTCAGTTCATTAGCTGGAACGGCGAGGTATAGACGCATCCAATTGCCCAGAAAAAATTCAAAGACTTATTAAGTGTAGGAGGTTTGCCCTGGTGAAGTTTGTCCAACTCCACCGCCTGGTCAATGCCCGGCAAACCCAGAGTTCAGCGACACCACACCTCAAATGAGCGCAGATCTTTTTGCAGCTCTTCGATCCGTTCGCGCCGCGCAGTCTGGAGATGAAACTGCTGTTCTCATCAACGACTTACCCGAAGTAGACGAGCTGGCCGCCGGCAAACGTGACCTGGAGCCTCGTGGCAGCAACAAACGTCCTCTCGAGGCTGTTGGATACCGCATGGCCTACGCCAAATGCATTTCTCAATGGATCTTCGTTGCCCTTCAGGGAGGCCTTATCATTCTCCAAGAATCAAACGACGAAGTAGGAAGAGATGCCGAAGTAGACCACCTCCTCGAGCTGCAGCAAATCAAACTTTTCTTCGCAGACTCCGCAATCCAAGACTGGATCAGAAACAACAAGAACTTAGTCTCCAGAAACCCAGAAGACATGCTCAAAGACTGCCTCGAATGCGACGCCCTCAAAGAACAACTCAAAAACATCCTCAACAACCCCGTCAACCTCTTCGGCGTCGACATGAACCTCAACCGCGCCAAAGGCACCATCGTCAGCGGCAAAAAATTCGACTATTCCAAATTCGACGCCGCCCACATCGACGCTTTATGCGAATACCTCGAAAAAATCGAAAAAGCGTACAAAGAGACCGCCAAAAGGGTGGGGAAAGCCCTCCAAGACTTCTTCGGCCGCCAACCGGGCATGCAGGCCCAGTTCCAGAAATGGGCCGCAGATGCGTGGCAGTCGTGGGTCGATCAGTGTCATGATAACCAACCTAATACTTTGAGGACGGATGAGGCGGCGATGACGGGGCTGAGCAAGAAGAGGAAGATGGGTGATTTCGGCCAGATTGAGGGGTTTAGTCGTGTTTCTGATTCTCCGGATTTGGGGAATTGTGCGAGTATGCCGACGCTTGAGGGGGGTGAGGCCGACGTTTGATAATGCGGTTAATAGAGTTTTCACTTTTGTTGCTGCGTTTATGTCGAAGCGGTTTTAGTGTGGTGTTGGGTGGTATTGTTTGATAGTGTTGTTGAGATCTGGAAATGATAGAGGGTATGATGGAGAATATGTCAAGGCAGTCTGGATTGATAGGACGAATAACATCGAGCACGAGATGGCATGAGCGTTCAGGGAATAATCTGCGTCTTTCTCTCACCCCTGCCACAGATCGGTAGCAAATGATTGAGGCTCAATATAGGCTCGCTCAGCCTCTTCGTTTCTGGGATTTTGTATTCTTGACAAGGTCTTTTCATGTCCAGTAGTCTCAGCTGATCTTTGTCATCTCTGACAATTCGGCCCACAAGCTTTCCGTGTTTTCTTGGAATTTTCAGTCTCTATCACCAATTCCTGAATTGTCCAGCCGCGAGTGAGCCATTTGCTCTGAGTTCGGATGCGAACTTTGTCGCCAGGGAAATCATTCAAGTACACAAAGCGAGCTTCTGCGTTGCCGTACCATCGATACATACTGCTGATTGACATTGACAGCTCTGTGGGATTTTGCTCATTGATGCACACTGCCTCCTTTCGTGGCATAATAGACTTCCCTTCTTACAGCGCCGAAGTTGAGCTTTTTCCGCTCCAAATTTTCAGGAAAACCGCTTTGTCTAACCTCAGAATCTCCCTCTGATGCTAGGAAGTTATGATCAACCCTATGTGCGCTGTTGCATGCAAACTCATGTAGGGGTTCTCACGCCGTCTGGTTAACCCCAGCGGAATCGAGACTACAATTCTAGCTAATACGAAATGACTCTGCACGTCCCATCTCATCATCCGCGATTTGTTCTTATTTGTGGCCGTGTGGATTGCATGGATGCTTGGAATATATGTTAATTCGGCTCCAGATTGGCAGCAGCGTGAAGAACCATCTGGCTATTGTTTACCTAGTAAGCGAATGTGTCTTAGCGTCGAAATTGCTCGAAATGTATACGTGGTGGTAACGATCTAGGCTCATAGCTCGTCCAACAATGATGACCCGATCCCGTCGTCGGCTTTCTTCCGGTAGTTGTAAAAATGCCTAGGGAGTTTAGATTCCGATCTCTGCACAAATATTATTCGTAGGTAAAGGTCTTGTCTGGGTTACGCTAGTCTTGATGTTTATCTCGGTAGGTAGCCGGCATCGAATTCGTTTCCTAGTCTACAGGGAGAGGTTAGTTGCACAATGGTCCTCAACTGCTCTGGAGCTCTGGGGGCGAATGTTGCTTGCTCATCCAAGTTGAAATTGTGTTGTAGTAGCTAGCGATTGGTGGACATTGCAATATATAGTAATGTAATTGATTGAGTAGAGCTATGGAAATGGACTGGGGCAATCCGGCTGCGCGGAGACGCTAGTATTCTATCCAGGTGTGGTGGTAATCTTCAAATTGTCAAGCATGTTTAGTTTGGACCGGAAATATGGGTTTTGTCCCTCGTATTTTCCCAAGTTCCTTCACCTTCGGCCTCAAGCACTTTCACTCCAAGAACAGTCTCGTCAACTTCACCAACGAAAACGGCGATGAGGAGCTGTCGAGTCTTACTCCCTGGGCGATAGAAGCGAGCAACCAGTTTCCCGTTCTTGAGGTCCATTTAGTCAAGATACGTGCAATCATAAGGATGAAGAGGTACATACTGATCCACTCGCAACCACATCGCATCGCCCTTCCAAGTCCTGGAGGTTGTTGTAATATAGAGTTCCACTGTGTACACAGAGTTAATGAGGGATAGCCCTTCACTATGAATACTCTAGCTGGAAGGAAGTACCTCGCTTCTTCTGTAGGGACATCTTGTGGATGGATCCGCACATTAGACGTAAAGTGTTTGCGGATTTCACTGGCTATTAGTTCGAAACGACCATACGTCCAGAGCGAAGAGATCCATGCCACAGCAGGCGTTTTGTTCTTGAATTCGCGGTCCAAATCCCCGGGCTCTTTGTTGGCGAAAAGCTTCTCCGCCTCAACAAGGCTGTCTAAGATAGCATTGCCGTTCTTGTCGCATTGAATAAATGTGATGAAAGACTCGAGTTCAGTGTCGGTCAGATCATCATCTCCACGCCGGAGCGTCTTCCGGACGACAGCAAGGAGTTCGGTTTGGGTCGAAGCCATCTGTGAGGTAAGTACACAAAGTTCTGAACACTATGCGTACCCACCTGTGCTGTGAGAGTCTGCCGGTTCGTAGAATGCCTTTAAATTGCAGCCAGAACGGAAAGGCTGAGCCTGAAAAGTGGGTGGTTTTGGAATTGGTGAGCGGTGAAGCGTTGAGGTGGAGAAACAAGATATAAGTTACTGCGGCTGACGTGGACGTGTCAGACTCGATGCCCATCATCATATGATCTTTGCATGAGATGGCGAGATTGCTGTCACACTTCTTTGAGCAGTTGGTGTAATTGGCCAAATGCCCGATATAATGCCCAATTGGTCAGCCTCGTCTACCACCAAGCCAACTGCTCATTAAGCCATCTTCTCCAGCAATCTTATGCTGCTTTTAGTAGAGCAGGGAAAGATCTGGGTAGCCTTACTAATTCAGTCTCTAAGAAGGGTCTGCTGTCAACACACAGTATATGCTTGAAAGCTAATCTCATCAATAAGAGGCTGAAAGGACAAATTGAGGGCTAGCCTTGATGTTGAAGTCGAAACTATTATCGAATGTCGACAGACTACGGATTATTTCAACATTTTTCAGATTTTTCAAACTGAAAACCCTTGCGAAGTACAATCTACTGAAAGGGGCATATAAAAGCGGCATTATCTCGAAATCAAAGAGAATGCTTATCCACCACAGGGAGCCTTACTGATTAATCATGCCTAATTGATCACTAAGACAGGCGTTTAGTCAATTGCATGAGGCCATTTGTTCAATTATACCGATTGGTCAAAGAGGTGTGACGATCGCATCATCCATTTGCTTGAAGTAAATATAAGTACTTCCCTGACCAAGGTGAGCTCGATCCTGACAATTCGTCAAAAGTACAACAGGAATTTCATCTACCCTCGAGTAGCGTCGTTTCACAGTGCGAACTGTATTGTCTACCAATATGTCCCTCCCTCAGCACACTCTCGCCCGGTGAGACCTTACAGCCTTGTGTATTGTTCATCCTCATTTTGTACAGATATATCCCAGTCGTCCGCCTCCTTGAGAGTCTAGGCGGTTCCGAAGGCTACGAGAAGGACTCAGCTAGCTACGGCGATGCACTAAAGAAACAGCTTACGGACTACATTCCCGAAGACGATCAGTAGGTGTGCGGCAAATCGCGCTTGCGGTGATTCTGACGTTATTGTAGACTGACCGTTGACTTGTCCGAATTGCTCAACGGTCCTAAAGAACTTGAGGGCGGTCGTAAGGTGACCATGACTGACCTGTTGCGCGGAGTTGAACGTCTAGGCGGCTCCAAGAGCTTTGAAGAACACGTCCGCAAGCTTGAGACACCTGAGCTTCAGGTCAACCAGGTTGAATCCCACACGCACGGCCTGAAAGTGCCTGAAGACGTCGAGTATTTTATCAGTGGTCGTCCCCACATCAATAGTACGCACTTTTATTTCCAAGTCATTTTGCTTCTGATGGTACTAATTCTTTTCTTTAGAGGCCTACGCATACAAAAACTATGCCCACATGAGCACCTGGACCATAATCTTCTACGTCTCCATCGAAATCACTGCTGATATTGGCAAAACCAAGTACATCATGAACGGCCACACCTGGGGTGTTGGTGGAAGCTGTACGTATATCGATTCTCTGCGCGGTAGTAGTCGGGGCGTAGGTCTTACGTATTCGCTATACAGTCAGCTTTTACGAGGCCGGCCGGCTTCATTATAACAACGCTCCTGCTGGGAATCCCAATCTTAGCGGCGACGTAGACGTTCTGCTGAATGGAGTTTCAGAACCGGTGGGCCTGATGGTGGTGACCACATACAAAAATGGCGCCGATTACGCTAACGTGAGTTTATCCTGACTTTGTGCTATTTGACTTATACTAACGGATCTCTTGTAGTTTGTAGGAGGTAAGTGCCCAATTCTTCCTACATGTCAATGATTAGGATCTAACAATTTCCTGCTGAACAGTTGCTGGGCTGTCTATTGGCATTGCCATTAGTGTTACTGGTAGTGGCACATGGACACACGACTGACCGGAGAAGGGCACTAACGTGGCGAGAAACGTCACGGTAGCAGTCATGTGTTGCTGACTATCTATTGTAGCTAATCTATCTATAATATGATGGAAGGGATGTTTGACGATTTTGTGGCCTTATATTTGAACAATTTCATATCATCCGCGCCACGGGTACCCTCAACTCTGAACTAGCTACTACGGGTGCGCTGAGCCCACTTCTTGCCTGGAAGCTTGAGTGGTCTGTCCGTCATGGATCATTCGCGCGTAACACCGTACGCTAGTGAAATATACTTAATTCGCACAGGCTGTCCAAGGTCAGACATATGTAGCAGAGACTTAAAAACGGCTTTCTCTTCGGATGGGGTAATATAAGGTTAGTCCTGATCCTTCGCTTCGCTCGAGCGTCGTCTGCGTGCACTAGGATGAAGCGTAGTATGAGTGATCTCGCCATATCTTGTTAGGACATGGTAACTTCTACGCACGCCAAGAGAAAGAAGTTGGTTCAGCGCTGAGTCACTCTCGTTGCAGAGGGGTTCTCGCAACAAAGGGATAGACGTTACCCTCCGCAGTCGTGTGCCGGATTTGTTGGCTCACAATTGGCGACTGTATATATTAGAAGCTGTTTCGTTGCTTAGTTTCTGTACCCTATGCATGTCGTATCACATACTTTAACCCTGAGTGGGGCACGATAAGCTACGATACACACTCATTAATTGTGGTCACCAATACTTTCATGTTAGCCTACGTGGAACAGAAGTATACTCCAAAAGTAGCACCGATACTTTCTGAATTTCGAAGAATCTGTTATATTTCGACATTCCACGATCAAATGTTACCTATCATCTGCCGTGAACAGCGCGGAGTTTCATACAAAACGTTCAAAATGTTGAGATCAGGTCTTCGATTTCAGCAAAAAAAGCTGCCAAGCATTGTCAGAATATATCCCATATTAAAGAAGACGGAAAAACCACAATCCTACCTTTTCCTTAGATATAGGTTCAAACAAAATCTCCGACGTATCCTCATAGCTCTCCGGATCCGCCTCCAGTGCCTCCAAATCATTCTCGTCCAGGAGCGCCATGCCCATCCTTACCTCCACCCACTCATTCGCCTTCAGCTGCGCTCGAATAGCAAACGGTTTCCCCGGCTGAATAACCACATGTAGAAGCTTAACCTCGCACCTCGCATCAAACCGACTCACAAGCGTCACCTTCCTCCCATTCGCATCCCATCCCAACCAGCGCGCAGGCTCTACGTCGTGAAGGCGGAAGGCGTAACAACCCTCTGAGTCTTTTTCGTCGGGCGGCGCTGACACGGGGAGGACGTCGAACCAGGTTTCCAATCTCCCTGGCTTACCTACTCGGACGCGGCCCTCCGGAGCGATCTTGCCGGGTGCTGTTGACGAGGGGGAATATAGGTGCAGGTGCATGGAGTAAGCGGGTGAGCCAAGGTACTGGAGTGAGACGTTGGTCCACCCGAGCTTGAGGTCATCAAAACCGAAGATGGTGGTTAGAAGGTCGAGATTCAAGCGGGAGCCGCGGTTCCCTTCGCCACTGTCTTCGGCGCCGTAATTGCTGTTAAGATTTAAAGTGTCAAGATGGAGTTCTTGATGAGCCTAACAGAGTACGAACGATTGGAAGAAGGTCGAGGAAAAGGGTTCTATGAAGGAGGAGAACAGGAAAGTGGGAAAAGACTGGATGACTTACTGAACCGCCACCACGGTCTCGACGCCCCGAAACCCAAGCCATACCGGCCCCCCGCTCATCCCCTCCTCAGTCTTCGCCGAGTACATCAGCTGGTACGAATTCGCCTTGACGCAGCTTCCTTCCGCACGCCGCGGCAGGTTCGTAGGCTTTGAGTTCTGCGGCGAGTCCTGCGGTTTGTATCCACTGACAGATAGCGCCCGATTTTGTAGCACATCGCCCTCCTTTCTGCCCTCCCTTGACGCCGCAAGCCCAAGCATGAGATTAAATCCAAATCCTCGCCGTGGAGCCTTACGGTCTCGGTCGAGGAGGATGACGCCGTAATCGTAGATGGCGTTGTTCTCGTTAGGCTCGACTTTGTACCGCTCGCAAACGCGCAGATTGTTATTCGATACGGGGATCTCGGCGAGGGGTGTGATTATGCGGATTTGGGTGCAGAAATGGTTTGGCGCGTCGACGAGATTGTGGCCTGCGGTGAGGATAACGTCGTGTTTGCTGTTGGGGATGTTGATGTAGAAGCCGTTGCCATGCTTGCCTTCTGTAATGGGGTTACGCCGATCGCTCAGGTCAATTTTGTGCGAACTGGTGGAATGGTAACCTGCTCACCTCCCAGCTTATTGAACTCTAGCTTGACTACCCAATTTTCCCATCTTCCTGCAGATGTTGTCAGGTCTATCCTGTAGCGGTCCGTCTTGAGGGTTTCTCTGTTCTGATGAGATTGGTGGAATAAATGTGAAGGGACGTCAGGGATCTCCGGATTAAACATGCTAAGGGTTCGAGTTAATACGTGAAGCTCTTATATAAAGATCCTAGCCTGATATATCTTAAAACTTTGAGAGTAATGAAATGTAGAGACAGAAGTTGGGAGGGTAGAAAGCATGGCACAGATCAAATCAACATCTTAGTCACTATAAACGCACGGGCCATCTTGGTTGGGGGACGGTAGCAGTGCAATGTCTTCCAACGTTGGGCTACTTAGTCTGGATTAGGACAAGATACCTGCTCAGTTCTATAGAATTGCGCGAAATGAAGTGGGCACAGTATTGGCAGAGGGAGCCTGCACCTCAGTCAACTCCTTCTTCCTAACGCTCAGTAGTTCGATACTATCGTGATAAGAAACACTAATAACGTTGCGTATATACCGGCATTGTTTCCCTATCTAGGCCGACCGCATGACGCGAAGTATACTTTATTTTCAAAGTATGGAATGCCCATGTCTTCCGCTTCTAGCTCAATACCAAATGCGGAGCCTGCTGCCGGTGACTTCTACGTAACGAGCTCCAGACCACCAAACCCTCCAGCCAGCCTGCGCCTTATCCGAGGGGATCAATTTGCCGTTGCTCTCTACTTTACCAAGGTGTGTCTTTCCTTTGTCCCCGTCAACGTTCCACATGGAACCACCCGTAAGGAAATAGCTCTGGAAAGAGTCCTTCTCAGGGTTCTTGACAACGCTAAAATTGTCGATAGGAGTGTCAAATTTGGCAGTTTGGAGCACGTTGTCTAGCACAGGCCAAGGGTTGCCCCTGAGTTAGCAAGAGCTGCCAGTAACAAAAGTACATTGCAGCCATTGTGATTAGGGCGACCTCACCTTGCCATTTGCCAATTGCAGGATCAAAAAGTAGGTAGCGAAGGTTGCTATTCTTTCCAACATAGAAGAGGTGCATCTTGTCGTCGATATTTTCAAGGCATAGGGGGGTTCCCGCAAGAGGGTCGGCCTCAGGAGGACTGAATGCCTCCCACTTGTCCTCGGCTGCGCTCATGACGCCTGCCAGGCGGCCAGCTGGGTCCTGATAGGAAACTACGATTGTGCCATTGGGACCGAAACTAGCACTCAGCTTGCTATGTGGGCTGGTGACGATGTTCCACTTCCTGCCGAGTCCGGTTTGCTCCCACTCTTCAATGTCCTCATTGTAGGCATAGCACTGGACCATGTTCGTCTGGTCAATGAAGACAACGAGACGCTGATTTTCGGCCTCACATGCTGTCAGCCCAAATACAAGAAGTTCGCCGCGAGAAAGAGGATGGACTTACAAGATCTTGTCCAGCGTAGATTAGGTAGGAGGCCGTGGTGCTATCTCTAGCATCTGAAGCAATCACAACCTCATTCTTGGCGTTGTCGCCTACCCATAGCTTCTCGATCATATTACCATCCCTCACATGGACCAGATAGAATTTTTCTTCCTCCTGATCCGGAAGTCTAGCCCACCCGGCCGCGGTGAGAGAGCGGGCAAGGTCTTGGACACTCATGGTTTCAGGGCCGGATTGAGAGTTCGAGTCTGGAAGGGTATCAAGCCTGTACAGCGTCTGGAGAAGTGTTAATACTAGCTCTCTCCGACATTTGAGCTCAATTTCTACTAAGCGATGTCGGCTGGCCTGCTGAATCTCGAACAAGATCATCAGAAAGGGACTCAGAAATTCAAGGATGCCGCGCGTAAGTGGGGAGTCAGAGCGACAAGTCACTCTGAGTGGATGCTTCACTAAACCAATCAGGCTATGAGTCAACCTCAGCCTGATCTGACGCGGTTAAACTTGACAGCAGCGCAGAGACCCTGTCACTTATCTCCGTTGATTGACAGCTCGGGAGCCGACCGGAACGGTCAGGGCCGCCTGTCAGGCGCTAACATGACGTTATTTCAAATCAGGAGACCCCCATGGCCCAACCAGAGATGATCTGCAACCGAGACTTTTATAGATGGAGGGTAGCCAAGGTGTGACCGAAGCTGAGCGAACAGTATTGAGGGGTAGGTTGGACGGATGTGGATGTAAGCTCACCGAGCTTGCTTCGTGTGCACTGACAGTGTGGTGGGGTCCGTCGGTAGATGCAGACGGCCCCCCTCCCTCCACCTCACCAATGTGATGAGTCAAGTCTGTTCGTCCCAGAGCCTTGACAGGCGTCCTCGCAGAACGAGTTGATACTTCATTTTCAAGGCCTTGCTGTGAAATCCTGAGAGTATCTTCAAAGATGACTCTGCACGGCGATGCCGCGGCTGGTGTCCTAACGCAGGCAACGTTGGACGTCCACTTGAGGACATGCAAGATCGATGCTCCTAGCACAGAGAATGGCAATGGAACCATTGGCTTCACTGCACTTGCCATAGCGGCGCGCAATGGACAATCTGGCGCCGTGAGGCTCCTACTAGACAATAATGCCAACGTCGACGCACTTTCAACTCAGCATCGCACACCCTTGTGGACCGTGACAGCTCGGGGACGGGGTGATAGCAGGGCTGAGATCGTTGATGTCTTGCTGAAGCACAAGGCAGACGCCAAGTACTCTCATGCGAATCTTCAAGGTGGCTCAACTCCTCTTGTGAACGAACTGAAGCAGCTCAAGGACCCCGAGGTGATTCAGCTTCTGGTCGATGCTAATGGCACGACGGATGCGGCCACCAAGCTGGCCGCCGGAATAGGCGATCCCACAATCGACGACGCCATGAAGTCCAACGAGGATAGGACCAAACTTCGTGCAGCAGTTGTCGTTGTCGTCGTTTCGCTTATTCAATTCATCCTAGCTTGGGCCAACAGCGCCGCTCTCACTGGGATAGCCAACAAAATCTTCACAAAGTTCAAAATTAGCGGCAACAAAGATAGCCCGATGGCAAAGAAGATTGCGGCGGTAAGTCGATGAGAAAAAGTCGTCTTTCGTTGCATGTTTGATATTATCCATCTCGATCTCTGCCAAGCTATCAATTCTTACCGCTACTGTAGGAAGTCCTAGAGCCTAAGACTAAGGAAGACTTCAAAAAGGGCATAAACGATTTCGTCGACAGACATAAGCTTGACAAATTCTTCCCAGCAGGTGACAGCCCTATACTTGAGACACTCGCCTCTAAGGCTGTCGACCTGCAGAACGACGACAATTCTGTCCTCGGCCAGTCGACCAACGCTGAGAATTTGGTGAAATTTGCACTCTATCAGCCTGTCATATATTGCGGTATCAATCCCAAAACTCTATGGGAATCCCTTAGGAGTGTAAAGCTAACGAAGGGGCAGATGACAGCGGCTCAATGAGCTCTAAGGATGAGAACCAGAAAGAGAACCGCCTGGTCAACCAGCAGCGCCTGGTTCGGAGAATTGCCTCGATCTGTACCCAGGTGGTACCAGATGGCTTCGGCGTTCACCTGCGATTCATAAATAAGGAGTCGTCTGGTTCCGACAACCTTCGATTAGGACAAGTTGAAGACATCATGTCCCATATCAAAGCCAAAGGAAAGACTGAAGTTGGGACGAATCTGCGAAAGCGGATTCTTGACCCGCTAGTGTACAAAGCCGACATGGAAAGACCTATTGTCATCTCGATCATTACCGACGGTGTCCCAGAAGGCGCAGAAGGATCTTCAGAGAAAATGGACACGCTGAAGCATGAGATTCTCGAATGCAAAGAACACTTGTTGAGAAAAGGCCTTCCTCCAAGGGGTAAAATTACCGCACTACCCACATGCTCCAGTCGTCAATTTAGATGCTGACTTCTTACGAAGCCGTGGTATTCCAACTCAGTCAGATTGGCAGCGACCAGAATTCGAAAAGCTTCCTGGACGGCTTGAAGGAGGATGACGACCTCAAGGGAATCCTATACGTCACCGCACGTGAGTAGCAAAACTGTTGGACTCTCAGCAACCCGCTGCTAACTTGAATTCCAGAATAATTGGATGCCAAGTACCGAGAGCTAAGAGGAAACGAGAACGATCTCGAAGCTTGGGTAAGCATATTTGCAACTCCTCCTGAGCCGAGCAATTCGAAGCTGACCGCAGTCGTGTCGTCGACTCCTAGCTGTTCCAAACGTTGCTTGCTCCCGTCCTTGACATACGTTCGGACTAGGCTGCGCTGGAAGAACGAAAAGCGACGACGGGGCTATTGCCGCATCAGGAGAACTTGGCTTGAGTGGAAGTCATTCATATGTTAGTCTCGTGGTCTAAATGACACCTGTTGTGATAGTGGCAAACGTGATACTCCAACATAGATACGTGACACCGAGTCGAATCAGGAGGACCTGTAAGAGGAGCGAATAGTTAGATAGCTTTTGCCTCCTACAATGCAGTCATTACCTGTTACTTGACCATCGTTATATGACTCGCATATTCAACCGTGCAATATTCCCGATGGAGCAGCACTCTCTCATTCATCGAGCTTCTCTGTGACATAGTCTGCTCAACACATTTCCGCCGGAAAATGATATCACCCCACCCCCCCCCCCCTATCCTATCCCTTGTAGATATAGTTTCATGGAGAGTACTCACGCTGCACCCGGACCGCCCATACTGTCAGCTAGTCTTCATCTCAAGGTATCATTCTCCCCATTCCATCTATGCAGCTCCCCTTGTCCCCCGCCATACGTCCTCTTTGAAGAAGGAAGGACTTTAGTAAGTAGAGATGGCATCAGACATACTTGCGGAAGGAGACGCTAAGCTAGTCTCAAAGAGGGCTGACAAGATTGGCTCGGAGGGCTTGGCAACTTAGGGGGCGGGGGGACTCTTCGCAGAAGTCCGGGGGGCGGATTGGGGGGGAGGGTCTCGGGTATATTTTGGATGTCTTGGCACACGTGGGTACCTTGCTAGATCAGGGGTATTTCTGACAGGGTTGGGGCTTGTGGGGGTAAGTTACAGTTGGGCTTGTAATATTCATGCTAGGTAAATATCTGCATACAGATACTTGGATCGTTAACCTAAGGAGCGGCATGGGCAAGAGGCCACAATATAGAATTCTAATTGTTCTATCGAATGGAATTGGTCATCTGACTTAGGAGTCAGGAAGAAATGCCGTCAATAAACGTCTGCCGTGAATCACTCGTGCCTCGTGTAGGTGTTGTGTGTGCCTCTCCTTGCAAGATTATGTTTTGTGATCCTTCATTTTCTGTCTCCATCGCCGATCCACCCCAGGTCTAATCGTGTATGAAGAAGACGAGGATCCAAAAGGATTATATGTTTTCCAGACTCTACTGACGGGCTCTGAGCATAGGCATGTTGTATCTGCGATAGACTCCGGTTGCTGTCGGGTATGAAGCAGTGCCGGTGCCGGTGCCGGTGCCGGTCGGAAAGCTTCTTCCTTTGAGAAGTGGTCTGTTGTTTCTGCGATAGATCCCAGTACCGGTGGGATAGGAGCTGACCGCGGTCCCGGTTCCTGTAGGATAGACAGTCCCGGTACGTTTGAGGAGAGCGTTGAGGCCTCTCTTGTATATCCCGGTGGCTGTAGGATACGCAGTCCCAGTACCTGTCGGGTAGCTTGTTCCTCTGGGTTCTAATGGATAGTGACGCTTGATGAGGGGATCAAGAGGCCCATTGAATCTTTTTGAGAGCCCTGTCGCAGTAGGATATGAGCTTGTAACGGTACCAGTTGCTGTAGGATAGCTTATTGCTCTGGGGGCTATTGGATAATGACGTTTGAGTAGAGGATTAAGAGGCTCATTGTATCTGCGAAGAAGCCCAGTGGCTGTAGGATACGAGCTCACGGCTGTGCCAGTGCCAGTCGGATACGATGTTCCGGTACCAGCAGTCACGGTGCAGCAGATCTGAAGGATGGAGAGGACCAGAGCGAAGAGGGTAGCGAAGCTCTTCATGGCGAAGAAAAGGAAACTGACCCAAGGGAGTGACAGTATGTGTTGGAAAGATGATTATCGCTTTACATGAAAGCAGAGAATGGGATTTGGCAAAAGTGATAGACGGATAGCACAGGGGTAGGAAGATTTAAAGGCAGCAAGATTCTCACCTGGTTGTGCAATAGGGATCGACGGAGTACAATCATCCGATTGCGCCTTCATCCCAATGGAGATGTCTGCTCTCTGGCTGCAGCCTGCAGCCTGTACACTGCAAGTGATATCTCGTATCGGATGATCTACAGCCAATTGCTGATATCGGCTCCACAATTCTGGGCCACGAACTGTACAGCCAGATAGGCTCTTAGCAGCAAATCGACCCACCGTAGGGCATAGCCTGTACAACCCTGAACAATGCATGATGGTCGACATTTGCATGATGCTCGACATTTGCATGATGCTCGACATTTGCATGATGCTCGACATTTGCATACTGGTGACGGATTCGGTCGTGGAACTTGTGGAAGCAGATGTCGGTGGTGATAACAGTGATAAGGCAGGGTGGCCAAATCAATGCCGGCCCGCAATGCTTAGGCCACGAGGGCAGTGCCAGCAGTCGTTCTCCGCCCCAAAGAGACAGGTACGGCTGAAGTAATCCATTTATAGCCACTCATCATACAGCACATCAATGTCAGATTTGTGCCACCGTCCGCGATCTGGGAGATCTGGGCCAGCTCGGTGCTCGATAAGCTTTATCTGGCCTTGGCCGCCGGACTTTGCAGAAAGCTGCGTACAAAGTCTGCATACCAGCACCATTACACTGACATCATATGGTACTAGAGGGGTGGGGCACATGATGGTAATACAGTCGGACGATTCCAGTCAGCCAGAGTGTGACATCCGATCCCACTCGCTCGTGGAAGAGCATCTTGACCGACATCCAAATGGATTATTGAGTTATTGCGAAGAGTATTTTGGGGGAGGAGTACGAGAGTACAACGCAGGCCGCGGGATCTTCAGGACCGAAAACCGGGCAGACATGGCGCTTTTCCTCTCTCGGCCATAGCGGCATTGTCACGAACCTAAAAATGATCCCAATCTGGCAGCGCATGAAACGAAACAAGGTCGAAACATCCACCTTCCACCTTCAACGTCGCTCATGTCCTTGGAACCCCTAGATCTTCTTTGTTGATATGCCCAATTGCTCACAGAGACTTCACATCGTCCCCGCTATCGCTTCCTAGTCTGCTTTTGCTCGCATTCTTCCTCTCGTATTCTTTCCCTGCTTTCTCAGAATGCCTTCCACTTCTCCACCCGTCTCCCTCCTCACAGCATCAAAAGTCATTCTACCACTCCTATCTGTTCTGGGCTACTACCTAACGCACTATCTCATCGCTCACAATGGTACTGTCGACCGCATGGTCCAGATCCGCGATGTTGGCCCACGTCTCCTGCCAGGCACTTCCGAGCCCGTCCGTACAGTCTACACGGGTATCCCCTACATTGACGACCAATTAGGCATTCTCACCGTTATTTTCTGGGAACAAGTCGATGGTTCCAGGCCTGATGCGAGCTTGTTCGCATTTTACTTTGGCGCGCAAATCTTCCCGGCTTGGGGAGTGATCATGGTGGAAGGCTTGCGGAAAGCCAACAGGGGACGATTGATTTCGTAGTATGTTGTTTCGACTTGCCCTGCTGACAAGTCTCCTGCTTTTGGAAGGTCCAGATCATTGACGGGACTGCAGCACCGCGGTGTGGGGCATGCTGATGCAGATGTTCGCCATGGCCTGCGTTGTCCCAATCATGTTGCTTCTCCACCTTTTCACATCACCTACTGTCACATCGACAAATCCGGAAGACTTCATGCTGGATGCATCGGACATCCTGACAATCTACACCTCCCTCGCGATTGGCTTAGTAGCGCCTTCGTTTCTTATGGCTTTAGCTGCCCCGACCGTCATCAGTTTTGACACGAAGCAGATCTTGATCGCAGTATGGCAATTCTTCCCTCTCTGGGTTGGCATTGCACAGCAAGTACCCTCATTGTTGCTGAAGCGTGATGAGAAGAATTCGCGGAACGGAAAAATTGTACGTGGTTCAGTGCGCGCAATGCGGTTTATGTACGGAGCTCTGCTTGCCCACGCAGCTTATAGCCTCTTGTCGACCTTTCAGTCCGTAGGCATTTCGGAAGTCTTTCCAGACTTGTTTTCAGCCAAATATCAGGGGGTCTGGAATTTTCGAAGAGTGTTCATACCGAAAGCTATCACTCCAGCAGTGAAGGTAGACTCAATTGGAAGCGGCTTTTTCCAGCTCCTGCAGTATGATTACATCATTGGTAGTGTTGCAGTGGTGCTGTGGGGCGTCACCTTATCGAGATTGAGAATCGGCTGGACATCGTTGGCTCTGGGTGTTGCGGCCCTCGCCATAGCAGGACCTATGGGCCTGCTCGTGGTCTTGATCTGGACACGCGATGAGACGATATTCGGGCAGCAAGAAGAAGGCAAAAAGGATCATTAAGCGTCGTAGAAGCTTTTCTGGTATGATTGCTATGTACATAGTTACGACGACATTCAAAAGTTGATCTATTTCTTCGCCTCTTCTTTCTTTTCCTCCGGTTTTGGCGTAGGTAATTGAAATTCGTCAGGCTTTCTATCCTTTCCGGGACCAACCTGTTCCCAAGCTACAGACAACATCAGCCAGATTATGAGCGACACAACAGCTGTGACTTACCGGCAGTTCCACCCTCGAAGTTTCTGAATGCCTGCGTGAGCTCTAAAGGCTCCACTACTATTCTCTTCTTCTCTTCGTCATATCGTATTTCAGTATAGCCTGTCAATGGAAAGTCCTTCCTTAGAGGATGACCGTCAAATCCATAGTCGGTCATGATCCTTCTCAAATCTGGATGTCCTTCGAAAAAAACACCGAACAGGTCATACACTTCGCGCTCATACCAATTTGCTCCATCGTATAGACTCGTAATACTTGGTACCGGCGTCGCCTCATCCGCATATGTTTTCACTCTTATTCTTGAATTGTGCCGGACACTAAGGAGATGGTATACGATCTCAAACCGGTTGTCTTTAGTAGGGAAATCAACCGCTGTTATATCTGCGACCATTGTGTATTCCGCAGCGGTATGGTATTTGAGAAATGAGATGACAGGAATCACGCCAGCGGGAGGGATGTAGATTGTGAGTTCATCTTTCCAAATGGAAAATTGTTGAATATATTTTGGCATGCATGACAGTAGATATTGGCCGTAGGTGTGGAGGTTGGCGGCCTTCTCTTGGTATTTATCGGTTGGATTGACGACGGGAGCATAGAGCTTCCCACCAGCTACGCGCAGTATTAGTCCAAGCGAGTCACTGGGAGCACGATATATCATTGAAGAACTCACGCGGTCGTGGGGCATGTCGCATGTTAGGAGCGTCTTCCTGGGAAACAACATCTTTCCTTCGTCTTGCAGTACAGCTCAATTGTCTGGTTGCGCTCACACGGCTCGATGCACCGAAGCTGCATCTAACAGCGCGCCCAGCTGCTCCTGCTCCTGTTCGCAATGCCATGCCGTATCTTGAGGAGTGAGAGAGATCGTGCTCGAAATGACTTCATGGTCTCGAACCAGCCCTCCAGCCAATGAGAGATTAAGGGAAGACGCTATACCCAATTCGTCTCTAGACCCGTCATTTTCAATCTGAAGGCGACCTCCTGCCCGTCAAGCCGTCCTCATTCCTTCTACACAACACTCGCAATACACTTCACTCATATTCATCGGGGCGTTTGATCTTCGCTCGTATCGCGTTTAACTAATTCTGCATTTTCCTTTCATGCTAGCATCTCAGCTGCAGAACGTGACCTCACCCCCGCCCTCGAGGATCACCTACTCTTCCCCTCCCTTACAATGTCGCGAGTTCAACAAGATGCATTCACAGACGATGCCGACGAATCATGGTGAGTCTGGCGCTCCATTACGAATGATACACGCTTTGTTATCGATGGACTGACCATCGAAGCCCCCTCTGCGTCGAAGAGTTCGACCTTTCGGACAAGAACTTCAAGCCATGTCCATGTGGCTACCAGGTATGAATGCAATCATCACCTAAATTCCAATTGACAGAACAATAATCGTGTGAGACAATGCTCATTGTTTTCTATTAGGTCTGCCAATTCTGCTACAACAATATCAAGAATAATATGAATGGCTTGTGCCCAGCGTGTCGCAGACCGTATGACGACCAAAGCATCGAATGGAAAGTGGTCAGCCAAGAAGAGCAGAAAGCAGATATCCAGCTGCAGGCTAGAAAGAAAGCGCTTGCACGGAAAAAGGAAAGCGAACAGAAACAGGTCGAATCGAACAATCGAAAACACCTTGCAGGCATACGAGTTGTGCAGAAAAATCTCGTATACGTCATTGGTCTCACGCAGCAGAGCAGCGAAGATGAATTCTTGAGAACACTCAGGGGCGAGCAGTATTTTGGGCAATATGGTAGAATCCACAAGATTGTTGTTAGCAAGCCCCGCATTGGAGCCGAGCACGACAAATCAATAGGCATCTATGTGACTTTCGAGCGGAGAGAGGATGCTGCCAAGTGCATAGCTGCTGTAGATGGCTCAAAGAATCTTGACCGAGCTCTAAGGTGGGTTTTGCATCAATTTCTATTGATCCGAAACTGATCGAATTCTAGGGCACAATATGGCACCACGAAGTATTGTTCGGCATATTTAAGAGGCGAAACCTGCAGCAATCGAAATTGCACGTTCCTGCACGAGGAAGGACAGGATTCCGATAGCTTCAGTCGTCAAGACTTGTCCTCGATGAATGCCACTGCTTCGATGAATGCTATGTCTACCCAGAGAACGACCACAGCGTCGCCATCTCGACCAAACCAAGTTTCCTCCCAGTCACAGCCTTCGCAGCAGCACATACCTAGCATTTCAGCTACCCTTCAGTCTGGCCCAGCTCAAGCCGTTCGAGAAGATTTACAAGCAAAAATTAACAACGACGGGCCTGCGTTACCCTCCACTGCCAATTGGGCTGCAAAGAACGCGCATCAGGAAACTTCAAGGGCTAGTAAGCCACCTAGCTTCTCCACTCCAAGCCCTAGTGTTTCTGCATCAAATCCCGTCATTCAACACTCCGCTCAAGCCTCAGAGCAAGAGCCCGAGCCTGAATCCGAGGCGGTACCGCCGCAACCTGAACAGCAGCAGGCTACTCCGGTCGAAGAAGCATTGCCGTGTGGGAGGCCTCCAACCCCTCCTTCACCAGGCTTAGAGGTGTGGCTGTTGAACAGACTTCGTCAACACAAGGATTTGGAGTTGGCTTTCGACGAGTCGCAGTACTCTCAAGAAGAGCTAGAACTCATCAAGGCTATACCACCACTATTTTCTTTCGACGTTTGTATCAAGAGATATCGAATGAAGAAGGAATTGGAGCAAGAGCGAATGAAGCAAGAAGAAGAACGCAACGTGATGGGAGCAATATCAACCGCGGAAGACGACGAAAATCTGGGTAGTGGAAGCCTTCAACTTGGTGGAGAGCCCGATACTCAAGAGGAGACTCCTGACGCGAGTGTCCGGTTTGGGGGCTCAAATCGCAATACAATACAGTCTCCCCTTGGATCGTCTTCTGTCTATCCGTTCGGCGGGTCTACCGGTCAGGTTGGCAATGTTGGAAATCTACCACGCACCCTTACACCACAGCAAAGAGAACAAATTTCTCAGTTGCAGAGAGTCGGTAGCTCACGGCAAACTCCGGTGAGCCAGGCTTCTTTTCAACAGAGCTACGGGCAAAACAGCTCTATGCATCAACACCAAACCTCGAACCCGTTCCAAAACCAGCTGCAAGCCCCCAACGCCTTTGGTTCGGGTCAAGGACACGCTCGGCAAACCTCCCGTTATACCTTCTTAAATGAATCAAGCCTTGCTCCGGGCGCCGTAAAGCCCGCAGCAAATCCTCAGCTCTCAGCTCAGCAGGCTGGAGTACTCTCCGCAGGTCATGGCAAACAGTATCAAGGCCAACCGTTTCAACAGCAATCTAGTACACCGAACTTCTACAGTGGAGTTCAAGGTCCACCTCCTGGTCTCAAATCGAGCGGAACACCTCCTATCAGTGGAGGAGGAATGTTCGGCCAGGGACATGGTTTCGCGAGCGCTATGGGTGGTAGCGCCGCATTCAGTAGCAACACCGGGAACAAAAATATTGGCGATGAGTCGATGCAACAATTCTTACGAGCGCGAGATCGTGGTAATAGTGGGCAAGGGCCCGAGTTTGGAAAGCGTGAGTTCAAATTTCCTTATGCACAGCAGCACATGAATTCTGATGCCCCTGCCTCAAATTTCTTGAATTCGCTTTATGGATCCCAGGTTGGGGGACATCAGAGCTTTCAGGATTCAAGTCTCCAGAAGCAGAAAAAGAAGGGAAAGAAACATCATAGACACGCTAACACTTCCTCCTCTGGAGGAGGTGGGATAGTTGATCTTTCAGATCCGAGCATTTTGCAGGCGGGTATGCGCCCAAATGGAGCAGGGCAGGTGCATTTCAATACCCACAATCAATCTGGTTTCAATAACAACGGCGTCATGTATGGAGGGTATACCCATCGATGGTAATGACTGTGATGATGTTACAACTATCATTCTTGATGTTTTGTTTACGAAAAGAGCTTGGTCTGCATTGAGAGGATTTCAGCAAGCACGGAGAACCGGAATCACAAATAAAGGGTCAATACGGCGTTTTGAAAGCCTTACGATATGGCAGGGGACGGTTATCTGCAATACATCTACACACACTTATACAACGCCTTCACGAAGACCAATCCTCTATTCATGTCATCACCTTGAGGCTGAGAAAAGCCTTTTGCTCCTTACGTCATCTTTGTACTCGTCATGGCTTCTTCTCCTGTATGTAATCACCCCAAGCCTGCTGGACATGTTCTGGCGGGTCAATATCAGTACATCTTCTTACATTTACCTAGTATATAGACTACTTCGCGTATGCCATGGCGAGATCGATAATTGTAAACAATTTCTACTTCCTTGACCAATAAGCTTCCTCAAATGGAACATTACTATATCCACCAAGGCTTTTCGATCTTCAAAGCTTCGCCGACGTCTTTTCATACTTTGACTAGCACATCAGAATTCATGTGCTGCTGTCTTTACTAAACCATTACTGTGCTGACTCTTCGTCTGCTTTAGAACCTCCCCAGGCACCTCGTTTCCCTGGTGCCGCCGCCAAAGTCGACAATCTCGTCCGAAATGCTATCGATGACGGTCCCATACAATTACAGCCGGCTAAACTTCCACAAAAGATCTTGCAGGCACCTACCCCGGCCGCTCCCGGAGTTGCATCGACCCAAGATTTCCCATCTCTACCTACTCCGCAGAAAGCTCCAGAGGTGGCAACGGCTCCAGTGGCAACACCAAAGAAGGGCTTGATCGCCAAGACTGTAGCATCTGGTGTGAAGCCTGCAGTACCAAAGAAGGTACCCCAGCCAGTCACTAAAGGCGCTTCTTTGCCAGATAAGAAATTTGAAGATGACGCTGTCGCTGCCAAAGCGACGACTAGATCTCTGACGGAGGCACAAGAAGAGCCTCAAAGTGTACCTGCACTGAGTTCGAGAGCAGTGAGTGAAAAGACTACCGCATCCCATGCGACCAAAGCAGCGGCCGAAGAGGATTCAAATCTTAAACGACAGAAACCTAGCAACATTGACGTTGGAGCCGCTCAAGAGGCCGCAAGAAAGGATGCTGGACCGACTGCTGACGTATCGAATTCTCCCAAATTGACAGGGACAACTACTTCGAGTCCAGCTCAACCAACAACTCCAACAACGGTGGCCTCACAGCAAACTAATGCGTCGCCGATACCTCCCACTAAAGGGCCCAAGACTCTTCGAGTTGGAACGACAATGAAAGTAGGCCAAAATTCTCCCAGCAACGCGGAGTCCTCGAGGTCCAGTGCCATTTCGGCGCAACCGCCAGCTACTCCATCGGACAATGCCTCATTGACATCGACATCTGTGTCTCGCGCAAATTCACCACCACCTTCCCGAGTCGGGTCTGCCCCAGTCAGACAAATCTCAAAAGCTCAACAGAAGAAGGAAAGACAAGCCCGAGCGAAGCAACCAGATACTATTGCTCCGAAACCAGAGCAACAGCCTTTAAAATTAGAGGAGCCCGAGGTCGTCCAAGAGCCCATCGTCGGCAGAAAGAAAAAGGCCAAAAAAGCAAAACAGACACCCACAGCCGACTCAACCCCAGCCCCCTCACGGGCTCCCTCACCCGAAAGGTCAACCGAGCCAGTTTCAAAGGAACAAAAGGCAGACGCTACATCCTCCGCCAGCCAGAAAGACAAAGCATCGAAATCGCAAGCTTCCCAAATCTCGCAAGCTGCGGAATTTAAGAAAGCCGAAGAGCCACCATCGACGTCGACCAAGATCAACTCTCAACCATTAGATGAGCCATCACGGAAAGCAGCAACCATGACCCCCGCAGCCCTCTTCTCCCACCTCACCTCCACCGGCGTCCTCGACCCGTCCGTAGCAGACATCCTCTTCAAGCCCGTGCCAGGTGCGACTACTCGATTCGAGCACTCCGCTGACCTCGTCACCACCGCTTCACCAGTTCTTTCGGAAGCGCAGGCTAAGAGTCTTGATAATGGATGTGCTGTACTGGTCGAGCCTCCTTCCAGCACCTTCAACTCGAGTAGTGAGAGAGGCGGGAATGAGAGATCTACTGGGACTGGAGCTGGGGCAAGGATTGGGGCTGGGGGAGTCGGAAGTGGGGGCAACAGATGCACAGTCGTCCTCCCCGACCGCCGGCCCATCGGGGGCTTGAACGTCACCCAGGCGAAGAGAATGGTGGAGTTAGTGAATCGAATCGGCGTACCAGGTTGGAAGGCGGAGGTCGAAGGATTAGTGCCCGTGAGGCGGGTCAGTACTTTCAACCCTGGCCCGCCACAACGTGAGGAGGGCGATGGAGACGATGATGGAGATGCTGGGGACGGGGAAGGGGGCGTAGAGAGGGAGCTCGTGAATCGGTTTGCGAGCGCTGAGGATGTTGGTGAAGGGGGTGTCGGAAATGTCGGTGGGATGGGGGGTGGGGGGTATTATGAGCCGGCGAGAGAGTTGAGGGACAAGATTGCGGCTGTGAATGCTGGGGTGGGGTTGGGGTCGGGGTTGGGGACCGGGGTGGTCATGAGTGTGGAGGAGGCGGAGGCGAGATTCGTGGCTAGTAAGCGTGAGACGGAGGGGATTGAGAAAAGGTTGAATGCTTTGATTAAGAAAAACAGGAGATTGGTCGGGGTTTGAGGCGAGAGAATGAATTTTTGAAGAGAAGTCGTGAGGTGGGCCGGAAAGGGGGTATGCATGCTTAATGAGCTTCAAGTGCTGAAGCAGATCATTAGCCTATGCATTTCCACTTTGACTTCTTATCTTTTCGTGGCATTAGCTTTGAGTAGCTTTTTCGTGTATGATAAAAGCATGGCCTTGTCGCCTGCAGCCCACAGAGACTCTGTGCTATTTTAGAGTTTTCTCTTCTGTACTTATTTGATACTGCGTTCTTCATCACTGGTGACCGAATACTCGCAGATTGGCGTTTAGTCTTTCAAGAATGTGTGAGTAAGGTATTTCGACGATGTTAGTTGTCAAGATATATGGAAGAGAGATCAAAGAAATGGCAAGTTGCAGAAGTATCAGGAAAAGGAAGGCTCTCGCCAGATCATTGAGGTTTTGTTTGCGTTTGCTTGTCTGCTGCCGTGATGGCTGAAGAATGATTCTAGAGTGAAGGTTTCATTTTCTTGAGGAATTCGATGGAAAGGGCTCGCGGGCAGCATGCGGAACAGGAATAATCATTCGTCATCTTTCAGAGTGCAAGAGCGGACTTTCTTGAGAGTCGTTTCGTTCATGGAGTCCTCTAAAATGGATGACTAGACTCGTTGCTCACTCTTGACTAACGAAGACGGAGTCACACTTACCATAACGGCAAAAGAGGCGATGTAATCTGAAAGGCTACCTTTGGCTTGGAATCAACGTGTAGGCTAAATGCTGCTCGATGGGATGTCGAGCATAAGGCAGCCAGAATTAAGGCGTGACAAACGCTTCGGTAACTACTGCATCTGGTTCGAGCTCAAGATGCGACGTGCGGCTCTACTGTACACCGACCATACTGCCTTGAGATACTTCAGACCCACGTGGTTTCGGGGCAACCTGCCTTCCAAATCAGCTCCAATAGGCCATTAAAGGCCATCTTGCCTTCTGAATGGCCTTGAACTTTGGACATAAAAGATGACCCTCGACATCTCGGACAGTGCATATGTCAAAAGACTAGCACAAAGTTATTGCAGTAGAATTCCAAATGGCACCCAAGAACTCCCAATCCAAGTCAAGAGTCTCCAATATCCCGCTCGCCAGTGCCTTCGACGAAGGCTCTTATCTCACCGAGCGGGATTTCGAAAAGCGACCTGACACAATTTCCCCATCGACCCCAGTACCTAAGCAGGATAAACACGCGGAGGAGTCTCAAGCCAGTAACTCAAACCAAGTAGGCTCTGTATCTGCCTCGACGACAACGAGTCTACCAGCATTTTCTTCCAAGGCAGCAGAAATGGTGACAAGACATACGAGCCCAGAGGGTCGAGCTCAGATCGTGGAAGACGCAGGGAAGTCGGAGAGCGCAGACAGGGCGCAGGGCACAGCACAAGAACGAGAAGGTGAAGAAGCAGTGACGCTTCAAGAATTGCAGCATCAAGTACAAGTCAATTGTAATTCTTTGATGGACGAGGTTGACGAGCTACACTACCGCTTGGAGCAATTTCAGGAGCAGGTGGAGGAGCAGAGGAGGGAGCAGAGGAGGGAGCAGAGGATGGAGTTGAATCGTTTACAAGTGCTTTGTAGATCTATTGACCTTGTTGGTCTTGATGATGACGAAGATGAAGGCGAGATGATGGACCACGATGCTGAAAGATAGGGGCTTCTTTATGACATCAGATGTTTTTGGGGTAGCGGTATTTCTGCATTTCGTTCGTTTGAACCCACCTGACAAAGTTCATTTTGTGACTACGATATTATAGATCAAGAGTTGGAGAAGATCGTGAAAGAGAGTGGTAGAAGGTAGAGGTTATACTCTGACAATCTAAACCACGTGCTCCGTGCGTTCTGGTGTTCTATTGAAGTCAGTGTTATCTTGAGCGAATGCTTCAGCTATTTTCCACTTTCTGCAAGACCAAGGGGCGATTTCGAGGTTGCGCGCCGAATATTGCTCAAGTGTGAAAAGGCACTAATTATTTGAAATTCACTCTTGTCATATTCGCTCTCATTGTCATCGTAATCGACACTCCCATGACTAATCCCATCGTCCATTCCATTTTAAAAAAAACCGAAGTCATCTCTTTTCCTCGACTATCCTTCGAATACTGCAACCTCAGTATCTCCCAATCCTACAGCACCTCAGATGCCCACCAAAAAAAATGAACGAAATGACCCCCCAAAACCGCGAATAGGCTTCGAAAGATCTCTCTGCCAGACACTACGCTAGAAATCCCAAAGTCGAGTCTCCCAAATCTCAAGGTGAACCATGACAATCACAGGAAAAGGTAGCCGAGACCTTATCGTACGACCCCAATAAAGATAGGGTCAGAAGAACAGATGAGTCTGCGCAAGGCCAAGGCCAGGAGGACGCTGAAAAGGATTATGCCATGACGCCCGAGGGTCTTGAGCGTTTACGGGAGAGTCGTGAATTTTTAAGGAAGCAGGTTCGAGCGAGGCCGTTGCCGATGAATAACGTTCGTGAGAAGGAGTTCTGTTGGGAGGGGGAAGGGGAAAAGGGGAGGAGGGGAAGTGATGTGTAAGTGAACGTTCGTAGACGTGTATGCCGTCGGCCTCGGGTTATACGATCGATCTTTCATGTGTCAGGAGGACCTGGAGTCTTAAAATTGAGAATCATGACCTTGGTCAATGAGATGAGTGCTCTGATCCCTTGAGAGATGTATTCTTCGTGTAATTGTTTGGATTATTAGTGTGCGGTGACGCTATTTATTCTCTTGTGCAATGTAAACATATGAAAAGCCGAGGTGTCATTCTTTTAGTTCTGTAGCCCAAAACCGTTCCTTCAAAGGATTGTAGAGAATTGATCCGCTTTCCGAACTAAGAAAGACCCCTAGATGAGGTATGAAATCAAAGGACTTCGTAAAACCTCATCCGTGTTTCTAAGCCGCTGATATTTGATTACGAATTAATTGGTCTTTCTTCTTTTCTCTTCTTTTCTCCAGTAATTGAAACCCAAGCCAAGTCGCGAAAACGGCAAACGTAAAAGGCAAGCTAATGTACAAGTACAATCGCAAAGCTCCTTTCTGGAAGTCCCGCTTCCCAGCCTGCCAGCGTACTATATCTGTGCTCATTAAAGTCTATGTTCAAAAACGTCAGTGTGTTTCTGATGTGCACTCGCGTGATCAGCTAAATCAGGGATATCTGTCTGCTAGGAGGACGAAACCTTGTCGCCTCTTCAGGGGAAATATTTTGGGCCAGTAGCTTACTAAATAATGTAAAAGAAAACGACATACTGAGATGAAAGTCCCAGGTAGAAAGAATAGCGTGACGAGAGTGATGATTTTCATCGAAACGGTTTCGGTTTTCGTTTTTCGGGCAAGAATGCCCATGTCCTTTGTCATGAGTTCCATATTCTTATTTGAGTCTCGAGATTGCCATGCCAGAAATTCGTTGGCTCGAGTGTTCTCGAACTCTAGGAGTCCGTACAGCTTCACTTTGTTAGCTGAGGTTGGGTGCATCTTGTCTATTTCATTAGGGCTTACCAGAGTCTTCCGATCTTTGAGAAGACGTTGCAAGGCTTCAACTCGTAATATCTGGAGATATAAAGAGTTCACAATTCGCTCTAGCTCACGGTCAAATTTTGAAACATCTTCTTTGCATTTCGTCCTCAACTGGTCAAGCATTTCATGAGATTCGAAGACTGATTCGTAATACTTCTTCAACTGTGACATTACATTGACGTTAAGATTAAGAACGAGAACGACTTCGTTGGCGCTCTCCTCAAGCTTCTGTGTGTCTTGAAGATCCCTGAAAAAAAATCTTTGCTGGCCCCAGACGTCGAAACTCCTCGTTGTGGTCTTTGGATCTTGGGGAGCTGTTGACCTTCGCCCAGGAGGTCTAGGTTGCTGGATACCGGCACTGTTCGTGTACATACGGTTTGAGGTGTTTTCTTTGATGGAATCTAACTGGATGTTGTCGTTGGTTGGAGCTCGTGAATGTAGACTTCGAGGAAAGGACAGCATTCGACTTCTTTGAGTAATTTGGCTTTTTTGCGTATCTGTTCGTGGAAGCTTCATCAGGACTTCAGTACCCCTCATGGGGCTGATGGGTACATCTGCATTAATAAACATTGTGGCCTCCGTAAGCGCTTCGAGCTTTTTCTCCAGGAATTTGATGTACCACCGCCAATTTTCGGCGGACCACTCGCAGAGCAAAAGGTGTATTGAAAGTGTTTGGGCGAATGCACGGTCGATGGTCTCAAAAGCCGCGAATCGTTTTGGGCAATCTCTAGTAGCTGCTTGTATTCTTTGCTTTACATCCTGATTGCCCTTGATCACGATCCATGTTGACCTAATCTGTTCCAAATCGAAGGAGTGGAATAAAATGCAATTTCGTATTGACCACGGCCAATCTGGCTGCGAGCTAGAAGATTCGACGGACTTAAGACTATAGCACATCTGTAGGTCGTAGCCAGACCAAAGGCGCTCAGGTACTTGCATTCCACGGTCGAGAGCCGTCACGCGACTACTGTGGCGGAAGTCGCTAAAATAAAGATCCTCTGCTGTTGTTTGTTTCCCAAATAAGAAGACCAATTCCAGAAATTCTGGCATAACTTGCAAATAAGTCAACGCTAGCAGTAACATGTTTCGAGTTGTTTTGAGACATTCTCGCGAGTGTCCCGCAGCTTGTATGAATCTGGTCAATGTCAGCTATTGGTCAATATCATTGTACAAACTCGTAGATTATACGAACAAAAATCTGCTATGCGGATCCCATCTGTTGAGAATGGGATCAATGCCTAAGTATGACTTCAATTCCCGAAGGCTCCCCACGGTAGTAGGCTCGAAACCTGGTACGATGTCAAATCCGACGCAAAGACTATTGCTGAACTCCTTCTGCTCTCTATTACTCACCCCTCGCGCCGCGTGGAAAATCCCATAGATCAAGAGCGGCCTTTCCTTCAGCACAGAACAAGCGCTCCTCATTCTCTTGCAGTCGTGAGCTGTACGTCTCTAGTGAGTATTTGGAGTGATCACAAAGATCTAAATTGAGAGGATATGTCGAGGCATTGCCGCAAAGTGCCAGCACGTCATTCATTTCTCTCACCGAAGGTTCAGTGGGCCGGGTCAAACCTTGGCGGCAACGTCAAATTTGCAGAAAGGATGGGTGGTAAACTCATTCATTCATCAACTCATATGCGAAGTACGAAGAAAGATAAGGCATCGTAAATTGATCGATATTCTCGTCAGGTCATAGCCCCCGCTTTGTGATCATCCCTCGCATTGCCAAGGCTGAGAAAATGAGTCTCAGCGCCACGCGCCCCGCATGATGCTCGACAAGGCAGATTTCGTCCTGTATAAAACCCTCTGACATTACACGCATGACCGTCACCAAGCTTTTTGCTCAACAAAACTTGTATCGAAGCCATTGGAGGCCTTCGTCTTCAACTTGTATTGCTTGCTTCATCATCAATGATCAGGATAACGCAGGTCCAGCAGTCGATCCTTTTCACCCTATTTTGGTATAGGTTAGGCTTCAACGGCACGGGAAACAAGGAGGTACGGCAAGTTACGTTGCCCTGGTGGGTCAGGGGCGTCAGGGGTGTTCATTCTTACCCGTGAGAGCTTTCTCGGTACCCAGAATTGGTACGCTTTGCCCACCAGCTACGGACCCCCAGGTCAGAATAGTACTGTACGCCAGGAAGTCAGCCAAAGGACGTACTTCAATGTAAAACTCATAGCCTGGCCAAATGGTAGCCAAGTAATTATCGATGATTCCCACATTCAGTCGGTAGTGAGGAATCTGGTCATACACCCAATCCCCTCCCAAGGCTGACATCGTGGCTGAAAAGTTGGGCGCAAGATTCGTATCGCTAGGCTGACTGGATAATCTCGCGCGTAAAACGTGTAAGGTTAGTCAGGTGTCAAAGGAACTAGATGAAGGATACGGATCCACAGAGACGAGCCGTTTTAAGATGAGGAGGCTGTACACGCGCTGCGAGGGGGGAGGGTTTCTTCAAAGCTCTTATTGGTTGCAGAGGTCGAATAAGTTGAGCCGCAACGACTCGGAATTGGTGGAGGGTGGGCATTGACGATCGTTGGCTATCGCGTGCTACGCTCGGTAACCTGCAGAGATACCCCACTGGCGAACGGATTGAAGCAATGCAAATGGATGGTGCTCGGTCTGTCCAGTACGCCTGTTTGCCTTCTTTTTTCGCAGACCGATTTTTATGGTTAGGTGAGTCACGAAAAGCCCATTGAGTGCCACTGAGTCCCACCAAGTGGTCCGTCGCATTGCATTGCGCTGGACCTCGAAGACCGTGCGACCCAGATCGATTTTGCGACAAAGGTGCCTTTAAATATGCACCGCCTCCCTATACAAGACCATGGAGAATGGAAAGCTGCCCCAGAGCACTAGCCTCAGAAGGTCGAGACTGTGGCGAAGTTCACCTGCTATCGCTGGTCATCTCGGTGGGCTTTAGCGTCCCACATGCGACCAATGTTAAGCAAAGAAGCACTGGATGATGCCTATAAGGCTAGCTAATGACGCAGATCGCTGCGGGGTTGCAAGGGCGCAGCTGGAGTACAATGGCATTGTCCTCAAAAAATCGTTTCTTTATTACTCGCTCCAAAATGTTTCTCCCATCAAGCCCGTGTCTGTTCTGATGCAGGGAGAGGGGCTGCTCTGTCCTCAACCCCTGTGGATGTGCGCCTGGTCGATCAGCACATTTGAGTCGCTTCAGCCTCGAGGATGATTGACTCACAAGCCGACGACGAGCCAGTCATCCAGGAGTTTTTAGAGAATTTTAAAAACAGGAGCTCGCCTCTATGGCGGCAAGGATGCGTTGGCTCCGACAATGATGTGGAGAAGGACAGCGATGACAGCAAATACGTAACGCGAAAGACACTCGAAGATTGGCTTACGGCGCAGAAAGTCGAGTCGTTGCTAAAAGCAGTCATCAAAGAATCAAACGGCCCTCGGCCCTCAGCGGAGAACATTTGGAGACTATACTTGCGACCTTTTGCAATCCTACTGTGTATTGGCTTCGGGCACATGATCAGGCATTTCGTTAGACACGATACCCTTAAAGATTACAACCTACCCTTCCACGATAAGCCACACGGCTTTCCATATTCATACTCAAGCTCATGCGACCTATGAGGCCTTTTCTCCCGCGCCCAATGGGGCTTCTGCCCTGTCGCTTTCTACTTCGATATGGACGAACGGCTCCCAACCTCCCTCATCCTCCCAATATCTTCTAAGCAGCAGCTGGAAGAGAGTGGGAGCTCAATCACGTACAAGATCTCCGTAGACAAGGAGCTCGACACTTTAGTGACAGGCGCTGGTCAGGACATTGTGAGTCGAGTGATGATGCTTTGCTTTGAACAAAAGGCTCACTATATCAAAGGTCTCGGAAAATGGCCCCTACAATACCTACGTCCTAAAGACATATCGAACAAGGGATGCCTCCAAGTATTACGACAACGAATGCAATGCCTTCCGTCGCCTGCGGCATGGCAACAAGCCCTATGTAAACATTATTGCATTCTACGGCGGGTTCGCACGTGAAGGGGTCTTCAATATCTTTCTCGAATACGCGGACCGTGGAAATCTTGATGAGTATATGCAGAAGACTAGGCGTCCATCGAGAATGAAAGATAGAATTATGTTCTGGCACAACTTCCTCGATGTGGGCCATGGAATTTCCGTCGTCCATGGATACCGAGAGGAAATAGATAAGGAAACAGGCGTCAGAATACCCCTGGGGTGAGTCGCAAAGGAAACATGAAGAATTTACTGGGTTTAATGTAGTATCTAGGTGGCATCAAGACGTTAATCCAAGCAATATACTCGTCAAGAGTCGGAAAGGCGGATCAGATTATGATTGCGATTTCAAACTCGCTGATCTTGGACTTGCTCATTTCACTGATGATGCTTCGTCTCCATGGAATGCCACAGACAAAGACACTTATGGAACAACAGCATACGGTTCGTCCTACCAGAGAAACAGCTTACTGAAACTGATCATCGCACAGGAGCTCCGGAAACACACAGAGAGAACGACAAGCTTCGGATGTGCCGCCTCACTGTCCGACAAAGCGTTGACATCTGGTCATGGGGCTGCGTGTTAAGTGAAACAGCAACTTGGGTATGTCATGGATGGCATGCATTGTTGGACTACCGCAGAAAACGCTCAGAGGAGGTTCTGCTCAAGACGGGCGTCAAAGAAGACATTTTCCACTCCCACGACGAAGTCCTATACGCAGTGAGGCAGATGCACGACGACATAATCGAAAATCGCATGGTCAATGACAACACTATTGAGGAGATAGTAAAATTAGTTGAGGAGATGTTGTTTATATCGGATCTTGACAGACCTGCATCAATGTTGCTTTATAGAAAGTCCAGAAGAATTGTTGATGAATCGAAGCGGCAAATCGAGGCCAGCCGTACGCAGTCGAACCAGTTCCATGGAAGACCTGAGACACCTTCAACGAGCCATCGGAGCCACCAGCTGTCAGAATCTGGTGCAAGCTCTCGCAGCAAATCTAACCCGACTGGCTCAAGACCATCTGGTATTAATCAATCGCCCATGAAGCTGCACTCCAACGAAGTTCAACACCCGTATAAAAGCAGCTATTCGTCGCCGTCGGACGTCTCCTCGGGCTTTTCAAGCACTCATTCATTTCACACACCACCAAATTTCGGGTCACCAGACCAACCATTACCGTTTCGTCAGCAGAGACGCGCTGACTCTCACCCCCAGGCCACAAATCAGGCAGCGTCGCTTATTCACTTTTCATCATTGAATGACCACAACAATAAGCATCGCATGAATCCCCATGCTACTGTCTTTGGAAACCAAGAGTCGTCTAATCCAACAATCTCGTCGGGAGAGAGTCCTGGTACCGAGCACGATGATGTCTTCTCAACTGGCGAATCCATCCATCAATACGTTCAGGACGACCCCTCGGACTATGCACCCCAGATCGGCATCCACAATCAAAGCCACATACACACACAACCACACGAAAAGTCAATGCAAACACACACTTCCGATACTATGGCTCTTCAGAATGGTCAACCGAGTGAACGCAAGCCATATCCAGAAATGCTTGTTAAAGACGGTCTACATATCAAGAGAAGTCGAGAGCGGGGCCAAAATGTCAAGTTTCCAAATGAAAAGTTATTAGAAAGTTTGAAAGTGTTGGATAATCGCGATCACGTGCGTGTTGTTGAATGACAAGAGCCTGTGTACCTACGCTGACGTGAGATCCCAGGCATTCTTCATCGATATTGGGAAGTCAATGGCTGAACACAGCGCACAAGTCCGAGAAGTCGTTGAACTGCTCTTTTACATGGTCGAGCACAAGGATCCAGATGGGGTGGATCTATATTTCAGCGCCATCACACCGAAAAGATTCAAGGTGAAGAACAAGAAACAAATACTTGATGCACTTGATGATCACCCGAGCGTACGAGAGAATCCTGAGATAAGGCATCGCTTGGCGTCAATACTGGGGCATTACAAGACCAAGTTTGGGCAGCGACAGTTGCTTGACAAGGTCACACATTGGAATGCTACACCTTCCAGGGGTCCGCGAAAACTGAGTCTTTACGTCCTCACCGACGGCGTTTGGCAGCCCGATACCGACCTAGTACTTGAAATTCAAGACATGGTAGATCATCTTGAACAGCACAAGCTGAGGGACAAACAAATCGGGATCCAATTTATCCAATTTGGAAATGATCCAATAGGTACCGCGCGACTTCGACATTTGGACCAAGGATTGAATTTGAAACTGTATGTTGACCTCCCAATGTGCATCACCTACTGCCTCACCATGCTTTGCTGCATGCGCCTTGATGCATCTTGAGACGATCTCATTCATACTAGAGATCTTGCTGACTATTTGTAGCGACATTATTGACACCACGCCGGCGACCGGCAATGTCTGGAAGATGCTACTTGGTGCTATCAACGACTGGTTCGACAACGACAAGGTCGGAGTCGAGGAGAACGCCGTTGTCGCTCACATCAACAATTCACCCCCGCCGCCCTCAGCCTTTACCCATCACCCTCCCCCACCATGGTGACGATTTGGTCCCCCAAACCAACGAACATGACTCAAAACAAAACCTTCTTAATAGATATTCTCAGCCCATATACCCACTTCCTAATATATCTCAATCCGACGACGCGACGGCGGTCATGACTTTGACAACGATCTTAGATACCCTGGGCCGGCGTTTTGGATATTGCTGGGCATGATGACAGTCGCCCACGATATCTATATTGGGACGTACAGTACCCAACACCGCAGCTCTCCTCCGGGGTAGCCCTGCTTGGATTCCATTCTACTTCAAAAGCTTATAGATACCTTTGGTGCTTTCTTGTTTCAACGTTGAAAGCCTAATAGATGTCATATGTAGAACTGTGCCAGGCTTATATGTCTGGATATATACAATTTACTCGCTCAAATGTTGGTTCGATTTATTTTAAACCTCATTTCCACAAAAGTTGAGGGAGTATATTACACGCAGCGATGACGACTCTACACGCAGGGGTTTCAAGTAAATCCCTAGAGGATTGCATGCACGTCCACTTATCCGTTCATGACAGATCCGATTACACATTCCAGCCGAACCTTGCGTCTACCGACTCACCGTACCACTTCCGTCTCCTGATGCCACAGAATTCACCTAAGAAAATCATGCAATATTAGCTTTAAGAGGCGTTGCAAATGACTTCCCCTTCCTCCCCTCCCCTCCCTCTATCTACGATACTTGAAATCGTCACATATGCATAGCATCGACTTTGAAGCAATCGAAGATACACCACAGTCCTGTCCACCGAGATCACGTGGTAACAATTTTCGTTCCATTTAAAAAGCCTGTGGTTCGCAAGACCAGCGTTTTGGGGGGATTGAGAGAAGAAATTTGATTCTGCACTATTTGATCCTGAGCTCTCAATGACGCCGCGTGCAGTGCGTTGACAGATTCTTCACCATGAGAATTGACATCGGTTCCATACCCCAATAACATCTGCACAGCTTTTGATTGTCCTTGTATGACGCCTGCTGTAAGATATTGTCCTCCACCTTGAATTTTTATATATTGTATGACGACGTCGGCGCTGCCGAACATATTCTCTCTGCACGTCACTGACTTCTGCTTTAGCTGTACTTCTTCCCTCGACGCATTTCCTCTTTTTGCTTCATCGCCGTTGCGCCTCGATTAGACCCGTCCTAACAACAACAATCTCCGCGTAATCCCCTATTGCCTGTCTCTCTCTGATACGACGACTCCTTCTCTCCTCCTCTCTCAATAGCCACCGCTTCCATAGTCCTTGCGGAATACCACTTACCGACACCACCAAGTGCGTCACGTCGCTACTTGCCGAATTCGGTCTTTCGACTTTGACTCGCAGTAGTGAGTCGAGTTTCTTGATGTAATATACTTTTTGGTCTTCTAGCTTCCACTGAGTCGTCGGCCCAGCCGTTGTTGTTTCTACTGGAAGAGCGGAAGTAGTAGTGATGGTAGCGTTGGTGGCAGCAAGAGGTTGTCCCTCAAGTCCACTCGGGCTCATCTCTGTGACCAGCATCTTACTTGTATTCCGCCACGCCCGCAGATTCCCTTGACACTTGATGTGATTCGTTTCAAGACACCTCGAGGTTACGTATGCAAACGTCGCACAGTCTTCCGCATCAGCTATAACCTGTGCCCAATGGGTCTCGGCTTTGCAAGGGATTTTGAGACCCCTTCCGATATCGCCTTCCTGCGGCCAGGCGATTACTAATGTGGTTCTATCACGATCAAGGCCAGTGTGCTGGAGCTGCTCGAGGATAGTGCGGACAAGGGTGAGCACGTAGAGTTGAAGTACGTCCGAAAGGTTGCGGAGCCAGTTGACAAGGTTTCCGTGTATAAAGGCGTGAAAGATGTCATGGCGATTCACAAGCTCTTGCCAACTTTCCTGCTCGAGTGGATTGACAAAATAAGGGAGAAGGTCGGTGACGAGCTCCCGGAGAGACACTCGGCGAGCGACGCTTGTGCAAAAGCTGACTTGCAGCCCCCAGCTTTGCTCGAGGAAGGGAATCAAGCGAAAATTAGCCTGTCGAAGGGTTTGTTGCTTGAGTGTGGTCCCGGGGATCTTTCCCCAAGTTTGACTGTAGGTGCCAATAAGGTACTGCCCACCATGCAAACCAGCTTCTCTTTCTTGAATCTCCCAAAAATGTCCATGAGTGCCTAGTGGCTCCAAGGCAGAAAATGAGCTTTTTCTGTACACAGCTTCATCTATGCAGCAATTCTTATTGATACTGAGACCTATACCTATCCTCATCATTGTTTTTATATCGAAAGCGGCCGACGCTGCACTTTCCGATAGTTGCCCTTTCGCCCAGTGGAAGCGTGAGGTTTTGCTATCAACCAAAGAGACGAATCCACTACCTAGAGCGACAGCGTATATATTGCTAGGATGTGCGTTATCATAGATGCAGTATCCTGGACCCCATGTATCCAAACAATTCGCTATGTTGGTCAGGACATCATGTCGAGAAGTTGCACTCTCTAGGCCCCTTTCCCAATTTGTCGGTACCAAAGAAAATGCAAGAACCGGCTGCTGGATCATCTCTGCAAGACATGTAAGCTCAACAAGCTCAGCCTTAATGGCGAAAGCTCCAGGTACACGCTGACTTCCAAGGAGAATCATCTTCCGCTGAGGTTCGTCTAGAAAAAATGGATCGATTGATCCAATATGGGCCTGGATGTAGGACAAAAAGGCGGAGCATAAAAATTGGGCAGCTAAAGCGCAATAATGAAGGTCAGCATTAGGTATCAAATTAGGAATCGGCGTTCCGAGTGCTCTTAGGATGTATTCTGCCTGCTCTACACATTCTTGCACCGCAACGCCTGTGCTATCGTTTTGTATTACAACGTTGACATTGGATGACATCGTTAGCGCGTGGTGGAAATCAACGCGATGTAATTCCAGATCACTTTGCTTGCGCAAAAGAAATGTGAAGGAGTCGCAACATAGACCAGCGTGTTGAACAGCAGCTGCTGCATTCAGAAAATTGGTGAGTACGGTCGATATCGTGCCCAATAAATCCGTGCGTGACTGCTGAGTGACAGCTGAATCAGCAGCATATGTGATTACTGAAACAGAGGACTGCTCCTCAAAGGTTACGTTACCATGCCAAGTACGCACGTCTTTCGAAGAGGGCGCCACGCCTCCAACGCCACAAAGCTCTTCCACTAGTCTACGTACATCACTATGAAGGGGAGGAGAAAACGAGAGCGATTTTTCCGACTGCAGAATTGATGGCTGCTTTGTATTGAGGCTTATCTGGTGTGCGCAATTAGGAAGATGAAATTTGATCCGAACAGGGAATTTCGTATGCTCTTGGGGAGTGAAATGAATCCATGGAGAGTCGTTAATGTCCTCCAAGAGTAGCTCTGCAATCTCGCGCACAGTGTATCCTGCTTCGTTGAGCTCGTGTAGCCAAGTAAATTCTGAAGTTGCTGCAGTTTCGAAGTCTATCATTAATAAGTGTTGAACAGCACGGATGTCGCGAGACTCTAAAGCGTCCGACAAGGTCATTGGAGGTTGCAAGGGATAGCCAAGATTTGTTTTAGGATACGATAGTGTAGTCGAGCGGAGGGTGTCGGGATGCTCTTCGCCCAGCGTCTTCGTCCTTGCATCCACTACCCCCTCCGCTCGCCATAGCGCCTGCTGTCCTTGGCCTACCTTGATGTAATTACGGACGTGGGTTGGAATGTCCGGTTCTGGGGAATGCTGATGAAATTGAGTAAGGTATGGTTCATTTGGCACAGTGGTGTTGGTCAGCTCAGTCTGCTGTAAGAAAACTTCTCTGCTTTTATCAACCGGGAGCTGATCGTAGCCGAACCAGATGTCGATCGAGCCAAGCAGCATCTTCCAGATGTTGCCATCGGAGGGTTCGGTGTCGACCAAATGGCTGGTACAATGTCAACTGCAAATCGCTATACCCTAAATCCATGTAGAACATTGGAGGAATAACTTACATCCCAAGATCAAGATCGCTATCTAAGTGATTGAGCATGCGTATTGCTTCGACGTGGTGTCCGAATCTAATGAATTGAATGCCGACTTGTTTCTGCATTAGTCCATGCTCCTTCAACGTCGCCACCATAGATCTGACTGGTTCTTCGGCGTCAGAGCCTGGCAGCCAGACACCATCCGTAAAGATGTACAAGCTCAAAGGTCGAGCCACCTTTTGCGATCCAAGGATTTTTCTCCTCGCTAGCATAGAATTCTGTTGACCGGTGATCTTGCTTTTGTATGCATTCAGAATATTACCCAGTTTTAATTGCATATCAGTAATACCCATGAATTGCGTATCCTCGAGCATCTCAAAGAGCTTTGTAGTACCTTTTTCTGACCTTAAACCTCCTGAGGTTTGTGTGAACATGAGGTCTACACCATCAGGGTCATAGTTCTTCACCAAGTACGAGATCGCGGTAAGCAGCTTTTTTGCTTCTCTTTTGTGTTCAAACATGGAGGCAGAGTTGTCGATGAGAAAAGCCTGATCCAGTCAATACACAAGACATTATGAAAATCAAGAAACTTACGTGATCTCGGTTTCTCAAGTCCTCAAGAAGGTATGCATCCGGTAACTCCGCGTCCTTGATGTTTAACTTACGTTTTTTTCGCCACTCAATGACGGTCGCAAGAGACATTCTGGGAGGGTTGGGCGGGGTCCTGTGCCTATCCTGAGGAGCTCGCTGCCCGGTGTTTTTACTAAGATCTTCGGGAGGCGCCGTCTGCGGAGCTTCATGGTCGAGGACTTCGTGTGTTGGCGGTAGTTCGCGGAAAGGCGGAGACTCAAGTTCAGGTAGCTTCTTCAATACTTGCAAGCGTGTAATGCTTGGAGGATCTTGCGCGTGCGAGCCATGCCAGTTCTTTAAATTAAGTCTGGCTTCCTCCAGAATGCGCTGTGCCCTCCCCCACAAAGCTTGTGCTTCCGAGCGGTGCGCAGGAGTTTTATCGAAGCAATCAACAATTACTTCGTGGAGGACTCTCTGCGTTATGAAATCACTCTCCCGGCGGAATTGTATAAAGTTTGAGTGGCTGTCGCGAACAGCGTTCAATAGCTTTTCTCCGTCGTGGAACATGTCACCATCTTCGAGATCATTCCACTTCCGTTTGATTTCCCGTTGTCTTCGAGATCGGTACTCTTCGACCATCGTCCAGCCACTTCCTATCCACGTTGTTATTTCGCTGAAAACGCAAGCCATAGACCAAATGTCGACCTGCCTTTTGACGTTGAGGTTCGATAACTTGAGCCCACGAAGTCGAAAGGTTTCTGGCGCCCCTAAACCATACTGTAAGCGTACGAATACATCGGAGTCCCCTCAGGCGAGGGCGTACCGTATGCATGTGTTCCGAAATTGTCCCAATCTGTAGCATCAGGCTCAGCAGGGTCCACTGCTTTGAAATGGCTGAGCCCAAGGTCGGCAAGAACAAATTTGCAGTCGTAGATAGTCGAACCTCCTTGACTTTTGACTAGGATATTCTTTGGATTAATATCCTGATGGTATCTATTCTAATGAGTCTCTCAAGAAAAATGAAAGGCACAGAAATCCAACGTACCCATGGACTTGGTCCAGACCTGGTTCGGGATGATGAATCACCACCAACCCTAGATATAATTCAAAAAGTCGTTCCCAAAGCAGAATGATCTCTTGACCCGTAGATGGCGGTGGGTTTTGACGCATGAAGTCTTCAAGGTTTCCTTTATTGGCATATTCGAGTATTAGGTTGTATGTGTTTTTGCGTCTGAATGACCCATGATAGCCAATGATATTTTGTGGCGGCTGTTTCCCTCTGTTGACACTTTCGAAGGCTCTTTGCTCTGCAGTGTAGTACTCTCCAGCCTCACGTCCTCGGTATGTCTTCAAAGCAAAAGTAGGTGCTTGCTGAGGATTGTCAGCCTGAGCGAAGGTTAGTAATGTTTCCAGGCGAGTTGTCTTTATGTGTTGCACTTGCATTTTGGTGAAGCTCTGCTTTCCGTAGCTTGTTACACTGTTCGTCGACCGTTATTCTCCATATACGTGCGCTGCCTCCCCGACCGAGAGCCTCCTCAACCTGGAAAGGAAGAATATAATCGTCGACCAATGTATCTGTCATGTTGAAGTGGAGGTCGTAGGGACAAAATTTCCATTGTTGCCTGTAGAAGGATGACCAAATAGTATTGCCTTTGCTCGTTTTGGGGAAATTGGGGGGCTCCGACTCGAACGGTAGGCCACGATCTTGAAGTCTTGGGTGGCCGACGAATTGTCCGATCATACGTCCATTCGAGCTTGACAAAAGGATTGCCAGGACACGTCGGTAACGGGACCATACATCGTATGCATTAGGTGGGTTGCCTTCCGTGAACAACGCAGCTAAAACACTCTTGATGCTGTCAGGAGTTGCAAAGTATGCCTCTAAGGCGGTGACTGTAATATATGGTCGAGTCTCATCATTCTTTTGGCCAGTGGTTCCATGGCGGATGGTCTCTGGAGAAAGCTCCCAGCGTAGGAAGGCTTGGATTGGTTCAAGGTGGTCCCCCTGCGGCACGTTCATGGCAGGCCGTGAATGTATTACTGTGTTGTGGGGAGGAACTGGACAGTCACTGATTTAAGGAGTGATTGTGAACAATGAGATTATCTGAGGATGAGGCAGCGGACACCGACCAGGCATGTCTGCCCCGCAGCAAGCCTGTGCGCCCCCAGACTCCCATAGGTGGCTGAGTCACAAGTACGTAGAGTCCCCCCTCATTGGCTGACGACCGAATCGCAATCAATTGCGCATCCCATTGGAACCAGCCATTATAACCTTTTCGACTGGTCTATTGTGAGCGTGCAGATCACGGAAAGAAAGACCAAGTCATCTTGCGCCGGTGGTTGTTGAGACCTACCAATGTTCCTGCCGTGCGGCTCTGCTCCCTGCACATAAAACCCCACTGGCCCTTGTGGAAGTGGCCTTGTATGCTCTCATGGCCATACGTATCTTTGCGTCTCAAGGCTGAGTGCTTACATCATGACTCTCAAGCGGTAGCACGTCGACCTGATCAGTGTTGAAGGTGTTTATGATTTCCGACGGGCTTTTTTCAAGATTCGTCTCTGCAACGAAGTTCTTCCGATGCCTCCTTCGGCACCAAACCCTCTCGGATGGAACATAGAAGAAATCGGAGACTCAAAATAGAGATTGGCTCGCACAGTTTTTGCGACACAAATTCACGGATTGCGCGAATTATGAGCCACAGATTCGGGTGTATATTTCAATTACCACATTCTAATTGCTGATCACTCTCGTCAGGCAGAACAAAGGCGATGTCATAAATTCCTTCTGCCCAAGAGACTGACCGAAGTAAGTCTTTGAATCCATGAGCAGAATGAGCACGAAGAAACCTGGACTTGGAAGATCCACGCTCATAAACATTCTAGGTACAAGGTAGAAATGCTAAGCGGAGTCACGAGGGTGACGTTATATTCCTTCATTTCTGTTAGCATGGCCTCCAGGAGCTCAGATCAGTCTGATCACCTAATCGGGCCTAGCTCAGCCCTACCCGGCTTGGCATGGCTCTTCTTCCACAATCATGTTCTTAGACAGCTTGCTAGACAATCAATCTATTATATTAAAACCCACACTATAAGAGTCTGCTCTCAATCTCCATTTGATTGATTGTCGAGGGATGTGTAAAGAATACGAGTTAAGAGCTGCGCCTGATGGCCCGGGGCGCAATCTTTCAGGGGGTGCGGGCCAAACTTGCCCAGTACTCAGGACTTTTCTAGATGAATCATATTTCCGATAAATCCGCATATCAAGAATTTTTGTTTTCATATTATACATTAGAATAATCTTAGATTTTTATAACTTATTCGTTATATTATGAATATAGGATGGATAAATTTCCAGAGTAAATGAGCATTACTTGAGGGTTGAAATACTGAAGAATCTATTTCAAGCCTTTCCTAAAAAGGTCAGAAATATGATTCATCTAGAAAAGTCCTGAGTAGTAGGTTAAGTGAACCCCGGACTGGAAAAGGGTTCATCGTGTATGGGGGCCAACTCTGCTTCACGAAATTCTTACAGTATGATGAACAATTCTGCCCTCTCTTTATCCTCTTCTGTCCTTGTTGAGATTCGAGCTAAGTCCATATCATGCGTCCGTCAATGGCTGCTAAGTGTAAGCCGGTTGTACATCAGCCAAGAGTCTCCCATTAATCGCTGGCGTGGAATATGTCCCAGGCTATCTTCGCGAAGCTCAGCTTGCAAAGTTGAGAGAACGCGATCACAGGCTCTGTCGGATTGAGAAAAGAGAGGATGTAGCATGTCTAGTCTATGGCCAGGGTTCAAAAGGTAAGCAATGTCATTCAGCTGGGCTTTGTCTCATAAGACTAGACTTCTGGACTTGCTCAGGCAGCGAGACTCGAAGCTCACGAGAATTTTTAGGATATGAAAGTCATAATAGAGAAGTTCACTTTAGGACAAGGCTCTTCTCCATGACTTTGCATAGACCAATTGGGCTGGTCTGGGCGAGGATATCAGCTTTGCTACAACCTCAAGGTGGTAGAATGGTCACTCTCTCAGAGTCAATGCTCATAGTCAATAAGGCATTGTGTGGTGCACCATACCTTCGATGCAGAGAAGACTCGCTCAAATTGGGCGATGATCAGAGGAAACCTAAGAATTCAAGAAAGAACCACTAGAATAACAAGCAAGCAAGGGCTGCCCTGTCTAAGAAGCTTGGGACTATGGCCAGCGCATTTGCGGCTTCTCTTCATATGCACCTGATCCTTGGAGACTGGTCTGCAGAAGACTAGCGCTGGTACATCAACATTCTTGACGACATTTTTCAGGAGATATACAGAAGAGCAATTTCGAATGAGGTAGATCTGCTGTCAACGAGTCCGAAAAAGGGCGGCCACGCGTTTGGCTTATTACCAAGAAGTCAGACTGACAGGTCTGTGAAGTCGATGCTGTCAAAAGTCTCGCGCTTTTGTACGTACCCAAACCGCGCAAGGCTTAAGCACTGTCAGCGAAACGGCTGAAATTATTGCAACCCGTCGCGATAATGACTAGAGCGGCGCGCCAGCAGAGAAAGCTGGTAAAAGAGAAAAAAATGTACCTTCAACCCACCAAATAAGGAAGGTCCACATTGCGACGAGTATGGCCAAAAAGAACTCTACTTGAAGATCTGCAAGAGCGTCATTATGCCTGCGAGAAAGCCAATGACGCGAGCCTAGTCATCACAATGAATCTGAATGTCCTGTCCCAGCTGACAAAATACTACCAATATCATTTCAGAAGAAAGAATTCTTCTACAGCTTTTCTAGACACTCGTCCCCGCATGTTGCTTTTTTAGGCTAAATTATAGTGGTTATAGACACTCATGAGCACAGAGATCTTTCAATTCATGAATGCTGCAGAAGGAGGACCCAACTATAGATAGTCTACCACTTACCTTATGACATTGTTCATCTGGGCTGCCTGCCATTGGTGTGAGTCAAAAGATGGCAGCAACAGTGGCAACACCACTCAAAAAACTTGTAGACCTTTAATGTCTAATTTGAGGTTGAGGATAGAGATCAACAAACATTTGGAATGGCACCCGTCCAAAGTCACACGGCGAGTAGGAAAGCACGCAAATGACCCACAAAGTCACAAAGCTGGAAGATAAGCGAAGACATATCAGGTATCTAGATAGAGACAAAGCTTGTGAAGTTTTATTTCATTTCAGATTAGCTCTGATTACTGCTTCAAGAGTATGCTCTTCAGCTGACTCACCTAAAACAAGTAGTTTTCTTGCTACCTTCTAGCTGTGTTTTCCTCTCGCGTTGATCCCCTCATGCTCTAGACAAATATTGTCACATCTCACACTTTCCGTAGAGTCCAAGGCGGAGTCCGCACCTTTTGTGAACGAAAAAGGGGCACGAAATACTTCTGAGTATTGCATCAAGAGTGAACGTATTGCGTTAAGAGTGAATGGTGCGAAAGTGTGCTGAGTCAATGTTCGGAGTCCGTGCCAGTCATTGCATATCGCCTTACAGATGATGACTCGCATGATCATCTCCAATTGACGGTCGGATGATTCATCTAAGGATTAACTCTAATTGATCGTGGATGCAGGGCGGTGCTGAGCCTTCTGGATCGAGGGCGCAGTCCAGATAATAGGGCGATTTGTGTTAGCCTTATGGGGACATTTTTGTATGTATCTTGCGAAGGGTTTATGATCTCGGAGAAGGCTAGGCCTGGCTATGACTGGTGATCATGCAATGAGTAATGTTTGAGGCGGTGGGGTGATAGGCTGAGTAATTCATTGGAATATGGACCGTCGCCTTGATGGTTCTTCGGATTCAATCGGGGATGCCTTGGAAGGGCTGTTCATGTTCTTGAGATATAATTCTTTATGTAAGGACTTCTGTCTGGGCGCTTGGTTGTGGCAGAGCTGATCGGTCAGTGAGAATACGATGTTCCGCAATCCATGGCGAAACTGGACGCTTGCATCATGAAGCTGTGTACTGTACTTCTCTACCACCAATATCCAGTATTCTCAGCCTCAGCACGATGTGCCCCCTGTTTGAGCAGAATGATGAGTCTGCAATGCATCTACCGCTGCGGAAGGAGATTCCTCATTTCATACGCCTCTATTGGTGTATTACCCCCGATACTTCTTGTAGGTATGCGCGTTTCGGAAGCGATAGTCTCTCCTGACAGTCAGAGTGTCGAGTATGATTTGTATGGGGCTCGAGGGGTAAGAGGGGTCAATCGATCCCTTAAACTTTTGATGCTCGACCGTTCCCGCTTCCGCAACCTTCAGACATTTAATGAACGCTGGGTGAAGCCCAACGTCACTTCTTCCTACCTTTGATCCTCTTGAGTACAAATGGTAATTGATGCAGCATCATGCTGTCATCAATGCGCATGGTCAGCCAAGATTTTAGCCGATCCTCTGTCTGATGTTCAGATTATGCACGTCGCCGAACCTGCAGCAAGTGAAGAACGAGATGATCGACATTGCGAGCTATTGGACGAATCATGTTTGATCGACGATCTGCTGGCTAGACGATGTTGTGCCCCCGCGTGGGTGGTCGCTTCCGAGCCCCTCATCTACAATGCGGCTCAAAATCTTCAAGATAACTGGACGAGGCTGTCATCCCCTCAGTCCTTAAGAAGGCGCTGCTTTTCGCCATGGCAATCCCGACCAAGGACTGAACCCTTTGCAATTACTGTTCATAGAACCATTGTCTTCACATAGCCCTTTGTCTTTGCCCAATTTCCGTAACGACTGCGGCCAAGGCTTTGGACAGCCTCTCCGATTACTGCTCATACAATGCCGCGAGTAGAAGATTCAGTACCTCGATATCACCTCACCAGAGAGATCGTGAAGAATTATCTAAGAAGGCGGTTTGGAAATTTAAGCTTCAATGTTGAAGTAAGTGTCAGGCTACCCAATGGCAGGCAGTGCCCTGCTGACCATTTGAAGCACAAAAATGATAATTTCGTCTTCTTTGTACCCAGAAGTCTGACGAAGGTGAGCCACCTTCCATCCCTAGGCCTTGCCATGCTTTGAAGTGGAGTGCCTGACGATCCAATAGGCTGAGCGTGATTCCTTAATGAACGAGCGCCTGGATAGTGATGACGAATAGCTCGGTACATGCTGAAGCTGCCCGAAGGCTATCTTGAAGGCTATGTAGCTAGTGTCAATGTCAATTGTCTTGGCGATTGAAATAATTCGATGCATCTCAATGACGAAAGAAGGCGCAGAGCTAGCGCACCTGCCCCACTCCCAGTGCCCGATAAGGCTTACCTCTGACTTCTATATGAAGTGAGAAGTTCGCCTTCAATGGGGACTTTTGAAATCGATGTATGAGTTGAAGACCATTGAATTCCTTGACCCTCGACTTGCGCGCGACGCTGTCTGAATCCATGGATCCAATTTTGAGTTTTGGCCCCGTGATACAGTCCTGCAATGACGCTCTGGACTACCCGAAGAATCTCATTCGTTCTGACACGTACGAATTCATTCTAGATGAATTCTATGATCGTCTGAATTCACAAGCACCACGTCTGTTTCACCCAGAAAAAAAGGCATCCGTAGATTTCCTCGAATTTGCTGAGGCAGGTAATGGTACGAACCCCCCATTCAAAGTCGTCTGAAGTTCTTGTTCCCTTACATGGATAGCCTTTTGGCCAGAAACGGTGACCGACGCATTTGAAATGCGCGAACAATTGGGCCTCACGCGCGAGCGTCCCGTTCAGGACCCGAGGTGTCGGTTCATGTAAGATCGTACCTTTTTCTTTCGAAAATCAGAACTTAAGATGGGGGTATAGGTTCATCCGGGCTACACATTCACGAGAGAGATTGAAGATCACGCGATTGATGCTTACCCTTGCGCTCTCTTATCATCAAATTAACCCAGTGTTTCTAAACTTCGTTCATTCGTTCGGACGGCGGGAATATGCTCAAGACTTCTTTTTTACTGCTTTCCACGTTCATCATGCGAATGGATCAAAGACAATTGACCTTGCACCAAGTCTCGGCAGATCTGGCCAGTGTCTTCAGATGTGCTTCGGTCTCAAATCAGTCGAAAAATCTAAATACCAGGAGGACTGGCCTTGGGCACATCGACAATGTGCTTTGCATCATTCTTTTGACATTGTAAACGGCCGGATGCTATGGATTCTGATAGAAGCCGATCCAATTCTCAAAAGGAGGATATCGTCCGCAACAGGTCTGCGAGGTCTTCCGGAGATAAAGAGTGTCCACACTGTAGAGAGCAGTCTCCGGTCAAGCTTAGCAACTCTTCTGATAATCTGTGAATGGGCTTCAGCAAACTGGCGATGGTACATCAACTTCCTGGAGGACAAGTGCCAAAGAAACACACGTCAGACACTGTCCAAGCATGTGGATACTCCGTCGAGCCCTACTCTAGACGAAGAGTCGTTCCAAATGTTCTCGAGAAGAAACACCCAAACAACTGATCGAACCACTGTTCCTCTAGAGCCTGGCAAACGGTCGTACCCGGCTTCACCTTCTTCGGTAAAGCTAGGTCAAGATCCTTATGATTCCTGTGATCGACCTCTGCCAAATAATTGGAAGCTAGAGGAAGGCTCGCGGAATGTCTTTTGGCCTCCTGACAAGGCTCTGCCAGATAAAAATGATCATGTCCAGCCACGAGAAGCGGAAAAGTTTATCACTTTTGATGATCTGCAAGAAATTCAGCATATCGAAGAAAGTATTAACGATGTGTCACTAATACTTAAGCTCAACATTGGCATTGTTGAAGCGATTTCGAATTTCTACGAACCTTCTAACGAGGACCAGAATTTTCCTGAAGAACTTGTTGATTCTTGCCACACAGCAATGAAGCGATTTTGCCAGAAACTCCATATAACAAAGACTGATTTGCAGACTCAAGCCTTGAGAACGGAAACATTGATGCGGCTCTTGGCTTCAAGAAAAAGCTTAGTAAGTATTTTAAAAGAAGATAGGTAGAGTGTTGACTAACGACTACAGACTCATGGTATCTTCGACGTCCAAAATATGGAAGCAAATCAAAAGTTGGCTTTTCAAGGCCAACTCATGACGTGGCAGGCAAAGCGATCGGCGCAAAACATGGAGAAAATGACCAATGACATGAGTGCTATGACCCTTGATATGAACGAAATTGCCAAAAAGACAAAATTAGAAACGATCTCTATGAGAATCATTACTTTGATCACCCTATTCTTCTTGCCCGGGACATTTATATCTGTGAGTTATTTCATTAAATGAATTTGGATGCTCGTAATATGATCTTTCACTGACCTTGTATCAGACTCTTATGAGCACGGATATTATACGATTCGAGCAAACAAAGGAGCACAACTCAAAACGTATTTTTCAGCTCCAGGCTTTAACCACTTTTCTGGCCATAACTCTACCTCTTGTCGTGGTAACCCTCGCACTCTCTTATGCATTTTATCAGTGGGCGATTCGCAACGAGCGAGCTCTATCGCAGTCGAATGGTTGGAGACAGTGGATTCAATCCTGGAAAACAGGCACTAGCAAGAAGGTGAATAACATACGCCGGACATTTCGGGGTGTCAGACCAATAAGAAGCAGTCTTAGAAGACAGCAGTCTCCAGTGTAAGCATTAGGAAGATGCAGAGGTCCCCGCCACCGCTTGACTCTAGCGATATTGGACAATGCGGAGCACCGGTGAAAATGCACGTGTGACTAGACGTGTAGCGAGAAATCTAAGCCCGCTCCCATTCGGAACAAATTGTAAGGCAAAACGCTAGACGAGAAAGGGTATGAAGCAGGCGCAAATTTGTGCATTAGTGGCTGCGATCAGCATCTTTTCGTCCTATTGCAACTCTCGATTGTTGATATTACTAAGCTCACCGAAGCCGTGGGGCAGACTCAACGGCTGTACTCGAGCGAGCCTGCGCCCCTCTTCACGCAGCTACTCTCCGTGTCCATTTTACATGTAAACTCTCAACGATGGCCTGCCACTGGTTTGCATTCACAACCATGCAGCTCACTCACAAAAGCTATGGAGGGCGACCAACACGATGACGACGAGGCTATCCAAGATTTCCTCGATTGGGTACAAGATCCAGAGAATCGTTATTCTGGCCATCGAGATATCCTAGATGACGTCAACTGCTCCTACATATCTTTCAAGAGGCTGAAAGAATACCTCAGCCAGCGCCATCGTACACGCGATCTTCTCAGAGGCGTTTACTACGACAGAGACGAGGGGGATCTACCGCGTGTTGACGCAAGCACGTGCAAACATCTGCGAATCTTTAGCATCCTGCTCTGCACTAGAGGAGCTCGACACATCGACCACTTCCTGCGCCATGAAGGTCTTTGCGATCAAAACCTGCCTTTTCTTATAAAGCCTCCCTACTGGCCGAAATCGACGGATGACACACTGTTCAAGGCTTTCCAAGAACAACAATGGCTTTTTTGTCCCCAATACCTAGAACAGCTCGGTGATGGCAGAGAATTCAATGACAAGCGTGTGTTGCCATTCAAAAAGCATGGAAAGATGTGGGAGGGCGGCAGTGCTATTGTACAAAAAATCGAGGTAGAGGACGAATATAATAAGCTTGGTGGACAGCGTAGTAGTGCCACAGAAGTACACTCATGCCTCTCCTTTACGCACAACTTTAGGGCTAACCTATGATGCTACCGTACAGCACGAGAGATCCAACATATTTGTGATCAAGACATACAGAACCAAAGCTGCAAAGAGCTATTACAAGAACGAGTGCCAAGCTTTCAAGAGGTTAAGGATAGGAAATAGGCCTCCGAGGAATATCGTGCATTTCTATGGTCACTGGGAGCATTTAGGCACCTACAATGTGATTCTTGAATATGCAGATAAGGGGACGCTTGAAGATCTTATTACAACGACTCCACCATCCACCGCTGAGGACATTCTGGTCTTTTGGGATAGCTTACTTGATGTTGCGTACGGACTTGATGCCATACATAATACGCAGTCTGCGACTGCTGACCTTCCTTATATCATGCTTGGGTACGACCTAGCTCCATCGAGCACTCTACCTCGACCTTGCTGACTGGTTCGACAGCTGGCATCAGGATCTCAAGCCGTCGAACATTCTACTCTTCAGCTCCGGTCATGGATCGAGGTATCGATTTGTGTTTAAAATAGCAGATCTGGGAGTGAGCCATTTCCGCAAGCACTCTCCAGAGATATATGGCCGGACAGATCCAGCAAGATCCGGGACCCACACTTATGGTAAGATCAGAACGCCATCGGGCGTGATTAATGTTCGTTCGCTTACACATCGTTCCAAGGGGCTCCCGAATGTGCTACACTCAACATGACAGTGCGGCCCAGCGCAGTGGAACAAACCATTGATCTTTGGTCGCTTGGCTGTATCTATAGTGTTGTGGCGACTTGGGTTGCTAATGGTTCAGATATGGTAGCCGAGTATCGTCAGAAACGTCAGGAAGAGATCAGTATTCAATATGGAATTCCAGACAGCGATTGCTTCTACCGGGAGAGAGAGGTCCTCAAAGTAGTCGGCAAACGCCATAAAGACGCGATAGCTGACCTGCGCCCAAGAGATTTTGTGACAAAGTCAGTCCTAAACATGTTGGTAGATAATATGCTCCAAGAGCCACAAGGGCGACTCAACTCAAAACAAGTACTCTTTCGATCAACCAAAATAATCGCCAAAGCAAAAATAGCGATGGAGAAGCTGAAGAAGACTAGTCGGACAGACTCGTATAGAGGCGAACACGAAGAACGATTATCAAGTCCTAATTGGTCGGCTTCGCCTTCGCCATCAGGATCCATACACGAAGACCAGAAGCTTACGGAAGCACACTCTCGACATCCCTCACAGGGTATAGGAGCCGTTGAACGTATGATTGGAGCCAATGAAGGGAGCTCATCGCAGCGTAAAATAAGTTCCCGGGACGTGCATTTTGAGCAACCAAACCATGTACATCAGCCAGACGACAAGGTCAGGACCCTAACAAGACCTCACAGAGATAATGTACCAACACTTGACATTTCATCAGCTTCCGGACTGCTGAGCAGGCCTCAAGATGAGATTACTTCTCGGGATCGAGGCAGGATCGATGGAATGTTGGACACAAGCAGTCAGAGAGCGACGCCATACGGACCTTTTATGAGCAACGGCCAGATACCCCTTGGTGGAGCAGGCGGGCATGCACGTTCTAGTATCCAATCAGTATTGAGTCGGGCAACGCCTGAGTTGGACCACAAAATCTCTAAATTCCATAGCCATGACCCCTTCGCTCAATTGACGCTAGAGCAAGGCCTTGACTGGAAGCTAAGACGTGAGAATTCTCAGAACACAGATTCTTTGAACGAGGTCCTCTTGGGAATCCTGAGAGGAAGAGACCATGTATGTAACCTCTGCACAGCATGACGGCTCCACTGACGAGAACGGCAGGTTTTCTTAATTGACAATTGCGAGTCAATGGCGCAATATAGGGATAAGGTCAGAAGGGTACTGGAGTTGCTGTCCTACATCGCTGCTTGGTTCGATCCAAATCGCATCGAAGTCTACTATTCAACATCGCTGGAGAAGTCAAGGCCGAGAACAAATGCGGAGGTTCTGGCTGTATTCGACCAGAAGGCATTTAGCGGAGTGCCAGATTTCAAGAGTCGCTTTAGTGACATTATCTTAGATTATCAGAGGAAGCTACCGGAAAAGCATCGCTTCAAAGCTTTTTGGGATCCGTCTCGTCCAAAGCAGGGCCCTCGGAAACTCAGCTTCATCATATTAACGGATGGTGTGTGGCGACCAAAGTGCGACCTCACCGCAAGCATTCGAGCCCTAATTTCTAAGCTCGAAAAACACGAATTTACGAACTCGCAGATAGGAATACAGTTTGTACGCTTTGGGGACGATGAAAGAGAGCAAGGTCGGCTCCAAATGCTCGATTCAGGGCTCGGTTCAAACTTGTAAGTACGATTAAATGTCTGCGAAAGCGTGATTCTTTAGCCTTTCAGCCCCCATGAACTGACGTTTTCCACCCCCACGGTAGAGATATTATTGACACTACTGCATCGGATGGCAATGTCTACAAGATGCTGCTTGGCCATCTTGATGAATATTTTGACGATGACCCCGAAAGACAGTATACAGACCCGAGATCGCCCTCGCCACATAGTCCAAGTACGGCTTATGCAAACCATTTTCTCACCTCTCCTCCTCCATGACCACCTACATCAGATACACCACATAGGCTCGACTCCTCAAATCCGCAAAATTCATGCAAAATAACCTCCTAGTTTTGGTCCCATCATAGGACGTGGGAATTCCATACCGTTTTTTGATACCAGCGGTGTACCGAAGACACTCATGAATGATAGCACAGGATATCGATACGACGTTTGAGACTTTTCACACCACACGGTGGCTTTTGCAGTCTGATCTGCCAATAGCGATCAGAAGCTGGTAGTCATTGTTTTAATCACATTTCATTGCATTTGAGCAAGGCGTCATCGGGCGGGCATAAATTTCGAGAGATACCCAACTAGGAGGTATTCGGTGTCTGGAGTGGCGATCCACGTCTTGCAAGCATTGAGAACATTGATACTGGATGTAATGTACAGTGTTTCGACGCATTGTAGACGCATTGCGGGGGAATAGAGCACACATTGCGGTCGTGGTTTTGGATTTTGTACAATGGTGCTCATAGACTTATTTTTATCTCAAAATTTTAGAGGCTGCTTTCATCAATAGAGTCATGTCACCACGGCTCTTACTTATATAACAAAACATGTGATAAAACAGATGGCTCTCCTTCTTGCCTCCAAGCACGCCGACAGATGACCATCAGCCTTTCGTGTAGGACGCGTGTCAATCCAAATGCCAAGAGCCGTAGAGCGGGAAACTCTAAATTTTTAGGAGGCTCTCTCGCTCGTTCTTGCTTTTTCGACGACTTCGACACTTGACAATACACCACTTCTCTCTCTTCCATTCTTACATTCTACACCTCCTCTTCCACTCCAGACTCTATCGTGTTAGATTGTTGTGGCGTCAGTGTGACAGAAACGCGCCGGATAGACCTTTTAATTACACCTGCTCAAGATTATTCCCATGGCTTCTGTACGTGCACACTCCCACCCCCATTTCTTTTCCCCTCCACCAGAGGCATTTCGAGTCTCTTATCAGAATTCATACTTACCGACGATGAAGCCTCGTCCTTACCCCTACAACCAAAGCCATATGCCCAATGGTGCTACGAATTCTTCGAACATCGCTCCCGGCGCCACTCCCTCGACATATTTGCCCAACAGCAATCAGGTCTATCAGAGCGGGGGCAAACGTGTATTATGCGTAGCAGATGTTCGAGGTAAGCCTGCGTCATCTACCTGTTTCATTGGGGATATCCTGACGAGCGTTCTATGTTAGGAAATTTAAAGTCCTTGAATGAGTTAGCTGCGCAAGCCAATGCGGACTTCATTATACACACCGGTGATTTCGGTTTCTACGACGAGGAATCTTTGAAGAGAATCGCGGACAAGTATAAATGCTGTTCCTACGGTGAAGGGTCCCTGCTGACCAATGCAATAGAACCCTAAAACATGTAGCCCAATACTCTCCTCTTTTGTCCGAAAACCAAAAGCGCATCATACAGACTTCCCAGCCCACACAATTTGATGTCAAGAACCGATTCTCCCCTCACGAACTTCAGCTCTCAGAATTAGGACTGTTCATCAACAAACAATTGAAGCTTAATGTGCCAGTCTACACAGTATGGGGAGCTTGTGAAGACGTACGGGTCCTTGAAAAATTTCGCTCGGGCGAATATAAGGTCGACAATCTACACATCATCGATGAAGCAAATTCAAGATTGCTGGAACTGGGAGGTGTCAAGCTAAGACTTCTGGGTCTAGGAGGTGCAGTGGTTATGCATAAGCTCTTCGATAATGGCGAGGGACGGACGACAATAGCAGGAGGCCAGGGTACCATGTGGACAACGTTGCTTCAAATGGGTGAGCTGGTCGACACAGCAAACCGTGTCTATGATCCTACAGAAACTCGCGTCTTCGTCACCCACGCCTCACCCGCGCGAGAAGGTCTACTGAATCAGCTATCGGTTACTCTGAAAGCAGATTTCTCGATATCGGCCGGCCTTCACTTCCGTTATGGCAGCTCTTATAATGAGTTCAGCGTCAACCCGACGCTAGACCACTATCGTGGTAAACTCGCAGCCTCAAAGGCATCTTTCAATGATGTCTGGGACACCGTGAGGACGGAAGTCGAACCTGCGGTTTCACAAAACGACGCTCAGCAAACTTTGCTCAATAATGCGCTGGAGATTGTGCACAAGATGCCCAGTGTCGCCAATGGTGGGAATCCATTTGGTGGAGGTCCAGCTCCAGGGCCTGGTGGTGTAGGCGCTGTTGACGAGAGCGCATTTAAGAACATGTGGAATTTCAACCTTGCTGATGCTGCATTCGGTTATCTGGTGCTTGAAATTCAAGATGGCAGGATTGGTACAGAAATGAGAGCTCAAGGGTTCAACTTTGCGCATCGAAGCACTGCACCTAAAGCAGTACCTGGTGTCCAGATACCCCCACAAGCTACGAACGCTCCTATTCAAAGCACGGCCCCCCAACCAAACAACCGTGTCCCTACAGCCCCTTCGCAGCCCCAACACTTCAACCAAGGGGGCCAACCCGGGCAGCAGTCACGAGCACAGCAACCTCCACAGTCTCGTCCGACTGCCCCTCAACCACCACCTCAAGTACAGCAGCAGAACAGAGCACCTCAGAACCAATCACGACCTGCGCCAGCGCCTGTTAACAACGTACCGCAACAAAATGCTGTCAAGCCTGCGACTCCTCAGCCGACCACGCCTAGCGCAGCGGCGAGCTCGCCCAAGCCAGCTCAAACACAACAGAGTAAAGCGCCGGCCCAAGCAGAGGGTCGCAATGGTGCTACAGACAAAGGCGCTCCTCCAGCCGATAACGGCGCGTCGCAAGCTGCCGACAAAAAACCGAATACCCGCCTATTCCTACCGACTGTCGAGGGCGAACAAGCAGCAAAGGACAACTTTGCCGACGAAGACAAAGCCAAGATTGTCCGAATGGAAACGATAGGAAGCAAACAAAACCATGTGATCCACTTCGCTACACATGAAGATGCTGAGCAAGCATTGAAGCGCCAGAAGGGTAGTATGAAGCATGGCACCAAGAGTTCCATCAGGGCTAGGTGGTTTGAAGAGCGCCCCAACAATAAAAGTCGGGACAACGCAGGCAATCAGGGTGCGGGCACATGGCAAGCAAGCAATCGTCAAATGTCCAACACAGGACCACGACCTGGATATCAAAGCGGAGCCAGTGACAGCGAAGGCCGGGGACGGGGAGGATATCAAGGACGTGGGCGTGGGCGTGGGAACGAGCGTGGTGGACGAGGTGGTCGTGGAGGTCGTGGAGGGAGCAAAGCAGGGGAAGAATCTTCAGCCAGTGCTCCTGCACAACAAGAGAACAAGGCTCCAGCGGCCGCAACCACTGCTCCGGCTACTTCTGGCGAGAAGCCATGAGACTATTTCCACTATAACGGCGTCAACTACAATCTAGTACCGGCGCAGTTGAGATCTTTCTCAGCTTCTAGGGTCACTGTCTTAACATTTTTTCACCAGGGCATTTTCTAGATTACAGAAGTAGATTTACCGGGGAAGCAGGACGTGAAGTTAGGATTGTGAAGAGTTGCGTGCTTCTCGAGCGGTTTGTGTCAGGGAGCGTCATTCAAGGAAATTCTCTTGATTCCCATTGTATTTTAGATAGCTCGACATAAAAGATAGTGCGTGTAGTTGCCAATTGCGATACCCATCACCAACCGCCGTATCTTGTGCTCGACCCATTTCCTATACAAAGCGTATAGTCGTCGTACAAGCCACAGCAACGTATTCCAACGCTAGTCCCGGGGCCCACTGGCTCACCTCCGGGTATGCCTGCGCTGACGTCTACTCTACAGGCGAAGAACCATTAATCAATAAGCTTGATGCAGAGTCCTTTGGGAATCGTTTGAGCTGGACAAATGCATCAGCCCATCTAAACAAGAATAAGAGCAAGACTGTAGAATGTCTCCCTCATCGCAAGAAATTACCACACCGTCTCTTTCCATACTGACCGATGTTTCTACAATTGCCTTTGTCCCGCCGAGCAAAAAGATTAATGAAGGGCAAGATGTTGCATATTTTCTTCAGTCAAAAGCATACCGTGATATTATGACCTTCGTACTGCAGCTCAACAGAGCTTTGTTTCCATCTCGTACACAAGAGAGCTCAGAAGCGCCATCCAAGATACAAGCCTGGCAAACTGGCTCTGGGCAGATAGAATCCTCAGAAATCGTCACAAGTCTCAATAATTTGGTTCTCTTCCTTGATAAAACGATCGAAGAAGCACCACTAGAGCCTGGTCCCCGTCGCTTCGGAAATGTCGCTTTTCGCAGATGGCATCAAATAATCACAGACCGTACATCATCACTCTTCACCCTGCACCTCCCCAACATCCCGTCCGCCGCCCACGACGAACTGAAAGCCTACTTTCTCTCCAGCTTCGGCAACGCACAGCGCCTCGATTACGGCTCCGGACACGAACTAAGCTTCCTGGCCTTCCTGGCCTGCATCTGGAAACTCGGAGGCTTCTTCCCCTCCACCCAATCATCCCCCACCCAACTCTCACCCTCAACAATCGCAGACCAAAGCCGTGCCATAGTCCTCCGAGTAATCCAACCATACCTCCAACTAATCCGCCGCCTCATCACAACCTACACCCTCGAACCCGCCGGCTCCCATGGCGTATGGGGCCTAGACGACCACTCCTTCCTCCCCTACATCTTCGGCTCCGCGCAACTTGGCCCCCCCATCCCCTCTATCTCCCCCACAGACCAGACCACGCCAATCCCAGCCCCAACACCCACAGAAGGCTCCCTACCATCCGCCCCCGACCCCTCCTCCATCACCAAACCCGCCCTCGTCGAAAAGTACAAAGAAACAAACATGTACTTCTCCGCCATCGCCTTCATCCACGAAGTGAAAAAGGGCCCGTTCTGGGAACACTCACCCATGCTATACGACATCTCCGGTGTGAGAGGCGGGTGGGGGAAGATCAACAAGGGAATGCTGAAGATGTATGACAAGGAAGTTCTGGGCAAGTTTCCGGTCGTGCAGCATTTCCCGTTCGGGAGCTTGTTTAGCTGGGAGAGGGATCCGGAGGCGCCGGGGGCGGTGGAGGCGGGGAGTGTGCATTTGGCGAGCCAGCCGTCGAGTGGTGCCGGGGGGCGCGACGCTGCTGTTGGGGTCGGGGTGCAAGGGGGGACGAAAGCGCCGTGGGGAAAGGGGGTTGGGACGGGTGTGAAAGACATGCCTGCTCCGCGAGCAGGGGAGGGGACGAGAGCGCCGTGGGCCGGGGGCGCAGGGACGGTGAATTTGGCGAGGATGGGGGATATGCCAACTATGTATCCTGCGGGGGAGAGGAAGCTGAGAGATCCGAATGGGGAGAAAGGCAGGGACAGTGGTGCTGCTGATATGCCGCCGCCGACGACTAGAGCGCCTTGGGCTAAACCGCCGTGAGTATCTGGAGAGGGGGGTTAATCACGGCTGAGCATAATGATGAAGACATTGAACTTCCATGAAGATACCCACCTAGTAGTGATGAGCTTTTATTTGGTGAACAAACAGGTCAAATCCGAATCTCTATCTCCCTTTATACATTCACGGTACGTCCAGATTCGCTCGCTACTCATCGCAAACTCGTCGCTGAAATTACAGAAAAGGACGTTAATTACCACCGCCTACCATAGACAGGATCCTCTTTCAGCCTACCCTTCGGTCTCTCAGCTACAGGCGGTGAAGCCCTCCTCTGGCTACTTTCATGCTCCTTCTTATGCAATACACTCGGCTTACTCCCCAACTCGACATCACCGGCATGACCAGGATCGTGCTCGGCGTCCCTCTTAAACAATTTCAACATATCCTCCATACTCAACTTACCCGCCTTATCCTTACCCTCAATGGCAGCATTAGCAAGCGCCCGTTTCTTCTCCTGCAATTCCAAGATCCTCTCCTCTACCGTTGCCTTGACCGTTAATTTGTAGACGACCACGTCTTTCGTCTGATTGAGCCGATGGACGCGGTCGATGGCTTGCTCTTCGACGAACGGGTTCCAGAAGGGTTCGAGGATGATCACGCGGCTGGCTGCTGTTAGATTGAGGCCGAGGGAGCCGCATTTGAGGGAGCAGAGGAGGATGCGGCAGGACTTTTCGTTGCGGAGACGTTCGAGAGAGGCTTCGCGGAGGTCGTTGCGCATGCTGCCGTCGTAGCGGGTGTATTTGAGTTTCGAGGTTTGTAAGTGCGGCTCGATTAGGTCGAGCATGGAGGTGAAGACCGAGAAGACGATGATTTTGTGGGATGGCGCCTCGCGGTTGAGGATGGGGATAAGGTGGCTAATCTTAGCTGAGGCCATGGGTGATTCGACGGCGAATGATTCAGCTTCGTCACTTTCGTTCTCCTCACCCTCGGATCCGTCAGATTCCGCGGTAGAGTTCGTATTTGACGGTGAGCTCGATTCTGTATATGAAGCTGTGTCTGATCCTGCGATTGAGGAGTCGACGTTGATGGGTTGCTGTTGCGAGCCTGATGTTTTGATGTCCGAGTCCCCTTCCGTATCGCAATTGGAGGAGTCTAACCATTCACCACCTCCCTCAGCATTCTCATCGTCAGAACCCCCAGCCTTTCCAAGGTCAAGGCTAGACCGATCCTTGGAAACGATCCATTCACCTTCTCCTTCGTCGTCAGAACTGTCCGCAACGATTTTTTTGTTCCTATTTCTAGGCTTCGTCACCTTTTTGGAGTCGCCATGTCCCGTACGATTGTGGCTCTTTCGGTCCTTCGATTTCTTGTTATTCACAGCACCATGCTTTACAAGATCCTCACACCCAGCGCATCGCTTCATGCTGCTAGATATCTCTTCTTCGCTGAGATCGATCATACAAACGTCGCATTGCTTTGTCTGCACACTCAAGCCCCCGAAAAGATCAGCCATGTCATCTAGATCATCTTCCTTCTTTAGTTTGGTAGAGATCTGGCTGCCCGTGACTTTGCCAGTCGTCAAGGCATCCTTATCTTTTGCCATACTCCCACCAACGAGGTCAGAGTGGTTACAGGCCTGCCGAAGCCTTAGCAGCAAGACCAAGGCGCTGGCATAGTTCAGTTTATGATCGTTCATCATGCGGTCGAGACTCTTGTCCGTCAGTTTCTCAAGCTGTTCGTAGAAAGTCCTTTCTTCAGGGGTGAAATCTACGACGAGACTCTGCACATCACGTTTGGTGATCTTGAAACCATTACTTTTCCCATTTGGGTCCACCTTTCCCCCGGATTCAAGGCGCCTTCTTTCTTCAGGACGTCTTTCGTGCGGCGCTTCATGAAGGCTTTGAGAAAAGATTGCAAACGTCGGATGGCAAGTGCGCCTTTACCTTGGCTCATTGGCCGAGTAATTTGATCTCGCCATACGGAAAGCTCGTTGAAAGGTTTGATTCTTAGAAATTTGACAAGACTTTGCAACTCATCTAGATTGTTTTGCATCGGTGTACCAGTCAAGCACCACCGATACTCCGAACGGAGAGCACAAGCTGCCTGCGTTGCCTTTGCATTTCTATTCTTGATAGTATGAGCTTCATCAAGAATTACTCTGTACCAATGCAAGCCAAAGCAGCCATATTTAGGCCCATCTTCTCTTTCCGAAGAGCTCCCGTGTTCAGAAACCAGAATTTGGTAAGTGGTTATGACAATATCGTACTTTTTCAGATCTTCAAATCTTTTGGTGCGTTGAGGCCCATGATGAACCAGCACACGAAGCTTGTGGCTTTCTGAGACTTTATCTTTAATTTCACTCTCCCACTGCTTGATCAATGCAAGTGGGGCTACCACCAAAGTACCCTTGCCCACTACAGCAGGCAGCGCTTTCTTGTCTGTTGCCGACATTGCAGACGTTACTGGTGGCCGACTGTTGGTTAGGATCAAAGCAAGTGACTGTATTGTTTTGCCAAGTCCCATATCATCGGCAAGGATTCCACCTTTTGGTCTGACGCCTCTTGTGGTCTTCTTGCCACCCACCTCTCTCGCGCGCATCCAATCCGTGCCATGGACCTGGTGAGGCAGCAATTTCACTTCGAGACCTTCAACCGAGCCATCATCGACTTCTTCTTCTTCGTCGTTTTCATCTTCCTCTGGCTGTTGCTTACTGTCCTTCTCCGGTTCCACCTTCAATTTGTCGAGCTTGTCAGCTATATGGTCAATGGCACCATCGACAGCCTCCTTTTTCGGCTCCTCCTACTTCTTGGCTTCTCCTCTTCATCCTCGATGTTTCCTTCCAAAAGCGCTTTGATGTCATCATTTGCCTTTTCCGAGCTGATGTAGGCCAGAGGACCATCATCTTCGAAGTTATCCTTCCACAACAACGGATCATTGAATTGACCAGGACGTGGATTCGAAAAATTAGCTAGATGCTGCTCCGGCACATAATGCGGCTGAGGGACATAGTATGGATGCACAGAGTTCGGGGCATGAAATATTGGTCGCGGTGGCGGCTGAGCGTATGAAGGATAAATTGGAGGATTTGACGGACGTGCTATGCCAACAGCGTGATTTTCTTTCGTTGGCAAAGGACGACTCAGATTTAGTGCTGTACCATTGGGAGGCACGAATGGGATAGATTTGGGTTGCTTATCCAAGTGATGTTCCGGTCGCGGCTTGTTTGGTCTGGGGACATTGAAGATATTGGGATTCGGATTCGAGCGACTTTGTAGAGGACTCGGCTTTCCAAATTCTGGCTCAAAAGGCTTTCTGAATGTGGCTGTCGGCGCAGCTTTTTCTGGTGAAGCCTTTGGGGGCTCCCTTTCCACTACCATGGTCGTTGGTGGCGAAGAATGTATAGTGACGGGATTTGCTAGGGTGCCTCTTGAATCATTGGCCTGTCGAACAGAATGTCTACTTAATCTTCCTCTTTCTGCATCGATTGGGAAGCTCGTGGGGTTTGGACTCCTTATGTGAGCGCAGCCTGGAGCCTCAGGGCTAGGAATAGAGAACAGGGAGCTCGAATTGCCAAGTCTCGAAAGATGATCGCTCTCAGATCCAAGAGAAGAGTGAAATGAATGGTCTCCGCGCTTGGGAAAGTTTGGTGTCTCTGTGAGGTCGACTATCCGCTTTGGTCCATGAGGATCAGAAAGCGTGTTTCGTTGAGGCGCAAGGATACGGCCACCAAAGGATCTTTCCCCACTGTGATCCATCTCTTAATTAGCACTGCGAACTCGATCTGACTTATTGAAGCATGCCTACGGAGAAAGTATTGAACAGATGAGAGTCCGTCAGCGACGACGCCTGATGACGCAGGTACGTACCATCAAAATTGCCGAAATATTATGGTGCGGTAGCTCAGTAAACATTGCCGCCTGCCGGAGCAACCTTCTCAGCTACCCGCCGATCGGACTTAAGACCCTAGTATGTCCGTCATACAATGAGTCTTTAGGTGTCTGCGACCACGGATCATCGTTGGAGAACTTACAGTAAAGACTATTACGTTTTGATGGTTCGACCTGATATCAAACCTAATATCAGTCATCTACTTGAGGCAATCGCTCGCAATCAACCTTTCCACCCCATGCCACAGCAGGGAGAATACGTATGATCTCAGAAGCGAGTAGAGGTGTCAAGCCAATAGCACTTTCAAGTGCATGCATCATCCAATTGCATGCTATCTCATGGTCCGTTCAATACATTAATCATCTCCATACTCCGCTTAAATGCCTCATCCGCGGCAAACAATGCATGACAATCAATTTGTGCAAGTCAATATGACGGCCGACAACCCTGGTCTCATATATCCATCTGACCTACCGGATCATCCTCTTCATCATCGAAGCTACCCACCGAGCTCATCTCGTCGTCATCCCCATCATCTTCGCCCACTTCATCTGCTGCTTCTTTTGTTGCATGCTTCGCGACGTAATCTACCTCTGAGTCAGCAAAGCCGGGCTTTGAAATGGTGGTTTGACAAACCTTTGACCTTGAGTTCGTAGGTCTTAGGATCTCGCATCAGCAGCGCCGCAGCTTCGCCATTCAGAGGGTCCGTGGGGTTGGGGTATCGCAGTAGTTGTGGGAGGAACACTTCAAAAATGTTGATCATATCAAACATTGGCGACCAAGTCTGATTGATGACGTCTAAGCAGACTGACCCAGATCTCCTTCAATTAGCCAAGCTCTTGACCATCTTGATTCGACTCACATCTCATCGATATTCGGGTGGAAGATGCGGTTGACGAAGCCTATACTTGGGCTCTTAAATGGGTATTGATCGGGTAGTTCGACATGTATCTTCCAGTTGCCTCCTTCGAAAGGGGTTTCTGTTGGGCCCTTGAATCGTACATAGAATTCTTGCATATTGTCATTGACTAAAGTCACTTCATAGTCGCTCATCAACATCTTCATGACCTGTGAATTACGAAATAAGACCACGTCAGCCTTCAGTCTTTCTGGTGCAATACTCTTTTGAGCCAGAGTACGTACATCCGTCTCGATCCGCCTCTTTGGACTGCTCATCTTGCCTCTAACAGAGTAGAGGCAAATCTTTTGTCACCAAGTCTGGAGTTTGTTCAAATCTATGATGATACAAGTGTGTAGTTCAAGCTATCGAATGTTCGATATCCCAAGGGTTCACACTGATTGTGACACAAGCGGGCGAAATCGGCTTTGTTTCGAGGAGTCAGACGCGTGTCGTTTTGCTTTGAGCAGTGTTTGTCTGACTTCGACAAGCAGTAGGTAGCCAGGAGGTAGGGATGGCAAATGTCCACTTGTTCACGGGACAGTGAAAGCGCTGATGGTGTCAGAGGGGTAGGAAATGAGGTGGCCTAGAAGTCATGCCCCCACTGCAGCGGGCTTAAGCCCAAAGCCGAGGCGGTTTCTAATTTGGGAATGGCCATCCTGCGTCATTTTCAACGTCTATCCAGACATGTGCGACGACGTGACGACCTTTCCCAGGCCTTCCCAACCCTCACGATATCAAAGATGATCCAAAGTGTCATGGCATCGCCGATCCCAAAGCACAGGAAAGACTGCGCAATAAACACTCGGGGTACCGGCAAACTACCCTTACTCCTGCTCAACGGACCCAATTCTACAATGTAGATACCCTCACATTGCTGACCAAAGGAGAAGAAGCGCATTTCTCACCGCCACAACGCCGCCATGAGTCTGTCCTCTTCATCCATCGAGAGTCATCGACTCAGGCCATCTATCCATCATAGTTTCATCCGCCGACAGTCGAGACCAAACCATGGCATACCGCATACCTTCCCGAGTAGCATTATCACGAATGTCCACACCTGGAAAAGTGCCAATTGTCGCGTGCCACCCGGTCGCAATATCCCAAATTCAGCAGAGACATAGCTCGCACTCGCCATTAGGCTCTCCACCCACCATTCAACGGAAAAAAATCACTCTCGAGTCACTCCGCTCCTTGTATAAGAAGAATGAACCAATCACCATGATCACAGCCCATGACTTCCCCAGTGGTCATGTCGCCGATCACGCAGGCATGGACATGGTGCTTGTCGGAGATAGTCTGGCCATGGTGGCTTTGGGCATGGAAGATACAAGTGAGGTTTTGTTGGATGAGATGATATTGCATTGCCGGAGCGTATCACGAGCCACCAAGTCGGCGTTCACAGTGTGTCACAAATCTGACTTATACACCCAAATTGGATGCTGACTTCAACGTAGATCGGTGATCTCCCAATGGGTTCGTACGAAGTATCACCGTCGCAGGCGCTTGAGTCTGCCATACGCGTCATCAAAGAAGGTCGGGTACAAGGTGTCAAACTCGAAGGCGGTACCGAAATGGCGGCTGCTATCCAACGTATCGCCAGTGCTGGCATTCCTGTCCTTGGCCATGTCGGACTCACTCCCCAACGCCAGAACTCGCTCGGTGGCTTCAGGGTGCAGGGTAAGACTACGCTTGGCGCCCTGAAGGTCCTCGAAGATGCTATTGCTGTTCAAGAAGCCGGCGCCTTTGCAGTCGTCCTCGAAGCTGTACCGGCAGAGGTCGCTAGTCTAGTGACCAAGAAGCTGCAGATCCCAACGATCGGGATTGGCGCTGGCAATGGGTGCTCTGGTCAAGTGCTTGTGCAGGTAGATATGTCGGGTAACTTTCCGCCCGGAAGATTCTTGCCGAAATTTGTCAAGAAGTATGGGGATGTTTGGGGTGAGAGCATGAAGGCTATGCAAGCATATAAAGGTATGTGCATGTTGTCCATTCCCGTCATAATACCATCTTACATATCCAATAGAGGAAGTGAAAAATCGGTCGTATCCAGAACCGCAGCATACCTATCCGATGCCTGCTGATGAGCTATCCCAATTTCAGCAAGCAATTCAAATCGAGTCGGTCTAAATCTGTTGACGATTCGCTGTCGTAGAATACCCATTGGCGGATATTGTAAGGCATTTGGTGGTGTTCTAGCGCTTTAAATACTATTTCGGAATGAGGTTATGCCTGAAATGTATCGTATGATGAGGATTTCGTGAGCTAGGATAGGTCAGATACTTACACAATGGACTCGTCACCATTGACTACCTGTAATGTCGATTTCTTGATGCCGTTGGTTTACCGTCTCGATCTGCGCATTGTTTACTTGCAGCAACGCATCATCCAAAAGCGGGAGCGGTCGAATACGCAATGATTAGTTGATCGTCAGTCTTGAAGCACTATTTCAACAATGCTGGTCAGCGAAGGAATCCCTCACTCGCTTCTGCCCCTCAAACCCTTGATCCAAATTCACAGCCAAACAAATTAGACTCACCTTCCACAACCCCCCAACTCCTTCGTCCAACGCCGGCGCAAAGACCGAGTTGACATAACAAAACACATGCGGCACCTCCCTACTACCTCCCCCACCCCCTTCTTTCTCCCCTTGACTAACAGCGGCGGCCGTGGTGGCGGCAAGCTTTTTGGTGAGAAAGGCCACAACGGTCTCGAATCTATTTGACGACGAGACCTTGAAGACTTTCTGCCGGAGCTGTGGGGCTGAGCCTATGGGTGTGAAACGTATTGTAACTACGTAGGGTTAGAATGTGATCTTTGTTTCCCCGGAATTGGGTAGACAGCGCTTTTTGCAACGGTTTTCCCACAAAAAAAATGAAAATGAATTTAATCCTCACATGCTGGACATAGTGATGAGGGAGAAAAGAAGCCAATTACCTTTAGTAGGCACACCAAGCGGGTTCTCACTAGCTTGTGCGAGGGCCGCGTGAGCGTCTTGGGGGAGGTTTGTCAAAACTAGCGAGGCGGAGAGCGGGAGCTGCAGCTGCTGTGAGGCGGTTGGCGAGTCTGGGATTGGTGGCGACTGAGATGGCGATGGGACTGGGGAGTCAGCCATATTGTGATAGCTCGATGAAGTATGGAGAATGATAAGAGGTGCTAAGAAGAGAGGGATGCCTAAGGCTACTATTCGAGCTGACCATGCCTAAATAGTAAACACGTACGAAATACCCCGAGGATAACATGAGTCTAAAGGAATACGCAGCTTTTCATTTGGGGTATCTCTCTATCTAGCGTAATGGCATGATTCATTACATGTTCCTGAACACGTTCCCACTCGCACTCCTTCTGTCTGGATTTCTTTTCTGGTTCGGCTTCTCGTACTGCACGACTTGCTTCTTTTTCTTTCTCTCGGGTGCGAACGTGATTTCCTTCTCGCCAACGATAGCAGCACTATGTGTATCGGATCTACTTTCTTTGGCCTGCGCAGCTCGTGACCCGAACGAAAGGTCCTGAAGGGATCTTGCAGATTGCTTCGACGAGCTAACTTGCATCGTCGTCTGTTGAGGGAGATGACCAGACTTCCTATACGAAGCGGACGATATGCGCTCCTTGGGTTTACTCTTTGATTTTGGAGCTTCTGACTCTGAACTTCCTTCTTCAGAATCTGATTCGCGTAAGTCATCAATGGCTTCCTCTTCCACAGCTGTCAGTTTGCGCTCATCTTGGGTAGTACGCTCTGGCGAAAGGGGTTTTGTGCTCGGATTCAGCATTTGGAACTCCCTCGACCGCTCATCAATCGCAAAAGCCTCGTCCTGGAACAGCTTGGCGAAGCGAGGATCAGCGAGGAGATTGTCTGGTTTCGCTGGCTTGTCCTCTTTTGTCTCTACATTTTCACTGCCCGGTTGTGGTTCATCCCCGCCATTCAGAAGCACTTTCTTGGCCAAATTCCGCTCCCTCCTCTCTTCTCGGTCCATCAATTTTTCTGCTAGCCGCTTGTTGACTTTAGCGGCAATCTTCTTGTTCCCACGTATTCTGCTCTCTCGTTCGGCATCGATCTTCTCCTTCACTCGCTTGCTTCGTTGTTCCTCCCACACGAATGGATCAGCGATCAATTTTGCCTCCTCATAGAGTCTCTGCGCGACGAAATAACCATGCATATATGGCCGTAAGAGACTAGTAGTGCCAACTAGATGAGACAGATTTAAAGACTCTAATTGCTGCACGGTAAGAAACTTGTAGTTGTCATATACCTCGCCCGCCTTTTGACTTTGAAAAGCGTTGGCATCATTGGGATCTTCGGCCATTTCCTCCACAAGATTGTCAAGGAAAGAGCACCATTTAGGAGCTGGTCCAAGCTGTGGAATGAAGAATGCATGCTGCTGTCGCCCCTCGTTTGCTGTTAGCAACATTCCTGAGTCCCTGCACCAAGCCACATGATGCATATCGACGGCAGGCTCAACAGAAGTCCATGGAGATCCATCCTGGGCATCCCAGATTTTGATGATCCTCTTATCAGCTGAGAGAATCTTGGGTTCTGCGACCTGTGATCTAGTGGAGTGCGATGACGAAAGATATATAATGTTCTGGACTGGGTAGCCATAGCCTTGATCCTTCTTTAGGACAGGGTGCGGAGATCGTAAGTCATAAAGATGTATCAACCCTGTAGAAGATCCCGTTGCCAATCCTAGACCTGATTTATCGAATTCGAGGGCAGTGACTTCTTGTCTGCCATCAATGGCATCCACATACTTGGGGCTTTGCAAGACTCCCACACGACCTCTTGATCGCGGATCCCAAAACTCTACTGTTCCTAAAGATGTACCGAAGGCCAAGAGACTGTGGCTCCCTTCGGCTATTGCCCCGGTATTGACACTACCAACGTTGACTCCTCCTTGTAACGCGCCATGCCCTCCTACTCTCGTATCGTCACCACTAACATCAACTTCGTACGCCCTCATGAATCTACCAGCTTCCAGGCTAAGCCTGAAGACCTCCCCGAGTCCATTCTCATTCACACCGACAGCGGGTATGAGAGCCTCTGCAGACAGTCTGTTATAGATGAGATCTCGACCATACCGAGGTAGCCTAGTATTGTAATGGCAACCGAGGGGCGTATGAAACTCTAGCAATCTATCGGCTTGTAAATGTAATGACTTGGTATAGTCTGATGATAAGATAGTGAATGTTGTGTTAAGAGACGAAGTGTGGCGGGCAAAAGACAATGAAAGATGAGGCAGATGATGGGTATGAATTTGAGGCTTGTATGTGCCTTCAATACATTAGCGCATGGTAATACTTGCTGGACTAGTACATCGAACGAACCAGTACTCATCACCCATTGACCGTCATCGCTAACGCGTATACAGTGACTTGCCTCCTCGAATTCGAAATCCTGCAACAGTTCGACGCGATTCGCATATTCTGGATCGTTCTTGAGGCTTCGCTTTCGTTTGCGAGCGAGCCATTCTGGGAGTGGTCGAGCGGTAGATGAGCCTGAAATGGTATACACTGGGATGGCAGAATGGTTGCTAATTTTCATGGCAAGAACGGCCAGTATGAGAGCAATGCACAAGTGTGTGAACGCATTTTCATTTTCATGACTGACATCTTTAGCGCACGGAAGTCTGCGGTTGTGGCGCCGAGTCCCGTCGCTCAATCTGATCGTCTCGATCTGCCACTTCAATTCCCCGGCCATTCCGTCTTATCAGAACCTCGACTCACTTCTCTTCGTTACGGTCTTGGCTCTGTATAGCTCCATCAAATCGATGAATAGCGCAGTGACGCTCCTGCCTCACCAATGCGCCAGAATGCGACTCCAATGTGGCCCAAACACCGCAAGAACTCGTACCGCAGCTCACATTCTGGTACCGGGACGTGCTAATGCGCGTTTATGGGGATGGATTTTCCCAACGACTTGAGCACCAATTGTCATGAGATAGTGAGTTCTCTGGAGCATATCCCCACACTGAGGCCTAAATCCGTGCTAGTCGGGTATTTTCGAAGTGGTGTGGAAACTCTTCAACCTCGCAAGCAATGAGAGTGACTGGGACGAGAGCGACGAGCAATTGATCTTGTTGCAGGCGGAATGCCAATTCCGTATCTTTCGCTGGCATTCGATCATCGATGTCGAACATTGCGGTCTTTGGGTATTTGCATTCTCGTCCAATGAGGATGAAAAGATTTTGAAATTGGCGCATAATCTTGGATTGACATGTAAGCTAATCCAGGTCCTCGACAAATTTCGACCTCAATCTGACGTGTTTTCAGTGGCATCTCATGGTTGTATTAAGGCGTCTGAGTTGGGTAATTTGAATCCTCTAGTTGATTCCGAGGCTTCATCCCTTCACAGTCCGGCGTTTGACCCTTATTCAATAAATGACGATTCTTTTGATCATAATGGTACCGTTCAGTCAGATGAACCAATCGCTAAAGCTGATGATGATGCTGAAACCCCAGCACTTTCCGCAATATACATCAGATTTATTGAAGCTACAAGGCGATCTATTGCCTTCACGTTGGCTCAACAGCCCGGCTGGCTACTCTTCAATAACAACACCTGTCTCAATGAACAATCTCTTGGCTTCAGCGCGCTCCATCCCCCTAACACGACAGAGGTTTTGACTGTGAAGTCAGAATGGACTGCTCTAGGGAGCCTTCTGTTGCGTGTAGTCGCCGCGCGGGTCCCTAAGCTTCATAAGATATCAGAGCTCCTGAAATTAGACAATCATAGTCTGTTTATCAATTTGCCAGTGCTCATGACCCCTTTGGGTCTTTGGGGCCTTGTTCGCTCAATTGAGGCTAAGGACAGATATCAACGCAGATCGCCCAAATATTTAAAGCGTACGAAATCATTGCGTAAATATCTGGATACTTTTGGTTTGTTGCAAACGCAAGACACGAGTTGGCTCACAATTGAGCTACAAGATACTCTGGCTAGACGTCAATCTAATTCCGACCTCAAGACCGAGAATGATTATGACAAGGTTGAAATCTTCTGGCCAGCTGATTGTTGCTTCTGCCTGGATCTCAAGTGCTCGAATAAGCCAAGCGACAATCAAATCATGGACCCAATCGCACGGGCAGAGTCCTGGTACAATGCCCGCCATGAACGCGAAAAGGTTTTGGTAGACAGGAAGAGGGCGGAGGTTGCGGCTCAAAGGATGAATGCTAACAAAGAAGCAATAGATCGCGACGTAGTAAACGCTCTCTCTCCGCTTGATCCAAGAGCGAATTTGCAGGACGCCAGCGGGTTCTATCCTACTCCACCAGATGGAATACAATCTCAAGCCAACAACACTCCTGCTCAAGACGAGATTACGGAGCCTACTGTTCAAGATGGGCATCAGGCATTTAGAGATCCTCACTATGGGTATCATGGTGCGGATGACCATGAAATGTTTGGAGATCACGACATGGGTCTGACTGAGGAGGATCTTGAGTTTTTCAACGAGCCAGGTGAGGAGAATACAAGTGCGACCTTGGCCGACTTCCGAGAAGATGTCAAGCAAGAGGTTTTCGAAATAACACAAGGTGATCAGGGGACCCCCAAAGAATCGGAAAATATTGCCATACAGGACGTGGAAATCCTGCATGAGGCTGAAACAGACACTCAAGATTGGGACTATGATCGGCATCACTTCTTGGTAAATGATCCTTCAAGTTCAGTCTCTTCCATCACAGGTCTCGCTACCAAGAGGCGGGAGACGAGTCTGTCGTCTTGTGAAAATCAGCAGACGGCCAGCGCCGAGACGAAGCCTAACGTCCCACAAAAACCGCAATCCATATGGCAAGAGGATTTTCAGCACGCTGAACCACCTCACGAAGAGAAACTTGACCAAAAATATTCCGTAGGAGGGCGTTTCGATTTTGCAGCAATTCATGAACGGAGCTCAAAACAAAGAGATAGTAAACACCAAATGCATTCCGATATTCCAAAGATTGGTCTCCAAGACGGTAGCGCTTCCGACACTGAGGACACCTATGACCAAGGTATGCCGAGCGTGAGTAGTCATATTAGGCTTAAATTGGTAGGCTGATGAACGCAGATGAGGTCACGACATCATCGTCGAGTGATTTTGAAAGCGACAGTGACGATGACATGTACGATTCGAGCATTTTAGAAAAGTCATCCAAGCTTCAAAATACGACACCCTCTCCGGAGCCGACTCAGAAAGGCTATCGATTGAAACGGAATTCTAAATTTCCAACACCAGACCTCTTCCGCCATGTTCTCAATTTGCACTCTTCACTAAAAGACCCTTTCGTACAGGAAACGCATCCAACGCCAATTACTGCGGCAAGTCAAGCATTCATCCAACATGCGCAAATTATGACTGACCAGGCTCTAACAACTTCTCGTTCAAAGAGTGTGTCGGACAATTCGTTATTTCAAAAACCTCCGCCAGTAGGTGCTGCTCAACTGGGTGCTCGGTATAGTGCTGTAACCAGGATTGTCGAGTTCTGGTTTCCTACCAGTCGATGTCTTGATCTACGAGACTTCATCGGCATCAAGAAATCAAAGGCTGACCTTCGCCCTGCCGCTAGACAAGATCTTCAGCTTCAGCCACTTCCATATCCAGACATGACCATCAGGCGTATGGGTATGAAGATGGACATGTTGCCGTCCGCACTACCTTTCTGGGAAGAACTGAGTCTTGAGCCTCTACACGGCCAGAAGGACGTCGTAGCATTCTGCTTCTCGTCTGATCAACAGACATACCTTGATCGTCCTATTACAAGGTTCATGCGGATGATGAGAGATGCATACCAAGGTTGCAATTTGGGTAGACATAGACTTGTTGGAGCTGAACATGGCCAAGACACAGCCCTCCCACCGCAGGATTACAGCACTTTTGGGGCGAAGCTAGCTGAAACATTCGCGAGAAATGATACGCTGATAGTCTATATACTCAATCAAAAATCCGACTTTGCTGCACCAACCGACCTGTGCGCTGGTGCAATGGAGCTATTGGAAGGCTATCGATCGGTACTGGCTGCAAAGAGTACTCAGGATCCACCGGACTTGGTGATACAATTCGTTCCGCTGGGCTTTATATTTGATACTAGATTTGTTGTGACACCACCGCTCGGTGAATATAGAAGACTGGCTTTCGAGGTCTACGACCGATGCGGCCCGCCGAAGGATGCTCCATACTCCAAGCCTCCGTACATGCCAGCATCTGCATTCGCATTATCACAGGAGATGCCAGCACAGATTGATCTTCAGCTTTCATCTGATAGCAGCGTTGCTAAGCTATACGAGGATGATTGCTTGCACATAGCTTATGCCTGGAAGCCCGCTGAACCTTGGCTCACTGTTTCATGGTCTGACAATACCGGCAACTTGCAATGGACAGCCGCACACTGGCTCGGGGAAGAGTTTAGTGACGTATGGCAAGCATTTATTGACACAGTTGATGAGATACTTGAAACAACACTGGAGATGCTGGATCCCCGAAACCGCCCATGGCAAATATTCATTGCGAAAGAGAAGCATTTCTATGTCGATGAGCTGGAATGTAAGTTCGTTTTCTTCTTGGTGCCCAGAATACCAACTGATATCTATTTAGTATGGGAAGCTGTCATTTCAAATCTCGGCAGGTCAAAATACCGATTTTATTTCATGACTGTCGATGCCGAGCCCGATCTTCAATGTTCTGTTCCCATGGCCGCACCAGAGGAATCTAACACCATGGATCAACCTCTCACTCCAGTATCTACACCCAATGCTGCTGCAAATTCGCCAGATGTTACCACCGCTGCCACGCCGAGCGGCCAAACAGCCTTTGATAATGATCCAGACACAAGGCTTGTTGACGCCAGAGATGAGGCATGGAGATGTATTGTTGGAGCAGGCAGCGCTGACCATTGCCTCCCAACATCGTACTGTCTACCACTAAGCTCTGGGTACATTATAAAGCGAGCGGGTGTCAGTGATGTAGAAGGCGTCATGCTTCTAGCAGTCTCTCTGATGAAGCCAGACGATGAAACTCTATTGTTAGGGGTGCTCGAGATGTATCACAAATTGGCGACTCTGGCGAGAATGAGAGGCCTCACCGATACGGTCACAGGTATGCTGCCAATACATATCGCATCTGCGAGGAAAGCATTCGAAGCTGTCCATTCGTCGTTGCGGCTTGGTAATGGAGAAGGATGAACGAAACAAAAGCGAAGTCTAATCTGCAGGAAAGGTTTCAGCTTTGCTTCTTACTGCAAATGCTAATTCTCTCTCCATTGTCGACTATTCGTTGGACAGCGTGTGAGGTCTGGCGCAACATTGGCGGGGATCTCATCATCAACTTGTGAAGCGGCGATGCTGTAGTCTTGGCACCCTCCTAATTGTCTCAAATTTGCCACTGACCGCTCTTTCCAATCTGTGTTGACATGGTAACTACCGACCCCACCAATTCCTGTAGTAACAGCAAGTGAGGATTGTTGCAGCTACAACTTGTCAGTGTCATTGGCCTCGGTCTTCCACAGACTGCTCTGTCTTGTCATGCTACTGCCATTGCGTCGATTCAGTTCAACACATGAAGCCACACTGGAATTATGGACGACCTCATGACGGCCTTTGCAGGCAATGATCTAGGGCCTCCAGCAAAGGAGAGATCTCCCTCTCGCACCACTACTAGACTTGCTGCTGAAACTACAGTATCCCGTCCATCCACGATGTCCCTGGAAGAGAGAGTATTTGGTCATCCTCTTGTGATTGAGGCGAAGCTCAAGGCCGAATCAACGTCAATTACCTCGCCTGTGACTCAAATACGCATCCGTCCGGCTCAAGACGAACACCAAGTTCCCAAGGGCTCCAATTGTGACGTCCTCCCTAATCTTATGAGTATTGACTCAATTCAAAATCTAAATGACAATCTTCCTGAGTTCAGTACCAATACGGGGCTTTCTTCCTCTGACGCCTTGACACCAACAACCAGTGCCTCTGAGCCGACGTACATTGCTCGATTTGGAGACCGAAATAAGCCAAAAGTGTTTGCCTCAACCATTGATGCCACGCAAATGGCCCCCAAGTCCGCAGCGGCTTCCAACATTTCAACAGTCGCTTTGACCAACGGCGGTTCCGAAAGAAATGCTGGGCTTGCATCAGAACTTGAAGTGACCACAAAGAACACACAGAGAGCCTCCACTCAGCCACCCAAATCTCAGCCTGAGATGAAGCCTACGATCGAGGGTACAAGTGAACACCCCAAGGCTTCTGCTCTAAATTCAGCTCTGACACAAACGCTCGAGCGTTTCCATCAGTATGACACTGACAGAGACAACGAGTTCTTTGTAAGCTGAGACTATCAGTATGGAGACCAATTAGCTAATCAACAAACAGAGCATACTGGATGGGATGGAGCGATTAGAGCTACAGAACAGCAAGCTCCAAAAAAATAATCGTGAGCTACGCCTGGAGAACACCCGTCTCAACACAGACAATGCAAGAGCAGATGGAAAGCTTTCGGCTACAGATAATATAAGCCCAACTCCCACACAAGGCAGTTATCAAGAGCGAGCTCAAGTAGCGGAGCGACGCTTGTGGGAAGTCCAGCAACAGATATCCCGAAATCCGTTTGCCTTCGTCTTAATTGACGGATCCGGATACAATTTCCTACCAAGAATACTTGTTGGGAGACGAGGAGGCTTACACACTGCTGAAAAACTTAAAGGCGAGCTCATGGAATACCTCTGCCAATCATCAAATGAAGGAAAGGACTGGACTTTGATAGTTCGCATTTACGTCAACCTCCAACAGGTGTGCAGGAGTACAAAAACAGCAATAGAGACAGTGCGCGACTTCGTCTACGGTTTCAATGAGCCCTACCCAGGCTTTGATATCATAGATACTGGTGGACAAGTCCCAAGGAAGAAGATTATTGGTAAGCTCGAAACTTCATGTTGGTCAACAAATGCTGACTTCTTTGATAGATATCTTCACGCTACACGCACGTAATCGCCACTGTAAATCAGCTCTTCTAGGATGTGTACATGACCAAAGCTTTGCCGGCCTAATAGCTTCTTGTGCGAGGGACCCAATAATGCCTTCGATTACCCTAATAAGCGCGGGATCTTCAACAGTCCTTTCGCCACATCAAACGAGGCCTTTTCAGGTGATCGAATTACGCTCGCTCTTCATATATGAGGATAGTAGCGATAATGAGAGGGCTTCCGACGCAGATCTCGAACAAATTGAACCACACCACCGGCTTGGTCAATCCACTTCCCCATCCTTCTCGTCTGGTAGATACGATCAGAATGCTCCCAGCAGTAGTGAAGCTTCAGTTGATGGTTGGAGGGAGTATGTAAGAGCTTCATCGTCGGTTGAGAACGAACCGGACGCCGTAGCCGGGGAATGGAAGGATGATCGAGCCTTGTCAATACTCCTCAATGTCGACGGCAAGCGTGTTGATGAAACCCTACCTTATTGTTCACCACGAGCCTACGAAAATATCAAGAAATCGCCAGAGTCACGGCGCTTTTGCGCAAGGTTCCATATTCTTGGTAATTGTCCGTATGATTCATGCCACTACCTTCATGGTGCCCTTCTGGAAGGCGAAGAATTAATCGCTCTGAGATGTTTGCTACGCCAAGCACCATGCTCTAGAGGATCAAAATGTCTGAAACGCAGCTGCTGGTTGGGTCATCATTGTCGAAAAGGGCAACAATGTACTTATGGAACCAAATGCCAATGGTACAGTACACATCGCATAGACCTGAGAGTGATCCACATTGTATAAACTCTTGTTCCTGATAAAACCAGCATTGCAACAACCCCCAATCTTTCGAACAGCAGGAAGAACGATGGAAACGCCCAAAGAGCCCGAATTTTACAACGAGAAAATCTAATTTACAGGAGACATTGTTCAACGAGAACTTTATTGAACGAGGGTGAAGAACATTTTTATGGAAACATGCATTATTTGCGTGATATTATGGATTCTATCGGTCATTCATGAGCAAGCAGAAGAGACTAACGAAAGAAGTTTGGCATTGGGAGAACAGAAATTTTTATACGCCCCTGTTTACCAATTGCAAGACATTACATGAGCTGAAGAACATCCTCTGTAATGAAGGGGCGATGGTATATAACAAACCAGGCACACGGTCAGCACATCAAGCTCAAGCTTTGTACTTCGAAGATTATGATTTCTATTGAATTAAAATGATAAAACCATCTAGTGCCTTAGAGAAACCCGCTTGCGCTTGCTTACTAGAATATTCAAAACGTACCAACAAGTGAGAGAGCCTCCTGCTTCACGTGACCACTGGCCAGCTGTGAACGTAATATACTATGTCGATTTCAAGGCAGCTGGTACAGCACGTTGAATACAGTTGCCAGGTTGAGCCACGTTGTGCGGAGCATTGATGATGATACATGCATCTATACGAGTAGACGCATGGTGAAACGCAGTGGGCTTTGTAGGAAAGACAAATTGTCACGATTAGCTCGTCACATTCCCAGAGATCGATCATACGGCAGGAGCATCATGGAGAGTGACAGCGCTTACGTTTCAAAGGATCACTCCCACCAAATGTTTTCAGTCTGAGTCATAGTCGACAAGCGGCAAAGCGGTCGTGGGCTTGTCTCTTGGCTCAGATTGTACGTTAGGCTCTTCTGCAGCGGTCTCGAGAGCTGATGCCTCATTTGCCGGGAAGGTTTCTTCTTGTTTTCGCTTTCGTAATAATGGCGGCGGATCGGGTCTGCCTCCTTTCAGGTGGTCGCCTAGAAATGGGTCAAGGACCGCTCGTGTATTATCCGCAAGTTCTTTGCGAAGATCTTCCTTTCGAGCTTTTACAGCTTTAGCTCCCTTCATCGATTTTGCTTTCTTCGAGCCGGATTTGCCCTGCTTATTAGTACTGAACATAGGTCTCGTGGCTGCTCTCGCCAGCGCAACTTTCCCTTCGACATCACCAAATTCTACGTGCCCTGCCCTTCTCTTGTCCTCTTCCGTCTCTTCTAGCAAGTCGATCCCGATTCCCATCCGCTCTTGTAGTGCCTCCGTGGCTTCCGCCCTTCCTTGCCTTACCTTCCTTCCTACCCTGAATGCCTTTCGTAGTCTCCTGTTCGCCTCCCCTGGATCATCCCAGTCCCTCTCGTTATTCCTATACAGCTGCTCAATCCTCGCCTTCTCCGTCTTTGCGACCGCCTTATCCTGATTGCCTTCCTCCAGCCTGGCAAATGCATCTCCTTCCAATCTCTTCTTCTCTTCCTCCGTCTTCCCATCCGCAATGATCACCTCCCCTTCCCTTAGCCTATCCTCGCCCGTATCCCTCTTCTTTGCCCCTTCCGTAACTACATACGCCGTGTTCTTCGGATCAGTTCGTATCTCGATCGGGCCCCCGCATTGAATGTGTTTGAAGCGGAAGGAGAAGATTGGTGTTGAGAAATAGTTGCCGACTTTCTTCTTCTCGGCATTGAAGCGGACGCCTTGCCCGATTATGGTGGGTTTTGGACAGGTGGTGCACCAGATACTGTAGGGGAGCTCGAAACGAACTGTCTGGGTGCCGTCGGGGCGAATGCCGACGCGTTTGTTGGAGGCGGCGTTGAAGGAGACGACTCCTTCGAGCTCTGGAGGGACGTACCGTCCCATGTCTGGAAGAAATTAATGATTGTTTTGATACTTGGGGACCGGATGGCATGGTCTTACTGTATCCCTGCATGATGAATTGTTTTTGATCGGTGAAGTCCGTAAAGGGGTTCGAGTGCCTTCCTTAGATGTAAGATGCTTATGGTGTGAATCTCCTCGAGGCAAGTCGAGCTGATGAATTGTGGCAGACGGGTGTGGCGGAAAGGGTCCGCTCGCCGCCCGTCGACTGCGTTGGTTGAATTCTTTGAGTGTCGCGTATCGAAATTGTTTGATTCTCATACTGTCTTTCGATATGATGCTGCGCTCACGATGAGTCTGGTATAGCAGCTTCGGACTTTTGATCGCCTGCATGACTTCCAGCTTGAGAATCCAGCTGAGTACGAGTATTCGAAAACAGCAAAGGCCAGCATGGCTCCAGATCTATCGCAAGAGGATGGAGGGCGGGTTGAATTTGAAAGCACCTTGGGCGAGTTCGGGCAACAGAGAGGGTGTGACAGGAAGATGAGCATTCACCTAGTCAGGAAAAAGGCTAAAACTCTATTTAGGCTCAGTATCGACTTTAATACAAGGGTAGCCGGAAAAACCATCGACCTATACAAATTGTACCAAATTATCACGGGCAAGGGTGGATACGATGCGGTCAGCGCGGAGAAGCTCGCATGGAGGAAGCTTGCTCATGACTTTGGCTTCGGTTCTGCAAATGCTGCCGCCTACGCTTTTGCGCTGAAAACGACCTATTACAAGAACCTTGCGTGAGTGAATCCCGTGATTGAGATGGCATTGCTAAATTGAACCAGCGCGTACGAAATTAAATATTTGCATGGTCAAGAGCCGCCTCCAAAAGAAATCCTTGAAAACACTACCGCCAAAGGAGGGGATCTACTGCACCGCACGGTGGAGAGTTTCCAGCCACCTCAGAAATCAGGCATGATGAACGGAGGGAGCGACTCGGAGAATGAGGAACAGGATACCCCAAGAGAAGAAAAGATGGATATTGACGATCCTGGAAGCGGGGGAGGGCGGTCAAGTAGAGGTATGCCAACAAGACACCGATTTGGTATCTGCTCACCTTTGCCCTAGGTCTCCGTCAACAGCCACCTCAGAGGGTGCTTTTCCAACCAGACGTTACTTCCTCGAGGCAGAACCGGTCAACCTCTGTCAACCAACAATCTCCCCAACCAAGTAATCTCTTTCCCGCCCAGAATACATATCAATACTCCGCGACCTCCAATCCCGCTAGCTCAGCCTTCTCCATTGCAAATTACGAGCCGCGACCACAGATGCCGTTGACTCTACGTCCCGTCATGACTCCAGCCAACAACTACCCTTTATTTCAAGCGCAGATCAAAAGAATCCGAGATGCAAAATTGGCGACCTTTGGGCTTAGCCAAACAACCCCGATCATGAAGCCAGGTGCAGGTTTTGAGGGTCCAAATATTTACGTGCGAATACTAAACAGCCTACGCTGCCCGGTGCCAGAAGAGCAAGACTATGCGCTACATCATATGGTCAAGATATCGCACGAAAGAGGTGACAAGTACCGCTTTGATTCATTCCCTGGTCTTGCAGAGGGTCTTTTGGAACGGCTTCTCACGATCAGTTCCCTGTTCTATGACGTTGAATGGCGAATCTCATACACGCAAGATGATGACGATGTTGAGGTTCTGGATGGTATCGATGGCACACCAGACATACTCCAGAGAATACAAAGGCTACGGCGTATCGACGCACCTGATGAATTGCAGTCAGGCGAAGTGGCGCACAAGATCAATAAGCTTCTCGAAGCTGGTCTCACACTTCGTAACCTAGGCATGCTCGAGGATAACGCTCACTATCTTTCTGAAATGGTGCAGCTAAGAGACTTCCTCTCAATTGCGCTCAACCTTCCACCCTCACCTTCAACTATCGAGATGAAATACTACGTGTTGGAAGTTGCTGAGCAGGTCGTGCGATATTGGCGTATGAGTGAAGAAGATCCTTTATATCGATCGCTCCTCTCTGTTGTCGATGAAGGCTCGGACCGCGGTGCCATTATCTTAGCATTGAGAGCTCTTTGCCGCATTTCCATGAACCTTGAAGACGCCAACAGGCTTTCTCGGGTACCTGTCCCTGTCATCCAGAAGCTCCTTGAATGGGTCGTTCTTGAGGATGAGGAATTCACCGGGGCGTGCTTAGATTTCATTTACCAGTTCACTGCCCAGCCAAAGAACGTGCTGTTCATGTTCAATAATTGCAACGATCTCCCCCTTACCACTCTCACATCTCAGCTAGCGCGTCTTCTACAGATTCGGGCTACTTCAACCGTTCATAAGTCGATAGTCAGCAAAGCTGTCGCCATTGAACCGGCAGAAGATATTCCCACACCTCCTCGAGAACTCATGGATCAATTTCTACGCCACGAGGAACCAGAACGATCCAAGCTTTGGCTGAAAGCAGTATTTGAGGAGGATGCTCAAGCAAACATTACCCAGATCGCTTTGTGGCAGGCGTATCAGACGCGCTTCCTTGAACACGCTACCCAGAACGCGCTGTTACAAGCAGCAGACTTTATCAAGAACGTCAGCAACGTATTTCAATCTGCGAATGCGCAAGTTCTCACTGGCCCAATACAGAAATTTATTATCAAAGGAATCCGGCCACGACACGCGCCAATTGACTCTAAAGGTCGAGTCTACTCTCGCTGCTTGTGGAGGAGCCCAGGCTCGAAGCCATGCAGTGAGTTTCAGCTGAAGCCAAAGCATATGCTTGAGCATATTGCCCGAGTCCATCTGGGTATCAACAAAAAGGACGACGGTACCTGGACCTTTGCGGAGGATAGTGATACCCGTCACGACTGCGATTGGGCCGACTGCCATCACTTTGAGCGGCGAGGTATCGCGCCTACAGCTTACCAGCTTGGTCAGCATCTGAAGACTCATCTACCTGACGTGACCACGAGATCTGCGTACAGGCAGAAACACAATCGGATTCCTTCAGCACAAATCATCCCTGTCAAGATGCTCGAGGGGGATGTGCGGCCGAATGTTGACCCAGCACACGGGAGAGAGGCAGCTTTCAAACAGCTAGCTTACCAGAACACAGCAATCGATGAAGTCGGAAATGCTGCTGGCCTACCGCTTACCAGTATTCTGATTTTACGGAATTTGGCGCGTAACATACCCAAGGCGATGCTACTCATTGAAAATGTCGATCACGATGCTCTCAGGCGACAGTCACTTGAAGGCATGTTCGGCCCCATCACCGAGAGATTGATGTATGTTATTTCGCATAACCGACCTCTGTCAGGGTATGCATCGGACGTCATGGCCTGGGTTGAGAGAGGCATGGGGTCATGAGGTTTCGTTAAACTTCGACTGCTTGGTCCATGTTTTCAGATCGCATGATATTCTAGCAGAGGTATGTCAAGGAAGCTTCGAAGTGATTTTTCGGCAAGGCGCTTGGGAAACCCAGGATTGACAGCGATGATCAATGTATGATTAGGCGCATAGGGAGGGAAAAGATAAGAGAGTAGGCTCAAAAATATACCCACAGTACGTGCTCAATATGAGAAGCAAGCTAATCTGTTGATTGGATTGTGATCTGGCCTAAATGGATGAAATGAAAGACCTCGGCTTGGCACTACTTCTACTTTCGGAGGTCACTTATCATTCAATTTCTGTCGTCACATTTCCATGTCTCAAGCTCCTTTAGCTTCTTGAACTCCCCTGCTGACGTGAGAGCTGTCCTTTCTTGCATGTTTGCCCTGCTGCATCCCGTTCTCGGTCGACCATCATGATACCTTCTTTTGCGTCGAATTCTTCGAGCTTTCGCAATGGCCCAATCACTTTGCCTTTAGCGAAATTCTCTCACTGCACAGTCGCCACTCACTCTTCGCCAATGCGCTGGATTCACGTTGCAGGAAATCATGATGACTCTGGACACGGTGACCTTTTCACAGTGTTTGATACCTTTCGACGAATGGACGTCAATGAACAAATGGCGGAACTGCATTTGCTCAAGGTCGATCACAGAGGGGACCTTCTTGTGAGTAGCCGCTTCTGCTCTGCTGAAGTCAAGTCATTTAGCGGGTGCTGACGTGCCACAGGAGAAATTTGAATTTGAAATGTTGAGTAGACAAGTGCGATCGGACAATATTCGCGCTCAAGGCCGGATTTTGACTGAGATGGATCGACATATGGTTGCTGTTGCCAGAGCTTCACTTAATGCTGTTGCAATGCGCTATCAAACCTTGGATCGGAAGGTATTTCGAGCCTCCCTTAAGTGGCAACCTATTTATTGAAATTGTACAGATCAGGAAGCTGCAATTCATTTTTCATACAGTCAGCGGCTTTAATTTCTGCATTGAAACTCTACAGTCCTTCGCTATACCGATCATTATCAAAGATAATGAGGCCCGACCAACCTCGACGCAATCTTTGCCTGTGCTGAACCACAACTCTACTTTATACTCTACGCCTAGCATCGAGAGCTCCACAAATCGGTACGGCGGAGCCCAAGCTTCATCGTTCCCTCCTCACGTATTTCAATCCGGATATTCACAGAACGCTCAACGTACTCTACAGCCCGCTCGCCAACCACCTTACTTAGATCCATCATGGGCACCCTCGTCGGCCCAGCCAATTCAAACTTTTGCCAACGAGCCGAGCTTGTCACAATATGGAAGTCAGGGAAGCTCCCAGGGAATGGCCTCCTTTGGGTACCACCAAGCTTCGATGGACTCGTATCCAAATCGTGATACGAGTCAGGTCAATAGCTGGCATCCAGCGCTTATGCCTTTTCAGGATACTGGGCGCTCAATTCAACAAGGCACGAGCGTTTCTCAAGCAGGCGCCCAAGTATTGCCCTTTGAGCATACTGCGTACCAATCCACTCATGCCAATCCATCTCAAGGACGACCTTTCAGCGCTCCAGAACCGCATGATGAAAGACTGACTCATGATAGCTATACCATGAAGGACATCATGCCACCACCCCGCACATTACCTTTTCCAGAGCCAAAATCGAAGCCATCGTCTGCACAAGGGATTGAGAAGCCACTTGGGGAACGGACTGCACCTCAACAAGCTTCTTCCCAGTCGAACCGTACCAAAACGGCCACCAAGCCACGGCAGAGCAGACCGAGAAAATCTAAGGCTGCGCAATCTGTCCTGGAAGGTGCAGTTTCGAAACCAGATACTTCAATTGCCCCTAAGCCAACTCCAAAACCTAACAAGGCAAGCGTAATTGTTCCGCCACTTTCAAGTGACCCCTTACGCACCGTTGAGACAGGGTTAGCCTTCCAACGCAAATACCCAAACACAAGGGCGACAGACCCCTCAACTCATGCGGAGGATCACTCATCAAGCCTTGATCGCTCTGATATCCTCGCTCCTACACCTCTCAAGAACCCTCCGAAAAGACGACGTGTTGCTGGAACCACCAATCAAGATCCTAAGACTCCAACACCGGCGCCTCTCACTCAAATAATCGCAAAAACCTCAGCAGATACCGCCATCAAATCTTCTGAAGCTCCGGTAAACAAAAATTCACAGGCAGTTCAGGCAGACCTAGACAAGGCGCCTGACTCTGTAACAGTGGGACAGGCTGGGGCTTCAATGAATGTTGGACCCTTGCCGCCATTCGCTCAACGGTCTATACAGACTCAGACGTTGCCCATTGAACCCCCATCGGCCGAGACTACGGGTAACGTCCAGCCTAGCAACACCGGCAACTCTCAACCTGCGGTACCTAAAAATCCAATGCTGTCCCACATCCAGTCTGACGAGTGTCTGGATCGTCTTGAGCACTGGATTCGGAAACATCATGATCTACCGGCCCTGCAACCTACGATGACAGATCAAGAGCGAGACAGAGAGCGACTTGCCCATTATGCGGCTCAGCCGGATGAAGAACGGCTGAGAATCATGGACAATATGATCTGTGAGTGTCTCGAGGATGACAATTTCCTCAGTCTGCTCAAGGATGTCGAGCGCACTTGGCGAAGGACAGCACTAGGGTCTAGCATTTGAGACTCCCTCAATGCAATTTGAGGTTCGTCGCACACGACAATAGCTTGGAAATTGCTGATAGGAGGACATGTTCAACGTATCGCAACATATTTGCTATTTTATCTTGGTATCTTGGACCATCGCCTTACTGTTAAATGGGTATATCTAGCTGTTTATTGCCATAGCTTCGCTGGAAACATATACAATCCTTGCTCACATCACCGGCTTCACACCCCTATGAATAGCCGCAACCCCACCCGTCAAATCAATCCACCCCTTTTCATCTCCCTCCACTCCCTCCCCTTCACCCACCCCTCCCGGCGTCAAGAATCCCGCTTCCCTAATCATCCCCTCAAATACCCTCTGCTCCGGAAATCGCTCAATACTCTCCACCAAATACTGATAACTGTCTCTATCCCCTGCCACCAGCTGCCCTATCAACGGTATCCCCCCGAAACTCCACCGCTTGTACAACCCGTTCAATACCGGATTCTGCAGCCTCGGCGTGAATTCCAGACACGCGAACACGCCCCCGGGCTTGAGGACACGATGAGCTGTTTGTAGCGCAAGCGGAATGTTGGTGAAATTCCGGATACCGAAGGCAACGGTGTAGAGATCCAGCGAGTTCGAAGGGATGGTGGGGAGGTATTGGGCATCTGCTTCCAGGAACTTCACTCGCGGAGAAGAATCCGAGACTGAGCTCGAGGCTGGGGAGGAGGCCGAGGTGGTGGAAGAGGCGTAAGGGGAGGAAGCAAGCCGTTTCCGCCCTTCATCTAGCATAGCGGGGTTTATATCCGTGATCGTGACGGTGGAGGAGGTATCTGCGTTTATTTTCTCCATGTGCGAGAGGAGGCGGAGCGCTATATCACCCGTCCCGCCTGCGACGTCGAGGATGTTTTGGGGTCGGTGTTGGGTATTGGGGTCGGGGTTGGTGTTGGGGGTTGAGCCGTGGTTTAGCGATCGCACGAAGTAGTCTTTCCAGAGGCGGTGGATGCCGAGGGACATGAGGTCGTTCATGGTGTCGTAGGATGTGGCGACGGAGGTGAAGACGGAGTTTACAGCGGAGGGCTTTTCGGAGGAGGGGAGCGTGCGGAAACCGAAGTGTGTGTTGGCTGATTGTGGGGTGGCATCTTGAGATGGGGAAGGGGAAGGTTGAGTAGGGGAGTGGGATTGGGCGAGGCGGAGAGTGCAAGAGAGGCAGCGGTAGGGTTGTTTATTAGATGTAGTTTTTCGAAATGAGAAGAAGAGCCCCTGACGAAGGGGAGAAGAATTCATTGCTTTGAACAGTAATGCGAGCAGAATTTCTTTTGAACCAAAATGTTGATTGATATACAGAATAGGCTAGAGGCATGGAGCTGTTAGCGGCCGTAATCCCGCCCGGTAGAAGAGATGACCCAGGGACCGGACAAAACGGGAGTACAGGTGACCAGGTCACCTAAATAACCTTAATATTTTTCCACTATTATTTAAAACCAAAGCTAATGAAACCTTTTAAAAACGTTTTTAATTTTTTTTTAAATTAATCTAAGTATTATATAAATTACTTCTTAAAAACCTTTTTAAAATCTTTTAAAAATATTTTTAAAAATATTTTTAAGAAATTTAAAAATTAATATTTTATTAATTAAAAATAATATATATATAAATAAATATATAGTTTATATATAACTTTAAAATATAAATTTTAAATTTATTTTTTTAATTTTTATTAAAAAAGATAAAATATAATTTTTAAAATTAATATATTTATTTTTTAAAAAATAGTTTAAACTTTTAAAAAATTAAAAGTTTAATTTTAATTAACTTAATTATTTCTATTTTTATTATAAAATATAAGTTATTAAATTAAAATATAATTTTTAATATTATAAATAATTATATAATACTTTTAAAATATTTTTAAGAAAATATTAATAAAATATTTTAAATATAGAAATATTTAATATTATTTTAATTTTTAATCTTCATTTAATAATTTTATTAATTTTATAATTAAAAGATAAAATAATAATAAAATATTATATATATTTAAATTATTTAATAAATAAAGTTAAATTATATATTAAAATTAATTTTTTAAATATTTTTTATTATTAAATTTTTTTTTTATATTATTATTATTATTATTATTATTATTATTATTATTATTATTATTATTATTATTATTATTATTATTATTATTATTATTATTATTATTTATTAGGGTCTTAAAATAGTAGTTTAGAAAATTAATAAAATTCTAACTATAAGTAGAAGTTTATCTAAGAATTAGATAAAAATATAGATAAGTATATACGCTAAGCCTAATTAAGCTTAGCGCCTACTCTAAGCAAATACTTATACTAAGCTAGGCCTATAGCTATTATATAACCCCCTTTTAAAAGTAAGCTTTATTAAACTATTATTATTGCCTATAATCTAGTATATTAACTATAGTATATAAAATACTTCCTTAAGCGGGTAAATTTAATAGTATAGTTTATAAATTAGAACCTATAGCTATTATAGTTAGCTAATAACCTAGTAAGTATAGGGCTTTAATTATTTAAAGCTTTAAATAACTTATATAGTTTAGCTTTTTCTAGATATTTATAATAAAAGTCGGCTATAAGCTATAAATAGTTAATAGTATTTATTTATACCTACTACTCTAGGTTTATATTCTACTTTAAATATTTATAGTAGCGAATATAGTATTATAAATAGTTTCTTCTTTTAGTAATAAGGTTATTTATATACTAATTAATATAGAAGTTAACTACTTCTAGCGCTTTATTATCTTTAAACCCTTTGCCTATAAAAACTAATAATAAAAGTAATATAACTTAACTAAGTATAGGATTATAATAATCTAAGTAAAGTAATTATAAATAGAACACTAAAAAGACGTTTTCTATTAATTATAAAAGCTCTAGTTTATATATTATATTATTAATAACTTAGATAATTTTAAATAAACTTAAGTTCTTATAGTCTAATAATAGCAATAGCTTTATTGTTTTAATATTCTAGGTATTTAGTATTATTTTATTATTAACTTTAAACTTTAGGTATAGTTAGTAGTAATAATTAGTATATTTTTCTTATATTGCTTAAGCCTATTTTAGCTCTTTTTATAAGTATTTATATATTTTATCTAGCTTATATACTAGCTAGTCTGCTGCTTTAACCTTATTTCTTTATAAGTATAATATATTATTAAATATTTTTTTTAGGGCTTTTAAGCTTAAATAAAGTAAGTAACCTTTAATAGCTAAGAATAGTAATAGTTTTATTAAATAATTAATATCTAAGTTAGCTTTAAACTTAGTAATAGCTAGAAAGTCTATTTAGTTATCCTAGTTATAACTAATATAAGCTTTTAAGTATTACTTTAAATCTATATTTATATTTTTAGTTTACTTATTTATTTTAAAATAAAATACTAATAATAACTTTAGTTATATATTAATCCTCTTATATAAATACTTCTAGAAATATAATATAAATTATATTTCTTTATTAGATAAGACGCTTAATAAATAACCTTCCTTATACTAAACCTATTTAATAAACGCTTATATAATAGCTTTGCCTTTAATTAAATTAAAAAAATAAACTTATATTTCTTAGATAGCTAGTTTATAACTATTATAATATATTTAAAAGAATATCTATAATAAATATATTGTTACGCCCCGCAGGACTTACAGCGCACAAACACTCGTTACTGGCTCAGTTAGGCAACCAACTACGTATTGCTTGCAGCGCTTGCAGCGAACGCAGTGCTTGCAGTTCTGCTAACTGCGAGCAGCCCGCATAGTGCAAGTACCTTTGGATATATAATAATACTCCTTTCGCGATAGATAGTTTGCTCTTTAGTTATTAATATATTTATTACTGAATACCCTAATAGAGCTCTACGTATAAATCGTATTACTATCGCAGTATTCAGGCTCGCTGTTCAGAGCTTACTTTCTCTTACGTCTGTAGCTCGTTACTACCTGCTAAGCTAACCTAGCTTATATACGACCTAAGCTAGTCGTTGCACGGCTTTTGCATAGGCAAACAACCGTTACACTTTAATAACTTATAAACAATATAGGATCCGTCTCGACGCCTAGGACCCCTACGCCGTCCTTAGCATTGAATTTGGGACTAGGGGACTCTATTAAGTACGCTACCCCAGAACACTTCAAAGGGGACTAAGGTACCTTGAAACGATAGATAGTTACAGTGCAACTTTACGTAAGGATGCATGTATCTAAGTTTCCTAACGAAACCGCTAAGGTAATATTTGCTATATTATACTTTGCGGGTACAGCCCTTGACTAGGTAATGCCCTGTCTAAAGGACTACCTTATAAACGTGGACAATAACTAAGAAAGCGAAACAAGACAAATATTCTACAACCTAGGTAACTTTATAATATATATTAAAACGGCTTTCAGGGAAGTAGACGAAGATAAAGCAACTAAGAGGAAGCTGCAAAACCTAAGGCAAAGAACATCAGCATTAGTTTACGCGGTAGCATTCAGAACGTTAGCTTATAAAATAGAATAGGACGACTCGGCTTTGGCAGCCCATTTCTATCAAGGTTTGTACAATAGGGTCAAGGACGCTATAGTAACAGCAGATAGACTAGATTCATTGGAATTAATAATTGAAGTCGCGGTTCGGATTAATAACAGACAATAAGAAAGGTACTTCGATAGACAAGTACAGCGAAAAAGGCCCGTAACGAAAGGACGACAGTCTATAGGAGATCTAATGGAAATAGATGTTTCAGAGAAAGGATCGAGAATCAAGACTTGTTACACTTGTAGCAAAGCCGGATACATTAGACGAAATTGCCCAAAGGAGGCCGCTGAGGTAACGGAACAATAGATCGAAGTGACTAAGGAAATCATGCCAGCTACAGGGAACAATTACTATAAACTTTTATAGACAGCTTGCACGGAGGATAGCTGCAGAGTACATTAATCAGGAAAGAATGGGTTAGGATAGTACCCAAGGACACCCAAACCAAGAAAAAGAACGATTAAACGACTAAGAATTCAGTGTTTACTGTTCTTCACTAAGAAGCCCGTAACAGCAGCTATAGAAATGAAAATTGGAGAAAAATGGACAATAGCCTTGATCAACAGGGAACAAGGAAATAAAATGTTAAAAAGAATGTTCGACGGAATCAGAGGATACCTCGAAGCTATAAAAAGCATCTGCAAGGATAATTTAGTACAAAATGTCGACGTCGAAAGTAAATATAGATTGATAGGAACAACATTATTCCAAATTATCGACAGTAACCAAAGTTACATTGTTCTAGGCGAAAAATGGAACTGGGATATAGGAGCTTTGCTCGAAATAGAGAAAGCAAAACTCGAAAGAAATATATTGTTGGAAGACTAGACAATATATCTCTTAGCATATAAAAACCTTATAATAACGAACTAGCAAGGACTAGAAGACGCTAATTATACATGGAACGACATCCTAGAGGTCGATATAGCATTTAAGAAAAACATAGACATAACAGCAACTACGATATGGAAACAATTCGAAACAATACAGGAATTAATAGCAAAATCCTATAGAAGGGATATTTCTAGAACGAAGGAAGTCTGGAAATACTATATACTGCGTTCGAAGGAAGGCGATTATTCGATATACTCTGAAGAAGACTTAGTCAATAATACGGACGAAGAATCAATCCCTAACTCAGCAGAAAGTGCCTAACAGCGACTATCGCCGTACCTAATAGATAAAGAGGATAATTTATGGGACTCGACGCCTAGCTCCTCGTCCTAGGACGAAATGGTAGAGGAGGAAGAATCCTCTTCCAACGAAAAAACACTAAAGAAGAAAGACGTTAGCGAACTCCAGGAACAAGTAGAAGCAAAACTGGGTAAGTTGGCCCAAAGCAACTTCGAACAGTTCAAGGAAACAGAGAGTAAGAGGCAAGCACTTGAGAAAAACCACTTCGACGTTGCGGGAGGTTTTATCAACTGGGAATACTCACAATCAGACACCGAAGAAATGAATAATCAACCCGACGCGGTCGGCGATTATCCTGACCAGAACCTTTAGATAGGCCCTCTGGAAGGTATTAGGCCCCGATTTATGCAGCCTCGGACAGGAGGAAAGGGTCGTTGAAATCGAAATCAGCGATTACTCGATCGATCTCCTCAGAAGACATTACTAGGAATTGAATACTGGACGAATTACCGACAACAGAGGTATCAGTTGTCATAACATCAGAACGATCTAGCTCTTCGAGCTTCTTTATAACGTTAACCTCTTGCTTGACATAATCATTTTCTCTTTTGTCGAAAGAACAGTATATTTCGGAAAGCCGTTTCTGCTTAGACAAAAGAGCAAGCATTTTATGATGACGGCAGGCGGCTTCTTCATACTCAAAATTATACTCCTTGGAAGCAAGGTCAATCTGAGAACGAATTTCCTTCTTTTTATTTTGAAGTTTTTTCCCTAGAAGGGTTTAGTTAGTACGGGAAGTTTCCAGAACAAGGCTCTTACTTACAGACAAACTCTGAGATAAAAACATCGCACTTCCCGGGACGACTAGCGCGAATACATTTACTACAAGAATCCTGCCCCTCCAACACTTTACAGGTCTTCGAGTCATTACAGGAACAAGATGAGCAAGGGAAAGGCATGATCTGGCCTTTGCGTTGTATTACTTGATATAAGCGAAAACGACGTTAGTAAGAAGAGGAAGGCATCTTGCGATACGGAAAGGTGGGAGCGGCCTAGGTTATAAGGTTAGAGAGTGCTATAGGGGGGTAGTATTACGCCCCGTAGGACTTACAGCGCACGAATACTCGTTACTGGCTCGGTTAGGCAACTAACTACGCATCGCTTGCAGCGCTCGCAGCGAACGCAGTGCTCGCAGTTCTGCCAACTGCAAGCAGCCCGTACAGTGCGAGCACCTTTGGATATATAATGATACTCTTTTCGCAATAGATAGTTTGCTCCTTAGTTGTTAATACATTCATTACTGAATACCCTAACGGAGCTCTACGTATAAATCGCATTACTATTGTAGTGTTCAGGCTCGCTGTTCAGAGCTTACCTTCTCTTGCGTCTGTAGCTTATTACTACCTGCTAAGCTAACCTAGCTTGTATACGACCTAAGCTAGTTGTTGTATAGCCCTTGTATAGGCAAACGACCGTTACATATATATTAGGAGTAAAATAATAAAATTAATAAATATATTTATTTAATAGCGTTCAAGTATAGGCAATAGCTTAAATAGGCTTTGTTTTCCTTTATAATAACTTTTAAACCTATTATATATATAATAGCTTCTTATAAACCTTGCAATAGTATTTATTATTCTAGGCTAATAGTATTTTTTATTTATATAATTATATATTAATACTCTGCTAAAATAACTTCTTATTAGTAAGTTATAAGCTTATTTTATAACGTAAATACAAAAGTGCTTTTTATTATTTATTAAGAAAAGTCGACTATTAATATATAGTAAATAGTCTTTAATTTTATAAAATTTTAATTTAAGTTTTAATAACTTAGTCTTTTTTAGATTTAAAGGTATTTAATAAGCGTTAGTTTATTTTATATATATAATTACTTAAACTACTTTATTTAATATATATATATTATAAATCTTATATATTAATTCCTCTTTAAATAAAATAGGTTCTTTACCTAGTAATTCTTTTTAAAACTCTTTACTAGGCGCTTTACCCTTAGCTTTAAGCAATAATTCTTTTTCTAATTCTTTATTACCTATAATTAGTTTAGACTTATTAGGTTGCAAATCTTTTAATAACTTTTTATCTTTTTTTAATTCTTTTTCGCTTAAATAGTATATTAGTATAGCTAGATCTATAATTATTTTTTTTAATTTATTTAATAAAAGGTATACTAAGTTGACTTTTAGCCTAGGGTCTACTTATTTATATTTAATAATAATTTAGTTTTAATACTAATACCTTTTATTAATATTATTTATTAATATATTACTAAGGTAATATATTAGGCTATTAGGCTTTATACTTTGCTTACTTAATTTATAAGTAATTTAAAAGTTGAATTTGGAAAAAAACTTAGCCTATTATACCTATCTATAATTTAGTTACTTTATTATTATAAAGTATTCTAAATTTTTATAATTAATAATTATATTAATAAAATCCTTAATTAGTATACTAGCTAACTCCGGATACTACTTTTTAAATACTTTTATAATAGCTAAAAGTTTTTTATTATAAATTTTATAGTTATACTTTTATAGAGTTATCTTTTTTAATAAGAATATAACTAGTTATAAGACTTTAATATTATTTTTTTATAATAAAACTACTACTACTATATAGTTGGAAGTATTTATTTTAAGCTATAACTCTTTATTAAGGTCAAAGTATATAAGGATAGGTACTATAATAAAAGTACGTTTTAAGTCTTTAAAAGTTTTTTATTCTAACTTATCTAAAGACTATAAATACTTGAAATCTTTCTATTATAATAACTTTATTAAGACTATTAAAGGCGTTCCAACCTTAGAGTAGCTAAATATAAAGCAATAGTAGAAATTTATAAAACCTAAAAACGCTTATATATCTTTTATATATCTTAGAGTTTTCTATCTTAGGATTATTTCTATTTTTTAGAATTTATATATAGTCTTTTAGTTATAATAATTAAGCTTAAATACTTAACTTCTATTATATAAAATTTATATTTATCTATATCTAAAAATAAATAAGCAGTATATAGCTTTATAAAAATTGTTTTAATATACTTAATATATTCTTATCTATTATTACTATAGATTAAGATATTGTCTAAGTATATTATATAAAACCTATTAAAGTATTTTCGAAGAATATTATTAATTAGAGCTTAGAATATACCTAGAGTATTATATAAGCTAAATAGTATAATATTATATTTATAAAGACTATATCTTATAAGGAAAGTAGTCTTTTCTTTATAGCTTTCTTTAACTTAAATCTTATTAAATATAATAATAATATTAAACTTTATAAAGACTTTTACTTAATATAGTTTTATAAAAGTCTCCCTAATTAATAGTAGAGCGTTCCGATTTTTTATTATTAAGACATTTAATACTTAATAGTTAATATATATATATAAGCTACTATTAGGTTTTTTTTATAATTAATACTAATATAGTATATAGAGAAGTACTTAGGCAGATATAGCCCTTTTTTAATATATTATCTATATATTTCTTTATAACTAGTGCTTACTTATAAGATATATTATATATTTTTTTAGAGGGAGATGCTACTTTTTCTTTTAAGTTAATATAATAATCTATTAATTACTATAGAAATAACTTATTAACTTTTTTTAAATTCTAAACTTCTAATTAGTTATAATATTTAACTAGAATCCTATTTTATAATTCTTCTTTAATTAAAAGGATTTTTTTAATTTTATTAAAAAACTTTTTATAGTTTTTAGCAGTAATAGCTGCTATATTAGTAGTAAATATAGTATATATTTTCTTATTAATATCTAATTATTTAAAGTACTTAAGCTATATAGCTATAACTTTATTCTTAAAGTTTATAAATATTTTAATAAAAGTGTTAGCTAAAATTTTAATAATATTATATTAGGTAATACTTATTATATTTTAAATATATTTTATACTTAGTATTATTACTAGTTTATAGTATTTTAAATAATATAATATATAATAATTAGAATTAAATATTAGATATTAAATAGAGAATTTAATATCTAGGTTATATAGCTCTAGCTATAATATATTTAAGATTATATTAAAGCTCTTTAAAGTTATTATTATATACTATACTTTATCTAAGTAATTTTTTAATTAAAATATTATATAGGCTATATAAGTAATATTTAGTACTAGCTTATTATTAACTAACTTAAGCCTATAAAGCTTTGCTAAAAACATAACATTTAACTTATATTTTTTAACTAATATAAAGTTTATAAAACCTAGAGCAAATACTTTAGTATTAGTTAGGTATTTAATTAGAGTACTACCTATTTTTATAAAAAGTTCCCCTTAAAGTCAAACTATTAACTATACTATAAAGATTAATTAAAATTAATATAGCTAAAAGAAAGTCTAATAATAGCTAACTTATTCTATAACTCTACTTATTATTCTAACTCCTTAATTCTCCCTTATATTTACTTTAGCTTTTAAAAATATTTTTTCTTAGAAGTATTTAGTTTAATAATTTTTTATAATTTATATTAAGTTTAATAATTTTAACTAATTTTAGTTATATAGCTACCTCTTTATTAGTAAGCTATTTATCTTTCTTATATAATATATTTTTATTTCTAATAGTATATCCTACTTTTCTATACTTCTAGTAGCGCTTTTCTTTATTTAGTTATTAAATTATAAGTTAAGAGTAATATATATTTATATTTAAAGTTATACTAAACTTCAAAGTATTAATATTTTTAGATATAGGGTAAAATAAGCTTTTTCTACTAGACTTATTATCTAAATTGTTGTTAGCTTAATATATTTCAATATTATAGTACCTATACTATTCTATATATTTATAATAGTTATTAATTATTATACTATCTATTAGCTTATAGTAAAGCTTTTTTATAATAGTCTATTTTAAGTTTTAGACCTTAAGGAGGTTATTAAACTCTAGGGGGATAATAGTAATAATAAAGCAAATACAAAATTTATTAAAAGTCTTATCTTTATTTCTATTTAAACCTATAAAAAATTTAGAGTTATATAGTAGGGCGTTAGCCTTAATTACTTTATTAGTTTCTCTAAATATATTATTTAAGTTTTACTATACTTTATTAATAGTAAAATAAAAGCTTACTATACTAGTAAATATATAAGACTTAATAATACTAAATGCTAGTTCTTTATAGTAATTATAAATAAAGTTAATCTTATAGTATTTAAAAGGGTATAGTACTATATTATAGGAAAGTTTAGAAAGGTATTATAATTGCTAGGCTTTATATTATTTATAATTGTTTATTCCTTTAAACTTACTTAAGTTAGAATAATATTTATTATTACTTAAAGTAGATATATTTTTAGTATATAGATATATATTTATTTTATAAGTTATTTATTAGGGTATAAGGTTGCCTTCCTTATTAAGCTTTAAATTATAGTTTTTATTAAATATAAATATAACTTTCTTTACATTAGCTTAAAAGCATTGTACTTCCTTTCCTAAAGCTTTAACTTAATATAATATATTATTTATATTATTATAATATAGCTTACAAGCAGCTTAGACCTTAGTAAAGTTTTAAAACGCTATTTTTAGCTATTAATTAACTTCTTCCTTTTAAGTATTAACTATAATTATAACTTTTTTATTATTATAAAGTATTTTATTTACTTAGGATACTAAAGCTTCTAGCTTCTAGCTCTTTTCCTTTTTTTATATTAAAGCTAACTTTATATTTAACTTATTAAATATTAATAGTTGGTTTTTATATTTAAAATTATATATTATAGAAATTATATTAGTAATAACATTATATTATATAATAGGCTTGTCTTTAATATTTTTTACTAACTTTACTATATTATATATATAGGTTATAATATCTTTACTTATTTTGCTTAAATAGATAGCGTCGCCTTATTCTAGGTTAAGAGTAAAGCAAGTTTTCTTTATAATTTTATATTTTAATAATATTATTAATATACTTTTAACTTAATTAGTAATTCCTTAGGTTTTATTATAATCTTCTTTATTTTCTATAATATTTACTTTTTATATTTCAAATTAGTATATAGCTATAATTAGCTTTTATAAAGCTTTGTTTTTTACAATAATATAGTTAAAGTTATATTTACTTTTTATATTAGAATTATCCTTAAAGAATTGCCTAAAAGTTTTACTAGTATTAAGTAGAGTATAAAGAAAGTAGCTACTTAAAAGTAGGGCGTTGCTAAAATTACAGATTATAGGGTATATAATATTTATAGTTTTTTTAATAGTTTTTTATATATTTTCCTTTTTATCTAGTTTATAAGTTATTATACCTAAGTATTTTAAGTATATAGATACTAATAGCTTTATTAAGTTATATAATATTTAAAAAATATTGCAATATAGTTTTTTATATATTTCTATTGCGTTTAAATAGCATCTCTATTATTATTATTATAAGTAAAAGTATTAGGTCCTTTATATAAGTAATAGTTAGAATTATATTAGGGTTTTAGAATAGTAGTTTAAAAGATTAATAGAATTCTAACTATAAGTAGAAGTTTATTTAAAAATTAGACAAAAGTATAGATAAATATATATGCTAAGCCTAATTAGGCTTAGTGCCCGCTCTAAGCGAATACCTACGCTAAGCTAGGCCTACAGCCATTATATTATTAAAGTATTATTATTATTATTAATATAATAATTAAAAATTAAAAATATAAAAAAAAATTTTAAAATATTAAAAAAATTTATATAATATCAATATTATTATATAAATTTAATAAAATATTTTAAAACGTTTATTAAACGATTTAAAATTATTACAAGTTTTAAAACATTAGAGGCGCCTTTTGCTATTTTTATAATTAGTGAATAAAAAGTATTTCTAAGATGAATTAGGCTTAGTTTTGGTTTTAGGTGACTTGGTCACCTGTACTCCCGGACAAAACCAGGGACCGGACGGTTTCAAATATATGCAGCCAGGATATAGCGTGCGCTATATTCTGCCCCTAGAAGTATGAGTCTTAAGCTAAAAATCTTTGCTAGTGTTCATGCCTAAGGAGTCGCGTACTCTCAGTCCTGCAGACCCTGATACCTACGTATTTCTAGAACCGTCCGGTCCCTGGTTTTGTCCGGTCCCTGGGTCATCTCTTCTAGCTCCCGTGCAAGGGGCCGCATTCCAATGCCGCTGCTAGCCGAAAATCGCATTCTACTCCTCATTCCATTTAAGGCAGTAGAGACTTGGGTGAGGGTACAAGATGCGTTTATTGGGAGGTTGCATCGTTTCTACCTTGTGTGCATCTCGGAGAAGTCGTTTTGTATCAAAATAATGCTCAAACGCTCGCCAAATGCTTCTTCATTGTACTAGACGCATCCCGCGACTGATTATACAGCCAGTACGGTTGTCATGGAGCAGAGTAAGATGGAGCTCTTCGCTCTCTCAGCCGCATGGCGCAGACCAGTGAATATCTATAGCCCCAAGTCAACTCTGATGTGCGCTGATATACCAGTCTTCACTTCCCTGGCGCAGTCAGCTCCAAGTTCACAAGCAACCTCCGCTTCGAACGACCCTCAGATCGGCCGGCAATGCCTACCTATCGCGTGATGGATAGCGACGGTGCAGTTGTCGATGGAATGCGGACGCCGCCAGATGTTAGGAAAGAGGAAGTCCTAAAGTGGTACAAGGATATGTTGACAGGTATGGCGTGAAAAAAACATCGAGAGCAGGAACCGCAATAGCTGAGGCGTCGACTTGGCCAGTATAGTCAGTATAATGGATCTCATCATGTATGATGCACAGCGGCAGGGCCGTCTCAGTTTCTACATGGTCAGATCTCACCTTCAAAGTATCTGCCCATAGCAGACGTTGATGAGGATTTGCAGGTCTCAGCTGGCGAGGAGGGTATCGCGGTGGGCTCAGCCTCTGCGCTTACCCCAGAAGACGTGATATTCGCCCAATATCGAGAAGCAGGTGTATTTCAGCAAAGAGGTTTTACGCTCTCGGATTTCATGAACCAACTCTTTGCAAATTGCAAGGATGTCGGTAAAGGAAGGAATATGCCTGTCCATTATGGCAGCAGCAAATTGAACATAGTACGTTACATCGAGCAGCGGCAAACATTCCTGAATACTGCATTGACCGAAGCTGACAAGTGTAGCACACCATATCCTCCCCGCTAGCCACCCAGCTCCCCCAGGCGACCGGAGCCGCTTACGCCCTAAAGCTCTCCAACATGTCATCCCGAAGGACCAACGCCAATGAAGGCCGTATCGTAGCTGCCTACTTCGGCGAAGGCGCCGCCTCTGAAGGCGACTTCCACGCGGCTCTCAACATCGCGGCCACGCGCTCCTGCCCCATCATCTTCCTCTGCCGCAACAACGGCTTCGCAATCTCCACCACAACACTAGAGCAATACCGCGGCGACGGTATCGCCAGCCGGGGCGTCGGCTACGGCATTGACACCATCCGCGTCGACGGCAACGACATCTTCGCCGTGCGCGAAGTCACCAAGAAAGCCCGGCAGATGGCTCTCGAAGACGGCGGAAAACCCGTGCTCATTGAAGCGATGAGCTATCGCGTCAGCCACCACAGCACCAGCGATGACTCGTTCGCGTATCGCGCGCGGGTGGAAGTGGAGGATTGGAAGCGTAGGGATAATCCGATTACGAGGTTGAGGAAGTGGATGGAACGGCAGGGGATGTGGGATGAGGAGCAAGAGAGGGAGACGAGGAGTCGGATAAGGAAGGATGTGTTAAAGGCTTTTGCGGAGGCGGAGATGCTGAAGAAACCGAGGCTTAGGGAACTTTTTACGGATGTTTATGAGGAGGTTACGGAGGAGGCGAGGGGGCAGATCAAGGAGTTGGGGAGGCTGATTGATGAGTATCCTGGGGAGTATGATGTCAGTGGTTTTGAAGATGGGAGGGAGGGGTTGGAGATGGATGAGAAGAAGGATCATTAGCGAAGATAAGAGTGGGAACTGGTGCAATCAGTCTCAGTAACGTTAGCGGATTTGCTTGATTCTGTTCGACTTTTACAGGAAGATCTTTGAATCAAGCTCAAGCTCTCGATACTGTGAAATTTTATTCAATCATGCTTCCCAGTTGCCTCATTAGGTCAGGAGTCCACTGTCTTGCCCAAAAATGGGCTTGATACTTCTCCTTTCAACAAGCTATCCACATCGATAGCCCCACCACCAGCAGTGAGGTATCTCTCACTGACACCAACATTCACGCGATGTTTAAGCTCCTCCCTAAGCTGCGCCTTCAGACTTGCAAGCTCATCTTTACTGAGCTCCCTTGCCTGCTTTTCTTTCTGCCTTCTCCCTTGTCCTCTCCCTTTCCTCGTCCCCTTCATGTCGCCAAATTCCTCACTATCATACTCAACGCCTAATTCTTCAGCGGCATTCTTCAGCCAATTGTCCTCCTGACCGTGCTTTTCTTTCGCTAACGACGCATCCGTCACTTTCTTGCTGAGGGAAACGCGATGCTTGAGTCTATCAAGTATTCGTCCGTCCAGTTCCTGTGTATTGATGGAATGTTTCTTTTGATGGCTTTGGACATGTATCTTCGCAATCAGTCGCCGAACGCCTTGCACCTCTTCAGGCGCGCAAAGTAAGATACTAGATCCGCTTTTTTCGGCACGTGCTGTTCGGCCTGATCGGTGAACGTAGGCATCAGCTGCACGGGGAACGTGGTAATGTACGATTAGCTGAACCGAAGGAATGTCCAAACCCCGTGCAGCGACATCTGTAGCGATGAGTATAGAAGACGGAGATGAGGGCGAAGAGAAACGTTCAATCGACCTCAAGCGAGCCTTTTGTGGCATCTGTGAATGAAGTGCTTGAGCCTGTACATTTAGGTTTTGAAGAAGAGGTACTAGGCGACGCACAGCGGAGATAGAATTGACGAAGACGAGCGTACGAGTCTTTGGATGGTGCAGGAGAAGTGAGTATAGATAGAGATCCTTTTCCAGTGCTGCACACTCAAGGATTGACTCGGTGAGATTCTCGGCCATCGCAGATTTGGGGCTTACATCGATGAACTTGGGTTTGGCATCCTTAAAATTGAGCTTTTTGAGCAAGTATTCCATTGAATCTTGCTTTCCCATCAGCTCGCTCCCGGTATTCTTGCTTTTGCTTGTGAGTTTCCGTTGCAAATCCTTCTGGAGCGTTGCAGAAAATACAAGGGTTTGCCGCGACTTCTTGATCTCAAGGCTTTCGTTGCTACTAATTTTGACATCCAATGCATGGATGATCTCCTCGAGTTCTTTGAAGTTGCCTTCGCTGAGTAATCTATCAGCTTCGTCAAGGACCAAGAATTTAATTTTCGAAAGCTTCTGCCGTAATTCATTTCCTTCACTCATAAGTTCCCATAGTCTCCCAGGTGTGCCAATGATTATGTCTGAGCGCCTTAGAAGTCTTTTCTGCTTATGGGCTGACAAGCCGCCGGTAATGGTGACAATCGACACATCTTTGTCTGAGCAAAGATCATTCAAGTGATCAGAGAGCTGATGAGCCAACTCCCGGGTAGGTGAAACAATGAGACTCGTTGAATAATACTCATGAGCGTCGTCTTTTTGCAGACGGTCATTCTGAAATATCTTGTGCCGCATCAGATGCTCAAACATTGGGATGCCAAAGGCCAGAGTTTTCCCAGATCCCGTGGGAGCTTTGCCGATCACGTCGAAGCCCTTAATGATCTCCGGTATGACAGCTTTCTGGATCGGCGTTGGTTTAGAAAACCGCATGCGTGCAACTGATGACTTTGTGTATTCAGAAAGGCCCAATGGTTCCCAATCTGCCACATCCGTATCATTTTCGGTAAGTTCGCTAAGGAGCTCGAAGCGGCTTTGCTTCGACTCCTTTAAGCTTTGCAAAGACAAATCCCCCTTCCGCTTTCGAATCACCTTAGATGGTTCAGATTCCGTGGATTTGGAATCGGCAAAACCAGACCATTCCTCCTCGTCATCCTTCGTCTTGACTGACGGAGACCGTCGCCTTGCACGAGACTCAATTGAGTCAGATATTGCTTTGATGTTGGGCTGTTTTGTTGCTTTGGAAACTAATTGGTACTTGATCTGCCCCAATTGCTCGTCCTTCGTTATATCGACGTCAGATACTTCCTCCAATCCGAAAAAGCCTTCTGCATCCTCGAAGGTCTCTGGGAAAGGTACTTCACGCCATTTCAGACTTTCAAATGACTTTGTTACGGATGCATTGTCGCGACTACTAGCAGGCTGTCTCTTCCTCTTTTTGCCCTTGGGATCCTCAACATGTGGTTGATCTATCGACATTCTGCACAATCATGAATCGCTCGCAGAAATCTTCCTTGATTTGAAGACTTGAGATACCGAAAACGACTTCTAATTTACAAAATTGAGCGCCACAGATATACCTCCGTTTAAGGGAAACGGCTAACAATTTTTTCTCTAATCATTTGGTCCATTTGAAAGCATTGGTGGGGGCCGGGGGTGGTGGGTGGGGGGAGGGCAAAACCTGCATATTTCTCATATCAGTCGCGCATTATAGAGGCTGCTTTGGGCTAAACCCTTTTAGGCCGAAAATCAGGTCTCGGTGAATTTGGGGGCGACCGCTCGAACCTTTCTGCTGACTGTGGGACTACTGGTTCAATTGTGCGCGAACATAAAAATCATGGGAAAGTCTTCCAAAGACAAGCGCGACGCATACTATCGTCTCGCAAAGGAGCAATCATGGCGTGCCCGATCTGCATTCAAACTTTTGCATCTGGATGAGCACTTTGACCTCTTCGGATCGGATGTGACGCGTGTGGTTGACCTCTGCGCAGCTCCCGGCAGCTGGAGCCAAGTCCTGTCTCGAGTACTTGTCCGAGGTGAATGTCTTGGGCGCAGGGCATGGACAGCAAGAATGAAGCGTGAGAGGAAGGCGGTGTACCACGGCTTAGAGGGCTTGGACGACGGGCTGGATCCCAACGAGGAAGTAGACATGGGGGATCGAAGGCCGCGGAATAACGTCAAGATTGTAGCAGTTGACTTGCAGCCAATTGCGTCCTTGGAAGGAGTTCAAACTTTGATTGCTGATATAACACATCAGGATACGATTCCGCGGATTCTTGAGGCCTTGAAATCAGACACTATCAAGGAGGGAGAGACTGAGACAAAGCCTCTAGTTGATCTCGTCATTAGTGATGGCGCTCCTGATGTCACGGGCATGCATGATCTTGACATCTTTATCCAGGCTCAGCTGCTATTTTCTGCTCTAAATCTTGCTCTTCGGATATTGAAGCCCGGTGGCAAATTCATCTCGAAGATCTTCAGGGGCAAAGATGTGGATTTCATCTATGCCCAGATGCGTTGCTTCTTTGAAAAGGTGACTTGTGCTAAGCCAAGGAGTTCCCGGGCGAGCAGTCTAGAAGCTTTCGTCATTTGTGAAGGATTCAATATGCCCAAAGGTTTTAATGTAGAGGAATTGCTACCTCTAGGCATCGGCGGTCAGAACAATTTGCCATTCAACAATTTGAAGAAGCCGCAAAAAGCCGCAAGCAGCTCAAAGGAAGAAAAAGGTGCAGTGGGTGAGGTGGATTTCGAAGTCAGCGAAGATGAAACGGAAGACCACAGATGGATCGCTCCATTCGTCGCCTGTGGAGATCTTTCTGCCTGGGACGCTGATGCTACCTACTCTCTCCCTAAAGATCACGTCAGCCTTGATCCTGTTCAGCCACCTATCAATCCGCCGTACAAAGCTGCATTAGAAGAGCGGAGAAGGAAGGGTGGCCTCTACGGTAAAACCAAGCAGTAGGCACTGCTACACTGGATATCAATGATCCGATGATTAGTGAGGCGAGCATTGCATCAGATCAGTGCTTGCCGTTTATGAGCAATTTGACTTAGCAAGCAGTTGCGCCGTTGAGATTTCGGAAGGAGCAGAGGCAGGAAAGAGCAGAAGTGTTGCCGAGCACCCTCCTACGACAAAACTCGTTTTTTTTTTGGTTTTTTCACATCACTGCCTGGGTCTAAACATGAGCCTTTCCGTTGAGTCAAAGACTATTCTTGATATTGCATCCATAAGTATTAACAACAAACCCGGACCCTGTCCCCAATGTCGTCTAATCCAGCTGCTGATTAGCAAGCTCTGCTCGAGTGAGGGCAAAGACCCAAAGTCAGAAGACCCACAGCACTCAGAACAACTCGAAGAAGAAGTCATAAATGACTACACTGATCAGCTTGAGGGAAATGGCTCGGAAAATTCTTCATCTTGTGAGTCTAAATTCCCAATTGCGTCTGTCAACTGGCCACAAGAATTAAAACTTCTTGACCCCACATACGATAGAGAGGGAAATGTTAAAGATAGAGAGCAAGTAAAGAGAAAACGATCACTGCTGACGACGACACGCATAAGGGCGAGTTTCATCCTTATGCGACATTGATGCCGAAGACGAAAACCATTCACCGGCCTGGTGCACCCAAAAATGCCTACTAGGTCTCAAAAGCGGGACAAAGTTGGACCCAGACTTTCCTAATGTTAAAAGTCATCGTTGGGACTTAAGGAACGAGAATCATCCCTTATGCAGACACACCTTCAGGAGTATACTCCAGGCCGTGCTTCGAGCACATCCTGACAAGATTTGGACACCCTTGAAGCTAGGCGAGAAGCCCGGTAAACTCACAGCCTGTGCTAAGAACACAATGTTCCGCATCACTCTGCCTCTCTTCAATTATGTATTGATAGCAAAAGCGAACGCAGAGGAGACACCGTTGATGGCTCAAGAATTCAGAATCTACAGACGCCTTCGGTTTCTGCAAGGGGTGCGAATTCCCGTTACGCTTGGGCTCATCAGTACGCCGGATGAAAGGCCCCATACTTATGATGAATCATCATTTCGTTGTATTACTTTGCTGTCATATGTCGGAAAGGGCGTGAGCATAGAGAACGAAGCAGAGTACGCTGAAGACGTAGGGCAATTTCGAAATAATGATCTCAAGCAGTACAATGTGTCTCTTGATACTGTCTATCGACGGAACATCCTTTGGAGCGAGGAATTGAACCGAGTGATGTTCGTCGATTTCGAAAGGGCAGAAATCACGGCTCCTTTCAACAATCTCGAGGTCGGTGTACGTAGTCTGAGTACAGAAGAAAGGGTTTTGTTGTTACGAGACCATGACGAGAGGATAGTTCGCAAGTTGATCGCGGAAGTTGGGACGTCACAGTACACCGGTGCGGAGATTCTGCGAAAGCTGTGTGGGGAAGAATGATGGGATTTCACAAGTTAGGACTTCTCGATAGTTTATGACTCAACTCAATATCATACGTCACGTTTAACAGAGAAGCATTCTTTTTCACCTGGTCATTGTCCCAATTGGGAGAGATGAAAACTACAGAATGTTTATTTTCCTATCAATTAGCATCTCAAGATGACGTTCCCTTCCTGGAGTTCAAGCCATCGCTCGTTGCCACGCTTACAATTTTCGTGAATGCAGGGATTTCGTTGGATGGGACCCAACTGGGACCTATTCCTCGTAGTGTCATCAAAGGCTTTCCTATTAGTCGCTCCTCTTTTGCACAGTCGAGGTTTTGCCGACAGTCACAATTGTCAGTATTTCCTTAATCGAAAAGTAGGATGGCATTAGTCCTGGCTGTCCCTTTCAAGGAGGTCATAGTCGGTCATGTCTCCGTACAAATAATCTACCTATACAAGTCTTCTGCAGTATTCTCAAATTCCATCATGATCGCAATCATCGCGACAGTCGGGGAGTTTTCCGACAAGTCGCCATTATCTCAACAGCGGAATGCTGGCTCACCTGGAAACACAATTACCCAGTCTCCCCGAAGCTCTGTAGATGATGCTCTATAAAATCCACATATGGGAATGTCATGCCCAGATGTAGCGGAAAAGAAAATGCTTGAGTCTGTTCCCTTACTTATGAATCTTCCGGAGCTCCAGTCCCAACACCTGTTCATACAGGGGTGGAGAAAGTCGAGACATTCCAGCACCTGATAGTGTCGTTCTCCGATGTTAGCCAAGATGCTTGGAAGTCTGTTTGTCCTTGACGACGGACTGCTTTGAACGCTTTCGTTTGGCGTCTGAATGGGCACAATAGAATGCCTATGCACACCTTGTATTTCATCTCTCTTGGACAGATTTTCCAGAGCTATATGAAGAATGAATACTGGAGAATGTCGAGATCTGTTAGCTTCCGCCATGATGAATTGCACAGTACTGACGAGGCCAGGGAAGTCGTTTCCATCATTCTCCTTCTTTGAAGGCATACCATACATAGATTGAGACCAAATGTCGCTGGTAGATTTGTTGCCAGCCTTGGTAAATACAATAGACAAAGATGTTTTGTTGTTTGGAAGTGCAACGTCATGCTTAGATAGTATGCAAGGGGTCGGGAATATAAGACAATATAATCTATGACCTAAACTCGATGTAGTACCCTCTTCGTGTAATGAATGAAGTGCTTGAACTTTCTCACGTTCAAAACCTGCGTTACGACACCACGTGTTCACTGTCGACAAAGCTACTAAGCGCCTCCTCCTTCCCTACCTGCTTCGCCTCCTACAGCAACAACAAAGCTGCTGGCTCGAGGGAGAGCTTCAAGGCCTTGCGTCACAGCGTTACACGGGGACGGCGGTCGCGAAGCCCTAGAATTTTCGACATGCTTTAAAACGGGCGAGGCGAATTGGACGGTGATCTGAAGAGATAAAGCAAAAAGGAGCGGGACTATTTTAGAGAATTTCATTCGAGCCGGTGGTGCCCCAGAGTATATTGAAGCATACAATGGTCTAAGTGATAGGACGGTCGCGCACGTAAGCGAACGGACGTAAGACCTGTCCCGTCGTCAATATAAGAAGGCTTTGCTAACAGAAGATCAAGATTTACCGACAATTGAGTCGACCTTCTTGATGTGCCACGTGCACAAAAAGTAGATATACGTATAGCCACAAGATTCCTGTGCTAAAAAGCTAGTCAGCCATGGAATTGAAGAGAGATAATCATATTTACGAGAGCCACACAATAAGAGAAGCCACGTTGTCAAGATCCATCCACTCCGCAGATACGGCGATTTCTGCAATCCCCAGCGCCTCCCTCACAATCCCAGGATCTTCTACTTGGTAGAACCACATGAGATGTCGTACCACACTTGCGTCGATGAAACTGAGCAGACGAACAAATACAGCTCGACATTTCATCCAAGGAAAGGCGAAAGACATAAATCTGAGAAGGTCAAGATAGATCAGAGCCTGATTGAGGAAGTAGTGATGTTACAGAGCAAACAAGAGCTTGAAATATTGAGGAAGGGAAGAAGAGCGAAGTGCAGACGACACAAATTTATGCCACGCCCTGGCAAACCGCACCTACTAGTCCCCACACCATCCCAACAGAATTTTAAGTTTAGAAACAGATACGGATCAGAAGATGAACAATCCCTGATCCCTATACTTTGAAATGGAACCACTAGCATAACATATGGAGTCGATGGTGCCCAGAGACTTGAAATTGATGGTGGATAGACCACAAGGCGTCGACTCATTCTTCAATATGCAGGTACTGGCCTTGATCTCCAGACGAGAGCTCCCTGGCCTGTTCCGCAGCAAGGGCAGCGAGGGCAGGGTTTTGCGGACTGGTCATGCTCCCATTGGCCAGGCTTCCTCCCAACAGAGCGTCTTAGGGGCTGCATTAGGTTAGCCTGGATCAAGGTCCAGGACCCTGGATTCTGGCCGTAGTTGGGCTTCATGGCAGGAGGAGTGTCAAACTAGGTCGGAGAGCTTATGGCAAGACATAGTGAATCTGCGATGTCTGAAGTTGATCTTTTCTTGCTGTGTCATGCCTACGCATTTCTCGTTCAAGGAGTGCCGATACTTCGTCCGCTCCAGCTGTTGGAATCCAACTCCAAGGCCGTCGGCAACGACAGATTCTCAAGACAAAGATCAAAGACGCCGTGTCGACTTTGAAAGTTGCTTGAGCCTATGACGGTGCCGAATGCAAGTGTTGATTGGATCCTGTCACTCAAGATGCAGCAAGAGTGGAAGAAGTCTTTGACTCAATGAGCTACACAAGAGCATGGAAGATGAGCCGTCAAGAGTAATATGGCACGAGCGGCCTTCAATTGCCTGCACATAGCCAAGACTTTATGAGCACCTGAGATCGATGTACATGTGCTAGCAAAATTTAGCTCTCAAGCCCTCAGTGCTTAACCTGTGGAGAGGCTGTGGGAGGCGAACAAAGAACGTAACAAGAACATCAGGAGATTTTCATGGAAATAAACGAGTCAACAATCAACTGTGTACAGATCGTCTGACGAAGTGCTCTCCCGAATAGTAAGCAAAGCACCACGACCACAGTACTCAACAAAAGAGAACAGAACATACTTTTACTTAGGAGACCATGCACTTGAAGGCCACGCCGAATGACCAACGAAGTCCATATGATTCCTATATCAACGAAGCCAGGAGAGATGAAAGAGGAAGAGATACATGATTCAAGGGAGGGGACAAGATCAATGTCACTTAAAGCATTTAGCTGTGACGATCAAGTCAACACCTCATAAGCAATTTGGCTCATGAAATAGAAGAAAGAGTGACCGCAAGCAGCACAACAATTAAAGCAAAACCAAGACTATTATCACCCAAGAACAACTCACGTCCCTCACCATCTGCAACAGCGTCCTCTCGCTCAAATTTCTGCCAATCTTTTCGCATCAGCAAGGGAAAGATCATACACAAGCAGCAAGGCCCCTACCTCCCTTCCACAGCTCATGACCTACAGGCAACAGATCCCACACGCAGCATTTCACCTTCCCCCCCCTCCCAACGATTTAGAAAAACAAACAACGGGCAATCAACCTACCCTCAACGTTACCCCCAGACCTTGGCATACCCGCCTATTACGTTGAGATACCGCACTCAGCAGACGTGGTCAAGAATCCCGTCCTGAGATGGTGGTGGATTATGGCTTACCGAACCTTCTCCGTCCCGAACGCCTGACAGCTGACACTACCCCCCAGCAGCGGGAAGAATACTTGACGTCCAAGCCCAGACCAGGACACAATATAACCACCCTGCCTCGCCACTCAAAAGAACAACCCCCCCACAAACAACCAGCTGAAGTACGCCAGATCCCGCATCACGACCCACAATGTTTGAAGATCCACTTTGAGAAGTGACACTAATATCCTGACTACTACCTCAATCTTCCAATTTCTCCACAAAGGGAATGCGGTTGCGAGCTGAAGATTCAGCCCATTTTCCTATGATCAAGCCTGCTGTAGATCTGGGGCCTTAACCTGAGCGTCTGACGAGCTGAGGCTCAAGCGGTCCAATCGTCCTGCGAGATTAAGCCTACTCATGGCGGGCTCTCATGTCGGTGAGGGCGGTGAAGAAATAGAGTAAGCCGCATTAGCATCGTATTTCCCGAATAGGTATTGCTCAGGCTGATGCTGATGAGAAAGGATGAAGTCACGCCGTTGGCGCGACAGTAGTCAAAAGCCTACGTAGGGCTGACATGTTTTGAGTTTGAGTTTCCACTGGCATCAGCTGGCGCACAGTAATGGTAGCATCCTTGCTGGGGTAAAAACGAAGGTGAAATCGAATGTTTGGTGTTTGTTTGGTGCTTGAGGCATCTCATAGGTTCTAGTAATGATGGCAGCATAGAAACATGAGGCTGGAAGTTTATGTTTCAATATTTGGTATATCTAGAGGTGCTATTCTGCTACAATAGCCGTTCAAAAAAGCCATTTCCTGCAAAATAGGTATCTCTGTATGCGATGTCTCGTTTTCCTTCCATCCCGTGACGTCTACTCATCATTTGGTATCTTTCCACCCCCTGCAAAGGCCTTACGACGAGGCAGGAAGCCATGTAATTCCACTCTTAAGAAAACCTAGCCTGCGACAGACGCCTTCCTCACAGCAATATGTTGATCCTCCGCAACCGCACCGTCGAAAGTGTAGAGAGGTTCCAACTTCGCGCTCTTGTTGAAGAACACGTAGCGCTTGATGAAGAAGGGAACCGATTTTGTGAGATGGTATCCAGCGTGCTTTCTCGTGGGCACCGCAAATACGTAATCCAATTCTTCCAAGGTCCGTTGCTTCGTCTCCGGGACGAGGAACAGAATCATCACGAACGCCGTGACATTAAGCGCCGAGTAAAAGACGAAAGCACCCACGGGGTGGAAGGCGCGTAGGATTCGCGGGAAGGAGATGGAGAGGACAGCTGCCCAGAATAGGCAGGTTGCGACAGCCCAGGACATGCCGACTTCCCGGTGAGAGAGGGGGAAGACTTCGGCGGAGTAGGTAAAGGGTACTGGACCCTCACCGGGCGAGTAAAAGGCGGCGAAGAGGAAGATGAAGAAGGCGATCAACCCAAGATGTGCGTTGCTCTGTTCGGGAATGATGAAGCATAAGCCTGCTGCTAATAATGTCCACGCCATCTGCGGGAATGTAAATAAGAGCAGGTTTCGGCGTCCCCAGGTGTCAATTGTCCTATTGCGTCCGAATTAGCATGGCTTCGAACGAAAGAGCGGCATTTGATATGGAATGTGTCGCGGATAAGGTTATCACCAAGCTGCTAAGGCTCCTAGGATTTTCAAGAGGGGGAAATCAGCACTCACCAAACAGCTGGCCATGCAAAAACGAAATTTACAAGACCGAAACCGAAAGAGGCGAGGAGAGCTTCCAAGTTACCAGCACCAGCTTCGCGGAAGACAGTAGAGGAATAGAAGGCAATGATGTTGATACCGCACATTTGCTGAGCCAACATGACGACAAAAGAGGCCAATGTCGCCCGGCGTACACGTGGTATTGTGAAAAGTTCGAAAAAGCGTGTGAAATAGTTGCTTCGACCAATGATATCTGCCTCCTCTTGAATTTGAGCGTGGATGTAGTAAAGATCACGAGCAGCTTGTAGAGGCGTGTTTCGCAGTCGGCAAAGTGATCGAAAAGCGTTTGAGTATCGTCCCTTTTTGATATACCATCTTGGCGATTCTGGGCAGAAATACACGCCAATAAGCAGAGGGAGGGCTGGAAGACAGGCGGACCCGAGCTGTAGACGCCATCCAATGGGAACTACGTCGTAGACAGCCAGATTGGCGCAGAAACCCAGGAAGATACCGAAAGCAGTCCACATTTGCCATGACATGACTAGGCCTCCACGAATTGCAGCAGGGCAATTTTCGGCAGCGTATATCGGGACAGTGCTGGCTTTGGCGCCCATACCGATCCCTAACAAGAGGCGGGTGATGAATAGCTGAGGCCAGTTTTGCGAGACGGCTGAGCCGATCACGGTCAAGAAACAGAAGACAGCAGAGAAGAAGATGGTGCCGCGACGACCAATATAATTGTTAAGGGGGTCGGAGCACCAGCATCCGCTGCAATTGGTCAGTAGGTGCTGTCTCATCTCGAAGCGAGGTTCTGCTTACATGAATGCAGAGCCAATATATGGTCCGGAGTTAACCACACCCACAATCCACGAATTCTTATCATAGTCCATCGTGTCATAATTGACGCCCGGTTTCAGATTAGTTTTCGGTTTGGCATCGGGGACCCCGAAATCGAGAGGCCATGACAGGTTGGCACCATTCGAGCCAGTCTGGTCCCATCCTTGTACAGCGGCGCCAATGGAGCAGAGGATGACTGTGAAGTATAGGGCACCAGGCTGACGCCACTTGTGGAGGACCTCATTACGAAGAGCATCGCGTTCGACTTCGTCCAAGTCATCGATGGTCTCGAATGAGGGAGGGTCTTGAGCGACCAGGGCGCCTTTCTTAAGTAGCGGAATCATATCCGTCATGTTTGCCTCTTGGGCGAATTGCTCCACATTGTAGAATAGAGTTTCTCGAGGGATACCTGCCAGAGGATTTTGAATTCTGTAATTGCGCGTCAGACTTTTCCAAGCCATGGATTGAAAGACACTTTTGCATACCTGGCGGTGACATTACGATTCAGACTGACGGACTGCTGGCGTGAGCCCCTCCTCTCTGCATCTTCGTAGCCATCGCTGTAGATACGTCAGCTACATTGCCCAAGAGCTTGTGAATACGTAGGCATACGCTTCGACTTGAGCGAGCTCAGCCTTCTCGTTTTGAATCTTGGCGTCGGTCATAGTGAAAAAGTCGCCGGCGCGGCTCAATTTCCCAGCAGCGGGGTCGGATCACCTGTCAATTAAAAGACTATGGGGGGCACAAGTATGGGGCCTTCCACCATGTATAACAGAGGTGGGAAGGGAGCTTTTAAATGAAGGGGTGGGGTAGAGGAATTTGTGGAGAAGGGAGGGGGGGGCGAAGCAAATAAATATTTCATTCGCAGCACCACCACCACAGCGTGACGGCCGTCGGTAGAGGAGCTCTATTAGGGAACGCATCGACAAGGTACGTGAGCACTAGCACGGTACAGTTGTGAGACAGCCTATGCGGAGGCAGAAAGCCTCCCATCCTTAGTTCCCATTAGAATCAACCCTCGCGCTGTTGCCCCCTGCAAGTGCAGGTCAGTCGGTCCACGCCATGCGCCCAGTCCATATGCGGGCTGGTGGGTAAGATTTGATTGTACGGTTGCAGGCAGAGAAGGTGCAGGGTCACGATGTACCGTTTCGCCAAGGCACCTCTTTCAAGACGAGATCGTCATCACCCAGAATCCTATGCAATCAAACTGCTTACGGATTTGTTGGCCAGGCTGTCCGCCCGCTGTGCCCTAGGAAGCCTACAAAACCTTCTCTCCCAAGTTGTCGCCGTTAGGGGAGCAGTGTTTGGTTGGGGTTGAGGGATCGGGTCACTACGACAACCAACAGCATATCTCGCAATCTAAACATTGCGTGCATTTCTAGCGGTGGAAATGCATGTTTGGTGCTCGGCCTGAAGGGCTCGGCGTATGAGAAGCGCTTATCCGTCCGCTGCATGCGGAGATCAACATGCCAAGTATGCAAGCTGCCATTCCCTTCGATGTATCGGTGGGAAAGCGAGAGATTTGCGCTTTGCCGTAGGATCCATTTAACGCGAGCCAGAGACAGACAGACTTGGCTGATTTGTGCAACGTGCATCAGATTGGCTGCCCCCAGAACACCATCGGCAGGCTGAAGTGCCATCCTCTGTATCTACGCATATTCGCTATGGATATGGACCCGCTATGATCCCCCATTGTGGCCATCTTCTTCTCGCTTTTTGTCATAATCAACCGAGGCTAAGCGCTGACTGTGACATTGGAGCTGACGTTCTAGAAAGCGGCGAGAATGCGGGGAATTGTATGGGACAAACGGATTGCCACGCGTTAGGCCCGTGACTCCGCACCACAATGCTGAGACCCCAGCTTGGGCGCTGTCTGCCCATTGGTCCATCTTGCACTGTCAGGAGTCAAATCGTTTGCGGGTTTTTCCAGCCCATATGGTCCTTTATTATTTCCGTACAATTGAAGAATGTCAGATGATATAGATGACATGTACAACATTGGTATCGGTCCTTCTGTTCGATGAAGTCCCCTGATGAACGCTTTCTGGGCCGCGCTTTGAGGTCTTTGGGGTCTGCGAGGCTCGTGATTCTGGTGGCTTTATCGTCTGTTCCTTGCAGGGTACCAATCGATCTGAGGACATCATCGCATTAGCATTCTCGTCACGCACGTTCAAACATCCTCGGTCAGCCTCCGTTTGCAGCCTCGAAAGATCCAGCGAGGCAGACGAGCACTTTCCCACCTCGCCGCCAAATCTGGGGAAGATGACGCTGTGGCGGCGGGTCGAAACGCTCAGGCCAGCGGCAGAGGCGGAGAGCCAACTGGTTTGCCGGGGACGAAAGCTAGCTGCTTCTAGCGTAGATACTCTCACCGTCGAAGGCCGGGGCGAATAAGGGGAAACGCAAATTATAGCACCTTGCGAGACCAACCTTCACGTCAAATATCAAATATAGAAAAGTTTCCGAAGAATATCTTATCGGCTTTGCATGTCTCAGCCTCGTCGTAAAACTCGTGCCGTATGCCGCTCAACCGATTCAAATGCAGCACCGAGACCGTCCACCGTTCCAATGTCTGGACTCATTCTGTAACACATCAGGTGCCACGTACCGCAAGTTCTACACTTCCTTGCTTCACTCTTTGCTAGGAATATATAGAGGTTCTTCAGCATCCTTGTTGCAAGGAACGTGGGTTGATTCATAGCGACAGCCGATGTTTGAAGTAAAGCCAAGGAGGCCTGATAACCTTGTAAGCCCTTTGGGCCAATGACTGACCATGCTCGGACTCTCGCCCCTACCTATGAGCTTCGTGAGATTTGCAAAGTCTTGCATGGTCAAGAGAATGCCATGCCTTGGCGTGCATGGCGTCCAATTCTACTGAGAGCCTCACGCAGCCTGGTTACTAGCGCCGTTCTAGCGTGATGCTAGAACCACCTCCAGAAACCACGCACAACATCCCCTCGATCTCCCTAGCTTGAGGAGGATATCCAACCATTTTGCACCCTGCAGCAATCACAAAAGCTAGACGCACCAGGAGGCTGATCAATCCATAGCCTGCAGCAGTCTGCGGCGTAGCCTGCCTTGCGTATTCTGGCGTTTCCCTTTGAAAGACACTTTCGTTATGGCATTCTCCCCATTTCTCATGCTCAGGTTTCACATCCAACCGCTATGGTCCGATGTGGTGAATCCAAATCGTCATGCTCGTCAGGTTGAGGATGACTTCCTCATGCCAGACAACAATACGCCAGTCCACCACATCATCATGACAACTCCATGACAATCGGCAGCAAATCCCCCACCACTGACTACTCCCACAAATGCAAAGCAGGGAAGACGGTAAACAATGTAAAAGCACGCAACTTCCCCGCGAATCGTTCCATCGCTATAGCGAAAGATATGAAATTGGTATCTACCTTACCCAACGCTATGCAGTACAACTCCCAGGTCAAAGACTGCACCCTCCTCAATAGTCCTCGGAATCATAATCCTCATCCGGCAACAACGCCCTATACCTCCGACTCGCCAGATCTTCCTCCAAGCTCCCATCGCTCTCTGGATCCAGATACCCACCTCCACCTACGAAGCTCAACGCTGCCGGCAACCATACCAGCGCATGTAGAGCCGCTAGAACAACCTTTGGTGCACCCACAATCAGCATCATATCCAAGGAAGACAACCTCAAGCTAGGGGAAAAGGGGGCCGGAAAGGGAGCCAACTCACCAGCGCGACCCAAATCCTAAAATAATAAACCTCAAAGATCTTACTCCTCGTAAATGCCAACACCATCACCCCAAGAAACTTCGTCACCGTAATCCCACTGAACACTCCGCCTCCCACATTCGTCAGTGCCGCCCAAGCCCGCAACTCCTTCCCTCGCAGCCCGCTCGGTGCTTTTTCCATGATCGTTGTGCTCGGAAACGTAAATGCACGTGCGATATGCGCGCAGAACTCCACTGCGATACCGAGGGAAATGACGAGGTTGACGAGAGAGATAGCGTTTAAAGAGACGGAGGCGAGGGACATGAAAGCGAGGATGTCGACGAGGATCATGCCGACGGTGAGGGTGAGGACGATAGCGGTGGTGAGGGAGCCTAGAATGATGGTAGCGAGGACGAGAATTATGGCGAGGCCTGACCCGAGGAGGGTTCCTGTGAGGGAGATTATGGTCGTATATTGGTCGAAGAAGATGTAGTGTTTGCTGTAAGGGAAGACGTCCATAGATTCGTTGAGAGAGATCTGGGAAGCGATGCGGCGGGCGGAGGTATAGGAGCTTATGTAGTCGGACTGGGAGGAGAGGGGGTGTGGGAGGTGCGGAAGTGAGAGGCTGAGACTGCATTGAAGGAGGACATGTTCGGTTTAATGACGACCGCGTTACTGTACGGCGCTTCGCCGCCGAAGGGGCACTCTTCATTCGTTGGCGATGCCAGCCATTTAGTAAGGTAGTGTACGAATTCGTCACCCTGAGGCATGCCTTTCAGATCGATACTCCAGGGTGGATCATGATCGGCGAAGCATGGGCGGCCATTTTCGACGCAACAGGCTTCGTTGGCGGGATTGAGCCAGGTGAAGAAGTCGTCTATCCAGCTGGCGGTGGAACCAGTTATGTAGGAGACGTTGGAGCGCTTTGACTCTTGTTCTAGGACATTGCTAAGGGAATAAGAATCACAGGCTGTGTAGCGGGCGCAGATTGCTGTCTGGTGCTGCCGTACTGTAACAGGGAGATTGCGCTCGACAAAATAGACTGGCGGGCCGGTGTTGAAGTAGGCGTCTAGGTCGTTGAAGTAATCGATCAAGTACGAGTCTCGAGGGAAGGCTATGCGTTGGTCCAGACCGAGAGCGACCTCTGGGATCAAGGAGAGGCCTGCGGTGAACAGGCCTAAAAAGCCAACTAAGATAGCATATTTTACCTTCTTACCAAGAATAGCTGGTGCATAGATCTTATGGATGAAGCGCTGGAGAGGTCCTTCTTCATCATATCCATAGGAGCCCGCTGTCTGACTGAAGCCTGCTTTCGCACTTTTGACTTGTATAAATGGAAAGCAATCGGCCCGTCCGTCCTCTACCCTTCGTTGATCAAGAGAGAGGACTGCTACGAACATGGTGACTTGCAATATAGCATTGATCAGAACAGCTCCTGCGGCATAGACAGCAAAATTCTTGACTGCAGGCATGCCCACAGATGCCCCCAAGGCGAATGCGATCGTTTCCGTCGTTGCAGATAGCAAGATACTAGGACCCATTCGGCCCAGAGCTTTAGCCATTCTTGTCTCGATGTCATCATCTGGGTGGCTGACGTTGACTCTCTCGAATTCATTCACGATGAGGAATATGTTGTCCACGCCGACTGCCAGGACCAGGAATGGGATGACTTCTGCGATGATCAAGGTGACTTTGTATTTGCAAGCCGAGAAAAGGCCAACAGAAGCTGACACAGACATCAGTACGATGATGATGCCAATTATGCCCAATGTGAACTTTGATTGTACCATAGCGCTTGCAGGGTTCTGCATGATCGACTTGAACGACAGTGTGGTTGATCCTAGAGCAAGTGAAGCGTAGAGGAACATGATGATGTAGCTGATCACAACTATCTTTGCATCCGTATTTGTTGACTTGTTCAGCTCACTCTCCAGACTCATCTCTGTAGTAAAGGACAGCCGTAACCCTCGCTCGGATGCCTCTCTTTGAGCATTCTGCATGATATCCTTGAAGCCAATTTCCCAGTCGATAGCACGTTGTTCCTTGTTTGAGCCTTCTTCGAAATTATTAACAACCCACGTTGCGATGAGGCTCTCAGCGGAGAGAACATCGCCGTTTTGAATACCACCAAGTACGATGTCCTTACTCAATGGCTGCTGGAAGGGAGGTAGACAGTCTTGGCTTCCAGGTGACTCAGTGCAGTGTGATAATTGCTTCTTCCACCCTTCAGGCTCAACATTCGCCAAATCACTACCAAAATATCCTGTCAGGGACTGAATGACGCAGGCTTCACCAGTTGGATTGAAGCACACATCACTCAGCGTGGCGTGCCGCTCAGGCGACAGCATCCTTTGAACACGACTCTCCACATCGAACCACCAAGCCAATGTATCATAGCTCAGGACGGGCCCAGATCCTCCAGCTTGCGTATCGTTGACTAAGAAAGCCTGCTCAGCTCGATAGAACGGCCCAAAGTTATCGTCGAAGAACTGCTTTTCCTTAGCAGCAGCCGAGTCTGGACTCACCCACAACCGCACCGGGTTGGTTTCGACCTCAAAGCTGATCCATCCAATACTAAGCACCGCAACGACCAGCACGCTGACGCCGATGGTGATCAGTGGGTACGTCGCACATTTCCTGCCGATCTCATTGAACATCGTATCAAAGATCGCATTCAGCTTATACTGCTTCGTTGGCCGATCCATCATACCAGCATTGTAGACAATATCCCCCTCATCCTCATCATCACTCAATGCCGCATCCTGGAGCAGCTGCAGCCCCTCACTCTTCCTCTTCGCATGCTTCTCATACGCCACATGCCCCGTGATTGCCGTCACCAACAGCGCCAGCAGAACACAATACACCAGTATCACTGCGAACGACAGACACGGCAGGGCGCCCACATGACAATACTTCGTCTCCCTCACCGGCTCTAACTCGGGGCAGGTAGCAGGACAATCCACGCACGCGCACCTGAGCGCTTCATCGCTACTATTGCATTTAATTGCCTCTTTTCCCACAGGCTCCATCCCCTCCCACCTCCCTTTCTCTCTACCATCCGTCACATTCGGAAAATCAATCTGGAATGGACTCCCCAAGAACTTCTCATCCCCCAAAAAGGCCAAAAAAGCAGGATATTCCTTGGCTCCACCCCCAATAAAATCCATCGCCTTTCCCCCCGTAGCCCCAAACTTGACATCCTTACAACTATCGTAGAACCCTTTCTTATATTTCTCCTCCCACAAATTATCAACCTGCGTGACAACATCCTTCCCGCTCCCCAGCCTCTCCGTCCCCGTCACGTTAACGAATAAGCTCTGATCCCCGGAACACGTAAATGTGCAGAACAAATCAAAGAAATTCGTTTTGCACGCCGGACACGTTCCCACAAGACTCTCTGCCCGCTTCAAATTTGTCGTCAAGACGTCAATCTGCGCTTCATCGCAGCAGACATCACCCGCTGACCAGCTTGGCCCACAGATTTTGACGAGTTTCTCGCGAACGGGGGAGGAGAGAGGGCCAGAGTGCTCGTTGTCAGGACAAGGCAGTTCGCTGCCGAACAAGGATTTCTTGCCGCATTGGCTGCGGAGGGCGCATCGGCCTCCTTCGTGCTTGGTGGTGAGGTTTGCGGATATAGAAGGGGATGAGAGCGTAAAAGAGGTTGCGAGAGCTGTAGGAACGAGGGTTGGGAGGGCGAGGAGCAGTAGGTGTGACAAGCTGAGGGTCACTCGAGGGAGCATGGTCGTGTGCGGTGGGGGCGCAAGGGCCCGAGCTGGTGTTTCGACTCTATCGAAATGCAGTGCTCATTTGGTGATGATGTGTATGTATTTCTTACTTTGAGAGGTGTTGAAGACGCTGGAGTGTGCTGCTGATGTAGGAGGATTTTAGGTGGCAAGCCCTTGCCGCCGAGGAGTGGAGCCTGAATCAACCTGGCTGCAGGAGAGATAACCTAGCTTTGGTCCAACTTAAGTGAGTGCATTGCAGACAGCCTGGTCAAGAATGGTGTGACAAAATGTCAAGAAAGGAAATATGAGATTTCTGAAATGCAAAAATAGTGAACGCTCCATGGAAGTTCAAGATATTGACAATTGCCCTCTTAAGGTTGAGGGTTAGGTTTAGGGCTGGGTTCCCTAGGCAGCGTTAGCCGCAAAGCTCTTGCCTCTTCATCGAGCTTGAACAAGATGGCAGAAGAGGTAGGGCCCACCGTGGCTATGTTGAACAGGATCGCTCTGAGCCCAAAACCTGCGAAACGCAAAATGGGGAGCTCAGCCATTGACTCTGCGCCCTCAAAGAGGCCGCGACCAGAAAACAGAGAAAGGCAGCAGTCCCAAGAACTCGAATTATACGGGCAGCCGCAGACCCCTAAGGATGATTCGCTGGGTCGGTCAAAGGATATTGGTCAGGCCAACACACAAAAGCAGCTCAGCAAATCGAAAGAAGCCACAACGTACGATGAGATCCCTGAATCTGATCAGGAGGGCGTAATGGCAGCTTCACGGGCGGCCAAAAATAATATCAGTCGCAAGCAAAGAAAACTTGGCCCTAGAGCGAAGCAAGCATTCGCGAAAGGCCCATTCGGCGACGATCTAGATGATGAGGTACCTACAAGCTTCCAGCAGCCTAAGCCAAATGTACAGCCAAACACTTCCGTGACAAGGAGCACCAAGTCTCCTCGCCAAGGTCGACCAAAAGGCAGCAAGAAAAAGTCTCCACGCACAAGCGAGCAATTGAAGGGTGAAAAAAGGCTTCGGAGAAGTAGAGAAGGAGAAATGGATGAAGAGCAAGGATCTGATGCTGAACAATATCATTCAGCGAACGAGGCGCAGAGTACACCGCAACAACCAAATCAGGATGACACAAATATCACCAAAGATCCCCGTCAGATTGTCGAAGTGAATGATGGTATTCAAGCTGAGAAGGAAGCGGAAGATGATGGGGATATCGAAGTTGAAGAGACACAAGTCACTGAAGAGCAGGCCGGAGCAACGACTTCGTTCGCTCAGAGTCAAGCCAAGCGACGAGAAAAGGAAAATAGCAAGATGTTCCTAGGTCAAGGAAGGCTGTGGCTAGATGATATTGTTGGCTCTATAAGGGACCAAGTGGAGCGGCAGGCCGATGACACAACGTGGACCAAAAGTGGAAGATCTCTACTCAATCAAATAAGAAGGTTGCGGAATCTGTATCGAGACGGGTCCGAGACAGGGGACAGAGCAGACGTTGAGCGCCAATTCAACGAGAGATTGGGGAAACTTGAGGAATGGGCTTCTAGTAACGAATTGCCAGAGGGCAAGATAGCCGATATAGTTCGTGATATCTATGTCAAGGTTGTCCCTGATTGCTTAATATTACTTAAGCGGACCATGAGACGTCGGGTGCTAGAACCTGCCCAAAGGGAAGCTTATGACCTCCAAGGGCTGGAAGAAATTGTGCGCATCCAACAATTCATTATTGACTTTTGCGGAAAAGCAATTAGTTGGAATGTCAAACCTTCTGGGGGAGGACCTATCATTCGAAATGTGAAACAGAGATTCTTTCCTTACCTGAAAAAACTCAACAGTGTTTTCAGAACCGCTCTAAAGAAAGAACAAATCTCAGAGCGAAGGAGGCAGAATGCGGAGCTGTATGCGACACAAATACCTGATCCACAAAATTCGGAAGTTCCGGACGCTACGAGACGAAGGCGTGAAGATGCGGTCCATAACCAACTTCTGGAGCTCCAGCAGGGTCTGAGAAAGGAAGAGAAGGTGGTTCAACGTCAGGCTGGCCTAAAACGTACGTTATTTCCCGGCAATCCACCGCAGACGCAAACGCGAGAGCCGGTAGTCCAGAACCGCGACTCCCGGTGGACGGACGAAGAGGACGACGAACTCATCGACCAGTTACTGAACAATGAGCAGACGCGCGACCTGCCTGGTAAGCAGCGCTTTCTTTCCGACGAAATCCTAATGATGCTGACATAGACGGAAGCAAACGAGCGCTATCTAGAAATCCTAAATACGCCTCTCCTGCAGAACAAGCTTGTGGAACATATCAAAACCCGAGCTATCCACTTCAGGTCTGCACTGATACAAGCACTAGAAGAGGATTTTGGAGGAGTTCCGAGGTTTGTGACCAGTATAGAATAGTAAAGATGGTGGGTCTTTGCGGTCCTCCGACTGTTTGATATATCGGGATTGAATCAGTAATTTTCACGAGCCTCTCTCCCTCATTTGCGCCAACATAAGAAGGGACATCTTTGGGAGAGAATCTGACGCTAGCGCTGCAATATAAAGTACACCATCCACATACGAGAAAGAGTATAATGAGGCCGCCAGCTTTTAGGTCGCCGATCTGCAACTAGGACTTCAGCCCAAATACTTTCAGCGCTCAATCAATTGAAGCGCCTCTCAAATCATTGGTACTACAGCAGCCAAAGTTGGCTGTAACCCGCAATGGTTTAGGTCTCTCCACTTCTCGGCATTATCGGCGTCAGGCGTCCAATTCAAGGGCAGCTTGGTAATGCTTGGCTAAGCAGCCTCGTACGGCGGGGCTTTCCCATTCATAGAGCTGGTCAACATAAAGGCTTCCTTTCGCCCCTGAAAGATTTGACCGAGAAACCAAGTTACAGACAGTGTCGAGGCTTGTCAACAAAGTTCGTCTTGGCATAGACAAGGCTACCTTCTGTTACTACCTTATAGAAGGACCTCTCCCGGTGACTTATTGCATTTCGCATTTGTATGATCAACTTCCGCTCGACGCACACTTTGAAAGATCGTTGCATTTGCATCAATACTGCCCCGAACAAGGTTTCAGGAGCATCGCTTCATCGACACAGGCCTTACGTCTCCCGGTGTAGATCGACTACCATAAACATGTCAACTATGCGTGCAGCCGTCATTCACACGCCTGGACCTCCTGAGGTGCTCAAGCTCGAGGATCGGCCAATTCCGACTCCGAGCCCCGGACAGGTGCTAATCAAAGTCAAGGCTTGCGGGCTGAATCGCTCCGAGCTCTTCACTAGACGCGGAGACTCGGGGCCTGCAGTCCCGTTCCCTCGCATCATGGGAATCGAAGCAACAGGGCTAGTGGAGGCCTGCCCCGATGGAAAGTTCTCCAAAGGGCAAGTTGTAGCAACGGCCATGGGAGGACTTGGTAGGGTATTCGACGGCGGCTATGCGGAGTATACGTGTGTGCCCGTTGAGAATGTCGTCGCTATCGACAACACCGAGGGACTCGGATGGGATGTCCTGGGTGCGTTGCCGGAAATGCTGCAGACGGCATATGGAAGCTTGACGCGGACTCTGAAATTGAAGAAAGGGGACAAATTGCTAGTTCGAGGAGGGACAACAAGTGTAGGTCTAGCCGCCGCTGCTATTGCAAAGAAACATGGAGCGACGGTCATGGGAACAACGAGATCCGCAGCGCGTGAACAGTTACTAAAGAGCAGCGGCTGTGACCATGTGGTAATCGACAATGGCACGGTCAAGGATGGTCTCCTGAAGATCTGGCCTGAGGGTGCAGATAAAGTACTTGAGCTCATCGGCACAACCTCCCTTCTGGACTCACTCTCTTGTCTCAATACTGGTGGCATTTGTTGCATGACTGGGATTGTTGGCAATTCCTGGTCTCTCAAGGAGTTCATGCCTATGGCTGCTCTGGGCACTGAAAAGTACTTGTCATCCTACGACGGTGGTCAGAAAGACTTCATCAATACGCCGCTGACGGAGATGATCAAGCAGGTCAAGAATGGTGAGCTTGCCATTAAGATTGGCAAGACCTTTGGGCTTGAGCAGATCGTTGAGGCTCATAGGACTATGGAGGCAGATCGAGCTGGTGGGAAAATAGTGCTTTTGATATGATCTCAATCTCTGTCTTATGATAGATTAATGACACAAGAAATGATTTGCTGTCTCGAGTAGTTCTATACTCATAGTTTTTGCACCTTATGTTGATTGTCTCTAGCTAGAGCACTTTGTCATGACTGGTCAATCGTCTCATTTTAATTGATGAGTCAGCATGTCAAGGCGGAATATTCTCCGAAAGTGAAGCTTCAAGGTTCCCTGAATCGGAGCATGCTCCAGAGCTTCATGACTTGTCAGGTTCGTGGAATATTGCTGCCATACTGAGTCTACAGTCCTGTGAGCTTCCTGCGACATCGTTATGCCACCGCCGGAGGACCCAGTCGAGCGGGCGACGACGCCCGCATCCAAGCCTCGTTCTGCAGATGGACCCAAGTCTCCTGAGAAGTCACGTACGGCAACATCGTCAAGACTAGCTACCAAGACGACTGTACCACCGCCAAAGAAGCCTTCAACATTGACACGTAGCCCCCCAACTTCGTCAAAGCCATCCTCGTCAATACGGAGCCCTCCATCCGGGTCCAAGCCTTCTACTTCCACTCGAAGCCCTCCAGCTACTTCAGCTCGCGAACGCGCGAAAGCAGCAGCTGCCTCAAGTACTGCTCCTAGCAGACGTCCACCGATATCTGCTACTGCAGCGACATCGTCAAGTGCGAGGAGGACGTCCACCATCGGAGCAGCACCACGACTTGCAACACATTCGCGGACCGGGTCAAAGTCAGGACCTACAAAACCAGAGCCAAGGCTGAGAGACGGTGGGACTACGAAGTCGAAAGCCGCTGGAAATGACAAAAAAGAAGATACTATTACTTCGGGAAAAAAGGGCATTGACGAAGCCGAGGCTCCACTCGATGACGAGAAATCTATAGAAGATGGCGTCAAATCACCTTTGCAGGATGAAGCGCCGAAAGACGTTGAAGGCGCTACTCCGATTGAAGTAGCGCCGTTGAAGGACGAAGAGATCCGAAAGCTGCAACAAAAGATCGAGGAGCTCGAACGGATCCAAATGAGCAACGCCGAGAACGAAAAAGAGCTTTTTGAATCGAAAGATGAAATTATAAAGGACTTGAGACGGACTCTCGAAGAGACGCAGCAGACCCAGATATCAGAACTTAGCGATGCTAAAGCTGCCAAAGAAGAGAAAGACCTAGAGATACAAAATCTTCAACAATCGGCTGCTGCTCTTGAGAGGAAATTCGAGGCTGAAAAGGAAGCAAAAGAGCATGAGATCGCTGAAGCCACTCAGAAGCGCGAACGAACATTCTCAGATTCTGCCTCAAGACATCAGCAAGAGCTTCGGGATATGATTGCAAGGAATGAAGATCGGGCAAAGGAGATACGGAGGAGACATGTTGAAGAAATATCGGAGGTCGAAACGAAGCACAAGCAGCACCTAAACGAGACCGTCTCGAAGTACGACATGGAGATGGAGACAAGATCTGCGGACCACGAACACAAGCTAGCTGAAGAAAGAGCAGCGCGCGACACAGAGCGAGAAGACCTTGTGGCTAAACACAAAAATGAAATAGAACAATTGTCTAGCAAAGATGATGAGTCAACAACAAAAGCTGCTGAACGTCACGAAGATGAAATGAAGGAATCGAAAAAATCGCATCAGCGCGAGCTTGAAGAGGCAGACTTAATGCATGCGAATCAATTGAAAAAGGCCAGTGCCCAGCACAAGCAACAATTAGAGAATGTTCAAAGTGAACAACGGGAATTGCACGAGCACGTCTCCAAGTTACAGCAGGAGATATTGGACAAACAACTTCGCCACAAAGACGAGCTTGAGAGAACATATTCTCAGCACAAGGACGAGAGCGAGAAAACTTCAATTCAACATCAGGAATTGAAAACTGCTCTGATTAGACGTGAGGATGAACAACAGAGCTTGGCCAGACAACACGCAGATGAAATGACAGCTCTGAAGGAGAAATTTGAGCATCAGGACAACGAAGTGCTCTCGAAACTGAAGCAAGAAATAGCTAACATGAAAGCGACTCATGAACAAACTTTTTCAGACATAACGGCGAGCCACAAGAATGAAATCAATAGTATTCATGGTCAGCTTGAAGCCAAAGTTCAGGAAGCGAAGTTCTTAATGGAAGCTTCAAAGAAGGCTGAAACTGATCGGAACTCTGCTGATGTTGAAGCAGCTAAGGAGTATAATGAGCAACTCCACGCGTTGAAAGCAGCTGTCGAAAAAGCAGAGATGGACAAGAAATCCATTGATGCTAAGCTTCTCGAAAAGCACAAACAGGAGTTGGACTCTTTGCGGGCGGACGTAGAAACGGTGGAGACAGAACGGAGCTCCGCTTCTAAGGAACTTGCCGAAAAGCACAAGCAAGAACTCGAGGCTGTGTCCTCAAAACTTGAGAAGGAAGCCGCGAATTTGCGCGATGACAAGAACGCCCTTACGGATCAATTAGAAATGCTGCGCGCTGCTTTCGAGGAGGCCAAGAATGGCCATGAGAATGATATGAAGAATTTGACCGGAAGCCATGATCGTCAAATTGACGAGCACACTGCGAAGCACGAGCGAACGATCAAAGAGATTACTTTAGAGCATAGCACAGTGCTGGAGGGGCTCCGTCGAGAACACGAGTCATCCAACGCGGAAACAGAGCGACTACAGAAAGCCACGAAAGATCTGGCAGCGCAGCAAGGTGAGGCTAGCGACAAGACCATTGCAACACATCAGCAAAGGCTGCAGGACACGATCAGCAAGCATGAACATGAGCTAACACACCTTCGAAATGAGCATGAGGTCGCACTTGCTCAACTTTCGCCGCTGAAGGAACAGCTGGAACGCTCAGAAGGCGAGCAGCAAATGGCTCTAAAGAATCTTTCCTCGGAATTCGAGCAAGAACGTGATAGCTTACGCAAGGCTCGAGATGAGGCCTTGGCGCAGAAGGCGAAAGGCGAGTCCAACCAGAAGCTTGCTGACATGGAGAAGCAAGATTTGGTGAAGAACGCACAGGTGCTGCGCCGCGCTCTTGATGGCAAACAACGAGAACAGGAAGAGCATAAAGCAAAGCAAGATGCCACGGTGAAGGAACTTGATTTGCTCAAGGACCAATTGAGAGATCTGCAGGAAAATCAGGGTAATACTTCCGCTGAAATTATTTCCCAGCATCAGCAGGAGCTGAAACAAGTGCAGGAGCAGCACATGAACGCCGCCAAGGAGAAAGCGAAACTTCAGCAGAACTCGAAGACTCTATCTCAGGAGCTTGATGCCGCAAAGCAAGAAATTAGCTCCTTTAGCAAACGGCTCGGAGCTGCCGAGAATGAGTACGCCGGTCAGAGACACAAGCTGGTAAAGGAACACGATATGAAAGTCCTAGACATGACCGAACAGCTTGATAAAGCCGAGACTGAGCGGACTTGGTTCGAAACCAAGTTGAAAGACGTCCAAGAAAAGCACGCGGTCGCGACCAGTACGAAGACAGACTCCCACCAGAGCGCTCTGGCCGATCTCCGGAAAGAGCGCGACAAAGCCAGATTCGAAATCTCCCTTCTTCGAGACAAAGTCAGCGACCTGGAGCAGAAGCATGTCGAAGCCAATCAGTCTGCAACGACGCACGACGGGACAGTGGATCAGCTGCGCAAAGACCATGACACTGCGAAGAAGGGGCATGCTACTGCTCAAACCGAGATTGATGAGCTAAGGAAGCAACTGGCTGAGCAACGACAGAGCCAGCCGCCGCCGCCAGATAATACACAGCTGCATGCAGACTTAAAGAAGTATATGATGACGCTAAAACGGCAGTATGGCACTGACAAGGCTGATTTGGAAGCACTGAAGAAGGATATTGATGCCGAGAGCGAGCGGAAGGAGGAGGATTGGAAGAAGCAGGAAGAGATGCGGGCGGTGATTGCGGCGGAGCTAGAGAAGATTGTTGGTGAGAGGAAATGATGGAGTAATGATCGACATTTTGAATTTCGAGGGAGTTGGTCCTTACTGGTTGTTGTTATCTGCGGTGATATCCCTTTATACCCCGGTGTTCTTGTTCAGGTGGTTTGGCTATGAAACCCCTTCGTTTGAGCGATCTTTTTCAAAATGTTTGGGGGCTTGAGTTACCAATTCGCGATGTGATAGTCGTTCTTTCAATCAAAGTCGTAAGAACACATATTATACGAATTGCAATCACGTCATGCTTTTGGTACAAGGCTTCGTGCACAGCTTTACCACCCTCCAATACAAATTTCCACCCAAATGCCGTTTTATGACATTCTGAAAGCAACTGACGCAACTTTTTACCTCTTGCCAAGCATTTCGGTTGAAAGCAAGGAAGGGTAGAATTGCGAACTTGAATGGGGTAGCATGCTTCGACCGTCGCCAAGGTATGGTGAAGGATGAGGCTTTGCTGGCTTGGGACGGCTGGGACAATATTGATCAGGGCGCTGGCAAAGAACAAAGGCTTGTCAACGTACATGCACACGGAGCATTTGTAGATGAAATTTTTCACAGACGAGATGATTGATGGGACAAGATCATACTGAATTCGCTTCTCAACTGCTCTTTCAACTTCCACCACATCACACGTCAGCTCAAATCATCGCTAAATACAGATTTTCTCCCAAATTTCCATTTCTGAACAGCACCCGAACAGTATGTATATTTCCAAGTAACCTCATGTTCGTATGTATATATATATAGGTCAAGCTCATCACCCCAATGCCATGTTTACATCACAGAGCAAGGTATGAGGCAGCATGTGCACTCGTCTGTAGAGCAGCAGCCAGTCTGTGGCTTCTTGGGCTTGAGCACCGAAGGTGTGCTGTCTGTGCTTGCGATGGACGGCTGGGTCGCGTTCGTGGGTAGGGATAAGCTGCCGGGAGCCATCGCAGAGATTTATGAAGTCTTCAGGTAAGATCTTGAGTATATATATGGAGAATCGTAAGGCAAGCGACGAGCAAATCTGCGCGGACAATGTTCAATACGATGCCAATTGAGCTTGAGAACGGAATGACTTGACTAGATTCTCTTGAACGAGCCAGGGACTAGGCGGAGTTCTACTTACAGATACAGATATATACAACAACGGACAGAATATCGACAATTATACAGAGACAACACCAAAGGAGCGCAGGAAGCAAAAGGAGATGAGGGGGTAAGCGGCACGCCCAGACGACGGCGAGGTTTGAAAAACAGGCTTTCGGGAGCAGGATCCGGTTCTTCGCCCTTGTTCTAACAGTTGAGCTAAAGTTAGCCAGCCGAGGGGGCAGGGATGTGAGCGCTAATCGATATGTCCAAGAGAAAAGTTGACTTCATTTTGAAGCTTTTGAGTGACAGATTGGACATCAACTTGGCATCGCATGCTGTCCGCAAGCTTCCCAGAGGCTTCAATGGCTGCTATCAGACGCCATCGAAATAGAGGCTCATTGCTCTCCAAGCGCCAGCCCAGGCGAGCGGTCTGTTATCGGGCCTGTAGGCATTTTGCTATGCCATTCTTCCGCTATGGTTTCAAGACTTCGAGTGGAGACTTAACGATTGCAGTAGAGGGTGACGTTTCTTATTGAGGGTAAGGCTATGGGAATGAAGGATGGACAGACGTTCCGGTCTTGCATTAGCTCAAACGTCTCATGGCGGCTACAGGTCCGCCTAGTACCTCTTTACTCGTTGCCTGAAGCCCTGATCCTTTGGTCTTATGGGGTTCAATAATAACCATGCTGTTCGTCTTTGCTTGACATCTTTACTTAAACTTTGTCTTTATGTCGTCTTCCTGCGACTAGTGCTCAAGACTCTTGGTACGCGGTCGTGTGTCTTGATATATTGCACACCATATAGCCACTGGGCTATTGACGCTAAGGTCATGATATAAACTTCATAGTCCTGTGCTGACGGGCCATGCCCTGCACTTTCCAGGGATCTGCTGATGTCTTCGGGGTTGGCATCCGCGTGGGCTACTATACACAGGTTCTCGCAGTTTGGTTTGCCAACTATTTTGACCATGGGCCTGTAGCTGGTCTACGAGCTGTCAATAACCTGTTTTTACTAGCATTGATCTGCGCTGGATTTACGTACTTTGTTAATGCGGCGCACACGGAGGTCATTGAGGCTTTCTTGTTGCTGCAAGTTGGTCTTGGAGTGGCGTTGGTTGGAATCATTGAAGCGGGGAGGAGCGGGAAGAAATATGCCCAAATGAGCTCTGAGAGACTGATCATTCGGATCGTGATCATGATTTTCGGCGCAGTGTTCAACGCCTTCTTCTGGTGGAAAGCCATCGACATCATGAAGGCCACACCTTGCAACGGTTCAGCAAAAAATGGCGTTGGGACTTACGTCTGGTATGGCTGGCGAGTCAACCTGTATGGCTGGGCAAGAATTGTGATGAAAGCTCAGAGTCTCTTCGCAGCACTCTGGACTGCTCCCATATGGATATCCCAAGATCTCAGAGTACTTCTCTTCAATGCCAAGACAAGGAAAGCGAAGTCGAGATTCATCGAGGCCACTCGAGCTTTGAGAAAAGACAGAAAGTTCGAGAGCAGAATCGATATAGCAGAAGACACCGAACTCAGACTGAAAGGAGACTTAGCAGAAGTGGAGAAAGCAAGTGACTACCTCAGCTCAGTATTCTCAATCTATACGTCTTCATCAAAAGTTCAAACTAGCGGCCTTTTCAGCAAGTTTAAAATCCAGAAGGTACCACGACAAGCGGACTGTACGGATACAACCCCGTATCTCCAATGCCTACGACGATATTTCTTAGCCAATTTCGACAGGAAGACTTATTACAGGCGGTGCGTCATAGCAACACACTCTCACAGGCTAGGCCAGAATACAGCTCTGCGCTGGCCAAGAACGGTGAACAACATGTATAAGCTTGACAGCGAGATCGAGAACCAATGTAGTAAGCTAGACAGCATTCCCGACTGGCGATATCTAAGGATCGCTTCAGACTTGCAGCATGCACACCAAACAAACACGAAGGCAGCAACAATCTGGATACTTGAAGCCGCGGTCCAATTACTTTTCATCGCAGTCCTAATTGTTCAGGTTGAAATGACACTCGTCTGGAATAACGTCACTGGGTTGAACTCACTCTCCAGTTTGGGTCAATTGATCCCATTTATTCTTGGAGTTGGCGGTCTTGGCAAGGTTCTTTGGGCGAAAGTGACCCAATTGCGAAAAGGAGATATTGTGGAGCGGCAGAATAATAATCCATATGAAATTGCATTGACGGAGTACAACGCTGGGATAGGCTCTTCAAACCCCCAGATTAAGAAAAGTAAGTTGCAAAGGGTTGCTACCGTTTAGGCAGAATAATAGAGAAGGCGGAAAAACGTTGCGTAAACCTTTGCTGAATTTTAATTCAATCGCGGGGGGTAAGAATTAGGCTCTCTTTTAGGATAAAATGTGAATGAAGGCACGTTCAATTTCTATAAGAAATTCTTACAATTAAAAACTCTGAGAAAGAGCATTAACAATGACTGCTGCAAGCTTAATAAGGCCTCGTTAGGACCGCTTGGAAAGCGAAATACTGTTCGGATTGCCAGCTTGACCGGGCTACCAACTCGCCAATGGCGAGATTTAGATTCTTACCCTGACTTCTACCCGACAATGGGAGGATTGACGGGTATGAATGATTCGAGTGATAACTTTTCAGTGCAAAGGCGGGTCTTACTTAGTAGGAACAAAATACTCTGAGTGATTATTGCATTGATGTCGCTAGACGAATGCCATTGCCCTTTCATTGTAGCGGATGATGAGGTCAGAAACAATGTGAACAGATTGAAGGCCTGCCCAGCCACGAGCTCTCCGAAAGTCATACAACGACGTATGACTTCTATACAGGGTGCAATAAAAGCGCGACTATTCGATCAGCTTTTGAGCGTCAGAATTTCACAATTTATACGACTTACGCAATTGATAATATATACGCTCAGCCCACTCTCAACGCTTCTAGAGAGCCAGCCATCTGCACGACCACGTCCAACGGCGGTATGAACTGGAGTAAGATCTGTGGCTATGTTGCACCTCAAGTCTCTACGCACTAAGACGTCCAGGCCCTCCTCGCTCCTCGCCTTACAGCGCCCTGACTTTGGTATGGCGTCGTAGTAGCTTAGCTCATTTTCGAGTAGTCGGTTCTTAGCCTTCATCGGGCTCTTTAGTAGATTCGATAGGTCAATACAGATGTTCCTTCCCTCTCAAATCTTGCCAACCTCCCTTTCTATGGTCTCCCAGAGCACTTTGTCTTTTCTCTTCCTCTTCTCACTCTCTTGGTTCGCCTTTTGCTGTCTCTCAACTTCGCCTCCTTTGAGCGATCTTGCATCCTTACTTGCATGCCCAATACCTTCGACCACGGCGTTCGCCTCGTTAACTGCATCCCTGACCATCTGGTTCTCCGCGTCCAATTTTTTGATCTGATCTTCCATCATTCGTATCAATGTTTCTCGTGCCTGATGTGGCCTCCACGCGTTGATTCCCTCATGCAATTCCCTGAATAGTGTCTCCAATTGATCCCACGCCGCGCCGTAGAATTTCATCGAAGGGTCAATCGAGAGAATGTGAGTTATATGCAGGAACTTGAGCAGGATTTGATGAATGGTCTTGAGTAGTTGGGCTTGACTTGGCGGAGCTGGAAGTTCGGATGGAGGGGGAGGCTTGGTCGAGTGCACGGTTCCAAAAGACCGATATGCGCCATTGGCTGGTATTGATGGAGGGATCAGGTTTTGCAGCTCTGAGGGGACTGAGGAATTGTCTGGTATTATATTCTTCTCAGGATCGGTAGGATCGAAAGCTGTCAATGGAGCAGCGCCCGTAGACTCGAGGTGATCCTGCAATTGAGAGATGTTCTCGGCTGTGAACGACTTATAGAATGGGGGAGGAGCAGGGAAGGCGGAGCTGACACCGACTTGCTGGCCGTCCTCTGCCATTTTGCCATTGATGAATGCTTGAGGATGTTCGCTGATGAAAAAAATGAATGGCTGTAGGTACGCTTTGGCGCAGGTTGACGCGCGGGTGACCCACCGCGTTGGAATGACGTGCCTCAGTGCTTTACGAACATTGGTTTCACCGCCCGGATGAGTTTTGGAGGCCACATTGCCTCTCTGATCCCTTCTAGTGAATCCAGGAGAGGAGATCCAGAAGATGATCTATCGCAATCACAGACAATGACACACCGCCGCTCAAGTTCGATTCGAAAATCGTCACCAAGTGACAATGGTGGCCTTCTTGGGTCTGTGTCTCGCTTTCTACAGGTATGTCCTATGCCAGTACTTTTTTCTGGTTCTCAGCTAACGGGGACTAGCGATCGTACGCTGCAGACTACCTGGGCTTCTGTCTTCTCCTAATTGCCTACTTCCTTGTGCGCCATCTAATTCCCTGTGAACCAAAATAATTACTGACTATGGGAGGCAGATTGTTGCTATGATCGAACCGTTTCATCGCATGTTTTCTCTTGACAACCTCTCAATTCAATATCCACATGCGAAAGTTGAGCGGGTATCCGTCTGTGAGTAGGACACAGTGCCGTGTCTTTCGAAGGAACATAGCTAAACGATTGCCTTAGTCTACAATCTTGCCTACTCAGTCCTCTTGCCACTCGTCGTTGTAGCCCTATGGGCTGCTATCTCTCGCCCACCGCTTCACAAGGCACATGTCACCATTCTTGGCTTGGCTATCAGCGTGGTCCTCACGTCATTCCTTACAGACGTTGTCAAGAATTCCGTCGGGCGACCGCGACCAGATCTCATTGCGCGATGCAAACCAAAAGAGGATACGCCGAAGAATCAGCTGGTCACAATCTCCGTATGCACGGAGACTGATCACCACGTGCTGCATGATGGCTGGAGAAGCTTCCCGAGTGGCCATAGTAGCCTAGCATTCAGCGGTCTCGGGTTTCTAGCAATGTAAGGTTCTTGGAATTCTACCAGTCAATTCGTTCACTAACGTACTGGAAAGGTTTCTTGCAGGCCAGATGCACGTATTCCGCCCACATACTGATCTCGCCCGAGTGCTTGTTGCATTAGCACCTCTTGTTGGTGCAGCGTTGATCGCTATCTCTCGCTTGGAAGACTATCGTCATGATGTTTACGATGTTTCTGTGGGCTCATTGCTAGGCATCCTAGTTGCCTACTTCTCGTACACAAGATACTACCCATCGCTCAAGTCATCGAAATGCGATACGCCACATCCAAGCCGGGCAGAGTTGGCTTTCGGGAAGCCTAAACTCAGAGATGAGGAAGCCAGTGTCAGCACAGAGAGGGGTTGGAGTGATGAGTCGGAAAGGATGCCGCTCAGGGAGACAGGCAGAGCCAGCAGGAGCCCTGGTTGAAAGCTGGACATATGTCTTGTCTCCTTACAGACTGCGCCGACAGAACAGGCCTGGTAGAAGCTGCGACGCGAGCGGACACATTTGAAGATCCATGAGATTCAAATCGAGATGAGCAAAGGCTGCCATGAATTGGCACTCGGCTTCAACAAGGCGTCGTGCTAGGATGAGGACGGAAATCAAACATTGATTTCCAGGCGCTAATCCGGTGGGAAGATTGAAGTTGAGAGGTCTTTGTATGTAGGTAGTATGACAGTTCTTGCGTGGAGAACGGTGGGCGGAGACGGTGACGCAGTGGCATGCACAGGTATGGTATGGAGGAGAATACGTAGCTGGAACTTGGTCGCAGACTTGAGAGCGGTGCTCCATTCGTGTATCGCCTACATTGTGAGCATTCTTGTCGTGCAATGTATTATATGACTTCGATATTCTCGAATTCCTTCGAGTTCTGGATATGGATATGTTCGGCTGCGCTAGCCATTTTGAGACCGAAACTCAAAATCTGAGCGAAATTCAACAGCCGATTGCGGAAGATGACAATACCCCACCTGCACATTCGAAAATCTAACTCGTTTATATATATTGTCGTCTCCATCTTGACTTCCATGGCTGAGCAACCTCTCAACTGGAATATCTTAGGGGTGCCGGATCTTCCCCGCTCAATGCGGAGGGCTGACGTTCGCTACCCTTGTGGACAGCCTTAAGACCAGCATAATTGATGAGCGTGCTCTAGCTGTTGCCTTCTTTGCTTTTCTTATATGAAAATTTCCCGACATTTGAGGCATGGCAGATAACATCACCAACCGGGTCCAGAATTCCACGGAAAGAGATCCACTCCTGGGCGATCGTAAACCCCGGAATGACGAAGAAGCACATAGCAACGCAGACCACTCAAACAGCGACGAGGCTGAACCTCTGATCAAAGAGCCCACGACATCAGAACTCGTCTTAGTCCTCTGCGGCACATGGCTCGGTTCCTTCCTCGCAGCAATGGACTCCACCATCATCGCTACTCTGACAGCACCCATATCCGCATCGTTTGATTCGCTGTCATTGGTATCTTGGCTTGCATCATCCTACTTTATCGCAAATGCAGCCTTGCAACCGCTCTCTGGCCGACTGACGGACATTGTGTCCAGAAAGTGGGGCTTGATCTTCTCAAACGTTACGTTTGCAGCAGGCAATTTGATCTGTGGGCTGGCGCAGAGAGAGTGGGTTATGATTTTCGGGAGAGTCGTTGCTGGATGTGGAGGTGGCGGTCTCACTGCCATCTCGACGTTTGTGGGCTCTGATCTCGTACCGCTGCGAAGGCGAGGCGTTTGGCAAGGTGTCGGTAATGTTTGCTTCGGATTAGGAGCTGGCCTAGGTGCCGTCTTAGGTGGCTGGATCAACGACGTGTGGGGATGGAGGAAGGCCTTCCTCATCCTTGTCCCCTTTACTGTGCTTTCTTGCATTCTGGTCACTTGCTTTGTAAACATCCCTGTGAAGCAATCTGAGAGGTCTGCGTGGAAGCGGATTGACTTTCTTGGTGCGTTTGGCCTGATTACTACGTTGGTGTTGTTATTGATTGGCCTCAACTCTGGTGGAACTATTGTTCCGTGGAACCACCCACTCATATATACAACCCTACCATTATCGGCAGTATCACTCTTTGCGTTTATCTATGTCGAGAATACACACGCCTTGGAACCTATCATACCAATTAAGGTAGTTGCCAATCGGACAGTGCTCGCGGCTTGCTTCACGAACTGGTTCTTGACTATGTCAATTTTCTCAGTTCTCTACTTTGCACCGATCTACTTTCAGATTAAAGGTCTTTCAACAACTCAAGCCGGTATACGCCTGGTGCCACAATCTCTGGGTGCAGCTGTCGGATCGATAAGTACGGGCTTGATAATGCGCTGGACAGGCCGATACTATTACTTAACAGCGGCAATAATGCTTATTTTCATCGTTGCAAATGTCCTCGTCGCAAGCTTCAATTTGGATACACCATTATGGGTGACTATAGTAGCGCTAGGGATGACGGGTATTGGGTACGCAGGAATGCTCACAGTCACACTCATCGCGTTCATATCTGCTGTTGCACATGAGCACCAGGCTGTTGTCACTTCCGCTTCGTACGCATTTCGAAGTACAGGCAGCGCTATCGGTATTACAATCGCGTCTGCTGTCTTTCAAAACCTTGTCAGCCGTAATCTGCAGACTGCGATTGGGGACAGACAAGGGGCCGCGGACGTAATCAGAAGGCTCAAGGACAATTTGGAGGTTATTAAACATCTACCTGAAGGTTGGAAAGGGGACGTTCAGCAGGCCTACATGGACAGTGTGAGAGGCGTCTTCTTGACAACGCTAGGTATCAGCGTTGTTGGCGCTGCTGTGAGCCTTCTCATGAGAGAGCATACCCTCTACGCGACTCTTTCTAGAAAATGAACTTGTTCATGTGAAGGAAATATCCAAGAGAGTGAATGAAACAGTGGGCTATATTGCGACAATCTTGGGATGCCCTATCCAATGAAGTGGCTCATCACTCTGCCAGCCAACGAGCGTAGTTGCGACACCTGCGTGGTTGGCTTCAACTAAAAGGCTCCACCAGTTGACTTTGTCGACAGGAGCCTTCCCTCGGCCTCGTCGAATATTTTTCAATAAGAGGGGCAGCATTCACGATCAAAATGATCAGCCTTTTGGTGCTGTGTCGCTTTGGACTGCACATGGCTGGAATCAGTATAGGGCAATTCGATATTTAAACTTGAGCTTGCCTTCTATTGAGCTTGCTATTTTTAGCCTTGCCTTCTTTTAAGCTTGCCGCCTCTTATTGTTGTCTTCTCTGAAGTCTGCCATCTTTGAAGTCTGCCTTCTCTAAAGTCTGCCTTCTCTGAAGTCCGCCTTCTTCAAAGCTTGCCTTTTCTAGGCTTGTCTTTTCTAGGGATACCTTGTCTAGGCCTGCCTTTTCCTAAGCTCATCTTCTTTTAAACTTACCCCCATTTGAGCTTGCCTTTTCCTCGCCTTAGTCTCTCCCATTCTTGCCCTCTCCTGACCTTCCCCTTTTGATGAGCGTCCAGAATCATCCAGCGCGGAGTGGAGGAGGGAAACTGGGCGCTTTTCCCGATCAGTATGCTGCATTGATAACGATGGTGAATAGATCCTCCGAATTGATCTTGCAATTGGAGTTCTGTGAGTCGTTCGAACACTGTCTTCCGTGGTTGAAACATTCTGCTAGACCAAAAAAAGCTTGCTGTCCATTTTTCGAGGTGGTCTTCTATCTAAATTCTCGCAATGACCACCGGTCAACGTCGCACAACATTCGAAGCTGCAATTACAAGATTCATTCATTTCTTTAGACTTCAGACAGAAATAGAGATTATGCCCTTATCTGTCATTTAACTTGTTCTTGTCGAGTTCCAATCTTTAAAATAGCCTTTATAGAATTTTCGCCGGGTTGTCGCAGTATAAGTCCCGGGTAAATCTACTCCTGAAAACTGCGCCAGGAGGCCAGCAGCTCTCAAGGTCTGATATGTCCTCGAGTAACGCTCATAAAAGACTGGAACATCTGCATTGTCACCGACGACGTCGCTTTTTATCCAAAAAAATTTCTCAATATCGCTCTTGAATTCGTCATCTGCAAGTACATCGCTGTCTCTAGAGAGGCAGCGTGCTACAGATAATGGTAGTTCACATACAGCGTAGAACAAGAGCAGCTGTTTCTTCTGATTTTGGCCGTACTTATACATCAAACCATCCGGTAAGTCAAGGCTACATTCATCCACTAAGCCTTGTAGGACTCTAGATCTTTCTACTTCCGGCAGTGTTGACGAAGCTGATCCCAAAAAGTCGTCACTGGCAATACCTTCATTCTCCTCAACAGACCAGGCGTAGTTTATGATATGTTTCATAGCCCGAGAAGGTGGCAGGGTCGACTCGCGGCGTCCAGATCCAACATAACTCTTGAAATACTTTAGAATTAGACTAGGGCCTTTCTCAGGTCGTCTACCACCCAGATGCTCCTCCATCAATGTCTCGCCCTTTTTACTGCAGAGAAACTCTTTGGTTGTTTGGTGTATAAATTCAACTTTGAAGCGTCCAGGCGCCAGTAATCCAGCGGTCCTGCTATTGATGCGACGATTGAGTTGGTCCCAAGTAGCCTCGCTCAATTCACGATGAGGGTCGTCTCCAGTTGAAAGATAGATTGCAGCTGCTAGAAGTGTGTATGATTCGAACGGAGTTGTGGCATGTATAGCAATTTGATACAAGACATAAGTCTCATAGCCTTTTCCTCTTGAAGCTGCCGATTTATCGACCTGTATGCGGCGAATTGCTCTTGTATAGAGGTCTTCCAGCTGCTCAGGAATCTCAGAAAGCAGGTCATTCAATTCTTTAAGAGTCAGACCGTCTCGAAGACCCTCCACAAGCTCATCCACAACCAAGCGAACCCATAGAAAAACCCCATCGGCCTTTTTGGCAATTTCTGCAACTATTTCATTGAGTCTCTGCTTGCTCCGCACAGTCAGTTGGGTTGTATTAGATTCACGAATCCTATCCTCGGCGTAGTGGTGAATGTCAGACGTGGTGTAATCGTGAATGGCAAAGCTAGAGTATCCACGGAAGGCGTCCATGAAGACATTCTCTGGACGTCCAGCCACGCATAGTCGAAGACGGAAGTTAGTGTTGTGTTCTTCTTCCCCAAGACTCATCAAACATGACAGCAAGTCCATATGGTCTCCATTATGCTCATTAAGGGCATCCACAAAGAGACATATGTTTAAAGGAGACTCCGACTGCCGGCTAATCAATGATAGTGCCTCCTGAATACGCGCTTGATCCCATGCAGAGTTGCTCCTGAAGCCGTTGGATGTCTCTGCATCCAAAAAGATTTGGCGAATGATGAGGAAAAGTTCTGGCCGCTTCTTCAACATTTGGTACAAGATCTCTTGGAGGAACCCTCTGACAGATTTTTGGTCAGCTGTCCCGCGATCGTAAAAGAAGTACCCGGTGATGATCCAAGCATTACTGTCATATTCAAGTAGCAGATCTTTGGTACGGGTCTGTGTCATTGCAAATTTCATCAATGTCGACTTGCCAGACCCCGGCTTGCCGAATATCCAGTGTATTGGCCGGCCATCTTCGCCCGTGAGCCACGACTTAAAGCCAATATCTTGATCAAACAGCCAGTTGTACGTGTTCTTGTAGGCAGGCTTGACGTCTAAATAACGCCGTCGGGCGTCTACGAAGTTTAATGAACGTATGCATTCGTCGAAGTCGTTCTTGAGAGGCGTATCACGGGCCAGCTGGCTCATGAAGTCCAACGGGCTTTCTTCAACGGGTTGTGCAGGGACAGGCTTCCTTCTGATTTGAGCAGGCTCCTCTATCCACCGATTCAGGATTGAGATGACTTTTTGAAAAGCTTGCTCCTGAGAGGAGTGGAACCTCGCCATGTCCCTATGATCAGCCTGAATGACAGCTTTCGTTTCGTTTAAGTAGCCGATGGAGGCAGAAGCCTCATCAACGATCATGAGACCTCTTGTCTTCAGACCTTCTCGGAATGAGTGGATCTTTATCGGCCTAGATGCTAGCACGTGCTCAAAACTGCTTGAGATGCGGTCTAAAACATCCGAATTCTCCTCCAAGGCACGAAGAATCTTCATATTAGGATCCGCATAAAACAATCTCGCCACTTGAAATGCAACCGTACCCATTGACGCAGTTCTAGAACCATGGTGTGGCGTACCGAAGAACATAATGGCCTGGGTACTGGGTAATATCTCACCATTCCAAGTTGTGTCATTTTTGGATCGACTCAATGCATCCTTTACTACGATCCCTCCAAGGCTATGAGCAATGAAGATGATAGGAATGGTCTTCTCTGAACGGGTATTTCTCAGAAGAGCAAGATCTGATAACAGTTGACCGGCATGGTGAAAGATGGACCCTTCAGTGCCTGCGGACAACAAGTGCTTGAGAGACACATCGTAGCCCCATGTCAGGATCCTTGCCTTAGGGACAGCTTTTGGTAGTAAGTCTCTCGGCCAGAACACTTTTTGCGGCGGCGGCGGCTTGCCGAACCCAAGGCCAAGAGAGTTTCGCTGTCGATGCGCGGGGTCAATACTATCGCGACTACTTTGGCCGTCGATATCAGACATTTTGTCGACGGCTGCATCAATATCTACTGCTTTGCAAGACCACGTATGCTGAGGATGGCCATTCAGCCCATGGACGAAAACGATACTGAGAAGCGGCCTTTAGCTGAATATTCTGCCCTTTGCCGAGTTTCACATCATATATAGACTTGGAGTTGAGAATTGGGCAAGCTTACTCCGCTACTTGCTTCTCGCCACCGGCTGGCCTATGTAACTCTGTCAAGCCATGGTCATTCACGTCATGCTGCATCATTAGAGCCTTTTGGCGGATCGTGGCGAGAGGATTCGCCTGCCGATTATTTTAGACAATCATGAAAGCAGGATTCGGTGTTCACAATCCCATAGCTTGTAATGAACACTGATCGATCCACAAGGCTGGAAACGCCTGAAGATAGGCAACATCGCTAGAGCGCTCTGGTCCTTGTGCTAGTGCAAGCCGCAGCTGGATCGGCATCGGCGCGCCATAGCCGACGATCCTTCAATGAGTTGTCGGTGCTAGGCCTGGGCTTGGAGGCTTGGGCAGTGCGGTTGTCCAATATAAGCAGGGTAGCGATGCGTATGAGGTGCCTTTGGAGATAGCAGGCATGTAAGTCTCCTTCCAGTGTTGTTGTGCCGACCATAGGACCTTTTGACACCTTCCATTCAAGACATTCAAGACATTCAAGATTGGAACCGAAGGCCCGCGGGTGCTAGAGTGCTCATCCATTAATTTGACTATCATAAGTGCAAAACCAAAGAATGTCAAAGCTGACAGTCGCAATTTTTCGAATGTTGAAGGGCAGCAGCCTCCCACCTGCTAAACCCCGGGCTGTCGATACCTTAATTCCGGTGCATGCTACCGCCCGAGAGTCCGTCATTCCGAACCTAGTACCGGAAGGTATCACCAGGTATTTCTCGCCCTATGCATGTGGCCACATTTCCACAAGTCCTGACTGGCTTCTATTCGAGACGCGTAATATGATCATCTTCTCGTTTACGCACTCGTGAACATTGTGAAAACCGAGATCTTGAGAGCGAGCACTTCGATAAGATGTTGGGTCATTTTGAGCGTTAACTTTACTTCCGCATCTACAGACTCACATTATGTTCCGCAAGCCATCAGCAATAGCCAGAGAAACAAATCAGACAAAACCAGAATTTGAGCAAGGATTGACCAAATCCAGGGAGAGTTCAGATTCATGGGATGTCAGGTAGCGTCTCCCAAACCCTCTCATCCCACTGCCCCATCTTAAATCCAAGGCCAACACGCAACCACCTTCTTTGCGTCATAGACCACCCTTGCACACGTCCAGGTTTCTCCAGTCCTCAGATCGAAGAAGCCATCAAATGGATCCGGCAGAAAATACGTAAGTCGCTTTGATTCCATCAAAGGCTGTGAAGCAAAAGATCATATTGAAATTGGTCTCCTTCATATGTCTTATGATAGCGTCTGCATAAGACCATGTGTACACTCCCTCTTCTACCTTTTTTCTCAGGTCCTTTTTGAATCTTTCATCGCTTTCGGCGAAGGCTTCTGGATTTTCAGCCCGTGTACAGCCTTTGTTGTTCCGTATTACTATGTGGAGAGGCTGATGTGGGTCTGGGTTGTTTGCAGTGTCTAATGTAAGGTCGTGGTACTGAGTCGTGCGGCCCTCTGCTACTTGTCCTGTGATACCGCAATTTTGTTCTAGGCCTGTCCATACACCGTGGTCAATCCTTTCTGATTTTTCAATGTCGTTTCCCAGTATCTCTTGAGGGAATTGTTCCGTCGAAGCGGCTTCGTGATTTGAAATCTTGGCGGCTTCGACGATGTCCTCGAGACGATTCGAGCTACTTTCGACTGTCGGGTTTCTGGCACGGCCTGGCTTTTCATGAAAATTTCCACCATTTTTGACTACTGCTTCGATTATCTCGTCACTTCTGCTGTGCACTTCTTGCGCAGCAGCTTCTTCCACAGCTTCTTGGTGAATTACGCTTTCCGGCATCTTGTTAGTAATCCGCTTAAGCTTATGACAAGAGGGAGAAATGCGAGGTGGGTTTGGGTTAGAAGTTGGGTCCTCAAGGATTGTGAGAATTTAGGTGTCAATCTCTAGAATCTTTGACGTCTGTGATGATCGAAGTTCAATGAGAGAGAGGGAATGCTTTTATGCGCACGACCTGACCACCATTAGCAAGATTGAGGGTTTCACTTTTGCAAGTTCGGTACTACCTATGTGTTTTCAACCAGCTGCATTTCTTCAAGCTTTGGCTTGTCACAGGTAGGCGTCGGTGTTTCAACATATCTTTCAATGCGATGACCTTTACACCGTTTCAGAGCCCTTTCCGAAACGTCTGTTCTTTGCCCTCTACGTACATTTGTTTGGTCAGCCTTTGACAACAAATGGCCTTCTGCACTGAGAGCACAGAAACACAGCTCGAGGGAGATGGTTCGAAGAGAACTTGATACCTCACATGATACAAGCTGGATGATCTGAAAAGCACGTGCATTTCTGAGGTAGAGACGCCACGAAGCCCGGAAGCCAACCTGCTCCGTACTTGAAACAACAGTGAGTAAGAACTGAATTCCCAACACTGTATTGGCCAAAGAATACTTCTAACGATACTTCTACAAAATCTAGTGATACGAGGCGCGTGGCCAAAGAAGGAGCACAAGAGATAACGAAATTTCCGTACAACATTCCTACATGATATTTCCCATTACGCGTAAATTCTTACTGTGGTCATACCTACACAGCACATGACTATGTCGCTGTACCGAGAGTATGTGATTTGTCATCATTGGTGGCTCAGGCAGTGGCAGCTGCAACTGTGACAGTGGTTGTAATCACTGATGTAGCGCCAGCTCGATCCTAATTGCAAGAGGTCAGCTTATCTGTGCATGTCTGATGACTGACACCAACAGTAAGACTTACGGTGACTGTGAAGGTGGTGGTAACACAAGGAGGGGAGATGCTATAATATGCCGTGGGCACATCAGACGGTTGAACCCTCGTACCAGGGTTGAATGTCAGAGGGGGCGGAGCGGGCAAAGAAGGATTAGTATTGTTGACAGAGAGAGTAGCTATCCCTGTGGAAGCGGGGGAACGCTTGATGATCTGTTGCTGCTGCAAGTATCGTTATTTATCAAAACTGCGCTAACAGCGACGTCATCTTCGTAAGGTGATTGAACGCCTTCCAATCTTCTGAAGAAACAATTTTGATTCTCGTTGAAAGGTCGGTAGGTAATGCCATAGCAGCGATCCTCAGAGAACCCAACATTTACCTTAGCGCAGTCGGAGATGCACTCATAAAGAGAGTCTTCGATCAAACCCTGGAAGGTGGGACCACCGTAGCTTATGTAGCATTGAATCAAATATTCTTGGCACTGCGCGAAGTATGTTGTGCCATTGTTGAATGGACAATCAGCGACGGGACGAGACGGCGAGGCTGTTGGGCCTGATGAAGTAGTCGTCGAGTTTGCTGAAAAGGGAGGAGTGCTTGTGCTGGCCAAAGTAGTAGTCGTACCTGTTCCTGTTGCAGATGTTGAATTCGCTGAGTATGGCGGGGTCACCGACGGTGAGACACCAGTTCCTGTTCCTGTCCCTGTTCCTGATGCAGAAGTTGAGTTTGCTGAGTATGGTGGAGTCCCCGATGGTGAAACACCTTCTCCACCGCGCGGTGGGTTTGTAGGATTGCCAGGTCTACCAGTGAAGCTGCCGAGGCTACTACTACTATTGCTGGTAAGTGAGCTGCTAGTTCCAGTACTTATAGGAGTAGTGCCTGTCCTAGTACTAAGCGTAGAGTTCGTCGAAATAGAAGGAATGCTCGTGCCACTCCCGGAGGATGCGGTGCCCGCGGTGCTCGTCCCTGGAAGTATGCTCGAATTGCCAGAATAAGGGGCAGATCCAGAAGGGGAGACTCCTGGGCCACCTCGAGGGTTTGTGGGAATACCAGGACTGCCGGAAAAGCTCCCACCACCACTCGCACTACCAGTAGGTGTAGTCAATGGGTTGGTTCCTGATGGAGTTGTGCTTACTCCGGTGCCAGTAACAGATGTTCCTGTCCCAGGCACGGTTAGGGATGTACCACTTCCAAAGCCTGTCCCAGTACCACCAGTACCAATGGGCAATGTACTATTGAAAAAACCCGATTTGGTGCTTGCGGAAGGAGAGACTGAAGGAATTAGAGTCACCGCAACTGTTGTAGTCGTTGTCGTGATAGATTGAGGGCCACCTCCATTCCTCGTGTCGGGTGGTAATGTTGGGGTGCCAGGATTAAGGATTGCTGTAATTGTTTTCACACCAGTAGTAGTGATGGTGACGGGAACAGTTGATGGCACATAATCATCTGCTGTCAACGTCCTTGTCTATTATTACTTGTTAGTCATTGTGGTTGTAAGTGGTGTCAAGCTTTTCACCTCCGTCAACGTGACGTCTATAGTAGTGCTATCAGTATAGCGAGCGCACGAACAAGCACTGCTGACTGTGGAGAAGACAGTCTGATTATTGGGCGAGAGCTCGCACTGGACTGCTAACGAAGCTACAGGGTTCAAGGAAGCCGATTGTCGTTTGACTCTCACACGCGCCTGAGGGACTGTTGTCACTGTGGTAGTTATAGTACTGCCATATTCTGTCACAGTTGAGCCTGGAACTGTTTCGAAGACGGTGGTAGTAAAGACAGTCGTGCTATTGGGTATCAGCTTCGGGTCTGGGTCTGGATAATGAGTATCAAGACTAACGTTCTCGCAGGTATGTATCTGGTCGCCGTATCGACAGGTATGCTTATGACTTTACGGCATAGCTCCTCTGCATCATCCAGGTAATTGTGGAAGGAGTTATATAACCAGTCGCGGACACATATCAGATCTTTCTGGTTGAAAATGAGGCCAACTTCAGCCTCTGCTTGTCTTTTCTCAACTGCCTCCAATCTTTCTGTTTCATCATTATGATGGAAGAAATTTGGAAAAGGGATGCTCCAACTAGCCGCACAACTTATAAGAAGTGATAACGCGATCGTGCTATCCCAAGAGGGCAGACGCATCGTCAATGTCTCCGGAACGATTGATCAAAGGGACAAACGACTGGCGAAGAGCAATTCCCAAAGTACTGCAGAGGCAATAACGCGAGGCGAGATAACGAACAAGATAGGCTGAACATTTTGGACATCGAATTCTTAAGGACGAAATGAGCTTGAAACCCTTGCAGTAAGTTACGAGAGCTTCTCCTAGTCAGGGGGCTAGGAAAGCCCGTCTAGATCTGCTAGATACATTCCAAGAGTCATGCGAGACACGCGTCTGGGCAAGAAAGAAGCTATTTCAAGAGCTCTCAAAAGCAGGACATACGCAAGGATTGCACTGAAGATACTACCTTCTTACCTAGCACTACATAAACGAGGATCATGCAATCAATCCTGCTGGGTTTCTTTGTAAATGCTGTCCAAGGGGTTTCGAGATGAAGGAGAATCCCCAAAACTGGAAGCCTCTCGGAAAACGCCAAGATTTTCAGCCCTACGACGGACTTCACCTTTCAACTTTCCCAAACCTTCATACCCCGTTCTGAGGAGTGACGGGGCCGGGAGGCACTGCGCTCTTTGTCACATATCTCTATGAACCATTGCCTGAATTGCCTCGAGTGCCTCGGCGTGCGGTTCCGAGGGAGCCAGGTATGTGGAATTCCCCCTTGACATACCAATTGAGCTCACGCCATTTCAGAGCTCTGAGACATCTCGTTTACTCTACGATGATCCTTACCGATCCCAATACGGTACCAATGGCACACACAATCAGAGGGTGATCCAGCAGCAACCAGATGCGGAAGCTTTGAGAAGAGAACGTGAGGAGATGGAGGGCATTTGTCATAGAATGTCTGAGTAGGTCTACAAGAGCATTGTCCTAGCGCGTGTCTTAGCTGCTGACGAGGGGATCATAGCCAAGTCATCGATGTGTTCAACGTAGCTCCGCAGGAGAACGATAGGGGAGTGACACTGGAACAAGCGAGAGAAATTGTCATGGACTACGGCGTCAATCCGGCCCATTTATCAGACGCTAAAGTAATTGCCTTTATCAAGAAACGACACTACGAGATCAGAAGTGACAAATCTGTTGGGCCCCATACGAGTGGTGAAGCAAATCGAAGCAAGGTCGGAGTAGCCAGCGACGCAGAACCATCCTCACAAGAAGAATTAGAGTTCAAGACGATTCGGAGGAAGGGGAAGACACCTCTTTCCGTCACACTTGATAAGATTGACAGCGAAGCACTTGGAGCAGTATTGGGGTAACCACACAGAATTACCAAGTGCAAGCAAAATCCACGTGACGTAATATCATGACCATCACGGCTTGTCAACATATGCTCAGGAGCTCGGCCCCTTCAAAGAAGACAATTTGATAGATTCTGTGCGTCACAAGCATACGAACGCTTGGAAGAAAGGATGTGACGAAACGATTGGCTTGGAAAGCCAAGGGCAGTCGAGCTTCATCAGCAATGAGTATCTCATGAGACATTACGGCCTTGAGCATCCGAGGAATACAGCACCAGACTTGAATCATAGTGCTTCTCAAGCATGTCTTTAAACTCCTCCGTTCGGTCAATCTACCTCACTCACAGCGAGCACTATTCTAGGATCTTAAAATGCTTTCCGTCGTCGAACTCTCTAAAGTCTCGTGCTGGACCAATCTCTGTTCAGCGGTACGTCTGAATATTATAAGGAGTTTGGCATTGATCAAGGGAGAGCTTGGAAGGGATCGTCTCATTGTTTGCCATGAGAAGTAAGAGCAAGTATCGAGAAACTTGTAATGTGTAGCATGATGTCATGTACAAGGGTATGAAGGCCAGTGAAATGAAATGAGGCCGACACGATTCCCGATAGCTGCGAGTGTTTCTACAATACCAGATATACTCAACAGTTTCGAGCGTAATCATAAGCTACCTATGGCCGCATATTCTCGTACCGCGTTGCCTTATCGGACCGTGACTTCAGCTTCTTGTATGCTTGTGTCTGTCATGCTGTACTTGATATTCAACGTTCACGTTTTGTAACATCAACACAGGGGTTTTGCACTAGTCGTTATCGTGCATGTAACTGTTGGATAAAACACAGGAGCAGATTCGATCAAGGTTTCATAGCCATGAATTTGACGTCTTCGATATGATTTTCAGCAGCCACGCTGTGCCCGAATAATATCAACTACCGCATCAGCCAAGATTACACGATGATACTCTCCGTGACAAATTGTGCAAGCCTAGTCCGCTGCACCTTCGAGCTTGGCATAGCTTGCAGGAACCATGCAGCTAGTAGCCAGCACTTGCTTGTCATTGGTTGTAGACAAGCGCACCATGCATGAACGAAGCTGACCTATCGCTGCATCTGGCTGGGTCATAGTCTCGACAGCGCATAGATCCTGTGATGGCAGACCCCACTCCAGCGCTTTCATTTGTCCAGTGCCGACACTCATCTCCCGCAGGACTTTTGAAACACGTGGAAGACGGCGACCCGACCTGCTGGTTGTGGCCGGGAATTGGCGCGCCGTCCAGTAGTGTGCATGAGGGTATTTTGACGTCGTGTGAAGATATGAGCTGACTTTCTCTGACCTGCCATCCCACCTGATGGTTTTTCTGTAGTATTCGAGTACGCGGAAACCTACCATATTGACGTTTCGGAAGGAGGACGAATTCTGCCGGTTCTGCTTGCATGCTGATCATCTAGAAGCGCCATTCATGGAGGAACGTTGGCGGGAGACGGAACCTAAATTTCGCGTTTTGTGGACGTGAAGGCGTGCGAGGTTTGATGTCAACAAAGCCATACACGCTGGAGGTAGGCTGAGGCCCTAAGATCAGGCAACGGCTTGCCTTCTCGCTTCGTCCGTTGTTGCTCGGAACAGAGAGGGATCTCATTGGCTACCTCTCGGACGAAATGCACAATAAGAATACCTTTCTTCAATGCCGTGGGAAAATGTTGGTAGGGTAGAATGGCAAGCCTTTCGAGTCCGGCTGCCGGCTAAGCTTACCATCAATGAGTACGAGCTCTGGAGCCGGCCACCCGCGACGTGATTGAGGACGCCTCCAAGACCAATCGTTCGACAGAGGCGTGCCTGATCAGGCTATTGTTTACATGGTAGCATGACATGGAAGTGATCCATGAAGCAAATCTGGTGACGATGATCCGCGTATTGAATTGGTTCTGCAAGAGCTGCGTGGAAGCGGCCGAGCTGACACGGTAGTATCCTTGCCACAACTGTCTTGATGATGATCGGCGATATCCTACCGCTCAGTAATGGCTTGCAAGGGACACGGAATGAAAGTCCGGAGAGAGATCACCCCACCAAGTTGAATTTGACTGGATAATCGGCGAGTATACCATGGTTGTCTGGTCCCGATTGGAGAGCGTAAGAATCGTTGGCTTGGAGGATTCGCGGGAAATCGACCATATTCGGTAGACAACGCCAGCTAGACCGTGGGCATTTCATATCGGGCTCCACTTTCGATCACTTGATCACACACCGTTGTCGGCGTGGTCGATCCGGAACCAGCAACGAAGCGTATCCTCCAGTCAATTATTGAGGATGTGTCAACAGAATGTCCCATTTGTCAGTGTCGGCAGAAAAAATTCCTCAAGTGACGTGTAGTCCAAGAGATAGCTCCATGTAGGTGAGGTCTATGTGATCTAGGGGTCATCGAGATGCAGGAAACGTCAATTGAGTGGTGGCGAAGCCCTGGATCGCGATAAGTGAAAGCTCCCTCACTGGACACCGTATGATCCGCCATTTCCTAGCTCAGTTCGTCGTCGTACTTCGAGCCATGATGAACCTTCGGTGGGTCAAAATCTCTCAGTCATGTGCCCTTTGACAATGTTGACAACACGCTAGAGCGCTGTATCAACCGTGCACCTGATTTGACTTGCAGATACGAGGACTTGATCAACATTCGATCGGCAATGATTGGTGATGAGAGTGGATTTCAACTCCGTCAATATCAAATGAAGAACCGGCCGGTCTTCCGATTGGTACTTGTCGTTTTCATGGTGGTAGCAATTCATTCCAAGCGATCAAAGAGCAAGATCAATCACCAATATCTCGAGACATAAATAGGGCGCTTGAAACCCCTTGAAGACACAAGTTACTCCATCCTCAGAATAACTGTTAATCGAAACTCTCTCAACCAAACAACGCACGCAGCATAGGTCCTCAGAAACGATATCAGTGTCAAAGATCTGAGTCGCAAGGAAGTCCGTTGGTCTCCATCTTTCTTTTAGGAAGATTTTAACATGATAACCTCACAGAGAAACAAACAACAAAGCATATATCCGCTCCCGTGTTTGACAAGCCTAAACCTAAGGTTCGCTGGAGTCACCTTCCGCAAATCGCAAGAGTCAGCAAGCTGATTGTAAAACAGAACCATAAGACAAGATGTGCTTTTACGACCAATACCGATTCGCGTGCGGCGACTACAAGTGGGGCCACTTCAGGCAACACTGCACGCAGGAGTACCGGATGGGTGAAACCTGTGGCATAAAGCTTGTCATGACAACTTCAAACCTCGGCCAGAAGTGCCGCATCTGCGACAAGATTGACACCAAGCAACGCCGTCGTGCCGCAGAAGAGGGGCGCATTAACCGCTGGAGGAAAGAAGGCGGAAAATTCAGAGCTTCAATTGAGAAATCGGAGGATATGATTCATCAGCTCGAGCATGAGCTCTTGGATTTGACCAATGAACGCAGGGCGAAGCTCAGACAGACTAGATAGAAGATCCAGCTGAGTTACCGGTCCGAGTGGTCGTCGAGCCAATGATAGTCAGGGAATTAATGAACGATTGTTATGACGGCTGAACTGGGTTAGTACCTCCATAGCTGAGTACAGACTGTCATTATTGCAGCCACTATTCCTAGAAGAATTGATATGTCCTCATTTGCCGGAGCTTATACACTTCCTTGCAGCTGAGACAGGATTAGCCGCCCTGGAATGTGACCATCCGGAGGCCCGTGAGGTCTGAGCTCGACAAGGCTGAACAGAGGCACATGTACAGCGTTGTCGCCTTGCAGCACTACCGGGCAGTCCTACGCATGCACACGCGCTGACTTGTACACGTCCTGGTGTGTAGATATATCGAACGAGGGGCCGCAATTGATGGAGTGAGGTCGACGCGGATTGACAGACGTCAGAACATCCTGGAGAAACTAAGGACCGGAGCTAACGATATTTAGCCTGAAACACCCGCTAGCGTGCCTCTAAGTTCATGAAACGCCTTGCTTGATATTCGTGGAACGCAAGAGCTAGCTAGCTCAGCATGAATACCTTATGGTACAAACATTCATTCTACCACCGGCCGATTATCCGTCGTCTGCTTCCTCCTGCTTTCCAATTCCGTGCTCTTTCAGCAAAGCATCAATCTCGTCTGCCGCCCATAAATGGTGATACACCTTGCCTGATTTTGTCTTCCCAACTGTCGCAAATTCAACTATATGCAATTAGCGTTGGATGGAGAGCTTCTCCGTCTGCGTTGTGACCTACTTTTCTCACTGCTCAATTTTGTTGAGTCCATTGTCTTGCTGAGTACTTTGACTGCGAGCTCGCAAGCCTCTTTCAAGTTGCACTCATCCTTGTAATCTTGCTTTAAAAGCGTCTGGGCACTTGCATTGTTGGCTCCCACGCTTGTGGCCTTCCAACCACCGTAATTCCCACTTGGGTTGCTTTGATACAGTTGAAATTGATGCAGGGGGTCCCAGCCGGCGTAGACGAAGGATACACCGAATGGCCGGAGACCTCCATGCTGCGTGTAGCCTTGTTTGAGGTCACACAGCCTTCTGACGAGCTGCTCACACGGTATGTCTTCGTTGTATGTCAGGAGATATCGTTGCGCCGCTTGCCGGGCGTAATTGATGAGGATGTTCGCATCAGAGGTCATGCCAGCGACGGCACAGATCATATTACTTAACGGGCATTTAGCAGCGACCACAGTAGTCCGGTGAAATATCGTACTCATTCAGTATGTACAGCTTTTCAGCTGAAGTATCTTGCTCTAAGAGCTTGCTTGTGACTTTCCGCTCGGCTGCCAACACTATGCCATCCGTCGCAAGTATCCCGATGGCTGTCCCGGCATTGTTGATAGCTTCGAGGGCATATTCTACTTGATAAAGTCGTCCTTCCGGCGAGAAGATTGTTGTCTAGATGCACATTCAGCGGCTACTTCATGATGAATTTTCAAGGTGTCTTGTTTACCCTTGAATCATAGCGGCTTGACATCTTCAGGCTTAGATAGCTGAATAAAACTTTGTACGCCTCGAAATATGCAGCGATTCATTGCAAGAGCTCCAGGCAAATTGTTTCACGCGTATGCCAAGACATTGGCTTCTTTTGACCTAGCACAGTCTCAAGCCTCAGCACCTCATGAAGCAACCATCAATGATTTTTCAACTTGTCAATTATGCTTAAGTCTACATATAAGCCAGCCTTTGCGCAACAAGCTCTGCCTTTGCCTGATGGCTGGACGGAGCATAAAGCTCCAACAGGTGAGCTCTCACCCACAACCTGATGCGAATTTCAGCTCACCCTTCGAATCAGTTGTCGTACTGATCGGTTGCGATTAGGCCACGCATTCTACTTCAATCCTTCTACTAGGGAGTCGACTTATGTCCGCCCTCAGGCGCAAGTGATCTCGGATGCTAAAACCGCTACAAATGCCCAGCCTGAAATAGATGCTTTCACCGGAAGCGACAAAACAGCTTGGCAGCAAAGCAATAGCAATAGCGATGGCCAGGCCAAAAGTAATCACTTCCAGAGGTCTGGACATAGTAATAATATGCAAAACCACGGGCAGCGATCGCAAGGCCGAGACAGACCCAAAACCAGCCATATCATACCTGGTTGTGAACCATGGTTGCTCGTGAAGACAAAGATCGGGCGCCGTTTCGTACACAACACTATCGAGAATGAGAGCTTTTGGAAGTTTCCTCCGGATGTGCTGAAGGGTGTCGTTGAGCATGACCGTCAAGAACGAGAAAAGCGACAGAAAATTGAACATGAAGCCTCAACTGAAGATGACCCTGCCGAATTCGCTGTTCCAGAAAGCGACTCCACCTCTGTACCCGGGGCTTCAGCTATGGTCCTGCAGTCCGGACCAGCGGGTAAAGATAATGCCGAAAACGAATTGGCTTCTGATGAAGAGTATGAGGAAGTAGAAGTCACAGATGACGAACAGGAAACTGCGAAGCAAAACTTGAATCACGACCACGAAGAGCCGGAAAGAGCTCTCGAGTTCGACGAGGATGATATAGCTTACCAATTAGCCGCGATGGGGAATGAGTATGGTCTCGAGCCTGGCGAGTACGGGGACCACGATGGTAGTGGTTTGGAGGAGGGTGCTGAAGGGCTTCCATTGACTGAAGAAGACTCAAACGCCCTCTTCACAGATATGCTCGATGATCATCGGATCAACCCTTTCACTACCTGGGATGCGCTCATCGAAGCTGGCCAAATCATTGAGGATGATCGCTACACTGTTCTACCGAGCATGCGATCTCGGAAAGAAGTTTGGGGTAAATGGAGTAAGCATCGAATGCAACTGATCAAAGAGCAACGTGAAAAAGAAGAAACTAAAGACCCCAAAATCCCGTACTTCGCCTTTCTGGAGGCACGTGCCACCCCAAAGCTATATTGGCCAGAATTTCGGAGGAAGTATCAGAAAGAGCCCGTCATGAGAAATAGCAAGCTGTCAGACAAGGATCGGGAAAAGTGGTATCGTGAATATGTCAATCGTAAGGCCGTCCATGGACGATTTTGATGTTGTTGCTAAGTCTTGTTTTCGAAAGGTCTGAAGCTGCCAGAAAATAATCTGAAGTCTGACTTCGTGCAACTGCTCAAGTCGCAACCAATACATGTTCTCAACATGTCGACAAGAATCGAAAATCTCCCCACAGCGCTGCTGACCGATATTCGATTTGTCTCACTTCGAGCGTCAGTCCGAGATCCTTTGATGAAGGCTCATATTTCCTCTTTACCACCAGTACCCGATTCAGCTGAAGCTTCACCTGAACAAGTTGTAGCAGCAGCAAAGGAGAAATCGAATCGTGAGCGAAGAGAGCTCGCACTGGCAGAGCGCCAAAAGCGCGCACAAGAAGAGAAAAGAAAGCAGGTGGGGGCTTTGCATTATGGACGGGGTATTTTAAGGGAGGAGGAGCAACAGCTCGAGCGAGCCATGAGAGTCGGCAAGCAAGGTTTGTTAGGCCATAAGCAGGCCCAAGAGCTTGAGAAGTGAAAGTCATATCATAGAATTTGACCATCTCAATGATATACCTGAAGGCAGATGTCAGTCCTTGGGACGCCAACTCGCTTAAAACGCTTTCAAGTGAAACACAACGTCCAAGAGAACCATCACCTCCCAAACCCCCATCCATCAAAGTCCTCCTCACTGCTTTCCTCCTCGGCTTCTTCTCCACCAATACCAACCCTTTCCGACATCTCTTCCTTCTTCTCCTTCTTAATCTCACTACCCCTCCTCCGCCTCAATTCCTCCCTCTTCTCCCTCAACCTTCTGACCCTCTCCTCTAACCCCTCCATCTCATCAAACTCGTCCTCCAATGCCCTCGCTGCATCTTCTTTCTCTGCCTCGATCTCCGCCTCTCGTCTCTCTTTACCCGTCGTCCTCTCCTCCTCTTTCTGCTGTGCAGCCAATTCGGCGGCTGATATAGGTGCTGCGGTGATTGTTGCGTCTGTCGTCAAGGCGGAGGGTGCGTTAGGAGCGAGCATTGATGGTGGCGGGGTCGCGACCTCGCGTTCGAAGGCGGCCCATTCTGCTTCATCTACTGGATCCTGTAGTTGGGCGGGAGGTATTTCTGTGGTTGGAGGGTTTTGGGGCAGAGGCTTTGCAGGCAGTGACTGTTCATTTGTGGTTGGATGTGTGTTTTGACTTTTCGCTTCGACTTGGTCGGCAAATAAGCCTCTTGAAAGGCGAACTACTGGTCTTGTTCGTTTTCGAGTGTCCTCGTCGTCCTCGTCGATTGCTTTCCGTTTCTTCGTTGTGGTAAGGCTCGTGATATGTGCTTGATTTGTAGAGTCAGGCCTTTGAGGAGGGAAGTTTTGGCTGACGCGTAGCCTTTCAGCTCGCATGACATGCTGAGTAGACTTCAGGTGCTTGTTCCACACATCGCTATCAGACTTAATAGGAATATGACAGACGTTGCACTCAAGAGTGCCGGTCGCCGAGTAGGAAGCATTGGGATGGTCTATCCGGCGCGACGCACGCTCACTACGGAGTAAGGACCTCACGTCTGTCATCTCTATGGTACATTTAATAGCTGAGACCTCAAAAAAGCGCAGAATTTACAGTAGAGAGGTGACCGCTGAGGGGAAGCAAAGAATACAGGTAGGTCTGCATAACCTGGTCTTGGCAAAGCAGTTACAAGCTCGACAGATGTGCAATTTCAGGCTCTATTAAGAGATTTTCGCAGAGAGTAACGTGTGATTGTCTATTTCGAAGACTTATCACATTGGATTTGTCCTTCAAAAAACTGTTTCTAGATGTTTGCAGATGAATCCAGAATGATATTGGTACTATCATAGCCAAGCCCTCCAGCCAAATTAAATTGGCGCTAGTGACAGACCACCGCTTCTGAACTCTTTCCACTGCGCAAGACCATTGCTCAATCGCGCCCACTTGCACCAGATGTTTCCCTTTCAACCACAGCTAGGCGACCAACTCATGTATACGTGATCAATCCAGGACCAGATTTTACTCAGATTCACTGCGACGCACTCCCAGCGCCTACCCGATCATCAAGACATTTCCTGCGCCATCTTGGAAATACAACCCAAAGAGGGACGATTGCTCAATTTAGCCCAGCAATGATAGAGAGCTTGAGCTCCGGGGTTGCACAGACTTGATAAGGCTTTTGGGACGTTTGCCGTTTGCGCATTTCTGTGAGGGGCGTGGACCATCTGGCCTTGAGTTTTACTTAGAATCATCTACGACCTTCGAGTAGATCATAATATATGATCTACTTAATCTTGCCTCTTCCTCTTTTGTTGTAGACTCTCTAAAGTATCTATAGCATGGCAGGTGAGTATGCCAAACACCCTGATGCCATGAATGCCTTCAGTTTCATGAGCATCTCTTCGATAATGCTGACCAAGTTCATAGATTCCACACGACGCTCGGGCCGAGCTACGAAAGGCCAGCATCGCGGATTTGATGAAGCAAAGCCTTCTGTCCCGAAAAAATCTGGTGGCAGGGGCAAGAAGAAGCATGAGCCAGAACCAGAGGAAGAAGAAGAGGACGCCATTATACGATGTGTATGCGGCGCTACCACTGAAGACGAAGACGACGAGCGTACAATGATATGCTGTGAAAATTGCGAAGCATGGCAGCACAATGAGTGCATGGAAGTCTCTAGCAAGGATGACGAGCTTCCAGACCAATACTATTGCGAGCAATGCCGACCTCAAGATCACAAGTCTCTTCTAGCAAAAATCGAACGAGGCGAGAAGCCATGGGAAGAGCGTGCAAGAGCACGAGAGATAGAAGAAGAGGAGCGGCTGGCCCGGAAGAAGGGTAAAAGGGGAAGCGGCCAGGCCGGCCAAGCATGGCCAAAAAGGAAGAGCTCAAGACCAATGGCGCAGTAGATCACGAAGACAGTATTATGACTGAAGCCGACGTACCAGCTCCTATCCAGGATGCTGATCCTCCGTCACCGCACCTAACGAATAATAAACGAAAGCTTCCGAATGAGGCAACTTTGAACTCTCGGAGTCCAAGTCAATCGGTAAGTCATCCCAAACCCATCATCTTACAGGAATGCTAAACAGATACAGGAGCCTGCCAACAAGATACGCAAAGCTTCAAGTCCTCCAAAAGAGACTAAACCCGTTGCTCCTGCGCCGGAGCGACGAAAGTCAAGTAATCGAGCGGAATCAAAGCGTGAGTCTATAGCAGGCGAATATCAAGCAAACCTTGTCGAAAGAATAGACGAATTGAAAAGCGCCGAGCGACAGCGCGTTGCAAACGCTCTGCAAAAGCTTTTCGATGGGTCAGTGAAACAGGCTCAGAAAGACAAAACTTTCAGTCTTGCCAAAGGCCAAAGTGAGCGCGAATACGCGCTCAAACTAGCGCTAAGTGTTGAATATGCTATGTTCCTAAATCTTTTTGGGACTGCTATCAAGCCTAGCGACGCTTATGCCGACAAATTCCGGGCATTGAATCACAACGTCAAGGCAAACCCGACATTACGGGATCAAATCCTCCGAGGAGAGCTCTCACCCAATGATCTGTCGAAATTGTCGCGGGAAGATATGGCTAGTAAAGAGTTGCAGGAGAAGAAAGCGGAGATGGTGAAGGAAGCTGAAAAGCAACATATGCTTATTCAAGAAGAAGGCCCAAGGATTCGAAGGACCCATAAGGGCGAGGAACTAGTCGATAATGATACCCATATGGCTGATGCATCAGACACAGCCTTCAGTGCGCCCATCAGGAAGCGCCCTTCTGATATAGATACAAATGTGAAAAACCCAAGTCCAGAGCCGCCAACTGCTGTGAGCCCAGAGCCAGTGGAACTTCCTGAGCACGTTGGTGAGCCAGAAGTTGAAGCCAAACCGCCCTTGAAAATCGACACCCAGGAACAACCTCAACCAGCTGCTGCCGATCTAAAATCATCGGCAACATTTAACATTCAAGACGTTTGGTCAGGCGTCAAAGGTCCAGATCCTGAACAACGTGCACGACGCTCTTCCAAACCATCCGAGTCTGTGGCGCCGCCGACGAAGCAGCAACCTGATGCTGAAATTGATCGTCTTCTAAAAGATGAGGAGCCAGAGGATGAAGAACCTTACTCGCCGGTGGACTACAGCACAGATCCCAACGCACCAATATGGCTAGGCAGAATGGGGATGCCTAACATTGCAACATTCTCAGGAAGAGGCAATCACGCGGCTGGGGCGAACCTCAGTAGTTCAATCCCGTGGTCTCAATTGTTACCACCTACCATGACCATCGAAGGTCGTATACACACTGCGAAAGCGGACGAATACTTGTGCGGCTTGCGATTCAGTAATTCCGCCGAATTGACGGTAGTCTCTGTGACCTCCAATGACGCCGCAGAAGATCAAGCTCAATTCGAAAAGCTTTTCAAATATTTCACCGAGCGCCAGAGGTACGGAGTAATCTCCAAAAATCCAGTGTCGAATGTAAAGGACACTTATGTTGTTCCTTTGGAGGCCGGCACAGAAAAGAAACCCGAGTTCCTCGAGTTGTTGGATGACTGCAAAATCGAGTTCCCATCCTCTGAGCGCATGCTACTTCTCAGTTTCGTCATCAGGATGAACAACTCGCCATCAGCAGCACAGCAAACGCCCCGTGCTCCGGAAGTCACCACCCTTCAAAGCCCCGTCACCGCCACAGGGCATCCACCTGGGCCGATTGGCGGACACCCAGGGGTTCAACACACCCCTCCAGTCAACTTACCATACCAACCACCTCCACCTCCATACTCGACTGTGGCAGGCAGTCCGTCCCAGGGTCAAGGCGCCTATGTACCACCACAACAGTCTCCATCCTATGATCCTCGGGGCATGGAAGCAGCTCGGATGGCCCTTGGTGAGCTTGTGGCTGCGCCTGCCATCGCCGAACTGCTCCAAGAGGCACCGAATGCCGGTCTATTCGAGCTGGGGATCGTGAGGCAACTGCTGGAGAGTGTTCCTGCCAGCCGCACCAATTTCCCTATGCTTCAAGGAATGTTGATGCAAAAGTTGCAGGAGCAGCAACAGCAGGCGCAGCAGCAAGGAACAGTCGTTTAGAACATAAGGAGTGGGGGAATACGGCTTCATGACAAAAGGCGCACTATATGGTGAACAATGCACGGGACTAAGTATCTGGGATTTGTAATTGGTCACAGGAAGGATTTCGGAGACTCTGTCTGGTTTGTCGTCAGAGTCAGGAGATGAAGATACTGCCTTTGGTTCTTGGGGGTTGCATTCGTGATGCATGATTGGGATAATTTTTGCGGAGGAGCAATTCTACATTGTTGTATCTTCACTGTTTATGGGCATTTCAAGGCTTAAGGAATTGTGCACACTATCATGATCCTTTACATTGTTTCTTACGCCTCCCGGGTGCTCCACACTCGAGGTATCATTGTCGTTCTCATTGTCACATGGTAAGCTCAGGTATTAAGAATAGGTCAAAATCAGACATTGCTTCGAGATAGTGCTATCCTCAACATGGCACGCACGCAATGCAATCCGAAGAATCATGTGCTCAATTTGAAGGCTGCTATTCTCACCTCTGAACGCCTGCCATCTTCGCGATCAGGAAACGGATTTCCCTTTCGAGGGGCTGCCACCTCCACTACTTCTTGCTCTCTCCCCGCTCCCCAAGCTCCCACTAGACGCCTCCGCCCCGCCTTCTTGCTCATCTCTCGGCGCACTGACATCTGGGTTTGCGGGGCTCACATTGAGCGGGTTCTGCGAATCCTAATACGCGAAGTCACAGTCAGCATGGCTTCCCAAAAGGCTTCCCTCCTTCAAGCATTCAGTTGATAATAAAATGTCAAAGCACCTGTCTCGCGTCACTGTCGCTTACGTTGCCACCCTCATTCCGATACTCAGCTTGCGGATCGGTGACGTCCGGGTCGAATGCTGTATCACCTGCTCCTGTGTTGCGTCCGGAGGCTGCGTCATCGGTGCCGGATTTGCTGTATTCTGAGGATTCGGTATTTATGCTATCTTTGTCTTGAGAGTCTTTACGAGGATAGGTGAAAGGGTGAGAACGGGAAAAGGGACGGGTTTGGACAGGTAGAAGAGCGAAATGTCTAGATAGACTTGAGGCTGGCAGCTTTGAGCGGAAATGAAAGCGGTAGCTTCGTGATGCTTGTGCCCGTGGGCTTAAGAAGGACATGTTTGGTAATGTGATATTACTGGCAGATTTGTGGAGGCCCTACGCTGCGTAGATTGAGGCAACGGTTCAAGGACACACCTGAACTGCAACAAAAAGACACGTCTAGCCGTTAGATCACACAATACGCTTACAATTGATCTTGCGCATAAACCGTTGTCGTGACCTCAGACCCTTGAGAGACGTCATTTGAGGATTCCCTCCCCTTGTTTGTGCAGAAGAAGTACACTTGGACACCGTAGTGCTTGACGTTGCTCCGCAACCCAATTAAACAAACAATCCAGCCAATCGTAATGCTAGCGCATCAATAAGGGCGATATTGGATATAGAAACGTCATGTATAGACCCAAAGTATGACAAAGACATGTTCAATGCTCGGCTCGCCTTGAGAGACGATTAACCTAGCGATACTGTCACATGCCTTCGCCTTCCAACCGTCGAAACCACGATCCTGCGCGCCCACCAAGAACGCGAACACGGCAGACCACCGAGAGGGAGTACAGGAAGGAGAGGGGCACACCGGAGAAATCTCATTCGCGTACTCCTAAGGGAAGAACCCAAAGTCCTGAAAGAACGCCAAAGAAGGAAAGAACTTCACAACAGAGGTCTGGAAGCCCAGAACGACGCAGAAGGCGGAGAAGTCACGATGGAAGATCGAGACGAGAGGTGGTGTCGGAGAAGCATGAAAGCTACGAGTCAACGAACAGTGGATCGGCTCTACTCTCGGCGGATGCACTAGCTCAATTGAACAACTTGAATGAGAAACACGATGGTAACAAGGTGAAGAACATACCCAAGATAGACAAGGCACACTCAGAAAGGCGCACCACAAAACAAAAAATTGCCACTGGGCGAGTTGAGAAAGAGAAAGCGAAGCGACGAAAAAAATCTCACGGACATGAAGACCGGAGACGGATCAGCGGTCCGCTCGCTGAAGAGGGAGGAGTCCACAGGAGACCGAGAGGAGGCTATGTCAGTGCAGACGAGAGACAAGGAAAGAAACGATTTGGCAAAAAGTTCTGGATAGTTGTAGCCGTTATTGTACTTCTGTTGGTCATATTCATACCTGTCGGGATTGTTGTCAGCAAAAAGAGCAGCTCTGGAGGTAATGCTACAGGTTCAAGCAACGATAGCGGAGACCCAAGTAACGACAATCTCAAGAATGTCAACGAAAATGACATACCAGTCGAAGCTAAAAATACGATTCTCGACCCTTTTATCTGGTATGATACTTCAGATTTCAACGTCACATACACGAAGGAGACCGTTGGAGACCTACACGTCATGGGGTTAAACTCTGAATGGGACGATTCGACCCAGGCGAATGATAATGTACCATCTTTAGACAAGAAATGGGATTATGGAAAGATGCCAATCAGAGGCATCAACGTTGGAGGCTGGCTCGCAATCGAGCCATTCATTACACCTAGCCTCTTCAACTCATACAAATCAAACCAAGCTGTCTTGGACGAATGGACTCTGACAAAACAACTCGGACCTCAGAGCGCAGCCCAGACACTAGAAAAGCATTACGCCAAGTTCATCACACAACAAGATTTCAAAGACATCCAGACAGCAGGCTTCGACCACGTCCGTATTCCCTACTCTTACTGGGCAATAACCACCTATCCAGGCGACCCCTACGTGCCCAAAATCTCGTGGCGTTACCTCCTCCGCGGCATCGAATATGCACGTCAATGCGGCCTCCGCGTGAATCTGGATTTCCACGGCCTTCCCGGGAGTCAAAACGGCTGGAACCACAGCGGCAAACAAGGTAGCATCGGATGGCTGAACGGTACCGATGGGTCCCTGAACGCTCAGCGCTCCCTTGACATCCATACCCAACTCTCCACCTTCTTCGCGCAGCCGCGCTACAAAAACATTATCACTATCTACGGGCTCGCGAACGAGCCCAAGATGACCGAACTCTCCCCCTCCACCGTGAATGACTGGACCACCAAAGCCGCCGCGATAGTGCGGAAATCAGGGATGACCGATGCCCTCATAGCCTTTGGCGACGGCTTCCTCGGTCTCGACAAATGGCAAGGCCAGCTGCAAGGTATCCAGGGCCTCGTTCTCGACGCTCACGAATACGTCATCTTCGACGCCCACCAGATCAGTCTCTCCCACGTCGACAAAATCAACTATGCCTGTAAAGGCTGGACGGGTCAGATGAGCACCTCTCTCGACACTTCCACAGGATTCGGCCCCACACTCTGCGGCGAGTGGAGTCAGGCTGATACGGACTGTGCACCGTATCTGAACAATGTGGGCGCGGGGACGAGATGGGAGGGAACGTTGCAGGGGACGGAGAAGAGCGCGGCGGTGCTAAAGCCGAGTTGTCCCGGGGGTCAGGGCTGTAGTTGTGCGAAAGCAAACGCGAAGCCGGAGGATTATGAGGATGGGTATAAGGATTGGTTGTTGATGAATGCGGAGGGGCAGATGAGTAGTTTTGAGAAGGGGTGGGGGTGGTTTTATTGGACTTGGAGGACAGAAGGGGCGACGCAGTGGGATTATAGGGCTAGTGAGTTTCTCTTTGATTCACCTATCTTTTAGGTGCTCAACAAGAAATTGTGTGCTAACTTGTGATGTTGTAGGCATGGCAGCAGGAATACTGCCGAAGAAGACTTCGGATCGAAAATTCAATTGCTCAAGCGGTGTCCCTAGTTTCGACGGCTTGAGCGAGAACTATTGACATGTTAATATTCCTGGGCTTGGTAAATAATCATCGTTGGACATAGCGCATTCATATAGCACGGCGTCTTTGGCACTGTCAAGCTGAAAGGTTTTGAATTGGAGATTGAAAGCGTTCAGGAGTACAATTCATTACTTCGCCTAAATTTACCTTCCATCTTAGCATGTCTACCATTCCAAGATCCCCACTTCATACATGCTGACATATGTACACATGCTCGCTATGCGGATGCTGATGCTGATGCTGATGCTAATGCTGAGCTATGCCGTGAAGGAGTGACGCAGAAGGGTATATTCGCCAATCAATGCGCACGCGAGAGGGACAAAACTAACGAGGCATGCTTTCCTAAAAGATGCAGACGTAAGATATGAAGAGTGGTTCCTCGAAACACGAGCGACGATGATGCATCATAATCAAAAGCCATCTATCTCAACGGCTTTGAGCGGGCGAACAAGTTTGGCGAGGAAGCGGTCGAGGTCCTTGAAGTTGTCGGAAGTCAGAGCGAATTTGCGGTGCTTTCGATCAGCGATATGCTGTATTTAGAGTTAGTAGAGTTCACATAGACAAAGCGAGTTTCAGCGTTACCTCGTCAAAGTCATTATACTTCTCTTTACAATTTTCACAGTAGCCGGGTTTCATATCCTTCTTGGGCTTTTCGGCGGGCTCCACGGATTTCTTGGCCTTAAGCTGTACATCTTGAGCCAGCCAAACATCTTCTTCCTCTGGCGGAGTGGTTTCCTCGAAGATCTCCGCAAGTGGTTCAGAGGGTTTCACTCGATTCAGACGAGCCCGCGATATTTGAACTTCAGCGCGACCAGTAGCACAATAGTCAATACCAGGCTGCCTTTGGTGAATTGTACTAAGGGCTGGCCCGGCGTTCTTTTCAAGTACCTTCCGTTTCAGACCATGGACCTCTTTGTTGGTTCCAGTCTTCACAAAAGGAGCTGCGGCGGTGGAAGACATTACCTGTGATCGTATTGCCGATGTGATGTTAGAAGGCTGAAGGCCTGATGCAGCGGGTTCCGCAGCAGACATCTGAGAACAAGGATTTCGTTCCTTGCTTTGCTGCTCTTTGAAAGGACTCTTGATTTGAGGAGGCAACCTCGGAGGCGGCGGCGCTAGCGGAGGCACTACTTGCCTCTCTAGTCGACTAGACGTAACTGAAGCTGAGTTTCGTATCTCCCGAAGAGGTGGACCACATGAATCGTCTCCTTGCACAGTCAACCGGTCGTCCTCTTCATCGTCTTCGTCCTCGTAAATGAGCTGCGGTGTTGGAGCGCGAGATTGCTGCCGAGAATGCGATTTAGATCTTTGTCGTTGCGCACGGCGCTCTTGTCTGGCCATATCGATCTCTTCTTTACCTACTTCTTCAACGAATGGACATTTTCCATAGCTGACAGCCCGGAACTGGGGCCATTCACCACTGTCGTGTCGGCTTGTAGGTTTGGGCCATTCTTTTACCAAGATGGGTCTAGTCCTCTCATCGATATCACGTACGTAGAGATAAGGGCCCTTGAACGGAACAATCTCGTGTATTCTGGATGTAGTGTCATGATCTGATGGTCCGTGCAGTCGCTCCTGACGAAGCATACGGTTTAGATCAGCGTCTCCATCTACTCTCGCCATAGTATTGTTGCTCTTGCGCTGTACTTGTTGCGCGGTATATTGCTGAACCTCATCGGGCACCTCATATATTGTGTTCATGATCCGTTGAAGTTTTTCTAGATGCCATATCTTCATCTTCAAGTTCTGTGCTCTCGAAAGGACGTCTACATGGCTTGCGAGAGGCCGCTTCTGCTCTGTGTCCCCCAGATTGCCAGAGTTGACACTTCTGGGTCCAGCTTCAAAGTTGAATTTACTTTTTGTCTGTTTGGCACTGTTCTGAAAATGATTGAGTCTATCGAGTACAGAGGGGTTGATGGTTCGAGGTTCTAGTGGGTTAGAAGAATTTTGTGGCTGTAAGATTTCAGAATTAATCTTTCCGTCTAGCGAAGTAGGCAGAGATCGAGTGGTTATAACGTGGGTGACCTCTTTAGAGAAGAACTTCTCCTCCCTCTGCACTCAGGTCAGCAAGGTAGGCAATCCTACAGTACCAGGCAACATACAGAACCAAGATTGCGAACAGTCTTAGAATACTTTAAGCGAACATCTTCCGGCACGCTTTCGAAGTAGAACACAAATTGTGGAAAGGCTTTCTTGTAATGATGCTGCCATCTTCTAACACCCTCCAGGCTTTCTTGTGGAGGCTTTGACGTTCTTTGTATTCTTTCGCTTGTCCCAGCATCCTTAGCCGCGAGCAATCGCTTCTCGAATGCTGTATGCTGCTTAATTACAGGTTGCTTGGCTGAGTGACTGTCCTCTCTCATGTAAACAGCTTTTGTTGGAGACCCTCGGAGCTTCGCCTGTGTGAGATCCAAGGCTTGTCTCTTTGCTTTTGGCTGAAGGTCCTGGGCAAACTTCTCCTGAGCCTCTATATGGTCTCGTGGGCGCTTGAACGAAATGACCTGTCTTGCCGGTGAATTTGCAGCATTTGGGACCTCGCCAAGTGGAATTCGCCGAGCAGTCATGATCTCAAACTTGTGCGGAGCTGGAGAAATAGCTAATGTTGCCATAAGTAATCATATAGGTCTTGCACGCCGAGTGCGTCGAGGGCGGGGCAGTCTGTTTGCGGCGCCAAACGCGACCGTGACGACGCAAGTCAAAGACGAATAGAGCGCAGTAAGGATATCATGATGATAAGACCGACTCGCAAAGCCTCAGCACAGCTACAATGGCCCTCAAATGAGCGTGATACCGGTCAATTGTGCCGTTTGTTTGTGATGTTATTGGGGGAACCCGCAGAGGGAAGCTACCAATGTTGATGGCAACCGCCCTAGTTTCAAAGCTAATTTTAATGCAGCTTTGTGCGCCCTAATACAAGGCACAAGAATGCACCGCCACAGATTCATAATTCTGTGCGAAACTTCAAGTTTCGCGGGTAATGATATCAACATACGGATAGCAAGCTACTTTTCTCGAGCTGCAAAGACAGTGACTTGTCGCTACGGGCGACAGTTTGCTGTCGCCGCACTTCTGTGCATATGTAAACGAGGATGTGAGCCTGAGCATAGACTCCCAGACAGTGAGCTCTGGTCCTCGGGGTAACCAACATCTCCCTTCTTCCTTGAATCTTGGGGCATCAGAATCCTTGCGAAGCCTAGCCAGCGACTGAAGTTGTCAAAGTGTGGTCGAAGCCAGCCGAGAGGATGTCGAGTCCTTCCTCAAGAAGCCGATCGCCCGGTGCATCTCGTTCGCCACATGAACGCATTCGATTTGAATCCTCTTCTGCTAGTCAGCAATTACGGGGATCTGCATCTCAACGACCTTCATGTGCATCTACTGTTGATGATTTGCAAAACAATGACTCTTCAGCTTCACAAGAACCAGATCCTACCTTAGGACCATTGAGCCCACAAACCGAAGATCGAGTTTTCCCAGTCAGATCTGTGGTCTCGGTGGACCCCAACTCAACTCCTACCGCCAAATATGATCCAACGGCAAGAGAAGAGTACCCAGGAATGAGTGCACCTTCAAGTGCAGGGCCCGACCAACATTTTATGCCAAGAGCTTTTTCCAAAAGCCGCACTGCATCTATGAGCTCAACGCCAGATGCGGTGTCAATTAGATCATCCTCGTTACCGAGGCGCGACGTTAAATCACGGCCCGACCTTAGCAATACGACTCAGAGCAGGCGATCCTCGAATAGGGAAGCCTCAGAGTCTCTGCCGGATGGGCTCAGACACATGCTTACACCTACTGCCGAGGAAGCAAATGATCCTTACAACAATCTGGCAGCTAGTAGAGACAAAGAGAGTACAGCTGGCTCTCTTAAAAGTACTGGTGATGAAGTTGGCGGGCTTATAACTGCACGGTTTCAGCATGTTGTGACAGAAGAAGGGCATGCTGTAATCACTGGCCGAGGTGGTGAAACGATGCAGAGATGCGAAGATGAACCAATCCATATACCAGGAGCAATACAGGGATTTGGACTGTTGATTGCCCTACAAGAAGAAGATGATGGCAAGCTAATAGTGAGAATTGTCAGTGAGAACTCTAAACGTATCATTGGCTTCACTCCAAAGCAACTGTTCGAATTGGAAAATTTCTGCGACATCCTGTCGGAGGAGCAAGCCGATAATCTACTAGATCACATTGATTTTATAAGAGAGGAAGATATGGATCCTGCGACAAATGGCCCGGAAGTATTTACCCTTGCTATACGTGCTCCATCGAGAAAGAACCACAAGCTTTGGTGTGCTATACACTTAAATGGGGTGAATAAGGATCTGATTATATGCGAGTTTGAGCTAGAAGACGATCCATTATATCCCCTTACGCCAGTAGGTCAAGAGACACCAACCCCGCCAGAGGATACTCTCAGCAGCAATCCATCGCCTGCTGAATTAGCCGAAAGTACAATAAACGCGAGCAGACCATTAAGAGTCCTACGCAGTGCCCGTAAACGTAAGGGGAAGCTGCAGCGATGGAAGTTTTCAATATCATGTCTCAAGTTCAAGAACAGCTCTCCACTGCGCCATCACTCGAGGTTTTCTTGAAAGTTTTGGTGGGTGTCATAAAAGAATTGACGGGATTTCATCGGGTCATGGTCTACCAGTTTGATTCTTCTTGGAATGGCAGAGTTGTCACTGAACTCGTTGATCAAAGAGCAACCAAAGATCTTTACAAAGGTCTCAACTTTCCGGCATCCGACATTCCAAAGCAAGCTCGAGATTTATATAAAATCAACAAAGTCCGCTTGCTCTATGACAGAGATCAACAGACCGCTCGCCTAGTGTGTCGAACGATCGAGGACCTTGAGACCCCTCTGGATCTCACGTATTCTTATCTTAGGGCTATGTCACCCATTCATATCAAGTACTTAGCCAACATGGCGGTACGTAGTTCGATGTCTGTTTCGATCAACGCCTTCGGCGAACTCTGGGGCTTGATTTCATGCCACTCTTATGGCTCGAAGGGAACTCGTGTAAGTTTTCCCATACGCAAGATGTGCCGACTAGTCGGTGATTCTGCATCTCAAAACATCGAACGCCTTTCGTACGCCTCTAGATTACAAGCTCGCAAGCTCATCAACACTATGCCAACTCAGAGCAACCCTTCTGGTTACATTATTGCTTCTTCTGATGACCTCCTCAACCTCTTCGATGCTGATTGCGGCCTGTTGTCCATCCGTGATGAAACCAAGATACTTGGAAAGCTTGAACATACACAGGAAGCTTTGGCAATGCTTGAGTATCTACGGCTGAGAAAGGTTAATTCCGTTACCAGCTCAACCGACATTAGGTTCGACTTTCCCGACCTTAGATACCCGCCAGGCTTCTCCTTCATTGCAGGCATACTGCTTGTGCCCCTTTCCGCTGGTGGCAATGACTTTATAGTCTTTTTTCGGAAGGGTCAACTTCGAGAGGTGAAGTGGGCAGGCAACCCGTACGAAAAATTTGTGAAAGAAGGCACAGAAGGCTATCTTGAACCTCGTAAAAGCTTCAGGACATGGTCTGAAACAGTCGTTGGTAAATGCAAAGATTGGAGAGAGGAAGAAATTGAGACTGCGGCCGTCCTATGTCTAGTGTATGGAAAATTTATCGAGGTCTGGAGGCAAAAGGAGGCCGCTTTACAGAACAGTAACCTTACACGCCTTCTACTGGCTAATTCCGCACACGAAGTCCGGACGCCTTTAAATGCAATCATAAATTACCTGGAGATTGCAATGGAGGGTGCCCTTGATCAGGACACTCGCGAAAATCTATCTCGGTCGTATTCCGCTTCCAAATCTCTAATATATGTCATCAATGACCTTCTAGACCTCACGCAGACGGAAGAGGGAAACGAGCTTATCAAGGACGAGATATTTGATTTCCCTGCTACGGTAAGAGAAGCGGCTGAGTCCTTCACTGGTGACGCCAAGCGCAAAGGAATAGATTATGAGGTCTTTGAGAATGCTCATGTGCCGCGACATGTCGTGGGAGACCAAAGGCGAGTCAGGCAAGCATTATCGAATGTCATTGCTAATGCGGTACAATATACAACGAAAGGATCCATTAGGGTCGAAATGTGGCTCGTTAACAAGGCGGATAACCGCGTGGAGGTGGATGTCGTAGTTCAGGATACCGGGTGCGGTATGTCGACCTCAAGACTCGACTCCCTATTTCGAGAACTTGAGCAAGTTCAAACGGAAGACGATGAGGGATTGCAAGAGAAATTAGCCCCAAGTACTAAGACGCTCGAGAATAAGGAGGCTCCTAAGCGGACTCTGGGGCTAGGATTGGCCGTAGTGGCCAGGATTGTACGAAATATGAACGGGCAATTGAGGCTCAAGTCAGAAGAGGGTGTCGGGTCGCGCTTTACCATCCAACTCGGCTTCGACTTACCAGTTGAGGAGGAGAAGAGTAGGGCCTTAAAAGATACTCAAGATCAAGGAATAGGGCCGCCTGCCGATCAGCCAACGACACCACCAGTTGAAATTGGTGAGGTCATGCTTGTGAACAAAAGCGCCCAAAAGTCAACTCACGAGAGACCTACTGAGATGGTCCACCGAAATAGCGTAGACAGCGTACGAAGCACCCACAGCACAACAAGTGTATCGAGCGTAAAGAGTGACGTCGATCGACTTATCGAAGCCATTCAAGAACCCGCCATGGCACCAAGCTCAGGCAATGAACTTGACAATGCTCATCCCACAATGAGTCAAAATTCGGGGTCTCCTTCACGCCACCGGCGACCAGGTGCGAGTCTCACAATCAAACAAGCGCAAGCGCCGCCGGAAGCTCCAGGTACGCTCCCTGTTGCAGACTCCAAAACACCCATCAAGCCCATTCGAATGCCTGGGGAAAGCAGCACTGGAGCACCAACTTCAGAGCACCCGCCACAAAGTCGCAACAAGCGTGCCGCTTCCCGTTTACTGTTTGATTTGCCAGACCAGCAAGAACAAGGGGCAAAAATATTAGATGCCTCGAAATTGCAGATACTTGTTGCCGAAGATGATCCCATCAACAGCAAGATCATCAAGAAAAGGCTAGAAAAGTTGGGTCATACCGTGCATCTTACCATCAATGGAGAAGAATGTTCTAGCTCTTTTGGCGAACAGCGAGCATTCTTCGATATTGTTCTGATGGACATGCAGGTCAATATGGACAAAAACCCAGCATTTTAGAAGACAAGCTGACATTCTACTAGATGCCAATTGTAGACGGTATGACATCTACAAAGATGATTCGCTCATTCGAGAAAACACAACCTTACAGCCTCCTCTCTGCACGTGCTGCTATGAATGGCCGAACCCCAATATTCACCGTCTCGGCTTCGTTGGTAGAGAAGGAACGACAGACGTACATGGATGCCGGTTTCGATGGGTGGATATTGAAGCCGATCGATTTCAAGCGCCTCAGCGACTTGCTCGACGGCATTGTAGACAGCCAAAAGCGACACAGTTGCCTATACCAAGCCGGCCAGTGGGAGAAAGGTGGCTGGTTCTGCGGCAAGCAACGAGATGTGTTCGCTGCCAATACAGCGCCATCACCAAATGCGCCGGTTGTGAGCTCGAAGACAGCGGGGTCTGCCCCTGTCCAGCCTGAAGAGAGTGCATCAGATCTCGAGCGAGAGAGGCTGGGCGGCCTGCAGGACGAAGCGGTAGGTGCCAAATCTCAACCGAGTAATGCTGGGACGTCTGGAGAGGTCCAGCAATGTTTAGAAGGTGAAGGCACGACTTGAACACACGACAGCCATTGCGAACGATACCCACATGAGCCGTATACTTTATCGACGATATGATGAGAAGCGGATTAGCGTCATGAACTTACACCCTCGGACTGGGTCCGATCTTCTACCTCTCACATTCTCACCTTTCTGCTTCTTCATTTTCCCTCTTTTTGAGACCCACTTTTGTAAGAAGGAATGTCGCACTAGCATGGCGTTTAGCGACGGACGGCGTTCTCCCGACATGGCACAGAGGATTGGGACAGTGCGAAGGGAGAACAGTCTCTCGCATCCCGATGAGGTTGCAACGGAATATGGCTCGGGTGTTGGAGAAGGGTCCCTCATGTACATAAGTAAGCGGTAGAGGGGCCTAACCGGTTGACGCGACGATCTACGAGTAATGAAGTACTGAAACACTCCATGAGAATATGCATTGTTGCAGCAGAAGAGAACCCTGAATGGCAAGGTGTTCTCCTTATAAATATGAAGATGTAACGATAGCTGCATGAAGGGACTAGGTATTGTATGAATGTATACCTTAGTAAATAGAATCTTTCAGGGTTCCCCCACTAAGGATTTAGCGCTGTCCGGTACACGTGCAAAAGCCACATGGCAACAAGGAAGATAGGGGATCGCCCAAATGATTGAATGACGGCTAATCAATTCTGAATCAGAACTTGGCCTGTTGTTGCCATGCGCTGGGTCGTACATATTATTAAATGTAGGGAGCGGCATGACCTGCATGGCTCGCACGGCTCGTCTCTGGCCAGTGGCCTCAGCTAATACATTTTGGCGACCGTCCCCCCTAGTTCTATGTATCCCTTCTTGTACCTTCTTACCCCTTCTTCCCACTCTTTTTCAGCCTTCTTGCCAGTCTCCCTTCGGCTTGCCGCCAAGACCATCACCACCTTGTCCAATGATCGGGCTCTTCAGGTCAGCACCAGGTCAAAGACGTCAAGCAGGGATACCGATGTAGCATGGCGTAGAATTATCCTTTGCCTCGTGCGTTCCATTGCAGATTGCCTTGGGTGATGGTGCGTAGAATGACGATTCAATTTTTAATTGACCTTATTCCATCTTTGATGCTCACTGCTGTCTGGGTCACTCGTTGACTTCCACGCCAATGACGTTCGGGACAAGCGCAACGGTCTTTAGCTACGAGCGATGGCGGTGTGTTATTTTCATTATCCTGCTATTATTATTATGATTGTAGCCCGTCCCTCCTCAATTAGCTTTCACCGGTCTTCACTACCACCAACGGCCCAGGCAAGATTGACTCTGATCCGTTTCCTCACTCTATCTCTATCTCTGCGACATCTCTATTTCACTACTACCTCCCTTCTCCCATACCAATCGATGCCTGTGCGTCCCATGTAATGATGTATACGGGAGCAGCGTTAGCACCCGTGCACTATCTTGGATGACGGTCGATCACTGCGAGCAAACATCAGAGTCACCCCACCTCCTCCCCTTTAATCCATGAGGCTCGCGACCACCGCTGCCGCCTCTTGAAGCCTCCAATGGGCAACAGCAATGGCAAGCCCGTGGTCTTCACCGACGAAGGTACGTCCAACATCCTCCTCTGCTTCCGCTCCGCTCTCCTGCAAGCCCTACAACCCGCATGACTCACCGCCTCCGCCAACAACCTGGCTATTCTGCTTCCCCAAACCCCTTGCAGCTGCCATGAAAACTGATGATGATATCCTGCAACAGTCAACCTCAATCATTTCCGACTACTACGAGTGGTGGGAAAGGGCGCCTTCGGCAAGGTGCGCATCGTCGAGAGGAAAGATACTGGCTTGACCTTTGCCCTAAAGTACATACGCAAAGATGAAGGTACGCCAAAGTGATCCTTGGTGGCGAATATACCTATCGAGCTTGCTGATGGTTGGGGTAGTCGTCCGATCAGAAAGTGTCCGGAATATCATTCGAGAACGAAGAATGCTCGAGCACCTCAATCATGCCTTTCTCTGTAATCTACGTTACAGCTTTCAAGATATCGAGTACCTGTACGCTCAATCCTCCGACCCCCTCTAGTTCTGAATCTTGGTATAAGTCGATAATCTGACGCGTGATTGAATGACAGGTACATTGTTGTGGACTTAATGAATGGCGGCGATTTACGATTTCATATCTCACGAAAGACCTTTACGGAAGACGCGGTGCGCTTCTGGATGGCGGAGCTGGGCTGCGCATTACGATACATACATTCGCAAGGGGTTGTGCATAGGGATCTAAAGCCAGATAATGTCCTGTTAGATGGGGATGGTCACGTCCACCTAGCAGATTTTGTAAGCCTTTTCGCAACATGGAAAGAGAAGCAATGACTAACGAGAACAGAATGTTGCATCTGAATACAAGCCCGATAAACCTCTGCATAGCAAGTCTGGGACCCTAGCCTACTTGGCTCCTGAAGTCTACGGAGGTGGGGGGTATTTGACGGAGGTAGACTGGTGGTCCTTAGGCGTCACCTTCTACGAATGTATCTACAACAAGGCAGGGCAAATTCACCATTTCACCTTCATCCAATTGCTAACATTCAACAGCGTCCCTTCACTTCACACGGCCATGAGAAGCTTGAGAAGGAAATCATCAGGGCCTCTCCGAATTACCCTGTCACTCAGCCTCCGGTTTCTATGCCCTGCCTCCACGCCATTACATCACTGCTTGAGAAAGACAAGCGAAAACGGATAGGCGCCACTGGTTTCGATACATACACCGACCATGCCTTCTTCCGACGACTAGATTTTGACCAGCTTCAAAATAAGCAGATACCTCCCGTATTCGTACCATCTAGTGAGAAGACCAATTTCGATGCTACATATGACCTAGAAGAGCTGCTACTAGAAGAGGCACCTTTAGAAGCCCGAGCCAGAAGACAGAAACCAAGGGTCCAATTGAAAGAAGATGCTTCCGAGAAAGAAATTCGTATCGAGGAACTCCACCGTATGATCGAAACGCTATTCGAACCATTCGACTACACTACAGTGAAGTGCGCCTTCTCCCTCTCTAAGTTTCCTTCGACAATGCAACTAACAATTGTCCACAGAGACTACAAAGGCTTCACCGACGCATCCCTAACCGGCAACTCCGCACTCGACATACTCGACAAACGCACCACGAGCGAATCCGCCGACGCCATCTCTCCTGTGCCCCTCAACAGGCCCCAATCCAACGACTCGAACACCAATTCCCCACCTCTCACCACAACCTCCGGCGTCCATCAGAACCCCCCATCCGCACACTCCGAGTTCTATCCTGCGCACGAACATCAAATCGGCTCGCCACCCCCCATGCCCAACACCGTCGGCCAAGCCGTCACGGCGCCGACTTCTGACCCGTCATCGTCCACCTATCCCACAAGCGGTGGCCGGGGCGGCAGAGGAGGCGGATCTCGCTCGGCGAGCAAGTCCGGCGGAGTACAAGTCGTACTCGACGAGACGGGGAGCTGGTCGCAGCTCGCGAACAAGAATAATGAGGATGTGGGGGATAGTGCGAGTGGGAATTCTGGGAAGGGAGGGAAGAGCAGTGGGATGCTGGGATTTTTGAGGGGGAAGAAGGGAAGGGATAGGAGTCCGAAGCCGATGGAGAAGGGGGTGCTGGGGAAAGAGGGCGCTCGTCAGGTTATTGGAGGGCGCTGAACCAGATGGAGGGTAGCTTTAGGTGAGGAGTAAGACTGAGGAGCGAGTGACAGGTAGCTGGGAATTGCTATGAGCTTACTAGCTCGGCTACTTGCGTGTACTACATCTATGAGAAGGAGGGGAAGAAAGAGGTTGGAATAGCAAGGACCTCGAAGATTTGCGATCGCTCATCGTCATGATCATCAGTGTACGAAGACGAACTGTTTCGACCATCGGCGTCAACGGAAGAAATCTCCCCAAAGCTGGCTGAAGAGCTAGAGGTAGCAAGCATACGACGAGTCAGGATTTTTGTGTCATTGTGGATAATCATTAGCTGTTTGAAGAGTTGAGGTGGGGAGGGGAGGGAAAGGGCATTATGGCATTATGGATACACTTGAATTGAATCGAATCATATTATTGAAACAAAGCAAAGCAAATGACTGAAAACTATCGTTACTTCAGTTGATGTGTCGCTACGTCGCATGAGACCGGATCGTGTGTAGAGACCTTAGGGGATAGGCACAGTTTCCAGCATCGCGTCGCACAGCAACCCCATCCCTCATCGCACTCTCCACCCATATCTCTCACTGAAATTGTACAAAGGTCCTCATCCGACACATCAGCCGGTTATGGCGGCCTAACCCCACACAAGTGAACGGATCATCAGGGTCTGGTCTTGGACCCTTACTGGACCCTGCTCATCCCAACGAGAGACTTGTGAAATCGCTTGATTGGGATTGGGGATGATGGATGATGGATGAGACAGGTGGTAAGGGGGATGGGGAGTAAAGGGGAAGATTTTGCGATGAAGTGATGAATGGGTGGGTGGGTGGTGCGGACCTTGGGGTGGTGGGTATGGCATGGGAAGGCTTGATTCTGTAAGAAAGAAGTTTTGATGGCATGATGGGAGGAGCGAGATGGTGGATGTGAGGTTTGTATAGGGGATGTTGTAAAGGGGTGAGGGATGTCAAGGCTTGCGAGACTATCTGTGAGGGAAAATAGCCATGTTTAACATTTGCTATGCTGTAGAATGGGGTAGTCGCTATCGCGTGACAAGAACTGTAAGACCTTGCGAGATCATCGACAAGGATCTCGAGGCTCGAAAAGATCATCATCTGAAGGAAACAACCAAGATCAGATTGCCCTGCTGTTGAGCGGGGTGATAGCTACCTTCCTCCTCTGTTACAACGGCCTATTGCAAATGCAAAGTAACGATTGTGAGGCTTTGCAAGATCATCATCTTCGAGAATCCTATTGAGGCTGAATAAAAAGGTGTTATGTGTACGGATTTGTGTGCTCGTTGTGGGCTTGCAGCGGGCAAACGCTGATTTGGATTCATTTTGGCCTTTTGTCACCGGTTCCAAAGGGCAGGGCGATGGTCGTAAAGCCTGTTCATTTGGTTTGGACTTCAGCTCTCAAAGGATTGATTATCAACAGTGGCAGTGGTAAGATCTGAAGGGCGCTACTGAACCGTGGGCCTGTGACGAGGGCGCAGCACTATCTAGAGACAGATATGGTGAGCGGGTGTTTCGCTGATACGTTTTGAATTTGGGGCAGGCGAAGCTTTCTGGTTCTTCTCTTTGCACTAGCGCGTCCATGTATGTAGGCGATTGCCTCAGATTCATGTAGGGAGAGTGACTCTTCGTTCCAGATCGTGCCCAGTGGAGAAGCTAAGAGGAATGAAAGCGCTTTTCGGTGCATTTCAATCTCGAAAGTATGAAAGCAGATTGGCTATTTCCGCCGAGAAGTACTGGTCAGAGTTGTAGGATCTTCCACCGAGGCCAAGAATTCTGTCTCATTGAATCCCTGAAGTATGTTGCCGAAAGCGACTATGTCAATTTCCCCATCATCAACTGAGACGACTCTGAATCTCTGAGGATTGTTCAATCTCAGTTTTGAGTAACCTTCAGTGGCTGCAGCTATCACACTTGCACCAGTTCGGTAGGTCAATGTACTGGGTTGTTTGATCAATGCGTATCTATCGTAAAGATCAAGATGGGCCCCTTGCGCGTCGAACTGTTCACGCTCTGGAAATGAATCTGTCTGAGGTGCGTGGGCAAGAAGTTGAGCGTGGAAGCTTCGTAAACACAGAAAGACATGGAAGGGGCTTGGGAAGCCTTGGACAGGGCGGTATGGACTTGGCGAGTCGTAAACGAGTCGCAGGTCTGTACCTAGGACCGGGAATGCCCTTTGATTGTCTCTGCAATACTTCAAGTCAGTGTTAGTCACCAGCAGGAAAGGACTTAATACGCACAATGCGTCTCCTGGAACTCGCTCGAACACTGAAAAAGCCGTACAGCAGTCAAGGGCGAGGAGACAGACCACGAAAATCAGATGATGCAAGTTTCTCAGCATTTCGACGTCGACATTGTCCAGTCTTGGTCATTCTACGCCGTATGGCACAGCTGCAAGTTGAACAAGTAAGGTCAACAAACCGCACTCGTCTATGCTATATTTACCGGCACAGCGTGATCAGCGGATAGGCGCCACTGCAGCCGTAAAACACTATCTCCCAGGATAGGAATGGGCATAATCAGATTGCCCGCATGTTTCGGGAATGCTCAGTCATCGCCAATGAGGCTTTCATCCGTGAAATCTTTCAGCAGGCAAAGGCGTCATGCGGACTTCAATGCCATAACAAGTGTAGGAGAGAGAGAGAGAGAGTAACTTTCAATCAACACAGCGCGGGCAAGCGGTAGTGGGTGGACATAGGCGAACTATTCTCCGCTTCACCCAGGGGGACACTTGACAGACCATGTTTAGAACATGACCTATTGAACAGACGATGCTAACGAATGGTGTCAAGCACGATGTACACCGCTGCAGAGGCGGACCCATTGCATTCCAGGCGCAGCATAGATTGCCGTGAAAGACGCAAAGCCGATCCACGATGATACCGCCATTCCCTTTTTCCTTCACGAGTACTTGCGTGGAAGCACCAGCTGGAAACGGAGCCAGAGATGCCGTGGAACGAGTTGTCATCGTGCTGACTGCAGATGGGAGATGCTGGCAAGTGGATTGTTGATGCAGAGCAGAGGGGCACAGCCCATGAGTCCGGCCTTACGACGGTGGATAACAACAACAATCGAACAGAGGGAGCATGGTGCAAGTTGCACTAAGGCCACCCTCTCGGATACACTGCCTTCAAAGCGTCTGCGTCTAAAACAGGTCGGTGCGGACGGGTGGCGACATGATGTGATTCACGGGTCTGTGGATTGATGGAACTGATGGAATTGATGGAGGCGTCGTGGCCAATGATGGCATGCATTTGAAACATAGCCAGACTGCATGGCTCTGAAACTACACCAGCTAGAGGCAGGCCAGAGAGAAAGCGGTCAAGTGGCCAAGTGACATGGACGATTGACACTAGGACGAGGAGATATAAATAGATGCGGCATGCAGGAGTAGCAGACAGCTAGAGTCGACTTCTCTGACTTCTCTGGCTTCTCTTGCTGGTTGGGCCTGTTGCGTGGATGCGTAGTGTGGAGCGTAGCTGTGGGGTTCCAGCGTGTGAGTGGTGAGTGGTGTAGTAGTAGATAGTAGTTGATGGCTTGATGACTTGAGCGTCGATCATTTGAATTGTTGTTATTTTCTCAAGCTTCTTAGTGCTCAAGAGCTCAGCCACCTCCATCAAACTTAAATTGCTGCAAGCTCCAGAACCACCAATCACATCCAGAATGTCATGTCCACCTTCACCACCTCGTCAATCGCGACTTCCTCTTTTGATGCCGTCGTGACACTATAAAGAGCTCTGCCGGAGCTCTCCATCCTCCACCATGCTTTGAACAACATTACCAGCTCTCCCTTTCCGTACATCAAGCTCTTTCCCAAGCATCCGCTAGCAAAAATGCCAGGCGTCCGTACGTCGTCCTCGACCTCTGGTCCGAGCTCTCACAAGCTGACTGCTCATCACAGCCCCCGACGCGGTCGCCCAGGTCAAGAAAGGTCTCAAAGGTCTCTGGGCCCGGCGCAAGCAGAAAAAACAACAGCAGCAACACCCCGAAGCTTCCACCACACCTACCTCGTCTACCCCTACTGCCACAACATCAGCAGCTGCAGCTACCCCCGCTGCCGCCGCCGGAGTGACCAATGCACCTCCCCAGACTGGTAAGAGACCCTGTCATACCAAACAAACTTCATAAAATGCCGTTATCCTCTTCCAGTGTCCTCAAGCAATTTCCCGCATCCCTTTCTTGCACAAGCAAACACTATCCCCCCTTTCCCCTTTCAACTATACTAACCACCCTTCAAGAGGACCTCCCCCACCCCCGGCCGGTGGCCCAGGACCCGGCACAGCTCCCCCCCCCCAGCTGCAGCAGCCACAGCGCAAGACTTCCCCTCCAAGATGTCACCACCCACCACTTCCGCCCCGATCGAACAACCTAAAACCAGCGCCCCACCTGCCTCCCTAGACCCGAAAACAGCACCTGCTGCAGTCCCGGCGACTGCGACGGCTCCTTCTGCACCAAGCGGGACGACCACAGCACCGTCTGCAGGAGCTGCGGGCGGAGTTGGTACTGGTGGTACTGGCGCAAGCGGGACAGAGGGCATGAGTGCAACGATTAGCGGACCCCTGGATGCGGGGGGGTATAGTGGTGGAGGGTTTCATGATGGGCATGGACATGGTGGTGCGGGACACGGGGGAGGACATGGTGGTGATGGGGGCGGTAGTGGTGGTGGTGGAGGAGGCGGAGGTGGTGGAGGCGCCTAAACTCAGTTTTTCATTGAGCAGGTTTGCTCTAGAATTGATTGAGGGAAGGGTCCGTCTAGGATGAAGAGTGATAGGTTGGCATCAAATATAGATGGATGGATAACGGAACGTCGCTGACCTGAAGCTGAAGGGGGAACTGTATCTTGTACGCTTGACACTAATTAGCGAAACGCTTGCTCGATGGATGGAGGCAGCATGACTAGAGAGGAAGCGACTTGAGGACTGAGCAGTAGCGAGGGGGCTGGTGGGGGTCTCGGGATATCATTTCCTTCGCAGGAGAAGCAAGCACTGACTAATGTACAATACCACCACCCATTACCACTAACCATCCATCCTCCCCGTTCCTGTCCTATTCAACGCATTTTTCATGCATATCTTTCGCACGCAAAGCATGCACTGACTAATATACCTGTTAAGCACCCCTACATCGCCTTTCAATCTCATCCCCACCCCACCTCCCCTTTTTGTCATCGCCGATCCCTGAACTCACGCACATTCGAAAAAGATGAAGACTTCTGCGGACTGGCGCTACGTCTGCCTTCCTCCTGCCCCTTTCCTCTCCCTTTTACATTCTCATTGAGCTCTTCGTCGCCTTCTGGATCGCTATCCTCGTCCCAGACTGAGTGCTCGGAGATTGTGGCGAATGAGTCGTAGACATTGGCGGGGGGAGGGGGTTGAGGGAGTTGGAGGCCTTGAGGGGAGGGTTCGGAGATTGTGGCGAAGGAGTCGTAGACATTCGGGACGTTCGGGGGATTCGGGGTTTTCGGGGTTTGACTGGGTAGGGGGGCTGAGAGGGGTGGGAGAGGAAGAGGAGGGATTTTGCTGCCGCCAAGGTACCGGGGCTGGGGTTTATGGCTGGTTTGTAGGGCCGAGGCGTTGAGAGTTGTGGTGAGGGTGAGGTGGGGGTGGGGGTCGGTGTTGCGGGTTGGGGGAGCTGAGGAGCTTGAACGGGTAAATGTGGTGGAATAGATGATGGCGATGATGGCACTTGGGGAGGTGGTGGTGATTGTTCAGAGGGTGGAGAAATGGCCTGGTAAATGCTGGCTGAGGATGAAGGGGCTGGTGTTTTCAGCTGTGAAGGATTGAGATGCACTGGTGAGTGCGGTGGTACTTCTGATTGTCTGAGCTTTGATTGGAACGCCGGTAGGGAAGCCACAGGAGGTGGCAGGTTTGGTGGAGGATACCACGGTGTGCTTTGCAGCTGAATGTGTGGCGAGGAGCGAGGTCGATCTGGCTGTGGCAACGGCTGATGAACCCGATGATAATAGTGCAGATCGTTGGTATAGGAGATATGTGGTGCATTGAGCTGGTTGTTAAGCTCGGCACTCAAAACATAGTATTGATCTCTTGATTGTATGTTAGTAGAAGGCATTACTGACATGACTCTCATGTCAGGGAGAGAACTTCTAGGCCTCGGTGGAAGTAGGGACTGTGGTTTTGCAAGTCCTGAATTGCTGAAGGGACTTGCGGGACGGTGAGCAGGATTGTTAGAGTGTCCATGAGGTCGGACTTGGGGTAGGCTCGTTCGGACGGACGTCAATTGTGGAGGTGCAGGTGCAAGGAACCGAGCTCTGCCTGCTGGTGTCGGGAGAGACCCCATTCGTTGAGAAACATGAACGGGTGCGTGCTTGGAAGATGTTCCGCATTGCTTCTTCGTAGCTTGTGTCTTCATACGAGGCTGCGATTGCCTGAGTCGAAATGTTAGCTTTCGGATTCCAGGCAAAAGCAAACGTTGCTTTCGCCTGCATGGACTCGACTCTATAATGTAGACGTACGTTGGTCCAGTGTTGACCTCAATGATTTCCAGATCAGGGAGACCTGGATACCATGGCTTATCGACTTTGAAGCCTGCCGTTGCCCTTCGAAACCTTGCTACTTCCCTCATCTTGACCCAGTCTTCTTCCGCAGGATCGGTATACCAATTCCTGCGAAGTGATCGAGCAAGTTCTGACAACGACGTTATTTGCTGTTCGTCGGTTTCGATCTCGTTGGATTCCTCTTCTATCAGTGAGGACGGTCGGTCATGTGGTCCTTGCCAATGATCGTGGAAGCGTCGCTTGATCTCTTCGATTGGTACGTAGCGGTTTGTAAAATGCACGATGAATGCACGGGGCTCTGCCGGCCAGTATCTTTTGTCCAACTCAACGCCAACGACCCCAACTGGATTGAAAGGAGGTATTGGTAATCCGAACCAGGCATATCTGGGAAATATCTGCTTGATACGCGGAACGAAAGAGTCATCCTTGGCTACAGCCTCAATCCATGCTTTTACATTCATGGTCAGCTTGCTCTGAACTTCAGAGAAACGGAAATAAGATTCATATCGCTCAGCTAAGGTTGTAAGGTCGCCCCAAACATGTGCAAAGTAGATTAGATAGGCTGCTTGTTCATGATGCTCAGGACGGATGTGAATTGCATCCTCGTGGTTTTCTTGCCGATCCATCTAATTCAGATGAGTGAAAAGTGCTATACTGTAGAGCTCCATCATTCTACGCGTGGAGTGACCTTCATATGTGTCATCACTACCAAAAGACGTTGTAACACCTGACTCTGAAGTGTCAGATTTTGTGGCAATAATAGTAGATTAGGCGAAATTAAGAGCTGCGACGTACAAACTTTCGCAACGCTACATATCTCAAAGGATATCACGAAGTATCTGGACAACGGGTTTGTCTAGCAAAAACGATACTTATCCTTAGCCAAACCCGATCAAAATATGTCAATCATCTAGTCTCCCGCGTGGTAGACACGATTCAAAAGACAATGCATTTGTGTACAAACATGTTACCTAAGGAGAATTAAAACCTTTTCCCGAGTAAATTGAGGCGATAAATGTAGTCCCGGATCCAGTCGCCGATGCGTCTGGTTGAGTATTAGCACAGGCTGCAGACTGATACCTCAACAGAATTCAAATATTGACAACAAAGTAATGGTGTATATACTTAGGATATGAAATAAATGTCCTCTATTGATGGACGTATGTCTCTTCGTAGGCCGCACATATTTTCCAAAAACTAGGAATAGGCGCAAGCAATGGCATACAGTAACGGAACGTGGGAATCTCGATAAACAAAGTGGCTCTACAGTCTCTCCCGAAGAGATGAGAAGTTGTAGAAATGTGTCGCCGTTGTCAAGGTCTACCTCACCGGGAATAACTTTGACTCTTTTCGGGTTTTTCTTCGATTGAAGTCCACCTGCTTTTGTCCGCCAAAAGATACTGTTGGCTTGCTATTGCCATACACAAGCCCCAGAGTCCACTGATTGGCCAGAAGGAGAGGAGCCACAGAGGCCACGAAGACTTCAATGCCTCATGCTCGGCTTCAACATCTACTTTCACTTTATCATAGATGCTTGGTAAAGACCTAGCATTATATTTCTCACGAAGAGAATCGTAGGAAGCACGATCGTAAATATTCCAAAATTCCGCTTCTGAGTAGTATGTGTGGGCGTATAGCCATTTCATGCCGTCCAATCCTACGAGCTTGTTCTCAAGCCTGCGGTTGACTTTTACAAAGTCATCATAGTTCCGAGGTCCGTAACCCCAAAGACCCACATTGAGCATTGGTGTATTAATCTCAGATGTATGCGGATGGAAAATGGATTTTGGGCTTTGCTGCAACGGACAGAGCCAGAGTGGATAGATTCCGAATTCAGTATCGGCGAAATCTACAAACTCTGACGCGTTAGAAAGAGGTAGCGCCAGATCCTGCACGACATATTGCTTGGAGTGACCGCTCGCATGCAATGCCGTGTACATCATTCTAGTGCGGACGAATTTGTCGAGATACCATCTCGTGAGCCTGTTGAATGGCGTATAGAAGTAATGAAATGCCGAGCGTCCAACCCAGAAGCCTCCGCGATCGTATCGAAAGCAATAATCTGCCAAGGGTATGTACTCTGTGTTGGGCTTCTCGCTCTTGCAGATGGCTTTGGCATGCATGTAGAACCAAGGATCTGCCGCATTGGTAAAGGTCCGAACGTAGCCATCTCCCTTGTCATTCGAGAGGCGACCCGTGACAATGACGCCTTGATTTTTTGAATACATGATCCCATCAGTGTAGTCGTACGATCCGTTGGCTCCAATTACTTCTTGAAACTTTTCTACGGCCGCCGCCATACTCGCTACTGGAAAATAAGTCGTCTCAACGTACGGTTTTGCTTCTATGAGTTGGAGCTCAAGTAAAGTGGTGACCCCTAAAGTTCCACAGGCTCCGGCTGCGCCGTGAAATAAATCTGGTCTCTCGGTGTTGGATGCCATGACTATTTCACCATTTGCGAGCACAATCTCCACGTAATTGACTGTGTGATCAAAGAAGCCATGTTTGAACGAGCTACTCTCACCGGATGTACCGGCGTAGCCACCACCAACAGTGATTCCGGGGAATTCCATGACAACAGGAGGGATGAGACCATATTTCAATGTCGTGTCTACCAAACGATCCATGGGCACGTTTGGCTCGACTATGACAGTTTGTGACTTTTGGTTGACCTCCAGGATATATCTCAAATGGCTGATGTCCACAGTCTTACTGCGGCTAAGTACTGATTGGCGAGTACTATTAGTCGATCCATGATTTATACGAAAACTTTCTCCTCGGTTGTAAAAACCTTTGACCTGTGCTGCAATACTGATAACGTCGCTCTTGTGCCTGTCCATTGTTTATCAAGACCTGTACAATAACAAGAAGCAAAACGATGAAAGTGGAAATCTATTTGTAAACTAATTTTAAACATGGTGCCTGCACCATATCCGGGCTATCATTGCCCCCTCAATCAGCATAACGACGCATTGAACATTTATCCCAAAACCGCTGAAGGAAGAATTTCGTAAGCGAGTCCAGATATTTAATGCGTGTTTGTCCGTTCCGCCCGCTAGAGCAGTATTGCGTCAGTCATGGCGCCGCGCAAATTCTAGTGCCGTAGCTTTAGGGGCTTCTTTAAGGACGCATGCCTGTCCTATGTTCAGACCAATCAATACTCGGGCGGGGCAATTAGTTCTTCTAGTCTTATCAAGATGTTAACTTGCACGATTCAACGTACCGCAAGCTCTGTCTCAGTAGCATGAAGTTGCCGATCTTGCCTGAACGCGTGACTTATGATCAATTGATAGCAAAAGTCAATAACTATGAGCGAATTGTCCCCTCAAACCTACAGGAGCTAGACAATTTTCGCGTCAAAGAGCTTCCTGGAATTCTCCATCAGCGCCAAAGTTCTGGGGGCGCTTTCTTGGAGAAGGAAGAGGCGACGAAATTGCTCAATTGGAAGCTGTATGTATTGTTCCTAGTCTTTTACATCATTGAACACCGTTTTGGCTCCAATTGAGACGTTGGTAAATGGCAAACTGACCGCAACCCGTCCTCTCCTAGAAAGCATGGCAAATTCCGTCCAAGCCTTCCAAAGCTACTTGCTTCCAATAGTGACGAGGTCATTCGCGCCATCACTAAAGACGCCTTCTCAGCCTACACCGCGAACCCTTCTGACCCAATCAAGCCCTTGGAAAGTATAGCAAAATTAAAAGGTGTTGGACCTGCAACTGCGTCGCTCTTGCTCTCGTGCTTCGATCATGAGAACATCCCATTTTTCAGCGATGAGATGTTTCGTTGGATCCACTTCGAAGACGCTGGCGTCAAGGGCTGGGACCGTAAAATTGGATATACGATGAAGGAATACAAGTCGTTGCTTGGAAAAGTTAGTGACCTGAGGACGAAGCTGAAGGACGGTGAAACAATCGTGACAGCTCTAGAAATTGAGCAAGCTGCTACTGTCATTTTCAGCGAGCGAATGAAGCAACCGCTTGAAGAGTCATTGGGAAATGAGGAAGAGGAGGCTTCAAAGCCATCAAGTTCGAAGAAGAAAAGGACTGTCAAGCATCCAAAGTGAGACTGGACTTATTATCGAGGAGGTCTGGAAATCGCATTCTCATTCGTAAGAACTTGCTGTCACGCCTTTTTTCGCACATGGCTCATATGAAAGCTGTGGAACTTGTTCTGGTGCAAATCCTGTCATGTGCAAGTATCGATGATATCATCGGTGGCATTCAACGTCAAAACATTCAAACGCCCGTCCAGATGGAAAGCTTCGTCAGGAGTGTTGGCTGACCTGGATTTTGTCATTGGCAACGGAAGAGGCTCATTATGAAATTAGAAAGGCCTGCAAAGAGCCTACTAGGAAAAGTGGCTGGCGCGACGCTGGACAAGTGTTCTGAACTCCTTTGACGCCAAATTGCGACTGATCCCAAAAAAGAAAAACGCTTTTAAGATTCGTCGAGAACGATCTGTTAGGTTTTGGCGTCGCCATTCACTGCCGATGTCTCTCTTCGCCGCAACGATTCCGGCAGCTCGTTGGCTTTTTCGTCGAACAACTTTCTCGCATCTACCCATACCGGTGCCGTATCTCTCTCGGGTAGCTTGAGCAAAGACGGTAATAGTGCTTCACTGAATGCTTCTGAAGCTTCTCTCGGTAAAAGACTTGGCAGGTGATCAATTGTGATCTAACGAAGCAGAGGTTAGTACTTTCCAACCGGGGGCTCTAACGATATAACCTACATAACTGAGTGGCGGATTTGAGAAGCCAGGAAGTGAGATTGTAGGCTTGTTGAAATAAGTAGGCTCGTTGGCAAAGGGAATAGGGTTGTTTGGGTTAGTTGTGTCACACGAGACGTCACAGACAACGCTGAGATTCCTTTTGCCGCTCTTGAGCGAGTCTACGGTTACAAACTTGGGAGCTGATGCCTTGTCGAGGTAGATGCAATTCTAGATGGGCCGCTCCATCAGCATTTGAATCCGAGAAGGAAAACCATCTTTTTAAACCCATCGTGGCCAGGACTTTGATCGTAAGAAGCGAAGCAAAGCACTCACAATGAAGATATCAGCTTTGCGTATTTCCTCATATGGCCCTGCGATATGTTTCTGTGAGCGATGTCTCTGCGTCGAGTCTTAAGCTTAAAACAGTGTTGTCCTTTACGCCTAACGCTTATTCTGGCAGAAGGACGTACCTGATTTAGCCATCGTCTCTTGCAAATCCCACTTCAATAAGTTGTCTTCTGGGATGCCAACCACTCGGCAGCATTCCAAGGCGCCCTTTCCACACCGTCCTAAGGCACCTATGATCAAGACTTGTGGGTACCTACCTCCTGTCTTCTGCAAGCCCTTCTGCACTTCACTTTTGACTTCTTGGTCAAGGTCTTGCTTGTAAGCATAATGAGTCTTGCCTTCCAGGGGTCTTTTTTCATTCAGTTGCCACGCCCAGTCCATCAATGCTAGGGCAGATCCCTCAACAGAATTCAGTCTTACCATTTACATTTAGATCTCGATGTCACCTACTGCATAGCCCGCATGAAAACCAAAGGCTGCAACCCTGACCTAGATTGGGGGGTCAGAAACGGCCAGATCATTCAATGCAAACAAGACATGCTCTTCGTTCCTGATACACCTCTTCCAAGAACTCAAGATCGTAGCTTTCAGCATTATCAAAGTCAGCGCTTCAAAAAGAAGAAAGACCGTTTGCATTATACTGACAGTTGGCCTCCGCCGCGCGGAAAACGACCAAGAACATCTTGCCAACCACCTTGACCTTTATAGCCTACCAGAGATATTGTCATAAGCGCATTTACCTCGTAACAATCATTCAAAGTGACGACTAACAATGAGCGAACTGGATATGAGTGTGGCGCAGTGGGAAAGGTTCCTTGTCTTCGAGCTCTTTGAGCCCAATGATCATGTGATCAGCAGGGGCGGAAGGCCATGAGCCTTCGTCAATAAGCGTCGCGCCTACACTCTCAAATTCGCTGTCGGCAAAGATACGCTCTGGACTTCTCTCGACATTCACACTAAATCCTGCTTCGAGCAGTTTTCGAGTGACGGTAGGAGTCAAAGCACTTCTGTGCTCCAACGGCTTGGTTTCAGAGCGGAGATGGAGAGTGACTGGACTCATTATGACAGATAAAAGCCTTGAATCCTTCTCGATATTGGTGTTTAGATCCGGAATGATTCAATTGTGGAGGGTTTTCGACTCATAAAAGGTTTGCCGCGAGAAAGCGGACCTAACGCTAGCCAGATTTAGAGTTTGGGTAATGGGAACTAGCCGATTGGCCAATTTCCGCTCCTTTGGTGAAAGCGCGGTGGGATTGCACAGCGATCTCAGCCAGGGGCAAAGAGGCTACGACACATCTTCAGCTCTCCAAAGGCTAAGGCGCGATACTTATGAAATGACTCCAATATACCTGGCACGGAGTGTTTGTACTTGATCGCAGCAATAGCCCTGGATCCTGCCTCTTTAGTCGTACCCCGGCGTTCACCGCATCAAGGCATAAGACGATCCGAAGCTATTCCCTCTGACATCGAAACCCCAACATGCCTACACAAGATACAGCTAGATCGCCTGCGAGGCGCCCGCAATTGAATGAACGACCCTCCTCGTCGCAATCGCTTTCCAAGGGATCACCCGGATCAGGGAACCTCACCAACACACACAAGGGATCATCCACCAGGTTACACAAGACACATGCGGTCGGTCATGCGCGACACGGCCACGGCAGAGTGCCTTCTTACGGCAAAGGTCTCAACAAGCTATCTAAATTAGGCCTTGAAAATGTCACTCAGGACGCGCCACAAACCAAGAATCATAATCGCTCAGCGTCGCATTCACCACCTGCGAGTCCGACTCAGCTGTCGAATAAGCGAAATAGCTCATCAATTAGTCTGAATAGACCTGGCTCACGAGGAAACGTCAAAAAGAACATATCGCATCCGAACCTCGCGCGCAACGGGTTGACCACTAAGGCTGGTAACCAGCCGAAGTCAGAGAAGGCGCAAATCAAACAAGACCTCTTGAAAAGAGGCACGAACGATGCATCAATCCGAGGCTCTGCTCAATTTGAAGTGGGTGATGATGGGCAGGATGACGAGTGGACGGAGGATAGTAGCTCGCAGTCACCGGCAACCACTCGAACGCACTCAAGGCCAAAGACACCCATGAGTCCAGCACCTAAAGAACTCCCCACGCCTGATGAGCCTCCAGAACGGCGGTCGCCGCAATTGCCTGCTTCTCCGCCTGAGTCACCACCCCTCAATGGACTTGCTCATCACAGTGAAGCGACTAGACAGCCGCCCGGAGTGGAAAGCCATTCATTCTCTCACCCACCTGATGCCCAAGCTGTCACAAACAGACTGCTCAATCGCAATACGTCACATAATATCTCCGCACAAGCATCGAACATATCAGCTAATATAACGCCTCAGCATATCGGGTCTTCAAATGTTAGCAATAGCCAAGGCTCTACTCTCAACGAGCCATCAATGCCCGCCGACGGCATATCAAGATTCCTTCCGGGCACGAATTCCAACTCAGGAAGTGGGACGCCAAGCTCGGTATCCCAGCTGCAGCAAAATCTGGCGACCCTAGAGCGCTCGCAACAATCTGATTCACCACGAAGTTCTACACATATAGCAGGAAAGGCGGATGCTCGGCGCGTCAGATCAGCTGCAAATCTGACCCACCCTCGTCTAAATGGCGAGAGCGTCTCACCTGAGAAGCCAGCGAAGATAGGGGCCAAGGCTCAAGTCAAGAACGAGAAGAAACCATTTTACGTCCCCTCCCCATTCGAATCCGCTCGCGGTGCAAATCCAACTGCTGGAAAGTCCTACACCCAGCTCAAATTGAATTTGGATCGTGAAGCCGTCTCGCGAGACCCTCCTGTGTCATCACATCCCCTATTGGCCAATCAGGGTAGTCTGCTAGGAACTGCTGGCGCAACGATTTCCATGGATCCGGGAGATATGGAAAAAAGGCTAAAGCGACAATATATGGCCGCTCAAAAAGACGTTCAGAATGCAAGGAGGTATTACGGTGATGTTGTTACCGTTCATATACCAGAAAGAACGCATAGGCGATGGCAGCTTGAGAAGGGTAAAGAGAAAAGAGGACGGGCTACAAAAGGCAAAGAATCCTCCAACACGGGCAGCTCTGCGGAGACCGCCAAAGTAGGTCCTTCTCCAGTAGGAGCCTCAAGTCTTGAAGGCGCGCAACGTGGTCGAATCAAGTTCGACGTTGGCAAGAGTAACCAAGGAAGTCGACCGAAAAGCTTCAGAAAGTCAAGCGAAGAGCGCAACCCTGAAGGCGGCGATATTTCGGCACTGCTAAAGCGCATCTGGATTGCTAGCGAGCCGCGGGAGGAACTTGACGGCGAGTAATTACGCTCGAAATCTAGGTCCACGATATTTACATGACGAATGATACATGTTATTAATATCCCAAATGATTGGGGACTGCTTGTTCGCCCTTAATTGACTTGATCAGCGATCAGCACCACGGCGCTCATGTCACTTCCCTCCTTCGTCCCACTCCGTCCGTCCCAACCTCACGACATCCTTTTGCTCGACTACCCAAACACCTTCCGCCTGTTGCCCGTCCACGCACTTCTCAGCCGCCCTAACAATCGCCCTCGCGATTACATCGGCATCCTGCGCCCAGAAATCCTTGCCCCATCCCCCTGTGAGCTTTCCCATCCCATTTGCCAACGACCTCAGCACCGCTTCCGCTACCCTCGTATCCTCTCTTTGCCCCACAAGCAATCCTGGTCGTACAATAACACAATGTGCGAACCCTAGCTCTTTGACTGCATCCTCTAGCTCTCCCTTCATCTTGCTGTAGGCGAGGTAGCTTTTACTGCTCGTTCCCGCAGAAGATAGGAGCACAAAAGTATTCACACCTGATTCTTTGGCCGCTTTCGCAAGAGAAAGATTTAGGTCAAGATCAATACTTCGCTGAGCGGCGACAGAGCCCGCGGCCGCGCGAGTGGTTCCAAGGGCTGTGATATAAGCGGTTGGAGGAGGAGATAGCGAAGATAGTCTTTGAGGCCATGATGCGCTTTCTTTTTCAAGAATTGGCTGGAGGGAGGAGGATGTGAAGCTGTGAGGGAGTTCGCGGCGCGTGAGGGCGTGTACCGTGGGGGCAGAAGGCAAGGACAGCAGGGTGCTGAGGACTTGAGAGCCGACGAGGCCAGTAGAGCCTGCGAGAGCGACGGAGGAGAGAGAGTGGGTCATATTGAAAGATCAGTCTGCTGAATAATAAGCAGCAGAAGTGATGATTTGAGATCTGATCTATAGGATCGAGTGGTGTACGCGTGCATTTTCTCATGCGAGATCCCTGTAAAGATTAAGTTCAATGACGTCGGAACTCAGATCTAGACTTTCCTTATCTTATCGAGCACGCAATATTGATTTGCTAAGCCAACATGCAGCTAAAACAGAATAGTACCACTTTCTTGCAAATTTTGCCTCTTAATGAATAAGGACCCAGCAGGGTCGTGTGTGTGCTGTGGTCTGAATCGAGGTGTAGTGACCTCTTGTACTCTATTCACTCGACAAATATGCGTTTCCAAGCAGCAGAATCCAATGGCCCTGCAGAACCAGAGCCCATTCGAGCGGGACCGGAGAAGCCACTGAAAGATTTCAAGCTGCACTCAACCAGCCTACCCTTCGGCCAGTACACTCCTTTGCCCTGTATTGGCGGTCCTACATACGTAACAGCGCAAACGCTTGTGCAGCAGGTAGCCTATACGCTGTCTGATCGACTATGGACGTATTCACCGGAAACATTCGACCTGGATTTGTCGGCAACAAGCTGGTATCGGGAAGGGGCAAAGAATGCATATGGAGATACTCCTCGAGTCCACACTTTACAAACTAGGCAGGGTGCGGCATCAGTAGCCCTAGGCTATGTCTTTTCTAAAGATTTCGACCTCGAGAAACGGCACAGGCCCCAGTCAGTCATTGCGACGACCTCCACACTTCAGTACCTCCAAAGCGCTTTGGACGAATTATCATTGCTCTACACGCTCTCCAGTCCATTTGTCGCTCATGTTGCTGCCATCGACTATGCAGGCGCCTCGTCACGGTTGGTCACAGATTACACCTCTGCATTGTCGCTAGTTGAGACGCTTGGGCTTGGGTTAATCTCGAGTTTCTCTACATATGAAACACAGCACATGTCCCTACTTGCGACGATGTTTGCCCAATATGTACCGATGATCCACATATATGACGGGGTGAGCGTGGCGCGGGAGACTACCAGAGTTGTCGACGCGCTTGATCAAGTAGGATTGGACAGGACCGTTAGAGCAGTCCAACAGGCAACCTCTGCACCTACCAGGAAAAATACTAGCCTTGAAACTAAATTCATGCGTGTCTTGAAGGCCTTGAATGAAGAGTTAGGCACTCAATATGCTCCCTTTGAGTACAGAGGGCATAGCTCTCCAGATGCAGTCCTTGTTGTCTTTGGGACAGTTGAATCATCTTTAGCCTCTCAAGTCGCAGAATCGCTGGAGAGTGATGGCGCAAAGTTCGGAGTCGTGAGCGTGAGGATTTACCGACCGTTTATGGAAGATGAATTCTGGGCTGCATTTCCAGAGATTCCAAGGACCATAGGAGTACTTGGTCAAGTACACGATCAGCTCACAGTGGAAGACACTGCTGTCCATTCTGATCTGTACAATGATGTGATGGGCGCTGTATCATTTTCTGACAGACCGGCACAAGCACCTGCCGTGATTGACCTAAAGTACCCAAGAGACAAGCTCTGGACACCTGGCTCCATTGCAGCTGCTCTACAGCAGCTTTCCAGAAAGCCTCTCACTGACGCCAATTCGCCTGGCTCTCTCGAGCTGCTGGACACCAAAAACGTGCAGCAATTTACCTTCTGGGATTTCGATACGTCTAACGCTGCAAGTGCGCCTGCCGCTATTGGCCAGGCACTTGCAGTGGACTCGCAGAACAATGTCACTATGAGCACCAAGTATGACAACCTGATCCAGGGTGGGGTCTTCAGATCGGATGTAAGGAGGTCGAAGAAGGCGATAGAGGCCCCATACGCTATCAATACAGCCGACGTAGCATTTGTTGGCGAGCTATCCTTATTGAATCAGGTTGATATCTCGAAAGCCCTCAACATCGGCGCAAAGTTAATTTTAAAGCTCCCAGACGTCAAGGACGATGACTTGGAGGCGAAGCTGCCCGTATCATTGCGAAGATCACTCTGTGCCAAACAGGTTCAACTCTTTATACTCGACCCGAACGCGATTGAGTCAATTGCGGATGACTCTGCACTCGAGACCTACCTTGTGCAGGCCTGCTTTATGCGTGTCGCGCTGCCGACCTTAGAGAAGACTGCTTTGCAAAAACTTGCAGCGGTCAACGGATCAATCGAGCTACTCGAGATATTAGCAGATGAACTCGACAAAGCACTGCGATCAATCGAGATACCTAAGTCTTGGGCTGAAGTCGATGTCGATGAATCTTCTCCGACGCCATTATCGGATATCCTGCCCAACAGCTTCACGGCATTCGATAAAATTGAAAAGGAACCTCGATCCTACCTCAAAGATTGGAAAATACCAGCTTTGGGCCTCGCTTTCAAGGAAGCTTATCACACCCGCCCCAGTCTACGTCCCGACCTTTCAACCAAAACATACACCGTCAACGTCAAAGAGAACCGACGACTCACACCCCTTACTTACAACCGCAACATCTTCCACATAGAATTTGACCTTGGCACCTCTGGTCTCACGTACGACATTGGCGAAGCCCTCGGCATCCACGCTGAAAACGACCGCACCGAAGTCGCAGACTTCATCACCTTTTACAACCTCAATCCCTCCGAGATTGTCGAAGTGCCCTCTCGAGAGAACCCCTCCGTCCTCGAAAATCGCACAGTCTACCAATCCCTAATCCAAAACATCGACATTTTCGGCCGGCCCCCAAAACGCTTCTATGAAGCCCTCGCCGAATTCGCCACCGACCCCCAGGAAGCAAAACAACTCCTCACCCTTGGCGGTCCTGAGGGTGCCGGAGAATTCAAACGAAGAGCCGAAGTCGACACCATGACCTACGCCGACATCCTCCTCGAATTCCCCTCCGCCCACCCCTCCTTCCACGACATTGTTCGCATTGTCTCCCCAATGAAACGCCGTGAATACTCCATCGCCTCGTGCCAGAAAGTAACCCCTCACTCCGTCGCACTCATGATCGTCGTGGTCGACTGGGTGGACAGCAAAGGTCGCGACCGCTTCGGCCAAGCCACCCGCCACCTCGCCAAACTCCCCATCGGCGCCCCCGTCACCGTCTCTGTAAAACCTTCCGTCATGAAATTACCCCCGAAGAGCACGACGCCCATTATCATGGCAGGCTTGGGCACAGGACTTGCGCCCTTTCGAGCCTTCGTGCAGCATAGAGCGTGGGAACGGGAACAGGGCAAGGAGGTTGGGGAGGTGCTGTTGTATATGGGGAGTAGACACCAGAGAGAGGAGTATTGTTATGGGGAGGAGTGGGAGGCGTATCAGGATGCTGGGATCATTACGTTGTTGGGACGGGCGTTCTCGCGGGATCAGCCGCAGAAGATATATATTCAGGACCGGATGAGGGAGACGCAGAGGGAGATCATTGATGCTTACATTAAGAAGGAGGGGGCTTTTTATCTATGTAAGTTTCCAAATCTGCTCTCGTCTAGTCATGCTGTACCCTTTTTGAGGATTCGGCTGATGATTTTGCGACAGGTGGTCCGACGTGGCCAGTACCCGATGTGACGAATGTGTTGCAGGAAGCGATTGCGAAAGACGCGAGAGACGTTGGCAAGAAAATCGATCCGAGGAAGGAGATCGATAGACTGAAGGAGCAGCTGAGGTATGTGCTGGAGGTGTATTGAGCCCCTCGGTTCTACGCAGTGACGAATTTTGGACGGTCTGCATGGATAAAGCAAATAAGTCTTCCAGCCTTGATGCATTTGGATATACAAAGCCGAAGGACGACAAAAGCAAACCAATAGAACTAGATGCCGTATAGTTGTTTGTTCATATTAAAATTGTATATATTTATGATTGAAAATTCATAGGCTGCGAAAGATCGGAGGGCCCAGGTTGTGAATGATGAGACTGTTCTAAGACATCCTGTTCACTCCTTTCGTCAATGCTGACAAACCCACACTCAAAGGCACGGACTGATGGTGGGAATGTAAACACATTTACACCCTCGAGCCTAAACGTCTATAATGAACGTTTCTTCAGGCCAAATATGCAAAATACCTTCACTCCTTCAGCTCTCCCGGAATATGCGACCGATTAACCAAATCCGTATTCCAGACCTTCTCCCCGCCGCTCTCGCTCTCACTGCCATCTCTCCTCCCCTCGCTAGCAGTCACCGCGCTGATAGGGCTCACTTGCGAGTCGGCCACGCTTGACCCTTCATCTCCATGAGCACTCGGGATAGTGATTGGTGCCACTCTTGGTGTCGCTTTGGGTGTCACTTGACCTTCGGCCATGTCTTTCGCATCCACAGAGTCTACCTTTTCGAAATCTCTTGCTGTATTGCTCATATTATTGGTGGGCTCTAATCTTATGTCCCTTTCCTTCTCCGCAATTGTCGGTGACTTCTTCTCCTGCGCTACGTCCATGACAGCAGCCTTCTCAAGATCCTTCTCGCCTCCGCTACTGCTCGGGCTTAGACCTTCCGATGATCCTTTTCTCTCTTCGTAGCTGCCTTTTCCCAATTTCTCCGATGCAACAGGCGGTACTGGCGGAATGCTCTTTTCGTCTTCTGTTGCTGCCGTGCCCCTCCTTCCCAGAGTACTCTTACTCTGTTCCTTTGTCAAGCTCGTGTAGCTGACTTTGCTCTGCACCTTGCTCATCAACCCATCTGACTTCGTTTGCGAGCGGCTGAGGGTTTCTGGATCTGGCAATGCTTCTTCGGAAACCTTTTGTTTTCGAGGTACGCGAGCGAGCCAGTAGAGAAAGAGCGCCGCAGCGGTGTTGAAGATGATAAAGGCCCACATTATGCCAAAGTTTCTCCATCTATTCGAATAGGAAGAGGAGAGTGCACTAAGGTACGTGTTTGTGTCGCTTGCAGTACAAAAATTGCACTGGGTCGTAGCGTTGGGGTTAGTGAGATAGCCGCCTGCAGCGGAGATGTAATCGGCCATATATTCTGAACACGTCTTGCCAGCAGTGGGATTGAAATTGATGTACTCGATGGAGGAGCACTTCACCTGCGTATTTGCAAGTCCAGTAGAGAGCATGCCGTCAATCAAGTAAGTGAAGGGCGAGACGCGGTACATAAAGATCCAGAAGCCTGGGAGTTGAACAGGACCAGCGAGGACACCACAGAAGATCAGGGTGAGGGAAAAGAGGAGTTGTCCGATGTTGCCGGCTGTTTCGGCGAGTTCGATGCCAGCAATGATCATGTCGGTGAAGGTAGAAGTGAAGAGGAGAAACTGCCAGATAAAGAGCCAAAAGAGAGTGGAGCGCTGGTTGAGGGCATGGGTTGGTTGTGCGTTGCGATACATTCCGATTGGGTAGTAGAAGCACACAAAGATCAAAACGGACATAAGAGTGTTCCAAGGAATCTCGACGAAGATTTGAGAGAGCATGAAGACCTTCCAACCGTATGTCTTGGACGGTCGTTCGCGGCTTTCGTAAAGGGCTCTCTGAGTTACAAAGTGTGGCAAAATTTGCTGGACCAAATTCCCAAACATGGTCATCAGCATGAAAATGCTGAAAAGCTGGTTCTGAAGGCCTTGTATCGATACGGCTGAGTCCCAGAACGAGAAACCAATGAATATAGCGGTGGCGAGACATAGCAGCAATTTTGAGTAAAGATAGTAAGGAGTTCTCCAATATTGCTGGAAGACCCGATTCTGGACGGCCAAAAGTTGAGTGGTAAAAGATTCAGCGAATTCCCGAAGCGAAGCGGGGTCGTCTTCAGCTGGCAGCTTCGAGAGGTCTCTTTTCATATTAGCCAGAGTTGCCCGGACCTGTTGCTTCTCTGGAGACTCTCGCCAAACTTGCCCCCAGTCGGTGGTATTCTGGGAGCCGGGCGCGGCACCAACTATGTCCAGCATCCACTCGGCAGGATTCTCTTCCACGCCACATGTTCTTGCCCCATTGTGTTCGAAGTAGGATGTCAGCGTCCTGGAGTTGTGGCCAATATCTCCGAAGTAGACAGTTTTACCACCATATACAAGAAAGAGTAGGCGGTCGAATTCTTGGAAGAGTACGGCCGAGGGTTGATGGATAGTACACAGAATAGCCTGACCATTGTTGGCAAGCTTTCTGAGCAGTGCAACGATTGACCAAGCCGTCTGACTGTCTAGACCGGAGGTTGGTTCATCTAAGAAGAGCAGCAAAGCAGGTCTTGCAGCAAGCTCCACTCCAATGGTGAGCCGCTTCCTTTGCTCAACGTTCAAGCCTTCTCCAAGAACACCCACAACCGCATCTGCGTAGCTCTCCATCTCCAAGACTTTGATGACTTCTTCGACATATTCGAGCTTTTCTTTCTTTGGTGTAGTCTTTGGCTGTCTAAGTAACGCGCTGAAGTTGAGGGCTTCTCTAACAGTTGAAGTCGCTAAATGTAGATCTTGCTGTTGAACATAGCCAGTCTTGCGTTGAAAGCCGCTGTCTCTTTGACGGCCGTTGACCAACATCTGACCAGTCACAACGCCCATCGTGACACGACTAGCAAGTGTGTCTAACAAGCTGGTCTTGCCGGCACCCGTAGCTCCCATTAAGGCAGTCAAAGTTCCCGGTTTGACCCATCCATCAACATCGTTAAGGATACGTCTGCCTTCGCCTTTGATCTTAATATCGTAATTTACTGCTTGCCAATGAAAAATAGCTGTCTGCTTTTGAATGCTCGGAGGTACGTCCCCAGCCGTGACCGTCTTCTCGATCACAGCCCCATCTGCCGTAGGACGATCGTCCACCTTTTCTTCTTCGTCACTGCTGCTCTTTTTCTTTGCGAAGCCTGGTATCTTGCCACGTGGGAAGACGAGGACTTCACCTTTCGACCTCTGGGCTGCGACTAGCTCGGCCGCAATGAGGTAAGCAGCACAAAGACCTATCATCATTGCGATGAGGACGCCAAGATTACGCCACTTGTGTTTGTCGTAGTAGCTGAATGCCTCGTTGATATAACGAGTGCCATCTACATAATCTTGACCTGGTATAGATCCAATTGTATTGCATACATGCTGGTCAGGCTGTAAACCTGGGTAAGCCGGAACGAAACCAACGCATTTGTATTTTTCGCCTTGAAACTCGTTGATCATAAGACTTTCGAAGGCGTACGCCACGGGATCTATATAGCCGATCCATCGGAACCAGGGATGCATATCTATCAATAACGTCAATGAGTTACCTAGGGTGCTCGAGAGAGAGTAGTACATACCTCTTACAGGAATAGCAAACCCAGTGTAAATAATGAGAGCCAATATTGATACTGCAGCCGGCGCCATAGCTTGTGCTAAGGTCTTTGAACAAGCTCCAATGAAGCGGAACAACATAGACATGGTCAACGTAGTGACAAGGGAGAACAGGTAGAATGTGAAGAAGGCCCCCGGTGTTCGTCGTAGATGGGACAAGAAATATAGCGTTACATTGAAGGAGATAGACATGAAAAATTTGCTTGGAAGGTCGCATAGCATTGAAGCTATTGCTTCCGAGAAGGGGTGATAGAATGCATACTGTGCCTGCTTTTCGACAATTGGCCGCTGCGCGTACAGCGTGAGAATCTAGACGAGGTCAGCAAGATGCTCAGATTACCAGACGAGGGTTGGTTAGTCTGAAGGTGGCGCCGCAACAATTCTAAGGGCAATCTTTTAGGGGCTGCTTTTGGTCTTAAGTCCCCCGAAGCAGGCCCTATAAGGCTGTTTTCTAGTCACCCCAGGCTGCCCCATTTGCCGCCTTTCAAGTTTTAGGGCGCCACCTTCAGACTCACCGACTCTCGAGACCTGTTTATAGCGCTACTTTAATGGAGATGGGTCACTCACCTCAAGAAAACTAGCAAAAGCATTGAGTAAGACTGCAAAGAACAGGAGAGCGCCGCGGTAGTAAAAGCTGCCAGTATCATGTGGCAGGTTGTAGAAGACGCTGCCAATGATGATAGCCATAACACTGTTTCCAATGACACTGGTCAATGTGATTGACGCATCACCTTGCAGGCGTTGGAAGCCTCGATATAGACAAAGCTTGACCTGCATTGGGATAGAGAGCGTATAAGGGGACTTCGCTCGTTGGCCTTTCGCCATTGTCGCTTTCCTTGACTTTTGGAATTGAGCAAGCTCCTGCCCACCCACAGGAAATTCCTTGTTGAATTGCGCTATGTCTTCAAGAAGCTGAGCTCTGTCCGGTGATTGCTGCCATCTCTGCGCAAATTCATCAGGCGTCCGAGGTACAAGGTGTTCGAAGCCTTCTCTGACGACACGTTCCGCAGGATTGGTGAGTGAGGTGAGGAAATCCCCGGTAGTTGCACGATCGGTGCAGTAGAAGCCCATATCGACGAAGAACAATTTTGCAGATTCGGTAGGACCGAAGTATATCTGCCGCCCTTCATACAGCACCACTACCTTGTCAAAGATATCGTAAATACCCTGTGACGCTTGATAGATGGCTACAGCAGCTGTAGCCCTCGACAATGATGTTGATATACGAAGCGTTTTGACAAATTCCAAAGCTGTAGCACTGTCCAAACCTCTGGTACTATTGTCCCAGCATTGCAGTGGGCTAGCGCCGAGCGCGGCCTCCGCTATACTGACTCGTTTCCTTTCACCTCCGCTGACTCCTCGAATATACTCATTTCCAACCTTTGTATTGAAGGTATGAGAGATGCCAAAGACAGCCATGATGACTTTCGTCATATGTTCAGCATACATGTCTCTGGTCACACCTGGCAGCCTATTTCGTGGAGCCTTTGCCTCGGCTGCAAATTTCAGCGTTTGGCCGACAGTCAATTGCGGAAAATGGACATCGATTTCTGCTTGGTACATGCATTCTCCGCGAAAATCTTTGTGCATTGTCTCTTTCGGTATTCCTTGGTAATTTATCTCCGACGCTTCATCAATGAAGAAGCCATGCGTTCTCCCAGAGATGGTTTTCAGAAGTGTCGTGCAGCCGGAGCCTGGTCGTCCGAGGACCACGAGCATTTCGCCGCTTCGCACCAGACCGTCAAAGTCCCGCAGTATCTGGATCTTCCTCTGACCTCTCCCCGTCAGCTTGCCCCATAGCGAGGTGATACTGAGGGGGTAATTTCCAAACGTCTTCTGGTAATCTGCCAAGCTTCCAAAACCATGCACGTTGAGGTTTTGGTACGAAATGCCGGCGACTCGCTGTGGGTAGAGCTCGGGGTCTCTTGATTGTATTCCGATAAGAGTCCTGACCCATGATTCAGGTCGAAACTGCGGGTTCGACGGGTCAAGCTGTGGATCAAGGTCTTCACCCTCCGTGAATGGGTTGGGGTAGTTCTGCCCATCTTTGGTCTTTACAGAGTGCGCTGTGACTTGCCGAGCGAGCTGTTGGACCTTGGGATCCGAGATGGCTTTGTCGAGGTCGGACGAGGAGGAAGTGTCGGTATCCTGTGGTGGAGTGGGGGCGCCTGGATTAGATTTGAAGCCGAGCTTCTCCTGCCCACTCTCATCATGAGCTTTGATACCATCTTCGCTTTTATTGGGCAACAATTCGCCTGCTTTCCCAAAAACGTCATGCACCACAGCTCCAGCCTGAGCAGTTGCTCCAAATTGGCCTGGCGGCCCCGCCGTATCCATTGAAAGCCCACAGAGATAGGGTCAATGATGTACCCCCCGTGTGCGAGAAACCAAAAGAACAAAGGTTTTATAAAGAATCCGTACGCAAGCAAAAAAGTAAGGAAACAATCTGGTTGCGAGCGCAACTGCAGGGAATGACTCGTGCATAAACGGTGAAGATTTATGCACGCACCACCATACGGAGCCCGGAGAGATTGCATCCGCGCCAAGAATCTCACCTTTCTCGGCATTTTGGGTTCCATTCGTTCCACTCGTCCCTGTCGTTCCTGGGCGTTGCGCAAGTTAGGACTCTTCTCGGATTCAACTCGGAATTCCGCATTCCTAAACTTCCGCGCCAGCTTCATCCTACACGCTTGAATATAAGATAGGCGCAAAGGGTTACGCTCCGTTTCCGCTCATACAGTGGCCGCCTTAAGTACTCGGCCTGGTGGGCCCGCCATTCCGGCGCTCATGCCACGCTTTCAAGTCAATGGAGTCAAATTTCTTTGCCCTCAATAGTGAGTCATTGCGTGTTGACGAAAGAAATTGAAGAGCCAAGGATGAGAGCATAAGGTAAGGCAGGCTGCTTATGCTGGAAGGTAGTCAGCTGCAGCGACTTGGGTCTGCTACGACAAATCTCCAATCACTCCTTCGAACAGATGACGCCCTGATGAATATATCTGCAAGGGATGATCATCCTATCTGCTCGTCCATCCCTCGTACATTGTAACGACAATCGCCTCGACTTTCCACATTTATTCGGATCGCGTCTACATTACATCCATCTTGTCCCTTGCGTCTGCCATATGACCATGACATCAACGTTGCATCCTTGTCGTATGAAATCACCAGATAGTCTCTCTAGTTCCGGAGATTTTGCTGCATTCAGAACCTTGAAGAGGTCAAATAGGCTTTCAGTAGTGTTGACAAAGCGTTGGATTCCGGGACTAACATGGTTGTTGGAATTGCGAGGCTTACGAGTCAGCGTTCTAGAAGCTTGACTTTGTGGGGCGAGTGGGGCTTCTGTGGAAGAGGCGGAAGGAGCCGTTGCCATTACCGCTACGAATACATGGAGTTCACTCGCTGTAGAATGAGAGGTCGTGGCAATGACAGCGAGGCAAGCCAGGCAAAGTCTTTGACGCATTGAACACGGACAGAGATATTGAGGGTATCATGATTCTGACTGAACATTACATATACATTGATACAGTCAAGCACAGGCCAATATCACTTCACATATTCATTCCTCGTATCTTTGTCGCATGTTCCACAAAACACATAGCTCTTTCCATAGCGTTGTTCTCTCATACCACTGATCCCTTCCTCTCAACATCCTCCACGATTTCAGGGGCCAATGTGCCTTTGTCTGTAAGGCCCATTTCCGAAGCAAAGGTAGTGTGTGGCACCCACTTAGCCGAGTTCCGTGGTGACGTCTCTTCCAACATACGGTCGACTTGCTCGAGGGAGAGACCCTTGGTCTCAGGAATGAGGAAATAGGCATAGATCCAGCAGCCAACGCAGAGGGCGCCCCAAACGAAGAAGACTTTGGGGCCGAGGTTGCCTTGGTCGGTGCCGACCATATAAGGAGTGATAACGGCGATGATCTGGCAGCTAGTCAGCATGGTCTTCGACGGCGATACGGAAGAAAGGGCAATTGACTTACGCAATTCCATAGCCAATTGGATGCTGTTGACAGTCCAACGCCACGGGAGCGAATGGGCAAAGGGAAGATCTCGCCAATGACAACCCAGGCACCGGGACCCCATGTAGACGCAAAGAAGAAGATGTAGATGCAGATGAAAGCGATTTCGGCACGGACAGTGTTGTGGTTGCTTCCGTCAACGGTCCCTGCAATTGCGACAATAAATTCGCAAACCCACATTCCCAATGCCCCATAGATGAGTAATGGACGGCGACCAAAGCGCTCAATGGTCCAGAACGAGATCGGCGTAGAGCAGACGTTCACAAGAGTGGTAATAAGACCGATAAGAAAAGGGTTGCTGATCGTGCCCAGATCTTGAAAGAACGTGGTACCAAAGTAGAAGATGAAGTTGATACCTGTCCATTGCTGCATCATTTGTAGCGAAGTACCCAGGATTGTTCGGCGAAGGTTGCTCTTCTGGTCGAAAAGAGAGCCCTTGAAGCAATTTGCCCAACTGGCGAAATAACTTCCTTGCGGCACGACTGAAAGCTCATATTCATGGTTTGCTACAATCTCAGCAAGTTCAGTCTGAATGAGCTCTGAGTCACGAGGCTGGCCGCGGAGACGACTGAGTACTTGAGCTGCACGATCAAGTTTGCCGCGTTTCACGAAATACCGGGGTGATTCAGGAAGCAGAAAAAGACCAGTACCAAGGATGATAGCCCAGAGCATTTGGATGGCAATCGGAATGCGGTATGAACCTGTGTCGTTACGATTCTGTGTACCGTAATCGACACAGGAGGCAAGTAAGAGACCCAAGGTAATACAGAACTGGTACCCAGAGACAATCGCCCCTCGGACTTTCTTGGGGGAGATCTCAGACATATAGAGGATGATGATGGCGGAGACAAAACCAACACCAAATCCTGCAATGAGGCGGCCGGCAACCATAAGGCCCAACCCCGTGGAAGCTGTTTGAAGAATGACCCCGATAATGAAGACGATGCAGCCCATGATGATGGTCGTACGACGCCCAGTGAAATCTGCAAGGTCACCGGCGATGATAGCTCCGAAGAAGGTTCCAGCGGATAGAATAGAGACGATGAGCGACTTCTTCCATGACGGAAGTGTAAAGCCATCCGGGCCAGGTTTCGCGTCCTTTTGAAACTGTGGAGCATTCTTGTCGAGGCCTTCGTAGAGATGAATGAAGTATTCCATTCCCAAGACACCGTTGATGTAACCGGAGTCAAACCCAAAGAAGATACCACCAAAGGCGGCGAAGGCACACATCATGTAGGCCTTGAAGGTGACGGGGGCCTCGATGCGCCCTGCATCGGCCGTGGCTACCAGTCCTCCCCCAGGCATATTGGCGGTATTTGTTGTCAGCTGTTAATAGTGTGTAGTGTAAAAGCTCGAGGAGAAGAAGCTTCAGTGAACAGCAGAAGTAGATGTGAAAACCTAAAGCAGAGGGAGAAAGGTAGTCCGTGGAGGGAAAGATGGGAAAGGGTGGGACAGATGGACACCGACGCAAACCGTTGAACAGAGGAGGGGGAGGGACGAGCTTCAAATACCTTTTCGTATTGCTGGGGCAAAGCTCCAGAATGAGCTCGGCCAGCTGCACCTGATTTCTAGCGTTGAATGTGCATGTCGTCTGATTTGACTGACACGGATGTGGAATGTTATGTAAGGGCGTAATGACGCGGCCTCATTGGCTTCCGAGACGACATCATGTGCACTCTCGTGGACATGCATGACTGCCGACCCACTCGCTCATTTGCCAGTCCGCAGAGTGTCAAAGCAAATTGACACAGGGAAGGGGGTGGAGTAGCATCGTAGGGGTGCGAGGGGCAAAAAGAGAACAGAGAGGGGTGAGCGGAAGTAGCCAAGTAAGGTGTATGTAGCTTTTGCCGTTGTGCGGTTGCAGTATTTGCCCCGAATATCTTTGCGCTAGGGCACGACCGAGGCGACTAAGCGGGCACGCTATCCCCGCATTTCCAGCGATAAGACGCCCTTAAACCTTCCCCTAGGGGCGGATCTGGGGCATCTGAGGAAGCCTAGAGCCCTTGAGCATGTCTATATAAGCTTTGTAGAAAGGGCCGCGGAGAGTCTTTGTTGCGGTGCTTGGATAACTATCTCCTGGGGAATAATAATGGGTCTGGTCTTTTTGTGACCACTATGCAATAATCGCAATTGCCTTTTGCGACAAGGGCACATCTGGTTGTAGCTGAGTGCCCGACAGTCACGAGATGGATCGATGTCATGAGCCGCCACCAGGGGTCACGAGTGGTTGTGGGCAGCACCGGTCAAATATAGGTGTAGATCCTCTTTTTGGTGGCGCCCAGCGCTTTATTTCGGCCTTTCTTTATTTCTTCATGGCCTGACCAATCACGATATACTGCCTTCCCGAGTTCCTTCACACGCTACAGTGATCTGACGTCGCTCATGAATGCCGACGTTATGCGCGGAACAGGTTGAGGCTGCCTCGAAACGTAGATTAGATCAACGGAGTAGCATCTCGATGACACTTTGCTGCCATTGTTGTTGTAGAGCCAGAAGGTCTGTTCCGCGATCTCAGATGCTGATGTGTAGTTCGAATCAGTGCTTGCCTTCAAATCCGACAGAGGATGGCCGACTCGGATGGCGTCGAATGGGATTCCGTCCTCAGCCAGCTGACTGAGAGCTTGGCATTATCTCAAGCCGTTCATGTGCGCACCTAGCTCATTGTGTCTTGAGCAACACACCAGCAGCAATGCCTTAAGAATTTGATTTATCTTGTGTCCTTCAAGTTCTTGTTTTCCGAAATGTCAGCAACTGCAGTCTTGTTCCTGAGGCTTGGTGCGTGGCGGTCCTGATGGAGTGGTATCGAGGTCAGAGGTGAAGGCGAAGAGCCAGCTTTGTTAGCTTTGATTATTAACCTTGACCAGTGTCTGTCGGGCAGATCTTGAGTCAGCGCCATCATCAGGCGATTCTACGACCCAAAGGGAGGCGCTCTATCTTGACGAACTAGTCGAGCACTACGGCCCTCTGCAGCATAGCGAGGCCCCAACGTTGGAGCCAAAAGATGACACGCACGAGGAGAGCGATACTTTTGAGTTTCGTCTATTCTCGAAAGATACGAAGTATGGGGCGGCAGACGCAAGTAGACATGACAGTCCGCGAAAAATTGCGTTGAGATCACCGACGCCGGTGCGCGGTGACGGAGGTTTCGTTGTCGCACGGAGACCCAAATCGTACTACTTTATTCAGCAGGCCAGCGAAGATCAAGAGTCCCAATACAGAGATGCTACAATCTCAGGAGAAGGCATACTCGCAGGTCTTGCCATCAAGTGGGTACGTTCTCTTGAATATTGATCACGTTTATCGATTGCTAAGCCGCCCAGAAAGGCTCTGAGCTCCCATGGCGTGTGTCACATGTGACATCCTCAATTCGACCAGCATTACGAAGTACTAACGGAGGTGATCCAGCTGGAGATCGCACGAAGAGGACAAGAAAGGGCAAGAAGAGTCGCATAGCAGCACGAACCAGGATTGCCGAGATCAGCAAACGCAAGATGGCCGAGCAGAGGCAAAAGATAGAGGAAGAGGAAGCAGAAAAATTGAAAAGGATGAACAAGAATCGGGAGAAGAAGCTGAAGCGAAGGCAGAAAAAGCGAGATACAAAGGCTGCAATATCGACAGATTGAAATGTTGCAAATCTCAAGGGTCTCCGATCAGGTCATCCAAATAACATCCATTCGAAGCCCTCCGAAAGTCTTTACAATTTTACCTTCGAGCAGTGAGGGGCAATCCATGATCCTTGGTAGCAGACTCTGTGATTCCATCCTCAAGATCGGTGTGGACTTGCAAAGATTTAGACTCGAAAATAGGTCCTCAAACGAACAGCAGACAAAGATCCAGTACAATGAGAGTCCTCTCTGCAGAAGATTGAAAAATATCAAGTTCCTCACGCATGATGCCATGGCAATGATAATAGAAGCCATGTGGGCTCACGGGTCAAACTTTTGGTCATGGACACGCCACACGAACTAATAGCATTCAGCGAGCGGACGTCGTGCCTAAAGATGCCTGTGCCCGGATCATTCGCATCCTGTCTCAAGTCAATAATCGCAGGCATAATCTAAAGCACTCCTTTCCGTGAGGATCTGAATCCTCGCTTAGACCAAAATAGGACGCACGATTATTTCGGTCCAGTTTTGTGAAAAATGCCAGCATCTTCATAGGCTAGAAGTGTATGGAGACGGTTCTGAACTGACGATAGATTACTGAGACCACATATCGGTCGTAGCATCGTATTCTGTGAGCAATCAAGATCGCTCCAAAAGAGACAGTGAAACGATGCAATGGAGAATGATCTCTCAATAGGTCGACTACAGAAGCAGAGGGTCGAGGTTGGTAGATTGTCGTTTCATAGATTCTCCAATTGGAAAGACGATATTGCCGAATGAAAGCCAGGAAAGTTTGGCAAAATTGAGCTTCGATTCGCTCGAACACATGTATTCTGCCCAAAGATCACACTTGACCAAACGTTCAATCACAAGCATTACCTAGCTTCCATCAAAATGATTCTATGCTTGGTTTTCGTCTCGTCGTTGATAGGAGCCTCCTCAGCCCTACGAGAACCCCGCTCTCACCCCGCAGCAGCCAGGAACCAACAACGTCCCACAAGCGCAAGACCGGGCAATTATGGGTCAGGCGAGGCAACCAGAAGGCTGCCTCGCTTGGCTTACACTGTTCCTGCTGGGAGGGACAGCTTCAATCCTCACGCAAAACTGACAGTCTATACAAGCTCTCAAGCCTTGATATCAGAGCCTCAATTGACTTTCGGGCATATAAAAACTCTCACCACACAGCTGGGTCAGCTTGCCGAACCCTCAACCACCAACCACCTCATCCTCATTATCTGGAATGACAGCGCGGAGCAGCTAGCCAGCTTGCTGCCTCGCTCCAAAGTGCCGCTAAATACTCATCCGCCGCATCCTCTGCGTCCTCTCACTCAAGCCCCAATCCCAACATCCCGGAAAACAACCTACGGGTCCCCGCCCACCACAACCATGACCTCCTCCTCATCTTCAACATCCAAAGCCGCCGAAACAGCCAAAACAGCAACCACAGCCCTCACCCAGCCCGCGTCCGAGACCTCTCCCGCCGTCTCCTCCTTCCTCCACCATCCCTACACTCGCGTCGCTCTCCCCTTCCTCAATGGTGGTCTTGCCGGCATGGCAGCAACCACATGTATCCAGCCCATCGACATGGTAAAGGTGCGGCTACAACTCGCCGGAGAAGGGGGCAAATCCGCCGGGCCACGGGCAACACCAATTAGCGTGACTCGCGAGATCATCGCCGCCGGGAAGTTCATGGATTTATACACCGGTCTGAGCGCGGGTTTGTTGCGGCAAGCCGTATACACGACCGCCAGGCTGGGATTTTTCGACACGTTTATGGGTGCCCTGACAACGCGCGCGGAGCAGAAGGGGGAGAAGATCGGGTTTGCGGGACGAGCGACGGCAGGTTTAAGCGCGGGCGGTCTGGCGGCGTTGATAGGCAACCCGGCGGATTTGGCACTCATCCGGATGCAAAGCGATGGGCTGAAAGCGAAGGAGGCGCGGGCGAACTACACGAGTGTGATCGATGCCCTGCGGAGGATAAGTAGGAGTGAAGGCGTGTACGCATTATGGAAAGGAGCGAGCCCCACGGTCGTGAGAGCCATGGCGCTGAATTTCGGACAGCTGGCGTTTTTTAGTGAGGCGAAGAGTCAGTTGAAGACGAGGACGGATTGGGGGTTGAGGACGCAAACGTTGGCGGCCAGTGCGCTGGCGGGGTTCTTTGCGAGTTTCTTTTCGTTGCCATTTGATTTCGTAAAGACGAGGTTGCAGAAGCAGACGAGGGCGCCGGATGGGTCGTTGCCGTATAAGGGGATGGGTCATTGTTTTGGGACGGTGGCGAAGGAGGAGGGGTTGTTGAGGTTTTACCGGGGGTTTGGGACGTATTATGTTAGGATTGCTCCTCACGCGTGAGTATGCCCTGGACGTTTTGGTGGAGCTTGCTGATTTGTGAACTAGGATGATCACGCTGCTCATTGCTGACTGGCTGAATTTGATCACTAAATGAGCCATCGACTGGACGAATACTTCGCGAGTTATGAATTTTGTAAAGCATTGGTGCTGGGACTGGGTAAGGTGTTGCAAATGCTATCGTGGCCGCAAAGTCGGCCATCTCGTTGATCCTTTCGCTGTCCCAATCTCATCGTTCCCTTATACATCAGCTCATCATGTCTCTTGATAGGAAAAGCCATCTAAGATAAGTGATTAAAATTTCCTCGAAACCTCTCTTATTCAATCTGATTGATCTGAGTACTTGGCACCATACTTGCATCTCGCCTCGTCGCTTGGCTCATCCTTTCTCGTTTGACGGCTTGCTTTGTGGGATGAGCTGGTGAACTTGTGACCTCTGGTTGTTGTGTTGGTGGCCTTCGAACGTCATTTTCATCATCTGACTCCTCATGACGCCGTTGTTCAGCCGCTTGTATTCGCTTGATCTTGCGAAGCAAAACCTGATTCGGCTCGAGATCATCAGCAGTGAGGGGCTATATTGTGCACGTTAGCATTGATTAATGGGATTGCTTGCTCAATCTAACTCACCACTTCACAGACAGGGCACCTCGCCACTTTTCGAGGTGCACCCCTTTCTCTTGGTTCTCGCCCAATCATTTGGATCATCTCTAAAATTGCGTCTCTCTCAAAATTATGAACGCATTTCTTGCTTTTTACGGGATCCTTCATTATCGTTAAGGTAATCGGACATTTCATCGTGACTCGTTCAGACTCGACCATAAAGTCCTCATTCGGATCATTCGCCTGGATTCCAGCGGGTCCACTGGACATCTGCGTTCCAGGGCCCTGCGAACCAAACCAAGTTGAAGCATGTGGCAACGGTGGAGCAGTATCACCCGGGTACTGAGAATCATGCACGACTTGCTTAAAGCCTATGTAGTCGTTATGAGAAGCGTAGCGGTCTGACATGGATTTATCCTCGTAATATCCTCCGTGCTCCGCGATCTTATGCTTCAATGTCTCGACAGCGCTCACGATCGCAATAGGGGTCGCTGCGGCGTCATCTTCATCTTCTTCTTCGTCATTTATGCGTCTCCGTTTGGGCCCTCGAAATTGGCTTGCACCAAGGGTGCTTTGAGTCGGAGCAAGCATGCCACGGTTGGCAGTTGCATTAGTGTCTAACTCTTGCAAAACGCGCTCAATGTGTTCGACCCCCGCTTTTGAATCAATCACTGCACGAACGTTCTCCTCTAGAATTTTCGTCATTTTGACCGTGTTTTCTCGCATGTTCTCCAGAGCCTCGTCACTGAAATCGCCACTCGCTTGCGAGCTTTGCTGTTCGCGTTTCTTCTGTGCTTTTTCATGTTGCTCTACCTTAGCGTGCAGCCGGTCGTTGATTTCCCCTGCTGCTTCTGTCAAAAGCTCGTTTGCCTTTTTTAATCTCTCTTTTAGAGGCTGGAGCTTGTGATTGTTGGGTAGATTATGAAGCTCGCGCTGAGACTCTTTATTAAGAGCATGCGTTGGGTGTTCATATGGTGGGAGCGTCGCTGGAGCATGCGACCGACGCTGTGTTGCGACTGGAGGCCTCATTCTATTTGAGGGCGCCATTGCATAAGTCTGAATGCAGAGCTCCGCTACAAATTATCAGATACGTATTGGTCTGCTCGTTGAGGCTGTCCAATCCATGCGTGGAAAAAACGCGCAAGGATGGAATGATAAGACGCTAAAGCCGGAAACAGACTAGCAGGAATCGCGACAGGGTCTTGGAGGGTCCAAGCTGCCAGCAGCTCCCCGCAACGTCATACCTCCCGCCCGCTCTTGTGGAATTTCCTTGCTTTCCTGCCGTTTTCAGAAAAATCAACAGTTCAAGTCGCGCCTTCTTTACGTTTTATCCCCCATACCGTGTCATCTTCTCCAACACCTTCAAGCACGTAGGGATACCTTCTCGCAGCTCCTCTCATCTACCTTCGGTCTATATCAGCTCATACTTCAGCCACCATGGGTCTCACTGACAGTATCTCCTCCCTCATCTCCTCCATCGCCGACATCTTTCGAGCTCTCTTCAACACGATCCTCTCGGTCTTCCAGACCTTCTTTTCGCTCATCCAAGACATCTTCTCCACCATTTTCAACGTGGCTCAAAACCTGATCAGCAGTATCTTTGATTTGATGAGCGGCCTTGTGGGGTTCGTGGTGGGCAACATTGTGATTATTGGCGTCATTGTTGTGGGGGTGTTGGGATGGCAGAAGTATCAGCAGAATCAGAAAAGCAGCATTACCGGTAGGAAGACGAAGTAGCTGGGTGGTCGGGTGGGTGGGTAATGAAAGTGGAGGACGCAGTAATGGACTCGACGACCGAGTCAACCTGGAAATGAAGGGAGTGGGAATTGCAGTGGGCAGAAGGTGGATACTGGAAACACCCTTGCTTCAATTGATGAGATGTCAGGATCGCAGAGCACTATTCATTCGTTATTGCCAACGACAGGAAAAAGACAAGGTACTTTGTGCATTTGTCGATTGAGATACCCCTTATTCTATTTAGTATAGTACAACGAATACAAGTTATTGTACAATATATCCCTACCGTCAAGAATCTATCAAAATCGCTGATCTATACATGCGAGACATTTATACAAGATGCAACGCCAATAGACATTTCTCTTCATACAACATTTCTCTTCGGTTGATTCCATCATTATCATTATTCGTAGCGGTTGATGATCTGTATCGTGCGTCAAGGCTGCCACGAGTTGCCTTCGACTTCTTGCTGTGACACGAATGATGTCTCGCTCGGGCTGGCAGTGGTGGCCCAAATCGAATGCTCCCCCGAGGATGTACTTAGTGCCTCTTGACCATGGAAATTTTGGATATTGGCATCTGGATGCGCCATCCTTTGAGCTTGGTGTACTGAAAGACCGTGCCTTTCGAATGCTTCCGAGCCAAGTTGTCTTCCCGGACTAGCTTCCTGTACCTCTGTTGGCGATGCTGTTGTAGGTCGAAAAGATAATTCCGGTGAGGAGTCTGCTTGCTTAGAAGCTGGCCTGGGCAGCTCCACCGGGTATCTGAATGAGCTGTCAATGGCAAGAGAGGGAAGATTCTGAGGAGCGCTAGTGTGGGGTGAGAGTGAGGGCTCTTTCTTCAGTCCTTCATTCGACTTAGTCATAGCGATTTCCGACTTTGTTGGGAACGAATGAGAAGCACTCGGATATGATGTAGGTGACAAGTCTACCTTATGGTCATCAGTCCTCGTAGTAGTCAGATCCGGGTTGGGGGACATTGCTTGATGCGCAGCAACGTAAGATGGAGGTGGCAGGCTTTTGATGCTGCTGTCGTCCGAACATGCTGTACCCATATCTAGCCGGGGCGATACTTGCTGCCTAGCACCGAGATAAGGTGGGGATGCCAGCCGATTAACGTTGCTATCGTTGGAATAGGCGGTGGTGAGATCCGGCCTTGATGGCGTTGGTTGTGGGGAGGCTAAGTAATTTGGTTGGGACAGCTGACTGATGTTACTGGAGTCAGAACTGGCTGTGGAGAGAGTGGGTCTTGATTGCGGCCTTTGAGCTGTGCTAAGGTAGCCCGGTGGTGACAGCCGTGGTATTTGACTTTCATCGGAGTTAGCGTTAGATAGCGCTGGTCTAGAAGGCGCCGATGATAGGTAGTCGCTAACTTCAGAAACCTGTCCAGAAGAATTGGTTGCAGCATTAGGCGGCTCGAATCCGTACGGGCCTTGCTGAGGTTGAGATTGCTGATAGGAGGCGGAAAATTCGTCGAGTGGTAGATCTATAGCCGACCAATCGGCTGGCGGGGAAACATTAAGACCTGATGGGTAGCTCGAGAAGTCCTCCGAAGGTGTGTAGAAGGATGACTGAAAGGCATCGCTGTATTGTGGTGCATTGCCCATGAGAGAGAAGTTGAAGTCAAGTGGGGCTAATTGATCTGTGCTCCGCGGCAGTGGAGATCCATGCTCTGACCTTGACGACCTCAGATTCGGAGCGATTGCTGGGATGTCCACGCGCGAAGAAAAGTCTCTTCCTTTATACAAAGGCAGGCTATCAGTGGATCGCCTCGCACTTGCTCCTCCTGGTACACTGTGAGGTATGGGCACCTTGTAAGGCATGCCAAGCTTGTGCGCAGAGTCATTGTGTCTGTGAGTGGGCTTGTGATGGCCATTTGTAAAAATGGTCAGTGAAGTCTCCGATCCAGCTTTGGCTAGTCTTGGTTTTTTGTTGCTGAGGGTCCTCATGGGAGCGACTCTAGGGTCGTCGAATTCAGGCACCGGATCTAGAGGCTCTTTCTTCAGTGCACAGGTGCATTTCATGCCGTGGCTGCAGCAGCAGGAGGGCTGTTCAGCGGTGTCAGATTGGTCGGACTCGCTTCGTTCCTCTGCATGATCTTCTTTTTTGTGTGGTTTGGAGCCGCATTCGCAAGCAGCATGGGTCGCTCGGCTCTTTCTCAATCCTCTACAGTGCGGGCACTGGCTCACCGGCCTGCCTTTCTTGTTGATGTGTTGCAAAGGGCGATCTGATACGAGCAACATGTCAGTCCAGAGTTCTTCCATAGCAGACAAGCGGCTTAGGGATTTGGGGTTTCATACCAGAATGTTGGCAGCTGCTGACCCGATGACCCCGCACGCAAGCCTCGCAAGCATATTTCTCTCCGTTGATGAGCATTTTCTATATGATGTTGCGAGCTCGAAGGATTGTGGGATCCCTCAAGACTCTGGTGGGGTGGGAGGGGAAAAGGCGGAGCAGCAAGCGAGGGCGGCGGCCCTATTCTTATGCTCTCGTGATTATCGCATTTGTCGTAGGTTGTCACGGGCGCCGTGGAAGAGAAAGGAAGGTGCTGATAGTGCCGTAGGTGATGATGAGGTACGCAATTTGATATAGAAGCCAGGCCGCCGGAGCCGTGGGAGGGCAGGAGTTGACCGCCGGTCTGGGTACTCTCGTATGTGCGTAAGAGGAGCGGTGGCTGAATATGCACCGCACGCGGCCTCTGCCTTTTGGCCGGGGCGATCCAAAGTATGATTAGGTGAATAATAATATTGAGTATCACGCCTCAAGACGTTGGGTAGACAGCAGGGAACTGCACCTCTGGCAACTTCTTTTATGCCATGTGAAGACGGAGAAGCACCAGCCACAAACAACGTACTAGACAGAACCTTTCTCAGGGTCCCCGGTCTCATACAACACCCATCAGCAAGCAATAAGCAGCTCTGGTTGGCTCATCTCTCCAGCTCAGTTCTCGGTCGCGATCTCGCCTTGGCACTCTTCAACTCACTCATAGAGAAATGGAGCTGGCAGCGGGCCCATATTAGACATCCGACGAGTGATGGACATCCAAGGCATCATACAGCGGAAAGCTGTCGCCCTACACAGTTTTCGATGCTTTATTCTCCGAAGCTGCATCTAGATCTGCGCGAGGAAAGACTCGCAATAATGAATGATCTGCGGCTGCAAGGGAAGAGGGAACCACAATGGCCCTACCAAGCTTGATAGAGAGAGGCAGCAGCCGGTGTAAAACGTTGGTCTTGGCTCCTAGATTCCGAAAGTCGCCTGAGTCGCACTTGGTCGCACTACATGCGCGACGCCCATTGGCCCTGAAACTGACCTGCTCACTTCGACGCGACCAGAGGTGCGCCGCTGCCAGTCCATGCCAGTCCAAGCCAGTAGACTAGCTTGGGGGCACAGCCTGGAGAGCAAGAAAATGACGCAGGCGTCATACTACTGTCATTGTACATATCTGCTCCCAGGCCCAGAGAGCCTCCCCACGCTGTCTTTCCCCTAACAGAGATTTCTTTCACTGTCCTCCCAGTGCCAGCAGGTAATGTGGTTCACGTAACGCCGTTGACTTGGATTCCCGCGTGCATTGAGAGTGGACTTTCTTTCAGGAACTAAGACCTACTGCCGTACAGTCCCTTTCGGTGCCGTCTAAATGGCTGTGCAATTGGGCTAGCTGTTTCGCTTGATGTTGTATTCTGTCCACAATCCCTTTTCTCTTCATCTCTAGTCCAATAATGACCAACTTTCATTTGGGGGGTGGGACGGAGTATCAAAAACCTGCAGTGTCTGAAATGACCACAGTCGACCGACGTCTCGAGCAGTTTCAGTTTCTCATCCAGACAGGTTGCGCCACAACTACATTCTGTCTCTGCTCGTCCAGTGCTGCGCGACATACTCTTGTCGTCGGCAAATTTCTTGATCGTTGTTTCACACGTCATGACTGAAATGTCTTTTGGCAACGATAGTAGACTTGTCATTTGGTGGTCCCGTGACCGCTCAAAGGGTGGCAGAAAGATCTTGAGAACAGGGATTGGAAGAAGTTGGCGGGGAACTGGAGGTGCATTCTACTTCGTCTGAATAGCAGATGTCTGTCCCAATGACGGTTTCTAGTTGTCGCATAGACTTTCCTTTTGATTAGATCATTCGAATAATTCTGTATACTGACTAGTTGGAGCAAAGCACGACCTCTTTAGACCTGCATAATCTATTAAGCCCTATGCGCTGGCGATCAGGTGCTTGTGAATCCCATACGGTCCATGATGGCCTTTCGCAAGCGCTTTGAGTTGCACACTAGTGGCTGTTCAACGTGTTCATTCTCTCGCGTGCGATGTCTCGAATCTATCGGAAGAACACAGAGTTTGTATGACTAAATCGCCATCCGAATAGCCTGGTTGCCCACGTTCTTTGGCGCTTGAAAGCGCTTCCGACAACCGCAAGCAACCCTTTTTCCGTAATAAGCATTTCTTCATTCGTCCACATTCTCGGGCCTTACTTTGACAGCGTGGAAGTCAGTGGTTCTAGATGGATATCATCTTGGAAGGGTGTCTCGTTGGATATGCTTCAATCATGTCGCACGCTAACGATGTCGCAACAAACTCGCATACCGGATATCAACATTCAGTAGTTGCTCAACCCCGCTCTTTGCAAAATTGAAATCATTGTCATCCCACATACCATTCAGTAAGGATTGGCATAGCTTCTCCACCATCATCTCGATGTCTATTGATCTACAAGCAGCTGGTCGGAATGTTTGGCTAAGATTTGAGCTTTTGTATTCTCTGCGAGTCTGCCGACTTTCCGAGGCTTCAGGGTCAAGATGTGATGCAGTGTGACGCGTCAGCGTCGGTGAGGAGAACGATGACGGTCCTCAGCTTTGCAAAGGTGTCCGATTGCTTACCTAAATTGTGCGCTCGGCATTCGTCTGCTCATTTGCCCTCGTCAAATGCTATGACACATTTGGGCTGATTAGTCGGCTGTGGTCATTCTATGCTTCTTCTCCAACACATGCTAGTTATAGAGACGTAGTCCAATTGAGGGTCAGTGTAAGAGATGCTTTAGTCTGAGCTTGTTTCGACAGCCACCGTACATATTTCAGGGTAAAAAAACCTTTACTTAAAGCCAAATTTGCAATTGTCGGCGGCCACGACGGTCAAGCAAGGCAATTTCGACATCGGACCTCAATATTGCGCCTGATTGTGGCTTGGGCGAGGAGTAATTAATACATCTCGACATAGGCCAAGCGAGAGACTTTGCACAGTATGCCTTCCTTCACAGATCAAATTTTGGTGTTACGTACATTCATTGCTTCTTCTTCTCGCTTCCATTCCCGTTAAATCTGTTATGTAAGAGAGCCATCCTCCCTTTCAGCTTGGCCTTCCATGAGTCCGTATCATAGCCCTCGATCTCATCCGCGCCGACGAAACGCCGCACGAGCAGATTGAAAATACTCCCGAAAGCCAATGCCATTACAGTACTCGTCAGGATAATGACATTGTAGGGCATACTGAAGTCTGGTGTTGGCAGTGGTAAGAGAAGACTTGTTGTTCGGACATAGGATGGCGCTATGTTGTAGTCGGACGAAGGAAGGAGGCGAATGATGGCGGGAGCTACATCAAAGCCCCTATTTGCATCAGGAGGATACTCCGTATAGCGGAGAATGGCTTTGTCAAAGTCGTAGGTCAAGACGACAGTCGAGTTGGCGGGGACTGAAATGACCAACTCGAGTTGAGTCCCTCGCTCACGGTCAAGTGCAGGCCTATATACAGTCTCTTTGATAATTGTGGCATCAGGTTGTGATGATGTAGAGACTCGTGCTTCTAGTGTGTGCAAATACGGCTTCATGAACCATGGTAAGCTTTCGAAGTAGACAAATTCGATGGCAGACCCTGTGCTGGGATTCGTGAGTAGTGTCTGGATGCCTCCGCGCTCCTGGCCATGACCAACAATTTGACGAGATGCATAGAGCGGTGGTGGATGGTGTGGATTGAACGTCTGTGGGCCAAGATGAGAAAGAACCATCTCAAATGGCTCTGATGGGTCGACTGCCCAGCATCTCTCACTAGTTTTGTTGACTAGCCTGGCGCTGGGAGGTGCCATAACTTCGCGCTCATCGGGAACATGAAGACAGACAGATTCTCGCGGAAAGCCAGCCGCATCGTCCGCCAAACAGGCGCCTTGGATTGGGCGCCCGAATATCTCAGCGACTGTCCACGATTGTCCACGCTTGACGTCTGACGGAAAACATGCATCATCTTGTACATAGATTTTGGACGCGTTACACAAAAGACCCTCATTCGGGACGGGTCGTGGAATCGGGTTGTCCTTTGGACGTTTCGACCGCTCAGTGTCTAGGACCATGTCCACAGTCTGTTCCATCTCAACCGTGCAATCTGTGTCTGGCACAAGGCATAACGATCGAAAATCAATGGCCATACTTTGCCACGAAGCGTCAAAGAGCTTGTGGCCATCCAGGAGGCTGGCGATTCCGGCATTACCTTTACAGGGCAACAATTTCAAAAAAGGGGTCAGATTTTCCGTACAGACAACTTCGCGAGGAAGCGAGCCGTGTAAGAGATAGAGATTCTCTGGGTGCTTATCGACGTGATACCCAGCAGGCTCGAAGGTCATGCGCGGTCGCGTTGTACGCGTAGAGTCGATGAAGTTCAATGAGGCACAGAATAAGCCTGAAAGGGCATTATTCAAGGTTGTCCATCTTGCGAATGACCTGCTCCAAATCAGTCGCGATCTCGAGTGAATGTCAAGTGATCTTTACTCTGCCTCTGAGCTTGCTTCTACCCATGCCCAAAGCTCAACGCCTGTTCCCCCTTCTTTCTGACCATCGTGAGGCCTTGTGCCCCAGCTGTCGTCGTCCCATCTACCGGAGCTAAACCTCAGGTGCAGCTCATGTATCTTTGAATGCTGCAAGATTTGTCCGAGGGAACGCGGTATATATCTGAAATTTTGCTGCTCGTACGACGCTAATGAAGCATTGCTCCAGAATTGGAACGACGCATGGAGGAGTGAGGTCCTGAGGGGAGTTATATCAAGACGCTCCTCGTAGTCTGTATCCGCTATGCAAGGACATGATAACGACAGGAACAGGCAAAATAAGAACCGTAGGATCATACCGTCATGTCGATTACAGAGGTTGTTAGCAGACAATCGCCGGCCATACTTGGCTGGTCAAAAGCCCGCCGAAATTCGAAGAAAGCGGGATTGATGTTGCGCAGTCATGATCAAAGTTACTTTGTGCGGTCACGCGGCCGCCCCCTCTCCCGCCACCGGGGAACCCTTTTCTCGAATGAGAACGATTATGTCCTCTCCGCGCGTACAGTGTGCTATCCTGAACAATTCAATAGACTCTTGATTGACTCCACCTATGATTTGAAGTTGCTGAAATGACCTTCTCAGGGAAGCTATCTTTTCTCATATATGTTCTCTTTTGATCTTCGATCTCTTTTTAGCATCACGGCATTGTGAATTACATCACTTGACATATCAACTTCATTTAGATGTCTCTAATAGCATGAGTTTTGCTCATTGCGAACCTCTCTTGGAGAAGCATGTTTCAAAGCTTCTTCCCAAGTAGAGGAAATTCACTAGAGGTTTGAGATATAAAGTCATCTCTGCGAGTATAGAGCATAGTCTATGCACCAGCTCAAACCATTTGTCGGAGACGTGGGATAAGCTCACGTAGACGACATGAGCATTTCCTTGAATGAAAGACTTTATCTTACATAGTGCCCTCTCCTAGAGCCTAATACAAGTCATCTACCAACGATTGACACCTTACCCAAAATAGCGATCCGAATATACATGTAGCCGACCTTCATTATTACCGCTCAAGAGCATAATATCCTCTTTTTCACAGCTCCTATTTACACAATCAAGCCAACAGCTCCCACAAGTCCAAACACCCATTTCCCAACAACGTATAGACGTTCAGAGCCTCCCGTAAACGGCGCCACGGTTGGTGTCACGCCAGTGGCAGTAGGAGCAGAAATGGTCGCATTACCAATAAGATAGGACGGCGTAGCTATGGGGATCGAGGTCGAGGGCGGCGGTGTTGAAGATGACGGAGCTGGAGATGCAGCGGAGCTGGCTGGCGCTTGAGAGCTGGCTGGAGCAGCAGCAGGCGCAGAGCTAGACGAGCCCGGGGGAGAATAGTTGGTTGGGAGCTGTATGTTGTAGCGTTTGGCGCAGGTGGCATAATCTTCGGCCTTTCGGGAAGTCAGCATGTCGTGCTAAGTTGGAGAGGAGGAAAGCAATAGGCTTTCCAAGCGGAGATTGTTGGGATTGAGGAAAGCTTGAGCTTACGCCGTGGCAACATTTGTTACCGATTCCAAGGCACTTGTCGCCGGAATAACAAACATAAGCTGCAAAAGTCAAGGTCAGCTCATCATCTTCAACTTACATGCTTTGCAATTCAAGTCATGCGTTCTTAGGGGGTTGAGGATGACTCACTACCACCAGGACAGCAGATCTGTCCCTGAAACAGACAGATGGAGGTGCCACATTGGTTTGCGACTGGGCAACTGTCGGTTGAACCGGAATTCTCAAGGGAGTAGATTTGTTGCCGTGCCTCGAGGAGGTGTTTACTACCCGCTAAAGTCACGCTGGCGAGTGCGGAGACAATGAGAAGACGCATCTTGGCTGAGACAACGAGTGATAGATATTATTCTTACGATGAATGAAAGCAAGAGACACTTGGAGGTTTTGCCTTGATGTTTGGCAGAAAGAAGGATAGGACAGGACAGTGCACGCACTTCAAAGACAGGTTTTGAAGAGGTATGAGGAAGACGATGTATCAGCAGGAGAGATATCTCTCAATATCATTCATCTAGGGGGGCCAGAAGCGTCTGGGCAGGTCACCTTTCATTTCGCAGCCTTACGTACACTTGATTCGCCTTGTCACTGAACCAATCGATTGTCTGAGAATGTCGATAGTCTACTGTTCGTTGAGAGTGTGCCGCTTATACTTGCAACAGGATCCCAGTTAATGGTGAACATAGCGGCCGCATTGACTTGGCGTGCAGGACCGGACGTATCAGATCCAAATTTGACAGGTTGGTAGGATCTTGCTGTGCTTGTGGAACCGAAATGAAGCTTGGCAGCGAAGAAGATCGACATGCGCGGGGCGAACAAGTAGCATTTGGTGCAGATATAGCATATGCAAGCCTGAAGACAGGAATATAGAGCTACGCTCCAGAGGTCTCGTTCATGGCAACATTTGGGGAGCTCGACGAGTCAGGTGCGATTCCTTCAAGATCTTTCGTAAGGCTGTGAGCGAATGAACGCACAGATGCAAAGTTTCAGGGGCTGATAGTTACCAACAGCTAGAACTAGGTTGCAACGGTAGGCCTCAACCCTACCAAGCACTCGGCACCTCTTTCCCAGAAGTTCTCGCTTTTTGATTGTTCTACCAAAGAGCCTGAGCGATTTCTCCCAAGGCTGGAATACATGGGTCAAATGCCGTAACCGGTGAACTGGCGCTTAGCTGTACTTTCGAACTCGAAATGAGTAGTTCACTCTGAAGAAGACCTTCTTGAATGGCTTTGAACGCCATTCCGTAAGCAGATGTGTGGAATGGACGTCTTCGTTCACTTTTATGAAGATTAGGAGGTCTTCAAGTGCTTGAAGACGGCTCCTGTATCCACGCGTCTCCGGGTTATCACCAGCTTGTTTTGTGACCGTTGCCTAGTGCATTCAAATGTTGGAGATCTAAGACTTCTGTCATCTATAGAGCAGAAGGAATGACTCTGAACATTGGTGAATCGAGAGATGCCAACAATTGACATGAGGCCCCTTTGAAGAATTAAGCTGTGTAAGCCTGTCTCCGTGGCTGGTATTGCACCTAACGACGTGCAACATTATCGATCCGAGGGCAGGCATGATGATCCTCAAGGATCGTGACTTTTATGATCTTCTCGGTCCGCAATACTCAAGCTGTTTTTAAATGACCGGTTGAAGCCGGTGAAGCCGTCACCAGGACTTAGCCGTGTTTAACCATTCATTTAAAGACAGCTTGAGTAGTAGGCGCTGTCGTTTTCAGCGGACAATAGTCAACCATTTCCCGCCAGTAATAGCGGGATGTAGCATGAATACTTTTCGGGAAAGCCGAGGAGTACCTAGTACACAGATATCGGGACATGGGATGCTGGGGAATCACTGAGGGGTTCGGAAGCCTTATCGTTTAAGCTGGGAGAATGACGCTGCCGTTAGAGAACAGGCCAAAGGCGATGAGTATCAAGCCGAGTAAAGGCTTGAGGAAAGCCCGCAAATGCCGGCAATCTGAGTTGCCGCAGCCCAAAAGAATCTAATTCGTGATAAAGCGCAACGGGCAAGATCACTTCAGAAACCGGAATTTGCATGAGGAAAAAAATAAGACATGGAACTTTATAAGAGCATTGTGCAGGGAAGAGGCCGCATTGTGGGCCGTCGTTACCTCCTGGAAAGGGTTTCTTCAACAGAAGCAGATATCTTGGAGTAGCATGGAGCTCAGCCGCAATTGGCAGATAACAAGGCACTACAGAATTGGTGTCGCCTCCAACATGATTGCATTGCACTTGACGGCCACATACTCGCTAATAGCGTACCCTGCGTCGAGTGGGAATGGCTCCATGATTAAGGAAACGCGTCATAAGCATACCGGCACCCCCAGCCTGAGCCTGTTAGTACAACGGTGAATGGAATTCAAAAAGCGATAAAACTCTGCAGAATGGTCATCGTGGCGAGATGGAAAACCACATTTGCCGTTTGATCTGGCCGTGGATGCCATATAACTCCAAATGTGTTTATCTGGCACCCTTTTCAATTTTCCGAGGGCAGTCTTATCGTAGGCGGTATATTGGAGTCTCTTCGCCAAGCTAAGGAGAACTTCATAGGTACATCCAGGTCAATTGAACCCCAAAGGCCAGAGGGTAAAGCGTGAGGCGTCCGTGGTCTCATGGCACTGGAAAATGGTGAAGGGCTTTCCTTGCCCTAGTAAATATTGCCATGATAATTGCAGGGGCGGATCATTGCAGGTAGCGTTGCTTGTCAAAAATTAAGCATTGCTACCTTCATATCCATGACAATAATGAAAGTTTACGAGGCTCTTCCATTGTTGAAGCGAGCCAACGGAGCTTGGCGCCCCTGAACGCTCGAGCACCAAGGAATATCTCGCCTTACGCGCAGAAAGGGCTAGATTCACCTGTCCAGCCTCTGATGAGTAGACAAGCCTAAGCTCATGCAGATGCCCACATGGACATTACTGAGGGTTTGTGCATGAAGCCCAAATCTCCCGTATTCGCAGCGCGCCTCGGGCCGACGTACAATCCTTCAGTGCACCGAGAGCATGGTTTTGCTTCTCGGAGGTGATACAGTGAAGATTCGTGTGACCTCGATAGATCATTTGTCGGCTGAATATTTCTCTGCCACATTTGGCGTGCAAGCTTCAAGCCACTCGTCAAATGACGCATCGAGTTCGCTTAAATGATCAATTGACCCAACCTTGAAGTGTGGGAGGAACAAGGAGATTTGCCAACTGCTGTTCCACCCCAGAGCCAACGCAACGTCACTATCGGCGGCCCTAAGACTGGAAAAGTTTTGGCGTTGGGAAATAGGTTTCCTAGTCTCATACAAGCGATCCACGGAGCAGAAAGAAGGGTCATTCTTGTCAGCCCGCATACCCACCGCTGTATACATGGGCTTGCTTTAGCGCGTAGAATGAAGTTTTGGCGGTCAGTCGGTTGCTATGGACGAAATGTTTTCGGGATTTATCTATGAGGATTCCATGGCCCGCCACACCCGAAGACGATCTCACCAATGGTCTGCTGCAAAGACTGATTCATGAAGGATTTCCACAAACGACACGGAATTCCCAAATTGTTAGCATCTTTGGGGGCCCCCCTCGGCCGTATTCGAGGACGGGAAAAGGGGCGAGAACGGGCGATGGGTAAGGCGGCGTAAAGGCTAGAGTGGATTAGGCTTCGGTCTGGGGTAGCCGGTAAAGGCGGGAAAAGCTGTCAATGTTTGTGTCACTTCACTTAGATACGATCTAAAATGCGGGGCAGGCTTGACCACGGGCCTGGCTAACGCTTCGGACAGCACCTTAAATGAACAGGCTACTCTCCCTCTCTCCCTGCCTGGCGAAACAAATCCTCAAGCAAATCCATCATTGCAAGGCAAGACAATAATCTCGCATTGAGGTGTAATCTCGACGTGCAGCAGCACGCTCCTGAGACTATGTGGGGGTAAAGCAAGCTGACATTGCAACGTTCGGGGAGATATTATCCGAGCATTGGCTGTAGAGCAGCACCCATTGGAGCGCTCACCGGGAAAGTCTGTACTCCACAATTGCAAGCTTGATTATTGCAACCACAACGAATATTCTGACTGAACCCGATGAGCGTTTCCTGTTGTGACCTGATGTGGCAGGAAAACTCTCCCCGATTGAAAGCCACACACGGCAAGCGCGCCTGGCTAGAGGCTTTTCCATGGCCTTCCATAATCCTCATTGGAGGCTTCATACACACACATCGAGTCATCAAAGACCAATGTGGAGGCTTGTGGCGGCACCTGCAGGCTCCGGCAATCTAGATTCTGCCTTTGGACCTGGCAAATTGGACCGCGACCAGCAGAAGATCTCACTTTCGCGAGAGCCGGTTCAGGAAGTGAGGTGGCGCAATATCAAAGAAGCTGCTCTTATGCACGTCGCCTGCATAGGTCCAGGATTACATCCACACAATTCGGCCACGCATCGCCAAGCTCGAAAGCTTGGTCAGGGAAGTTGCGCAAAAAGTCTAATGAATCGCCAATTTACACGCCGTGGCTGAGAAGCGGGCGAATAAACGGGATGTCTACAAACACAAGCAGAAGTTCCCTCTCCAGTTGTCAGGCCAGAGCGCAACCGTTACCGGTCCGGGGCTGCAGCTAAATCGGATTCCATGAATGCCATCTGCGGGGAGCGCATTGAGGCTAACCGCTTCGAGCTTGAATTCAGGCCCAAAGTATGCGAGATCGGAACGCATCTTCCAAGATGCTCCAATGATGATATGCAGCTTTACGTATTTTAGACCGGAATGGGATCCGTCTATGCCCTTCTCGTCCCACCTCATCATTAGTTTCGAATCCACACAACGGCGACAACGGCGCTAGCGAGAGACAGCACAGCGATCCAGCTGGACGGTGCACCAAATGTCGTCTATTTCCCCGCTGATCCCATGCTACGCACGCATGGCTAGACCTGACGAGCAATCTTACCCCTGTTGTGCTATGAGATGATGGTGGGGACTGCGACCCAGGTAGCTGCAATGCAGGTAGCTGCAACTTTGATTTGACTGGACTGCACAATGCATAAGAGCATGGCGCGTCCCTCCGACTCGGAGCTTCATTCTCCAACGCGTCCAAGTCCAAGGAGTCATGTTGTTCACTTACTTGCTCGTCCTCCTGGCCGCGTTTGACCTGTCCTTTGCAAGGCTAAGTCGTCGAGCTCCAGGCGGAAGCAGTAACAAAGTCGTCAAGCATGGACATTTCCCTACTGGCCTACCCGGGGGCAGCAAGACATATCGAAACCGAAGGAGAGCATCTCTTGCTCAGCGTCAAGCATCCAGTGCGACTGGATGTGGAGCCAGTGGCCAATTGACCGTGAAAGCGCCAAGTTCAAACATCTTTGCAAGCTTAAGCGATGATGATGCGGCATCGGTGATAACCTTCCTCCATGCTCAACCAAGCCTCAACTTGACAGCAGCTGCGACCGCGACAAGGTAATGCTCCTAACAAGCTACATCAGCGAGTATGACTCTAAAACTGGAATAGTTGGGACAACAAGATACAGCAAGTGGAGCTGTTGCAACCAAACAAATCGGATGCTCTGTCCTACCTGGATTCAGGCTCTGCGGCACCAAAACAATACGTTCGCGCTGTCATCCGATTTGGCGCAACCCCTGAGCCGTAAGTCATCTACCGAGACGCACAGCTCACAATCACCAAGCTAATCCGGGTATGTCTCAGCTACATCCAGGAGTACCAAGTTGGGCCTTTACCCGTCACCAATGGGTCAACTAGCTTGACCGAGCTGAACTACATATACAACAAAGGCCGGGGCTACCAACGTCTCTACGATCTGGACTTTGAGGCCTTGCTACCCTTCGTCTATGGAGTCACTGGCGGAGTTGCTGATATCACAAAGCTACTCATCAACGGGGTGAGTATATTCTCCTGTGCCTTGACTGCGCTAATCACATCAAACAGACAGCTACAGGAGCGCCAGATGATACTCTGACGGTCTCTGGCAATACCCCTCTGATTCACGAGGACGACAAGATTTTTCAGTGGAACCAATTCTACCCGCTGCATACTGGCGCATGTATCGACGAAGAACTGCTACCAACTGGACTGCAGTTCAAAGCAGACATTACCGGCCGTGACCCTGCTGGATGGTCTGTTGTGGCTTGGTACTATAACGGAATCTTTTATGAATCTGAATTGGCCTTCCGTTCGGCAATCAACTCCACAGGCTTCGTGAATGTAGGCCCAAATGTGGATGGCGATTGGGCATGTACAGATTACAACAACGATCCTTTTCCCCATGATGAGCTCAGTCCTCCAGTGCCTGTGCAGCCCGATGGCCCACGTTTTTCTGTGGATGTACAGGAAAAGTACGTAGAGTGGAGTAAGTTGCATCCTCCCGTGACAATGTGAATGACGATGAGTCTAATAAGCGTGAAAGTGGACTTCAGCTTCTATCTTTCATCAAACAAAGACTTGGGTGTGCAACTGCACGATGTCCGATATAAAGGTGAGAGAATTATCTATGAACTCGGACTCCAAGAAGCTTTGGCACACTATGCCTCCGCATCCGACCCCTTCCAGGCGTACAACGCGTATCTTGACAGTCAGTATGGCTTCGGCCAATCTTCATTCCAACTAGTCAGTGGTTTCGACTGTCCAGCATACGCCTCCTTTCTCAACACGTCATATCACTCGGGAGAGACTTCTCACACTCATCCCAATAGCATATGCATGTTCGAATTCGATACTGCATATCCTGTTCAACGTCACACCACGCCAACCTATGTGTCTGTCACCAAAAACATTGCTTTCATCATACGCCATGCTGCCACTGTTGGTAATTACGATTATTTGTTTGATTATGAGTTCTATCTCGACGGCTCAATTCACATCACCGTTCGTGCATCCGGGTATATTCAATCTTCTTTTTATACGACGAACTTCCCAGCCTCGGACGGCTTTCACATCCACGATCATTTGGCAGGATCCATGCATGAGCATGTTCTGAACTACAAATTAGACTTGGATGTTGCTGGGACCAAAAACAGTCTCATGAGAACTGCATTAGTACCTGCTACTGAGACGTAAGTCCTCCGATGCTGAACCCGTCCGATTTTGCACTAACACCAACCTCAGATATCCTTGGTCCAACGGCAAAGCTAGGAACACGATGAAACTTGATAGGTCATTCATCACGTCGGAAAACGATGGAAAGTTGAATTGGGACGCTAATAACGCCGTATTCTACTCTATTGTCAATAAGGACCAGCCCAACCAGTATGGTGAATACCGCGGCTACAAGATCATGCGAGGTAAATAAAGCATTGCGTGCCTGTCAGCTTAGCTAATCTTTCTAGGCACTGGAAACAACAATTATCTAGTCATTCAGAACTCGACCACTCTAGGCCCCTCGGTCAATTGGGCTGACCATCACCTCTACGCTGTTCAGCGCAAAGATAATGAGCCTCAGAGTGCGCATCCGTACAATGGTCGAGATCCGACTGTACCTTTGGTCGACTTCGCCAAGTTCTTTGATGGGGATTCACTAGATCAAGAGGATATTGTTGTGTAAGTAGTGTTCTTCTACTTGAGGCTCTGAAGCAAGTTGTAGAATCAAGACTAATTTTACTCGATTGGCAGGTACTTCAACCTGGGCATGCACCACATACCCGATACTTCCGACATACCTAACACAGTCTTCACTGTAAGCCATTGCATAGAGCCGACCTGACTAGTACTGTATCACTAATTGCTGACACTCTACAGTCCGCTCATTCATCCTTCATTGTGGCCCCTCAAAACTATCTCCTCAGCGACCCATCGCGTGGAACCATCCATCAGACGCGCATTAACGTTATCAACGGCTCTGTCACCGACGCTCTAACGTTCGGCGCTAAGCAGCCAACATGCGCACTCGATCTATCGCAAACAGCACCTGATACCCAGACCTTCATTGGCGAGGTATACATCAATAAGTTCCCCTATCATTCAGACGCACAGATGATTGGGAATCCCTTCGACGGTTTGGAGCCAAGTGATCTACTATGATGGCAAGCTGGCACTCGATGTTCAAAGCCCAGTCCTCAGTTTGGTAGTCTACTGAGCAGGTGCACCACCTAATCATAAAAGCAGTATTTCTCAATGTACATGAAAAGATTCTGTTCATAAGTATATACATTCGTTCATATTAATCAAAGTAAGCAATGTCTAGTTTAATAGACCAAGACATCTGAAAATCGCATTCATTGGGTGCTAGGAAAAATATATCCCCCACCAGCCCCTATTGTGACTGATAGTGTGCGCAATAACTCTGCAAGTCAGGGGTTGGAGTCTTGTAGTGTGTGCCTTGAACCCTAAGTCTAGTGCCAATTCGGAAGCATGCCCAAATTGCGATACTTTTGTTGCGATAACAGATGACTGGTCGGTTCGTCTTCCAAACAAACCAATCCATAGTTGCCAAACATGGCGGCAGAACAGAGACGGCTACTCGGTCAGTCCTCGAAAACCCTCTCTACCCTGATCACGACGCGAGTGCTAACATCCTTTTTATGCAGAGCAGCTTATGGGCTCTGGAGCCTCAGCCCAACATGCTCAACTTTCTCTGTCGGACTCAAAAGTCTGTCGTTCCTACCTCGCCGGCACCTGTCCACACGATCTCTTCACAAACACCAAGCAAGACATCGGTCCCTGCCCGAAAGTGCACAGCGAACAGCTGAAGTCCGAGTATGAGGAGAAAGAGCCATCAGAGCGAGCAAAGCTGGGCTTCGAATACGATTACATGAGAGATATGCAGAAATACATCGACGAATGCAACAGGAGGATAGATGCCGCACAAAGGCGACTGGAAAAGACGCCCGATGAGATTCGGCAGACGAATGAGCTGGCACGTACAAAAGCAAATTTTCTCTCGAGCGCTTTGGTGAGCTAACGACCAACTCTGCTAGCTCAAACAAATCTCTGACCTCACCCAATCCATCAATACCGGCCTTCTCGAAGTCGCCACCCTCGGCGAATCCTCCTCCATCTCCCTCGCCGTAACTGAGCACCATAAGATCCGCGTCGCGAAAGCCGCAAAAGAGGAGAAGGAGCGCGAATTGAAATCTTTGAGTGACACCAGCGGTCCCTCCGGCCATCAGAAATTGCAGGTCTGTGATGTCTGCGGCGCGTATCTGAGTAGGCTAGATAATGATAGGAGGTTGGCGGATCACTTTTATGGGAAGATGCATTTGGGCTATGCGCAGATGAGGAAGACGTATGATGTGTTGCAGAAGGATATGAAGGGGCGACCGCCACCTGTGAGGGATGAGTCGCAGGATATGAGGGGAGGGGGAAGGGATGAGGGCTGGGGTGATAGACAGGGTGGGGGGTATGGAGGTAGAGGTGGCTTCAGGGGAGGTTATGGTAGAGGTGGTGGTGGTGGTGGTGGTGGTGGTGGTGGTTTCAGAGGTAGGGGAAGATGGTGATGATTTCTGTTCAGGAATTCTTGAGCTTTAGCGAGGCGCTCGGGAGCGATCTCATGTCCAATGAGAGGATTGATTATATTACTACAATGATATCGTGGGTATTATTTCTCTTGCGCCTCAGTCACTTGGTCCGCCCAACTCTGTATGTCGCTCTTGGCCATCTTGTCCGGCGGCACATTCTTGCTGTCCTTCGGTTTAGAAGTAGACGGCAAAGCAGGAAAGTCGTTCACAGGATCCGGAGCGCGCTGCTCTCGTTCCTGAATCTTCGGCTGGAAGCCACCACCTCTTCCCCTTCCCCTCCCTCTGCCCCTGGCCCCATATCCGTTCCTCTGCCCGTACCCTTCTTCCTCAGGCTTGTCCTGGAACAAATCATTCTCCCTCCCTCCTCTGCCTCTTCTCCCACCTCTGTCTCCTCTGATCCCCACGCTCCCATTGTACCCTCTCCTAAATCCTCTTGCAGGCTCGGGTTTCACCTCCTCCTTCCCTTCATCCCATTCTCTTCCCCCTGAGCTCCTAACTTCCTGATCCTATTCCGCTCCCTCTCCATATCCATCACCCGTCTGGCCTTCCCCTCTTCTTGCCGTCGAACCTGCACCTTGGCTTCTCGAGCATGAAAGTCCGCTTCGTCTGCCTCGGCTAAACGATGGGCTTCTGCGCGCTTGGCGCTGTTGAGTTTGGCGGCCGCGAGCTTGCTAGATAGTTCTTCTTCTGTGAGTTTGGGCTTGACGAGGCCGCCGGTTAGATGGCGGTCGCCACGGACTGGGGCGATACGGGGCGCTGTTGGTGATTGGGCGATGACATTGGTGGATCGTGCGGTGGGTGGGGATGTTGGGGTTGGGGAGTTGGTTAAAACTGGGGCAGGTGGCTGGTCGGGAGGTTGAACCTCTGATTCTTTGCTTGGAGAGGCTGAACGGTTGTTTTGTAGTTCCAAGGGTGGGGTTTGCTCGGTTTCGTAGATCTGTGGGGTGGGAGCTGGAAGAGGAGTATAATCGTCGTCGAAAAACAAATCATCCGGAGCTCGTGTTTGAGCGAATTCGTCCATTGTGAAGTGTGTGTGTAGTACGAGCACGGTTATCATATGTGTTTAGCAGGTCCACGAGCCAGTCCTCGGAAAGGCTTGGCACTGCGAATTTTAAGGGTGGGTTCCGGACAGAAGCTTTTCTTCTTTGGTCAACGATCCTTATTCTTGTTTCTCGCTATGGCATAGCATTAAGATCAGACGATAGCTTCTGTAAGCGACTGATAGCGATGCCAGACCTTCTTTCGCCGAGGATCATGCCCAGCTCAGGGTTCTAACGCCCCCATAATAAATGCATTGCAAATCGCGGGCCACATGAATTCGCTAGTCGATCCAGAGGATAGTATTCTCCTACCACATTGCTCCCCCTGCTGACAGGGTTGGCTGATCAATTGGCTTGAATACTTCCATAGCGGGCTCTGCGGTAGCCATTTTAGTTTCGCAGTCTTGCAAAACAGCCTGCAATCATTACTTTTCTTACTTTTCTAAAAGAAGTGATACCGTGGTTAGATCTATCTAGACGTCTGAATTGTGAGGAACTGACTAAAAGAGTGATCGTCTCATCCAATGTAGTATAATCAAACGGATTTTGTTGCCACGGAAACTGTGTCAAGGACGCGGTCGCGACGAAACGACTCTCTCCAGCAATTTGACTCTTGTAACAGAATCTACAGATATGGAAACCCTCTTCTGGACAAGGTGTTTGAAGGTCAAAGTCAATTGAAACAGTGACCGTGAATCTGAAGAATGTTACCCTACGAAATCTGGCACACTTCCCTGCAAAAAGGAAATCCTTCAGCCTCGCGTCTCGAAATCGGCGGCTGCGGCATGGAGTCGGATCATTTAGCCTCACGCGTGACCCAATTGCAAAGTAACCTCTTGCTCAGCCTAACGCAGCCGTTCAAGCTTCAAACAAGCTAAGACGATCCAGACTCTGGTGTAGCAAATACACCACAAGGCTATCAAAGCTGCGCCGCCTTCCCTGCTTTTGTGATACTGACAACATGCCGTTTTGTTTGCAATTTTGTCCAATCGGCCGTGATTCTTTTGAGCTACACAGTAATAGAGACTCCCTTATCTGCAGCCTTTAGTTGATATCTGAGGTTTCAGTCACCCTAGTATGCAGGCGAAGGAGAGAGAATAGATTTGGGCGCGTAATAATACTTGCTTTGCTGTCACAATGCCAGTCTACTACTCGTGCCAATGAGGATAGAGAAATCTATCCTTCGAAATTATACAAAAGCTAGCCCTTTCTTCTGTCTTGGTGCATTTCATCAATGCTTCGGATTCTTCAATCATTCACGCTTGAAAAAGAAAAGTATTACAGAGAAGAAGGCTCGATCTTTTCCATCACCTGTCAATTGTAGCCGTTAATTTCACCCCTTGAAGTCTTCGCAATGGGCTGCCATTGTCCCATCCTCCCCATTCTCCGCACCTGCGCGCTGTTCTTTAGCCTTGTCGTTCTAGCTGGCACAGGCGATAGTATGAAAACCCTTCGCTTCCTCTTCTACTTCGTGTTGTTTAGACCTATCAGAACTAACAGGCAGCACTCACAGTCGTCTACAAATTTTCTCAAGCTCGCGAAGTAGCCACTCAGGTCGAGCAAAACTTTACTGATCTCAAACCTCCCCTACCACAACTAATTAATGATCACATCCTCGCCACCCCGAAAAGGATATACATTGGAATGTTTGCAGGCTCTTGGACGGTACTCATACTGCTCTACCTGATGATCTTCTCGAAGGTCAAAGAGGCAAAGTTCGCCCCACGAGGAACAGTCCTACTCTTCGAGGTCTTCACGGTTGTATTCTGGCTCGTTGCAGCTATTGCTCTGGCTCTGTTTGCGGTTGAGATCGAGTTGATATGTTATGCCGCAGACATCATTTCACGCTCGGGCGTGCTTAAGAAAGCCGTCGAAGTTTGTGTGCTGACGAAGGTTATCACTGCTTGTGCGGCAGCCTCTTGGTATGTCAATTCTTTGTTAATCTGATTCTTGGTGAGATATATTGAGCTCTCGCTGACCCTTAATACCGTGGTGCTTGTAGGCTTATCTGGTGTATTACTTTGATCATTGTCAGTGTACAAGGATGCCGTTCTAAAAAGACCAAGAAGAAGGCTTTACCTCCACCCATGCCTGGCTACAATGTATATGGAGCTGGCTCTCAAGGGTACGAGATGGTGGGCAGAAGTGACTTAGGTGAAGCTGAAAAAGGAGTGCGAGTCACTACAGTTCCCGTGGCTACCCGCTAGCTGGTATCTCTTGATTACCATACCAAGGATTTCTGGGGAATCATGATGTTTGGCTGGAGCGCAGGCAGCTTGATATGTCCTTCACTCAGCACTTTTCCCAGTCTGTGTTTCTGCTTTGAATGAAGCAACGGCCTTTTCGTAGCGTAAATGTACATGTCTTTATTCCCATTTTTGATTTCTGTCGACTTTCACGGCATTTGAAAATTCTCTATGTCAGTGGCGACTGCTCTCTGTAATGTTAGAAGCTCGTTTCACTCTTTATCTGTCTCTCTGATTGGAGCTCGATGACTGAAGAGAAATCCCTAGCGCTGCAAATTATGTCGCCATGCCAAAATTAGTATTAAGGAAGTTTCAGCGTCGAACGCGTGCATTGACAGGTGATGCTCGCTACCATAGGAAAAGAGCGTCAAAGTGAAGTGACTCCCCCTTCTGTCGTTAGAAGACAGCAAAATTGCATACATCTAGCTCCATCATCACTTTATCTGTGATAAATCGACGGGCTGTTGAGGCTTGTTTGGACTGTGGGGTCTTTCAACACCGAGCTGTTACTAATGTGCTAGCTTCTCAATCATGCCTTTGCGTTTGGACCTTTCGAATCCAAGGGCTAGCTATGAGAACGGCTGTCTCTTATTAGCCTCACGCATTTGTAATGAAGGCTTGTCTCGGGAGGCGATCACATCTTGAGTTATAGCTTGGATGGCCCGAGTCTGCGCGCTATGTGATTTGTAAATGGTTGTGACCCAACTCCTTAGTCGGTCTAGACTATGTTTGATGAAGAAAAGTCATCACATGGTCTGAACGAGAGATTTCAGCCTGCATTGAAGCGTTTCAACAACAATATCAGTGGATTCTATACGAGCATTCACTCTGGGGCACTGTTCGGCCTAATGCCCATTTTCCTTGGGAACTCAAAAATAGTACAGAGAATGCAAGCACCAAAAACAAAATCTGTTTAACGAGCCTCATATCACACAGTGCGACTGCATTCAGATCAACAAAGACTTCTGCGAATATGGAACTCCTCGCTAGAAACTAGCCACACTTTCACTTGATACCACTGTCTGGTTCCCTTGCCCCTCAGACGCACTCACATGTGTCAAACTCACAAAAGCCTTCCCAACGTCTCCAGCGCCCCCAACTTCTACAAGAAATTGGCCCCCATCCTTGTCTTCCTTCCCAATGCAATCCCCAATAGTAGCGAAAGCGCCAAACTCCACAATCGTCTTTGGTAGCTTCTGCACCTCTGGTACCCCCGGCATCAATGAGAGCGTGAAAAGACAATCTCCGGCAAATGTGGTATAGGGGCTTTGCACCTCGTTTGGCTGGACGACAGGATGACTGATTAAGCGGATGTAATCGACGAGGGTTGAGACAGAGAATTTAGATATTGCAGCATCGCAGTCCTTGGGTGTAAGTGGGTTGGGATGAAGTGACGGCGCTTTGTCGTAGCAGGTGAGGCGTTTTGACTCGTAGGGCTCGCTTTGGAGCAGGGGCGTGGAGAGTGTCAGGGAGACTATGGGGATGGTGATTATGAAGATAGATAAGGAAATGGTGGGCAGCATTTTGAGAATGTTGGATGTTTTCAGACCGTAGGATGAGAGGCGATGGGCAGGAGAGGGAACGAGAGGGAGTTGATATAGCTATAGCAGAGGGGCTGCGCACGTGTATCAAATTTTACCTTGCAGATTGACACACGGCTCACGGATGTCTTGTTAAGCTTGTGTAGCAATGACGCAAATAGCGCAGACTTTTTGCTAGTCTCACTTTGGCAGTGTTTATCCGCCTAGATGCTTGGACGGAGCTTCGTGTGGAGACGAGACGGCTGGAGGGCGCAGCGTACCTTAGAAAATGCGGCTATAAAAATGGTCGCGAGCGTTTTCCTTTTCAAAGGTGGATATAGTCATGTTGGCGTGTTGTTGGACGATCCGAAACAGAAAAGAGTCTAGGATGGTTAATGCATGACGACAACGTAGAACCGACCCGATCCCTCCTCATAAAGAAAGAGAAGTCGCGAGGAAGAACTTATACAAGAATCTAAAACAACACTATCGTACCTCATCTCAATGTCCAGTCCAGCAGTAGCCTGCATTTTATCCAGTTGGCACCTCACCCAGGGATTTTGCCATTGGGTTGAGCCTGTGTTGAAGGTCTTTTGGAGCCAGACGGACTCCGTTCGTGGCCTGGATATTTGACGTTGTATAATTCATTCTCGTAGATAAAATTGATGACCGAGGTGGGTATTAGGTCTAGTGCTAGATCAGCCAAAGGCCCATACCCGAGCCACATCTGAAAACATTAGGCCTTACATCGAATGCTCATGTTGTTTCTCAGGAAAAGACGTATTTTGGTGCTCGAAACCTAACAGCGGTCAGCCTAGTCTTTGAGAGCCTAATACATGAATCTGTTTACGTCGTTGGTTATAGGTTGGTTGATGAACCAAATATTTGATATCCATCTGTCCAGATTCTCAAGGCTTTCATCTATGTTTACGCCCATACGTTCAAGAATGAAGCAGCCATATCTCCCTTCAATGAAAATCAGTTTTAAGCTACTGGGTAGAATTGAGTGACATTCACCTAGAATGTGTTCGAGATCTTCCTTAGACCATACTCCGGGCGTGGCAAAAGTCGAGATCAAGTCTGCTCCGGCTAGGAGAGCGACACGTACGGGCTTTGTTTGGCCATCTTCGATCTTCACCCCGCCGAGCCTTTTCATCTCATCGTCAAAGTGATCTAGTACCCGTGCAGTTGGCACATATGAAGGAGCAAGCGCTTCCCAGTTATCCACAGACACCCAGTCCGAACCCCTGGTGGCAAGGTTACACATTTTTATTCTGGCATCCGCATTCTCGAGGCCATCTTTTTTGTAATTGGAATTGACTGGAGACATATAGCCTCCTATGACTTCGAAGTTGGTATTGTCACGAACGTAGTCGGCGGCAATCTCGAACATTCTTAAATGGAGAAATGTTGGTGGGCTAAATGAACCACAGGCAACTAGGACCAAAGGGGTTTTGGTAGAGTCGAATAGAGCTGGCTTCAACTTGAGATGGGGAAAGTTGTACGTCTCGAGATTCGAAGACATGGTGTCACATACTTCACTAGGATTCAATAAATCTGCCGCATGTTCGGAGGAATCGCCGTTTGGCCTGGAGATCTCCACAGCAGTCATGATCGAGGACTCTACAGAACCCAAGCCAACAAGCGGACAACGCAGACTACTGTGTTGTCGCTCCCGTTGCTTGCGCAACACCACGGAAGATGTGGATACAAGGGACACGATTACCACGCCGGGACCAAGCCTGGTTGGTATTACAGATTTTGCCAGAAAGAGAAAGACCAACCCTGTACAGAGATTCAAAGGAAGCGAAGAGAGGTGTCAGTAGAGCTGCGCAGACACGACGACTGAGGTGAGTCAGCCGCGCTTCTGCCTGTAGGCTTCTATGGATTCACTAGCAAAAAGCCACTTTAGTGGACCAACGGAAGGAGTAACAATGCTGCAGCCTGAGACTGGAATGTGATGTTCTTAGTGAATAGCGATGGTTTGACGGCGATAAGCCCGAAAGATAGCAAATGTAGATGGAAAGTTTGCCTGCAATTGACGATGTACCCTTTAGTGGTTCTAATAACAACTCCGTATTATCTACACATCACGCTAAGGAAAAAAGATTTGCCGTCTACCGCCCTCGTCAGAGGCTTTGCTTGGCAACGCTGGTCCAGAAGGCTTGCGGTTGCGGCATCCTTCAACCACCTACAATCAGTAGTTCTATCTGTTTCACGCAATCTATGGCATGACTTAATTCCATCATTTTCACGAATATCCCTACACCCTTAAATGACAGACTTTGTTCGCCACAACGCGGGAAAATGACACTCTGGGGCGCTTGAATCGGTCAGTCGACGCTTAATGGAGGGTACAACGCATGGCCTTGGCTCCTTCCTCAAAGGCCGACACGCAACTTCGCAACACTCCATCCCATCCTGAACTCTCGAGGTTTGCCTCTCCATTCTCTTCATTGATTTCATCCCCTTGTCTGTGCAAGTCTGAGCTCGTCGTCCAGCGGCACCTCCGTCAAGCAAAGCACCTGTTCCAAAGCGGCGCATGGGACTCAACCTCCACAAAACATCGCTATTCACAGCTATTGCGTGATCAGATTCTCATGTCTCCCAGGGTGACTCGCTCTGCAACTAGGCTTGCAGTAGATCCGTCGTCTCCAGATACAAGCCATCACGTCGAAAATCTTCCACAAACATCCCAGCAAAAGTCTCGGAAGCGAAAAGCACCTCCTGATCTTGACGAAGCTCTCGACAGCCAGTCTCCTTCACTGGAAACCTCTTCTCACCCCCAAGCCGTTCAGCAAAGAAGCAAAGAGTATCAAGCGGGATAGCACCAGCTCAGGGTGCGCCGAAGTCTCGTGCCCGGGGGTGAAAAATCCAACTTCGATGGCCAAACCCGGGTAAGACGCTTTTCACGAGAATTCATGAATACATTATCTCACAAAGATATAGGTCATCCTCTCCTGGTGATATTCAAAATGAGAAGTCTCCACCAAACGTGCCGGAAACGTCGAAACGAAAGCCCAGTCGGAGCAAGAAGACCATCAATGGTCTGCCCTCACGCGATGCTACGATGACAAGAGCTCACATTCAAGTAGATTCCGAGAATGCTGGTCAGCCTAGCAGCTCATCCGGCAAACGTTCAAAGAAGACATCTACAAGAAAAATGGAAGATACAACGTTGAAGGAAAATCTCGAAACGCCTAAGCAACCGTCGAAAGCCCCGCCTGAACCCGTCAAAGCCGAGTCTACGAGTGAGGAAGATATGTCTGCACATCACCAGCCTCATGAAGAGGAGGATGACGACGGTCTACCGGACCCATTTCGGTCAAGTCTTCTAGGTCCTGGACGGCCCCATGTGAGCATGTCCGAAACCTTGCGGCAATTGAGTGGCTACGTTTCAGGTGTATCGCAGAAACTACGAAATATACTTGAAAATCTGAGGCAGAAAAGTGATCCTTCGGTGCAACTCATCGCATTACAAGAGCTTTCCGAGCTGCTCTTGATTTCTAACGAAGACAGTCTATCTGGTCACTTCTCGCCAGATCAATTCGCGAAGGAACTCATTTCACTGATGCAACCAAGTGATTTTGGAGAAGAGAATCCCGAGATGATGCTTCTAGCTTGTCGGTGCATAGCCAACATGATGGAAGCACTACCAGCCTCGACGGCTGTCGTAGTATACAGTGGTGCTGTGCCAATCTTATGCGCTAAGCTTCTCGAGATCGATTTCATCGATCTGGCAGAACAAGCTCTGAGTACGCTGGAGAAGATCTCGATAGAATTTCCTTCTTCGATTGTCCGTGAAGGTGGACTCAGTGCTTGTCTGAATTTCCTCGATTTTTTTGCAACAAGTACACAGCGAACAGCTGTTACCACTGCCGCCAACTGTTGCAAAAATATCCCTCAAGACACGTTCTCGGTCATCAGTGATGTTATGCCAACTCTGCTTAATGTCCTCTCCAATAGCGATCAGAAAGTGGTTGAGCAAGGCTCAATATGCGTATCAAGGATTGTCGAGAGTTTCAAGTATGAGAATGAAAAGCTCGAAAGTCTTGTCAGCGTGGATCTCCTGAAGGCTGTCCGGCGTCTTCTTCAGCCAGGAACGACGAATTTAATAGGTCCCAACATTCATACGCAATTTCTCCGTGTGCTGTCGATCACAGCTCGCGCTAGTCCTAACCGCTCCGCTGAACTTTTGAAGATGGGCATCGTCGAAACCTTGTATCAAATCCTGACCGGAGTCTCACCACCTAATAGTCTTGACAACGCGGCTTCAGAAATTGACAGCGTCTTCATCATGCAAGCATTGATTCACCGCCCACGAGAACAGATCACAGAGACTTTGAATGTCATCTGTGAACTTCTTCCACCCGTTCAGCTGGAGAGTCTGTCATTCAGTGATACACTACCAGATGCTTTCCTCCTTGATGATGATATCATACCATATTCAGGCTCTACTGTAAAGAACAAAGAGAACCAGGACCGGTTGAAGCAGCTAGATCGCTGTAAGGAAGAACTCAAACGCTTTGCCATTATAATGTTTCCCACACTCACAGACGCATTCTCAAGCACCGTTAACCTTGGAGTACGCCAGAAAGTCTTGGTTGCCCACCTTAAAATGCTTTCGAACCTGGATGTCAGCATTTTGGAAGAGGCTCTGCGTATCGTGCCTTACGCATCTTTTTTGGCATCAATACTTTCTCAGAAAGACCATCCCTCTTTAGTTGGTGCTGCGCTAAAGGCGGCGGACGTACTTCTGAACCGTTTGCTCATGGTCTATGGGTACCAATTCTATCGTGAGGGTGTCATGGCAGAGATATCGAAGCTTGCTAGTGAAGAAATTGCTATGCCAGAGCTCAAAATGCCCAACGCCATCAATGGACGTGACACGAAGGAGGTCAAGAAAGAACCTCTCGCTGAGACAGAGACGGTTAGCCGTGATAATGGTGGCACAGAGACTGATGAGCTGCGTAACAACCGCGATACTGATCTGCCAATCGAGGTGGATGAAGATGATGACCAGGATGATGATGAAGACGAGGCGAGGGAAATTCCAGATGACGTTTCACCCTCGCCCTCCGATTCCTCGTCAGAGCAGGATTACTTTGCTCCGTCGGCTTCCGAATATGATCTTAATGTTTTGTCTGCTCGAAAGTTTCTTGAGGTCCATGAGTCTTCGAAAGCCAAGACCATGAAAGAGAGAGCAGCCAAGATTCTTAAGCAGCTCCAATCTCTTGCGAAATCGATCTCACGTCATTATCTGGTTGATGGTCACGGAGATGGTCCTAAACTTTTTAAGCAGCTTTCTGAGAGCTTTCAAGGGGACGCACTCAGTACTGTGACGAGTGCAGAGCTTCTCCAATCTGATGTCGTGGACACGCTGCTAGATATCTTCGGTAACCCTGAAGGTAAGTACCATCTTTCAAGTCTATCAACGACTCACAACTCACTGTAGATCACAGATCAAATTCGAATCAGAGCGAGGTACGATTTTGTGCAGACCTTCATGGTTGCACCGTCCCGTTCGTCCAAAGCGCCATCGACCGCCTCACCATTCTCTGTCTTCATCCATAAACTCCAAGATCTCTTAAGCCGGGCAGAACATTTCGAAGTGATCACAATACATCAGAACGCTTTTGACAACAATCGCAGTAGCCCGTACTCTATGCTATCAAAGCAATTGAGATTGAGGCTTGCAGGTGACGACGAAGCGGAAGTTTCCCGGTCTTACAGCAGCCTCACAATATCAGTACATGCAATTGCGACTTTCAAATCTTTGGATGACTACCTTCGACCTCGTATCAGTCTTGCCGAGCGTCCGAGAAGCTCACGGCACCGAGAAGGCGTCTCGAACGCCCTTGCAGCTGTTGCTGCTGCTGCAGGTTATCCTGCGCCTCACCCGAGGTTCACCAATCGCTTAGAAGAGCCCAGCGACCCGTCAGCGCAATCTTCGCCTGCCGACGGTCCATCTGTAAATCGGAGTACTCGCAAGAGCGCAAAGTCGAAGAAAGGAGATCACGCTTCCGAACCAGCGTCAGAAACTAGCAAGACCAACCCCGCACGGCGTTCATCTCGGAAAAAACCAGTCAGTGCCCCGGAAACCTTTGAAAACCCATTGCCTCCACCTGAGCGAGTTCAAACGCCTCTTGAGTGCGCTGATGAGCATCAGCTCACGGAGGACGAGGAGGACCCAGAAAATAGTAGTGCTCTGGATGCAATAGTCGATGATCTTGAAGAGAGCATGGACGCTGAACAGGGCCCGGAACCCACAGCAATCAACATGGAAGTTGCGTCTACGGGAAAGGTGACCGCTAGGAAGGACGATGGCACCAGAGTAGCCACGCCATCCCACAACCCATCAACGCCGCATCCTGCACCACCCCACCGGACCCCAGTATCATTTGCTCGCGATCTTAGCCCCAATATCAGTCTCTCGGCGGCACGTAGAGCCATGTCATATGCAGCCGCAATTCAATCAACACCACAAGATTGGCATATTGAATTTAGCATAGATGGAAGGCCTGTGCCTCATGACATGACCATATATAGGGCTGTCCATTACGATGACCTGCAACCAAACTCTACTTCTTCTCGCAACATCTGGTCTGCCGTCCACACGGTCAAGTTCAAGAAAGTACAGGGTCCTCCACCCGCGGAAGCTTCTTTGTCACGGTCATCTTCAACTCTAGTCAAAGGAGACGCGAATTCATCGCTGCCGTTATCGCTTCATGAACACCCGCAGACCTCTAAGATTTTACGACTCTTGAACATTTTTCATGAAATGAATGCCAACCTAGAAGATGTTCTAGATGAAAACGTTGAGGAAGGACTAATCAAAGCGGAAGCACTTTCACAATTTGTCAACACGAAGCTTACTGCTAAATTGAATCGCCAACTTGAGGAGCCACTGATCGTTGCAAGTAGCTGTCTTCCAAGCTGGAGCGAAGATCTAGCTTGTCTATACCCGTTCCTATTCCCTTTTGAGACGAGACATTTATTCTTACAATCAACTTCGTTCGGATACTCACGATCCATGGCTAGATGGCAAAATCAGTCGACTGAAGAATCTCGACGCGACCGACACCGCGATGACAGGCCCTTCATGGGAAAATTACAACGGCAAAAGGTTCGCATCCAACGATCTCGCATCCTTGAATCCGCTTGCAAGGTCATGGAAATGTACGGTGGCTCTTCAAGCATCTTGGAAATTGAGTATTTTGACGAGGTTGGAACTGGCCTTGGGCCGACCCTCGAATTTTATTCTACTGTCTCTAAGGAATTCTCGAAGAAGAAGACTAAGCTGTGGAGGACGAGTGACGTCAACGAGCAAGAAGAGTATGCATTCTCGAACAACGGCATGTTTCCAGCTCCTATGACGGATTCAACTGCTCAGAGTGAAAGTGGTAAGAAGATGCTTTACTACTTTAAGATGCTGGGCAAGTTTGTTGCGCGATCAATGCTCGACTCAAGAATTATTGACGTCTCACTTAATCCAATACTGTTCCGCGTAGGAGGTCAATCAGACACAGTACCATTGTCGCTGGGTGCAGTAAAGCACGTCGACAGCCACCTTGCGAATTCGCTTTGGCTCTTGAAGCAATATGTCAATACCAAGAAGCAGATCGACAGCAACCCTCGATTGACGGCAACTCAAAAAAACCGAGAGAGTCACAGAGTCACCATCAATGATGCTTCTATAGAAGATCTTAGCCTTGATTTCACTTTACCAGGGTATCCCAACATAGATCTTGTTGAAAACGGCTCTAGCACACCTGTCACTATTGACAATGTTGCTATGTACATAGAAAAAGTGGTTGACATGACGCTTGGTATCGGTGTACAGCGTCAGATCGAGCAGTTCCGGTCCGGCTTCTCTGAGGTCTTTTCCTATTCGGCATTGAAGGCTTTCACACCATCAGAGCTTGTAATGTTGTTTGGCAGGATTGAGGAAGATTGGAGCATCGAAAGTGAGTGCCGCTTCCTATCACGACCTTTTGTCTTGCTAACGCTAGTGCGATAGCCCTCTGTGACTCTATTAAGGCAGATCATGGATACAATATGGACAGCAAGAGTGTCCGCAACCTACTTCAGGTGATGAGCGAACTCTCACCTCAACAACGGCGAGATTTCCTACAATTTGTCACTGGAAGCCCAAAGCTTCCTATTGGAGGTAGGTCTTGTCCATAAATATAGCTGGAGTTGAGTCTGACTTATGTTTAGGGTTTAAGAGCTTGAATCCCATGTTCACTGTGGTGTGCAAGCCCAGTGAAGCACCGTACACATCCGATGACTTCTTGTTATCCGTGATGACGTGTGCAAATTATGTGAAATTACCGGACTACACCAACCTCGACGTTCTTCGGAAGAGGCTGCTTACTGCCATAACGGAAGGTCAGGGGGCCTTCCACTTGTCATAATTTCCAGCAAGGGACGGTACGACCAGAATGACGACGCCAGTTCATTTGAGGTTTCAAGCATAGCGTGGGGTGGCTGGATGACGGGTAGGATGATACCACCAACTCTACCAGTTCCGGAGGATCTATCCATGTGGCTCGGATAATAGAAACGACAAAGGAGGCAAATAGAATCAGAGATGTTACGCCTGCATGGCTTTGTAGATAGCTTATGCATAATACTCCATATCTAAATGACATAGCTCAACGACACCCGTTGAATTGGCACCAGCGCCACGCCGTAATCCCTTCAAACCGAGCGTACATAGCGGCATGCCTTGTTTTACCCATCTTGGGCTAAGTGCTACATCAAATGAGTCAAACCCAATCCCAGGAGGCAGCCGTGTATGCCGCAGTCCTTGGCAGCAGTCAAACCATAGGCAATGTCAAGAAGGGAGAGCAGAATAGAAGTATTTACTTAGGAACGAGCAAAATCAAACCGGCAAAATTCTATTGAATGGTACAGCGCTTCACAGTGAAAATCAGGTCATCCAATGGGGACTGTCCTCAACGTAACACTGTCCATGAACGCTTGGAGATATATTCAGCAAATGCAACCCTAAAACCCAGACTCCCACGCTTCTTGAAATACTCAGAATCGAATATCAGATCAGCCATGCTTAAGACAGATGCTGTTGGGCTCATCAATGCGGCCTTGAAGCTAGACAGCTTCAACATAGTTGCTAAATCAGGTCAGCTTATGTATCATTTCAAAAGGTTTCCGTTCGGACTTACCTAGGGAATACGCCAGATCGCTCCCCAACTTTGCCTGTCCACCAATCGCTTGCATTCTCAGTCCTTTTGGTAATAGTGATGATTTCCCCCTTTTTGAAACCGAGATCGCCAGGTTGGTCAGCGTCAAAGGTATACAATGCAACGGCTTGATCTTTTCCTATCGACCCTGCTGCTGGCTTCGGTTTGAAATTCGGTTTTGGCGCTGTCGGTCTATTGGGCTTCGGAGAGCTATTGAAGCTGCTGACTGTATTCGTTCTCGATCTCGAGTCTAGTGCTGCAGGCTGTCTATCATAGACATCGTCTGCCCATGTGTTCGCACGGCGCGGTGCATCGTGATATTCGTAGTCACCTGCACCGCCCCCAGTAGACGAGCCGGTACGATCTGTTCGAATGCCCTCATTGTAGCCGTTACCCTTTCGTCCTTCCCACACAACATCGTCGTGAGACGAATCATATATCGGAACATCATTGTATATCTCATTACTCGAGGAAGCTACGCCTGCGAAGACTCTTGAATTAAGGACCCGCATCAATGGATCAGCTGCGGGTGGAGGACGAACACCGCCTTCAAGGAGTTGGCGGGCTGTGATTCTGCTGTTGTATAGCTTCTCGTTTGCGTCTCGGCGCTCGAAGATACCACTTCCTTCCAAGCTCACCCCGGCGAAAAGCCCTTTTGTCTTGCTGTAAGAAAAGACGGCCGCGACACCCTTTAGACTTGCTGCACCTGCAGCTTCCGCGTTTCGTCCCACCGGCCCTGCCGCTATCGACACGTTACCGCCTAGAGTGAGAGAGCCTTTCTGGGAGAATGTTCGCACTGCGGCCATATCGTTCAGGATGAACACAAAGTCAGTCAATTCGAAGCCGATCTGTCCGCCGAAACCGGCGCCGCCAGTCATTATCGCCGATGGAGCCGACCATGAGCCATCGGACAAGCGCGCAACGACGAGGCCGGAACCAAAACGACCTGAGCCAAGGAAGCCGGCTTTGAGGACTGTGATAATTGCGAGACCCTGTTGCACGCGCGTGAGCTGTTTGGCAATGCGCCTGAACGAAAGGGTTGCGATACCTTGGCATTGGCTAATATCTGTGGCGGTATGATCTTGTCTGGGCCAAACGCTTGTCTTGGGTCAACGAAGGAGGCGAGAATCTGGAAAGAAGATGAGCGATTGGCAATGCTGAAGGATGATCCATTCTACCTTGCCAGCCTTCTTGCACTCGCTGTGGAGAGAGGTGGGAAACGGGTTGTTGATGCCGAAGGGCATGATGTAAAGGTAGGGTATCCGAGTGTATGATTGAGGCAAAGGGATCTATTATTCGAGAGGCTCTTTAAAAGATATCTGTAGGAGTAGGTTTACTCAGCCATGATGCTCGCGTGGACCGTCAGCTTCTCCGCCAAGAAGAGGCAATGACGCAGCCCGAGCCCTCCCGTGTCCATCAAGTGCAACTTCCTACTTTCTGCTTCACCACTTTCAACATTGTCATCGCGGCGGAGCTTAGCAATGATCTTGTGTCATGGTCTTCATATGACTGTGTTGCTAGAAGTCAACTATGATTGAGGCATGAACAGCTCTGTGCGAAAGACTCGCTTTGCTGGCTAAGAAGAAAGGGGTGATCTTGGTCACCCTCGCTGATAATCTGCCATTGTTTGCTGCGTATTCGTATCTTTCCCCAAGTATCTTTCCTGAATGAACAAAATTGCACGACAGACTCGTTGCTTTGGAATTCCACAGAGTTGGAGACTTGGTCTGCGTTTCAATTAACCACAAGATTCTTTTACGGCCCCTTCACTCTACTATACACGAATACAAAATTGCTCCATCCCGAACATCGACTCTTCAGCCATACAGACTGCAATCTATGTACAATTCCAACCCGTTGTCCTACCAAAGGACTGATATTAGCGACGGTAACCACGTCAACTAAGAGGTCCTTGTCAGGACAGCCTCTCACACCGAGTTCGTCCTAAACTATTCTCGGATGGTCTCATCAACACCTGCCGAAGAGCTTTTCCGAAACACGTTGCTGAAGGCATCTGCAATTGATGAACGTCGACTGCCGCCTGAGCTAGCGGTCCATATACTGCTGGAGCGGCGCCTCTGGCCCTGCTCATCGGTGGATTCTTTGATTACTTTCACTTGAGACGGTTTTCCTGAAAGCACGAATAAATGAACAAATAGTAGGTCATCTGATATCAGCTTCGCTTACGCATGTTTCCTGCACCGCCTCTGCCATTACTGACGTAACGCTCAACAATCACCTCGGTCTTAGGCGTGGTATGTTGTTCGAGTTCAGCCATTGTGATAGATATGACTTTCACTTTGGTATATGTGAGCGTTCGAATGTGGAAAGCCGGTATTGATCAGCCTTTCTTGAGAAGATGAGCTGCGATTCGGAATCTTCTAACTCGAGAAAATAGACGACTTTGGCCAATAATTATATGCACATGTTTCTTTGGATCGGTCGGCCGTGACGTTCAACAGTGCATGTCACGCTTAGGAAAAGGGCATGCTTCTGTCAAAGGCAGTCATCCTAAGCTAGTAAGCTCTGATAAGACATATGCTTGGCATTGGCTGTTTCGAAAGCCCTTGAGACGATCATAGCCTTTCCCCAGATTTACTGGCAGCGCGGGGACGCCAACTACGTCAAGCGCAACCCCATGGTCAAAGCTTTCGATCACGCGACGCATTGTGATAGAGATAAGCATGATTCGAATTACAGGCTCGTCGAAGCCAGCCTTTTCTCTCTTGGTCTATAGCTCATGATTCCATGTCTATTCCACTCCCCTCTATACCAAAACATCGAACCAGGAGAGGACGCCGCTACCAGCACCACTTACGTTCGGGCTGGGACTGGAACTTATTGATCCAATCATGTCCGCCCTCCTCATATCCAACATGGTGGAGGCCCCACTGCGATTTGGTCTGCTGATCCTCATACCTTCGCTTGCACAAGATGTGACTCGCCAGCCCTCAGACTTGCTTCGGCGCTCTGTTTAAGCTTTATCTGCTCCGTCTCGGTCAGTGGAGTCTCATGGCTACGACTTCGCTTCTTGGAAAGAGGCGTCTCTGTCACAGAAGCATTGTCACTCTCATCATCAATGAACTGGTAGGAGCGATGTTCGACATTGGCCCAACCAGTGCCTGATGGAATTTAGCGAAACCCATCGCAAGTACATATTGCCTCACCCATAGACAGCTTATAACCCGTCCAGTCCTCAGTGAAGAAATGTACAAAGCCACCATGCGTCACTAAAACGATCTGCTTCTCAGGTCGTGCCTTGAGCCACTGCCTAGCCTCCCTTGCTCTCTTCTCTATTGCGGTAGCTGTCGGTGACCAACGATCAGTTTTCGAATTCCAGCCTTCCATCACCAGACTTAAGTCCACCGGCTTATCAGCCATCTCTTTTCTTAATGCTGAAAGATCGCTGCCCGTATCACATGGTACATTAGCAGTCTCCTGAGCTTCCGGTAGCGCAATGACCTTCCCACAACGATCTATATCTTGTTTGAAGCCGAGAAGGGCCGTATATATTGTTCGGCGGAGTGGCGAGCAGACTATGAGATCAATGCTGTCATGATCAGGAAAGGACTGAGCAAGTTGCCGACATTGTTCTTCGCCAAATGGCGTTAGGTCTGGGTCAGGTATAGAATGGTTTGCTACGCTTAGATTGTGAATGCTAATCTGATCAGCTAGGCATAAGACTATAGGCAGTTGTGCGCAACACAAACCCTTGTGCATGGCGAACGACGGTTACTATGGGAGCCACTACGAATATTCAGACTCTGAGCCTTGTGGGATTGGGCATTCTTCCTTACTGTATTGAGGTCGCGGGTATCTCGTAGGATTATTAGGCTTAATGATACACTAAAAGAGCAAGCTGAAGGATCAAGAAAGTTGGTCAAGGAATGGATGGCAAGAGGCGAGCGCCGCAAACGTTTTCCTGACATATCACGAGCTTCAAGAATCCTCCACGATTGGCCCCCTCGCCCCACCTAATCTTGCGCAATCTGCGGGTCGGCCCACGGCCAAGACATGAGTTTAGCCGAGAGGTTCCTTAAATTGCTTCACATGAATCCTTTCGTTCCTGTCTAATGTCCTACCTACCTTATGTCATTAGATGCCAAGACCATGGCGGACGGCATTAACGAATATATATCACTCCCGTCATGCACATTTACACCTTCCTCGATCTAGTTGCCCCGCCTGGCGACGACGATATTCTGTTCAACCCGTGGTTACATGCCCTAGCAATGTCATTGACGTGAAGGTGAAGAAGGGCCTGGGTAGCCCGATCGATGCCAAGTAATTTGAATATACTCTTCAATCATTCAGGAGCTTTGCTAATCCTATGCTGACAGGGTCGCCTATCCTCCAAAGCTTGAGAAAGATGGTCCGATCATACTAGACTTAGGCCACGGACTGCTGATCCCACAGCGCCACGATCGCCTTCATGGACTATGCATGAGCGCGAATGCTACCGTCGTTCAGCCAGCATACCATGTCTCGCAAGACCAGCCATATCCGACGCCGATACACGTAGTGGGTTCGCTTCCCCCTACTCAACAGATCGACTAGCTGACGGTTCTTGCGAGACCCTTGCTCTCTTCGATTGGATAGCACTTCATTTGCAGAAAGAAGGCAGCTCATTAGGGACCCCACCCCTTCGTTCGGTTGGAGTATGTGGCGGGTTCATTGGTGGAAGCCTAGCTACCATGCTGGCACTCACAGAATGCAACACCGCCAGATCTCACATTCGGGCTGCGATGGTAGAGAACCCTGTATTAGATTGGACGGATGTTCTGCCCGTGGATGGCACCCTGAAGATCGACGACAATCAGGCCGCCAAGCTGGCGAAGACTGGGCGGCCTAAGGCGACCGATCCGCTCGAGCGGAGAATGGCGACACTTGACTCGTTAATGGCCTGCAGAAGCGACATCTTTCAAAGACTGGAACACTTTTTCGACCCGTTCGCAAGTCCCTTGCTCTTCTTCCGCACGCCGTGCTTCGATCTGCCTCATCAGCAACAGATGCATTCTCGCGCCCCTCCGCCATTGGCGTCGAAGAATTCAGCAGCTGCCGAATCACAGGCAGAAGCAACCCATGTCATCGAGAGAAAGAGGACATACAGAAGAGCTCATCCGCCCCAAGGCTCATCTCTTGCCTTGCCATCGATTAGGCTTACAACGGGCAAGGACTGGGTCCTCAAACATCAAGCGCAGGAGCTAGCGAACTACATGCGAAGTAGTAACATTCGGGCAAAGAATTCGTTCCCACAACTCAACGACCAAGCAATCGAGCCAGAGACAACGGTTGAAGAAAAGGAAGACTTAGGACTCTGGGACAAACAAGACGTGATCAGGGCTGGTCATTGGCTTGGTGAGATGTTGAGGAAGCGTTGAATCCTCCCTTGATATCCGCTCATGAGTCAATACAATGTAATGTCCATACATCATCATTTCCATCGTCATTGGCCCATATCCTCTCCGTTACCCATACCAGCTCCTCAGCGTTTGATTTCCCCCGCCTCCTCCACTTTATCCCATTCACTATCCGTACTCAACTCGCCCTGCGAGCTTCCCTCCCCAAAACTCTGCTTTCGTCTCCTCAACTCCGCAGCCTCTGGCTTCAACATTTTCTTCACATCTCCCCCTTCGACCCCCGCAAAATTCCCTCCCCCTACGACTGGCCCTGCCGTCTCCTCCTCCCCTGCTCCGGCCTTCATATCCTCTGTCTCGGTCCCACTGCCCCCATCATCTTCCTCATCGTCCCCCTCACTTCCCCCGCCCCCACCACTACTTCCTCCTTTCGCCCCTTCCTTCGCGCTTCTCTCCTTTTCTTTCTCTCGCTCCTTCGCATTCGCCTCTTCGAGCTCACGCACGAACCAGTTCACGCCCCACCAGAGTCCGGCGCAGAGGAAAGAGAGGATGACGAAGTGGATACTGTAGGTGGCGGCAAGGAGAAGGGAGAGTACGATCTGCAGTGAGAAGAAGGCTATATTGGTTGCTCGGACAAGGGAGGGTGTGGGGCCTGGGGTGAAGATGCTGGTGAAGAGGTTGGTGAGGAAATCCATTCTTCGGTATTTTGATGTTCTGGTTGTAGGATGTGAATCGTTGAGGAAGGTAGATTATATTGGTTGGAAAAGGGATATCCTTGAGCAAGTGTGCTGGAGGTAGAAGGGTTTGTGCGCTTTACGGAGGTTGGGTCGGGATGGGTTGAGATAGCTGTTTGCTAGTCGGTGTTTGTGTTGTAGACGTGGAAGAGAGGATGAAAAGTTGAGTAACAAGCAAGATAGAGCTGCTGGTGCTCGGAACACGTGGACAGACCACGACGTGGAAGCCTGGCGTTGTTTACTGTCTCAGCAGATGCGTCGACCTGTTCCTGACGGTTGGCTAGACGTCATTTGTAGGCGTATCTGGCACTAAGCCAATCTTAGCCATAGTGTCCTTTTCCATCTGACCAGCCTCGTGGGTCGATATTGATTTTGTGGCTGGTCTCATCCGAATTGCACACACATGCTATACTCAAGGCTCTACAATAGTCATAGCTGTCTTCGCCGTGCAACAACTCCGCATTCACATTGCGGTCGGTTGTGCCGCCAATGACGCATGGGACGAAAAGGGCAAGTGGGGAAATGGTCCCCAGTCGTTGGAGAATTCGCTAGCCACGGACCTCGTGACTTACTCCAAATTTTCCGCATTCTCGTCATGCTTATTCAAATATATAAACCGACAATGAACCTGGATTGCATCTTACAGTCTTGGATCCTGTTTGCCTGATCTTGGAGCGCGGCGGATCAAGCAATTGTATTCCATGATGGCATCCACTGATGAAACAAGCGCCTCGAATATATTAAAACAGCCCAGTCAAGATTCATATGCTCACGAGAATGACACCGAGGGTATTTTCATTCACCATGCTGAAGCAGTCTCCGAGCAGCGCGACGCGTATGGCCCTGCCGGTCTTCGTGGAATAACCGTCAATCCCTACGTCGCACTATGTGCAGGTCTGGCGGCGATGGGGGGCTTGCTTTTCGGATATGATCAAGGCGTAGTGTCTGTTGTGCTGACGGAGGATCAATTTCTGAGTCGATTCCCACGCGTCAATGGTGGAGCTGGAGGATTCTGGAAAGGGTTCCTTACCGCCATGATTGAGCTGGGTGCGTTGCTTGGCGCCCTGAATCAAGGATGGATTGCGGACAAGATCTCCCGAAAATATTCCATTACTGTTGCTGTATGCATATTTACTGTAGGCTCTGTCCTCCAGACCGCTGCTGTTGATTATGCGATGTTGATCGTGGGCCGATTTATTGGGGGGATTGGCATAGGAATGCTGAGTATGGTGGCACCATTGTATATCTCGGAGATATCGCCGCCTGAAATTCGTGGAGCGCTGCTGGTCCTTGAAGAGCTTTCCATCGTATCTGGGATCGTTGTTAGCTTCTGGATCACTTATGGTACACGTTACATCTCGACGGAGTGGGCGTGGCGACTGCCATTTCTCCTTCAAATTATTCCTGGGTTGTTCTTGGGTGTCTGCATCAACTTTCTGCCCTTCTCACCTCGCTGGCTGGTGTCGAAAGGCCGAAATGATAAAGCATTGTCTGCTCTTGCTAGACTACGTACGCTGCCGGCGACAGATTCAAGGGTCATGCACGAGTGGTATGATATACGTTCAGAGGTGACATTTCATCAGGAAACCAGCGCTATTCGCCACCCGAAGCTGCAGGACGGCAGTCTTGCAAGCCGTGTAAAGCTCGAATTTGCTTCTTGGGTCGATTGCTTCAGAAGAGGTTGTTGGCGAAGAACACATGTTGGTGTAATGTTGATGTTCTTTCAACAATTTGTTGGTTGGTGCACATTCGAGACCTTTTGTCTTCGAAGATACAGCTAACTCATAAAATTGTTCAGGGATCAATGCATTGATATACTATAGGTGATTTGATCAGTATTTTTTGGTTGCTCTCCATCGATATTGAAGCTGACTTTGTCAATTTTTGTTAGTCCAAGTCTTTTCGGAACGATGGGACTGAACTACTCCATGCAGCTCATCATGTCCGGAGTGCTAAACATTACTCAGCTTGTTGGGGTGACCTCGAGTCTTTGGACTATGGACCGGTTCGGGAGACGACCCCTCCTCCTGTGGGGCAGCTTCTTTATGGCAGTCTCGCATTTGATCATCGCAGTTCTGGTGGGTAAATTTTCCAAGGATTGGCCAAGTCATCGACCTGAGGGCTGGGCATCAGTAGCTCTCTTGCTATTCTACATGCTAAGTTTTGGAGCATCCTGGGGCCCTGTCCCGTGGGCCATGCCCGCTGAGATCTTCCCATCCAGCCTTCGCGCGAAAGGGGTGGCTTTGTCAACTTGCTCAAATTGGCTGAATAATTTTATCATCGGGCTAATTACACCGCCTCTTGTTCAAAATACGGGATACGGTGCAGTATGTGGTCAGACCTTGTCCATGTCCAAGCCTTGCTAATGTGAAACAGTTTACTTTCTTCGCTGTCTTCTGCTTACTATCTTTGGTCTGGACTTTCCTATTTGTTCCGGAGACATCTGGAAGAAGCCTGGAGGCTATGGATCATGTGTTCAAAGACATCAACAGCGAGGAGGAAGAAACGAGACGAAAAATGATTGAGCGCAATCTTATTGGAAGCATACGTGAAGCTAATGACTCGGGCTCTAAATCCCCCTGATTTGTCGAAATACGTCCGAATTTAGATGGGAGGATCACCTGGTCCAGGCAGACACTCACTTATCAACCAGGATATAACGGTGAACGGCACAGCTCTCTGATCGCTGTCGAGGCCGCTGCTGATACTCGATGCTACCCACCATCTACGCAAGCTGACATTGGTTCTGGTTGCCGCATTATGCGGTGGCCCTTTGTCCGACGCATGGCAAGCTATACACCTTTCGAGCGGGTCTCGGGTCAGAGCGATCTAGACGAAACATGGTTCATGACAAAAAGTGTCCGTCTCGCGCAATTGTGACGATCAAATCTACGATGAGATGATGATTTAAAGGGTGATGATGCTTGGCACCACCTCTGTCAGGAGCGGCTCGAGCAATGAAGCGATGGATTCCGCCACAGCCATGGCACCGCGAGGCTCTGTTAGCGATTTGAAATGCTCTTGAACTCTCAGCCGTTTCAAAAATAGTCAGCTCCAGCCTGCCCTGTTGCGCGAAGGATTCAGGAAGGATGCAGGGAGGATTCGTGGCGTGGCTGTCCCCGAGAGGATTGGCCAAACCCTCACTGCAATCACGCAGCACCCTTCCAGCCCCGGTTTTTACTTTCATCTCTGTGTTTGCAGCACTGGATGCATAATAATAAAGCTGAGCATCAATAGCAATTATTCTGAAGCTCTCCCCTGGTGTCCAATGTCCGTTGTCTGATGTTGTTCAATCCCCTTACGGACGTACGCAGCTCCGGGCAAGGGTGCTCGGGTCGGGTAGCCAGCCTCCTCGATGAGAGGTGCGGAACGAAGACTGAGGAGCTCACGTATGCTTGGTTATTTGCATTTCCAGTGGCATACAATCTTATCTTACGCACGAGGGGTGCAGGGATCCGCAGTCACGCCGATGTTGCTCGATGCGAGCACGCGGAGTTGGCTCAACAAAGATGGAGGGATTGCAGGGGTACCCGCTGTCGCTGTCGTTCCCCATGAGTCCCCTCCCTCTAGAACACGTTAAGAGCAGTCGAGGGAATGGAAGTAGAGTTGCGTTAAGCGCCCGGAGCGGGGCAGATCACAGGGACTAATCACAACTAATGCAGCCTCTATCGTAGCGAGAGACCGTAGCTGCATACGCTGCTTATAGGGCTGTTAAGTCGCAATCTTACTGCCTTCGACGGCCAGATGCTCACCCGCTTGATAGTCATGCCCTTGCCCACATCGGACATCGACAGCAGGCCAAGCAAAGCCGTTAGCACCTTTAGCACCTTTAGCACATCGAGTACTCTAGCTCGAGGATCAATATCGTTCTTACAGTCTCACCCTCTTACTCTTACTAGAGCACCAGATCCTCCCCTCCTGCTGTTTCAACCCAGTCTCGATTCGTCCCTATACCAACCACATGGCTGTCCACGCCGGTGCTGTGGAGGGTCGTGGTAATGCCCTGCCATGTGTTCGCTTGTCCGCTCGATCTGCTTGGTAGGGACCAGCGATGAAACACTAAGCCTTCGTGGTAATGTTGTATTTTGCTGATTGAAAACGCGCCATGCCATTTTTATCGCAAGCTCCGCCCCACACTCCTGAGGTAACTCCTAGCATCTCACTTGACTCTCGCAATGCAAACCCATCTCAGTCATTTCCCCCCACCCCACTCAGTCTATAGGCCACCTCGCTACATTATTGCTCTTGACGCCCGCGCGAGTCGTGACAGATCGACACATCTCGGCGCTGACACTAGCACCCTCCGACTCGAAGCTTGTCGATCACTCTTCTCCAAAGCGATTAGAAGGGCGCCTCGATGTCCTGCAGCCCTGGCGAGGAACCTGAAAAGCGTCTCCGAAGCTTAAATCAGCCAATCGCTCTTACGTCCGTTATACACCTTGCAATCGCAGAGCTTCGAGCAAACCGTCGAACGCTCCAACCCTTCTTACTCGCATGCGTCAGGCCGTCTCACTGGCCATAATTCTCCTACCGCCTGCTTTTAGTCGCTCTAACGCTCTAACGCTTCAGCCTAGCCCCGCGTGGAAGGATTCTTAGCCTGTCCTTCTGCCTTCACCTGTACGATAGTCGATCGGGCCCTTAGACGAACACCGTGCTATCTCCGTTCCTCCTTGCCCGTACCGACGAGGACTGCAGGGCGAAGTGCCTGGTCAGCGTCCAGAGTTATGAAAGCTACCAGTGTTCGGAGGCCAATCATGGCACGCCCAGGCTTTCGCTTGCCCCTAGTGGAACAGCCTTGCTTCGTGAAACATCCCCAGCTGCGTACACCAAGCTGCGGTAGATGGATCTCCAAGAGACGCACAATGACTTGCATCACGCCGCCGAACTGACACAGACACGTCGTCGCTCTGATGGCTGACCGACGCAATAAAACCTTACTCTACTGCGCTCGTCGAGCGGACAAGTCGGCACGTCTTACACGCCCCGCAATTACATTCGCGTCTTATTGCAATTCACATGTTTCAAGATCTGTTCGCGTGCTCGGGGAAAGCGTATGACAGGTGCCGTCTTTAAAGCGAGCTCCATGAGAGCAACTGGTCTATTCCAGATATTCAGCCATCGTCTTCCTATTGAGTCACTATCCAAGCTCAGCCGCAGGAGAGCGGCAAAGAAACACACGCTTGAAAGCATTGGCTAGAGGCAGCAGCCGGTGTGAGTAGTGCACCGGTTGCGTTTCCGTGTTGGTTTTTGAGTAGCACCCACTAGCGCATCCTTCGGGCAGGGATTTGGATCCTACGAACTTCAGGTCCAAGTAGGGCTGGCTCGAGTTCTCTAAATGAGCCACTGGGCTTGTCTCTTCCTTCAATTATATAGGCACTCGTGCCCAGTACGGAAGGAGGAGCATCTCTATGAGTCTAAAGTCTGCGGAAATCCCATCGACAGCGGCGTCATTTTCCTGAAAGCTTCTGAATTACATATATACACTAACCATTCGGACCTCGAAGATTGGTTATATTGAACAGACTAGTAAGAATCTTCCTGTTCATGCATCGTACTGTTTTTCGTTTTTACGCACCATGTCATCGAGACGTCCTCATCGTGGACACTCACACGGACATAGGACATCGGCTGATCGTCAGACACGTGCCGAGCAAACCCTCTCGACAACTCAAGCAAGTCTAGAGGACTTTCATATAGGAGGAGCAGATCCCGTCTTGCTTCCTTACGACGAATCCCACTCACAGTTGCAACCGCCAACAAACCGACACGCACCTGACTACGTGCAAACTCCATCTGCCCAACCTGCTTTGCAAGATTATCACTTTGACACCACCTTCGACCAGCTCAACCTACCCGGTGACGACGCTTTTGATCCCCAAAGTTACAATATGAGGTGAGGATCTCACTTTCGAACTTTCAATCCGTACTCATAGGCCTTAGTACCAGCTATTATCAGCCGTATCAAGGGGTACCAGCAACATCCTACTCAAGTAAGTGAAACTTCTCTTCAATGCTCAGTCTCTCGCTCAACAGAGCAGGCTACCCCCATCCCGGCTCTGAGCTCCCTCCCTCTCGCAGTATGTCTGGCCCCCCTAGCCATATGCTCCCTAGCAGCATACTGCCCAGCTCGACCTTTGAGGAGGAATTCGATGAAGCTGGGAGGGAGGTTGCTCGGCAGCGTCGCCGTCGCATTGCTCATGGCCGAAGGGATCACAAGGCCAGAATGCGTAGGGTGATGCTGCCGAGTGTACCAGAAGACTCAGGGTCGAGCCAGGTACACGATTTGAGCGGGTCGATTAACACTTTTGCAGGTCGCTCGCCATATCAATCCAGTACCGCGACTATGAGTGGCAGTACTTACCCAACGACCAGGTAAATGACACGCTGACTCATAGATTTTGTACAATTGTTGACAACCTTGAAGCAGCACTTACTATCCCAATTACACAGCGGCATCTTATCCGTCAGTCTACCCTCACCTGCAAACAAAACGCTAGCTGATTATTGACACAGTGAAACTTTGTATCCTCCGACGGTGGGCTCCCATCCAGGAGGGCCTGGTTATGACCATCCTCGCGGGGGCCGTAGCCCACCCAATCAAGATCCAGTCATTATTGAGCAGCCAAAGAAACCTCAATGCTGGGACCACGGGTGCAACGGTCGAACCTTCTCAACTTTCAGCAATCTACTTCGGCATCAACGAGAAAAGTCCGGTAGCTCCACCAAATCACTCTGCCCCAGATGTGGTGCTGAGTTCACTCGAAAGACCGCTCGTGACGGCCACATGGCACACGATAAATGCAAAAGTAATAGACGCGACGCTTAGAGACCAGTGTAACAGTTTCTTGCATGGAGGGATACGTGGGCATTACGATAGCATAGCGACGGCAGCGACATCATTTTCAGCATCTGACATTCTTTTGACATGAGATTTTGGTCTACGCCAGCGACACATCGGGCATTTCGGAAAGCATGGGAAAAGCGAGCATAGAGCGTCCGGAATTGGACATACTGTAATTGAGATCGCTTGGCGTCCATAGATGAGCCCACTCACAAATCACAATACCCGGCTTTCAATAGACTAGCAGTAATGTTAGCACCCCTTATCCCTAGCTGCAGTCAGGGCTCCACTGAGTTATTTTGGCAAGTATTGCGCAGCCCAAGCCCCAATCTCACCTCATCTGGTGGTCGATCGTTGGCCAGCTTCGCCACTGTTTCAGGTGCATCTTGCCTGCGTTGGACTTCCATCGCAAGTCTCATGAAACATGTCGGAGATCCTCCTCGCTTGCTGAGGGTAACCTGCCCTGATTCACGTCAAGTAGAGGCGGTGCTTGCTCGGTCTGCGGTCTAAGGTTTACAGCACAACATTTCATCGATGATGCTTTAATAAGCCTTAGACGCGAAAGACGCGCGCTTGAAGCAGTGACCTTTCATTGGCTAATTCTTGTACCGGTAGGACTCAAGACTACAGTAACGTGATGCCAAATGCGCGTTGATCTTCCTCAGGCTACGAGTTACTCGCGCATCTCCGATCCAAACGTCCTGACTCCAACCGTCAAGATTATCCCGGGTCTACAAAGCTCAACGTTGTTCCAACGAATACAAGTTGACAAAAAATACAATCCTGGATCACGAACAGCAGCACTGAATTAGAATAAACATAAGTTGCAATTCAAAATGGTGTCTGACTATTTCATCAGCTAAGTAGCATATCTGCTGCGTTTTTTGACCCTGCTGCATCGACCAAGGCTACACGAGTCTCGCGAAGATGCTTCGACCTTTGGCTCAGCTGTTCCGCGTTCATCACTCTCACACAAATACCAGATCTTTACGAACACGGCATTTAGAAGGAGTGCGGCGGCGGAGAACGATTGCGTAAAGGAGATGTGGACATCAAAGCAAAGTCATTGAGATAGATTCAGAAATAAAGGCAAAATATTGAAAGATCAATTGCCAAAGATGGCCTCCATTTTCACTTATGGAACGGGACCGGCTCAAGTAGCTTCACCATGGGCCGTTTCGTCTTCGAAGAACATATCGATACCTCTGGAAACGACAACCTTCAAGAGGCTGGCAGGAAGCGATGTTCCACAGCCCGAGGCATTGGCAGATTATGGAAATTCAAAACTCGAGGCAGAACCTCAAGAAGGTCCTACAGAATACAAGTTACATCTATTGCTGCGCCCACGGCGGAATTTCTCGTCGACGTCGACCGTGCAAAAGGTTCCAGGCTCGCACCTATCCAAATCTCGTTCGCAAACGCCTTCAAATAGCACGAGGATTCCATCTGGGACGTCCTCTCAAGCTCTTGCTCCCAGTACTCAGTCGCGGCAAAACAGACTCCAGCATCTTACGACTCAGCTCTTGTGGAGGCTGCAGCAGTCTTCACCGCATCATACTTCAAGCAAGTCTGACCTCGTACTGCCTGTTCTTCCAGAAGCCGACATTGAGCTTTCAGCTCTACAAGGTCCTAGAGAACTCCTCGCTGGCTTGGAAGAAAGCGTGGGCGCCCTTTACGAGATAGGCGTTAGCGATGACGGGACCCTTGTTGGACTAGCAATAGACGAGCTGGAGGAAAGCTTACTCGTCTTACGAGCCATGGCTTTCAGCCTCGGGTGCAATCTCCGTCTTCTGCGAATGGTGGTAGTTGGCGAATGCCAGTGGGCAGAAGAGACCTCAGAGCTAGTAAATGGCACCACCAAAATACACCAAGGAAAGCTTTGGGTCGCAGAAGTACTCGTAGCGCCATTTTTGAGATCAGTGGAATCTCGAGAGGATCCAAATTGCACCAGGAATAGTGGAACAACACCCCCAACCGAGACCCATAGGTTTGCGCTTACAAACTCCTCGCTTGAGCCCGAGCAGTTGCGCGTTTCCTTAATTGGAAGCACTACCTCTGGAAAATCGTCTTTGTTGGGCACCCTTTCGACCTCGACATTCGACAACGGCCGTGGGAAAAGTAGGCTCAGCCTCCTAAGGCATCGCCACGAAATTGTTTCTGGTGTAACTAGTTCGCTTGCGCAAGAGTTGATTGGTTATCAACAGATCCTTCAAGCGAGCGGCACGGCAAACAACGTGGTCAACTATGCATCTGACAATGTCTCTTCGTGGACGGATATTCACCATTCGAGTAATCTGGATCGGCTAGTATTCATCACTGACTCTGCAGGACACCCCAAGTTTCGGAGGACAACAGCTAGGGGGCTTATATCTTGGGCGCCGCATTGGACACTTTGCTGTGTTGCTGCGGATGACGACGAGGATAGCTCTGGAAGGATCGGTGCAACTGCGACGTCCGGGGATGTGCTCGGACCTGCAGGTCAAGGGATCGACCTGTCGAAAGCTCACCTCGACCTCTGTCTCAAGCTTGATCTGCCGCTTGTTGTGGTGATTACAAAGCTAGATCTTGCATCTAAGATCGGGCTTAGACAAACCGTTGCGAAAGTCTTGTCAACAATCAAGGCATCAGGACGGAAGCCTACAGTCATCCCTGTTACTAGTTCATATTCAGGGATCGTGGAGTCACGAAGCATCCTGAGAGCGGACCACGAGGCAGTGCAAAGCGTGATGGGGTCAATTCTGCCTGATCAATCATCTTCACTCGTGCCCATCGTACTCACAAGTGCTGTGACTGGGATCGGCATAGGTCAAGTCCATTCCCTCTTACGGCAGCTGCCTGTCTTCAACCCAGAGTCTCCTGATCCCCTTAGCTCTGCTTCAGAGGAACAGCACGACGGGAAAGGGTCTACTACAGTCTTTCATGTCGATGAAATCTTCGCAGTGCACGAAACGTTCCAGGATTATGCAGCCATCAGCTCAAGCTCTCGCCCGTGCTTCATTCTCAGCGGCTATCTGCGCCATGGTGTCCTTCAAACAGGCGACAACCTACTTTTAGGCCCGTTCTCATCGGAATCGACGCTTGTTGTTTCGGACTTACCTTTGGCTTACCGAACAAAGTCATATCCTGGACTAAGCAAATCCCTACCACAAAATTTCACAGCCTATCCCAGCACTCAAAGTCTAGCCGTGGTAGACGTTGAGAACGGTGGCGAACAACAAGTAGCAAGTCGTAGAGGCACTAGCCACCTCTGGCAGACGGTACAAGTTGCAAGCCTTCGATACCTCCGTCTTCCTGCCCGAGGGCTAAAAGCCGGACAAGTTGGCACTGTGGCGATCTCGACAGCAAACCCGCTGTATCTCAATGGTGAACCGTGCATCCGACGAGGCATGGTGCTATGCAAGCCTTTGACACTCGCGCAAACTCCTCCGGCATACTCTTGCATCACAGCCGTGTTCGCGGACCCAAGTATCTACGTTAACCCTGGCAGTACGGTGACCCTCGTCACCGCCAGCATTCGCACGCCGGCCAAGATAGTTGAGGTTAGGATACCCGAACGAGCGAGCACTGCGAGCGCAAATCCAGACATATTCGCGTTCGACGAGAATTACGACCTGAAGAATGATTTTGCAAGCTCCGGTGAGGGGAATGCGATGCCCATGCTGGAAGAGATCGAGATAACCTTTCGCTTCACAAACAGTCGAGAATGGGTCGAGTTAGGCACCAAGGTTCTCGTGACACCTGCTGGTGGTATCAGTATGCTTAATGCGCCATCGAGAGATGGATCGAGCGATGTAAATAGTGGTGGTGGTGGCGCTGTCGCAGCTTTGGATGGGTTCGTTGGCAAGATCGTCGCTGCAACTGAATAAGCTTGTGAAGTAAAGCAAATGCTCCTTGAGGAAAGAGAGCTGAGCGGCATTGGTAGCAACACATAACAGTAAATGTGATATCTCATGAGTATCGCCCCTTACTGTAATTTCATCTAACAGTTCACGTAATTCATATTCCATGTCTCGAGCACTCCCAAGCCGCCGACGGTGCCATTTTTCGCAAATTATCCTCGTCGCACATTCCACATCAGCAAATCAAAGTCTCATAAGCCCCCCTTCCTCGCATTAAAAATCTCGATCTTATCAAAGAACAGTATCTCCCTCAATCTTAACTTCACCTGCGGCGGCCTGTTTCCCGACGCCATCAACGCTTCCTCCTCTTCATCGGAGGAATCCTTATCATAGACACCTACTGCCCGATCCAGAGCTTCCTCCTCAGGATCAATTCCACCGTCTTCACTACCGTCATCATCATCGTCGTCAGCTTCATCATTATCCTCGTCACTCGGCCCAGGCGTATAATCCTCACTACTGCTTTCCTGAGCCCCTCCCCCATTTACATCACCACCGCCCTGGCCCTTCTTCCTCCAGCTTCGCGCTTTCACAGGCGCTTCTACAACCTCAAAGCACTTGTCATAGATCGCCAAATACGCTAGTTCGCACTCCTTCCTCAAATTCACAATATCGACCACGCACTTCGCGACTTCTCTCGCGCTGAACGCGGCGCCCCAGACATGGCTAATGATGTGCGGAAGGTGCAGGGAGCGAAGAGTCGGTATGTTGAGTAGCTGTTGCAGGAAGAAGTGCCAGTCTTTGTAGTCAAGGGAGAAGGAGAGTTCACGGATGCGGGGGAATTTCGACTTGTTGTTGTTGTTGGTGGGGGGCACGGCAAACATGTGCGCTAGATGGTCGCGTTGGAGCATCCATTTCTTGTGCGAGCTTCGCGTGAGACCGTCGTAGCTGTTCAGAAGAACTTTTGTGAGGGAGCGCCGGTGTCGTTTCAATACCCCGTTGTAGATTTGATTCATGGTGACTGTGGATACAACGGCAGAGTCGTTGCGGAGTAAGAGCCATTCTAGGCTGTGGGGGACGAGGGTTTTCTGGAGGAAGATGATTAGCTCGGTGGAGACAGAATCAGTGTGGATACGTTTGAGTCTGAGGCGGTAGGTGGGCTTGGATTGTTCGACTACGCGTGGCGAGGATGGCATTCGTCTGAGTCGTGGGAAGTCGCGACTTTTCTTGTCGAATGAGTTGGCAGGAAGTGAGTCTATGAAGGACTTAGGTGACTGAAGGGGGGCGTATTCGGAGGCGAGATGGCGCCATAGACTCGGTGTGTCTATGCATTTGAGAAGTGTCAGGCTTGTGAGCATGGTCCAGTCGATCGCGTCCGTGAGTATTCTCGGTTGAATGCAATGCCACTCGAGCGCCAGGACCTCTAGCTTCAATTTTTGGATCAATCGCGTCGGAATCCTCAGTCCTTGTTTTTGTAGGTCCTCAGTCGTTTTTGGCAAAGCAGTCGTAATGTCTGAGTCTTTCTCCTGTGCATAGAGTTCCTTTCCACTATGAAGAGAGGTTTTCTCCTCCTCAGGGATGGGAGGCTTCGATGGTGCTAGTACCGGGTCGATACTTTCCATGTCGATGGTGTCAGAAAGAGCATTCTCAGTCGTTTGAGCCTGCTGTATTGGAGAGTTCATAGGAGCTTCGATGCCAACGACATCCTCAAAGCTCGTTGGCTCTTGCATTAACTCGGCTGTTTCGGTATCGCGCTGATTTTCCCCAGAAATGCGAGCTACTCCGTCGTCTAGGCCAATTCGGAGGAGAGCACGAAACAAAACATCCAGTGTGCCAACTTCGCCCTTATTAGCCAGAAGATCATTTATCTGAGCATCAGGCATCCCTGATGTACATAGGCTGAGTGCCATCCCTACAGCAAGTTCTCGGAGCTTGTCAACAGACTTTGCGATCAAAACACCTAGTTCGTGGAGATTGGTGAGCTCGTCGATTGCGATAGCACTGATTGACCGCAGAGGCGGAAGGATTGAGAAATTTGGAGACTCCACGTAATTGTTGGAGTATACAAGGTACTTATCTTTTGCGCTAGTCTGTGAAGCCGAGCCTGACGACGGGTGTGGACCTGATGTAGCTGGAGGTGCAGCTGTCGAGCTGCTTGATCGAACAAGACCAGCCTCCTTGTACGCTTTGCTGTTGTTATGGAAGCGTACATGAATCTTGCCGAGCATCGAAGGCTGTTCGTCACCTAATGATGACAATGAGATCCAGATATCTCTTACAATCCCACTTGGCAGGTCCCAGATGAACTCCTCAAGATTCGGCATGCGAGCTATGCAAATTGCAACCAGGGTACCCAGCAACTTCCCACGTTCATTAGTGATAACGTAGTCCCTGATCATTTCCTCAGGCCCATTGCTCAACGAGAACGTTTTCACGAAATGAGAGTACGAGTTCCCTCTACGCGATTTGACAAATGGTGTCAGGATTTCTGCGCTTGCATGATTGACATGACCGCATGCACCACATCTGACAGACTCAGGCGGCGTGTCAGACTTAGCCTTGTGGTACAAGTCATCCCTCATTGCAAGCGTTGAGAGTCCGAATGTCAGCGCATCAACGCCCAATTTGGGATCGGAAGGGGCATCATCGTCCGGCCATATGATGTCAAAACGTCTATACAGTACTGGTGTCACGAGGCTGTGCATGGTCGAGTTGACAAGCGCAAGTGAAGTAAGATCAGTGTCTCTCATCTGTGTAGCATCGTTTAGCGAAGCCAGGTAGATCTAACCGTTGGGAGTCACTCACCTCTCTGAGGATCGCCTTCAGCATATCCAAGGGAAGATCAAGGATATGCAATGATCCATCCTTCGCCGTCGAGCCATACCCACCGGGGCAGGCGCATGGGGCAGACATTTTATAGATGCGCGTAACGCAGTATACAATCGCAGGTATTCATTGAACGGAGGGGGGTATATGAGAGAATGATGTGGGTATGGGAAGGCTCATATTTCGAAAGTCATAGTTGGTAAGAAGGTCGAAATGGGGTCATAATTCACTCTTGCATGTGAGACTTGGCCAAGAGGGGTCCTTTCCGTGACGCGACCCCTGAGCCAGTCATATATCTTCGTTCACACGTTACACGTCCGTACAACACATCATAACCTTAGGCACATCACTTGTAAATGAGGGACTGGTACTTAAATACGAAGCAAACACGCCCCGGGGGTTCCAATTCGCAAAGGAGGTTCAGCAGGTGGCAGGTCTTGGCAGCACTAGACAGCAAGACAGCGTATGCAGATTTTAAGGTGGTGGGGAGGCTGGGGAGTCTTACACGGGGGCCGGTTAGCCGTCGAAGGCGGCAACCGCGCCCGAGACTACATGCGCACTTTCAATCCTGCTCCGGTATTCTGGAGAACGGCCTTTAAGTCAATCTGGCCCATTGAAGGATACTTCATCATGATTTCGAACTTCCACCAATCAATTGATACTGGTATGAGTGATAAGTGCCAAAAAGGAAAGTGTCACGAGTACTAAAGGTTCATCCACCTTGTAACTTGAGTCAAAATGTGAGACAATAAAAGGCGGGATATTATGAAACTAGTTTAGAGCTAATGCTTAATTTAGGTTACTCTTTTTTAACGTAATATATGTTATAAAAAAACGATTTAGATGTTCAATAGAGGTATATAAGTTGAGCATTAAGAACTTGATTCCTACTTGTGCTCTTGAATTAGTCTTGTATGAATGTCTTGAAGCGAACATCTATAGCGTCCTATGTCCCTCCTGTACCCCGCAGGATGCTTGAATTCTTCCTGCGTCGATGCAGCGTCGATAAAGAATTGCCAGAGTTTATGCCAAGCAGACTCACTATAGATTAGAGGCCCCCTCTTCCCGATATTGTAATCGGCTGCCAAAAGTCCGCTGTTTAGGAGGTGTGAAACTTGTGGGGATCGCTTCACATGCTTCTCCTTCTTCTTCACCTTTAGATTCTCTGAGAAGCGATCCCTCTGTTCGAGGGTTGGGTGTAAATCGTCCGATGGGATTATGCTCAAAGGGCTGGATTGGTTCTGGCCATCCAGACCATAAAGGTTCCACAATACAAAACGACTGTTGGCACACGAATTCAGGCGACGAAACTGCGGCGCTGTAACAACTGGGCCCCGGAAATCGCATTCGACGGAGTTCACAAAGTAGTAGAGTGGCACAGTGCAAGTCTCGGCTGGTAGCTCATGAATCGTTCGGGGCGTCGTACTAGACTTGCGCAATTTTAGACATTCGATATCTGTCCAAGTGTAGTCGCAGAACCCAAAATCTCCCATGGGGTGATCGGAACTGAGAGCAAATATAAGGCCTCTCCGTCTGGGTCAGGTTAACAAAGCTTACACGTCACGCGTAGGAAAACTCACTCCATGGCACATTGCATCAAAATCTCCCAGAAAAACTGATTGTGCTGCTGTGTCATCACGCTGGCATACCGTCCACGTCCGGAGGATAATGTGTTCCTTGTTTGCAGTATTGGCTGAAGCTCTTCACAATGTTCCAGGTTACTGGACGCTGTCGCTTCGATGATACGTGTCGGCCGAGGTGACACTTGTCGCGGCTCCTGGTTTTGCAGGATCACTTGCAGAATTCGAGACGCCCAATGCCCTTCGTTATCCATCACTATACGGTAGGCCTGAAATTTTGGTATGTCGAAAGAGACTTCTTTCTCCAGGGTGGTATAGAAGTCATCAGGGATGACACATTCCGGAAGGAAGTAGCACACCCGATGAGGACGCGGATCAGGACGTGCCGTGAGGTTGAACTGGTAGAAGAGAAAATCGAAGCTGACCACTTGCAATCAGCATGGTAGGATGTAAGTCTAGCAGAAGAGACTGACCGGTCAAAATTTGCGAAGTACCATCGGCACTCTTCTTCAATCCCTCGTGCGATTGCGACCCTCTCCAATGGCGCATTGAGTGGACGATCACGTGCGTCAAGCTTGTGCTGGACAAAGTATTGACGTGAATATCCATCGAGGTAAATCTCTGGCGAAGACGAAGCTGGAGCATTGGAGGACTGCTTAACAACAATCTTGAAGTCGGCGACACGGGGCTGTAACCCCATGAAGTCTACCTTGAGAGGCAATTCTGATGAGCTGCTCTCAATTGCCCTGTAAATCTCCATGACTGCTTCGTATGCCGAGAAGTGGTCACTTGACTCGATAGGCTTCAACATATCCGTTTTGTCCACTGTTGCAGGCTTCCAGTGAGGGAAAGCGACCATTGTCCACGGATTGACATATTCATCTCCTGTAAGGCAAGTGTGGAGGACGCGGTTGACCGCTTCGTGTAGGAGCGAGACCGGCATCCGGTAGGGCGAATTGCTCGGATCAAGCCAGTAAGCTGAAGGACGCAGCTTTGAGCGCCTCGACGTGTTCACGGACAGGGGCGGGCCTGATCGCGCGATGTCAGAGTCCGAGGCGTCATCAGAATCGCCTTCAGTGGACCAGTCATCCTCCCCAGTAGCCTTGCCGAAAAGATTGGGGTCAGAACGGATGTCATCGGCGATCTCACTGCTCTGTTGAAGATTGGGCACCAGTTCGACAAAACGTGTATCCGCCGTACACACGCCAATGTAAAATGCAACGTACTTTTGTTGTCGTGACCTCGTGAGATACTGTTGAAACCCTGCCATCTGTGAGGTCCTGGCCTTGATGTCGAAAAGGATCAGGACAAGCTTCTGCCCTGCGAGGCAAGCTTGATCGGTCCGCCAAAACCTATCGGCAAAGCTGGTATCTGGGTGAAAAGTATCAGCGCAACTCAGCGCTCCGTCAGCCAAAGCAAATTCAAAGGAGCGAATAACATGCGAAGAGCTCCGAAGGAGGGAGAAAACGTCCCCTTCGTAGAGACTACCATGGTTTTGGATAATAAGTCTGTCCAAATCATTCTTCGAAGGCATATCGACCAACCGTATTCGCAGATTTCCAGTGATTTGAGTGAGATCAAAATCTGTACCTTGCAGTCGATCGTTTTCGACAGCTCTCTCGGCAGAGTGCATTGGTCGGAGCGGGCAGAAGCAGACGCTGCCGTGGCTAATCTCATCCTTACCGCTCCTCCCTGACCACTGAATTTGGATGCTAGGATCCGCAGGAATAGAGGCCAAGCCTCATCAGCGCGCACTTAGGCTGCTCGGTACTACCAAAGTCTCTATTACTGACAGCTGATGGGTCAAATGCTCGCCAAACTCACTTGGCATGCGCCATTACTCCGCCGCTGAAGCACTTCGTTTTTTGCCACCCCTTCTACTTGGTGGGTCAGATTTTTCAACGCCAGTTCCAATCAATGGAGCATTTGTTTGAAAGGGCACGCCAAGCGCAATACCTGCTGAAGGTTGAGTAGGCCTAGGAACGGACTTCAACATGTGATACGCATCGAATGTCGGGTGAATGACTCCTGTTGCACACCATTCAACAACAGTCTTGTAGATATCTTCAGTGATTGTGACTTCGACCATCGCCCTCTCAGCCTTAATAGCAGCTTGTTGCTCCTCCGTTCCCGTCCAGAGTTTCGAGATCGAAGCCAGCCTCTTCTCAGGATCTGGTCCTCTCGGTTTGCGTTTCTGGCGTGGCCAAGCGCCGAATGACTTCTCCAGGTCAGAAGAAGTTGCGAGATAGTAATCTTCTGGCGTAAGGATCACGACGATGTTTGGTGTCGACGGAACATAGATGGGAAAAGTAGCATGTTCAACACATTGCAATGCGTACATCGGCGTTGAATCATTTGGGGTGTTTATCAAGGCGTCCGAATCCAGGTATTTAGAACGGACTGATCGACCATGGAATCTGCTCTGAGCTTCTGATGTCCACTCTATATCCATGTAGACAATGCTGGGAAAATCGGCACTACTCATTCTCTTCGGTGAGCACGGTCTGCGTACCTTCGGGTTGAAGAGAACAAAGGGCTTAGCTTACCCTGGTGCGGTCGAAGCTCGGCTTTCTGGGCAGATGGTCACAGGTGGTTTTTTGAGCCAGCTTTCCCGATTACGAAGATGTTGGAAAAAGCCACGTCCCTTGAGGACAGCTACTTCGTTGAGCATCAAAGTCAGGATCTCATTCTTCTGAAGGTGTCTCAGATTGCTGTTTGGTACTTTGTCATAGAGTTCATGGTTGAGTTGTGAGAGCGGGCCGTTCTCACGGTAGAGTTGGTCTATGGAAATCAAACTTCGGAGTGTTGTCTTCTCTAAAATTTCACTGCCGGCAACCTGTGCGTGGGCGTTGCTGGTTGCGGTAACAGCGGTCCCTCGATGCTGTGGACCATCGCCATCGCCTGAAGATGTGTCCATGATTGACTGACGCTCGGATCCGAGCTGCAACGACTGAGAGCACTAAGCTTGCAGACTTCTTCGTTCAACAGGCCGAGCAACACGTTGAGGAGCAAATAGAGAAGTGACCGCGGGTACCCGCTTGCTTGGCTGAACACACCACCTGCAGAGTGACGTGTCGTGACACCATTCCCGTTCACGAGAGCTGCTGCCTTGATTCAGGTGTTGACTCTATTCAAGATCTGGTCACAAGCTCACTTTTAATTACAGACGACATCCACCTCTGATCATGGACTTTGCGCATAGCTTTGCTACATTGCTGGACGAAGAACCTTCTTGTCATAGAGCTGCTAGGTTGCAGAATCTAAGCAGACTCTATTGGAACGCTCTCGATTCAAGCGATGTCTCTCGGCCGACAGCAAAGTCTTTAGATGCTTTCGTGAAGCTCCTCTTGGATCCACGGGATTTTGACCTCATCAAGCTTGTGATACCTGAGCTCCGTGAACACGGCCAACCAATGAAAGGCAACTCCCCTAAGATAGAGATTCTCAAACGAGTGGACCATAGACGTCTTGCCGGCGTCGAACAAGAGCTGAGGCGACTAGGGTTCGACGATCATCCCCTTTACCGCGATGAGAAGGAAGTCTTTGCGGAATCCGAGATGTACCGCGTCAGCCTCTTGTTACATGGGCGAGCCAACTTGTCGACGGAGGAAAAAGAGGCGCTGGAAGTATGGTGGAACGTGCGTCCTCAAACATCCTGGAGCCAGCTAAGTAATACACGACTGTCAGCTCGTGTCTCGACACAAGGAAGCGCCGGAGATGCAGGAACGGCCACAGCCAACGAGTGAGTCCCGCTGGCTGTTGTATTCTCACGTGGACATCACCCAGCCGCATTTCGAAGAGATGATGAGGATGATGATGATGACGATGGTTGTTCCCTTTATTGTGCTTATTCAACCCTAAAGTCATGAACCACACGGCCTGCTACCCAGAAGAGGCGGTGGAGTCCTTGTACCAGAGTTACGTAGATCCCCTATTCGGGCTTTTGGAAGGGGATCTTATCAATTACTCCTCGTAACAACGGAAAGATGCTGAACACCGTGGAACTCTGTCCGCAGTTCACGTTCAGCACACCCCAGCACTTGCCATATACGTAGCGTCTTCCAAGCAACCCTTTCCTCCAACGTGGTGGGTAGTAATTCCCCACTTACCCCAGTTCGGATTTCCCCCAAAACTGCGCTGCGAAGCTGAGCAATACGCTAAGAAATCCGAACTGGGGGTAGATCCGAACTGGGGGTGAGCCCTTCTAAACCCCGACCTTCGCCCGGACTTAACTGCGTGCAAAACACTTTGAAATGCTTGGCCCCGTGAGAGCGCCGTCTACATATTTGTCCTTTATTAAATCGTAAGCGCTTCGATTTTAAACCTTCCATTCTCTATATATCGGTGGCAATATTGAGTATAGGGGGGATTGAAATGTTGAATCATTTGGGTAGCTCTGAAGACCTGTCGTTCTTGAACGACACCTCCGCTCAGTCAGGACTGGATACTGAGGACTTTATGCATAGACGTGATTGTGACCAGTGTAGGGTTATTATGCACCACCGGGGCAAGATCCGAGGAGCAAATGTGAGCAAGCCTCCTCGGCTCTAGGGACAGTTCTTCCTGTGCGGATCATGGCGCGCTCGGCGGGGTGAATTGTGAGCCTTTGAAACTGCGAGGAGAGACCGAGTTCCTCACGGGTGAAATGACTTGGCCGAATGACTCTGGGGGCTATAGAGCCACCATGGACGCTGTCGTTTGCAGAGATGGTATCTGCTGCTTGGGTTTTCGCACGCTTTGCCGGGCGAACTTCAACCGCTTCTACCGCGGAGAGGCGGCGTTTCGTGCTCGAGACATCCAGCAGCCAGGAATCCTTCAAGCAATCCCGCGCATGCGTCGTTGACTTGATGTGACTTTGGGTCATGGCCTGCAACAATCGCCCATACGGCTGGGACTGGATCTGTGGAGTCAGCGCTAGCTGCCTCGCCATCTCGAGATCGTCGTTATCGTCGTTTGGCATTACGCCAAGCAGACGCATGGCAAGCATCGCCACGCCATGAATATCCCGCTCACGAGATGACGTCTCGCTGCCCTGATCGCCAAAAAATGTGCCCGAACCAGCAGGTTCTGGTGCTTCAAGCTGTCTTGCTTGACCAAAGTTGCACATTTTGAAATTGAAAGGCTGTTTTGACTGGATCAGAACGCTTTCAGCTGCAATTCGGCCATGACAAATGTTGCGCTGATGAAGATGACTGACTACCCGCAACGTCTGCCTTAGGAACGTCCGGGCGATGTGCAAGCGGTTTGCGCTCGGCGCTGGATCAGAAAGGAGGGTCGTCAGACTTCCGGCCGGCACGAAATCCGTACAGATATAGCTTGCAGCCTGCGTCTCGAAATGATCCACTAGGTTCACCACGTTCGGCTTGATCAGACGTCAGTGTCATCGATTTGAAGCCCATTGAGACCATCATGACTTACGTGCTTGATCCGGCTCAAGATCATCGTCTCTCTTGCCGTAACGAGAGCATTGTGTGGATCGCTGAGAACGACCGACCCCGCATGACGTGCCATTGTTTTCAACGCAAGCAGCACACCATCTGCAAGTCTTAAACAAGTATTCACCGTCTCAAACCGCCCTTTCCCGACCGCGTGTAGTTTGATGTATCTGTCATCGACAATGGAGGGTTTTCGGGCTACTACAAGGGCGTGTCCGTTCAGGTTTGCGGGCGACGATCCAACAGACCTGAGGTATTTCTCGTGAAGAACAGGGAAGAAAACCGTTCTCGTGAAATCCGGCACTACTAGGTTAAACTTCAAAGAATGCTTTCTGCCAAGGGAGACTTGACTGGACTGCAAAAGTGGCCATGTTGCGCGCTTGAGACGACGGATGCGGGAGCTATCAGCACTTTTCACAAAAGTGCCTTCGGAAGAGGTGTCCGTGAGTAAGAGTATGCTCGTCTGCATCTCAAGGCGGAAATTGAGGTGCAGGTGACAGACTCCCTTCATCTTGGGGCAACGGATGAGGGCACAACGTGACGACCCACAAGCCACAACCCGGCGGGCCATCATATCAGCAAGCGTCAAACGTATCGAGTATAAGCCATGGCATCCCGTCTGGTCTGGAGGCCGACTCAGCAAGCTTCGATTCGCGGGCAGAGTGACCATTTTTGCAGCATCTTTGGAGGTCGGTACGAGAAACAGCAGCGGGACGTCGGTAAGGCAAGCTTGGGCTGTTGGCTGCAAGCTTTGCGGAAACTAGGACTGGGTTAGGCAACGTCCTCGCAAAATTGTGTGCATGTTCCCTCACGTACCTCCATGTGGTTAGGCAGTAACTTCGAGCTCATGCTCTACATCGCCCGTCGAGGGAAGGCAACGGGATGATGAAAGAAGGCAGAATCTGCATGCTGTTCAAATGCCCCCAACAGAGTTGGGATTGCCGAGCTCTTTGTCCTGACCCGAGACAGAGGACTCCTCTAGGCCGTATCTGATCAACGCGAGAAGCCAGTCACCCAAGTTCACACCGTGATAACAGCTGAACGCTATTCCGTGGTTGTGTTCCGTCGTGCCATATGCACGATCTGTTCAAGACCAACATCAAATCAATAGATAAGGCGCTCAGGTCCGGGACCGGAAGGATATCCAGAACCTGACGCCTTGTGGACTTGCTTGAGGATGTGCATCCCAGTGTCACACCCTGGACGGCGGCTTGTGTCAACATCTCAAAATCGCAGTAGATTGCATACGCATGATAGTGACTTGCGCCGTGAAACCTTCTTGACCCACAGAAGCCCGCTGCTCCCCTTGAATTATGCAGCCTGCTTTCTGAAGGGCTCACACCTTGACTTGAATGTGACACAACTGGATACAACACTGAATAATACGTGTTACACCCGTTGATCGATGTACACCAGCTGAAGGGCATGAGCAAAGCCTCTTTCTCGTCCCTCGTCTCACCATACTCCATAGCTATTCAGTCTTGTTCTCTGGGCATGCAAGCCAGGATCATGGGCGTATACATACCATCCATCGATACTCACCCAAACGACGAACGCATTTTCCTGGGCGAGGACGACGAGGGCCGTCTCCTTCTTCGCCCGAATTTGACCGTCGACTATGGGCACCATAAAAAAATTGGTCTCACTTCTGCTCAGTGTGTCTCCATGGCGTTGACCGAAGTGTGCAGCCAAATGAAAGCTGGCAAGGTCTATGATTTTGGAGGAAATCGTACGAGGCAGACCAAGCTGACGGCGGTATAGGTGTTCTGGATTCCTAGACCTCATCCTAAACCAGGTCTCCCAGATTTGATTTATCGACACGAAAATTGGAGTACGGCAGAGACTGAACAATGGCTTTGCACACCGCCAATCGGTATGGGGTGACTGGTCTCCAGATCGAAGAAGAGTGGATTCTAATGTTCGAACAGATCGCCTTAACTATCTGAATGCGCTTGGCACTGGCAGTCGACTTCGACGTGATAACATCGTAATGCCTATAGCATTGGAATACAATGCTGTTGAAATGGTAGGTGTCTACCTACTTTGGTTCAAGGTCAATCTGACATCAACACAGGCTCACGTTAAGGTCGGGTATCAAAAGCTGGCAATATCTGGTCGTTACGCCATGCTTGTTGTAACGCCGAGGGTTTATGTTGGGTGGAACGACAGATTTGCAGAGATTGCGGAGGCAGAGGGAAGTATCCAGATAACGAACCTACAAAAGCCATGCGCCGCTGAAGCTGTCCTCTACTTGAAGCGCATGTTTCACGAGGGACATCACGAAGGACTTGCGTTCTTTGCCGATATAAGTGAGGCAATCTCCAATGCTCAAGAAGACGGGCAAGGGAGAAATGCAGGCATAAAGGGGAAAGACAGGGGCGCTAAGGTGAAAGGTAGAAGCGAAAAGGGGGGAAATGTGGGTAAAAAGCGGACAGGTGTAAGCAAAAGAAAAAGTATGAGCAAGCCAGGAGAGATGCAGACAACGAAATGAAGCTGCAAGTAATGAAGGACGTCATTGGAAAGACTCACTGAGGACTGAATTAGAGGACATCAAGGCAACCCTTCAAAGTACACCGGACAGGATTCCAGAGAAACTGCCACGTCATCTTGAATCATGATCCTTTACTGCTACCAGGACTCCATTTTCTGTATTTTGCAGGGTAGAGTAGACTCGGAATATCGATGAGGATTGAAATGAAAATTGGATCCACAGAGACAGGTAAGCGCGGGAGTTGCGGGTGAGAGCCAATTTGTAGATTCAAGCATCTCGCGCCCTGGAGGGGGAGGTGCAGCGAGGAGTCCGTCAAGCCCATGACTCCTCGCCTCTCCTAGAGAGCAGCAGTATTCCGTAGCTTGTTTGGAGTTCTGTGAATCGTCAAGCCTCTGGCGTAATTTCCCGACCACTTCACTGGCATCCGCGTAGTATTGGTTGAAGGATCCAGACCCTTCAGCCCCTAGCCTGATCGGCTCATCCTGGGGGTTCTTCTGATGGAATTCCGAGGAAGGGACGATGAATCGGCCATGCTCCGGGTGGGAGTCGCACCATGAGAGGTCGTCGCATACCACCATTGACGGAAATTCATGCATAGACCCAAACATCTTACCTCTACCAACATTGGTCGGCTGAGCGTTAGCGTTCCATCGCAGGCGAAGGAACTTCAAGCGTAGTGCAGGCGTCTGGCCACAAAAGTGACGGGCTTCTCGAGGAGATTCTCTGCTCTCATCGTAATGTGAAATATCAGAGGGTGACCACGTCCAATGTGTGAAATAGTACCTGCACATGGAATTCCTCCTCCCTAGATCGATCACAAGCCCAAATCGTCTGGATATCAATGAGCATGTAGCACTGGACAATTAGCCTCATGACTTACGCGTTGCGACACATCTCCATCAAGAGCTCGCGCATCAACGACTCCCACACATCTGTCTCGACGTGCCCTTTGTAAGACTTTTGCTGAGGATCGGATACCTTGTAATCAGGCAGGGGAAGCGGGGCCATGGGTATGTCACGCCATTCAAATTCATTCGAGGAATACAGTGATTCCATTGTTTGCACCAGGTCGTCTGGCCGGTTGATGTCGATTGTCAATTGGTTGAACAGTGACCTATCAATGTCCCATGAGAGCCACTTGCTCGTGTGATTGTTCCACCACCAGGGTGGAATTCTCTTGCGAGGGATGCATAGTGATTTCCCGTCGGAGCCCGAGATTTGGGTGATGATGCAGTGCCAAGGCGCTCGAAACGTGAATATCAGAGAGTTGGGGTTGAAGAGAGCCCATGACTTATGCCTGAGACTAACATGAGACTGATGTGAATCATCCTCCATGTCGCAGTGGGAATCTTTCAGCTCGACAAGGATCGCTTCCGCTCTGCCGGCACGATCGTCGATCAACTTGAGGTCACCCGCGATTGGATACAAACCAGGTAGTGCCGCCTTGAGCACCGTGCCCGCCTTCGTGAAGGCTTCGTGTATGGGCAGAACCATATCGTCCATCGCTTTCCGATGTGCTTCCGCTTCAGGTTGGATTTCTTTAACAGAGTGTCTCGGAGGTGGTTTGGGCCACTTTAGTTCGACCCCGGAGTGAGGCAGCATCCTTGGTGAATGAGCATTATTATACAAAAGTTTTTCGGGGGTCATAAGCTCACCATTTCTTGCCCGGGTCCTCTATGTGTGCCTCCATGTTGGCTATAGCTACTTGTAGGCTTGTCATAGGAATAAGGAACGGTTCCATTTCTGGTGGGAACGCCGGAACCGGTTCAAATCTGTCCTTCACATCAATTCGAAGGCTTTGAAAGACACAGTCTTTTCTCGCTCGCCTGGGCCATATGAGGTGTTTGGGAATGAAAGCGATGAAATCCGGATCCTGTGAGGAGCCGATGAGTAGAATTTGACAAGAAGAGGTTTGTTCAGCTGTCATGTGGAACTCATAGTACACATGCCCGTCTCTACTTGCCAAGTACGCCTCAACGCTTTTTGTATCCATCAGGATGAGGACCTTGGCACGTCGATTGTTCTTGATGAGATGGAGTAGGCGGTCATTGGCGATGGGTGGGAACGGGAGGGGTCCCAAGTACAGTGCTAGATCATTGCGAGCGTATTCACAGCCAGGAACGACGTGAGCATGCTGAGTCGCAAATTGTGTGATGCGCGCCTCCATCAATGAAGATCTCATTACCCTCAGCCTATAACCAAAAAACCGCATCCGGATGCTTTCCTCGCTCATGATGTCGTCTTCTTCTGCTCCAAAGTCAATCAGGTAGGATCCTGCGGCATTGACGTGCGACGGACGGACTGATAGCGGTCGCTTTCCAGGAATCAAATTACGATGGAGCATTTTGCAGGGTCTTTGCATTCGACGAACGAAGATTGCCTTGGAATGATTGCTTGAGGCAAGAAAGAGGATATTTGCGCTTTGAGAAACGTTGGTTGCCTGCACCGATGTCTCAAAGACCTAAGGTGAGTCAGTTTGTTTGACACGCAAACAAAGAACACGGATGTGACGAGCTTACCACTGGAAGCCCAACACCTGAGATGCGGCTGGGGATTGCGTGTGGCGTGTTTTGAATACACACCGATCTTTGCTTCCGAAGCCTAGATCGCTTGCCGAAAGCACCTACTAGAAGCATTCAGCCTTTGATCGGCTGGCATCGCGATATCACCATCCAGAGATTCTTGGCATATCTTCCCTTTGAAGAGCGCCGTATCTTGAGGATCGCCGGACGTTGGCCATTAGATCTGTCGGGAGGGAACAGAAGGTGAGAGGAGTCACTCTACCCTCACACAATCATACTCTGATAGATGTTGAGCATCGATGCCGAATGTGACACGGTGTGTTCGTCCGCAAGCTGGACGTGAGAAGGGTCTAAACACAATGCTTCGCCTATATAACCGTCCACAGCCGGGGGTAGCTTTTATCCTTCAAGTATTCCGTGATGACCAATGTGCTGGAGTAACCTCCATTCAAGCCTTGAAAGAGTTGCGCGGGCCTTGTGAATTCGACCTATAGAGTCACCGTTGCATACAATCGGTAAGACCGAACGCGGGGATACACGGCCAGAATCTCATAATAACTCACAGTTCAACATGAAAGACAGCTTTCTCAGAGTCGCTCAGGGGAGCAAATATATGTTGAGAGCAGATCAAAGCTTGGGCGGAGCTTTCTTGTCGATTCGCTATGAGGAAGACGGAGAAAAATATGGTGATAAAGAGGGGCCTACTGCTGCGGGTGAAAGGTAGGATAGGTAACATGCGACCGATCAGGCCTTGCCGCTAATATGGTCCTAGAACCCAACAAAACATTCTAGGTGACCTGAAGCAGATAAGGAAGAAGGAACGAAAGAGACGGTACAAGTCTACAAAGACCTAGATTCACCAGACTTATGTGTGGAGTATAGGAACTTAAAAGATAAGAAGAGGAGATCAAAACTGGAGGACCTTCCGATGGATGCAGAAGACAGCAGTAACTCATCGTAGGGTCTTAGGTGCTGTCGTGACGCACGCGACGGGATGCTGACTCCGGTGTCTGTTTTAGAGAATCCTCGATACAGACCCGAGTTACACCAGCGGCGAAGATGGGGTCTGGTGGTGGACTCGCTCCCGCGATTAGAGACCTGCCTCCACTGAAAACACAAAGTCAACCCGTAGCGTCGAAATCGGGTATCGTCCGGTTTAAGCAGTCAACCAAGATGACAGTGACGGACACAAACACCTCCGCCAACGCCACCTCGGAGGAGGCGGCATGTGACTCTGGAAGCTTCTTCAGCTACAGGTAAGTAGCCTTAGGACGCTTGACCGGTATTTAACAATGCTTGGACTTGAGCACTCTCTAACAGAGCCGCTGCTTGATAGATCGGTCAGCACTACGGACTCATCTTTAGCGCACGACTTTGTAGCGCCGGATTCAGATAACCACACCCTTGCAGCGTCGGACTCAGATGATAATATCCACGGTCCGATAACTCGTTGCAAGCGCAATCGACGCGCAAAGAGCGAAAAAGAAGGTGGTAGAAAGAAACGGCGGACAGAGTGAATTGTGCTGGATTCTTCCAATCTGCTTATAGCAACAAGGAGGTCCCGCGGCGGGGGGTTCTGATTGGAGAAAGGCAAAAGGTAATCTTGTGCCACGAACGAGAATGGCTTTATCGGGGGTGAGAGTGCAAGTCAGACTGCTCCTTCTTTGCAGAAACGAACACTAAGGAGGTTAAGCCTAATCATATGATAAGGGCGAGGATACGCAAGTAAGCCTTTGCCGTCCGAAAGAGTACACTTCTCGCCACGAAGTCTTTTGACATGACCCTCTAAGGCTTCTCCAAACCAGGACCCTCTGAATTGCGGGGTCATGTACCGCTGCATCTGGGCTAGGGTGCCTGGCAGTCATTGACCTGGTCTGTCCTTAGCATCGTTGATACCTCCCTCTTACCGGAGATCGGGATCGAATATGTACGCTCGCCGTCTCCATAGACATCTTTCAAAGGAATTGCAGCGTGCTTCAATGCAGGTTGTGCATTATCACGAACGCTGTTCTTTGTATCATCCCTATTGCTGTTCTGCTTATTGCTGTCCTCGGAGTTGCCAGCCTGCTCTTCGCTGTCCTCAGCATTGCCGTCGTCCTCATCGCTCGCCTGATGGTCGCTGTCGCTAGCGTCCCTATCCTTATCGTTACTGCCGTTCCCATCGCTATCTTCCTCTTGTGCCCCCACTTCATCGTCAAATTCATCTCGGAACTCTTTGATTGTGTCTGAAAGATACCACTCGAGGTGCATCAACTGATCGGCGATATGCTGTCGATGGCGGACCGGTTCATGTGGAGGCTTTAAAGAGGGGGTTTGCGGAGGTGAGAACTGGTTCTCATATGCTTTGATGGTTTGAACAGCAGCATGAAGGTTGTCAATGGCGTTTGCCGCAAGGGCTTTGAACTGAGCGAGGTATTTACACAGGCGAGCTCCTGTCTATACGAGTGTAAGCTTCCCCTCAGCGATGACTTGCAAAACGTACGTGTGTTTCCATGTCGCGGGTGTTTCTGAGAATATCGTCCCCGCCATCGGTCTTTAAGCCCATGCTTTGTCCGACCTCAGACTTGGCAGGGAAAGCCATGACCGGGACAGAGGAGCGTAGAATGAAGCGGGAGTATTGGATACAATGTGGGCACAGGATGTTCTTCTTTCTCTCGATCCGGCGTTTGATGCACTTCAATCCCACAGGGGGAACAGAGAAACAACAAAAATCCTGGGTTGCTCTGACCGCCATGGAGCGAGAATCAGCGACGGTGAAAACCCTGTGCTTTATCCTGCAGCTTGCCCGTCGCCATGCAGATGTTCAAAGTATGACTCCACGGCTCGCTGCAGGAGGTCGACACTTCAATGAAACCAGAACGGGCTCGTTTGGCTCCACCTGGGCATGACAGGCGGTGTCAAGGTGCGCCTGGACGAGCTGTCTGCCGTTGGCCGAAGCAGCTCTTCCAATAACACCAACTCTTCCAATAGCTTGTGTTGCTAAGGCGGTTCATGGAAGATGACGCGTCGAGACGTGGAGGACACCGCTCCACGGATGTTGGACGACCTCCACCGGTGAGCTGCATCTCTCCGCAGGATCAGTCAAGCAGTCTGCTCCGAGAGGCCATTCAAGATAATTTTCGTCATACCTGGACACATCGGCTAATCCATTTGCAGTATGACGAGATAGAGGTTGGATCATCAAAGCCAGGTGTCTGTGAATGATTCAGAAATGATTTTCTGGTAGGGCTGAAACTTCCAGAAGTAGACTAAGCAGTCTCAGGCTTATATGACTATGATGAATAATACGCATGACTTCCAGGGACCTCAGGAGGGCACTCTTCCCGCAGAATAACACCACTAAAACTCTTGCATTGAGTAGTAGTCAATCTATGAATATACCATCTTGTCGTCCTGCTGCATACTTAGATATTTGCGATGAGATCCTCATCGCCATCCTCGTCGCCGTCAACGTCGTCGTCAACGTCGTCGTCAACGTCGTCGTCGTCGGTGGTTTCACCTTTGACAAATCCCAAATCGCCCCTTGTTGCGACGCCGCCCCAGGAGCTTTGCCTGCCAAACTCGCCCATTGAAGCAGAAGAACTACGCTCTTTCCCCTTTCTCGACGGCCCTGCAGAAGCCGTTCCAGCTTGAGCGGAAGGTCCGCGCACCATCTGGGACAGCTTGTCTATCTCTTTTCGAAGGCTCTATAGAGTGTCAAGACTTCGCCATCGATTTACACTGAAAGATGCTTACCTCCATGTCTGCATCTTTCTCCGCCTTGGTTGCAGTCGTAGCTGCAGCGAGAAGGGAAGTCTGAGCCGTCAGTCCAAGCTTAGGGGCCGGCTGGAAGAAAGACGTTGCCGCAGATGTTGCCAGATTGGGGACTCTCGTCCGAGAGGGTTGCGAGGCACTGCCAGCTGCGTGATGAGGTTGGGCTGGTTTCTCAGCGGCGGAGACTCGCTCCCGCTGCAATTGTCGGGTGACGGCATCCTGACTATGAATTAATGATGGCAAATGACTGCGAAGAGGCATGTCCTTCTCACCATGAATCTCTCTTTCGTCTTCGCATGTTGTTTGCAGAGTTCGTCGGCTAGTAGTTCCTCTTGGGTCTTTTGAGCTTGGGGTGTATCACTGTCAAAGACCTTCCACCGCTTGCACTGTTCACCGGTGTGCTTTTTGGTCCTCGAATCTTGCGTTAAGGCGCGGCACCGTAGGTGCGGCGGGGGAACACGATGGTGCGAGGGGGTGTTGGAAGGGGTTGGGAGGAGATATACGTTCTGAGCGGTGATAGGATGGGAAGACATGTTTGACATTGACATGGCCGGAAATCGAGGGCAGATCTTTATTGGAAATGTATGAAGAATGGGTCAGGGCTTATGTTTCGAGTTCGAAGGAAGTGCGTGAGCGGAAGCTTGTGCTTGAAAGACGAGGAAGATGCGTCAGGGAATAATGGACTACCGCTGAGGAGCGGGGATCCATCGAATTTATGCTGATGGGGAGAACGGGCTGGAACGTTCTCCGACGAAACCCCAGGTCTCGATTGCAATCATCAGGGGCCGCTGGCAAGACATTTTGCTTTGTTCATTAGGCTTGAGGGATCCAGACAATGCTGTACGTCCTAAGAAATGCTATGACAGAGGTGTGGGTGGGTACTGATTGCTCCGTCGTCTGGTAGGAAGATGTAGTTCTGGCGGCTTAGCCTGGTGGCCTTCTTTATCATACCTGAGACACGTTCGGGGAAGCGCAGGAGAGCTGGTCCAGACCTTTTTGGAGAGATGGCCCACGCCATCTGAGCAGCGAGGAAACAGATGAGACTGACCTGAAAGGCTGAAAAGGCCTGAAAGGAGCAAATCACGACATATGCTGCACCTTGTCCAGCCACAAGGGTTGATCACGGTCACTTTTCCAATAATGGTATCAAGGACTGGGGGCATGCAAGATCGTCGATATTCTAAGAAAGCGAATCAGCCCGCCGCAGGCCGGTCATCACGGTCAAGACTCAGAGCTGAAGAGCAGAATGAAATCTGAATTTGGTGCACTCTCTGCGAACACATCGATGGATCAACACGTAGGATAAAAGCCTCGGCAAGCTCGAAACCGAGAACACCATGGTCGCTATAGTGTCTATGCGAAGAATAGACGATGATTGGAGTAAGTAAGATGAAACACTTCGGACAAGTTAGTGTGAATCAAGTGAAGAGATTTATCTATGCTTGGGATAAAGTGTCGGAGAGCACTAGATGTGTTACTCGACATAATAATTATGAAGAGATATGTATTAGTTCCTGTGCAATTAAGTCTGACATCGTTCAAGGTGACATTGTGATTTCCAACTCCACTGCGTTACAAGGAACAAACACAAGACAGAACAGCTCCACACAGAACCCACGGAGTAGCCTTGTAAGTTCATGCTCAAACCGTGTGAAATGGGCAAAGTCCTTGCTGGACGGGAGTCCCGGAGGAACCTCAGCATGTTGGTAGAAGTAGACGAGAAGTCTTAGATGAACCACAGAATCGTCCACTCACGTCAGGTGGCTGTGGGAAACACTCCTTATCTTATCGTGCTTGCTTTGAACAGCTCGTCTGTGAATCTCATTTGCTCTGTGTGGAAATTTTTCAGCTTGGTCTCGAGGTCGTCGACTCCCTCCGTCAAGATCAGAGCCTGCTTCTTCAACCATTCCGGAACAGACCCGCCACGACGAGAGCGAGCCGATTCTTCGGTCAAGCGGGTCTTGAGGTTATTGCAAGCAATCAAGGCTGTATCGAGCTCTGACTGCGCGTCTCTTAACCACCTCATGCTGTCTCTAAAAATCTTCCGCTTCGGTTCCATCCAGCGTCCACGTTCATCGATCTCCCAGCCGCTCAGGACATCCCCGCTGAGCTGGTAGCCAATCCACTTCCATGGTTTTCCGCGAAGCTGCTGGTTCAGTCTTTTGTCGGATTGAGCAACTTCAGAGCCCAAAGTTTCGATTCGCTCGGAGATTACTCCGAGTGCTCCAAGCGAGGTCTGTAGGGATGTGATCATGTCGGAGAGCTTGATAATTGCCTTCGACACCTTCTCGACATGATCTTTCATGAGGGTAATGGCATCCTGGGGGAGTAAATTTGTTGAAAAGGCTCGAGCCCTCCGGGAAGGTAGACCAAATAGGTTGAACGTGCGAGAGCCATGAATCGAGCGAGAGGGCCGTTTTGGTGGGTGGAAACTGCCGTTGAAGTGATCCCTGTGCCGTCGAGTTGGGGCACAAGCTCCTTGGTCGCGCGAACATGCTCGGGTATGATATACAGAATAGAGTCAGCGAAACCCTGCGTCTGCTTGACAGTCTTTTCGTTTATCTCGATATACTGCGTGAACGATGCGTTGAATGCGTCAACATAACTCTGAGGGAGTTGTGACTCCGGCAGACTCGCACGGTATACCGCCATCGTCGATCCCCAGCGCCGCAAGAAGAGAGGCATTTCATAGGTCATTGTAGATTCCTTGCTGGTGAGGATAGTCTCGAACGGATTAGAGAGCTCCTGTGGCGCGACTGATGTGGTGGAATAATTCTCTTGTTCCAAGTCCCAATTTTTACATACGTAGTTTCTGACCAGCGGAAGCTTAAGCACGCAGAAATTATCCATGACTGTGTAATACAGGAAAGTGTACAATAATGCGGTGCCTTGAGTGACAGCCCAGACGGCGACAAACAGCTGTAATGGATGCCTTATGAGGAACCAGGCACAAGCTAAGATCACAGATGATATTTTTCCGACTGTTCCCACGAAGTCTACAATCTCCACAGACCCCTCGCGCAGGAATTCTCCAAGAGGGCGAGCAACCTGTGTTCCAGCAGCGCGTGACATAATCCCTTGTCTAGGCGGAGGTGCTTGTGGTCCTGTTAATTGGTTGTAGATCCGCCGCGGAGTGATCTGACCGAGCCATGCTGACATTTTGCGAGGTATGTGCCTTTGGGAGCTATCGCTGCCAGCCGTTTTACTGTCATTGCTCCCACCAGTCTCGTTGTCGGAGGGTAAAAGACCAGGGAAGGAAAGACGATCATTCGGCAGCTCGCTCGCGAATGCAAGCTCGTTGGAGCCTAGGGGAGGGGCGGAATAGCTTCGTTGAACTCTGGCACTCGGAAAGTTGACGTTATAGATTTCTTTGAGTCGCTTCTCTAGGTCTGGCACGTCTAGTGTGTCTAACACGCCTCTTCTATCAGTATTCCAGTCCTCGGGGAGATCGTCATCGCCATCGATGAAGTCAGCCAGTGATCGTGAACGGTCAGGCATCTGATGAGTCACCGTGAGCTGTGGGAGCTGCGCCGCCGACATACCGGAATGAGGGTCTAACGGACCATGTGTGAACGAAAGTGAAGATGTCAGCCGGGCGTCCAGTCTTTCGATGCTGACGCCAGGAGCAAAGAAAGTCTTCTTAGGCATCCAAATACGCAAGCCACCCATGACCGGTAAACACGGCTGCGGGCGTAGAGACCGCCGCTTGCTCGTGTGGACGCTTCTGGAGATTGATGCAGAATTTCCTGATCCCCACCGCAAGACGAACTTTCTTCCCCAAAGTGTGCAGCATAGGGAGACTTGGTCAGACTTTCTCCACATTTGGCTGCTTCTCCCAGATTCGTACGGCCGGGCTGCCTTCTATTAGATGCAGTATGAGACATCAACCGAATAATCTCCCGGATCCTGGTAGAAGAGGCGACTTCCCGTGAAGCAAACAACAAATCTCCACCTGCCCCCTCCAATTCTCCCAGTGTCTGGCCATGAACGATCGCTTGGGGGGAAAGCAGCATCCAAAAGACGGTGAGAACTCAGGGCCGATGTGACAGGGCATCGCATTCCTTCACACCCTCAACTGAGCTGAGAGAAATTCCGCATGACTCAACAAACACGTCTACCTATCTTCCGCACGTAGCCAAGCCTGTGACATTCTCTCTCGTCACATTCTATGCCTTGGCTTGACGGATCCTAGATCGCTCCGGGCACACACCTTGACACCGTAAATAAAGGCTTCAAGTTCAGTTGATCTTCATCGTTTTCCACTGTGACTGACCCATTACCTGATTGCGTCATCGACGGCTCTGCGCCCTCATCACCGGCATCATGCTAGGAACGCCCATAGCTGACGATCGCAAAAGCGGTAAAGTCTCCTACCCAGATCTGAAAAACCCAGGTGGCGATTTTGAAGAAGGTGAGCGAACCACGAGACGCCTTTTCTCTGCTGACCAGTCATCAGGGGCAGGAGGTGGCCGTCGGTGCCTTGTAGAGCTAAAGGACGGTGCCCGATGTCAAGAGAGGGTCAAAGGGCGTGGTGCATGCCGCGATCCTGATCATCAGGCTCAGCGTGAAGGTAAGCTTCGTTGAAGTTCCATTCAGCTGAACATGAAAGAGACGCGTGCGAGTGACTAGTAAGGAGTTCGGTCTTGGAGAGAAAATCAGAGATTTAGAAGAATGTTTCAAAGGCTGAAGATTAGATGTTTCTTTCGCCGTTGGCGACACTCATGAAGCTCAAGGACTCAAGCTTACTGATGCCCCCCCCTCAACAGGCAGATGTACCGCACTCAAATCAGACGGAACACCGTGCAATAAGTTCCCGACACCAGGTTTTGTAACGTGCAAGTTCAACGGCCATCGCGAGCAAGACCCTGCCGTCATGGCGAAAAAGCCCGAAGCTCAGATCCGTCCTGAAGCTGGCGCTTCAATCGGAAATCATACCCCGGACCCGGCGCCTTCGTCATCAGGTCCCCTGGAAGCTGGGGAGCGAAGCGTGCAAGAAGCCAACAAAAAGTCCTCAGAGTCACGTCAGGCAGGCTCTCAGACCAAAGGTATCAAGCCATCTCATACAGCCCCTCAAGTCTCGGAATCGCAACCCAAGTCCACTTCAATACAAAGAACAAAGTCGGACCCGCAAACCCCCCTCGACAAACTCCGAGTCGTGGTCAAACAAGCCAGAAGAAAACAAGATCTTGTAGAGCGGGGCATAATCCTAAAAACAGAATCGATCGGCGGCGGGCTCACACCCTCTGAAAAGACCTATCAAGACCCCGGACATCGTATGGGAGCAGTTCCGGTACCAGAGCTGAGCGCAGACTTGACAGCGCTAAAGTTGGAAGTGCATGATCTGGCTGAAAAGCAAACTGCCACAGTGAAGGACCTGAGTGAGATCAAGTCTAAGGTGGAAAAGAACGGGACAGCAGACCTGACAGAGATAAAGTTGAGACTCCATAGTCTGGGGCAAGAACAGACTACCACTTCACAGGAGCTGAGCAAGTTGAAATCCGAGGTTGAAAGTAGTGAGGGGTATTTCACGTACCAGGCGGAAAGAGATGGGAAGTCTTTTGATGTAGAACCCGACCGTCGATTAAAGCTTGCAGACGAGGGAGTCAAAGCTGAGAAGAGGACGGACATGCGTGAATATCGGGAATTCCAGGAAGAAACCAAGCAATCTTTGAGCCGATTAACTACGCAGTTAGCAGAAGTCAAAATGCAAGCCGCCACCCTCGACTCGAAGTGTGAGAACGCTAGTATTGGGAAGTCGAAGTATGTGAAGCAGCTGGAGGATCACATCTCCAAGTTCAGGCACCTTCCACAGGAATTCGAAAATTGTCGAAAATTCGCAGACGAGAATTTTGAGTATATGATTCGTCGATTCCAAAAGCTCGAAGTCATTCCGGAGCCTCTTACCAAGGCCGATTTGTTCACCTTAAGGCATGAGGGAGCTTCGAGAATCGATTTCGAGGAACTGGATACTCGAGTCCAACAGCTCGAAACCGCTCGAGAATCAGAGCCTTCCAATGGCGAGATGGTCAATTGGACACTCTCGGAGATGCGGGAGAAAGCCTCAATTGTGGCCGACAGTCCTACGACGGTAGGGATGTCCGAAGGTTTGGTCCCGACGAATTTCCAGCTTCAAGACCTTCAATCTCAACTAGCATCTCAAGCGAGTGAAACAAGGAAGGCTAATCAGGTTCTCTTAACCCAGCAAGCTGACATAGTCAAGTTGAGAGGCAACCTAAGAGAGCTTGCCGTACGTTATACTGGCAATAAGAAGTCTGTGAGCGGGGACTTGCAGGACCTACGCCGGATGGGAAATGATCAAGCGACTCGATTGTTTTCTATCCAGAACAATTCTCAAGCGTTCGCAAACAACACGATAAGACAGCTCACGTCATTACAAGACGCTGTCAGTGCCCTGCAAGGCTTGCTTCCTACGCAGGCTCCTTTCCCTGATATGCACATCCACAGTCAAGGGTCTGGCCCACAAGCGCTGCACGGTGGCGGCGAGAGGCCATCGGGACACCAGACGGGACTCAATCGCAGCACCGAAAGTTTAGACTCCGAAGGGAGACTGGAACAGTCATCAGAGGTGCAGAAACAGGTAAGATCCTAGGTGGAAGCTTGAGCCCAGTACTGACCTTCGCCCTGCAGCGTGAACGCGTCAAAAACATGCAGAGAGCACTTTCGGTCAAATACGGCAATGTAGATCGTCCGAATGAAGACTTTCAAGAGCACGCCGGATAGAAGGGTAAGGCATGGCAACAAGGAAGCCCGCGGCTCTATCTCAAGCTTACATCCTGGGCAAGACAATAGGGTGCTATCAGGCCTCAATGATTTTGCAACTTTTGATACTCGCGGAGCCAGGCTACATTGCCTGCATACGCTCGTGTCATTTGTCCTTATCGCTTATCGAGTCTGCCTAAGTGTCGGTCGGCACTCTGTTAAGACTTCAATATACACGTCGCGGTGCCCAGCAGGGGTAGGGCACCAGATCTCTCATACTCCTGTTGGTCTTGTACTATTATCTTTCATGGAACAATGCAAATGATTGAATAACTTGGCCGTGGACTGTGGTTTGCTCAACAAAGAAAGCCAGACTTGGGAGTCCCATCTTTGCATTGGTCCAAACGAATCTTCTCTACTTTCGGATCATCAAAGATGCATAGTGACTTTGTTCCTCTAGCCGAAAGGATGTAGCAACTTTGTTGTAGAGTCGATTGCCATTTTTGTAGTGCTGTTTCCTCAAACAGTGGATGCAAATCCAAAGAAAGAATTGGAAATCATGCGCAATGCAGTGTCCCGTTCGTCTGCGATTGCTGTTAAGGAATTTTGCCTGATCCTCAGAGAAATCTTCAACATATTCTGGCATAAATAGTCGACTTCCGCAACCCAGTCACAATCTGTTCGGGAAGGACAGACCACGAACACGAAGCTCTTTCCTTAGGTCTACAGGCCTTCAATACTATCACAAACTGACGAGACAAAAACGTTCTCAGTCGTTTTCAACCGGTTCTAGCGTGCGAGACGGCCGATCTGTCTCCCATGGAAATCGATCAAGGAGCTTTCGATGAATCACTTCTCGATCAGGGACAATACAATCTCAAGGCGATAGAGGATGTTTTGAGGGTAGGTAGCGTCGTAGAGAGGTTTATGGAGCGTGTGCGAAACAACGAGCTCGATCTCAAAGCGGATCAGGGAATTATGACCAAGTTCATCCACTTCGTGACGGTGAAAGAGGTCTGGGGCCAGGCGCAAAATTTGGTTCCAGAATTCCGTTTCGACTTCCTCAGGTAAGGTGGCGTCAACAGATTCACATAACTTATTCATCTTGAGACTTAGCAAACACGACATGACACCTCGAGATGGCCCATACGCAATGCTCAACGAAGTCCTTCGATTACTGAAAGATAACGGTCGTTTGCCATGCCTTACACCAAGGAAAAATCCGATGTCCATCGAGCAGCGCCTGATAGCTCGCCGTTTTAAAGCAGAGACCGAATTTTTATTGACTGGGGGTGATGGATACAAGGTGAGACCAGAGGGGCGCCAGGAGGGTGAAAGAATTTTGTCCGATGTGTTAGAGATGTCGGAAAGGTCTAGAGCGCGAGATGTTGGGGCAGAGGAAGACGAAGGCGAAATCTTGTAGAAACGCCAATGAATCTGTTCAATAATGTGTTGGTGTTTGTATGTTAGTGAAGCTCTACAGAGCTAGAAGTATTTGACAGTCTGCGAGGATGTTTAGCCGGCATGGACAATTTGAAGTGGTCACAACATGACGAGGCTACAATCAACATATTGACGCAAAGAATTTGGAACCCTTTGTTTTTTATTTGACGAGAATTGCGAAAAGTATGCGCGGAATATTGCGACATCAAAGAAAGCTTCAGGGGCGCTAATCTCTCCAAGACTCCCTGGAACGAAGCCTCCTGCAATACAGACTGGATGGACCTTCAGACGCAATAACCAAGGTGAACAGCCCTTCTGTTCGGTACTTTCAAACTTAGCTATATACTACTGTAAAGGTAGGCTGTATCGCATAAAAGAATAGCTTGTGCATAAGTAAAAAGCATTTATGCAAAAAAAAGTAGATGAACCTTCGGTTTCACCCGTGCAAGGTGGATGAACCTTTGAAAACCAAAAATAGGTGGATGAACCTTCGGTTTTACCCACGCAAGGTGGATGAACCTTCGGTATTCTGTCAAGGAAGGGATTCGAACCCTTGCATCTTTCGATATGAGAAATCAACTTGGTAAGGCTTCCAAGAAGAAGCTTTTCGCTTGAGTCTGGGGGACTGGTTAATAAGGAGACTCGACAATCTCAACGGAAAACACAAACCACACGCCATAACCACTCGGCCACCTTGACTTTGATTACAAGTTCTCTATTTTTGTTTATAAACTTTTTTTTACTGGAAATTTTGGAAAGTGCCAGTCCTCTTCTTTGCTAAATTAACTATACCCGATTAGCTTAGTGTGGCTGGTTGACCGGCCATCCTCACTTTCCGTGCAGGCTGGTAAAGGCTGGGACGAATTGTCCAATCTCAGGACCGCTACAAAGATGGTGCGCTGTACGTTGCCTTCTCCTTCAGGCCAGCCAAACCTTTTACGCCTTCCATATAAATATATACACATACGAACTTCGCGATTGCAACCCTAGAAAGCAGCCATCGTTTGATAGCTTGCTTGTTCACTTCACCCCTGCAAACAATCCTACCCCAGCGACGATATCAACCTCACCCGCGTCGCAACGAAAGGGATTTTCAGAACGACCCTCTCTCCATACGGCTGATCTCCAAGACGCTCAATTCGTGCTCTCTCTCAATCTCTACCTTCAGCCTCCTCCTTCAATTCGTCTGAAGGTGACAGAGCTCTTGTCTTCCACTCGCTTGGGCAGTGAAGCCAGGCCTCTCCCACGGCAGCCTAAGTCATGAAGCGTAACATCGTGATTGCTGTCATCATTATCGTCCTCTTTCTCGTCCTCGCCCTCGTCGGATACGCCATATACGCTGTACAGAATCGGGTCAGCATATTCAGGAAACGGACAGTGGTGGACGACGATGATTGAGCGCATGTCGATGAGATGAGATGATTTTCAAAGCTTGATAGGTGCTTAGATCTGCGATCACACCGGGAACCCTCCGCGGAAAGGATCAGGTGATACACTTGATCGGAGCAAGAGATGGCTAAGAATAGAAGGCTGGGGATGGTTTGGACATTCGCAACGACGTTATGAGATATGAGAATATCATTTAAAGATCATATATCCATCTGTATTTATTCTCTAGCATATGCCAAAATTTAGCGTGGCATGAAGAACCAAGACGCCGACATAAAGAGCGAGCTCTTCAATAGAGCAATTCTATAGAGAACTTTTGGGGTATCGAAACAATAAGACCCGACCCAGAACTCTAGCACACTGCGTCGATCCTTAGCAGAACTCCCGCTTGAATTGCATGAATCCACCTCCTTAGCAACAGTCCGCTGCAAAGCAATCAATTTCCTAGCCCATGTCCATGACCGTCAGTATCATCAGTCGCACCATTTGAAGATTCTTGGCTGCGTCCTTGCAGGCCAAGCGTGTGTAGGTCTTGCGAACCATGCAGATGCGAACCATCAATCGTATCAGTGTCAACTTCGCCGGGAGCATCAGCAAGTTCCGAACCGTCGACATCGTTGCCTGCCATCGATCCGTTTCTGTTCTGCCATCCATCACGTCGCTCCGCGAAAGGCGTTGCGTAATGACCGTTAGTGTCAAATTTAGAGATCGTAGGAGTACTGCTCTCTACAGGGGGCAGCGGCTGCTGTATGCTCCTCGCGATTCGAAGCTTTTCTCGCCACCTAGCTATATGATCTCTGAATTCCAGATCTAATGATGCAGGGAGATAATTGACAGTCTCCTTCGACAATCGTGTAATTGTTAGAGGATAAAGGCACCTCTGCGACTCCCCGTCTTCTTGAGAGGAACGATCGAGTCGAGCTTTGAGTAATTGTATCTCCTGTTCCTGCAAATCAAGCTTCCTGATACTCGCTTGGTGTCTCTCTTGCTCCCTAGCAAATGCTCGAGCACACTCATACTGCCATGCATCTCGCCTCTCGACATCTGATAGCTTTGACCACTCGTTGAAGGATGTCTCTAGATGTTTGTAATATGACGGCTCCGCTTGCTTGACCCGTTCGACTTCAGTCATATGTTGCGCATTCCCAATTGCGATATCCTGGGTAAACGAGCTGCCGAAATCTGTATGTGAACGAATTCGCTGCCAATCGGTCAGCTTTGAGGACAGCCAAGCCCTCATCTGTTCATATTGATCTGCCTCAGGTGCTGTGGTAGTCCACGTCAGATCGTGTGGCCTTTGCGACGGTGCAGTCAAGAAGCTTTGCGGGGGTGCCAAACAACGAAGGTACATTTGTGGTAAATTGAGCTCAAAGAAGTTGAAGTCGAAGGGCGTTGAAGGATGCGCGCGACGTCTAAGTGATGAATTGTCAGCTCAAAGGGCCTACATTCAGTAGGGTGCTAAAAAAGGCACCCACCTTGCCGCCTTTAAACTTTCCAGCAACTCTTGCAAGGCAAGCTCAGTTGCCTGGGCTTGATCACGCGATTCCAGATAATCCTGCTTCCGGAGCATCTCCTCCTTTGCGTGACCAGAGTGTCTCGTCGAGTAAGAATGGGGGCCACTACGTTGAGTTGGTGGTAAATCATTGATTACACCGGTCGACTGCCAATTCGCTCTGTTGATGTAAGTTTGATAGGCGTCGCCGTCTGTGTCATTCAACCCTAAGTGATGATTTTGCAGACTTGGCGAGTTCGATGGATGTGATTGTATGTCTCTTGAGCTCAAAGGTGTAGAGCCATTCCGCCGAGCCGGATGGCGCGGCTGTCGGCGAGTGATGTTCCCTCTTATGCTCCTGATCGCGTCGAGATCATGTTTGCCATCAGGAGGTTTTGGATTGCGCTCTTTGATATAGAGGTCCAGATGGCGACCCAGAGAGGAAGATGTGAATCGTTGGCCACAGAATGGGCAGTCCCTATCCTTGATGGCGGGTGACTTGCCGTTGCTCGACCCTGGTGTCACCGCACTTTGAGAGCTATCGGCCATTGCGTGGATGTCATCTGGTCAGGAAACCCAAGAGCTAGCATACCATGTGCGAAGTAGGTGTATTTCGCCAGGTCTCATCAACAGATTGCTTCGCGCTTTGAGGAGCTGGCGCTTGCAAGGCCGCGATTTGACTTGTTGGCGGTTGTGAATTGCTGGTGCTTGGGCTCCTGTGTGAAAGTCCGCTAACTACTTTGGGCCTAGGGTCTTATTCTCGCACACGTAACAGAAAAAGGGGGCTTGGGGGTCCTGCCCATCGCTGCGCTTTGCTATAATTACAAAGGCCAACGCCATTCGTATGACAATTCCTGTATGCCTTAAAGGATGATGAGGTCCCGTAAGGCTACCTTCTGTGCCAATACTGTGTCATCCAGCCTCAACCCAGCCTACCTTACAATTCTCTAGCTATGTTGCAACCACTGCCACACAACAGTTCCCATGTCTAACGACTTTGAAGCATGTCTGAAACGCAAATTGCGAGACCGTGAGTTTTACCATAGATCCAACTTCGCCCAAGTAGTCTTGGTCCTAGTAGGCAACGCAGATTCTCACGTCCTGGTGTGCTTCAAGCAGCGTAGCAACTTGGTAAATATCTTCGAGATATTTCAATCAATAATGCTAATGTAGCAGAAATCCCTTTGAACATGCAAAGGAGTTTTCATGACTTGCGGTTGTCAATGAAATCGTTCGTTGTGCTCACGCAATTGCGGAGCTCCGACTCTACTGCATTGCAGATTTGCTTCATCGCGACCAGCGTGCCAATGGCAAAGCAGTCTGCGTCGTTGTAGAATCATCAAACAAAAGCTGCGCCACGCCATTCGGGTGGAAGAGGTTCTAGGCTCGCCAATCGACTCACATGGTCTTCCTGACTTACGACTGAGACTTCCATACTGCTCTTACATTCTCTCAAGTCGGTCGACTTCTTCCTAAAGCTCCAGCTACTTCATGATTCTTCTTTCAACGACTTGTGGTCAGTGGACTTTGTCTAAGGATTCAAAGTATCAAGTCAGATATTTGATCGACATTGCTTTTGACCAACTTTTCTGGAAGATCTTGTGATTTCTTCGATTTAAATTTTCCCTTGATTCAAATTTCAACAACAATGATTGAACTTCCCACTCGGCCTGCATCTTACACAATGAAGCTATCCACAAGTGACCGGACCTATGAATGATGCTTGTTTCGTGCTATTTTTGATTAGTCTGTAGGGTTATATTGTACCTGAAGAAATAGTTACCTGATAAGTCTCGCCATTCTAATATCTGCACTGTTCAGATCTAACAACATCGACTCCTTCGTTATCCTAACAAAACACGATGACTTTGCCAATCATAAAGTTAGATGAAACAATATAGGTAGATCAACAGAAGTGGATCTATCCTACAATCATTGGGACAACTTGAGGACACACGTGAAGAGCTTGGGGGCTATTCTAGAGTGATGACTCGTCATGGAGATTGCCTTGTATGCCGTCCTATACTTATGCTGGGCATTTGATGCGACGTTTTTGTGAACAACTCAATTTGTCGTATTCAGCAGCGAGTTAATTCCAAACCCTTTTTGTCATTGTAATCCAGAAAGTGACTTCCCTGGAATCACCACGGTGAAGCTGTCGAATGACACAATAAAGAGATAATCCCAGAAAGACATGAGCAAACATGAGTAGCTCCGTACGCAGGAAATCTAGCTATTACTTCATTATGAAAGCCAATCTAATAATCACAAACACTGTGACATCCTTGGTAGGTAGCAGATTCAGTGGTCTGTTCTTGAATGAACGTCCATGGGAAAAGCTGCCTTCAATACAGCATTTCAACGACACGGCCTCCGCTTGATCCTATCAGAGATAATACCCATATCAACAGGTCTGTTCATATTTGACTGTCTTCGGACGCCGTGAACCTCAGATGAAGGAAAGGAGCTGGACGCAAGCAGAGAGATGCTTAGGGTTTTGGGGGCCTTTAGGCTTATGCAAGAGTTTGAGGGCTGGTACTCAGGGCACTTTAAGATAACGCATATTTCCGATAAATCCGCAGGTTTGGACCCTTTTTTTAAAACTAAGTTATAACGATCGAATACAATAAATTCAAATTCTTAAAATCTATTTGATATATTAAGAACATAAATCAGATATATTTTAAAATTAATTAGGTATATTTTCATAGTGGAAATACTTATTCTATATCAGCCGTTTCCCAAAAAGGTTAATAATATGACTTATTTAAAACTGCGCTGAGTAATCCACTACTTGGTAGAATCTACCATACGTCGTCTGGACTTCGTCGAGGAAAACTATGGCCTGTAAACCTCTGCCTACCGCAATGACGGATGCCGCGCTGGCCGTGGCGCTGATATGCAGCACTACAATCATCGCAATCTTCGATCCACATGGATCTAATAGCATGAACCTTCTGGGCGAGCTCAATTACCTGTTGCATGAACGATTCTTCAAGGACCCCAACACCAATATCTACGAAGTCCCTTGGTACACACAAAGCATCATACATCCCTCAGCAATCGTCTTCTGCATCTCCATCCTCGTGTTCGCCTCGACCAGCTTGGTGTTCTACCGCTTGCACGCGCGAGACCAATACCGAGATCGTGTACTGGCGGGGCTCGCCATTCTTGGTGTCCTTGTGCCCTTGATGGATGGTGCCAAGGGTACAAAGTTGAAGGATACATGGCAAATTACCTTGCCTTGGGCATACACGTTAGGACTTATATCAAGTGCGATTGGTCATTGGGTCTGGAGGCTTTTGCCGCAGGAGAAGCCGATAGTAATTGACTACGACTACGACTGGGATGAGAAAATACGGGCAGGGCAGAAGCTTCCGTACTGATCGAGTGATCGAAATGACGAAGACAGAGCAAGTGAAGTGGGAGAGAGTATGGGTGATATGCGAAGAGAAGCCAATACTCTGTCTAGTTCGAACATCTTTTGAACGGGAGATCGCTCCGACAGTCCTTGCATGCTCGATGGTCACCTTCCCTTCCATCGACATTGGGAACGACCATCCTCGGCGCTCAATTTCAGGCGCCTCAGGTACGTTTGATGTCGACTTTGGTCTTGTCTGCTAGGCGTCAGCTTTCTCAGCAGCTACTCCGATAGTCTTCACCCACAGAAAGCAACGTAGTCTTTCAAGCCTTTGGCCCGGTCCGTGGCGGGATGGGGATAGTACCATGCAGCATCCTTAGCTTCGGTCCCTGGAGAAAGGCATCAGACAGGCTCATAGGGAGTGGGCAGCGCCTCAGCTTACCGTCGACGTTGATGTTGTAGTAACTCCCGCTTCCTTTCCACGGCTACAGTGAATCAGAAATCAGCATGGCCCCCTCGACAGCAATCTGGTTCATAAAAGGGCACTCTGTGCTTAGACACATGATCTCAAGGGTGTTCGGGACTGGGGAAGGTACTTACACAAATCGTCGTAAGCGAGGAATCGCTCAGTACAGATTTGTCCACTGTCTCTGGTGGGAACTTCACGTGGTGAGCGATACTACAATCGAACATATCGGACCCAAGCCTACGTAAACATTTCCCTCAACAAATTCGTACGAATCGGTTTCGGCGATCACTTTGCCATTGAATGTTGCCGTAGCGTGAGGCATTCTGAGAAGCAGAAGGTAGTAGATGGTTCGTAAAATCTTGTTCCCGTATCTTGAATGTGGTTCTTTGAATAGAATTAAAAGTGTAGTGGGGATGCTGCGTGCTTTTTACGCGGAAATTTCTGTCAAAGCAAAATAATGGCGCAGCCGCTTTGTTGCGCGTCGCATTCGAAATTCAAAAATGAGGAATCAACTACGGACTGTTGACCCTATCATTTACAGATGCTCATCTGCATTTGTCAGAACTCAGCAGGAATCTCTCGTGTTAGATGGCTGTTTATACCGCACTTTCATTAAAGCTTCAAGTGAAATTCATATGATTTGATTGTGCTTTCGTAAATCATGCCATAGCCTTTAATTGTGTATGTGGACGTATGAAGCCACAACCATGCGCCACTTCAGTCACGCTTCGTCTCATACGCTAGGTTTCGTTCCAACCCATTGTCTTACGTTCATTCACGTCAGTCTTGACTAGAGCTTCGCTTGCTCACCATCTTCGGACGTCTTCAAAGCATTGCCAATCAATTCCGTTAAAGCCAGCACCTTCTCTTCTTGGAATCTTCGGCCAACAAGCTGGACGCCCACATGAGCGCCATCGTAAATCTCGGGATCATAGTCTTCATGAACTTGCTTGTCAAGATCGCTCAGTGGCTGAAAGTTCTCGTCGATACGATCGATATTCTTGTCGATATTTGTGACTGGTATTGCACATGCGGTGTAGTCCAACGTATTGATGATTGTTGTGTATCCGTAGTATCTATATCGGCCATGTCTTGCCGCCGCAAATGGCGCGATTGGCATAATGAAGGCATCCGCAGGCTGACCTGTCCCACTTTGTGTGGATGTGCTGTTCCAGTAGTCAAGGTACTCCTTTTGGAATGAGCGTTTTGCGACGTTGTTCGCTGCGATTGCAGTAGCGTCGGCTTGCTTGTTGGGTTCATCCTTGCCGTAAGACCCTACAATCTGAGGCAGAGCTGGCTCGCCAGAAAGCCTAAGATTCTTGTGGATATCATGACCTCCATCATAGACGTATGCTTTGCCCTGTCTGCTTGTGAGTGGCCTGCTCTTTCCGCACAGTTCAAAGACTTACGCAGAGAGAAGTACCTCGTGAGTGGGCTGGGGGGCGCCATTCAAAGATTTGGTGTCCTTGCTGTTCGAGAGCCTTGACTACCGTGTCTATCGCCCTACGCACAGGTGGATGTGGTGTCACTGTGCCATCGAACTTCAAGACGCCAAAAGCGAATTGTTCGGAAACTTTCGCCGCTTGTTCATCACGCCAAGGCAGCTCCAAGCAGAGTGGGTCTCGCAACCAGGGCTGTTGGCTCAACAATGCCTTGAAGGCTAATTTCAGTGATACAGGGGAGTGGGATATCGGGCCATTGACTGAAAGTACACTCGTTTGTCCATCTATGCTGTTGGCCATGCCATCATACGGCAAGCGACCAAACGAAGGCCTGATACCATACAGGCCGTTGAAGCTTGCTGGAATCCTGATGCTGCCGCCAATATCTGTACCAAAACCTAACGGGGAGCCGTATAAGCCCATGAGTGCGCCCTCGCCACCCGAGCTGCCTCCGCTTGATAATTCTCGGTTCTTAGGATTGGTAGTGGTGCCAATGATATTGTTGACAGTCTCGCCAAACATGAGGGATTGGGGTACGCTTGTTTTGCAGTAGAGCACTGCACCTAGAGCCCGGAGCTCTTTGACCAACTCACTTTCGAAGAGCTTTTCTTGTCCCGTGCCCTTTTTTCCCTCAAAGGTGCCAATCCACCCTACGTAAGCCATGGAGGTCTCAACACCTTTGACGTGAAATTGATCCTTTAAACTGATTGGCAATCCATGCAGCGGCCCGATTGGTTTTTTATTACTGGCATAGTATTCATCTAATCGCGTAGCGTCTGATACAGCCGCATCAAAGAACATCTCATGCAAGCAATTCACCTTGCGCTCTTAGTTGGAGCCAAAAAGACGTTCCCCGCTGGCTAGATGGGACTCACAAGCTGCTGAGCAAGAGCTGCACGATGGCAGAATGCTTTCGTTACTTCCACAACCTTCCATTCACCGTTCGTTGTCTTCTGGACAATGCCTGAAGCATCCGTCTCAGTAATCTGGATCTCGCGCCGAGACAGATGTGTTTTTACAGATGACTCGGTTACATCTCGTTGTTCTTCTATCGAGGGGACACTGGCTAGTCGCCATTCTTTTGGTATTGAGTCACTGATAGCCTTACGTTTAGCCTCGGCAATATCTTGCCAAGGAGTTTCGCGAGCAGTCATTCTACCCGATGTCCTTCGTTATGGAGAGAAGCAGCTTGAGCCGTTTTTTCTCTGCACTCTCCTTCGCAGAAAAGGAATGTATTGATGAAAGATTCTTCAGCCGAAGGAGACGAGGGGTTACATATCTTAGCGCCGATTCGCCAGTTAGCCGCAAGCTAACGCTTTCCAGCTGCCTCGTCAAGAAAGAAGTGAAGCAAACATGGCTACACGAAATTCATAGGGGTGAAAGGGGGGCAGCTACGACCTTAAAAATCCGGCTTGTAGGGTATTTTTCTAGGGTCTGCCTCTCTAACAGTGGCCTTGATACTGGACTTGGCGTGGCCATGTTCCGATCGATCAACCTTTGGTAGGTGAAGATGTCCTCAAAGCGTAGGAACAAGGCGGCCATCGAGTACAACTCGTAAAAGCCCTGAAATTCAGTCCAGTGATGAGCAAGCTAGTCAAGCTTTCTTCTCGTTTGATGGTACTTCGACATGCATTTGCCGCACACTGAGATTGATCCTTTTACCAGCCATCCAGCCACGCCAACCAGAGTAGTCGTCCGTCCTAAGAGTGCTTTCGGCTGGCCAATCATGGAGCCAGTCCGGACAGGTCTTTGGGATGACTTTAGGGACTCCATGCCATGCAAATCGTGACGGCCCATCTAGATATATGGCATCTCCAGAATGCAGGCGGAAGACCTTGTGCTTTGGTTCTGATTCCGAGTCTGGTTGTAAAGCTGCTATAAAGAGGGCGTCACAGCCAAGACTAATGCTTACCAACGCGTTGTCACACTGTTCACTTACATCTCGATGCATGCTAAGAGAGTCACCCGGATTGTATATGTTCATTATGGCAGCTTCTGGCCGCACATTTGGGAATAGAGTCTTGATGAAAAGATCAATTTCCTTTGGAAAAGGAGGTGGATCCTCCGGTGGGTATCGCTTCTCTGTCCAATCATACTGACCTCCAAGGGTCATCCATCGTAATTTAGAATTCAAAAACTGTGAAGTATTGAAGGCTCTATGATTGTCTTGGTCAAAAGGATAGAAAAGCTCTGATGCACCCTGCGAGAGACTGAAGAACGAGCAGTAACGCACGTGGTTTGGATATTCCTTCTTCTGTGAATGATGATCAGAATGATACGGTAGACTATGGGTCAAATGGACATTGGTTTTATGGCGTGGGCTTGCAAGACAGTCATGTAACAAATTTGAGAGCAAACATGCTTGTGCTTGCTTGGGAACCATATTCGGTACGATACGCAAGCCTAGGACGTCAGAAAGAGGACGTTAGTGATCATATCAGACTTACCTGGTAGCCCCTCTACAGCAAAAACGCGAGCACCCTCACAATTGACGGGTTTACCACCATTCGAATGTAGAGGTGCAATGAGATCCTTACACGCAGCAGCAATGATTTCGCTTGAGATTACACTCTCAAGACTCACGGTTGCATTGATTCCGGAAGTCGGAAGACTGTGCGTATCAATGAGATTAGCAGAAGCGCCCGTCTCACTCCAGTGATGACTCTTTCGATATTGTTTGAAGAGCTTCTTGACCCTCTCGGGTGGGAGCTCTCGGCTATCGAGCATGTTAATTGTCGCCATAATGCACAAAGAATACAAATTGCGTGTTTTGAAAAGTGGAACCTGCGCGGTGGGGGCGGCGAGTCCCTAATTCTTAGGCGCCGTGGCGCTGACGCCATTAGAAGAGATGACCCAGGGACCGGACAAAACCAGGGACCGGACGGTTTCAAATATATGCAGCCAGGATATAGCGTGCGCTGTATTCTGCCCCTAAAAGTATGAGTCTTAAGCTAGAAATCTTTGCTAGTGTTCATACCTAAAGAGTCGCGTACTCTCAGTCCTGCAGACTCTAAAACCTACGTATTTCTAAAACCGTCCGGTCCCTGGGTCATCTCTTCTAGCGTGTTCACTGGAATCTGTGTTTACAGTCCAACGACCAAGCCTTTTCATCGTTGTCGCAATGGGATTGATGATACTCAACACAGCAAAATTGCAGGCGTAACTACTAACAATTGATAGCCATTGCTCGCCATGAGACTTTCAAAACTCTGAACGCGGAACCCCAACACCCTTCAATTATCTACCGTGACTTACTTGGGGTTTGATGCAGCGCTGGTCTGCCATTGAAGGTCAAGAGCATTGATCTAGCAACTCAACTAAAGCAACAATATGGAGAACTACCAGAAGCTGGAGAAAATTGGCGAGGGTCAGGCAGACCAAGCCCAAGGATCACATGTCGCGCTAATATCTAATCTAGGAACCTATGGAGTGGTATACAAAGCCCGCGACCTGACACACCCTTCTCGCATTGTTGCTTTAAAGAAGATCCGACTTGAGGCTGAAGATGAAGGAGTCCCAAGCACTGCCATACGAGAGATTTCTCTTCTGAAAGAGATGAACGACCCAAATATCGTCAAACTGTTCAACATCGTTCACGCCGATGGCCACAAACTCTATCTCGTATTCGAATTCCTAGATCTCGATTTGAAGAAGTATATGGAAGCGCTCCCAGTCAGCGATGGAGGAAGAGGCAAGCCCTTACAAGGGACAAGTATGGATATGGGCCGCTTAGGCTTAGGTGAAGCCATGGTTAAAAAGTTCATGAGCCAGCTTGTTGAGGGTGTGCGGTACTGTCATAGTCATAGAATCTTGCACAGGGATCTCAAGCCGCAGAACCTGCTCATTGATCGAGATGGCAATCTCAAACTTGCCGACTTCGGGTTGGCAAGGGCGTTTGGAGTTCCTCTGCGAACGTATACCCATGAAGTTAGACGCTCGCGATATGAATCTCATTCCTCACTGACCATTGTCACAGGTTGTCACATTATGGTATAGATCGCCAGAGATCCTGCTGGGTGGTCGACAATACTCTACGGGTGTTGATATGTGGTCAATCGGTTGCATCTTTGCAGAGATGTGCACCAGGAAGCCTCTGTTTCCCGGGGATTCTGAAATTGATGAGATTTTTAAAATCTTCAGGTGTGTCATCGTCGGCTATTGCTGCCTCTTCCTAGGCTAATGTTCTGTAGGATCTTGGGAACTCCTGATGAAAACGCTTGGCCTGGTGTCACATCTTTTCCGGACTATAAAACAAGTTTTCCAAAATGGACCCGTGATATGACAAAAGCGCTCGTGGCAGGTCTAGATGATAATGGCCTCGATCTGCTTGACGCCATGCTGGTCTATGATCCGGCGGGAAGGATCTCGGCCAAACAAGCGTGCATGCACCCATATTTTGAGCTTGGTAGCGCTGCATATTCGGGGAGGCAGAAGGTCAATGGCTACCACTGAGATGACGAAGGCCGGCTTTATCTGAATTGCTATCTATAACGGCGTTGGTGAACTAGAGCTTGGTGTGTTTGCAAACAGCAGGAAAACAATGAGCGACATTCCTAAACAATTGGGCATATACAGGATGCATGGTTACGTGTGTTTGTGATGATGTATCTTTGGATGCTGGCGTTGGCTAGTGCTGCGAGCTTGCCTGGATAGTAGTTTGGTGGGTCAAAGGAAAGAATGTGGGAAAAGTCCGAGCACCGGTCTGACTCAGAAGCTTGCTTGTTGCTCTTCCATTTCAGTAATACCTACAATTTCGAGAGGTTGTGATCCATAATCAGATCACCAGACGATTCGCTCCCGAGCAATTAGATCTGTATGTGGGCTTTTAAGGCGCCCCGCCTCTTCCCGCGCTAGCCAGCCTTACCCAAAAATGGTTGCCACCTCGGACGATATGATCGTCTCTCGTGCACAGCACCAGAGGCGTTGAAGGTCGAGGTCAGCCAACATCGATGGCTCCGTTGATATGTAATAATCTCGCGGGAGCCAGCTCAGCCAAAATCCATGTCGTACCACAACCCTTGGAGCCTGAAGTCGCGCTTCAGCAACTTTGGTCTGACCACCTTGACGGATGACCTGCATATGGCCCCCAAGAAACATGACTCCTAAGGCTGAACTAAGCAGTCTTGTGCAGTCTACAAGCGGCACCAACCCCCTGAGACAGGGCAGTGCCGGCGCTACAGGCACCAGTGCAGGTGCGGAGCTGCTTCGTGTGCTACCGAAGTGACTGGTTGTAAGTACCAACATTTAAAATGCTGCCCTCCCTCTTTCCTCAGGAGACCCATCCTTCCTCCTGCACTGCGTTTGCGAGTCTGCAGAACGGGCCCATAGCCCTAATGCTTCTTTTCGCTTTATTCTGTATTAGTATTTAAGATTGTTGGTTTTGAGTCTGCTTTTTGGTCTTGCTCCAGAATGAGCGGCAGCGAAAGTGGCAGTGGCAGTGGTAGACAGACTGGCTATCGAAAATATGAGAATGCTGAAGCCCCCTTCCAAGACACCTCAAACTCCACTTCGATAGTGAAAGAATCTCCACAAGCCACCATTGACAAATTCTGGACAAAATTCAGCACAAAATACCCTGGTACGGTACATAGTGTGCTCCCGTCCGACATTTTCGCCAAGAAAAAAGCAACCAAGACCCGAAAAGGCTCAGTCCAGGGCAAGGGCGCTGTCAAGTCGTACGATGACGCGGCAAACGAATGCAAGCGCGCTGTGGAGAGGATTGCTAGAGAATGTCGGCGCGTCAACAAGAAGTATAGAGATCAGCACTTCGATATTGAGTACGACCTAAAGGCATGGCCTTACACACGGAATTGCCTCGACGGGCTTGGTTATATTGCAGAAAGACGGTACCCTAAAGCGGTCAAACGCGTCCCGGTAAGTAATTGAAAAGGGCAGCTCATGAGGGTTGGTAAATCGGAACACATCACACTATATCTCTGGTGCGGGATAAAAGGGCTACTATTTCTTCCATAATTGCCTTACGAGGCTCGCTTTAGGTTTAACCTCCATATAGCTGCCCTATGAGCAAAGGTTTTGGAGTTTGGTGTGGCTGTGTTCCGATTCTTCGACCCACTTTATGGCGAGTGAGTGAATTGCGCTGACGTGGATAGGACATCTTTGAAAAGCCGGAATTCTTCATCGAGGGTGCTACTGCGAGCGATGTGAGACAAGGCAACACAGGCGATTGCTGGTTCTTGTCAGCCCTGACTGCCATAAGCAACAAGACAACCTTAATTGACAGAGTCTGTGTTGCTCGAGATGAAGTGGTGGGTGTCTACGGATTTGTATTCCACAGAGATGGCGAATGGTGCCATACAGTGGTCGACGACAAGCTCTATCTGACCGCTCCGGACTGGTGGGAAAGCCATTCCAATGAGAAGCAATACTTCGAGGATGTTCATCGTTTCCAAGCTCATGAAGCCGAGAACAGCTATCGAAAATCATTTCAACGGGGCTCAAAAAGCCTTTTTTTCGCGCAGTGCAGAGAGGAGAATGAAACTTGGCTCCCCTTGATGGAGAAAGCCTACGCGAAGGCACACGGGGACTACAGCGCTATTGAGGGGGGCTTTGCAGGAGAAGCTGTAGAAGATTTGACCGGCGGTGTGACCACAGAGATTTTTACGCCTGACATTCTCGACAAAGAATACTTCTGGAATAATGAGATTAGCAAAGTCAACGACGAATTCCTCTTCAGCTGCTTCACTGGCACGTTTGATAAATGGCTTGGGAGCGACTCCGGGGATAAAGATGGCGCCAGGTTGGGTATCGTTCGACAGCATGCTTACTCAATAATGGAAGCTGTGGAGATAAAAGGTCAAAGATTACTAAAGATTCGCAATCCATGGGGTACTGACGAGTGGCGCGGGGCCTGGTCAGACGGGTCGGAGCAATGGAATTCTGAATGGTTGGAGCTGCTTGATCACAAATTTGGTGATGATGGCATGTTTTGGATCTCCTTTGCGGACTTGATTGAGAAATACAGTGTGTTTGAACGCACGAGACTCTTTGATCAAAGTTGGTCCATTGCACAACAATGGACTTCTGTTGACGTGCCGTGGTCTGCCGACTATAATGATACCAAATTCATGATCACTTTGACGAAGACGAGCCCCATTGTCATTGTCTTGTCGCAACTTGACAATCGCTACTGGAGAGGCTTGGAAGGTCAATACGACTTCAAGCTTCATTATCGCTTGGACAAAGACGGCGAAGAGGACTACATTGTCCGCAGCTACAGCAATTATTTCATGGGCCGTTCTGTGAGCACCGACCTGGTTTTAGAACCTGGAACGTACTCAGTACTCATGAAGATCACTGCAAAACGCAATTCTGCACTCACGACTCCAGCGAGTATTGTGAGGGACAATTGCAAGATTCGACCCAACAAATTGATACAGATTGGCCTCTCGTACGACTTGGCTTTTGCTAAAGGAGACATAAAGGAGACCGAAGAAGAAAAACAGAACCGTGCAGCGCTAGACGTCAAGAAACAAGAGGCGCGTAGGATCAAGCAGCGCGCGGAAGTGAGTGCTAAGCAAAGGAAAGATTGGGAAACCGAGAAAAGAGAAAGGGCGAGGAAGAAGCGCCGAGACCAGAAACGGAAAGATTATCGCCTCGAGAAGGAGGGGAAAGCAAAGCTTAAAGATTCAGGAGAGGATCCAGGAAAAGTGAAATCTGAGAAGGAGATTGAGGGGAATGATAAAAATGGCAATGAAATGGTAGTCGTCGAGCGACCAAAAGAGGGAAAAGAAGAGAGTGGTAAAGCAGACAAAGAAGCCGTAAAGCAACAGTCGCCAGAGACAACACCACCCGAAGGCACATCTCAGGTCAATGACAGGGATTCGAATGACGACACGGAAGCCGCGCAAGGGCAGTCCAAAACAAACCAGACTGTCGACACTGACGCGCCCCAAGAGCAAGCTAAGGAAGACCAACCGGATGTGGCAGAAGCAGATGACAAGGACGACTACCTCTACGATAGTGACGCTTCATTTGAGAGCAGCATCGACAGTGTCCTCGACCTCGATGAGGATGTACCTGCCACGGACCAAAGTGCAGCTGGCACGGCCGATGCTACGAATGACGAAGATCCTGAGATCGAGAACGATCCTTGGAATGCTTGCTGCATAGTGGGCCTGCGTGTCTACAACAAGGATAGTGGATGTTCCATCAAAGTCGTACGGCCTAGGTCAGGAGAAGATAAAGCGGGCTTGGAGGTCGATGATGTTAGCAAGAGCGTCAGTGAGGAGAAGCAGACAAGTGCCGGTGGGGATGGAAGCGTGAAGACGGAAGTGAAGTTGGGTGTTGAATGATGTCGTCGAGCTATTAAAACTCGGCTACTCTATCCTGTCATCAGTCCTCATGGGCCCCTTCTGCTCATTGTGACATCAAAACAAGCCGATCAATAGAATACGAGGCACAAATTAGCGTGGTTAAACCGGAAGTGATACGATGCACCTTCTGGCTCCATCACACCTGCCAGTATTCTTGACGCAACAATTCAGAGCGCTGCTGATGGAAGTCACTCAATCACGTTAGACTCGAAATCTCGCTGCTCATGTAAAATGGCGGCCGAATCTAAGTCTACAGAAGGTTGGTCCTTCCAGGTTGAAAAGCAAGCGGATGACGCGAGAGTCATCAATCTTGTTCCCTCTTGCCATCTTTGGCGTTGCTATAGACTCCTTTCTACTTTAGCCCCAAATGAGCGCCTCCCCTGCCTCTGTATTCAGAGTCTGCTCTTTGTTTCTCCTGTTGTTTGCGTATAAATCTTGAAAACCTTACCATGCTTGCCCGCTTTGGGATTGCTTTCACTTTATGCTTGTCTAAATCTACACAATTTTAAGATGGCTACGACCCTTTTCGACAAGATCGGTGTCGACATTGGCCCTGTCGGTATCGCTAACGCCGTTTCTCTCTTCGAGATTCGACTCGACCAAAGATTCGTAGTCCTGAGAGGTCGTCGAGATGAGGCCGCTAGTGCCTCATTAAGTGGCATAGTCTTCCTTTCCCTGTCACAAAGTCTTCCCATGCGGGAGATTTACATCCGTTATACAATTCAGAGGAAAATAGGGTAGGCTACAAAAGATTCACATGGCCATGAATTTGGCTAAAGAGAAACAGTTGGATCTCATCACGCGCCGCTAATGTTCATTATCGCTCTCCTGAAATTCTCTTTCGAAACGTCATTTCCTTGAAGGGCCAAGAAAAATTGCAGGCTGGCGATCATGAGCTTCCTTTCCGCTGGGAGGTGCCTGGCAATACGGCAGAGAGCCTTGAGGGTTTGCGCTCAACTTGGGTCATACATCACTTGAAGGCTACACTCAAAAGGCAGTCAACACAATCCAAAAAGGAGACGAATACATACGTTCGAGTTATAAGAATACCAAACGAGACGGATGACAGGCTTCATGTTCCTTCAGTATGCCCCTGTTATCCCTCTTGCGCCCTTAGACTGACACAATACTATTAGTTCATAAGCAAGACTTGGCCTGAAAAATTGGAAGCGGAGATCCAAATCTCTCCAAGGGCTGTACTTTTTGGTTCAACAGTCAAAGTCGACTTTTTGTTAACGACCAATCTGGCAGAATTGAAGATTCCAGCTGTAGCAATTACCCTTGTTCAAATCAACAAGTGTAGATCTGAACATCGAGTCAAAATCGTCAAAGAAACGCGCCCCCTAGACGACGTGGTGGCAGAATCGGACGGTTACGAATGCGAGATCTATACCTTCTCAGTGCCACTATCTTTGCCGCGAAGTTTGCAAACCTGTCTCCAAGACTATGAGCATCCCGACCTTAGAGTCAGACATAAGCTAGAAATCAAGATCCATCTCGAGCATCCGCACGTCCCAGTCTCTACTCTTGAGGCTGGCATGCCCATTTTCATCTTCATATCTCCCGATTTACCATTCAACCAAGACAACGCAGTGACCGCTACCTCGGCCGAAATCGCTCTTGTAGCCAGAAGCACGGGAGGCACGTTCCTCCCTCCATACGAAAACCATACTTGGGACGAGATCTATGAAGGTATTGACGCAGAACGCTACTTGGCGCCCCGAGAGGGAGCCAACGCGCCTGCCAGGAGACCGGACCTCGCAATGACAACCTTGCAAGCAGGGAGTGGAAGCTCGGACGTACTTCCATCTAGGCTCGGTGACTCACATGACCGCGGAGAAATCGACCATACAGCTGCGTCAAGCAGCCAAATAGAAGACAGTGCGAGGAACGAGCAAGGTACGCCTGGCGTGATCCAGCCTGATACATCGACACAAGGGCAAGAGCCCAAGCAGCAGCATGGCCATTACGACATAGAAAATATGTCCAAAGTTCCAGGTTACGAGACTGCTGCGCAATCTGCATCCAATCTCTCCTCTAAACGGGGGCCTCCGTCGTATGATGCGGCAACGCAATCAACGACTTCTGGCAATGACGACGGGCAGCAGACCTCTCCCAGAGAATGATCGAAATTTAGCAAGCCGCATTAGCATTTAATCATTTCACATGCCTCGATTGCTGATGGAGTATCGCTTGCAAAGACATGAAACGCTCGAACATGATTGAATTCCGGGCAAATTGTACTGGTTGCAGGGTTAGATGCGGTAGCCTTCTTGATTTCTCTTTTCAAAAAGGGGTGAGGGAGGGCGGTACCACGATTCTTCATGGCAGCATACTCATACAATGGTGACTTCTGTCAGTAGTGTAAATAGTTTCAATGAGAGTATAACGTTCAGTCTACAGGTAACAAATTCTATCTGCCCCTCGTGCTGTGGGGCGAGGGGGACATTTATTAATTGGTTTCTGTGCTCCTTGGCAAAAAGCCTTGCAAATGCTCATTGACGTCATGGCGACCTTCTTCTGAGCTTCAAGATCCTCAATTATTAGCAACCCCATGCCCCCCATTAAGTTCCCTGTAACGTCCTAGATCATAACCTTCTCCCTCCTATATTACTCTTCCCGTTGTGCAATCAGCACTTTTGACAGACGGTCTTAAAAGACACTGCTACCATCATCAGACCATGACGACTGCTCGCAGTCCTACACAATCGCTCCCTTATCGAACCACTGGCGGCTCCGTATCTGACGATGAAGCCGTCCCCGAGACCGATCCCAGTGACACCACATCTCTGCTTCTTGAGCGTCTCCGAGCGTACAAACACGCTTGCGGCTATTTAGAAGCCTACATTACAGCACATGAGAAAGCCGAACATGCCCACGCGAAGGAGATAGAGAAAGTCTTGAAAAGCGTGTCTGATCCACTTAAGGAAGGGCATCATTTCGACCAGAAGCTTGGTGGAGTAGCTGGATTGTTCGAAAATATTCGAAGCAATACCCAAGGTATATCGAATGCACATTTGGAGACAGCGAAGAATCTAAAGGGTTCTGTGCTACCAATCTTGGAGAGGCTTCATGTTGAAATCAAGAACAAGACGAAAGAGTTGAACAAGGGAGCTGCAAAAGGAAGCAAAGAAGTGGACAAGACCAGAAATACCACTCAGAAACATATCGAGCTCCTGGGCCAACATACTGCCGCCTTCTCATCATCCGGCGGAAAGATAGAGGCGGCTAACGATCCCTACATTCTTAAGCGTGGTGTCAGACACCGATTGCACCAGCAAGTGTTGAATGAGAACAACAACAGGCATGACTTGATTGCGGTACAAGATAGTTTCGGTGCATTTGAAGCACATATCATCGCGACATTCCAGCAAGCACTTAACTCCTTCCTGCAATATGCCGGCGGAGATCTGGAGAGGCAGAAGGCCATGTATTCGGACATCATATCCACAGCTCAGAGAATTCCCCCAGACTTCGAGTGGCAAGGCTTCATCAACCGTAACAACAATGTCCTCATTGATCCCTCGGGTGAGTCACATCCTGTATGTGGAATTGAGACGACTGATGTCATATTTAGCACCTCCACGTGATATATCGAGCATCTCATTTCCAAATCAAGACCATCAGTCAACTCAACCTCTTATTGCTGGTACTTTGGAACGTAAATCTCGTGTTGCTCTCAAAGGATATGATACTGGCTACTACGTATTGTCACCATCGAAATTCTTCCACCAGTTTGCCTCGGACGATGATCTCCGCAAAGATCCTACACCCGAGTTGTCTCTTTATCTCCCAGACTGCACCCTTGGAGGCCTCAATGACAACAAGTTCAGTGTCAAAGGTAAGGATGTTTCGAAAGGGAAAGTCGGCTCAGCAATGTCGATGGCTCATGAGCTCTCGTTCAAAGCCCACAGCGCCGCCGATGCCAAAAAATGGTATTCTGTGATCGAAGCATCAGCTTCTGGTAGTTACACGCCAAGCTCGTCGACGCTTTCCAGCCCTGTGGAAAGTCGGAACGTTAGCGCGCAGCAGCAGCCACCGCCACTGAAGACAAATCAGCAGCAGACTGGGTACCAGGCATCTCCGATCACTCCTGGGGCTGGCGTGCAGCCTGGTAGTGCAGGACCCGGGAAGTTGACAAATCTGCAAACCTCTGGGACGACCACACCTGGCAGTGTTCCGAATTCTGGTGTGGAAAGGGCACCTGGTCAATATTGAAGGTATTTCACTGTCCAGGAAGCGTTTCACGCAAGACCAAGGCCAAAAGCCTGATGGGGAACTCGCGTAAAGGCTAATGTGAGTCCCTTTGCTCATCGTTCTATTTTTGACAAGTCTACGAAATCTCAAACTGCTTTCCAGCGAGTCATGATTTACGACGTAGATATTTAATGTTGCTAGTGTCAAGAGTCGCTTCAGTGCAATCGCCCTGTCCGCATGCAAATTCACGTCTCAAACCAAGCTTATTTTCAGAAATCGCAAGGCTTGGGTCATTCTTGCGACTTTCAATCACTTTTCCGGTCGATAATCCAAAATCCCAAGAGTGCGCATGTCATCTCTTCTCATCGCGTTTATAGATCGGGTTACTCCTTCGAATTTCATCTTCCTGCTACGTCATCTCGTTCATTGCAGACCTCTATTAGAACTATCTCTCATCATAGAAGTCTAGGAGACGGACGCGGAAAAGACGTGTGTTTGTTCTGGAGTTTTTTACCAATTGTTGAAATTAAAATTTTGAGTACTTGCAGTCACGACCGACCATCTCAACCAAGCTTTTAAGCTAGCTAGCAGAAAAGAGTTCAGGCATTTCTCACCCTTCAATACAGATTTTGCTGCCTTCCTGATATTCCCAATTTTCATATCTGCGACAGACTTGTCCTTTTCGTGATTAACATCTTGCAGTTGGCGATACCTATATCCAGGCTCTGTGTCCAGTGAAAGAGAGTGAAGACCGCTATTCGTCATGGTTCTTGAAGTTCAGGGGCATTCTTTGCATTTCCACTTCAATCATCAGATACACATTCACGCCCTGCATTCTTCTGCAAGATAGCTTTATGTGTACATGATAAAGTCTTTCGTCTTCGCAGTCAACACCACTTCAATCCTCTCTCATCTCAAAGTGAAGAAAAGTAAGAAGAAAAGAGGTACCGTCCTGTCATGATTCATTAATCTTTCTGGTATACTCTAGCGACGTAGCAGCCGCCTATGATAGAAGCCGCTCTCTACCAAAGCTACGAGGGCGACAAACACTGCAAGCAGGTCGACAATGATACTGAACATGTCGTGTGACGACCATTGTGTTGTGGACGGGCTTGGTGCATGACATGGGAACATGGCGTGGGTCGGACAGGCTTAGTCATGATAAGCTTGCGTCAGTGATGTGAGAAGATGGGGCAGGCACCTGAGCTGGTGGGAAGCATTTCTGAATTTTTGGTAGTATGAGAACGGAACGCAACGAAGGTGTGATTTCGGAGATCGTAATGCGGTGTCAAGAAGTTTTAGGCTTAAATGAGGTAATTTGGACTTTGGTTGAAGAGATGATAGTGGAAATCGTGAGGGGTGTTACAGGCATGTGCAAGCATGGGGAAGTTTCTGCCTTTTGTAAGTAACGGAAAGTCCATCTTCGACATCTCAGAGGCCGCATGATTAGATCCGCAAAGAGACCCGGCAGCGATCAGCTACTTTTCGCTGTAGTGCCACCACTCCTTAGTTTGATAATCTGGCCAGTCAGATCAAAGCGGGCGTCGAAACTAGCTTTATACAGCCACAACTGACTGACGTTTACGACTAATGCACAAGAGAAGCTCCAAAGGCTAACACTGTTGGCTACCCTTCAATGCCGGGCCTGCCAGGGTACACTTTATCCTGGTCTAGCTCTGCCTGTGTGCTTATTAGGGACTAGGGAGGGGGCAAGTCTTAAGGCGGGGGCCGCCCTACGAGCCTTACGCCGGCTAAACTAGTCTTACTTTCGAATGTCTCCTTAGTCGCATGCTAGGGTTACTGGTTTGCTATTATGGTGTAAGTCAGACCGTCACCCTTTCTCGACCACTCCCTCGTGTCTGTCGCAGTTCAGGCTCGGACAGTCCCGCGCCTTCGCTCCCCTCGCCTCCTCATCATGGTGGTCACTACATCCTAGGCTGAAGCCACACCAAGATTTATGCGGTAAGACATGGAGATTGTAGAGCTGAACGAGAAGCCCGCAAGCTTGAAGGCTGTACATTGCAAGTCATGGGTATAGCTTTTAGGGGTCCTATCCGTTAGGTTACCCCTATGTTCAAGTTTCTTGGGATTTTCGGAACTTTTCCGGAGGGCACAAACCACTAAAAGCTCAAAGATAAATCACCTTATAACTTGATAAATAAAGCTTCAAAATTACCAAACGCGATCTCAAAAGAAAGCTGACTACAAGCGCTTTCAAACGAAGCTTTACTTGTTCAATTTGAAGCTTTTTTAGTTAAGATATTTGACTGATCATATTCCCTTCGTTCAAAAAGACTGCGAAGGAAATAACATAGTCATTTTCTATCCAAGAATCAACAACAAGACATCAAATAAAAGCTGGTTTTAAGCGCTTTTCAATGATCCAAAAATCATCCGGTTTGAAGCATTGACTGTAAAGTTATCAGTAGATTTGTCTTTTACATACAAATTTTTGACGCGTTCCACGCGCCAGCATTAATAATAGATCCCTCTATAACTTTATCAATAATGATACAAAATTGACAATTAAAGAACCTGATAGAAGCTAAAGTAAGGCGCTTTCAGATGATATTTAAATTATAAGTTTTGAAGCTTTTTTGATAAAGTTATTATGAGTTGAAAAAAAAGAGATGGCGCGGAAAACGCGAAAAAAAAAGTTCCGAAAATCCCAAGAAACTTGAACATAGGGGTACCCGTTATCACATCCTTTTCAGACATTTCACCTTCATTAATGGGGAAAGAGACCCTGAATTGATTTCATTTCCATTTGTTTCTTGTGCTGTGAAGGAATTAGAGCTGGCACTGTGTAAATCATTACTTCTTTACCCTGTGTTTTCCTTCGCTGCCACCTAACATATCTACCTACACCGATTCTTCAAGAGTGATGCTTACCCTCGCCTCTTGAGATCATCCGCGGCTCCACGCGGCTCCAGCCTTATTCTCATATATCTTCCTTCCTGTTCTATTCCGATCAAAGAAGCGATCTCAAGCATCATTGCCCTATCGTCGGAGCGGCAGCTGCCTATGCGATTGCAAGGATGTTGAGTATCGTATCGACAACGTCCGGCGACGACCAGTCGTTCGGACTACTGACACTGTCTACTACGTTACCAAATTCTGGCACCTTTATTAGTAGGTCCCAGGCTTTGCGGAGGTGATGGTGTTACTTGAAGTCTGATTCCACATGGTGTTTCTTTGATCTGAAAGCCTAGCTCTGGTAGGGAAGAGAGACCGGCTATAGCGAAACAATCGTGGAAGAATGGGTTGGGGAGGAAAGTGGTGGACAAGGTGAGGCTGGCCTAGTGAGAATCTTCGGGCTCGATTGGAAGGAAAAGTACTTCTGGTTCACAGACAGCCTTTGCATTCGAAGAAAGTGATTGTCGGTACCCATGATGTCCTTTTGTACTGAGAAAGAAAGGGCCCAGAGCTACCGAGGAATGAAGCACTGTCGTGCAGGCTGAGGTCTGAATGGAATTTCTTGATGGAAGATGCACCTGTTGAAACACATGCGCGTACAGAGGCCTGGGGCCGATGCTGCAAAATCTCCTCTCGGCAGACGAGGTCGCAAATTCAGTGTTTTGCAGAAAGGAGTGCTGGACACAAGACATGGAATTACGTCTTGTTTGGTTGCTTTATTCTCCGAATGCCTGAGACCCTATAACGTGTGCGCGTAATAAGACTTCTCTCAGAACGCGTACAGGGCAGAAGGTTCGGGACTAAGCCTGAGGTATTGCATTTTCTTGCGCTTGTATCAGGCAGCTATTCATATCTAGAAAGTGGAGGAGCTTAGGTGAGCGCTCAGACCAATCTTCAGCCTCGTCTCACCGGATAAGCTACGCAGGTGGTTGGTACAAGCACAAAGTTCGCTACAGAATGTTATTACGCACCTTGCAGGCGAAATCCTCACTGGAACAATCCGGTCATTGGCAGGTGGCGGTCAATGGCAGCTATCCCTGAAGGATGAGTTGTGTGGCCAGAAAGTCTGTGCGGTGTTTAAAAACGACTGTGGACTGATGGCGGGTCTCCGGCTGTATTCCTGACTCTAGCACACAGCGTCGTTGGAGGAGGCCAAGACATAAATCGACATTGCCTCCCATTTGTTCAGAGAAGCAAGATTATCAAGTACAGACATGTCTGCTAAATTTGAATGCTGGGCATTGTTATCTTCTTCATGACAGCGCGACCTGACTTGAGTTTACAACATCAGATGGCCGCGTCCATGCTCTTATATGGCCATCTGCACAAGCTGTGATAATGAACTCCTCTTCAAAGCCCAGCCAGCTCATGCGATCTTCGTCTACGACTTTCGACTATAATTCATTAGTACCTTCCAGCTTCTCAGCAGCCTTCATCATATTCACTTACCATCACAGGTGGCAGCTCAGCAGTAACAGTCCGACTCTCAACTTCATGCTCAATACAGCCTCCCTCCCCATCTAGGCCCTCCCCGTCGACTAGCAGCGAAGAATCACTACGAAGCCGACTCGTCGCCTGACTAGCCCGTCCAGGAGCAGGGTAACTCGATACACTCCCGCGATTGGCCGCATTCCGTTGCGCACCACTCTTGCCCCCCTTTGGCCTCCTCAGCATGCCTACATTGAAATCCCACAATAAAAGCCGCCTATCCTCCCCCACGCTGCCGAACCGGTAATTTCGCCCGTCGCAACTTCGCCAGGGATCGAAAGCTACAGCTGTAACCCAGCTACGGTGGCCTTGACATCTGGCGACAATCCGGCGCTCGTGCAGGGACCAGAGCGTTACAAGATCGTCTTGCCCACCCGTGAGGACGTACTTGCCGTCTGGTGACCAGCAGACGCAGGTAAAGGCGCCATAATAAGAAGGGTAAAGATCCGTTAGTGTTTCTTTGAGGTAATTGATTATTCGTAATGAGCCATCTTCCGAGACGACAGCGAGATAAGGGCAGCTGGAAGGGTTGGGAGAGAAAGCGAAGGCTGTAATGCGGTAGTGAAATAGCCGCCATGAGGCTACTGGGTTTGACTTTTGATTTTTGGATGTTATGGATTTGTTGATGTGAAGGGGTGGATTGGAATTCAAATCGCCATTGGCGGAAGTATGAAGCACGCCATTTTCAGGAGTGGAGAGACCGTTCGGTGTTTCTGGCGTGAATGCTGCGTCTTCGCGTTCTTTATCGTAAACGATGAGTGTACCGTCCATGTGAGAAGCAAGAAAAAGATTTTCGGAGCCTGGTAACCATCGAATTTCAGTTATCGGTGAGCTGCTAATTATGTTGCCTTTGTTGATCCGGACGTATTTCTGGGAGTATGCCTCAAACCAGACAATATCGCCAGTGTTGGCTCCCATGACTACATCTATATGGTTGGTAGTCTTAGTGAAATGGTTAATGTCATGGCAAAGAATGTTGGCTTTCGCGAAGAGGATTTTCATTAATGGTTGTGCGCGGGCTGGAGTGGGTGAAGATAAATCGAGCCATTGGTAAGCGCGATCGATATTTGCGAACAGAAAGAGGCCTTCCGGACTGTGTTCCTGTAGTCGCTTTTGTAATTGGTCGTGGGGTATGACTCTGGATATGAATTGCGAGTTGCTCTTCACGAGATTTGTTTTTGGCTTCTTACGTTTTAGACCCTCCTTGCCAAGGGCAGGTGTGAGGAGCTGGTTCCCTTCCTCTACGTATACGGAGGCACGATTGTTAGTCGCCTTGTGTGGGGGCTTTCCATCACTGTTACTTTCATTTGAGCTTCTTGACTCTTTCTCATGTTCTTTCAGGCTGTAGGTCCCCAGCGTTGACACCGTACTTCCCGCCGTGCCGGCCCTGTAGAAAGGCGGCGGCGTTCGTCTGGGGTTGATTACACACACTGAGATCTTGACACCAGCGCGCGGTGGGCCTGGTGTTGTGGCCAGTGGATTTGAGCTTGTGGCTGGCGCTTCTTGAGGATGAGGTGGGGGAGTAGCAAGGTGCAGGCTATCCTGCAGCGTGTAGACGCCTTCCACGGCTTAGCAACTTTCAACGTCCAAAAAGTCAATTATCCTTCCTCACCCTCGCCGACAGACAATTGATACTCAGGGCCATCGGGATGGGAGAGCGAATTGGTCATCTCAATGCTAGGCGTCGCCATATTTTGGTGGCTTGTGTTGTTCGAATTCGTCGAGGAGGCATTGGTGGTACTCGCGGGCGAGGAAATTGGGTACCGTGTTGGCGGTGGAAGAACACTGTTAGGGTTAAGCATCGTGGCTTGCTCTACGGGAATGGTGAGCCAAGCCTACAACATGTTTGATGGGGCTGCCCCTCGTGCTCAACGTGCAGGATGCGGGTTGCGGGCCGCTCGATCGCTTCCGATGCAAGATGACTTGGCTGCAGATTAGATGGTGGCCGACAATTCTCGCTCGTTGATCAATAAATGCGTGAGAGAAGAAGCATGTCGGCGATCGAGTAGTAGTGAACGGCCTTGATTTTCAGGCACCTATTTGTTTGCTGACGTAACAGGCGCCGCAAAGTACGTCAATTCTGACTTCTGACTTCTGACTGAGGACGGGCAGGGATAAGATTTTGACATCCCGGCGCGCACGTGGCGAGCTACGGGTGGCTTGAAGCCTAAAATCAATTTCGGTTGGTCCCTTTCCCTTTTTGTACAGCCATATCAATTAACGATCCCGTGTACTATCTCATTCTTTTAGCGCAAACTCCTGTTCCTTTCTTCATTGCAAAGGCAGTGGGCTAGATATGCATCACGGTCATGTCTATCGGTGAGTGACAGCGGCACTTTTCTGCGGTGCAACGTCGGCAAGCTCAGGAGCTGACGCAAAGGTAGTGCGCATTTGTCTCTGCGGTGACGAAGGCACTGGCAAGTCTAGTCTGATCACCAGCCTTGTCAAAGATACATTCGTCGCACACAAGATACAACCAACCCTCCCTCCTATCACAGTTCCTCCCAGCATCTCAACACCAGAAGATGTCTCAACCACAATTATAGATACCTCTGCTCTACCGCAAGAGCGCAACAACCTCAATAAGGAAATCCGGAAATCAAGTGTCATTTTCCTGGTATATGCAGATCACTATAGCTATGAGCGGATTGCCTTGTTCTGGCTTCCGCACTTTCGATCTCTCGGCGTCAATGTCCCAGTTGTCCTCTGTGCCAATAAGTCCGACCTGTCCACAAACGTCAGCACAGAGCAGGTGATTGAAGATGAAATGCTCCCAGTCATGTCAGAGTTTAAAGAGATTGATTCATGCATACGTACGAGCGCGAGGGAACATCATAACATCAATGAAGCCTTCTTCCTCTGCCAGAAGGCGGTGACGGATCCAATAGCCCCACTTTACGATGCGAAAGAATCAAGTCTGAAACCTGCTTGTATCTCTGCTCTCAAGAGAATCTTCCATCTTTGCGATCACGATCAGGATGGCTACCTTTCCGACGATGAAATCCAGCAATTCCAGAACAAGTGCTTCGGCAAGCCTCTTTCACCTTCCGATCTTGAGAATATCAAGAATACTGTCTCTGATGCTACGCAAAGCACTGCGAGCCAGAAAGGTATCACTAGCGAGGCATTCGTCGCATTGAACAAGATATTTGCTCAGAAGGGCCGGCACGAGACCATCTGGCTTATCCTACGCACGTTCCACTACAGCAACAGCCTATCTCTCGAACCTCGCTACTTTTCACCTAAATTTGATGTACCACCAAATGCTTCTGTTGAACTGTCTCCTGCTGGTTACCGCTTCTTTGTTGATTTGTTTCTGCTTCATGACAAAGACAACGACGGCGGACTGTCTCCTTCGGAACTAGACTCACTTCTCTTTCCCACACCCGGCTTGCCCACTTCATGGTCTGACGACAGTGCTTCATTTCCATCCTCAACCGTGCGGAATGAGGCTCATTATATCACACTCCAGGGATGGCTGGCACAATGGAGCATGACAACGTTCTTTTCACCTAAGACTACCCTAAACTATCTTGCGTTCTTAGGGTTTGATCCCCCAAACCAGAACACCAAATCTGCTCTCACGATCACCAAACCTCGAAAACGGACTGTACGCTCTCGGAAGCGACCACCAAAGACGGAACGAAGCGTTCTGTTTGCTTACTTGGTTGGTTCTCCAGGGGCAGGCAAGTCGTCACTTCTCGATGCCTTCCTATCCCGGCCATTCTCTCCGACCTACCACCCAAGTATCAAGCAACGTACAGCCGTCAATACAGTCGAGCTTCCAGGTGGGAAGCAGTGCACGCTGATCCTTTCTGAGCTCGGTGAGCTCGAACCAGCCATCCTCGAGAATTCCAACAAACTCTCGACCGCCGACCTCGTGGTCTACGTCTATGATTCTTCCGACCTAGATTCATTCTCCTATATTCCGTCACTGCGATCACAACACCCTCATCTAGAGGATATGCCTAGCTTGTATGTAGCCTTGAAGGCTGATATGGATCGCTGTATGCAGAGCGGTGATGTACAGCCTGATGATTACACTACCTCTTTGGGCTTGGGAAAGCCCTTGCATGTTAGCGTTATGTGGAGCAGCATTGGCGAATTGTTCGTCAACATAGCTGAAGCAGCGCTCTGGCCTGCTAGCGCACTACCTGCCGCAAAAGACGGTGATAGTGATGATGGGGACTGGACGAGCTGGTGGATCGCAGGCGGAGCCATGGCGACTGTTGTTGCCGCTGCCCTTGGTGTCTGGAGGAGACTGGACAGGTAGTCTCCTTCGCATTGAGATTATTGTTTAGCGTGGAGTCTGGGAATAGTCGTCTGCAATGCGCAAAGAATTCTAGATGGACTCGTCCCCAGTTTAACCTCAACATAGATGCTCGTAGCTGTTGTTATCGTGGTATCACGATTTTTGCTTAATAAAAATCATATGACAGCTTTGCTGGATACTCTCCCGCTAAAAACTCAGCCATTCCCTCGGCTTTTAACTCCAAGATCCTCATCTTGCTGGGTCTCCTGCCGGTTTCCTCTTTCTCACTTTCCTCCTCTCCATTCACAAGCGACCTGTCTTGTGACCTCGCATCAGCAACATCACTAGATTGGTCCTCACCACTCTGCACAGATTCGTCATCCCCAGATTCTGTCCCTTTCAAATCCCCATCGACATCGCTATCAAGGAGTGCCGCAACATCCTCAAATTTACTGCTCTCTAGCCTCGCAGCGACCAACAGTTTCCCCACTACACTTCTAACAACAGCTACCCAACCCTCCATTTCTACCGTCAACTCCACAAGCGCCTTACTATCAGAGTCTAGTCTAAGACCGAGAGTCCTCATCTCCCTCATACCTCCACTCTCTATACTTGTCGTACCTGTGGTGGCGATCTGCGCATTGTGATTTCGCCATACTGTTCCCGCGAAGGGTGCGAACTTGATGAGGTCGCGCTTCAAGACTGAAGGGGGGTGAGAGAGCAGGGTGCCATGTGTGGTGAATACGCTTGGATTTTGCAGGTTGAATAAGCTTTGGAAAAGGGATAGTAGAAAGGCCCAGAAAAGGATTAGAGAAAATAGAGGCAAATGGAAAGCGAAAAGGAAGGAGAAAAAGGATGGGCAATGGAGTGACTTACATGAACTGCGAAACGTGCTCGTCTATGTTGTCGACTAGGACGTCTCGAACTGCCCGGGCGTCTACGAGCTTCATGATGTTTTGAAGCGGTCGTCAAGAGTAGTCATATATTCTAGATATTATAGGCTTCAGGACAAAAGCAGCATCAGCCGGAGCTCGTAGTATTAGGTCATATGGGAAGAGACGACATGAATAGGCGGCGAGAAGCCGGGACAATGGCAAATCACTGAAGTATCCGTGCAATATACTGGCAGATTCGAGAGACAAGGAAGTTGACCAGTGAGCTTGCCACAAGGGGCCAAGCTTTTTTTAAGTTTAGCTCTCCCTAGCTTTGAACAGCGCGCTCGCCTCGGCCGTCATGATGATGACGCAGGGACTGGGTATAGAGGTAATTTGAAAGCCCGGATTTGAATGATGCGATGTATTGATATATCCCTGCTATATCGAATTTATCACACACCTATCATAGCTTGCAACCGCAAAGATGGCGACTGATCCGCAAAAGTACATTCTCAACCACACTGCGCTGCGCGTGAAAGATCCCGAGCGCTCGATCAAGTACTATGAGTTTCTCGGCATGAAACAGCTTGCAAAGCTTGAAGACCCTGCTAAACAAGGGTTCGATTGCTATTTCTTGGGGTTTGACTCTCCCCAAAGTCTCTCGTATGGCAAGCAACAAACAGATCGCCAAGGCATCCTTGAGCTTCAGTATTATTATGGAGCAAAGGAGGATGATGATTACAAGATCAACAACGGCAACTCGGACCCCGGTAAAGGCTTTGGCCATGTCTGCATCTCTTGTGATCACCTGCAGGCGGTATGAATTGGTTGTCGTCATTGGCGTAGTAAATCTGGCTGATTGCCTCTCCAGGCATGCCAAAGAATCGAGGACGCTGGGTACAAATTCCAGAAGAAGTTGACTGATGGCAGGATGAAAAGCATAGGTAGATTGATTCTTTTCGGTCTTTTTGTCAGGCTCTAGAATCCAACTCTTTGATCTTTGAAAGACATCTTGCGTATTCCCTCAACTATCAAAGTCAAAATAGCAGGACTTATAGGCTGACCTGTGACATTGGCCAGCCTTTGCTTTAGATCCAGACGGGTATTGGGTGGAATTGATTGGGATCAATGCAGTGGAAAAGACCGAAAATGAGAAGCAAACAGACACCAGCACCTACCGATTCAATCACACCATGGTACGTAGCTTGCGCTTTCCGCTGTCCAACCCCAAATATACAGTGTAATCCTCTTTCAATACAGTCATTACTACTAGCTTTGACCATTCGCACTACCTCTTTGTTGGCAAGCAATGCTGACATAGAAACCAAAATGAAGATCCGCGTAAAGGATCCGGAAACGTCGTTGAAGTTCTATCAAGAGGTCTTCGGCATGAAATTGCACCGAACAATCGAGAACTCGGCGACGAGCTTCAATCTTTACTTCCTCGCTTATGAGGACCGGATCAGTGGATTAGAGAAAGCTCCAGCGGGAGCCAATCCATTAGCCGGCCAGGAAGGAATTCTAGAGCTGACATGGAATTATGGAACCGAGAAGGACGAAGATTTCACTTACCACAGCGGTAACGAAGATCCCAAAGGCTATGGTCACATTGGCATCATGGTCGATAATCTAGGTGCTGCGTGCGAACGGCTGGAGCAAAAGGGGGTTATTTGGCAGAAGCGGTTGAGTGACGGTAATATCAATTTTCTCGCTTTTTGCAAAGACCCAGATGGGTATTGGATCGAGGTAAGCCCCTCTTGAACCGTTGGACTCGTACTTTGACTCACGCTGCAATCAATAGCTTATCCAGAACTTTGCGCTCAAGTCGCCAGGCGATTGAATGCGTGTCACCGTTGGTCGTACATTCGAGACTACTGTCTGAATCATCGTAGGTGCTCGATCAACGAGGAATATGAATATGACGATGGGACGAACATACACAACCTTTGAGATTTCCTTGGCGTGTGACCAAAGCTCACCTCAGTACCTTGTGCCCGTAGAACATTGTCCCACCCGATCGAAACAACCCCCCAAGAGCCTTTTGCCCGAGTCTTTCCATGGTGAATGAATATGTCGGTATCATGCATGAGAGGTTCCAATCACTTCACTTCAGGATGATGTATTTGAGACGGTGAGAGGGTGAGACCGCAGGCCGGGGGGAAATCTTCATTCACCATCTTTAGCGCCAATTATGGACGCTAAGAGTAGCGGGCGCCTTCGACCATAGGGCTTTGAGGGGGGTTTCAAGGTCAAGCATGATACATATCGACCTGCATAGAACGGCCTTGACTGTGGATTGGAGCTCGACTCATTGCCTCTGAGTGCTGCGCGAACGACATGACGTTTGTGTTCACATGCCGACGCCTCGCCTTATCATCCATGCTGCCTTAAAACCACCGCGGCTTCTCCGCCAGCGTTGGCTACACAACCAGACGTTGGGATCATGCAGGTAAGAGCCCCTCGGCTTCCAAATTCTCCTGTGAATGTGAGAGCGGCGCAGGAAAAGCCGGTACAACTCTGTGCGAAACGGACTCGCACAACAAAGACGTCAAAGCTATGTTCAGAATTGCCAAACCTCCTTACATGACCAGATTTCCACATTGAGCTTGTCAAGCTAACGCTTCGATTCGCCCTTGCAGACGTCTTCCAGACCGTACTATGGCCGCCATCAACCAGTCTCCAAGAGAGGCCACGTGCCTCAAATTTCCATCAGTGACGACAACCATCATGTAACCGAAGCCATTGGTGATATGTATGGCGATCATGACTATAGCAAAAGAGAAGCTCGACCCTTGAGTTTTGTATCTACTTCGACTGCCCCGGCAAATACATCTCCGCTTTCGCCTCAGCGGCAGACTTCCAATTCAAACTCCCCTCCTCCACGATCGTCCAGCCAACGGCAAGCTCTAGGAAGGACGGTGTCAGGTGACAGAATACATCCTGCCATTAATGGACAGAACAATATGAACATGGCAAACAAAGCTACTGCAGGAGATGTAGAGGGAAGCTCGGGGCAGCTGTCTCCCCGGCCTTCTCTCCGAAGGCAGCCCTCGACGTCCGAGACAGCCAGCTCCCATTTTCCCTTGAACGACATTGACTATGAATCGAGCCCCAATGCAATAGCGCAGGAGCTGAACAATCTATCCGCATTACGGCGTATGTCCATGGACGTGAACGCCTCCCGCGACCCTGACCTGCCCTCCTTCAATTCGAACTTTGGAATACCTTCTGCGCCGCCGGATAGTACAGATCCAGACGACACTGCGAGGCTTTATTGGGTTCCTGCAAGTGTACACCCTGAGCTGGCACCAATGGAATTCAAGACATTCTTAGACAAAAAGGTCAAATCCTTGAGACGCAGGTCGGAAGAAAAACAAGGAGCGCTCGCTGCGGACGGGGTAGAGCGTGACACATCGAGTGCAAGTTTGAGAAGGAGAAGATCAATGTTGTCAAAACAGATTGACAACACGAATGGCCGAGGTGCAGAAGGCTATCAAGATGGCGCGGAGAGGCTTGAGAAGCGGAGGTCGCAAAGTAGTGGCGAACTTCTTAGTGGTGGAATCACTAATTTGCAAGATCTCGAAAGGCTCGTTAATGAGCCGGAGACAATCATACAAAGACTGAGTCTGGAGGCGGGGTCCGAGAGTGCTAGCGGGGAGGTCTTACCGGGAGACGACATGCCTATCCTACCCCAGATACCACCGAGCAACAATTCTCTAAAACGCTCGACAAGGACGACCTATCGACGCGGGGGTAGTCTTCGAAGAGGAGAGAGAGCACCGTTCTCAAAGCGAGCAGCCCAATTAGCTGGAGGAGGAGAGATTGATGGGGACCAATCCCCATCGTCATCACCTCAGCTCCCGTCAGATGAAGCATTCAATTTGTCACGAGTACAGACAGAACCTGCACCGGGCACTACGCCAGCCGCAGAGAACTTCTCGAGGCCGAATAGGATGAATCGCCGCGCACAAATGCCCTTAAGAGATCACCCAGGTCAGCCATCTGAAGAGCGTCCTGCCCGTCGAGGCTCAGAAAGCCATGATCAACGTCCCTCAGATCTCCAACACTCTAGTCGTCAAAGTCCACAGCCGCGGCATTTCGTTTCCCAAATAGCATCAAATGGCCGAATTGGCGTTCCACTCGGCAAGCAGAGTCCTGTGCCCTCGATTGTAGAAACACCCCCACCTTCCGATGCACAAAACTACCAGCCTCCACAGCGATCATCATCTCACGTACCTCCCCAGTCTATGCCACCGTCTGCTCCGCCTTCTGCTCCACCGAGTACCCATCGACCTCATGATCGGAGCGCCCAATCGCGGACCAACCAAAGCATCAAACCTGGCCAGTCTTTGAATGACATGACGCAGCATCCTTCACCGTTACCGGGGAATAACACGCGAACAGATAGCTTATCATTCATACCAACGTTGACAGAGGATAAAAAAGCCGATGGTAAGAAACTCAAGGATAAGAAAGAGAAGGACTCTGAGGGCGGAAGAAAGTCCAGTTGGAGCTGGGGCGCTCTACTTGGGAACGAGGAGAAAGAGAAAGAAAAGAAGAAGGAAGACGAGACTAAGAAGGCAAAGTCAAGATTGGGCAAGCAATCCGACAAATCCTACGACAACACAAGACTGGATGTTCTGCAAACTACCATGGACAGCAACAGAGGCAGAGAGAGCCTTGTCCTCGATCGAGGTGATCTGAAGCTTGAAGAGGAACGAAAGAAGGAGAGTAGTCGCAAATCTTCGGGTGGTGATGCGAAAAAGGAGAAAGAAACTGGCTTCTTCTCCAGCTTACTGGGCGGAGGCAAGAAGAAAGCTGACCGAGATTCCGCTGGTAAGAAGTATTATTCGAGGAACCTGTCCCCCGAACCCCCAGCAAGGATTCTCACACCTGATATTGACTATAATTGGACTCGGTTCTCAATCCTGGAAGAAAGGGCGATTTACCGGATGGCTCATATCAAGCTCGCAAATCCTCGACGAGCGCTGCACTCGCAGGTTTTGCTGAGTAACTTTATGTATGAAGAAAATGTTGTGAATATGGGATTGAGCTTACGCAAGTCTAGGTACTCATATCTCGCCAAGGTACAGCAAATGCATCCTCAAGCCAACATTCCGCAGTCAGTGGTCCAAAGGCAACAGGCTGCTCAGCAGAAGAAAGATCAGCCTGAGGAATTCTTGCAGTACCAAAAATACCAAGAGGTATATGATGATGTTGTAATATCTGGCAAGAAACAATACTAAAGTAGAACAGCAGCAGCAGCGCAAAGAAGATCAGGAGCAGCAACGAGCACCAGAGCAACAAGCACACGCGTCTCAGGCGAAGAACTCACAGCAGGACAATTTCATGGATATGGACTATGAATATGACGAGCCTGAGCAAGATCACGGACATCGGCCGCAATCTAGAGCCAGCCAGCATTCAGCCCGATCGTTTGATAACAACAATCATGGTAACCACCAAAGGCGCAACCAGCGGCATGGCCAACAGCACGGGCAGCAACATGACTATCAACAGACGTCACCCTATGCCTATCAGCAAAGTCAGTTTGATGAACCTGATCGAAGTGATGACGATATGTGGTGAATAATGACATGCCTCACCAATTTAGCGATTTGTACCAACATTCGCCTTTCACTGAAAGGTCTTTGAACAGTCCCGTAGCCGGACGTCAACAGCGGCAGCGTTCGGTATTCCGGGTATCAATGAAGCTACACACGTGCTTTATCCCCAGGAAACAGTTTTTGCGGGCAACAAGTGCGCAAGAGGATAAGTGCGATGCTTCCAGAGAGAAATCTTCAGGGGATTTTCGAATTGAGCACGCGCGGGGCGCAAAGACCTGGGATTTGAGACTGGACATATACGAATACATCAAGACAGTAGAGAAAGAGCAAGCCGCAGGAGAGAGAATGTTTGCTACCTGGATACAGCAGAGCGATCATTCGTTTGACTGGCGCTCTGGCGAGGGAGCATGTACATTACCACACGCAGCGAACAATATTTCTTCGTTGCTAGCGTTGACCTGACATCTGGATTGAATGAGTATTTGGAACTGCAAGAATACAAGATGTTCCAAAACAGAGTATCTTTCCAGAACAGAAAGCCCTATTCCGGTGATGCCTCATCAAGAGCGCTAGAATGTTCGTCTAATCACGGAACTATTAAATGCCCGAAATGCACCGCCACTTCTCTATGGCGTCATCTCGGAATGTCGTTTGCGCTGACCATCAATATCAATTCCAAATCATACGTCCTCACCTCCTATAACACAAAGCGTATAAACCCTCTTCCATGCGCCCTCCATCTCTCCCAACAATCCTCCGCAGTCTGACACTCACAAACCTAACGCGCCCATTCCTCACAACTCCACCACGCCCCTTCGCCCATCTGAACCCTAGCAAAATACCTAACAGCCTACCCCTCCGGTCTATGCCCACGCTCCCCTTCGGCCTCGGCGCATTCTTCTCCTCCAGCTCAGAAACAATGTCCAACACCGAACCCTTCCCCGTCCAGAAATCCAAGGACGAATGGCAAGCAGTCCTTAACCCCGAACAATTCCGCGTCATCAGAGAGAAAGGCACGGAAGCCCCCGGCACAGGCGAGTACGACAAACACATGCCCAAAGAAGGGGCATATACCTGTCGCGCGTGCGGCGCGCCCCTCTACCGCGCCACGCACAAATTCAAGAGCGGGTGTGGATGGCCTGCGTATTTCGATAGTATTCCGGGCGCTGTGAAGAGGAACGTCGATCGTACTTTTGGGATGGAACGGACGGAGATTGTGTGTGCGAATTGTGGGGGGCATTTGGGGCATGTGTTTAAAGGGGAGGGGTATCCGACGCCGACGAATGAGCGGCACTGTGTTAATTCGGTGAGCTTGAGGTTTGCGCCGGAGGAGAAGGAGGCGGCGCAGTAGAGAGGGTGGGTTTGGGTTTTTATGTGATGAGGTGACGGTGTGGTGAGCGTCTGGGGCGATGAGGGATGAGAGATGAGATGTTGGTGTAATGATAGATGATAAAAGCGACTTTGATCGCATGCAACTCACTTGTCCAATCGCGTTTGAGATTTACGATCGATATCAATGTACATACACCCTTAAGCAATCATGCTTCCTTCCTTCGAGTAAAGAGATCATGTGCGCCTGGGATGCCGCTCCTACGTATACTCATATTTACCTGTAATAATCATTTGGCTCTCCCCCCCAGCTGCTGCATGTCCTGGCTGTAGAGACGGTGGAGCATGGTATGGCTGATAGCCTACCCCAGCCGGTGGTCCGCTATTTAATACAGGGTATGCAGTCTGACCTCCCGAATTAGGCGATGGAGCTTGCGGTGGCCGTTGAGATGGTGGCCCCTGTTCGTAAGGTGGGTACTGCGGTCGTTGTGATGGTTGGTTAGGTGCAGAGCTGGGTGGATATGGCGGCTGCGCTGCGTTGAACTGCTGCTGTACTTGTGGAGGCTGTTGTTGCTGATGTGGTGCCTCATCTGGGGAATAGATTGATGGTGAATAATCGTTTGAAGGTTGTTGCGCTTGTTGCTGTTGAATGTGGGGCGGGTACGCGTTCTGACGGTTGTCAGTTGGACTGGCGTATTGAGACGTGGAAAGTTCTTGTGGGTTTTCGTAAGTTGACTGTGGACGATGTTGTACATAGGGATCGTTTGGTGGATGCTGGGAACTGCCGGAACCCATGCGTTGCCGGGGATCTGAGGGGTGATATTGGTTCGGTTGTTGCTGACTTGGGGCTTGCTGGTTTCCATAGACGAAGGGCTGTGGCCCGGTTTTCGGCGGCTGTTGAGATTGCTGAGGGCGCGAATCATGCGCATCTGGACCTGGAGTATAGAATCGACCTGGACCTGATTGAGGCGGCGCACCTTGGGGAGGATAACCCCCTGGATAGCCATATTGCGGCTGACTTTGGCGACCGTAGGGTTGTTGCGCCGGTTGTGACATCGATGCTTCCAAAAGAGACTCATAGTCTCGCCGCGCCTTGATAAATTTCTCGTTCAGTTGAGTGAAGTCGTCTGGAAGTTCTCAGTTCAGAGCGGTCCATCCTTTACCATTGAACTTACCTTTCTTCTGCGAATACTTCCCAATGAGCTCGATGAGCTTTGGCCGAATAGCGAGCGTTGAATGATAGAGCTCAGTGATCTCCTCGTTGTCTCTCACATTCAACTCTGAGCTACTCGTACTCAACAGTGTGAGGAGCTTTTCTACGTTCTTGATCTCTCCGAACACTTCTGCTTCCATTTGTGCTTCCCGTTGCAGCTCATCTTGGGTCGGGTCTGCCAATTTCTCCACGTAGTTGAGGGGAAAGATTCCGGTTTGACCTCTTAGAGAGCCTTTCCACCAGTCCTTGTAGACGCTCTCCAGTACTGCTATTGTATCTCCTTTCCGGAACTGCAATTCACCGGGCTCAGAAGGTACAAAGTCGTAAAGAGCTCGGACTCGAGATACGGTGGCTGCGGTCGTGCCTTGTGGAGCTGGCTGGGGAGGCGCCGATTGCTTTGAAGGACCGGCTTGCGATTGCGGCGCTGGACTGGCTTTCTTGCCGTGATTCTGTGCGGGTACGGGCTTTTCTTTGACTGAAAGAGCTAGTGCCATCTGTAGTTCCTCTTCCTCTTTCTGTCTATCTACGTCTGTAATCTGGCGCTTTGTAGGCTTCGACGGCGGATGTAGATTGGGATCTAGCATACATCAGCCTAGACCAGAAAAGATTGTCATCGGTCACACTTTGACTTTTGAGTCTGTTGTATGCCTGATCCATGATCCCAAGATCCGGGTCCTTGGAAAACATCTCAGACCATTCGCCCATGCGCTCTAATATCTTAGTTTTGACTTGTTGGTGTGTATTCTGAGCCAGTCAGTATGGAGCCTTCGCTCATGTCACGCTGCTCGGCTTGCTCGACTTACTCGATCATTTGCTAGCCTGAGTAACGCATCCGTAAAGCTTCGAGACGCTAATTCTTGATGCATTCGCCGATCGCAATTCTGGGATAGGGCATTTGCAAGCTTCGTGATTCAATCAGCCTCCACTCACCCAAGTCACGCATGCAGCTTTACCTCGAGCGTATAAAGCTGTACGTTGGCATTCCTATGTGCCAGACGTCTGATCATGGCAGCAACCGCATCTTTCGCTCTACAGACAAGTGCTTAGCAAGGGTTGTCAGAGTTCCTAGTCCAGCTGTAGGCTTTTACCCTGTACTCTCAGACCCAACTTTGTCGCAGACATCCTAAAATGTTCAGCCTTCAAACACGTAACTTAGTGCTTCGCGGCCTCCCTACGAGTATGAATTCCCAATTCTCGGACGTCAAATTCTCGTCTGTTGCCTTGGCTGTCCTGGCAGTTAGTAGCTGCCTAGATGAGGAGATGTCGAAGCGTTTACTCACCAACGGCATCATCAAAAGCGTTTTGCTGAGCTCGGAACATATTCGCGATCAAATCGTCTGTGCAAAAATGAAGGGCAGAGCAAAGATTGGGAAGGATAGTTACAGAAGGATGTGTATACTGAGTGAGGATTCGTCGTGCATGAGGCGCACATGGGCGCTAAGTGTGGCGTGTGGCTGTGCTAAGTGACGAAAATGGAAAACAGCCCCCAATGCAGCCTTGCTTTTAAGGCTTGCAAGGCGCACCATGAGTTTTGTAACACATTGATATCGTGCCAACCACTTTTTTGTCTGAAAAGCCTCGACATTTGATAAAATCCATTTAATTAAAGAGAGTTCCATAGAATGTGTATCGATATCGAGACATGATATTGTTCGCTAGACTGCTTCAAGATTTTCTAGTGAGCTCAAGAGGCTGCTCAGGCTTCCTCTATTGCATAGACCGAGACATGTCAAAGAGAAATAAAGTGTCTTCCTTGTAAGTGGCTGCTTTCACATAATTCAACCCATTCAATGTTCTACTTGAGCACTGTGAGTAAATATATCATTCCGATTGTTTTGGTTGAGACGCAATTGTAAGGCCATTCGAGAACTAGGCTACGTTGATTCTGCGAGATGTCAGGTAGATCGTCCAAGATAATGTTTGATAGCTGCTTCGTAGTCATGAAATCCTGCAAATATCATCAGCAGCTTATCGACTTTTGGCAGGTCGTAGGCCGCTTCAGTTTCCCTTGGCTCTACTAGCACGAAGTCTTCCCCGCTCTATGAACCCTTATCCTTTCTCTCGGCGGCTCGACTATGGCGAGCGGATCGAACAAGTGGCGCTAAGTTGATCAACGGCTCTGCCGTTTGGATGAATTGATGCTATGAAATCGTCAGCTGGGAGTCCGTCATGCCTGTACCTCAGTAACCCACCCTCAACAAATCATGGGCAGAAGCTCTCTTCTCAGGGTCCACCTTGAGCGCAAAGTTCAAAAAGTCCTTGAACATTGGTGTGAGGTTATGCTCGTCCTTGATTTGGGGCGTGCCGTTGGTGGCAATCAGGTAGAGCGCTCGAAGTGGAGACTCGGTCAGATAAGGAGGCTCTCCTTCAATCATTTCAATGGCCATGATCCCCAAACTCCATATATCAACTTTCCGTCCATATTCTTTGCGCGTCACGACTTCAGGCGCCATCCAGTATGGTGTTCCAACCATTGTAGTTCTCTTGTTATGAGACTCGTTGATTTGAGCACAGAAACCAAAATCAGCTATCACGGAAGATCAGTTACTCATTCGTCAATGTGGAATGTGTCTCATACTCAGCTTGATATTACCATCTTGGGCTAGCAGAATATTGTCGGATTTGATGTCTCGATGAATCACACCTTTAGAATGCAAGTGTTGCAGGCCATTAAGAGTCTACACGTCAATCAGTCTTAGGCGTCTCAGAACTTGACCTCGTCTGTCCACTGACCTCTCGACAGACTGCTGCTATCTGACCCTCTGTCATGAGATTAAAGGTTACGACATCTGTGAGACTTCCTCCTTCCATGTATTCCATGATGACCCAGAGCTCTCCCGTCCGAAGATAACTGTCCATGAAGTTGACGATATTCTTATGCTTACTGTCCTTCATCACGAGTATCTCATTGATGATAAGGTCCTTCTTCGGCTGCTGTTCCAGATTCATTTGCTTGATAGCCACGCACTTACCCGTATTGATCTCGTACGCCGTAAAGACTCCTCCCGATGCGCCTTGACCGATCTTGTTCAGATTCTTGTACTTTCGCAAAGGATCGCCGGGTGCGCAGATAGCTGTTAAACGAGAAACAATATCGATATTACTCGCGTTCCGATTTCGCCTCGGCCGGGGTGTCGGGCCATTTCTTGCTTGTTGGGTTGGGTTGGGTACATCCTGAGGATCCTGTGATGGGGTGAAAGCTTTTTGAGCTGATTCAAGAGATGTTTGAGGAGGTTGCTGTTGGGGCTGACGCGTGCTAGGATTACGCTCCACGTGCTGCTTCTGTGAAACCTGTCGTGATGGAGACGTATGCTCTTGCTGTGGTGGGGGGCCTTGTTTTGGGGTTGTCGGGGCATTTTGCGCTTGCCGAGATGTTTGCCTGGTGAGGCCGTTGGCTTGTGGCTTTGAAGGCTGTCGCTGTAGACCTAGTTCAGAATCTTCTTCTTCAAGCTCATTCGGAGGGGGACGACTGCGAACTGCTAACTCTTGTGGGGGTGCAGCGGAGCTAGGTCCAACTTGTTTCGCAACTGTCGGTTTTTGGGGTGGCGGTCGCGCTGGGGTCAGATTTTGCACCGCTGGGGGTTTGGGAGCTGGCCGTCCAGGTACCAGACCAGGATGATTGGCTGGTGTTGCCTGGCTGGTGAACGTGGTTGGGGGGTGGCGGGCACACTTCTTGGGATTGGAGGGGCAGCTCGTGGGTTTTCGAAGCTTCCTTCTGTGTTGGTAGGGAATCGAGGACTGGCGGGAGGACTGGTGATAGTCGATAAATGCGTGTGAGGCGTCTGGAGAGAATTGGAAGTCGTAGGCGTTATAAGACTCAATCCAGACGCATTCGGATCTGCCCTAGCATGATCGAACTTGTGCCATATTTGATCTTCGGTACCTCCTCCCGCGGTATCTTTGTAGAAGCCCATGATATCGACAATGGTTTGAGGGTTCTGCTCTTGCTCGCTTTTGGAGATGCCGCTCTCCGATAGCATTTTTTGCCATTCTTTAGGGAGTCCCTGCTGGAAGTCAGCATTTCAGAGGCTCAAATGTGGTCTTAGCAGCTTGGTCTTCGGGAGAAAACGAACGAAATCAAGGAAACTTGTTCCCGCAGGTGGCAGAAGCGCAAAAGGCTCCAGATCAATTGATGAAGCGTGCAAACTTACGGTGAATTGGCCGGTCTGATTATCGAATCCGACATGGGTAACATGAACTGGGTTCTCCGGGGCTGAGATCTTGACACTATTCGAGCGCGGTGATCCTAAGACACTACCAATGAAGGATGATATACCACTCTTCTTCTTCCATGGTGCAGGACTCTTGCCGCCGCTCGAATCGTCCGAGTACCTCTTTGAGTTGGGGGAATAAGCACTTCCCGAGCCCGATCGCGCTCTTTCAAATGGTCTATCATTACTCGAAAAGCTGGCGGATTGTCTCAAGGATGGGGTCATTGTCTTAGAATAAGGCGCGGTGTGTGATAAGGGAGGCGGGCCCGGCCGTCGCAATGAGTTCTGATATCCTGAGGCTTTGGTGGAGTCCAACGACGACAGCGTTCCAGGGTGTGGATTCAATTCATCCGGCACCGTCTCCTCGAACGACCTCCGAGTGTATTGGTGGGGCCGTGGCGCGTGAGAATGGGACTGGTCTTTGACAGAGCGCTCGAGCGAGGAACTTGAGGAGGTGGGGGTCCTCTGACAATCGTGGCTGGTGTGACTACTGGCCGGCGACTGGGACGGCTGTCGGTGCATAGCTGAGTGGTTCTGGTGACTCAGTGAATGGACGCTGGCGGGAGGTTCTTTGGTCAGACGCTTCGCTTTCATGCCATTCCTTGTGTCGTCCATGATGCCCTAGCTCTGGAACAAAATGCGGGCGCTAGCCCACCGTTTAAAGATACTGCGATTGGCTCTGGGCTAGCGCGTCAATGGTCGGGGTTCTGCCTACGATAGGAGATCCACGACTGGCTGGCTGGCTGGCTGGCTGGCAGTGCTGGGACGGAACGAATCGAGGAGAAATAAACAAATGATGCAGATGCCAACGGTCAAATTAATCATAGGCAGCTAGCGGGTATTCCGTACGTGAGAAATAAGTCTGGCGGCGAGGCTCCTGGGAGAGAGCGTAGATCTCCCACCCAGCCGGTTCTGCGCGTGCTTGTACACTGATCTTTCCCCCTCAAAGTATAGTCACCGTCGGCAATATCCCTAGTCATACATCTGTGCTCTACATAGAGTGTCAGGAATGTACCCCAGATTTGCAAACCCTGCCTTCTCCCGACCGGATCACGAGCCAGATGAAACAAACACATGGCAAACCCCTGCGCAGAGTGGGCAGCATGCATTGTGCGTCTTGCGACACCGAGACATATGCATCTACCGTGTGACTCGAGCTGTCTATTGCCACTACTCGATTCTGTAGTTGGACCGGATGCTGAAGGCTCTTCATCAACCTTTAGCTCCATCTCATGCTGCGGGTCTAAGCTTGACAGGACATATCGGGTGGAAATCAGTCTATTCATCCCCAGTGCTTGGTGTCAGTAATGAATTTGCTGAAGGGAATTGGATACTTCCAAGCATCCGCTTCAGAAGCAGCGGCGACATTGACCTCCTCCTGTTGGGCAGTGTTCCACTCCTAGGTTGAGGCTTGAGATCGCACTCGCATGAACTCACACGAACAGCCTGGAACGCCCTCAGTGAACCTGCATACTCAGCTGCGTAGACTTGGCTGAACATGGTCATACCCACGAGTGGGCTACAAGGACAGAACGTCAATGTATGAAAATTGAAAATAGATTTCGTTCTTACATCGACTAGAATCAACAGAACTCAGGCTAGAACTAGAACTAGATTTAATCCTGCCCCTAAGACCCTAGTGCTAAAATGTGGCTGCTCGGAGAAGAACTTTTTACTCCGAACCATTCTTCCTTTCTGTCCACTGTGCGCTTTTCCAACCTTGCCCGAAGAACCCAAGCCTCAGCTGAGGTTCGACGAAAGGCCTCATGTCTCTGTTGATGGCGATGCTTCTCAACTACCATCATTCTCTTGGCCACTGAATATCTCTTAGGTACTCAAGGCGCCCTAGCTGAGTGTGACGTCTAAATACATTTCGGCGTAGAAGCTACCCCCAGCGTTGAGTCCAGGCATTGCCAGCTTTGAGCTGTATTAATCGACTCGAGAATCCGCACTGACCCGTCTACGCTCTATTTACGGAGCCTCAGTCAACGTCAGACGACGACAGTCCAAACGCTAAAACCAGTAAGCTCCAGCTTTCCACACACGCAAATAGCTTAACACCATTGGGACTTTCACCTAGTCTCTGATTTCAACAACGAACAAGGAGATGAATGGGGACCTTGATCCAGGCTCTAGCAGCTTGACTGCTGCAGAAAAGCTGCGGCTGAAGCACGAAGCTGAAGCTGCCCATCACCCCACAATCGAAGATGTTCCGGATGAGGACGACTTAGAGCACCCCCTCCTTCGACTGATGCTCCAAAAGATCATGTCCCTGCACCTGACGTGGCCGCCAATGGCTTTTCAAATGAAGAAGCAGGCAAGCAAAAGTCCGACGAAAACTCTCGACCTGTTTCCTCGAGATCCGCTGCTCCAAGCGGCTTGAACACTCAGTCAGAAGAGCTCTTCCCGGCCCTTGGCAGTGGTCCCAAAGCTCCTACTCCAGGCAAGCCCACAACTGCGTGGGGCGCCAAAAAGCCGTCTTCACTCCAGAACAGACCAAATGGGGTCAATGGGGGCCTCCATGCGCCAAGTATGAATTCATCCCGTGCATCGACGCCGGTTTCGGATGCTCGTACTCCTGCATCCTTGCACGCTTCCACAAAGCCAACTTTCAATGGCGTACCCCAGCAAATACACATACCCGGGAAGCATACTGAAAGCATTCAATTCGCCCGCCATCAGCTTGTACCGCCTAACAAGCTCAAGAAAAAGTCCTACCAAGGAGTGGTACAAGACATTAACAGAAGATCCAAAGCCAAAGTGGAGGTCAAGCCTGGGTTCAATGGAGGCGTTGTTTTCGAAGGGACCGGGCCTGTTGATGCAACCCGTCAAGCATTGAAGGATGTGGCAAAGGAGGTTGGCTCGACACAAACGGTGAAGATCCCGATACCTCTGAGCGTGCGCTCCCATGTTATTGGGCGACAGGGAGCTATGATCCAAAAGCTCGAGAAAAGCACTGGTGCCAAAGTGCAAGTCCCAAAGACTGAAGAACGCCATGCTGTTGTTTATGAAGATGACGACAGTCAAACCATAGACGTGACCATTGAAGGCGATGCTGTTGCTGCGGAAATGGCTCGGCGGGAGGTTGAGAATATAATCAATGAGCGCACTTCGACCGTGAATCTCCGCCTAAAACATATTCCAGCAGAGTACTACCCCTTTATCGCAGGACCACATAACTGTCGCATCCGTGCGCTGGAAGATGGGAGACAGGTACAAGTTGAAGTGCCTCAATACATTACCTGGACAGATGGACCACCTCCAGAGGTCTCGCCGACTGGCATGCCACCTCAATTTACCCCATGTTCAACCCATCATATCAGAATCTCTGGCGAGCGTCTTGCCGCCCTACAAGCGCGATCTGAAATCGAACGCCAAGTGGAAGAGCTCCAACGACAGATATGTCTTTCTCAACTGCAGCTCGACCGAGGTCAGCGTCAAATCCTTCTCGAGAATGAGGATTCCCATCACGACTTCCTGAACGAGACAGGATGTGCCATCATCCTGCCCCCTGTTACTGCTGACTCTGATATCCTTACCATCACTGGCCCACAGAATAGGCTGGTTTCTGGCTTGGATAAAATCATGGAGATAGCTAGTGCTATGTCATTGTCTCGCGTCGATGTAGCTCGTCAACACGCAAATGCTCCAATGGGTGCACACGCCCATGCTCATGCTGTTACACAATATCTTCAACAGCGGAAGATCATTGAGCAATTAGAGCGACGGTACAACGCGCGAATTGTGCTACCAAATAATGATCGAGAATCCGCCGAGTGGGAGGTCTATGTCAAGGATGGCAAGAATGGCATCCGAGCAAGACAAGACATTCTCGGATTGATATCAGCACATCCACCAGCTCGGATACGTCACGTCCAATTAGATCCGTTCTTCCATCAACACGTACATCAACAGACTGCCAGAAAACTAAAAGATGACTACGGAGTACAGATACTACCGTCTAGAGCCTCTGCGTCTTCGGACCATCTAATTCTTGTTTATGAAGGGCAACAGGCATCTTTTGTTGAAGCTGATGCCTTTCCACGATCGGTACCTTTGCCACAGGAAGTGGCAGAGTTTGAACAAAACTTGGAGCAAGCTCAACAGCACATTCTTGATTTGATCAGTGATCAACAGAAGATTCATGCAACTAATGTTGCAGCACCTCTGAAGTAAGGATCGAAAAATCTCGGTTTGGAAACTGGCTAACATGTGTAGATATCACGAAAAAATTCGCAAGTTCGTTCAACGAGAACAGGAAAGCTTACCCCAGGATCGGGTCCCTGTTCAAGTAAGTTTTGGGGTCTCCGGGAAAATTGATCAAGGCGCAGCGACAGTGCCGGACAGTCCTCTATCTTCAACAACCGATCATCATGCTACTTTGCGTGGTCCAAGACCTGCTGCTGATGATTTCGCTGCCAAAGTACTGGCATTTGTTGAGGCCGAAAAACAAGACGATCTTGAGCGCGGCCATATCACAAGCTTCGATTACCCGCAGAAGCATATGAGCCATCTCATTGGCAGGAGAGGCGAAAACGTCAACAAGCTCCGAGAAGAGTTCGACGTCAACATCCAAACAAAGGAGGGTAGAGTTGAGATCATCGGCCCAAAAATGAAAGCTGAACAACTGAAAGCCCGAATAATATCGCAAGCTAAGCAATTGGAAGACGAACGCAGTCACGTTCTTAAGATACCGTCTAGATATCATCGAGATATCATAGGGGCAAAAGGCAGCCAGGTCAATCGGCTCCAAGATCGACATAACGTCCGAGTTCAATTTCCTCGAGCAGTTTCCGCCTCTGAAGACGCCAAATCACTTGCAGATGGTGCAAGCGAGATTAGCCCTTCACGAAATCGAAGACCTAACCAAGGACCCGATGAGGTGATTGTCAAAGGACCCAGTAAGGGTGCTGATGCAGCACGAGACGAGCTTTTGAGCCTGTTGCAATGGACAATGGACAATTCGCACGCGTCATCTGTACGTGTGGCTCAGAAACAATTGCCTTCTCTCATTGGACAAGGCGGACAAGAAATGGAGGCTCTTCGATTGGCATCCGGCGCCCAGGTGGACGTGCCAAGCAAAGAGAGTGGTGACGCTGGTGGACGCGTCGAAATTCAGCTCAAAGGCACGAAAAAGCAAGTTGAGGAGGCCAGGAAGATCTTAGAGCAAAAATCCAGAATCTTTGATAGTACAGTGTCTCGATCCATAAACATCGATCGCAAACATCATAGGGCTCTCATCGGCAGCGGAGGCTCAAACATCCGCAATATTGTTGTGGCTGCTGGAGGCTCTGATGATCGTCGCGACTTGGCTAGAACCGTTAGGTTTCCAAGGCAAGACTCTGATACGGATGCCGTTCAGGTAGAAGGTGATTCAGCGTTGGTTGACAAGATAATTGCAGCAATGCAAGACTTCGCCACGCAAAAGGAGGGGCAGATGGTTGAGAACGTGGTCATCCCACCGCAGAAACATCGTTTGCTCATCGGTCCTGGCGGGGAGACCAGAAGGCGTCTCGAATCTCAATTCAAAGTTGAGCTTTACATACCTAAGACCACGGAAGAATCCGCTGCCCGATCGAATATTAAGATCAGCGGCCAGGCCGCTGACATAGAGAAGGCGAAGGCTCACATTTTGAGCTTGACTGAAGATCAACCCGGGGAGACCATTCAGATACCAAGAAAGCACCATCATTCAATTGCAGATAACGGTCGATTCTTTCGACATCTCCGAAATGATCTTCACGTCACAGTCGACCATGGGAATCAAAGACCACCTGCAAAACCCACATCTACTTCGGTTGCTCAAAACTCTGGATCCTCCATGCCACTGATTACTGACGATCCCAATTCCATGAGTACCCACTCGTTCAATATAGTAAACGGTGAAACAGTCTCCTCTGAAGAAGGCTCCATCCCGTGGAATTTGAAAGGCACACCAGAGAATATTGCGGCCGCTTCTTCTGCACTCGACAGGGCACTCGAAGCTGCGGCGGCGCGCGAGTCGCAAGTCACTGGCTACTTAGTGCTTCCAGATCCAAGCCTTTACCGATATGTCATAGGCAAAGGTGGAAGCAAGATCAATGATATTAGGGCGCAAACAGGATGTAAGATTACGGTGCCAAGGCAGAATAGTGATGGTAATGCAATAGAGATTGTGGGCGGCAGGGATGGCGTCGAGCATGCTCGAGATATCATTCTTGATGCTGTGGATCGCACTGGAGGCTACTAGTGCGTTGATAATGGTGTCTTCCATAACTTGCACCGTTTGCCAAATTGGATTGCTAATGACACACGTATCATTACGTGCGTCATTGTAGGTAGAGGTTGGGCTTGGAACAGTTCAAAGCTATCCAGAAAGTAAAGTATCAGACATCTGCTCGACATATATATTGGTGTAGAGAAAAATCTTAATCATTGCTGAAATTTGAAGCTGACCATTCCCAAGTGCTGATATGTCATCTAATCTCCATGAATGCATTCTTCTACTTAGAATTCGATACACCTCTGTATCACACATCTACAAGAATCTCAACAGAGGCCTAGCTGCTACATGCCGTTCGAAGAATTGTTAAGGCTGCCGTCTATGCATCCAAGAAGGATGTTTTGAACATAGCCAGCCATGGGCGACAGGTGCAAGTAATTCCAAGAACATATGTATAGACTACAGCCCCGCCTTTGTCACTTCAGACTCTATGTACAAAAGACTACCATACAGATCTCACTCATATATACTTCACCCCGTTCGGTAATGCCCTAGTAATCCATCGCATCCTCAAACAAGTCTCCCAACTGCTCCCGCTCCCGTTCCACGTCCAGACTCAACCCCGGCGCCAACATCAAAACCCGTTTCTGCGGGATCGTTCCCTCCACAAGCTCTTCTACATCCTTTCCCTGAAATCCGAGTCCCTTTAGCCCCCTGGGCTGATCACCCAACTCGCTCAGAAACCTCGCCAACGCCTCCGCTAATACCTCACCCTCACTTCCCCTCTTCACACTCGTAGTGTCCACTCCAAATGCCTCTGCTGCGACAAGATGGCGCTCTGGATTCGAGGGCGCCGTGAACTTGAAGACAGCAGGCGCGGTCACTGCGACAGAAACACCATGCGGAATAATAGGATCAGAAGACTGGTAGCCATAGTGTTTATACTTAGCCGGATTCTGCGAGGAAATCGGGTACGACATCCCATGGCACAAATGCACGCCTGCATTTCCAAAACCTACGCCCGCCAAGGTGGCAGCAAGGAGCATTTCCGACTGCGCCTCGAAGTCATCCGGATCCTTCGCTGCACGCGGGAGGTACTTGATTGTCTGCTTCAAAGCCTGAAGGGAGAAGATGTCGGATATAGGATTCGCACCCTGATACGCGGGGCGATTTATGGGATTCGGAGGACGCGGTACGCGCTGCTGGTAGGGGATCGCGGTCCATGATTCTAGCGCGTGGCAGAGGACGTCAAGACCTGAAGAGGCGTGCACAGCGGACGGCATAGTTCGCGTGTTGTAGGGGTCGCAGATACCGAGGGTGGGCTTGAGGGCTCGGTGCGCGATGCCGGTTTTTGCTTTCTTGGAGACGAGGTCGAAGATGGCGGTGCCAGTGGTTTCGGAGCCGGTGCCGGCGGTGGTCGGGACGGCGATGAGAGGGGAGAGCTTCTTGTCGATTGGTTTGCCGAGGCCTAGAGGTGCGTTGACGAAGTCGAGAAAGGAGGCGGATGGGTAATTGGTGTACAGGTTCATGAGTTTGGCAGTGTCGATTACGCTGCCTCCACCTACGGCGAGGAAGGCGTCCGGAGCGTATGCTTTAGAGAAGTCGATTGCTTCACGAATACTTGCTGCGGGTCAGTGAATCCATAGCACGAAAGGTTGGTCCGGCCTCACGAGTAATCCTTTGGCTCGACCATTGTCCTCTGATACACGGTATATTCCACACCCTCGCTTCCCAAAGCTTGTTCTACTTGCTTCATTGCGTCTAGTTTTGCCACATTCTGATCTGTGACCACGCAAACCCTGTTCGAACCCATGTTCTTGAAGTCCATGCCCACCTCCTTGGTGCAACCGGGTCCGAAGCGGATGCTAGAAGCCGCCATTTCGAAGGCATAATCAGGAGTTTGCGGGCTGTCCACGGGCGTGGCAAGTGTCCTTCTGGCATGTCTGAGAGCGGACGGCGCTGGGTGAGCACAGCTAACATTCGTGTGGCATGGACATGCTGGAGGATGAGCGTGGAGTGTTCTTAGAAGATTGAGCGCTCGGCTTGCCGCAGTGGGTGCCAATCGTACGCCGAGACCCATTGTGGAGGCGGAAAATGGTCAAGCTACGGTACCACAGTAGTTGTGCCTGTCTTGATTAATGTATCGTGCGCCATTGCATGACGCCAGAATCACAGGTGCATGCTGACGCGCATTGGGATGTTCTTTTTGCGGGGAAAGACCTCGGCAGATCTGCTGATTTATTGCCGTGCTGTCATTGGAGCGACCCCTGGCCAAGTCTCATTGACGCAATGAAAGAGACGGTAGCCAGACTGCCATTTTTCTGAGAATAAAGCACAACAATGATACGAAGATTTTTTGACGGTAAAGATGAGAGATAAGCAGATGGCGAATGGGGGTTTAAAGAAATAGTTAATGGATACGCGATCGACCAACGGCTCTGACCCAAATTTGTGTTCTAATACAATTTGCAGTAAAGGATAAGCGCTGGCGGCTGTTGATATTCTTGAATGAGATCGATGCGAAATACCTCTCGCAAGGCAAACATCAAAGTTCCTTGAAAACTTGATAAGCACTCTTTCTACTTGCTGCTTTGCGAATTGGCCTGGAGATACTTGTATGCCCCAAATGCTGCCAGGCCACCGACCAACACAATTGCATAAAGACCGATGCCCAAACCAGTCGAGTCTGACGTTGCACCTGTGCTGGCTGTAGATGGTGGAGGAGCATGCGCTTTGGGTTCGGGGTCACCAGCCTAGTATACTCTTAGCCATGCTTCTAGGTTAAATGCCAAAGATGGGCATTGATATATTGAAACAACAGATTCTGGGCATTGGAGGCAAAGGTCATGGCGCAGATATCAAACGTACCACTCTCTTTAAATCGCCCACCTTCAGCCCCTCAAGGATTTCCCTTGCCTCGTCACTATGCCCTACGTCTTCGAACGCCTCCGTAGCCTCTTGGCCGCCGACATCTAAGAGAACTTCTTCGCCACCGCTAATTCCCGTTTGTCAGCCGAGGTTCTGCGTTCTAAAAACTTGCTCGGCAGCAAGTGGCGAATCGCAAGGCGCTCGACGGTTATGGCGCCGAGAATGAATGGCTTGCAACATACGGATGCTCGTCGACGAATGATGTGGCATCATAGACTTTATCATGGACTATCAGGTAGATGTCCTATGAGCCAGACAAGCCAATTAGCTTCTGTGCGATCGAAAGTTGCGGATTGTACATACTTTTTTGGAGCTGTGTTCTGAGACCTCAGAGAAGGTGAGCTGCTTCGTTTCAGACATACTGAAGCGACTGATGGCCAAGCCAGACGGTACAAAACAAAAAGAAAGATTAAAGAAAGTGCTCTGGTGTCAGCAGAAGCACTCAATCGTCAGGATCGTCAAGGCCGGAATACCTTGAGGACGCGGAACAATTTACTCATTTCGACAAAATGATATCTCTTGGCACTGACACTACTTGAACTCTAAACTTACCTAGTCGCATCAAGAGGGCTTGGCGCTTCTTCCCCCACGCTCCTGCGCATTGGGCAATAGTCTGGTAACGCCTGCTCCGATTGAAAATAAACAAGTGCTTCAATGCATGGGCATCAGATATGGCAACGGCGCGCGTACGCTAAGTCTCTGTAATTACTGATACCCACGCCGTAAACGTAGAATAGATTCGACATTTCTTCTTGAAATTGAGCGTCTCTTAGGGGTTATCATATTACTAGATTGGGAATGATGAGCTCTTTCCTGTGCTAGCATGTCAGAACCCATTGTACCGCCCACCATCGCTGTCCTGATGCACATGAACAGCAAAGGAACATGCCACAAAACTGTAGGTGATTGCCTTGAGGCCCCTCGTAGCCAAATACTATGGCATCGTCGAACAAAAGTCGAGCACGTAATCTTCACTTTTAAGCGATGAACAAGCCCGTACCGGTTCCCATCTCGTCGTTCGTTTCTAGACATTGTTTTCCTGCTTATTCAATCTTCTTTGATAACATCCGAGTCATGTTCAAGAACTTATCTACTTGGGGCCCAAGGAGCAGAGAACCCCTCAACAATTGTATTGTTCAATGTTCTTCGCCATGGAATCGTGTGAATATGAAGTCTTTCACGGCCAAGTCGATTGTCGCTCGTACGAGGACCTTCTCACAGACCACTCTCAACGCGAACAAGTCAGGATTACGAAGCTCGCAGCCTTTCAACGCAAACCTCGCCGAGCATTTGACGCCCACAATAAAGACCTTTTTACTTCAAGGAAAAGTTGCTTTGATCACTGGGTGAGTCAACGGCAAGTTCGGATAGTCTAATATGCCTTTGGTGCTGTCTTTAAGTGATTTTGATATACTGTGACTGGCTTTCCTTATTGCAGCTACTTGTGCTCCGAAGAATCTTGGATCTTTTCCCATTTGAGGAGCGCAAGATTGACGGTTTTACATTCCCTAACTTAATCTGCTGTCTAGAGGAGCTCGAGGTCTTGGATGGAATATGGCTCAGGCACTTGCTGAAGCCGGCACGAAAGAGATCGCGCTCGTAGATCTCAAGCAAGAACTCGGACAAGCATCTGCCGCAGAACTACAGGATAGCACCGGTATACCAGTACGATTCTACGCCGCCGATGTTACCGACGCAGATGCCATCAAGGAAACCGTCAGCCAGATATCAAAAGACTCCGGCTCTATAGATATCGTGGTCAATTCAGCAGGCATTGTCGAGTGAGCTCGTGCCATATTCAAGATGGCTGTCCCAGCATTTCTGACCACACAAACCTCCCAGCTCAAATATCAAAGCCGAGACCTATCCTCCGTCCGCATTCCGCCGTCTCCTCGACATCAATCTCACTGGCAGCTTCATCGTTTCCCAGGCCTGTGGCCAGCAAATGATAGCCTCTGGCAATGGTGGCAGTATTATCTTCCTCTCCAGTATAGCTGGCTCACGTGTCCTGCATCCTCAGCAACAATGCGCCTACAATGCGTCTAAAGCCGCCGTAACACAGCTCGCAAAATCACTCGCGGGCGAGTGGGCGCCGCATGGGATCAGGGTCAATACCATTGCGCCTGGGTACATGGATACGCAGTTGAATGAAGATCCGTTACTGCAGGCGCAGAGGACGCATTGGGAGCAGGCGACGCCAATGGGGAGGATTGGAACCCCAGATGAGTTGAATGGATTGGCGGTTTTCTTTTCTAGTGATGCGAGTAGATTTGTTACTGGGGCTCACGTTTATGCTGATGTAAGTCTGTGTCAAATATGGACATTGATACTGGCTAATGATGAACGCAGGGTGGATATGCGGTCTACTAAGGTAAGGATTTGGATGAGAAGCATCCTTTGTGGCTTTCGAACGCGATCTGGTATGCAGTTGCAACTAGGCATAAGTATGTATTCTGATTGCCGAGTAGTATAAAATGAGATTTTATGAGAATTGTGTCAACTATACGTAGGCCTATTCTATCCAGGAGTATTCGACGTCGTTACCCAACATATCACTCATAGCCCAAAAGATATCCTGTGAAATGTCCAAATTTACCTTCTCACTTTGCCTACCACATCGATGACGCCCTCCCCAACCTCGACCTTCCACCCCTCCCTCACTAGCATCGCTCCAACAGCTGGCCCAAGCCTTCCTTTGCCACCTTGACTATGCTGTCCTCTGCCGGTGATGATCCTAAGGCCACCGTTCCGGGCTTTACCCTCTCGCGCCCACTCCCTGCCCGAGCTTTCCCACCATTGCTCGGCTTTGCGACTTGCAATAGCCTGTGCATCGCGTACCTGCACACCGTGCAAATCGACTTCTCCTGATCGCGATTGACCTACTACCGTTGCTTCAGCCTGAGCGCTTTCACGCTGACGTAATGCATCAGACGCGTCCCGTGCAACGGAGCTGTAGTACGCAGCCGCGCCACCCATTAGTGGTTTGGACTTTGAGACCCGGTGGGCGGCTGATGCTTGATGGTACGCTTGATGACGAATTATATCGAGCCTTTCGGCCGTTTCCACAGGGATAGCCCTTCGGGCAGCAGACAGCGATTCCAGCATCGAATCTGAAGAAAGGTCAGGAGCTTGGTAGTGCGGTGTGATGATAGCTTCAGACACGGCGTACGGCTTTGTCACTAGTGCACGCGCGAGTTCATGAGCAGATGCTGTAGATGGGTACGTAAGTCTTACAAGGGCATGTGATTGGTGGGGGTCAAGGGTAGGGAAATCAGCAGTAAGCTCGGCAGCTTGCGTCTCTAGCAGAGGAGGTGTAGCCTCCTTAACGTAGGGGTTCTCGTGTCGTTCGGAACGGCAAATTGCAGCTATCGTTGAAGCAAGCGACACTGCATGCTTATGGTAGGTTGAAGCAATGACCGTTTGAGGAAGATGTGTGCGTGCAGTAATGAATTGGACATCCTCCCTAGCGCGATCCCATTGACTCAAGGGAGCAGGAGTGATGATGCTAGATCTATTGTCCTGAGGAACCAAAGTCGAGCTCTCCCAATCATGGGGACTTGCCTTCTTGCCTCTCCTTTTTCTCGTCTTGTAGAAAGTAGGCTCCGAGAATCCTTCGATACTTCTTTTAATTGACTTCTCACCCAGTTCGTTGGTATCATCCTCTAGAAAAGCTCGATTGAGTAATTCTTCCACCGTACGATCATATCTATCTCCAGACCGCTTTAGGATGTAGCTTATATCAACAGATTTGACAACCGGAAACATCTCTTTCAATATGTCTGCTTTCGCCTCGAAGGGCAATGCAGTCCATCCGAGTTGATGCTCTGACGGAGGGCCCTCGACCCCGTTTTCATTGTTCAGATGCAAAGCTCCGAAAGCCGACAAGGCGCCACTAAGTTCGGTATCTTCTGTGTCTGCGGAAGAAGACGTGGCATCGTTAGGACGAGATCCTGCTCTCTCAGACGAACTCTGCGATAGTGGATCGTCGTCGACATGGCTCGTTCCAGAAGGGTCGAAGTCAGCTGTGTTATCAGCACCTGTGCTTTGTTTTACGGAATCAAGGACATTTCGAAATTCCTCGAGCGATGCTTGATCTGTCAAATCATAATCTGACGACAGAGCGTAGAACAACGACGAATCGATTGGGGGACAAAATTCTCTCTAAATACCCAAACGGTCAATAGAGTTATCTTTCCAAAGCTTTCAAAGCGTACCTCAAGCGCCAACGGCGCATCATCCATATCTCTCTCTGATTATTGAATCACAAGTCCCACGCTGATTTATTGGATGCATAATTGGGTGGTACGTTGTGAAGGTTCAAAGCCACAGGCCCACCAGGGCCTAAGGCAAGCACAAATGAAATCTCGTCATGGACTTCCTGTTTAAAGCGCAATTGGGCACCTTTCATCACGACTACGTAAACTCCAGACTGTTTTGGCCATATTTCTAATCTTTTTAGGAAAGGCTTGAAATAGATTCTTCAGTATTTTTACCATTCAAAAATGCTGAATAAGTTTGAAATTTATTTTATATTCTTAATATAATGAATAAGTTCTGAAAACTTAAGATCACTCCACACATATTCAATAGTTGTACTTTATCTGAAAAAAAGATTCTTGATGTGCGGATTTATCGGAAATATGATTCGTCTAGAAAAGCCCTGAGTGTGTAGGCCTTCTTACAAACATCACACCATAACTTGATTTTAGCACGAAGTCTCGACCCATGATTATCGAGCAAAAAAGGACGACAAAATGGCAGATATAGCACCTGCTAAGATATTGGGATCGAGAACTCATCAGTATCCAGGTCGAAGAATATCTCAAGATCACAATCAACCGCGAGGAGACTAATCAAGTTCAGGAAAGCTCAATGTCTCAGAGACGTTCTTTGAAGTTCCTAAAAAGTACGACTCACCCAGCGGCAGTAGATTGAGCATCTTTGGACGCATCGTAGAGAGATATCAGAAACCAGTGGATCCTAGCAAGGACTTGAAAGATAGTACCCGTGAGACTGTGTATCTACCTTGGTGTAAATTCAACATCCTCCCCCATTTCTTCGAAATCTAAGACAGACTTCGACCAGTCTTATATTTGCAAGGTATCGATAGCTATGACTTTTCTAAGACGATCCATGCTTAGACGCTCTAGGCGGACCAGGCTTTCCGTGTAGAAGTCCTTCGAGCACCAGTTGGGTGAACTTAGTGCTGGATAAGGGCTATAAGGTCTCTATGCTCCAGTCGTCTTTTCTCTTCACGACTGAAAATTGGAAAGATACTGCTGCTAGATCAGCGAGGTAAATATCTGCTTCGGCCTTCTAGAATGAGGGCGAAGTCTAATGTTTCAAAAGGCACTGGCATGAGTAGCACGATCACTGCGCGAACACTCGCGGTTGAAGGGAATGCACATAGTCAGGCTGCATTACTCAAGCATTTTCGGGCGGATAACATTGGTTTGTTTGCGACTACAATGCACCCTGATGTCTTTAGGGCCTGACGAATTGGCATAGTCAAGGATTGCGAGGCAGTGCGAAAGGCCTTGACGAAAGACTATCCTACTGAGAGACGTAAATGGACACTTCTAGGTCAAAGTTTTGGAGGCTTTTGTTCCGTCAACTACCTTTCTCAATTGTGAGTTGGAAATAAGGGCTTAACTGAGGTACCCGCACACAGCTAAGAGTTGCCAGTCCGGAAGGACTGCAAGAGGGTAGGTCTGAGTCAAGATGAATGCAAGCTTCTTACAAACATCAATCCAGTTTTCCTGACAGGAGGGTTACCACCGCTAGTTTCAGGACCTGACAAAGTGTACGATCAGCTCTTCAGTGAGTCCCGCAATCTTTTAACAAGGATTTAGCAACTGTATGCACTGAGGAGCTCACATACTCAGGGAAGGTGATCGAGAGAAACAAAGCTTTTTACAGTAAATATCCGGAGGACATAAAGCGGGTCAAGGATATTGTCCGCCATTTACAGAAAGAACCGATTAGACTCCCAACCGGAGGGAGACTCTCGGTTTCACGACTGCGTCAATTAGGAAGTCTTTTCGGCTTTCATGGTATGGCATCGGAATTGAAGTAGAAATCTTTCTGCTGATGCATATTGTAGGATATCTTGATACCGTCCACGGTATCGGTGTCCCTTCTTGTCTCTTTTTGGGTCAAGAGAACTGACTTTCCAGAGTTGATTACCAGGATGACCAGCGACCTCACACAGTTTGGTTTTCTCACACGCCAAACCCTTTCGGCCCTTGAACATTTGCAACCATTCGATGACGCTCCCCTATATGCAGTGATGCACGAAGCAATATATGCAAGACGGTAAGCGGGCCAGCTTCAAGATTGCAGCAAGACGACTGAGAGTGCTGTAGCGGAGCAACGAACTGGAGCGCAGAGCGTGTCATGAGCTCATTTCCGGACTTTCTTAACACCTCCACCGAAGGACCCCAGCCAATTCTATTCACCGGAGAAATGGTCGGGAAATCTTCCTTACTCACAGCCCCCAAGCTGACGTCGGGACATAGATCTTTCGCGGCATGTTTTCAGACTTCGCTGAGCTTTCAGCATTTCTTGACGTGGCAAATATCATTGCTGCCGTAAACGACTGGCCCGACTTGTATGATGAAGAACAACTCGCCATGAATGAAGTTCCCGTCTACAGTGCGATTTATGTCGAAGATATGTACGTAGACTATGATCTTGCGAGAGCTACTGCGACGAGAATCAAGAATTGCAAGACGTTCATCACCAACGTTCTGTACCACGACGCCCTTGGAAATAAGACTGACGAGCTCATAAGACGACTGTTCGATTTGCGCGATGACGTTCTTGATTGATGTAGCTGGGACCTCGGCAACGAACTTCTAATAGACATCATGGCAATACCAAAGTTTGAGTGCATTCGTGATCAGAATCGTGATGTCGTCTAGTCTGCACCAAATTCCAAAAGTCGGAGCTTCTTAGCATCTTCTGGGTGGAATTGCGCAACTTTGACGCGTACTAGATATCTCACGGCAGCGTTCTCTTTTTTCAAAACGATATAAGGACTTGACGCTTCTGCTTGGGCTGCAGCATTCAGCAGGTTTTCCACCAAATCACGGAATTCTCTCTCCGCTGCTTCGGCCTCTGATTGTGATCCTGTCCCCCAAATTTGCTCATTCCGTTCTAGCCTTCTCATTTCAGCCTTATCATCGTCTGCAGAAGTTTTCTTTGGCTTTCCTTGTTGCGTAAATCCAGACTTCAACGCTTCCTCATTAAGATCAAGCGCATCACCGACGACAGGTCCTCCCAGATCTTCCGCTGCTAACATGACGGAGAGATCCTCAGCAACAAAAATATTGAATGCTCGGACTAGATTACGAAGCTCCTTCGCATACCGCCGCCTTCGCAGTTGTTGCTCAAGTACAAGCCCTGCCGCGATCTCATTTACACTTTGCGATCCTTGAGCTGTTTCTTCGGTGCGAAGTTTCGCAACGCGGTCTTCAAGTGCTTGTCTCAGATACTGGGCATCACGAAAAGTTTGGTCCTCATTGCGAAGTTCAGCTTGAGCGCTCAGTAATTTCTCTTGCATGTCCTTGATCGTCCTCTTCGTCTGCTCTATCAGATTCAATGTTCTTCGAATAGCCAATAACGCCGGAAGAGGAGATTCTGGTGATGGTAAAGTCGGCTCACTAGCTATCAGAGATTTATAAGATGCTGTAGCCTTCTGTACCTGCTGGAGATGGGCTTTGAAATTCTCTGAAGATTCCTCTATTGACGGGACTGATATCTGTTCACGCAGCTGACCAACGGCGGCGTTAGTTATGATTACCTACTTATATAGGCGATCTCAATTTACTTTTTCGAGAATGGATTCATGTTGCTTTACTTGATATTGAAGGGAATTGAGTGATCGATTAAGGCGGCTGGCATAATCGTCCAGCTCGTCCCCAGCCAGCCTGTTCTCCACATCTTCCTTGGCCAGATGACTAGCATACTCCTGAACCTTGTTGATGGTGAGTTGGGACGCCATCCCAAAGGTTGACAATGTCCCACGGCCTACAGAAGTCTAGCCATTCACCTTGGAATCCTTCTCATGGCCAAAGGAGTGACAGAGGAGACCTCCAGGCGGAAATTTATGTCCGTTCATTTCGCGTTCCAACGGATGATTGAACGTGTCAATGGGGCTAGACTGAAACGAGCCTAGATCAAGCCCCATGCCCTTAGTGCCGTGAGTTGCACATATTACAGATTTGCTTCATTTGCTCCCTCTTACGCTTTCTAACATCACCAACCAGGTTCACGAATCGACGACAGAGAGGTTCTAAGTAGGACTACGAGGCACTGGTAACAGGTTTGCAAGTCCCAGGCGTTCCCTCAGCTCCTCTTCTTCCCCGGCCGTAAATCAGCGTTTTCTTTCGTACCACTCGACGTCTTGAGCCTTCTAACCCCCCCTCACTCGCATCGCTCACCTCGTCCGCACCTCTCACCTCACTTCACATTTCACTCTAGCCTTTTTGAAAGGCTACGTGATACCATCCTATATCCTCGAATCAGCACAGCGTTCACCACGTCCTCTACACTCCCCCCTCACGACCTCATTCCAAGTTCTACAAAATCCTTCGCTACCCCCAGCACCATTTTCATCAGCATCTACACCAGCATTCAAAGCACTACTTTCACCGTCTTTTACACCAGCGCACTCTCCTACAAATCTCCTGGTGTACATAAGAACAATTTAAAAATTTCAGCCAAAGAACCAATTACAGTTCCTGCAGTTCGACCGCATCACCATTATTGTTCAATACCCTTACAATCATGTCTGCATCGCCCACGCTGACTACCCCTGCTGCCAATACAAAACGCCCCTTGGACGACGAATCTTCCCCTTCAGGACCCACTGACCAGCCCGACGCCAAGCGCCCAGCGCTTGATAAACCTCTCAAGCAGGAGGAAGCAGACGGGGAAGACAGTAGTGCTCCACCAGACACTTCTCAAGGAGAGAATAGTCTCCCCACAGCCGAATCAGTAAAGAGCGAAAATGAGGCCGCGTCGCTACAAAATGGCAGCCTAATGAGCCAAGGAGATACTACTTTGGTCGAGACTGGAAATGCGACACCTTCAGCCGCGACCCTTCAAGATATTCAGCCCATTCAGTCCACAAGCGGTCAGTACGATCGAGCAACCTCTCAGGGACCAATGCAACATGGCCACCAAGATGAGACTGGCTGGTTGCATATGCGCGCCGTCATCTCCAGTGCAGAAGCAGCTACCGTAATAGGAAAAGGTGGCGAGAATGTTTCCCTTGTCCGCCGACACTCCGGCGCCAAGTGTACCGTTAGCGACTACTCTCGTGGCGCCGTTGAGAGAGTCTTGACCGTTAGTGGTCCGGTGGACTGCGCTGCAAAAGTAAGTTGGCTGCTGCCTTTCCAAATTCACCGACTGATAAGTTAAAGGCGTTCGGCTTGATCATCCGCACATTGAACAATGAGCCGTTAGAGTCTCCATCCACTTCACAATCCAAAACTTACCCTCTGCGCCTCCTTGTGCCCCATATCCTGATAGGGTCCATCATCGGCAAGTCAGGCGTTCGTATCCGCGAAATACAAGAAGCGTCTGGTGCTCGCCTCAACGCTTCAGATTCATGCCTTCCCCTTTCAACGGAAAGATCACTTGTAGTCCTTGGAGTGGCTGATGCTGTACACATTGCTACGTATTATGTCGGGCAGACGCTGGTGGAGCAATTGACTGAACGCTTTGGAGGTCCAGCAGCGTCAGCTTACGCTACGAGAAGTGGAGGTCCGGCTGGGGTGGTACCAGGTGGCATGCAGGTGGTGCCGTATGTACCACAACCTGCAGGAGGCCAATACGGACATCCGGACAACTATCGTCGGCACAACAACCAAGCCCAACGAACTCCAGCGAATCCATACGGTGTGCCGTATCTGCATGGCCAACCACCCCAGCAGCAAGGCCAAGCACCTGTGCATTTCGGCAGCTCCCCTCAGCCGGGAGGCTACCAGGGAGCTGGACCTCACCAGCCGCAAGTCAACCCTCATCAACCCACTCATACGCACGCCGGTCCCCCAAATCAACCTATGCAAGGCGTGGTTCCTGGCCAGCCACTAACCCAGCAGATTTTCATTCCCAACGACATGGTGGGAGCCATCATTGGAAAGGGAGGAGCAAAGATCAATGAAATCAGGCAGCTGAGTGGCAGCGTGATAAAGATCAATGAACCTCAAGACAATAGTAATGAACGTCTCGTTACTATCACCGGCACTTCGGAGTGTAATTCTATGGCCCTCTACATGCTCTACTCGAGGCTAGGTGCGTGCTGCCTTTCACAGTATAAGGCTGAATCCTTGCTGACTTATTAAACAGAAAGTGAGAAACATCGCATCTAGCGTTCATCAGTCATCAACGGGAGTTGTAGGCGAATGACTTAAGGAATGCGATTTAGTAAGCCAGCGCTGCTTGCGCTACAAAAGCCCTTTTCATTTTCTACGAGCCTGCACGCAGCTCGTCTTACATTCTCACGACGGCCAACTTCCCCCTCAGTGGCTTTGAAGCCATCTTCTTTTCATCTAATCGCAATCGGGTGCTTTGTCTTCCCAGTCCGGTTGGTCTCGCCCTTGAATGGCCGCAAACGTGACCATAGAAGTCGTAAAGCTCTCGTCTGAGCCTGTGCGCTACAATCCCTTTCACTCTTGATCGTTTGCACTTTTCATGCCAATGCCCAGTATCACGTTTGCGGCCTGACGCCTTGAAAGGGTATTCAATGCAGCCTTTCTCATCAAGTCTTTGCACCAATTCAAATGCTCTAATAATTATGGTTTCTGCACGAGACTTTCGATTGTGCAATATGCTCCACATAGCAGCTTCCGCAAGGGTTCCTCGGTCGCTCTTTCCTCATGTTGGCGGTTAAGAACAACGTTAGGGTCGAAAGACGACCGAGCGCAAGAAACAAATCAGCTTCAATTATGTCTGGCATGACTATTACCAAACTAAACAATAAAAGACAAGTATCGGCTCCCAAGCAGATAGTTGCAGTACCGTCTTCAATTCCTATATCACCAACCGTCAATTTCCCAACTCCAGCAACACCAATAAGGTAAGTCGTTTGAGGATCAGAGAGCTAGTGCAGTCTGTTGAACAAAATGCTTAGATATTTGTTCCGCACACCAATTACCATCACGGCCGGCTCTGAAGGGCACGCTTTTCCTATCCACCTCGAGATCCTGCTCACAGCGTCACCCTTCTTCGCAGCCGCATACAACCCAACTTACGCTTTCCGTGACTCGCCCACACCTCTCACTAATAGATCTAGCATTTCCATTGGTAAGAATAAGACTGATTTCAATAAATTATCGCTTCCCACAATCCTGCCGCAAGATTTTGAATACTTCATCCAATGGCTGTACACCCGCACTTTAGACCACGAAGACTTGACAGGCCCGCATCCAGCCTACTTCAAACTCATCAGACTCTATTCCTTGGCAGATCAACTACAAGTAACCGCTCTCAAAAACAGAATCATAGATGAATTGGCCACCGTTGCGGACCGGACGAATTCCTGTCCCACACCTGATGATACCCGTGTTGTCTGGGACGACGAGAGTGGCTGCCTTTCTTCAAGTGGCTCCTCTACAATCGTCAGATGGCATAGCTCGAAGACTGGCGAAGGCAGCGAAAACGATCAAGCGGCCGAAGGTTGTGGAGGTCATGTTGGTACACATGGTGGTGGCGGACTGAGAGAGCTGATAGGAGATCTATTCGTGTGGAAGAAGACGGATAAGCTTATTGCAGAGCATCAAGATCAGTGGGACGAGAAGTTCATGAGGGAGGTGATTGTGAAGCTGAAGAGGGAGAAGGCGAAGAGCGAACGGCCACCTTGGAGAGACAGGCAGGCAGCCTGTAAAAGGTATCATGTTCATGATGAATGGGCGCCTGCATGTGAGGGTACGGCAAAGGGTAGCTGAAGTTGATCGGCATTAGTGGTTGGCGTACGCGTTGGTGCATAGAGAAAAGGAAAGACGGCATTGGCTTTTTGGAGACGTGGCGTTCGTTCTCGCAATGAGTCGTATAGTATTTCTATGAGTACTGCGTGCTATGGTGCCTAGCAACCCCGTAGAATGCTGATATCTCTCTTTTCATTCATTCATTCACCTCGCTACTTTTCGTCGAAGCAAACATGATGCATCTGAAGTCCCGCGGCACCCTCTCGGATAAGACCAATGTTGTCCTTGAAGAACTGACTATCCCTAACACGCGCATGATCCTCCATGGTCTCGTACCCGAAGACGGCCACATACGCATGGCCTTTCTTTCCTTCCCCAAACTTCTCATGCTCTACATTCTCCATCACCCACCCGCTCGAGAATCCCTTGAACCCTTGCACTCGTTCGTCTTGCAATTTGTGCCCAAACTTCGTCACGTTCGCCGCATACCCCTCATCCTTCGCCTCCACATACGCCGTCAATACCTCTGTCACCGGCGCGTTTGTCTTTCCCACCACCTTGCTCGGCGGATGCGGCTCGAAATTGGCGTGGCGCATAGTGAATCCGCCGTTGACGATCGTCATGAGGTGTTTCACGAAGGGGCCGTAGATGGACGATTTGACGAAGTCTTGATGATGGTCGTATGAATCCCAATCGACGAGAAATTGAAAAATACTGGGGTTTTCGAGGGTGCGGCCATAGTAGGCGCGCTGGTAGCCTGGTTGAGAGGAGACTGTGTCGAGAGTGGAAGCCCACACTTTGCCTGAGTTGGAGGAGGGGTCGTCGATGTCTGTGCCGGCTTTGAGGGACCACGTCGCGATTTCGGTTGCGGGTGCCATGCTTCCATGCAATTGTTGGGACTGATCTGTATGCCGGAGCTCAATGCACGTCAATGTGATTCAAGACAGACGTCAATGATAGTCCGGCAGTGGGGCGGGTATAGGACACTCGGGCCAGACATCTGTCATTCACCATGCTTGGTTTTTGGTTTGAGCCTGAGCCTGAGCCTGCATCGTGAGAACAATGTCGAAAGGGGCCAGTCTAACCGAAGGTCGGGGTAGACTACTGCTGTGCATGCTGCCGGTATTTCGTATGTCGCTGCCCCACCGTCGATCCAGCTTGCAACGTTCCGTCAATACCTGGTACATGCCCGGATCCTGAGCCGGAAGCACTAAACGGCACCCAAAGCTTCGGCTGCCGTGTGAGTGCAGAAGCTTCTTGGGCTAGCAACACCCCGGGCCCTAACTAGTCACCATCTGGATGCTTCCGCAACGGCATTTGAATGGGTGCTCGCGCTGCTGCAACGGTGCCCGCCAACTAGCTTGGGAGGTCCGTGGAGAGCAACAATACTCGTTCCAATTAATGTCGACATACAGATTGTGCATAGACACGAACATCATGTAGTGTGGGGTAGAAACCCTGCTGAATCTGATGAGTCTACCGGCTTTTGGAGCAGATTGCGCAGGCAAGTTCGATTTCAACCACAAGACTGTCACATCAACGACGGCTATGGCGGCGACTATACGTAACCTTGAACGCGACTGAGCTTGGTCTTCCCTAAGCGACCTCGATGCTATGACCAAGACCAACCTCTCGATCATATAGCACTATAAACGACACTGATATCCTACAACCTCGCTCCTAGTCGTTGCCATTAAGCCGAAGAGGCATTCTGCATGCACTCACGCTACCGATTTTGTAAACCTAGTACGATACTGCCTGTTGCCGTTTTTGAATTTTGAAACTTGAATAGGAGATTGTGGTCAGTATGGAGAATAAAGCTCCTTCAAAACGGGCAAAGCAAAAGCGTAACCGCATTATCACCGCTTGCTTTGACTGTCGAGAGCGAAAGGCGGGTTGTGATCGCACCAAGCCCATCTGCTCTCGATGTGGAGACGGGCGCACATGTATATATTTAGACCCGCCGAACAATGCTCTTATTAATGGCACAAGTCGGAAGGTCTCGTCTTTGCCTCCAGAGATCAAAGAAAAAGTCAGCCGGCTATATAGCCAATGCCTTGGGGATGCCAAAGATGGTGATGATGGTTCAGACTATGAGGGTCTTGAGGTCTCACCACTTGTCACGGAATCGGCATCGTATGATGATGATGCCGATGAGACAGAAGTGACCGACCTTGGCTTTCAGATTGGCAAAGTACACATGACGGACCGCATAGGTGGCCAGTACCGCCCAGGAATGGCACACGAGGTGATTGGTTCTCTTGCTGTCTGCGAGAGAAGTTTACTGAATTATTATAGCTCAAAATGCTGTTACAAGCAGCAAGCCATCAGCGTGAATGGGCAGAGGAACAAGCTGTTTGGCCAACGCCACCTGAAATGTTCCAGACTGGCCTCGCCACGCCAACAGGATCATTCATGAAGCCAACCTCTTCATACCTCGCTCCCGACTTAGATACAATCTCCCTCGGTAAAGACCAGGAACTTATGGACTTCCTGCCACCATTCACAATATCAACAAGAATACTACAACAATACTGGAAAGGGGTCCATCCTATCGCTAGGATACTGCACCGACAATCGTTTGAGTCGCGTTGGCAGACATTTGCCAAGAACCTGAGTAACAAAACTCGGCCGACGAAGTCTTTGCAAGCAATAGTATTTTCGATTTTGTTTTCAGGTATGGTTGCGATGCCGCCCGGCACTATTGACAAGGAATTCGGAGAAGATCAACACCTTTGGATGCAAAAATTGAAGGCTGGTACAGAGATTGCATTGACTCAAGCTCAGGTTCTCCAGACGGCCAAGGTGGAGACGGTTCAGGCTTTTGTAGCCTATTTGGTACGTTACTACATCATCTTGTATCGAACAGTACCATCCCGACGGCTGCAGCAGCTGAAGTCTCCGCTACGATACGCACATTTCCCCTCCTTGCTCCTTCCGAAATGATCTTGCTAAGTGAAATGAAGATAGTATTATGCCGCGGAGAGGTCTCTAGGATCCACTCCTCCCTAGTAGCAACGGCCATACGTGTGGCTGAATGCAATGGATATCATGTCGATGGTGAACAACGTGGATACAATCCCATTGAAATTCATATCAGACGCCTGATATGGTACAATTTATGCATTCTTGACATTCGGGTAACAGAAGCACATGGTCCTCGCCCAATCATCCGAGCAGAGGATTACACGACCAAACTTCCAAGTAATGTCGATGATGCCGAACTTGCCAAGGAAGGCCACAAAGAGGCAGCTGAGAACAAATGGACCGAAATGACAGTGCCACTTATTCGATACAGGTGTAACGAATTCATCCGGAGCATTTGGATCAACCGACGCAAGCTCATGGCACGAGAGATCTCGATCACGCCTATCATTAACAGCATAGAGTCTTTTCGGCTCGAGTGGTCACTCAAGCTTACACCGAGTAAACCGAACGATCCTCTACAAAGGTACGGTCTTCGCGTGCTAGATCTTCAGACCTTGCGAACGTACGCTATGGTGCTTCATCCTTACCATATGCACCCGAAACTGCAGATGCCAGGTAGGATGAGCCAATATCTTTAGCACTATGAGCTGACTGGTTGACAGATCGTCTGTTATCCGTGCTGATAGAAAACGGCATTAAGACCATGGATAGAGTAATCGAGGTTGAGACTTTTGCCGACTATGCGCTCTGGCGGTGGTATGCAGGTGCACTGCAACAGCATCACTACGCTATGCTAATGTCAACTGAAATCATTATGAACCCAAGGCGAAAAGAGTCGGCGCGAATTTGGCGAGGCCTTGACTATGTTTTTGAGCCCCCGCAGTTGCCACCAATAGCTAAGGCTCGCTGGATAATTACGCAAGCCTGGTGGAAGATGGAGGTCTATACTGGAAAACGGCACCTTCGTGCGCCCGCAAACTTAGAGAAGAATTTACGCGAAGCACTCAAATTGTCTGATAAAGAAATCCACCGGGATGCAAGGAACTCCAGTGCCAGTACAGAGTCGACCTTAGTCGACGAAGACATTTCTAAAGGGGCACAAAACCTAGGGAGAAAGCCAGGTCGGGGGAAGTCGACTAAAAACCAGACATCCTCAAAAGCTAGTAGCAGCTTCAGAGAATCGCCTTCAAACCCTGGAACCTTATCACCAGGCAGTAATAAAGCCCCTTCCACGCCCGAAACATCTGTGACGAAGTCACCCCCTACTGCACCTGCGAAGCAATTGGTCGATGTTGACTGGGTACGTAATAACCTTATTTCCTGGCGAAGTGTCGAGTCAAGCAGCTACTGATGAGTTCTCAGGGTGTTCTAAACAATTATTACCCACCGGAGCAATATTCGGGCGAGCTTGACGTCTCATACGAGACTTGGTCCCATCTTCTTCAGTCAATGCCTTGTCCAAGTGGCGTCGACCAAGCCAACCCTGGGGCAATTCAATTAGACCCGTTTGGAATCGGTTACAGCGGGAACGCCGCTGCCTTCCATTCCCCAGCCTTAAATGTACAAGATTGGACCGGTTCGTGGACGCAGACGTCGCAGCCTACGGCGCAATTCCTACCGCGTCAGCAGCAATCTGCGATACCTTGGGACCAGCATAGCACAAATCCTGTCGAAAACCAGCAAGGCTCACTGCACTGGAATACTAGCTTTACCCCTCAGCAACAACAGCAAATGTATCAGCAGCAGTACGAAGCACCACAACAAGTTCATCAGTCTCAGTCGCCTCCGCAGTGGACTGGAAGTAACTCTACTGCACCAGGACTCGAGGTGCCGGTAAATGTCTCCGTCCCTGGTCAGCGATCGCAGGAACAACAACGGCGGCAAAACGAGGAATTGAACTTTGGTATGGGTCTTTATCAGTCCATTCCACGGTCGCAACCCTAAATTAATCCAAATCGCAACAATGGAGTTCCTTTGTCCGTTTCTAGGGCGGAGACAAAACATAGATCTAACGGTACGGTATGGCATGACATCTTGTGGTTCGTTTTTGGATGCCCCAGGATAGTAGGTGGAAAGTCGAATGCGGCCATACCGCAGCGCAGATTCTCTCACATATTTTGTTTCCAAAGCTTAGGCACACACATAGCATCAGTGTTTGGCGTTCGCGAAATGTGAAGAGTTCTCACATCGATGCCTGTCTGTAGGCGGTGTAGGGTAATACGGTGGCCTTGCTGGTTGCAGTGGTTGGTGAACACTGAAGGAAAGGAGAGCGTGCCAAGCGCGCTAAACATCTGTAAGGGACTAAAAATAGCCACGGCCCGAGAGGCTAATGCAAGGCGGATCATGGATCCCTCATGGATCTTCGCCTTCTTCGCGTGCGAAGTCACCCAGTCACAACATGAGACCGAACTGTCACAGCCCCAAGCCTCGTCACCATATGTCAAGCTCACAATAACCTCTATAAACTTCATATGTCTTCTTCTTCTCCTTTAAGTCGGCTTTTCATTCTATGTGAGCTTTTCAGGACTCTATCACCTACGAACTCTTTAGGACCACCTCTTGCACACCGTTGAAGAACCATGCTCGACGAAAATCTTCCCAGTATGCGACCGTGATTGAGATTCCTTGACTAAAAACTGACCGTCCAAAGCATTCTATCTCCGCGCCTCTGCAGACAGCATAAAACACCACGCCTCCGTGCATCTATCACATCACGGTTCTGACGCTGCCCCTGCCTATTCTCTACGTCACCCGGACCCTGCCCTACCTGGCTCAAAGAATCGCTATGCAATCGCCCTCTACGACAGCTACAATGCAGACATCCTTTTTGGAGAGGTATTACTCGTACCCCAATGGACTCAGCCGAATAAAGAAGAGACGAGATTGAATAGTGGAGTTCCTCCGGCACCCCAGCCTATACTACCTACCGAGGTTATCTTACAGCTGTACAATCCAGATCAGCAGATCAAGATGAAATGGATCGCTGGCACATGGAACACAGCTCCTTATTGGGGATTTGAGATGCCCGTGCAGAGTTTCCGCCAACCGTCGTCTTCCGCCATCGATCGTGTTCAGAGTGACCCTACAGCCTCGGAGAACACACCAATGCTGGGTTTCAAATGGAAGAAGGATGGCAAACTGTCAAAAGACTACATATGCACCCTCTCAGGGAAGTCGACCAATCCAGATGGCAGCAAGAAGAAACATAAGGAGCCCGACATTACTGTGGCGCTTTTCAAACATTTCAAAGAAATTACTCTCTACGAACCAAATCTTTCGCGAGTCGAGACGGAAGACCCTAAAGGCCTTGAAGTTGTGTTACTCCTCGGGGCGATCGTCATTCGGGAAGTCTTCAACTCCAACGTAAGTGAAGCGTTCAATATCTCGGATTCTGCAGCCACAGCTGCGCCTTTCATCCCCTCAAATGCCCCGAATAAAGCGCACCGTAAACATCGCCATGCTTCACACCCTCCACCTACTCAGCCGCCTCGACATTCGTCTTCTGATCCTCGTCTACCACCCACTGACCCACGTACACAATGGGATTTGGATATGGAGGAGGCACGACTCAAGAAGCAAGTGGCGCATGAAGAGCGTGAGAGGCGACGTCGCGAGGAAGCAGAAACAAGACGAGTACAGAGGATGGTGCAGGAAGAGGAGCATCAGAGGCGCGAGAAGCAGAAGGTGATCGACCGTGAAACGGAGCGATTGAAGAAGGTGTACGGCAAAGGAGGGCGACCAAGCTCGCAGCAGCTTCCGTCAACTAAACCGCCACGGCATCAAGGGCAGGCGGTCACATCGTATCCACCCGCACCAGTTCAGAGACCACACAGTGCAGCACCAGCGCCATATCTCGCAAATAACATACGACCGCAACAGCAGCAGAGCGTGGGCCCGTACCTGCAGCCGTCAGGTTTTGGAGGACCTAGCTCAAGCACACTTTTTTCTGGCGGGGGTCATGCACCTCAAGCTCAAGCGCAACCTCGACCCCAGAAGAAGAGTTCGTTCTGGCATCTGGGCAAAAAGGAGGATAGCTCTTCAAGATTGACGAAGCAACGAAGCGTGGTATTTTGATAGATTTGGGCGGATAGACACGTGAAGATCTGTGATCTCACTTATGATTGAACGTAGCGATTCTTCTTCTAGTCTTCATGTTGCCTGAAATAGACATCTGCAGCGCCGTCCGGACTCTTCAATTCTTCCACGTACGGAACATACCTGCTTTCATCCGACAAGTGACAGGTGGCATACGTGACTGGTTAGATAAGCGAGCTGCTTGGCGTGGGGTTTGCGATTCTAACCTTGGACCTGGAGGACGGGTATCACATGTTTTGCATTTGAGCGACATGGGGAAAGCCATGCGACTCCATGGAAATGTCGGAGCAGACTGTTCACAGGATTTGGAATGGCATTAGAATGGCATGCGCCACAGTCAATATTTAAATCTTGTGTCTCGACAGTCGTGGAGATCGACCCGCGGGCGCGTCAGTGGAAGTCGGCCCTTAAGCGGGAGCCGAGAACTAATAAAGTCATGGCACGAGGTAAAGTCTGGACCTGCAGCTAGCAACATCACACCTTCTTCCGTAGATTATGTTGACGAGTGCCAGAAGGACGTGTGACCGCTTCCACGGAGAAGGGCAACCAGACTTTAAGAGCATCTGAGGAAAGCCAAGACGGTATCGACCGGCTTGGATACTGATAAGGAAACCCATGCAAGCTCACACCTGAAAAGGAGGGCGGTGATAAGAGCTCGACGAATTAGACGGCAGATTGCCATCGCTGGCCTCGCTGTCTGTTCACCATCCTGCGACCTGGCTTGGGAAAGCCAGACGGGAATCGCCCCCATTGATAAGGCTACTGCCCGTCATCATTGGTCCCATCGACATTTCTCTGCCTGCAGCTAGCTGTCGCATCCGCTGTCTCCACATCTCCATGCTCTGACTTATGTATGTCTTAGGTCTGGCCTGGAACAAGTACGTGCTTCATCGAATCTGCATCGAGGCCTTTGAGATCTCATCTCCGCGCAAGGACGTGGACAAGCGCTGTCAACGGCGACACTGAATCTGTCAGACAGGTATAGCCCTTTCGGGTCACCTTGAAACTCGCAACACCTGGCGAGGAATCTCGAAATATCCTTATCGGGCCAAGGACAGGCTGCCCACCGTAGTATAGACCTCCAATTTGAGTTACTCAGCCGTAGCGATCGCCCACGATTCTTTCCTAATCCGCGGACATCTCAACATCCGAGGATCGTTTCTAGTGGACGAATCCCACTTTGGCTCATCGATTCGGAGAAAGGGCATTCAATCTTACTCGCCAAACATTGAGGCGTCAAGGTATCAGATATATCAGTCGACACGTCCACCCTGTTATACAACTTTTTCCTTGTTCTCGCTCGAGTCTGTTCGACGTGCGTATATATTGGAAGGTCGACATTAGGACAATATTCCAGCCTTTTTAGGATACTTGAAGAAAGCCACACCAGACAGCTGACGTCAACCGCCAAAATGTTGAGCCCAGCTATCCTCTGGAAGGCGCCAGAGATCAACCCAGTCAATCACAAAGCACGTTCAATCCCAGGACTTAACCCCATCAATCTTTATGGACGAGTATTCTTCTTCTCGTGGTTCGGCTTCTTCGTTGCTTTCTGGTCTTGGTGAGTTCCTACGAATATGTATGCAGGTAATCAGACGAGGCTAATTGCACGTAGGTATGCGTTTCCGCCATTGGTATGCGATGCAGCCTTGTTTTCGTCTGAAATAGCCTAACTTCTTGAAAGCTTTCGATCACAATCGCGAAGGACTTGAAGTTAACGCAGACTGATATCTCTAATTCGAACATCATTGCACTTACAGCCACGTGAGATCCATCGCTCAAAGTCTGATTTCGTGACTAACTGTCACGTAGTCTCCTCGTCCGTCTTGTTGCAGGGCCGTCTTGTGATCGCTTTGGCCCTCGATACACCTTTGCAGGATGCTTGCTTATTGGCGCTATCCCCACTGCTCTATCTGGCACAGTGAACTCAGTAAAAGGTCTCCTTGCACTTCGCTTCTTCATTGGTATTCTTGGTGGCAGCTTTGTCCCCTGTCAAGTCTGGTCGACGGGCTTCTTCGACAAGAACGTCGTTGGCACAGCAAATGCCTTGACTGGCGGGTTTGGTAACGCCGGCGGTGGTGTAACCTATTTCCTGATGCCAGCGATTTTCGACTCTCTTGTTCATGACCAAGGCCTCACGCCTCACAAGGCCTGGCGTGTCGCTTTCGTCGTGCCCTTCATCGTTATCACGGCCGTCGCTATCACTATGCTGATCTGCTGTCCTGATACCCCAACTGGGAAATGGAGCGAACGCCACCTCGCCGCGCAACAGAATCTCACCAGCCACGGTGTCACAGGCGAAGTTGTCGATGTGCCCCAAGGCCTCACTGACAAGCAACAACACTTGAGCGGGAGCGAATCACCCGGTAGTAACGACGAGAAGAAGATTGGCTTCGAGGCTACGGGCAAAAACAGCACCGCCTTCGACCACGAAGCGAACATCGGCCAGCAAGAAATGCTCGACATCGCCCGTGGCGAGATCGTCCGCAAGCCAACCTTCAAAGAAACCCTACCTGTCATCTTCTCTGCCCAGACACTCGTCCAAGGCGGATGCTACTTCTGCTCCTTCGGCGCCGAACTGGCCATCAATTCTATCTTAGGCGCCTACTACGTTAAGAACTTCAAAAAGCTTGGCCAGACTGGCTCTGGGCGATGGGCAGCGATGTTCGGCCTCTTGAACGTTGTCACGAGACCTCTCGGCGGAATGATCAGCGACATCATCTACAAAAACACCAGCGTCTGGGGCAAGAAGGCCTGGATCCATGTCCTCGGTGTCGTGACTGGCGCATTCCTAATTGCCATCGGTGCATTGGATCCCCACACCAAGACTACGATGTTCGGTCTTGTCGGCGCCATGGCTGTCTTCCTTGAGGCGGGCAACGGGGCCAACTTCTCGCTTGTGCCTCACGTGCATCCTCATGCTAACGGCATCGTATCTGGATGCACGGGCGCATCAGGAAACCTGGGTGGCATCATTTTCGCGATCATCTTCAGATTTAATGGGAAGGATTATGCGAAGGTTTTCTGGATCATTGGGGTCATGACGATTGGGATTAATTTGGCGCTGAGTTGGATCAAGCCAATTCCCAAGGGACAGATTGGTGGTCGTTGATGAATTTTCCTTTGATATTTGGGGACGGCAGCACTATGCGTCTGATGTATTGGATGTAAAAGTACGGTATATAGCAGTTCGTGTTGACGAAGTAGTTGAGAGTCTTTTATGATTCAAAGTCCCGCCTTTAAAAGGTCCGAGCATCTGTTTCACTCCTCCAGAGAGCTTTCTCCTCGGAGCCTCATCAAGTCTTGGCAAGGTGTAAATGGAAGGGCTTGAACGGAAGGGGCGTAGAAGTCGGGACAATGTCTACGCAGTCATGCTCATAAATATCGCCCGATCGTTTTGCGGGATGCGAAGGGTGCGCCGTCGGACGGCCAACCTCATCGCTGAAATACGTATTTTGATGCGGATGTCATGGGTAATCCACGTGTCCATGGTATGAAAGCAATGTTCCTGGCAAATGCATCCAACTTTGTGCCTTGTGGTGTAGTTAGATTGTTGGGCAACCGGCTCAATACACTCAATACACTTACATACTTGCCTATTGGCAGTAATGGCATTTGGAGGCTCAATAAAGCCAGCGCTTGGAGTACGGTTTCAACTGGCACCTACGAACCAATTCAGCGTGCAGGTGAGGCTGTGCCTTCACGCGACATTGATGATTTAACCCCATTTCCTCGGTACCTGCATTCTGATTTACTCTTTTTCCTTCTATATTTTCTCGACAGCAGGTAAGAATTATCACAATGACGGATAATTACGGCCTAACCCAATTGTATGCTGGTTCCGATCCAGTCGTGGATATCGTTGCAGTGCATGGCCTTTATGGCAATGCTCTGAATACGTGGACGACCAAAAGGCACGAAAAGAAATGCTGCTGGCTGAGTGACCCTAGAATGTTGCCCGAGAAGCTTCCACGGGCGAGAGTCCTCACATGGGGGTATAACGCGGACGTCACAGCGCTTTTCGGAAATACTTCAGCGGACCGTATTTTGCACCACGCCCATACTCTGGTGGCTCAATTACAGGCAGACCGTGAGGTATCAAGTCAAAACGCTCAGCTTCCATCTCATATTAATGTCTGCATCAGATGGAAGACGCTACTGAGAGACCTATTATATTCATCTGTCACTCACTCGGAGGCATCATTGTGAAAAGGGTAATTACAGACGTCCTCCTCTCGCAATCACATCGTGCAATTCAATGCTGAGTCGCCCTGAAGGCATTAGCATATTCCGCCAGTCGAACTTCAAAAAGTATAGAGCATCTATACTCAATCTATGTCTCCACGTATGGGATTCTGTTCTTCGGCACCCCACATCATGGCAGCAATGTCGCAAAAATGGCGAGCATCGGCCAACGTCTACTCAGCGCTGCCATGCCCAAGAAGGTCTGGGATACCACGCCCCAGCTCCTAGAGGCTCTCAGAGAAGGTTCGGAAACACTTCAAAATATCACTGACCAATTTACACCTTTGATGAAACGCTTTCACATATTTTTCTTCTGGGAGCAAGAGAAGACTAATCTACCACACACTCATGACTATGTAGGCCAGTGAAGTTTAAGCTGAGGCGCTCAAACTGACCTCTGTAGGTGGTTTACGAGGGGTCGGCGGCTCCCATCCTGGATGGAGTAGAGAGATGTGGTATCGCTGCCAACCACTCGGAAATGTGTAAATTTGAGGATTCTTCCTCAACAGCGTACCGTACTACTGTGTCAGCTCTGCTCAGGTATAGCCGAGCAGCTCCCTCTCTTATACAAAAACGAGCATCTCGGGCAAATGAGATGCTCAAAGTGTTGAGAGAGCAGGAGGCTCTGGAGTTGGTAGGCTAACAGGTCTTAAACCGTTGAATTCTGGCCCTGGAGGTTATTCGGGCAATTCGCGCAACATGTGAGTCGACCTCTCATTGGCCTTGGGATTGAGTCTTCTGATGCAAAAAGCAACTCAAGTACGACTGAAACGAAGTGGGCAGCCGTCTGCGCACGACATGACCAGTGTCATTTTCTGCCGATCTGTCGCTGTTCGCTGCTTGCCGTCGATGTCATGCGATGACCAGCCAAGCCATTTTCGGATCTGAGAACGCTCGAATGCGCCAGCTTCGATGTGTGGGAACGTTTGTAAGATACGTACTATTGTGAAGGAGGCGATTGTCAGGCCGAATTCCTCTTCATGAATGATTAGCAAACCCCTGGATTGAACAATTTTGGGTCTACTCACGGCCAAGACATATTCGTGGTCCCCCGTTGAAAGGTAGATATCCCCAAGAAGCATTTATACGATCGTTCTGCAAAGGTAGGTCTTTTCTCGTCCAGCGTTCTGGTCTGAATTCATGCGAGTCTTCGCCATAAAGATCCTGTCTTCTGTGCATGGCATATACGCAGTATGCAACGTTCTCTCCCTTTTTCACTAACACGGGTGACTTACCGTCAGGCCCACCGCCTGTGGGAAGCATTGTGGTCTCATAAGCTGTTCGTGTATTTACCGGCACCGGGGGTAAAGTCGAAGCGCTGCATTGATACAACAATCAGCCTTCTGGAAGACGCCAGATCCTCCCTTGATCGGGGTTGACTTACTCTCTTTCAGAACATTCGACAAATAAGTCATCTTTCCGAAATCTTCCCGCTTCAACTTGATATTCTCACCAACAGTCGAATTGATTTCCTCGCGGACCTGAGCTAGGACTTTAGGATGACGAGCGAGATTATAACTGGGCACATCAGTCGGGTTTTGTCCATTAGGCATGGGACATACAATGTCCACGAGATCAAGCACGACGTCGTATCTCGCCCCGCTAACAGTATGTTGAGTAGTTGGCCTCGGAGGTCTTCCGACCTCTTCACGTCCTCAGCAACAGCATCGAAGAACAAGTAATTCTCCCTCCCTTCTTGAGCTTGTTCGAGATCAATTCCAGCCTGCCGCTCATGTATGATTTCATCTACAAAGTCGTGCACCTCATCACAAGCCTTGAAAAACTTACGGCCTCCCACAAGCCAGTATAAATCAAGCAGTCTAAACCTCTTCACGACAAGATCTTGAGCTGTGTCAAAATTTGTAGCGAACCTCAGTCCATCGGCAGACTTGTCGTCTTTCAGACTATAGATAGACTGTCCAAAGAGGAAAGACGTTGTCGTGTCCAGCGTATACCTAAAAAGGAGTGGCTGAATATCAACAATGTTTACTCCATCATGAGGGAAGTGGGCCATCAGATGTTGAACATGCTCTTCGAAAACGTCTAGATTTTGGTACTGCTGTCGAGTGAATTGTGGGCGAAGAAGCTCTCTTGAATGCTTCCACGCTGGCCCGTCTTGAGTGAAGACGCCCTCTCCCAGGAATGGCAGCATAATCTTCTTGCGAAGCCCAAATCCGAAGTCTGGTTGCCTCCACATTTCAGCTGCAACTCACGATGACTCCCGTCTTTCTACGCCAGAGAATACTTACCAGAAAATTGGGATGATAGCATGGCTTCGATATTTCGTGGCTCAATCGTACCGAGGGCGGGTGTCCCAAGGAATTTCTGCTCCAGTGTAGTCCCTACATCCCGGAAATGAAATTCGAAAAGGTCCATAAGTCGATGATCTGCGTCAGCCTGGAATATCTGAAGCAAACGATCGATCCCAAGCGGCCACCAATTTCTCAAACGAGGCGCCGGTAAACAACCATGTTCTCGAGCGAACAGGCTTTCTTTCTGATATGAAATAAAGATCAGCCGATACGGTTCTAAAGGCGGAAAACCGGTTACTGTTATTGTGTCGCATTCAAGAAGTCAGAAGTTAGGGGGTGCAACGAACTCGAGTGATTGTGAATTTTCTCAACCCTCGCCACAGAAGCCAAGTGAAGAAAACATATAATATAAGATGCCACCAGGGATTTCCACCCAGGTAATCTTTGCAGACATGATAGAACATATCCTTAGCGACCTTTTGACACCATATGTGAAGGAGGCTTCATACGGTTCAGAGAGTGAATACACTTCACGAGTCAATGCCAAAAGGCTCGCTTGCTGTCGGGAGTGTGCCCGACCTGAAGGGCTGCACTGAGGGGGAAACCACGCAACCCCTGCATAGCACCATGCCACCATCACCACCGGGAGAATTGCAGCCATTCAGGGATGCTCGCCCCCAATCAAATCACCTTAGCGCTGTGACTACCAGCATAGCCTCAAGGGGAAGCACATCCGCCCGAAATCGATCTTTGGCGCGTTCCGTCAAGCACCCTTCTTTCGAGTTCAATAATGGGTTACATGGTCTCCCCATCGTTCCTCAAAGCTTGAAACACCATCCAGCAGACTTACATCTACCACTAAAGAATGGTCGGGGCTCATTGAGGTTTCGAGCGGCCTCGAGTCCTTTCAAGCAATCGTGAAGTAGCCCGAGACCTACCGACCCGATTGGCAGTCCGGACCATAGAAAACCGTTGATTAACCGCCTTTTGGACTTCTCTGCAGATGTCATTAGCGCGTTTGCAGGATCGAGTTTAGAAGCGCATCCCACCTTTCTGTCAGTCGAGAGAATGGTATACCTTCATGACTTTGGTGCCATGTGGACGGTAGACCTTCATCCCCTGTCCCTGCGTCCTTTGGTGTCTTTATGCCGCTTCGAGTCCTATTTGAATCCCCAAGCGCCGACGATGATTTGCACAAGGCCGTAGAGTAAGTCATATTGGTCCATAATTGCCATGTCACTATGGCACACGTCAACTTTCTATGCCTTTACCAGCGGCCTCGACTTTCTAACCTTCACTTAGTGTAGTTGCAGTCCATGGACTACATGAGGTCTCCGAGGCGTGTTGGGAAGTCGAACCATCTCGTAAATCCTGGCTGAAAGATATTCTACCTGATGGTGTGCCTGTGCGCCGAGTTCTAAATTATAGCTATGTCGCCAATCTTTCGACACTTCTCGGCGATGATCCAGCCAACAATATCTTACAGACGTCGCATTCCCTCGTAGCAGACTTGGAAGGATTTCGCAGTCTTGACAATACAGCAGAACGACCACTGATCTTCGTCTGCCATGACCTTGGAGGAATTATTGTGAAGAAAGCGCTGGCATACTCTGCGACACGGGTCTCGCAGAAGGTGGAACATCTATATTCGATATACCTATCTACCTATGCTATCTTGTTCTTCGGGACGCCTCATTATGGATATAACACACAAGCTTGGCAATGGATGGCAGGAAGACTTCCAGCCTCCTCTACTCGCCAATCTCATTTGTCGGCCAGTATTGCAAGATTTGACGAGATCCTGCAGAACACCACGGACGAGTTCGCGCCAATAGTCAAACAATACCATATATATTTCTTCTGGGAGAGTCAACCAAGTCTACTTGATCAGATCAAGGCATATGTCGTATCACAAGAGTCTGCTGCTCCCGTGTGGGACCGCACGGAACGTTGTGGCATTGAAGCTTCACACTTTACGATGTGCAAGTTCAGTAGTGATACTAGTCCGGGTTTTACAACAGTCATGGCGGCTTTAAAACGATATGGACTTGAATGTCATGTTATTGTGAAGCGGAGATGGCAGGTCGCAAGAAAATTCTTGGAAACCCAACGGTCGATTGAAGCAACAGAGCTTGTTGGCTTCGACGTGCACGAAGCTAATAAGCCGTATACCTATATCAATAGCCCCAAGCACCAACGGCATTCGAAGATGGAGAACAAATACTACTACGTACCACACAATGTTAGTGTGTTTTATACAGGTTGGGAGTCCGTTACGAGAGAGCTACAGCAGAGCTTCCTTAGTCCACCGAGTCCACTATCCGGAAGGAAGCGAAGAATATTCGTTCTGTATGGGCTTGGTGGATCTGGCAAGACCCAATTCTGCCTTAAATTTGTCCATGATCATCGGCAAAGGTGCGGTCAACTGTTCCACCCTGACTTTTCTGTCTTAGACTAAACAAACACAGATTCTGGGCCATTTTCTGGCTAGATGCCAGCCGAATCGAAAACGCAGAACGGGATCTTTCCCAAATTGGCAAACTCGGAGGTCTTGGAGACACTCACCAAGCCGGACTCTATTGGCTGACAGGACTCTCCCTTCCGTGGCTCTTGGTCCTCGACAATGCTGATGATCCTGACACGGATTATGCAAAATACTTTCCTGACGGCCCAACAGGACATATCCTCGTGACCAGTCGACTCAAAGCGTGCAAAACTCATGCTACAGTCGGCTCACACGAGTTTCGACAAATGGGCGCAGAGGATTCTGCAAAGCTACTCCTACGTGCTGCAGGTCTCAACAGTGCAGTGTCCGTGAATCAATGTGGAATTGCACGGAACATCGCGCGAAAACTTGGTTATCTGCCACTCGCCCTCACGCAAGCGGGTGCATCAATCCGCCAAAATATCTGCACTCTTGAGGAATATCTCGAATTGTATGATATGCACAAAGCGGAGATGTTGAAAGATCATCTAGTGCAGGGCACTGACCAATACAAGCACACTATTTATACAACCTGGGAAGTGTCAGTGCAGAGAATACAGAAAACCGGGACTAAGGTGGCTACCGATGCTTTGGAAATACTTTATACAATGGCCTTCTTGCACTTTGAACGAATACCTAGAGACTTGTTCTTCAACGCTTGGGTGAACATGAAAAGATCAGTACGTACTTCGTCAGGAGTAAATCATCACCCACAGAGCGCACTCAGCCATTTTCGGGACATCATTGCGTCTCTTGTTCAGACAGCAATGGTAATCGTGGGCTATGGTACTGAGAGCCGAAAAACAATTCTACCAGACATCCTTTCTTCCCAGAGCGACAAATGGGGAGGAACTCAGGTTTCGCCGCGCTTTGAGTCTTCTGGAGAGTCATTCGCTTGTCTACCTAGATGCAGGGGGGAAATCTTACACGATGCATCCGATGGTCCACCTTTGGTCTAGAGAGCGCTTTGATAGTGAAGAGCAGCAATTGTGGTCTGACATTGCCGTCAATGTTCTTTCAGAGTCTCTTGCTATCGTTGCAAATAAGTCTAGCCGGGAGTACAGGAGAGGACTCATTCCCCACATCGACGCATGCCTCTCTCAACAGCACCGAGCAGCGACGTTCGTGAAATACCAAGATACTCAAACTCTGGCGAAGGCAATGAAGTTCAGTGACGTCTATGCGGAGAATGGTGAATGGCATAAGGCTGAAGGCTTGCAAAGACGGGTTGTGAAAGCAAGGGAAGAGCAACTAGGTCTTGCCCATGCGGATACTCTGGACGTGATGGCTCAGCTTGCTGATGGATGCTGGAACTTGTTCAACATCCCCGAAGCAATCCTACTTTACGGTAAGATTGCCGAGAATGGCGCTCAAGCCTATGGTACCCAAGATCCCCGTGCACTCAAAGTGATTGACAATATGGCGAAGACATTATGGCTTGCTGGGAAAACGAGCGAGGCACTGCGCTGGAGTGAAAGAGCAACGATTGCCATGACCACTGAATTAGGTGAGGGTCATCCCGACACGCTGACTGCCGTCTTCAATCTTGCCCGCAATCACATACACCAAGGCAGTCCAGAGGAAGCCGCGAAGAAACTTGAGTTTGTCCTTGCTCAGCGTCGCCGTATGCTAGGCGAGAGCCACCCTGATACCTTGTCCGCTTTTGCAGAACTCGGCGTCGCATGTTACCACCTCCGTCAGCTTGACAAAGCAGAAGACCTGCTGAATCGTGTCTTACATGAGCGCAGTCGCATCCTTGGATCTCATCATGCCTACACCCTCTGGGCAGTCAACGACCTAGCAAAGATCTACACCGAACAGGGGCGCTCGAAGGAAGCCGAACATCTCCTAACGGACATCCTTGATATTGTAACCTTGACCCTTGGCGCAGAGCATATCGGTATGCTAATGACGAAGTACAACCTTGTGCGCGCCTACAATGGCCAAGGGAAGTGGGCTCAGGGGCGCACGACCCTACTCGAATTGATGGCGATTCAGGGTCGCAAACTACCGGCAATGCACCCAGATTGTCTCTCATCAAGGTTAGAACTCGCGCGTACAAAACGGCATTTAGGGGAGTTAGAGCCTGCAGAGCGTGAGCTAAGAGGCTTGATTGAGGAGATGAAAAAGGTATTGGGACAGCATCATCCGCAGACTAAACGAGCTATGGGGCAGCTGAGTGCCATTTATATTAATATGGGAAGGCTGGAGGAGGCTGAGGAGCTAGATCAAGGCTTGAGGAGAATAGGAAGCAGTATATACGGGGAGGAAGAGATGGCAAAGCCCGTTGAGCAAAACGCGAGTGTGTTGATGATGGGACGAAGAAAGGTAAGGAATAAACCTATAAATACCTGGTGATTCATTGCAATGAACCATTTGAAGCCCTCGTGCGGAGGCGCATATATGACTGTGCCTGCACATTGCTTGAAAATTCGTACTATCGTCAATCTTGACTTCATCTCTGCTCTCAAGAAGATTGGCTTCCTGAATGGTCTGTGGTGGAGGCGAATATTGTTTGCTATACAACAATTGTTCATCAGGTCAAAAGTCTTCGTCTCTGCGTGACAAGGTCTTTCTATCTTCCTTGTTTGATGTTCCTATGTGGAATGAAGGGGCTCTGGAAATCAAGGCGTTAGGCATTGACATCAAGAGCCTATCCAACCATATTTGGCGCGTTTCTACACGTTATCCTGCCTCAAGACAATTTCACTCACCATCATTGCGCCCCTTACTGCCCGCTCGTGAAGTTCATTGCCTGATTACATCCTCTACTCGCTACCCGGGTCAACCGTATTCTCCCTCAGTCTCGCGAAACGTGTTCGAGCTTCTTGTATGCAATACTCCAAATACGCTCTGAACGATCTGGTAAGTCCTCACATTAGCTCATCGCACCATTCGAAACGACTTTCTGGTTCCTTACCCAAAGACAATTGACACTGGGTTCCAATGAAAAGTGACAAGCATCATCCACTCCATCTGCCTCAGCTCCTCAATGCTTCCGTACAAGTCAGCGACGACCCTTTCAAGCACTCTTTTGGTGCCCTCGTCCGCCGCTGCATACTGAGTGTCAAATTCTTCAACAGCGGATTTCACTAGGTTCGGTTCAATCAACAATTGGTAGCCTTCATCGGTACCACTTCCGGTCTGTAAGCCTCGAGGCAGCTTCGGCCACTTGAAAAGGTTCATCATGTTCGAGGGTAGCTCGTCGTAAGGCAGAAGCTCTACTGTCTCTGGCCAGCCGGGTTCTTGCCATGCCATGATGTCTGCGGGTTTGAAGATGTCGATGTCGAGCTGCGGGTCACCCGTATAGAAGCCATTGGTAACGGCCAGGAATTCTTTAAAGTCCCTTGGTAGCTCTGTGCCTAATCGTTCCTCCATCTGTCGAATTTTTTGGGCACTCAAGCCTCGGTGAGTAAAACTGTTCGGAATTGGAGAGTCATCGCAGTTGACAAGGGCCGACTGTTCACGCTCATGCGGCTTGATTTGGAGCCAGGTCACGTCGAGCAGGTCTATGAGTTCTCTGATACTTTGGTTTCTGAATGGTCGTTCGGGGCCCTTCTCGAAACGTTGCGTCAGTGTATAGAGCGTTGACTCGACGTGATTCAAGATCACATTGTCCGAGATATTGAGGTGGCCTTTTACGAAGCCAGCACTAAGCAATTGCCACACCTTTTTGTTGCCAGCGAAGCTTTGTCTTTGATTTGTGGTATAGTCTCGCTGGTTGCGAGAACCGAATATTAAGGGGATGATTTCCTTCAGAAGCTCTTCGGCGTTGCTGTTTTGGCTGAGAACAAAGGCCATCTCAATTATGATACCGGCAGAGCCTAGCTTTTTGCCACCCTTGGCTTGCTCATCGTACCTTGAGAACGCATCCTGGAGGTCCTGATCGTCGAAACTAGGATACTTCTTCCTCAAATCTTCGGCCCACTGTTGACGGGACCACTTTTCCATCTCCCGAAGAGATTCATCGCTTTTTCCAAAGTGTGGGGATCGGCTTCGGACAAAAGCAGGTTTATTGGGGTCACGCTTCAATATGAATGTTGGCCACTGCTGTGAGGTATCCCACGCGAAATGCATGGCTACCTTTTGAAGGTCGTCGTTTTCAAACGTCAAAACATTATGATCATACAGAATAGAAACAATGCGATTGCCTTGTTCAATAGAACCGAGAATCATCACATCAAGAGCTGCGGACAGACCAGCGCTAGTGACACATTTGAAAGACCTCTCTTCGAGCACTGAAGGCTCTAGAGGACGTAGGGGAAAGAACGGCATGGCGAGGAAGCACCCTAGCCTTTGGTAGAAAGGGTTTGAGGGGAGGCAAATCAACGCAACAGATTAGAGTGGCAGAGATTGAACATCATAAGGACACCATGGATAGTGATGAGTGTCAAATGAACCCCGTGGCTGTAGCCTAATCGAGCCATCTGACACTAGACTGGTGAGACCGCAATTCACTTTTTAGAGAGCACGCCAATCATAAACTTGTCGCAATTCGTATACGAAATGGATCTTTCACAGCCCAGGTCGCTTATGTTCAGACTCGATAGGGAGAAGAGACTCGTATAGCCAGGTTAGAAGTGGGAATAGTTAGATGTAAATAACAGACTCGATCAGGGACACGCGTCGAAATCTTGAACGCCAAGATGACACCTAGTCACGTGAGTCCATCACGCCGTTCGATGTGTTATCCATCCATTGAGAGACTAATCCTCTTCAAAGTGCAGCTATTGGGGCTTTGGAAGCATCATTGCCCACTGTGACTCTGATCACTGCGGATGAAAGCTTCTCTGAAAGCCTTCCACCCTCGTGCTTTCGCGTTGCCTAGCACCATGTAACGAGCATTCACTGTGCTATGGCAGCTGCTGCCACGGCCCATATCTTCGCTTCTGTTTTTCCTCCGCCATCTGAAGTCCCTATACCAACACCGACCAACACTCCGCTCCTGCCATCTTCCAGCACTTTTGGGGAAGTCCTTCCACAGCGTCCCTCCTCATCTCATGATCACCCAGGTCCCGGTGTGGCTGAACAGATCAAATGGGATCGCGCTTGGCATGTTGCCACTTTGTCTCTGTCTCTTACGGATGAACCTATTGACGTCTGCACTTCAGAGGGTGAAGAATCGCTGAAAAAGAAATGGTGGGCCAACGTTCCAGACACGGAGACGAGAAGGGCCGTGGAGTATTTGCTAGACAAGGGTAAGAAATTACGGAAAGATGAGGATCTGGTGCGATGGTTCTTCGAAGTTCAGGTCGTTAGCCATTTCATCCGTGTCATGCGGCCGCTACTTGGCTCAATGTTAGACGAGAAAATAAAGGGTCGTAAAACGGAAACTATGGTGGAGGGACTATTGGACGTGGGAAAAGGCCTTTATCTATGCCAAGCGATCTATCTTTACCCTGTCAAGAGATATATGGAGAAGTTCCTGACTGCTTTTCACGTGCAAAGGCTAGAGAAGGATCTACACGGCCTTTTTGTGCAATGTTTACCAAAGGAACAAGTTGAAGCATGTCTGAAGCAGTTTCTTTTGCATCAAGCATCAGTCGTTCTCGTTGTTGACAGGGCTCGCTATGCCCCTAGATATACACAACAGAGATCCTACGACCAGGATTTGACATTGAAGGAAAAGCAGAAAACGCTCACCTGGGTCAAAGCATTGCAAGGAGTAGGACTTGGCGGGCACCAAGCGCAACGAGTTCTTGGTGAAGTCATGATTGAAATTCTTGATAGCCACGTGAGGACAAGCCTTTCGCGGCGATGGGATTCGCCATCTCATAGTGAACAGCGTTTGCGGCATTGGGTCGCAAGCGATTTCACGCTCTTCATTGTTCAGATTCTGGAGGCTATGCACGAGGCTCCTTCAATCGACCGCTCCAGACAAGAGCAAGATGTTCACGTCGATGTCCAGAAATGGCAGGACATGGCAAGTAGACGATTAGGAGCCCTGAGGGCCGACGAGCTGTATGATGTGGTCCTGGAATGGGACAGCAAGATGCAAGGTATTATTCAAGATCTCAAGGTCTACGTCAAGGATTCGGACTCCAGAGCATACCTCACAACGACTTTCTCCAATGCTATCAGTAGTAAATTATTGCAACCAAGCTCGGCGACCAGCGATATCCTACGGGTCTACATTTCAACTATACGAGTCTTCACCTTGCTCGATCCTAGGGGCATCCTTCTCGATCGGATCGCCAGACCCATTCGAAGATATCTGCGGGAACGAGACGATACTGTGCGCATTGTGGTGAGTGGCTTACTCACAGACTCCACTCAGGGTACCAACGTGGACGGGGCCTTGATTGAGCTTGCGTTTGAAATGTCCAAGCATGACAGCCATGCAAGACCGGATGAAGCGAATGCTGACCTCGATTTTGACGATATGGAATGGATGCCGGACCCTACTGATACCGGACCAGAATACAAGAAGCCTAAGCATTCCGATGTCATTGCCTCTCTCATCAGTCTTTTTGAGTCAAAGGACATTTTTATCAAGGAATTTCAAAACATTCTTGGTGAGAATTTATTGAAACGTGAGCAAGGTTTCGAGTCCGAATTTCGGGTGCTCCAACTCTTGAAGAATAGATACGGCGAAGCAGCGCTTCAAGCTTGTGAGGTTATGGTCCGAGACATTGTAGATTCAATTCGCCTGGATGCTGCCATTCAGAAACACTCACTTCTTGATTCCTCCGGAAGATTCACCGGATTGCGTTCCCACCAAGCCCCTTCACAGCTCTCGCCTCTCCACACAAGAGTACTTTCACATCTGTACTGGCCATCGCTTCATTCTGACTCTTTCAACATTCCACCTGAGATCGAAGAATTGCAGGAGGAATACGCCAAAGGCTTCGAAAAGTTCAAGACGTCGCGCAAACTGACCTGGCTGAATGTTCTTGGCCAAGTTACTGTGACCCTCGATTTAGAAGACCGCACCGTCACAGAAGAAGTCCAAACCTGGCAAGCAAGTGTAATCTACGCCTTTCAGCCGACTGATGCCGATGATACCTCCACACCAATCATCCGCAGCGTTGCTGACCTTATTGAGAAATTATCAATGCCGGAAAACCTCGTCTTAAACGCGCTGACCTTCTGGGTCGGCAAACTCGTCCTCAAATCCCTTCCAACGCCTCCCAATCCTCTGCGTAGCTACGCCGTTCTTGAAACGCTTGCCAACGAAGCCGCCGCGCAAGAGGGTACCACTTCTGCCGCCATAGCTATAGCGGCGGAGACGGTGACTGCGGCTGTAGCACCTGCCGTCCTGAGCGAACACGAGGTGGCAAGGGAAAAGATGGGGGTGTATGCGCAGTATGTGGTTGGCATGCTTACGAATGGGGGTGCGATGCCGCTGCAGCAAATCATTACGATGCTGGACATGGCGCTTCCTGGAGGGTTCCCATTTGGAAATGAGGAGCTCAAGGCGTTCCTCGAGGAGGAGGTAAGGGAGGGGAGACTAGATTTTGGTGGTGGTGCTTACAGAATTAAGCGTTGAGATCGCGACTCGTCTGGACACACCCATTTTGCCCACTTACCATCATGAATGTGGGCTGGGCTGGTGCACAGTTAGCAATGAATGCTCGTCCACGGGCAGTTCACAAGGTATCAGTCTTCACAGGCCACGCAGCCAAAAACCACGCACTAAAATGATACCATGAGAAATAATGAATGATAACTGACTGGTAGAACCGACCGAGCTGCTTCGAAAGGACGAGGCTAGAAGACGAAGAAATCGAGCTTAGCTTCATAGTAGAAGACCTACCTGAAGTGGGCGCTCATCCAGGGAGTGAAGCTTATGTAACATTATGTACAAGAATAAAAAGACACCTTTCGAAGGTACCATCCAAAAGCCACATACTTACGGCTGTCCAAATCCCCTCGCGTTCTCCACTGCCCGTTCCAACATCTTCTCCGTCTTCCACCTCGACGTATACTCCGGGAGCAGCAGCCTCCCAAAACACGTCAAGCTCGTCGGCAGTCTCTCATCGCCCACCCCATTCTTCTGCACCACAAATGCCACCCTCGCCTCTCCACCTACAGGCAATCGATCACTCGCAGTCACGAACTCCAGCAACTGTTGCACCCTTGCCTGTCCTATCTCCATCGCTTCTTCTTTATTCTGGGAGAAAGGTCCTTCCGAGCCTTGGCCAGAAGCCCAACCATGGACAATGGACCAGAAATGCTTGATGATGTAGTGCTCTGCGAAGTATCCGCCTTCGTACTTTGTTACGGCTTCGAGGTCGTGCGTATTAATTTTGGGTACGCCTTGAATGAGTGTCTGTAGTGCGGTTACTGTGAAGAGATCTAAAGATTTAGGGTTGATGATGGCTTTGAAACCCTTGGCAAAGGCTTCGTATTGCGGCTCTATACTTGTGGTCGTGAGGTGGTAGATGTAGTCCTGGATGTACTGGTGCCGGTTGGCGTTTGTAACCATAGGGATGCCGGGCGACGAGGAGCGGGATGTGGTCGGAGAAGATTTTGATGGAGGCATCATATCAACGCTTTGGGCTGTGCCGAAGACGTCGACGCTGAATTGGTAAGCGCGACAGAAGGTGTCCTCGACATCGCCATCGGACCAGTCTTTCAGTGCCTTCAAGCCCTTGGCTAGCTCAGGCCAGCCATCTTCAATGTCCTCCAGGTGACTTGGTGGGTGGTTGAGAAGTTTCATGTAGAAAGCAATTGGAAGGTTGAAGGGCAGAGTTAAGCCGTTGTAGATTGCTAAGGAAGTAAGCAATCCGAAGAGTTCAAATTTGTACAAGGGCTCAAGAGAGCTGGGTTGAAACCACGCCATCCCAGTGACTGAGTCCGTGGTGAAAGTGCCGTACTTGGGATCCATAAATTCTGCAGTGGCCAGTCGTAGAAACTCCTGCTGTATGCCACCATGATCTTCGCCCTCCTCGCCCTCATCTTCGCCTAGGATAACTTTGAGAGGCCGCGTTAGCTCCTGTTGCTGCCTGCGCCAGAGCTGATCAAAAGCATCTGTGAGGATGTTGTCGCGTCGAATTGTCAAAAATAAATTTTCCTCGGTAAGTCTACGGACGCGATCATCTGATTTCAAATTTCCCTGGCCAGTCTCACGAGAAGAGAAACCCAAAGACTCCACAAGTTTAGCGTTGATTTTGGCTTCATGGTATGCTTTCGCCATGGCTGCATGATTGATGGCTCTAAAGAACGAGACCAGGGTAGAAGGGCGGAACAGGAAAGGGTAATTCAAAAGGTGAATGAGGTTATTGTCGCCGCCGAATTCCATCCATGTGCCAGGCATCAGAAGTATATCTAATGTCTCTGCCACATATGGAGTCTCAAAGCTCTCGCAAGTGACGCAGCGTCCGCCATAGTAATTGTCTACAATGAAAAGTCAGCTTTGAGCCTGGAAGAGAAGCCAATGACCAGCTTTTGTCAACATCAAGGAGGTAATGTCCGCATTCAAGAATGATAGGGGGTAAAATCTCTGGCTGTCGATGATGAAGAGAAGTCAAATGACTGAAGACTGACAATGAGGAGAAACCCACAGATAGAAGACATAAGCTCTAGCACGCCTCCAACAGCGGAGCATTTTTGAATCTCTGCCTTCCCATTCCATTCTCGCAGTATGACACCCCGAAGCCACTCGATCACAAGTTCGAGACACGTAGCCGTTGTCCAGTCTTCGGTAATCTTCGGGTAGTCTTCTTCGTTGAACACTTTACAAGCGTAGCTTTCCGGCCTTTCCATTATGATAGCTTCAGAATCAACAATACTACGCACGAGTAGGTCTAGCGAGCTTGCGTGCGGGGGCTTTTCTGCCTGTCTCCCCCAATTCAATCTGTCTGTGAAGGTTTTCGACGTGATATCGACAAGCTACTGCCGTACACAGCCGCACAATCAGCGCATGTGCCAAATCATTATCAAAAGCATCAAGCATTTCAAGCGTGAGTGATATGACTTCCGCAGGTATTGGAGGATCACCAGACGGTGCTGGGAGCGCAATGTGACCAGACTTTCGCAACTTCTGCACAGCGACCCAAGCTTCCAGCGACGGTATCCTAACGGAAGCAACAAGTGTTGCCAGGATCACCTTGGCGATATGAGCAATTTCGACCTCGGAAAGCTCTTCCCGTTGCTCTAACGGTGAAATCGAGCTGTTGGGAATGGGTTGAAATCTTCGAGCTGCAGCCTGCGCTGAGGAAAACGTAGGATTTGTTACGTACAGCGACTTTGCGTTCACCCAGAGACATGAGAAAACCGACTGAGGATGAGAGACAACGCATCGAGATCTGGAAAGGTACTTGACTATCAGTAGAAAATTGATAGAGCTGTATTTCACACAAGCAGTCTTCGCTCGCCCAAATTCGACAACAAAACGTCTGAGAATCTCATCGCATGAGCGAATTTTACCGCACAGAAAGTGGCCGACATCAAGAGAATGTACCTCGTTCTCGCCAGGCCCACACGTATGAGAAAGGAAGTAGTCGGTGCGTCCGAGTCTTTTGTAGTCCATTGAGTTTGAGCGTCTTCCGTAGGTCAACGAGCTCAAAGATACTTGATCAGCAACTGCTGGAGCCTTTTCATTCTTATGGCTGTCTCTCTCAAAGTCCCAAGGCGTGGCATCAAACATGCTTTGAACCAGAGACCCCGGATCCTTGCCTTTAGATGAGACTTGTAGTGTAGCGATCCCTTTCTGTGGGATACTGCTTGTTGGAGATCCTAATTGGTTATCGCATGAGCCTGAGATTCGGAGCAATTGACCCTCCTCGCGTGTTTGTAGTTGGCTAGAATGGTCATTTGATCGAGCCTTGGTCTCATCAGCCAGCTTTTCTCCATCTCCCACAGCCTCATCGGTCACTGGTTGAAGGTCGTTCGCAAAGGCTGGACTCAAATCTGATCGACTTTGAGATTTCTGGATATATGGGCAAAGCTTCCTTGTACGATTGTCTACAGATAGCAGATGGGCAGCAATTGCACGGGCACTTAAGACCGTGTAGGGGCGAAACGGGACTCTTGATATCCTTTTTCTAAAAGTTGCACATGTTGGAGTTGTGCAAGCAGCATTGTTACAGCCATTGAGGACTTGATCGAAATATCTTGACCGTAAAATGAGTGAAACTTATGAAATCTACAAAACCAGTTGTGCTTACGCATTGAACGATGTCTGAAAGCCATGACGTTTAACTGAGCTTGGATCTGACCAAGTTTTTCCTTGCCCTGTATCTACATGGTTCGTATCTTTGGGCACTGCGACATTGCTAGTATTGCTAGCTGGGGGCTTCATGTCTACCAACAGACTGTGAACAAATCTCGCGGTCTTCCTCTTTGATGGATGACTTCTACCGTCGGCTACGCCATAATAAGCCAGATAGAAGTAGGAGAATAAATGTGCTACATTGCACAAAAGCTTGTGGTAATGATGACCGCTGATACTCCGGAGGCGACTGTTTACTGAAGGGACCCCGTACCAGCGCTTACGTCATCGTTCGTCACGATTCAGAGCTTGCGATACCCAGTGCTACCTTCTCTCTAACACCTACTGACAATCCAATCTCCTATTCCTTCCAAGACCACCTTCGAGTGCCGACTATTCGTAACGTGACTCACTATGACATCCATTGCGGCACCTCGTGCGATGCTTAATGTTTCCAGTCAAGCAGCACCCACAGACAAAGTGAATACGCATCCGTTTACGTGCAACTCGTGCCAGGTTGCATTTCGGAATGGCGATCTCCAGAGAAGCCACATGAGAACAGATTGGCAGTAAGATACATCATATCTAGACGCAATGTTCGAGATACTAATGTTGGTAGCCGGTATAATCTCAAACGCCGCGTTGCTTCGCTACCTCCAATCTCAGCAGAAATCTTTCAAGAAAAGGTTCTCACAGCACAAGCATCATCGACTGCAGTTGCTGCCAAAGCCTCCTTTGAGAAGCCATGCTCTGCTTGTCAGAAGATCTACTATAGCGAGAATGCGTACCAGAATCATCTCAGAGGCCAAAGACATCGTTCAAGAGTCACAGCCCTCAGCAAGGACGATTCTACTACAGAAGATGGATCAGTTGCGACTTCAACTTTCTCTCTGGGTGAGCCGATCAATAATACTCCTGATGCAGTCACCAGACCGGTAGCTCCTCGAAGTCCTCGTATAGGTCCTGAGGCGGAAGAAGAATTTTCAAAAGTGGTGGATTCGCTTAAAGATACTAGGATTACGGACGGGCTTTCCTCCCCAGTGAGTCGGCGGCCTACTCGTCCTCGTCACTCGGCCTTAGAAGACAGGACCGAACATCCACTCTCCCCGGAAAAGAGCGGGGTTGATACCGAGGAAGCGAAAGTGGACATGGCCACAACCACAAATGATATCCACCTCGATGAGTGCCTCTTCTGCAACCTAAGAGCGGCGGACATACAACAGAATGTATTGCACATGTTCAAGGTGCACGGCCTTTTTGTTCCAGAGCGAGATTACCTTGTGGATTTAGAGGGTCTCTTGCGCTGGCTTTGGACACAGATTCATGCAGAGCCGCATGAATGCTTATATTGTCACAAGATCAGGCATTCTGCGGAAGCTATGCAAGCTCACATGAGAGATGCAGGTCATTGCAAAATTGCATTTGAGGAAGAGGAGGACATGATTCAAATCGGACAATTCTACGACTTTACGAGCACTTATTCTGATGATGAAGACATTGAGATGGATGGTAATGATCAAAACAGCGATGGAAAGGGCGGTGAAGGCGACTGGGAAGACGAAAGCGATGTCGGATCTGAAGACGCGGACGACAAGTTAGAGGTCGACGATAAACAAGAGCCGAAAGAGAACCATGCGAGAAATGGGACCGGAGCGTCACATCCAATATTAGTCCTGGACGACGAACTCCACCTTCCGTCCGGTAAAGTTGCTGGTCACCGCTCTCTTGCCAAATACTTCCGACAAAATCTACGAGACCGTCCATCTCCTGGTCAACTACACGAGCAACAGAAGTTATTGGATGCCGCAGTGGATGAAGAGCAAGAAGACGTTGCGATGACAAATGGAGGGCATGATGCAAGAAATGGTGAAAATGGTAACAGAGGCCGCCAGCTCATCTCGCGTGCCAATGGAGGTCAGGGTCTAATCGGCGTCTCTGATGCGAAGAAGCAAGACATTCAAGCGGTGGAGAAGAAAGACGCCAGGAGGGCACAGAGGGCGGAAAAGCAGTATCAGTGGGGTGTGAACAAGAGGGCGAACAACCAGAAACACTTCAGGGACCCATTGCTGCAATAGACAGTTTTAGATTATACAAAACGTGTCGATGAGCAATTGATCACCCGGATGATGGTGGACCACTTAATCCTTACTGACGATTCTTCGCATCAATTGGCTTTACCATCCTCTCCATCTGACCCAGACATCAATAACTTCGTCCTCTCTCCCTTCCAACCTACTGTCTACGACCAAGTAAAATCCAAACATCGCGCCAGCAATGCACGCGTGGTTCGGCCAAATCCGTACCTTCTGCCCCACCTCCAAGTCCAGGGGCCACCCGTCTTCGAGCTCAAATGCTTCAGGGTCTCGAGTCAGGATTCCGTGTTCTTGGCTAATCCTGCCGACTTGCCAGCCAGAACGCATTTCTTTGCGCTTTCCTTGAGTGGTCACGGAAGGAGGAAATCCCCAATCACTCACGATGCCGAAGCCTGGGTAGGATTTGCAAGGTTCTCTACCCAGCGCGAGGGAGCCGGCTGCGATGAGTGCTTCTGGCGGCGAGCGGTGAGGGTAGAGGCTGTTTACCTCTGTGAGGATGGTTAGAGCCACGTCTGAGGTTGTGAGTGGCATGGCTTGCGTAGCTAATTGTTGCATGTCCAAGATGGGATACACGCCAGCGTGAAGTTCTAAGGTGAAATCTTGATTGATGCGCGAAACTAGACGCTGAAGTTTGGAGACCGAGTCCGATCGTGAAGAAGGAACGTCCTCAAGAAGGGCCTTGATAGATGACGCCGTAGGTGTAGCACCAACAGAAAGTGTCAGCTTTGGAAAAAATGCTTCATTCAGTATTGTGATCGCTTTGTGGGCTGCTTTTTTGAGTTCTTCAAGCTCTGTAAGCAGGAACTCGAGCGCTTCGTTGTTCGAGTTGCTGCCATAGCTGTGGCCTGCATGGCTATAGAGCCCAACAAGATTGACAGATCCACTCTTTTGAAGGCTCGATACGTAAGTTAACAGGTTGCTGAAGCCCTGTGAGTTGCTATCAAGGCCAGCACGATGATATCCTGTATCGATCTTCAAAAAGACCTGGAGCGGCTGTCCACTCAATTGCAAGAACCGTTCAGACTCATTCAACTGATCTACATGATCAATTAACACCGAAATGGTCTGAGGGCCGAGTTCCTTTGCCAAAGAAGCTAGACGGGTACATGCAGAAGGTGGTAACGGAAGTCCATAAAGGATCTGTCAAGACGAGGTCTCAGGTGAGGTAAATTGGCACAGTCAACAATACGCACATTTATCTGTTTGCCTTGTAATTTTTTATTCAGCAAAGTTTCACGCAATCCCTCAATTTCGGCGATAGTGGACACGACAAACTTGACGTCTTTTGTAGTCTCCCCAACCTGAAGCTTCGAGATCTCAGTCGTCTTTGCGAGGCGAAATCAGCCCCATCACGTACGAACGCATATGAGAGGTTGTAGTACGATGTCAAACATTCACGAATTGTACGATGCCGGACAGGCTATCAAGCATTTCCTCGACCTAGAATGGAAAACAAAAGACTAAAATCTATGAGGAGAATGACACTGAATATCTTTCGCACTCTGTTCATTGAAGGGGAATAAAAAGGGGTGGGCAGAAGCATTACCTTGTGGGTTTTGGTATGGGGGCGGAGACTAATATCGAGAGCCTGACAATTTTCAAGCATTTGGTAGCAGTTCACCTCGAGGATAGCCCTGTCTATGACTGCCGCGGGACTAGGAAGATCTCGTAATGACCTTCCTTTGAAAGCCTCTTGGAGTTGTTGCGTTGACGGTGTAGGGTACAACAGATCTATGCCAATCGGTCGAAGTTCCGCAGCAACCATGTCTGCTGTTGATCTCGGTGATCTATTTGCTCATATCATGCAGGAGTGTTTATCATTCAATCAGAATTGGCAAGTTGAGCGATTTTTTGATAGGCAGGTGTTGGATATCAGCCTCTTGTTGAGCCTTGCGCGCTTTGCTTACGTCGCCTCTGCACATTCCTCAACTTACTTTCCCAACTACAATCTCCTATACGAGTATATCAAGAATCTAAAAATAGGCTCGCTTTCACACTGAATGAAGCAAAAAACGTGAACGAGGTATGAGGGCAAAAAGGAAAAGGGTGATGATTAGTGATTACGTGGTCCGCAAATAAGGTTTCTAAAGCCGATGAGAGACGCTAAGCTAGATTAGGCACTTGCCGCTAATGCCACGGGGTGGCACCGTGCGCGTGGATGGCAGGTGGACGAGCCCTCGAGGATGGACGGTGGAAGAAGGCCTCCACCCCAAACAGCTCCACCGCGAAATCTCTTAGATTTCAAGGGTTTAATGAGGCTTCTGCAACACGCATTAAGCTTTCGGATTAGCCTGCCGGATTGACATCTAGAAGAAAAGGGAGATTTATGTGACTTAAAGTGCGGCACAGGTTGGCCCCTGCCAATGGCCAAAGTGTATCAAGAAGAAGCTCCTCAAGTGTTTTACATTTGTCTAGTGAAGTGAACGTCGGTCGGACAAACCTCTACCTTGGACGTCGTTATTCGCATCCTTCATCCCCAATTCCCCACTGTACGGCGTTTCGGGCGTCAATTGCGTATTCACTGCTGATCCGCGCACAGCTTGTCTCGCCTCGTCGCATAGCAGAAAGAAAGCTCCATCCGCGATGTCTTCCGCATCCGTTCGCTTGGTCCCACTTTTGCCGCTGCAATTTCGATAGGGAATGAAAAGCTCCGGGCCCCTCCAAAAGAGAGTAGTACAAGAGCTTTGCGGACTCCAGAGACAATTGGACTGCTTTACGAGGAAGGGTGTCTCCGCCCTCGCCTGCAGCCGTGGCTGAAACAGGACATTACCGAGCGAAGGAGAGAGGGAAGGGGTGAAGCTTGAGCCAAGATGGTTTTATCAACAGTGAGGGAGAGTGCCTACAGCGTTCCTCTCGCCATGGCAGAGGAAGACATGGAGACCGTCGAAACCACTTCCGAGAGCGAGTTCGACAATGCCCCGCCCGTGCATCCCGTCCCCACCATGCAGGGCGCTTTTGAGGAGTCCATGTCCGAGACAATGAATGGGGATGATCAGGACGAGCTTCCGGAGCGCGTTTCCAAGGCCGACTCCGCAACACGACGCAAGTTGCTGTTAGAGCAGGAGCACTATGAGCGCACCGTGGCAGGACGATGGAAGCAGAAGCCAGGAGAGCGATTTCACCCCCTGTGGAAGCTTGTGGCGCAGATATCATTTGGCATGCACCTTCTGCAGCAAGGCCTCGCCAAGTCAGACGAGGAGGTGCTGAAGATTCTGCAGACCCATGTCGACGAGATAGACGGCTTTCTCGAACGGACCACTGAAGATTTCGATCTTGCTCAGGGCGATATCAACGAGCGCATTCGTTACCTCAAGCTACCGCTCGAGCATGGTGAAGTCTTTGATCAAATGCTGGTTGATCGGGCTTTCCGCACTGCGATCGTCGAGGGCAATGAGAAAATCGAGCATATCATTGATCGAACATCCGCAGCCATGAACGATGCCCTCAAAGATGTTCAGAAGGGCCTGGATGCTACAAGGGAGCTTGCAAAATATATGACGAGAATTGATAAGGTATGGGAAGACAGAACAGAGGAGCATGATTCGGTATACCTTGCCATGATCGGCAACACTGAAGGATGGACAAGAGCATTCTTGACGCTTCAGTCAAAAGGCGGTCATCTTCGTAAGGCCCTCATACAGCTAGGCGGCATTGTCGCCGAGATGCAGAGACGAGCTGGTGCTGCAAGCCGGAAAAACCTGGTATTGTCTGCTTCAGAATCAAAAGACGCTGTTGCTCTAACACCTCGTAGTTACCATCTAGATCAGCGACCGGCCGATATGCAGTTGATACCCGCGCGGACAGTCCGCAAAACTCCCCGACCCCACCTCGATCTCCTAATAAGCCCTTGCCAACCTTTCCCGATCCTTCTTCTCGAGCCCCATCTTCTCATAGACAGCCCAGGTCATCTGGCTCACGATCAGCAACGGCCTCGCCACAAGTTCACCAATCATCAGGTCAGAACACTCTGTCAGTCTCACGCAGGGATAGTGGAGTGTCTCCGAGAACCGTTCAGTCAGCGTTATCACCGAGACACCCTGCTACAGGGCTGTCTCCAAGATCACCAAACCTCGGCAGATCCCCCAAGAGCCCAAATAACGAAAGAATTCAAGCATCAAAAGAACAGCATAAACCATCGCGAGCGTCTGACATGGGGTTAGGTATTGTCCAGCCTGCAGGCTTGAATGTTGATCGGATTCATGAAGCGCCCGAGAACGTGAGAAACGCAAAAGGGTTCGAGATACAAAGCAACAAGCGGTCAGAGCATCACAGAACATTGAGGAGTCCGGAACCTCAAAAGCCCAAGAGCCCTGAGCAATATAGATCTGTGAGAAGCCCGGAGCCACGACCAACTGGGCTCAGGAGTCCTGATTCTGAAAGAGCAAAACAAAGCCTGGAGCCTTACAGACCGGTGATTAGCCCAGAGCCGAGACATCGGGGCATCAGAAGCCCTGAACCAATAAGTGAAGAGAGTGCGGAAACGGCATTACCCCAATTCCAGACTCCTGCCCAGATTATGGCGAGTATGACAAATGCAAGCAAATCTTCACTGTCGGATCATTCCCCATCACGCAGAACTTCAATAACAGAGCGAACTCGCTCAATACTCGGTAGGAAACCCTCTGTGAAGAAAAGCAGTTTAAGCAATGCGGAAAACAACAACATACTTGATCATGCTGAAAAATCCGAACAATCACACAAATACGTACAAAAAGCTTCGGAGTCTCCTAAATCAAAGGATCAAACCACTTCCCCCTTCTTCGCAGGCTATCGTCTCGCCGAATACAAACACCTTTGAGTGTATCAACATATACAGACAGCCCTACGCCAGATGAAATCGATTATCAACAGCTAGGTCAGGAGGAGAGCCCTCAACATGTACAAGATGGAAGACCTGCGCCAAGTCAGGGCTCATACGGAGCCTTCTCGCTGATACCTGCACAGCCGAAGATGTCGCCATTACAGAGTTCTTTCGCTGCTATTGACCTGGAGAAGAAGCCGAACCCACCAATTCAGAGTGACGAGACACCAAAGCCGCCCGTAACCACCACGTTTCCAATCACGGCATCCGAGGACATCCCTATCAATATTGAAGGTGATTCCAATCCAGTTCACCCCCTATTACAAGAAGAAAGGCACGCTCGCTTTGCTGCGCGCGCCGGACTAGCATCTCCTGGATCGAGGAGTTCGCAAGATTTGCCTCTGCGACATTACTACAGTCAAGTAGACCTCGCTTCTTCCAAGCCTGGTCTGTCGGAACGTAACAAGGACACTCTAAAAACTCCCAAACGATCGAGTTCACTTGTGTACACGCCCACACATTTTACAATAATGCCAACAGGGACTCAATCACCAGAACCGGGAACTATACATCCAACGTCGGATCAACCTACTCTTAATGCTTCCGCGATTAATTTGATGCCTCGAAACAACAATGTACCACCAGAAGCCGAGCTCGGTATTCATCCTGCGCACCGTTTGAATGACCCCAATTTTGCCACGACAATGGCCCCGTCTCCTGGCCCTTCTACGATCTCATCAACAACCGAACAAGGCGCAACTCCTCAACCAATATCTACTGGCCCGTTGCACGCTAACTCTCCGCCGGCACGATTCTCTCCATCACCTATTCCTCGGGTGCAATCACCCAGCTCTGCCCGGTCTCGTCCTCCTGATGGTCCACCTCCCCCGCCGCCTGTTCAGTCAGCGGATTCAAGCGGGCAACCTAAAGTCTCTCACCCAACCCAAATGCCCTTCTATCTCAATCCAGCTTCTTCCTCTGCACTCATTGATTTTCTCCAAAGCACGCCACCACCCTCGCCACCCCATTCTGCCGCTCGCGCCGACACTGGCCCACCGGCAAATACCAGCACCAGCAATTTTTTCACCCAGCACTTTTCGAACCGTGGCAATACTAGTAGTCCGCCTCCTCCTGGTCCTAGTGGACCACGCATGGGTCCATGGTCGGCTAGCACTAATGATCTGGCTAGCGGTAGAATGAACGGATCAATGGGCACCCAACGGAAAGGTCTTGGCTGGAAAAAGATGTTTAGTGGCCATGCAAAGAGCACTAAAGAGCCAAAGGAAAGGTCATCGAAGAAAAGAATCAACTGGGGCAAGGATACCACTGCAGAAGGCCTTAATAACTTAGGGCTTACTAACGGAAAGACTGAAGACAGTAGAGAGAAAGACAGAGACGGCGGCTTCATGGGAGTTGGCAAAGATGGCGTCTGGATATCTCGGAGAAACTTCGTCCGGAACTGAATCTGGGATGTCAATCAAATATATGGCTGCCACATGTTTGGAGTTGGATTTGGGAGGCATGCTTCCCAAATGACCATTCTTGCGACATAACTTGTATAATGTAAAATGAATCCTACAGCGGCCTGCACTTCCTGCAGTTCCAGCTGTTGGGGAATGGCCAGTACATGGTCTTTCAGTTCACTTGTGTATCTATCGGGTGACAATACGCCCTTTATGAGATAGAGGATTCAATGAACACTCCTTCTGGCATCTTTTGAATACTCAACATCATAGTAGCAGACTTTTCGCAGACCTACGACTTACAATCATTTACACCTCTTCTCCACAATCCCCGCTCCAAATTCCTCATACTCCTTCCGACTGATCCACATCTGATGAAAAGTGCCCAAGCTCGCCAAGATACTCCCTCCAATCCAACTTCCAAACTTCCTTTCCGCTAAATTTCCAGGGCTAGAAACCCTTACCCTCGTTGACGGAAACACAGCAGTAATTTCTTGCACCAGCCTATCGTTGAATCCATGTATCAGGCTACTCCCACCTGTGACAACGATATGATTCAGCAACGTCGGCTTAACGTCTGTGTCAACGTTGTTCAAACTCTGCTTTATCGCTTCAATGATAGTTTGATTCTGCTGCGGCGGAGGATTCGCAGCATCCGTGAGTGCCATCTTCGCATCAAATACTCCCTCAACGCAACGATACCGGTCTGGCGCAGCAAACATCTGGTTCCAGCCATCTGGCATCTCGAATGGTTTCCCTTGATGCGATTTCGCGGCATCCAGGTTCGTCACCCCGTTTGGTCCGTGCCCTGATAATCTCGACTGGCCCGTCCATACCGATACCACGCTCTCCTTAAACTCTTTTAATACGCGTTCTTCTTGCAAGGCGCGGAATGATGCGTCTGGCTCTGTGCCTGAGGGGAAAGTGCGGTAGGTAGCTTGTGATTGGGCGCCCGCGTCTACAGCGGTCTTGGAGGATATTAGGTAGTGTGGTGTAAGAGGGACTTGAGGTTGAGAGGTCGAGAAGAGGAGACGCGCTTGGTTTGATATGAAGTTGCCGGCGAGAGGCGAGCGGACGACGCCTTTTCGGAGGATCATGCCGTCGTGGACGGGGGAGACGGAGATGTTGGCGGCACCAATGTCGACCACGAGAGCGGAAGGTTTGCCAGATGCGAACCTGATTTGCCAAATTTGTTAAGTTTGTGGAGCGATTCTAGGAATTTGCGGGCCACATACGCTGCCAACACACCGCTTCGAGCAAGCCAGAAGGCAGGCACACCCCAATTCTCCATCGCGATTTCAATTCCCTTTTCTCGATCTTTTCCTACATTCCAGCCTGGTTCTGTCATGAGCAGCGCATTTTCTCCTACGGGCTTCTCCCCATCTTCCGCAATCTCCATGTTGAGATCTTGATTGTCTGTATCATTGAGTCCATTGACTGCCAGCCTACCTTGCTTCGTGCTTGTAAGTTTAGAAGTAATGGCATATTCCCACAAGCTTGCGGCAGTGTCCCAATCCTCTACCAAGCTATCTTTGGACATGACATTGCTGATTGCCAGCCGCGGAAAGGGCGTATGTATGGCATTGTCTCCGTACAGCTTTCTTTGGTTTTCGGGCTCGTTCTCTGAAGGTATGGTGCCATAGTAGGAGGGAACGACGGATTTAGGAGTATCTTCGCCAGCAAATCCAGCGCGTACGGTGGAGTATCCAGGGTCTATTACGAGTGCGGAGATCTCATCTATCTTTTGTCAGGGGCACCGCATTTTGCACGAAGTTGATAGACTATAGCGGCCCACCTCCTCCATATTCGTTGGCATCTGGAGCTTTGGCGGTGCTCTGACCGGTGGCCATGTTGGCTTGATGGCGTACTCCGAAGCGAAGGAGCTGTGGTGCGGCCCTACTTTATTGAGTATGTCTGTCTACCCATGCTGATTGGAGTGCCATTAAAGATCAAGGTGCATATTCGAGGTCCGCGTCTCAATACCCACGGCGGGTGTCCCCTGCAGCGGGCCGTCGCAAGCGTGCGGCGGAAAGTGAAAGGACAGTGTGAATCTCACGCGATGTTCAATTCGTTATTTCTACTGTTCTACGTAAACAGCATGACATGTCGCTGCTGCAATTTGTTGGGCAGCTTTACTCTCTCGACGCTCTTGACACAAGGCTCACAACCTCGGCGAAGACCCCGCCCACTCGAGTAGATCCTGCCAAACCTTCCCGCAAGGAGCTGCATCGAGATGAGCGGAGCCAGCACAACGGTGCGGCAGCACCGAAGTGGAAAACGCCTGAGTTCTTATACCATGGCGCTGTATTCTTGATTCTGGTGCCATGGATGTTCTACACGGCCTACGATGTCTCACAATGTAATTGCCTCTCCGAGTCCCTCTCTACTCAATCATACTGAACATTGATATGTAGCTTGGAACCCAAATTATAGCAAGTTCGAACATCTACTTTCCTCGGGTTGGATCTTAGGCCGGAAAGTCGACGACTCGGACGCACAATACGCAGGATTCAGAGGCAATGTGCCCTACTTGTTTGTCCTCATGGTAGTACAGCCACTCCTACGATGGGCCTTTGATCAAGCATATCCGTTGCCCAATGGCTCATCGGGGGCTCAATACAAGATTATGCCCGGTGGAAGCAGCTCATCCCTGCGCAGAGCAGATCTAGAGGCAGATGTAAGACTAAGCAGGCGAACCACTTTTGATGTAGCCTTCAACATCATCTTCCTGATCGCCTTGCATGGGGCTTCTGCTCCAAAGATTCTAGCGATTTTGTCCATCAACTACTTGTTGGCAACCAGGCTGAGACGAGATCTTGTTCCCTTTGCTACGTGGGCGTTTAATATTGCAATATTGTTTGCGAACGAGCTCGCACACGGCTATTCTTACGCCACAATCATCAAATCGTTTCTACCGTCGAGTTCTGAAGGTGAGAAGAGCGCCATCAGCTGGGGCTCGCAGCTTGATAGCTACGGGGGTTTGTTGCCGAGATGGGACATCCACTTTAATTTCACGGTGTTGCGGCTCATAAGCTTCAATCTCGACCATCACTGGGCAAACCATACGTCGGGTCCTGTTAGCCCAATTGAGGTGAACGATGTCCTTCCTCACGCTTTAAGGTCAGATGCTGATTGTCACAAGAAGAAACAACTTGATCCTGCCAACCTCTCAGAGCGAGACCGCGTCGATTTACCAGCCAAAGCACAGGATTTTTCATTCAAAAACTACTTCGCATACACGCTCTATGCTCCACTTTATCTCGCTGGGCCTATCCTGACCTTCAACGACTTCATTTCGCAACAGAGACACATAGTCTCAAGCATCTCAGCTCAAAGAATTGTAACATATGGCATTCGTTTCCTTTTGGCGCTCTTGACGATGGAGGTCATGATTCATTTCATCTACGTCGTCGCCATCTCCAAGGCGCAACCTGCATGGGAAGTTTATACACCCTTTCAACTTAGCATGCTCGGATTTTTCAACTTACATCACATTTGGCTCAAGCTATTGCTACCGTGGCGGATGTTTCGATTGTGGGCTTTGTTAGATGGAGTTGATCCACCGGAAAATGTGGTCCGATGCATGTCAGATAATTATTCTGCTCTAGCCTTCTGGCGTGGATGGCATAGAAGCTTCAATCGTTGGATTATTCGTTACATTTACATTCCTATGGGAGGGAGCAGCAGCAGAGCCGGGCCCGGCATATGGGGGACTCTCCGATCAATGTTCAGTATATTTACCACCTTCAGCTTCGTCGCTATGTGGCATGACATTCAATTGCGACTCCTAGTATGGGGCTGGCTCATCACCTTGTTCATTCTACCAGAGGTATCGGCCGCATTTTTGTTTCCGAAATCGAAATGGCAGAAACGCAAGGAAGCTTATCGCGTGATATGCGGCATTGGTGCTGTTGGAAACATCCTAATGATGATGTCCGCCAATCTCGTTGGTTTTGCTGTAGGACTTGATGGTTTACAAGGTTTGGTCCAGGGCATTGTTGGATCATATTCTGGTAAGCTATATCGTCCTTGTCATGGATTGCTCGAGCGATAATACTGATTGGTCGTTATCAGGTCTTGTATTTCTAGCGGGAGCTTGCTGCGCATTATTCACAGGAGCGCAGGTCATGTTTGAGCTCCGAGAAAGCGAGAAGCGGCAAGGCATCAATATTAGATGTTAGGATGTAAGAATAACTCTCGTCATTTTGGTGCATCTCAGATGTGGGAACGCCTCCCTCGGCCCTCCAGAAACCCCTTGGCCATGAACTACAGCGCATGTCTCATCACGCTTGTGTAAATTTTGTACTGTTAAATCGAGAATGGTAGGGATCTATCTTAGAGTCAAAAACTCCAAGCCTACCTTCAGCAATTCGCGCTCTACAGTAATGATCATTGCGGTGGATGTGTTGCGAAACTCGAGTAGACGGGCGCGATGAGGGCTGATTCGTTATTGTATGCTATCGAAGTCAAGAGCTCGCTGTCTCGGCGGGCAAATAGCAACTCCATACGACTACATTTGGATCGGAGGAGCACCTCTCCACAGCGCAATTGGCCAACTCATAAGGTGTAAGCAATGCAAGCGCAATGCTAGCTCCACACCGGGGCCTTTGGAGGCAAGGAAAAGATGTGGACGAAGGCGTGTCAATTATGCTGCCTCCTTTGATCTTCCAGGGAGCCTCAATCCGTTGCTTCTTCCTCGGTGGGGATTGCTCGAAAAGGTTGGCAACCCATGGCAGGATAAGGGGCACTCAAGTTTGAACTTTCGAAAAGGTATACATCTCTAAACATATCTGTTTGAAATGGGCAATGCAGTTGACTTCCTTTAGACTCGTGGACGCTACTTCGGTGGCTTGAGCGAATAGTCAAAGCTTCATTCAAAACTCCCCAATCGCAACTAGATGACCTTGAAACATCATATGACAAGGCGCAGTCCGATGCAGAAGTTCGACTGCTCGAATTGGTAAAAAGTTGCAAGGACCTCGAGTCGATCCGCGGGCTAGAATGCCCTGTTGGTACAACCCTCCGACAATGCAGTGGCAAGATCTTTAAACACTTGGTAGAGGTTGAACGTCCCTTGAATGAGCTTCTCTCTTTCTTAGAAGATCGGACGTTGAACGATCCAACAGCGAACACTTTTAGTTTCCTCCTCTTCAGATGGTGGCTCCCGAAAGTTCGGGATGATAAAAGCAAGGCGTCAATCGAGCATCTGTTTACCTGGATAAGAACGCAATTTTCTCTGGGAATCTTTTCCAATGTCGAGGTTCGGATCTTAATTCGACTTTCGTCCATCCTCCGCAACGAGCGGGTATTTCAAACCTTCGGGCTTGGACTAGCAGAAGCGATCATTGAAGGCATCGATAGCTGTCGTATCTTTTCTATTGCCGAGCTTGATAACGAAATAGTGTCCCATCTGCTGGAATCCATCAATCAAGCGCCTGTCACGCTTTCGTCGATCTCCTCGGGATGCAAGCTTCTCGGACATCTAGAAGGTCCCATTTCCGGTGAATTAGGGTTGAGGGTCCGATCTTTCGTCTTGAGATGGTTTGAAGCTCTTCCTACAACCATATTGGGATGCCCAGCAACTGAGCCTGTCTTAAAGGAGACCTCAACGTTGAACAATCGGTGTCTAAAAGAGCATGAGACCGAGTTCCAGCGCATCCTAGGCTTTCTGCATCCTGCGGCGAAACATGCAGCAATCAATGTTATGAGCAAAAGGCTGATCGCGAAACTTGCTTGCCATCATGAAATGGAAAACCCGTCTGAGATGCTGAAAAAGTGGTGGGCTTTCCTTGTAAGACATGATCTGTTTTTGCAGATAGATGTACCAGGTCACAGTTTCCGGATTACTTGCTCGATGGCTACTCAGGCTACCAGTGATATTGCGGCTTATGTGCAGCACTTTCAAAATGAGTCTTTCTCAACTTTCGTAGCCCGTTGTTTGTGGCGATTACCCAGACGTCGCCTAAGACACTTTGGTGATCGATTTGGCAAAGGTCATACCAACCATTGGCAATGCATCCTACTGAGGGAACTGAGATTCACCCAAATCTGCAAGTACGATTTAGTATCAAAGTTGTTCAATTTGTTGCAGGCAATGCAGCGCTCTGACGGAATTGTGACTCTGGTAAGGCATGCGAAAGCCCATCAAGTTGACCTGCCCGTACAAGCGATCATTCAAAGCGTGCTGGAGCACCTTCCCGCATCACTATATTATGCCAGACGGATCTTCAAATCCGATTCACGCACACTACTGGAGACGTGCCCTGCATTGGCTGATCATCTCCTGCTCGATGACTTCCAACATCCTCATTCTATTTGGTCATATCTAAATCATCGGGATGCAAAATCCCAATTGGCAGCTTTTCATGGCAATGAAGATGAATGGCGAAGAGCCCGTGCAGACCTCTACGACCGGATTGCAACTTCGCTGGCTTATATGGACCCGTGCACGCACCGAATCGCCTTCAGAATGGTCTATATCTGCTACGTCCGCTTCACGCGGGAAGGCCTTGGAACAACCAGCACGCAAATGGCTAGAGCTTTGCTACATGCAGGAATCATGTCACAGCTTTTTCGCAACAATTGTGTGAGCATCGTGAAACTGAGGTGGGTGCTCGCTATTGTCAGTAGAGTTGAAGGCATAGACGTCGCAGATGAGATCGATCGAACAGTATTCGAATGGCACGGTCTTATCACAAAGCGCAGAGTCAGGCACGAGAGCCATCGGAAGCTCTTAAATTCATCGACGAGCCCACATTTGAGAGACGTCGCCTGTTGAACCAAAATATCAAGAATCGCAGCACTGCTCGCATGAGAGCTATTTGTTAATACAAAGTTAGGTTTTGCAAATACCGGGCTCGCTCATTCCTATTTAATTCTATTGATCCACATCCATCTTCTCGACCACCACGACGTCGTCATCCGACGAGAGTTCCTGTATTGTAGCGTATTTACTGATCTCCTCTTTCGTTATGATCCTCTCCGCTAAAACAGCGGTCGTACCTCGCGCGAACTTGTAGCTCTTTTCCTTCTTGTCCCTTTGATTCGGAGTGATATAGTTTCTCATCATCGTCGTCTTCTCCTTTGTGATCACACAAACATCCACATTAGAGCCTGATCCCAAGTCATTAAAGATACCGGCTTGAATTGCGTTCGATGCCAACTTCACGGCCTCCTCTCTCGTCATGCTCTGTTTCCATTGCGTCTCAAATACTGCCATAGCCGCGAGGGACCCACTTCCCATAGTAACGTAGGGTAACTTGTCCGTACTACCATGGGCATGGACTGTAAACAGATGAGCTCCTGTAGGGTCAACACCAGCGACCACGAGGTATGCTCCGATGTGGCCTTGATATCGAAATAGGTGCTGCTTGAGCATCGTCATAACAGTGGCGACTCTGGGTTTCCGGCCAGTAGAGAGAGAATGAAGCTCAAGGTTTGAGGAGATAATGGCGGTGGTGAACTCGGTGTCCGCTGCAGTTCCGGCGCCTGCACACCATATTTGCGGAGCAATGTAATGTAATTTCTCGCAGTTCTAGGGAAGTATCAGCAATGAGAGCGACGAGGGGAACACCTAGAATCCCAGACCTTGTCCGCTACGATCGGGCCTGAGGTAGCCCTCGTATCCGCTGCAATAACCACGCCTCCATCATATTTGCATCCGACAATTGTTGTACCTGTGCTTGTAGCCTTTGGAAGCGGTATTCCTTTGGCATGTAATGCTATATTTCGGTTGTGATTTGAGAAATCGAAGCCCGGCATTGTTAGGTTTCGGGATGTGAAGAGACAATCAGCCAGATGAGAAACGGCTATGAATCAGTTCTGGTCACGGAAATGTAAGCTTGAGCAACGAAGATGTTTCGCATATGTCTATAAGAGGTGGGTCGGTGACTGATTCGATGAACTTGAAGCTGACGATGTTGAAGCAGCCTGCTCTCTTGGAGCTTGACGCGCTTCGGGTCGATTCCGCCCTTTGTCTAGAGGACCTCTTGACGCGCCAACACTTCGAAACTCCAATACATAATAATCTAATTTGAACACTGCAAAAGGAACTTGAGGGGAGATTAGGCGCCTGAATGTGTTGTCAGTCAACAAACTCTGATAAGGCGACTTTCACGACAAAATCGGCTTGGGAAAATTTCGGGCTCCCTTCGCTTTGATCAATGTCTCTAGGTGTGGAATTTCAGATACGGAGTGCTTCCAGGACAGATCTCTAGTGCAGGCGTAGACGTGCGGCTCCCAGCCTGATTTCCAGTCAGATGGCCTTCTCCTTCGGTAGTCCGTCGCCGTTCGGCGCCTCTGCTCCGACTACCAGCAGTGCGCCAATCCAACATGGCCCTGAGCTCGAGGAAATATCGACAGAAGTAAAGTCCGAAAGCCTTGCAAGATACCTTTCACTAATGACATCTACCTAGGGTATCGGATTTCAGACGATCACCGGGGAGACAAAGTTACGACTTCTTCCTTCACCGTGGCCTTCAGACGCTCCCCCCCTCCATACGCTTCACTATTAGCTATATCTTCTACGAAAGGACTTTTAGCAGCGGCAGGACCAAGCTCTGTCATCGTTGCCAGCACCGAGGCTGTCAGACAAGCCTACAGCAGTCCAGATGGAGGTAATACGAAACCCTTCACTCCTCAACTCACGCTTAACCTGGGCATGAGGGTATCGCAAGTGGCATTTTCTGCAGATGAGGAATTCATGGTTTTATCGGCAGAGAGTGGAGGCGGATTAGCTGTCTACCAAGTGCAATCGCTAATGCAGGGAAGTACACAACCTGCTTTTGGGTTATCAACAAACGGAGTGTCTGTACGAGCCTTACTAGCCAATCCGACGGCGGAAAAGGCAGAATTCTTTGCCGTCGTTGATACCAATGGACAACTTATGATGGCAAATCTAAAGTCAAGACAATTTCATAGTAGAGCGCAAGGGCAGGTCTTGAAAGATGCCGTGAGTTGTGTATCTTGGAGTAACAAAGGGAAGCAGCTAGTAGCGGGCCTGGCCAATGGTGCATGTATTCAGTTGACACCAGAAGGCGATGCTAAAGCAGAATTCCCTGCTCCTCCAAGTCTACCAAGCGAGCAATACGGTAAGCTAAGCGGACAGTACAATTATAACATCCTCGTGCTCACCTGTAACAGTATCAATGATTAGTTGGCTTGAAAACGACATTTTCTTAACAGCGCATACACCGGCTTCGTCAGACATTGGCATGATTCCTGAGACAACCTACCACATCATCACTCGACTAAAACAACCGGAGAAAGCCATTATGTATCAGAAGCTTCCCGACATGTGCCCTCCATTTGGCTTAGACCGAACTCCGTCATGTCAATTTACATCTCGCCTGAGGAATTTTGATCCAAGCTTGACCGATGCCATAATTGTAGCTTCTAGCTCCTCCACAGACATTGGTTTGGTGACAAGAACAACGAATCCTTTGACCCGTGATGTGGCTGTTGAGAAGGTCATCAATGTTTTTACGACTACGTCAATGGCGGATGACTCAAGAAGAGCGCAGCTGCCAATGACCGAAAATTTCAAGGACTCTTCACCAATCGGATTGGCTTTTGACTTGTCGAGCACAGAAAGGGTAAAACGGCCTCTACCCAAAGAAGAGTATGAGGAGTCGCCAGGCCCGTTGCCAGCTGTGATGGTCTTGAATAATGAGGGAGTTCTCGCTACCTGGTGGCTTGTGTACACAGAGTCAATTCGGCAGGGCACGACTTATTCTGGCCTCGTCGCGGTCAGCAAGACGAATCCTCAACAGCTGCAACCCCAAGGACAAGCGACTCCTTTTGGCCAGGCCGCTTCAAGTGGAGCTCCCACATTTGGTGCAAGCGCTTTTGGTAAACCCTCAACACCTTCCAATTCCTTCGCCGCTCAAGCAAGTCCCAAATCTAATTTGCTTGGCTCTGCTCAACAAACTAGTGGTGGCTTTGGTGCAACATCTGGATTGGGACAGAAATCATCACCATGGGGAGGGCCATCAACAACCCTAGGCAGTCAAACCTCTGCGCCAGCATTTGGTCAAACCGGGTTTGGACCCGGAACGCCGTCGAGCACCACAGTTCAGGGTTCTGGTTTTGGCATGACAGGTGGCCTAGGCAATCGTGCTTCTCCTTGGGGAGCACCATCTGGTCCTGGAGCACCTACGGGCTCAAACCTGGGCTCACAAGCATCGCCTTTTGGGGTAATCACTGGAGGAAACTCATCGGCTTCCACAGCTGGAGGCTTCGCATCATTTGCTAAAAGCTCTTCTGGGTTTGGAACTGCCCAGCCCTCAGGAGACGCTCCCAGTTTATTTGGGAAGCAACCTTCAGCGAGTGCATTTGATGCAGGTGGCGGGATTCGTAGTGGCTTTGGAAACCCAGAGCAAAAAAGCACTTTCGGCGAAGGGACATTTTCCCTTGGTTCAACTTTCAAAGCTGACGATAAAACGGGCGGTGAGGCGGAGCCGGCTGGAGACTCAACAAAATCGCTATTTGGCAGTGGCTTTGGTAACATGCTTGGAAATACAGCACCTGCTCAGTCTAAGGACGCAGATATGGACGAGAGTGAAGATGCCCCTGTCGTATTGAATACAAGCCAGAAGGATCAAAGCGAGGAACATAAATCTGCATCTGCACCTGCACCTGTACCTGCAGCGCCAAAGTTCAATTTTCCGAAAACCGAGCCACCTAAAATTGGAGGGCTTTTCGGCACCCAATCTCAAAGTAAAATTACCCCCGCTGCAGTTCAGGATAGTAAGCCTGCTGGTTTTATGGCAAGTCGTGATGCTCAGGCGAGCAATTCAAGGGAAGAGACTCCACAACCTCCTGATCGTACACGGCCGACCATCGATACATCCCCAAAGATCAAGGAAGAGCCTCAATCGGACGAAGATGACATATCTCCGCTTAATGAGGAAGAGGCGCAACCTCCAGAGGGTTTTGGCGACCTAAGTGGAGATGGTGAGTCTTCAGAAAATAAGAGACCTGAGACCCCTGCTCGTTCTCGTTCGGGATCAGCTGAAAGTCCACTGCCCCCCGAGTCTACGAGCAAGACTACTTATGCGCCAGGAGATTCCTCCAATTCCTCGAAATCTTCAGACGACGTGCCTTTACCTCCGGATTTCATCCCTTCGAAGTCCAAGCTTCACAATGTAGAACCTGCCACGAAGGCGCTGCCTACTGATGACGAGGAGGACGGAGAAGAAGGGCAAGTTCACGATTCTGAAGAGGAAGAAACGGACGAGCCGCTTGATGATGAAGGCAGTGGTATTGATGTTGCTCAGGAGTTCAGCCCTTCAAGCTCGAAAGAGAGCTCAAAACTTACAGAGGCCGGCTCCTTTGGATTTGCACATGAGAAAAGCTCTACAGAGAACACAGAAAACCTATTCTCCACTGCGATGAGGCAGCCCCTGCCCGAATCAGTTCCTTTATTTGGGGAAGTGGGCAGGCATGCTCAACCCCTTTTTCCTCCTTCGACGAAAGCGCAAGAGGGTCCACGGTCACCTAGTCCAATACGTCCCTCCAACATCGCAGATAGCTTACGACCGGACAATGCCAGGTCTGTAAGCGCTCCTGGCCCTATGAGGCGACCAAACAGCCGGTTTCGGTCGTCGGCTCAGCCTGCGACTCCAAAAGCACCCCACCAATCAACCAACGAAGCTCGCCAAAAAGAACAAGAGCGGATTAAGATGGCTCAGGCAAAGAAATACCAGGCAGAGCATCAGGATCTGGATGACGATGAAGCTGAAGCCAACGAGTATCTATTACAAACGGAACCAACGCCTTCTAGAAATTTGGACGATTTCCTCACGCATCAGGACTATGTGGGAAACATTGATAAGCCCGGCCTCGCCGGCCAGATTGAGAAGGTCTTTCGCGACATCAACTCAATGATTCACACGCTCGGTTTCAATGCGAGAGCGCTGAAATCGTTCACTATGGGCCATGAACAGACATCAAAGCAAAGCCACTGCACTCGTGACGATTTAGACTCCCTTGACGATTGGTGTATTGTAGATGTAGAAGGACTTAATGAGCTGGAGGGCGAATTCGAAGCTCAACTTGAAGAAAGCCGATTACAGAACGTTCCTGAAAAAATCAGCAACATCCGCGGATTACAAGGAGACATCTCTGACTTGCGTTGTCAGTCAAAACACGTCGCACGTACCATCAAGCAACGCAGAGACTCTTTGCCCAATGTTGAGGCGGCATCAGAAGCCCCATTGAATCTGGACCAGCAGACACAGTTAAGAGACATCCGACGAGCATTCACGCATCTACAGAAACAAGTGAGTGACGCAGAACAGGGACTCGTCTTGATACGCACAAAAGTGGCAAGCCAAGCCAATGGTACTCGAGCGAATGGGAAGCAACCTTTGAGGCAGCCCACAGTTGAAGCTGTAGAGAATACGATACGCAAGATGACAAACATGATCAACAAGAGACATGATGAGATCGATGTCCTCTCATCTCAAATGGAAGGACTGCACCTACCTCCACCTACAATCCCAGAGGGGCTGAATGACGAGAATCTCAATTCTAGCAGACACGGAACCTCCCGATTATCGACACCTGCATCGGCGCGTAAGAGTCACTTGAGCCCATTGCAACACAGTAGGTATCGAAGTCGGACGTCAAACCAACAATATGGAGATTCGTCACGGCAACATTTTTTAGAGCCTGATGGAGAAGCCTCCACAGGCGCTAATGCGGCAGGCAACGATGAGCTACAAGCGTATCGAGCCAAAGCAAGGAAGCGGCGCGAGATCAATGAAGTTGTGAAAGACGTTTTTGGAAAGGATAGGGTGAAGGTGCGCGAGTTGGATTAGAGACTCAGAATGCACGCTTGGATTTGCTTACAGAAATTTACTTTGGTAAAGCTCTAGCGTGGCGTTCCGTGGATACAGGGACTAGAAGCAAAGTCTTTAGAGCTTCACTCGATTTCGATATAATGTAAGACATCATCTCTTTGAACATCTCGGTGCGTGCATGAGGCAAGCTCACCAAGACCCAAAGATATTTGTAAATAGGGCAAGCAGAGGTCTTGTGAGGGAGAGAATGATGGTAATCTTGGGCAACAATGAAACCAGAGCCCATTGTTCGTCTGGAACAAACACAATGATTTTGTCCCTTCATTGCATTGAGTATGATAAAAAGCAGGAGAACCTAAATCTGCTGGTCTGATGTACCAACCAACCAACACAGCTTCCGAAGCAGCCAAAACAGCATCGACATCTTTCCAAGAAGTCCATTATTAACCCTTTCAAAATGTTGACCAACCTGAAAGACAACCTGAAGGATGTGAAGTCGAAAATATTCAACAGGAGGCCATCTAGAGTGCGAGACAATACCAAGGCGCGCCCAATTGATGAGCTGCCTCTGCTCCGTAAGACCTCGACTTTAACACTCGTACCGACCAATGTGCCGGAAGATCAATCAGATCCGTCTGAGAGGTTACTTAGCTTTGAACCTCACGAGGGTACTGATGCTGATTTATGAGATGACCGTGGGAAGTGTGCCTTTTCAGTGAGAACATTATTTAGCAAAAAGGGGAGGCAAAGAGAATACTATGAGACTCATTTCAACCGTCAAGGCGAGACTTGTCACCAACGCTCCAAGCCAATCATTCGTCTAATGATGGTCTCTCAACTGAACAGACAGCTTCTTTCCGTGGTAAATGCTGGTTTTCTCTCAGCCTTTTGAGTCCTCTTGAAGGCAAAAGATCATCTACATTTGTTCCCAGTCTGCCTTACAAAAGCAGCCTATTTTTCAGGTGAAAGTGGAGAAGTTTTGTCAATTTTACTCTTGATCCTTGATTCCTCTTACTCCTTTAAGAAGCTGTTATACCTGCAGTGTCAGTTTCGTGCTTCTTTTCAGCAAGAAGCGTCTGAATCGATGCTCGGTTATTTTGGCATCGCCATCTATCACGTGGAGCTAGATAAGATGTTCGACTTATGCGGTGTGCGGAATAAGTAATGCCTCTTTCATTTCCCTAATTGGCTTTGCCTTGTGCTCCCCTCCTTACTCTTTATCACTTATTCTCCCCGCTCTTTCTTGCGCTGTGATATTCTGGTCTAATTTACTCGCAAGAAGGGTATGGACATTTGGAACTGATAGATATTTCAATATGCCAGGTGTGGTATCTGGTTATCACTCCGGGAGATTGTCAGAAATTTGTAAGTTCAGGACTTACAAAGGAATCTCTAAACAAGTGTGGTTGATCGTACTTGGCAAGGGTGTCGCGACAAAGATTCTTATGTCGCCAACTCCGAGAATTTAGTACTGCCTGCAGCAAATTTTAGCAGCTTAGACCTGATGGACACTCACTTGGTGAGCTAATTTGCATCCTTATACAATTGTCGCAAGAGCTTCGCGGATTTCGTATCGAGATGCCCAACTTCTTCGACGAATAGACCATATGATCGCCGTACTGGAGCTGTCAGATGCACTATTGTCAAGCGATCCAATTCTCTCGATGATGCCTTCATTTCGGCTCTCAAGACTCCGTTGGTCGTTAGCTCCTGGAAATCTCCTTGGGTACGAAGATCGCGGATGGATATGTACTCCCTCCTAGCCTGGCCGCTTTTGTTATCCAGACCCTGCCCTTTGTGTGTATATAGGGGCACAGACATATAGTGGCCTTCGAAAATGGCAACGACAATCATCATTCTGTGGAGCTACAGTCAGCATAACATCGCTAGGGTGAGGGCAATGCAAAAAGATAGACCCACTTACCGAACTTTCGAATGTACGCTGCCACAATTCGTGAGAGTTGAGTGCATGGGATCAATCGTGCGTCCCGCCACATCATTGACGTCTTGTTCATGCATTGCAGCTGCGAAGATCTTGCCTACCCTGCAATCATTCTTTTTCATTGGAACGCAGGTCTGTGCGTTAAGTCCTTGTATCTTTTGGTATTGACCATGCTGAGACTGCCCATATTGGCTTTGACCATGGCATCCTTGTGGTTGGCGATTGTTTTGTTGTCTGTAAACAGACCTTTGATTTGCTCGAGAGTAATTCGCAGGGGCAGGACTACTGCCTATCCCTTTGGGGAGATGGTTATTTTGCTGCGTTGGTGTCCCGGTTCTGACCTGGCGTGTTACATGACTATTGCTGGGTTGGCCAGCGGGAGAAACATAACGTGGTGGTGGTGGTGGTGGCCCCATGTTGATCACACCTGATCTGACGGGACGAGGCAATGCCACCTGGGCATAAGACATGAACTCTGCTTTTGTCGTAGATGGACTCGATTGAAATCAATGGGCTCTGATCCTGGAAGGGTGGATATCTATTCGAGTGGTGTCATACGTACTCAAAGAAGCCTCCTTTGCTAGAAGCACGAATGATAATTGCGATACTGAGTGATACTATTTGACTAAGTCTCGAATAGAATACAATGAAAGCATTTCGCGAAACAATGTATTTGTTTCGTCCTTCTCTGTCGATGCTCAAGGTATTGTCAGCAAAAGCACTCAATCCTAAAACTGCCAGCCAAGTGCCTTTGTGCGTAAACGCTACGTTCTGATTGTTTATCAAAGTCAACAAAGTAATCTCTGGAGCTGTCAAAAGAAAGAACAAACAACACTCCAGATCTTGAAAGTAGAAAAAGAACCCTTATTACACTGTCTTACGGAGCGAAGAACGTCGCAGTCAGCACCGACTTCACAGCACATCACATTCGTAACGACGAAATCATCCAAGAAGAGAAGTATGGAAGATACAGTACAAGGATTCTTTAGAGGGAGCATTGAAAGGGCGATCAACATTATTAGTACCCTAATAAATCTGGTCTTGATGAAGAATTGCGATTCTGTCGACGAAAACAGGATTGGTCTCATGGTCGAAGAACGCTCGACAATGGATTGTGGGACACAGGTTGACTTAGAGTTGACTTCAGTCAACGTACCCATGATGACTGACGACTATCGAAAACCAGAAAAGGCAGATAAGTACAGTGCCCAAGAGTCACGGGACGATGGTCTCAACGGAGACTTGATGCTTTCACCCCCAGAGCCCACTCTCGCGAGGAGCGATCCTGTCGTTGTTGCTACACAAGATAAGCAAGGTAATCATCGTTACGGGTTGGTCATCAACGAAGACATCATTGAATCATACAATAATATTTCTGGAAGAGATACGAAAGCCCAGAAGATAAAACTAGACTTTCGCAAGATCGAAAAAGCCAAGAATAGGCTGAGGCAAAAGGCTGAGAGAACAGGGGGAATTGCAGATGAAGAAGCTCGTAACGAAGAAACTGTAAACCACGAAAGCCAACTTGGTGACCTTGACGAGAAGATCAGAGATTGCGAGACAAGCATCGAATCTTTGCAAAGGAGCATGGATTTCGAGAAGAACTGGATCATTGAATTGGTCGAAAACGCACTGATCGAAGCAGAGCTACTGAAAAAACAAGGATGCCGACAGACCGACGCTACCTCCGAGCTCACGGACGACGAGGACGCGAAAGAAGCTGAAAGCGGCGATGATTCATGCAGAGAAGCCATCGAAGAACCATCCCAGCCTCAAGTCAGCGAGGAGCAAAGGGCCCAAGACGCAGCTCGAGATGCAGCCCGTGAGGGTTACATCCATTTCAAAGATGCTTACATTTGTGCCCAGTACAGTTTCAATTTCAAGGAAGACAGCCACGAGCAAAATCGAGTGGAGTACGAAGCAGCGGTCGAAGCGGGAGAGCCGGCCGAGTCGCAGACGGTTTTTGATCAAAACGTCCTCATCGCCAATCAGGACTTAACTCGAGGTCTCATCGATGCCGAATCCAATTTCTTCATTGCGGAGGAGCAAGCTGTACAGGCTGGTGTTCTTTTTGAGCTTGAACAGGAGTCTGATTACGGTTATGGCGAGGACATTGCCGACGTCGAAGAAAAAGACCTGGTCATCATACCACTCAGTGCAGCCAAGAGCAATAGCATCTCAGCCTGGATCGAGTCGATTTTCGAGCCTGAAGTGGTCGAGGCTGAAGAAATGATTTATGTGGATGACTGGGAAAGCAAAACGGTTCAAGTTTCGGATAGCTTGAGCGTTGTTGACGATGAACCGAGGCTCCGGCGAAAGATCGATCAATGGGCAAGAATGGGAGAGCTCAAGCGGAGAGACTTCGAATTTGCCGCTGAAGACGTGTGGGCTACGCCGGAGAGGCCTCTTAAGCGGCGGAGGACCTGTAGCTCATAGTCAAAAAGACTAGGAACTTGTAAATTAAATGTCACACTATTTTGAAGTTTCTCTTTCTTTGCCAAGTGTAATAGCCAAAGAGAAGAGCGAGAAGGATAGCTTGTTTCTTAGACAGTGTGAATCTTGCTGGAAATATCCAATACAGGCGAGAATTGGCAAATGAGAAAAGCGTATAAAACATAGGCCGTGTATAAATACGAAACAAGCGGTAAATACTTAACAAGTGGTGAGATTGAGACAGTACGAAAGAGCAGAGAAGTGAAATAAGAAATCACGGTTTGATTTGATGTTAGGGTCGATAGACAGTTGCTTGACATTGTTAGCAACTGACAATGACATATTTTGTAATCATTTGGTTGATTGACTGAAGTATCTAGTGGTCATACTTCATTTCATGCACTAATGTAAGAATTGGTAGATAGTAGATCTAGACGTCTCGCTTGAAGCTTCCTGTAAAAAAGTCGTAATGAGCGCCCTTGCCAGCAAGGTATTCAATATGCTGACCCGAGGGCTGAGTATGAAATATCAAAAGCGTATGTTACTGTAGCTTGTGGAACTCGTGGTCTGTTTCCTATTCAGCTTTGCCAAAAGACCGGACACTTACTGGTAATCCGCTTTCAGCCAATCATCATTTGCCTATGAAGGCTCATAAGTTGTCCAGTGGATTCCGAATCGAGCTGACCTACTTGCTCAACGTATGTGCCGTAAGTCCTTGATACTCCGGCAGTCAGGTGCGCAACAGAGAGACGACTTAAGTCTTTTGCTTCGTTCCTCATCTGGGCCGTCAGGACACCATGCTTGGAGAGACCCTCGAAGTCTGGGAGACGATCGTCGCGGATGGAGACATATTCGCGTTTGGCTCGCTCGGACTTGTTGCTAAGACCAGTGCCATTATGGGTGTATAACGGTATCGCGGTATAATGCTGCTCGTGTTTGACGACCACAATCATCCAACTACCAATCATATACAATTAGCAAACAATTTCTAAGAATACTGTAGCGTAAGTATACACCTACCGGAGTTTGGTCATTACCAATCCATGCTTGGTCTGTACTGTCTTTTCAACGTCTGCCGGTCTGTTGTGGCCAGCATTGTCATGAAATTCTGTATGGACCGGCGCTCGGAAAATCTTACCAACGAAGCATTTACTCTTACTCATTGGCGAGAACTTATTGAGATCGAGGCCACACGGCGCGTTCGTGGCTGCTCGAGACATTTTCGCAGGAAAACGACCTTGAGGATGTTGGTTTCGTGGGCCAGCCTGCTGTCGCCAGGGCAAGGTGAGGTCGATCACGCCAGATCTGACTGGAGCGGGAGGTGGTGCCCTAGTCGGGACCGGAGGAGGTGCCATAGCCTTTGTCATTATATCGGTACGTCGACAATGTGGAACGCTTTAATTCTGATTTAAGAAGAGAAACTGTCATGCTGAAGCTGTACGGGGACTTAGATTTATAGCTTTGTTTCAATATGCGGTGATCCATGAATATTCATTGTTGGTAGACAAGATTAATGATTCTTTGAGCTTAAAGAGATACAGTGATGAGACAACTCAATGCCAACGGACAATGCACTTGTTGCTCTTGGCTTAATAAGGAGATGCTTTGCTTTCAGATTATCAATCTTCTTTGTTGTGCTAGCTTTGTCCACAAGCAAAGGGACGGTAATCAAGCATAGGAGTAATTTCGTGGCAGTACAAAGAAGACGACCGCTCCAAGTATAATACAAAGTCGCCAGAACTTTTGCACGTGTTGAAAGGCTTGATACTAGCATATCAGGACTCGTATCACAATTGCATCAAGGCTTGAGGAAAATCTTTGAACACATCAAGATGGAGAATACGCTCATACAATTCTTCTGGAAGGGTTTCGAAACCGCAATCAACATCCGACGCAGACTATCGATTTTTGCGTCGCAGGAGCATTTGCAAAGTGGTGCGTCAGACGGCGTTTCGCTCTACGGCGATAACATCGACCTCATGCATCAACACCGCGTGGCCGTAGATTGTGGAACCATGAACGACCTGGAGTTGTCACCTACTGCATCACAGTCACTCGTCAATGTACCACTCTTACACAAGCAAGAAGAGCAAGCGCTTCCCAATGTGGTCGACATGGCACCACCTAGCATTCCTAGAGAAGATCCTAAGATTGTGGTGACAATGGATGACCAAGCTCGTACCCGGTTCGGTCTTCTCATCACCGAGAGATTGGTCGAAAATTGTAGCAAAATCGCACAGAAATCCTCGGAACTGGAGAGGTACGACGGAAAATTACGCAAGATGGATGAGAAAGTGCATAAATTGGAAAATATGGTCAGAAAAGCAAAGCCATTCCATGAAGACGACGAAGGAGATGATGCATTGGCCAAAGAGGAGTCTCAGATGTTGCAGAACATGCTAAGCGACCTCAAAGAAAAGCAAGAGGATCTGAAACTTGAAAAAAGCGACGTGGAAGGCAATATCAAATTCATACAGAGACAGGTTCTCCGGGCAATTGGAGACGCACTTGATGAGGCAGACATACTCAAGAAGTCCCTACCACCAGTGAATGATTCGAGCGAAAGGTCTGATGAAGGGAGCGAGAACGGAGATGGCAGCCTAATTGCGGACCGAATGTCAGACATAGACACAAAGGAACCTGCACTCACCGATGAGGAGAAGGTGCAGAATGCTGCCCAAGCGAATTTCGAAAATATGCAAGAGGCGTACTTTGACTGCCAGAACGCCTTCGACAGCAAAGAATGGCAGCATCAAGAAGAATCTGATCAATGGGAGCAGGACGTCGCGAACGGGGAGACAGACGAAACGCAAACAAATTTCGATCTTCGTATGCTGACCTTAGACCGCAGGCTGACAAGAGACTTAGCTGACGCTCAACAAGCGTACCTTCTGGCAGGGAAAGCCGTTGGGCACTTCAACGTATTCCTGGGTTACGAGGACGATGATATCTACGATATCACCGCAAAGGAGGAGATAGACCCGGTGGATGACTTCATCCCATTGAGTGATGCCAGCGGTTTCCGCATTTTGGCATGGATAGAGTCGGTTGACGAATCAGATGAGGCCGACGATGAACCAATGGTCGATGATTGGGGATGCCGGACTGTCCATATCTGCGACAGTACGAGCCTTGTCGATGATGATCAATACCGGCGGGAAATTGACCAGTTGGCCAAAGTCAGTGAGGAAAAGCGGAAAGAATTTGGTACGGACGTTGAGGATGTTTGGTCGGATCATGAGAGGCCTTCGAAGAGAAGGAGGACCTGTACTTTATAGTCATCATGTAAATCCACCGTTAGCGAATGAACAGTATACCTATTTGTGCCTCTTGCAGAGATATTTCTCCCACAACCATGCCGTTAGCGAAAGAATCTGTTCTAATCCTCGCCTCTTGCAGAACCTGCTGGAAAACCCGCACAGACCGTATCTATCCTCTGCTGTCTCAGATCGATGGGCGGGAGAAATACAACAAATGCATCTATCCGCCTTGCCGCACATCCTTAACATGTCTAAGATCAAAAGCTAAGAGATATCCATATATGCCATGCGTTCAGGCACCGTTGGGAGAATTCCACTGTCACAGTGATTTAGCAATGCTTGCAAATGAACCCTAGATTCAGCCTATTCCTTTCGTTTTGCTCTATTGCATCTGCCATCACATACTTCCCCTTAACGTCCAACAGTTCCCTCCAATCGATCAACGATGGATTGGAAGCTGGGGAATGCGATCCAATCTATGGTGAACTGAATGCAAATGATTGCGTTGCAGCGATCGATGAGCTCCCAGACGATATCTCATCCGATATCAAATACGATTCTCAGACTCAACGATATATCTACCCTCACTTCAGCCGGACTATTCCAAATCCTAGATTCAAATTACCCATAATAAAGGAGGTGGGAGACTGTGAAGCTCAAATTTCACTAGCAGTAGGGAGCAGATCAGACTCGTCTCTCTGGTCAGTCATCCGCCGTCGAGCCAGGATGGTAATACTTGAATGTATCGAGAAGCAAAGCGGTGCCGGTGGATACCAGATCGTGGGCGAACATGGAAATATTCGCGTGACACTAGCCCAGGGTGGGTCTCAAGGCTTGAATAAGACAGGAGTCACTCAAGGCTCCGACGGATTTAGCAAGGAGTAGTTCTTTTGGCTTTCAGATGGTCGGTCTGAGAGTATTGTGAAGTTGTTCGTAGAAAATTCAAGTCCTGCGCAACTAAAATGTCAGAATAAACCGGCCGAAGCAGCGGATGTATGAAAGTGGAAAGAGAGTAACTGCACGGAATCTTTCAAAGCCTCGTCAATAAAATACTTGTATGATACAAGCCGCAAGCGTCACGCTAGAACACAACCCTGTCCAACGCCGCGAAAGGAAGCAGACACAATCGCCAGTGAGCTTGCCTTCACAACTTTTGCGCAATATGTCTAGTGCATATGACAGAGAATCGTTCGTTCAACCATATCTGGCGTAGCAAAGGGATTCTAGAACATACTAATCAAGGCCACAGGCAGAACAACTCGCGCCTAGACGAACTCTCCTCCAAAGTCTCCGCGCTACGAGGCGTGACAATCAACATCTACGACAATGCACGAAGTCAGGATGTCATCGATAGTAGTGTATGTTGCCCAGTATCCAAGACCTATTGCAAGGCTTACACGTGCGACCCATAGTCGGAAGTTTTCTCCTCCATGTCCGGTAGCATCAAAGGCTCCGCCCAACGCCTCGGCCGCATGGCACAAAGTGGAAACAAGGTTGCTATCTTCAAATTGGCTGGCATAATTGTAGCTGTGGTTGTGGTGCTCTGGTGGATTCTTCACTTGGCTTTTGGCTCACGAGCTTCGTGAACTGCTTGCGCTCATTTTGTTTGCTCTCACGGGAGCTTCACGCTGTGGGGAGCTCTGGAGGCTTCGACATGCATATACGGTAAAGAAGAACTCAGACTATTTGCATGCCGGGTGCAAGACCAGCAAGACGTCCGTACATCTCAATCATGTGATTCGGCGTCCAACAAAGGCGAAAAAGGCCGGAAAAGGAATACATTTTGACATCATGCAGCTAAATGGTTCACCGTGGAGATAGAGGGCGAAGCTTGCAAGTGCCACCGGGATGGCAATAACGCAGATGATATTGATAGGGTGACTCACTAAAGACCTAGCTAAGAGCACCTCGGAGGCAAAATTTGCTTGAGCAGTGAATACAGCACCACAGACTGCTTGCGTGTATCAGTCCATGACTGACATGGTCCTTCTGTCTTCGTGATAGCATGATCTAGCTACATCTGCACGAATAAACAAACAACTCGCTCATAGGCTAAGAGTCAACCGGTGATGTGTTCCTAACTAGCCCCAAACATTGGAGTAAAGATCATCTCCACCAAAACCTCCTGCTGGCTTTGACTGTGTGGGAGGATTTGAAGGTGCAGGGCGGACTGGTGCTGAAGTGCTCCAGCCACCAAAGTCTTCGTCAGGAGTGACTTTGGACGGAGCCTGCGAGGATGCTCCAAAGCCGGGACCTTGTGAAGACTGATTCGTGATGGGCTCTGTTCCACCCCATGCAGAAAAGTTGTTTGTCATAGCAATGGCAGGCGCTTTTGGTGCAGGTATAGGTGCATGTGTCGGCTTTGGCTTGGATGACTCTACCGATGGTCCACTTGGAGTGGCCCATGCGTCATTAGCACCCCACGCATCAGCGTCCGAGAGAGCTCCAAAGTTCGCTGAGCTGCTACTTTGCGTTGTTGGGGCGGGTGCGGCTTTGGCTGCAGGTTTCAATGTTGTGGCTGAGGCCGACAGATTGAAAGGCGAGTTTTCAACAGGGCGGGCGGGTTGTGACGCTTTCGGAGGTGCAGCAGGTGTGATAGGGTCAGACATGTCAAAAAGATCGACCGAAGCACTTGGTGGAGGTGGCTTCGACGGAGCTGCGGGTGGGCTGGACGCAAAGCTAAAATCGCCGAAGTCGTTGGACTCCATCGGTGTTAAGCTAGCCTGAGGTTTGGGGGTTGGCTTTGAGCTTGCTGCAGGCTTCGGAGCCGGTTTAGGACCAGCATCAAAGAAACCTCCTCCACTTAATGGGGACGTAACTTGTGGAGCTGTGAAGCTAGATCTTTGATTTGTGGGATTCGCGAAAGCTGCGAAGGGATCCGATTTCGCTGGCTGCACAGGTTTGGATGGTTGAGAGGTTGCAGACGATACTCCAAGACCGGCAAATGCGTCGTCTAAATCACTAAGACTTGACTTCGGCTGGCCTGGGGGTGAATTCATTCCTCCGAAGGAACCCTGTTTGCTATGCTGTGCAGCTGGTTGCGGTTTAGGAGCAGACGAATACAGGGACAGTATAGACTGCTTCAGGTCCGGTCTTGATGGCACATTTGAGCTTGTGGGAATGGCTGTTGAGCTTGACGGCCTACCTGGAGAAGTGGTGGTCGGTCCTCCATAAAAGTCAAGTCCCAGAAGTGAATCTGAAGCTTTTGTCGGTTTAGGTGGAGCAGATTGTTTAGGTGGCGGAGGCCGAACGCTAGGAGTATCTGTTGTGCTAGGTCTTGCAGGCGGAGCTGGGACATCACCAAATAGATCAATCTGTGGTGTGGGTTTCGCTGGTGGTTGAACAGGCTGACTAGAGGTCGAGGCTGCCCTTTGAGACGAAGCTCTATCTAGTTTTGCTTTTTCTTGAACAACATTGAGTGGCACATCATCATCACCATCGACGTCCAAGGATGCCGGATCTGGCATTGGCCCATCCATAACCCAACGCTTCGACTCGTACTTTGTCCTGATGAAGTTTTCGATCTTTGCCTCCGACGGCACATGACCAGTGGCTAGTTTGGCTTCCCAGTACTTGTTAGCCCTTGCATTTCCCCACTTCAACACACTCTGCAGCTGCTCATCCGTCCATGCATCTAGATCGACTGATTTGACTCGACTGATATGTGTACCCATCCCACGATGAATTCCTGAGCATCGAATGCAGACAAAGACCCCTAAATTCCAGCTCGCCCATCTTGGGTGTTTGTTTCTCTTGCAATCTGCACAACTTTTGTTTCCTTCAAGTTTCAATAAAGTTTTGATTGTCTGCTGATTCTGTGCGGCGCGCTCCTGCGCAGGATTTGGTGCAGCTCGCCTTGACATTGCTAGTCAGTTCAAAGAGAGTGCTGTCGATTTTGGCCGATCCTGTATCTTTCCGCGTTTAAAGTACTTAGAGTTAACATACTGGGAGGAGCCTGAACGTTGGAAGTGACGAAGAGCGACGCTAGCGGGCCGAGTAAAATACAGCTAGGCAATCTGACATTTGGATACAGCCTTACCTAGCTCACAGGTTCTACGACCTTATCCACCTTGGTGTTCCTCATACTGCAGAAAGTTGGTGGCCGTCAAAATGAAGCTCGTCAGGTAAGCAAAACCTTTTCAATCAGAGGTTCCTTCGGCTGAACCTCAATCCCAAGGTTGCGAGGTTGCGACAACGCTGACCTCTGGCCTGTGTAGATTTCTGATGAAATGCGCGAATGAGACCGTCACCATCGAATTGAAAAATGGTACGATACTTCCTAGGCTCCAAAGACCCCATTGACATATCTTCAGGCACGATTCTTCATGGAACTATCACGGCTGTCTCTCCTCAAATGAATACCAACCTCCGCGCCGTCAAGATGACACCGAAAGGCCGCGATCCTATAGCTTTGGATACCATAAACATCCGCGGCTCGACCATCCGATATTACATACTTCCGGACAGCCTACCTCTAGATACTCTACTGATAGATGATGCGCCTAAACCGAAGAACAAAGCTCGGAAAGAGCAGGATAGAGGTCGGGGGGCCGAGGGCCAATGCGAGGAAGGGGCAGGGGAGGAGGAGGAGGAGGAGGAAGGGGCCGGGGGAGAGGTGGAGGGAGAGGCTTCTGATCGCTTTCGCGGGAGAGCGTGGAGTATCACACTGAGTTGGCAAAAAGTTTTCTAGACCAATCATGGCGAAGTCGAATGAGATGGAGCAGGGAATACGATAATTGACCCTATCCGAGGATGCCCTATCACCATCTCCAGAAGCCGTACCGACTCGATAGATCGCCGATATATATCTAGCCTGTCTCTTAGGTGTACAGGCAGGTGCGGTTTTGAAATTCCGAACTGATGAGGAATGACTGTCAAGCCTTTCTTCACATTACACTAACCCACGGTTTATTCTGACAATTCGAAGTTTTTCCCATCCCCCTTTCTTTCCTGATACACTCACTACTTTCACAGTCCACGAATCTCCCCATTTTCTTATACAATTCATCATTTCATCAGGCTTGTTTTGCTTACAAAGTAACACATACGCCACACCTCTCACTTCATTCAAGATTCGTGGAATTTCATCTAAGAATCTCTGTGTGACTTCCATGCCATCTACTCCACCCTCATAAGATAGAGGTAAGAAGTCAGGTTTCAGTCCATTATCAATCTCTGAGTCCAACGTGTGAATTTGAGGCACCCCTTGGGAAGGCACATATGGTGGATTAAATACGAGAACATCAACCACACCGGACCGAATTGAAGTCGCGAGGTCCGCACGGATTATGGACAAAAAGCTAGCACAGGGTGCAGGCTCCGAGTCTCTTGTTGCTTGATCTGAACATGAAGAAGCCCGTTCAACGGTTTCTCTAGCAGCTCTACAAGCTAATGGATTTACATCCGTTCCCAGTGTTAAGATTTGCGGTGTTCCCAAAATGGTGCTTGCGTGAGCATTGAGGAAAGCTATGACGACGCCAGATCCTGTACCAACCTCAAGTACTAACGGTGGTGACCATGACTGACTGGTGCCTAAGTCTCCAAACCTTTGTGTCAAGAACTCGATTTCCGAAGGAGAGGAAAGTGTATCTAACAGCAAGAAAGAATCCTCGGCGGGCTCATAAATTGTATCTGTATCTATATGAGATGTTAAAGGAGTAGGCAGCATCAGTATTATTCAGAGCTCGAAAAGCAGCATAAGTGGAACCAGAGCAGCTGCTTGTCGTTCTAAGTCAAGGTCCCTTGATCAGATTTTTTGCATTTCTTGGCACTGCTCTTCTTGCCGCAACCTGACGGTCTCCAAGACAGATCAATATGATGCACGAAGCTCGTTTCCTAGTCTTAACGCAATGAGACCAAGTCTTCGTCTTTTCGCGACTCCTACTGCCGCAGGCTCTACTTCAGGGTTGCGACCAGCACCATTGGCATTGTTGCCTCCAATCCCTCTGTACCGAAGATTGCTCCGCACGCATCGAAAATTTCTCCCTAAAGAAATGCGTGTCTTGGGTGACGAGTACGTTAAAAGTGAATACAGATCCCATAGGAATGTTGAAAATCCTATGCACATCGTACGCTCAACTCGTCCCCAGCCTCGGCCTTCGACTCAATTGATTGGTATTAGATTGGGTTCCTGACAGAATGGCAAATGTACGCTCAGAAGATAGAAGGGGATGCGTGGAAGGGAGAGAGATTGGACAAGAGCAAGATAGACAAAATGAGTGGTACAGCTGTAGAACACTCCAGGTACAAACCTTTACTAACGGGAGAGAAGACCAGCAACTAGGTCAGCTCTACGAACTTATGCAAGCCATTCAGAATCATGACCTGGAGAGTGAAGAGACATGATAGCCAGTTAAGTCTCACTACCCACATTCAAAGTGCTGTAGTACAAGGCTCCCGCTGCGAAGAGCACCGCAGTCTGCAACATCCCTTGAAACTGAACTACATGACTTGACGTGTACGACATCTGCCCGAGTATATCTCACACAGTGATATACGACATCATGTCTTCTCTTACAGGCATTTCAACTACTCTACATCATCGCAGGACAAGTCTATCCACATATCACCCATCAAAAGAGCTTCAACATGTGCAAGACAGCCTTTCACACCTCACCCACATGCGATCACTCCTGGACGACTATAGAAAAGTCCTGTGCAGAGGGTCGTGGCTTCAACAATTGCCCGTCATTCTACGATAATCGGATGCGTAACTCCCGGGGCCTTCGGTCTACTCGCGCAGAACCGAAAACATGTCCCAAATGCGATAAAGGCGACGACTACGACGGAGACAAGATACGAATGGTTAAGGGCGTAAAGGAAGGAGTGCAGGTTGGTATCGCAAATGGAGGGTCGACGGGTGGTTACGATTTGGTATTCCATCAGAGAAGCAACCTTACAAGGAGCAAGAAACCCAAACTTGTAAGGAGCAAGAAATCAGCTCCAACGGAAATCATATGTTGCAGCATCATGTGAAACCAGGAGAGACTTCATTGAAGGGCCAGATAGTGCGACGACACACGACTGCGTAGATGGACCTGGCGCTATAAATGGATGTGCCCCTTCTTGCGAATTGGGGCGTATTTATGGGGTGGGAATGATGTATTGGTCACTGCGAGACAAGGATGCTGGTTCTTTCTTGTTGCCAGGTTTGTTTCTGAATGTGAAGTATGGAGAGTTTGACTAAAGAAAATCCGTCTGTGATAGTTGTGATGTAATGGTACCACAGGTAGGGACTTGAAATCCTCAGATTTCAATTTTCAACTACTACCCCTGATCGTTCACGCTTAGGACTGATGGGCAAGTTGATCAACTACATCCCGTCAGCATTTTTGCCCATTGACTTTTTGGGAATGCTAAAGAGGAGCCTTCTTCTCATGGGTTTTATTGCTTGTTCATCTTTTTGAGAATGTGCCTTTGCAAACACTCTCGAAACATACTTTCTGTAATTTGAATCCGTACAGATCTCCCTAAATTGTCTAACAAAGTGGTAAGGTCGTTGTGCTATTCAGGGACAATAAATATCTGAATGATCCTTGGAGGCCACTAGACCAATTGTATTGTCAGGCTCTGGAAGACAGGTTTATAGATGTATCTTTCAATTACAGGCAAACCGACGGTGACTGTCTCCTCCATATCTCTTAAGGTAAATTTCAAGAAGACATGATGCAGGGCACGTTGAAGCAATGGAAAAATAATCAAACCATTGAAAATCGAGAAATGACTTTATCATATCATCCTTTCCTGACCGTCTTCGCAGCGGGAATGAGTGCAAGGAGACACTTCATCTTCATCTAAAAGCGGCATACCCAGTCTCCTACCATCGAACCTCCTCTTCGTCTCTAAAAACGCCCACCCTCACACCTCCCTTCCCATCTCCATAGCATCTGAACATGCCCCCACAGTTGAAGTCCCAGCACACTTCCCCTTTTCCATCTCTCAATTCAATACCAATCATGCCCCCTTCACCTTCGCCCGTCTTACCCCACCTGTCTCCCGCTGACATCTGCAACTCACCACCTGGTCCTACAACTTGGTTAACTGCGCTTTTTAAAGTTCGTGCTGGAAGCGCTGGATATGAGAAGCGGACGATAGCGCCAGCTGTGCGTGCTGCACTGAGGCGGAGGAAGGAGTCACCGTTTCCGGTGCCTGATATTGCTACAGAATGACCCTCGCTCTGTGTTGAAGTGATGGCTGATTTGCAGTCTAAGGGCTGTACTTCATTCGCTGGTAGGGGCTCGTAGCCATGGAAATGCCCAAAGCATGCGTCAAATGACTTCGTGATGCCGTCCATCAGACTCGAAACGAAAGGAGGAATGGTCGTCGCAGAAGGCTTCGGACTCAGTGGGAGGGGCGCTTCATTCCATTCTTCTGCCCAAAATCCAGCGCCGACGGTGGGCGTATCGCCTATCCGGAAGGGAAGCTTGTTCGTCAAGCCTCCTGTACTTGTTGCAACGCACATGGTGCCGTACTTGTCAAGTGCCACACAGCCCGTAGTACCTTGCGAAAGGTATTCCTTGCCGTTCCATCCCTCAGATCCAATGCGGCGCATAGAAGACGTGTCGTTCCTAGTGCATCGTGAATCTGTATTCTTACCGAGACCTCTCCGGTGCTCGTCCCAGCGCTTTTTGGTCCAGAAGTAGTCTTTGTCTCTCAATTCGAGTCCCCATTTGGAGGCTAGATCCTCAGCTGTTTCTCCACCCAGGCACACATGATTATGGGCACCGAGTGATGGATTTTGCTCGTCCCGGCCCGTTTGCTCACGCACGAGCATCTCACGAGCCAGCTTGATAGGGTTCTTGACGTGCTTCAGGAGCACTACCGCAGCGGCACGCTTATCATACCCGCGAGTCACCATGACCTTAGAAGCACACATTATCAGAAGTTATCACGCCTACACGAAAGTCCATTGGTGAGCAAGGAAGAGCATCGCTGCATCGCTACATCGATGAGAGACATTTATTCGTTGAATATTCTTATTGAGATGTGGGAAAAATACAAAGCAAAACATTGGACCAGAAACAAGTACAGAATATATTTCCATATTCGAAGAAATGGTTTGAACCCACCGATGCCTCCATTTCATTTGTCCCATCCGTGGTGAACACCTGACATTCGCCGTCAACACCTTTCTTGTGATCATCTCTCAAATCTAATCCTCAATCACTTACAGCGCCCTTCCCACAATTGAAAAGCTCACAATCCTCAAAGAGAGTCACGGCATGTGTAGCGGCGTCCAGCGCCGTCGCACCGTTCTGAAGCAATTCATTGGTAGATCGGTAGATGCGAATTAAGTTGGACTTGTATGCTGCCCATGACTTTTGGGAAAAGTTCTCACGAGTGATATTACCAGCTCCGCCATGAATGATGAGACATGGACGTGTGATTGGTTTGTCCATGAGTGAAGCGTGGCATGTGCAAAATACATATTCATACCCAGGGAGCTCTAGGGGAGGAGCCGCTTCAAAGGCCCAGGAGGACAGGAATCTTAAGGGATACCTGCCGCTGAAGACGGCACCCCCTCGATCCCTAGTTGTGAACACCACTGGACACTATTATATATATATATTATATACACCCCAAACTTAGGATCTCGAATTGCCCCTCTAAGATGGGAAAGGGAGCAAGGCCGCTTTGGAGGGAGCACTGAGCGAGCACAAGGGAGCATCGAGGGAGCACCGGGGGAGCACTGTTCAAAAGTTCTGGCTCGACAAGAGCCTGATTTGGCTGCTGCTCTTGTTGTTTATTCAACAAGTGTTGCCTAACTTAGTCGGCTGCTGCCTAGACTTCTACAGCATCGTCGACTCTTGGCTTCGTCTTGTACCAATGAAATGCTTGTTGACGAGGGCCCATCGCTAGGAATCATTGGGTGGGGTTCTAGAAGCTCTCACTCATTGTCTCAAAGCGTTCCTCAAAGTCTCGAGCACGTCTTACCTCGATTGTAAGGGTGATTCGCAGTGACGTGGCTACAAGCAACTAGGACGGGCGTATATAATCGAGGGTTTCCCCTTCAGCAAGCACCGCCCAACCTCCCCTTTGCCCTTAGCCATGAAAGCGGGGCGCTACCCCTCCGTGCAATCTCCGCCCCCGGTGTGCACGCCCCCTTTAGGTGACACCTGGGGGCTCTCTTTACAGCCCTTGGTGATGACCCTTATGGATCCTTACAAAGCGCCATCAGTATCCCCTACTATTGTTCTGGAATCTTCTTGGGTGTGGGGATAAAATGGATACAATACCCCAAAAAAAAAATAAAAATATTTTGCGGCTTATGTGGATCGAACACACGACCTTCAGATAAGCTTTGGATAACTTCAGTCTCTTTATGACATTGTTAGGAACGGATTCTCTCACTTGACAGAATTATGTGAGCACTTACGACGCTCTCCCAACTGAGCTAAACCCGCACCTTCTTACACACGTGTATTAGAAACTCTATATTACTCTTTCTGATATTCATGAATAGGGTTATACACTCCATCGGATCTTTCCATCTAGGCATCCCGAGGGCATCCGAGGTTGCGCCGTGGCATTTGGCGCTGTTTTTTGGGTTCAGGGTATGGATTAAGGCCGATTGTGAGATCATGGGTAGCATCACAGTTTAAGATTATATGTAACTTATGCACAATTCTATCTCGACAGCGCTGCTGACGTGGCAATTGGATCTGCAAATGACTCTGGTAAATTCAACCTAATATATCCGTTCCTTTATTGCTGACACCTGTTGCTGAATGCGGGAGAGCGCGGCTCAAATATATGTTGGACATCACAACATAACAACCGCCACGGAGGAGGTTCAAAGTCGGTCAAGTCGGTGCGAGTGTATGCATTGTGGTGATGTAGTGTGCGAATGCGATATAGCGTCAATTTCTATAATCACTTACTATGGCTGTGCCCGTATCCAACATCATCACTAAGGAAGCTTAAATGCAAGGGCAATTGCGCGCCGCCGCAATATGTATCTTGAACGATAGGAGTACCGAAAGTCTTCGAGTTAAGGAGTGAGACAAAATAGATAGTATTCATGCTGCCGAGGCCTCAAGAATGTAATGTAGAAGATGGATTATCGCCCTCCATCTTGCCCTCACACCTCATCTTCAAGCAATCTAAGTCTAGGATTGATATAGATATTGGGAAAACTTTATTCATCCTGTTTCATCCACAAGATCTGTCTCACCACGCTATTCTACGACGTAGTATCTCTGATGTACATCGTGGGTTTGTATGGGGAAAGGGGATAGGGGGGGCAAAGGGGTTCCCGAGTTCTAAACGTTCGATGACTAATGAGCAGATTTGCCGAGTGTTGGAGACGACAGAGATAATATTAGGTCAAACCAGCGCTGGCGAGGAGAGGCTGTCGTATAAACGCCTTAAGATGTATAAGATATTTTCATCCTCCCTCGGAATTTATTCCTGTCAAGGAATCGCCGAGGTTGCCGTTCTGTCCAGTCCTCATCCTTGCCCTCCAAAAAGTCAACTAGTGAGTTCAGCTTCTTCGTGTTACATTCGCCTCCGAGAGTTACCCAAAGTTCCTTCTCTTCATTGCTTACCTTGAAGTTGAACTTTAGCTTGATGCCAAGACGTTTCGCAGGATCGTCCTCACGAAACTCGGTGGCGCATGCGTGGGGATGGAGTGAACCGTTCGGGGCCAAGTCGCACTGGATAAAGACAGTTTTGAAGTCAACTCCTCCTGGTATAAGTACTTGCACGTTTCGAAAGCAAGTCCTGCCCATTTTACTCTTATTCTTCATCTCCGTGCATGGAAAGGTGCTGCCAAGGCGAAGCCTCCTCTGAAGTTCACCATTCTTCCAGCCAGTCCCAAGACGGCTATGATACGGTAATAGTGTAAGCTGGTCTCCTGGGGATTTCCATTCTGAGTCATCCTCTGGGGCAGGCTTTCCTTGAAGGGCTTCTAGTTCATGCACAATCTGGACCAGCCATTCCGCTCCTCTTACTGACGCTAGCAGCCGTTCAATTGGTTTCCTATAGACCACATGGTCATCAACACGGAGGTCGATCTCCTCGAGGGAGAAATGAATCGTCAGTTCCTTACTTAACCCTAAGATCTGCTGTGCCATCCTGATACTAAGCCGGAAGCTTAAGAGCATATGGCGCGATGGTGCGATAAGCTTCACAGTTCCACACCTAAGCACAACGACAGTTTTCCCGTGAGACCGAGCTAGGCCGGAAGTCTGGTCCCCTTCTGCCTCATATTCGGATCCAGAAGGAGCTCCACCATCAACGTCTTCATATTGGTCATCGATCGGTATGGGTATATCAACCTCGTCTACGGACGACCGATCGATAGAAATTGGCTGAGAAGCTTGGTCTTCACGGGCGTTTTGATTGTCATCAATATCTCGATCGCCATCAGCGCCTTGATCGCCACAGACGTCTTGATCGCCACTAGTATCCATGTCGGTGTTAGTCCATAATACCACTGGAGTCATCTCGCTCGGGACATCAGTCTGGTCTATAGATAGGTGATGAAGAAAAATCGGTCGGAAAGGCTGATTGTTGCTAGCATCTTTGTTGCTGTTAATGCACGATCCTGCTGGGGTCGTCTCGCTTGCCTTCTGTCGATATTTATCATCTGGATATGTAGGAGCCCTGGTGTGGCCCCGGATCTTCTGCTGCCGATTCTGGTCGCTGCATTTATTGTTTGAGAGCTTTTGTGGACATTCCAGACCAGAGGCCCGTCAGTAATTCAGATCTTGTAAGCATCGTGCTTTCCAGGAGAAGGATTGGAGAAAGAAGGGAGCTGGCGGGTAGCCCAGGCCATGACACCCTCATCCCCACGCATAACTTATGTTCACCATCCCAATATATTTCCAGTCCAACAAGTTATCGTTAACCAACCAATTCTCAATCATATCTGCTTGCCCATCCTGCATAATGACGCCAAATGCGTTTCCAGTGGCGGTGACGGCTACGTCTCCATAGCTCTTCGGGTTAACCGACGAATTTCCCATCACTAAGGGTAACATTGTTTGCAACCAATTATCCTGCACTCCCACCCACGTATTGGCTTGAACTCCCTGGCTAGAAAGGCACAACACTTCGATCCAGGATTCAAAGCCGGTAGAAACGTTGGAGTAAGAGGAGGCAGCCGCAATAGGTGAGCCAGAAGGGATAGTACTGTAAAGCTGTTCGGTCAAGGACCAACTGTCAACTGATTCTTAAGAATTAGTAGATGATTTGGTGGAGATAATGGAACACACCTCCATTGTTTAGAAGGGCTGGTTTCCAGCTTGCCAAGCTCAGAGAGAGATTCGCCTTCTGATAGTAGAGGTTTATTTGATCTTCTGTGTTTTCGTGGTAGAATGGTTGTAAAGCAAGTCCTGTTCCGACTTCTGCATCAAGGGAGAGACCTAATTGTGTTAAACTCCAGCCTTCAGATGTAAGATTGCCGATCTGGACAAAACCGTTCTCGGCTTGAAAAGCAACGATCGTGGTATTAGCACACAACCGGCATTGGTTATATATTGCCGTCAAGCTCGAATTCGGCATTGCGGTATATCTTGCATTTGACAGAGATCCCGAACCCCATTCATTCGTCGAAAAGCTGTAGCCAAAGTCGTGTACAATGTTATTGTCGTCGAGATAGAGTACACTGATCTCCTGATGGGATGTAAGGGGGACGATCATTTGAATTTGAAAAGACATTACTTACTAAAGGGAAATCCGGGCGTGAAACTGCTGCCGCGAGAGGAGTATGATTCTTCGCACTGACGCCAATCTTACGGAGATCCCATGCAGTATCGAGAGCGGAACTTGCAGCCTCAATTATTTGTCCTGTGTTGTCTTGGAAATAAACGCGCGTGTTGTTGACAGGGCCCCAAGCCCAAGAAAGGGCGGCAATATTACGCCGAGATGTAGCCGATGAGTCCGAAGGGCTTCTACTTCTGTGTCTCGATCCAAATCGGCCTCCAAGGACAGTTCCCAGGATGACTATCACCGTGAACAATGGTAGCCATATCCTCTTGGAGCGCAGACGGATTTGAACCTTAGGACTGCCGACAGAGGGTTTTTCCAATCCATCGTGAAGTCCCTCGGAACGCTTTCTTATCGCCTCATTAAGCCGATCAAAAGCATGGTCTCCTTCACCATAGATGAGTGGCATATGAACACCAAAGATACCCAGTAGACAATATGCCTTGTCCTCTTTGCGCTTAGTGTTCCGCTCCGCAGCCCATGACATTCGCTCCTCAACGCTGAACTTTGATAAAGGCTCTCCCTGAATGGCACTGACATCAATCATTGTGATTGCATGAATTTCCGACTCCAAGGATCTTTTGTCACCCAACAGTTGGCCCTCCGAAGAGAAGAACTCAACTGATGCCGGTGCAATAAGCTCTTGGAGCGTCCAGCCTCGCGTGAACCATTTACATGTAGGAAATGTTAATTCCCATCCCGAAAATGGAAGATCCGATAAATAAACGTAGCATTTGGCCGCCTCGTTATACCACTGAAACATAGAGTTAATGGCCTCTGTGAGCTCGGTACTACTTGATTTGTCGATACAACAGGTGTCAACCCAGAAAAAGTGCAGCCCGTCCTTTGCGGCCTGTTCTCCGCAGAACCGAATTTTCTTGTAGCCATCCTTATTCCTAGCGGTATCAGGCTCATGTGACAGATCTCTGAAGCTCACCTCCTCGCCGTCGTTCATCCAAGTATGAGAGAGTATGGCATACGGAGGAATGTTGCTGTACATATCATGGATCAGGCAGTAGCTGCCGTCGCCTTTCCGCTCGATAAGGCGCATCGTGCAAAGAAGCAAGTATTATTATTTCGATCGCCGTACTGAGCGAACGGTGTCAGGAGGAATCCATGAATCCAGTTTACTTCGTGTCGGTTGACTTATCTTGGCTAAAAGAGTTGCATGAGGCTGAGGGCTAAAGAATCCTCCACCCAATGATCTCTCGCGGTGAACCTTCCCTCCTCTCATCGCGGCCCCTTCCCCTCCCTTGTTGCCCCTCGATGCTCTCTTGATGCTTCTTCCTGCTCCCTCTATACTCGCTTCAAAGAAAACACAGGAACAAAGTTTTTACTTGAGTGATTTCCCATTGAAATTTTCAGTTATAAATTGCAGTTCGACTAAGATTACTTGGAAAGGACAACATATACATGACTCTATTCCCAGCCATCTCGTCGCCAACGTCACTTTGAACGAAAAGCCGTCGGCGGGACGGGTTGTGCCCCTCAGCATTTGGTAAGCCCTTTCTCCATCGACCGTACGTGATCGTTTACGCCCTTGAGCCGGAAACTGGTCCTTATCGGGCGTATCGTAGCAAGCTGCAATACTGAACCTCCGCAAAGTCATAACCATGACAGCTTTCAGCTCAAGTAGGGCCAGCTCCTGGCCGATGCAACTGTGTAGGCCCCATTCGAAGGGCCGCCATATGCCTTTCGGTAGTAAAGGAATAGCATGCTTCTAACGGTCCTCTTCGGCGGCCAGCTAGCGTCCGGGCACAAACGCATCTAGCTGGTACGGCCAGAAGGAGGGCTCCTGATACATCGACTGGTATAAATACCATACCGTATAGCCGTCGGTGGGATAAGAGTGACCGTTGTGGCTCAGGGAGAAGCCTGGTTCGCTATTGCGTATAGCGGACGTTACCGGGAACAGGCGCAGGTTCTCCTTAATAACGGCTAAGGCAAAGCGAAGTTAACTTATAGTATTGTGACCGGCTAGAATGAAGACTTTCATTTAAATTTGGTATTTTGAGTAGCTATAACCGAGTTCTAGGTAGCCAATTTAGGCTCCCCTACACTGCGCCCACTTTTGCTCCCTTGCTACTCAGGGCTTTTCTAGATGAATCATATTTCCGATAAATCCGCATAATAAGAATCTCGTTTTCAGATAAAGTATAAATATTATAGATATATATAGATAATTTTTATAACTTGTTTATTATATTAAGAATATTAACTAAGCTAATTCAGCATTTTTTAAAGGTAAAATACTAAAGAATCTATTTCAAGCCTTTCCTAAAAAGGTTACAAATATGATTCATCTAGAAAAGCCCTGAGTACGCCTTGATACTCCTGGTGCTCCCCCGGTGCTCCCCCATACTCCCTCGATGCTCCCCCGTGTTCCCTTTATGCTCCCCCGTGCTCCCTTGCTGCGCCTACTTGCTCCCTTTCCTGTCCTGGAAAGGCAATTTTAGATCCTAAGTTCGGGGTATATAATATATATATATATGCATCTTCGAGACTTGGTCATAGATGTGATCACCACCCATCAATCGGTTTCATATTCACAGTCAAGCCATCTCGTGGTCTTGCGGTGATACCTCCCTTGATCCTAATCTCCATCTCCTTATCCACAAGCTCGAACTCGAATCTACCAACCAATGCAGCTAAAAGGCACGCGAACTCAGCTTTGGCAAAAGCTTGCCCAATACAGCTTCTAGGACCGTGTAAGAACGTCATGTACGAGTAGTTGCTGTCTGCGCCGCCATTTCCTGCTCTTCCTGCGCCCATCCACCTATCAGGATTGAACGATGCAGCATCAGGCCCCCAAAGTTTGGTGGAAGTATTAATGGCCCAAACGCAAGTGAAAACCTTTGTGCCTTTGGCAATAGGTTGACCCATTATTGTGGTGTCTCGTACTGCTTCACGCACTGTGAGAGGAAGTGGGGCGTAAAGACGAAGGATCTCATTACAGCATGCGTGAAGATAACTGCAGGACTCCAGGGTCTGAGGTGTCATTTTCTCCCCTGCCTCAATTGATGGTATCGTTGCTCGGATTTCCTCCCGTAACCTAGTTTGAATGCTCGGATTCTGGCAGAGGAGATAGAGGCCCCACGTCATTGCGGTGGCGGTAGTCTCATGACCGGCCACAAGAAAGGTCATCAGCTGGTTTACAAGCTCTTCATCCGTGAAACCGCCTGACTCGAGCGCTACCGAGAGAATATCGGTCTCTGTACGTTTGCCTTCAAGGCGAATCTTCTCCTTTTTGTCACCAATAAGCTGACGAGCAACCTTCTTGATGTATTCTGCAGCTTGTGCGATATTGTTATTTGTGGCAACAGGAAGTGAACGAATCAACCAGGACGGGAGTACCATGCCCATGAATGCAAGCATTTGTCCTGCTCGGGTCGGTTGCAGCACCTTCCGGTAGGTAGCATTTAACTCGTTTTCTGGATCGTCCAGTGCGTTGAAATCCTTCCCAAAGCCGGCGGTGCCTATTATGTCCAGAGTTGCGCGGGAAATCCAGTTAGCAATCTCGACCTTTACTGGTCCCGATTCCAGCGATTCTTTGGTCTGCGAGCCCACTTCTTCTGTCATCAATCTGGCCACTAATTTGCAAGACTTATCCCAGAAAATGGGATAGCAGTCTTTTACATGACGAAACGCAAAAGCAGGCATTAGGTTCTTGCGTTGCATTCTATGCTCATCACCTTCCGCAAGAACAAGGCCAACGCCTAGGATTCGCCCAAGGCCAGCTCTCAATGTCGAAGGTTTGGCAAAGTCGTAGCTCTTGTACGATAAGATCTCCGCGAGGACTTGTGGAGTGGTTGGCATGAGCCTTTCCATGTTCAGTAGGCTTCTATAGTAAATAAAGCCATCATTGGGAACTGTGTTAATCCAATCTTGTTGGGGAACACCCGTTGGCTCGGCTACTATTCGTTTGAACTGGCCGTTGATCAATGAATTACCCTAAAGTCCTCTGAGTAATTTTGATCGGAGGTGGGTTTCAAGTCTGATACTCACCGGCGGCGATGGTAAGTGTCTGAAAGGTGATAAGAAAATTGGATACAATATCACCTTGTAGAGAGCAGAAGACAAAAATGAAGCAAGAAACAAGACAAAGAATGTCTGAATATATGACTGATGTACACTGAGTGTGGGAATTGCTCTCACAAGAACAGCAGACCCTGCTACAGGGGCGAGGGTAACAGACCTCCAAGGAAAATCAAAGTCCATGATGTTTTACTGTGACCAGTCAGGCCTCAAGATATCAGTCCTGTATGCCTTGGACGTCGAGACGAAAGGAAACCCCAGGCTCACTGTGTCATGAAGTAATGTCCAATGTCGAAGCCTGCTGGAGAATCTGGGCTAGACCAGCATTAAAATAATATAGGGGAGAAGCGCGAAAATTGTGCCGAGGTACCTTAATATCAGAACACGGAGCAATAACAATCCCGTCTCTTCTGCTAGGAAACCACAAGGCAGATTATACGTAGCTCCCAGGCGCAAGACTGCTCGAGTGAAAGATCCAAAGAACGTGTTCCCTACCCATAACGCTATGCTATGCTATGAAAGTGTCTACCATATTCTCTTTGCAACCATATTGTATCTCGAAACTCCCCCGAAATCATCATGTTCAACACTCTTCATCCTCTCACTGTCCCGTACCTCTCGCTCTCGCAGCCTTGTGGCCCCTTCTGGATCGTCAGCGTAAATCCACCGCCTTTTGTCTTCATCAACCTCGACGACTCCCCATCCGCCCACTCTTCTGCCTTCTGCATGTGTGCCTGCCCCTTCTCGCTCCTTCATGGATCGATACCTTGACCGGGCAAATGAAAGTAGCGCCATGCCTAGCATCACTTTAATGGATAGTAGAAATATAAACATAAGCAACAACGTGGTCAGAGGCACCAGATAGGGTAGTAGAGAGTCTAACAGATAATATGGCCAGGGCGAGGTATGGGAAGAAGTAGAGTGGTACAGCGCGTGTCTGAAAATATTGTCAATGTGAGCTAAGGCTGCAGTTGTGGCTGGCGACGTCGTTGCCGAATCTATTGAGAGAGATGTGGCTGTTGACGGGATCGGCGGTGGTGCGTATGTTGCAAGCAGCATATGATAAGTCTGTACCGACGCTCTAATGAACAGACATGCCAACGGTATGACGGGTAAGCCTAACCGTCGAGTCAGGTTTGGATCAGTAAATGCATTTGAGTAGTAATCCTTTGCAAGAACGTCAAGAAAGCGGCCGTAGACCGCCGGCTTCGTGTTGTTGAATTTGGCTATGTAGGAGTGCTTAATCCAATCAACTAGCATTTCCGAGCCGAGGACCAGGAAAAAGGGGGCTAGGACCTGACCACTCCATGATGGCAGTAGGGTGAATGCGCTCGGCAGGATTGAAGAGCCCGAAGTGGCCTTTGCGTCGCCAGTAGAGCTCCCGCCAGAGAACGCTAGACTCAAGCCTCCTGTCTCGACGATGTTACGTGAAGCGATGATCATGAGCATCAGCCAAAGTTGAAATCGCTCGACTACGTCAGCACACGTCAATTGGAACAGATTCTCTTTCTCAAACTTCTTGAAAACCGTTGATTTGATCTCAACAAATTGATTCGACATCAACAATGTGAGCAAGGCATTCGAATAGGAGTTGACTGCAACATTCAACGTAATGACTTGGTAGAAAAGAGAGGTCGAGTGAACAAGGTTGTACACGAGTGCGAGAATGAATAGCCAAAAAGGTCGAAGCACCTTGCTTCGCCCATCAGCTTTTCGCTCAAGTGTCTCTCTCGAGAATAGACTCTCGAGTACATCCTGGCCTAGGGCAGAGAAAAGGCGGTCGCAAACTTCGAGTACGTTGTAAATTACATAAAGTTTAATGGCTGCTTGTCCTCGAATGCCATGATACATCCTGCTAGCATCGAAACACATCAAGATAGTTGTGCTAAGCAGAATGAGAAGCCCTTTAAGTATATCAGCCTTGTGATCTGGCTGTAAAGTCGACGGCACGGATTTTGTCCGATGATGCCTCACATGAGACTTCCGAGATTTCGGCTGTGATGATCCGAGCAGTCGCCTTTCGGGACGTTCTGCCGTCGGTCTTGTTGGTGTACGCTCATCGACAGCCGTTGCAGGAGTCCGCGCCACCGCAGGAGATACGCCATGGCTCCCTGCACGGTGTCTGGCTAACATCCTGCCGGAGCCCACGTATATGTAAGATAAGATTTCCCTACCCTCGTGTAATATATTCCTGCATCCGGAGTGAATGAGAAGGGTGAGTGCCTTGATGAATCTGAGAGGGAGTATCGTGAAAGAATACAGCCAGGCATCCATGCATGCCAACGCTCCAAACCATAGCACTTGCTCTAATTGAGGTGGCAGCAGCATGAAATTCTTTAGACGTTCAATTTTGACACGGGAAGATTCGTATGGAAAATCACTGGTGGCAGATCGATGGATGTAGAGGGGAGATGGATGGTCAGATGATAACTCTAGCTGAAGGTAGGTAGGTAAGGACAGAGGAGGCACGGGAATGGACTGGGGCATAGGCGAAGGTTCTGCTCCATCCACAGAGGAGAACTTGCCTGTAGTGCTCAAGCCCTCAAATTTCAGGGCTGGAGGGGCACCTTTGTTCTGTCTACCCAATGGCTTAGTAGATTCCGTGGTCTTCGAGCTGGAACCTCGTCCTCGCAAGAGCGGCGTTGAGAGCGTGCGTACACCTGAGAAAGGTCTTCCCAATTTGCCAGTAGCTTGTGGCGGGCTCGAAGTAGAATTGTCGAGGACCTCTGTGCTTGATTCTTCGAATTTGGTGGTTTGGGCTTGTGAAAGGATAGGGTCTCCTTCTTGGTAGCCCACATCCTCGTATCCCCCGTTCGTCCAAGACCCTATCGTCTTTGCTCTCGTTTCGCGAGGATGGCCCCTTGGCTCCTCATGATGATGCGCTCGCTCAAGCGGCGCTTGTAATGGTAATGATTTCGGTGAGGAGGTAAGCTCATATATCTGTTCGGCTGAAAGCTTCAAGACCTCGTCCTTCTCCGAGTTGTCATTCTCCGCCTCGTTCCTGGACAACGGCTTGTGTCCGTTACTGAACCTCTCGTTGGATGGAGCTTTGAAGTTGGTTTCAACATCTGGTTCACTGTCATTGCCGTCTGCTTGGTCATTGATGGCTTCTTCCAGGCGAAATTGTGACACGAAATCAAGCTTTGCACCATTCCTTAAGTCTTCCTCCGTGACTTTAGGAAGCACTGTTGGAAGAATGGGTGAAGAGGGAGGCGACGCAAGCTGCCGCGGAGTTGTACGGAGTGCATCTTTGGAATCTTCCGATTGTGTCTTTGTTGTTGGTGGTTGAGGTTCTAGGGGTATTTTGCTCTCTGTTTGTGATATCGTGGTATTGTCTAGCAATTTTGCTGAAGGCATTTGACGGACACAGACATGGCCGAGCAAAGTACCAAATTAACCTGCCTCAAGTACAGAAGGGTCATGCATAGGAAAGATAGTCGCGAGTCGCAAATTAAGATTGATCTCTTGGCAAACGTCTAAAGGTTCCAATTCCACCCACATAAACCCCTCGACCACTTCCATTGCTTCCAACCCACTATTTTACGATGCCCTCACACACCAATCCTAACAAGCCATCTAAGGTCAAACGTCAGCATAAAGCTGCTGCAAAAGCGAAGAGTAGGCAAAGACATGGGCAAAGAATCAGTAAAACCCTGACGCCTGCGCCGATAACCAAAAAGAAGGCGAGGAAGCTGGACAAGAAATCAGGCTATGCAAAACAGAGAGCACTTGCGCAACAGCTGCAAGAGAGCGAAGTCGAGATGAAGGATGTAGGTTCGGCTCAAAAGAAGTCGGAAACTCAGAAGGGGCTTGCGGATGAGGATGGTGGGACGGTGATGGACATCGCGACCTAAGTCCTGAAAAGCATCACTAAAATGGAAACCTCTCACGAGGGCCGATCTTGTGACAATAATATCAAATGCTTGTGGCTTCGTAGGTTGTAGTGGCGTGCTCTGGTCAGAAAAGACAGAGGGACGAAATGATTATGGAGGATTTGAAGGGGCGATAGAGGGCGTATGTGAGGGGACTAGGAGATCTGATGCTAAATGAGCATGGCTGAGGAATGGGAAGTTGAAATTGATACGATTGTCAGCTTTCGGTCACCTTGAACCTAGGCAGATATGCTGTACGAAAGGATGATCGAAAGCGGCCTCCCATCCGCGGTGACGGGCTCTATCTTCGCCAGGTATGTTAGACGAGAATGTTAGAACGAGGTCTAGATGGACAGTGGATCGCTGGTGAGCTAGAGACGAAAGGGAAGGATCAAGCTTCTATGTCATTTTTGACTGGGCTCAAAATGCGGTGAGCAACTATCTAGAGTCATGACTAGCATTCTGTCCCTATCGGCAATGCTTGTACTTTGTCACTGGCTGTTTCTCTACTCTAACATACATTAAGTCATGATGCTTGTGAGGAGCCTGATGCAAGTAGTGAGAAAAAGCGATGGCGTACTGATTACAGTTTCGACAGCTAATTCTGCTGGTTTCACAGCCACGTTCAACTCTTATATTCAGACATTGCCTAGATCGGTGACATTAGCTTTGTGCAGGCAACCTGAGTAGAAAAGACTGACCAATCACGACCATGAATCTCAAACGCCCTTCCTTACTCCTGCTACCAGTTGCAGCAGGAGCGCCTTCTCCCACTCCGTCGAAGCCACATAGCCCATCGTCCAGGACCATAGTGCTACTCTTCCATCCCCAGCTCTGGCTAAAGTTGAATAGGTCAGGGGCGCTCTCGTAGACGCTCAGCATTCTTCCACCTTTGCTGGGGCTGTAAATCTTGAAATAAGTCTTGATGGTCGGTCTTCCATCAACATAAGCAGGGATGGTCGGTACCGAGTTCTGAGTCTTTACAGACTCTCGGTTATGGAAGGCGGGATCGTCAAGGTCGCTGTCCGAATTCGTGCCTTGCAACGGATGCTGGGAGAAGGTGTGTGTCCCTGGCGTAGTCGGCGTTTGTGAAGATTTGGTGAGAGACGAGGGCTCGCTGCTAGTTCCCGACGGATGCCCACGGAGAAGATTGCTTAGAGTCGTCGACCGTGAAGTTTGTTCTGGAGGAACGAGCGTAGCATCAGGGTCTGCGCTCGAGTTGCTAATATCTTCCTCTGAATTGCGGCGATGGCGATTCCGCCGCATCAACATCTCAACCTGTCCGATGCGCTCGTCTACACTTCCGCGATGGTGGTCTTCATGGGCCTCCTTTTCCTTGGCACGATGGAGATATACACCCAATTGCGTGTTCTTGGTTGTCTCAACCTTTTGAATGTAGACATTCCAGAGTGAGCCAGCGTACCAGACGGTGCGAGAATAGACGCGTTTCTTCTCTTTGAGATTTCGAGGGTTCGGAAACTCAGCAGCAAATCTGAACGGTGGATAGTGGGTGTAAGTAATTTGTGGGTTTTGCTCGCTCCTGTCAGCGACAGTAGGTCGCTCATTCGCAGAAGCTGTGAAATCAGATGCCCATTGTACGTCAACTGGATCGATAGATGCAGATAGCCGAGATACGTAAGGCCTGTTTGTGCTTGGTGTTGCGTAAAGCGCAGTATCCAGACTCCCTCCCATGATAGACGTCGAATCTATGTTGGGTATCCAAAATTTGCGAGGTTTACCATTGCCGTCCCAACTGCCTGATTCCATGTCGACGTCGTCGTCGTCATCTCCATCGTTACTCGTGTCACGCTGCTTGCCCTTGTTGTGTGATCCATTCCTGGTATTGGATTCATCGGCCATCACTTCATCAACAGACTCCTCCGCCGCACGGCTCAGACCAATCTCGAGATCTAGCTCTGGAGCATTGACCACTTTTTGTCGAAGCTCCATTTGCATCCAAAGAGCGTCATTGATCACTTTGTCAGACATGAGCGGCAGGCCTAGTATATCGCGCTGCTCTCGGATTTTCTGCAGCTGTTCAAAACTAAGATGGACATAATGGATGCCTTCATCCAATAGAATAAGTAATGGGGCAATATCTGGAGTTGTGTAGAGCGTCAACCATTGATCATACGCCTCAGGGACGCGTCCACTAAATGACGTCTTGCGATACACGGAGTCGAATCGAATAGCATGGAAGGCCATCGCGTCTGGAGGTACTCTTTGCGGTCTACCATTCGGCTCAAAAAGACCTGCGTCCATTGCCTGGATTTTAAGTTTGCGGTCGAGCACTTTCTTTGCGATAACAAATCGTTCCCATTCTCCGGGAATGAAGAATCCGTCACCACCAATAATTTCCCGCGCAATCTCCCCGGATACATCGTCCCAATATCTCAGAGGCATCTCCCAGCCCTCACGGCAGAGCATGGCCTTGGCAGATCCCAGGATCCGGTCACCATGCTTGCCGTAGTAATTACCTGTGACTAATTTGATCAGTGAGCCTAATTTAGCGGTCGACATCTGGCGCAATATGGAGGCCACGCTCGCGTCAATGAGATCCGGCATCTCTAGCCAGCAGCCTGTAGCAAAAAGCCCGATGGCTTCTTTATCTTCCTCGGAAGTAGCATGGCTTCCGTATATTCGTTTGAGGGCCAGCTCAAACGCTTGTTGCGTAATGTTCGAGTCAATTTCTTCTGGATGGAGGGTCATCTCCTTCGACGATGCTTCAAACCATGGCTCTGATAAAGCAGAAGCGAAGAACGGTGCTCGGTCGAGCAAAAGGCGATGTAGTGCGTAGGAAGTGCCAAACGCGTGTACGGTAATGTCAGAGTGCTTTCCGCCGAGAAGCCCTTGGTTGTATAGATGATTGGGTAGTGGTGCAGTATTCGATGATGCTCGTGTGTACGCTGTCCCACTGTGCGTCCGAATGTAAGATGCATTTCTAGAAACAATTGGAGGCGCCTCCGGTCCGGAAAAAAGTCGAGTTAGTGCCGTCGGCGTACTGATCCCTCTACCATCGGCAGAAGGGGCTCGTTCGTGTGTGACGGAAGGGTCATCAATGTCTTTCTCAGCCCTAGATATGCGACTTTTCCGATGTGAAGGCGGTATACTGTTCTGATAATGGACCGACCGCTTGCTTGGTATGCCGGATGCATTGTTCAAAGCTGATAGCGGATGGGGAGGCTGAGGAGGAGGGGGGGAGCTCATGGACGCCTGGGCAGTGTTGGATGATATTGAAGATGTTGGTGGGCCAGAGGAAAAGATGGATCGATTAGGGTTATTGAAAAGTCCGGCGTGCGAGGTAGAATGAGAACGGTCATGCGCATGACTCGGCACTACCAGCTCTGGATCTGAATTTGAGGACTGATTTCGGGGTTGTGGTGAGAAGATAGTCGCGGTGGCGGAGCGGGGCGGATCAGCTAAGCTTGGAGAGCGCGAGGAGGGGAAAGTCCAAGTAGGAAACTGCAAGTGAGGTAATCGGTCCTGGGTGCGGGCATGTGTCGATGCTTGCTCGTCGGTAAGGGAGCTGTGGGCATGGGCATGTGACGAGGGGGGAAACTCATCTGACTCTACGCCGGACGACATGCCTGGGAATTTCATTGAAGGTAGGTGGCAAAGATGAGGAGCATGGAGAGATGCTTAAATTCACCAGGAGAATCACATTCCCCTAAAACAACCTCCACGTCCCTTTAGCAGGCAGAGAGATCCTGCTGACATTGGGACGGGATTCCGGGGCGCATGAGCGGCAATTCTCCGCAAGAGGTGCCACTGTTGGGCGTGACTTCTGTAACGACTAGCCCCTCGCTTACTCATCTGCCAAGTGGAATGCTCAGGCAGGAACAGGCTTGGCATTGGAGTTTCTTATTTCCCGACCTACGGCAGTGACTGCTGCTAATACCCTATCAGCTCGTTTGGGTCGATCCAAGTCTTCCCGCTCAAATCAAGTCTTCAGTCTTCATGTGTTGAGGTAAAGATGACGAAAGGCTTAGCAAGCCGAAAAAAAGCAATGCTCATTACCAATCAAGACAATCACGACATCGCTTGTGGATATAAGGTAGGACCACGCTCAGGCGTACTGCATTGCTAGATTAGATATCTCCCTACTCCCACAATCACTGTCGTTGAACTTCACCTTCGTGCACTCCGCAAGAATGGCAACCCATCACAACGTGCATGAGGCACAACACCAAGATACCTCAAGGGAGCCCCTTGAGAACAGAGCTGCAGAGGGCATCAGTTATTATACGCCCGCCCAATTACCACCGAGTGGAACAGCTTCGGATCCACAACCAGATGGATCTCATCCACCAAGGTTATTTCAACCCTTAAAACTGAGGGGCGTAACGTTGCAAAACCGCATTTTGGTGAAGAAAGCAGGCTCAAGACTCGTGTTGTTGCCGACTAATTCTGATTGCTAGCTCTCCCCATTATGCCAATATTCAGCGGAGAACGGTCATCACACCGCGTGGCATTTCGCGCATCTTGGTGGCATCATTTCACGTGGTCCAGGGCTGTCCATGGTCGAAGCTACTTCTGTCACTCCAGAAGGCCGCATCACGCCCGAAGACAGTGGGCTCTGGCTCGATTCGCAAATGGAGCCGTTGAAGCGAATCGTTGAGTTTGCCCATAGCCAGGGTCAGAATATTGGCATTCAGCTTGGACATGCTGGCCGAAAAGCAAGCACCGTTGCACCATGGCTCAGCGCTGGCGAGACTGCGCCGAAGGAGGTCGGCGGGTGGCCTGACAACGTGTGGGGTCCGTCTGCTATTCCCTACAATGACCAACTTCCTCACCCAAAGGAAATGACGAAGACCGATATCGAAGACTTCAAGAAAGCCTGGGTCGCAGGAGTCAAGCGCGCGGTTGCTTGTGGATTCGATGTCATTGAAATCCACAATGCTCACGGATATCTGCTACATGAATTCGTCTCTCCGGCAAGCAATCAACGGACAGACGAGTACGGGGGTAGTTTTGAGAACCGGACTCGCCTGACTAGAGAAGTGGTCGAGCTTGCGCGCACGAACATACCGGAGGACATGCCCCTGTTTCTTCGTATCTCTGCGACAGACTGGCTGGAGGGTGAGCCAGATACTGACAGCTGGAAGCTCGAAGACACAGTCAGGTTGGCTGGCGACCTCGTCCCATTAGGTGTAGATCTGCTTGATGTCAGTTCTGGAGGCTTGCATCCTAAGCAGAAAGTCAAATCTGGGCCTGGCTATCAGGCCCCGTTCGCAAAAGCGGTCAAGGAAAAGTTGGGGGACAAGCTAGCAGTGGGTACGGTTGGCACTATCACAAATGGCAAGCAGGCAAATCAATTACTGGAAGAAGGACTCGATGTGGCAATTTGTGGAAGGATGTTTCAGAAGAACCCTGGGCTGGTTTGGCAGTTCGCAGACGAGCTAGGTGTTTCAATCCAAGCCGCAAACCAGATTAGATGGGGATTTGGAGGTCGTGGCAGAGCTAAGAAGCAGAAGTTATAAAAGCAAAATGATCATTATTCGAGCCTGTTCGAGCTAGAGACAGAAACGCGGAGAGCACAATTTTTATAAACATATAGATTCAAATACGCTAACCGCCTGGGGAAACTTCGGCCGAACTCCAAAAATCTTTAGCGTCGTCATGGGCATTGCCATCCAGAATTCCATATCCCAGATCAACTGGTCACAGTTACACCACGCCCCTTCGCGGCTTTCTTGAATCATTATTGTCACTATTTCCTTCTGTCTGACGCTGGCACAGCTACACTTCCTCCCCCGCTTTCTCTATTCCTGAACCTCCTTCCCACTGTCATTACCATCTTTCACTCTTACCCTCTTCCAATACCGCCACCATGGATCACTCCCGCGACCCCTGCCCCTGGGTAACTCTGTCCGATTTTGGCGGCGCCTTTTGCATGGGCGGAATTGGCGGTGCCGTTTGGCATGGAGTGAAAGGCTTCCGGAATTCTCCCATAGGCGAACGAAGAATAGGGTCGATAACGGCGATCAAAGCAAGAGCGCCGGTGCTAGGAGGCAACTTTGGAGTGTGGGGGGGTTGTTCAGTAGTTTTGACTGCGCGGTCAAAGGAGTCAGGAAGAAAGAGGATCCCTATAATGTACGTTCTCCAAAACCCCCTCTCCTGCAAATAGAGCTAACTTGAAAATTACTCAGGCTAGTACGTTTTTCCGCTGGCTTTGTCTGGATGATTGGAGTTTGATTCTTTTTATACGATGAAGAAGGAGAATTACTACGAAGACAAGAAAATTTGTGATGTATATTGAGGCTGACAATTTTGCAGTAATAGCAGGATTCTTCACCGGAGGGGCACTGGCTGTACGTGGAGGCTTGAAATCGATGAGAAATCAGGCTATAGGGTGTGCTTGTCTACTAGCTGTGATAGAGGGCGTAGGGATAGGTATGCAGAGGATGATGGCAGGGCAGTCAAAATTAGATGTGAGTTCTTCTGGGACAAGGCGTCTCTACGTACAAAACTTGCACGCGAAAGCTAATCATTCCTTGACTTCTAGTTACCTGCACCTCCGCCACCTCAGGGTTCATCTTCAGAAGGCGCTATGATTGCTTAATTTGTTATAAATATGCCCCACTCAGGTTTCGGAACGCCTGCATGAAATGGCGCAAATTTTGGAAAGGCCAAAGAATGGCTAGGGTGCATAGCGATAAGACGTCTTTAGTGGGCTAAAGATGTTCAATTGAATTACAATCATACGCTCAAATTCTCGAACCATGAGACCCAAGGTATACTATTGCTAGACATCACGCATGAACCTCATTAATCATCTCCATACATTCATCAGTGAAACATCAACCTCAACGGACTAGGCTTCTTCGCCTTTTTCTCATTTGCATCTTTAGAACCTGTTGTCAAGCTGGTACTTTTTGATTTTGTTGTTGATAGACTGGTCTTTGAGTTCGCTCTGGAAGCTGACCTCGACGGTCTCTCACCTCGGGACTTACTGCTGCCGTGTGTCTTTTTGTCTTTATTAGATGCTGGAGTCGAATTCTTTGGGTCTTCGAGGCTTAGCTTTGCCAGCGCAGCGGCTTGGGCCGTGATATATTCGCCATCCACACTAGTGGCAAGACTTGCTGCCTGCTCGTCCGCAATGCCTCTTCTCCAAGTCTCTATGCTCCCCATATCTTTACCAATGTCTATCATTTCATCCACACCGGGAGCTTCAATGGCTTGCTGCGCTTTCAGCTTCTTGATAATTTTGTAACCTCCGAACGCTACGACGGTGAGCCCAACAGCTACCCCTCCAGCGATGAGGAACTGTGGACTAGCCAGCAAGCCGAAAACCGAAGGAGCACTGCGGCTTATATTTGCTAGAGTCGTTGGTGCCATCTTTGTGGCAATGTTGCTGATCTCAGCCAAGGCAAGAGCTACTGCAGCCATGGCATCTGGGTTCTTCTGCAACATTCCGATCGTCTTAGTCGCCGAATGATGCAAGCAGTCGGCCTCCTCGAGCAGTCGTCTCACAGTGCTCACAAGGCCCTGCATCTCTTGTTCGTCTGCGTTCCTAGTGGAAAGCACGGGCCCCGGCAACTCGCCGTATGCTAGATCCATGTCTATGGTAGGCGAAGATGGTGTTGTGTATGATCGAGGGGGCATTCGTGGAGGAGCACGTGCAAGCTGTAGACCGCCACCATGATCGGTGAAGCTCCTTTGGATGCTAGGCATTGTGGGTGCCGACTGTCGTTGTTCTTCGAGAGACCGCCTCCGTGAGGATGCATGTGAGGTTGGGGAGGAAGGCGCGGTTTTTGCTGTGTGGGAAGAGCGTCGACGGTCCTCATGAGAGTGATGCCGCGAGCGATGGTGGGATCTCGAGTGTTTGCTTGATGAGGTTCGAGACATGTGCTCTTCTTGCTGCAAGGTGTGAATTGAGCGAGGTGATTTTGGGCTGGGAAGGCCATATCGTGTAGCAACTACTTCTGCCTTTCGTTCCTTGTAGGCTGCTTTCGCTTCTTTCCACACATTGACCATGTGCTTACTCTGGGGAGTCGTTAGCAAGCGCCTCACGAATCACCAAAGTCCTCACTCACGGAATTTACCGCCTTCCCTGATTTATCCACCACAGTAACAAGCTGAACCATTTGTGCGGCCATATCTCGTCTTGAACGTGCGGGTGTAGAGCCTGTTTCACCCTCTGCCTTTGGTATGCGGAGAAATAATGAGTGAAGAAAAAGGATTCTCCTGTTTGGAGGTGGGGAAAAGCAAGCTTCAATTACGATCCCCCGGAACAGTCACGAGGATCTCGAAGGAGGGGCGTGGAGAGTGAAGGATCTAGAACCCAAACAGCACGAAGTAAATCTTGACAATCGGGCAGACAATCAGATGTAGAGGATGCAGTCTGCGGTAAAGCCAAGATGATGCAGGAAAGACGCAGGTTGGTTTTGAGCAGCGAAATAAAGGCCAGGAAGGGGTACTTATTGTGTGTGGTCTCGGCCTAGACGCCCGATCTTTAGTTCCGTCGCCTTCAGATTGGGCACAGGCCAGCAAGACGAATGTCTAGCAATCATCACACGAATCACACAGACTTTGCCGTCATCGTTGGGCCGGCCGGTGGTAATAATAAGTTTGGGTATCAAAAAAGGGATTGTGGCGCGTGGCTGGTGTGCTCAATTAGGTCTAGCAGCTGGGCTAGCTTGCTGGCGCGGGCTCTCGGCGGTGACCGGCGCGAATTCAGAAGGGACTGAAGGCCAATGCCAGCTGAGAAGCTCTAGCTCACCTGACCTTGGGAGAGAACGCACAGCCTCACAGCAAAAATAATCGACGGTTGAAGGCGAGAAGCCTCTTTGCAACAGTGCCATCAGTCTAGGAAACGAAGATGGCTTCAAAGACGTAGGATAGTGTAGCGATTAATGGGCGCAGATGAATTCGCCAGAGCCACCCTTGCTTCACCGACTTAAAGCACAGGCTTCCATTTTGACCCTCGTGGTAGCAGAGTCAAGGATCTTTGCCGGCACGCAGGATGGAGAAATCATAGTCTGGTCTTTAGACACTTACCAGCACATTGCAAGAATACGTGCGCACAAGCAAAGTGTTTTGTGCCTTTCTCTCTCAGGCAATGGACGATTGCTTTTCTCCAGCGCCGGCGACGCCATCCTGAACGTATGGGACGCTTCGAATCTTCAGCGCGTCTATTCGATTTACTCTAGCTACGATGTTGGCGATGTGTTCTGCGTTGCCTATTCTTCCAATCTGCAAACCGTCTACTTAGGCGCTCAAAATACGGCCATCCAATGGTACGACCTGTCAGAAAGGGATTCCCGACCTCCCCCAGACCCAAAATCACACCCTTCGTACCGTAATCACCGCTTTTTTGATTCGAAAGGCCCTGGTGGCACCTCTACACCAAGGCCTTCATCGCCAGAGGAGCCTCGTGCTCTCGGTGGCAGGGAATTAGAGATAGAGCGAAATCACATTGTCCATTACGCCCATTTTGGCTATGTCTACTGTATGCTGCTCGCTCAAGACCTGAAAACGCCACGTTACCAAGGCGAGGTGTTGATATCAGGCGGAGGAGACGGCTCTATCAAACTCTGGGCTCTAGATGCTTCAAAAGACGGCACCATACAGCCTTTGGAATGTTTAGAGAATGGTGATGCGTCCGTTCTTGCTCTTGCAATTTGTAGCAATTTCCTGTACAGCGGCAAGCTTGAGGGTGACATCGACGTTTGGGACCTTGAGACTTGCCAGCGACTTAGACATATCAAGGCCTGCTCTGATGATATTCTGACGCTTTCTGTAGGGCATGACCTGATATTTTCTGGAAGCTCGAAGGGTGGGGTGAAGGTGGATATTCCCGGATTTATTCGACGAGGATGATCTGACCTATTCCTAGATATTCAATCAGCATCACACAAAAGTCAGTGAGTGGCAAGGGCATGAGCGACTCATCCTCACATCTGCGGTCACATCCTTGAGGAATCGAGAGCTATACGTGTCTGGCGGTAACGACGGTATTATCGCTATTTGGGACGTCAGTAACTGCTTCGATCGCCCTAAGAAGGCAGACATCGCAGACAACGGTCAGTCAACCTTGTTATGACGTGTGAAGAGAGATTGACCTATTGTAGAGGAACTTATCAACGACCTTGCGAAGCTGATCTCTTATCCGACCATATCTTCACGTGTCCCCTACGCAAATGAATGCAGACGCGGAGCACGATTCTTAAGGGATGTTTTTAAGCGCTTCGGCGCAGAGACTGACTTGCTCAGTACAGAAGAGCAACGAAACCCCATTGTCTTCGCGCGCTTTAGCCATGACCAGACGAATGTAGGTAAGCGGAAAGCAATACTATTCTACGGGCATTATGATGTGGTGTCTGCTGATAGCGATACGCATGGCTGGTCATCTGATCCGTTTGCTCTGCGAAAAGCCGACGGATATCTCTATGGACGTGGTGCTTCTGACAACAAAGGCCCGGTGCTGGCTGCCGTATATGCTGTAGCCGACGTCATCAGGGCTAAATCGCTAAACATTGACATCGTGTTCTTGATTGAAGGTGAGGAGGAATCGGGTTCCTTCGGTTTTGCCAAAGCCATCAGAAAGCACAAATCTCTCATTGGCAAAATCAATTGGATACTGCTTGCGAATAGCTACTGGTTGACTGACGACATTCCCTGTCTAACATATGGGTTACGGGGGGTTGTGCGTGCAATCTTGACCATCAGAAGCGACCGAGAGAATCTGCATAGTGGTGTGGATGGCAGTTATATTCTAGATGAAGCGATGAAAGACCTCGTTGCAGTGCTCGCGGGTCTGACTGATCACGATGGAAAGGTCAACATCCCGGGATTCTACGATGACATCCCGCCAATCAGGAAGGAAGAAGATGAACTATATCGATTCATTATTAAGAACTTGTTGCAGCGTAATGCTGGCCTTGGCGATCCAGATAGTATGAAGGAGATGTTCAAAGCAAGATGGCGAGAGCCATCTCTCACGGTACACCGCGTCCAACAGTCAGGCCCTGCAAGCTCCACTATCATTCCACACACGGCTCGGGCAGATATCTCTATACGTTTAGTCCCTAACCAAACCACTAAGGACGTGATCGATGCGCTTAGTAAATATCTTGACAAAAGCTTTACTACTCTAAAAACCTCAAACAAAATGTCACTTGAAATTGAGCACGCGGCAGAACCATGGCTCGGTGATCCCAGTAATCACATCTTTAAGGTCCTGGAGAAAGCGGTAATGGAAGTTTGGAAGCCCCTCTTGAGCGATCAAGAGCGCACAAAGACGCCTTTGAGATCAAAAACGAGCAAGTCTGACCCATCCAGAGCATTGGTGCACAGAGGATCCAAATCACCACCATTGACTTCAACAATCTTGTCTGGCTCTACAAAACCCTCTTCTCTCACTGGGAAGCCAGACATTAAATCTTTTGAGTGCAGACATCGTGGCCCTCCGCCTGCGAATCAACGACCTTTATACATCCGTGAAGGTGGATCGATACCAGCTATTCGATTTCTTGAACAGGAATTCAATGCCTCAGCTGCTCATCTTCCATGCGGTCAGACAAGTGACTCTGCCCATCTCGACAACGAGCGATTACGTGTAACCAATCTGTTCAACAGCAGAGAGATCTTTCGACGAGTTTTCATAGAGTTAGGTAAAAGCTGACAGAACCGATGCACTGAAATTCGGAAACCTCTCCAAGCACAATCAGCTCCCGCAATATCGCCGGGTGAAATGACGTGATCCTTAAGCTTCTTATAACGTAAAGAGTTCACAGCTTTCTCTCAATAGCTCCCCAATGTCAAGAAGTCAAGTCGTGCCATCGAGATAAAGCCGGGAATAGAAATCTTAAATGATCCTATCGTATCTCCCTTGAGAGACGTATACTTCCTGGCAAAAGATTTGGAAGTTTCTCAGTGGCTAAGTGCAACTTTGCCGAAGTGGACCAAGGCTACTGCGATTCACGATTCATGTAGACTAGCTGCCTCAATATGCTTTGAAGCACAAGACACGATCACCTTCACAAGGAAATGGCTGGTTTTTCATTTGTTCCAGACATCGCCTCTGTTGTTGTGCAAGTTCTGAGTCCGAGTCAATGTGAATCATGCAGACTGATTGTGGAAGCTCTCCGCTTGATGAAGCAAGGGAAAAATCCATGCACGAGGGTGAGAATTGAAAGGGGACTTCTCGGAATAGTCTTACACATCTTCTAATCTATATACTTCATATGCTGGCTCCTCATATGGATGTGCCCTTCAGTTTTGCGTTAGCAAGCCAACACTATTACGACCGGACACACCCACTTTTTCAAGGCCTCAACGGCACTCATCATGACCTGCCTTCCTACACACAAAGTTTCGACCCGCGTTTCCTCGACCTTTTCGAGCTGTCCGGATTTGCCAATATTTGGGTTTGCGCCCGAGCTAGGCATGAATTGCGCTTGACCACGCACTTCGAAGGAACACAGGGAATAGTTCCCCCCGGATATGAGCCAGCACCTGCTACGTAAGCGCCATTTAGAGCTCGCGCACACAGAGCAAACAGAAGAAGATCCAATGCATACCCTTGGCGAATACGGCAGACTTGCAGGTTTCTAGCGAGGAGTGAGGGACGGTGAAGATGAGCTTGTACCTTGGCTCGGGTGTTGTTGGGGCCGCCATAACAGTAGTGAGACGACTTTTGACGAGCGGAGAGATTCTGAGATGCTTCGAGGAAGCCAGCTCAGCTAGATTGCTCGACCCGTCTGTCAAGATATGCCAATGAGTAACGAAGAACCCTTTGGCAATCCGCAATATGCAATACCTAAGGTACTTGATACTGACTGCACCCCCAGCGTTCGAGCTGCATGAGGGGCAAAGCTTGTGCTTAGTGCCCGCTACCTACATAGCACCTAACGAGGCTAAGACATTTGGGGGGCGCACCTCGCTCGTGAAGCAAATACAAAAATACAAGGACGGCCTCAGCCACACGCTGCGACCGACTCAGACATCAACCTTGAAGTGTTCCACTGCATGTCATGACTCAGTCTAGAAGACAGGAGCATCGGCGAAATCCAGCAGCATGGGCTTGAAGCCTAGAATCCGGCCTAAGGTATGGCATCCGCTTATTTTTATCCGGGCCGAGGCTACGTAAGCTTTAGGCCAACTTTTCGCAAAGCCTCACGGATCTGCGTCATGAAGAACAACCTTGAGCTCATGATTGACGACACCTGGACTGCTCATCTCCCTCTTTGTAGATAGCTACTTCTTGTTTATCTTCTGGCATCATGTCGCCCTCATTCATTCCAATCGAGACTCGGCGAAACCTGAGGGAAGGCGATCGGCGGTGGGGCATCGAGTTCGCCGTTCGAGGAGTCGCCACCCTGTTTGCCTTCATCAGTTTTGTAATATTTGCTGCGACAGTAGCCAGGTCAAGAGCTACGTACGGAGGCAATGACTGGCCTGATGGACTGCCCATCTGCCCTGTAAGTTCACTCACGCTCTCAAGGAATATCATGACGCATAAGGATCCGAACCCTTTGCTAACAGATATATCATAGCTCTTGATCGCCTTTCTCTATAACATCTTCCTCCTCGCATTCACCATATTTGTTCGCCAAGGACACCTTATTCACCCCGGTTGGACAGTCACGGCAGACCTTTTTGTTTGGGCTCTTGCTGTCCCCGCCATTATCTTCTCCGTTGGGGATGGATGGTTTTGGTGGTGGCAACCAGTGTACATTCCTGGCATTGACGGGTTCGTCCTTTGCGAAGAGGACAACTTCTGGAGCCAGCCATGTCAACCGCTGATATATACGCTCGGCCGACAAGAGATTGGTGCCAATGTCTTTTTAGCGTTGGTACTGATCATGCACTTTACACTCTTCGTCAGAGCGTGTATAATGTGCCACCGCTATCGGAGACAAAAACAGATTCAGAGAGCGGCGACAAGAAATATTCAGTTGCAATACCATAGGGATCCTCTCGAGCATGAACGCGATCAGCCACCGGCATACGAACGGACTCTCACCACGTCGCCGTCAATCCGCACCGACATTCCCACGGATAGACTCAGCACTGTGGCTAGCCCCGTGAGCCCTGTCAGTGCGACGGGTCCGGGAGAGAATGCTGTGAAATATGCCTAGAGTTTGAGTGGTGCAAAGGCTTGTGTGGGTTATTTCGGGACTGGAGTTTGAATGGGAATGGGCATCGAACTTGTCAAATCGCCAGCTGGATTCATAGACAGTGCTAGTCGATTATGAGTTTTGGCTAAAGAACACAATTTATCAATTGAGGATATGTCACGGACAGTAGATTGTTGATTTGCGGGAGAAACCCCGTTTCCAAGCTTCGTAATTGCATTTCTAACAGCATGCTTGCCATAACCCATTGAAATTATCGAACAAACATTATAGGAGAGCAACAGAGAGGTGGGGGAGTGGCATATATATATTTTACCCCTTTGTTTGATACTAATTAATGTCTCTAGTGCGGCTTGTTATGCAACCACCACTCGTGATGGACTTTGGCAGGCGTGGACACGCTAAAGAATTTAGGGTCCTGCAATAAAACCTACAGCTAAACCGCTAACAACTACCCTCGTACCCTCTCCTAGCGGACATCTTCGCCCGCAGAAATACATACAGCTGAGTGCTGACTGCATGTTACTAAGCGTCCTCTTCTCATCAATTGCGTACTCCACCACATGTTCTTGAGCCTGATCGCTTGTTCTAGAATCTCAATCGGTGGAAGAATGACATAGCTGTCTCCCTGAGAGCTTGAGCAGCTCCTCCGCCATGCAACATAACGCTCCTGCTCCGGCGTGGAGAACTCCATCACCTATCTATTCCTCCTGCGTCAAGCTGATACTGCTTCTGGTTGCACAAATCCCTCTCCTCCGCGCTTCGCCCCTTCATTTCTCCGCCTTCAATGTTCACAGTACAGAAGAGCAACCTCTGCCAGCGGAAAGTGCAGCGTTATGGATATACCTGGCAGTAGCTATAGCTTTGGTGCTACTGGGCGGAGTCTTTGCGGGCCTGACCATTGCTTTGATGGGACAAGTATGTGGAACGCTCAAATATGTGAGCGCTCGCTGGCTAATCGGGCAACAGGATGAAATATACTTGCAGGTCATCAGAACTTCAGGGAATGCCTCCGAGAAGAAGAATGCTGCCGGCGTTCTCAAGCTCTTGAAGAGGGGGAAACACTGGGTGCTCGTCACATTACTACTCGGAAACGTCATCACGAATGAGACCTTGCCCATTGTGCTGGACCGCTCACTAGGAGGCGGATGGCCCGCCGTTTTGGGCAGTACAGTCCTGATTGGTACGTAGGACTTAATGGCGCGACGTTTGCAGAAAGGCTCACCACTTGCACAGTCATATTCGGAGAAGTCATTCCTCAGTCAGTTTGTGTACGTTACGGCCTACCTATAGGAGCTTGGATGTCGCCATTGGTGCTCGTTCTTATGTACATTTTGGCCCCCGTCGCGTGGCCAACTGCGAAGCTCTTGGACAGGCTTCTTGGAGAAGACCACGGGACTACCTATCGAAAGGCTGGGCTCAAAACTCTAGTCACACTACATAAGAGCTTGGGAGATTCGGGTGAACAATTGGTTGAAGATGAAGTGACTATCATAAGTGCAGTCCTAGACCTGAAAGCGAAACCTGTCGGAAATATCATGACCCCAATGGATGATGTCTTCACCATGTCATCAGATACTGTACTGGACGAAAAGACCATGGAACTCATACTAAGCGCTGGATATTCTCGAATTCCTATTCATGCTCCTAACGATGAGGAGAACTTCGTTGGAATGCTCTTGGTAAAGATGTTCATTACATATGACCCAGAAGACTGTAAACGAGTAAGCGACTTCGCACTGGCAACCCTGCCGGAAACGAGGGCGGAAACCAGCTGTCTCGATATCGTAAATTTCTTCCAAGAGGGCAAGTCTCACATGGTGCTGGTGTCCGAATTTCCCGGGGACGATCACGGTGCTTTGGGGGTCGTGACACTTGAGGATGTCATTGAGGAGTTGATTGGCGAAGAAATCATCGATGAGTCTGATGTCTTCATTGATGTTCACAAAGCAATTAGGCGGCTTGCACCTGCGCCAAAATCACGCGTACCAAAGGGCGAGTTCATCGATCAAACCACAGATAGCATTGCGGACGGGAAAGAGGACACGACAGGGACTGACAATGAGTCGAAAGATCCACGCTCGACAATGCGAAGGATCACGACGACCGACGGTCCCGTTAGCAAGCCGAATAGTGCACATCCAGACTCAGCAGTCTCGCAGGCGAAGATGAATTTACGTAGGTCATCGAGTATGATGAACACCTCCGACCGAGAGTCCACTCAGAAAAAGCCCAACAAACCAGATCTACGAGAGCATCTGAAGCATCTTGGCCCCTCCAACCCTGCAAGCCGGCCACGAACCACAAGGTATAATACGGTCAAAGTCAAACCAGGTACAGGTCTAGGTAGTGATAGCCACCGCAAGTCTATTGACAACACTGAAACTCGCAAAAGCTCGTTTGCTGCTCAAAGCGGTATTGGCGCAGGCCTAGTAAGCAGCGCGGGCAAAGACGCCAGTGATGGCGTCTTGACTGTCCAAGCTGGCTACGGCAGCATACCGTCCTCATCGCCACTGAGCCCTCCAGTTTCGAGAAATGGCAGATTATCTACTCACAACGAAGAAGAGCTAAGCAAGTCACGAAATCGCTCTAAGCATCATTCGAGGACCCAGTCACAATCAACGCTCGGATCCATGCACTCTGTGGGCAAGTCTGTGAAGTCGAATAAAGGTATTGCTCGCTCTGGAAGCATCACAGAGAACATTGTAGACACAGGTGGCATCAAGAAGACAGTACTAGAGCTCACAAGTAGCAGCGACGACCCGGAAGGAAACGGAGGCGCATCTGTGGCAAATGGCGCACAGCCTGATCAAAAGGAAAATCAAAGGCAAGATGGCAAGGGAAGCAAAAAGAAGAGGCGACGTAGGAAGCGAAAGGACGGGGGAGAGAGCGAGCCGTTGTTGGGGGACGAGGATTGATCGCCTCTCAAGGGATGGCTTCAATCTAGCTTCTTAAGAGAGGCTTTATGAGCGTGGAATGTGCTAATAAAAAGGACAAGGGCAAGTAAGATTCATCAATAGCCTTACCATGGCTATAGAGATCGCTTTGCGGTCTTAGGGTATCATAAAATTCAAGGAGCATAATACGCTCATCCACCACCATCACCACCTCTTTCCTCCTCTTCATGCCCCTGAGCACTAAATACCTCCCCGACCCAATCCATCTGCACGGCGCTGACCCCTCTCGCATATGCTTTGTTCGTGAACACGAACTCGTTATACATAATACACTCCACCCGTCTCCCAAAGAGTGTCGAGCTCGGATGGATCCCAACATCCGAATTTCCCTGCGACATGGTCCTGTACCGCCCATCGGGCATCAAGCGGGCGGTATTCATCTTGAACCCCATCAAGAAAGCCTTGAGGATCCTCTCCGCTTTCTCTGCGCTCACTCCGCCTCTGATCATTGCCTCATTGGCCCATCTACCCTTGCTATCCATCAACCCTCTAACACTATCCCCATTAGGAAAATGATGGAGAGCGCGCAACTGCTTCCTCACATCCATCACACTCTTCATAGCCCTATGACTGATCCACCGCCCTTCACACCAGCGCTTGCGATCGCTTTCCTCCCCCGCATACGCCCGCACCGTCGCCAACAGCGTCAAATGATCGCCTTCCCTCCGCACTAGTTCCGCGCGCGCAGACTCAGCGGCTTCGCGCTTTTCGTCCGAGGTAGGCTGGAGGAAGAGGTTCTCCACCGACAGCGCGGCGATGATGTCGATCGTCTCCTCGAGGCAATCGTATGCAGGATCTACTGCGGCGAGGAGAGCGCGGGATAAGGGTGCCGAGAGGGGGAGACGCGCCATCTTGTGCCCTATGCTGGTGATGGAGCCGGAGGGGGAGAGAGCGTCGAGTTCAAGCAGGAGGAGGAGGGCTTTCTCGAGGCTTTTGCGTGGAGGAGGGGAGAGGAGGGGGAAGGTGGTGATGTCCTCCACGCCGCGGGCTTTCATGGTGAGGATGGCGTGGCTGAGGTCGCTGCGGAGGATCTCGGGGGTGGTGTTCTGGTCGAGGGATAAATATGTGTCTTCAGTGTAGAGACGGTAGCATTTCCCTGGACCTTCACGGCCAGCGCGGCCTTTGCGCTGGATGGCGGCCGATTTTGAGATGGGTTTTACGAGGAGAGAATCTAGACCAATAGATTGCTGGAAAGATTTGAGCTTCGCTTTACCGCAGTCAATAACGAAACGGACTCCCGAAACGGTCACGGAGGTTTCGGCGATGTTGGTTGAAAGGACGACTTTTCGGTGATTTTTTGGGGCAGGCTGAAAGACAAGCTGTTGGGCTGCTGGGGGAAGGGCGGCGAAGAGCGGTAAGACGGTTATTTTGGGGACGTCTTTGGAGAGTGAAGGGGCGTAAGAGTTGATGAGATTTTCCAGGGATTCGACGACTTCTTGGCCTGTGAGAAAGACGAGGATGTCGCCTGGCATTGGCTCGGAGTGGTGGATCTGGAAGATGGTACGGAGGGCGGCGTCTGAGATGTCGTTGACGGCTTCTGATGCGTAGTTAATGCTGATAGGGTACTGCCGCCCTTCGATGTAGCAGATCTTGACATTTGAGGGATGTGCAGTAGAACTTTCGAATAGCTGTGATTGGGGCTCGGTTTTGTCTACCCCGTTGACCTGTTGAGGTTGCTTGCTCGCTGTAGGATCCTCAACATCAGAGAAACCAGACCACTCAGACTCGGAAGCCTCATCATCCGTGACGTGGACTCCATTTGTAGAATGCGGTCCGTTTACCAGGAGGTTTCCGTTACGAACATTCGTTTTCTCTTCTGGCGTAAAGAACTCTGCCAATTTCTCCACCTCCGCCGTAGCGCTCATGACGCATACTTTGAGTCCCATGCCTCCCCTTTCCCTCAACCCCTCCTTTTCGACAGTCATTCTTTTCAAAAACCCTAACACGAGATCCACGTTTGTCCCCCTCTCGTGCACCTCATCAACCAGTACAGCCGAATACTGTTTCAGATGCGGATCCCTCATCATCTCCTGTAGCAACATTCCCTCGGTCAAGAATTTGATCATGGTCTCCGGTCCAGTAGCGCTATCAAAGCGGACAGCATATCCTACCTTGCCCCTCGACCCTCCAACGGTAGTTCCCATTTCCTCCGCCACCCGTCTTGCAAGATTTGTGGCCGCTACACGACGGGGCTCCGTTATCGCTATACAGCCTCCCACTTTGTCACCTTTACTCGTCCTTTTGGCCTGGAACCATCTCTCCTGCAGGAGCATCTGAGGTACCTGTGTGCTCTTACCGCTGCCAGTTTCGCCCACAAGGATAAGTATGTCTTTCTGGCGCAGAGCGCGCTGTATTGCTAACTCATGCGACCATATAGGCAAGGCTCTTCGTTGAGGCCGGAGAGCATCTGCACGAGCTTTGAGGTTGCCGCAAGGCTTGCCATTGGCAATGTTGTCAGATTTTGCGGAAGGCGGCTGGCGAGCGTTGCCATTGCTTTCGCCGTTTTTCGATTGAAACGATATTTTTGCGCTTGCAGAATAGATGTTAGACTGTTCAGGAGCTCGAGGAGTGATCCAAGGGGTCAAATTGGAGATGGGCTTCTGTATGGGTATGCCATCCCGCTGTTGCGCATTCGTTTGGGGTGGGGAGGAAAGTGGACGATGTTGAGTCTCGATTCTCTCTCGTTTGCGTTTCCGGGCATTTGGTGATGAGTCAATGGCTTGAAAAGTATCGGCGCTCTTGAAGTTTTCATTGCCGTCGAGTCGCTTGGGAGTACGCTCGGGCATTATGAACAGGAGACAATCGGGCAAGCAAGGCAACCTCGGTCATTATTCTTCAAAAAGTTCGGAGGCGTTTAGGTTGCCCTTTAGGCGGCTTTGACAGTGGAGACCGGTCGGACTCGGGCCTCGCCGCACCTTATCTTCCCAGCCTGTCCGCGCGAGGGTCGGTTAGTCTGAATGTGGCCGCGCTAAATTTGTAGGGGCAAGATAGGGGGGTAGAGGCCTAGGATAACCTGGCTATAGGGAGCTCTCAGGGCACATGCCCCTAAAACCTCGCGCTTAAATTCTATTTGGCATGGCCACGTTCAGACTAACCGACCCTCGGCGGGTTATGACATAACGCTCTTAGCTTAAGCCTCCAGCCAGATTTTGACTCACCACAGCGTCCTTTCTCTTTTCTCCAGACTCTATTTGAGAAAAAGTCGACTTTTGAACACTCCACTGATCCAGAAATGCGACCACCGTCAGATCGTCCGCGTTCGCCGCTCGCTGGTCCAGCCACCGGTCCCGTTCCACCCTTCCCCATCCGGCTCTCCGGGCCGATCGTCAGGGGCTTTGGGCGCGGCAGCTCTGAATTAGGGATACCGACCGCTAATATCCCCATCGCCGGACTGACCGTGGGTGGCCATACAGACGTCGAAAGTGGTGTCTACTACGGCTGGTGCGGTGTGTCAGTTGACAAGGATGGCAATGCTTTGACCTCTAGTGAGGTAGGTACCAATGGGGTCCAACAAGCGAAAGGCGCAGTCTTTGCTATGGTGATGAGTATTGGATGGAACCCGTTCTACAAGAACAAAGTCCGAAGTGTGGTGCGTACTTCACCCATGGTCCGTGCAGGCCTGCTGTTGCCATGCCATCGAGCATTCTTCAGATCTAGGATGAGGCCGCTGAGTCTAGAGCTCTAGGAGGTACATATTCTACACGATTTCAAGAACAATTTCTACGGCGCCAGAATGAATCTAGAAATTCTAGGCTTCATTCGACCAGAGTACGACTATGTAAGCAAGCAAAGTCTTATTGAAGACATCCAGTTCGACATTGAAGTAGCACGAAACAGTCTTGAGAGAGGCGCCTATAGTAGTCAGAAAGAAGATCGCTACCTGCTGGAATTCACCGGCGCAGAGCATGAGCAAGACATTGCAACCTGAGTGGGGTTGGAAGGCCCGTGACGCAAAGCCTTATGAATCCAGGGGATGAGGTCCTGATCTTGAGCTTTCAGCTTTAGCCACAGGGGGGGGCGGGGGAAGATGGCTCAAGGTAAGAGTAGAATGTGGCTTCGTAGGTCGAAATCCTATCGATAGGAAATATCCTGAAAACGTGTTGGTCGCTAGATTTCTGGCATCAATGGCAACGGGACAGTGAAGATGTTTGGTGTAGATCTGCTCTCGTCAAAAGAAGTAGATATTTTGGGGTGCTAGTCTTCTAGCAGAGCATGTTCGACAGTGTTTGATTTAGAGCGTGTAAGGGGACTGGATCTAAGGTATTACAAGTCACAAAGATCAAAGGAGTCATGGTCATGAACTCGGCAACATTACTAAAAGAAACAAGCGAGACACGTTGTTGGGCATTTGAGGAAGTGCAAACGCCATAGACTGACGTGTGGTACATTCAACAAAAGCGATGCTGTCGTCTTTAGGGAACTCAAGAGCTTGAAGATGCGCCTCACTACGAGTATGCCAATGGATCCAAGGGACCGTGATCCGTTATATGCATGGTAGGACCTAAATTTTGAATCAGCGAATCCTCAATTTGGTCATTGCACAATAGTCCTCACGTTCATCACGAATAACATAGGGATGTCGAAGACATCCCGTTTGACAGTCCAGCAAAGCATGCAAGAGACCGTTCTGTCGTCTTTACCCCTCGATGGCATCCCAGTATCCCCTGTAGCTCCAGCTACGTTAGGTCGCTCTCCCCGATTTTTTGTTGTTCCAAAGTCGTCAAACCGCCCTTCCAGATTTATATTTTCTGCTGTCTTGTATTTAAGCAGCTTACAGGGTGTCGTGACGGCCCCTCGAGAATCTCCAAAAGCTAAGTGGGCGTAGTCATCAAAGAAATCGCAAGCGCTCTCGTCGTCCAAAAGATTTACGATGTTGATAGAGACGTCCGATCTTTGCTCGGTCGCGCGAGGCGTCTCTTGCCCACCTCGTGATGAAGCGCCTGTGCCAGGCAAACCAGAAATCTCACCGCCCTTATTGATATTCAAGTTAGGTGATTTACCAAGCAGTACATCCTTGCTCCACCCGGTAAGGATACTGAATTCTTTGCCTGCAGCGACAACCTCTCCGGTACGGCGACAAATGATAGTGGGGGTACCCGTGGAGCTAATGACTTCTTCAAGGCCCCACAGAGTACGCTGGAGGCATTTCTCCATGAAGATCAGGTCGTCCCGGTTGAGCCTCATCGTGCACGAAATGAAAGAAGGGCGGATTGCAGCAAGCGCCTTTGCAATATGTGATGTCTTGCGAGGGGAGAATCGGCTTTGGATAAGAGCTGTCAGACTGTGAAAGCCGGCTGTGTACGAGTAAGGTTGAGTCACGTTGCTGTACACTTCCGAGGGATTGCGGTGGCGGCGTATTGGCTTTGTCTGATCGGTTGGAGTAGGTGTAGTCGTTGAGATTGAGGCTGCAGAGGTGGGCGGTTGTTGTTGGCGAGATGGTGGCTCTTGGCGAGCCTGGTACTGAAGCTGTTTGTTAATGTTAGTAAAGGTGTCCTTAGCTATTGAAGTATCCTCGCGCCCGCCTGTCGTACCTTGCGGACTGGAGCCGGAGCTTGGACTTGGATAGGCAGAGGAACCAATGGCGAGCGCTGCTGGTGCCTCCATTTTGATGACCTTATCCTGGGTATCTTGGCTCTGCAACATGGGCTTTGATACTCCTGATTCATATTTGACCTTGGAGTGAGAGGCACCCTGAGTCTGGGCATAGTGTGTCTGGGAATCTATCGGACTTTGGGCGGACGAACTAAAAGCAGTATTCGGGGTGAACGTTCCAAGACCAGAGTGGAAATGCCCGGTGCCCTCACTTGGTGGACTATTCACGATACCTGAGCTCATGGTACCGAGCATTCCAAATTCCGCGGCTGCGAATCGATTCTCAAAGTTTAGATTATCCAGGTAATTGGAATCAAAAGGGGCAAACATGTCTCCATTAAACTCTCCAGAAAGGGATTCGGAGCCAGCAGCGGGATTCTGCTGCAGAGTTCCATTGTAGCCTTGCAAGGGCAAAGACTGTGGGCCTGAACCAAGACTGTAATTCGGGGCCATCACTCCAGGAGGATTCCCATAAGATGGGGCCGATGCGCTCAGCGGAGTGATGGGTTGGGAGCTTTGGCCAGTCGAGGGGTAGAGACCATATGGATGCCCACCATAAGGGGGCCTTGAGATACCTCCGGGCAGATCGGACATGGTAGAACGGGCAATGAAGTTTTGAGGATTGCTCACTGGGGGACGGCCTCGTGTGCCAAGATCCTGTGTTAGAGCTTCAGCTGGTGTGTCTGCTAAGTACTTTGCTTTCTTTCGCACGCCGTCTTTGCACAAATGAGAGCAACCACGCTTCACACATCTCGAACATGGGCGCTCATCGCCTGCAAGAAGTCGTAGTCAGTAGCTGTAGTAGAGTTTGGAGCCTGTTGGGGGTTCCTAGGTCAGGGCTTACCGCAGGTGAGATGAGCCACCTGGCATGGCCTACAGGCACGCTTCGCCTTCTTTCGCTTCTCTCGGTGGGGTTCTCCTGAGGCTTTCTTGCCTGATCCATTGTTGGATTTACGGCGCACGCCACCAGCATCGGTGAGGCGGGCCATGGAGTCGGAATCTTGAGAGTCGGTTTCGTCGGCAGATGAATCCGACTGGAGCCTCGAGGAAAGATCATCTTCATGATCTGATGCCATCTTATATGCAATTTCGGCAAACCAGGCCAGTGAAGCCTGGGTCGCAGATAATGACGATACGGGGAGGCTTCACGGTCTGGCCCTGCGTCGGCACTGACCAATGGCTTCGAGCAGGGATCTCAGCGTGACCACATGCAGCAACGTTCGCAGGGACGCCACAGCCCTTCAGAGGTCGGTTGACGAGGGTGAAAGCATGCGATTACTCTGGTGTGCTTTGACAACAATGCGAGCCCCCTTGAGGGAGGATCTGGGGGGACGAAGACGAATGAACTGTAGTTTCTCTTTGGATTGCTGAGCGCCGTTGCTGCATCCGCTCAACAGCGGTTCGACAACGGATAGCAACTCAGGCCCTGGCAGTGGAGCGATGACTGCTGCTCCAGACTGCAGGCGGCACGGACTGCAATGCAACAATTGGTTGCTGTCCAGTTTTAGGGGGTGTGGGGACGGATAGTAGCATGGAAATGGCCTCGCTGACGGTGTTATTGGCTACGATGCAAGAGAGTGAATGGATGTGCGCCCGACTCGCGAGTGTGCTCTTTGTCCAAATCTGGTGGAGATTGGTGATGTCACGTTCCACTCGAAACACATGGCATGGTAATGATTTGGGTATATCGGTGTCTGTGCGGAGGGGGGGGGGGGAGGAGGAGTGAATCCTTTGATAGCGGGTTTTCCCTCTGTTTCGATAGCTGATGTTGGGTCTGCTTCTTCAGACTGGATAGGATGGAGGGGGAGGGGTGGCACACCGGTACAGGCACGCGCACACTACAATTCCAATGATGCAGCGGTCATAGGCGCAGACCTTGTTGCTTCGTTGCTTGTTGCTGCTTTGGCTCTAAGTAGATCGGCAGCTAAGTCCAAGGGGGAGTAATAAACCGCTAGTGTGGGCTAGCGTCTAGCGTGTGACCAACGGTAACCTAAAATAATGACGCGCAGATGGCAGATGGATGGGTCCAGTCATCCAGTATCTGCCTGGGTCTGCCTCTAGTCCTCTTAATTCTCCGAATCCCACGTTGGCTCCCTCGAATGCCTGTGGGGCTGATGACTACCGACTACTGACTACTGACTACCACCGCTGCGAAACTGCAACCATGGTTGACTCGGCATGTTTGCATCGTTTGCATGCCTCCTCATTTCCTGCCTTTGTTTGCCTGCACATGCCCAGCGTGCTGACACCCGCCACTTCGCCTAAACATTCAAGACATTCAGTCCAAATTCCAAATCATCTTTGAAACGGGCGTTGTTCAATTGACTTTGACTCAGCCTGAGGCTTTCTCTCTAATGCAAGCCTATGCCCAACCCGGCTGCCGTATCCTCCCTCTCTCCCCTCAGCCTGCTGCAAACTTGCTCGTGCCTCGTATCCGATGTCCAAATTTAAAAAACAGGTATCTGTGCTGGCCTTCAGCATGCTGCCAAATAGCTTGCATCAAACCATCATCTAGACTTACGGGAAAGGGGCCATGCCGACCGTCAAGAAGGCTAGTAATGTCGTTGCCCACTGAAAACCGAGTTTGTGGTACACTACCAAGCGACGCATCAGTCATGGCGTGGAAGACACAAGGTAAGACGTGCTAAGCCTACTTTGAACCCCGAAGAGGGGAAAAGCCGCCGCGAAACTTGAACGAGCAAAGCTGTTCGCTGCCAGGGCGCTGGCTGCGTAGAGCGGGTACGCGTCCACCAAGAAGGTGAAAATCCCGGAGAAGACCAAAAGCATTCTATTTCCGCCCCATTTAGTCTCGACTACAGCGGCTTCAGCAAACGGCACTCACCCAATGGCGAACACGGCGCTGCCAACAATGGGCACTTGCGCTGCATGTTAGTTTCACCTTGTGGGTCGTCGTGGCTACATAGCTACGGGGTGGCCATCGACATACCTATCCACTAAAAGGCATTCAAGTCAGCATACCGCGAAACTCTGCAGCATCGGATCATGGGAATGCAGTGCCGGGAGATCCCAGGCATTTGCATCCGCAACGCAAGATTGCATCTGGCATGACTCGAAAACATCATGTAGCAGTAAAGCTCGCGAGAGGGTTGAGATGTATACTCACATGCACAGAACTGTAAGTGGTCCATGCGAACCAGAATAGCCCAATCGGAACGATAACCCCTCCGAGTATGGCAGGCGGCAGTCGGTACTCGGGCTCTGAGCCTCCAGGTTCTCCGCCGTTCTTCTCTCGATTCTTCATTAGCCTTATGTAATTCCTGTGCCAAAGCGGATCTGTGCCGATGGCAATCAGCTGCCCAAATAGCAATCCAGTGAACGTCAATCCAATTTGCCACAGCTCAAAATTGTGGTTCTCCTTGAACACCACTTCGAATGCACCGAAGAACAGGTAGAGAACGCCCAGTAATATGGCAGAAAACAGACAGAGATTCAAACACATTGGCTCGAAAACCAAGAGTAAGAACGGTCGATAGCAAGAGGTGATCACAGTCTGTGTGATCGACCTCTCCATCACTTCAATTGGTGCTTTCCATCTCTCATCTCCACTGGCCTTTCGCAATTGGATTGCTTTCTCGCGAAGGAGTACAGGGGGATATGTTTCAGGAACGAAGGAGACGATCAGAGCCAGCATGATTGCAGACCAGATGATTAAGACATAGAAAGTCCACTCCCTGAAATTGTCAGCCGGCTGCGAAGCCGTTAAGAGGGTCAGCCAAGAGCCAAATTGACGAACCATCTCGTGAATTGGTTGATGAAGCCTGCTACAAGGGGCCCAACAGCTAGACGAATGACACTATCAGCACTTACGTCTGAAGTAGGACTACCTCAGAGATAGACTCACGAGGGCCAACGAACGGAGAGGCTGTGAAAATCATCATAGGTGCTTGCAGTTCGTCACGCGGGAACATCTAGGTAGGAAATTAGGCTAAGCTCGGAGCAACGTTGGGTTTACTTACATCGCCCACACTACCACCTATCGGAGCAATTCAGCATGCAAGGTCATGAAAGAAGAATAATTCGTTCGCTTACCCGCCACACTCAAGAACGCTGACCCAGCTATTCCATCGAAGAAACGAGCAACCAACATTGTTGCAATATTTTTGGCCACAGCACAGGGCACGAGCCAAATGAGGAAAAATACGAAAGAAACGACATAGATGGGTCGTCTGCCATAAAACTTGATGCGCCGAATGTCAGCGACTTTCAGGCGGCAGGGAGATGAAGTTGGGCAGCGTACTTCAGAGAGTGGCGCGATGACCTCCAATGACCGTCAGCATTAACCCTTCTTCAGACTATGGCACAGACTATTGGCTCACCATAGGCCCCACACCCAACCCCATGACGAAAGTACTTAAACCCAGAGTTGCAACTACGGTACTCACATGGAATTGTTCTGTTATTTGCGCATAGGTCAAGGTATACATAGAAGATGTGCATGTCCTACCGGGCTCATCAGCAAATCACCATTCTCTGTTTCGATCACGAAGTCGTCCCAGTTAAACACCAATGAGATTTCATAACCCTAACAAAACCAACAGTCAAGTGCGCCTTTCAACAAAAGGAAAGTTGTTCAGCGTTCAATCTCTTCTTCTCTCTCCCTTCCTTGCTTTACTCAACCAATCGAAGCAAAAAGAAGCAATTGACCAAAAAGAAGAAAGAACTCGACTCACACACACGTGCTGGCCGCACTGACAATATACACCACAACCCACTTCCTGGTCCTGCTCATATTTTTCGGATAATTAGGATCCATTGGACCATCCCACCGAACCTCAAAGCTAGACTTCTCGTCTCCGGTAGCCTCCCCATCTTTCGAACTTGCACTATCGTCCTTGTTGGTCTTTCTCTGTGCCTCTAGATCTTTACTATGTACATGACAAAAAAAACCATGTCCGTCTGCATAAGACTTTGTTTGCTCCAGCATGGGCGCAGGCAGGCGAGACCTTCGGGTTGAGGTCGGTTTCAAATCAAGCCCTTGATTGTCAGGTTGCAGAGGTAGCTGATTGCTTTCTGCCTCGTGCCGTGGGGTCTCAGCATCCGAGGACTTCTCGTCGCCCTTCAATAAGGGGGGCGTATCCGGTGGAGCTGCCATTCTATAGTCTCTAGATGGGCTACCTTTCTTTATATTTTTCAAGCAACAGATGAGCAAGCATAGGGATCAGTAGGTGAATTTAGTGCGCTGCATCATTCCAAAACCGTAGGAAATTTATAGGAAAATTATAAAGACAATTGAAATTGCAATCGCGCCTTTATGTCTGGAAATACTCGGTTGAATAAGGCGAAAGTCACGAACGGTACGGGTGATGCGCCACAATACGATAAATCATGAGAACAAGAGGAAGTACAAGTGCAGGAGACTCCCATGCTTGCTAATCACTTTGCTAGGTGTCTGTTTAGCTCATGACGCACCCTCGGCAGCTCTGAGAGGATTTAAGGTTCACCGGACGCAAAACGTCTATTTCCGCATTCGGCCATTCGACGATACCTGGTGCCTCTCCCTATTTCCGAGCCGTCACAACCGAGCTCCAAGTGGGAATTCGAGGAGGTCAGCGTAGTCCGAAGAATGCCTCACTGATATTACCTTCCACTTCCTAATTCCATGTGACCAAATGGGACCTGGCTGCATGGCCTTGTAGGCTTGGTAAAGGGCTTTCATTTTCAATATATATACATCTGGAAGACCCTGTTCCAGCCCTTCTATGCTAGTATCATCACTTCGTCGGTGCCCTTTTTTGACGGTATCATCCAATCTACCTATGCAATATGACGCATATCTAAATTCGTAGCTTTTGTGAGGGACTAGCCCACATTCAAAATCTAGGAGGGTTGTAGGCCCCTCGACCGCCGGGGCCATGCCATCCATTGTTTCCACCACCTGGAGTCGGTCCTGGTCCTGCAGTAGCTGGTCTGAAGGGTGGTGAGTTTTGTGCGCCATACGCGTCGTAAATTGAATCATCATACCCCGCACTTGGTGGCTGTACGGGTGCAGTGCCCACTCTGCGAGGAACATGCTGAGCACCGAAGTAATCTGCTGGAGGCGGGCGGTGAGGTTGATTGGGAGTATTGGATTGAGAGGGCCGTTGTAAGGGGTTGAAAGCTACGTATCCAGAAGAAGGTTTGCCGTCAGATGGCGTGGGTGGCTGCATTTCAAATTCCTGAGTTGGTCTACGACTGAAATTCGTGTGACCGGGCGGACGCTGGTTTGGGCCAGGGGAAGCTGTTGATGGATCGCGAGACATGAAAGAAGCCCCAGCGGAGGAAGGGGCACTCGGGGTCACCGAGCGTCCACTCATCCCGGTGTTCAGTCTAGGTGTGGGACCTCTCCGCGGTTGGAGTGGACCCCTGTTGTTATTGAATGATTGATTCGATCGTATACTTGGTGGCCCACCAGGCGGCGAGTGACGATTTGGCGGTGCATGACCCATCTCAGCTGCAGAGCCCAAGAGTGGCGCATCAGAGCCATGGCTTGCAAGGGAATTGAAAGAGGACTGGGTCGCATTTCTTGAGGGAAACCCTGGTCGAGAGCTGCCGCGGGATACATCCGGTATTGTAGGCGCTCTTTGCGATATACTTCCTAGGGTACTCGGTTGAGGAGATGCAGGTCGGTCCACAAACGGGGACGCAGGACGAGCTCCAAACGGCGAAGCAGGCCGAGAGCCTAAATTCGACGTTGTTTGTCGTGACGGGGGTGCCGGTAGCCCTGCTGTGTCCGATTCAAGGTTCGGGATTGTTGGCTGACGCTTATAGTCCATTGGCGGCACTGTGGGCAAACCAACGCTTGCTCCGGTTCCACCGGTAGCGACCTTTTTAACACGATCCAAATGCTCCTTTGCGATTGCCTTGTCCATTTTTGCTCTGACTATCTGATTCAGGCGTTTTTCAATTTTCCTCTGGCAAAAATTGGACAGACTACCGTCCGCGCTTGGAATATGATGCCATAGAAAGGTGATGTACATCACAAAGGCTATGAAAAGACTGACGGCTGTAAACAGCCAGATGATCAGCACGTAGAGCATACCAAAGAGAATTGTGGCTTGCTGGGTGCTTTGATTTGCCAATATCCTGATGTTATCGAAGAATTGGCCGACTGGTGATTGACCTTTGGTGGCGGCGTGTTTGCCTTCGGGAATGAGGTCTGCTTTCAATACGGAGTAGAGGGTGATAGCATTGATCACTTGGCGAGGACCTTCGGCGAATACCACCCGCAGCCAAGCCTCGAAGTTATAGTACGTGAACAACGCCACATACTCGGAGCCTTTGCGACCTTTGGTCAAGGCGGTGAAAACTAGGAATCGGCGCCAGCCTCGTGCTTTCCCCGGTCGTATACTCTCAATGCGAACAGCAAGTGGATCCAAGTAGCTGGCCGTGATGAGTCCACTCTTTATTGCCCGTATAGCCCTCCACCATCGGTATATCAAGAGAATCCAGGATAGGAAGATGCATCCAGCGAACACCCATTTTGATATCTCAAAAGGTATCTTAGGCTGGACTTGGCTAGACCATCTATTGAAGAAGAGAAGGTTGGAGGCGGTGTAGAGATCGACAATGTATACGCCAAAGCTTATGATGAGGAAGAAGTAGACCACGCCGTACGAGAATCCGGACCAGCAGGAGGTAGATTTGAAATCCGAGAGATTCTGTAGGGGTATTAGCGGTGAGCCTGGCAGCAAGAGGGGCAATACATACAATGAAATCCCACCTCTGCTCATTTGTAGCACTGCCAAACTTTTCTCGATCTCCAAAACAACCCATACTCGGGCTCTCGGTCGAGAGAGATTATCTTGTTATTTGTTGCTCGAACAACGACACTGGACTTGGCCAGCCAAGTCTTCTGAGCGACAGTATCTACGTGTGCCCAAGTGATGCGAATGAGTGACTTGTTGAATGCTGTGCCAAAGAGTGTGTAATTATTATTCTCATAGTCCGACGTCCGACGCTCCTGCAATTGTTGCCATTGGAACGATCCCGGTCGCTTCGGAATGATCTTGTCAATATTATCAAGGACAATTCCCTTACGGCGCTTGCTTGTGGTCTTGGAGTGGGATGAAGGCTCCGGTTGATGGATTGATTGCGTGTCCAGCCGCAAGATCGATAAAGAATGATGCTCGAATCGGCGTTGAAGGAATGTTGGTGCAATCGGATGAAGTAGGTGATTGAATGCGAGGAGCAATGTGCAACGAAGCAGTTGAGAGAGTGACTACGCAAAAGTGAGGGTGCAAGCGCAAGAGAAGGTGGTGTCCTTCTTTGAAAGAAGAACGTTTCAGGTGAATGAGGGACAAAGGAGCACCAGAGGGTAGGCACCATCTCAACCAACCGACTGGTCACAGTAGTCAGCGGCGGAAAAGGGGAGGGCGGCTTGGACGGAAGGCGCTTCCTTAGCGCCTTGGCAATCTCTTGTGCCCCTTGCATAATTGCCGATCCTTTGTTCTAGAACTTTCATAAGAGAGTCCTAATAATAATACACTCTTTCATCCAAGCTAAGATGTAAGTTGCGAGGCATGTTCGCAGCATTCGACGGTATCATGGATGTTGAAGGGGTGCAATAGCTTGTGGAAGGCTGTTCTTTCAATCATTGTGGGACTATCCCTTTCTATCATTGCCATGTGTCCTCTATCTTGGATGTCAATTGTGACCTACTCACTGCTGGCACTTTCTTGAGTAGCCTCGTGTAGATGTAAGTAGGGTCATCACTTGCTGCACCCGACTGAACAGAGATGCTGGACGACGGGGTCGCACAGTAAGGAGCACCCGTTGAGGCGCTTCTTTTTCTGGAGAGACCCTTCCAGTCTGCAATGGCAAGACACTTCTTGCATCGATCCCGCATGTCAGGCGCTCGAGTGAGCAGCTTTACCTCGTATTGGATGGAGATCATGTTCCCCTGCGGAGAATCCCACCAGGACATAGTTGGTCGCTAATATTCAGTCACTCGCTTAATGGCATCATAGATACCTAAGCGTTTCAGCGTGCGTGATCACCAATCATGCAAGGCTTGCTCACGTGTTATGTCTGGTACGTTGAACTTCTCAAAAGTCAAACCCATATGGGTCGCCCAGCCTCCTACTCGCTGCACGGGTGCTTCCAAGCTTAAGAAAGCGCCCTCCTGGATGGTAGCTGCAACTTCTGCTCCAACACCGGCGTTGATCATGGACTCATGCACGACGATAGCGCGCCCTGTCTTTCTGACACTTTGCAAAACAGCATCTCTATCCCACGGATACACAGTTCGTAAGTCCAGAAGTTCAGCACTGATGCCCAGCTCCTTCTCGGCAGCATCGATCGCAGAGGAACAGAGGTACATTGGATGCCCGTAAGAGATAATAGTCACATCCTTGCCCTCTTTCACTATGTCGGCCTTGGAGAGCGGAAGCTCATATGCAATATTTGGTACCTGCTCCACAGCTGCACGGTACAAGACTTTGGGCTCCATGAAGATCACCGGGTCTTTACACCCAATTGAGGCCAATAGTAAGCCCTTCGCCTGAGCTGGTGACCGTGGCATTACTATACGAAGGCCAGGGATATGAGTGAAGACTGCTTCAGGGGACTGAGAGTGATACCTATACTTCATCAGTAACATGGTTCGTTGCTTGTACCTGGTTCGTGACATACAATGCGCCATGTCCGACAACGCCGCACGGCATTCTCACGACTAGACCTCCTACATTACCACCGGTTTTCCCTCTCTATATCGCCACTTGGCGGCTTCATTGACTAGCTGGTCGAATGCAGGATGGACATAATCTGCGAATTGAATCTCCGCTATGGCCGTCATCCCTTGTGCGGCAGCACCAATGGCAAAGCCGACGATACCCTGCTCGGTCAAAGGTGTATTGAAAACTCTTTCTGATCCAAAATCTGTCGCCAAACCCATCGTGCATCGGAAGACACCACCGAAATGGACATCTTCACCAAAAATGAGGGAGAGTTCATCCGTCTGGAGCGTATGTCGAAGAGCGCCATTAATAGCCTGATATAGATTCTGGCGAGTCGATGGAGAAGAAGAAGGGTACGCAGGATTAGCAAGCAGAGATGAATTGCTGTGGTTAAGCAATGGATGCGTTGAATAATCTATGGGTACGTTCAGGCGCCCCGCGGAAGCAGCGGTAGAGTGGAAACATGGCAAGAGTTTCTTGAGAGACGGATGCAAGGAGACTTTGCTCGTGGCTTTCAAAGCAATACGCGCTGGCATCTCAGGCGTACCTGATACATCCTGCTGCAACAGAAACAATTGCAAGGGGACGGATGCTATTTATTGTTGATTGCTCTATAAGGAGGAGTCGGGCGGCTTGCGTCGGCTTGAACCAGGGCTTGGCATGACGGCATATCGTAGGCACCTGGTGATGCCCTCGACATTGGCCTCCAGAGATATATGTCAAAGGGTACATTTGTGCACACTGGTAAGGCTCTAGTCATTGAATGGGCCATCCGAAGCTTCAGTCAGCAGGCAGAGAAGTGCTAGATCAATCACCTCGCTCTTCGGTACCATGTGGCGTGTCCTAAGCGGTCTTTGTCATCCTCCGAATGTGGGATGTCGATTTAGACCAATGTGCAACACCTTCACATGGTTAGTCAACAAGAATTAAATGCCGTCCTGCAAACTGTCCTACTGCTTTTCCTCTGTCTTCTCATAAAAGAAAGCGGCGCGTTATCTGAGAGTTCACCTTTGGATCCCTTCTCTTTTTCCAGCATGGATGGCGGATGGCACGGTGGTGAAGCTCTGATGCAAAAGAAGCTGCACGTTCCGTTTCAGTACAATCCGACTAGTCATGGCCTCAGTCCTCATTCGCAACGATTGTTGCATGGCTCATCTCTACTTGCAATTGGCGCTCTAGATGATCAAGGCCAATTATGGACTACCGTGCTGGCTGGTAAACAAGGCTTTGCAAGATCGCTCGGGCAATCTATCGTTGGCGTCAAAGCTCTCGCAGACGTGAAATACGACCCAGTTGTTGATGCTCTGTTTGGCAAGGACAAATTCGAGGGGGCAGCAAGTGATCAAGTGCAAGGGAAAGACTTCGCCGCGCTGGGGATTCATCTTGCGACACGAGACCGCGTCAAACTTCAAGGCCAAATGATCGGAACTGCCATAGGAGGCTCGGATGCCTCAGGAAACAAGACCGCAAAGGAAATAGCCGAGATACAGCTGGCTTTGGCTATTACGGGTAGTCTGGGTATGATGCTCCATACCGAATCGAGAGACAATAACCTGATGCTACCTAGGCAATTGCCCAAAATACCTCAATGAAAAGGAAATTGTACTTACTATGCCGAAACCAGTCCTTGAAGCTGACACTTTACCCCTGACTCAAGTCTCACTAGATCTGCTGGCTAAGGCCGACCTATTCTTCATCACCTCGTATCATTCAAAAGGAATGTCCGCCAATCATCGTGGCGGATCGCCTGGCTTCATGCGAGTTGAAAAGAACGACGCAGAAGGAGTCATTCTCGTCTACCCTGAGTTCTCTGGCAATCGCTTCTACCAAACACTCGGTAATCTCTATTTGGATCCACGAGCAGGTTTTGCAATACCCGATTTCGACACAGGCGACATTCTATACATCACTTGCACCACCAAAATCCTCATCGGCGACTCAGCCGCAGCTACTCTCCCACGTTCCAACCTTGCCGTTCAGCTCCTTGTCAAGTCAGCTCGTTACGTCAAGCAAGGTCTAGCCTTCCGCGGCATCTTGGGAGAACGCTCGCCATACAATCCACCAGTACGCTATCTTCCTTCAGAGCGCAACCAAGTTGATGCCCAGGCCAAAAGCGACAATGCAGCTGCCTACGCACGTCTCCTATCTCGTACGATGCTGACCCACACTATTGCTCGCTTCCGTTTCAGCATCACCGATCCAGAAACCGCAGGTACTTGGAAAGCAGGACAATACATCGCATTGGCATTCGAGGACGAAGTGAGCGGCGGCTACGCTCACATGAATGATGAAGATCCAAGAAGCCTGAATGATGACTACCTCCGCACCTTCACGGTATCATCTCCTCCAGGCAATGGGAAGGATGGTAATCTCAGACATGATGAGCTCGAACTCACCGTTCGTAACGTTGGAACCGTTACGAACTATCTTTTCAAGGTCAATACAAAAGCCGGGGTGGAGCTACCCCTTAGAGGCTTTGGCGGGACATTCTCTGTTGAACAGCCTAATCCTAATGAGGTAGTACCTTTCGTCGCTGGTGGCATTGGTATCACGCCACTCCTTGCACAGCTTGGGTCGTTAGACCTAAGCCGCTTGAGGCTACTTTGGAGCGTGAATGTTAGGGATCTGGGGCTCGTTGTTGATATGATGAAACAGTATCCTTTGTCGGCCTCAACGACAAAAGTCTACGTCTCTGGTCTCGATGAAGCCCAATCTCACCGAAAAGCCCCCGCAGCAATAGAGGCAGTCAAAAAGGCTGGTGCGGAGGTCATTGAGAGACGTATCTTGGAAGAAGATGTCAGGGGTGAGAAGGGGCTTGGAAATACTTGGTACTTCTGTACCGGTCCGGCTCTCAAAAAATTGCTGCTTGCATGGCTGAAAGATAAGACGACGATTTACGAGGACTTCAATTACTGAACCAGCAAGACAAACGAGTGTGAACGGCAGCAACTTAGCGTTTGCATCGACTCATAACTTAATACCCAATGCCTAACTGAAAACGTATATATACCATTTAGACGTTACTTTTCTCGGCTCCATGCTACATTCGTCTCTCATCTTCATCGTATCATCACATACCCTCACATGACCAGCATGATGCATCTGTCAATTCCTACCACCTCAGAAGTTTTCCAACCCAAATGCTGAGCAACTTTTTTATATCCAAACAAGCTAGTCTATGCTGTCAAAATCAACGCTCACGCCAAGGCCAAATGCGGCAAGTGATACACATCGCAAATGCCATCAAAAATTTACTCATTGCATGGAGATCCCTCCAAGGCCCGTGGTCATCGAATATCCAGCTGGAACGGCTTGTATCTTCCACCCATCATCCCACACCTGGGACAAGGTCTCCCTCTCACCATACCAGCTCCACCGCGCTGAAGCTCTACGCTCCTCGGATCACTGCTCAGGTAGTAAAGGCAATCGGTACAGAACCCGCTAATACATTCGGTACACGCATAGCTGTCTTTCAATACACTCAGCCGCCTGCAATTCGCGCAAAATATCTGGACCTGCGTGGACCCGTTGTTCGAGGATTGGCTGTCGGAGGTGACTCGCTGGGAGTCATAGTAGATGGGTGATGTAGTATCGGAGGAGGATAGACCGGATGAGGGAATGTGGAAATTACGACCGGAAGCGGAAGATGTGTGGGCGCTGTGCATGCCCCGATTCTGATCGAGAGATAGGCCAGTCTCGACTATAGTAGCAAATGGAGGCGGCCCTGAGAGCGAGTGATTCTGGGGAGGCGTCAGTGTGCGTGTGAGCGGAGAGGATTTGTATGATTGGTTGTTGGCGAATGACTGATTGTTGGTGAATGGAGGGTGTAGTGGAGGTAGAGAGGCCCGCTTCACGGAGGAGGGAGACTGGGGCATCTGTCCGGCATTGTCAGTGTAGGTCTTCAGAATGATACGCCCCGGTATCTTGCTTACGGGGGTGATGTCACGATCCGAGTCGGCTTCTGTGGCCGACGCCGCAGCTTCCACGAGCTCGTCCCATCTCTGCTTCTTTGCTGCTGCTGCGACTAATGTAGGTGGCTCCGCTGAGAAAGCTTTCCTGCCTTCGATACTCAGCCTCCTACCGAAGTCTTTTGACTTCGCCTTCTCATGCTTGGGTTTGCGACTGTTCTGTGTGATTGAGGATTTGCGTGGTCGGTTGACGCGCTCGCGCCGTTGGAATGATTCTCGTCGCTGCATAGGGGGCAACGTAGACGAGCGTTCCGGAGGCGAGTGGTCCATCATGGAAGGAAGTAGCTCTCTTGGCCTCGGCTCATGAAATGGATGTGGGCGCTGAGGGCCTATCTGATTTTGAAGGGGTGGAAGCTCAACAGAGGGATACATCCTGCGTCGTACTTCGGTCTCGGAGGCATAATCCTGTTTAGATTTTATCAGCCCTCATACGGCTATCACAGGATATGTACACAGTGACAAGTACACACCACCTCTGAATCCCAGTCCGAATCTGGTCGATTGTTGTGGCTGAGCTGTGCCAAAGCTACTGCAGCTGTCGCGGCGGCAGGATAAGGGTCGTCAAATGCTCTCGGAGGATTGATCGAGCTCTGGTCGTAAGCATAGCTGTCTCTCTCGTGCCCATAAGCTAAACGGTCAGCTGTGGCTCTCCTGCATCCGTAATTTGACTTACAAGTAGGCGCAAAGGGTTGAACAGCAGCTGAGGGTGCGGCTTGAGGTCGCTCTGAAGGGGGTGTTGATCATCTGCTGAAAGCTCTCCTCTGTTGCAGGAAGCTTCGGGATGTAATGCTCTGGATGGGCTCGCCGTATGTGCTCCTGCATAGAGCGGAATCTCTTGTCCTGTGCATTGATGATGAGCGGCTGGCATAATCAGGAGTCGAGGTGGAACGTACGCCGCTGCATCTTTTGCGACAGTTGGATCCATCGAGCGTTTTGAGCGGGCAAACGATCTCGTTGGTACCGTCAACTGCTGAGAATGAGCCGGTAAAGGAAGACTTTGGCGGCATCGCCTTCTTGCATCAACGCTCCGAAGTCCCCCGCAGCCGTGGCTTGAACGTCAGGAACGGGAGAATTGAGGTGCAAAGGCTAATTGAATGTGCAGAACAGCTGGAATGCGACAATTGAGTATATATTACAGACTATGTAGGTAGGAGTGGGCTTCGAGAGAACATTTGAGAGCACCGATGAGCTTACAAAGTGATGTTGAGCAGCTCGATTAGCTTTCAAGCCGTCCACAAAACATGGTGGGGTTGACCAGCCGAGGGTTCAGTTCATCTTCTGTTCCATCCACCACCCGACACTCCTTGCAGGTAAGAAAAGGAGGAGCATGAAAGGGGAATGATGAGAGGGCGGACTTGTGTTATTCATGTCATGCGAATGGTCATTTCACTGCATTGAGTGTCTGTCTATTCTTCCGTCCGCGTCCCCTACGTTTTTCTAAAGAGAAGAGAACCCCCAACACCTGTCGCTTGGAAACAATTCAATCATCCACCAGGCCCCCTTTCCAACCTTTAGACAACATCTTCTCGTTCCCAACCAGTCTGCTTGATCGATTCAATTCCTTTTGATGGGTGAGGAGTTGCGCTATCACCATAATCGCTCACGAATGGATTCGGGTCTTTCTTTTGCTCGAGATTGCTCAACGTGTGATTGCTACTCATCGTTCAGTTGCGCCATTCACATGATCGCCATTCCAACAAAACTTACACTTCGCGATGCTTGGCTTCATCTGCTCGAATATAATAGAGCATGTCCTTGATATTCCTCGCTCCTTCTGGCATATTATAATAGCTGATGGCAATATCAGGTGCCTGCATTCTCTCCCACTTAGGCAGCTTGCCAGCTTCCAGCTCGTTGATCATCCGCGTATAGGTCAAGACTGCCTCTTCTTCAAGATAGCCGACGAAGCGGTGGCAGATTGTGGGAGCGATAAGATACGACAAGAAAAAGCCGTTGTAGAAGACGCCTTGAGCTCCAATGATCATGGTCTTCATGAACCAACCAGGCTCAGCCATCTTCATAAAAGTCAATAGGTGCATCCGTTCGTTGTAGGCCTCTTCAAGAAGGGTCTCGATCCTGCGCAACCATCAGCCAAAGCGTCTTTTCAGTTGCATAATTGCATCCAAAGCAGCATACCAGCCATTATCTCGATTGAGCCTCCTCAGACTATGCAGATGCCGCACGCTTCCAGCCACCATACCTGGTACACCGGCAACGCTCTCAAGGAAAAGGCAGCGAACCAGCCACTTTCGCTCCGTCATTGGCGATGGCCCGACCCAGCTTTTGAGTTTCTGGAGCCCAAGCCAGCTACCTTTCTGTTTGGCTTCTTCGGTCGGGTGACTGTAGCCCATTGCGGTGTCTGCGCCGAACCGAAGCAGCCGCACCGCACCGACCGCTATCCAGTCCTTCCAAGTCTTTGTCTCGCGATGAGCAACTTGGATTTGTTTCATCTGCTCTTCTGTATACCTGAAAAGTCGTCAGTTCGCCATACTGAACGCTGAAGTCTCATACGGACACTGGATGATGCCATGCTGGAAGCGTTTTCTTGATGTGGACACCGTCAGGAGCAGGAAAGAATTCTTTGAGGGATCTTCGCGATGAAGAGCTGAAGGTTCGCCTGTTCGAAGCATAGTTCCGTTGTTTCAGGCACGAGCAAGCAGACGGTCGGACGAAAGCCGAATATATTGATGCATTAGCGGTGAGTATGAAGGTGGCTTTGGAGATAACGGTAGGATTGGAAAGAGCTGATCTTCCAATCCTCGCAGACATGTTGAAGAGTAATAAGAATGATGTGGGAGTGTGAAACACGATTGTTTCTTGCAGGTGGCTGCTCGGTCTGCTGAAGAAGGGCTATTGTTTGCCCCGTGAGATATATGATCTCAAGATTTACGATGCCCGAGGAATCTTCGGAGTCAGGTGTCAGGAACGGGAAATAAAGACAATGAACGGATGAGCTCTAGGTACGTTGAAAGAGTAGTAAGCAATCGTATCGCAAGCAGCCAATGCAAATGCCTGATTCAGCCGCTGGCTTCGTCGGAGTTGCAGAGCCTTCGGGAATTTACGGAGTACAAACAATGCCCTGTCACGTGCGGGTCAGAGATGGAAAGGCGGGCAAATTGTGACTGTGTTCTGGCATGCAACTGCAACGATCTCACACCCTTTGATATCGAAGTCACATTGGAGAAGGGGAGCATGTGGACTTTAATGCGTGTGCATAGAGTATCCGAAGGGAAGTCTAGACCGCAACAGACCACCTAGAAGTAGCGCCTGCTTATTCAGCTCGTGCGATAGATGCGACTCGAATAGGCGACTGTAGCTGCCAGTAGTTGCATGCAAGCAACTTAATAAGTAGACGGTGCCTGTCCAGCCCGTCTCCTCAATCCTGGTCGACGGCTGGACATGCCTCGTATTGACGTGCTACCGACGGCCTCGACCAGTGTTGCAAAAGCTGGCTATGCCTTGGTTCCGGACACGCGCGGACAGGCACCGCTCGCCGCCCAACCAGTCTCAGGCAGGAAGCGCACCGCCAGAGCCTCAGGGCTTGGAGGTGGTGATACCACTGCAAGACAGCAGAGTGCAGCCCTCAAGCATCTCGCCGAATTGGACAAAGATGGCCATAAGGACGTCCAGATTCCCGTACCAAAGGACGTCACAGCGCGAGGTGCGAATCTGTCGCCAGATGGAGAACGCTCGTCCTGTTAACGTCGTCTGAAGGATCTTCTAGGAAAATGACAACCAATGTGCGACGTATCCTGACATCCCAGAAGACTTTCGCGAATCATCTGGCTGATGAAGAGGCAACCATTTCCCAACATGCACAGAACACGTTATCCTCTGCAGCTTCCGCCCCCCGTCGTACCTCTACCACAGCCAAAGCAGAAATGTCTGCATCAGCTCAAGCGTCACCTCCCAGAGACCCTCTCGCCAATGAGCCACTACTGAAATCATACGTGCCCGAAGCCCCGTCTGCTGAAGAGATGGAAGCACTCGTGAACGCCCCTCCGTTATCCCACGGTGCTGCTTGCGCTGTTCTACCAGACCACTCCAAGCCCCAGAGACATTTTTGTGAAATATGCGGATATTGGGGCACGATTAAATGCATAAGGTGTGGCGCTCGAGTCTGCGGGCTTGAATGTAAAGGTGCTCATGACGACGGGAGATGCCTGAAATTCTATGCTTGAGGTGCAAAAATTGTGCCCAAGGCAACAGTCAATCAATACGTACTATAACGAGCATGGGGATGAGCACAAATGTTGTGGGAGGATATCAACCCCAATACACTCTTGCCTAGAGCTTCTCCAAATCCTCGAGGGGTCTTCCTAACGCTATGTTATGAACTAGCGGTTCAATGGTCTAGGCTCAATCTGGGCTTAGCGAAAGGAGGGAAGGGAGAGGTCAAGTGCTTGTGACTGAACAGGTATGTTGAAATATCAGATACGTCTTCGAGGTATAAGGACTTATGTCCCATGCTAGAGTGGCTTAGCTCATCGAGGTTCAGGGCGGGTATTTGGATGCAGCACCAGCAACGAAATAAGCCAGCGGCTTGGAAGTTAAGGAATATCGAATTCTGTGACCCAAGATTACGTCAATGAATCTTGTTCAAAGAGGCATTCAGAATTCGCTGTCAAACTCTGCTCGCTTTTCCATTAAGATCAGAAATCGTATAGCTTGCATTTCCTTTACTTTACACACTACAAGAAACCTTCCCTTCAGGAAATAACGTCCGCTTTACTCTGCAACAACAATAGAACAGTCATTCTATCAATATCCGTTCAGACGTGACTTCTGAGGTCTTTTGATTAGAGTGATGTAGGCGATCTGGCCAGTTCACAGTAGGTATATAGACATCAAAGCCTTTGCAGCTAGCAAAAAACAACAGTAAGCCATGGGATGATTGAACGAAGATTGAGACTCCAAGACTTCTCTGTTGACATTCCTCGACCATCCGACCAAGCATTAAGAATAAATTAGTTAGCCTCGACCTCATATTTTTCCTTCAAAAGTCTTTGTTGCCATACTCGCCGAACTCTCCTAGGGAGAATACACTACGGCCGTCAGCTTCGTCATCATCATCACTGTCCAGCTTCTTCTCGTCAATCTCCTCAGCACCCTTGTTGTTACTACTATTGCCCTCTACCACGGTCTCGCTGGAGTCCTGACCATCAACAGCCTTATTCTTACCCAAACCCATCTTGCCTGTCCCCATCCTCCCTTTCCGGGCAAACTTCTTCGCTTTTTGATAACCTAGCTTGCTCATTTCGAGTCCTTGCTTTCCCATCTCGCGTGCTGGAATAGCCTCTAACCCCTGCTTACTCTTCTCTAGCCCTTGTTTGCTGATCTCGATTGTCTTGTTTCCAATCTCTCGAGTCTGTTTCCCAAAGTCTAGTGTCTGCTTTCCAATTTCGAACGCTGGTTTCATGCTACCTAGTCCGAGCTTCCCAATATCCATGCCAGGCCTCACCTTGGCTAGACCGAAAGTCGTCCTACGCTTTAGCTTGGGTGCTACTTTTGTGGACTCTTGAAACTCATTCTCTGGTGATGGCATGGAACTTGTTGCATATTTGATATTTGATGGCGACATTAGGTCATCGGTGCTGTGAAGCACCAGAGCTGTATTCTGATCTTGAGCCACAAAGGTATCAGTAGTCCGGGGCGTCTCAGACGAGGTTTTTGCCAATTTTGAGCCCGCTAAAGGCAGCGGCGAAGTCTGCGGAAGATGTCGAAGTTCGGGCCGGTGTAAGCTCTCCGCAAATTCTGAACGTACTTTAGGTGGATCTGCAACCTGAGTAGCGCTCATGGATCGATTCGATTGTGGCCTCAATACAACGTTCATAGAAAACATAGCTGCTCTGATCAGGTTGCTCTTGTCCTCGACAGTGCTGCCTCTCTTCAAAGGTACTTTGAAATTCTTCTGCTTTCGGACCCTGTCCATGGCCTCCCTCAACAGAGTTCTTATGCGGTCTTTCTCCTTATTAGGTATTGATACACCAGTGGTACAAAATTGGAGCCCCTCCGGTGTCTTGCCCTCATCAGTTAATGCGTGCGGATTGGCTCCGCCTCCCAGAAGCAGTTCTACCAAAGTAGACGAGCCAAAGTAAGCCGCATGATGAAGAGGCTGCCAACCTTCACTACATGTCGCCTCCATCTTCGCGCCCTTGCTGATAATATGCGTGGCAACTTCAGCGTGCCCGAACTCACATGCTAGATGCAATGGACGGCTGCCTGTGTACGGCCATCTTGCCTCTGCCCAGTATCCTTCTTCGACAATCTTGTGTGTCTGATCCTTCTTGAATGAAGTCGATCCTAACTTCTCTTCAACTTTAGCACCTTGCTGTAAGAGCCTTTCCACTATCGTCAGATGGCCATATGCAGCTGCAATATGTAACGGCTGCCAGCCAAATGAATTTTCCGAGCTAAGCTTGGCGCCATTCGAGATCAGTAGATTGAGGATCTGAACCGAGCCAGTGCGGGCTGCATGATGGACAGGAGATTGGCCTCGTTCATCCTCCACACTCACTTGAAGGCTATCTTCGGCGCTTCGGAGAAGCCTCTCGGCGACAGCGAAGTGGCCGCCTTTGACTGCAAACAGTAAGGGAGTCTCCTTTCTCGATGTCACAGCATTTGCAGACACTTTTTTCGCTATGAGCAGCTCAATAACCTGATAGTGCCCATAGTGCGATGCAAAATGAAGAGCGTTCCATCCATTTTCGTCCTTAGAACCAAGGACGCAATCCTCCTGAATCATGAGCTCAACCATGGCAAGACAACCGCTCTTCGCAGCTAAGGTCGCAGGTTTATGAAGATCTTTCCGCAAATCTGGCAATTTCAGATCATACGAAAAGAACGATTCGGCAATCCTCACGTGCCCATTTTCAACGGCTGCGAAGAAAGCAGTCAGAAAGGTCATGTTAGCTGAATTGAGCTTTGACAGAGCGAGCATCGTATGGACCGTCTCGTAATGACCAACTGCACAAGCAAGCTGCAATGGGGTTTTGGACTGTGCCTCCCGACTATCAATTTGAGCGCCTTCGTTCATTAGATGTTGGCACATCGCTGTGTTACCCTGAACAGCGCCAATGTGCAGGGGCGTTTGAAAGGAGGCGTCACGAGCATTCACATTTGCCTTCTGTTGAGTCAATAGCATTACTACATTTTGATGAGGAGCCTGCATAGCCAGATGTAGAGCCGTTTGTCCTTGTGGGCCTGTGGCATCAATCAAGGCGCCTTTGCCTAACAAGCTCTTTGCAATTGATAGCCGTCCTCTCCGGCAGGCGTGATGCAATGCGGTATTTCCATCAGCATCTAGATGCTCCAGCGGACACCCTTCATCGATGAGTAAGCCCACAACCGCCTCGTGACCCTCTAAGGACGCTTCTGAGAGAGCGTGCCGCCCTGTAGACCTGTGGCATGATTTGAGATCTGCACCGCTGACGATCAATTTATGAACCATCTTATAATTTCCGTCGCGCGCTGCTTGAACGATCCAGGGACATCCTTGTCCATCTGGCTCATCAAATTCGGGAACCTGGGCTAGCAATGGAGGACATAGAGAGAGATTATCCTCATATTGAGCTTTTTGAGCTTCTGATGTTGGTACTTTGTCCGTATGCGGCGCTCTAGTAGTGGTCAGAAGTGAGCTACCGTGTGGCCCGGCATCGACTTCACACTCCGGGCTCTCACAAATAGAGGTTAAAGTTGAATCCAATACCTTTATTCCTTGCTGTAAATCAGATATGTCTGACCTTGAAAGGGGGGTTTCGAGTCTTTCTGTATTATGGAGTTTCGTGCCTGCACATCTTCTTCTGTAATTTTTGGCAAAGATGAGCCAGTTGCGCTCGTCAACGATGACGAATGACTGAATATGCTAGGCGCTGCAGTGCTAATGGCAGACAAGCTTGCGCTCTCGTCGTCAACATGATCACTGGTCGATTTGTCGAATTGATGATCGGGAGCATTCAACAGGTCGACTAGCGGTAGGGAAACCAGAAGACCTTCGGTCTCTCGCATCCCTGTGGTGCTAGTCGCTAGAGTATCTAAAGGGATAAGCTCCAGCGCCGTTGATCCTGCCTCGACATCACCTTTTGGCATGTTCAGCGTCTCCCTTGGCTGCTGCGTATCCTGCAAGTATGCTGCTGAAGCCGGATATTCACTGGCTGCCTCGTTTGAAGGACTATCAAGTGGAAAAGATGGAAGCTCAACAGGCCCTGTTAAGTCTACAAGCGGTTGCTCTTGAGACGTATATGTATCCAATCCCGTAGTCGCAGGGTGGGCGTTTACAGTATTAGCAATCCTGCCTACTTCCACGGCCTCCAATTCGCTGAAGGGTATCGTCAATGGACTGGTCTCCTTGGGCGTCATAGATTCTGTAATCTCGAGTAAGTCTTGATCATACTCCTTGTTGGCCGAAGGCGCTTGACTCTGCAACGGCTGAGGCACGTCCGAGAAATCTATGAGGTCCTCGTTAGCCCTTCGTGTCTTTTCCGCCAACGCTTGTTGGCGTGCTAGTTGAACAATATCATAGAAAGTAAGTTTTTGTGGCGGTTTCCATGAGGAGTCTTGCGATGGATCAACAGATGCATGCTCGCAATCATCCCTTTTGGCCAATTCTGAAACTTCGGCGCGCCTGATTTCCAGAGCCTTGGTAATGAATTGACGTAGCTTGAGTCTCTTTTCTAGTCTTTCAGTCTTGTCTTCTAAACTTGTCGGAAGCTTTCCCTGGTCTGAAGTATTCTGACGCCCGGTCCTGGTCTTGAGATTAGAGATGGATAGTGGAAAGGGCTTTGTGATTGGAGTACTCACAATTCAATGACTCCCAAAGTAAGATGAAGTGTGGCGGCATGAGCCCTCAATTCAACTAAGTGTATGTTCATAGTCTCCTGAAACCATTGCAACTTCACCTTTTTAGCCAGGAATTGCTGAAGCATTATGATATTTTGCTTTGAAACCTTGCCCTCCTTGAAAGGTGCCTTCTCTCCTCTGTCTTGAAATTTCTTCAGGTCTAGAAGTATGTTTGCCATAGAGACCTGCACAAGGGTGATCGCGTTGTGGGTTGTGCGCATCTGTCTGATAAGACCCTTTGTGTTCTGATTCTTTTTGAGCCACAGCCCAATCGTCTTTATCGACTCCCCATAGATAGTACATTCGAGCGCGATAGACTGCAGAACCCTATCACCTGCCTTGTAGGTTTCATAGACTCGCCGCATCCACTGTGTGTACTGCCATACTTCTTTCACGACTTTCAATGTAGTCCCTACCGCGACTAGGACTGAGAAAGGGTCCATCGTCGCAAAATGGATTGGGAAGAGCCCAATTGAGCTATCGTCACTGAGGACTCCGTAGATTTGACTCACAGCGAGCACACTAGTTGGAACAAGAACTGAGAATAGCAGGATTCAAGAACGGAAAGTGGTAGCTATTCTACTGCGAGGTACGATGGAAGAGCTTGATGGAAGAGCTTAATGAAATACAGGAGGCAGCTTGTGTGGCCTTGTGGGCGTGTATCAAACTAATAAAGGGACAAGTTGGCAAACGGTACGAAGGAAACGGCAAGGTGTATTCCGAGTTAGCAGTGTACCATCCGGCACTGCATGCCTAGGTCACTTCCAAGGGAAGTCCAGACCACGGCGCCCAAAGTTGGAGGAGGGCCATTGGTCAGCCTTGTAACAGTAGTAACCCAGCCTGCTGCTGAGACACTTACTAGTGAAGTGATCCATGCAGCTAATCGACGCCATCACAAGAAGATGTAAAGGTACTTGAGGGAATGGCGGCTGGATTATGTCAAAGTTGCTTTACGACTGCTCCGTTCAGGTGATCAGTTTCAACAAGGAGGGAATTGTTCATCGGATATGGCAAGATACATTAGGTCCAAATGTCCTCCAAAAAGCCCGAGGGAAACAAGCAGAATTCTCAGCCTGATCGATGCTTCTGGAAGCCAAGGGGGCGGGGAGGGGCCGAAAGTCACATGGAGGGTGGCCTTGGATCACCATTGGGGACTGCTCCATTGCCCATGCGGCCATGCGGGAATATCTATCGTACCAGTCTGTAGCTGTCTGAAGAGGTTAGGCAAGAAGCGGGGAGTAACGCTTTGACAAGCTCATCCAGGGGCACCAAGCCTAGAACTAGAAGGTTCAGGCTAGAGCTGTATAAGAATCAAGGGTAGCGACGAGCCGAGGCCTAAAGCGATGCTCTGCTGCATGCCTGAATCTACATTAAGCCTGCAGTGGAAGATTGTATGAGAGGGTCATGCTGGTACTATGGATCGAATTAGTCGTCATGCCTTCTGCCTAATATCTTTTGAAGTACTTCCATCTAATCTATCTCCTGTGACTCGCTTCTCACTTCTATTTTGCGATCTTAGACTTTCAACGCCAGTCTTCAGGCTCAAATCAAATCTCGAATTAGAGCAGAGATGATGGGGCATTCGGCTATGGTGAACTACATAATCACCTCGTTCGCAACATCCTGTGCAAGCATTAGTCATTGAACTTTCTCGATTGAATGTGACATGAAAACTCACCCGTTTCAGCTCCTTGTTGGGCAAGCACACACAGTTCTGTACTCGTACTTCATCTCCGACTCCGCAGTCCTTTCCGAGAATGGTAATGCTTTGAACCTTGAGCCCGCCTTTGACGACAGTTGTCGAATGGCTTCCCACTGGGGTAGGAGTGCCCTCGACTCTTGCCCACGCACCTACACGGCTATTCCATCCTATGATCGAATACAGTACACACGCATCATGCTTGATCTCAGCGTCTTCGAGTACTATCGATTCCTTGATACGGACGCCAGGACCAACGACTGCTCGAGGCCCAATGGAAACGTTAGGACCAAGCTTGGCCGTTGGGTCGACTTCAGCTGAAGGGTGGATATATACCGGTGGGAGGATCGTAGCAGAGGGGGCCGCGAGCTCCTTTGATTGCGACTGGAATGCCTTTTGCAGGTACAGGGCGTTTGCAGGTACAGCAGAGCCAGCAGTTTTGATCTGGCGCCAGAAATCTTTCGTCTCGAGAACGTAAAACTGATTGCTATCGGCGAGATCTGACAAGATATCTTGTTCCAAACGCAAAACCTCGTTCTTCTCGCCTTCCTCAAGACGTTCGGAAAAGAATGATGCTTCGATGTTCTCCGATGAAGGATAAGAGACAAGACGAGGTCGCTCGGAGCGGCGTTGAATGGCGGTTTTGATAGAAGGGAAAATTGTCTCGGTTGCAAAAAGATAGACACCGCAATTGATGAGATTCGAGATGTGTGACTCTGGCTTCTCGACGTAGTGAAGCACACGCTTGCTCTCCGGGTCTGAGACAATGCACCCGAAGTTTGTAGCTGCCTCGTTGCTCACTCTCGTACCAAGAATGACCGCCTCGGCCGTCTTATCATCGAAAATCTTCAGCATCTGTTCCAAAGGAAAAGAGCAGCAAACGTCAGCGTTCAAAACGAAGAACCGATCTGGATTGCCTTTAAGAATAGCGTCTCTGAAATGGTAAAGGCCTCCTGCTGTGCCAAGCGCTTGATATTCTCTTAAGTACTGTAGCCGAATCTTGGGCAGTTCTCGGGCACTCTCTTTGATAAAATCACGGAAAATCTGCTCTTCATAATAGCCGACTAGAACAACATCACGAATGCCTGGAACTTTGGCGACGGCTTGAAGGCAGTGCCATAGTATAGGGTGACCAGCGACATCGAACAGAGGCTATGCGAGAAATTGAGTTGCGCATTCAGACAAGAGTTATGGCTGTCTGACCTTTGGAACATCGAGGGATAGTGGTCTGAAACGAGTTCCTCTCGATGGTCCTCCTACCTTCCATGTGGTCAGCTTTAGGTTCAACCAAAAATATTTGATTTGTAGCGCTCACGAGAATTACTGCTTTTGTTGAAGCTGTAGTAGAATTGACTCCATTAGGCTTTGCTCTCGAAGGGACGTTCAGCGTGGCCATATCGACTTCTTTACTCGTCTTATTTGATACTGGCAATTAGGCTGTGGCACAATGCAAAGTGTGAAGATTCAAATTATGTGGAAGCTCAGGAGAGCTCTAATGTGGCCAAATTGGAGAAGTGGGCCGCCGTAGCATCTTCCGCTTCTAGCGACCCAAGACCGAGTTGGGCCAACTCTCCACCATTACCACAAGAGGGGTGCCGCGGGAAAGCCTGGATCTTAAGTGCATTCGCTGATGTATGCTTCAGTCGCCTGATCACAAAAACGCTCATAAAGTCACATGGATAGGCATAGCGCAATAACACATTGGTGGACGTCCACATGAGCTTTTTACTTTCTGCACCAGCTCTGAAGTTGACGTCCACAACATTGTAGGACACGATCATTGACCACGGGTAGTATGCACTGTTGAGCGATTTGCAGGTTTACTGTCTGTTGTGATCGTTGCGTAGCAAAGAGGACAACTTGTGTATTTTGCCCGAGGCATTCTTTTTGCTCCGTTCCGTTAAAACAAGCGGATTAGACCTCGAATTGGAGTCCAAACACTAAGTAATCACCTGATCATGGTGATAGGTGGTCCACCTATCGTGAGTCGCGCTTTTACTGCATTCTTTCCTGATATACTCAAGAAACACGGAAATTTTACTTGCTTAACATCGAGCAACGCTATTCGTTTGCCAAATTGTATCATTATCGCCTCGCTGTCACGGAAATACCAAAACACCTTCATTTACTTACAATAATATATATATGAAGCCAATTAGTACTTTGTCCTGTGTGTTTGCCTAAGGAGCTTCTCCGTTCAAAGAGACTCTGGAAATGACTGAATTCAACAAACCACTCTCACAACTATAGGGACTTTGCGAGAAAATGAGGTTCGAAAGAAGTGTGGGGTTGCAAACACTCAACGCTACATCATTGTCCGCTTCAAGAACTTCTTCACCTTTACCCACACGGATTCTTTGACTAGGATCCAATCAGTGAAAGCTCAAAGGAAACGCGCGAACAGCAATACGTACTCGGTTTCTGTCCCACGCTAACCCTACGTGCATTTTCCAAGTCTTTCTTCTCCTGCTCCTCGGCTTCCAATCGGCGCTTGAGGTCCTTGTACTGCTGCTCCTCTGCTGCATTCCTGACGGAAGACTTTGCTCCTGGGCCGGACCAACCGCCCATTCCACCTGCGGAGCCGTACCCTCCGGTCATTACTGCGCTGTCTTATGACCGAGAAGATTGTTTCTCGAGGGCCTGTGAGCTGGTTGAAGTGGAAGCAAGAGAGGAGGTCGGTTTGGTTTGGTTTGAGAGTGATGACTTCGAAGTATACAGTGCCTTAGTATCGTCCCAGCTGATTGGTTGGTGTTTGGAAGGGTGCAACCAGCGGTGGCAGGGACAATTTTTGTGGATATAGTAGAGTTGTTTAGGGAGGATATCTTCACTTTGGAACATATTGAATCAAAAGCAAACGCTTGAAGAATTGGAGGATGGTTATATGGCGAAAGTGAGGGAACGCAGGATAGAGGGAGGAGAGACAGGGCAGAATTGGAGACACTTGAGATCAGCAGACGGAGGATATTATTAGTAGACGAGGCTGTTGCAAAGCCACTCTGTGAATACGGTCTCTGAATCTAGTTGATCAAATGCAGGAGCAAGATGCTGCAGACGTGGAAGTTGCGAGCACCTTTTCCACTCTGCATGGCAGCCATATGACGAGGCATTTTCAGAGTAGCAGTAGGAACCGTTTCCGCTCGAGAAGGAGCCGGGGTGCTATAATTGGCTCTAGGGGACGTCAGGGCGAAGGGCGTCCCCGGAAGCTTATGCACTTTAAGCAGTGATCCGCTTCGAAGCGGCTTAGAAGGCCGCTAAGAGAGATGACGCGCCTGATGTTGCCTTTCGAGGCTGTAGTATCAAAATCTCAAGGCACCTTGACTCGCGATGGCATCCATTTTGCTCTCAACTAGCTCAATCTGAGCGATCTCGGCACAGCATGTCTTCCTATGACAGTAAGTGACCGCCTGCTTCTCGGCTCACTTGTAGATTGACCACTGCAGTCGAGCACTCCGTGGCCCCCTCAACTTCCAACACCATTCCATCAAACGATCGCAGCGCACACCCTCCACGCCGACCAGACTTCTCCACCTTCTTCTCCCACGTCAGCTCCCATACCGACACATCCAACACTCAAAATGCACACGCCACACCAATGCCCTCAGACATCAGCGCCGCTTACAGGCTGTTAGCCGAGGGGTTTGGCCAGATGCGGCAGTCGGGCAGCGGAGAGGGTGTCCTGGACGGCATGATAGAGATGCTCTTGAGTGAGAGCGAGAGACCACCGAAGGAGGTGGAGGGTGTGGGGCAAGACTTCATCGATGGTGAGTCCGCCGATCAGGAGACCAAGTTTGAGGGGAGAAGGAGCATACTGCTGATGAGGAGGGTGCGTAGAGTTGGAGAGAGTGCCAAACAAAAGGCTGAAGAAGGACATGGACTGTCCGATTTGCAGTAACCCTTTCGTCGAAGGTAAGCTTGAGCTGTTGTGCTCATCGATTTCTCCTGAGAGCTTTACTGATATCCGGCTCAGATCAATACCCACTCGTGGTCCGCCTGCCGTGTAATTCCAAGCATTTGTTCGATCTAGAATGCATAGCGCCGTGGCTGAAGCTCCATGCCACCTGTCCATTAGACCGAAAGAATTTAGTGAAAGCGAAGAAGCCGCCGACTCCACCCCCACAGGTGGAAGAGGAAGATGGAGAGTACGACGACATGTATGCATGAAATGAAGTATGTCAGCAAGCGAGCAAGCGATAGCATTGGGCAGATGTTTCCATCATAATTCAAAATCGGCTTAAGATGATCCCGACGTGTAGTTGGCGACTCTGCGTACCTGACCCGTCTATTGTCCGATTCTCCCCAAGTGATACCTTCACTTGCTAGCATGTACAACAATCTCATCTTTACATATCCTGTTTCATTCGCTTCTGAACAAATCACACGTTTGCAAGCCTTTCTAATTTGCAAATACCCCTATCATGTATGCACGCCTCTAAACAGCCATGTCGGCTGTTCACGTCCAAATCGAAATCATCAAAATACCTCATCAGAGCGTCAATGCTCCGTATTCATCATATCGTTTACCTGATCCTACTCCTTGACTTTTTCATATTTTTATCCGAAGCCGTTATTTTGTTGATCATTGAAATCAGTGGGTAGCTCTGGGATTTGACTTTGTCCACGGCAATCATATCCATTTGGCTGGAAGCTAGATGAGTAACAGGGAATGGCACATGCGGCATTAGCTTTCCGAATGAGCTCGCTAGGGTCTACATGCAGCATGCCCATTTTAGATCCTTGACTTAAGCATGTTTCCGTCGATGTGGAGATGGGAGTGTGTGGCCTGTTCATGAACGACGGGGGTTGCAGATAATTACGGCTTGCAAAGCGATGTGGCCCAAGTAAATCAGCTTCGTAAGGAGGCGGACGTAGTGCATCATTGTGAGGTGAGACTGAATTATGTGACCGTGTTGATGCAGCGGAAGGCAAAAGGCAAGGACACTGCTGCTGGTGTTCTTTTGGCATTGCTGGGTATGTTCGTGCATCAAGATACTGAAAGCCAAGGTCAACCATGCTCTTCGGAGAACCCGTGGGATCCACTGATAGTGCGAGTAACGCCTTCGCTGCACTACCAAGTTCTGCTTCACTAGGCAGAGGCCTATAGGCATTCACTTGAAGACGTTCATTCCTGTTGAGCAGGGTTTGATCATCTTGCTCAGCAGCTGAAGCCTGCCTCGTTAAATTCAAGCTTGAACGTCGTGGACGAGACGGGTTATGAGATCCTGGAGAATTTGTACCGAGTTTACCAGGGGCGAGGGGGGCGAAATGAGTCTTCTTACAGCATCTCTCACAGATATGCTCTAGGCAAGCACTGCACCGCCAGATTGTAGAGTCGTTATGAGCATTGCACGAATCACACTTGGCGGTGTGAACCGTTTGCGGCTTCCATAGATGGTCGCAATTGCCTTGCATAGCAGTGACGTTTAGACAGTGATATGACAGATAAGCTGTAGAGGATCACAATGTTCGTGTTTCGAGTGCCACAAGAGAAGGGACGATATGAAGAGACGATTGAACAACAAGAAGCCTTTTCATGCCTCCCAAGATCTGAGGCAGAATATATTCGCAAACATAGCTAAGATGCAAGATATTGCGTCTGAGAAAGAGCTGCTGCAAATGAGAGAGGCGATATATGTAAAGACCCAGTTGATTCGCCACGCATCTCCAGCCGAAAGCGCACAACTCAAGGGTGACAACACATCGATAGCTTGTACGTACTTCATACGGAGCGTATAGCCAGTGCTGACTCTGTGAAGAAAGGAATTCTATCCATCAGCCTGATTTGATCATGCATAGTCCTAATGATTCACTTCCTTTTGTTTTCTTAGCAACCAACACCATAGAAAATCTTGAATGGATAAGTACATTGAGTTGAGGATGGCCATACACTTTGTTCTCTCCGTAAAAATCTGCCATGCAGATATTTGCCAACGCATTTGGCGTGCGCATAAGCGTTGACGGACCGGATTTTGCCTCAATCAACTCACCGGTACATCTTCAGCGGGCATCGCGGCGACACCGAGCTCCTCTGCGACAGGGATCTTCTCCTTTCCTTGATTGGTCTCTTCCTTCATGAAAGGGAACAGTATCACTTCTTTGATGGTGTTGTGATTGGTCATGAACATTACAAGACGATCGATGCCCATTCCCCACCCCCCGTTGGGGGCATACCGTATTCTAGCATAGTGCAGAAATTCTCGTCAATTAGCTGTGCCTCATCATCTCCTTGAGCCTTCTGAGCAGCCTGTTCTTCGAAGCGCAGACGTTGATCGAACGGGTCATTCAATTCCGTATATGCATTAGCGATTTCTTTGGTGCATACGAAAGCCTCAAATCGCTCGCAAAGCCCTGGCCTGCTACGATGTGCTTTAGCCAATGGAGACATGACCTGCGGATGGTTCATTAAGAACGTTGGCTGCACACAATCCGACTCAAGAAATTCACCTATTAATGCATCGAACATGCGTGGATTTGTCAGCGGTGGTGCACAATCGACACCCATCTTCTTTAGCATGCGTTCAAGGAACCGACCGCTCTCTCGAGTATGGAATTGATCGCCTGGTGGGAATCTTTCTCCGCACTTCTCCTCCAACGTTGGTATGATGTCGATGCGTTTCCACGGTTTTTCCCAATTTACCTCATACTCTTTGCCATCTAACGTGTTGTATTTGGTAACATATCCGCCTGTTAGTCTTTTGGCTATACCAGAAACGAGATCTTCCGTAACGCCCATGATATCCTCGTAGTCTTTGTAAGCCCAATAAAACTCGCAGGTCGTAAATTCTGGATTATGAGTAGGATCAATGCCTTCATTCCTGAATTGTTTCCCTATTTCGAAGACTCGGTTGAAGCCGCCGCCGATCATCTTCTTGAGGTAAAGCTCTGGCGCAACACGCATGTACAGATCACGTTTCAGCTCATTGTGGTAAGTGGTAAAAGGTTTAGCAGTTGCACCGCCTGCCAGGGCGCTGAGGATAGGAGTTTCCACCTCGTGAAAATCAAGATTCCAGAAAAACTGACGAATATAGCGTATCAATAAATCTCGCTTATGGGCGACGTCTCTGCTTGAGTCATTCATGCTCCAATCAAGAAATCGATTTCGAAACCGTTGCTCGGGATCTTTATATCCGTAATGCTCTGACGGGATTTGGTGCAGACAAGGAGTGAGGAGTAATAGCTTGGTTGCAAATATGGATAGCTCCCCCTCTGGTCGCGTCTTAGGGGTCGATCGTCCTGGATATCCAACGATACCGACGATATCTCCTCGGCGAATATGCTCATGTATCTTTTCGAAGGCGTCTGCATCGTCTCCCATTTTCTGTAGTTGGCAAAGCACTTGGATCTTGACACCCTCATCCTTAATATCGTAGAATACTAATTTAGATCCTGAGGCTCTCTTGACGAATATGCGACCTCCCAATCGGATCTCAATCTCTGGTCTGGATTCCCCAGTCCCAAGGTCTGCATAGTCCTTGACAAAATCCCTTAAATCAGTCAAGACTTCAAATTTATGAGGATATGGGTTAAAGCCGTCAAGTTGACGCTGACGTATTTCACGACTTCTGATTTCGTGGTATTGCTATGATCATTTAATGTCAGTATCGACAGAAGGGCGGTCCTCGAGCTCACATTCGGAGTCAACTCCATTTCTTCCACCACTTTCTTCTTTTGTGATGCAAGTGGGGCGTTGGCTGCCTTTCCTGCTTTCTTCTCGTCTGCTATCCGTTGCTTCTGGCGCCTTTTAAGATCAGATTTGCTGACCCAAATAATTAGGTGGTTTACTCGGCGCGGTTTCCCGCACGGCGATACTTCTTACCTGACTCTCTCACCAGTGACCTCGTCTAGTTGCAGATTTGCAAGAGCATCACTCGGTGCATTAGTTTCTGCCATACGAGCGGAGGATTCCTTTGTGCACAATGACGCTATTAGAAAAGTTTCCTCAATAAGTCATTCAATGACGTGCTGAGTATTTGAATCGTTCCCTTGGTAGGTTGTAAGAAACGCGGAAGGCTTTCGCGTAAATTAAAACTAGCTTGACAGTTTCGATCACGTGCGCTGAGGGACGACAACGTCCACTGAGTATTTGATGGCCGTTTCCTCCCTCAATACCATGACAACGTAAACACATTTCACTAAAAAAGGCCCTTTCCACAACACGAAGTCCTCACGATGCTTCGCCCAGACCCCCTGTTCAGTCCGCCGCCCAATTAGCGTTCCAACCAGGTATCAAGCAAGTTCTTCGAGGCGTTGCTGAGCCTGCATTAATGTGCGCTGTTCTTTCAATAGCTGCGCCCGATATTTTTCCACCTCGGGATTCGCAGCCAAAAGCGGCGCAAGCTTGTCATTTGCTATACGTAGACGGTCACATTAGTTGACTAACTTAGACTGAGTTGCTGTACAATCACTTACCGTCGACATGAGTGATACCCAGTTCCTCCTTCAAGAGCGCACATAGTTCCGAGCGGCACTTTTCGAATAATTCCCCATATATACTGGCGCACATATGGTCCGCAAATGAATTGAGACCACATTCATAATAGGCTTTAACTCGCTAGGTAAATTGTCAGTGAGAACTAATTTGTTCCGAGAAAACGTACGCTCATGGCCTGAATTTCTCGGCTATATTTTTCCGGTTCGAGCGTACTTTCGTTAACTTTCGCAACTTTGTCCCAGAAGGCTGAGCCTGAGGTATGCTTCCCCGTTTTAGCCTCTTGTTCGCTAACATGGTGCTTGGCCCGCTGTTGGAGTCGAAAGGAGAAGAGGTTGCTTGACGCCTTTTCGTACGCGGTTTGCATAGCTTCTTCATTTAACGTCATCGGCTTAGCAGATTCCCACTTAAGCATTCTCATGGCTAATTCTTCCTGGTCTTTGCAAGCTTGTCTGAAAAATTTGTCAAAAGTACTAAGGATCAAACGGTAATAGTCTGTGTCTTGATGTTGACCGAAAGCTTCTGATACCCTACCGAAGACCATATTTTGACAGAGTTGACTTGTGTTGAACAGAAAGGCTTCGAGAGGGTGCTGCCAATGCGAAATACTCTGCCGCACCATGTCTTCCGTGGCGTGGGGATGGATCTCGCCAGGAATGCCGCTGTATGCATATGAGATTATAGACCTAACCTCAGCCAGTGTAAAGCATTTCCCAGTGATAGCCACTGAATCCAAATTCGCACTGCCGGCTAGGTCGATTCTCGGTGATTTGGTCGGTGCAAATTCATCTGGCGTGTGTACTCGCTTTCGAGTATTGGGATTTTGCGGAACGTCATCATCTGAATCGATGCAAATTGAGATCGTCTTGGTACTGTTTGTTGAAGATGGCGTTGCCTTGGACTCACGTTGGGATGATCCATTGGGAGTTTCTGGTGCTTGTTTAGCAATGGATCTCTGTCCTTCGGAAAACTTCAGTAATGGCCGCGTGCTTTCCAAGGCTTTCCTAAAACCTATCGCATATTCGTTCCACTGCTGAGGAAATGGAAACTTTTTACTTCCGCCATCGAGATGATTATGTAGAAGCTTTTCAAATTTCATGAGCTCACCCATGACTATGGCGGAGACATTACCGCCCATCGCCTGTGGTAGCTCTCGTAATTTGTTCTCAATATCTTCGACCTTCTCTCTGACTTGAATCCGAAAGCGTGGCAAGCTTTCCTTGCATTAGCTCGACTCAAGTTTGGCAAGAAGGCATCTCACTAACCTTTTCTGGATCTGAAAGGTCAACAATTGGGCTAGATTTGTCAATAAAGCTGGTGTGCCAAAACGTTTGCTATAGGCTTGAAGAGATCCTGCCCATGGCTCATTTTTATCGAAGAAGTCTTCTTCCTCGTGTCTAGCCTGGGCATGGCTGATATTAGTATCGGGATTGTTCTTAATTACGAAATAACCAAAGCCCAAACGGAATTTTCTGCCTTCTAAAATTTGAGACCACTGCTCAAACGATTCTTGTAGCTGTAGAAGGTCAGGTTTCGTAATGCATCCAATGGTCCTTGCTTCTGCTTTTGATTCCCGAATAAGTCTTGCTGCGCTGGAATTTGCAGGATCATCGGTGATAGGTAAGGCAAGAAGTACCAAACTTTCCGTAGACTGGATATATTCTTTGACCAGATTTCTTACGAGATCGACCAGATAGCTTTCTTCTGGTACATCTGACACGTTGATTATGCCTGGGAGATCGTAGAAAGATAGGTTTGGGAGACCTGGGCCTGCAATATTAAGGCGAATCACATTGGGCGAGAATTTCACCTGGAATGCGTGAGGAGGTAGAGCGTTTTCAGGCATATAGTCGGCATGATCCTTTCCAGGATTTAGATTTGCAAGTTGTGCCCGGTATAATACTCCGTGTACGTGATCTTTCGACCTGATGGTGGCAAAGTGAATGTTTTCCAGGTCTTGAGCAACCCAAGGGCCTAGTGGCCGATCTTTGGTTGCTCCTTGAGACTTCGGAAAACCTTTACCATGGCGATCTCCCAAGTAGAGATATTTCTTAGATAATGACACAGTACACTTCCACGAATTTTGCTCTGAGAGGTTAATTTCTAGTGGACAACGTGTGCAAGTGCCACTTTCCCTCATCACCTTTATTTCTGACATTGATTCAATCAAGCTACTTTTGCCAGTACTTTGATTGCCGACAACGACTACCTTAGGTAGTGGAAGATCTAGATTTTCGACTCCTAATTGTCGAAGGGCTTGGACTGTTTGGACCAGGTGTTTTACACCACGTCCAACGACATCAAGGCTAGCTTCCGTATCAAACAATTTGCCACTATCATGAGAGGCAAGGTCTAGGTTCAATCAGCAGTCATAATAAGATAGCACGGTAGGTCAGATGCTTACCAGGACTAGGAACCGGGGGCGCTATACCGCTACGTCCTTGCCCGTTGATATTGTGGGCATCTGATCTAGAGCCAGATGAACTATGCACCGGGCGCTGTGTGGACTTCTCTTCGTCACGATTTGAATCTAGCTCACGTTTTCCAGGTTTGCGACCCATGATCGCAACCAGTCAACGCACTGACAATGTTCTGTGCCAAATTAGATGCGATGGAAGGAAGACCAAAGGCGAGCGAAATGCAAAGAGGTTGGAAGATGAAGAGTGTCATTGGATTTTTTCGACCATGCCACGCTTTGGGCCATCACCAAATGGTGATGGAACTCGCAACTCCTCATAATCGTGCGCAAATTACTAGAGTCGGGAGCGAAGGCAAGTTCCAGAAGTGAATTGATTTTAGTTTCACTCAGTTCTTCGCTGTGACATGCCTATTTGCGTGAAGGCTATTGATACCACCTCGCTGATTTGCCACCGATCCCGGGCTTATTTTTCGCTTTTGAAGCAATTGCAAGAACCTTTTGTTGGGAAGCCATGTCCTACTACCTAGAAGCAGGACATAAGAGAGTAATGCTAAGCTCCCTGCTTGATGCGCTGATGCTAACGGCAACGGCACTAAGTATAAAAGGGTACTGATGCCGAGAGCGACTTGCAAGCATGCAAACCCAAGAACACCATGTACGGCCCGCTTGCTCGCGTTTGGCAGTAGCTTGACAATAGTAGGCGAGAATCTTGAGTAGGTAAATAGGGCAATCACGGCGGTGAATGTCGTTGTCGCCAGTACCCTGTGATCTAATTGGGCGAGAGAAGGGTTTTCCAATGCATTACGCCACCAAAGATCACGGCCGTCAGCTTTTTGTGAATAGAAATCTGAGAGTAGTTCATCCAACGGTGGAATCCAGCCCTGCCCCATCCATGGAAAATCGTTGTAAATTAGCCCAGCATCAAGTCCGGCCACAAAGCCACCAGACATAGCTGTGATAAAGACCAAGCCAGCTAGCATTGCGATTGAACGCTGAAAGACACGCAGCCGGGGGTTCTTCAGCCGCTCTAAAGTACCTCGTGCAGCCTCGATATTACTCGCAAGCTTTTGTTCCCGTAGAATCTGTAGCCCATTCCAGAACATAGCTGAATAGCACAAGAAAGCTGTTCCAAGATGCGCTACCAATCGATATTGGCTTACACGTGGATGACTTCCAGGTGCAAAGAGATGATCTTTCAGCCCTGAACTCACCATCCACCACCCTAGAAAGCCCTGGAGGCCGATGAGTCCAGCAATCCCAAGTATTCTACCAGCCATTGGTTTGGAGACTTTGCCAGCGACTATGAATAAAACCGCAGGGACTACGAAAGTCACACCAACGAAGCGACCCCATAGGCGGTGTGTCCACTCCATATAGTAGATCTTTTTAAATTCGTCCATCGTCATGTTTGGATTCAGAAGCTTGAATTCTGGTGAGGATTGGTACTTTTGAAACTCAGCTTCCCACTCGCTTTCTCCGGATGGCGGAAGTGCTCCAGTGACAGGTTTCCATTCTGTGATGCTGAGTCTGTTCGTTATTAGTAACCGTGGACTCTCTGCAGAGGAGCTGGAACTTACCCTGACTCCGTGAGGCGAGTCAGGCCACCAAACACCACTATACCGAAAACGTTGGCAGCACTAAACAGGAGCCAGTAGCCAACAGGTTTGCGTGTTAGTCGAGGGAAGAAGGCCTTGAGAAATTTCACTCGGTAGGCCTTAAAGGACCTTGCAAACGATGATGACTGGGAGGGCGTCTTTGAGGAAACTGTGGAAACATTGCTAATAGCAATAGCAGGCCGAGCTGGAACCGTTTTGAAGGCTCTGCGAGCTTGTAGCTGCCATTGAGGGGTTTGCTTAGGTAGAGCTGAACAATGTTTAGTAACAGTCCATGAGTGATTACAATCGAACAATCGTCTGGTCAGTCGAGGAGCTGCACGGTGAAGACTTGGTAGAATCGAAGCCATGTTTTGGCTGTTCCGTGTGAGCGATTAAAGACGCTGCGAGTGAAGTCCAAGTCGTCGGAGCCAGTCAGGGAATTGAGGTTGGAAGGAATACGCGCTAAACAAGAAGATGCTCCCGAGGCTTTGATGACGCTATGAAAGTTTTATACAAGACTTCAAGATCTTTTTCAGCCGGTACATGATGGCGCATGATGCATCAGAGGAGTTGACAAAATTTCGCCAACAATGGCAGGAGGAGGTCAGATCCCGAAAGAAGACAATATCCACACACAGACCCCAAGCCGCGAGTGCACATCATCGTCCAGATCGAGCCCCGTCGCCGCACCTGCCATCGTATAATGAGGAGCATAAGAGTGCTTTTGAAGACCACAAAGATTCTTCCTACCACGATCTAGAAGACTTAGATGATCAGAGGCGACTACATATAGAAGGCGGTTCCCGACCTAACAACAGCCGACAGCCTTCCTCGGCTTTGGAGCATTACGAGAAGGCCGTACAAAGAGAGGGAGAAGGCAGCTTGGGTGACAGTCTGAAGCACTATCATAAAGCCTACCGACTTGACGCAGGTGTTGACAGTCTCTACAAGAGCAAGCATTTCCCACAGTCTACGTCAAAAGCTACCACCGCGAAACCATCTAATGCATCTAGCACCGTTCCCAACAATGCTCACCATTACCTAGATGGTTCTTCTAAGATTTCTACGTCTGATCTCATTGCATCCTTTCAGTACTCTTACATCAACGGCGAAGAGCCACTGATTGAGGGTTCTCCTGCTCCACCTTGCCCGATATCTTTCTTACCCTCAGAACTCTGGGTCAATCTCCTCACTCATACGGCGAATTCCGACCCAGCTTCTTTTGCTCGGCTTGCTCAAGTGTGTAGGCGCCTTGCGTTTCTGGTGGCTGCAGAGGATCAAATTTGGCGAGAGGTGTGTCATGATCGTGCGTATGGCTTCGCGGCAATGCATTACGCCTGGGCACTCACTATTACCGGCCAGTCGCTGCCTGCTTCTTTCGAAGAACTGGATGCTCAGCTTCTGCGATTGACAATTGAACGTCCATCAGTACAATTTCCCTTGTCGTCCACCTATCCAAGCTACAAATCAATGTTTCAGAAAAGGCCCAGAATTCGATTCAATGGCTGCTATATCAGTACGGTCAATTACATTAGACCAGGTGGAGCGACTGCATCACAAGCGACTTGGAATTCACCAGTCCTCATTGTCACCTACTACCGGTACCTGCGGTTCTTCAAAGATGGCTCATGCATTTCGCTTCTCACAACAACAGAGCCCGGGGATGTTGTTCATTATCTCACTAAAGAGAATGTTCACTCAGGCCATGCAAATAGTCTACCGACGGCGGTCATGAACAATGCTTTGCTTGGACGTTGGAAACTGAGCGGAGATGCGTATGCTTCTGATCCGAACTTACATGAGGAGGGCACCGTCCATATCGAGACAGAGGGCGCAGACGTAGACCGACCTGAGCCCAAATATACGTACAAGATGATGTTGCAAATGAAAAGCTCTCGAAAGGCTGCTGGCGCGACGAAGAATAATAAACTCGTTTGGCTTGGATATTGGTCATACAATAAGCTGACGGATGATTGGGCTGAATTTGGGTTGAAGAATGACCGGGCCTATGTCTGGAGCCGGGTTAAAAGCTACGGCTATGATATATGAAAATAGACATGAACATACGATTTAATTGTTCAGGCCTGCCCAAGTAGGAAGGTCACGTGTTTGCGCGTTTTAGTCAGATTTCGCTTCCCTACAATTACTTCCATAGAACCTAGAATCGTGCATTCGACCCGATAAGTCGCAAAAAATGCCTATCGGCATTGAACGACTCAATTCGAGGCACCTCCAGCCTTCGTCTCAAATCGTCTTCATCAAGCCTTTGGCTGGTTCCGATGCAGATTTCGCGAGAGACTTCCTCGAGCGAATCGCCGCAATATGTCATCCCATCATGAAGTCAAATCATCTGTCTATTATGACACTCGAAGAACATGAAGCCAACACTGAATTCATTGGCCGAAATTTTAATGCTGGTGAAATCATACAACTCGTTCTCAAATCATACCGAACAGGCCAGTGGCTTAGCTTCAAGACGGTACAAATGATAATGATGCATGAGCTCGCTCACTGCGCGCAGATGAATCATTCAAGGGCATTCTGGAAAGTAAGGAATGACTACGCAGCCGAGCTCAGAGGGTTGTGGCAAAAGAATTATACAGGAGATGGTCTCTGGGGACGAGGACAGACTCTACTCAGCGGCAGATATGACACAGGACGAAGGGCTGAAGAGGACTTGCTGCCCGAGAATTTGTGCGGCGGAGCCTATCGTAGTTCGAGAAGGAGGAAGAGAAAGCGAGGACCGGCGGCTACGGACAAGAAGCCCGAACCCTTCGCGGAGCGGCAGCAAAGGAGGGTCGCTAAGAAGTTTGGCGTCGCAGGTCAAACACTGGGAGGAGATCAAGAGACGAGAGTGAAGCTAGAGAAGGGCCAGAGCGTCAAGGCAAAGCCTAAAGTGGCCAACAGCTCACGAGGGCGAGAATTACGTGTGGCAGCTGCACTAGCACGGTTTGGGCAACAAGAGGAGGACACATTAGACGATGCAAAGCCAAAAGAGGACTTGAAGAAGGATCAGTCAAAGCTATCAAGCGACACTGAAGACGATTCGGAAAACAGTGATGTTGAGAGCGTCTTAAAAGATCACAAAGGACAGAGGATCCAAGATCAAGAAGGCCGCGATATGATTAGAGTATGTGGCACCGAGGATGAAGATGACGAAGCGGTAAAGCAAGAACGAGATGAATTGCAAGGGTTAAATGGCGCTGAAAGCAGTGATCCTTCGCACACAAATGTTGTCAAGCCGATAGCGGCAGTCAGAGGATCGGACCCTCATGACCAATCGACAATAGCTACGGCTTCTTCAACCCGGGACCAGCCTCTATCAGTGATTGAGCCGTCAGAAACACAGTCCGAACAAGTTTGTTCTCCAATATGTTCCATGGGAAATGCTGCTGGTTCAGCTCTCTGCGTAGCATGCTCTCACGTTCTAGACGTCTCTTTAATCGCTAATCACTGGCGATGTCAGAAGGAAACATGTAAGGAAAGTGACTACGTCAACGCTGGCGACTTTGGGCGTTCCGGTGTATGTGGTGCCCACAAAGCTTCTGATCCTCCTGAATGAGGAGGAGCAACAGCCTAAGGTGTGTTTTCTTGGCTTTTAGAAACCAGAATCTTGCAGAGATTATACAGAAACGAGATTGATATCGCTGGACCTGTGCCAATGACCACGATGGGCAATGTCAAATCTAAGTTACTGCAGAGATCTTTGCAGACACGCAAGCATTGATCAGTATTGCTTGTTGCAGAATGTGGCAATAGGTGCAAAGAGATCTACTGGAGACCCCCTGAGACGAGGAAACGTGAATGAGACTAGCATCCTCGATGCTCGCATGTTTCTAATGAACACATTCACGATATGGTACTCAGGATGAATGAAACACAAACGAGTTTAAATCACCTGCATCTGCGATTCCGCCCACATGCATGATCTTGAGCACTTGAAGCGTATCATCAGCAGCGGATATCAGCCCTAGTACATTTTCGTGCTTTTTGGAAGGCCACTTGAAGAAGCTCGACCAATATGTGTGGAATACTATCCGGCTAGGTCATGACTTGTTTCTTCGTGGGCGTCTGAACACCAATGTCAGGAAACATCCTGTACGCTGGTTCGAATTCACACTTTGTCCGCTGCGAGACTGGTTTCTGATTTCGATAAGGTTGATTTGAGTGCTGCGATGAGAAATACAATGTACAAAATTATGTCGTGAAGAACTTCGAATGCTTCATTTTGATTTCCCTCCCACAGTGTGATCAACAACGGGCAAAGGAACAGTGTTTGTAACACCCTAGGGGCTTTAGAGGTGCTGTGGAATTTAAGAAATATCTTTCATAGCAAATAGATACTAAAGAAGCTACTCGATAAAGCACGAAGACTCTAGAGCTTTAGGCTTACCATAGGAGCTTTCACATGCCGACCCAATGTCAGCCTCACCAACATTCCAGAAGGAGGTTGGGTCACGCTTTAGGGCCCTGCGATTTTGAAGAACACGACGTGTGAAAACGGGATGATGCTCAACGGGACGATGTACATGATTAGCCTACCCTCGAGGCATAGTCCTCGTAGAGGTAAAAGAATGCGTCAAGTCCAGAGGACAACAAGCGGCTCCAGATACAAAACATATCTCCCCGACTTCTCCCGTGGCTGACATCCACAAAGTAGGTGAGAGGTGAGATACAATAAGTCCAACGAGGTCAAAAGATGCGAGCAGACTAGCAATATAGCATGTATAGACAGGCGAATCAAACACCAATAGTGCATTTTCCATGAAGCTAGGATACGGTCGTGCCGTCCGTTACCCTCTGGCAGCGGGTGGTGGTCTTCTATATCCACTAAGATCTAGTTGACTTTGCCTCTGCAAATCTCCATAGCGTACACGTGGTGCCGTTTTACAAAAGGAAAGGAGATGAGGAGCAGACGGATCATAGGCATATACTCTCCGAGATGAGGCCCCGCGAGCATCTGGGACGAAGATTGTAGGGTAGCGGTGGGCAAGGATGAGAATCTGCGAGCATCAGCGGGATGGTGGCGCGCGGTCCATGGTAGGCCGCGTCGTTCATCGCAATAATAAGAAAGTACCACGAATAATTGTAAGTAGTGAGCAACGAGTCAGTAATGTTCAAAGCCATTTTATGTTGGTCGAAACAAACATTGAGTCAGCCCGCCCGGGCCTCCCTAACAGCCGCCCCCGGACACCGGAGCCCGCAGCGCCACGACCTCCAGCTGTACCGTCGAGTTACTCTAGCAACGCCCAGTAGTATTATTCTTATTACACTTGGTATCCCACGCCATCTCCAGTCCCACCCCAAGGATCGAAATAAAGTTTTCCCATCATTCTGGTGGCTTTCCCAGGCGTGCATTAGGCTCGATCTCTTGCACCACAGTCTCGATCACGAGCAGCAGCAGCAGTAGCAATTTGGGGAGGTCACCCCGTACCTTCCCATCCAAGGCTGCAGCACGCAAGTCAACCCTTGCCGCAAAACAACCTACCAAAGAAGTTGGAGGGTGTGATGGCTCGAAAATAATGACGGCGCTTGCTGCACCAGCAGCCTTGATTTGCTGTCACTGCATGGGATGATATCTGAATCCAGTGGTTGGGGTGGGTCGTCACACCCACGGCCCAAAACGTGGGGATCGCCACTTACCATTCGTACGAGCGGTATGGCCGATGTCTTGCGTCAGCTAGAGCCAAAGTTGATTCCCTTCTCCCCCCACCCAATTGCTTGTCTGGAATGAGTGATAATAATAACGAGAGACAGGGGGCAGGCGGGACTTGATCGTGAGGGATGCGAATACTGGTTGCCTGATTTATATCGTAAGAAAGGCGGTGAAGAGGGAAAGGATTTCTAGTGTGAAAGGTACGTACCGGCCCCTGACGTGGGATGAGCTGTCTGCTACGGACCGTTGGGCTAGAGAGCTTCTCGGCTCTCACATAATCGCTAGCTGGGACCACATTCGAAAGACGACGACAATGGCATGAGGAAAAGATATTCAGAAAGCTTACGCTTATGATCACTGATATGGACTTTTGGGAAATACAGGAGCCAAGAACATATCGTGGGTCTTTTCTCTCTTCACGCGCGACGGCGGAGCCCTTCGGAGAAATGAGTGGATCCTAACATTCGGCTATGTATTGATAATGCAGCTGCACTATGCACGCACCTAATCATGCGTAGCTTGCTCGATGCGAACAGACGAAGGTCAGAATGAACGAAATGCGAGACATGCATCGGGGGAATTGCACTCATTTGGGATATCTTATAGAATTTTTGGTGATATTATGACTTTGCATTATCGAGGCTGCCTCACACAGCTGCGTCCATGCTGTGCTTCTCTACCCTCCGGCCTTCACACCTGTGCTCCATGTCTTGACATCCTTGCCGTTTGGCAAGTATCGTGCACGGCCCGACGCAGCATGATGTTCCAGCCAGGTGCCGCCAGCCACGTCACAACTTTTCTCGAAATGAATTTCCTGTTATAGTACAGCCCCCTTCATGTGCCATCCCATTGTAGCAGAGACAGCTCTCTCTTTTGGTATCTGTCCATAATGCATATTAAACTCCGAAATAATAAAGCATTTTCATGCGTGTGCGTGAGCACATAGCTGTAGTGGTATCGTGTGAATCTCGCCGTGATGTAAAATGATCGAGCAAATTTTTTGGCATGCAATACCGTCCGGGCACCTGATGCTGCGTAAAGCGTCCCCCCGCTATGTTGAGATTAGGCCGTAAATAAAATAAGCAGAAGTCGCTGAAGCGCATGATCAAAAAAAGCATTGTAGTGAACTTGTGGTGTGATTTAGTTTCGTCCGGCGAGGTGCGCCGTCGAGTAAGTGAGGACGCATGGGCATAGACTTTTGACTACCAACCAGTTTGGTGGTAATCGCTGAACCCTCCTGTCGAGTAGTCGTCGTTCCATGAGTGATTGGCCATTCCACCTTCTTCTCCCTCTGGATAGTTTCTCATATGGGTCAGGTCTTGGGTTGTATGTCTTCGTTGCAGCACAGCGTTAGCAGTAGCCTTCTTCTGTTGGCGTTCAAACAAGACAGCCTTTCTTAAGGACTCGGTCATCTCTGTAGCAAGCATGTTTCTACGAGTAGACCTAGGAGACAAGGCGATCGGTGTTGACTGCGCATGTTGCGAAGTCATCGAAATTGGTTTAGCTCGTTTTGATTGTGGCATTTGCAATATATCGCTATTTTCCCGTGGGTCCAAGCACGTCTGAGTCTTGGTTTTTCGCAAAGCGTTAAGAGACTGTGCTTGTGCTTGTGCAGCAAAGTCTGCTTGACGGTCTCCCTCGTTTAGTTGAGTTGTCAGTAGAGACCGGCGAGAAACAAGATCGGGTTTGGAGTCGACACGCTGAAACGTAGGTCTATCGTCAATGGTGGTGTCTGCGTCTTCTGATCCGTCATCTTCCCATTCTCCGTCATCATCCTCAGAGTCTGAGTCAGAATCAATGGCACTTGAATCCTCATCGTCAGAAACAAAGACCTTCTCGTCCTCGTAGGAAGTCCTTTTTGCTAGTTCATCCTTGAAAGAAAGCTGTTTCTTCGCCGCCATTGGCTTTTTGAGACCAATCGTGAGGGAGCTTTGTTTCGAATGTGATGGCATACGATCTTCGAATGAGCTTTCAGCGTCGTCTGAAGACCCACCGAGCATGAAATTGGGCTGCGTGGTCTTCAGAGGGTGAGCTGTCGTTTTCACGGGGACAGGTGATGGTGCAAGATTCGTTTTGGAGCGGTAAGAGGATGAAATTTGATTTGGAGCAAAACCTCGAATCACATGGGATTCTGAAATCTCAACGCTAGTCTCTGAGCCCAATGTCTGCGTGGTACTCCGGTCACTCTCTAGGCTGCTAAGAGGAACGGTTGATGAAGAAGATTCGGAAGAGCGGAGAGGAGCGTGAGCGGGTGGAGACTCGGAGACTGGTGCATTACTGGGGAGAGGCCGACTCGACCGGACAGCACTGACAACTTCTGCGGAAAGCTCTGGTTTTTGTTGACTCTCCTGTATCGACTCCAGCATCCTTTCAAAGCGCACGGGAGTGATGTGGTTGCCCTTACACCGGTTGGCTGATGAGGTTGTGCAAGGTTGCGAGGAGACTTGTTGAATGTTGAGGGGCGTAGAATCTACTTTTGGTAGGAAATGCTCCTGTATGCTACTTGCATCAGAGTCGATAGATGCAAGGGAATCGACACTGGCAGAGAGGCGAGGTAGGTCTTTCTTTGGGGGACTTGAGGTCGTGCACCGAGACGTAGTCTGCGGCAGTGAGCCACAGCAGAGAGTTTCCCGTGTCAATATCCGCCAGCTTAAGTTCTCTAATCGCTTTCCGTCTTCCAGCGAGTCTGCGCACTTGGAAAAGACTAAAAAGGGTCAGAACTCTTCGACGACAAAGGAAATGGAACATTCACCACTCCATATGCCGTGTAAATTCTCTGCGCTGGTACTCATATGTCTTATCTTAGTGGTGTTCACCGAACAGATCGGTACTTCTAGTTTTGACGGCATCATGGAGACCGCCAGGGCGTCCTTAGACGGAGTGAGAAGATAGCAAGACCCCCGTGGTTGTTGAAGCGTTTTGTTCAGTTGAAGTAGAGGGATTAGTCGGCAGGAATTGATCGAGGAGAACGACAAGTGAGGTTGTGCCTTCTGGAATAGTTTGACTCGAGACTTGTGCTATTCGAATGTGGTGCGGTTATTAATCATGTTCGTAGTGGCCACACTGAGTAATACCCGTGTGAGCGTAGTGGGGATATGTCGGAGTATCGGCAGTAGAAGTGCTGTTAAGAGGATGATGATGATGATGATTACCAGGATGAGGTGGAGGGGAGGAAGTGTTTGCGCGGGATGATGAGGTGAAGATTGTGGGACGATTGTGCTTTTGTTCTGCTTGAAATGGACGGTGTGGAGCCGGAGCGTGGCGCGAGGACAGGGAAGAGTAGATTCGGGTTACTACGCTGACAACTGACTTGCAGTAGTAGTACGTAGACTCAAAGTCCTGTCTAACTTTCGTTCTTAGAACGGATCTCGATGTATTGGACGAGCAGGGTACCGAGCGGTTGACAAAGCCCGGCGACTTCTATGCAAGGCGGTGCCCTACAGGTCTGCTGGTATCCAAGCAATGTGCTGATATGATCTCGCAAGTGTATTGGCGCAAAGTCGGTCGCATGCAATGATCGGTTGAGTAGAGGAAGCGTTCAGCGACTGGAGGATCCAGAATTGGCTGCTGATGAATGATGTTTTGGGAGATTTACGAGCGAAAGGTGTGAAGGCGATTCCGAAAATCGGTGAAAAACGGCAGGACTTCCCAGGATTTTGTAGAGGATTTAAAAGCCTCTACGCGAAGATGTTGTTGCTCTCTGATCTCTCAGGCCTTTCCGGATTCCATGACACACGCCCTTCGAATCGCGGGCAATTGGATCAGGCAAAAGCAGGGCAGCAAGGGCCCAGTTTGACGAGCCAAATAAGCTTTCACGGGGAACAGGCAGGAAGGGACACCTTCGGCGAGGCGAAGGGCTTGGGATGGCCTAACGACTCCCCTAAGTCTATCTACAGGACCCTTCGTCCCGAAATGCGATAGGTGCTACTACTACCAGTCTGCCACCATCGCTCTGGGGTCTTGGCCACCTTACTCTCTCTGGCTCGAAGTCTCTACGGCCTCCGGAAACCTCAGCCGACCGATTTAAGGATGACAGGGATCCCTCCTCGGCAGATCGAGCGACAGGTCTGAATTCATTTCGTCAGAGTAGCAGTAGTACCTTTGGTCCGACCACTGGAGACCATCTCATCTCTCGAGCGTTTGCCGCAGCAGCCCAGCCCTTCCTCTTTCGCTTCAATAATAATTACGAACGCAGGTAATCAATCCAGGATATTCCTTCGAGTCGCCCCATCCCACTGCGCTACCTCAAGGGGAAGGCGACGAACAAAATAATTGATATGGCTAAAACCGATACAATCGATGCCTAACCCCCACTCTCCTCCCCACGCTGCTGGGCCATCCGGATTCTCCCCTAGAAGATCGTTAGATTCGGAGAAACCGTCATGGCCCTCATGGGAGAGAGTGATACTACAGAGAGACACTGAGAACTATGTTAAATGGGTATTCGGGTTGCCGAGAGCGACTGCCATCTGGGCGAGAAGTCACAGACGGTTTCACACGCCAAATCTTAACACCGCACGGATGTGGAGAAAGAGAGGCGCTGGGTATGGTTGGGCACACGAGTCACGACTACTCCTTCGGAACTATCTTGCGGAGTCACAAATACGACCACCGAAGCTTGGTCAAATCTGTGCTGTGGTGAAAAGCCTGCTGACTGGATTGTCGCATCTATCCTTAGGCGCTTGAATCACTGCCAGCGCAGGGGCTCGCCATGTGACCAACAAAACACGGGGACTGGGCTTGGACAGGATTAATATGACCCTAATATTTCACCGTGCTTTGTCTTTTCACAGCCCGGACATTGAGGAGGCAAACAACTTTGGCGCAGTCAGTCACATGCTGTATTCCGCTTTGCTGGCAATTTATGGTGCACGCGACCATCAAGTGATAAAGGGGGATTGACTCCTCAGCCTGAGGCTCGATCGCTCTCTCGACAAAAGAGCTCAAGCTCGACGCGAATAAAAATCTCGCATGTCCTAGAGTCACTCCCTGTCTTCCCAAGAATGATCTGCATGGGTGCTCAGCTTTGCCCCACAATAAAGTATGTCACCCTCGTGGCTTTCACCACCTAATTTCAAGCTCTACCGCTCTGTCGGGTGCATGTTTCATCCCTGGGGAGTAGCCATCATTCCTGGGGTAAACTGAGGCCCGCGCCCTTCGCTGCTGCTGTTACTATGATGTATGGCAAATGGGAGGTGCACATGGCGCAGCTGGCACTGTTTCCAGGAGGCAACACTCTGTTACGCTACATCTCCTTCCCCAGATACCGACCTGCGGCTTCCATGTCGGCTCACCGCCTGTCAGCGATCCTTCGCTTAGATCATCTGGCACTATGCCCTTCTAGAAGCCCACGTGAGCTCACACCAGCTCTCAAGTAAGCAGAGGATCTCGGGCTAGGGGAAGTGTCTTCCGGTCGGGAAGACACTGGCGAGTAGTATAACTCTAGATCTGCACTGGGGCATCGCCTTAGGATTAGCAGGCTCGCGCCCCTTCCATGTAGTCCCAAGCAGTCTGCCGGTTGCTCCTTTACCGGGACCGTTCACTGTACGGGTCGGTCCTCTGGCAATCATATTTAGTACGCCTAGCCACACATATGTGACACGGAACGGCATGGTCCCCTCAATCTAAAAGAATGACTACGAACGATCTTCTGCCTGAATTTCGATGACCGAGAAAAGTCTTTGCTTGTGGTTGCTAATTCTCCAAATAGTTCGTAGGGAATCTTTTTAGCGACGCAAGAATTTGAAACAGCGTCGAGCCACAGAGTAGTATCAGCTGAACAACATTCGCAAAGCCATGCTTAAATGAAATCCTTTTAATTGAAATATGCACTTGTACTGTTTTGGAAAAGAGTTGAGCTTTGAGGCTCCTGAAGGCGGTAGGAATACGGAGATATGCTGTCACAAATGTCACACGGTGAATGCGCTCTGTCAGGGGCTCCGGCATGCAGGGACTCCTGAACGGCCACATCCAATCTTCGATCTCCCAAGAATCCAAGATATGCCAGATGTGATGTGACCTGCATGTGCAGCTGGACCCCCACCCAAAAGCATCCCCGTCGCGAGGCAGCGTGGGGGGGGGTTACTAGGTAGGGGCTCTTGTCCGCCACAAATATGTTTAAAGCTCTGAGAGAGGTCTTTCAACGGTGACAGTGGCCTCCCACGTTCACACATTTAATCAAGTGATACGTAGATATGATTATTGAAACAAAGCCCTTGTCGGGCGCCGGAAATCAAAATGGTCAGTTGATCTGCCCCTGGGACAGCTGCTTGGGTTTTGCGCCGAAGGAGGGTGGGATGAAATCTTATCCCATCATCAAATCTTGACCACTCCGGGGCAAAGTCAATCGTGCTGCTTCCTCTAGCTCCTTAGTTGGAGTTGTCGCACGTGGAAACGTGACAGGTTGCCAGCTTGGTACTCTTATCCTTGCGCACGTGTTTGATTGACGGCGGCTGGCGAGCTCCGTCTGCGTCTAAAAGGCCGTTTTCTGTCATAGTCATTTGAAGACAAGAGTCTGGTGATTGTCATTGTTCAAGGACGAACAGGGTAGGCCAGCGTCTACGGTGTCTTGCCAACTTCTGACTTTGCTCGTGTTTGCTGTCAGGACGATCAATTGCAACTGCAATTGCGGAAGGGCAAGAGAACCACGTGAAATATGTTGACCTTCGCCACTTGCTACCTTCTCGATTTGTGTCCAGCGCCGGGGTCGTTTTGCGGTTGGGAGTGTGCGATATGCATCGCTCTGCCACCAGCTGGGGTCAAATCCAGCACCAGCGTCCGAGGGTATAAGCATCAATCATTGGATTCGTTGACTTCGGTGGTTCAAGCATTCTCCAGACAGTCTGCTGGAGGAAGTGCAGTGGTACTTGCTGTGCTCTAGTACGCTCTTTCCTACCTGTGAACTTCTTTGAAATCGTTAGCGAGTGGATAGTGCAAGTATGGTGTTGGACATGAAAAAGCCCCATGCGATCCCCCGAAGCGCGCTGATACTGATCCCCTTTGATATCCTCTATTCTTGTTACGTGAACTGCTCAAAATTCGTGACGGATCTTAGCGGAGGCCCGCATGGTTCGATGCTCGCGAGAGTATATCTGCTTACGTCCCACAGTTACATTTGTCAAGCGCCAACGCTTTTCCAACGCCTTTATCGCGTGTAGGGTCAAGATGAAATGGTATCAACGGGCTAATCATGTTTCTCAATTAAAGACGTAAAGTTGACCGTCTCAGTGAAGCCGAAAGGTATGCCTGGATATAATTCTTGAGTCTATATGAAGTCATACAAGTCACTATCTCATACATCACCCAATTGGATCAAAACTCTTGTTCATCACTGCCAGCAATGATCACATTGTTTATCTTTAGTACCATCCGGCAAAGCTGGGTCGCCAGTAGCAATTGCTGCCTCTTGCCAATCAATGGATCGATCACAAAGTTTTCTCGCATGTCTGTGTAATCTCGAACATCAGCACAATTCACTAATTTCGTTCAGTCATAGTGATATGAACGTACCATTACTCCCCGTTCCCATACAGTCCACACCTAACCTTGACTTGCCTTCTTTGACCTGCTTGCTCTTGACTTCCGCTAATGTCTCGATCGGACTTAATCCTGAGTTCTCTGCAAGCGCCATGGGCACTGCGTCGAGCGCATCAGCGAACGAACGCATGGCATATTGCTCGAGGCCAGGCGACTTGACGGCAGCGTTTTCGACTGCCAGGGAACATGCAATCTCCGCCGCCCCCCGCCGTAGACGACGCGATTATCACGAACTAAATTCCGCACGACGCAAAGAGCGTCGTGAAGGGAGCGTTTTGCTTCATCGATAATCATCTTGTTGCTGCCGCGTACGAAGACAGTCACAGCTCGCGTGTTGGCGCATTCCTCAATGATTAGCATCTTCTCTCGTGTAGTGCCGAACGTCATCTCTCTCACAACACCTGCCGTTCCTAATTTCGAAGCTTTCAGATCTTCGAATCTAGGTACTATTCTACCGTTCGTTGCGATCGCGATAAGCTCGATCTCAGGCCCACCTACCCATCTCACTGCGGGAAGCTTGTTTTGAAGTAATAGATGGTTGGCTTCGTCGTCAAAGCCCCATTGACAAATAACTAAATTAGCCCCTGTATCTTTGATCTGCTTGATCATTTCCGTAAATTTCTCCTTTTCGTAGTTTTGCAGCTTTTTGAATTCTTCCACTGTAGTGATATCAAGCTTGTGTTTTGTTTTTGGCTTTGGGGGCTCGAAGGCGCATGTCAGAATGGCAAGCTTTGCATCTCGTACCTCATCCGGCATTTGCGGGTGCGAGAAGTCCTTATCAACCACCACACCTTGAACTAAGAATGTGTCTTCGAGGGAGCCTCCGACTTTACTATCGACCTTGATAAGCTCAAAGTCGACGTCTTTCCTCGTGAGGTCAGCGACTGATAGGACAGCATCAACGGCAATCTGAGCAAATTGGTCGTGTGCTTTCGATACTCTAGGCATATCAGCGTCCGGCTCGTTCAACATCGGGCTTGCAACAGTCCACTGACATTTTGCTCCCTAGGCTCGTCTTAGCGACTTCAAAAAGATTTGAAGGGTCGTCTCTTGAAAATTTGACTTCGTCACTTATTCGGTCCAATTCTGCCACTGCTACTTCACAGGCTTGGTCATATCCATCAGCTATCCGTATTGGATGTATACCCTTGTCCATTAAATCTGCGGCCTGTTCCAGCAAAGCACCGGCCAGCACTACCACACCCGTAGTCCCATCGCCTATCTCATCGTCTTGCGACTTTGACAGCTCAACTAATAGCTTAGCAACATGGTTCGTTATCTCCATCTGCGGTTGTCACTGTCAAAACAGGCCTTCAACATGTTGTCAATGCATGGATTACCTGTGACAGTATTGTGGCTCCATCATTCGTGACCGTAATATCTCCATCAGGCGAGATGAGAATTTTATCCAAGCCTCGTGGTCCCTGACAGCTCGTCAGCCTCTCCATTCTAACTTGCTGACCTGGCATGGCATACAAGTGACGTCTTGACAATATTTGCGACCGTCCTTGCAGCGACGATGTGAGATCTCACGGCCTCATTTCCATGCTGTCTTTTCTTCTTTTGCTGACTGGGAGGTCGTCAATATCAGCAAATGCTAGTTGTGCCCTGCACGAGAACATCTGGACATACTCCCGTACCACGATGAAGGGACGGCCCTGATCATCTTTCATCACTTGGGCTAAATTCTTGTTAACCTCTATGCTAAGAGCGAAGCTTGATGGCCACCAGAACACGAACCGTTCGACATGTCCAATTCTTCTTCAAGTCAGTTGCGTAGAACATATTTCTAGCCTCTCTCAAACTCACGCATGGCCATCTTGAGAAATGCACTGCTCCCACACCCTTACAAATCTTGTGGGATATATAGTCGCAGCCTGAATCCTACTGTTCGTTTGCAGAGGAGTCTTGGCGTTGGATTCGTCAATAGTTCTGTGTAGAGATTTCACCTGCAGCTCACTTTCAATATATCACATATTAAACTCGGCAGACGTGTAAAGCCTCTCAGGCATCGCGCTAAGGCAGCACTAGCGTTCATTTCCTACCTACCTTACCTTACGCGACTGTCTCTGCCAAGCCTGTCCAGCTCTCTCCAACTCAAACCCTCAATTGAATCGCAAAGACGCCCAGGTTCAATCTCCCTATTTACACAAGCCTCGACATTACCGCACTCCTACGCGTTATCATAGTTTGAACTTTCGATTTCAGCGTCTTCTGCGCTTCCCGTCAAAATACAATTTCATTATGCCTCGTAAGTGCTCACTTTACAAAGGTTCGCGTCCGCTCAAGGGTCAAATGCTCACTTGACGGTGCAAAGCCGCAATACCCGTCGAAAACGATGCTGAGTCTGCGGCTGGCGACGAGGTCAAAGATACAAAGGCAGACCCTTCTGACACCAATATGGCTGATGAGAACCAAGAGGAGGATGACGAAGAGGAAGACGAACAAACGTGAGCTCTTGTCGCGTAGCCAACAGATGACTACTCTGGCATGTGAGCTGACTTCAGCGCTGAAAGGTTCATTGTGGAGGCAATTCACGATCACCGTTCAGATTTTGAAGACGTCGGTACCGTTGCGCCTGCAGTCACTCAGATCTTGTTGACATTCCCCTAGGGCCAATTGCGATACCAGATCAAATGGAAAGGGTATGCGAAAAAAGCTGATCGCACCTGGGAAACGGAAGAAAATCTCCAGTGAGCTCTGGTTCCATTTGCGAGCTGTGTGTGGCTGAGCTTTGACTAGGGGCGCAAAAGAAATCTTGAAAGAATACTGGCATGCAGCAGGTGGCAGACCAGATCCTGATGCACCAAAACAGACGAAAAAGCGTGGGCGCCAATCGAATGCCTCAACTAAGGCGACAGGAAATTCCGCCAAGAAGCCTCGAACAAGTAAAGGCGGCCGTAAGTCTAACGGTGCTCTCGAGCAGGACGTCGACCATGGTGGTCTAATTGGCTTCACAGAAGTTGGTGAAGACGATTGGAAACCACCGACAGCCAAGGAAGGAAGCTGGGACGCTCTAGTCCAGAGTGTTGATACAGTGATTCGGGAGGCAGCCGACGGTGAACTTTGGGGCTACCTCATATGGAATGAAAAAAATGACGATGGTCGATTATACAGGAGCAGAGCGAAGCTACCAATCATTTACAAAGCCTGCCCGCAGCGCGTACGTGATCAAATCCATTTTACTGACTTGCTACGGCTAACAAGCTAACCCCTATCGCCTCGCAGATGCTACAATTCTATGAGAAGCATCTTGTATTTTCTACCGATACCACCGAGACTGCTGGAGAGGATAAAGAAGCTGCGTAAGGTTGATCGCAAAATATGTTCAACGATTCTGAGGACTGGAGCCATGACCTGAGAGGCTGAAATGGATCCGCCCGGCCTGGCGAATGCGTCAAACAGTGGCCGGAAAGTAAGGAGCATATCTGAGCTCAACAAGGGTTTGTTCGCAGATGATCACGTGGACATCTTAGTTCAGCGTTTCTCTTCAGATTGTACTCTACTGTTTACATTTGCATGGGGCCGAGCAAGCAAAGGACTGTACCAACCTTCTCAGGGCAGGTTGGTAATTTTAAATAGTGAATTGAACATTGGGTAGGCCCAGTCAGCTGTAGGCTTAAGCTGAATAGCCAGAAATTCTTCTGACCTTACATACTCATCTGCATAGCAGTCTCAGCACTTGATCCTGCAATTGCTCCAAACATCGAATAAAATTCCGCCCTGATAGGCAAAGCTTTCAGACCCACAAGCTTGTGAATTGGTTGACATCAACAGCACACAATCTTTTTAGCAACTCCGATATCTTCCCACGAGCACGGCCATATGTTCAGCACGCTCAGCACAGATTCTGTACCTTTCTCTCTTTTTATTCGACCGAGGACCCGACAAAGTCTCCCTTCACCGTCTGGACCGAGGAAACTAGAGGCATCGTTGTCCCACAGCTCGACGTCCTTCCAGATTGTGTAAGCTCCGTTGAGATATGGAGGCTTATCAGTGAAAATATCAGCAAATAAAAAGTTTTGTTTGAATTGTTTTCTCGACGATGTGACAACACGAGCGTAAAGCTCGATAATGGCATCAATGCCTGAACGAAAGGCGGCTGACGCGGCATTGAGAGCTTCACCAATACGGAAGCACACTCTTAAGACAGTGCAATTTGAAAAGCCGGGGATTGATGAACGATCAGAAAGACGTTTGGGGAACGGAGGGCGAGTAAAGGATAGAGGCTCGTTTGCTGCATTGAACTGGATTCCATATATTTCAGCGACAGGAACCGAATTTGGAGACTTGACCAGTTGATTCTCAGGACCTTTTTGCTGAGCAACGATTTTCATTCCAGCCAAATCCAGCTTAGGCGAGGAGGTTCGCTGAGGGGTCGACACGGGCGTTGTGATTTGATGAGCCAGGAAAGGAACAAGGTCGGCCATAGAAGCGTCTAGCTCTGGATCAGAGAATTCATTTTCTTGGCCTCCTGAGACTGCTGTCGACCGCCGATTGATGGACTTGTTTGCCGAGATGGGTGTCAAAGGCATCAAATTTTTGTCAACATGTGGAGTCAATGCTCCATGCTGGTCAGCCTTCCTTTGAAGACTCTTTGGCTTGACTACCCCTGCGTCCTCTCGCTCACGTGAAGCTTCTTCAGTTGGATCTACAAGGGCTACCTCGACCATCTCATCATCAAACCAGTCGTCAGATAAAGAGTGCGGCAGTGCACATGGATCAGTTGCGTCATTCTCGACTTGTCCAGCGAAGATACTCAGCGCAAACCCGAAGTCTTCATCAAGTGCAAGATCAACTGGACTACTCGTGCTCGAGCTGGGAAGCACTCCATGAAGACGATCAAGCTGAGCAAAACTCTTTCCGTCGTGGTCCCCAGGTGAAGACCCAGTAGTAAAATTGGTATACTTAGAATGTTGAGCGGACTGAGGTGACTCGAGATCACGGACAGCAAAATCTGAGCCGCAACGAGCTATAGGAGCCAAGCTTATGCCTTGATTGTCCGATCTTGTAGGCGCAAGATCAGGGTGATCAAAGTCAGACTTGAAAGATGACGAGTTCTTAACGACTGATCTTTCGGATGGGAGTTTCAGAAAGCTTGCTTCAGGTTCCAGAGCATTGCCGTTAGGGGGTTATTCCGATTCTCAACTTTGCTATTCCGAACTTTGCTTCGTGGTTTTCTCCTCGGCATCTCATGAGAAACATCGCGCGTTGAAACAGTCTTATGGGTCTTTCGAGCCTGCTTACGAGATGGTGAAGTCGTACTTCCTACCTTGACGTTTGCTCGGTGTTCTTTCGTGGTGTAGACCTCAACGGGTTTTGGCGAAGCCGGTGTGATGACATGCCATCCGGAGAAGATAGTTGACGTTGTTGGTCGATGTCTAAGAAGCCGTCAGCCACAGCACCCTGACTTACGATACGACTCGCACTCAGGGTCTAAAGGGCCGTTCATCATCTCTCCACGGCGAACAGTTTGTGCGGATCGGTCCACATTTTACCTCATCACCTGGAGACTATACTCGTAGATGGAAGCAATGGGGCTGGCGCTAGAAGCCTGCATGCAATTTTGCGGGGTTCTGTCGGCCCGTTCCTTTCAACCTACCTCACGGGTCCTCTTAGTCCTTCAGGCTTATCTTGGAATCATATCGAGATGACTATGACCATTGTTGATACGCCTGCATCTTAGAATCTTCAAAGCTTGAAACATACGCAATCCAAAGCGCTATCTGGAAAGGTGGTTTAATAATCGACGACCACTCATCACGCAACATGTTTTCTGCTTCGGTATGTTCCTTGCACCGCTATTTCATTGCCTAATGTTTGCTTCGACTTGAAGCAATTGTCGTACATTCGGCTCAGACTCTGCTGCGTCTATTGTTTGGACGTTTTATGACCTGATCTCACGAAGGAAGATCTTCTAGCCCTCGTTCAGTGTGCGCGTCTTACCAGCCATGCTCTTATTAATGGCTTGTTTTTCTTCATTGGCGCCGATCGTGCTGACAAGTGAACGTCACTCCTGAAGAGCAAACCATACACTGCAATCACCGTGCAAATAACTCGCCTGACTAGCGAACAGTATGAAGCTGATGATATGAGTGGTATCCCGGATCTTATAGAGGTTATCCGCATACAGACTGTCGGCCCAACTGAGGCCGCTCGAGCTGTTCGAAAGAAATTGTAAGTATTCAGTTGACACTGCATCTACCTTAGGTTTCACTAAGGGTTCCTCCGAAGGAAGTACGGGACTGTTCACCAGCAATTGCGAGCCTTGACCATTCTCGATAGTTTGATCGAAAACGCTGGACCAAGGTTTCAACGTGCATTTGCGGATGAGCCTCTACTTGAACGTTTACGTGTGTGTGCAACAGACTCCTCTCTCCGACCCTGAGGTCAAACAGAAATGCCAGATACTTTTCCGCCAGTGGGCCGTAACTTACAGTTCGACTCCAGGCATGGAGCGAATTGTGGCTTTACAAAAGCAGCTGCCCAAACGAAAGAAAGCCATGACCCAGCAGCAGTCTAAAGTTCTGAGAGAGACTGAACCGAGTCCGAATGATGATCCTTTCAGCAATGCAGAAGATGAGGACGATAATCGGACGCAGAATAAAGGCTCACCAACCCGGAATACATTTGCTTCTTCCTCCAGCGTAAATCCGTCCAGTAGCTTTTTCCCGACCTCTACTTCAGCCAAAAAATCCAAATCTGACAAGTATCTGAAAAAGACAAAACGCAAGGGTTTTGATCTTGAAAAGGAAAAGCCGCAAATCCTGCAGGCAATTGCGTCATCGTCCATTGCTAGCACAAACTTGATGAATGCATTGAAGCTCATTGATAGAGAGCACAAGCGTGTTAGTGAAGACAAAGAAGCGGTCGCAAAATTCGAGGTCTGCAAACAACTTCGTCGGCAAATCCTGCGCTACATTCAACACATTGAAAGTGATCAGTGGCTTGGAAGCCTCATCAATGCAAACGATGCTCTTATTGAAGCACTGATGGCATTTGAAATTCTGGACAAGAGCGTCGAAAATGACAGTGATAGTGAAGGCGTCGAATGGTCTGGTGGCGAAGAAAGTGCGCCTCCTAAGTCGACAGAAACAGAACAGCGGAATATTGATCGGGATTTTGCGGGCCTAATTCTTGACAACAAAGCTGGAAAAGCCCCTATTGGTAAGGTGCAGAGCAGTAAAGGAAGCCGAGAGGAACAGGCCGATAGCGAAAGTGATGGGCTTGCAGAAGATGACGATGATCCTTTTGCAGACAACAAAGGCTATGCTTAGGTTTACATGAATTGCTTATGATTCTGATTTGTCTTTCGACTTCAAAGGCACACATGCATGTCATGCATCTAATACAGAATACTTCGAAACATGTGCACTCTTTGTAATTTCATCGTAAGCAACTTTGTTTGGTATTGCAAAATTGGACTGCGTTAAGTGATTTCTCGAAAAAGGGCCTGAATGCTTCCATCATCATCATATATTGACTAAGTAAGTCTATTTAGCTTTGATTTCATGGCAGGGCAAAAACCATTTTGCCACAATATTCTCGCCTCCTTGTTCGTTTCCTCAACAAGAAAGACCTTTTCCCGAGGTAGACACTCATCATGTCCATTCATTCCCATGTTGCCTGTAGGCCTCTCTCCAGGCCTTCTCATGGCCCAATTCAACGTCAACGATATCCTCCCCCATACCCATTATCCTCAAACCTGTCACCACTCCTTTCAATTGACCCAATACCGCTCGATCTCCTTCCTTCTGACCTTCGTTCGCATGGTTCCCCCTCTTCTCGACATCGTCAAAAACAATCGGATCATCCTTCTGACTCTCATCCTCTAGCAGTCTGAATTTCATTGCCATAGTCAAGACCGCAATCACCACAAAAGCGACAACGGAAAGCAGAGCAGCAAGTGTGACCGGTGTGCGGAGCATAGCGTAAAAGCACCTGAGTGCTCGAAGATGCTGAGTAAAAGCCGGCTCCTGACGAAGGATCGCTGCGACTGCTGGGATTCCATTTGGCTGAGCGAGAGGGTTCATGGAGGCGCCTGGTGGAAGGTAGATTGGGTGTTGTTGGACGGCAAGAGAAGGCAGATGCTTTGCGAGAGGGGTTTTGATGTAGGCAGACATTTTTACTTGTGTCCACGGAGGGCAATGAAGCAAGGAACTTGATGACTTCCAGCTAGTCAAGAGAAATTGGAACACATTGTCTAATCTTATGACCAAGACAGTGTGCTGAGCAGGCTGCATGCAGGGAAGGTTTACAAAAGGGACAAAGATTGCAGTACTGAAAATTACTGTTATTGGACACAAAGACCAAAAGATCGGAAAATCATAATCACGTCAGGGAAAATACGTTTGGAAACGTGCATGACTTTCGAGCCTCCAGGCTGCCCCGGGCGATCATGAAGCATTAGAGTAGTCGAGGAATTCCCACCTCGCCTTCAAAGACTCCTGTCCATGCTTTTCATGCAGCTTTCCTATTATTCTCGCATCAGTCGCATAAAGGTCGTCATCATCCTTGTCCGTCCAAACGCCTCTCCAATCGTCCGGAACTTGGAAAGGATCCTCTCCATTGCCCTTCTTCTTGCCCTTCAGAACATAACCTAGTACGTCCTCTGCAAGCCTGCTGTCAAGGCTCGTGCTTTTAAGGACCGCTTCAACTTCGTCTATCGTGAATCCTTTCGCAACAAAAGATTCGATCCACTCATCTACCTGTGCATTTAGTTCACCTGAGGAGGCTATACTTTCTGCTTTGTCCACTGTGCCCGGCAAATCTTGACTCTGAGTGTCAGCTAAAGAATGCCATCCTCCGTCAGGATCTGGAACGGCAAAGTCGGGTAACTGAGTCAGGCCATTGAGAAGTCCATGCGTGTCTGGTGTCTGAGAACGGTAGGCCTGCGCCTCTTCCATCTCGTGTTCATTCTTGATGCGCACTTCGAGCGGTTCCTCGTTATCCCAACCCTCATCAGGCGGAGGGACTTCAAAGTCGATGAAAGGCGTCGGCTCTCTGGAGAATGCTTGGGTATCTTGGCGGGTCTGATTGCGCTCTGAAAAGGAGTCCGACATATCTCCCTTAAGGATATGTTCGTATCCTACATTTGCGCCACTTTGAAGCAACACATTACCTGTCTCGGGCTTAGCTCCGCTCATCATATCGAAATCTTCGTCACTCCCGAAAAACAGAGGAGAATGACGATCTGTATGTCTGTGTGAAGGACTCCCATCTGGCGTAGAAGGTATTTCGCGACGCCTGCTTGGTGCCTCAGTGCGTTTACGTTTGGATGGTCGGGCTAGATGTGCGGATAAAACAGAAGGTAGCTCTTGTGGATTTTTGGGAGACTTGTCATGAGTGATACTGAGACTGACGACATCTGCCGGTTCCGATGTGTCGCGAGTGTCACTAGGTGGCGATAGTCGTTTTAAGCTTGATGGAAGGCGCGATGCTGGCTCCACATTTGGCGCTCGTTGCTTCTTCTTACGATTTTCAGCGATCATAGTCTCTTCTCTGGCTGGACTGGTGACTTCTAAATCAATGTGAGGATCTGAGGCTCGTGGAGAAAAGATCTCAGGGGGTCTCGTGTCATTGCTGGTTCGGTCCTTTGATGGAGGTCGTTTCTTGGAAAAATTAGCGAGGAATCGAGGTCGTACGTGACGTTCCCAGAAGTCTTGCCACTCCCGGGCGGAGTGTCGGCTTTCCGGCTTTGTCAAGAGTCTAAGTCAAGTCCTATGGGTAGAGAGAGGACAGAGACTTACGTCGATCTCTTGGACCCAGGCGACCCATGCCTCATTCTTTCGGTCGGCGCGAATGTTTTCGATATCATTGCCAACTGCATTCAAGGTGCGTACATCTTCTTCAGAAAATCGGCCTCCTTGCTCTTTGATAATCTCGGCCTCCTCTGCTCGATCTTGACGACGTTCATTCACATTGTATGGCTCTGATGGTGGGGTGGGGGGTCCATTTTGATGGATTGCGCTTGGTCTTGGTTGACCCTTTATTTTTTTAATGTAGCGGTCTCTCCATGACTGAAAGGTGTGCTGAGGGTACTAGCCATGTTCAGCGTGGCATGCCTAGCAAGACCTCCTTGCCTTACTTTTCTCTCGAGTTGCTTGTAGATCTCGTTACCTTCTGTGCCCCCTCCCTTTTGAGGATTTGTGTTCACCCAGTCCCACAAGATGAGATCCTCAGCAGCAGTAAACTTGCGACGTGTAGCTTTAGCTGGCTGCACCACAGAGCCTACGCTTCGTACTGTCCCTGGACGAGATCCGACCGCATGGTCAGCGAGGTCTTCTAGGGTACCTTTGCGTATCGAGGTCTCAATGAAAGTGTAAGAATGGCTATTGGAGCAGATTAAGCAATGATGTAGTAAGAACGAAGAAGGCTTCTGGCTTACGTTCCCGGTATTTGTTCCTTTCGCGCGTGATCTACGATTTTAACATCTGCCTGTTTCTCGAGTGGCACTACCGAGCCTCCATTGGACTTCCTGAATTCAGCAAAGAAAACGGCAAGAGAAAGTTTTGACGAACTTGAATTTCCTCGATGAAGCGGCTGCGTTGCGGTACTTTCTGAGAAAGCCAAAATTTAATACCTTCGAATAGAGATCCGTGTAGGTCCGACGTTCCATTCGCAGCTGTGTAGACGACCTGAGCCATGTGGTTCTTTTCTCACCGTTGAAATGAGATTCGACCAACGTGAAGACAGTCGAGGACGCGCTAAGCATAAGAATCACGTGGTTCCGCATCAAATCAAATCGGCCTTGGCGGGCGGAGTATACGTCCTTTCACTTGTTTGATCCATTTTATCGAATGCCGATGCGAACTGAATGGACAAGTATCTCTATTCTTCCGGAACTGTTGCGGACTGATTCAAGCTGGATGTTGATATTTTGAAGTCCGCCTCTCGCGCCTAGCAATGGGCACATTCAGCGGCATCCTGACCGCCGTGCTGCTTCTGTCCTTTACTGTATCCGTCGCTTTGTTTGGCCGTCTTCCAATCTTTCGGTGACTTTGCTTTCTGTCATAAAGAGAGACTGCTAATGTTCTGGACATAGCAAAACACCTATTGCCCTTTTTCACCGATTCCAGACCATCACGCTGCCAAATGCGTTCATCTCTTTGGATATTAGTGTCACTGGAGGCAGCGTAAGATCGACTTTGAGTCGGGTCGGTCTTTATCTGAACAATGAGAATCATCCTCTGATACTGGTAAGAAGTTTTCTTTGGCATCCTTTATCAGTCTCCGTGCTTATTTGGCGTAGTTTTTCTTCCTTGCTGTCATGTTCACGTCACATGTCTGTTTTGTACCTGTAGCATTTGAGAGGATGGAAAGCTTTCATCGTCCGTTGATAGCTTTTGCCACAATTTTGCCATACGTATTCACATACAAGTCAGTAAAATCCTTAGCTTCGGTGATAACAGTCTCGAACCACAGACGCGAGATGAGGCGTTACCCTTATGACCACACCTTGTTTCAGCCAAATCAAACCTGCTCATCTTGTCTATTTTTGAAGCCCGCGCGAAGCAAACATTGCCGTATTTGCAATGCGTGCGTTGCCAAACACGATCACCATTGCGTTTGGGTGATGAATTGCCTGGGCAGAAACAACTATGTCTATTTCTTGGGTCTTTTGGCGAGTCTAGGAACGATGCTTATCTATGGATCTTTCCTGGCATATCGCATACTTATTGGCGGGTTGCAAGGTGCATACCTTCAAACCCTGCCCCTCGCAAGTGCACCTGGATACTGGAGCGATGGACTAAGCTGGACGGAAGCATTCAATTCTTGGTCCTGGAATATTGCCAAAGATTATCGTATCGGAGCCATTGGATTATTAGCTCTTTTGACCAGTCCTTTGGCGTGGGGAATGCTCCTTTATCACGTGTATCTTATTTGGGCAGGAATGACCACGAATGAAAGCTCTAAATGGGCAGACTGGAGGGACGATATCTCAGATGGTTTGGTATTTAAAAAAGCGAAGGATCGTGAACAACTTAATCGCAAGGCGATTGGAGTGTCGTCACAAGAGGGTTGGCCAGCATGGACAACATTCAATTTCAGAAGATGCTTTCCTACCAACAGCGTCAAGCCAGATGGCGTTCCGAAGGGATGGGAAAGAGTACAGAATGTCTCCGAACTAGAAAATCTTTACGATCTGGGATTTTGGAAGAATCTTGTTGACACCGTGCCAAATGCCTAGACTGGACCATGAAACAAACCTTCTTGAAGGCAACAGAGTCTTCCCATATGCTTAAGAATATATACGATACTCTCAAAATAACCTGAGAGAGATGTCTTTTGTAAAGGAAACAGTTGTCATCTAGGCTCTCTTGACTCAGCAGAGCGCGGCAACCAACGGAAAGAGGCGGAAGCACTTTTCATCGACGCACTATATATTTCTCTCCATTCAACAGAAATACCGAATTAATAGTCATAGCCATGGCGTCCTCAGAAGATGTCGTGCTGACAGACTACAGACACGCTCAAAGCTCTGGTTACCAGGAAAGCAGGCAGAATAGCTTGTATAGCCGTGCTTCGAGGATAGAAGAGCGCCATCCTGATCAATCAAACCTACCGCGACCTGACGGTGGGCGAAAGGCCTGGCTCTTTCTCGCCGGAAGTTTCATGATTGAGGCTCTCATATGGGGTACGCAGCCAAAGAAGCATTCCCTGAATCATGTGATACGCAGGCTGCTCACGGATCAAGGGTTCCCATTCGCTTTTGGTATTTTTCAGGAATATTATGCAAGCCATGAGCCCTTCTCTGAGGCGCCTTCCGGTATTACCCTTATTGGGACATCAGCAATGGTGATTCGAATATCCAACATTCCTACTGAATCCACTCTGAAAGTGCCCCGATAGGGCATCATGTATTTAGGAGCTCCATTCGTTGGGGCTTTCCTGCAACGCTTCCCAGCACACCGCCGATACCTGCAATTTGTAGGTCTTGGATTAATGATTGTTGGCCTTGTTGCCTCATCTTTCGCTACTAAGGTGTGGCATCTTATTGTCACACAAGGTATCGTTTTTGGAACAGCTGGTGGCCTTGTATACTTGTACTGGTTCTGCCACCTTAGCAATGACTACGCTCACAAATATAATTAGCCCCACTATCCTATACCTGGATGAATGGTTTGTACATCGCAAAGGTTTCGCATTTGGAGTGATGTGGTACGTCTTCTAAAGCGTTTTAAAAAAATCCCAGCGCTCATGATGGAGTATTTATGTGCTCAGAGATCACTATATTGACGTGAGCATACATTCACTGTAGTACGCGATGCTGACACACAATTTTTGGGTAGGGCTGGGACAGGTGTCTCGGGGGTGAAATAAAGTCCTTAAAGACTTAAGATGAATACAAATACACTAATATCGTCGTAGGTCGTGATACCATTCTTAATGAATTGGGGATTGAGTAAATATGGCTTTGCTACGATGTTGAGAGCGTGGGCTCTGGTACTTCTCGTCATGGCTGGTCCTCTACTATTCTTCGTAAAGGCGAGAATTCCGGTTTCCCGTTCCACATACCCTCGACGAGTCAGCTTTGCTTTCCTCAAGAGCTCCAGTTTCTGGGTCCTAGAGATAGGGAACATCTTGCAAGGGTTCGTCTTTTGAGGTTCTTACCCTTTCGCACGTGAACACTAAATCTCCCGGTGCAGGATGGGGTTCTTCATGCCTAACATATACCTGCCTACCTACGCCCGTACTATTGGTTTGTCATCCGTCGACGGTGCACTGACAGTCGCTCTATTCAACACCACCTCCGTCTTTGGCACTATCATCAGTAAGTTGATCAGAAACAGTCGTTCCCAATTATCATTGCTGACTCCGAATTTCTCACCAGTTGGCAGCTTGACTGACCACTTTCACGTTACGTCGGTCATCCTCATAGCCACCGTAGGAGCAACAGCATCCGTATTTCTATTCTGGGGTTTCTCTGGATCCCTGCCATTGCTCTGCATCTTTAGCCTGATCTATGGTCTATTTGGAGGCGGTTACTCCTCTACTTGGTCAGGCATAACGCAGGAAATCAGAAAACAAGATGAAAAGGCAGAGCTTGGGGTGGTCTTTGGCCTATTGGCTGCGGGAAGGGGGGTTGGCAGCGTGATATCTGGGCCCTTAAGTGAAGCTCTTGTCGCCGGGCGGCCATGGTCTGGGGAAGCAGCACTTGGCTATGGATCGGGATTTGGGCCATTGATTGTCTTTACGGGCATTTCCATGATCCTGGGTGGTTCGGGCTGGGTAGGAAGAAGACTTGGATGGGTGTAGACGGCTCGTCTTGGTTGACAGATCGAACACTCTGTAGCAGCTATTGTAGAGGTACTTAATCGACTGCAATCCATTGATGAGCCTAGTCTTCCCAGAAATAGAGAATACAACACCGTGGGTAAACCTTCGAGGAGAAAAAGGGGGTCCCTTGTTTTTTTCGGGAAGTCTGAAAAGGCTACCGTAAAATAAGTTGCTGAAATCGCCAGCGGTGGGGGATTGAAATGCTACAGCTTACACAAGTGCATAAACGGTTACCATGACTCAATCAGAAAAAGATGGCCGTCTGACTGAAGAAATTGGAGTCGAATTTGTCTGCGCAGTGACCCAGTCGCTTTATCGAAGCCGTAAATCCCTTCGAAATAGCACCTTTGACTCCTGCTTGAAGAGTAGTAAGAAGTGGCTCCGCAGAACACTAGAGAGTGCTGCCGTTCGGCAAGCTATCGGTGCAAGTCCACAGCAATGGATAGACATCAACCAAGTCTTTTATCTAGGAATACCGGCTTTGGAAGTGCAATCTATTCCATCCGACGCGAACTCTGCCAGCGGCGTCACAACTTCGTCAGCGCTCATGACACTATACTATGATACCTTGATGAAAGATCTAGAACGTATGAATGATTTATTGCTGATTGCCAGAAATTGTTTGGCGACCACACAAAGAGCACAGAATCTGGCCGGGGAAAGTCTTTTGGACCAGCAAGTGTTGAAGCTGATCGACCTATGTGTTAGAGTAACAGCAAGAGGCTACGATGGGGAGACCCCCAGCCGGACTGAACAACCATGGGCGAATGTCATCGGCGCGTACAAGAAGCTTCTCATTACTTGCCTACAATTTCTACATAATTTCATCATGAAAAATGAGCAGCGCAAGTTACTTTTATGGCTTGATCTCTTCGCCAATTCGAAGGTCGCAAGTCACTACACACTTCCACCTGGCATGGGGCGGGAAAGGCATGAGTCCGAAGGCCCTGAAAGCTTGGTCCATGACGACAAAGCTGAATATGTTGATGACCTTAGGAGTAGGAAGCCGCCGGACGCGGTAGATGTTTCAAAGGATGGTTCTCCAAAATCAAAGCGGTTGTCGTCTTCGAAGCCAAAGAAAGATGTCGGTACTCTAATGGAGGAGGTATCCTCTGATGGACGTCGAGCTAAACCGAACGTGAAGAGAGCAAATATAAGTCTGGGTAGCGGCAGCCCGTCAGACGAAAATTTCAGTACTCTCGACGGAGATTCAGAGCAAGAATTGCTATTCGGTGCCGTCAAAACCGAGCGAGGTGACGAGTTTGGAGCACTTAGAACCCCTCAATCAGCAGCAGTCACCCTCCAGGCTGCGAAAGACCAGCTCATGGCTCGACTAGCCGATCAACCATTAGAATCGGAAGATGTAGAACCTCCATCCACCTTACCAGAGACTAGCAATGGCCAAACCAACGGCGAAAGTATTGCTCTGAGTGAAGAAGAAGAAGAAGAGGATTATAGAGAGCATGAACCAGGTGACCAGCAACGTGGACTTCTAACAGATATTCCTCTGGTTCTTGGGCCGCACGAGATAGAAGCCTTGCCAATGATCATACAAATTGGCATATGTCCAGGTTTGGGTAGTGTATTACATGGTCGAGATATGCAAGCTATGAGGTGCAATATACTTTTGGCCGGAGAAGCTGGTCGAAATCTTTTAAGGGAGCTACTCATTTTCATTGCCGCGTGGGATCTGCAGGAAGGCGAAATCTACTTTAAGTTGATGATGCAAATCATGGAGGCAATACTCGACAATGGTCTCATGCCTTACGCATACCAAACATTCTCAGAAGTCAAGGACATCGTCTCGCCAGCGCAGTCCATGGTTATCAAGCTTTTGACCCAAATTTTCCGAGGAAAGCAAGACGAGACGCTCGAAAAAGCGAAGAGTGTCAAGACCAAAGGCAAAGATCGAAAGGAGATTGCTCTTTCTAACCCTCATGCCAACGCTTCGAGGCGCGTAGACATTTACATCGTTCGATACATCTTCACGATCTTCCGGTCATCTATCATCCCAGAGACATGTGCTCTGATTTACCTACAAGGCCAGATCAAGGCAGGTACGGCGCTCCCAGAAGATTTCCCTCTAAATTTGTGGGATATGGAACGCGTCTACGAAGGTGTCTACCAATTTCTCGAATTCTTTGCTGTGCTGACCGAGAGCGAGGAATGGAAGGATCTTCTTGTGAACTGGGAAATTACATCGGAGCTGATTACCCTGCTCCGAGAGCTTGAAGTAAGCATTCCCAAGCCACCTATCAATGCGAATTTGATGCCCCAAACTCTCGCGGAAGCGCAATTTGCGGCGCTGCAGCAAGAAGCACAACGACTCGCGGGACCTCAAGCAACATCGACGTCGAGTACGCAAACACCTGTCGCAGTTGAGCGTCCATTTGATGTGAACGTAAACGGCGGCACGCTACCTGCTACTTCAAATGACGGCTATCCTTCCCTTCCTCCTCAATCAGATCTATCAGAGCAAGAGTCTATCGAGTCTGCAGATCCCAGCGATTTCGAATGGCGTAACCTCAAGAAGCTAGTCATCCTTGTGCTATCATCTCTGGTCTGGAAGTCGCCTACTGTACAAAGGCAAGTGCGACAATACGGAGGTGTAGAGATGGTGCTCGCTTGCTGTAGTTATGATGGTAACAACCCGTACATCAGAGAGCATGCCATCATGTGCCTGAGATTCGTACTCGAGGGATCCCCCGAAAATAAGGAGATTGCTACGAAGCTGCAACGGGTAGGCAAAGTGCCCGTTGCCGACCTTGTGCAAGAGGCTATGTCAGGCGTGCCCTCAGTGAGAAAAAGTTCTCAGGCTCTTGAGGGGCGCAGTGGGAGATGAGGCTTAATAATGATCGTTACCTATAGCTGCTCTTACTGCACCTAACGGGGATACCGAGTCATCAAGTGCTGATGGCTGCTCTTTTGTATTGCATGAAGATACCCAATGTTACGTCTCGAGTATTTTCACATTTTTGCGTCGCGCTACCCAATCATTACGTGATAAAGGTTATATTACATCGTCGACATTAGATATATCCTCCTCCATAACTCGTCTGTTCGCTTGGAGCTTCGTACCCAAATTGCTTAGCCTCGATTGGCTTTTGGACTTTATAGGCTTGAGCCCCTTCGTGGCTTCTTCGCTCGTGCCCTTCACCAATGTACCGAGCTTGCTGTGGCTCAAAGCCATCTGTCCCCATCTCATTGACCAGGACCGCCGGCGCCTTCACATCTCCAGGCATTTGATCATACACGCCCCTATCCTTCCCTTCCCGTTTGATTTTTAAATCAAGCCCTAAAGCTCCAATCGTCGCTGCAGAGCCAGTGACAGCGAAGGCCGTCAGGGCTTTGTACAGTCTGCACACCATGATGCCAGCATTGTTGCCCCAATTGATGGGACCGCAGCGGTGTCCCAACGTCCAGGATAGATTCCAGGTCAAGAGGGCCAAGCTGACGAGCCAGCAAACTGTCAGGATGGCATTGGAGATTAGGTGAGAGGCTGGATTGAGCGTGCGGGTCAGGTGGATGTAGAGGGTGAAGATGAAGTGAGTTACGGCTAGGAGAGAGGTTGTGAGGAGCTTTGTGAGCAAAACGGGTTAGCAATCGACGCTCCTATCATAAGGCGGAATAGAGGAGAGCTTGAGAGTAGCCTCACGAGTAAGAATGTCCAAGGGACCTTGTAACCTTCATCGCGAAGATGATCAACGAAGAAGCAGAGCACAGCGCCGACGATAAAGGCGGAAACCAGCTGGGTAATCTTCAGGAGGTACAATGGTGCGGTAGGATAAGGCGATGGCTTGCGAGAGTTTCGCGAGACAGCTGTGGGTACATGAGGGAACATGGTGCAGGGCGGGGATGCTTCTTGCTGAGAGGTGAGACAAGATATCTTGAAGGACGAATTGCCTCGGATGCAGGTCGGTCTCGCCGTTATGGATGTGAACAGAGTACTGTTATTCTCCAGCAACAAAACCGCCCAACCGTGGGTCGCGAGTCGGCAGGAGTGCAATCCAAATGAGACAGTCTAGACACCAAAGAGGCGGAGGCGAAGGATTTTGGCGCGGTTGTTCGCTTCGGTGCAATTTTAAGACACAACGACCTCGAATCACTCCGAGCCCCCTCTTTCTTTCTGCTAATAATATCAAGCGCCTCTATCCATAGGAAGCGGATTCGAAGTTGTACGGCTTGTACGGCTTGTGCGTCATGATGTCTTACGCATTGCCCAATGCTGTAGGACCATCGAGCCGTGCGCTTCTATGCCTATCGTTGTGGGCTGTTTGATGTACGACCGATTCGTTGAAACAGGCCTTTTCTTTTGTTCGAATGTCTGCCACCGCTGAATGCCACATTTGCAAGAAGATCTGCCCAAGCACAATTCTTCAGCGTACAACCCCGTGTGACCTGCTCGCTACCTTGCTCATCCTTTCTCTTTCGTGCTTTCATTCTACCTTTCGCAGTATCAGCAGGACTGGATAGTGATCAATCTAAAAATACAACGGAACACTCAGACAGATAGCTCAACTTCTGAGGTGAATAGGACTGTGGGTCAGTCAATTGCAGTCAGAGTCCTGCACCTGTGCAGTTGCATGTTTCTTTCATGAGAGGAGAACTACACCCGTTCCCAAATTTGATAAATACATTGAGCGCACTTGTCCGTGGTCTAGCGACCGATTTCTCCCTCCTTGCCTCGTCTTGAGGTCGTGTCGAGTAACGGAGGGAACTCAGTGCTGACTTGGCATCAAAGAAGCCCGATCTCATCAAAACCTTCAACATGCATCGACTTACCCCTTGGTCCATGATCGTGGCGCTGCTCGCTCTGAACATTGCCGCACTCAAAGTCAAGCCAGATTGCGGAGAATCTGGATGCCTACAGAGGCTCTCCCGGAAAGTTTCGACGCTCTCGTTATCTTTGGGGCGACCGACGGATCCGACGGTGCGCTTGTCCAATCATTAAATGGTAGTAGCCTGGGAATCTAATGCGATCATACAGATACCAGCGCTACCTAGAACAGAATCAAATGCAAGAATTGAAGACGTTAGCTCTCTTCCACCGGTATGCCGACCTTCCAGCTTCAAGAATTACCGGAGCTTCGTCGACAAACGGCGATTCGAAAAGCGATCTTTGAGATCAGACTCGAAAACTGAATGTTGTATGACCTGCCAAGAAATCGGTGACTGCTTTTCATTCGAGTACAATATGGCGAAGTCATTGTGCAATTACTATGTGAGCATGGGAAAGGTAGCCAAGAAAGCTAGCAAAAGCGAGAGCAAGGTCTGCCCTTCCGGGCTGGGTGCAGGCTATATGGAGCTGCCTAATTATCCACTCTGGCCGAGCCACTTTGGTCATGAACACGGACCTTGTCTGAGCAGTGCTGCTGCATCTGGGAGAGGCCCAGATCTGGGCCTAGACTTGCAGGCAGTCAGTGATCAGCTAAATCAGCAGATTCTTGACCTGCCCAAAGAAGATCTTGGTCTAGAGGATGATGAAGACGAAGATGAGATTTATGAATTACGATAAATGTAGATTTAGCTCTAGATTCCAAGGCATCAATGTTTGGGAACTGCCTTTACACTTCTTCTGGCGTTTATATCAATTTCACCTGAGGCCTACCTACCTTGACCTTTTGCTCTTTAGGGAGACGTTCGTCTGGCAAGACGTGCGTTCAACAAGCGCGGATGCTCTAGGAATGACAGCAACAGCCGAGCCCGTACGATTTACGTCATCGGAGTCCTAAAGACTTTAATGACATGGAGATAACAGGCTTTTCCAGCCGCTATACTAACAAAAAAACAGCGATTTCAGACATCAAAAGCTCTCGTTACATACTTCTGCAGCTGTCATGTCTCAACAACGCGTAAGATTGGGAGCGTCTTCTATGACTTGATCAGGAATACTCATCATTTCCGTCCAGCTGTCGTTCAAAGTGCATGGCACAGTCCAGGGTACGTCTTGAATCACTTGACGCCAAAGTGTTCCAAACTTAGTGAACACTTGCTTCAGGTGTCAACTTTCGGTTTGTCATCCGTCGATTGAGTGCGCAATATGCTGAACCTGCCCAGCTCGTTTGCGCAGCGCAAGGCCACGAACCTCCTAGTCACCGGCTGGGTGCAAAACACTCCAGACGAGAAGGTGCGAGCTCACTACCACAGGTCGAATGCACTCTGACAAGCGCTGTTCAGGTGATTGGGGAAGCGCAAGGAACACAAGACGCCCTTCAAGGATATCTCAAAGAGCTCAATAGCGGTCCTAGAGCAAGTCACGTAGTAAAGGTTGAGAAAAAAGAAATTAGCTGGAAGGAAGATGAAAAGGATTTCCAAATCCGATGAGTGAGTAGCGTCGGTAGCTCAGCAGAAATATCATCTCTATCAAGCAACCTGGTGTTCCATGACCGAGCACAGTCATTTGTCTGAATAATTGGAACTTTGGAAGTGACCGCGCGATGCCAAGCACTGCCTTTGCCCCCGGCCCGAACGCGTGAAATCAAACAGGCGCGCAGGCGGATGGGACCAGGAAGATTGCGATTTCCACATCTAGACACTGCCATAGTCAATAATACCACTCCGGTCTTCTTCATTTGATGGAGTCACTGGAGTCATATGCATCATGGATACTGATGCTCGTCGCAAAGGTTATCCGCCCAGGCTCGCCCTGAGCCCACCAACATCCTCCGCTTCAATCACCGAAGGAAGCAGTTCGGGCACTCCGCCCTTGACTCGTGAATCCTCTCCGTCGCCATCAATCTCCCCTACGCCTGCTCTTTTCGCTTGCCCGCCGCTGAGCCGGTCTTTCTCCGCTAATTCATGCTCGGATTTCTCTTCATCTGCCTCCACCATCTCACAGCCGTCCGTCACTTCGAGATCTTCCTCAGCATCTGCTGCTTTACGGAAAAGAGGCTATGTACGACCTCAGGGCGTTACATTTGCTCCTTCTGCTAGCAACAGGGAAAGTGTGCTGAGTCTCGGGAGCATCGCTCATCTGCAGTATTACTTTGCCAGAACTGGGCTCTTAGATGGAAAGGGGGGTCAGCTAGCCAAAGATGAGAGGGGCAAGCCTGGCTCAGGCGCTTCCTGGCGCGATGTCACTCCACAAGTACGCACTTATTCTGATGGCAGTTCGGACATGGGAGATTGGACAGATCCGATTGCAAAAGGCATCGAACAGACTGAGGAGCCAGTGATGCTTCCACCAACCGTCAGTACATACAGCCACCGTACACCCTACATTCCGCCCCCACCGGACCCTGAATCCTTGCGCAACGACCTTGTTTCAGCCCTTGCGGACGCGAAGAAGGCCTTGCAGCAAGCCCTGGCAGAGGCGAGCGAGCAGATTGGGCAAGTGGTAGATTTAGAGCACGAAAGCAATCTACAAACCCCGATTCTGAGCGGCGAATCCTCAGGTTGGCATGAGATCCAAGGCTTGAACATACTTGATCTTGTCACGTTGGCGATCCATGCAGCGAAGATTTATTACACTTCACACGAGAATCCTATGCGTTTGTACAATATCAAGTCAGAAAGACAGATACGAAACGAGCTTCTGAGTGTTATGGACGTGCTAAAGAGAATGGCCAGCCGTAATTTTGCCGGCGGGATGCGCAGCGATGAGGCAAAGGTCATCTCCGATTGGGTGATGGGGATTGAGGACTTCCTTGAACAGGAGCGGAATCTGGAAACACAAGAGGCGAAACAGCGTGCAGGCTGGACCTGGCTAGAGAACACTTGGGGAGGACGTTCACGCGAAAGGGAACGAGCGTTTCTTAGCTCCTTCGTCGAAATGGATGAGTTGCCAGAATGGACAGAAATCGACCCGTCTAATCCTCAGCCTACAGCTTTTACTGAGGCTCTACGGACAGGACTTTCCCTCGTACATCTTCACAATACCTTGCTCAAGAAATCGAAAAGGCAATTCGGTGAAATCAAACAATTTCACACAGATCTTGCTAAACCGTATCGCTGTGCTGAAAATCTCCGGTATTGGATCAAAGCAGCTGAACTCCGGTGGGAGACAAAGCTAAGGGTCAATGTCTCCGGCGTTGTGAATGGCAAGATCGAGGCCTATTCCGATTTTGATATCGCAATCCTTCAATGGAGTCAAGCGGTGAGGGAAGAGCTGACTCGAGAATGGCAGGAGCCTGACAACAGGCCATCGCTTCCACACGCCTTCTCCACAAACCATTAGTTTTTGAGACGGCAAAATTAATGTTTGACGATTGCACGAATGTGTTATGGTAACTTTCAAGCACGGTAGGAGTGTCAAGATGGCTGGCGAGGTTTTGCTCGCCCATGATTGCAGCGCATTTGATACCCAGCTTTGATGGCATTTCGACGTATAGCAGCGTTTATAGCAACAGCAACAACAAGACGACAACTATATCTTTTTCAAATATAAATGTATTCTTGCAGGTGCTTCATGCAGAAAATGTAATTCAAATCCCCTAACTCCTGACTCCTGAGGACGGAAATTTGTTGGCTAGCCTTTGCACGCCTCGGCGAATCCTTGCCCGCCCCTCTGTGCAACATTAAATGTGCATCTCAATTTCCACCAGCTCTTCTCTACGTTTTGCAGATCGGCCTTCTCTGTCTCCTTGCACATTTCCCGTGCATGCAGCAGAGAGCTTTATACCCCTGCGCAACCTCATGAGCCTCCGCCCTCAGACACAAAGTTTCGACGCGTAGTAGTTTTTACCGCGTTCGTCACACATCGGGCACCAACGGCCAGCAAAGCAGAACCTTTGGCTACCACAGTACTGGAGTTTGTCATATAGTCATATAGACAATCTCCAGTCGATGTCGATCAAAGAATTTGCCCCTTGATTCTTAAAATCTGGGCCGGTCGTATGAGCAGCCAACATGCCAGCCTCGATAGCATCCCAAGGAACAAACGGTGCTGGCGGGTCGTATTTTCCTCCTCAAGCATTTCGGTACGAACGTGGAGGCACACCTGTCTTGTCCAGCAGCTCTGAGAGCGACGATGACGATACGATGACGTCTCCTTCGAAAGGCAAGGCCTTACCATCTCCCCTGGATGCTGAATCTTACATCAATTCCCTGCACTCTCTGAAATCCTCACGGGCCGGGTCCGTCTACTCATTGTCGCGCATTTCTCTGTCAAGCCAACTCTCGCAGCTTACTTCTCTCGCTCTCCCTGATCCTTCCTCTCTCGGCCCCGGCATATCAGCAATCCCCACCGCCGTTGCTGCTGCAACTACGCTCAATAATGCTGCAGAGCAAATTAAGAGATGGTTACAGAAAGCGTCAGAGGTTTTGAATGGTCTAGATGCTGAAGATGATGTTGAATGGGCGGCAGCTGGCGGTCGAGAAGGCTTGAGCGACGTAGACGAAGCAATCAGCCGATTTGAAGGATTGATCAGGGTGTATGTGACCGCTATTGAGGAACTACAAGAACGAGAGGATGTTTCCAAGGTTTCACCTGAACAGCTCAAAGAACAAGTGGATCAGATGGAAGATATACTTCGGGAATGGGAGGGTGTGAAAAGATCACTGAAGGAAATCAAATCTCAGGTAGAGTTGGCTATGGAATGGGAGGAGCTGTGGAACAATGTCTTGGGCGACATTGGCCTTGAGTTGGAAAGCTTGTCAAGGCTGGTATTCGAGATGGAAGAGGCACGGCATAGGGCAGTCGAAACAGGTTTGGATACGAGTGGTGGCGTTGACATGCAAGAGTTGGATACAATTGTCGAAGAGACACCCTTGAAAGCCGGCAAGCCTCTTGCTACAAGAGTTGACCTTTCGCCAGCGAATGACACAGGCTCACCGCTCTCTCCCAGTTCCGGGATTCCCCAAGATGATTCTAGACTGCTATCACTTTTCGCGAAAATGCAGCCTCTCAGAGCGTCTCTAGACTTCTTGCCAATGACACTGTCAAGCTTTCGGCTCCGAGCCGAGAAGTGCCTGCCAAGTGCTTGTCAAGAGCTCGATTCTCAGAAGAGAAGTCTTGAGAGAAAATGGTCAGTCTTGGAGAATGATGCGCAAGGACTGCGCCGGGAACTTGGTGAAGACCGTTGGGTCCTGGTCTTCAGGAACGCTGGGCGACAGGCGCAGAAACTCTGCGAGTCTGTAGAAAGAAGTATGGGCAAATTACAAGATGCTGTTGATGTTGGAATGCAGCATGGCAACCCCCTTTACTGGCTAAGAAGGTAGAAGCCTATGAGGCAAAGAAGAGTCACTACGGGCCAGCGATTAAGAAAGTCCTGACCATCATTGACAAGGGCGTTACAGATCGTCAGACAGTCAACGGAGAGATTCTAAGGGTCCATACAGAGTCAAAGACTAGGTGGCAGGAGATCGAAAAGGAAATGAAAAACTTGGACTCGGCCTTAGAAGATCTCAACATGAATAAGAACCAACAGCTTCGAGATTCCATTTCGAGTATTGTGTCGATCGATCGATCTGCTACAGAAAGCATCGCCGATACCCCTGGCTCGTCACCAGCATCTTCTGTAGTAATGGGCCCTTCAGTTTGCTTAAAGGCAGATGCTTCGCCAACGCTAAATAATTCGAGCCGTCGAAGTAGTACGGCACTGGGTCAGGGCATTCGTCCTAATGGCTCTCGACGTTATTTCAGCACGCCTGGATCTGCGCCCGCTACAAACCTCCCGCGTAAGAACCCAGTCTCTCGATCTTTCACCAACGACGTCTCTCGTACCGCTTCCCCGGCGCCTGCCAAATTCTCCGTAACTCCAACACCTGGCAACCGACCAGTACGGCCGAACATACGGACAGACAATAAGCCCCGTTGGAATTCATCTTCAAGAGTCGACCACGCCGAGTTTTCGACAAAACCCCGGCCTTATCCCTTTGCGACTCCACCACTTCACCGGAAAGGCTCGAAGACTTTCAACTCGCCGCACTCTCCATCAGGCATACCTTTGCCTAGCCCGTTAGGTCAATCCTCACCATTCTCCTCCGCTAGCCCTGCCTCTCTCTCTCACCGGCCCCGGCACTCAGCAGGGGCTCATAGCTATGCTGGACCGCGCCATACATCAGTGTCTGCGACTCCAACCACGCACAAGACCCCTCCCTCGAGTTCGCACTCGTCCAAGAAGAGTTTTAGTCATGGCTCGGTCGATCAAGAGAGCCCTTCTACCTATTCAAGGCCGAGTACCTCAATGGCTGGCAGAAAGCGTCTGAGCATGCTTCCAATCCCTACGTATCCACCCTCTCAATTTGCTTGTGAGAGTGGTGGCCGAGACAGTACCGCAGCAGTGAGAATGTCTGGGCATGGGCGAGTCAGCTCGTTGGGAAGCAAGCACTACTGAACAGGATCATCTGCCTTGACGTGTCAAACTGATCTGATAGACCACACGGATCGGACATATTTTATCCTCATTGTTGTTTTCTCGAGGCGCAAGCAGCGAAGGCGTTAATGGTAGGTTAGGAAAAGGACAAGATGGCAGATGAATGCATGAGCTACGCGTGTAATCTTATGATTTGTATGTTATATACTTCTCGGAAGCATAGATAGCGAGGTAAGCGAGCGGTTCTCTTGTGAGCGATCATAAAGCATCAAAGCATTTCATATCAGTCACAATGGAATCCCACAGTTTTCTCCTGTAAATATCCAACCCTTCTTTTCTCGAATCTTGAAATTAGCTATTCCGAGAAAAACGCTGGGCTAGACTTAGAAAGCTTTTAGTAGAAGGTGACCAACAGCCTCTTTCTTTCAAGAACAAAAAGCTGTTAAGATATTTGGCAATTTTGCATTTCAGAGTAGTCATTATTTGTGACTGCCTCATTCGAGAAATCAATATATACAGAGTATTGAAGTTACCCCTTCCGTTTGAGTAGTGTTTACTTCGGAGGATATTGAGTATGTACAGATGATTATAAGTGGAATCATTCAGAAACCGTGCCTGAAATCCCGACCTTGCACCGTATGATACACATGCTGCATCAATGCCTGTTGTGGTAACGGTCACTTGTGAACGGATTTGACGTCCACGACCTTCTGCATGAACGAGGCTACTCGAGCAGAAGAACCGTGGTCGAAGCCGTCAGCTTTGCCATCGGCGTGCCGCTTGATTAGTCGTGGTCCTGCATGCCACAGCAAGAGAATTTTGATAAGTTCAAGCTCATGCTCCATTTTGGGCAAGATTTTATTAGTGAGACCATTGAATCGGAATATCATATTAGATGCCTGATCAGCCGACCGATTCGTCCATTTCTCCTCGCTCGTTCATGCTTCTTGCCATCTTCTTGCCAATCTCATAGCTGGAGATCATTATAGCACATGCCGGTGCGACTTTCAGCGTCCTGGCTGCCCACCCTTTAAAGAGACCGCGCATGCCTTCCTCATTCCAGATGTGAAGCAAGAACCGAGGCATGGAGCGTTCTTCCGGTCTCAAGCCTTTGAGCGCGGCTCCGCCAGAAGCAGATCGCGCTTGGGTTTCAGAGGTTTCGAGGACCTGCTGTCTCGTCTTCCCAACGTCGAAAGGTGTGGTGATAACTGAAGCTACTGCTCCAGAGGTCGCCCCCGCAACAAAACTGTCCACAAAAGTAGATGCGTGTGCATGATCCCTTGGTCTATTCCGAAATCGTTCATGCGGGTCCCTTAAGTCTATCAAGGCCTCGCGTACGAATTCATATCCCCACCAATAGACACCACTAAAGGGTACATCTCGCCACATCGTCAGTGTCAGGCCTCGCCAGAGACTCGTCACCCCTTGGGTCTGCACTAGTTTCTTAAGCCCTGAGAGAGTTTCCATGAAAACGCCTGTTCCATTACCCGCCGAGGCAGCTTGCATTCGTGTTCTAAACATCTCTATCGGAGAAATGGTAGCTGCAGCGGCAACACGAGCGACTGAACCAGCAACAAATGGGGCGTAATTATTAGAAACGTACTTCCGAATTGGAGACGATTTGTTGAATCGAAGGGCGTCATAGCCAGTGAAATAGATGACATTGGCAGGAATCGCCATTACAAGCGTGGGTGACAATCCGCGCCAAAGCGATGTAAGTCCCTCATTGCGGGCGATCTTCCTAAGGCCGTCGAGTGTAGAAGAGTATGTCTTTTGCCGCGCCTCATCGACGGCGCAGTCAGCAGCAACGGCAGAAGATGTCGATATAGCGGGGTTGACTGCAGTGTATGTCACGGAGGGAGACGCATTGGCGAGACAGAATGACGAGGTATTGTTCACCCAGAAGACTTCGCGGCAGCAAGCTGTAACCCCAAGATTTGGCGGTAGTTTTGAAAATGAGGGTAACTTGTTGAGTTGAGCGGAAGGTGTCAAATCGGGTTTAGAAGTAGGAAATTGGGACTGAAGGCGTACGCGAACAACATCGAGGGGGGTGACTGATAGTTGAGAGTTAGTTCAGGGTGCCAAAATCTCATCTTCACCTTCTTACCTAGGAGGGATGTGAGGAGACTGCCAGAGACTGCTGAGAGCATTTTCTGGCTGGCAGAAATGTCTGTCTCCATCTCGAATCCCCTTGTCACCGCTTCACCTGTATCTGCACTCTGACGCATTGCTTTGTCTTTGCCTTGCCACCAAACGTATCCCGCGACTCCATCCTGATCAGGATCTTTTACTTGATCGTTTACCTCTACAGGCTCGGAGACAGAGCCAGGCATGCACTGATCGAACTGCAAGACGGCGAGGACGCTGGGAGTTGATCGAATCGGATGGCAGACGAGACCGATGATGCAAAGGGAAAAACGTACCGTCCGATAAGTCCGAGGCAGCTCGATTCACGGTCACGTGACATCTCTCCTTTCCGAGCTTGTCTGCCAAATTGCGTCCGCCACCAGTCCTGCGCAAGAATCTCCAGTGTCGCCCGAAATTGTCTCCACCTCAAGGTCCTTTACTTGAAAAATGGCCTCTCGCGCAGTATCAGCTTCTCACACAATCCGCCGGCTGCCGTTAGCCCTTCGACCGATCAATTCGCGCACCTTTACATCAAGCGCATCGCGATTCCAGGAAGCAGTCGTAGCTCCTGCACCTGTCAGGAAACCCGTGGGCGCGTTCAGGGGAGGGTCAGTCCTTTCCTCTCCGCGTATATTTCAGGATGTACTGAAAGAATCTGCTGATAATCTTGCAGACTCTTTGGCTTTCTGCTAGGATCCGTTCTGTCTGGCGCCGGCACTTTCTACTACGTGATGGAGGAATATCGGGTCTCGAACGAGCTACTCACGGAGGACATTTATGTCAGTGATCCTGACGTTTCATTATACGAACGTGTGGCGATTTAAACGTGTAATGTGAAGAGTCAATAATGAGGGATGGCTGAAGAATGTACAACAACATAATGCAGGAAGCGAGCATATCTAGAGATGATGCATGTATAGAAGATAGACGAGCTTCTCGAAAAAGCGTTCTAGACAAGGAATAGGATGATTGATCGCCACTTTTATGGCGCCGGCTTGATCTCCCAACGACAACTCCTGAGGAGCAGAAGCTGACTGAACGGCATTAGGCATTGCAAGCAGCTGTGCAGAGAATACATACGTACCTTTCAGGGCTTGAAGAGAAATTGGATGCGATGGATCGCAAAAAGAAGCCGTGAAGAACGGAGAGCAGCAAATGCAGACTTCAAGGGTCAGCGGCACTTCTTCGAGAACAGATCTGCAAAGATTTCGCAAAAAATCCATTAGCTACCATGAACCCAAGCCGTCGTCGACGAACAGCGCCTTCGTTGTATCTCAGCCATGGGTTATTCTGCTGTCATGGCATGTTCCACGCTAGATTATGTTGTCGTGCATGTTGCAGCACGCACCTGATAGAATTGTGTTAGCTAGCCAGATCAGCCCAGATATTTCAAATTCTTGCTTCAAGGACCGTAATAATAGCTCAATGTTATTGCCTGTGTGTGACAATCTGCTCTCGCTATTTCTACCCGAATTATTTTGTATCTTGAGCTTCGAGAACATTGCACCCTACAAGGATCTGAAGAGTGTCCAAAGGGGGTCGCAAGACCAAGAGTAAAGGCTGCATCAAGGAGCTTGCAGTTCACAGCTTCTTGGCTTATAGTTGCGGATCACACAGTATCATACGAGCGTGGTATCATCAAACAAGTCCCTCAACAATTCGTCGCAACATGCTTTCCTATCCGGAACTTCCATCTCATATGTAGCCTCGAAGGCATTGATGCTCAGCTGCCGTAGAAAGGGCTTGAGAATCCGGTCCAGAAGCTTTTCTCGTGGGATGGACTGCGAATCTTCCCATTTGAGTAGAGGCTTACGAAGGCCTTTCGGTCTGTCTCCCGCAAAATGGATTCTAGCACTATGAACTGCACTCGCCTCATTGCCCAATACTTCCGCCAGCTCGTCGACCAAAGCTACAGGTTTCCAGTCGGCGGGGCGGTACACAGCATCGATACTATCAGTGATATAGAGCCATTCGCGTAATTGGAAGTCGTCCGGCGCCAGGATGAGAAGGGTGTCGAGCAATTTAGCAGCCTGCAAGATGCTGGTGATATTGTAAGTTTCACGACTCATGATGTGACCTATTGCTCCGAGTGCATCTTTGAGTTCCGAATTGATCGTCGGCCAGAAGGAAGCTAGATGCACGGTTGATATTCTCAGGATGATTGCTCTGAGAGCCATATAAATTTCTGCCCGAGTCACCGAGGAGGGCGACGATGCTGCTGTCGCGTTGAGTAATTCCGTCAATTTGTCTTCCATCATTTTCATATTTGGAACGAAAGCATCGGTATCAGCTGCAAGAACCAACAATGTGACTCGGCGCAGATTGACCTGCGCTTTTCTGTCGGCCTCCAATCTTGCCGATGAAGCACCGACGCCGAACATAATTCCAGCTGACGTTGGCGGCGTCAGACGAGAGAGTAAGTCTGTCATTCGCTCTCGATCTAGTAGCGTCCACTGGCGCAAGATCGGCATCCAACCTGATTCAACGAGGTGAAGCGTCGACGGAGAGAAAAATTTTGGCTCATTGAAAGCTTCAGCTACATCTTTCCTCCATGTCTTTGAGACTTCTGGAATGCGAGACACGGTTTGCATGATGCCGAGAATACGAGAGGTGATATTCTGCGGAAATGTCTTCCAGTGAAAGGCTGGTATAAGAATTTGCAGCGATATCGTTGACGCCACCGCACCAATGCGATCCGTATCGATTAATAATTTGGTCATTCCTGGTAGTACAGCGCCAAGAATATTGACGGTATCATTACTGAAAGAGATATGTCGACTTTCATTGCTATCTCTACCGCCTTGTCTCTTAGACCCGGCTGCAATCGTGTTAGTCTCGTCTACGGAGAGTGAAAGCGGCTTGGTCGTAAATATCGCAGCAAGCATTCGTACGAATAAGTCCTGGAGAATCATGTTAGTGATAGATCATGGCCATGAGAATAGATACGCACCCCAATATCTTTGCCCATGCGCCGCTGCTCGCCGAAGTTGGTATTATTTATCTTCCCGCCCAATACAGCAATGAATTCCAGTAAAAGCGGTAATATTTGCCGCTGCGGCATTGGATTGCCCAGTACGTCTTTAGAAAAAGTCATACAATCCGTCCATACCTCATCCAGAGCGTCATCGTCCATTGACTCAGTATATACAACTAAGAAAGTAGCAAGCTGAATGTCCGAGAGATCGGATGTTAGGGTAGACTTTCGTGCAGGATCTAGGACTGAAGAGTTTGTCCTGCTATAGAGTGCGTTGAAGATGGCAGGCATTGTGTGTTTGGGTCGGGATGCCTCTAGGGTATGCAGGAGATCCAGGACCTTACCTCCTCTTGTTGGCTTCTCCTTCCAGATTTCAATCAACATCTCAACAGATTCCAAAGTTTCTGCTGAAAAAAGGTGTTCGAGCACCCTCCTAGTCCTATTACGTAACCTTACAGACATGTAATTGAATGTCGCTGAAGATATGGTGTCTTTGGATGAGGATTTATTTTCTTCGTCTTCCCAAGACCAAATCCGGAAAGACCCTTTTATAGCATCCCGAAAACAAAGTAGCACAGTCAGGTAATTATTTGCAGTAGCTGATCTTGTCATATAAGCTTCGCCACCCAGAACACCTGAAACCATTGTGCCAAAGAAACCCTGATTTTGCTCGGGCGATTTGAAAGAAGGGGACTTGATCTCCTCCTTCAACGCCAGGTCATGCCCTTTCGATAGCACGAGCTCCAGGGCGTTCAACCGTAAGTTGAGCGATTGAAGCGGATCACTGTTCAACGGCTGCTCCGACTTTGAGTGTTGAACATGAGCAGCCATCTCTTGGAAAAGTGACTCAATACTAGAGGTGATGCAGCCGACCAAAGGCAGCAAGATTTGAAGGGTGTTAGAGCCGTATACTGCGAGACATGTTTCCAGCAGGCGGAGCCATTGCTCAAGTGTTGCTTGACTTTTCCGCGAGCGGAGACCAAGCATCAAGCAATCCATTAACGGCGAGTCGGAATGGGAGTCATTTGAGAGCGACATAGTGGTCTCTTGAGGCTTCGAGGGCATCTGAAGATGTAGGGTACTTCGTTGACGTTCCTTGGACTGAGATCTTCTAGATGAGGCAATCAGGGCCTCCGGGTCTTCAAGTCTTCTCTGTAAGCTCAAGACAAGGTTCTCAATCAATGTGTACTGTAGCTGCACTTGAGATTGATCGACAGCCCAGGAAAGAATTTCAACAAGTACATTCTGAATATGCCCAAGGATTGCAGAATTTGCCGCAACGTAAGGAAGGAGAAGTTGTAGTAACATTGAGCAATCCTGTTGAAGAATTAGTACATCTTCGTTACCTTCCTGCCGCTCGGAAACACAGTTTCTCAAGGTCGCTGCACAGACTTGGGCTATATATTCCTTTGCTGGAAGCTGGTCAACATTTCCTTCAGTGTGCGATTCCTTCAGCAGAGAAGTCATTTGTAATAGGAGATGGGGCCTCATAGCGTCTATAAATGGGATGGGCGTAGAGAGCGCTGATGGGACGTTCTGTGATTCCAAGTCTATAATACTGGCGATGAGTCGTACGTAATAGGTTGTGACTTTTGCCTGATGAGCGTAATTTTGGAACATTGAATTGTCCGCAGATGCTAGTTCTGGGCTTAGAACACACAGGGAGTTGTTCAAGCGTGCAATGATTAGATCTAACAATCTATGTCAAAACTCAGCAGAGCGTCATCAGGCAAGCCGGTAGACCTACGGTGATATGTTTGGCATTGATTTCAACCAAGTGCGAACAAATCTAGCAACTTCTGTATGAGGCTCCCTCAGCTTGTCAAGCAGGATGAACAACGGTCGCGCCAACACTTCGGGCTCCTGCATATATGTTTCCAAACGGGATTCTGAAAGAGAACTCCGTTTCTTAGGGTCCGGTCGTTGTGAAGGTATTTGACGACTTGAGGTCACGCTATGCGTCCAGATAATGGCGAAACAGCGAGCACCTTCCATGGTGACGTTCCGACCCACAGTACCATCAGGCTCTTCATGAAGTAGACTCGTGATGGCAGCTTCAGCCAATTGATAATTCAAACAGATACGATGCAGTCTCCAAAGGCCTCTCACCGCTTCAACATTATGTTTCGGGTACAAAGGGCTTACAAACGGCCATAATGACCGGATATTCTTCACAAGCATCTCTCGAACAAGAGGATGGGACTGCCAAATTCTGCTGTCCATTGCTGAGCAGATGAATTCTAGCACTGCAATCCGACCTAATGTTTGGGAAAATACCAATGAATTCGTTGCACTGGGTACCAGCTGACTGTTGGTTGTCATGACGAGATTTGAGAGCATTGATTCCGTATCAATATTTTCAGCAGTCATTGTTTTGGACATGAATTTCGTCAAAAGTGACAATCCAGCACTTAGTTGTGACAAGACCTTTGGTTCATCGAGGAACATCAAGATTAAGTTGGTCAGACGTAGGACCAGTATATCTCCCATTTCTTTTGCTTGGAAGGATCGCTCACTGTGGCTTTTGCCTTCGTTCGGGTTTCCATAGGAGCTACGAATTCTTTGAATTATGTCTTCATCGGTATCAGTCACTGCCTGTGTTGGCTCACGTCGCTCTTGCCCCAACTTTCGCGATATGAAGGTATGGTCAGGAACAATATCGATGAGATAGGTACAGATCTTCAAGATTAGCTGATACCTATGCTCACCGCGGAGATGTGCTGATGTTGCAGTCTGAATGGTAGAAAGGCTCAAAGAGACGATAAGGATAGCAAGAGCGTTAGGTAGATGGTCCGTTAACATTTCTTCTTCACGTATGTTGAACGTTGTGATCACAAACCAGAATAGCTGCAGAAGCTTTTCAGCTTCTTCGTTTTGCTCTAAGACGTCTCTGTGTCTAGGCTGGTCTAGAGCTTCGAGAAGCAAGGCAATCATCTCTCGCCATATCAATCGGCTCTGGATAGCATCAAAAAACACATTAGCACTACGGAGAACCTCTGAGAAAGCCTCGGGTGAAGGAGCGGTCAATTTAAAGCTATAGACGTCTTCCATGGCAGGCCGAAATATCATTGGAACCACAAGGCCCCCAATTTCCCACCGGTCCATTAGAGATAGACAGATGCGCAAAGGTCTTGCTTTGACTGTCGGTGTTTGCGAAGCGTCTGTCATTGCATGTAGGAGGAAATTGACTAGCGGTCGAAGGCCAAAATTTTCAAAGTAGACGACTGGCGAAGGCAGACGTGCTTGCGCCTCAGTGGGCAAGCGACGAGCTCCAGGAGCGTCCTGTTGATCTGTTTCAGACGAAGCAGACTGTCCAAGTAACCATACCCAAAGTCTTCTGTTCAGGCTCATCTCTCTGCGTATCACGACTGAGGCCGCCGCCCCAATCAGTATCTCGACGTCGCGAGGACTCACCCTCTGATGTAGCACTTCCGCATTCAGCGGCAAGTGAGTAGTCAGGAGGTCGAGAAAGCCTCTTTGTGTTAAGTGATGGTCATCTTGAAGGCCTGCGCAGAAGCATCGTATGAGTAAGCCTGGCTCCGGTGAAGTAACAGCCTCGATGTGGGGCGCAAGTTGTGTGGTGTGGTTCCCACGGTCATCGTTTTCCGATGCTGGCATGCTGCCGTATCCGTGGCTTATAGCGTTGAGTCTTGGTAGGTTACGAATCAAGAAAGCAAGGACGCCAGGCCTTCTGTTAGCACTTGTGATGGACACGAGGAAAAGGCTTTGCCAAAAGTAGCGGTCGCCATGAGTGTCAATGACCTCTCCATCTCCTACGCTGGACTTGGAGAAGACATTTCTGAGTCTATCGAGCAGCTGATGAGTCCTTTCAAAATCGTCACTGGAATCTTCTTCTAGGCCTGGGAGCAATGCCAGGATGATTGCTCTGAGGGCAGGTCGAAGGGTTGCATCATCAAGCGGTATTATGTACGTCTCGAATAAAGATAGAAGATGAGGTCTGACAAGTGAAGAAGCAAAGGAAAGCAAGGGCGATAAACCAGGCAGATAGAGAGAAAGCTCGCGGGAAAGACCGTTTTTCTGCCTCGAACATCTTAGCTTACGTCCTAGAAGACTGGTTGCAATCATACGCCTAGGATTGTGAAGGCAACTGCATAGACTTCCAGAGCCTTCTGATGCACGCTCGGTAGCGTAGGATTGAGACATTGGGAAAGCCTCTTGGATACAATTGGACTGAATGGAATCTCGTGCGTTCCTTGTGGCACTGTTTGCAATGCCTGTGGGCAATTCAGCAACGGAAAGCAGTTAGAGCAGACCTCTGACCTTCAGCAAGCGTCCGAGGAAGGCAATATAGTCAGCCCATTCCTGAAGCGTGGTGTCGAAGAGCGATAGTGCCCTCTCGACTGCTGACGTGTAGCGACGGAAATTCTTGTCGACGCGCTTGCCAGACTCTGTCTCGACGTTAGTACGATGTTGTAGACAAACTTCTCGCTGGAGGAGGCGCTTGACTTTCGTCTGTGACTACGGGAGAGTCTGGACGGGAAGACAACGGTCCATCTCCGACCATTTTGAACGCCTGTTACAGGCCTTTCTTGAAGCTAGTCTTTCCATGAAGTTGGCTGGGAACGCAGAACATTGCCGATGAAAGAAAATGCCAAACACCGTGATTGAGGCGGAGGTTGTGGATTCTGCCAGGTTATCATATTTCTATGAACAAGGCACCTTGATGCGGGTGACCTTTCAAAGGTCGTTCCGGGGCCGGCTCACCCGGACAGCTTTCTCCCGCGTCCCCGCTGGTGCCCCGAAGCTCCGCAACCTCCGCCACCCAGCTTCCCTAAGCATGAAGCAAGATTCATTCAGTGGGTGAACAGTTCGTCGTGTTGTCTGATATGCCCAGCGACTGGTCTTCTCAGAAGCATGAACCTTCTCCAATTCCAGATGTAGGATTGGAGCAACATTCGGAGCGTGAGGATGCGGAGAACATCTTGCCCATTGGCGTTGGCGATTCAGCTGAAGGAGTACTGCCTGCGAGAGCAAAGCAGATCGTTCCAGCTTTGACAAGTACACAGCAATCACGTCACAAAGACCATACGAGACCGCCCTTGCCCCCACGGCCGACGAATCTATCTCTTCTTCAAGCGGTTAAGACCAGCTCTACCAACCTGGGCAACGTGCATAACCCGGCGACTCAGCTTCAGTCCACCGCCACTACTGCTGTCTCACACACTGACATTCAAACTCAAGCCTACCACGATGGGTCTCACGATGCCTTCGCCGCCACGGCAGAGCCTAAACCTCCTTTGAAACCCCCTCAGACTTTTGGGAGCATTAAAGGCTTCAAACGTTTTGGTGGCAGCGAAAGCGGTGACACGGCGAGCATTAAAAGTCTAGCGCCCACATCAGGAAGAAGTGGGGACAATGAGAGTTTGCTAGGGGATGTTCTTGGTACTGCTCAAGAGCAACCAGCGTGGAAGCTTTTTGGTGGAGAGAAGGATACCCTGGATCCGTCTGGTCTCGGAGAAGGCGATATCGATGTCGATTTCTATCAAGAATTCGATGACATACAACATGGTGAAGATGACAGCGAGAATGAAGGTAGTTTAAGGCATGAACGAAAATCACTGACGTTGCTGAAAATCTTCAGAGGAGCGATTGAGGCAATGGAAATCAAAACGAAAACACTTCCTAATTCTCTCATCCGCTGGCAAACCGATCTACAGCCGCCATGGCGACGATCAATTGATTTCCACATCTATCGGTGTTATTCACACTATCATTTCATTTTATGAAGATTCTCAAAACAAGTTGACCGGGTTTTCCGCTGCTGGGTCGCGATTCGTCATTTCTTCACAGGGATCGCTATATCTTGTAGCCATCAGTAAGCTAGGTGAGAATGATGTTCAGTTGCGCGCTCAGCTGGATGCTTTGTACATGCAAGTCCTTTCAACTTTAACCTTGCCAACCTTGAATCACCTCTTCGTAAATCGTCCGTCGACTGATCTTCGTCGGCCTTTGAAAGGCACGGAGGTTCTCCTTTCTTCGCTTGCAGACAGTTTCACCCGTGGATCACCACCGGCATTGCTATCTGCGTTAGAGTGTCTCACATTGAAGAAGTTGCAACGACAGGCCATCAATGACGCACTTCTTCGCCACAAATGTGAATCACTCCTCTACGGTCTTATCGTTGCTGGAGGTAGGCTGGTCAGCGTGGCTCGCCCGAGAAAGCATTCCCTACACCCAAGCGATCTGCAGCTCATTTTCAACATGCTGTTCGAGGCAGATGGTATCAAGGCCGGAGGGGGGGAGAATTGGATTCCCTTATGTCTTCCTGCCTTCAATAAGAACGGCTACTTATACATGTATGTCAGCTTTGTCAGCGCTTCACAAGGAGACAATGAAGAGATCAAGAACGTCGAGGAAGTCTCCGACATCAAAGATACGATCGCTGTGCTTCTGATCAGTGCAAACAAAGAGAGCTTCTATGATCTACAGAACATGCGAAATCTCGTGGTTCAGGTAAGAGCTCGAACAGAGCTTAGTCCAAGAACATCAATATTAACACTTCACCAGGACCTCGAAAAGTCTGGCAGTATGGAGAGTATCAGATCAGCAGTCCGAGCGGGCAGGCCAACTTCGACTGATATCGTTCCCGGCACGGTAGTCCGTCATTTTCTCTACAAATCACGAAGCAATGTCCAGTACTTCATGCCTTCCTACGAGCCAGAATACACCACCTTATTCGCTCGACGCAAGTAAAGGCCCCCGACGCAAAAACCTCATTCTTCTTTCGGTCGCTCTACTGACATATCGGCAGGCTCCTGTCTCTCTACCACACCCTCCACGCCAACGTCCACGCAAAGAACTCGCACCTCAAAGTCCAGCACTGTATCAGCCGAAGCTCGATTTCCCTAGCTTGGGTTACACCTACATTTGAACTCTACTGCGCTGCTGGTCCGAGCGCGAGTCGTAACGCGCTCACGCACAGTGCAAACAAAGTTGTTCAGTATATGCGACGTGAGGAGGAAAGGGTGTTTATTATTGGTGGCGCAGTAAGCATTTTTCCGAGTATTTTGCCACTTGACATCGCTGACAATCTTCGCAGGTTTTCTAAACCCATGTGGGGTCCCTCAGAGACTAGGATCACGACTACAGTGCCAAATAACCTGCCTAGCTGCAGAAGAGACATCCACGAGCCAAGACCATCGTCAACATCATATTGTCTATGTCGTTTACGTGCACGAAGATTGATCAGCTACCAATGAACGGATTCTACAATGAATGGAACAGGTGCTTTCCGCTGAAGGAGACAGCTCAGATAAGACCAGCTCGAGAGGGCGCAAGAAGGTTTCACCCAAAGAAAGACCATCTTGGGAGGCTGTAACTCTTGATGTGATAATGCAGGATTGTATAAATCACATCATCTAACATCCTCACTAACAGGCGTGCCTTGTTGTTGCTGCGGTCCAAACCAGATATTGCAAGCGGCCAAACTAGACTTCAACAATCCAACTTAACGCTTGAAGCTGCTAATTGCGCTTCGAGTGTTTCAAGGCAACAGGAGCACGTTGGTATGATACGAAGGCTGGTCGTTTCATCCATCGAATGGTAAGATACTCATATTAGGGATATCCAAGTCAAATAGCCATCTTTCACTCACATGGCAATCTGAGGAATGCTACATATCAGCGCAAAGTGCCAAGATGTGGACTTGAGCTGGGAATATGTACGAGAGCTTTCAGACGAATGAAAGTATCCCTTCCACCGGATTTAGGCCAATACTGAGACTTATCTTTATTGCAGCTAATCCAATACTCTAACAGCACCCTTGTCATATTCTGTTCTATGAGGGTATTTGTGAAGCTAATATTCTACTTTTACAAAATTAGTCAGACAGCAAAAGATGCTCGTAGCGACCTCGTTCCACTTCATACAGATCTATGCAATGCAACGCTCTTCGTCCCTCGCAGCAAGACTAGCTATGTCGTTCATTACAGGCCTTTCATTGGAGTTTTCCTCTGCAGGCGAGATGATTTTAGCCATGTTTCGTTCTTCTTCTTAGCCTGAGCCAGCAGCATTTAAACATTACTACTTGACGAGTTGCAAAGCAGGCGTGTAAACTTTGTCCGGAGTGCTCCTATTCAAGTCTGCTTGCTTTCTCCTATTTCACACTGGCTATCACGAGCCTTGCTACTCAGACCAAACACTTTCTTTCCGCTTCGGTGCCACCAAAAGCGTGCTTTTCGAAATACCATCGCACCTACATTCTTGAGGCGGGAGGTTTGAGAATTTGCGCCTACCGTGTCTTGGCTTTGTCTTCTTGCGATTGGGCTTCTGCCACCTGCGTGTGCTAAGTTGGTCTGCGAATGTCGCGATCTGAAGTGTGAGATTCGTTTTCTGAGACTCCCTCTCTGCACAGCTTGGGAGCTATCATCCGAGAAGAAACTTTGGGCCTCCTGGCCTGATGAGGGTGAAAGAAGGGTGATGTTAGGGTGCGGTATCTCAGTCAGAACTTGGGGTGGAGAATCAAAAGACTCAACAAAGCGACTTTGAAGCGCTTGATGGCTGATGTCATGACTGCTGTTTTCTTGACTCGGACCTATCGAGAATTTTGACTTCGCTTTTGGTCTGCAGATTGAGTTTTGAGGGAGAAAGTGACCAGAGGTTCGCTTGCTTGAAGCGGTATCATCTGAAGAGACTCGGCGTTTGGTCAACCGACCTGTTCCATTGGTGGAGGTGGATGCTCGTTGAATTCGTAGCTTGAACAAAGGAAATCTCGCAGATGGAGAAGGCGTCCTCTTTGACTTGTCTGGTAGCGTCATATCCAGATTCAAAGTTTGGTCCATCCATGGGTAGGTCGAATCTCGATTCCAAGGACGTGATCCGTGCGACGATGCTAGTGACTCTCTGTCTTGTGGCCTCTTTTCCGCATTTACCAATGGAGCGTCGACTTTATTTGCTTCGACTATGGGCCGGGGGTGAGTAATTGAAGTAAACAAGGGCCCCGTCACAAATATGTCATGGGCAGGCTCTGTCGCAGCTCGGCTTGGATCAATTGAGACAGTGTAATGTTGTGTGCAGAGAGAACTCTTGCTGGCTGCGATTTGGTCATGATGGTGCAGCATTGACGGCAAATAGGTATTTACATGTGAGTGTGGCGCTGAAAGTTCAGTCGTAAGGCCTGGAAGCTCCAGGCGCCCTTTCGCTGGAGCGAAACAGGCAGTTTTCTGGCCCCTTTCAGCCTCAGACACTGGCTGAAATTCTCCTTCACTGGAATCGACCGGTTCGTTGGAATGAATGGGCTGAATGCGGTCGTGAGTATTGTCATTCCTATTTTGAGGATTTTCTCTAGTATTTGTCCTATTATTCTTAGATTGCGGTGAGTCTTCAGCTCGAGGCCCAAAGGTTCGCATCAGACTTGGGGAGAGCTCATCTGTCTCGTCCCAGTCGATGTCAGTTAAGGTGGACAGTTGAATATTTGTGTTGTCGGCATGACTGACGTGCCTTTGCACTTCAGCCCGGGTTCGGCCCTCCATTGGCGAAATCTCCCACCCGTCTCCATCCTTGCTGGCATTATTACTGTCCTGAAGCCCCAGGATTCTGCTGAAACGATGAAGAGTGCTAGGCGAGTTGATAGAACGTTCGGGCGTTGGAGATATGATCTCAGTATGCTCTGAGCCTGAATAGCCATGAGGCAATGTGGAGGATTCATCCGTTGATATTATCCCTCCTTCGACGCGCGTGTCGTACGCCGTCACTTTGGGCTTGCTCGTGAGAGGGGTACCGAACCGCTCTGAGAGTGTTTCATTCGAGGCATTCGCATGTCCGTTCGGCTCACTGGTACACTTCGATGCAGCTGAAGAAGGGCGGTCCTTTGCCGACCCAGCAATAAATTCCCTTCGTTCTAAATCCTCAGTCTGATCATTCCTTGCTGACACTTCTACGTCCTGATAAGACCTCGTCCCTAAAAGAGAGGATTGCTTGTCGTCAATCAGACTTGTTGTCACACCACTAGATTCATGTGATTCAAGCCTCGCGTACAGTTCATTTTCGTGCGCAGTCGATCCGTTCTTCCGTTCTGGAGCACTCAATCTCATTGTAAGTACGCCCGGTTTCTCTAGGGGAGCCAGAAATTCCTGAAAGCCTGCTTTGACTTGCTCGGGAGTACGATACGAGTTGTCAACGACCGATTTGACCGAGTCTGAGGGGTGGGGTTCAATACGGGTGTGTGCTCCATTGCTTAGAATAGAAGTATTCTTCCAATTTGAAACACTTTGATTGATAGACTCCGGCTGTTTGGGCCCTTCAAAGTCTTCGCTGTAGTCATAGAAGCCGGGAGAAGCTGGTGGGGACTCTGCCTGGTGTCGCAGATTCGACAATGACCGCTGGCTTTGCAATATCGTTGTGGCTACAAGGCTTTGGCCATTTTGATTGGAATAAGAGCCAGAAGCTTGGCTTGAAGACAGCGCAAGACCGTGTTGCTCGAAGTCCCTTGTCGGGCGAACAGAAGCGTAGTGCTTGAGCATTGGATCGGAGTGATTAGGGTGTTGCTTCCAAGCCAGCGGGACATGATGCATCGAACGTGTGGAAGCGGGGCTATTGGGGCGAGAGCTGGATCTGGAGCCATAGCCATGCTGATAGACTTCGCTCAGAGCGGGTGATGAAGGTCGATAGCCAGGTCGCCTAAGTCTTGTAGGATAAGCAAAGGGTGATCGAGGCCTGCCAGTAGGGTCGATAAGTCGAGTCTGATAGCTTGTGATTTGGCTTGGATGACGGTGGCCTGAAGCGTGACTCTTCGGAGAGCTGTGACTAACTGACCACGCCTGAAAGTCCTCAATAGAATGATGTTCAGGGGGTTCCTGTGGCTCACGTCTGATGCGCGAGTTGACAAGCTGCGTATGGGGGTTGCTCAAGCTTTTCGCGTCTTGGCTGGAAGCATGAATACTCTGACCGTTCTCTCCGCTAGGTGTCAGCTTGTTGTCGGCTTGGCTGGATTCAACAGTGATTGAAGAGCGGCCATCCAACTCACCTTTAAAGCTCGAAAGAGGCTTGGACATTGGGAAAGGAGGAAGTTGGCCAAAATCCCCGGTCTCAGTATTGTTCCTCACCGTCCCATTGATTGATCGAGACCTGGAAGCCAGAGCTGGAGACGCATACGTGGCTCTCTGTGGGATGATATCACCATTGGAGTAAGTAGAAACAGGACCTGGTCCGCCAGCGCTGCTGTCATTTCGGATATAAGTGAACGGCATCACCACGAAGGTGGTGATTCAAGGCTTGGGCACGTCAATGCTACATGATCGTTGGGTTTGGCAGTCAAAGTGCACGTTTGATCGGAAGGTGGAAAAGATAGGCTCTCCACACGAAGGGAAAGAGCGAAAGAGCGAAGGAGGACTTGCGCGCTAGCAGGCGCTTCTCGTCATCTGGAACGACAAAGCAACAAGGGAAGCATCATGCAATCTGCCATCTCGCCAGGTCGTTCCTCGACTTGCCCTTTCTCTCAACAAGTCTTATGGCGGCTTGTCATAGAGACCTCACATTCGGTGCTTCACGAACAACAACGTCACTGCTCTCATCTCCGATGCGATCGTTTCCTGCAGAGCATTCCAACGGAGGGAAGCTGAGCGACCTGCAGCTCCTATACTGCAACTGAGATGCGCAGGCTTACCAACACGACCGCAGTAAGGTGACTCTCCTACTTGAGCCGTATGGGTGTAAGACGAAGGTATTCGCCGACGGGAATGGAAGTATCGGCTAGCAGCAACCTTTTTTTTGACTTTATCAATATCAAGTGCAAGCCGCAGTCTTCGTTTGACTGTTTTCAAAGCCCCGAATAAAACGCGGATTATAGCACACTCATTCGTTAAATTCATATCGGCATCATTCCTATGCCAGATGTTGCATTCGAACGCGCTGTCTTGAAGCTTTCCCCACTGGTTCTGTTGCTGCTCGATGTCCTTTTGGCAATGCCTTTCCCCTTACCTTCAGCCTTTGAACTTTTACGGCTCCTTTTTACGTACCCACCCCGACCACCGCCAAATTTGCCACGCTGTTGTTTCGAAAATCCACCTCGGTTGCCGCTGACAGTCGGAGGTTTTGAGCGTGGAGCCGGAG